ATAAGCCCCTAAAGTAGAGACTTTCTTTAGGAATACTCGTTTCCCGGTTCTATACTAGAATTAGAGCTCGAATCCTCTAAATACTCTATTTAAATAATATATTCCGGTAGAATAGGAACTAAGCCTGGCTTAATTCTAGAAAGAGCTATCTTGGTTTCCTTACTATATAAAAGCAGATAGTATCTAGTATAGTAGCCAAACTTATTATAGTTATAGTACTTAATAGTTAAGAGATCCTTGGTTTTTATAGGATATTACTTGCACTTATAAGGGAGTATATACTTAATAAGAGCAGTTAATATAGGCTCCTTAGGTTCTTCCTTAGGAGTATACTTCTTAGGAGTATATAGAGATATAATACTAGAAGTAAACTTGGCTAGGATAGCTCCTGCCTTCTTATATTCCTTAGTCTTCTTATATATAGCCTTAATCTACTAATTATTAGTAATATAGTATTAAGTAAAGCAAGTAGTATTAATAGATAAATTATTATAGTATATATATACTAACTTCTAGAGCTTTAGTAAGAGCTTCTTATTTAGTTTATACTTAATATCTTAAAGACTAATACTGCCTTCTATAAATAGTTATAAGAAGAGAGTATAGAACTCCTAAAATACTTGACTAGAGTATATTTAAAGCTTACTAAAGTTACAGCAAGTATTCTATATCTTATTAGGATTAGAGTATAGCTTCTTTAGATAAGAGTAGAACTCTAAGAGCTAATAGTACTAATTCGGACTATCTTTATCTATATAAGAGTTAGTTAGGGCGAGAGTATTACTAGTAAGTCTACTAGAAATATAAATAATCTTGAGATTCTCTAAGAAATATAAATTAGTATTTCCTTATAGCTTATTCTTAATCTAAACTAGCTAGTTATTAAAGATAGTATAATCTCTAGTAAAAAGAGTTAGATCTGGGAGCTTAGTAACTCTAGTATCTCTAAAGAAAGTATAAGATATAGGGGATCCTAGACGGAAATAAGTAGGAGATAGTTCGGAATTCTTTTAAGAGAGATTCGGAGTAGTCGGAGCAGGCGGAGCAGAAGTAGTTAGAGCTACTATAAGCCAATCTATTATAGCTATATAGTATTTGACTTCGTCCTTGAGCTTGGTATTATAGAGCTTAGTATTCTCGAAAATAGCTTTATTATAACTATAGGTATTCTTATACAAAATAGCTCTTTAGATATTCTCCCGGTAGCTCTTTATAATAATATTAATATCTGAGAGTAAGATATTAGGTTTCTTGGCCTATTTATATAACTCTCTAGTAGTAATATAGTTATTAGTCTCTAGAAGCTTCGTAATAAAAGTAGAAAATTCTATTTCTATAGACTCGTTTATAAATTCTCTAGGAATACTAACGGGATATTCGGTTCAGGAAGGGCCGCCGACGGGATGACCTGAACTAGCAGGAGCTTTACCGGAAGCCTTAGCGGAAGTCGATATAGTTCCTGGTTATATAATATCCTGGGAAATCGACCTATTATACTTTTCCTCTACTGTATTCTCCCTAGTAGTCTTATTGCCAGTATATATATAGGGCCTATGAGATTATAGGATAGGGCTTGGGAGTAGCAGTCAGGTTACTAGCCTGTGGGTGCCTATTACTCTAGGACTTGGTTAAAGAGTAGCCTTTATTCGAGGTTCTTCGATTTTTCGGGTTTTCGGAGAGGTTTCTAATATACTACTGGTATATATTTATAAAGGTATAAATACCTAATTCCTCTGAGGGTTCTAAAGCTTTTTGCTTTTATTATTCTGGAGTCTATTGCTCGAGTTTCTGAGGTTCCGTCGTCTTGGTAGTACCTATATTTCTGATGGTTCTGAATTAGTTTATTTGAAATCCTCTACAGGATTAAAGGAAGTAAGCTTTGAATACTGTTACGGGTACGGCATTTAGGGCTTGGAAAGCAAGGTAGAAGGTCCCTTACGAAGACGATTCAAAGCTAAGGAAGGGAAAACTAGAATACAGGAGGCTGTAAGGGAGTATATACACCCCATAGTACACTAGTCCTGAAGGGGCTAGCCTTCTAAATATCTCTAGTATATTCCAAGCATATTTCCCTAGCGAGGCGGCCGCATTACATATGCCTAGGAGGCATCTGGGAATCGTGATATCAAGCTTCTTTTCTAATAAAGTATATATAGAACTATATAATAATTAGAATTCTGGCTCCAGATTTATATAATATTCTATTATATAGTAATTAGATAGTATATTTATAGTTTTAATAGAAAATATTCGAAAAAGATTCTAATACTTTTTAGGAAATATAATTATTTTATTTATAGTAATAATAGTAATCTTTTAGCTATCTATTATAGAATAAGTAATTAATAGAAAATATATATTTTATATTTTATTACTTTAGTAAATTTTCTAGTATTTAGAACTTTAATTTTCTATAATTAAATCTAATATTTCTATATTATTTCCCTAAAGAAAATTAGGGAATTAATCTAATAAAACTATAGGAATCTAAATATTATATTAATATAATTTAGATTAAAATTATATAATATAAAATATATATTAGCCTTTCTTTAATTCTCTAATATATTTTCGGTAATAATTCTAAAAATATAATTTTTATATAAATAGATTTTCTTTTTTCTAATAAAAATAAAGGAATTATTCTTAATATTAATAAAATACCTATATTTAAAGCTAATTTCCTTTTTATATAATTAGCCTCTATTCTCGAATTAACTAATATTTTAATTCTTTATTTATCTTTTCTTATTTTAATAGTAATTTTAATTATTATTCTTATTTTAGAAGCTTTGCTTTTTATAATATAAATAAGTATAATTATTATAGAATATATCTATTTCTCGGCTTCTTTAGATCTAGGTATTTATATAACTTATAATTAGACTTATTATAGTTATAGTAAATCGGCTTTCTTTAATTTAAGTAAATAGTAATATAATAATAATTTTTTTAGTAAATAAAACAAATTATATCTAGTCTTATAAATCCTAATATAAATACTATATTAGATCCTATTATTATATTTTTACTATTCCGGTTTTATAAATCTTATAATAGAAATATACTTTTTTTCTGTTTTTTATTTTTATTTCCTTTCTCTTTTCTTTTATTTCCTTCTTTTTACTATTTTATTAGCTTATTATTATATTTCTATTAAATAGATAAGTTTAAATTATTTTTAATTCTTATAGCTATAGAAATAAGCTTTTCTCTTTCTTATAGAATATTCTTTTAATAATTAATTTCATTCTAAATCTCTTATTTCAAGCTATTAAATAAGTTATTCCGCTTTTATAATAAACCTATATATCCTAAATTATTTAATAGGCTATCTAAATAAAATATAAAACTTTAGATATTCTAGCCTAGCTATTATTTCGTATTTTTAAACTTAATAAAAATATTATTATTATAATTTTCTAGATCTAAAATAGAATTCTTTATAAACTTAATAAAGGTCTTCTAATTCGTAATATTAATATCTACTAATTACTCTTTATATTTCTAGATATTTCTGGCTATATCTTTAAAACAGGAAGTATAATATATAATCTTTATTATATTAGTAATCTAGGTAATCTTATAATTTTTATATTATTTTAATTCTATCTAATAAAAGAAGTTCTAGGCTTCTTTAATACTTTTTTTCTAGTAAATAGATAGTTTTTAGGTTTTTAGAGTCTTTTAAACTAAAAGTATTATTAGAAGTATAACGGGTTCTATACTAAATATTCGAATATTTTTAAAATAATAAATTTAAGCTTCTAGCTTTTTTAAATTCTTTTTCTATTATATTTCTATTTCTAACTTAATAATATAATAGTAAATTACTACTAATTTCTCTATTATTATTATTTTATTAGCTAGTTCTAGAAATATCTAAGTTCTATTTCCTTTTTCTAATTAGGTAATATAAAGAATACTTAACTAGGCACTTCTTTAAATACCTAACTGAATTACCCTAATAATAATAGAAATACTTCTTCTAGTTAATATTTTAGCTATTAATAGTTTTATTTATTAATGGCTTAATTATTTTATAATAAACTATTTCCTAAAAATTAAATTAATTAGAATATAAAATATATAATAATAGAATAATATATAAATAATTAAAATAAATAAGCTATAAAATAATACTTATAAATATAACTAATTCCAAGAATTAATTCTAATAAAAAACTAATTAATACCTTTTTCTAAAGCTAGAAATATCTCTTTATATATTCTTTAGTATTTAACTAAATATATAAAGCCCTTTATTTAACTAGAAAATATAATCTTATATAATTCTAATTATTTATAATTATATATTTAATTTATAAGCTAAAACTAGAAATATAATAAATATATAATAAAACTAAAATAATATTATAAAGCTAATTAATAATAGTCTTTTAATTATATAGCTTAGCTAGATTAAATATATATTATAGATATAATATAAATACTATATAAACTATTAGTTATAAACTAAAATTAGGCTATAAATTAGTCATAAAGAAGTAAACTTACTATAAGCTTCTAGTATAATAGCTAGGTAGTAGAGGATATAAGAAGGGGCGTCGACTATGAGGCTGGTAATAACTAGGGGACTGGAAGGAGCTGAAGATGGTATTAGGGGGGCGGTGGGGGGGGCTAGAGTAGTGGGGTTGGAGGCGGCGATGATAGTAGTAGTAGTAGCATGGCCATTAGCGGTAGTGGTAACGAGGGCAGTGCGAGCTATAGTAGCCGCTAGGGTGTGTGTGGGTGGGTGGCTGTTGATTTTCAAGAATTTAATTTAAATGCGCTTTGTTTACATTCACTTTGTGGACTGTTTACGTATATGCCTTACAATCCAGGTTTGTTTGGTGCACGGTCTAGCCTAAACTTACGCCGGGCGTATGTGTATCCCATCCCTAACTCTACCACTTGATTACTAAGCTCGATATTCCTGTAAAACTGCGAAATCACCATTGAATATCTATTGAATATCTCTATAAATAGAACGGTGGCGTGCGCTAATTACGATGTTCATTTTATATTCAAAAATTGCGAAACCTCTCTAATATTGATACTTTTCCAGACTCCATTTACATGTGTGTCCAGGCTAGATCACTAGGTCTTCTGATCAATCTTCCCCATTCCCTATGAAGTCCCCTCAACTTCCACAACATCCACCGCGTCTTTCCCGCCGACGTCATCATGGAAAATCTCTCCCGTAGCAAGAAGACGTTGTGGCCGAGGCAGTGGAAGCTCACAACTTCCCGGCCGCTGCCACCTAAGGAATTCCACACCCCGCCTTATCATTTCTTGGCGCATCTGTGCCGGCTTCCGCATCATACTGCCTACGAAAGGCACAAGTGGAAACTCTGGCAATGGTGGCCAGTCAATGGCGTCCGGCGCTTGCGTATAGTGGGTAATCCCCTGGTCGACCTTCTTCCTGGTATTGACCCATTCCTTGAGCACCCGCCGATAATCCGACACAGGGCTGTCGAGGCGAACTTCAGCGTGCTGTTCCCACGCATCCATCTCGAGCACTACGGAGGAATCCAACTCATTAGGATGACACTCCTCGCGAAAGTGAAGATCGCGGGTAATAATCTCGTAAAGAGTGAAGACGACAAATTTGACATCATTGCGATCGACGTCATAGCCAAAGGCACCATTGTTCTGCACGTCACCTTCCCAGCCGAGCTTTGCGGACAAGTTGAAGTCAAAGATTTGGAGGTCATCCGTCTCGGGGTTGATCAGCAGGTTCCAAGGGCATATGTCACCGTGAACAATGCCCCATCTGAGGTTGATGTAGTCGACGACCTGTACAATAGTTAACGGTTAGCCAGATATGTAATGTCATCCTCAGGCAAAACAGGCAGTGAACCTCGATGAGTTGTTTCAGATACTTAAGCTTGAAGACTCGGCTCACGTTGTCCAAGACGGTACCTCCCGGGATGAAATTCGTGGTAAAGCCGACGACCTTGTCCTCGCTATCGACGGTGTCGACGACGAGGGAATCGAACTGGACGATGTTGGGGTATTTCGGGATGCGTATGAGGCAGTTTATCTCGTGCCAGAAAACAGCAATGTTGGCCTGGTTCAAGTAGTACTTGAAGGCAACACGTGTTATCTGTCCTGGGAGAGATTCATAGGTCGTGAGATCCGCCTGAACTCCTAGTCGATCAATCTCGGTGAGGTCAGAACGGCGAACCCTTCGTAATCCCCGTGGAAAGTCTGCGACCGAAGGGTAGAAGGGAATCATGGTTCGGTCATCGTCAATGTCAGAAGAACAAGACAACAATTCGCCATCACGCGAAACTTGTATCAAGACGGCATCGGCTGGAAGGTCGTCGACGTGCTCTACGAGGGCCTCAAAAATGAAATCTTCGTCGTCTTCCTCCCATGACGTAGACACGGTGATGGTGCGCCGCTGGTCCCAGTCATAGACAACCCAAAGCGAACCATTGTGGTAAGTCTTACCGCTCGAGGTGAATCGTTGGTCCGGGTGACAATCGTCAAAGTAACCCATGATTTTGGACGAGAGAGAAAAAACCCGACAAGAATGAGCAGAGGGGACAGATGGGGTCTCCAATGAAGAAAGCAATGAATAATAGCGTGACTCGAGCCTGATAAAAGAACAATACGTCTGATCTTAGCAGAAGCGGGGGAAACAGATGTAGCTTGTCCTTAAGCGTGTTTGAAGAGGAACCCTGTCTGTTGGTGCTAAGTTGTGGCCTAGCCAAGCGCCTAGCCGTGGCTACTTTTAGTCGAAACCCAACATCTGTGACGCAAGCCACCTTAATAAGCGCTGGGCTAGGTACTATAGGATGGATGTAGTTGCCTATCCAACATAATGTTCTCCTTCCATTTTCTCTATCTTCATTTGTGACCTTGACGTTCCATTTCCAAACATTTCATTTCATTTTCGAGTGGATATATACACCGATATATGCTTTGCTAGTGAGGTTCGCTGCAAGGCGCATAAATAGGTCCAGATTGGAACATGCTCCGAAAATCAGCCAAGTCGACCGCTTTCTCGACGATTCGCATTACGGCTGCAATTTTTGCATGTTTTTGGCTCTGGTTCATTTACCATCATTATCATCCCTCGTTCATTGGTATTTACTATAATGTCCAACCAGATCAGGGCTTGGACGGCGAATGCGAACCCAAACTTTTCCACGGAATCGATGATATTCTGGTCGTCTTGCGGACGGGCGCCAGTGAGGCACCTGCGAAACTTCTGATACATTTCAACACGACATTGAGATGTGCTCCCCATTTTGCCATCTTCTCCGACATGGAGGAGTACATCGAAGGGCATTATATCCTCAATGCTCTGGATGAAGTTAATCCCGACATCGTCGCGTCCCATCCAGACTTCGACTACTATCGTTTGCTTCTGGAAAAGGGCAGAGCTGGCATTACTTCCGAGGAGGCCGAGCGTTGGTCAGTGGCCGCAAATACAAACGCAGGCCGCGATACTCCGGGTTGGCGATTGGACAAATGGAAATTTCTTCCCATCGCCGAAAAGTCCCTTGCCCACAGACCCGATGCAAAGTGGTACTTTTTCATCGAAGCTGATAGCTACATACTATGGCCTGCTCTTCTAGAGTGGCTTTCGCACTTCGACCATCTGCAACCCCATTATATAGGCGTCCAAATGCAGATTGGCGAGGTCATCTTTGCGTATGGTGGCGGCGGCATTATCTTGTCCAACGTCGCACTTCGAAAAATCGTGAAGCATTGGAGATCCAACCTAAAACAATACGATGAGTACACTGCTGGTCATTGGGCTGGTGATTGCATTCTTGGGAAGGTGGTGGCAGATGCTGGTGTAGGTCTGCTTTGGGCATGGCCAAATCTCTTTGGTGACCAACCTAAGAATATGGATTTCGATTCCCACTTTGGAGGATCCGATAAGAGGCTTTGGTGTTATCATGTGTCATCGTACCATCACGTCTCACCTCCTGATGCCGTCGAATTTAGTGAGTTTGAGCACGGTTGGTATCGACAGGTAAGGCATCATCGTTCACACAAGTAATTCTAGACCAACGGCTAATTCGTTCAGAATGCAACTCTGTTGCGCCATAAGGATGTATTTTACCACTATATTCTACCTCAGCTGCGACCAGAGCGCATAGATTGGAACAATCTCTCAGAGAATGATCAGTGGCCGGCGGAGACATTTCGGAAATGTCGGGATTTGTGCGAGAAACAGCCAGACTGTCTCCAGTTCTCAATATCAGGGCAAATATGCCGAACATCAAGGACATTCACGCTGGGTCATCCTAGTCTAGCACAGACAGGGGAAACAATGTCCTCTGGATGGATCCCGGAGAGAATAGCTTTATATGCCCAGCGCATGGATGCTTCATGCATGGACCAAGATTGGATTGTTCCATTAAGTCAGGGATAATACTAAGTCCATGCTAGGATATCAGGAATAAATGTGGGTTTCTCTCTCCAGGGAGGGATTTGAATCCACGGCTAGCTCAGCTTATACAGTATTCTTCGTCCCGTTTTCAGTGACTCCCTTTCTACTACGGTGGGGAGAGACATACTAATAGTAATTTACGACGGCGAGCAAATATTCCAAAATGATCGGATGTAAGTGTCAAGTCCAAGTCAGGCTCACGCTGTTGCTTCCACGGAATGGTGTATTGTGTTTGTCCAAGGGATGTTGGTTCTGACGGTTCAGTTGATATTGATTGATCTGAGGTTCTAAATTATGTGCCGACAAGCATACCTTCGGGGGCTCGTAAAAGCGATTTGGCCAAGTATTTTACATAGTAAATTTGTATAGGAGGTACTTCAAGCTGGCTGCGCTAGCTAGTTCGGCCCCTGAATTTAGCGAGGAACTCCAATTTTGGTGCTGGCCAAATCGCTTTGCGAACCACTGGTAGTAACTAGTAGAAGGTACGAACGGGCACTTAAAAGTGCGGCAGAAGTCCAAATTGCAGGTTAATTCGTTAGCCATGGCTACTGTACCCAACATAGATCAGGAAGTTAGTAATCAAAGACGGGTTGATATGTCGTAATACTATGTAGGTAGGTGGAGGGGTAGGGTGCTGCGGGACGCTGGCTCCGGGGGACGGATATTTCCAACCCCTGGGTTCTCCTTCATAAACGAGCTCGCCCCTCAGAGTTCTCCTCACTTCTGCTTCGAAAAGAGCGGCTTCCTAACTGTCTACGCATCGCTTGCTCACCTTAATCGCTAATTTGACGGCCTTTTCGGACGAGAGCCCCACCTGGCTCCCTACCCCCACGCGTTGGCTCCCCATCTCCGCCTGTTCTACTGAGGTACACGCAACGTGCAGGCCTAGGAGGCAATCTCATTGCCTTCGATCCCCCTTTTATGGAAAGCATAATCCCATCTGCTATACCATGTGTGATAGAACCCCGGATGTTCAAGAGTCTTACCTCGCGTTCCGAGCCGTCGAGTGATCCGTACAGTGGACAGTCTGCCATTGCTTGACTTTAAAGCGACGGTTTGGTTGAACTAGAGGTTACGTGGTATTTGCAATGAAATGGAGCGAGATATTTGGACTAGGGAGGTTCAACTACCAGCTGGATGTACGATCATGCACTGCTTTGTAAGCTTTCTGCATACACTTCGCATACGTGTTTAAGGCCAGAATGATGGAAGCGCCTCACGCCCCAAGATCGTAATAAATGCACTTCCCCGTCCGGAAGTTATACACAAACGCATTCCGTGAAACCTCCTTATTTTGATTCGCAAGAGTGTTTATCAAATCATGAACCTCTTGTAGATACCTCCTCTCCGCAGTCGGCACCGCATGAGTAACCTGTCTCCAACTGTCCGGATCACTTAATCTTGTTCCTCTTATCAATTCCATAACCTGATCGGTGGTCTCAATAGCGGCAATTGGACCATCTAAAAATTCATGGACAAGCGAGGCAGCTCGAGCCTGTGCTTGTTCAATGATATTCTTGCGATTGGATTTCTTGCTTTTTGTGCCAGCGATGAGGACCCGCACGTCTTGCTCGTGATCAGTAACACCTGGATCGGCTTGGCTGCTGTTGCGTTGGAGTTTGGCGCGGTAATGAGTACCATTCCGTTGATCTCGGTCACGGATCTCGCTCTTCAGCCAAGCGAGAATTTGAGTTGACGGGATATCAGTGTCTGCGACGTCTTTCCGATCCATGCTTTTGACTTTTAGGACTGAATCCTGCTTGATGATCACGACCCACGAATGTTGGTCGTCTCGGTATTTGGACAGGAGATCTTCTGGAGAGTGGGAATCTCTCGCTAATTCGGCGCTGATCTCGTTTCTCCAAAGAGTTTGGACTATGTCAACACCGGTTGTCCGTAGGATTTCTGCGTCGTGGCTGGCAATGAGAACATCGCACTGGTGACAAAATTAGTCAAATTGGCCCCAGTGAGGAATTAATCGTGATCGTTCTTACCCTCTTTGTGCTCCAGATCCCATTTAGTTCGTCCTCCGGCTTCCTTAAGAAACCTTTTCCACTTGCTTTGGGAAGTCGGGCCATCTTTTCCCATGCCAAGTTAAAACCGACAGCATGCCTCTCTTCAGAATTGCTTCCAGTCTTGTGTCGATGTTCCCGAATCAGGGAATCATAGCGCCCACCAGCAGCGAAGACATCTTTGACTTTTCGGTCGAATAGGCATGAAAAGATGACTCCACCCTTGCAGAACTTCTCGTTCAAAGTGCCCAGAGGATTAACATAGATCTTGCTGTGGACATCAAAGAGCTTGGTATATTCAATCACATCTCGTAGATGAGCAATCGCAGAAGAGGCCTTCTCGAAGACGTCGGTACCCTCAAAAAGAGTCTTCAGCTTTGCAAAAGCCTTATTTGGCGTATCTGATCAGTTAGCACCACATTTTGATTCATTTTGCATAAAATAGACATACCACGAAAGTCAAAGCGTTGTAAATCGTCGACACTGGTGGCGGATACTCCAATGAGAGGCGATCGAAGCTCCGCTTTAATCTTCTGCCACGTCCATGAATGGACATTGAGTTTGCTGAGTGTCTCTGCGACAGCATGTCTTATGCTGGGCTCGACCATGCAAAAGTCGAAGATGAGCTTGAGCAGATCGGAGTGATTTATGTGAAAGCACATTTGAGCACTTGCTAGAGACGGGAAGCTGCCAACAATCTCATCCAGAACTTTGATGACTTCAGCTTCTTTCAGCGCCAGGTCTAAGGTATCATTGGAAACAATGTCAAAATCTACCTCGCCAACTGTCTGAGGTTGGCCTCCAGAATCCCGGTCTCGAAAGACGCGACCGAAGGCGAAGGATCTCTGGACCGATGGTTCGTGCTTTGCAATGGCCCTGGCATGCGGGAGTGTAAGGTCATACGGTAGCTGCAGCAGTCCGCCTCTTTCATCTAATAGCTGGACAGCATTCGGGCCATAATGATTCGAGCGAGGAAACAATGTGGTCCTTGGCGTCTCCACAGCACCATGTTGTCGGAAGATGGATGTCAACTTCTGCTTGACAAGACCTTGAAGCAAGAGATCATTGGCGCTATGGTTCAGCGTTCCCATTTCCCACGCAACATCCTTCGCGGGCTTGATTGGCAATGAGAACAGAGCCTTCATCATCTTGTCGTAGTAGGGAGATTTTGAGTCGGTGAGACCAACTAGTGCTTGTCGAATTGTCTCATCTTCCATCAGTACGGGAAGTTTGCCACCTTTCAGAAGCTCAGCACTCGATGGTCGATCTTTTGGGCTATGATTGAGCAAGCTCAGGATAATGTCCGCTTGTACAGGCTTCTCTGAGATCTTGAACTCATGTGGGAAGATGGGCTGCTTTTGTCGCAGTCCTTGGCCCACTGAAGCTCGATCCATACCCATAACTAGAGGTCTGAAACACATCTCAAAGAAGATGATCCCAAGAGAGTACATATCGACCTTGCTGGTGTAAGTTCCGCCAACGGACGATCGAACCTCAGGCGCAACGTAAAACGCTGTTCCAATACTCCTCGTCATTTCTCCACTCATATGAACTGCAGTGGAGGCTGCCTTATCTGCAACCGTGTACTGACCACTGGTCGCCAGGCCGAAATCGCCGATCTTCACGTTCGAAGCGGCGTCAATGAAGATATTTTCGGGTTTCAGATCGCGATGAACGACATTTAGGCCATGAATGTGAGCAAGGCCTTCGAGAATTTGTCGGAACAAGCGCCATATCTCGTCGTTGTCTTTGTACAGCCCTCGTTTGATGACATCTCGTAACGTTTGCTTCTCACAATATTCCATAGAGATGTACAGGATTGTTTTGAAAGGTCGCTGAAAGCGTGAACTGGACCTAGTTCGTTTGAGGACCTGATAGTGTTAGTATTAAGGTTTGGGCCAATTGAGCCTCTTGGGAAATTAAAAGATCTATGGCTTCTAGGTGATCGGACGGGCATGTCTCTGACTTCCTATCAAAAGGAGAGGGCGAGTTTGTAAATCTGCTTACAAGAAGATTATGCCGTTGATTACCACCTCCATTGGGACTTGGTTCGTCTGGGTTAGTCGAAACTTCGTCTTCATCTTCCTCAGACTCTTCCTCATTGTCCGTAGCGTCGTCATAACCAAATTGAATCCGAGGGTAGCCACTAGAAGACATGAAGTCAAGCCCTCCTGTACTAATACCAAACTCGATATTGGGTCCGGTTCCTGGAGACATTTCGCTGACAGAGTCCTCATTCGTTCCCGCTTCTGTGGTAGTGGTATCCTCGTCAGTCTCAGAAACATCATTGACTTCTTCAGTCCAAGTATTGTAATAACCTAATATGACAGCATGTTAGCAAGGTTAAACACCCGATTTTCTAACTCAAGATAAAAGTAACATCGCAGCATTGAAGAACAGACGAGGTATCGAGAGAGAACTTCAGATGGGACGATCGTCTTCAGGAGCCGAGAAACACATGAATTCCGGCTCGACTATTGAAACTAATGAAAATGACATAAACTTACGAACAACCGAAGGATGACTCAATTGAGAGAGGAGGCGAACTTCTTTCAAAACTTCAGTCAGTGAAGCCGAAGACTTTTGTGTGATCTTCTTGATTGCATAAATTTGTCCATCAAGCCGTTTCCGTGCTTTAACCACTTCGCCAAAGCCCCCCTTTCCGAGACGGCCTTCTTCTACGAAGTCTTCTCTGTACCTTGACCTATTGAAAGGGCCTCCGGTATTCATAGAATCATGCCTTTGCCGCCGAGGGGTGGTAGGAAGCAGAGATGAAACTGAGCCAAATCTCGAAGGAGCTTCAGAAGAATCGTCTTCAAGAACGGGTGCATCTGTAGCCAGAAATTCAGATGGACCCAATTCTACAGCTCGAGGCCGCTTCTTGGGATCTGCTTTGAACATCTTGAGTACAATTTCGTTCAGTGAATCAGAAAGCGCAAGAGAGTCCGTCAAGGAGATTGGGGAAGAATACTTCTGAATGACTGTCAGACCAAAAATCATCTGCAGAAACAGAATCCCAAAATCCCAAACATCAGTCTTTTGTGTGTAATTAGGCTGACTTGTGTTTGATGCGATTTCAGGTGGAAGCCAGTAGGCAGACTTCGCGACCGAAATAGTATCAGTTGGCTGTTTCTTCCCACTGAGGTTCTGCAATTTTCTCTGATAGCCTGCATCGGCAAGTTTTGGGCGGACCTCTCCCATCGATTCCCGGACTAGAAGTACATTGCCGGCATGTATATCCTCGTGGACGATTCCCTTCTCGTGGAGAAATTGCAGACCTTCAAGGAGCTCAATCGTCCATGAACGAACTTTCTCGACACCCAAGCTCCCTACTATTTCAAGAAATTCTTGCAGCGACCCCTTTTCGGCATATTCGCTGAGGATGCTCACAGTCCAGCCAGTCTCTGATTCTCCGCTCTCATCAATTGTCTTGTGGACTTTGAAGTCAATGACTTTAAGGATGTTCTGGTGCCGAATGGCCTTCAACGATTTCAACTCGTTCTCGATTAGTTGAATCTGTGTTTTGATTGTGGTCTCTTTGATGGCGGTGCTCAAATCAGTTTGCTTCAAGACAAGAATCGGGACCTCTCCAGCGCCTTGCGGAATAACAGGCCGGACAGTGAAGCATTTTGAAGATGGACCTCGACGAATGCAAACTTTGTTCGATACGACCTCAAAGAGGGAGGGGTTGTTGTTAATATCTAACAAGCTGATCGGTTGTTCGAAGGCGAGGGACTCGTGCGGTCCTTGGCCACTGAGACTCGTATCCATTGATACCAGAGTGATGACTTCTGGAAGGGCACGGCTCTTCCTTTTCGACTCCTTGGCTCGCTCTCTCCGTCGTTTGAGCTCATCTTCTACCAATGAATTTTGCATGCGTTCTTCCTCCAAACTCTCCTGTTGTTTCTTCTTTTCTTCCTCCTCTCTCAGTTTCTCGGCAACTTTGGCCGCAGCTGCTTCATGAGCAGCACGCTCTTCTACCAGACTGGGTAATTCTTTTCCTGCAGCTTTGGCTTGCGCAGCATCTTCCAAGACGTCCAAGCAGGCATTGACGATTTCCATGATCATTGCCTGCTCTTCTACAACCAGCTCCTTGGGTTTTGTCTCCACTATCTTTTGGATCTTATACCGGGTCCCTTCTCGTAAGCTACCATCGTCCTTAATGCTTAATAGTGGTTCTGTCTTTGGGTATGTAGCGGTCAGAGTCACACGAAGGGTCGCGGCTATCTCTTCATCGGAGGACTTGATCCGTATTTCGAAGCATGGCTCTGGTTTCTACATTGCCATTAGAAATTTTCAAGAACGGATACAGAATTCGCGGACCTTCCATGCCCCCAGGCTCGACTCTATCTTGCGAAAGTCTTCACCGTATATTGAGGCAAGGGCAATGAGCTCGTCCTCTTGTATCTCTTCATATTGGGACTTCGATGCCAGCGATTTCGGCACCGCATCATTCGATTTACTTGGTTTCAATTCGGGGAACCCCGAGGAGGTAGTATTGCGTTGTGGTGGTTTCTTTCCCCATGGGTTGGTTGGCGGCATGATTATGTCTTTGGGCCTGAACGGGATGGCGACTCAGAAGATGTCAAGTAGAACACGCAGCCGAAGCTACGTATCTTTCACGCGCTGGGGGTGTACATTTCCGATAAATTATAGGGACCTTGTTATTCAAGTGAAGTGTTCGTGTTGGTGATTCTCAGCCGTTCATTGTTGACTCTTTCCCCGCGAGGCTGCACTAAACCGCTTTGAGAAAGATGAGTTCGGACAACTTGTGACTCCTAAAATTTTGACAAGAATTTTCCTCCCCAAGAGATAGACCCGTCATCTCTCCCACCAGACTTCTGGTGTGAATAGCATCATTCTGGGATACTCCGAGGCTATTTAACCTCACTGCCACCGCCAATGGCTCTCCGATCATCGCCCACAACGGCATTCGCACGCCTCAAGAGACCATCAGCCTCGATGGGCGGGGTCCGCCATTACTCCCCTCCACCTCAGAATGCAATACCAGCGGCCAAGCAGAAGTATGTACCAACCAGTGGCACATATCCTAAAGGCTTCCTTGTCTCGGGAACCCACGTTGGAGTCAAGCCTACAAACAAAAACACACCAGACCTGGCTTTCCTTGCCTCGGAGACACCATGTGCTGCAGCTGCAGTATTTACAAAGAACAAGTTTCAGGCCGCACCTGTGACCGTTAGCAGAGAAATGCTGAAGAGGAGGAATAATAGCGGCATCCGTTCCGTAATTGTCAACTCGGGATGTGCAAATGCGGTGACCGGGAAGGGAGGTATGGAAGATGCAGAGAAGATGGGGGAAGAGGCCGATAAGTGCTTCGATCAAACCAATGATGGAAAGAGAGGAAGCTCAATTGTTATGAGTACTGGGGTAATTGGCCAGAGGTGATTTTCTCCGCTCTCTGTGTATCATTGGCAGCCACTGACTTGTGTCCCAAGGTTACCAATTCGAAAGATTTTACAAGGAATCCCTGCTGCATTTGATGCTCTAGGAAGCTCACACGACCATTGGCTTACTGCAGCGCGAGCAATCTGCACGACTGATACTTTCCCAAAACTTATCTCCCGAACATTTTCCCTGCCTTCCTCTCCATCCATCGAATATAAGATTGCAGGGATGACCAAGGGTGCTGGAATGATCCATCCCAATATGGCCACACTATTAGGAATGATTGCTACCGATGCTGCAATTGCACCAGCACTTCTCCCAACACTTTTGACAAATGCTGTCAACAAATCCTTCAACAGCATCTCCATTGACGGAGACACCTCGACAAACGATACTGTTGCGGTCTTGGCCAATGGTGCTGCTGGAGGAAAAGAAATTACTTCCGAGTCATCTGAAGACTATGCTGTCTTCCAAAAGACCTTGACAGAGTTTTCCACCGATCTTGCCAAACTTGTTGTTAGGGATGGTGAAGGAGCAACAAAATTCGTGACAATTCGTGTGACTGAGGCGCCTTCCGAGGTTGGAGCACGCAAGATCGCTAGCACAATTGCAAGGTCTCCCTTGGTCAAGACGGCATTGTACGGGAAGGACGCCAATTGGGGTCGTATCCTGTGTGCTACTGGTTACTCGCAGATTTCCGAGCCGGGCCAGGCCATCAATGAGGTCCCTGACATTATACCAGAAAAGACAAGCGTCTCTTTCATCCCAAGTGATGGTTCTCCTGAGCTGAAGCTATTGGTGAATGGTGAGCCCGAGACGGTGGATGAGGTGAGAGCAGCTGAGATCTTAGAGCATGAAGACTTGGAGATCCTGGTTAGATTAGGCGGTGGGGAGCAGGAGGCTGTTTACTGGACTTGTGACTACAGGTGAGATTCAAGCTTACTTTTTGAAAATTTAAGACTGACAACCTACTAGTCACGAATATATCACGATTAATGGGGACTATCGAACATAAAAACAACACGAATACCCAAAACTTGGCGTTCAAAATAGATAATCGATACTTTTCGTCTGTTGCTAGGGCTTCTGATCCTTGGCACTCTTTGCTTTTCCTTTCGAACTCCACAAACCTTCCGTCTCTTTTGCCTTTTTATTCACACTTTCCATATCAAAACCCGCTAGCAGTTTGTATGCTCTTCCCACTTCCTCCAACTCCATGCTACCAATCACATCATCAATGTTCTCAAACCCATCTGGAGCTCTCTCATGTGCAAGTTGTAGCACATGGTCAGGTCCATTGGCCCTATTGGCAAAACAAATCTTTGCAGTGGGAGGCAAACGGACTTTTTCATAAGCCGTCAAAGCGGCTGGTATATCTGTCTGGTTCTGGAGAGCCGAAGACAGAGCTACGGCATCAAGGATTGCTTGACTCGCTCCATTTGAGCCAACTGAAGTATGTTAGTTGGGTTCATCCTGCTCATTACAATCGCAACCTACTTGGGTACAGAGGGTGAGCAGCATCACCCAGCAAAGTAAGTCTTCCAAAGCTCCACCGGTCTACTGGCGTCCGATCACACATCGGGAACTCAGATACCTCTTTCGTCTCCTCAATCAGCTCTGGGATACTCAAGAATCCGAACGTCCAGCTTTGGAATTGACTTGCAAAACGTTCCTTTGGCACCACTTTACCCTAATCAGCTTGTGGTGGTGTCAGATCTGGGTCATCCTTGTCTCGCACTCTCAATTCTGCGATCCAGTTTACCAACGATGTCCCCTCCAGTTCCGCTTCTCTCCCCACTGGATAGGCGATGAATTTCTGGTCAGCATGACCAGCCCACACCATTGATCGACCCGTTAAGAAAGGGGGGCGTTTTGACACGCCACGCCAAAGTAGGCGACCAGAGAAATTCGGTGGTCCTTCGTTGGGGTACAGCAGTCGGCGGGCCGTCGAATTGATCCCATCCGCAGCGATCAAAACATCCGTTGTTTTCTTCGGGACCTCAACTGGCACGTTAGGATCCGACCTCCTTGTGAAATTGGCCGTGATACTGGTTTCATTTTGCGCATACGAAGTGAAGACATGATCAGTGTGTACACATCCCTCACCCAAGCGCTCTTTCAGCGCCTTCAGCAACAACTCATGCAGCATGCCCCTATGAATCGAGAACTGCGGCACCAAATAGCCAGCTCCTTCTCCGCGAGGCTCAGAAACGACATAATGGCCGTATCGATTGTAATATCGAAGTTCCGCGGTCTTGATTCCCGTTGCCTCAAGCGCTTCCAACAATCCAAGATTCCGTAGAATAAGCACAGCTGAGGGCTGAAGATTGATTCCCGAGCCAATGGCTTTCAGCTCCCGTGACGCTTCGAAGATGGAGATGTTTTTGAAGCCGTCTGCTTCGAGCTGTAAGGCTAGGACCAAGCCGCCGATTCCACCGCCAATGATGGCTATTGATAATAGGGTATTTATAAAAGGCATTTTCTCTATTGGATCGTATGCAATGGAAAGGAGTTAGGATGGTAATTTGAGTTTTGACGCTGCTTTCGGACAATGTGGGGTAAACTGTAAATTACGTTGTGGGGCACAGCAACTAACAAGCCTGATCGCATAAGTCTCTATTTTAGGGCAATTCGCTAAGAAACCAACCCTATTTTTGACGTATTTATTTTATATTTAGAATTAGTTTTACAGACATTCTATACCTAATCTAGTTTGTTTTATCCGATGACCTCAAGTTTTGTAAGGTTTGAATCTATATTTATCTCGAAATTATTAAGTAAAGTTAGTGATTTTGATTTTGTGAGGCCTGAAAATATCGCTAAAAACACAGACTTATGCGATTAGGCTCGTAATGGCGGGAAGTCCACTTCAGGAAGGGGACCTGAATTCTGGTCCACTTCTCGCCATTGTAATGTTGTAACTCCGGCGTCCTTCGTCCTTCCTCGACATCATGTTTTGTCACAATTTTGTATCAAGCAACTTCAAAGAGGCTGACGTACTATCTATCAGGCGTGCTGGCAACTTGTAACGAGTCAGAACATCGTGACCTTGAAAGAAGATGGGTGTTTACCCTTTAATATTTTAGTGGTCACCACTCTACTTTTACTGAGGGCATCTGACGGTTTGAACAACTCACAGGAAACAGTGCTGAACTCTCGCACGCCGCAATGCCTTTACTGGGCGGTGAGCGCTATCCCAATACCAGTCACAGTCTCACAGAGGAAGTCTGTGTCTCGGCAGGAATCTCCTGCATACGGGCCGAGGGACACGGCTGTGTTGTCTCCACTGCCCCTCCAATGAATCCATTCAGGGGGGTTAAGCTTTCTTCCATGCGACCCTGAAACACCTGAAAATAAAACACCAAAATTTTGCGTTCCGCTCACCACCTTTCCAATTTCGATCAATTTTTGGTTTGATGTTAAAAAAAGCTTTTAGTTAATGGCCACCCTTGTTTCGCCTTGTCTCGGTATATTTCCTACTAACACGGCCTCGGACCGACATAACGCGATCGTGGACTCGACCTTTCTTTCTCCAATTCCAAAGTTTCAAGCCTCATCGATAATTCAACCTTCACAAACGCTTTAGGATGTTCTATAACTTCTATTGCCCGCAAAATACACCCTGTATTGAGACTTATGGGAAAATTACCGACAATTTCTCGAGTTGGACGAACTTTTATACCTGTTCCTGGTACCCAGCGCAGTCTTTGAATCGATGCAATGGCAACTAATGTGTGTATTAGATGGTGCTGAAGAAGGTACCGAATACCGACTAAAGTCCCCACTAGTTGTGACGGACCCAAGCACTGGACTCAAGAACCCGACGCAGCAGCCCTGTACATCGCCACCTGGGCAAAATACCCCTGAGTTGCAAACTATGCAGCAGCCAGCTGCTATTTAGATTTTGAGTGTAGGAAGCAAATTGGGGAGACTATTATGGCAATAACGTACATTTGACCTGGCAAGGCACCAATCTGGGAAGACGAAGCGGAGGTTTGATGAAGAACCGAGGGTGGTCAGGGGATTGATATTGAGTATCTGATTATACTTACTCCTTCGGGCCAATACTTTCAGTTACATGTTCGTTTTCTGACACCCATACTAGAACATTATTTAGTTACTTCACTACTCAACTTTGAGAATGAGTAGGTGCCAGAGTATTTGTGAGCGTCCGTCCATATATGACTAGAATATTGGTCGCTGTGACAACAATAGGTATTGTACCAGCATCAAGAGAAAACAAAGGTTTATATTGATTCGCTTATTGTACCAATAATAGGGAGAACTTTGAAAACATACGACGATATAAGAGAATTCACCTGAACTTATTGTGATTACGTTTGGTCGAGTGGTTGGGCCTGGTGAGGATGGTGATTTGGACTAACGAGCCTCGGCAGATGGAACAGAAAAAGGGGAGCAAAACGGACTGCAGGAAAGTCCCCACAACTTTCGGTCCCTACTGCACATAAGTCTCGCAGTGAAAAGCGTGTCGATTCGCGTATAGGTAAAGAATAAAACTTTTGTCATATTCTTACGCAGGTCTTCAATCCAACTCTCATCCTAAAATCATAAAGAAACGCATTGGTATCAACCGAGAATATGGCTTGGTGTCATAACTCTCTGCAATCCTCCACCGTCGCGCCTAAGCAGGATGTCATTAGACGAGAGCTCCTCCTCTCTTACTCGACCTGCTCATGAAGGTAAGACCGATAGTGACAATGAACAGGATGAACAGGATCCAAATGAAGGCAGTATCTGCTTGGGCCATTCGACACCGACCGATGATATCATCCTCAGCCTTTTTTCGGTCGCCGTTGTAGTCCTTCATGTCACTAACTCGAATGACCTTCCAAATCGCTAGAATGTAATACGGGTCGGCGCAGTTGCCAGTCTTGACTTCAGCTACGAATGCCTGGCATCGCTCTCGTTAGATATTTGGTCGTGGTTGCCATGGGAGCAGCGGAATACTTACGCCAGCGCCTGCAAGGAGGAAGAAGGAGGCTATCCCATCCAGAGCCAGAATAATTATCCCTTGCAGCGGTTCCAAGAAGATGGCACCAAGACCAGCGGCGGCGATGAGCAATCCTGCACCACCGCAGAATGCACCGTAGTCGAGCAATGAGGGTGCATGGCCAGGGCCATATCCATTGATGAGGACAACCGAAAGAGCCAGTACGACTGCCCCGATTAGGAGCTATGAAAGCTTACAGTCAGTATTTGGCGTGATGGATTCTTTCGTGTGAAATTTAAGGGTTTTCTTACTTGAGCAACACGAGCAATCAATGTGATAATCATAGTGAAGAGCTATAAGATCTTTCTGTGTATATGTGATATTGTGAAGAGGATTTGGTCTTTCCGTTGTCAGTTGTATTATGTTTGCGAGTGTGAACAAATGGGAGCCTACTCATATATAAACACAACAGCGAAGAGAAGGTCCGTGACTCAATATTGGCCAGGAATAGTACACAATCCAATTTCCAGGCTGTGACCTGACCGTGATACCCCAAATCACCAACTGTGCCTCTTCATGTACTAAAGCAACCAACATTTGACCGACAGCGAGCCACTCAGAAGAGCGTAAACACCCCAGCAAAAGAGGTGCAATTAGCAAACACAGCCCAGGCCGACACCGAGTAGGATTGCGGCACAGCGGGTTTACTGTTTCATGACTTCGTGAAAGCTCACGAGCCCTGCGGCCAGAGCATACTATCTCTGGAGCCATTGCTGCAGGAAGTGGTTTCTATTGGCGCCCTGCATGACTTTGCGGGAATACATATAGGTAACCGCACACTGCTGCCTCACAGCTGCCAATCATTCTGGGAGCAAACTGACTCAACAGGAACAGGTAGGTAGGTGCCTTGGCAGGGCCGAGGAAAGATAAACCAAAAACCAACAAGCATATGATTTGCAGACATAGTACCACAAGCTCCTGGGGGCTTGACCACAAGCAACTTGCTTGGATGACTGGTAGAAGGTCTTGACATGAGATGGACATGTTGCAATGTTGGTGATAGATCTTGGAACAATTCGGCCTTCAGGAGACGCTTGGGCCGATCCTCCGTGCCCGCAGCCTTTGGGGGCTAGGGCTGACCGGAGGCTGGTGAGGTCTGGGCCATGCGCACAGCCTCTATTTGCTGTAAATACCCAAATTTCCGCCCGTGAGGTCGAATCAGGGATCGCCTCGTATTAAAATAGCTTCTTGGGGAAATCTGTGCGGCATACCAGGGCGCTGAAAACGCGAGGAAACGTGGCGATTTTGATCCAACCATTTTCTAAAGGGGTAAAAGCCCAGCGAATCATTGGAGCCGCACCCAGTCGAGCCGAGTTTCGGATATTTGCTCTGTGTAACCTGGTGAACCTTAATCCGAGGCACAACGGACGATAGCAGATTGTACAACTCTCTGGAACATGCTTCCTCGATGAGCAGCGACACGGTCGACTCCTCGCAGTCGCAAGCAATCGAAGATGAGATCGTCGAGCTCGAGGGGCGTCTCGAGAAGGCCAAAGCCAGGTTGAACAAAGCCCAAGTCAACCAAGGACCCTCGATCCCACCAGCAAAGATACCAAGCAGTGATGGTATATAGGGCTTCACATTTATTCAGATCCTTGCTGACCTTGACAGTGCCTCTGACTTCACCAACTCATCACTTCCTCCTCCTGCTCTCAGACTCCGCCCTCCCACTCGGCTCCTTCGCATTCAGCAGCGGTCTCGAATCGTACCTCGCGCACACCCGTCCCAAGTCCTCCTTCCCCACATTCTTGAACTTCTCCCTTTCCTCCTATGCCTCGACAACCCTACCATTCGTTCTCGCTGCCCACCGGCACCCGATTGATCTCCTAGAGCTAGACGATGCCCTCGATGCGGCAATTATGTGCACGGTAGGCCGGCGGGCATCCGTGGCGCAAGGCAGAGCTCTGCTCTCGATATGGGATCGATCATTCAAGTCCGCTCTACCTGCTGGAGCGTCTACAGCTGCTGTTGAAGCTCTGAAGGAGTTCACCGTCCTCTTGCGTGCCACGTCCTCGAATATCACTACCCATTTGCCGACTGCCTCTGCTCATCTAGGACCGCTGTTTGGAGCCATTGCGGTGATCTTGGGGATGAGTCTTCGGCAAACTGCATATGTGTTCATGCTCAGCCATGTGAAGGCTTTGTTGTCGGCTGCTGTAAGAGCGAGTATGTTCGGGCCGTATCATGCGCAGAAAATGCTTGCGAGTGTTGAGGTCCAGGAAGGAATCCAGAAAGTTATCCAGCAGGAGTGGGAGACTAAAATTGAGGATGCGGGTCAGAGTGTGCCGGTGATGGATTTATGGATTGGGAGGCACGAGATGTTGTATTCTAGGATATTTAATAGCTGAAGTGGATGCCTCGCTTCCCCTTTAAAGGCGATCAAATGACACATGAATCTGCAAAATGTGTAAAGCCTTGGATTTTCTGATTTACGCCCCAACTTGAGATTCCATTTTGACTCTATATGCTTACAATCAATCACTGTCGCTATCGTACGCAACCAAAGGTCCCGAAGGTGCTTTCGTCTTCGACCTTGGTGCAACTGAAGCTTGGGCTCCTTTCAATGCCGCAAGAGTACTGCTTGAGAATATGCCAGTCTCCTCTGCCTCTTCCTTCTCCACCTGATCAGCCTCAATCATCAACCTTTGCTCTTCCTCCAGCGTCAAGCCCTGTCTACCAACTGGATTGACCGCGTTAACTCCTCTCGCAAAGTAGATATCATCAGGGGCTTCGTATTCTGCTAAGCCGAATCCACCTTCAATCCTCTTTCGTTTCCGTGCTTCTAGATCACGTCCTTCAATCTCAGCCACGAACTCTGCTGGTAGTGCCCTCCGTACAGCCTCAGCTGCTTGTTCTTCAATTCTTCGTACTTCTCGCTTCTGAGCCATTGGGTTGGGGTCGGCGGTAGCCCATCGAACGTTCAGAATCTCGCTATGATCCAGGGATTGATGTGCCATTGCTTCCTTGGCAAATTGTGCGTTGGCTTCATTAGAATATGTGATAAACGCAACACCCCGAGTGTTGAGCACACGTACTGATTCATATTAGCAATTATTCCATAAACAAATGAACAGGAAAGGGCGTACTTCGTTCAACCTGACCCCATTCTGCGAAATGTCTAGCAACCACTTCCTCGATGTCATCACTAACGTGTATCCTTCCCACGTATATCGTGCGATTCTGTCTCATAAAGCTTCCCACACCACCCATATCGTCTCTATAATCGGAGTGCTTGTCTCTGCCAAAAACGTCCACATTCGGGTTGAACATATCATGAATGCCTGGTAATCTGTGCAGATACTCGCACTCCTGTCCCTTTGGACATATCCCCCTCGCAAAGAAGAGGCAGAAATAGCTTCCAGGCACTTTGTCGGCCTTCGTATACCCCGTGTCCTTCGCAATGTTGCAGCGGCCCGCAGCAGCAGTCTTCGATAAGTACTTGTCCTCCCGATCGCCGCCAGACCACTTGTTATACCAGATGTTGAAAATCGTACCAGTCTGAGGAGGAGGTTCGGATTTCATGGTCGAGGGGTCGACTTGAGGTCGCGCTGCGCGCTTCTTCTTCCTGATGATCTTCTTCACTTTTCTCTCTGATGGCGCCGACACCTCGTTGCTCGTCGTTGTCAGGGCTGTGGAGGCTTCCTCGCCTCCCATATCCTGAGGCGCCATCGTAGGAGGTGTAGCTGTCTCGACGTCGGCCATTTTGCTGGGTGTCGCAAGGATAGTCGTTGCGTGAGGTTTGGGTTCAAAAGTTTGGTAAGGCTGAGGCTTTCACGAGCCACTTCAGCGCTAAAATTTAGCGTGCTTTTCAGCCACAGGTACTTTGACGACTTGCTCTTGACTTCCTTCTCTCGTGGAGAACAAGAAAAGCAGTACTGACTTCTCAATGTCTCAAATCAGATTGGATCATCTCAGATACTCTCCTGCGAATGTTGTCTCGAGTTAGAGTGCATTAAAAGTCTCCCTCTTCAACACCTTGCGAAATCCTGTAATGTTGTTCGCCCACCCCCTTCGTGCAGATCAATGTCCAACTTTCACCGGGGCATTGAAAATGGTTGCCGGCTTCTCTGTTCGCTGCAAGATCCTCTGTTTATAGCTTCAAGCGCTTCAACCAGTTGAATCAGCAGTGCTGTGCCAGACCGGTGCTCATTGGATATCTAGATGATTTTGATAGTACATCTTTCGTGGCCAGTGTCTTTGCCAATGCATCTCCTCACATAATCTATCCTCTTTACATCTGGTGGCAATGTCTTCGTCGGTTTGTTCTAGTTTTGTACTTGCTCATTCGATCTAAAATGTGGGTCGACGGTCCCGATTCTGTTGTACTCTCCAAAGCTTCGTCCTGTCTGCTCAAGAAGCAAACCCCCAATGATAATCTAAGAATTTTTGGGACTGGAAAGTTTATATCCGTATGTGTATCTTCCATCGATCGTGCTCCCAATACTAGTGTGTAGTGGCAAGAGATATTTCATACCCCTTTCCATGGCATCACGGTGATCAAAAGCTGGCGTAGTCTCTGGTGTGGCGATACCGAGAAGCATTTGGATATTCATCTGGATGAAGTGAGGTTACCGGAATAAGGACTTCACATTCGATGTTCAAAGCCACCTCACCGACAGAGTCGAAGGGAGCTTTGCCCGACGGCAAGCCTTCTACACCCAAAACGAATGCATGTTATGTGATATCTGTGATGAGGCAGTCCTCCTATAGTTCCGGCATCATAACCATGCTATCGACGGATGCCCATGACCACGGAGGTGCCAAGTCAAGAAGAGCTTTTCTTTGCCTTGGCTTCTCATGTTGATACACCGTAGTTGTTGCACTCCACAAAAGATACCAAGCAAGCGTCTCCAACCAAAGTCCAGCAAGATAGGTTGTTTTGTCTCCTTCTGGACCTTTGGGGCGAGTCCTGCGAGTGCTAGTAGTTTGTCCTTGTCAAAAGTCAATTTCCGCGAACTGTAGTTTTGGCTCTAGAGGCCCAACTCAAAGTCCACTCTTTTATTGATCCCCACGAGTAGTCTCGGGGCAAGCTTTCACAGGTTCCGTGCTCGCGGTACCCCCAGACCATCTGAGTGGGGCCGAAATGTAATGTTCGCCGGGCTAGCATGTGCTCTTGCAGGACCCATGCCCTAGTTGAAAGCGGAGTATTTTCAATGCATTGCTTGTAGATGCCGCCACCTAATAAAGTATTCTCTGTTGGTTCACCCTTTCGTTTCATTTCGGCCCGCTGAATCCAACGTCTCTGGGTTCCTCGTGAAGACGCGGTCTCCATTTCCGTCCACAGCACTCGATGCTGCTATTGAGACTGTGTAGCAGCTGTAAGCTTCGCACATCACACCGGCCTCGACTCTCCAGTCTTCACTGTCATTTTGGGTGATGAATGAGGAGTCGATTCAGAAATCCAGCCCCAACGCTTTCGTAATTTCAATTGCATCACAAAAGGTCTTGCGCAGTGCTACGTGTGGAATTTCTCTTTGAAATAGAACCAGATTCTCTACGGAGGACGCGGCCAAAAGTCTTGCAACTGTCAGGGTTTGACGCCGCACTCGCTTAAATTGCAAGGGCGTTGCACGGCAACCAGAGGCCGCCATAATTACAGGGCCTTACAGGCTTGTCATGCTTAAATAACAGCACTCAAGCCCTGTAAACATTACTAATAGCGATGTTCCTTCAGGCAACTGAGGCCCTAAGCACCGTTGCTATGCCAGAGCTGTGTGGTGTTCTTAGGCTTGGAGCCCACCCCTGCCAGTTGCAAGACTTATGACCGCGTCCTCCGTATGGTGAAACGAATGAGATTATCCAAGGAACCCCAGCAGTGGCTCAGGCAGAGTATCTCGCGAATTTCAAGCCTGGTGAAGCTAACGACAAGTAGAGACGAGGCGTTGCATCATCAACAAACAGTAAACGGGTCGGGAGTAATGAATTTCTCCCAGAACGAGAGTTATTGCAAGAGTTATGGTTGGCCATACAACCGGAAACCACAATTTAGCAAGAGGCAGCGATTCCGAAGCATGTCGTGGTATATCGGGAGAGGACAAGGGCAAGCTATGGGCGAAAGAGTTTCGTCGGAATTGATCCCCATCCGAAAAGGCGGTCCAGCCTCCAGTGCGTGTGTCGGTATTAAGTCGAGATTATCCCCCTGTGGCTTTTCTCGGCTCATTTTCTTTGAACACAACTTAATTTGCCACCGATGAAGACGAAGAAATATTCAGAAATAGGCTCATTTCGGGTTCCGGTAAATCTCCAGACTTCCAAGTAGCATCCTACAAGTCTCACATCCAGTTTTCACTGATTCTGTGAGAGATAGGAGGGTATCATGGGCGAAGTTGAGTACTGTAGGCTTCTCCCCCCCGCCCATGTGGTGAACGACGATCTATCCTCGCCATACATGAGGTTCCCGAATGGATCAACTAATCTTCCTCCTTCATAATCAGGGCCTATAGTGCAGCTAATGCAAATAGCTCCTGACCGGCCATGCAACTCCCCGCCGCTCTATTGCGACCTTCGACCAGCCGGATAATTTCTAGGTCGAGCAGCGAGTTATCGAAAAACACATTGCTGTTTGTAACAGAGCCTTGTTCAGAGATTTTTGACACGGCTTCATCATGGCTATCTTCTCCCTCGTCGATTTCTTTGTCGATACTGTGATGGCCTTCTCCGACATCTGGCTTTTCCACGACTGCTGTTCTCTCCGAAGCCGGATTTCAAATCCCTCTCTTATCTCCTGTCAAGCTTCCCGTCTCTTCTGTATCGATTTGGCTTCGCTCGTTACTACTTGCTTCGACAACCTCACCAGGCCCGCTAGGATGAGTTTGACGATTGAGATCCTCAATTTGCTTTCTTATTATTGAAGTAACAATACCTTCGTTAAATTTGTTGACCATGATTTTGCTTTGCCTTTTTGCTTCGAATACAAGATGTAAAGTTGGAGTGTGGGATTTGAGGAGAGAGGACCTGAGGTGAGGTGGAATGGCAGTGCTCATATGGGGAGCGTTTCGCACCTCACATAAAAGTCAGGTTTACGGTTAGTCCGAAGATTTTGCCAGTGCGTAATGATTGGCGGAGATTTTACACCTACAACGACAAAGAAGACGAAAGGGTCGAGGAGCTGGGGAGAAACATCCAAGGGGTCGTGTTGAGGAAATAGGGCTTCGTGGCCGTGAACTGACAGTCTGAGTTGTAAGATTACTTGTTCCTTAGTGACAATCGCACAGTGATACTAGTGAATTGCATCTTCGCTTCTCATATGTCATACTTAACCTTGATCAGCTACTATCCCACCTCAAGTTTGAGAATAAGTATGCATTCGAATTAGAGTGCCTTCAAACATCTAAATCAAGCCAGAACATTCAGATCTGATGTACCCGTTGGTAAAGCACACTTTGCCACCACTGAACAGCTACTTGGCTCCTCAATTTTGTGAACAATTGGTTGTCCGAGCATTTCCGAACATCCAAGCCTGGCCAGAATATTTAAATCTAATGCACTAGTAGCCATGGTAGACCCTGACCGTGGCCTATGAGCCGATCTGGTTTTGAAAGTTGAAAAGGGGGTTTACATGCTGGGAACATTGTTCAGTAACGGTTCTGTACTTTGCACTTGCTGGGGATTGTGGTTCGAACTGAGCAGACTCGAGAGACAGATGCCGAGAAGGAGGTTGAGATAGATTTGAGGTCTTTTATTTCAGATTTTAATGTGTTATCAGCAGAGGCTGCTGATCAATGGCCAGTGCAATATGGCCCTCCTAACGCCGTCGCTAATGCATTCGCTTTGCAGATGCCTCCAAACCATGCTCCATGAAAATGCATCAATTGTAACCACTAAGCTCCCGCTTTCCCCCAAAGATCACTTAAACTCGTCCTTTAAGACCCATCGTCCCCTCATTCTCGAATTCGCTCCCTTCTCAAGCCTAGCAATCTCACCAAGCATATGCTTAAACTCAGCCGTCTGCTGCGGACTCTTGCACATACGATCAAAATGATTGACCAATGCTTGGCTAGGAACTGAGCCACCCTGCCGCTTAATGAAATCCCTAATCAGCTTCATGAAGTCCTTGCCTCGAGGAGTTCTATCCGCAGAACCAGGTGTACCCGACCTCGAGGAACTAGCACTCGCAGGAGTTGAGATGCCCTGACGATTGGCGAGATTGGATAGGATACCAGCAGAGCTCGGTCCTGCACCACGACGAATGTTAATAGGGCGTCCAGCGGAGCCGAATTCGCCAGTCCAAGTCACGGTTCCGGGCTCGAGAGTTCGCGCGGCCTCGCCTGCTTTGCGTAGCTCAGCTGCTGCTTCTGCGGCGATCTTCTTGGCTTCTCGTTCGAGAATGCCGCGGTCTGCGGTGATTTTTTTCTTGCCGTTAATAATTTCGTCGTGCTCGAGAGCGCTGTGGACACCGGAGCAGGCGAAGATGCCTTCCACGAGACGGGCCTCATCCGAAGCGGGTTTCTCCTCGGCTGGGTCGCCGCGGAAAGTTTCGAGACTTGCTACGCCGGTGAGATTGCGGACTTCGGTGTCTGCGTCGCCTTGTGGAGAGTCGGCTTGAGTGATATCTTGAGAAACAACATCGTCATGGACACCAGCTGCCGAGCCGGCTGTTCTGACTGCGATGTCGTCTTTGAGAGCAGCAGGTTTAGGTGTCTTGTTGAATTGCACTTCCGTGCCCTTAAACATTTCACCAGTTTCCGTAGTGCCGTCTTCGCTACCACCAAGAGTGAAAAGGTCGTACAGATCCTTCATTTGGAAGGTTTGGCGCTGCTTTGGGTCTTTCAGGATCTTGTTCGTCAAGAACTGCTTGAAGATCTGACGATGATATATCTTCTCTTCGATAGTGCCCGCAGTCATCAGTCGATAGATAGTGACTTCCTTCTTCTGACCAAGACGCCACGCACGTTCCCGCGCTTGAACATCAGTTGAAGGATTCCAATCTGGATCGAAAATGATGACGCGATTGGCACCAGTGAGATTGACACCAAGACCTCCAACCTTGGTGGTCAGCAAGAATACGTGAAGATCAGGATCATTGTTGAAGCGATCAACCAGGTTCTGTCTGTCCTTGATGTTCGTCCCACCATCCATACGAAGATAGTTGAATCCGTCGAGGCTTTTGATGAAGCCTTCAATGATGTTGAGCATCTGAACTCCTTGAGAGAAAAGCAAGGTTTTGTGCCCGAATCGCTTCCACATTTCCAGCAGGGCCTTCACAACTTGCATCTTTCCTGACTTATTCGGACTCCCCCACTTGTAGCCAGGCTTGCCTCGAAGTAGAGGATCTAACAGATCTGGGTGATTGCAAATTTTGCGCAGAACATCAATACCGTACAGAGACTGCCGAGTGTGATTCATAATTGAAGTCATCTCGTCAGAGGCCAAGAACATCTCATAAGCATCTCTCTGAGGCTTGGTGAGCTTGCAGAACAACACCTGCTCGCTCTTCTTTGGCAAGTCTGCAGCAACGTCGACCTTCAGACGCTGCAGCAGATACGGACTGATGGCGGCTTTCAGCGTCTCTGCGCACTTGGTCGCAGTCAGGACCTGCAAATTGGTTGCATTCGCATAACCACCCAGTTTGATAGGGACCTCAAATGATTGTCGGAAATTGACCAAAGTGCCGAGTCGCATAGGGAAAACGAAGTCGAACAATGACCAAAGCTCAATCAGGTTGTTCTGCATAGGGGTTCCAGAGAGAATGACTCGGTTGGCGGTTCGCAACTCCTTGCAGTAGATGGTGATAGCTGTGTTAGGATTTCGAATCTTGTGGCCTTCATCGAGTACAGCATAGTCCCAATCAACTGGAATGAGCGCGTCTGAGTAGGTCTGAAGACCAGCATAAGTTGTGACTAGCACATGCCCATGTTGCACAACCCTATCAACAATCTTCTTGGCTGCTTTCGATGACGATTTTGACTTCCTCTCAACGAAACCATACATGTCTTCAACTTCTTCCATTCGACCTTCGCTGCCAAGGTTCATCATGCCGCTGCCTGAACTGTGGAGAATCGAGACTCGCAGAGGTGGCCACCATCGATGAAACTCGTTGACCCACTGTCGGAGAACGGTAGCTGGAGCCACAACAATAATAGGCTTAGTGAGCTTTTTACTGTAGTGCAGACCGGCCAAGAATGAGATGATTTGAATGGTCTTTCCAAGTCCCATTTCATCACCAACAATGCCACCAACCTGCTGAGAATAAAGCTCACCAAGCCACTGAACTCCTGTCTTTTGGTAGTCGAACAATGCTGGATAGATGTCTCCAGGAAGCTTGATGTCGTTATCAAATTGGTGATCTGGTGCATCAGGACAAGGTTTGAACCATTCCTCTTCATCCGCATTTTCCGCAGCATGCTCTTCCTCGGTCGCTTCATTTTGCTCCAATTTGCGGCGCCGAGCTGCGCTTCTCTTCTCAACCCATCTCTTTAGTCGGGTCTGGTACATTTGCTCATTGCCATCATCAATGCCGGTCAGGTCAATCTTCTCCTCAACTTTTGTATTTCCTGCGGCTCTCTTCTTTGACGTTTTAGAAGTCATCAACTCATCATCCTGGTCTTCAAATTCATCAACTTCTTCCTCGCTAAGCACAGGAGTGAAGGCGTCCTCATCAGGAGTTTGAAATCTTGAAGTTGAGGAGGAAGAAGCACCTTCTAATTTTCTCTTCTTCCGAGGACGCAAGGAGAATTCACTCTCTGATGTGCTGATTCCGCTCTCCGATATATCTGCAAAGCCTGGTAACCGCAGGTTTTGGTGAGATCTGGGTTCCGCCTCATCTGTAATTTGCTCTCCTTCCTGCTCCGCCTCTTCCTCAGCATCCATAAGTACTTCTATAAGATCGCCATTCAGTCCGTCAGCTCCTCTGCCAGGCATTCGAGAAAATGGAGTAATTTTGCCGGTACGAATCAGGAAGTCTCGTTGGCTTTCATTCGGCATTCTCTTATTGCCACCAGGACCGTCACCCTCCCCATTCTCCGCTCCATCGTATTGATGTCTTTCATCTATTCGGCTTTGAATATCGGTGATGTCTCGCTTTAAGGCTGCAATATCTGCATCGATTCGTTGAATCTCGTCCAAGCATCGCTTGCGCATTAGAGGATTGTTTGTGAGGGTATCCAGTCGATGTCTCTGGGTCCGCTTTTGGTTTTCAAGCTTGTCGATAGTGACCGTTACCTTATCAATTCGCTTCTGATCTCGCTCATCTTCTTGTTCAATCATAACCATATTCGCTTGGTTCGTGATGTCTCGCTCTAGATCATCTTGATCTCGGACATTTTTTGTCAAACCCAAGAGAGCTGTTGCTTCGTCGGTCGCCATTGCGCCATCACTTTTTACACTATCCTCGAGAGCCTCGTCTGCAACTGCTGCTGCAGCCTCAGCAATTGTGTCCATGGGCTGTCGGTGGAGATGGGTCGGGTAGTTGTTCGGATCGGATGGAGGACTGGCGTCGGACTTGGTGGCCGTCGAAGAATCATTCGAAGACTTCATCTTGACAGACGGAGCAAGGAGTTAGATGGGGCGATGCGAGCATCTGCACAGATGAAGTGGTGTTGGTATGACCGATCGATTGATCGAGTAAGGGAATGCCTGTCCACTTGTTGTCTGGAAGGCAAAGGCGAGCCGGTGGCTGGGCAGAATATCTGAATGGAGAATGACAGAAAGAAATGCCTGGCTAGCAGAAATAAACAAAGAGAAAGACTGAGTGCTTGTTGATCTAATGCTCGAGCGAATGTGCTCTCCGGCCGACAATTGTCGGAAGGCTGTGAAGAAGGGAAATATTTTTGCCTTGAAGAAGACTGAACGCGGTTGTCGATGCGTCATTCGGCCTCGCTGCAGGTAAGCAAGCCCCTGATTGGCTAGAAGGGTTCACCCACCAACCGCCCAAACCCCCATTCCGCCCAACCAAAAAATCATCGCTTTTCATCATCAATTGCAACACAACCAATTAATGAATTTTGTTGATTTCAGCGCCATTTTAATCGCATTTAGTCCCTCTTCAAATCTGCCACCATGCCTGTCAAGAAGAAACCGATTGTCGACTACCCTGACGACCCTGACGAGATACCGTACCACGAACGCTTGGAAATGGCTTGGGAGGCCTATATTGACTCGAATGGGAAGCTATCGATACGAAAAGCAGCTGAATACCATGGGGTTAAATGGGAGACTCTGCGAGATCGAATCAATGGCAATATAATATACAAACAAGCGGCAGAATCACAGCAGCGCTTGACTCCGATGGAAGAGCGAATAATTGAGCGGCATATTATGTAACTTGAGGTTTGGGGATGGCCTCCAATGGTTTCCCAGGTTCAGAAAATGGCAAAGGAGCTTTTAATTGCGAAGGGGGATCTACGGAAGGTTGGAATTAATTGGATACAGAAATATCTTAGACGCCATCCACAGCTCAAGGCTCGATTCGTTGTACCATTGGATAAAGATCGAGTTATCTCAGAGGATCCAGATCAAATTTAACGCTTTTTTGAGCTTTTCCAAACCACAAAAGACAAATACGATATTTACGATAATGATATATATAATATGGACGAGAAGGGTATTATGATGGGGGTATTAGCGAAGCTCAAAGTTATCTGTTCCAGGAAGTACAAAAAAACAAGGACAACACAATAAGGGAGCAGAGAATGGATATCGTTAATTGAGTGTATATCTTCAAATGGAAGAGTACTCTCTCCGTATATTATCTTCAAGGCCAAGCAGCTTAACAAGGCTTGGTATGACGAATTCAGGAAGGACGGAGGGGGAACTTGTGCTATTTCTGATCGAGGTTGGACGGACGATGAGCTTTGCCTTGAATGGTTTAAAATCGTCTTTGAACCGGAAACTGCGAAGATCAAAAAAGGAGAGTATCGAATGCTACTTTTTGATGGCCATGGATCTCACTTGATACGTCAAGTAGTCTCTTACTACTTGGAAAAGAAGATTATCTTACTTTGCCTTCCTAGCCATTCTACGCATATCCTTCAACTATGCGATATTGGTGTTTTTGGACCACTTGCGGACGCCTATTATAAGATTCTCACGGAAAAGACTCGATGGGGAGCTGGATATTCTATTAATAAACTCATGTTTTTGGAGATCCTTCGTGAGGCACGAATTCAAGCCTTTACTGAGTGCAATATTAAGAGATCTTGGGAGAAGACAGGGCTCTTTCCATTTAATCCTGAAGTCGTAATTGGCTTACTTCCAGTAATTATTCTATAGCGAGAGGAGGAGGCAGCTAAAGCAAAGGCACTTCCAAAACCTCCTAGTCGACCAACTATATCTGGACAACCAGCTCCCTTGATTATCGAAACTCCTGTCAATATTGATGCCGTTAAAGTCGTCGTCGAAGTATCCTTCAAGTCTAGCTTCGATAGCCTCAAAAGTACGCTTGGAATGGTCAATTCATTACAAGATCAATAGCTAAAAAATCTAGAGATTGTGGTTCAAAAGCTTAGCAATTCCGCTACTGCCGCAATCGCAGAGATAGTCCTTACCAAAGGAGTCAATAAAGAGCTTGTCGAATCGTCCGATTATCAAAAGAATCGCAAGAAGGCTTCCGCAAAAGCCGAAAACAAGATCACCGATACAAGAGTCTTGAGCTTGGAAATGATGGATGAGGCGATACGAATCAAAGCGAAGCAAAAGAAGGTGAAGGCGGAGGAGCTTGCAAAGCAAAAGAGACTCAAGGCTATTTCAAAGCAGTGGAAAAGCCTCTATAATCAAACCTTGGTTGAATTCAGGAAATGGGGCCCTGAAATGCTTCAGGAGGTTAAAGATGATATGGATCTTGGGCATCGACTATTAATGGGAACAAGTTTATCAAAAGCTTCAAAAACACCAAGACGCCGTACGAAGAAAGCGCCGCTAGCGAGCCCTCTAATCGAGTATATCCTCCCTCATATCGAGTTCAACGATCTCCCTGCTCCTCCTGCAAAAGCACGATCAACTGGTCTCCTCCCTCTTATACCTACGACTTCTCCATCTGCCCCCTCTCCATCGAAACGAAGATCTCCAGTAAAGCAATCGGTAAGACGAAGAACAAGGAGGGCAAAGGAGGCAATTGATGAGGCAATTGAACCTCCAGAGACTCTTACAATTGGTGGACGAAGAAGTAAAAGGAGGCTGTTCTACGATGAAATGCTTGTAAAGGGTCTAGCCAATCAGAAGGCACAGATATAGCATAAATGAAATGGCCATTTTTGAGCTTTTCGTAAACCGAAATTCGATTCTACGTAATATCCCTGGGAAAGACACTTTAGTTCTACGTAGCAAGTATAAGGTACCTGGATTTGGGCTTGTTTCCCCGCTAAATGTAAGTCACTAATTCTCCCCTGCAGGACTACACTCGCACAAACTACCTTATTTATGATTCTATTAATACTAATAGCTTTAGAAGGTATTAGGAAACTAATTTCGGTATTAAAGATCAAGTTTTAATAGGAGTTTTAATAGTTATTAAGGAAGAATAAAAAATCGCGATTTTTTGGTTGGGCGGAATGGGGGTTTGGGCGGTTGGTGGGTGAACCCTTCTAGCAATCTAGCGGCAGCCTCACCTGTGGCACGATTTCACGTGCATCAACCTCCGATCTCTTCAACTCGATACTACGAGTTTAGGAATTTCTTAACTATTGGGTTTAAAGTTGTATTTCAATGTAGTACCTCAAAACTGCTGTTTTCCCCAACTTCAATCAAAAACATGCTAATTCCAGCCTAATTAACAGTCTTCAAATCGTCTCATCACCCCGGAAACCGACTGCTTCGTGGATGTCATAGGAGCTTCTCGGAATAGAATGTAGGATACAATGGGTTATCAAGTTTCAGAAGGGACAGCTTGCTCTAACTTCGTGCATTCAGTATCGGGGCTGAAGGATTTATTTTCCATTTGTTCACTTGATATAATCTGAAGACCAGCCACTTTGATGGACAAGTCTGTTCCTCTAAACAATTGCAGTTGTTGGTCTTTGAATTATTTTTGGTCACGTGACCATGTCTCCCTACAAATACTCCCCGTATGCCTCTAACGTCCTTTTCTCGTCTAGTACAATAAATGTGGGGGAAACAACTGGACTGATTAGGGATGTAAAGGACCCTTTCTTTAAATATATTGCTGCCGCTGCAGATTGAACCGTGATGGGGGAAACTCATGCAGGATTCTCCACTGGCCAATCATTAAGCTCCTAAAGAAAACTCAGAGTACATCAGAAAACATACCCGCCTTCACGCTGGGCAAGAAAAGCGGTAGTAGTTGAACTCTCGAGGTCCCAGGTCGAAGCTGGATATTGATCTGAGCTAGAAGGGTTCATATTTTCTATATTTCAGAATCTCAGAGATAGCAAGATGGGAATACTTCAAATGTGCTGTAACTCGATGGGACCATTCCCATTGTCTGAAATGATCCAGCTTGACTTGGGACATTATCAATTCAGTGCCGTTTTTTTTTGTCCACCACGAGCCGCCGTCTGAACCCACCCCTCCTTGGAGGTGATGGGAATGCTAGAGATTGGAAGACTGTGGGTGAGACGGTTTGTCGTGGAGAGACACTGCGAGGCATTTTATTTTGAAATTGCTTCTGATTCATTAGGCTGGCTCTCATGATAGTCCCTTGGGCCGGAAATTAGAAAGGTATCACGTCGATTCATGCCGTGGAGAGCAGCTGAAGCCTGAAACTTATACTTGGGCAGGTCGTATCGATCCTGGCCACGCAGCCCGCATGACAGGCGACGTGGGAAGCGCCAAATCAGATCCAAATAGACGCGCCTCCAACATTCTGATTTGTACTTATGTGCCCAATCCCGTGACCGAGCATTGAAGTCTTCCTCGCCTCATTCCACTGCTCATTCTCGTGCAGCTTGTTGGCACTTATTTCGACCTATATTGTGTTCTGTGGCCATTTGCTGCGCTCTTTTGCTGGGCAAAACTTACTGCCAGTGAAAGCGAGTCGTTGGCTGTGATTCATCACCGCGCTAAATTGTTGGTGGACCATCAAGCTCCTTCACGACCTCCAAAACCTCATCTCTAAGTCAACCCGGCCTATCACCCAACCATGCATCGTTGACACGCAACTGGATCTCCACCGGCTGCATCTGCCTCTGCTGCGAGGCTTCTCATTCTGTTGCGACGCGTCCGAGACTCACTGGTGGTTTGGAACGACCTCTGTACCAGCACAACCCTTGTGCTTCCCTAGCTTTGCACCCAGCAGCCGGGCTTGTGAAGCTACTCGCCCTGCCCCAAAGACGCCTTCGCACACTCTGATTCACTATGGATCAATGGCAGCAACCCTACTCTGACTCCGCCGGGTCCTCTCGAAGATACAGCGGCAATCCCCCGCCAGGCCAGCCTCACGGCGCGCGAGAATACAACGGCAATACCCAAGCACAGCCTCCAGCGGGCTTTACCTACGAGCAATATCAAGGTGGAATCGGACCCCATTCACACTCACTCGCAGCTTCTCCGACCGCAACACCACACGCGAGAGATGGGAATGGGGATGTAGCTATGCAAGACGCTGGAGATCCTTACAGCGGTATGAAATATCCGATGCGGCCTCATCACCAACAGCACCTCTCGGGAAGCCGAATACCCTCCCATCATTCGCCTCCAGAGCTGTCTGCCGCAGCTCAAAGATACTCGCCGATGGAGACTTTATCCCCTGGCTCACCATATGGTACACCGCAACAAGGCCAATATGGCTCACGTCAGTCTCCAACGAGACCGGGAAATTATACATCGCCCAATTCATACTATGCCAATCGCCCTCAAAATCAGCAATTGCCTCCTATCACCCCATATTCTTCGAACCATGAAGGTTTCCCTAGCTCTGCAACAGCACAGTTAAACGCCGTGTTCGGCAATGACCCGAAGTCCCCTCGTCGGCCGGTCCCGCAATCAACAGGTCCTCCAGGCAGAGGTCCGGTTCCAGAATTTACGAAGATAAGATCTATGACAGATTTACATCCAAAGGTCAATGCCCAGCCAGCATTTCGAAGAGCGAACCCTGAAGGCGGCTTTATCAGTGTAAGTTGAGGCGGGAAGCTCACAATACAGCCGCTGACCTTGAACACTAGCCGCTGCAAGCTCTCACGAGCCACTTACCTTCGACGTATCGCATTTGCAATCCTAGCTTCCAATACGAGTCCTCTCGAAACCCTCGCCGAGTCCTCACAAAGCCGAGCAAGGGTGTGAAGAATGATGGATTTGACAATGAGGATAGTGACTATATACTTTATGTTAATGACATTCTCGGGTCTGAGGAGACTGGTCATAAGTATGTCTCGAGGTTAACGCATCCGGAACTCTTAAGATGGTGAATGCTAACACTTGCCAGGAATCGGTATCTCATCCTCGATGTTCTTGGACAAGGAACTTTTGGTCAAGTGGTGAAGTGTCAGAACTTGAAGACGCAGGAAGTTGTTGCGGTGAAGGTCGTCAAGAATCGGACGGCATACTTCAACCAGAGCATGATGGAAGTTTCAGTTCTTGATCTGGTAAGACTGTCTTTGTAGTCTATTTCTTGAATCTGCTAACTCTCTTCTAGCTAAATACGAAGCTGGACAAGAATGACGACCACCACCTCCTGCGACTGAAAGATACATTCATCCACCGACAACATCTTTGCTTAGTGTTCGAACTGCTGAGCGTCAATCTCTACGAATTGATCAAACAGAATCAATTCCGAGGGCTCAGCACAACTCTTGTCAGAGTCTTTGCTCAACAACTGCTGAATGGACTTAGCTTGCTGAACAAGGCTCGCCTTATCCATTGCGACCTAAAGCCAGAGAACATTTTGCTCAAGAACCTCGAAAGCCCGATCATCAAGATCATCGATTTTGGTTCTGCATGCGATGAAAGGCAGACTGTGTACACATATATCCAGTCCAGATTTTACCGGTCACCGGAGGTCCTACTTGGCCTTCCATACTCCTCAGCTATCGATATGTGGTCATTGGGTTGCATTGTAGTGGAACTTTTCCTAGGACTTCCTCTCTTCCCTGGTTCGTCAGAATACAATCAGGTCTCGCGAATAGTTGAAATGCTCGGCAACCCCCCAAATTGGATGTTGGAGATGGGAAAACAAGCTGGAGAATTCTTCGAGAAAAGGCATGATGTGGACGACTATGGCAGGCGGACGTATCATTTAAAGAGCATGGAACAATACTCGCGGGAGCATGGTACGAAAGAGCAGCCCAGCAAGAAATACTTCCAAGCGACGACGCTTCCGGAGATAATTCGATCATACGCTATGCCAAGAAAGAATATGAAGCAGAGCGAAATCGATCGTGGTGAGTAGCTTTTCCGTGGATTGAATTCCATTACTAACTAGACTTTTAGAAATGAACAACCGGGTAGCCTTTATCGACTTCGTACGTGGACTGCTCAATATCAACCCGCTGGAGCGATGGTCGCCCCAGCAAGCGAAATTGCACCCTTTCATCACCCAACAGAAGTTCACCGGAGCCTTTGTACCTCCGATGAACCTCAAAACCAGCTCCGTCAACCGATCTCCCGCCCCAGGCACGCAGCAACAGCAGCAAGCTGAGGCATTGAGCAAGCAACGAGCACAAGCGGCCCAAGCTCAAGTTGCCCAGGCTCAAGCGCATACTGCTGCTCAAGTGCAAGCAGCACAGATGCCATATTCTCCTGGTGTGCCAACGGGTCAGTATCCACCGACTCAAACGCAGGCACCTCCATTGTACAACAACAACAACATGTATGCACCGACTTCGAACCACCAAGGTGCGCCCCCGCCATATCCTTCCCAACAACCCGGCCCATACAATCAAATGGGAATGATGGGGCAACCTCCAACGCAAATGCCACCTGCACAGTATGGACCTGGACCTCCCCAACCTCAGCAAAGTCTCTACGCCCAAGCCACAATGCGGTCTGGACGACAACGAGCTTCTACAATGGAAGTGCAACAGGGTGGAATTCCCGTAACCATTCAAAGAGTAGCCAGTCACCTCGATCCCAACCAACCGATCCGCCTTCAGCCAAGTCCGGCATACTATCCCCCACCTCCCGATGGAGTAGGTGATCCCGCAAGCTCGAGAAGGAGAGGCAGCAGAGCACAACCTGGAGGACAAGCCGGGCAGCGGAGTAACCGAGACTTCATCCGCAACCTAGAGGACCGAACTTTGGAGGAGGGATTCATGGGACAGAGCCAATGGCATTGAGCCCACTCTCTTTTACTCACCCTCCGCCTGCGCAGAAATGTAGGCATTGCATGCGACGTCAATTCTGTTCCTCTTGCCAAGCTGTCACATATCACGAGATCCTGATAATGGGTCACATCTAGCAGCATATCTTGTCAGCCTGGCTTTGCAAATTGAAGTTCCTTGAGATTTTGACAGTATGATGGGTGGATCGGATCGATGCTCAGATACCCTTCCCTTGATGGAGAATGATTCGACTAGTTACGAGCCAGACCCTAGAGGAGGAAATCAGACAAGCAAGAGAGACCTTTTTTTCCATTGATGCAGTTGCAGTTAGAGGATCTGGATATGTCTGTCTGGGCCAGTTACCATTACCATTCGTTCGTCAAGGGGTGGGATAAATTTGTCAGTGGGGTTCGTTTAGGCGTGCATGGCTGGTGGGATGGGTGGACTATATGCTGGGAAATCGACGCTTGGGCGGGACTGAGGGGATATTGCGGGAATGGGAACTTGGGAATCGATCATAAGGGTGGAGTTAAGACGTTCTTTTCTTCCATCGTGTAATTTACAGACAGATCATTGCATGGAGAATGGAGTGCTGAACCGCTTGGCTTTGGATCACACCCAATGCATTTCCCACCATTTCAGGAAGTTGATTACAAAGTGAAAAAGAAAGAAAAAAATTGTATTCTGTGCATCTACATAGTACAGCTATGGCTCCCTTTTCATTGCAAGAACGCCTGGCCATTCCCCTAAAATCAAATTGAAACGCCGGTATGCAGGTTGCTAGGAGTAGTGGTGTCGTTGAGGGCTGAGATCGGGCGTCGGCGTTCCCCCAATAGCAGGAGATTGGCCGATGATTGTTTACAGTAAACGTTAAGACGAGAGTGATGCTTCATCTGTAGCCACGGCCACGCTCGCCGCGTCCCCTGTCTCTGCTGTTTCCGCGACCTCGTCCTCGGTTGCCAATCATCGTGTCACTGTAGAGACCTCTTCCCCGTCCACCATCCTGCCTATCATCTGTATCCATACGATCCTCGTCGAAGCCATATGAGCCGTCGATCACATCATCCCTGCCATCAAAGTCTCGCCTCCGTGGTGGGGTACGGCCTGATCTTGAGCCATAGCCTGAGGGTGTATCATCTGATCGTTCGGTGATGGTATCGGCTCGTGGTCCAGTAGGGGTAACGGATCTTTCGGGAGGTGCTGCTTGAGCGGCGAGCAGTTTAGCGCGAGGGGGAACAGGGCCTGCTTTGTGGTAAACGTGGAGGATATTGCCATCGGCCTGGCAGGGAAATGTCAGAAAACTGTCTATGGGAAGGTCTACTCGACTCACATTCTGATTGTTGAATGTATCGACCACATTATCAGCGCCTTCCTTGCTTTCAAAGATAAGCTCCGCAATGACTTTTGGCCGCTCAGCAATCAGACGACAACCCAGGACTACCCCTCCAACTGGTGTCATCGCACTCTCGATATCTGCGGCTGTAGTTCCAACAGCGAGATTTTTTGCTATGACGATATAAGGTCCAGCAAGTCCGCGAATCGAAATTCCTGCCGTAGTCTTTGCGGATCCAACGATGTTAAACTGACTGTTGAGCGCAGGCGACGAAGCTGAGCCGTTCAGTGCAGTGTAGAGACGATCGTTGCGACTTCCGCGGCCAGCTTTCGGACCACGGGGTATTTGGGTGACTTTGTCTGCTGCTGGATTGTTCAGGGTGTGAAGATCGTGCGTCCATTCAGCATCGACATTGCCTGCGTTTGGCTTCGGGCTAGCCCTCGCTGGTCTGGCTGAGGAGGAAACAGTGCGCTGGAGGGTATCAGCGTCAATCCCGCAAGAGCTGTAGAAGCTCGATGTACCTTTGCAATGCCTCCGCCGATTCTGCTTGCAAGTGAGGGCGCTGCGCCTATCTGGCCGGTCTTGCGAGTGCTCGCAGCTGCAGCCCCTGGCGCGCTGGATCTGCGGTTTCTGCCAAAGATTTCCGCTGCGATGGCTTCATGCTTCCTACGCGCACGATCTAGAATGGTATCAGCGGCCGTGATGTGAGTAAGATGGGAGCTTCCGATATCCCTCACCTGCGTTAATCATTGAGTTCAGGTCGAGGGCCGGTTTACTGGGTGCCATTTTGTTGTAGTGTTAGTGGAACTAAAATTAGTACGTTCTTAGGTTGTCGCTCTAATTCTGTCTCACAAGCACAGCTGTATTGATCTGAATTGAATCCAGAGATGGTGGTTGAATGATTTCACGTTGGAGAGATGCTGAATGAAGGAGACGCGATGTGGCCCTGGACGAGCTCACGGCCAAAAATTGGAGTCTCGCGAATTTAGCGTCGCGGGAGCGACAAGGGTCCCCCTTTTCCAAACGAGGCAGGCACGAGGCTGAATGTTTTCTTTCCGTGCCTTCTTCTCGCGCGGAGATATTGTTTTCCAGTAACGCAACTCATTCCAACTATTTTCAATTCTACAACGATGCAATTTTGGCTATAGGTGAGGTTTTTCTGAAATTTCCCAACTGCTTCCCCACGCCACATAGCCAAACAGCAACCTGCTATTCGAAAAACAGGCATGGAATGGCCCATGCAAGCTCTTCTATGTTCAGCATACAGTTATATATGTTAACCACGCTTGACACAGGAACGAAAATCACTATGGATCCAGCATTGCCTAGCCAAGCGGTCACAATGGCCACCAAGTTCGGACCCCCCACATGTGCACAGAACGAATCCTCACAAAACAGAGTCGATTTCCGCAAAGTCCGCTACTCGCTACCATTATACCGCAAGTCCGTCGAAGGGCCGTCGTCTCCTAGTCGCAAGAAATCTCGATTCTTTAACACATTACTGCTGAGGACCGCTCAGAATGAAAACATTGCAGACGAGAACGGAAGTCCCAAGCCCTTAAGAAAGAGAAAGTCCATAGCAGATTTCTTGCCATTCTCCTCGACGAGATCTCGAAAAGTTCCTGATGGCAACGATGTTGATCCCGGAAGCCGTAATAAGAGGTCAGAGACAACATCTCCTCTTAAGAGGAACGCTTTGCGTACGTTCACAGTCCCCGATACCAACAATTCAATATTGATATAGTACAGAGAGTGCCTCGCCCTCTCGCATAAATCGACGAAAGAGCCTGGGTGATATTTTGGGCTCTATCTCTAGCAGAGTCTCTCCGAGACGAGATTCAACCCTCAATGACCGCCGCCCAGACTGGTACAATGACGAGCTTGAGCTGTCTGCAAATGTGGGCGTTGCAAATGGCCCCGCGAGCGTGGGTGGTGCAAATGCACTTGCGGCGGACCAATTCCCTGTTCCAGTTGATGGACCGTTCGACGATAGAATTTTGACCCAGCTTCCAAACCGAGAGAGTAAGTTGTTCAGAGCTACTTTGCTCATTTGGATCTGACATCACACAGGTGGTGTAGACATGAATAACTATCATCCTCCACGTCTTCGAAAACGCTCCATATCTTCCTCGATGCCTTGTAAGGGTCCCAGAGTTTGCATGTTTGCCAGAAGACTTCTGACGAGCTTCATGTAGGGCATGAAGAGTCACCTCGAAACTCAACCCAAGTCAACAGACATGAATCAAGAGTAACTAATTATCCTCCAAAACTAACCAATAAAGGCAAAGAAAGAGACGTCAATGTTCCAAATCCCGTGGGTAGAGACGAAACCCAGGCAAATGCTTCTTCGACGCCAATTGACAAGGGCAAAGAGAAAGCGGTCGATATCTCAACCCCAATCAATAGAGGCGGAGCAAAAACTCCCGATTCCTATCTCAATCTGTTGATCGCCGCCTACGAGCACAAAACACCCGATTCATATCTGCGAGAACTGTTGAAAGCCTCCAATTTGAATAATTCCGCTCGAGCATCCCCATGCCCACGCCACCATTTGGCTTTGGGGGAAGAAAGTCTCTTTTGGGGTACTGGCGACTCACCTCAGATGGGAGACCAAAAGGATGGCGAGGACGAAGAGGAGTTTTCAGCACCACCACCTTACACTCTGAATGATTTCTCGAAGGTAGAGCTAGGAGAAGTAAGATTTCGCGAAAACCCTCCACTCCAGACCTCCGACCGCACTGAAATTCAAACTAGTGTTGAAACAGTTCGTGAAGTGGATCCCTTCGAAGAATCTCCGGGAAGCTCTCCAAACATTGACACCGAATTCCGTTTGAGGGGGTGCAATCGTAAGGAAAGGCATGAGAAGCTGATGACACAGCCTCGACGATCATGGGGATCTTCTGACGAGAGTATCGAGAAGAGAGTGAAATTGACAGTTGCGAAGATGACCAAGAACTTCTACATGGTTACATCGTCTGAAGAGTCTTGGGACGACACTGCGAGCACCAAGATGATTGATCGGCAAGACTTCGAAACTGACCAAATGGAAGTCTGGGATTCAATTATTATGGGCACTCGCACTTTGCAAGAGGTATGTGGTTCGAATACTCATCAGAAATTGATTTGCGAAGCTCACTAGAACAAGGCAAAACCGTTCCAGATTTTGAGGAGCATCCCATCTAGTAAAAGACTACGCCATCTCCCATTGGAAAAAGTACTGCAGGACTCAATTAAATTTAGAGAACTCTCCGAAGATAGTCTGACTACATGCACCCAAAAAGGCGTTTGCTCTGTCTCCGAGGCTTCGGCTTCGAAGTTCTTACAAAAACAGAAAATCCAACCAAGCGGAGCAAGAAGGCGAAAGAGCTCTTCGGCCATGGTGCGAGTCGAATTCCCAAAGACCATGAATCTGCCGGCACATGCAGAGATGTACGAGTCTAAAAGTAAAGCTATTGTTGCACTTTACGAATACAAATTGGGGGAGCTTTCGAACTTTTGCACTTATGATCCCACGCGGAACACCATTTTTGCACATGCATTGGAGTCAGGTGTGCCTAATCCAGCGGTATTGAGAGAAGCGGGGCTCGAGGTTCTGTGGCTACCTATGCAAGGAGAGATCACCCAAACTATTCAGTTCGAAGACACGACACGAGAGAGAAATGAGATTTCGCGGGATGAACAGCAGTCTCCTATGGTTGCTGAGAGGGACAAAGTTCCTGAGGCCGGGCAAGAACGTCTTGTAATTGACAACTCGGGATTTTCATTGGATCCGAACGCCTTCTTGGCTCATCACGAAGGGATGGCGCGAGCCAATCTGGACAGCTTTGATCGCCATGAATCCCAATTTGAACTAGAAGTAGAGTTCACCAATCCACACAGCCGAAGCTCAAGCCTTCAGCTCAGTCCAGCAAGCCCACAACGGGAACAGGATTTGTCAATCTTTGACGATGACTTTTTTCTCAAAGTGGATCCAGATTTTGCCAGGGGTTTCTTGGGAAGTCAATACTCTGAAGAAAGTCAATATTCTTCCATCAGCGATGCCCATCTGTTGCCCGAAGATAATTTAGGAACGGACTTGCCGAGCGAGGTGTTGTGGAGTTTGGACGGTGAGGGCCAGGACGTCATGCCAGTGAAGACTTGGGCAGAGCTAGCCAGAGATTATTTAGCTAAACATCCAGCAAAAAATGTCCAAAGTTCTGAGGACGAGGAGGGCCAGGACGCCAAACCAGTAAAAACCTGGGTAGAGCTGGCTCGAGCGTATTTGGCTGAGCATCCACCGCAACCAATCCAGGGTTTCGGAAACAACCGTAAGTCAACCGATGAAGATTTCATTTGGCATGATCAGTTCGAAGCAAGCTCTGGAAGGTCCTCTCCAATCGATCCTTCCACGGAACAGGCTGAAGGCATCAATTCTGCCAACAAGGACCATTCCTTGAAAGGAAGACATTCTCGCCGACTCGGCCTTATATCAATTCTGGCAGACGAAGTCAGCCTCAAACTTCCAAAAAGAAACTACCTTTCTGGGAGAAAAGAACGGCCCCATTTCAGACGTGAGAGACCTATCGCCGCCTCGAAAGATATGGTAAACTTGAAAGCTATGGATGCTACAGTTGAGGAGACTTCAATGTTGGACACTAGTGAACTTCTTGGGCCTTTAATTGTGAGAGAATGCTCTGCTTACAAGGTCTCAAGCATTCCATTTCCAACAAAAGAAGCTATGGATGGATCTAGCCGACAGTCCTCCGTTTCGTTCACGTCATATATCGAGGCGGAGCGAGCACGCGAACGGTTGTACCAGACATATGATTTTCTCCCTCGTCTAAGGGCCGAAACAAAAGCCGAGGACAAGAAGCCTGTTACTGAGCCTTGTGTTAGGCCTAGTGTCACACTGGAAGAGGAGAAGGGTGGCAATGTCATGCCTCAGGACCCCGAGAGTAGAGTCGAAGACTCAGGGAGCTCAGCCATTGCTCTTCCAGTTGGATTCAAATTCACGGAGCATAGGAAGCAGTTGATAGTCAAACGCATTCCAAAGAAGAACAAGATGGCAAGCGAGCTTTCCGGAAGCTCAGCTATCCCAATTCCAACTGGCTTTAGATTCACGAACCACAGGAGACAAATAATGAGGAGCGAGGATTCTGAAAGCCCGGTAGTTTCTTGTCCATCTAGCTTCAGCCTTAGCGAGCCGATTACTGGAGAGGAGAAGAGTCAAAGGGATGAAGAAATCCCGAATCGGCAAGTTATTGAAAACGCTGCGCTGACACGCTCATCGTGTCTCCAAAACCCACTCGACATCAGCGTCCCCATTTCAATTGAAGACTTGGCGGGCAGGATAGAAAACCATTCGGAATGCGAAGGTCAGGTAATAGTGAAAGAAACGGACTGTGACAAGCCCCCATCAGAAAAAATCCAAGGAGATATGTCCTGTGAGCCGCGAGGTCGCGAAAGCGAATTTTGCAAATTAGCCACGAAGATGTTGGAAGACTTGGATTCCTTTGAGTCCGTGGGACTAAGGCTTAACGAGTGTTTGAGCATTATTCCCCCTCCGAATGAAGATTTCACAGGCGGGAAAGGAAACAGTCCCGAACCCGAAAGCCGGAAATCGAAGGAAAGCGTTGTTTGTGACGGGCCTACTTCCGAGGAGACCAGACTTCCCGTCGCATTTCCTTTCTGTAGAGACTGGCTGCAAGGCCCAAGTCCTTCCCGGGAAGCGCAAATTGAGGAAAAGGTTGGCTGTGAAGAGCCTTCCTCAGAAATGGTCGGAGACCCTGACGTATCCCCCTCTCGCAAAAGCCTACGCCAACCGCGCAGTCTTTCCTGGAAAGCACAAATGGAGGATTTGAGCATCCGTGTAGTAGGCAAAGCTGCTCGCCAAGATTCTCCGGCGAAACAGGGTGGCAGAGTTGGAGCGCTGGTAGATATCTTTCAGGCTCGTGGTATCATGCCGAGCTTGAGGCCAGCTCTTCATCAGAAGGTATCACTCACACCATTCGCGAACAAAGCTGGTAGCCGCTCCATGACACCAACTGCTCGCATCGTTACGCCATCCGGCAACATGTACCACCCGGCAGGGACTGTTTGTGTTCCTGCTGGACATCCTTTGTCGAGATCAGCAATCAAACGGGTCCCAACACCAATAATTCCGTTCAGACCAAGCTCTGGTTTTAGTAGTGTGGATACAGATGTGAGTGAACTCTTCGGGGAGAAATTGGAAAGAGCCGAGAAGCATTCCGTGGAGTGCGTAGAGGGTGGTCCGTACGAAGAGATATAGATATTAGTCAGAGTAAGCAGTATTGTTTTTTTTTTGGCGTCGAAGAGTATTAATAGCATTAGAAGGAAGGGCTATGGTTAGCGAGGCTTCGTTGGCATGCGTATTTGATATTGGCATGATTAAAAAGACTCTGAAACAGAGAGCGTGAGCTCTTGATGGGTTGGAGAATCAGATAACACTCATTTCATCATCAAGCAAGAGACAAAGTCTGTAGAATTAAAGACAATACACATTCATATGTCTCAAATTTCTTTGTTCTTGTGACTCGACTCGTGAGTCTGGAGAAGGGTGGCCGCGGATTTGAGACGTTCAGTGATCAAGAAGACACCCTCTCACCTCGAGGATGAATTATCCTCTTCAACTCGTCTCGTCATAGACCACCAACTCCATCAAAGTATCTCGCCTTGCTGGCGTGAGATACTCCGGATAGAACTTATGGCAGCACACAACCTATATGCGAAGTCAGCATTGCTCAATCTCCTTGCTTGTTTCAAGAATACCAAAATAACCAAAAGGAAAGCTCAACAATCCAATAAAAGTACAGCACTTACAACGCCACTTCCAGCCAATTTCGTCAAAATCGCCCTCACCGTCAGAAGCGCCAACTGTTTCGGCACAAGGTACACAAACACATGCGTCACTTGATGACCATTAATGAGTTGGCTAACGAGATCCTCGCGATCGTCGTTGAAGTCGTAGGTCAGCCATGAGGCGTTGACGTTCTGGAGTGTGGATTGGATGCCGGCGGTTGCGATGAGGGCGGGGGAGTGGTCGATTCCAATGCCAAGCGGGAGGGCGAGGGGCATGAGGAAGGTGATGTGTGTTAGGAGGCTGATTACTTAGGCTCATGTGTTAGAAATATTTTTTCCCAATTATGCATAGTTCCTTTGGGCTTTGTTCCTGTACCGATGCGTGGCAGCAGCATGGGAAGGGCAACTGATGGCGTAAGGGAGGAAGCCGGACAGGGGAATGAATGAGGTATCTGTACGAAAATACCCATCGCCGCAGCCAAGGTCACATACAACCTGTTGATGATTTGAAGACAGTCCTTTCTCTTTTCCATCTTGATCTCCACTGAGGCCGAGTCGCATGAGCGTTGCCGCTGCGCGCATTGTCCCCGTGGTTGTTTCAATGTATGGTGCTAGAACACCGCTAAAGCCGGAGGGGATGTAGTCCAGATCTTGAAACGCGAAGATCGGGAGGCCGTCTGAGTCTTCCATTGTTTTGATGAATGGGTTGGATGAGGTGGTGGAGATTTTCTGGGGAGTCAGAGGCGAGATACGTTGTGAATGTTCGCTTGGTGAAGATGGTGACTAGCCCTCTTTTGGCGAATTCAGATGAGAGCACGAGATATTTCAAGACGTAGTTGTACTAGGATCATGTTGAACAATATGAGTTGAATGTTATAAGACTTTATTTTGTCTATATATATATGAACAACAATGGACAATTTTGGTACATGCCTGCGATAGAGAATGCTTTCCGATGATAGTGGAGTGGTGCTGATGAATTCTTCATTCAGGGTGTTGTACATGGTCGTCTTCTCTTCTATATTATAAACAGATCTTAAACCCCAGGGGTTCCAGAATGGCAGCCAAGTCGTCTTGACTTCGTGAGCTCGTCCCCACCGTACTATGGTTTTACAAGGCTACATCTTCGTTCAAATGCTTCCCCGCTCCCGTCCAACATGCGTCTGGCGTCTTCAACGATCTACATCTGGAAGCCATCAGGGCACGTCTCTTGTCGCCGAACCGGACGACCACACGCTTTTATTCCCAAGCTTAACTCTGAGAGAGTTTCCTTCCTCATTCCAATAGCAAACGATTATGTTTTTCAGCACTTGGTCCGAAAGCCACCAAGGGTATTTATGCAGCTGCCTTCTGCTCCTTGAAGTTCAGATCACGGGCCTCCTGATTTTTATCCTTCTCACCAAAGGCGGCGGCTGCAGCGCGGATTTCGTTTATGGCTCCTCTCTTCGGCTATGCCCGGTTGCGTTGTGGGGTTTTGGATTTGAGAGAGAGGGCTTTGGTGGCAAAACCGCGCTTTTTCGGGAGGGTTGTTGGCGGAGTGGCTTTCTCAGATACCTCGAAGCTCGGTATTGCTTCTGGACTTGCCATAAGTGCTAGTGCGTCTGCCGACCAGTTGAATGCATTATCTCTTTTCCACTTCGACCTGTCCTGCTCGGCGGTTTTCAATATCTTATGTCGGGCCACGAAAGCGGAGAGTTTTCCGCGTTGTTCCTTGAGAGCTCCGTGGAAGTCTCGGGGGACGAAGGCTTTGTGCACGAGAAGGTCGTAGCTCGAAATCATCCTTCTGGTTAGAGAGAGGATGGAATCGACGAGTTTATTTCTTTCATGCGGGGTCTTCTCTGCAAGCCGAGGATCCTCAAAGTGGAGCATAGCTTTGAGGTTCAGCAATGAAGGATTGAGGCGCTCCAGAGCTCGCTGGATCTGTTTCCCTTGTTCGAGGCTGGACCATTCATTCTTGCCGCTTGAGGAAACCTTCTTCGAATATGCAGGTGCAGTGATGGCGAGTTCTAGGTAGTCTTCGAGAAATGGTATGTCAGGTTCTCTGAGCGCTGTTTGCATCAGATCAAGAAGTCTTCCTCCATTTGCAAAGGCGTTCCTGTTGAGTTTATCCCGCCGGCAAGCAGCCATTGCAATGCGGAAGGTGGAGTACTTCAAGTCTTGCATGGGAATGCTTTGTAAAACGTTGGTTGCCTCGTTGCTTGCCCTTGCTACGCGGAGGATGCGAAGATAAGCATGAAAGTTCTCAAGGTCTGGCTGGACACTATGCTGGGTCGTGAAAACCTGCCAATACTTTTGTGCTGCCTCTTTCAGTTTCAGTCCAAGTAGTGCTTCCAAGACTAGTGAGAGTGAATTCTGCCCTGGTTTTGCGAAAACGCCACGCCGTCGGCCTGGACTAGCAGGAGCCTTGACTGGTTGAAAGAGATCAACCACTGCGATTTCTGGTTGAGGATCTCCATTAGGTTGCTCAAGTGCCGGGCTATCTGAAGTAGTCTCCCCTTCAGTGTCTGGAGCAATTTTTGGTGTGGAGGCTAGAGGGTCGACCGCTTTACGAGCTGCAGTGCCTAGTCGTGGAACTTGGCGGGGAATGTTCATAGTCTGCTCAATCAAAGACAAAATGTCATCTATATCCCGCCGGCCTCCCAGAAGCAAAAGACGACCGAACGCGGACACCAGTTCTTCATCGAGAAATATATCTCCTTGGGCCCATCGTTTCGTTATCTCAACCCATATGTGGCGCGCTTCTAACATTGCTTTCTCGCTATTCTGCCTTTTCAGCATGGGTGTATGAGTGTCTCGCATACCACCAGTAGCAAAGAAGCGTAATGCATTGAAAACGGTCGTATAGGTCAGATTGTTTGGAGACCCAACTCCTTTGGATGGCATCTCAGCAACAATTGCGAGTAAGGCCTCCGTATTCAGCGCTCGCGCGCACAGTTTAAGAAGGGCATTAACGTGTACCACAGTCGGCTTGATTGGCGACTTCTCGCTACTCATCGAATGGTATATTGGTAACGCTTTGCCCAGTGCGTGATCGGGGGAAGGATGCATTGAGCAGCCGTTGAAAATTATAGAATAAGTGTGTCCGTCAGGGAACTGTGCCCGCTTCTTCATCTAAACATCCCATGTCAGTTGGAGGTCATAGTCGTAGAGGAGCGTATACCTCGTTGTAGGTCTTGAGAGCCGCTTTCAGGGAGCCTTTGCTCAGCTGCCAAGAGATCAAATGATTCCAGCTGACGATGCATTGTGAATGTTTGCTTGCAGCTCGCACAAACTTCTGCGCGTCTTCGAAATTGCCTTGCTGAAGTTTTCTTCGTATAAAATCGGCCAGCTTAAGGGGGTCCTGCAAGTGTTTGAGCTCCTGGGCAGTTTCTCGATCGATGCTGGATGCCACCCCTGCTTTCTCCCTCCAAGCAGGCCTGACACCTCTGGACTCAATCCATTCCTGTCTAGCATTCGTATTCGAAGTGGGGCCGTCTCCGACTTTGTTGCGGTGCCCGGATGAATCTGGTTTGAGCTTCTCCTTCGCTGCAAATGAGGTGTAGCTTCGAGCGGATCTTCTAGAGACACTATGTGTGGGTTTACTCCTTGAGGAGATAGAGACTTGATGCAAGTCTCTAACAAAAGTTTGTAAATATTGCCTTACGCAAGCCTGGCATGTCAACATTGCAAGATTTCGAGAGATGAAGTCTTTCATCTCGTGAATATTTTTTCGAGGTGACAATATATTGCCACCGAAATCAGGCATCCAGACATTAAAGAGCTAACCCTTTTATCGATTAGCACCTCAAACGCGACAGGGGTTCGCGTACAGCGCGAACGGTCGCGCGTTGACCACCACGTCTCGCGTCCCCGACCTCCAAACTTCTTCATACATAACTTCCGACTTTCTAGTTCAACTTTCTCCAAAGCATGTCATAACAGACATCGTCTTCTATTCTCTAACATGTCGAAAGCTGCTTCTGCTCGAGCAAAGTTCGCGGAACTACGCGCTCTTCGAGAATCCGGCAAAAAGCGCCTCGACACTTATCAAGTCCACCAGGAAGCTGATTTGTACGAGGAAGTTGACGAGGATGGATACAAAAAAGTGGTTCGGGATCGTCTGAATCAGGATGACTTCGTCATTGATGACAACGGTGAGGGGTACGCGGATGATGGCCGTGAGGAGTGGGATCGACAACCAGACTATGGCTCTGAGAGCGAGGAATTGCCCACCAAGGGCAAGTCGGGCAAGATCGGTGAGTGGAACAACATTTTAACACCTATTGCGTACCATGGCTAACGCGGTTTAAGCAAAACGGAAACGCGAAGAGGAAAAGGCAAAGAAGGAGAGCATGGACAAGGGGATCAGTAATTATTTCACGAAAGGTCCCGTAGTAGCTCAACATAAGGCCAAGGTATGCCACGACCCTGCTTTACAAGTATGGCATCTAAAAATACAATAGCCCGTCAAAACAAAAGCAGACGACGACTTCCTAGCAGATCTTCTCGGCGAAGTTGACACCAATGTCCCTCGGCCGATTTCACAACCCGCAAGAGGACGTAAAGTTCAAAACAAGCGAAGGACTCGCGCCTTATCTCCCTCCATTGAAGAAGTCCAGCGCCACGCGACCAAGAAAGCGAAATTGGTTGATAACAGAGCCCCCACAACACCACCGACTGAGCAAGATTATGGTGATGATGGCTTCATGGACGGCATGGACGATGGTGATATGCCCATGGATGACCCTCAACCATCATCTCCGATTGCCAAAGCTGTGAAGCGGAAGTCTCATGTTGCTGTGAAGGCTGAAGATGACGACGAGGAGGACATGATGGAAGTGGCTCAAGCTGATAGTATTATCACCGCAAGTGTTAACTTGAATGGCACTCGGCCTGTACCAAAAATCAAGAAGGTTGAAGCATACCCTTCCCCTGTCAGCTCTTCTCCGACTCGACCACCTGCGCACGATGTCGATGCCTCTGCCTGGAACGATGTCACGGACAAGTTGAACGTGGTAAACAGCAGCCAAGCTTCGGAAACGATGAGTTTTGGAAAACTTGACTATAACGATGCTATTGAAGAAGATGGAAGTCTCCGAATGTTCTGGACCGACTACACAGAAATCAACGGAAGCCTGTGCCTCTTTGGAAAGGTTCAAAACAAGAAGACTGGTGGCTTTGTCAGTTGTTTCGTGAAAGTGGACAACATATTGAGGAAATTGTTCTTTCTTCCTCGACAATACCACCAAAAGCACGGACGTGACACCTCGGAAGAAGTTGACATGAAGGATGTATACGAAGAGGTTGACGAGTTGATGACTAAATTGCGTGTCGGAATGCACAAGATCAAGCCGTGCACAAGAAAGTACGCTTTCGAGCTTCCCGACATACCTAGGGAAGGCGACTACCTGAAGCTTTTCTACCCATACTCGAGTAAGACTACCCCCCTTTTTGTTCCGGACAGAGCTAATCCTTTCAAGAACCCCAGCTTCAAAATGAACATCAGACTGGATCCACATTCTCTCACGTTTTTGGCACAAACACTCCATTGTTTGAGCAATTTGTTCTGTGGAAGAATATTATGGGTCCATGCTGGCTGAGCATTGAAGATGCTGAATTTGGAGTCCTCAACAACTCTTCCCACTGCAAGTTGGAGGTTCAAGTCTCAACACCCAGTTCAATCAATCCTTTGAGCGACTCCGACAACTTGGAAGCGCCGCCACTCACACTCATGAGTATTGCTTTGCGAACCATACTCAATGTCAAGGACAACAAACAAGAAATTTTGTCAATCAGCGCACGAGTCTATCGTAACATCTCCCTTACCGATACGACGGACCCAGAGAAGCTGCCATGCCAATCTTTTACGATAATCCGGCCTCTTGCATCAAGCTTCCCAATTGGATTTGAAATAGAGGTGAAGAAGAGAGCGAGAGGAGAGGTGAAGGTTGTCAAGCAAGAGCAGGAAATATTGAGTTTCTTCCTTGCACAGCTGAATCTGGTCGACCCAGACGTCTTGATTGGCCACCAACTTGAAGGTGTCGATTTCAGTATCTTACTGAGCCGTCTACAAGCTAAGAAAACTCCTCAATGGTCCAGAATTGGCCGATTTAAACGCACAACATGGCCAAGTTCCATGGGCAAGATGGGAGGTAATTTTTTTGCTGAGCGATCACTACTCTCAGGACGGCTCTTGTGCGATCTGGCGAACGACGCCGGCAAATCTGCTATGTCAAAATGTACATCTTGGAGTCTTACCGAGATGTGCAGTATTTATCTGCCTGGTACAAGTCGACGTGATATCGATGGCGAAACGGCACTGAAAACCTGGGCTACTACCAAGGACGGTCTCATGGACTTTGTCACTCACTCCGAGGCAGACACATTCTACATCGCTGCTTTGGCTTTGAAAGTGCAGCTGCTTCCTTTGACCAAGGTTTTGACCAACCTTGCTGGGAATTCCTGGGCCCGTACCTTGACGGGTACTCGCGCGGAGCGAAACGAGTACATTTTACTTCACGAGTTTCACAGAAACAAATACATCTGTCCCGACAAGGCTGTTTTCAAAGGCAAGCAGCAAATTGAGGAAGAGAACCTCGACGAGGAGAGCGGCGATGTAAAGAAGAAGGACAAGTACAAGGGCGGGCTTGTTTTCGAGCCGGAAAAGGGTCTTTACGACAAGTTCGTTTTGGTCATGGACTTCAACTCCCTGTACCCAAGTATCATCCAGGAATTCAACATCTGCTTCACAACGGTAGACCGAACTCAGTTGGTAAGTCATCTGGAATGTAGAGTGCTTGTGAGCGAAAATGCTGATTTCTCCCAGTCCGACGATGAAGAACAAGTACCGGAAGTGCCAACAAACCAGGAACTCGGCGTCCTACCCAGACTTATTGCCACTTTGGTCAGCCGTAGACGACAAGTAAAGAGCTTGATGAAAGACAAGCATGCTACTACTGAGCAACTGGCAACTTGGGACATCAAACAACTGGCTCTGAAGCTGACTGCCAATTCGATGTACGGATGTCTTGGTTACACCAGGTCCAGATTCTACGCCCGGCCCCTGGCCGTTCTCACAACCTACAAGGGTCGTGAGATCCTTCGAAGCACGAAAGACCTTGCTGAGAGTAACTCACTTCAAGTCATCTACGGAGACACTGACTCGGTTATGATCAATGCCAACGTGGACAATGTGGAAGACGCGCTGAAGGTTGGAAACGAATTCAAGAAAGCCGTCAATGACCGGTACAAGCTCCTGGAAATCGACATTGACAACGTTTTCAGGCGCATCCTGCTGCAAGCTAAGAAGAAATACGCAGCAATCAACCTTGTTCAAGTCGAGGGCAAATTCGTGGACAAGATGGAAGTTAAGGGTCTTGACATGAAAAGACGAGAATACTGCAACCTTTCCAAGGAGGTTTCTTCGAAGCTATTAAACGAGATTCTCTCTGGAGACGAATCCGAGGTCGTCATTACTCGTATTCATGAGTATCTCCGCGAAATCTCGACCAAGATGCGTGAGGGTGAGGTTCCGACCCACAAGTACACGATTTATACGAAACTCGGAAAGGCGCCAAAAGACTATCCCAATGCAGACAGCATGCCACAGGTTCAAGTCGCTTTACGGGAACTTTCAAGAGGCAAGACTGTGCGGAAAGACGATGTCATTGCGTATATCGTAACTGGCGACGGCAAGACAACCTCTGAAGCCGCTGCAAAACGCTCTTACACCCCACAAGATGTCGCAAAGGCAGATTCAGGACTTTCACCTGACGTCGAGTGGTACTTGTACAAACAGATCTTTCCTCCCGTTGAGCGTCTCTGCGCGAATATTTCGGGCACTGATACTGTTCGCCTTGCTGATTGCCTCGGTCTTGACGTTCGCAAGTACAGCATTAACAATAACTCCTCGAACGGTGGCAATGAAACAGAAATCAATCCTCTCGAAAGTCAGATCGATGACTCTGTCCGGTTCAAAGATGCTTATCGTCTTACTCTACGCTGTCGAGCCTGCAAAGGTACTTTTGACTTTGAAGGACTCGTGGGCAGTCTCGAGATCAGCTCTCCAGCAGGTATCACTTGCCGCTGTGGGCATGCTTTGTCTAACCTCTCTGTGATGGCCCAACTTGAGCATCAAATTCGAAAGCAGACAAGCAAGTACTATGAAGGATGGCTTGTTTGTGACGATCAAGCTTGTGGCAATCGAACAAGACAGATGAGTGTCTATGGTCACAGGTGCCTTGGCCCGAATGGACTTGGACGAGGATGTCTCGGGAAAATGCACTACGAGTATACCGAGAAGATGATGTACAACCAACTGCTGTATTTTGCAACTCTGTTTGATGTGGAGAAGGCAAAAACTGCAGCTAAGGGGATGGAGAAAGGTAAGATAAATCTCTGGTATTTAGTTGCGTTCGTGCTGATAATTCCTAGAACGGGTGACGGCATTGGCAGAGCATAATAGAGTGAGATTCGCTACGTTGCAAGGGGTTGTGGAGAAGTACCTGGACAAGTGCGGTAGACAATGGGTCGCGATGGATACTTTGTTCGGGAAGTTGGGTTTCACAGCTTGATAAGGTATCTATCTTCGGCGTTCGGGACTTGCTTCTCTGGCGCTTGTAGGATATCATGAATGGAATGCAGCTTCGAAGAAATACAGTCAAGCAAGTGAGATTGTTATTACCCGCAATTATTTTTAGCCCAGACCAGAACTTGAGTGCAACCTTCAATTCATTGGTTGAGCTCATACTGATATGCGTTGGTTGGTAGAGCGGGCAAGGCATCGAACAGTGGTAAGTCTACTACAAAGCAATGTAAGGACTTGAAACAATGACCAAGAATCCCTTGCATAGGCACAAAGTTGATGTTGTGAACAATGAAATAGTCGAACAGCCAAGGAGGCATAAAAGAACCTAAATTTTCTTCAGGCCAGGAACAAAGACAGTTGGTGGGGGGAATATTTATGACCACAAATTTTCAGAACTTCTGAGACAAACAGTTCCAAGGAGCAGCTTTGGAGTTCGGTCCATAAACACGGAGTCGCTGGCAGTCTTCTGCTTTTTTTCATCGTCACCGTGCTTTACAAGACAGAAGGAACACACAGTCTCACACACTCAACGGTAAGCCTCCTATACCAGAGAAATCGTTCTCGATCAAGGAGATACAACCCATTCCCAGATACTATCAAACAACGCAAAGATGGCTCCACCCTCTTACCAAGATATTCCCCTCGGAAACATGTCGACAGGCCAGCCGGGGGTTGCACAGAGAGGAGGTGGGCGCGGGATCGAGTTCTTCAAGCCGCGAAATGGCTTCAAAGTCTACAACCGCGTTCTTCTTGGAGTCGCTGTCGTCTTCATGGCTGCTATGATCGCCCTCGGGGTCGCCCTAGGCCAGGAGAAAGCACTAAATGATAAACTTGCACCCTTTTACAGCGGCACGACCCCTGTCCTCGGTATCACTGGTATGGACTTGTGGAATAGCACAGATTGTACCACCCCCAATGGAAACTGCACTGCTCTCCTCTCTATGACCCAAGTCAATTCCTGCTTCCAGCTCGTCTGGGATGTCTGCCACGCAAAGTACGACAACCACACCCATCCGATTCCAGCGAGGAACGCCTCTGTCTTCGCCAACAACCCCCAGTGCACCCAGGTGCTTTTCATGATGCACTGCCAATGGGAATCGACGGGTCCCCAAAATGTCCCATGCGCAGCCATGATGCCGTTCTGCGACGATGAATTCATTCCTCAGCCGGAATGACCCCGCCTGAAACAACACCCACTCTTATCAATACTTCGGGCATGGTTCCCGTCGCGATGACAACGGTTGCCCACCTACTCTGAAGAGATCGCTACTAACACAGCGGGAGGTACCACAACACTCTTGCCGGCGACAACAGAGACGTTTACTTTTATGACGCTTACGCCATCTGCAGATGCTGGGGCCGTGTCTACACCCACTGGAAAGACAGAGGAAGGACTCGGTGGGTACAACTGAATCCTCCACAACTCGCCGTCCACTGCAGACCAGCCACCAGTCCTCCTCTCCAACCAATTTTCTTAATCTGCATGACCGCAAGACCACTTTCCAGCATTTCGAGAGAGCAAGCAAATACATAAGACAATTTATTTTATGACAAACCGAAAAACATGATCTTTAAATTTGCAAGTGACTTTGTGTGAATTGAACAATGAATTTTCCTCCATTTCTACGAGATACTCTTGCAGCTGTTCCCGGTAGTGTGCAGAGTGAGGTATAGCTGGCTACGCTGGCAGGCCGACAAAAAGATAACAAGAGTAGCAAAAATTACAGAATAGAATGGAAGTCAGCATATCGGCAACTCTTAGATATAGAAGGGAGAACGCCTTGGATATCCCAACTCGCCCGGATATTGAGGTGAAACAGTGGAGTTGAACTCATAAAATTTGGAGCTTCCTTGTACATACCTTGATCAATTTTCCAAGCTTCACTGGAAGGTGAGAGGAGCCATGATCCGAAAAATAAATCTTACGATGAGCGAAGAAAGCTGGGAGAGACGTCGAAGAGACGTCACATTGGAGGTTACCCCACCACCCAAAAAGGCTTAGCCTCCGATTCTGCCGCTTCACACCGCCTTGATATCCCATTTCAAGCCAAATTCAAGCCCGAAATTTCTCTCATCAACGGAACTTTTGTGAGGTGTGGTAACGCGTGAAATATCGCAAAGATGGTGAACATTACGGAGAAAATCAAGGAGTAAGTAAATGGCGAGGATGGGTGAGAGTGATAAGCTGAAGGTTCGGCAGGATTGAGGAGGAGATGAGGAGAACACAGAGTGAGTTCCCCTCCTTGCCCCTCCATACCCCAGGGCCTGTTGAGTTATATATATCCCACCCTCAGAACTCTTCCAATGTATCAGCAGCTTACTTACTAAATCATAGAAAATAAGGCAACTGGTATGCTTCATCACCAAAACTCTTTGCCACACGTGGCTGCTATTTACTACAACAGAATATCATCTTGGTCTCTTAAAAGGGTAAGCTCCCTACTCTCTCCAAATATCCTTCACCCACGAATCCATCAGAAAACTCGCCCGCTACCGCGCCCAGCTCCTCGAGCCCGGCCCCGGCGCAGGGGGCGGCGGTGGAGCCGGCTTCGATGTCTCGAAATCCGGTGACGCCCGAATCGCACTTGTCGGCTTCCCATCAGTAGGAAAATCTACCTTCCTTTCCAAGATCACCAAAACCAAGTCCGAAGTAGCAGCCTACTCTTTCACGACTCTCACCGCGATCCCTGGTGTTCTCGAGTATGGCGGCGCTGAGATCCAGATTCTGGATTTGCCGGGTATTATCGAGGGGGCTGCGGAGGGGAAGGGAAGAGGCAGGCAGGTGATTAGTGCGGCGAAGACGAGCGATTTGATCTTGATGATTTTGGATGCTACAAAGAAGGCGGAGCAGAGGGCGTTGCTGGAGGCGGAGTTGGAGGCGGTGGGGATTAGGTTGAATAGGGAACCGCCGTACGAATCCCCTCTCTTACCTGTTTCTAGCACCCCAATGGGGACTAAAATGATGCAACAGGAATATCTACCTAAAGCAGAAAACTGCTGGAGGCGTGAAAGTCACGTTCCAAGTCCCGCCGAAGAATATCGATCAGAAAATGGTCTATAATATCCTCCGGGATTACAAGATGCTGAACTGCGAAGTCCTGGTTCGAGACGAGAATGTTACGGTCGACGACTTCATCGACGTTATCATGAAAGATCATCGGAAATACATCAAGTGTCTCTACGTCTACAACAAGATCGATTCGGTATCGCTCGACTTCCTGGATAAGTTAGCACGGGAGCCAAATACATGTGTGATGTCTTGCGAGTTGGATCTGGGTATTCAGGATGTGGTGGAGCGGTGTTGGGAGGAACTGAGGTTAATCAGGATTTATACGAAGAGGAAGGGGGTAGATCCGGATTTCGGCGAGGCCTTGATTGTGAGGAATAAAAGCACGATTGAGGATGTTTGTGATCAGATTCATAGGACGTTGAAGGATACGTTTAAGTATGCGTTGGTTTGGGGTGCAAGTGCGAGGCATGTGCCGCAGAGGGTGGGTTTGTCACATATGGTTGCTGACGAAGACGTCGTATCAATTGTCAGTAATTGGAGGGCGTGAGGTTGTGGAGAGAGGATGGAGTTTGAGCGTCCCGGGTCCTGTGACGAGAAGAATCACATAGCATGGAACATGAGCATCGTAGAGAGTCATTATTTCCGCCCATTGTCCAATCAGTGTAATCCTAACAACGAGCATGCGAATACCAGAACTCCACTACCCAATGCCATCGACAAATGCAGTCTACAAACCTCATCATTGCTATAGCGTACGCCCATCAACCCCATTGTGAAGTCGAAGAGCTGATATCGTTATGGTATTCCATTATGGTAATACTGATACTCCCATTTTTTGGGAGTCGAAATGAAGAAAGGAAATTTGTTGTCGTCTGTCCTATGTGGATGTTCGAATCGTCGTCCATCCATGATTGAGTATTCATACACCACTCCCGTCTATCCCCCTGCGTCGAAGTGAGTTAGGTTATTGTCCATTCATCTTCAAATCCCCCTCGCTCGTAGCCTTCTCAGTGTTGATTTGTGCGCCGAACATGTTCCCGTTGCCCGCAGCGAGGCCCTTGGCCGATGCCTTTGCGAAAAGAGATCGTGGCTTTGCCCTGTTGTATCCAGTCAGTCTCTCTGTCCAGCAAATCTTCATTAGATTATGACTTACTTCCCAACTTGCTTACTTCGGTAAGCGCTCAGCTTGGCAGTGCACGGCGACATGATGGTATCGGATGGAGAGATGTATGCTTGCTTGCCGCTGTTTCGCACCCAGTCAGCCATAGTCTCCCAAATTCAACGAATCGTGGTTTGAACAGGAAGTCAACATACTTTCCCTCATCAAGCTTTGATTGCAACACCTGACGATGATACTCCATGCTCTTTACATCTGCCTTGGCCTCCTGCTGTGCAGCGTTCGCACCCGCACCGCTCGTGTTGACGTCCCGATCAGCAAGGACGGTAGAAGACATATCGAATCGAAATGTGAATTGTTTTTGTTCTTTTGCGATTGCTGTATTTGTGCTATCTTATTTTAGGAGCGTCGGAGAGAATTGGTGTGTTTGGATGATTCGTGAGAAGTTGAGATGTGATTGTGGTTGGGTGGAATTCGTGAAGGAATCTTTTCGTCAACAGCGAGGGACGTTGCCGAGCAACCGCATCACTGGCCGCTCCCCACTCTTGAGTGAAGCGATAGAAGATCACGATTCAGCTCGCTTTCAACATGACTTTTCATATCTCAAAATACACTTTTCTGGTGCAGAACATCTCCAGTCGCGGACGTTAGTCGGAACACACTCCAATAATCAAGTGTATGTAGCACCCTTATCTGAACCCACTTGCTCCAAAGTGATAGGATTCGCATGGGTATGGTCTAGAAGAGTGTTCGGCCACAGTAAACTGAGGGCAAGCCAAGTTTCTGGATCCTAACGGATTTCTTTTGCCACTTTTGCAAAATGGTTTCTAATTGAATTTTATCTTTTTTGCAACTTCCCTGTCGTCTCTACCGTTCTATTTTTTTTAAAAAAAATTTGGCCAAGCGAGCTGGATTCTGACGTGAGTTTTTGCCTCATCAATCTGCCACTTAGTGATTCCAAAGAGAGGGTTTCATTCCATATTACACTTATTGTTCAGAGCCATTTGGGACATTAAAGTGTTTTCTTTGGAACGGTGCTGTTGTTGACAGATTGCTGCGATTAGGGAGACGCATTTCTTGGCGAGCAGCAATCGGATATCAGACAAGAGGTGAGAACATTGTCCTTGAGCCGCTAAGCACATTCGCTGATCTATAGACAGGCCGAACATTTTTCTATTGATACTCCGAATCTGAAGATCCTGGGATTTGATGAATTCATCCTCACTGTGAGGATGGTCATGGACCTTTTACATGAATTCTTGGAAGCGAAAAATTGACAGATTCCTTTCAAGTCTGTCCAATTTATTTTTGATAAGCTGGTACGACGAAATTATGCCAACATCTAAAGCTTCGACTTGGGCCCAATATGCGCCAAGCTGACATTATACTTCGCGAACATCTGCTTGGTAGTCTCTGCTTGCTTGAGAATGTTCGCGGTGACTTCTTGACCTCTCTTATTCTCATTTTTGCCCATTTGCTGCAAGTGGACCTCATCTGGCCCATCAGCTAATCTCAATGTCCGGATTTGAGCCCACATGTTTGCAAGAGGGGTGTCTTGGCAAACACCAGCTCCTCCGAAGGATTGCACCGCACGGTCGATAACAGTCAGTGCCATCTGGGGTACGAGGACCTTGGCTTCGGCTATCTCCTTGAGAGCGCCCTTTGCCCCGAGTTCGTCAATCTTGATGGCGGCGTTGAGGACAACGAGTCTTGCTGCGTCAATTTCGATACGGGACTTTGCAACCCATTCGAGGATGACGCCGTGTTCCTTTAATTGCTTGCCAAATGGAGTTTTCTTTGGGTCGTTGATGCGCATGAGCATCCAGTCAAGGGCTTTCTCGGCCTGAGTGTGTCAGCAGAGTTGGGACATTGAGAGTGTTTAGACTTACAGCACCAATAGTACGCATAGCGTGATGAATACGTCCGGGACCAAGACGACCTTGAATGATCTCGAATCCTCGGCCAGGGCCAAGAACCATGTTGCTAGCTGGGACACGAACGTTCTTAAAGCTAATATGACCATGTCCGTGAGGAGCATCATCGTAGCCGTAAACGGACAACATTCTCTCGATCTTAATACCCGGAGTATCGGCCGGCACTAAAATGACTGATTGCTGCTTGTATGGGTCCTTGTTTCCTGGATCACTCTTGCCCATAACAATATAAATCTTGCATCGTGGGTCACCTGCGCCACTTGACCACCATTTCTGCCAGATATTAGGATGACTTTTTCGTCGGTGTAAACAGTACTGACCTGTCCATTCAAAATCCAATCATTTCCATCTTTCTTCATGCCCAACTGAATATTGGTAGCATCAGAAGAAGCAACATCCGGTTCAGTCATCAAGAACGCCGAGCGAATATGCCCATCCAACAACGGCTGCAACCACTGCTTCTTCTGCGCCTCATTCCCGTACTTGGCCAGCACTTCCATATTCCCCGTATCCGGAGCAGCGCAATTGACAGCCTCGGAAGCAGTTCTCGACTTGCCGAGCTGCTCTGCCATCAATCCGTACTCGAGGTTTGTGAAGCCAGGCGATTCTTTGTAGTGGCCCTTGGCCAGGAACATGTTCCATAGTCCGAGCTTCTTGGCTTCTGTCTTGAGGTCGTCGATTACGGAGGGGTGGTGGTCCCATCGATCAGCGCCGCCTTGGTCGATTTGTGCTGAGAAGACGGGGTCGGCCCTGCAAATGGTCAGTTAATATTTGCTTACGGAGGGGCGGGGTCGCCGAACTGAATGGAAAGGAAGAAATTGGAACTCACGGAATACATCTCTCCTCAACGAATCTTTTTACGATATCCAAAGTCTTCTTCGCATGCTCGCTGACTCTGCCAGTTGCCTGGGGATAGTATTAGTGATCAATCGGGCGGGGCAGGAGTGAGAAGCTTACAATGATGGGAATCTTGTCAGACATGATTGCTGCTTTTTTCTCTCTTTAAAGTCGTAATATCGTGGATGTACGTTTTAATTAGAGAGAACCAAGTAGGCAGAAAATAAAAAAGAGTTGTTGAGGGAGAGAGTTAAGATGAGGTTCTGGTTGTCTTTTAGCTCACCACCAGCTTCTCCACAGCTGCAACCGGGGCTTTCGGTTCGTGACAGGGGTTTTGGCCGAGGTCCAATTCCCCCATTTTATGAAGCGTTCTCTGCACCAAAGATATCAATCAAACGTCGATATAATACAAGGAGTCGTTCAATATCAGTTGTTACTCCTCTTTTTGAATGAAACGTCTTTCCGTATCCTCGGGCACCGAGGCTCGACGTTCTCTCTTTGCGTTTCAGTGGGGAGCATCATAAGATATCTCTAATCTGAAGTTTCACTGAAGGACAAACTCAGTTACGTGAAGAAGTCTTTGTATTGCCAGGAGATCTTGAGATATAAAAGCTACCAAAGCCAGACTCCAGCCTTGGCCCTTTCTGAGTCCATTCAGTCAGCGACTCTCAAAACCAGAGCTATCAGAAGACCGTTCCTAACCCAAAAATCCATTCTGGCCCAGTAGTGAAAAGTTCTTCAGACTGTCTGCCCGCAAAGCTACTTCAATTTGCGAAACACAAGCTCAAGAGTCGCATTGGAACGGACAAGTGTAGTTTGTTGCGTAGCCGTACGGCGAGAAGCCCACAGCAATAGTGACACAAGTATTGCCCGGGCTAAACGTATCAAACTCCGTCGTTCCCCAAATGAAGCTCAACTTGCCAGGGTCATTCCACTACAAAATTCCCATCAGCTCCTCTTATTCATACCTCTCTCTTCGGAGCGGAGTTTTAACCTACATTGACCTGGCCATTGACAACAGCAGGATTGGCCGTATTAATGGCAGTGAACTGGTAAGAGCCAATTTTATTCGGAGTAGTGAAGACGGTGCCTGCGGGCAAGCCAGTAGTCTCAATATCTGCTTTGGCAATGCCTTGGAATACACCATCTGCTGTCCAGTTATAGCCGAAGGCTTGAAGGTCGAAGGAGTTGTCGAACCAGCGTTGAGCACTAACGCCTTAAGTGTCAGCATTGTATCTTTCGAAGCGTATATGAAGGGGTTTCTCTTACAAGACAGCACAGGTGTGGAGAGAAGTGCGTGGTTTGAGAGCTTCAACTGGACCTTCGACTGGAACGGCGAGAGACAGGTGTGTTTGGAAGGCGACAAGCAGCAGGGTGAAAAGATTGATTGAGAGCATAGTGAATAATTTGTTGCTGAATGAGTCTTGAAGATGTTGCTCTGAGGTGTTGATGGAGTCGTGCTTGAGGGTATCGTCGGTCAGAAGTGGAGCGTGAAGCTTCAAAGTTTGGGCAAGTCCTCCTTACATACACTATGAGTCTCTTTCAAATGCAGTATTTACCCTCCCCGTATGACTCTACCCTGCAGCATTCACTTGAATTTGCAGTTCACTTACTCCGGCTACTTTATGTTCCTGGCAAAGGAAAAGCAAACAGCTAGTTGAGGAAGGTGGTACAGTTTCTGCTCCTTCACGACTTCAACAAAATCTCAAAATATCTAATTGCAGGGGGCCATATGACGACGTGACGGAGTGGCCGGTCAGCCCGGAACGCAGTGAGCCTAATTCTCTTGTAAATGTTGGGACATGTCAGCAAGAGTCCGGAGACGAAGCATATTTATATAGCAGAGTGATGTGATGACTTCTTGAAACATAACCAACAGCATTGAAGGATTCGAGGGAACAAATTCCTCATTGCTATTGGTAGTAATAAGCAAAGCGTCATCAATGGTGTGTGGAGGTACATGTTAGTTAATGTCGCTTGGGGCGGGTTCCTGCAAGAATATGCAGGGGAAACGGGGCCGAGAGCGACCGAAAACCTCAAAAGTTGGCCATGACCGTGACACGACATAATGCAATGAATGCAAGCAATTCGATGTAAGTTCCTCGTCGATCCGTGACTGGAGGGGTCCGATTTTGTAAACTCCTGCTCATGCACTGGTACCCTCTATCACAACCCGTGCTATCCAATAGAAAGCCGCATGGACCCCAAAGTGTGACCCGTTAGCCGCCATCACCAATACCGATCACAAATTCCTCAATCCGCAAAATAATCCGCCCGCCGTTTCCCATTGCCTTTGGCGCCATGCTTGAAATGTTTCTTACTCGTTAGCATCTTGATGTCGTTGGGATCCAGGTCCTTCTCCAATGCGATCAAAGTCTTCTGCTTTCGGCCTGATAACTGCTTGCCGCTGGCAGTCCCCTGTTGGGAGTACTTGTGATTGAACGGCATTCGTAAATGTGCTGAGTTTCCTTGTCCTTGCGCGAAGAAGGCGTTGTCAAGCTTCTTCGATTTCGGACCTTGCTCAAATGGTACCATGTCCGAATCGGGCACTAAAGTGTGATCCTCCATTGAAGAGTCCATGGCCGCCAAAGCAAGTCGTCTCTTCTCCGGCAGATGACCTTCATCGTAAAGCTCTCGATTGAACTCTATTGGGTCGATGTCTGATGGAGGTGGTTGGCAGAAGAGAAGTTTGCCATTGACATAATCCTTCAAGATATACCGTGCTGCCCTGGATTCATCAGGTTGTCCTTGGCCAGTTCTTGTGAATCCTCTCGCTTTCGCATACGCATTCAGAACTTCCTCTGCTGTTGGTATTCCTGTTCCGCCTTCTTCGAGAGGTCTCGTTATGATCTTCATTCCGTACAAAGCTTCTAGGAAAACTTGTGGTATCCGTTTGGCAACAAGACCAGCTGGACCTGTAAACTCTCTGAGCTGATCAATTGGGAGAATACCGTTGCAAACAAGTTCTGCCTTTGTTGTTGCAAAATTTGGGAACACGAGACCAGGACAGTCACACAACAACACCCTCTCGCTGAGATGAATTGTCTGAAAATGCTTCGTTTTTCCTGGCGTTGAAGAAACCGACACCTTCTTTGCTCCGATCAAAGCGTTAATGGTAGATGACTTTCCTACGTTGGGATACCCAACTAAACCAATTTGAGTCTTTCTCGAGTTCTCAGAATCGGCATCTGGTGTTGTTAGCAAGTCTCCAAGCATTTCTGGTTTCAGAACTTACCAAGGTTGTCGGGAGCATGGAGTAAGAACAAATCTTCCAGCTCTTCTACCGTTAATATTCTGGTGCCTTCATCTTCTCCACCCTCCTCAAATGACTCTCCATCGGCTTGATCATCTTCCTCATCGTTTTCCTCTCTCTCTTCCGCTTCACTATCTTCCTCGCCCTCATCTTCTTCGTCCTCGCTCATGTTCAAAGCTTTGGCCTTCTCTGCCAATTTTGATGCTGATGCTTCGGCCTTCTGTTGGACCTCATCTTCATCCTCCTCAGACTCCTCCTCTAGATCACGAGCTTCGTTCAGTTCTTTTGCTAGACTGGCGGAGAAGAACTTGTACGATATCCCAGCTTCCTGGAAATGATCGGCCCATGCCTTTCGTTGTTCCAAAGTCAACATATCCGCCTTGTTAACTAGTAAAAGGTTCTCTTTCCTCGGATCCACATCCTTCACGTATCTCTCCAAATCCTCAGACCGGAACAATAGCGGATTTCTGGCATCAACAATCTGTACCACGAGATCAGATCTCTCAATAACTCTCCATAATTGTCTCCAAACCTCCAGGTTTCGTTCAAAGGGTGTTATGAGTAAATCGTTGTTTTCCTGCAATTCTGCTAAACCTCTGCGCCACTCTAACAGACTATCTCGCTCCATCCGGTCCAGCTGTTCGGGAGTGGTAGTGGAATCCCAGTGAGGTCTCCTTGGCACCGTAAGCCTATCTTTGTGTGCCTTTTGCTTTCCAACTGCTGCTCGCTCTTCTGCCGCAGATAACAGGTATGGATTCTTCTGATCGGTATGAATAATCTTAACGTTGTTCATCTTTTCGGCCGTGAAATCGGTGCCAGCCAGCTCTGCCGTAGACAAGAACTCGTCGAGAGCAGCCTGCTCAGTAACTGATCGCATTTTGACCCAACTGGCCTCTTTTCGCTCGTTCGTAACATACTATTGCCTGCCGTTAGTCCTCTGCGAAACCCTGACCGGACTAAAACTTACAGTCTCTCCAGTGGCATGGTTTATTCTGTGGATTCCTGCAGATGTGACCTTCTTACGATCTGTGCCTTTGCCTTTTCCAAATCGATCATTCATCAAACTGTATTTCATTAGCAAACGTCGGTAATCATGCTGGAACAATCAAACCTGTTTCCCAGCCCAACGGCATTCTTGGATTTTGCGAGAACCATGATGATTACGGTAGGTTGATATGGTTCGCGTAATGCTGTGAGAGAGAAGGCCTCAGATTCGTCTGAACTGCACCCTCCTGGTCGTGTTTGTATTGTCTATTGTTGTGAGGTGGGGTTGATTATCGAGCATCGACGAGGCAAATCCAAAGTGACGAAATTTTGGATCGCTTGGTTCGACCCCACCAATTTTTGGTTTTTTTTTTTGAATCGTCCTCAAAATCCTCCGAGCCTTCTTTCGACACTCCAAACCACGAAAATACCGTCAAAATGCCTCGAAAGAAGTGGATCGATAAGAAAACTGCGACGCATTTCACTCTCGTTCATCGCCCGCAGACGGATCCTTTGATTCACGATGAGTCGGCGTCTGCTATGGTCCTGAACCCTACGCCCCTCCCGAACTCGAACAAAGTCAAGAAACTCGACGATCTTGCGTCCGAACTTGGCTCCGATGTGGAGAAGATAAGAGAAAACGAGGGCGAGGCTGCGAACTATGGCATCTACTACGACGATTCCGAGTACGATTACATGCAGCATATGCGCGACTTGGGCTCTGGCTCAGGAGAGGCATACTTCGTGGAGGCACCAGCGCCAAAGAATAAGGGCAAAGGCAAACAATCCCTTGAAGATGCATTGAAGGATGCAAATCTTGAGGATCGGACGGGTCCGTTGCTAGATGAGGAGATATTACCGTCGAAGAACTTGAGAAAAGTAACATACCAGGCACAACAAAATATTCCAGATGCCCTAGCAGGCTTCCAACCAGATATGGATCCGCGAATAAGGGAGGTTCTTGAGGCCCTAGAGGACGAAGCCTATGTCGATGAGGATGAGGATATCTTCGGAGAGCTGGCCAAGGATGGAGAGGAGGTTGAGGAGGTTGAATTTGAGCAAGGTGCCTGGGACGACGAGGATGGTGGTTGGGAATCAGATGACACAGCTAAGCCGGCAAAGGAATACAAGGACGCCCCTGAGCTCACAGCGGAAATGGTCGACGATGAACGTGAGGATCATGGTGATGGTTCGTGGATGGAGGATTTCAGTAAATTCAAGAAGGACCAGAAGGCTAAGGCCACGCCCATGGCACCCTTCCAATCGGATCTACAGTCTTCGATCATGACTACTACAACAAATGGTGGCCGACGGAGGAAGAGAAAAGGTGCTTTGACCAATCCATCGAGCTACTCAATGACCTCGTCCTCAATGTTTCGCACTGAGGGTCTCACTACTTTAGATGCAAGGTTCGAGAAGATCGAGGAACAGTACAATGAGGATTTCGACGACATGGCCTCTGTCTCTGCTGCATCTTCCACCGTTTCGAGCGTCCAAGGACCTGTCAGAGGTGACTTTGACAGCATCATAGATGATTTCTTGAGCAATTACACTATGAGTGGGAAGAAACATGTGAAGAAAGGGAAGTACCAGAGTGGAATGGAGCAACTCGATGAGGTTCGTAAAGGTCTTGGACCAGCAAGAATTCGCAGTCAAAAGGCATGATGCTGTCAGTGTTCTGGGCGTTCAGAGAGGCAGAATAGCATAGGATGGCGTACTGTGTGGTTAAAGATACCGTGGTACTTGGAGATTTGGGACCGGAGCTAGTTTGTAGTTATTCGCCTTAGCTGAATTGAGAATAATATTGATCGCATGCTCCAGAGATATATAATTCGCATATTCTTGGCACTTTTTCTCGCACCCGCTCTTAGTCTTCAGCCGGAATTTGAATTTCAATCGATTTAAGTCCTGCTCTCACCTTCTGCGGCTTTATATTCCCCCCACCACGCAACAATCACCAGGTAAGAGCATATTCGATAAGACGAAAATAATTCTACTACCATGAATGGTACTCGCCCTGGCTCCAACAATGTCCCTTTCCAGAGGCGGTGTACAATGTGCGGCAGAAATCGGCTAAATTAGGGTTAGTTAAAAATCCCAGCATTGTGATCAGATTGTTGCATCTGCACAATAGTAAACAAAGAACGTCACAATAGCTCGACTCCCATCCACTTTTACGGCGGAATTCTTCTACATGGTCTCCTCTTCTCGTCCTCAAACCTCCTCCTCATGATCAACAACAAGAACGATGCTGCTCCGAGGCAGTAGCTCCCGCAACGCGCGCGGGTTCACGCCAAACCGTTCTTCAAATCGATCAAGAGGTCAAGGTTCGACGAGTCGAGGAGCTTCAAGCTCCTCCAGTAAGTCCAAGCATGAATCTCCAATCCCTACTGGTTCTCGGGCAATGCACGATAGCTCCAACACATACCGTACGAACTATCGGGGCAGAAATTCTAAGAACAGATACTCAAAGTACAAACGCACAGGCACGTCATCGGGTCCCAATTCCCCAAATCCTTTCGAGCAGGAGAGGGCCGAGAATGCTGCGAAGCGAATACAGAGGGGTCAAAACGGCACGATGCTCAACGGACGAGGCGGCAGAGGATCTTCTCGAGGTGGAGGACAGAATGATAGGACAGTCCGCCTCGATCCTACAGAGCCAAAACCAAACCCTTTCGCGGCAGCACCAGCAATCACAAATCCCTTTGCGCCAAAAGCTATGGCGACCGCGTCGCCCTTCGGATCACCGAGCACCTCTGCATACAACCCTTTTGCGCCGAAACCAGCAACAAATCCTTTTGCGCCAAACCCTGTGGCCAATCCTCCTGCTCCAGCATTCTCGTCACCGTTTGGATCACAGCGCACAGCCAAAAATTCAATCAACAGCTCGACAGATTCAAATTTCTCAAAGCAGTCGAGGCCCGGCAACGGCATGAATATTACCAGTTCACCCGGGAAGCCCACAACCTCGAGAGTTCCAGATATACACGGTACATTAGCAGAAAAGATCCACCATGTACTGTCGAGAGAGAGGATATTTGCCCCAGCCTGGCCTGCAGCACAAATCGGCGCGAAATACAACGATCCAACAATGATCAAGTTGCACAATGACTACAAAGCCTACCGGACTCAGGCGCGTGCCGCCCTCATACGAGCTGGCCTCTTGGACGATCCAGACAAGCCCAAAAAGCTTAGCGAAGCACTCGAATTCAAAGGCACTTGCGAAGATATGTGCCCTGATTTCGAAAGAGTATCCCGAATAATGGACCTAAGAATCGACCCAAACGAAAGAGAGGGAAGCCTTCCTTCTCAAACCAAAATGGTCAAAGCTTTGGCCAGATCCGCTGCTGGCCAGGATGCCCCATTACCAAGTGACATCAGGACCGTAACGGCATTGAGGAGAACTGTTGACCACCTCTTCCACGATATTCTCGACAATCACGAACTTCCAGACGTTCACAGCTTCCTTTGGGATCGAACGCGTGCTATTCGCCGAGACTTTGTCTTCCATTCTTCAATGACACCCACGGAACTCGTCGACCAAGTCTACTGTTTAGAGCACATCACTCGATTCCACGTCACGGCTCTACATCAAATGTCGAAGGAGAACCTGAGCTCGGACAAATTTTCTGAACAACAAGAACTCGAGCAACTTGGCAAAGCCCTGTTATCTTTGGTCCATACATATGAGGATTGCAAAGCCCAGCGAGTTCCATGCGAAAACGAGGCAGAGTTCCGGGCTTATTACGTGCTCTTCAATAGCCACGATCCTGGGATCCTAGATACAGTACAGACGTGGGGATACAAGTTTTGGAATGAGTCGGAGGACATCAAGATTGCCATCGAACTTGTTGAAGCTCTTCAGAATACCTGGGAACTACACGGACCTTTAAAACCTCATTCAACAAACAATCTCGCTCAGAACGGATTCTCAAGATTCTTCACCATCACCGAGGACCGGAAGATATCATACACACTTGCTTGCTTCGCAGAAATATACTTCAACGACGTCCGAAAGTCCGCCTTGAAGACCATTCTAGGTTCGTATCGCAAGCAACGGGATCAGACCAAAGATTGGACCATGTCGAGATTAAACACATATTTACGCTTTGATACTGAGGAAGAGGTTGCCCCTTTTCTAGAAGCCCATGGCCTCCGGACAGACGAAATTGATGGCGAGGAGTACTTGTCATTTGAGGTCACTGAGGTCTCAGATCCCTGGCCAAAGTTGAAGCAGACACACTCAGAAAACATTGTTGAATGGAAGAGAGGAAATAATTCTCTAAGTCAGGTCATTGACAGCACTGTTTTCGATGAGTCTGTACCAGAAGATGGAGATGAAGCTGAAGCGGAGGAGGAGGAGGAGGAGGAGGAGGAGGAAGGGCTATTTGTGAAGGACTACTCAACACCAGCACAACCTTTGCCTGAGCGAGTGCCAAATTTGGAAGAAGCTTCAGAGGTTGTTCCAAATCCTGCCGCGGATCAACCAGCACCTGTCCAAGACAGCGCACCGAAGTCCATCTTCGAGCGGATGGGAAGTCGTGCAAGCTTTAGCAATGCTTTTTTCGCCCCGGATGCTTCTGAAAATTCGTCAGAAGCCCAGCCAACGCCACCAAAGCCGGAATCCGTTTCAATATTTGAAAATCTACCAACGACAAAGTCACCGGTGGTTTCATTTACTCAACAGCCTTCTCAAGCATCAACGACAACGACAACGCCAACGGTGGTTTCATTTACTCAACAGCCTTCTCAAGCATCAATGACAAGGACAACGCCACCGGTGTTCTCATTCACCCAAGAGCCATCGAATCAACAGCCTCCCGGAGAATCAATGACAAGGACAACACCACCAGCGTTCTCGTTCACCCAAAAGCCATTAACTCCAGCGCCCCTTCACGAATCAAATACAATAACGACACCGCCAAAGGGTTTCTCGTTCACCCAACAGCCTCCTGCAAATTCCGACACAGTTTCGACATCTCCTCCAAAACTCAGTGTCTTTGAAGGTGCGGCTAGCGAAGCTAACCCTTTGTTCGGCACGAAACCGCCTGCACCTATCGACCGATCAAAGGGATATGATACTCTCTCAAAATGGATGACTCTTGGAGAAGACGGCCTTATAGACCAGTTTACTGCCTTCCAGGTTGAAGAAATTCTACGCCAAACTATGCAGTCATTCATGGAGCAAGAGGCTGAACGAGCCGCTCAGGAGGCCGATGATATGGCTCGAGTGGATGCCGATCGTTTCAGGTACCGCTCTCTAGCCACCAAATACGGGTACAGATGGCGGGAGTTGGCACAACGATTATGGATGAAGAGAAAGGGGAGAGAAGCTCGACAAGCGCGCCGCGAAATGGCAGAGAGTATGAAGGCATCAAAAGCAGCCAAATCAGCCAACATTGTCGAGGATTTCAAAGCCTCTAACAACCGTCGGAGAGAAAGCTTGGAGAGCTTATTACAGGCTACAGGCGTCTTGAATGGTGTTCACGATCCGCAGCACGAGATCCGTTCGATAGTAAGAGCCGAGAATCCCGAACCCTCCCTCAAGAGACAGCGCTCGGAACGATCTTCGACCAGCATCGCTTCGACCGCGAATCGACACAAACGTGGAAAGTCAGACAACCCACTGCGTCGATCGCTACTCTCCGACCCATCCTACCTGAATGGAGACTCCCGGATACACCTTATGGCGAATTATGGTGCACAAGAAGAGGGTCGACGACAAGTCAGCGGAGTTCAAACTGATTATTTTCGGCTGAAGGCAAGGGGCATTACAACTCTGCCAGATGGAACACCACTTGCGAATTCAGTGGCTAAGAACATCATACATCAGAAGCGGTCTTTTGATGGTGTCCAGAAATCAGCTACGCCACAGCCATTTAAACCCCAGCCCGTGGCGAGAAGTGTCCCAGTGAAATTTGCGACCCAAACGCAGAAGTTGGTTAATGGGAACGATCGGGAAGATTTGAAGGAGTTGAAGATAAAAGCAAAGGCTTTTGTTTCGGAGGAGAAGAAGGCCCGGCAGAAGCGAGCTTTCATGGATGATGATGAAGAACTCTTTGAAAGAGCGAAGAGGGTCAGGGAACAGATGGACGAAGGCGCGAAGTGGTATAGGAAGGAAATCGAGATGGAAACAGCAAGTCGGAGTATATCTTGATTGTAACGAAATAGCATTTGGCGGCGTTTATGGGAAGCTTGGTAACATCTGTCAGCAGCATTTGACAGCGGAGTTTTAAGGAAGAAAACCATCAGAAAGGCGTTTAAGGCGTTTGGAATTTGTATATAGCGGATGATACCCCTCTGCTTGGGTAGGAGAATGAGAACACCGCTCCGTGAAAGGGGCTATGATCTTCAGAAATGCTCCCGAATTTAATGTGTCCGCCTCAGTCTTGGGAATTTTACAAACAGCATGTGTGACCCGAACATTCGGGAAGATGTATTGCGGTTTTCATATAAACATCCTTCAGTGCCGACTTACCTTGCTGTATGACGCGAACATGCCCTGGAAATCGACAGGGGTTTAATATCATCACGTGCGGATATGGGGCGCGGCTAGGCCGTTTTGGAGCTAGCCCAGCTTCCTCCACTATCAAATTTTAGCGTGGGTAAAAATTAAGCAGAGCTCTCAAAATATTCCGAGTCCAATGCAGAATTCGACAACTCTACTCCACAAGGACGACAAGGAAAAGGGTACCTAGGAACTGCGTCAGTTGCCAATCGTGAAGATGGCTATGGTTGTGGCGCAAAAAGAAATCGATTATACCATCAAGCCTGAAGCTGTGACTCCAACGGTCGATACCAGCTCATGGCCTCTGCTGCTCAAGAACTATAACAATTGTACAAGCGCAACCTGCAATTATTAAAAAGCAAAACTGACAGCCACTTCTAGTACTTGTTCGCACTGGTCACTTTACGCCCATTCCCAATGGCTGCACACCTCTCAAGCGGGATCTCAAGTCGTACATCAGCTCTGGTGTTATAAACCTCGACAAGCCCTCGAACCCTTCCAGTCACGAAGTCGTTGCATGGGTGAAGCGTATGCTCAGGTAAAGGTCTTTCGCCCAGGTTCCTCGATATAGTATACTAATTTCATGTCAGAGTTGAGAAGACTGGCCACAGCGGTACCCTCGATCCAAAAGTGACGGGATGCTTGATCGTTTGTATCGACCGTGCAACAAGACTGGTAAAATCGCAACAAGGAGCAGGAAAGGAGTATGTGTGCGTTATCCGATTACACGATAAGCTTCCCGGAGGAGAGGCACAATTCGCACGAGCTCTTGAGACATTGACGGGTGCCCTGTTCCAACGACCACCTTTGATCTCGGCCGTCAAGCGGCAATTGCGTATCCGAACTATTCACGAGAGCAAGCTATACGAATTCGACAATGATAGACACTTGGGCGTTTTCTGGGTCAGCTGTGAAGCAGGAACATATATCAGAACGCTTTGTGTTCATTTGGGACTGCTCTTGGGCGTTGGAGCTCACATGCAGGAACTGCGACGAGTGCGAAGTGGTGCTATGGATGAGACGAAGGATATGGTCACACTGCATGATGTGTTGGATGCACAATGGATGCAGGATAATACTCGGGACGAGTCGTATCTTCGGAGAGTGATCGCACCTTTGGAGACGCTTCTTACCACATACAAGCGAATTGTGGTCAAGGACAGTGCGGTCAATGCAGTATGCTATGGAGCTAAGTTGATGATTCCAGGTCTGCTTCGATATGGTAAGTTGAAACGGAATTTTGGGCAATGCCAGTGCTAACACGAAATTCAGAGGCGGGTATCGAAGTTCATGAGGAAGTTGTTCTGATGACGACGAAGGGAGAAGCGATTGCTCTTGGCATCGCACAAATGTCGACCGTTGAGCTCTCAACATGTGACCACGGAGTAGTGGCCAAGGTCAAGCGTTGTATCATGGAGCGTGATCTCTATCCAAGAAGATGGGGTCTCGGCCCAGTTGCCTTGGAAAAGAAGAAGATGAAGGCCGATGGTAAACTTGACAAATACGGCAGACCAAATGAGGCTACACCTGCGAAGTGGAACACAGAGTATAAGGACTTCAATGCTCCGCTAGAGGGCTCGGCTCCAGCTCCTGTTGCTGAGATTCCTTCCAGTGCTCTGACCCTCCCTGCCATTGAGTCTCCCGAAGCCGACGCCGACGTGTCCATGGTCAGCAACGGGGTCAAAGACAAAAAGAGAAAGCGCCATGAAGGCGAGACAGCAGAGGAGAAGGCAGAGAGAAAGCGAAAGAAGAAAGAGAAAAAGGAGAAGAAAGCGAAGAAGGAAGGTAAGAAGGTTGAGGAGAGTGATGACAGCGAATAAATCCGGAATTCGGTACTCGCTTGCTGGCTCCCAGGATATGACTTGCGGCTTGCATAGGCTTCTTTGCCAGGCGTTTTGTTTGTTGTATCATACTTTCTGCAGGATAGTTGCAGAGTAGGACAGGCTAAAATGGAGTTTCTAGGTTTCTCTTCAACCGTTTCTCCATTTTGCAGTCGGTCAACAGTGAAGAGTCGGGCCGGATACTGATTCGGATCTAAAATTGCCAAAGACCTCATAGATTTTTCAGATGAAGTTTCATCAACCCTTGAAGAGAATGCTCAAGACAGGGTCAAGCGACACAACCCCTTTAACAAATGCAAATCATTCTGAAGTAATTCAGCTCTAGTCTGTTCTTGCCTTTCCGTTTTGAATTTCTGATATTCAGAGAGTCACCATCACGGCTTGAGCCTCGGGCATTCTGGTTGGTCTCTTCATTGCGGCTGAGGCTCCGCCACCTTAGACAACGCAGCTGCTCTCGTCCCTTCCTACCTTCCCGCTCTTCATCACCCAGCCACTTCACTTTAGCCTTGCAGCAAACGACGGCTTCATGAAGGATCCCGGAGACAGGCAAGCCTGTACCTATCTCCATACGACACAGTTTTAATAACTTCTAGCGTAGCACGATTTCAGCTCCGCCTTCGTTCTCAGCCTTACGGATTCCTCACGCCAGCCCCATATCCAACTTTTCCAGCACAGCCAAAAGGGAGTTAAAAAAATACTGTTCCGTTCAAAACGCCTGAAGTTCCTGCCTATCTTCAAATATACCCCTCTCGATTCTAGTTGAAATGAGATCCGCCTGATCGCTCTACACCACGGACTAATGAGGATACTCGCAAGCGGACCACTTATCTCTTGCTCGATCGAACATGTTTCGCTAGACGTACAGCCCAAGTATGTGGCTCTTTCGTATTTGGTATGTTGCACATTGTCAAATCATTCTTGTCAGCCAAGTGGAATAATTCTTCTACAATTAAACATCAGTCCATTAAGGGCGGCGGCACTTGCGAGCTTCAACAGATCTCAGGATGACGTGGGAGGTCCACACTTCCAGATCTTTCTTACTTTACTATGTTGCATCTTGTATAATTTTCTACACTCTCTGGGAATGGCATTTAGGGTTGGCTTCATGTTGCTGGCATCGCCCCTTTTCTAAGCGAGTGGTGACTGTGCGACCATTAAGTAGGGAGATCTAGATATCACACGCCATATCTACATTGACAAAAAACTATTCTTTGTCACAGAGAAACTCTGGCAGGCGCTTTACAATCTGGAAAAGTGGGAGCCCCTGCTGGCACTTCATCTGTTTTCTGGACAGGCGCCATTTGCATCAACCAGACAGATGATGATGAACAAACAGCCCCCGATTCATGAAAGATATATATAATTGTGCAGAATGTGTTCTAGCATGATTGGGGGCATCGGATGAACATGGCGAATTCGTTCCGAAGAAACTGGAGGCTGCTGGACAACACATTCGTCGCAGGAGGGCTGAACAGAATTACACAATGAGCGAAAATAACGATTCTTGGGTTTGGGTTTACGGCAAAAATCTTTCCATGAGCTTCACCGATGACGACCGTGACCTGCCGCTCCACCTCATGAGCCATACCTTCTATCGGGGATTTTGGCAGAGAGCCTAGATAGTCAAAGAGATATCCCTCGCACGTAGTCTGTTCTTGATTTGCGGGCCATCTTTTTCGATTGGAGGTCCTTCGCCATAGCCTGCCTTTTTCTCCGTGATCTCAGACTCCACTCTCTTGATGCAGTGAGGCAAGGGGAACCTACCAAGATGCAACCGTTTTCTCACGGGTTCCTCAAATAACGTTCATCAAAACCAGAGCAGGTTTTGATTCAACTCCCGCAAGTGGAACACTTCGAGAACTGCTTCTGGAGAGAGTCCCACACGGATTATTCAGTGGCTGTTTGAAAAGTGGAGGTCCGAGAGACATAATATTTGCGTTTCTAGGTTTGTGCGCTGATTCAGAGAAGCTTGGAATATATGCGGACTACCCCAAGCCATGTGGGTCAATCTATATTCAACTCATCAAGGCTCTTCTGAGTTCAAGGGCTCTCGGCATTCTCTCCCATTGTCAGTTCCCCAAATGTCAAGGTGGCCTGTCTTCTTGGACCCCAGACTGCTCCCAGCCAGGCGAAAGAGACCTTATCGATTACTCTAACCATACAATCAACGAAAATTCCTTCTGAGCTTCAAATATATCCTTCTTATCCTTAACCTTCTTCACTGCAGACGATTTTGGGCCCAGACTGTGGATTTCTGGGACTATTGTGGGAACTATCTGCAGGAAGGCAGACCATGTCAATGCCGTCAAGTGATCCCAACATTTCGGCAATTCAATAAGTTCATAGCAGGACTAAGAGATCTAGTCCGATAGAGCAAGGATCATTCCGGTTCTCAAACGAAACGACACAAGGATATATGGAGAATCTCGATCATCAATCCCGCATCGCATAGGGAAGGATACGCGTGGAAAATCAAAGAGGCCACATCATTCATGTATGTTTTGTCTCGTGCTCTACATGGTCTCAGTAGCGCACCCAATTATTTGGCAGATCCAAAGAAGCGGCACGAAGAGGTTGGATTTTTATACCACCGAACGACTAGTAAGTTCCATCTGCGTTGGTGAAGCCGGAGGCATTAAAGGTGCCTCCAGCGCTGAGGGGGCAGGCAAGAGGTGTGGCTGCTGCTGTGTATGGTCCTGGAACGGTATCCATCGTTGCAGCCCCCACGCAATGTTGCGAGGAGCGTTTGTTGCTGAGTAGTAGAGTACGCATGTTGAAACTATTTTCTGGATATCAGGGGCCAGACGTTTTGGCTATTTTGACCAGTCTCCTGGAGTAGCGAGGTCATCTGGGAGTACAGTCCATGGCCCGCTTGGAGATGTAGCCTGGGCTACTTGGGCGTTCGTGGCGAATGCATGCCAGGTCTTGTCTGAATCCTAGAAGACGGCGGGGTCGGGGAAATCCGCGTTGATTATTGCGGTGATGGTTGTTGCTCTTCGCTGGAGGAGCGAAATTGGAGAACTTGAGACGAGTCCGAGTAAGAGAGTCGCCGAGAGAAGGGAAGAGAGGACTGATCATGACTGGTCTGAGGTTTGTCAGTGACTGTCGTAGCAGGCCGGATGGGAATCTTCATACCAATGACGAAGAGTTTTTATATAAACGTTTGGAAGGAACAATACGAAATAAGAATTGAAACACATAAAGGTAAGATTACATGAACTGAAGAAGGATCGCTATGATGTATTCTCGATTCCACCCTCGCCTTCCGCATCAGCCTCAATATAACATAATCAGGTCAGCTGGACCCTGGCCATCCTACTCTTTCACCTTGACCACCTTGGTCAACGTCCAGATGGCTTCCCAACGCGGGATGATCCTCATCGGTCCCGTTGCGACGCCCCTGCACGAGCCGAGTTTGAGGTCTGGTGTAAAGGCTCCTTTAGGTGGGTATTGGGGTAACGTTACTCTCAATAGTTTCATTTCTTCCTTGAGCCAAATCATTCTGCAGTCATTTGTTTCAGCATGAAGATTGGAAATTAATTCAAGATGTCTTGGGTCACGGCAAGGGGACCTGCGGCTCGCCCCCATGAATACAAGAATGACACTATCTTAAACCCTCACCACCCCCCAAGACAGCACAGTAAGACGGCAAATACTCTCAAATGTATGAAAGCCCTATCGTGGGTTTGGAGGCAGCTTCTATGCCAATGAAGTTATTGAAACACTCTTCCAACATCCACTCAGAAATGCAAGAAAAATTGCGTCTGCTAGGCAATGATTCATCTCAAAGAATGTGATGTATTTCTATCTAGACCAATTCGAACTTCTCCATTTGATATTCGCCACGCTCAAATGCTTCTATGCCTTCCCCAAACATCAGGCCGTGCACATAACATTCCCCCATGAATCTGAAGTATTCTCCCTCAGGTCTCAGCACCACCGGCATCCGACACCCAAACAACAGACACACCAGGTCTCCCCGTCTACTCAGCTCGAGCGCCATCCCAACATGCCCCTTCTCGGTCGTCACCATCCTCCTCCCGAAATTCGCCGACCCCCAACTCCCAGAGAAATCTTTCCACATCGGCATCTGATCGAGGGGGGTCCCTGAGGCCGCCCCTTCGACCTCGATGTGGGTCGGCGTGAACAACTCGGCCCACTGCCGGACAGAGCGGCCGGCGAAGACGGCATCGCGGTTGTATTTGTACCACGTATTGAACGGCCATGCTGGATCTTCGGGGGTAAACACGGAGGTTATGCTCGAAGGCTTGTTGATGTCGAAAGCGACTTCTGTTCCCTCTTCGATAAGCCTCAGATGCTGTCTTTCAGCAATGCAACATTGTCTTGCAAAGTACTCGCCGAATTGAGGGGGCGCTTCGTAGCTCCCTTCTGTTGTGTTGTAGATGTTGAGTCCAGCTACGAAGCTTCGCCAGAGCGCTTCATATGTCTTGTCTTCGTCTCCGTAGGCTGTGGCTTCTGAGTGGGCTTGACGGGTAAGCTCGAGATTGAAACGGGATCCAGATTCGCCAGGAAAGACGCCATCAACTACATCAAGGCGGATTCCCGAAATCCGGATAATTCTGGCGTTTGAGGAGAGCCTTGCGTATGCTGCTTTCGTCCCCGAGGCACAAAACTGAGGCTTTGATTGAGGGGGGAGGATCAAGAATGTGTTCAGTCTGTGGATATTCCTGAAATAGCTCGAGGTCATGTCTGGACACCAACTTGGAAAGTTAGCATGGAAGCCGCCGCCCCGAGTGTTAGGCGGTCGGTTGACGATCAGGCTGAGGAAGTCCAGATCCTCTGTCTCAGTCGCCAGGTTCCCGAACGCCCTCCTATGAACCTCTTCCACTGGTAGCTCATAGTTGGGTCGCGGGCAAACGAGGTTCCCGTCTAGAATAATCCCCAGTAGTCCATAGATCTTGTCCCTTTTATCAGTGCAGTCGTTGCCTCCAACATTATCAAAGACGTTAACTATACCCAGGTTATCCTTCTGTCGTCGAATAGTAGTGATCCGAGAGATCTTCCTCGCACAATCACGAATTTTTGCGTTTTCCCCCTGATCTTGGACGTGGGTCTTGAGCTCATCCAATAAGTTGGAAGTATAGTGAAGAGAGTATTCCAACTGCGTCCAGGTCATCGACGCCGTTCCACAGAGAACGAGTGCTTCCTTTGCAAGCACGATTTCTTGAACGACCCAGATCCTGTTCCACCAAGCTCGTACCAGAAAACTAGCCATGGCCTTCCATTCTGCCGAAAGGTCGTTGTTCTTCGTAAGATTCCTGAACCATTCAATCTCCCCGCCACGGGGACAGTTGTCGAACACCAGTTTGAGAAACCTGACAGCGTCATCACCGCGATTTGACGCAGGCCCCAACCAGATCACAACTTGGTTGGCCTTCTGGTATATTCTCCGCATCCTGAGAACTTGCGCATTTCGCTCGTAGACATCCTTCTGGTTGATGCAGATAGCATCAATCCAGATCTGACGGCTCTCAGCCTGTTTTCCACGTGCGGATTGAAGAAAGGTCGCAAGATTGTTTCCTATTTCGAGACATTTCCCGTTGACAAGCAGATTATGTTTCAGGTCTCTTTGTGCTTCTGAGTATAATTTTGGGTCGTGCCAGGCATAGGAGAGTGCATCGTAATCGGACCCATCTTCTAGGGCGATATGCTCCAGGCGGCACTCGAGCGTGCTGGCATCAACGCCAGGCAGGATACGGAGAACTCGAATCTCATTCTTCTGCTCATCGAGAGGGGAGTACTCGAAGGGGGTAGTTGAAGCGGCCGCCATTGGAAGCGATTAAAACATACATGAACGGAGAACAACGACGACGAGAAACGACTTTCGATTTCCGGTGTCCGGAACGTTTGGGAGATAGGGTCCGAAGTTAGTGCCACTTAGATTCGGCTCGGGGCGGTGCCGCCTTTTATCGGTGGATGCTGTGCGCGGGCAGGTGGCATGTGTTGGACTTTAAAGCGCTCAATCATTTCATTGGGCGCTGGCCCTGCCTCTCGCGCTGCTGTACGGAGTATGCCTGCGTGACCGGGGACCACAGGGCTGGGACACCGCGACAGGGTACAAATTTGGCACTGATTGGCGGCTGAAAGCCCCCAAATCATTGCAAATGTAGTGGTACAAAGGCACCGTGCACTGACAAACAAATACAACTCAAACAACAAAACATCATTTATTTGACCCCACCAGTGCGAAGTGTGTATTATACATTTGTGGCGTTCAGTTTCCACCAAGTCGGTGCCCTGAGCCCCTGCTTTTCCATGACTCCGGAAGCACGTTATCAGAGCCGGAGTTTGCTCGCTGAGGCTGCGCAAATGCAGTTCCATAAGGTTTGTGCTCGACTGTGGCATGGGGTTTTGCAAAAATATTTCTGATGAAGGTGGGTGTCGGAACCAGATTGAAGCCACCTCCAAACTCTGGCCATAATCGTGTCAGGAAGTCGTGGAGATGAGCTGCGATAAGGCCAGTTGCCTGAACTTTTGCTGCTGAGGGTCCATTTGTGACGAGCGTCATGAGAAGCATAGCATGTGGGATCCATTGAGCTGGGATTGTGACGATGAAGAAGTTGGCCTTCATGCCTCGGTCGTCTTGAGTCGATGTGTAGGCGAAAGCCAGTACAAGACAGGATGTAAATACCATTCCGCCTGTGATGAAAATGTTCAAGCCCTGTTCTGTTTGTTAGACGTATGCTCATAACATGATGCATCGACCCAGTGAAACAAGATAAATTCAATGATCAATGAAATGTAGGGAGTCACAACCACCCGAGTGAAGTTGACGAATCGACACGAGTTTTCTCAAAGGAACTTCCCACCATGCCTACACCGCGAACTGACCCTTTGGATTGATTGCGAATGACGGGCCAGCCGAAGTGCAGGGGTAATCTTCCTCATCTCCAGGAACCGCGATAGTGGGGGGAATTGCACTATGCGGGCAGATAATGTGAGGTGCCAAAGAAAATAGAGCGGACGCAAAGAGAAAATGCCTACCAAGATTGTCAAGCACACAAACAGAACGTATGTCATGAAGTCTCCTGGCTGCGAGAATCTGGGGGAAGATGTCTCAAGCTTGCTTCCATATGTGTACACTTCGTGACGTTAGCCAGGTACTGGCATGTGCACAACCCCAAGGCGAATCTTACGGAAATACGTGTCGAAGAGGATGCTCAGGTCTTTTCCCGTTATGAGAAACGATGTGACGAGTCTCCACAGCTGTGGCGGAAATTGCAAAATATATGGAGTATGCCATATCACATAATATCCTGGCAACATGCCCGTGTAGACTCCAATCGAGAGGAAGAAGGCCGAAGCAGCCAGAGTCCTGCTCTGAGTCAATATCAGCACCAAAGGGGTAGTGCGGGGTACGGTGAAACAAACCTCGAGATGGGCGGAGCTGCCCAGAACATATCCATTGCCGACATAATTGCGTTTGAGTGATGGTGATGCGACGACGAAGCGGTAGAAGCTCGCGAGGTGAGAAAGACAGAAGTCGAAGAGTTTTGAAAGCGTGTTCTCTCCGTTGGATCAGTCAGCACTTTCTGTGCCTCACTAAGCCAATTGACGTTAAGCGCTAAAACGCCCCGATGACGGCCCGCATTTTAGTAAAACCCCGCCAAAATTATTTCACTCCGTCTGAGTCTTTCGGTGAGAGCCGTTGATCTCTTCAATTCACGTACTTAACATCTCTTCACCCTCTCCTCTCTTACTCCAAGGAAGAGCAATCATGACAGGGTCGAAGTAGCAACCCCAGTTCTCAGCACTCCTGCTTCTGTCTGACAATTTCGCAGGAAAGTTCTCATGCTTGGTGCAGGCTTCGTGACTAGACCAACGCTTGACATTCTCAGTGATGCAGGCATTGAAGTCTCCGTTGGTATGACAAGAGATTTCAATACCTTCACTATATTCTACTAATAATTTCCCAGCTTGCAGAACTCTGGAATCGGCTAAGAAGCTCTCTGCCGGTGTGAAGAACGCCCACCCGATCTCCCTCGACGTCACAGACGACAAAGCTCTTGATGCTGAAGTTGCAAAGAACGATTTGGTCATCAGCTTGATCCCCTACACCTTCCACGCAACAGTCATCAAGTCTGCGATTCGAAACAAGAAGAACGTCGTGACAACCAGCTATGTCTCCCCCGCGATGCTGGAATTGGAAGAAGAAGCCAAGAAGGCCGGCATCACAGTCATGAACGAAATTGGCCTCGATCCTGGAATCGACCATTTGTACGCTATCAAGACGATTGAGGAGGTACACAGGGCTGGAGGAAAGATCCTGTCATTCTTGTCATACTGCGGTGGTCTTCCCGCCCCAGAAGCTTCAGACAACCCTCTTGGCTACAAATTCTCCTGGTCATCACGCGGAGTTTTGTTGGCATTGAGAAATGCAGCAAAATACTACCAAGACGGCAAGGTTGTGGACATTGCAGGAAAAGATCTTATGGGTACAGCAAAACCATACTTCATCTACCCCGGCTACGCCTTCGTCGCCTACCCAAACCGCGATTCTACACCCTACAAAGAACGCTACAATATCCCCGAAGCGCAGACCATCATCCGCGGCACCCTCCGTTATCAATGTTTCCCAGAATTCGTCCGCGTTCTGGTTGACATGGGTTTCCTCTCCGATGAAGGAAAGTCCTTCTTGCAGGAACCAATTTCCTGGAAGGAGGCAACGCAGAAGATTCTCGCAGCCACCTCGTCCAGCGAGCCAGATCTCAAATTGGCAATCGCGTCGAAAGCCTACTTCAAAGACACCGAAGAGAAGGAGCGCATCCTCGCTGGTCTGCGCTGGGTAGGTATCTTCTCTGACGAGAAAATCATTCCTCGTGGAAATCCTCTCGATACCTTGTGTGCTACGCTGGAAAAGAAGATGCAGTTCGAGAAAGACGAGCGAGATTTTGTTATGCTGCAGCATAAATTTGAAATCGAGAATAAGGATGGGAGCAAGGAGACGAGAACCAGCACGCTAGTCGAGTATGGTGATCCGAAGGGGTACTCGGCTATGGCCAAGCTGGTCGGTGTCCCGTGTGGTGTTGCGGTGAAGCAGGTGCTTGACGGGACAATCTCCGAGAAGGGGATCTTGGCTCCCATGTCTTCGAAAATCAACGACCCGCTGATGGAGGAGCTGAGGAAGTACGGGATCTTCTTGGTTGAGAAGACCATCTCATAGACGCCACTCTACCCTTTCTCTTCATGTCATGAATGAAAACAAAAACAATGAATGATAGAAAATAGAGAAATGATTTCACGTAAGCATGTCATGAATATCGTTCTGTCTCTTGAACTTTCAGATTCTAATTTGTATTTCTATACTGTTTTCTCTTTCCATCATATCATTGCCCCGCAACCCCTGCATCCAGCCTCCCAGAAAGAAAGGAGGGGAAGTCTAGCAGCCACCCAACTCTCCATCGAGACGACAGCGAGTGTCCAGATCACTGCTCGATGGCTGGTTGGCATCATACCCGTTTTCATCCAGCTCGCAACGCCTCCTTCCAAGCTCCCATGACAACTAGAAATGGGAGGGAAGTCCGAGGTTTGCCAGCTGGCGAGCACATGCTCATCCCACCCTATCTCATCATCGAGAGCAATTCGATTTGAGATAAGGTGGTCTGATGGCTTTCTTTCCACCCCCGCTTTCCCCCTTCCGCGAGCACATTTCTCGCAGCCCCTCCATCCACGCTCCCACATCCCTTGGGAGGGACGTCTGAGGCTGCCTCGCTCGAGTCGAGAGGGCGAGTAAGTTTCCAAGTCACTCGTCGTGGTGAGGCCGTGCGGGCCAAGCGAGCGGTGAGATCTGCGAGCTCCAATCCACGGCGTCCTCGAACGCGGCTCCAGGATTCGGCGAGGTCGAGATGGAGATGGGTTTGATGCCCATGTCCACGCCCACCAGCCAGCTCGCTAACCCCGCCTTCCACGACTCCCAGACGGCTAGGGAGGGAAGGCGCAGGTCCGCGAGCATGTGTGAGGGCTTGGTGCTCTTATTTAGTTGTGAGGGAGAGAGTGTGTGTCCAGATAGATCAACTTCGGAGCGGATCAAGAGAAGGGTGGGGTTTGGGTGGTGGAGGCTTGGTTTTGTTGTTTGCGTGTGGGGCGTCGCTGCTTTGGTCTGCATCCGTTGGCGTCAAGGGCGGTGTTAAAGGTAGAAATGGTTTCGGTGTCGATGGAGAAGCCGGGTTGTAGGTCCTTTGGCGGGAGTTGAGTTTGTTGGTAAGGATGAGAGGTGGAGGTGAGTTCTTGGTGGTGCGGTTTTGATTGTTGTAATTCTTGAGAGTACTTCTGAATTTTTGGAGGGAGAGTTCGAAGGAGTTCTGTTGGGCTGTGTGAAGAATGTTGATTGCATTTGCATTTCTGCGCTTTGGAGATCGAGAGAAGGGTTGTAAGGTGGCCATTTACATTTGGATGTGCTGGTGGGTTGCGTGAGGTGCTGATTGCTGAAGAGAGTTTCTGTGGGAGTGTGGGGTAGAAGTGGCTATGTTGCAGCTTGGTTTTTTGGAAGATTTAAGTTGGTAGCTTTCTGATGGTGGCTTTGCGGTCGTAAGGAGATTGGTGAGTTTGTGGTAGAGAAAGGTAGATGAACTGGTATGAGGATGGGGGGGTGGGCGCTTGTGGCTTCAGGATTGTTGCTGCTGCTGTTTGGTGCAGAGTGCCAAGTTCGATTGAAGATGGGAACTCCAAAGTTGGGAGTAAATTTGTACAAGAAGGCACTGCCTTTCTTACTGAAGAAGAAGAGCAGAAGTGAGGAGACTTAATATCTCACTCGGAGCTCATAACCTATCTACGGAAAAAGGTTTACAGAAGTCGGGTCCCTGCCTCTATTTATGCCGTAGAAGGTCCCACAGAACCAAAACCTCAGTTACACAAGTTCAACGCACGTGCTCTATTTCTAGCCTACCCTCAGTCCCTTTTTGCTCTGTGTATTTCGAGACATTCCTTTTCTTATTGGTATCATACTATGTTCATGGAGTTTACACGGTTTATTCTTGGAAAGCCGTTCCCGGGCTTGGGTTCTGCGTGTGATGAGGTTGCATCTGCGCCGTTATCTTGCCGCTGGGCTTGGTCCGTCCCGCCAACTCGCAAAGGCCTGGGCAAGAACTGTTTTCCCAGCACCCCATATACGAGTTGTGAATGCCAATTCGCTCGGATAAAGGTAAGATGTTCTTTCTCTCATTGGACTTGCGAGAAAGTCAAGTTGCGGTAAGGACAGTTCGTTGATGGCGTTCCATCCTTCACCTGTTCGGGTGCTGGAGGAACAAGCATTTGCTCGATTTTGACGTGGAATGACCCAGACAAAAGAAAATTGGGTGCAGCGCTGGCGCGATCAGCAACATGGTTGGCTAACAATTGGGAAAATTCCAACTTAAATCGCCGATCCTGTTTCCAAATTTGACAACCCCAGCGAGCAGCACGCCACCCCATGTCCTCGGGACTTGCAGAGATATGAACAAAGGAAGGATTTGCCAGGTCCCGACGAGCAAAAGCGTACTCGGCGTTAACCCAAAGCCTCGGGATCTTTGTTCGCAAAATCAGCACGACGAAATCATCTTTTGACCTACACGGAACTCTTGATTGGAAGCAGCCGCGCTGAGGTGGCGTGGGTATGCATAAAGCCAAGTCAGCACGTTGGCGTTGCGTCAAATGAATTCCTGGAAGTTCTGTACAACATCAGATCCCTGCTTTGTACCGATACAAAGGCAAGTTCTCGGGCATCCACGAGAAACTTGCAGTTATTTCCATGTTGGTTGCAACACGCCTCCACACGTGCCCTTATGTCTCTGCATTGAAAATCGGACAGAGCAGGATATGCACAATGATAAGGTTGATCCTAAGATGGATGGAAGCACGATTCCCATGTTCCGCTCACTAAGAGGAGAGTAGTGCCCATCATGATTATTGGGAGCGGTTGCGCTTATGGTCGCATGTGCAAGAGCGACCCGAGGATCATGGCTCCGGCCAGGCGGACCGGGCCAGTCGCGCTTCTCAACCTTATCCACTTTGCATTGCACTGGGAAATCCCACTTAACCTTAGCTGCTCGACAGCAGGAAGAGAAGAAAGAGATTAGAGAGAAATAAGGGTCAATCGAACTTGACGGGCAGTAGTGGGGCCTAACAGAGGGAATCACAGTGCGGTGGCGGCGCCGAACCGCTCAACCCACATATCATTGCCGACGAAAGTGACGACGAAAACCCAATGCCAGGTCTAACGCTTGTCACGCAAAGCCAGAAGCCAGAAGCGAGAAGCCAGAAGTGACTTTGCCACGTCGAGCGTCTGGAGACTCGATGAGAGCCATTCTCAGAAATGCTCCTTGTCTGGTCACCGAATGCAGGAAGAGTCACGAGAGGAACCGACAGACTGGTACCAGGCTGTGACCAAGAAAGGGGCGTGATGATCGGGGCCAGCAGAGAGTCAGAACCTAGAAGACGTCTGCGGTTGGCCGCCAAGCGAACTGCGTCTGTATCCGCGCCGCCTGTCGGCTGTTTAGTGGAGCTGCTGCGTTTGAACAGGCATGTCTGCGTCTGCACCGCTTCCCAATCCAATATGCGCAGGGCTAGGCGCTATGTGCAACTCGTCACACCGTTAAGCGCGTTGTCACGCGACGGGAAGGGGGCTGGGAGACCCAAGACAGCCCTGGGAAGCGCTTAGAACGCAGGTTGAGTGGCCAAGTCTGAGCGTTGAAGCCTTCACATGGGGCCCGCGTTGCAGGCCGGGTCGCACAAGACTATCAGGTGGGTGCTCCCTGCTCCCCGGGGTGAGATACAGGACGCGCATCTGCAAGAGCGAGAGGGTCAATCGTGATTGGCAGCTGTTGACATGCGCAAGGAACAGCCAGCTCCACCCCGCCGCATTGCTGGCCCGGGCCAGGCGCTGGAGTTGTTGCTTTCATTGCTGCTCATTCGCAGATATCGTGTGCAGGCTGAAACCTTTACGCGCCGACCAGGCTGGATCCATGCCAGCCCATGCCAGCCCATGCTGGGTGGGTAGCCAGAGCGCCAAAGTTCCACGCCTGGGAGACGTGCTCCGTCCAAGGAGACAGCGGGGAAAAAGCATTGCACCAAGGCACCTCTTCATGCGGGTAAGCGCTGGGCAGACCCCAACTTCAGCACCGTGCAGAGAGGGCTGATGGCCCTGTGGCATCACGGCCTTTTCGAGTCCAAGTGTGCTCAGCGGCCGGTATTTGCCCAATACTCGCCCCACCCAGTCTGTCTTCCTCCAATCAGCGCAGACCAACATCGGTTCTGGCTGGGGGTTTTGTGCGTGTGTGTGTGTGTGCTGCACTCACTGCTGCACTGCTGCTGCGAAGCCCGCGATAACCTTAACCCCTGAACGAACGAACAAGCGAGGCGGTTGGTCGACCGACACGCTTCACTCCGGCAAATAAAGCCCACCTGCCCAATATATGCTGCTATTTCTATTCTCGTCCCCCGCCCTCAATCCTACCGTCTATCTTCTCCACCTTCCCCAGTCTCGTCTTCTCTCTGTCTTTATCAGGCTCTCATCACCATTTCCCCAGCCGCCAATCCAAGACTGTACCCCCGTACTCTCCTTTCATTTTATGCATCGAAGCAGTTGATCTAGGCCGTTGCGACGATGAGGATTGCATGTCTTCAGGTACGGAATCTCACGGAGTTGCAGCTGGCGGTGCCGACGCCTTCATGCGCTGACTTCCCATGCAGTTCGCCCCGCAGGTTGGCGACGTCGATAACAACTTGAATCGCGCCGATGCTGTGCTGAGCAAAGCGAATCCGCAGAAGCTAGATCTCTTGGTCTTGCCCGAGTTGGCGTTTTCAGGTGAGTCCGGATTCCGGGATCGCAGCTTTCGTCTGTCTTGCCCAGCAATGCGACTTCGAAGAGGGCAGCTCAGTACAGTACTGTAGCTTTTTCCTTCTTCAAGCCGGTCCATGATTGGGCTCCAAGACGATCGCAACACTCTCCTCAAGGATTATCCTCTTTTCCAACGAATACCACGACTGACGTGGACAGGGTACAATTTTAAATCGTTGCAACAGATCAGTCCGTACTTAGAACCGACCACTTCCGGAATTACATCGCTTTGGGCGAGGACGACGGCCTTGAAATACGAGTGCGTCGTTACGGTTGGGTATCCTGAGAAGGTCGATATCACTCCCAAATGGCCCGCATCGCCAGAGTACTACAATTCGGCCATCACGGTCAACGCGGATGGCGAAACAATCGCGAATTATCGAAAATCGTTTCTCTATTACACCGACGAAACTTGGGCACTTGAGGGACCAGATGGATTCTTTGATGGAGAAATAGAAGGGCTTGGGAATGTAGCAATGGGGATTTGTAAGTGGCCGACTAGATCATTCGAGCGTGAGTACAGTTTTTTGATGCTCGACTAATAATAACCAGCTAACAATTCTTCCTTAGGCATGGACTTGAAGTAAGCAACTCTTCACACAATCTCTGGTGACTTTGCTGACCATGCCTTGCTGTAGTCCGTACAAATTCGAAGCACCTTGGAGCGCCTGGGAGTTTGCATACCACATCATTCACAAGGAGGCCAATCTTGTCATTCTTTCGATGGCGTGGCTCACTCGCGAGGATGCCAGATCATACAGTCGATGTCCGAAAGATCCAGACATGGAGACGTTGTCCTACTGGCTTGCTCGACTGGAGCCTCTTATTCGAGCCGAGACGGAAGGCGAAATCATCTGCGTTTTTGCCAATCGAAGCGGAATAGAAGAGGAAGCAGTGTATGCTGGCACAAGCGCAGTCTTGGGAATTCATGCTGGCGAAGTCAAAGTCTATGGAATCTTGGGGCGTGGCGAGAAGGAGCTTCTCGTAGTCGACACGAACAAACGCCCGCAAGCAAAGCTTGTCTCACAACCAAATTCCACGGTGTCGGATGCCAATGACGACCAAAGAGATATCAAAGGCGACCCGAAAGATGACAAACCTAGCGAAAAGGCTGGGAAGGCTGAGAAAGCCGAGAAGGCCGAGATAAATTTAACCGCGGAATTCAACGCCGAGTCGAGTGCTGAGACGAGCACCGATGAGAGAACGAATTCAACGGTGTCGGACATGTCCGATTTGAGCGTTAACACGCAGATGACAGCGTGCACCACTCCAGATTTCCCGCAGGCGTGTTTCCCGAAATCGATGGAAGACGTGGTGACTCCACTTTCTCCCGTCGATGCGAACTCTCCGAGTGTGTTTTTTGCACCCAGATGCCGTCGACCAGATGGAGACACTCTCCGCGAGAGTCTGAAGTCAAGTATTGGCCAGCAAGAATTTCAGGCTGCAAAAGCTGATTCCCCAACTTTTGTTCGACCCGCTTCACCAAAGTCGCGAAATGCAAGTCGGACACGACAACTAGAGTACCAAGAGCCAGCTCTCAGAACCCACGACCTTGCGCAAGAGGAGCAAGTAACCAGAAAAGATTCTCCAGTCGTTTTTCGACCGCCATCACCAAAGTCGCGAAATGCCAGTCGAACACGACAACTAGAGTACCAAGAACCAGCTCTCAGGACCCACGACCTTGCGCAAGAGGAGCAAGTAACTAGAAAAGGTTCTCCAGCCATTTTTCGACCGCCATCACCAAAGCCGCGAAATGCCACTCGAACACTAGAACCCGAGCACCAAGAGCTGGCTCTGGCCTCCCACGACCTCGCGAAAGAGGAACAGATAATACACCGAGTCATTGGCATCCAATCGCCCGTCCAACCGCACTCCGCGGCTGCAGCGCCAGACCGACATAATCCCTCATCCTCGCCCACTTACTTCGGCTCGCGGCGCTCGATCTCACTGAGTCCACGGCCGAAAAGCGCGATTTGGTGATCGATGAGCAAAACGTGATCCGGAAAGGTCACATCGCTGTCCTTGTTGTACATTCATCATGAGACTTTGAGCGAGCATCTTCCTTTCTAAAATACTTAATTGCAGCGCGGAGTTGGCACGGGGCCCTCAGGGTCCAACTCAGGAAAGGCGGCGTCAGGTCAGCCAAACACACTTTGTGAAGGCTAGGGAGTATAGGGTGGTATCATGTATGTAAACATATCATGACAGACATGTGGTTCCCCAAGATCGTGTGTCTTCGTCAGGTGGTGCGGCTTCATTTGGGCGTGCTATGCTTACGTTGAGATGGGCAAGGCTCGAGTGAGATTGCCCAGATGAAGTTTCGGGTCTTTAGGGGAAGCAGACGGAGGAGGGAGAAGAGTAATCTAGAAGAAGGCATTCTTAAGATTCCAGTAGTAGCCGGTAGCCAATTTCATTGTTGATGACAGGACTTCTTCCAGACGTTCCTTTCTTGATCTTTCTCTCCCGTGATTTTTATCGATATGGTTCTGATTTATGCGCAGCCAACACTGAGAAGGGCTACTAAAGGGCAGTGCAGAGATTGCGGCATAAAGTAACGAGGTTACAAGTGCATGCATACCTTAATTATGGGGGCCACTAATAAAGCCTATAGTGTCTCTGTAAGCCCTGTAAGCCTGGTAATTACCTCCTAATAGAGGCGTAAGCCCCTAATCATGTTAACGCTTTGGGGATACTTAAATGGAATACGATTCTCAACACAAAGGTTCGTTCTCCATATCCAGCATGATCACCTCTGTAGCTCAGCATCTCCCTGCTTTGACATCCCGCCATTCAAGAGTGACTCCTCTTATTTTGCAACTCTCAGCATAGCCATCTGATGGAGTTGGGTTACCCCGCATCCAAGGGCTCCATATGCGATCCTAAAGTTCGGACGGTGATGCGGTAATAAGGAAATGGTGGCAAAGAGGAAAAGGGGCTCGCTTAGTGTCCGCGGCTTCTAATCCACCAGAACCTCCGCGTCAGATTTGTCTTAGTCCATCTGGCTTTTTGGAGGTTGGTATTTTGACTCAGACAGTTTTCTAGACTCTTTTGGTCACGGAAACGTTTATTTCTTTATCGGTGGCTGGAAGAGGTGTCAACTTTCATGCCGGCAATTGCGGAGAGATGGAACTCACCTGGACTTTAATCGGATGCGAATCGACTGGCATTCGGGGTTTAGTGCTCATTACTCGTGGCTCAATTACTGGCTATGGAGCTCCCGAAGACCTCTGGGGTTTATCTACAGGGAACTCTCAAGATCTCAATGCTTACTCTCAGGTTTCGTGGAAGCCGATTCTCAATGTCTCTTCGTTTTGCCGGTTACCAAAGGAAATTCTATGAGCTTAGAAATCTGTGATAACAAAAACATTCGACTCTGGTACGGTCAGGAGCCAAATCAATCATGTTGTCCCAAGTACGTCCACGACAACGGCTTCTCCCCTGCCTCCAGCCCTCGACAAGTCACGACCTGCTCATCTCCCGGCGCAATATCGATCGCACTATCCGAAATCAAAACCCCTTCCCTCTCCTCGGAAGTGAGCCCTTTCGTTGGTCTCTTCGCCGATACTCGAAGCTCATCACCATGTTGAGTGACGGATACTCCTCGGTCTTCAAACGAGAGATACTTGAGTGGCTGCGGCCAGTCCATATCACGGGAAACGCACACACCATCAATCCGAATTCTAGCAGCAAGAACATGAGGCTCCTCTGTGAGGTTATCAATCATGCCATTAGCGATATCCGTTGAGCCGTTCGCAGCTACCGTGATCTCCTTGGTGATCTTCTCCTTGATGTCCTCGCCAGTCGAAATGGAAATGAAGCGCAGTTCAACTTCAGCCACAACTTCAGTCGTCTTGCTACTGACAACCCACAGCTCCCATGGTAGAGTCTTTGCCGGTCGAGCGTGGCATACGCTCCAGTCGTGATGCTTTCGTCGCACACCGACGGCAATTGGTCTGAGGACTCGGGACATAGCGTAATATGCCGGCTTCTTACGGAGAAAGAAATCGATGATCGCCCAGGATGTGACAGGCCAGCAATCATTCAGCTGCCAGACGAGGGCGCCACCACACTTACGTGCTTGGCCCCATTGTCGTCGCCAGCCGCGGTATGCGAACATGAGAGCTTCACATTGGGCCAATTGAGTAAGATGTATGTATGCCTATCCCTCAATTAATATCTGCTGCTCAATGGACGCGCTTTAAACTTACGGCGAGATCTGTGGTCGTGCGAAAGTTCTCCACGAGGTACGTGGCAATCCTACGTTCGTGGCCATCAGCCTTGTTATGAAAATCTAGGGTCCGAGACTGCGGGTAAAGCTCAGAGGGATCTTTGACAAAGTGTTGAATGGTTTGCATATGAGGAAATGCCTCCGTCCCAAACTCTGAGTTGAACCTGCCGCCTAGGTCGTCGAAAATTTGGTACTTCTCTTGAGTCCCATGCCACACTGGCCACTTGTTAGGACTTGCTTTGAAGAAACGGATGGAGTCGCTTACCATTCCATTGATGAAGATCGCCAATAGTCTTGTCAGAAGTATCTTTCCCGCCGGAGAATGGAGAGCTTGGCCAGTACGGAATATTTGGAGACTCATTCTTTATGACCTTCGGCAGAAGATGCTCAGAGATGTATCTGGCGGGATATGTAGATTTCAGCCATGATTCGGGATCTTTGTCTGCAAAGTCATAGTCCAGCTTGTACGATTCTTGAATCTGGTAGTCTTCGTTGTTTCCGGCATATATAACGATTGATGGATGGTGGCGTAGTCGTCGGACGTTACAAACAGCCTCATCGCGGATCGAATCGAGGAGTTCCGGCCAGGTTGGATAACTTCCACAACCAAACATGAAATCTTGCCAGACGAGAATACCGAGCTCGTCGCAGAGATCGTAGAACACATCTTCCTCATAGATTCCACCGCCCCAGACCCTGAACCTGATTAGTAAAACTTCAGGACAGGAATAAGAGAACTATTACCTCGTCATAACCTGATTTCCGTCGATCATCGTCTGCAGCCACTTTTTATACTTCCCTGCGTCTAGGCGAGGTATGAAGTTGTCGGCAGGAATCCAGCACGACCCAGCACAGAAGATATCGATTCCATTGATCCTGAAATAGAAGCTCTGGCCGATCTCGTCATCTTCCTGAATAAACTCTCCACGCCGAAAACCTGTTCGCTTAGACATTGTGTCCACCAGGAATTCGTGAGTGAAAACATCAACTGTGATTTCGTAGACAGTCTGAGCTCCATATCCATGAGGGTACCACAGTGCGGGATTTTCAATGGAAACGGAGACCTCCGCCAGACCATCAGCTCCGACAGCTGTTTCGTGCTGTGAAATGATCTTTTCTTGAAGTTTGACAGTGAACGCCACTTTGTTGCTCGGCCCATCAATTCGAGCATACAACTTTCCTGAAGCCGCCCTCAAATCCTTGCTGACTTCGATTTGAGACCAGAGATCTGCAACTCGAGAATCGTAAATCTCGAGGTGAACTGGCCGCCACGGCCCTGCTGTCATGAGAACAGGACCCCAGTCCCAGCCCTATGTTCATATTAGTAAATGCATTCAAGATTAGGTTGCTTCTTTGCCTACCCAATGATATTGTGCCTTCCGAACCCCCAAACGACCGGTTTCTTCGTTGTGGGTAATGAATCGGTACTCAGGATGTGCCTTCTCAAGTTCACGGCCACGTATCAACGCTGAATCGAAGTCAATCTCGAGAGAATTTTGGCCCGAGATGACGCTCTCAGTGACCTCGACGCGATATATAAGAAACATGTTTTCAGATTGCAGCAGGACTTTCCCATTGACCTTCACGGTTGCGAAAGTGTCGAGTCCATCGAAAACGAGTACAGACTTCGCCCCAGAGGGTACGCTGGGTGCATCAAAAGTTGTCTTGTACGTCCATGACTTCTCTCCGACCCATTCAGTTTTCAGTTCATTCATTCCAATGAAAGGATCCGGAATTCTGTTCTCCTCTTAGTGGTAATAAAGGCATCGGCCGTGTGCTGAGCATACAAGTTATTTTGCATCAGATCCAGATGGACCACGCTTGGGATTTTCTGTACAGGATACCAGACATCCGCAGAAGATTCTGTTTGTCGAAAGCTCCATCCATTTTTGAGCTCTTGACGAGTCAGTCTCGATGTTTTCCGAACAGCAATATCTCCCATGATTTCTGGTCTCAAAAGTACCTGGGAAGATTGTAATTTGAGTAGAAAGAAAGGATGAAAATGAAACCTTAAGCAGAAGTTGGGGATGCAGACAGCAAGTGTGAAGATAGTAGGAGCTGAGTATCAAGAAAGAAAAGGAGTCAAGGAAAATTTCTTGCTATCGAGTTATCATTCAACATTTCCGCTTCTGGAACGGAGAACCAGGGTCCGCACCAGCATAACGCCTCGTTTTGGTTGATCTAATTCTTGAGTCCACTTCGTCTCCCCTCAGGTCCAGTGTTTTGGGTCAGCATTGAGCCGATTTGGTGCTCACATCCCGTTAGTCGCGGCAAGTGAGCCGAGGGGTGGGCATTTTGTTGCCATTAAACGTGGGGGGCCAATGTTCACTAGCCATTTTGGGCTCGGATTTTCGTACATCCTCCCCGGAACTTCTGAAGCAGGCGCGGATTTTCAAATTCGCGTGTAAGTATTATGACGATGACCCGGTGTGAGCCCTGGTATGGCGGGGTCTCCACGCTACCCCAAGTGCAACGTATGAATCTGTTTGAACTACTACTGTAGTAGCTTTTGTGCCAAGACGGCTAGATTTGTCCATAAGTGAGAAGAGAAGATCGTCACGCAGGGAGGCGTTACCTCGAGCTTTGTTTCTGGCGTTCTACGGTGTCTGGTCTAACTTGATTCATTTCAAGCTTTTGTCCCGCTTTGCTTCCTCGTCGAAATATAAATCTTCATGGTCCATGAAGAAAGTGCCTTGCAACCTTCGAATCATACTCTGACCTCGTCACTCCTACCTCATTGTCACAATTACCCCAGCCATGTCTCTTGACACGAAGCAAAGCACCGATATAGTTGAGAATACCTCAGAGCCTCGAAGTGCCTTTGTAGGAAAGACAGAAAAGCCAGAACGAGTAGCCGTTGATAATTTCGCGGAAGTAGGCAAGCCTCCTGATCCATGGGGAAAGGGGGCGAAGAAGCTCTACATGATGTGCGCTCTGGTGTATTTGTGTTCTACTATGAACGGTAACTTGACCACACCTCTCTCTTCTAATTGAAAACCGCTGAGTCCCACCAGGGTATGATGGATCCTTGATGGGTTCAATCAATGCAATCCCGGAGTACCAAGCTTATTACAACCTGGGAAGCAACGGTGCTGCTAGCACTGGCCTTGTTTTCTCCATTTTTCAGATCGGTCAGATGGTCGGCGCACTGTTCTCCTGGACTTGCGACTGGCAAGGGAGAAAGGTTCCCATTTTCGGCGGATGTTTCGGCGTTGTCATTGCCACTATCATTACTGCAGTTGCGCCAAATCGTAAGATTTCCACTCTCAACGGTTCCAATGATCACTGACAGTCGTCCAGTTGCAACGTTTATCGGTGGGAGATTCCTCCTGAGCTTTTGCTCGACTATTGCAACTGTCGCAGCACCTCTGTACTTGGTCGAAATATCTCCACCTCAATATCGAGCGACACTCGATGGAGGTGAGTTACTCTCCTTCGACGATGAGCTGGCCAATTTACTGACTTTCTGATCTAGTTTACAACACGCTTTGTCAGTGACCTAGAACCCCTTCTGTGGAGTGAGCCTAACTTCAGTAGACTATTTGGGTAGCATTCTGGCGACCTTCACGATCTATGGCGCGAACTTACACATCGGCGGTAATCTGAAATGGCGACTACCTCTTTGGCTTCAAATGTGAGTCCTGACTAAGTGTCCACTCAAAAACCTTGGTGCTAAGAAATCCAAGGGTTTGCCCGGCAATCGTCTGCCTTGGCGTGTATTTCATTCCCGAATCACCTCGATGTAAGCAAGTCCTCCCTCCACACAAACTTGGTCACTGACTCTTTCCCAGGGCTCATCGGGAAAGGTCGATATGCAGAAGAAAGACTGATCATTGTCGAGTACCACGCGAATGGTGATGAAACTCATCCACTAGTCAACCTCGAGCTATACGAAATGGAGCAGTCTCTTCAAGTCCAAGGCATGACCTCTGCCCGCAATTTTTTCGATATCCGTATCTTGTTCAACACCTCCAACCGCCGATATCGACTCATGTGCTGTGTGGCTATGGCATGGTTTGGGCAATTCTCTGGTAACAACATTGCCTCTTATTATCTCCCAATCATGATTGCAAACGTCGGCATCAAGGACACCAACATGCAACTACTTCTCAACGCCATATATGCCGTGACGGGATGGATTTCAGCAACGACCGGTGCTCGATTCCACGACATTGTTGGACGACGGAAGATGCTCATGGGATCCTGTGCTGGTATGGCCGTCTGTCTCGCTATCGTTGCTGGCACAGCAGCCGCGTATGAGCACAATCACGAAGCTTTTGCCGCCAGTCGAGCCAGCATCGCCTTCATCTTTATTTTCGGGGTCGTCTTTGCGTTCTCGTTCACTCCTATGCAACCCATCTATCCCGCAGAAGTCCTCTCCAGTAAGCTAAAACGCGAAACCAATGACCTAACCAGTATGCTAACGTTTCCAAGATGAGATGCGTGCCAAAGGCATGGCAGTCTTTCAATTGACAGCCGTCTGCGCGGGATTTGTCAATACCTTTGCCGCACCACTCGCTCTCCAGTTTGTAGTCTCGGTTCCACATCGTCCTGGTCGTATGCTAACTCATGGCAGAAACATTAAATATTGGTTTTATGTGTTCTTCGTGTTTTGGGACGTCTTCGAATTTGTATTCATTTACTTCTTCGTTGAGACGAAAGGTCGTACCCTCGAAGAGCTAGACGAAGTGTTTGATTCAAAGAATCCAAGGAAGGCCAGTGCCGTCGCGCTGTCCGCAAGGACCGGTGCATGAACGAATGGCACTTGTGTCGGGCCAGATTGGAAAGCAATTTTGGTATGTGTACATTTGGTTGGAAGGCTTGTTGGGGTGTCTTGTACTGCGTAAGGTCTGTACTTGTTGCTTCTCAATGTGGGCTTTGATCATGGGCTCCTGCAAGGAAGCCCATATCAAATGTGACATCTCCATACTCCGGGAAAGAGAACCAGTCCATATCTTGCTGCAAAGGCCAAAATTGGCCTTCAAGCCAAGTCCACTCGTTCTGCACCTCCCTCTGGGCACCTGCAGGAGCCGCCCTAGCCTTCTCAGACGCCTGGTAAATTCTAGCCACTACTTCACAGCTTCTTTGCGCTGCCAAGCTGAAGTCCCTCATCTCGTCAAACAGTGAAAGAGACTTTTCAATAGACTGTCGCCATTTTGGGACATTTTCGTGGTCTGGGTCGGAGAATAATCCAAGCAAAGGAATCATGGTTGCTTGGAACAGCAGCCAGACTGCATTCCAGGCCCAGATCTGGTTTTTGAACCAACTTTTAGCAACTTCTTGGACCGTCGCTTCTGAAATCTCTCTGCATGTGTCAATTACCTGCCTCTCTTCTGGTTGTTGGACAGTCCGATTTTCCTGCCGGAGACAACTAATTAGAAGACGAGGTCTACAGAGAACTAGCCGAAGATTTAGGTAACGGCTTCTCATTAGCCCACACGGTGCACGCAAAGATGGGTTCTTGGTTTCCAATTCTCGCAGTTGGCTAGGAATTTGTGATTCCCAGCGGAGAAGTTGTGTGTCATATTCCAAAATTTCGCGACTGGAAATAAGAGGGGCTCTTGCAAATCGATCTTGAATCCCAGTTCCGATTTTGCAGAACTCAACGCTGGTTCGAAGGCATATTGCTCCGAAATCCTAGGAATGGCACGAATATAAGATATTGCACTTGATAAAGAAGCAGAACGCTGCTTACCTCGGGATCCAAAGCGGTGGGCAAGGACGCGGTGATAGAACCGGGATCCCAGCGTCCCAAACTAGGCCTACCTAATGTTGCCGATGCCCATGTATCAAAGCAAAAAAGACACCACCATGTTCGCCTTCTTGTTTCAAATTGAAGACGGGCATCATCGCTGAGGTCTTCCGATTTCTGAGACGGCTCGAGGTGCAATCCTAGGGCGACTGCCATACGCAATGCTGCTCCAGTAATCACGCTGGCGAGGTTCGGCTTGTTCAAATAGTGCAGATAGCTTCCGCCCAGTATTGCGAACGCCTGAACTATCTCCAGGTGGCCGGCGCCCAGACTTTCGAGTGTCATGTGTGGATTGGCCCGCCGGTAGAAGACGAAATGGGCGTGGTTCCGAGCATCCGACACTGCAATGCTTCCCATGGTAAGAACCATGTTGAGGAGAGCAATCCAAGGAGAATCACTTTGAGGGCCACTCAAGTATTTTGACCGAAAAAGCGCTTCATTGACGAGTGGATTGCTGTTGTGGACATGTGTGAAATAAGCATTGATGCAGAGCATTTCATCCGGCAGAAGAGCTTCATTTATGGCTCTGGGACATTCTTGGTATGGATCCGCAGATTGAGCACTGCCGTTAAGAATCCACGTCTTGGTATCTGGAGCGATTTGAACAATAACTCGAATGATGGCCGTGATCGAAGATATGCCTAAATAAGACGACTTGTTGTCCAAAGTAAGGGCAAGTCCATTCACATCGTCCGATACATCTGCTGCGAGGTCTTGACTTGCTACTGACTCGTCCCACTCAAAATCTTGCTGAGGAGACAATTCGATGCATTTCAGCTCTTCTTCGGAGCTCATCGGTTGTAGGTAGTCGCCAAACCGTGCTGGTTCACTCCCGAGCAATCCTATGAGTTCTTCTCTGGATAAGGTAGCCAGCAAGTCTAAAGACTTTGTAGGGAACAAAGTTTTCAAGACCTTGCTACTTTTGTTGACAGTATCTTGGACCTCATGATAGGCTCTGGTCTCGGGTAAGCATTGGTTCCATCAAATATCGAGAAGGTATCATGCCTTGAGGACGGCACGTTCCTCCGTCGGCGGGCTGGAAACTGGCATGCACCTTGAACTTTGTACCAGGAGCACTGCCCACAAGGTGGTCCAGTAGAATCACACTTGATTCATCTTCTTCTGCACTCTGCACATGACTTTGTCAAGGCTGTTGACGCTGATTCGTGCCTGCCCGGTTCTGGTCTCGGATCCTGTCTCCCAGTCCCCGTAGCTGCAGATGGGACTGCATCGCCATTTGGAAAGACGTGGAACATCAAAACGAATCAATGAAAGTGAGGCTGGAGAAGGAAATGTTCAGTAAGAAGAAGGAACAAGTAGAGCACAACAGTACTTAGCCTCAGGCCAAAGATCTCGCTAAACCTAAACGGGAAAGGGGGGAACGGAAGAGGAACTCCCGGAGCCGAGGCCCAAAATTCTCAGAGAGTCTTGGCCTTCAAAACACCAAGAAACACCAGGAAACTATCCAGAACATACCCTTCGATCGATGCCTCAATCAATTGATATTGATGAGAGCTGGGTATATCAGCTGCTCTCTTTGATCTCCCATCCCCGGACCAGTGTTTCATGCAAACTTCGCGTCGCCGTCGCGTCGACAGGACCTCATCTGGTCGGGGCTATCATCCTCATCTCGCCTTCCAAGATCATCTCTGAATGAGGCCTCCCGGGCCGGGGAACGTGTTGTCATATGAAGATGCTGAGGGTGTCTCATGCCCTGTCCAGTTCTATCTAACACCCATTGTTCTGATTTTGCTCTCAATGCTTGACCAGGTCACGCCTTGAATCTATCTAAATCACACGCATGCCAACAGTCCCGAGATCCAAGCTTTCTTTGAGATTATTTCGGACACAATTATCTATTCGGAGTTCGTCAAGCCGTTTACCTGTTTATTTCGTTCCTCGTTCAATCATTCTGTACTGCGTATTATTTTGCCGGACCGTGGTGTTGTTTCATGTTCAGGAGTTTCTTCAAAGTCGAACGAGAAAGAACCCGCACAGCCAGTGCTACCCCAGACAAACTCCAAATCTATGGACATCATATTGAGACCAGTAAGTCTACTCAAAACTTTTGACATCGCGTGACGGCACATGAAGTCTATATAAGTACTATGGACAGCTACACCAAAGTTAGAGTAAGCATTCTGTCAAACTCATTCAGTCCCCCCCCCCAAGTCCTTGATCACGAGAAATTTTATAGCAGTGCTTGGCCTTTTTGCCTACGCCATTACCGTTGTAGGTCATTCCATGTTTCAAGACATGTTGGTCAATGGTATGGCTCATCTTCTCTCTCTTCTACTCGTCTCCTTCTTAAGTCGTCTCATTCTTCCTTGCTAAACGGTGGCTCTCCTAGCGTTGACGAATTCAATACCTGCACGCGAGTGCCTCCTAGTAATAGTCCTGTCACAACTGTCACATCCGGTGATATCAGATGCAATGTTGGTGGAAGTAAGGGCGTCACTGGAATCTGCGCTGCTCCGGGTATACTCTCTCTATTTCCGAGACCCAATTTCTCAGGTCTGATAAAATCATAACAGCTGGCGGAAACATGACCGTCGAGATGCACGCACAACCTGGTGATCGGTCGTTTTCAAATCAAGCGATTGAAGGGAATCACTTTGGACCAGTCATCGTCTACATGTCGAAGGTCACAGACGCAACAACGGACCCCGGTTCTGGTTCATGGCTCAAAGCTGATGAAGAAGGCTACAATTCCACAACTAAGAAATGGGGAACAGTAAGTACTCGCAAGATCTTTTCTTTAGCCTCTATCCTCTCCTCAAATTAGAGTAAGCTTCTAAATATCTCAGGACACCTTGAATAGCAATTGCGGCCACAGAAGTTTTACGATTCCCGCTTCCATCTCGCCAGGAGCATACCTCGTATGAGCAGAAGCTATTGCCCTGCATGCCGCGCAGAGTGCTGGCGGCGCTCAGCTCTACATGAGCTGCTATCAGGTCAATATTACTGGAGGCGGAGCTGCCAGCCCAGCTGGTGTGTCATTCCCCGGTGCCTACAATGCGACAGATCCAGGAATTCTCATCGATATCTACAAGCCCATCATAGACTACGTGATACCAGGGCCCGCAGTGTTCGCTGAATAGACGCCGAACGTCGTTCCATGAAGTGATAAGAGTGCAGAAGCTCATGTAAGAGTGTCAGACTTGGCAATGGGAGATAGCCAAAAGAACAAGGAACAGTCTGTATAATGTAGGTAAAGTTGCTCAGCGTTGAACACATTTACACTATTTAGTCAGGAGTTGAATGGCTATTGGCTCTGTGACAGGAGTGCCGGCCGGCGTCTCGATACAATCACCAAAGTCAAACTCAATGTCTTCCGTTCTCGGCTCCGGTTAGCGCTATCATCGTATATCTTGCTCCCCAACATATCTCTGAGACACTGCGTGGGGAACGTTGGGAAGGGGAGAGACGAAACCGATCTGATGTAACCCAAGTGATAGTTTTCCGTGGAATGGTATGCGAGTACACGCCACAAACCCACAGCAAATATATGAGAATCAGTCAAATTTGTGTAACCGCGCGTTCCAAGTGGTAAGACCTCGCTTGGACGTTTTGGATACAAACGGCTCGTAATATGTTTTGAAAACCAACACCATGGGCCAACAGGCGAGGCCGGGCATCGATGATATCCATTGGCTAAGGAAATGCTTTAAAGTTTGTGCGGAGAATGCGGAGTCTGCAGACATCGCTCTGGATTCGAGGATTGAGTACGAATTAAGCGCCCGGTACTCGAACCGACAATCTCGATTCCACCTCACTGGGTGGGCGACCCGCCCCTCTCGTCACTGCAGCCCCCAGAACTGAGGGGGCCAAAATCACATCTCCAAAACGACTTGGCATCGCGGGGTGGCCACTCAGGAGGCCACCCTAGTCGCTTTCGAGTCGGCTGCACCTCTCTCCATTGTCTCCAAGCTCATTGCCAACACTTGCCGGGCCGTGCCGCACCAATAGACGGTATCGTCCCACGCCACAGCCCCCAATCCAGCAGAGTGGAGAACATCGATTGTGATTCTCCAGCTTCCACAGCGGCAACCCTCATGGAAAAATGCAACCCTCCCGCAACTATCAACACAAGTTTTGCGCCGAGGATCTGGTCACTATCACCACCGCGGCGAGAAATGCTCTGCTTTTCCCAGCAGGTGTCCAATAAATTGGATCTGGAACCTCCCGAGCGCGCTCAGCCCCCAATGCCCCCAATCATCGATTTGGCAGGCCTCGTGACGGGTGTGACGAGCTCTCCTTGGTGTGATCAATGCAGATTGCCAGCAGCTGGGAGTGCAGCGATTGCCCAGCAGCGGACGCCCACCCCCCCGCCGGTGAGCAGCATGATCGCCAATCAACCGGCAGCACGGCCCCCCAAGCCCTGCTCATCCCCACTGAATCCCTGCCGCAGGGTGACCTTGCAGGGTACCTCGCATGCCTGGACACAATCCACCAACTGCTGTTGGCGATGCATCGGCGTGTTGGCCAATCCTGCCGCAACGCCACTGACCGCAAAGCGAGCAGCGAGTTCTGCTGAGATGCATGATAAGTGCGGCCTTATACACCGGGTCGCGCTCTTCAACTTCACAACTTCAGACGCTTCCTTCCAACATTCGCGATAAGTGTTATTTCGACACCAGACGAACTCCACGGCCTGCTATCTGACTCTTGCCGGTCAGGGTCACAGCAGCTCGATGTTGAGGAGCCTCGCTATCCCCTCATAACCCCGTGCTCCGGTTGAGGCATACAATCGTTCAGCAGACACGACTTCCGACGGCTTGGCCCGCCAAGATGCGACCTTCTTTGGTATCAACAGTGCTCTTCCTCCTCACAGCCTTCACACCGTCGAGTATCGCGATAGAATCACTCCCCAACTCGCCATGCTCGGTGCAATGTGGGAACGTTCAGGGCTCCACAACGGGGTCCGATATTGTGTGTAATAATGGGGATTTCGCATCAACGGCCACCGGGATCACCTTTCAGAGTTGTGTCACTTGCCAATTAGGGAGCACTTACGTTGACCCTGCCACAAAGAAGACGGATTTGCAGTTCGCTTTGTGTGAGTGACATCCCAGTACCCTTGAGCCATGTTCTCTTCCTCGAACAGATACTAATGCCTCACTTCTACAGACAACTTGAGATATGCCGTAAGTTGGTGTCTGTTTGGTTATCCAAACAATACAAACGTTCCCAGTACCCCTTGCACCACTAGGTACGTACCCGAACCCCTGTAGCCGGAGCGAGGCTAACAAGCAGCAGTACCGCATGTCAACCTATTGAGAACGCCATTGAGTTCGATTCGCTCAATGCTGCGGCAGCCACCTACAGTTACTGTGCACTCATGAGCACCATCGCTGTCCCGAAGTGTGAGGCTTGTCTGGCGCAACAGACAGACCAATTTTATATCAATAATTGTATGTCTTCCGTGTCAGGCATGTAATAAGTCTCCTCTTACTAATACCCCCAAAGTCGTGATAGCCCTCAATGGAGCTTGCCAACAACAACCAACTCCAGGCCACATCGTCTCTCTCCAAGGGTCTCTGTTCTCCACCACTACAGTCAACATCACGTCCCCTACCCCCACCCCCTCCGGCACCTACACGCCTTCGAACGCCAAGTTCACCCTCGGCGCCAAAATCGGCATCGCTGTGGGCGGCATTATCATTCTGTTAGCAATCGTAGGAGCCTGCATCATCTGGCGCGGGCGGAGACGCCGTCGGAGTTTTCTCTTGAGACATCAACAGCAGACCGGGTACGCAGAGTGGGTAGCTGCCCAGCAGAGCATCCGCAGCGAACCTCCGAGTGCAACCTCACCAAACGGAGCCTCACGGAGCCCACGACGTGATATGTTTGAGGCGTCCATGGGCGCTACTGGAAGTGGGGGAGCCTTCTTCGACAGTCCTCAGAGCCAAAGGCCATTAGTCTCCAGCATGCCTTGGGGTGGCGGAATGAGTGAGGATATGAGTCCTGCCAATGAGAAGGTCTACTTCAGCCCTTACTCGAGTAACTATAACAGTCCAGTGAGTGCCACCGATCAGATACAGACTGTTGGGCAACAGTGGCCCTTGGATGGAAAGGATACGGTAGCTGGGACGTCGGGTTTTGGAAGGATACATCAGCATCGGAGCAGAAGCCGAGAGAAAAAGGATAGTAAAGAAGATCACTTCGAGATGCAAGTCGTGGCACCCACATTACAACACCCAGGCCACGGGAGACAGGACTCGGTTAAGTCACTTGGCTTGACGGAGGAGGATCACCAAAGGGGCGACGCCGTATGATGGCCAGGACATAGGCAATCTCATCTCTCATCCAGCTTCACATACCTACTTGAGCATTTCATTCGTCACTGTTTTTGAGCGGGAGTCTGAATCTTTCGTTGGTTGGATCTGGTTCCCGGGGTCAGATAAGATCTATGGCGAATGGTTTGGCTTCCGAGGTTGGAAACATTGCTGTACAGTACCTACGATACCCGACAACGGGATCTTTCCTGTCACGAGGCTCTTCCTGACCTTAGTCCTCTTAGAAGAGCACACATAATAACTCGTCCAAAACATACACACATTTCAATTTACCCCTACCCGTGACTTGCCTTTTGCTTTTCTTTCAGCTCCTCTCCTGGATGATTAGGGTTAATGCGGATCAACGGTTCTCAGTCGTCAATGAGTTCAGCATCCATACCTTGCAGGGCCTCGTATCAAGCACAGATGGTGGGACGAACCAGGTCACCCAGGTCCGATCTGCCCTCCAGTTGCGGGGCTGAGGTCCAGACCCCTGAGCTGCACCCCGTCCGTTCGCTTCAGGCCATCGAACTTTACCTCGAGCTGTGCCGTGCGTACGTCACACGCCTCCATCCGAGGTCCCAAGCGCTTAAAGAAACTTTAAATCGAGCAGGATTGTGCCCCCAAAATCCGGAGGTCCCAAGCGTTTAAAGAAACTTTAAACCGAGCAGAATTGTGCCCCCAAATTCCCAACTGCATCTCGGAGACCGAGCACTTAGCCAGAGACCGTGGTCCTCATCCCTGAGATGATCGCACTCTTGATTCGCGTTGTCGCGTAGCGTGAACAGTGAGCACTAGCGGGGCAGCCAATGCCATTTGCGCCGTCGTAAGTCGTAGTTTATGGACCGGGGACCGGGATTGGGGATGAATTCTATGATCCGGAGGCTGCAAGCAAATCAGCCAGCCCCGCCCCCCGGTCCCCACCTTGAATGCACATCATCTGTACGTGTGAAGTGTGCCGCCCGTTTCCTGTCATTGCACACTTGAGCCCTGGGCACGCTCGCCGTGGCTCTCCATCGTTCAGTGACACTTTGGGGTCGATGAATTGTTTCTTCATGCAGAAAGTTCACGTGATATGAGAAGAGGAAGGGATGATTGAGTTTTTGGAGTTTCTTGGTTGTAAAGCGGGTTAAATATTTACAAAGGAACGTGTAAAAGAAAAAGTACGTTCGTGCTGCTACCAAATGCCTAGAAGAGCTGCCAGCCAACGCCTGTACACCTGACGCCTATATACTCCATGCCCAGCGTCCATTTGATTTCGTGTGTTTCTTCCCTTCCCTTCCAAACACCAGAAAAATTGAATATCCTGACTGTTGTCGAACTGAATCGCGCACCTGGGCGCTAGACTGTTGAAAAACCGTACCGTGTATCCAAAAAGGATACATACCATCAATGATCAGTAGCTGCCGGGCCACTGCTCCTCGGGCTCCTCTGCACTCATCGACGCAGCCTCCTCAGGCCTTTTCTTCGCCTTTTTCTTCTTAAACGAATCTTTCGTTATGCTAGTCAGACCCATCTTTCGCTCCCTCTCAATCCTCTCTCTTTCAGCCCACTCGAAATCAAACCGACCATTTTTGCTAAGGGGTTCATCCTTGCTGGCGTTCGTATTGCTGATCCCAGGACGTACTGTAGTCCTCCTATAACTTTCAGCTCGCGAAGCTGATCGAGGCGGATTTGCCTCATCCGCCATTCTCTGAGCAAGGACTTCTCGCGGCGACACTCGTGGTGACTCATCTTCTCCCCTTGACAAGCTATTATCACGACTCCTGGTTCTGCTTTCCGCACGACTACTTGCTCTGCTCTCTGCGCGGGTTCTACTTTCTGCCCGGCTTTCTGCACGGTTTCTGCTTTCGTTGCGAGGTCGGCTGTCATTGCGGGTCCTGCTTTCGCCGTGGCGCCGGCTCACAGAGCGATTCCTGATCTCGGAGCGCATCTGCGTGTGGAATTGAGGCTGGAAATCGGTGTCAGGGGATGAGCCTGATTCGAAGGCACGGGGTGAGTGGATGGTCTCCATCTGTGACACTTGCGGGTGACTTTGAGCAGAAGGTGATTTTTTGTGCGTCGGTGGTTTTGATTCTAGGATGAGTGGTGGCGGAAAGTTTTTAGGTGATGAACGGGCTGATGGATAGTCTTTCATCCGGTAGGTATCACTGGTTGCTGTACTTCCTGATGGAGATATCGGAGTCCAAGTAGCTGGGATGTAGGCTTGATGCGTGGGGATGATTGTTCCCGTTTGGTTGGTGAGTTGCCCGGCCAAACGAGCGTGGGCGCCATCTATCCAACCGCTGCTGGTGGAAATTGGACTGATTTGGTGCTTTTCTAGTACAGTTCGAGCATTATCCAAGGCGGTAAGCTCCTTGATCGTGTACTGAGGTTGATCGAAGTGTCCATTGACGGATATTGGAGTCTGTGGAAAGGGGTTCCCGTACGCACCGTTGGTGGGTGCAGTAATGTTTGCGGCCCCAAATCGAGAATCCAATGGGGACCTCAAGTCGTTCAGATTCCTGCGTCGTCGATAATAAATGATAAAAATGGCGATAGCCAACAGAAGAAGGACAACAAGTGCAACAGCAATGCCGATGATTGCACCCTGGGGGAGACCCTTGTGGGGAGTTGATGTTGATGTTGGATTGTAATCAGGAGTGGTGATATTGACAAGGGTAGTGGAAAAAATATTTCCTTGGAGCCCGATGGCGGTGCCGGCCTGAGGGCGTTGGATACACCCAGCTTGGAGTGCAGTGAGAACTAAACCGAATAAATTAGCTGCGACATCTGGTAAACAGCGAAGCAGCGATACGTACAGTTGCGAAGATACTTCTCATTCGAAGTATTACTTAGACATTCTCTGCATTTATTGAGATAATCACCTAAGATGGCGTTGTTGTCCGCTGAACAGTAAGAAAACTCGGTCTCGTTGGAAGGGAGAAGGTTGCCATCCTCGATAGCTCGCTGGAGGGGTTGACATGAATTAATCGTGGAGCATGGAGTAGAGACAAAATCAGATGGCTGTTGAAACCCAAACAAACACGAATCCAGAGCAAAACGTAAATTATCTGATCCAGTGACATTAGAGTTGTTCGAGTAGCCTTGCATGAGGACCTACAAAGAAACCAGCCTTGGTCATTGCCATTGCCGTCCGATGCTGTGCTGGTTTGTAGGCAGTTCAAGCAGGCCATAAATCTCTGCCCGCTCGGTGTTCCCTCATAACTTGCATCAACACATGTGATGTCACTCCCAAGGGTACTCAATGGAGTCGTATTCGTTGTGTTTTGGCTGGGGTCGAGACATAGTGAGGTACAAGGTGAGTTCGAAGAGACTTGCAGTGAAAGAATTGTCTCTGTCAGGAAAAGGGCTGCCAAAAGGGAGCTCATGAGCCTGGAAGCCATGATGAGCGTTGACAGTGGGCGGTGATCGGGCTCTGCCTTCCTTGAAACACCATTTGGGGTATCGTAGGTCCAGTTTGGCCTCAAGGCTATCGGAGGTCAAGGTTCGTAAAAGCTGCTGGCCTTCGTCCAAGCTGAGATTGCACGGAGGTTAAGTAGTCATACGCTCTCCAAAACCAACAAGACAATCAACATGGAATCGTTCGATGATGTTCGGAGCTCAGAACGCAAGGTACAAAAAAGAGAACTGGAAACAAACACTGTGGGTCCCCGCCCGAGATATGGAGATTACCCGGTATCTGCTCCCGGGGGCCCCAAAGAGGACCTGGGGTGGCCGCCTACACTCAATTGCAGCCTTCAAGGTCTAGGCTGGTCCACTTCCGAAAACAAATTGCCTGGGGGCCAATCATCCAGAAGGCCAAGGCCTGTGTCTGTGCCGCAGTGCGTGTGGCCATGGTCCACTCGGAGCCCATGCTGGTAAAAACAGGAACTTTCGACGCCGGGTTGACCACAGCCTTGGGTCACGGAGGCCAAAGAGCTTGAGGATCGTGGACTGGGCCCCTGCTCAGGCTGCTCGGAGTTAGGTGGCAATTCACGAAAGCGGGCATGAGATTGGCCGCAGGAAGGAGTCCATCCTATCACTGCTGAGCAACCTTCAGTGAATTCAGCGATGACCGACATTCGGTGTGGCTGCTGGGGAGGAGGCTTGCTTGCTGATGTCGTAATCTGCGCGTGCCAGTGGTCGAGTTCCTGCATTGTGGTGTGAAGCGAGGCCTGTGAGAGGGCACGTTAAGCGCTTCAAAATCAGCCGTGAGCACCCCTGCTACCAAGCTTTCTTGCCAGCAGGTCGGGGTCAATGGAGCCAGCCTGCTGTACTACGGTAGACTTCCCCCTATTCGGCACCTCGTCTAACCTCGTTTACAGCTGATGGTCGCGTCAGAGGAAGTCGTGGCACACTTCGGTTGCTGAGGATTTTCCGCTGTTCAAACATCCGAAGCAATCCAGAGCATGACCGTCTGTGCGCCTTGGAAAGAACCTCTTGTATCGCAAGAGCGCGTCTAATTCTCATCCCGAAACAAGCGGCTGCGGCAATTGTGATAGGGGCTGCAGAAGAAGACACCAAAAATACGACTCGCGATTCTCTGATCTGATCATCTGTGAATTCTCCGTGCGGCTTCTTGCAGATCTTGAACTATTCTTGCTATGTGATGCGGTGACAAGATCGAGGTGCCCTGCAGCGGTCACTCCCGTGTGCAGTTCCCTACCCACCTGACGTTGAGGTCTTGTGCCTCGATACAAGTCGGTGACAGGCCTCGACGGACTGGTAGGGGATGGATCGTCTAAGAATCGTGATAAAGAAGAGGCCCCCAACCACTTTGTTTATCTGACCCTGGCTGGCCCCCCATGCGACCCGAAGGCTAAAAGCTTTTGAGTTTTCTTCCTGCATATCTTTTGGCACATTAGGTGCCTATGAACCTTCGCCTCGTCCTTCACATGCTGTCTCTGATCCAAGAATCGACTCACCACCCCATACGCTTTCTTTCTCGAGGAACTACGCCTTCGCCGTACTAGGTATTTGCTGATCCTCAGAGAATAGTCCATGCGTCTTTCGGCGAGATTACCGCCCCGCTGGGTACATTGACGATTTTCCACTTGAAAATATGCCGGCATGAACCAACATGAACCAACATGAGCTCTGTTAATTTCTCACATACCGAGCGGTAGGAAGAATGAGTTGATGGTTGAACGACATTTTCAGTTGGGGATCCAACCCGGTAACCTGTCCGGCTATTTGAAAATACCCTGGGGTACAAGAATCTGAGAAGGAGTAAGCGGGATATGCACATCTTGCAGACGATGTTTGCGACATTAACTTGTGCAACAGACCTCGTATTGGTGAGGCCAACACTCCTTGACAGAGTGCGAAGGAGTGAACATCGCTGGTTCTCTAAAACTGCGGAGAAGAAAGGCCTCGTGCTCATGGCAGAATTGGAGAGAACTGGTTTCTCTGCCGATGCTGCATTGCAAAAGTACACTGATTGAACGGACAGAACTCTTACCAGTTTTAAACCCATCTACACCATTGCCTACACCTTCACTTGAACTAACAAATCAATAAATAGTGCTCGACCAATATCCTCCCAGTTGTTATGATCACGTGATTGAGAAGACCCTCTTGTACGCTTAGTCAGCCAGTCGGTCCTGAACCTCAACTCAATTTCGACAACCTTCAAATCCGTGCAACACCGCATATAAAGGCTCATGCACCTTCGTTGCCTCATCGGTGAGAACAGCTACACCTTGCAGCCAATCAAGAAGTCTAGATGAGGAGGAACGGGCCGGAGATGGGAGCGCTTGAGAATCCTGAACTGCTGCCCGCGAAGGCCCCTCGAGTTTCGTTCCAATTCAATCATGAGAGCCTCATTCTGGACCTACACACCCCCTTTACGTGCGCATTGGGACTCCGCTTTTTTTCAACCGAGACTGCTCACCCGACCATGTCACCGTCCCAATCAGGTGACCTTTATGGCTCAACGACGAGTTTCAACATCAACAAAATGGACTGAAGAGGACCGCGCAAGAATCCATATCCTGGGTCTGAACGCACACGGCATTCTTTATGGGCATTCACTCGGTCAGCTCAGGGCACGTCCACCTCTAACTTACATTGTTCCTTCGAATCAGCGTGTCCTCCAACTTGCCATGCTTAACGGTGAAATTGAGGTCATCGAAGGAGACGATCATTACATAACTGACGGCTTTGATGTTGAGGCTTGCGATCGGCTGCCATCCGGTTCTCTTCACGAGTACCCGTCGACGAATCATGTGCGTATCAACACTTTGACTTTGCCTGCGAAAACCAAATTCGACATCAAGATCGAACCCCAACCAAACGATTCATACGCTCCCTATAAGGGTTTGGATCGTTCCCACGGGACCTCGGTGAAATTCAACAACGACCCGTCTGAATTGGGGTACGGCTCGGGTCAAAGACTTGTAGTTGAATCCACGCCCGCTGAGCGGAAAATAAGCACGGCTGATCTCGTGCTGATGGACAATGAGAAGGCCAAAGAAACACTAGGCCCCATCAAGAATCTTATTTGTGCAGTCGATGTGCAGTCTGTGGTTCACGCACTGCAGGTGAACAAGCACAGACTAAGCCGGGAATCGACTATTCTTTTAACTGAGAAGGGTATGGGAATTATGGAAATGATTAACGAACAAGTTTTCCCCAATCCTAAGACCCGCCCGACCTACATCCCCGGGGTTTTCTCTCATGCTGTCTGGCAGTCGGGCGAAGTTAACACCAATTCTGACGTCCTCTCTGAAGAAATAGAAGCACAATTCTCTGGTGTTGAAGAACGTGTCAACCAAAACTCATTGGCCGCAAAACGCTGGCCTTTTGGGAGTCTACTGCTTGGTCCGGTGGCCGCTATTGAAGGAGAAACGGTTAAGGAGAGAAAGACGCGTCAAAAGTGTGCGAATTATCTTCTCAGCGCCCTCCTTGACCCAGCAGCGTCCCTCGGAGCGAGCTGTGTGTCGGCAGATAAGCTTCTCTTCACCAGGCTCAGAGACTTGGCTATAGCTTCTGTTGTTGGCCCGACGACTGTCCGTTATAACTGTAACAACCGCGGTATCGGTGCAGACGAGGAGCGAATCGCCCACGTTGAATCACGTCTGAGGGAAGCGGCTAGAATTGTTCAAGCGTATTTTCCAACACTCACATATGAATATCTCGCTCAAGGACTTGGGAACTATCTCGTCATGTCAGGGGATAGAGTTAACATGATGTTCAAAAATGTTGTTTCGGGGAGAAAGTCGAATATCGAGGTATGTTTTCTCGGTTTCTGTTCTGGATCCGAGCTAGTCTGCGGTCCGCTCGGCTCGAAAGTTGTACCCTCATTGAATGTCATCGGGTTTCTTTGTGCAGCGTAGGTGCAAGTATATATCGAGGCTAATATTCTTCTCAGTGGAACAATGGCTGGCTTGTCAAACAGGGGAGAATTCTAGCACGTGGCGGTCCTAGTCTTTGCCCTGGACATGAAGATGACCTTGTTTATATCCAAGATATGACAACCAAAGCTGCACTTTGGCTGCAAGAAAGAGAGGAGGAAGCTCGTTTGACCAGAGCAGCGCAGCGACCAACGGAAAAGCAGTAGCGCGAGGAACCTATATAAAATCGAGTCGAGAGAGAGCAAAAGGAGCTTGCCATCCTTTTGCATAATCGAAAAATGAGAGAAGAGAGGAAAGAGAAGAAGCGACGGGGAACTTTGGAACGGCTCAGCCGAGAGTCGCCTGGGAATTTCCGACCATCCAGGGGCTTGGCAACCAAGCTCTCGTGAAAGAATCCGATGGTAAAAATGGGCCAACGAGCCAGGCCACTTTTGGAAACGCCTCTGAGGGTGGTGCACACTCTCGAGTCGTAGTAAAGCAGGCGATCATCAAGCCTGCCGAGATTGGCACTGGGTTCAGGATTACGAAGCATGTATCAGGCTCTAAAGACGAACTACCTTCCCTCAACAAGGAAGCAAGAGTGTTAAGAGTATTCGCCAACCTGCTAAGGCCGATGCGGCCTCAAAATCTATCTCGCTATGAATCTAGTCTGGAAATCGTTTACGCATCAATTGGCCAGAGCTTCACTGCGCCGGGGATTGAGAACCCCAGAAATGTTCGAATACCTCGAAGGCTTGATATTTCGTATATTTTCTCCAAACCTTGCCGCAGCAAACAGGGAGCTTTACTCTTGAGCCAATGTCTCCTGTATAATCCGTGGAGTGAAGAGGGAGCCGCCAAGAAGCGGGGTAAATTTCAACACCATGTGTATAAAGGTCGGAGATGTGGCCGGGGCTTTTCAGTAAGGATGTTGTGCTTAGATACCTTTACCCCAATCTGCTATGCATATAGTGTAGAGTGTTTCTGCCCCAAGCCTGTTTCTCTTATGATGGTGTTGGAAGCTCTCGAGCCCATCACGGAGTATTATCTCATGCATCACTAGTTCATGGAAGGCGGGATCCATTCCCAATCGAGTCGAAATTTCACTACTTTTCACTCTCAAAACTACCCTTCAATTATCCATTCGAAGTGCCGCATTCATGGAGGATCCGTTGTGTAAACCCCGAGTGCCTTGCATCTGATTGGTCAGCCCGCCGCACGTCTCGAACCACCTTCTTTACTTGCTTCATCTCTCAGAACACAACAGTATCTTCCGCCACGAAGGGTGTGTTCATCAACCTGTCATCCAAAAGGAGTGCGCTATGAGACACCAACTATGGCCAGACATCCTTCCTGTGCATAAATTCTTCAGTCCGGCCGCATCAGCTCGTGCACGACTTCCATCCCGACGCCGCAAGAATCGTGTGATTCGTCAACGGCATTCCTCAAACCTTCAAATGGACAAGAAGCTGATGCTTCAAGGATATGTGTTTAAGGTCTCGGTAATCTGGGCAGAATTGTCGCCAATGCACTTGCCCGACAAGATGCAGGTCCACCATCGAAGTTCCTTGTACAGAACAACATCAGTGTCGGGCCATTTGCAGCAAGTAACCCCGACGTTGAAATCACCGAGGAGGGTGTCTCTTACAAAGCCGATGGATTCGGCGTTGAACTCGTGGAAGGACTACAGATTTGTGAATCGCCGGGAGTCAAACTGCATCGATTCAAGAACTTAGCCTTGCCAAAGGCAACAGAGTTTGAATTCGAACTCGAGAGGAACATAGAAAACACGTATCCAAACTACGATTATCGACCTCAAAACTACGGCAGCACGACGAATTCCTCTGAGCATTGTTCGGCTTTCAACTTTGCTTTTAACCACCAGCTTCATACAGTACAGGCTCGACCTGGTCCACGAAAGATAGACAAGTCCGACATCCAAGTTCTAGATCGAGAACTGGGGAAGAACTTCCAAGGCCCTCTCAAAAGCTTTGTCATTGCAACAAAGCCTGAGCATGTTGTCAAAGTTCTTCTCTATTTGAAGTATAGACTCAGACCAGACTTGACGATTCTCTTTGTGTAGAGGGTCGTCGGCCTTATGGAGGACGTAAATAAGGCAGTCTTCCCAGATCCATCAAATCGTCCGAACTATCTCCTTGGCCTACCATACCAATCTGCTGTAAAGACCCCATTTCTTTTCCCCATACCCCAACTCCCTATTTCACTAGCTAGGGGGATGTCTCGGCTCCGGACTCCCTCCTGGCTCCCTGCTCCAAAGAGAAATATGCTACTAATTTGCTCTAGTGATCAGGCGAGGGATATTTAGGGATGGTGACCACTGAGGCATTTTGTATCAGTTAACAGAGCAGTACGCGAACTCAAAAGTTCCAGCGCCAGAACAGACATTTACTGCATCGCATAAACCGTTTGGCTCCCTGCTGATTGGCCCTATTATTAAGGACTGTCCGGATGAAAGCCTAGAGGAGTATGCGAAGAGGGAAAGATCAACTAAGTACCGACTCAGTGCTGTTCTTGGGGCGGAAGCTCTTGGAACCTCAATTATTTTGCAAGAAGATTTCTTGCTCTGTCGACTTAGAGATACAGCTACCAACCGCGTTATTCATCCTATGGCTATCATGCACGATTGCTTCAATGGTGACGTTCTGAAACGCTCTGACCGACAAGCACTGCGGCGAGGATATTGCGAGAAGCACTCAGAGTTATACACGCTGTTTATCCAAAGCTTCAATCAAAGCTTGCCTTTGATTATCTCCAGAGAAATCTGGGTCGATATGTCACTCATACAGCCGATAGAATCAATGCCATGATGGCGAGTCTGGTTGTAGGCTCGACATCCTCTATCGATGTAAGTAACACGTTCAATTTTTCTTGATATTCATCGGGCGGCAGATGTCTCCTTGTCTACCCCCCAAAATACTGTCACCATCCCAAATATACTCGAATCTTAACGCGAATCCCAGTACGTCAAGGGCGGGGCCGTCAAACGCGGAACGGGCGCGACCGAAACCTGCTTTTGACAAGCGGTTTATTACGGAGTTGGGCAATTCCACTTTGTTGCGGAACGTGGTGTACGCTGCTGAGGGAGCTTTTGAGGAACCGGCTGGGAAGAAAAAGAATACCTTCGACGGGGCTGTTGCGTCCCTCGATACTCAGGCGATTCAGAATTGTCCGATTCTTGAGTATAACTGGCGGTGGTTCTAATATTTGGGAGGATTTGTTGAGCATTAAAGACGACAACCAGTCGATGCGAAGAAGGACCAGACTTCGCCCTTTTAACCCAAGTCTTTGAATATGAACCTGGATATGCGGAATCATCGGTGTGGGCATATATAATGCCATGCTGACTCCCAGCGTATTTTGGGTAGTGTATAGTGTACTTTCAGCTTGAACTGAAGTCTTCAAATATAAATGACTAAGCTTGAATCTGTGTTTGACACATCAACATGACCACAAGCAAGAGCCAGCATTTATAATTTACGATCAAGAAAGGTCGTTTTCATGGGAAGTGGTTGAAGTGTGTGAGTGTTATACGGTATGGGGGAGGCAAGACGTCCTCTCGAGGCTGGTTGCGCTAAATATGTTCTTACTTTCTACACTTATCTTACATTCTGATTCCTTATCTTACAATCATTTCACAGAGCATCCCTCATGTCCAGCACCAAAGATGTTCTATAAAATCAGGGTATCATGAAAAATACAGTACCTCCGCACCCCCTCATTCAACCTAAAACACTACATCCGTTACACCATACAAGCGCTCTCTAGCCACCCTTCTCTTCCCAACACTGCCACACTGCCTGAGATACTTCCGGCTAGTAACTAGATTAGGAATTGCTTCATTCCAAACCCCACTCAGAAACCCCCATCTACCAGCTTTCTTCGTCGTGTTGCTCTCTTGCGCCTGTAATATGGGGATGTGGCGACGAGAGTCGGTGTTGAATTTGCTGAATTTGATTCAAGCTGTCGTGTGGTGGGAATGGTACTCGACGAGATTTGAGTAGGCGATGGCATGTCAGGACACTCTGTCGACGTCATATATGGCGTGAGCAACGACCCTTTGCCCGTGGTTTTGAACTCAGGAGTCATTGTCGGACTCAAAGTCGGCAGAGGTAACGTCCCAGTGTACGTGAGTGTGAAGAATGGAATTTTCGTTGAAGTTGAGTTGCTGATCGATGAACCGGAGCTGGTTGGATGATGGTGATGTGTGTGATTCCCATATTTCGGAAAGCCGGTTGGTCGAGCAGCTCCGCTTCCAGTTCGGTGTCCGGTGAAGGTTATACCGGATGGGATTCCTTTTCCCGTGGGCAGGCCTGAAGAATAGAATATACCCGGTGCAGTGCTAACTGGCATTGGAAGCACGGTGATGGTGCTTATGACTACCACTGGTACTGGAGGACTTCCGCTCGTCGATTCTAATGGGAAAACCAGAGTCGATGCAAAACTTGGCGTCGATTCACATATTGTGACAGTCACCACCGCAGCAGATACCACGTCCGATAGAAGTAAGGCCGTCACGGCCGTCAAATTAAAAGGCCGCATTGTAGTTGGTTCAAAGAATGAATTTATCGTCGAGTAAAGCAGCTCAGGTGGGTAGATTGCAGTATCATTCAGGCAATCAGGAGCGCAACAACGAAGGGTGGCTTCCAGGACGAGGTCAATTTGTGCTTGATAAACTGATCATCGACATCTCAGTTGATGAAGAGAAAGCTCCAACTACCGCTGAGGTTGAAATGTCGTTATGAAAGAAGAGCGCGAAGTCTTTTGTATACACGAAACGCCGGCAAAGATGCGGTGGAGAAGGGTCGGTGATGACTCGAGAGGTGAACAGAGTCTCAAGTCTCGTGGATGAACTCTTTGCCTCAGCGATTGGCTTGTGCAAAGGAGTGTGGATGGAAACTGGTCCGAAAAGGGGAGGGACAAAGAAGGACAAGAGAATGAATGGACTGCAATGAGCCAGCAAAAACTCGAGGGATGAGGTGGAGAGAAGGTGAGTTCACAGCACCTCAGCACATTGCAGCTTCATGGCTGAATATGCAGCTCCTCTGAACACCGAGAAGACTTCTTCTGCAGCATTTGTGTAAACTTGAAACATCAAAGCAAGGAGTCAGGGGATGTGGTGGTGATATTTTCCCTCTGCAATTGGTGAGAAGAAGGCTGCGTTTCATGTTGGGTTCTTTGGATGTCGTGTTTCGATGAAATATTTCCAGCCACTCTTCATCATCCAATGAAATCCGGTTGTGCCACAACCCTAAGAACGCCATCCAATCAGCAGGAACGAATGGCCGTCCGCCAATCATGAGACACAGCGCGTACTCGCTCCCTCCAACAAAAGCACTCAGATAAAAGGGGGATCTGAACCTTACCGAGGAACCTTAGGAGGAACTTCTTCTTCATTTTGCTCGATTTGCCCCGTTTCGAGCCCTTTCTCAAATCAGTTCTCAAGTGAAGAAGACTTCACCATCCACCTGTCAATAATCAATTAGATGAGCGTGGGGTGATACCGTTGTTAACTTTGACTGAGTCCTGCAGTTCAGGTCAAAGCCTTCGGTTGCTGGCTGCTCTAGTGCGCGGGAGTCGGGGCGGGAAACCCTGGGAGGGCCTCTGGCAGCTTCACCTCCTATTTTCCACGTGACTGGTGCTGTCCGCCAATTTCGTTGTGTTTTTGCCTTTTCTTCATAATATTATTCGCTCTCTAACTCAGTAAAGCCGTTCACAGTTTTAAGCAATCTATCCGGTTCTTGTTCATATTCTTATCTATGGAGTTTATACATCCGGGCACATGCGCCAGGGTTTCTCCGCCACAAAAATACCACAATTTCCATCAATCCAACAAATCCCCGACATCTGCAAGTCCTGCTGCGGTCCAATTCTCAATTCCCTTGAAGTTAGTGATCCCCTTTGCATCATACCCATCGCGAACCATCGCGAACCATCGTCCAGTTCTCAATGACATCCCTCTACCCATCCTGTTGTGACGTCAGCGTCACATGACCTGACCCTAGCATAGCACCCTGTACTTAGCTCGAGCTCCCCGCTCTCTTCTCTCCATAGACGTTACATACACACCCAAAAAGAGCTGTTTGCCAGACCAGGTCTTCAGCCCAGGAACGTGATACATCCCTACTCGTGACCGCAAATGCAATCCCGACTCCCGAGATAGCAAAGGAGATAAAACTCCTGCACCAATTTCCGCTACACATCACTGCATGATGCTCAGTTGGATACCGGGTGAGGTTCCACCAAGTGTCGACTGCGATGCCGGCCGATGTCAGTGACAGGACTTGAATATAGTCATAAAATCCAATTATGGAAGGCGAGAATCCTGTTGATGGTGCCACCGCAAGAGGAGTTCCTGGATTTGTATTTCCTGCCGTGCTCAAGAATGGAGTTGTTAGAAAGTCCCACCCAACTAAAGTACTTGTTGGCAATTGAGCCGCAGCAAGAGTTTCCCATGACTCACAAGAAGATCTGGTGTCTCCCCCCATCGGGGGCGACAGAATCGCTTCTTTGGTTGTGTTCTGAAAGTCTTGGCAGTAGACGTTGATTTGAGCTTCGCCGTTGTCCAGACACGGTTGCGCTGCAACGGTAGCGCCTAATTGTACACCGCGACTAAAATCAGAGACCAATGTTGTTGATGTTTATCCACTTGAAGTTAAGTTAGTGACTTGGGAATTCTGGTTCATGTCCTGGAAGGCGACGAATGCATTGTTGTAGCATCCTCTGGGGGCTGTAGAGTACATTGGACATATACCGTGGCAATGTTTGTCTCTGGGTGGGCAATGTACTTTTGCTTCGAAAGGCTTCCTTTAGCACGCACACTTCGAGACCCTCGGGCTCGGCTTTTACAGGACAATATCGTGGGTGCTGCCATCTATATCGGCATAGATCACACGTCGCTCCTAAAACCATATAAGCCAAGAACCATGGCTCAAGTTAGGAATACGTACCGTGGAGAAGTTCGGGTTCGTAATTGCTGCCGCAATCGCTGAATCATTTTGTGGGGAATATCCAAGTTTCGTGTTAGTCCAACTTGAGCCATGTATTTGATAAGCTTCAACCAACTTGCCCGTTTCGTCATATTAATAGACTCGAACTTCTGGACTGGTTATCGGGCAGTTCTAATAACCATAGCCAACGGCTGTGATGTCGAGGATGAGCTCTTCGTGGCGAGACGATGCCTGTTGTTGAAGATTTGGCAGAAGTAAGGCTGGCCGAACTATTGTGCTTTCTAGGCCAAGCGCCCACGTCAAGGACAGCAGCAAGGACTACGATCAGCCCAAGCACAGCAATGGCAAAACTCCACTTTTGTTTTGAGTGCTTTGGATGGTGCTGTCAATGGCCCGTTGGCTCTAGTCCCGTCCCATATGCCGTTTGCTTCTCATGTTCAGGACTACTTGCTTTTCTTCCCCTAGACCGGGAACTGCCTGCTTTCAGGGCTAGTCATTGACGTTTTTTCAATCTTGTAGGGTATAGTGGTGGGGAATGCCACCCACTTCCAGGCGCTGTGCTGCTCTTCCGCGCCATTGATCGATATGGGCAAGTTGGCAGGGAATCTGTTTGATACGCGGCTGCTAGAAGCGCCATGGGGGTTTAATCATAACTCCTGACGTGCAGTTGACAGAGCGGGTGTCCAAGATTTATGCTGAGAAAGTATGCGCCACGAAGGATGGGGAAGGGGAGGGAAGGAGTGTTGGTAGGGATGGCACACGTAAGGATTTCGGGTAATCAATATTATTTATTTAAATATATTACCCTTTTGATTAATAAGTATTATATATAGTGGGTCAGTAGCGTATTCTTACTATATAGGTAAACCTGAAATTTGAGTAAAGAAGCAGACTAAAATCATATATAAGTTGTCATTATGTCTCACGTGACTATACGTTAATCATTTTCGCTCATCCGACTCTTCAACTCTCGATATCTCAATTATATTACATATAACCGCTCGAGATATTCTTTTAAGTTATCCCTAAACTTGCATTAACATTGTATAAAGTTAGTTGAAAACCAGTAGAAAGTTATGTATATAATAACGAGAAAACCATTATTATTTATTTACTTTTAAACCATTGCTATTTAATTAAATTTGGACCATTATTACGGATTTAATTTTAGGCCATTATTATTTACTTAGATTTTTAAATTTTCGCTATCCGTAAGTGTTTGCCTCATACCGTATGTAAATGCAGCATTAACACGGCGTAGTTCCTCGGCCCCACCTACAGAACCTCGAGGCAGCATTTGGGGTTGTTGGACCTTGCAATTGCTTATCGTGCAGAATTTCTCGCCAATAAACGCAACTTGATCGTTGGGCATACATGTCAGTTAGATCAGCGGTGGATAATATACTGAGAACTGTGACTGCGAGTCGGATCGATATCGGATTTGGAGGAGTTTCGAGTTGCTGAGCTGCCCCTGAACCCCCTGACCCGGCTGCCATTTTCACGAGGTAATTAACGAGGAAGCGGCTCCACCCCTATTTGCACGTGACATCCCATCAGGGACAACTACCGAGCAGGGCGAAGGCAAGCCGTTGGTGGGGAGAATTTCATTTTCTCTGCCGAATCTGCCCGAAAAGGGGCCGAAAGACGACTTGATGCACGGTCCAAAGTAGCCCCTGAATTGAGGATTGAGTTCAATATGAAGGATTTGAATCTCGAGCTGCTACCCAACTGCGACCCGTGTCAATTCCTCCTAATATAAATTCGTCAGAATGGATTCCCAAACACGAAGTTTGTCTAGACGTTAAATTCTTACAAAAACGCTGACATAAATACTATTCACGGAGGTCTACTTGAGTATTCCTCTTTTTAGTTGTTCTTGGCACTTTTAGATGTGACTGGAATAGGGTTGGTAGCAAGTTGTCTGCAACACCGTCTCGGTTATCGAAAAAGAATTTCAAACTGAGAAGAGAGATATAAAGTTTCGAATTTCTTACCCCAGCCGTAAAGATCGTGCCATCTGCACAGACACGTTCACTTATGCTAGACTCGTAAGTCCAACAAATGAGGACATGGTGTGCCGCCAGGATCCACCGTCCAGGGTCCATCTCCAGCAAATAGAGTCGGATCGATCCGTGACTTCTTTACGTCAAATCACAAGCACACAAGATATATACCTTCTATGCTGAATGTGTTCGAGAGAATGGTGAAACCCCGCACGCCTTGATATCAAACGAAACCCGTAGACATGCTACGACAAGAGGAAGCTTCCTCTGAGAAGAAGAAAAAGCGGTCTGGAGTGCCCAAGTCGAGACATGGGTGTAGAACGTGCAAGTATGCTAGAAATCCACAGTCTTTTGACGCGTTCTTGCTAAAGTAAATAGGTTGCGTCATGTGTAGGTGTGGGGGGAGAAACCCTTTCCTATTCCAGACTGTTTCTTGATGTTCCCCTGAGACATTGTCTTCTCCCGAAACAATTCGAATCAAGCAAAAGCTAACTCCCCCCTTACCTAGCAAATGTGATGAAGCCAAACCGATTTGTGCAAGGTGTGTGAATTCTCTGGGTTGAGGGAGAAAACTTCATCTGCCTCCGTTTAAGGGACTCCTCTCTTGATATAAACTCTGACTTCTACCATATCGGGCATCACTAACGCTAACATGTACCTCAGGTGTGAAAAGTTTGGAGTCGATTGCGATGGCTACGAAAGTAAAATTGAACCACGTCGATCCTTCAAGAAGATATCACAGGCATCCCGTTCCACCACCGTTCCAATTCTAGCACCACGGCTGCCAACGGTCCCAGGCCCATTGGCCAAGTCGCCCTTCCATGATGAGCTTGAATTTCAATACTTCCAGCTCTTCCGCGAGAGGATGATCCCGCGTCTGATCGGCTTCTTCGAATCAGATTTTTGGCAACGCCTCATTTTCCAAGCTTCCGAGACAGACCCCTCGATCCGACATGCTATCATTGCGATTGGGGGGTTGAAAGCCATCACGGATGTGCCCCCCGCCAAGGATCAGCGAGGCCTTCAGGATCACGTTGAATTCGCTCTCAGCCATTACGCCAAAGCAATTCAAGCCATGCGGAGGTGTTCTCTCAACGGAACGCAAGATCTCAGGACGACTTTGATCAATTCGCTGCTTATTATGTCCTTCGAGAGCATGAACGGAAACCACAAGGTTGCCAGCAAGCAGATCTTGGTTGCACTAGAACTCCTTTCGGAGAATTTCACCCGCGACAAAGCTACACCCTCCCCAAAACCATACCTTGAGGACGAATTGATTAATACTTTTGAACGTCTGGATCTCTCCACCATGGCATTGACAGATTATCGATCTCCCAATAAGCATCTTGCCCTGCAATGGTTCGGACAGGAGAGGGTGGACCGCATGCCGGAGTTCTTTTCTTCGATGAATGAAGCAAGAGGCTATCTTGGTCTCGTGGCTGGTAGGCTAGGTCATTGGGTTCACGCTGCATTGCCTGACAATCTTTCTCGTGGAGCTTTCAACAGCCACGTTTCCGACTGCATCCCTGATGAATATCTCCCTTCGCGACAAAAACACCTGGGCGAATCTCAAAGATGGCATAAAGCATTTCAACCTCTGCTTGATCAGTCGAGGATGTCAAAGACAGGATGCAACCACCTTGCTGCTGCAGCTCTCGACCTTCTTTATCTCACCTCCTACTTTGCAGCGGCAGTCATTCGAGATTCGAGCCAGCAATATCCGAACACGCGCGGCTTTATGGACATCTTCACTCAAATGGTTTCGCACTGCGAGACCATTCTCAAGGCATCCAGTATGCCGGGCGAAAAAGGTATCTATATGGTGGATATGCAAGTCATTTGCCCGCTGTACTTTGTTGCATGGCGGTGTCCTCAACGAACACTCCGACGAAAGGCGATCTCGCTTCTCTCGTCATATCCACGACGGGAGGCTTTTTGGGACTCGATTTGTTCTGCCAAATTAACGTCATGGATCATGTCGCTCGAGGAAGAGAATTGCGATGAAGAGTATATACCGGAAGAATTGAAGATAAATATTGTGACTCTTCTTGATGCCAACACCGTTTCCCGGGAAGGGCACTTCCGATGTATGGTGCCTCAAAAAGGGTCTGGGGAATTGATCCCAAGTGAAACGATAATCACCTGGTGATTCTCACACTCGAGAGTCTCGACCGAAGTCCAATAATGCCTTCACGAGGCCAAAACAAGTTTGCAACGCACCCCCATCCGACTCGGAGACTCGAGCTCAACAAGAGCGATGCCAAAATAAGTCTCATGCTTTACAACACCATACATCGTACGGCCCTTGACATACCTAGAACTTCTCCGCAGCAGGTCTCATATCTAGCTCATGAGTCCACAGTTCGGGCTCCTGTTGAGACAGCCACAAATAGGTCTTCCCGACAGCATCAGCGCTCATTTTCTTCCCTATTCTCTGATCCTCACCATCCTTATCCTCAATGGCACCATTCGCAATGGTATGCACCACATGCACACCCTTCGCACTCATCTCCCTAGCCAGAGTCTGCGCCAACTGCCTGACACTCGCACGACCAGCACCATAAGCCGCATACTCAGCACTACACCGCAACGCTCCCAGCGTCCCGGTAAAAATCAACGTCCCCTTCTTCTCCCCTGTCTCCGAAAGTGGCTTCTCGCCATGATGCTCAAAAAACAACTTCAACGCCTCTTGAGAAAACGTGAACGCGCCACCAACGTACTGTTCCAAACTCCCCGTAAACTCTTCATACGTCTCATTCATGAAAGGTTTCTTGCTCGAGTGCTTGACAGAGTAGATTGCTACTTTGAGCTTCAGGTCTTTGAACGAGTTGTGAGATCTGATGGATTGGAAGGTGCTTTTGAGGTTGGTGGGTGAGGTGTCAGTGGCGAATGTTTCTACGACGCTGCCTGGGGAGGTCTTTTGGAGATTTGAGGCTACATTGGAAAGGTTCTCTTGCCGCCGGGCGAGCAGGGCTACGGCCATGTTGCCGTGCTTGGGATGCGAGAGGATGCGGGCTATCCCTGTGCCCTTTGAGAATTGTAAGCTTTGCCTTTTGTCAAGGTAGGAACGAATATATTGAGATTTATTCCTGTACGATAAAGTTTCAAGTGGACTTAAGTGAAAGAAGTGAACTTACAGTGTTGGGACCTGCCCCGATAATGATTGCGAGACCGACGGGAGGCATTTTTGTTTCTTAGTCTTACTTTGGATAAAGCAAATCACAAGATTATATGGAATTCGTGTGAACTGTGGAAAATTTTTATAAGTCTTACCCCAGGTTGTCAGTGGCTTGATTTGTCTACGTCAGGGTGCATGACGTCTCCTTGCCTTGTTCCTTCCTCTTTGCCGCATCTCCGGGCCCGAAGTTTTTCCGGCACTAGACGTTTATTTTAACGAAAACGAGATCTCACACGCAGACCATCCCCATCATATGCAAGGATGATTCACAATAGCATCTTAGTCTATTTTTATTGGTTCATGTGAATTTTCTCTCCTGGGCTCCACACTCAGGGCTTTTGGACGAGCTTCAGAATCCAAGAACTCGAGGTCCTTGCCAGGCTGCTGCTACTCAACACCACCTCATCCTCTTGATCGATATCATGGAGAATCCAGTTCCTTACAAAAGCTCAAAACTACCTGTCTTGGAGTCAACTATGTTCTACGAGCCAGTTACCGTCTCTGACGCCCCAGCCCTTGGCTTTCCCCGCTTCCCCGACTTCCCCACAGAATTGCGCCTCATGATCTGGAGATTCGCGATCCCAGTAGGCTTCAGCAACCACCCAATCAGCGTCAAACCGTACTCCTACACCTATCGAGACCGCCGAACACCACCAAAAACCATATCCATCAATAGAGAAAGCCGGAACGAAACCCTCAGGTATTTCCGTCGTCTGGAGCTGCGAGCAGCTGAGATATCGGACTCGGTTAGGCCAAGGCATAACCCTGGATGGCTGCGCCATTATCCTACTCACTTCATTCTCTGGGATAACACTACCGATGTTTTAACGCTTGATTGGTGGTGCTTGGGCTCCAGGGTCACGGATGTCGTCAAGTATCTGAACCTTGAGCCATTCGTCGACCAAGAGAAAGGTAATATCAGCTGCGTCCAATTTCTCGATATCGATACCCAAGCCTGTCACCGTCAGGTTGGGTCGCATCAACTCTCGAGCTTCCTTGGTCGAGTTCTCGGAACCCACGTTATCGAAGCCATTGAGAAGAAATTGTGGTATTTTGTCGGGCTAAAGGAGGTGCGATTGACCATGTGGGATCTGCGTCGTTCTTATGATGAAGAGAAGTATTTTATGGGCGTGTTTGAGGATTGCTTTAAAAAAATTGCGAAAGACAACCCGGGATATTGCATCCCGTTGGTCTCGTTAGTGCCGGAGTTTGAAAATGATGCTAGGAGGTTGCTGAGGTGACTTAAGTTACAGACGCGGGCAGTGCAGAAGCAGAAGTTGAAATCTGTGCTTTTAAATGTTCTTAATCGAATGGGACATTCAAAAGTCGTTCTTCTTGGATGTTCCACGATTAACAAGTATAATGGGAGCGCGATGTTCTGAAAGTACTTCATTTGCTTGGGCCATTGTTCTGTCTACGGAAAGTAAGGACTCTATGTACGGCTCTTTCCTGATTCAGCGTATATTCTACCTCGTAGCACCTCCTCAGCGTCCTTTAATCTACAGAAAGTTCTTATACAACTATTATTCTGAATCAACGCAATTCTCTCTGCTCTTTCTCACTTCCAATTATCTCGGGCCGGATTATAGTCAGGAATCGGAGGGGCGGCGTCATCAGCATCATCCTTGCGATCCTTTCCTTGGCTCTTTTCTTGCTCCTCCTTCATGCGCTTATCCGCCAAGACTTTACGGGCCCGCGCAGCAGCAAAATCATACGACCCTTCACTCTTAACCTCATCCTCATCTCCATCACTCATTGTGGCTGCGGTGTTCGGTTCGGTAGTCTCCTCCACGCCCTCCAGCATTTCCGCCGCCTCCAGACGTCGAATTCGTCTAATACGTGGGTCATCTTCATCCATGTCAACGTGAATACCGATTCTTGGTGAGGCGCGACGTTTCGGCAGGTCAGAGGGGAAGAGATGGACACCATCCGTGACGCGACTCGGAGGGGATTCTGGTCGACGGTAGGGCTGATATGTTGGCTGAGGAACGGACGGTCCAAGGCCACCGGGCAAGGTCGAGTAAACTGAAGACGTTGCTGACCAGGGCATTCCGTTGCTGCTCTCCAGATCGGGTCCGAATGGATCGCTGGCTCGGGCATTCTTGTTAACGCGCAGAGGTTCAGGACTGAACGAGCGGCGGGCATCTTCAGCAACTGTGGAGTTGTCAATACTTGAGTCTGTAATATGGGTAGCTGGTCGAAGCGTTGGAGATATCAGCATGTCTTCTATCAACGAGTTGCTCAAGGATGCCGGTCGACGTGGACGGCTAGGAGGCGATACCGATCTTTCGGGCATGGTATGCATCGTGATAGGCTGTGGATAGGAAATAACCGGCCGTTGAGGTTCGTTGTTTCCCTGAGATGTTCGACCGAGGCGGGAAAATGGCCATCCCCAATGGGACGTCTTCTCACTTAGCTCAGAGACGTCGCCACCAGGCTTCTTCTGAACGGTCCTCCTAATGAACCATATGATCACCGCACTGAAAGCGAGTACCAAGGGAATGATGATTGCACCCCAAGGGATGGATTTCTTTCCAGATACACTTGTGGGTGTGGAGGTTGGCGAAGGTGTTGTTGGCGTAGTGGCAGAAGGATTAGAAGTTTGGCTCGAAGTCTGGCTGCTCAGGAGCGAAGTAGGCGTGATCGGCACTGAGAGAGCAGAAGTTCTAGAGATATTAGCAGCTTTTCTTGAGATTGTTGCCATGTCTGATAAACTTACCCGCCAAGGGAGAACACTGCCCACCATGAGGTGGTGAAAGTTTGACCAAGAGAGTCAGTAGTCGGCAACACGTTCAACCCGCTCCAAAAGGTTGCGTCTGGCGGCTCAGAAGTCGTGAAAGTCGTGGGGAGAGTCGTCACGGGTATGATGGCGGTGGAGAATGTAGTTGAGGGGGGAGGCGTCGGACTTTGGAAGATTTCAGACACGCTCTTAGTCACTGTGCTGGTGCTGCGGGAGAAGATGGTTGTGACTGTGATCGTTTCTTGGGCAAGGCAGACCTTCACCGTAATGAGAACGTACAACAGAAACCAGAGGATATCCATGTTGACTTCTCGAAACTTTAGACTTGGAAGAAGTTCGTGTTTTGGTGGATGAGGAAGGTGTGCCGAATCTGACTGCTAAGGAGCACAGCCAAGGGAGCGTGTCGAGTTCGTGACGGGAACTAATTGTTTGAAATACAATCGTAAAAGGATGAGTTGCTGTACCAGGTAATGGTAGAGAAATCGGAAGGTGACTGTCGACTGATGTGTTCGTTGCGAGGAATGACTGCGCAGGAAAGGTGGACAATTGTCTTAAAGATTTACGACTCGCGTGAATTATCCCAGATATTAGAGATAGGATGAAGAACGGCTGTCGCCATATCCTCTTCCTTACCCTTCTGCAGCTCCTGACGTTAAACTCGAGAGAGCGGTTGACGGGTCCAGATGATGTCGTTGTAAGTCTCGACAGTTGGGGAGAGCGGCAGACCGATATTGATAATTCACGACTCTTGTGAATTATTCCAGAGAGCGGACATGGGATAACGAATGGAAACACTGTATCCGGATCCAACTTCTTCAATCTTTGAGATTGTACTCGGAAGAGTCGGCAATAGGGTCGAGATGATGTCGCGGGCTGTAAGATCGAAAGAAGAGGAGCGCGGCTGGATGTCTATGATCCACGACTTCCGTGAATCACTGGATTGTAGAAATGGAACGGAAGGCAGGTTTATGACTCTCTTCAGACCGTACTTGTTGATTTTTGAGGCTGTACTTGAGATAGTTATTGATGAAGATGTTCGTAGTTTTGAAGGCAGGAGAGCGCAACTATCCTCTGACACAGATGCAAAGCAAATTAACACCCCACAAGGCTCTGCAAGGGTAGAAATCTGCTTCTCAAGTCTGGTGTGGGCAGCCCTTTCAATTCATGTTTTGTACTTGAGCTCGTGTTCACCGTTCGTAGCTGTAAGGGATGACTCCCTAATAATGACACCCGAAAGACCTCATCCTCCTTTGTCCATGCTTTGCTAAGGTGATAATCTTTCATTTCCATCTTCCTAATTAGTAATACAGCGGCAAAAGTAAGCCTGTGCTGTCTATTTCGCTTCAAGGTCAGTGTTTAAACTCTCTTAGCTTCGACAGCATTCTCGCAACCCCGTCCCAAACGGGAAAATTAAGAGAGCCTCACAAACTTAACAAAAAAACTCTCGCAAAAAATTTGTTTGCTCCATTGATCTGCTTCATATGTGTGTTTTTTGTGCTAGGGGAAGGAGAGAGACAAGGAAAGTTAGTTACGTACCCAGTCTCACAAGGACCGTCCGTCAAGCATCAGGACTATCAACTTGCAGCCGCCTATATCATCAGTAAGGAAAGGACAAAGGAAACTATTAGTACATCTTGGCCGCTACCAAGGGTTGTAAGTACAACCAACGTGTGCCGCAGCTAACACAATTTGAGATCTTGTGAACACGTCAACTGGAGTAATCCGAGTACGAGGTACCATCCCACCCTCCTCGGCCAAATGCTGCCAACAAGTTAGCATAGTGCAGTGAACGAGTTGTTAGCGCTTTAGAAATGTGATTCATGGCGAGTGGGTGTCGCATATGAAAACAGATGGAGTGAAATTTGCTCATAATTCCTTATTTCGAGCTATAACCCTCTCAGAAAAAAAGGGGTAAATTTCGCTCGGTAGTCAAGCGAAATTTCTGCAGCAACCACCATGTCCTTCACTAGCCAGACTGTTGCCAAGCATCACAGGAAGATCTGCAACGTAAATCATGTATAATTTACTGCCTACTTCACAAGATGGTCAATTTTATTTATTTGTTTTGGCAGATTGCGCAAAGTTACATAGCAAGGACTTGCAGTGGAGGCTCCGTCAATGATGTTCCAGGTATAGACAACCAAACAGACCAGTTCCAGAATGGCAAAAGGAAATGACCAATTTCATTGTACACAATGGTTCTGGTTCATTGAGGAGCACCTTTTCAATGCCTGGCTATTGCACGCACAAGCCACTGGACAACTGAATACTCGAGGCTCGAGAAGTAGGCCGCCTCGATTCTCGTCGCAGGTAGCCAAAGGAACAACAAAAGACTCGTGAAAAGTAGCAGATAACAAGTAAGCATGCATATGTCAATGATTCTCTTACATTTGTAACGCAACCCCTCCCTCCCCTCCCTCAACCCTCCACGTCCCCACCAAACCCGACCGGCCGTCTTCTCCCCCCACTCTCCGGCAAGATAGCCATAGCCTTATAAACCTTCCCCATACCACTCCCCCCTCGATCTACTAACCTCTTCCACGCCCCTTCCACGCCCTTCCTCTTCTCCTCCTCCTTCAAGCCCATCATCAACATCTCCGCCCTCTCCTTAATCCCCATGCTCAACAAAAACTGCCCCTGCTCCACCGGCCCATGAACCTCGACCCCAGGACTGGCACCCAATGCCGCCTCAGCAAGAGCAGTGAAATCGACGTCCGCGCTCAAATCCACCAATCCTGGTGAGTAGAGCGGAGAAACGCGTTTATGTTCTCTGATCCCTCGCAACGAGTTCGTTGGGATGGTATCACTCGGTCCATAATCCAATATTATCGCCGCACCAGAAGGTTCTTTCTTCGGAGCTTCTTTACTGCCTCCTATTCTGCGTGCGAATTCTTGAGCATAAGCATGACTCTCGGGTGAGATCTCAATCAGCGAATCAGGTAGGAATTTCAGGGCTCTGTAACGAGGCGAGATTTCAGGTAGGTAGAGACTATGCGGTGTTGCGGATTTGGATAGCGTGAGTTGGAATTCTGGGGGTGCGATGGAGGATTGTAGTGGCTTTGGGGTGTGGAGGTCGGCGTGTGTTGCGCCAGGTGGTGTGGGCGACACGACCATTTCGCGCCATTGAGGACTTTTGAGTTGTCGTTTGGCAGTTTCTGGAGTAAGCTTGTGTTCTCCTGTTGGTGTTTGGATGGTCTCTTGGGCCGAGTCTGAGGGAGAGATAGATTGGAAGGCGTGGATTGGGAGGGCGTCGAAGAATTCGTGGGCTACTATGAAGGGTGATTTGTCTTGGTCTGATGCCACATTAGGACGCACGTGAGAACACGTTTGGAAGAGTTTACCTGAAGGCACAAAACGTATATTTTCGGTCCAAATAATTGGCAAGTTTGCGTATTTGCTAATACTTTGATGCCCAACAGACGTTTCAGTCATAGGAGCATCGCCACACAAAAGCTGTTTCTGCGCTTCTCTGAGCGACGGACTTGCTTCGACCATATAAACAGCTTCAATGCTCGAAGCCATTGGTTTGAAATTCCTTATTGTCTAGTTGAGTCATTAGCCAAGCATCACAAAAGATAGCTGAATGAAAACATACTCTCAACATATCATCCATCAAAGTCCCTCTTCCAGGGCCAATCTCAACTAATTCCACACCCTTACTCTTTCTTCCCTGAGCCATCCATTCCGCAACAAACCAAATTCCAATTAGCTCTCCAAATATCTGAGAAATCTCAGGAGATGTGATGAAGTCCCCTTTCTGGCCGAATGGGTCTCGGCCGTCTTTCTTCGACATGTAATATCCACCCAAGTCGGATGTCAAGCACATGCGCATGAATGCTGCTAATGGAATGGGTCCAGTTGCCTGAAAGTGTTATCGGTCAATTTATTTAAACAGGGGAGATATTGGAAACTGTACGGTAATAGCTTCAGAGAGCTGTTTTGCAAGAGGCGTAGACCATTGCCTGGCCTCTGTCGACGACCACCTCAAAACAGCACAAGAACCTCTATATTTCCCCCTCACAGTACTGTGAACGCAAGCACGCGCCTGGATCGAAATAATTGACCTCATATCGGTCCGCTCCTATTGTTACCGGATCATATCTCTTCAATCTTCACTTCTTCCCAAAAGGATGTAGGAACAAAGTTCAGCCTCGCGAACCTCCAAAAATTTCCCGACTTCGACATGACGAAGCTCCGCGAACACCACCAACCACACAACAACCAAATGATCCCACGATGACAACCAAAATGAAATCGCGCTGGGCAGACGACGAAGACGACGCCGCTGCCGACGCAGCGCGCAAGCGCGAGAAGGAAGAGAAGAAGCGGGCGAAAGCTGAGAAGCAGCGGAAAGCCGACGCGCTGCTACTCCAGCAGCAACAAGTTTCGACCGCTGTCGCAGACGCACAAGCGGAGCAGAATCAGACGGAGCTTTCGAATCGGCCGAGCAAGCGGAGGAAGTTGTCTCCCGAGCGTGAGGAGGAGGGGAAGGATGCTGTTGGGGGAGAGGTTAAGCTCCTCAGGTTCCCAGTAGGACAATGGAAGAAATGTCGCAGTGTAGAGGAGTACGAGAAGTTGAATGATATTGAAGAGGGTGCCTACGGCTGGGTTTCTCGCGCGCGGGATAGCACCACAGGACAAGTCGTTGCGCTGAAGAGGCTTAAGATGGATAATGCGAATGATGGGATACCTGTTACCGGATTACGGGAGATACAGACACTTATGGATTGTGAACACCCGAATATTGTGGCGTTGAGAGAGGTGGTTGTGGGTGAGGATACGAGAAAGATTGAGAAGTATGTTATTCTTTCTATATAATTCCCTCTCTCTATTTGAAAGAATGATTGCTAATGGATGTTCAGCATCTTCCTCGTCCTCGACTTCCTCGAACACGACCTCAAAACGCTTCTCGAAGAAATGCCCGAACCCTTCCTAACCTCCGAAATAAAAACTCTCCTCCTGCAACTCGTCTCGGGCGTGCTCTACCTCCACAACACCTGGATCCTGCACCGGGACCTGAAAACCTCGAATCTACTTCTGAACAACCGCGGCGTCCTGAAAATCGCAGATTTCGGCATGGCGCGGTACTTCGGCGACCCCCCGCCGAAGATGACACAACTGGTCGTCACGCTCTGGTATCGAGCTCCTGAGTTGCTGCTAGGAACAGAGAGATATGGCATGGCGGTCGACATGTGGAGTGTGGGGTGCATATTCGGGGAACTGTTGACGAAAGAACCGCTTCTTCAGGGGAAAAATGAGGTCGATGAATTATCCAAGATCTTTGAACTTTGCGGGATACCCACCGAAGACTCCTGGCCTAGTTTTCGACGCTTACCCAACGCTCGTTCTTTGCGTTTACCAAAGAATCCCGTCTCTCAAGGCTCAGGCCTCCGCGCCAAGTTTCCTTTCCTAACATCCTCTGGGAGCGAATTATTGATAAGTCTTTTAAGTCTGAACCCAGCAAAAAGACCTAGTGCGAAAGAGGTATTGGATCATGGTTTCTTTAAAGAAGATCCGAAACCGAAGAGTAGAGAGATGTTCCCTACATTTCCGAGCAAGGCGGGTCAAGAGAGGAGGAGGAGGAGGGGCACGCCGAATGCGCCTGTGAGGGGGAAGGTGGGAGATATTGGAGCCGTGGATTTCAGTGGGATTTTTGCGGGAAGAGAGGAGGAGGAAAGGGGTGGGGGTTTTAGTTTGAAGCTCATATAGAGGGGTTGTAGGAGAGCACATAGAAGGATGTTTGCGTGTGGCTGCAATCTGGGAAAGAGAGCCGCAGACTTCACCTGCATGCCTAGTCAGATCTTGCTATTGCAAATAGCCAGCTAGCTCTCCGCTGAACAATTACGATACCCGTCTCAAGACGTTACTTTTCGCACATGTTCAAAGAAAGCTCTGGTTCCAATAGCAGAGGGCTGCTCTTTGCTTCATGAACGAACTACAGTACCAAGACTGTAAATTCTACATCTTTCTTTCTGGCCTTTTCAATTTCTTTGCACCAATGCCACATCTGGAGCTGTATGAGTAGTGTATCTGATACCAACAGTCTGTGACAGCAACTATCGTTCCTAACAAAGCACGGATTGAAACTTGCAAGGAAAGCAGCATTCACTTTCATCCACTGTTCCTTTTTATGAAATTCAAAGATTGTAGTAAGAGGATTGCTTCACTGCAGGGGATGCCTAGAACAGCAGATATTCAGATCCTTTTGTTCATTCAAAATGAGGATGCTTATGCTTCTCCACTCATTACTTGTACTTAACTCTACTCGCTATGCAAATTCGCCAACCCAGATTATACACTCATAACCATAACTCCATGTTGCCACGCCATGCCCGACCCTGTAAGGAGTGTAAAACTGTTCACGAAAACACCCCGATCCTGTGCCCATCCATATTCTTCCGCTTTTCTTCCATGCAATCACCAAATCACTCCCAGCCCATTGACAAACCACCCAAAGCTCAATACCGTGAGCACACACATCCCTAGCATCATACCCAACGCCCTCTTCTCCATCGGACCCAGTGCTCCATTGCAAGTCGCACAAATAAAGTCCGCCAACGGCGTATAGCTCTGCGGCACGTACATCCCAAACGTATACGTATCCTGGACCGCCAAATACCCCGCCTCGGCTGTAGCGCTGATACTACTCGCCGCATCATAAATAACTAGTGTATAGATATCGGTCAACAGCGGGTCCGTGACCGCCGTTGCTTGATATCCACCCGTGTCCCATGTCACGGCATTCGTTGCATTCGAAACTGTGACATTTGCGGCAATTGTGTAGAGCTGTTGGTTTTGTGTGCATGTTGCCATAACATTCACTGCTGTGGGAGTGGCTTCGAGAGATGTGTAGTTCCAACCGAATGTCACGAAGTCCCCGATTTTGAAGAATTGTTGCCCGGAGATGGCGGCCGGTGTTAGCATTGAGACACCGCCAGCTGGAAGACGGGCATCGTAGGATGTGTGGCCGGTGGCGGTTGTTTTGTTGGCGGCGCTACCCTCGGTCGCGGATGGGGCTTCGGTTGCGAATAGCGTGGTTGTCTTTCCTGCTGAAACGAGCGTTTTGGTGGGTGTGGGAACGAAGGATGAAGCTTTTCCTGTTGCTTTCCCTGTTGTCGCTGCTGCTGATTTGGCTTCCGCATGTTAGATTTGGAGAGGGGATTAAGAGGTGTTTGGGAGACTGACCGGTAGTACTGTTTCCACTATCTTGTCTTACAATCAGGGCATCTAGTTCTGGGAGCCATCGTGGCCAGGGCCATGCTGCCGTGAATGTGGAAAGAAAGAGGAATATTATCGAGTACAACTGGAGATTTCGTGAGGTCCGCATCGTGGAAATCCGGGTGTGGACACCCCTTCAATCCTCGAGTTTTCAACCAATCCGCCAAAAATCTTCCCAATATCCAAAAATATGTATACACACGTGTGCAGGCTCGTCGGGTATATTATCTCGATGTCTCTTTCGAAACAATTGGTTTCGTGTTGGAGGTCGATTCGAAAATGAGGTTCTTGCTCGTTGAAGATGCCCCTGTCCAAAGTCAGAACCACATCGACCAGACAACGCCACTGACCAACCTTGCAAATCTTCAACTAAATCCTGCTTCCTCCTAAATCCAAAGTCAGGGAAATGGCCGAACGAGTGAGGCCTGCGGACGAAAAACGAGGGAAGGGATTAGAGAGGATATACTCTGAAATCCGAGGAATGTGAATGTTGGTTGAGGAAATGAGGAGAGTCCGTGTAGTGATCGGATCGAAAAACGAAGGCTTTAGCTCGATGCAGGGGTTGGTGTCTGCTTTCTCGTGTTGGGCGACGATCAGCCACTCGCCTCTCTATTTTAGGAGCTTCCCCGTCGAATCGATTGAGGGGCGCCAGCTCCACAATCACGAGTGTGGAAAAGAAAGCTGCATGTAAATTCAAATTCATGCCTTGTCAAGCCCAATATTTCTAGTCAATTCCCCTTTCAACGACGCTTCTCAGCACTCAAGTGAGCGATTATGGAGAGAGATGGCGATTGATTAGAGAGAAGCAGGCCTCGTAAGACCTCGGAACTTTCAAGCAGAAGACTTTTTCGGAGATCACGTGAATTATTATCGTTTGTTATTGGTTATTACATTCAACATGAGGAGACAAGGTCTCACTCCTACACACGAGTCAAATTAAATCGATTGTCGAGAATGTATTTAATGCAGTTGTCCCCAGAGGACCGGGAGACGTCACCGCGAATTCTCGTCGTGTGATGAAAGGTCGACATCACCCCTTTCTGCAGAGAACCCCTGAGGCGGAGCGATCACATATCCTTTGCCGAGTGATATTTCACCTTGGCGGACCCGAAGACCCAGGCACTGGGAGGAGGAAAGTCATCCACTGGCAGGGTGGATTGTGATGGTTGCCGGTAATTACCAATTCATTTTTTCTTACGAAGTACTTGGTCCAATGTAGGGGGGGGGTGCATGATTGGTCAGAAGGGGCCGGAGAAGTATTTTCTTGATGCTTTGGGATCATATCGGGAGAGTATTGAGTGATTGTCAATTGAAACATGAAATCATCAAATGACGAGGGGCTTTACGCATCAGAACTCGTAATCAACACCATGATTTGGCGATGGAGATGAAAGAAGAGGATATATAAGGGATAGAGTTTACTCCGGTATACTTTCCTGCACCGTGTTCTCATATCGTTCTATCAAAATCACTCACTTTCACACCGCAGCTTCATGCCATCTTCTATCAAAGCACTCTGCCTTCACATGAAATCTTCCCCATACTCCCTACAATGGAGTTCCCATCCCCAGTCAAGACCTTCCATGACGACACCTATCCATCAATCAACCCAACTTTATCACAGCTTTCCACCAAAGGCAAGAACATCGTCATCTCAGGCGGTGGATCAGGCATTGGACCCGGAATAGCACATTCATTCGCGAAGTCTGGCGCCTCCAGCATCTCCATCTTCGGGCGAACCCAAAAATCGCTTCTCCAAACCAAAGAGGCCCTCTCAAAAGACTACCCAAACACCAAAATCTACACCTACGTCGCAGACATCACAGAAAAGAGCACACTCGACACCACTTTCCAAGCGGTCAAGTCCACCGTCGGTTCAGTCGACGTTTTGATAGCCAACGCAGGTTACATACCAGACCTGCACTCCATCGCCGCCTCTAACGCAGACAACTGGTGGGCCGGCTTCGAGATCAACGTTCGCGGCGCGTTCAACCTGATCTCCTCCTTCGTACCGGTTGCGTCCAAAAACGCCTCAATAATAAACATCAGCACGGCAGTCGCTCACATGCCCTACGCACCAGGATTTTGCGGCTACGCAGTCTCAAAGCTTGCCGGGACACGGGTTTTCGATTATGCTGCGCACGAGTACCCGGAGTTCTTTGTGCTGAGCGTGCATCCGGGCGTTATTGAGACTGCTATGAATGCGAAAGTGGTGGCGGCGGGCATGAATTACCCGCATGATACGAGTAAGTGATTCTTACCGATGGCAGGATGGGATGTGCTAATAAAGTTTAGTTGAGCTACCGGCAGACTTTGAGGTTTGGGCTGTGAGTCTCGAGGCGAACTTCCTGCGGGGAAAGCTGGTGTGGTCTAATTGGGATGTTGATGAGTTGAAGGCAATGGAGAAGGAGATTGAGGGGACCGACAAGTTTACGCTCGGGCTGTTTGGGTGGCCGTAGTCTGGACGCCTTGCTCCTTAGCTAAGTGTCTGGATCTTGGTTCGAGAGGAGTGATTTTCAAGTGAAATGCTACAGAAAGTCTAGGCAGAATCAATGCACTTGAAACGTAGAAATTTTCTTCTTCATAGCATTTGTCTTTCGCCATTTATTGTGTCAACAAAATGAAGTTTAAAAACGCCCCTATCTGTTGCCACCACATCCGCGACTCCCAATCGAGTAGTAAAGCGCAAACGCGTAGTTTTCTCAATTCTCTACCTTCGTATGAAAGACAACAATACCTAAGCATGATCTCCTTCCTCTCCATCAAAGCCGAGCAAAGTTGGCTCAACTTAGATTCAAAGGACCCAAAGTCTATGAAACAACCCCTTGTCCAAGGGTGGCTCTGCGAGAATATCTATTCATACAGCATGACAATACCGAGCCGAAAACTGACAACAAGATTAGGCGCTGACGGTGAAACTTTAGACTTTAGAAAAGGATTTTCTTATTTGAAGAAAGTCAGATTGTGGCGTTTGACTGAACAGGGACGAGCCGAAATTGACAACAAGAGGAGATGTTGACAGTGATGGGTTTCGTCTAATTGAAGGAAGCATTGGACTTGGTTGATTCCTCTTTAATTTTATGGCTGGAGTTTAGATTGAAATAGTGTTGTATTCGAGGTTCATAACGAAGTTGTTTGAATTGTGGCCTCGAGCATGGTATAATATTTAATCGCAGCCCCTACTACTTCTTCAATTCTCAGCGGATTTTCCTTATATTTACAAATACAAGCCAGTCACCCACCCCTTTAAGCTATCCACAGAGAAATTCATTCTAACCACATCTTTACCCTCTCCTTCCCACCCCGATTCTTTCTGTATAATGAAGCTTTCGGAATCCTCGCCGTATATTAGGATCCGGTGAAAGTCGGCAAATAAATTCCATGACGAAGTAAGTTCTCGAGTCCCAGGCTCCTCTTCTCGTCTGAAGCCTATTGCGGAATAGCAACGAGCTCAAGCCGCATCGGCAAGATTCACCTCTGTCAGATAGTGCCTCTCGTTTACCAAAACCATTATGGTGGAATGTCTCCTAGAATGGCTGGACAATATTTGTTACCAATCCTCCTCCACGAGACGAATCGAGGAAAATTTTGGTTTCAATTCTAAGCTCTTACTAGGAAGTTCTGCCAAGGAGGAAGGAACCTATCGGGTCCAGCATAGAAAAGAGCAGCGGGCGAGGCTTTTACTTCGCTTCCTTATCTAACACTCCCTTCCAACGCACACTCTGTCCCCGAAGACAGTATGTCTTGATGAGCCAATAGATAATTTGATGAGAGGAGTACTCTATGATAGCTCCAGCTATACTTATTTATCCCTTAATTCTCACTTGACAACCTGCACCGAACCATCACTTCGTCTTCCTCATTTACTCGTATCCTGCGCCGTCCGACATTGACTTGGGACATATGGTGCTTTTGATGACGCGTTAATATTACACGCCGAGAATCCTATAGAAGAATCTGTTTCCTGTATACTTGATTAGCTAGGGCTATTCACTGACTTCTTGCTCTGGTGTCAGTGTTCCCTAATATAGTCTTCAATCTAAGACGTCGTTGATGTGCTCATATCATACACCCACCTTTCATAGACTAGTGCTGACTTGTACAATTGGGCCGTAGAAAAACTCAGGCCACTTGACCAAGATGGGGGATTCAATGGGGTAAATAGGGCAACCAGGGTCCTTTGTAGCAGGCAAGAAGTTTTCTGTTCCATTCTTTAATAAGAAACCGTGCCTCGAGACTTGAATCAACCAAACTCCTGTAGTTGAGATTTCCGTGCGTGAATGCCGACTCCCGCCCTCGTATCCCATTTTCATACGCTCAGCACAACGTCTGCAAGAGGGGCATCTGATCTTCCCTGCCCTAGTACTGCATTCCAAGCATAGCATTGCTCATTCAGGTGAATCTTCCTCTTCTTCGTCTTCAGCGGCTCCAGATCCCGCACTCTCGTTACTCGCAAGGGAGCCCTTTCTCGCATGGAACAGAGCTTGAGCCTCTCCGACCTCCATCTCATGCAGCTTCTTTTTCTTTTCGATCTCCGGAATGGCGTTGTTCAACAGGGGTCGTGCATCAACGGCCTCGAATTCGCCTTCTTCGTCATCTTCGCCTTCACTAGACTCGTCTCCGCTCATGGCTGGGCTTTCGAGCTGATTTGACTTGGGACTCTTCAAAACGACTTCTGGACTAGTAGATCGAGAGTCCGGGGAGAGGCTTTCTTGAGCATTTTGTCCTGACTCCGATTTCCGCCGACTGCCCTCTTTCTGCAGTGGCTTCAGTGTAGGGTCGAATGCTGCTGGGAGACCGAGAGCTGCGGCAACAGCGTGTGCTTCTTGACTTGGGTCATTCGGTACTTCGAAGATGCTGTTCTGATCACCGCCATCTGTCTCATGCTCATCTAGGCCACTCTCCTTGAGTATCCGTGCATAGTCTTGTCTTGTTGGATCAGCGTCCCTCTTCTTCTTCTTCTTCAATCTCTTCTCGGTAGGTCGTACAACCACGACTGGGACCGGAGAGTATTGTAGACACCACTTCGAGAACGAGTTTCGATTACTGACAAGCCCTTGAAAACCACCCAGACTGCGACCTCGCGTACCGACGATAAGCATTGCGGGTTCGTAGATTTGGATCTGGTGGTCCCTCGTGTTAGCAGAGCTTATGATTTTAGGGCGAGGGGTAATTTGCCATCTTCTGAAATGTAGCGTGCACCTTGCCAACCGCAAACTCCAGCACAATGCTGATCGCGCGGTTGTCATCATTCCTGGCCTGAATCCGCTGCATCAAATCCTTGGCCTCCTTCTGGTATTGCCTCCTCTCCACGTTCCGGTCATTAACAACCTTGGCATCCTTATCGACGACTCTGAGACATATTATCTCATCCCCATCATCGACTAACTCCTCCAACATCCACTGCAAGGCGATATCCGAGTAATCGTTCTCATCTATGCCGACCATAAACGACCGCGAACGTCTCTTGAACTGGTATCCCTTATGCTTAACGTTCAGCGTGAACGAGATGGTATTCTTCTCCGTCGGTTCTCCCCCAGCGAAGTTGTCGAAAGAAACATGATGTTGGAACCGGCTAGTAGTCGAGTCGTCAGCCGACGTCGTCATGATACAAATATTTGTAGCAATAGAACAGTGGAAACAGAAGTTCCCACACGAACGATTAAACAGGGGCCATGTGGGTAAAGGAGGTGGATCTGAGCAAAGATGGGAAGGTGGGGTACCCGTCACCCGCGCTGACTTTGCCCGGAAGCGACCCCCAAGGCTGAAGGAAGGAGCGCGTGGGATGTCTGTCAACGGCGGCGGGCCGAGATAATAAATAGCTCCGAACCCCAAAATGATTCGTCTCACTCTTGTAGCAGCTCTTGCTTCTCCGTAAGATATCGAGGAGTTCAACGAAATAAGTACTTACGGTGGCGGTGGAGGAGAAGACCCTCTGACCCGAGGTGACCGCTTTGCCTTCGCCTGGCCAGCAGAAATCGACACGCCATTGGACTTGAACGAGATGCTGCTAACGGACGAGACCCGCTGGTGGGTAGTAACTGTTACTGCTGCATCTTGCTTATGATCTGCCTTGACATGCTCGATGATGGGATCCAGTCGTGGGTATGGGTAGCTGATTTCGGTGGATGGCAAGGTGAGTGGTGAGATAGGCGGTGTTGGAGAATCGGAAGGAATGTAGTGCAGAGACGGCGACGATGAGGACGAGCTTGTCGACATGGCTGTGCTGGTCTCAGACTTTTTTTCTGGTGCGTCTCCCGAGGCGGGAGCTGGCGCAGGGTAATTCGAAATGCGTCTGATAGATACCCATCGACTGCTGTTTGTTGGGGGTTGTGGTGATGTATCGAAGAAGACTTGGGGAGGGCAGAAGCAAGATAATCAGATATCCCTGCGCACTTGGAAGGCGCAAGGTGGACTGGCGTCTCGTCACACCATAAGTGCCTAAGCAATTTATGGGGATCACCAGGGCTCTATTAAGAAGTTTGTGCCCAATGATACAGTAATTTTTGATGCTTTTTGTGGTGGGCAATGTCCGTGAGTTCCGCGTTGCAGGAGGACAACCAAGCTTGGCAAACTGTCAGCCTTCAACCTCCAGCCTTGTTGCTCCCAGAAGTTATTTTGATGATTTCGGTGCACAATGACCCCACGGCTCAGAAACACAATCCTAAATGATCTGCCAAGATTGGGACATTGGTCGGGAGGACGTTCATGATGCAAGTTGCTGTCTTAAAAAATTTATCTACGCATGTTCAAGGTCGTTCTACACTAGCTCTCCTTATGTCTCAATGACACCGTGAGCTTTTGGTCCCTTTTTCATTCCAACGCCAACCATGCAGCCTCCGATCAAGTCCAACATGAAATGCAGAAACCCTTCAATATGTCCGGGCAAGGTTCCGAAGATACCAGTCCACCAATTTGCGGCCAACCTTAGCTTCTGAGATATGGATCAGGTCCTATTGTCTTATCAGCAGCTGACCATGCATAAAATCCGGAATAAGCAATCACTTACTCCTTGCATAGCATAATCAAGGTCATTAGAGTTGACCACCTCTCCGTCCAACAATCCATTGTCCGTCCATCGGATTTGTCTACTTCTCTGCTTGTTCACCAGTAACCAACCTCTCAACTTCTCAGGCTCAACCTCAAGGAAACCTGCCAGCTTCTTCAGATCCATTGTTGTATAGAGTCGGAGGTACGACTTGACGGTAGGACTCCACATGTTCGTCTTGACTTCGTCCATGAAGATAGCCAGGTGGTGGTCAAGAGGGTCGACATTGAGCTCTGGGTTGTCGAAATCAGGAGGAGTTGGGGAGATGAACTTGGGGCAAGAAGACCTGAACAACTCCTCAAAGATGGGAAGTGATTCTGGCCCTCCGCGCTGCAACTTCAAGAGTTGATCGCCGTACTTCTCTCGTAGAGCAGTGTGAATGGTATCGTCGAGTCTGGTGGGGTGGAAAGCCACGCAGATAGCAATGAGAGCGTACATCTGGTCGTTCTTTTTCGAGATTGAATCGTACTGGGCGTTCTTCTGGAAATTCTTCGTCCGCGAAACGTAGATAAGGATATGGCTGAACATGCGGATGGCATCTGCGTACCGGCGCATCATCATGTAGGAGAAGCCTACATAGTAGTAGGTTGTGAAGTGTGCGGCCATAACGCGGGCGAACATGGCTTTCTTATTGAGTTCAATATCATCAAGAGTTTTCAGCGCAAGACTGAAGTCTCCGAGAAGGCAGTGAACTCTCAAAAGACCAATGATCGAGAAATATCCAAGCATTCGGTAGAGAGACTTCGATCCATAATCGCCAGCCACTGCCATAGGCTCCTCGTTTCGCTTCATCGCCGCCAGTTGCTCATTGATCTGCGAACGTTGGATGAGGGAGTACAGGACGTTGAGAACGCTATAGCAGCCCCATGTGTTCGGTGCTTCGCGGAGGATTTGGATTTCTTCTTGGTTGGACCCTTGACGCGCGACACGGTTTCGATACGAGCAGAAAGAGTTGAATTGGTAGATGAATTCATCTATAACATCCCAAGCCCAGTAGTACTATGAATAAAGTCAGTGGAAGCGGAATTGACGTGTTTGCGATATGCTCACCGAAGGAGGTTCAAGATCCACAGGACCGTCTGAGTTCAAGATGAAATGGAACAAGCTGCAGTAGTTGTCGTAGCTGGCAAACTTGACCTCAAGAGGAGCCGAGAAGTCCAGAGGCTGTGCGGCAGCTGCTAATCTTGACTGAATGTCATCCGTCTGTTGTGCCATGCTCATCGATGTGACGGGCTCCAATTCTTCCATCCCCTCATAGTGAACTTGTTCTATGTAATCTGCGGCAAGGGCTTCCTCCTCAACATCGGAATCGTCGTCAATCGCTCGTGCCGGAGCACCGCCGTTTTGAAAGGCGCTCATCGTATCGTCTTTCGATCGCGTTGTGGGCGTCGAAATGTGGGATGTGGAGGGGTTCACCAAAATGCCCTCAAAATTCAAGCGAGTTTGTGTGGGATTTAAGAGTCACGTGATGATCCGTAGAAAAACCCCACCTCGCCTTTACTAGAGGTTAATATGATAAGAAGGACTACAGAAATTTACTTCCCAAGATTCAAATCGGCAAGATATGCCTGCAGGTGGACGGAGTTTCAATTTTGAACTACATTGGAACCAAGGTACCCCAACGTCTCAGGATCACCCACCCCTATCTGAACATCTGGGGTGCTTGAGGGGGAATGTCACTCTGGAAATAACTCCATACTACTCAGAGCGCAAATTAGCGGGGCAGATTTTTGACATCGCTCCCGTTGAGCCCATGGAAACTGATTCTCACTCAAATCGTAGTCAATTGGTTGAAAGTATGTTTCTCAATGACCGAACATATCACAGCTGTGTATTTTTGAAATGCAGAAGAAAAAAATCGGATATCATTCATAAAGACGTGACTCGTGACCCAACCAGGAGCCCTTAATAACGCCCTATCCCACAAACGCCCTCTTTTTCAAAGAAAAAAACACCCCTCTACAAATCTACCTGTACCGCCTCGAGTCTTGAGCTTTAGGCCACTCGTTGCTACCATTACGTCCGTAACTCTCTCTAATGGAGCTACCCTGCTGAATGGAGGCAGGATATCGCATCCTCTCCGTACTTGAGTTCCCATTCCGCATTTCCACGGCATAGATTGCGTCCTTTTCAGCTGTGTGTCTGCCCTTGGCGAAGGAGAAGACGATGACGACCATCCATAACACCCACATGACTGATGCTACGATTGCGTATGCGACTTCGCCCTTGGTGGTATTGCCGGACAATTTAAGGCCAAAACCTCCGTTGATGATACCTAGCGTGACGACAGCACGACCCCACCAGATGTGAGGGTAGGTTGCAACATTTGCGCCTCCAGTCTTCTTGTAAAGCAAGTGATGGGTGATGCCAGAAACTGGTTGTAGTAGAAGAGCTCCAACCACGACGAGGCCGATGATCGAGTGATAAGTGTCGAGCTGCTGTGTCATGACAGCAATCCAGACACCCATACCCATGGCTCCCAGTACAATGATGTAGGTTGTGACCATCCAGCCCGCGTGAAGCCAGACAACGCCTTTGAAGCTCAGAAGTCGAATGATCATGGCTCCGATTGGGAAGAACAGGACGAATGTGATCGGGGCCAGCACTGCATGGGCCATGATGACCATATCCAATTTACTTGGCTCGCCTCCATCATCTGTAGTTGAATCTGAATTGCTGTCAGACGAGGAAGATGTTGATGAAGAAGAGCTTGAGGTTGTTGAGGCCACTGCTGTTGTGAAAGGATTGGAGCTGCTACCACCAGCGGCATTTTGGAGGTTGAGCGTGGTATCACCGTACTCGGTGTGCTGCGAGACTGAAGCGCTCACGCTGTCCGAGGAGACTGCAGAGCCGGCCTTGTAGGCCCAAATCCACGCAGAGCTGGAACTAGTAAGGCTCATTGATCCTCCTGACCAACTGTTGCAGTTCGAGCCTGGTCAAAATCAGCATCTAGGCCTTTACGAAAGTAATTGTCTGTCATACATCTGACGTTCGCCACCATCATGTTGTTAGAGATACCCGATCCGCTGAGGAGAGTGACTTCGGTTGTGGTATCAGCACTTGGCTGTGAATTTCCAGTGCCAAGTCGTGGTGACAAGGTGACATTGGTTCCTGCTGCGTTTGCGTAGATCATGAAGATATTTGATCCTGTCATTTGGCTCCCTTGCCCGAGCCCAATCCAGGACATCGTTGACGGGCCACTGATCTGGAAATAGATATCTCCACTGCCGCTACTAGCAGTGGCAGCTGGGACGTTGACTGCATAGCAGACGCCAGCTCCTGGGCAGTATGTGACGTTTTGGGCGAGAACAGATGTGGCTGTAGGGAAAGTTAGTTACTGCAAGATGCGCTGTACTTGGTGGGAGAAATACCCAAAGCCAGAACTCCCAAAGATTTAAGGATATACATTTTTACTTGAGGATGTAATGAAGGGAAAGTCTAAGAGCGGTTGGGACAGAACGTATAAATAAAGGGACGGGTATTATAGCCTGCGCTCCTTATCAAACCAGTCTAAAACAAAAACCACCTTGAAGCAGGGGAGTCCAAGATATGGCTGCATTTGAGGACGAGGAGGGCGCTACGCAATACCACTTGGTATTGACCCCCCAGGTCCCCTCGCAAGACGCCCCAGTGCAGGGGATGGGGTAAAAGCACTGGCTTCAAGCAAAGTTAAGGGCGGGAAATAGCTTCTTGGAGAAGTACTGTTCCGAACTACCATGCTGGTCCAGTGGAGGATGTAGTGTACGATGGTCTGATAACAGTAGGGATGACTGCTGCCAAGGAGGTGGACCAGCCTTTAGTTTGAGAAAGCTTCGTCCACAACGCAGAACAAGAAGATTGACGCGTGGCTGAAACGCCATCTCAATCACCATCTCCTTCACCCGAACTCACAAAGAAGTTCAAGACTTTTCGTTTCGAACATTACGCCATAAGTGATGATGCGGCAGTTGGTGGACCTCGGGAGGTGTCGAGTCTAATTGGCGCATTGTGTCTGTAGGGAGCCGCCGCGTTCAAGATCCGTCATGGTCACCACAGGTCGACATTCTGCTTCGAGCTCAAAGTTAGGCTGCATAGCCGATCACACAACCCCGTTGGTGTGTCAGGATCGAGATTACCTCGGATGATTGGCTCGCGGTCGCATAGAGCAGCGTTCAGGAGTGCTCGAGTGTTTGCAACTGATTGTGAGGGGGGGCGCTCGAAAATAGCACCCCTAATCCAGCCCCCAGAAGTGACGTCGCCTGATCGGTCCGTGCCAAAAACAACGAATTAGTATGAATTGTATTAAATAATATTATAGTATGGCATCGTGTAATTAAGTACAAGCTCTTAAATTCTTTATATCTTTATTCTTGCGAGAGATATAATAGTGACTTTCTTATATAAGCTCAGATAGAATTTTTCACGTTCTATAGTTAAAAAACCAAGCCTTGTATATACGAGGTATACACGTGATTAAAGCTGTACTTTATTATTATTATTATTTTACTTTATTAAAGGGTATTATTATATGTATAGCTTTTACTATATATAATAAGCTCATAAAAGCTTTAAGAGTCTAATAATTCTAAGTTTAAAATATTAAATATTTAAACACACGTGACTTTCCCGAAATATTTTTGCCCTCTATATTGTTAAAAATAAATAAAGGTCTGTGTACTTTAACGTTAAATTATATAATACTCACGCCTTTTATAAGAAATATAGTTAATACGTTTTATTCGCAGACTTCTATTCTATAATTGCATAGTAGATTATTACTCATTTGGAGCTGTACTTAAAAAGTTATAATGGGCGCAAAAGGGTGACCGTTTTGTTGTGTTTTGGTCGGACCGACTGTAGTGCATCTTTTCTTAGGCGAGGCTGGATTGCTTAAGGAACCATAATTCGCACACGTCGAGAGTTTGAGAAGCCATAGACTTCCTACAAGTGACATTCCACCAGCATTCAGGAACACCGCATGACCTGATGTAATCTACCTTTTTGCCTCCAACCAATCAGCGATTGTCAGATTGTCAGCCGAAGAATTTTGACTACATTCTACATGGACTTTCCTTATATGTATTTTGATGGCTGTCAGGCTTTCGTCAGTCTGTTTCAGCGGATGACCAAGTGCTAATCATCAGGATTGGCAGACCAACAGCCTCACAACGTTCTCTGCTTCTTTCCGGACGTTTTCCTCCAAGCCTCTGTCCAAAATCGTAAGTACCAGACTTGAAACACGACTCGAATTGTTGAATGCCACAAATCGCCGACACTTAACGTTATAATCAGGTCACTACTATTTCCGTGAGCAGTGTTGACCGCATTTTGCATATCTTCTCCGTTGCTCCCCTCGAATTCGATGCTAAGACGGATTGCCTCATGCTTTTTCTTTGGCTGGCTGAGGGATGACGCGGTCAGTGAGACAGGAGAGCTTCCGAGAAGCAAACGAAAAAGGACATTTGCCATCACGCCTTCGGAAGGGACTTCGATCTCGGGTGGAGAGTTACAGGCATGTTTGTGTGAGGCCAACATGCATCATGCCTAATCTTCCTTGACGAATCGTTCAAGAAGGCGAGATGCAGATGTTTTGTATTCACCGCCTTCAATATCTGATACAACACCGTGTGCCTATCCTCGTTGCGCTACGCGACTGCACCTGTAACGGTCTGGAGAAAAAGGGGGGGAGTTGATGGTCACACGTGACTGATCAATCTCTACCACGTGGCTATTCTGGCCATCCTTCTTTGCCTTCTGAACGGATAGATTGGATCCATTTGAGGCCTGACAGCTGTGACGGACTTCGACCAAGTCGACTCTCACTAAATCCAATCGGGCAGCGACCACTCATTCACGCACACTGTTGAAAAAGATACAGCTATTGCCCTAGTAAAATTATACCCTAAGGGTAGCCCTGTGTTAGTGAGACAGATGCTGCTTTAATACTCTGCTAGGCTGGCACAGATCAATTAATCACGTTTTACAGCAAATTCTAGAGAGCTTTCCAGGATTGCAAAGTCAAATGGTGCGAAACGCATAAAAACACGCGAGAATAAATCTTTTCTAGGGTAATAGCTGTAGGAGAGTTTTGGATATCCAGCGCAGCGGACTAGAGAGCGTACCGTAGGTGGCTATGGTTTCCTCCCGAAGACGTGAGCACCACGAGCGACGTAGGGGCAGGATAGCCTCCGGAGTGAACGCTCACCCTGACCTGTATTTATCGTGAGCATTGAAGTTCTGGTGGGGCAAAATTCCTGATTCCCAGCACCTAAGTGGTCGCTGCCCGATTGGGTTTAGTGAGAGTCGACTTTTGGAGTCGACTTGTTCGAAGTCCTGTGAGGTGGTATTTCCCAATCTTCTAGATACCTCCGAAAAGCCTTAGGCTCTGCGTGAATGCGGATCAGGAGCTAATCTGGATCTAAGATAGAACGGATTGGTACTGGCTGAGGGACTTCCTCACCCCACCTTACGAATTTCAATCCAAGAGTAGCGCTCCGTGTTCTGTAATTATGGGAAACAACACTCTGATAGTTGTAGATACAAACCTACAGAGCAGTTTAGCCATTTGGCTGGGTGTGGATGAATGTAGGAGGAAAACGGAACGGGAGGCCCACTTGTCTGGCCGAAAATTCAAGCCACTTTGTATTACAGGAACTGAAGAGAGTCCTTGATAGAGTTCAAGTTTCAACCCCAGATTCACGCTAAACAGCCGGGGCACGGTCAGCAAGACTCCGGCCCACCCAGGGTAGAAGTCTTTGATGCAAGTAATCAATCTATCCTCCACCTTTTCCCCGCATTTGCGCTAAGGACTCGGCATGGCGGGGTCCGAAGTAAGGCGATGTCCCAGTAAGCTAAGGCTGAAAGTCGACTGCAAAACTAATGCAGAAGAATTGACTGCTGGATTCCCTTGCGAAAGTCTGGTCTCAACTCTTGTCTTCAATTCTCCATGTTCCACTCAGGACTCGAAGAACCAAGAACTTTTCCTGGGTAATTCCCGGGATGTTAATGCTCTGAAACAAGTCGTTTGTGCCTGTACAAGCACGCATTTGAACTTCGTGTCCTTTGACGAAACATTAACCACACGCTGAAGACTTCAGATGTCAAAGAGCTGGATTTGAAAGAGAGTAGTTGTCTCCCAAAGATGCTGGCCAGGGTGTGAAAAAAAAATAAGGTTTGGTTAGTGCCAGAACGGCGTGGCACTAGTTCTAAGCGAGACAGAGTAGTCGAAGTGAACCATCCCGAAACAGGAGCCATAATTTCAGTCTTCGACCTACCAGCTGTTACTTGACTGTACCAGCACTGTGTAATCGTGCAATATGGCCACGAGCACTGTGACTCTCGACAAAGCCTATTTTGAGACTCTGCTGCGAAGGTAAGCACTTCCTCGATCCCTTGTCGAGCCTGTGTCAGTAGTGTTGGAAGTGTCTGAATATGTCTGAGGGCAACAGCTAACATTTTACCCCACAAAAGGGCTCAATTTGTAGGTGCCAGTCTTTTTACAGGAAGCGAGCTGCCTCTAACACTTGTGGCATAGCATACTGGCGGTGTGGATTTTACAACTCCTGTTCACGTTCCTACTGTGACAATTCCAAAAGCCGACCATGATAGCCTCGTAAGTACACTCGGATGTTGGTTCAGGAAACCTGCTAATCCTCCGTTTCAGTTGATCTCTGCTCGACAATATGGTAAGGTCATTTTCAAAAGCAATCCATGGGCTTTAGTGGCATCTCTCCGGTCGGTCTCTGACGCTCCTCCCAGCCAACCTTCGACGGAACCTCTACAGAGGCGGCATTGCTGAAGAAACTCTTACTGTGAGGCCTTCCACTTCTCTCCCTTAAACGTAATTCCATAATCGAATACTGACCTGATCCACCAGATCTTGATCAAGGATGACGGCCCGGCGAACGAGAATGGCGGCACGACAATCCGCTCTGCAGTTGACGAGACATCGGATGGTGGAGCCTTTCTACAACCACAGAGTGCGACGAATATGCAAGCTGCAAGTGGGCAGGACTACACTTTTGGACGGAACTCGAACTATACCCCTCGAAGCGACCTGCGACCAAAGGATACAAATGGCTTTCATACACACTCACAAATAAACGACGACTTTGCATTTATGCCAGAGGGTACCGATGGATTTTATGATGGAGCAAGCGGAAACAATGACTCCCAACCTCGGTTTCAGCGCCAACAATATGATAAATTCGCCAAACGAACTATCCTGCTTGCCAATCTCCCCGAGGGCGTCACCCATACCGATATTGCGGATGTTGTCAGAGGTGGGATGCTGTTGGATATCTACGTTCGCACCCATGATCGTACTGCAAGCGTATCTTTCCTAGAAGAGGCTGCAGCTCATGACTTCTTCCGCCATGTCAAGCGTCATGACCTCTATATACGTGGAAAGAGGGTGCGTACCAACTACTTATTCATACAACAAGTCTTGTGCTAACAGCTTTTAGGTTGAGATCCGTTGGAACGATCGTCAATTCATCTTGCCAGGGCATGTTGCCAACAAGATAGCTATTGGTGCTACCAGAAACTTGGTTATCCAAAATCGTTCTCCAAAGCATACCGAGGACCTCATCCGGGACGATCTCGAGCACATCCACAATCTTGTTGTCATCAAGGTCAGCTTCAGTGGCCAGAATGCTTATATTTCCACCAATTCTGTCCACAATGCTATGTTTGCTCGTACTTGTATGATGAGTCGCGCGTGAGTAACCCTGAAGTGTTGTAAAATTGCCATCCTAACTTTTTGTAGTACCTACAAAGGCTCCAAGATCGAGTGGGACAACGATGAGTGTGCGGCTCCCCTGGACAGGCCTGTGCTAGCCCGCAAGGAGAACCTCCCCGCAAAGAAGAAAGATGCCCCGTTGATGAATCGCTTCCAGCTCCTGAACATGGATGGCGACGACGATTCTGAAGATGGTGAACATGACACCAGTGGCATTTCCTTACCTACTGCCATGACTTCGTCGACTCTCGGCGTCGTTGCTTGAACTATCACCTTGAAAAATCGATTATCGGCTGTTGCTTGACTCAACAAAATACTGTTATTGGCCCCTGTACGGATTACTTTTTAAGCTGTGTCTGTGCTACTTTCCTTGCAGGTCAGACTTTGGACCTTGGAGTTGGTTGGGCGTCTATGGGTCGTGGAAGGAGCCATGTGCTGATACCCCACGCTTGTCCGTCTGTTCTTCATAATACCGAATACCCTAAAATTGCATTTTGCTTCCTGCTGCTGGGAGGGGATATTCTAGGCGACGAGAGGCATTCTCTGTAGATGTTGACATCACCATGAGCAGGGTAGTAGATGGGTCAAAGACATGGAGAGCGTGTTGATAGTGGGGAGACAAACAGAGATGATTTCCAGCTTCTGGACCTTTGCATTTAGTTGTCTGACTGACAGTGATACTGGAGTGGCTCATCATTCCCAACCCATCCTATGCGCCAAGGCCACCCCCTGTAGAAGATCCCCACAGGCGCAAGCCACATTCTGCCCCTGGAGTTGACGCTAATGATAAGATAAAGCTGACGACAACCGTACCGTTGGCCGAGTGAGTGGGTGGACGAACGTTGTTTCAGTCAGAGGTGCCGACAGCCACACCTCGACTCTCCATTCCCTAAATCTTACCTTAATCCATCCACTATCTTCCATCTGCGATGTGACCACGGCCAATTTAGCTGACCACTGCGACGACCTTCAATGCTACCCTCAGATAAATGCGACGACGCTGCGTGTTTCCCACCAGGGCATCGCCACTCACTGGCATCTGAGTCCTTCACAGCCCTGGCTTTCTCCTCCATACCGTTCATCGTAACGTTCCTATCCGTCAGTCTTGTCGTCTTACACAAGCTGTTTCCTGTCGTATCGAGTCTGCAGCAATCGAAAGACGATGAAGACCATTACCTTCCCAGCGATGCCCCTCCCAGTCTTAGGCAGAAGCATGCCGAGCAGGGTGCGAAATCAGGGAGACGGAGAGTTGTGGCGGTCACCTTTTCTGCTACAATAGCTCTAGCGGCAGTACTAGCAGAGTTAATTCTCTGCGAGATATCGAATACATTGAACCCAGCGGCCAGGACGCTTGCTTTGAAAGCCACTGTCCCGACTTTACTCTTCTCACTGGTTGTCCTTATACCATTTCTCGAATTACAGTCTATTGTCTCTAGCTCAGGGTGGTCATTTCGGAGAACAGAACAAGGAAGACTACCGAAAACAGCGTGGTTGTTACAGACATGCGGCTTTACGATCTGGTTGATGGGATTTTGGTGGCTAGGAAAAGGGATTCCTGGGACATACATACACAGGATGGCTTCTCAGCCTGGTAAAGGGCTCAGTGAAGCATGTCTGGAACGAGTTGGAATAATTGGGATCTCTCTGATGGCTCTACTCTCCGGATTCGCTGCTGTTTCAGCTCCCTGGCAGACCTTTGGGGCAAAGCCTCGACCGGTCAGCGAAGCAGACGTTGTTCGGAAACAAGCAGGCCTTGATGCCACGAACGATATGCTTGCTGCAAAACGCAGCCGTCTCCGCGCTCTCCAGCGTAAAGTAAAGGAAGCCCCCTCGGAAGGCTTCATGACCAAAGTAATCGACACAATCCGCGGCAGCGCAGATACCCAAGAGCTGCGCTCCCTCGAACTCGAAATCTCCGGCCTAAACTCCATGGCCATCAACCTCTCGACCTCTCTATCTCTCCTGCAGAATCGCCTTGCATCAAGCCAACGCGCCTCCTCGCCCGTAGGGAAACTAATTCTCACACCCTCTTCCTACGCCTTCTCCCTCTACTGCGTCTACCGCGTCCTTTCCACCACGCTCACCACCGCCCGCCGCGCAGCCTCTCAATCTGCAGATCCAAGTCTCACATCCTCGAACACAGACCCTATAAACCGAATCCTGTCTTTGCTTGCAAAACATGTGGATCCAACTATGGACCAACTGGCGTGGAGTCGACAGATCTCATTCCTGTTGTCGGGAATTATATTGTTGGCATCCTTCAACAGCGTCCTCCAGACGTTTCACATGCTAACCAAACTCCTCCCCTCGCTGCTCTACCAAGCACAAGCCAACCTCGCTCTCCTCATCGCGCAAATATCCGCTACATACGTTATCTCCTCCGCCCTTTTACTTCGCAGCAATTTGCCGAGCGAAATGAAGAGTGTAGTTAGTGAAGCGCTCGGAAGCCCCCTGGAACCAGGGTTCGTGGAACGTTGGTTCGATGGCTGGTTCTTGCTTGCTAGTCTGGGAACGGCGGTCGGCATTTGGATTGGGAGGAACTTGGTGGGGAATGGGGATTGGGATGATTGGGATTTCGAGGGGGATGTGGAGATGGGGCAGAAGAGGTCTTAAAATTCTCGCAAGACTTGAAGACCTTGATGCGCTCATTTGCTAAGCCTTTGCGATGGCAGGCAGGATGGAGTTCATAGGAACGGGGTCATACAAATTCGAATGGGGGTACGGTGCATAGGAGGCGTTTGGATTGTTCTTTCGGTGACGTCGACTCGGTGGGGAAAACATGTGTTGGATAGACAGCTGGCATGATTAAGTCTGTACTCAAAACTACTTCTTGCTCTTTCGCAGACTCGCAAAGTTGCGAGGTCATTTGCTCATACGCTCTTGTCATATGTAGTCAGAGTTTTAACTCATTGTTCCAACAATGAAGTACATTCAAAGCACCACAAGCTCCCCTTGTTGTCCAAGATATTTGTTTCCGCTTCGCATCTACTTCTTGGCTCGGAACCAATCCGCTGACGAAAGCGAAACCAAATGCCAATGGTGGGGGTCAAATATGAAATCCAGCAAGTGCTGCGGGGCAACGAGCAGACCGAGTTGTGCCCGATACCATACTTAAGAGCCAAGGCGATGATCGTGGTAACGACGCAGAAGATGCAAGGATCCTTCAAGCCACATTCCCCTCGTCAATCAAGCCCATTTATCCAGTTGTGCGTTGTCCATTTGCCAGCCTTGTCATAATCGCTCATATAGAGGAACATGATTGGGCACCCAATTCTGCACAGGCAAAGGCTGTAGCGCAGCTGTGGGCGGTGCAGTCCTTCTCTCTTCGGGTTTGATTCAATTGAATTCCTGGGGTCCCCAAGTCTGGGGAAGACCCGCCCCCACTGATAACGATTCAAGGACTCAACAAAGGAATTCATTCGCTGTCCCAAGAGCAGTTCCGGAGTGGCGGAGGCAAGATCTACATTCGCACGAAACCAGTGGCGAATTGGCTTAATGTGCAATGTTTGGAAGGAGCAAACCCGAGATTGGATACTCCACTCACGGTGCTCGACTGGCTGGAAGGCCCTTCCATATACTTCACCACCACCGACAACCTTCTGTCAGGAATAGACCACATGCCCGTCAACGATACATGGAAATACTCGACCCTCCGTGACCAAAAGATACCCACGCACCCACAGTCTCAACTCGCGTCCGTAACCTGGTTCAACGGGACGTTGTCCTGGTTTTATTATTAAGATGTCAATAGCCAGCTGAGGGAGTTTGGGCTCGATGAATATCGAGATGTGGTGTGGAGGATGGAAGTCTCGGACCTCTTGGACAGGCGCTTTCTGGGACGGAAATAGGCGCGAGTAGGTGCTGCAGGGAGATGGAAGTCACTTGACCAGGATCGCGGCTTTTGACTCCGAAGAACTGTCGTAGATTTACTGTGAAGATGAGTCATATTCTTGAGATTTCAGCAGCGGATGTGGCGGCGAAGAATTAGTCGACTTTTGATGTCACTTCTGCTTAATTTTAGGCCATTGCGATGGTGTTGCGGAGTTTCTTTCTTGTGATTAATGACTTCCATTCAGAGTTTATACCAAGGTAATGCTCATGGCGGGACGAGAAACGTTAGGGTTCCGACGTAAGTAATGGCCATGGCTTTTTATTTCGTCTCATGTTGGTGGCAAGAGCGATCACTGCGCGCGAGGTTGCTGAAACGCTCAAAAACTACTGGGCTGATGATATTTGGAGGAAAGAGGAGCAGCGGTTTAACGGTGACGCAAGTGGATTTCCATCCTATGGCAAGCCGAATGTGTTTCTGGGCGTTGAGAGCACGGATGACATCGAGAAGTCCCGCTGGCACGAGCGAGAGTCGAAGGACGTTAAAGAGGATGCAAGCTCGATCCAAGATCGGCCCAATTGCTGGATGAGGTTTTTCTTGCGACCAGATAAGAAACATCGGTATATTGGCTCGCAACGTTCCACGATCTTTGGGCCTGGCGCTGGCAAGACTACGAGACGGCATTGGCACTTTGATGAGCATAGAGTGGCGGACGTGGAGGAAGAATTGAGTGGCCAGGAAAGTCTGTGAGTAGAGACAGGGCGATCACTGTCAAGCAATACTTTTTCCCCTGTGCGCAATATTCATCTCGAAGTTGTAAGGAGTCAAATGAAAACACTCAAGCAATAACAACAGTATCTCAAGGCAATATTATATTCAATCATATTCACCTCAAGTCAAGTCAATCGAGGAACATCAAACGAAAGTGAGAAAGATCTTTTATTTCATCCATGGTATCGTCACGAACAGTCCGCCCCCCCAAGCACAAACAACTCCTCGTCCTCATCCTCCTCCTCCCATTCATCCGGTCTCCTCCCCAGAACCTCTCTCCACTCCCTCTCCAATTTCGTCAGTTTTCTGAATCTCCCCCTCCCATCCCTCACCTGAACTCTCCAGCCGTGGTTGGCTGCGGCGGATGATCGCCGTGGTAGGCGTGGGTGTTTCCGGCACTGCGAGAGAGAGAGGCAGTGCGAGGCGCCGTTGGGGAGTGGGTGGTGCTCGTCTAGAAGGCGGATAGTTGCTCTGGTTGTTGTTAGCTAGTGTTTGAAGGATTTTCCGATGACAAGGGAGGAGACTGACCTTGTTCTCTTCCTCGCAAGAAGAGTCCGAGTCTTCGTTCGTGTTCGTGCCATGTTGGCAGTTGTTTGGATGAAAGGTTGTTGCTTGGTAGTGGTGGGAATCGAACCCGAGAGAAGTGTGTGATGTGTGAAGGCTTTGGAAGACGTCGAGCCGTATGTTGCTGAGGAAGGAAGGAAAGAGGGAGAAGGCTGGGTGGAAGAAAGCATTATATAGAAATTTGTGGTGTTGTATATTGTGATGAAAAACAATAAAGTTGTTCTCAATTGTGGTTGTTCTCGAAATTGAAGGCATTCTTGGGTCAATAGGGGCGTCTGAGGACAATAGGGGTGTAAGCGAGGGGATGAAAGCGACAAACATGTTTGACAACTATGCAAACCGTTGAAGACTCGTGCTTTTGTCTGGGACTAATCCTTCGATCGAGGTGTTATCAGTTTTTGGATGAGAGCTGTTGCGGGATTTTGATAGGGAATGATGCACTTCCACCGGACCGCCAATCTTTCGTCTGATGTGCTGGATCGATTCCTTGTCTGTGTATGGCAAGTTATTGTCTTCTGGGGTTATAGCAAACTGCAGGATAGTGGCGACTTGCAGCTACTCACATGAAAAGAGTGTGTGTTATACTGAGGCTCTGTAGCAAAACGAGTCACGGGGCAACAACTGGATGGAAAAGGGGCATGGAGTCACGTGCCGGGTGATAAATTCATCCCGTCTCCTAAGAGACACCAATGTTCCGAGTGCAGAAATCTTAGCATCTTGGTATACTCTACTTGGCAGTGAAAAAAGACGTAGGTTCTCTCGAGCTGCTGCCATATCTGTTTGAACCTAACGTTTAAAGCCGAGATGGTGCCTTAGTCCTTCGGCCAGCATACACAGTGATGCCGGCATGATCACTTGGACGAGCATCTGAATCATTTCTCTACAAACCAATCATCCGTAAACTCCCATCGAGATTTGTCTGGACTCTGATCAAGCCAAATCGGGAAGTTACCCCTTTAACTCTACGCACGTGATACTCGGATGTCGCTTCCCAAAACACCGACATTACAGAGTATCCGCGGCCATTTCTGTTCCTCCTTCCTCCGCTGCGTCTCCACATGTGCAGGTACAAAATCGAATTCACGAACTCTCCCGATTTCGCTCCAGGGTCACAAGCACAATACTCGCCCGACTGCAGAGCCTCGGGGCCGAACAACCCCTTTTCCCTCCGTTCACAAATCAGCACGCTCGGAGGAAAAATTACCGCAGTCATCAGCCAGACGGAGCGGCATCTTCGAACGAAGCAGCTGATTAGCAGGTTTAAGTTTGCATCGTCCCCTTTATGAACCATCTCGACCACCTCGGCGCCTCCTTTCTCCAGGTAGGCAAGAAGTCGGAAGGAGTGATGCTTTTGAGGCGTCGTTAGCTCCGGCAACGATAAGCCTGCCAAGATGCAATTCACCGCAACCGGCGGAGTTAAACAAGATACCAACAGGCTTTATTCCTCAACTTTGGCAGCATCTGATACACCAGGAGAAAGTTTGTCCCGCCGCCGTGGCTCATTGGTCAACCTCTCTTCCATGGCTCTCCCAGACGTCTGCTGGTGAGTACAGTAGTAGCGACGTACAAATCTACCTTCTTTAGCATGCTACACGAGGACGCCCCTCATTACTTGTGTCCGAACGGTAAGGCCGTCAGCAACGGAGAGTTTTCATGCAGATGTGGCTGGAACAGCACCCTTGAGTCTCGGAGTCTAACAGTTTTCCAAAGTCCGGGACTGCATCCAGGACTGCACCTAGTTAGTCATTGCAGGGCGCTAGAAAGGTCTCAGAACCCTAACTAATCTGCCAAGATTTCCCTTGCACAGGCTGATATCATTTCGTCAGCCTTATATGTTCCATTGCCAGCCTCGTTCACGACATCCGGTCTTCACTTGCTTCTGATCTACTACAGACTATGGCGTTCCAAAGTTTCATGCCCTTCAATTTCGTTCTCGATCAGCCTGATTTACCTCCTCCGATACCCAATCCCCAAGTTTTGTGGGAGAACAAGGCTACACTCACTCGACGCCGGGATACATACCCCTTCATCGACCCCTACCGCTTCAAGAACAATTTAAGGGAGAAGGTTGCCGTAGTGACACTTGCCCACCGCGGCATTGGCAAAGCCACAGCAATTGCATTCGCCCAAGCTGGTGCCTCAGTTTGCTGTATTGGTCCCACTGCCCAATCCCTCGAGCCGGTTCTACGGGAAATCAAAGAGAAATTCAACACGCCAACCCTCGCCTTAACCGCCAACCTCGTGGAACCTAATGCGCCCAGTCACGTTGTCATATTGGTCGAGAAGTATCTCGGCCCTATCGACTTCCTCATCAACATCTCAGGGGCTGCCTACTTCCGCTCCTTTACCCGCGAACAAAGCATAATGCAAGACTTCTGGCCCTCCATCGAGCAAAGCTTGCGTGCCCCCATCGCCCTTACGCATGCCGTACTGCCGTCAATGATCGCCCGGAAAACAGGAACCATCATCTCTACCACCTCTTTACCTGCCATTCTGCCCTTCCCATTCGCATCGTGCCAAGGTGTCGCTCAAACCGCGCTCCTAAAATTCCACCAGCATCTCGATCTAGAAACCCGCTCGAAAGGCATTTTCTCCTACGCGGTAAATCCCGGCCCGATACCGAGCTATATCCACGATCCGGATAAGAAGTTCAGCGAGGATCCGCATGGCGGTTCGATAGAACCGGGCTGGCAGATGCAGCTGGCGAACAAGGCGAGTGAGATGGAGTGGGCGAGTGTCGGATTGGCAAGTGGGACATTCATTGCTCTGTGCGCCGAACCGAGGGCGAGGTGCCTGAGTGGGCTGTATGTTAATGCTGAGCGTGATTTGGGGGAGGTTATTGGGGAGATGGAGCATGATCGGTCGAGGGTGGAGAGGGAGAGGATGTATGTGTTGAAGGTTGACGAATTCTGAATTCCGAGGTACGAGGGTTAGCGAGAATAGGAGGATCTGGGTGCTTTAGGCGTTCATGTTGGCGCTGTAGTTAGGGATCGAGGGGCAAATGAAGAGTATGTACTTCCAGAGAATACCCAAGGCCGAGGAAGAGAGGAGATTGAGGTATACTAGACCGCAGCGGTAATCTCCATTCAAGAAGAGGGGATGTTTGTTCAAGAATTCTCGAAAACTTTCTGTTGAGATTTTATTACACTCTACGAGTAGCCCTGAAATCTGACAGTCTTAGCACTCAAACCTATTACGAAGATGCCGCTGCATGTTGCTATATTGTGGGCGCGTCTTTCCTATCAAACCCCGCTAAAAGACGAATCAAAAAAGAGTTGGAAGTGGCCCAAACGAAGGGAGGAACACTATTGAACTGGGATCGATTTATCGGTGGAAAATCGATATATTGGAGATTGACAATCTGTAGAATGACTAGTTTTGACTAGATACAGGAGAGTGATACCATAAAAAACAGAGGGAATGGGTTCCCTAGCTATATTCCTGATTTCCACCCCACCATGTGATTTACCCCGCACTTACTTGGTGGTGGGAACGATTTACCAATCTGATTCCTGAACGCACGTTTAAGGAACGTAATCGAATGGCGATACTAATAAACGATTGGTGTGTTCGTACGTAAGTAATACCCAATAATCGGACGAACTGAATTAGTGGTTGAACCTGGAGTGGAAGGAAAGGATGCTAGCCAAGCTAGCTAGTTCAATAAACACCCAGCAGACACCAGCTTTGACAGCTGAACTTCGTCGGCTTATAAAGCTTTAGACGAACTCGGGGTCACTTTTGAACCCTGAGAGGCCAGCTCATTGTCTCTTTGGACGGATTTCGTCATCTCTAGTTGTTATAAAGCGAGGCTCTTAGGCACGATTTACAGCGCATGAGTCGATGCGGAAGAGTGCATTGGGACGAACCTTGCTGATTAATTCTGCCGACCCCTTTAGTTACAAGAGGATTGGAATATATAAACAATTCTTTGTCGATGAGTTTGAGAAATTGATTCGTTAGGATGCTCTCGCGTTTACAATGCAATCACAGAAGACACGTCCTGTCCGGCGATTCGGTTCTCAAAAGTATAAGAACGAAGGTCCTCAAATGAATGATTTACCAATGAGCACTTTATAATAAATTAAGAAGGAACAGCTGTTGATATTGAGCACGAGTATATAAACAGGATAGCCACAGTATGTCCCGTTGCCCATGTCCCATTGCCCATGTCCCGTTGCCTACAGCCATAGCTGTACCAACAAAAACATAATAGACAGGGCATTAAGAAGGCGCCATGAACTCCATAGACATATAACCAAAATCGTCCGGACCATTACTAATATCAATTCCCCCAGCTCGAGCCCCCGTGCTCGTCTGACCCTTGGCCTTCCCAGCGTTATACCAGTTAATATCTCTTGTACAGCCCTGCCCACCCTTTGTTGCAAGCGCTGTAATTGCTTCCGTGCAGGTTTTGAGTAGAGCCGCGTTCGCTACGGTAGCTCCCTTAAGAGCCGCTCGGCCTTGTGGGGTGACTGCAAACAGGATCGATAAGGCTACGCCTTTATGTCCGTGAAGTTCGTTAGCCGTCTTCGTTACGGCATTATTGAAGTTCTGATCAATCTTTCCTAGGCCGAATTTGATAAGGTCGCTCTTCATCGCATCACACCAATTAGCGGCCCCAGCGCGGATATCAGTAACAACTAGGAAGTTTTTCGGCAGAGGCGCATCTGGGCCCCCGTCACATTCTGCGCCAGGGGCGAGAACAAGGCCGGGAATGTCTCGGGAGCCCAGGTTATCAGCTTCGAGATCCGTAACGCCACGCTTCTTATGGTAGTTTCTACAGCCAAGGACGATGTTGGGGTCGGTGACGCCTGCTGGATAGTTTGGATAGGTTTTCTTTATGCAGATAACGAATGCCGAGTCCGCCCAGTTAGCACTTATCTCTCCTGGGGTTGGAAGAGCAGAAACTATGGTGCTTTGGAAGCATGCCGTAGCAAGGAGCATCAAATGCATATAGGCAACCATTTTATCGAGCTGGTGTAGATAGGCTAAAGGGTGAATAATATACCTATAAATATTAGAAAATAAATTAATAAGAGGGGGCTTGGGAAATTATAGGCGAACCGTATGTATTTAGGGGAATTTCAGGGAAATACAAGGGGAGGAGGTGGAGCGTGTGATTCTGTTTAAGAGGTATTGATATAATTGAAGGAGAGAGACAATTGAGAAACGGACAGTAGAGCAGGTTAATATACCCTTTACTTATATCTCGGATTATTAAGGAACTTCCTTGAGTTATATTATTTTTAGAACAAAGCGAGTTCCTAGCAGTATACGAGTGGTTGCTGTGCCGTAAAGGATTAATGTGTTGGTATTATGGCTAGTGTTGGTGTTTGACCTTGGATTCTAGTGACTGTATACACACTTAGCACTTGACCTTGCATCCTAGTAATCGTGTACGCACTTAGCGCTCGACCTGGAATCCTGTGAGTAAAGCTTTCTTTGCCTGTAGCAGTGTTCGAGTGTTTCTGTGCCGTAGAGGATTAATGTGTTGGTATTATGGCCAGTGTTGGTGTTTGACCTTGAATCCTGTGAGTAAAGTTTTCTTTGCTTGTGGCAGTGTTCGAGTGCCGTGGAATAGGCGCTCGAAGCAGTGCACATGCGATTATATGCTAAGAATGGATTAATATTAGTATTAAGGCTAGACATTATATAAGATAGATCTACCCTCCCATAGAATCTAAGACCAAATTCAAATATTCACTTAAGTATCTTTACTAAGATCATAACCAGATTCTTCTTTACTCCTTCCTCGATTACACCTTCAAATTATCCAATTACTATGTATCTTATCCAAAAGAGCTTTTACGCCCTTGCGCTCTTGACTGTCTTTTCAAGCGTAACTTCTATACCTGTCAATATCCAAAGCAATGATACGGGTTTAACTACTTCGAATAGTAAGTACACGCGTATCTATTATATCCGCATATTAATAGCAGAAGCTAATAAGATTAATATAGACGTGGTCTTATCACTTGATCAGCGTAACAACCCAGTCCTCGTTGCTTCAGATAGTACTTACTTACCCCGATCTTCCTTTTACTGAAATCCAAAAACTAATAGAGTATTAGGCGCTATTAAATCCCTCACGGGTACAGATGCAGATACCTTGGACTTAGCCCCGCGCAGCGGCCCTCCTACCGATCAAGACTTTGTGAACTTTTTTAAAGCAAAACAGCGTACCCTAGCCACCGACCGACTTGTCTTCTTCTCTGGTGTCGGTGCAGCGGAGTCTCAGGACTTTGCCCGCGCCACAGGCCGCCAAACCTTAGAGATGATTATTGGTAATACCTGGAGTCATTACCAAGGTGTTCGTGCAGATGGCGGTTTCTGGCCAGATTGGCCGGCGGCAATTGCAGGCTTCTGGGATCCTGCTTCTCGGGCTTGTGCACAGTACGCTACGGGAGAAGTCTTTTTCTATAGTTCTCGAGAAGTGCTAGACGACCAGACGCGACCGAATTGCCCTAAATGCTGGTATAGGGTAGAGAAGCCAGAGTTAATTGCTTCAATGCATGCTAGGTATACCCCGAGGGTTACAAGTATCGCAAAGTATACCTACCCCTATAGAGACAACAAGGGGCCTGTGGGGTATATCCAAACAATGTCGGATAAGAGAGATCTCTTAGGTGTTGTTAGTAATATAGTGGGGAATTGGGTGACGCTTGCCAAGTCACGTGCATAACGTATCAACCTCTAGTTCAACTTGTATTTAGATCTTCTCTCTTCTTAAGAGAGAACTCCTTAAGCAATCGAATACATACTTTACTATAATAATGCCTTACTTGATTTGTAACCTTTTACCTTAATTATTAGTTTATTTTATTATTTGTATTATATTCTTATAAATCCCTCTTTAATAACTTAATTCTTATAAAATAAATTTATAAATATCGGGGCTTATTATACTCGTAAATATTATTTGTTTTTATTACAAGTTATAGAGCAATATAAGTCGGCTTAAAATAATTGTATTATATTATATTTAGCTAAAAAGAAGTAGCTAATAAATATAAGAAACCAGTTTATATATTAAATAAGCTTACTAAGTAACTAAGCTTATTAAAGAAATAAAAGAAGTATGCCTTAAGCTCTTAATAAGTATATAATAGTTCTTTTATAAAGATATATTTAAGAATAACAATAATTATTTTAAAAGAAAGAAAAGTAAGTAAGATATAATTAGCTATACTATATATTTAGAATTTGCTAATTAAATAGTCGAGTAATAGTAATTATATATAAATATAAGATTAATATAAGAAGATAATAAATTAATTATCTTATAAAAGGGGGGTTAAGCTAGTAACTATATAAGCAAAATACTAAGAATAGTAGTATTTATAAAAGGAACAAGAATATTATAGAATATACTTAAAGGAATAATATAAAAATCGATAATAAATTATCTGGGAATAGTTCCGAGTAAGCTATATGACTTTGTATCATCTATCTAATAGAATATTACGAGCGTTACTCTGTAATTCCATACTCTTGAAAGACTTGCATAACATCTCTTTTCCTAGCTTGTTTTGCAACCTGAAGTGGTGTCTTCCCATCGCCATCTAGAGTATCGGCCTGCGCCCCCTGTTCAAGGAGAAATCGTACCATTTCAGTTGGCGAGTCAGTTACAGGTTTGTTGAGCGGGCCCCCTTTTATAGCAAAATGAAGAGCGCATCCCCAAACCACCTCGCGCAACGGATTCGACGGGTCGTATACTGGTCTGGTAAAGACCTCGTTAATATCTACCCCGAGCTCTAATAGCCTCTTCACGTTATTAATCCGACGGTATTGCGCAGCTTCTCGAAGGGCATGAGAACCTTGAAGCCGTGCGCCATGCTGGACGAGTAGATTAAGCATATCTGGTGTAGGGTTTGAAGCCGCGCGGCCAAGGAAGGTGTCCTTCAAGTTATAGCGACCATTGGGATTTGCTCCCTTCTGGAGTAGGAACTTGGCAAACTCATACTGGGAGGATATTGCGCATGCAAGTGGAGAGGTCGCGTGCTCTAGAATGTGGTCGGCGCTCATTCCGTAGTCAAAGAACACCTCGAAGACTTTTATAGGATTCGTGCCCTCGATAGCGGCAAAGATTACCCCATCTTCGCAAATACTCCACTGTTGTGGAATATCGCCCCAGTTGATCCCGTCCGGGAGGGCAGGAGTCCAAGGTTTTCGATGGCGACACTCGGGCAGGGAATCGAAGAGATGGCGTACCACTTCTGCCTGGCCATTCTTTGCTGCCACCTGTAAGAGATATTGCGCTGTTGGGATCGAGCTTGGGTCGACATTCCCGATTTGTTCCAAGAAACCATCTAGCAGATCGAGCTGGCCACCAACGCAGGAGCTAATTAGACCCTGGACAAGCTCGTTACCAGCAGGACCTGTGAATATCACACGTTAGCGGGGCAGGTTCTTTGGGAATATTAAAAAGGTGGTTACTTTTGCAGGCCATGAGGAAGACGTTAACTCGATAGCTCAAGGTATTGATACGTGGTGCGAATATCTCGGATGTTGAGTTAAGATCTAAGGGAGAAATAAACGGGTAAGAGCACTTGAAAGTTTTTATAAGGTAGGTCTAACCCCTTGGCTAGATAGGGTCCTGGCCCGAATGTCCTGTAATCTGGCCACTGGAGCCATAGCCACGGCTCCGCCCCACGAGTTTCTAAATTTAGTATTAATTACGTCATGTGAGATGTATAAAGAAGAGATGCAAGACGCGCAATTGGCCGGTAGAAGCGCTGTCTATATATAACTAGTTGGCTGCTAGGCAGTGTCTGTTCATTGCTCGCTGGCCGCTTGCTCTCAAGAACAACAAGGCTTGTAGAAGTTTAAAGATAACAAAGGAGTCCTCGGCCAAGCTAATTGTCCGGCACCCATATAGACTGCCCAGCCTCAGTCTCAGTCAATCTAAAGGATTAAAATTAGTAATAATTATTGTCGGTTCTTGTCGGAATAGCTGCACTGCGAATTTCCTGGGTCATGTGACCTCGCGTCACATGCGTGACTCAACCGCTAAACTAGTCCCATTAGGCTTAGCAGATTTAGGGATCGCATATCAATACCACGATACTGCGATCCTTACTTCTGAACACTTCGTATCAACCACTTCACCAACTTTACGCAAATAGCATTCCACGATTACGTGACGGTGCTATGCGTTCCTGGTGAACCGTCAATTATAATAATGTTTCTTATACTAACTAATATACCAACCCCCTCTTCTTACTCTTTACTCTTTCTCTCTCTCTCTCTCTATTTCCTTGGTTATTTATTTTGCAAAATAATGGGGAGACCCGTTTAGACTCCCTTTCCTCTCTCCCATATACGCAAATGTCTGTCTTACTCTCATTTCAGATTTTGCCCACATGCGGAGGTATTTCCTATACTGACTAAAAGTATCCACAGGCCAACCGCCTATACCCCCCAACCGCCCAAACCAACTGCCCACCCCTTTTCACCACAACAACGGCATAAAACCGAAATTTTGAGTAGATATTTGTAATCAGCGACCTTAGTATAGTAATTCAGGGAAGTTTTTAGCATTTTCCTACTACTTTGAAAAAAAAATCACAAATTTTTGGTGTTCTACCTCTAGCGGGATTATTGTACTTGGGGCCGTTTAACCGGTTTATATAAAATATAAGTAAGAAGCTAAGGAGTATAACCGGTTCTTAACTAGTTCTTAACCGGCCGAGACCCACCTGCCATTTTTTCCATTTTCGGAAAATTTTAGCGCGATTTGTGGGGCGAAAAAACGGCCCCGGGCTCATATTACCGCACCCTGAGCCCTCAGGGTAGACAATTCTTTGCCGATGTATTTGAGAAAATTGATTTATTAGGATGCTCTCGCGTTTACAAAGCAATTCTCCCTGCTTACAGAGGACATGTCCTGTCCGGTGATTCGGCTCTTAAAAGTATAAGAATTAAGGTCCTCAAATGAACGATTTGCCAATAAACACTTTATAATAAGTTAAGAAGGAACAGCTGTTGGTATTGAGCACGAGTATATAAACAAGATAGCCACAGTATCTTGCAGACACGGAATTATCCATGACTTCGTTCTGCTTTTCGACAACGAGGAGCCAAACAAAACGTTTGCCGACTTATTCAGGGTGCGGCTTTGGTTCAAATACTAACTGGGAAATAGAGTAATAGGCGGCAAAACTCGAAGCATCCTTGTCCGAACACTTAGCCAGCCTCATGCTTAAGCAGGTGGTTGGTAGTTTGGGCGGAAAACACTTGACAATAGCAAAGAAACTGGCAACAGTTATCGTTCCGTACTTGCCATATGTCCTAACTGTAACCTGTTTGTGAGGCAGTGTGAGAAGTTGAGTGTGGTCTCCCCTTCTCTCCACAAATTGAACCAGAGCTGAAGCGACATCAACCCTTCCAGAACCGGAAGAATAGCGTTCTTCGTGACCGACGCATCTTCAGGCGGAAACCTTACTTGGTGTACTGAGTTGAGATAGCTACTCGCATAATATCTCAATGTGATAGTTTATAAAAAACGCCTCGAGACTTCAAGAGCTCGTTAAAAAAAATCACCACGTGACTAACCCCTTCCCCAGATTTATCTTCCGCTGTGCTTTCCCTTCCCATAAAGTGGGAGGAGCCCTGGAGATACTTTTAAACCTGATAATCCGAATTGGGAAGTGGTGATCTGAGCTATTGGGCATTCTCGAAGTGTATAGGGAGCAACTCCTCAACTGAAACAAGGCAAAGACGAATCCGGGCAATATTTACTCTAGACTTATTGTCGTATGCGGAGACTCAACCTGGGCATCACGTCCGTGGCTACTAAATCACCGCACGTCCAAGAAGAGAGGGACAGCACGATCAAGGCTGTACTTCTACAATCCCCAGACAACTACGGCCGTGCTACAGCTGAGCAGATAACAACATTTTTCATCCGATACCTACGTACAATTCGGGTTGACAACAAGTCGATCTATAGAGAAAATAACCCAAAAGGGTGGCTTCCCCGTCCCGAGGATTCCTCCAGCCATCAAGTTCTCATGAGTTGAAGCAGAACATGATTTCAACAATCGGAATAGAATGGAATTGAGGCGCCGTTTAGCCTTCAAGGGCAGAATGCCACCCACGGCTTCAGGTCATCCCTGACGGCATCCTTGCTGCAGAGCCAAAGGGTGATTGTCGTGAATATATAGCTCATAAGACTGGAGGCTTCAACCTCTCCACAAACTTACGCGATAACAATCCCCTGTGCTGGTTGTCTTTTCAGCGCTGCTACCCCTTGTGTAGACTGCGGCACTGGCATGACTTCGACGCCACTCTGAATTTGGGATTAATGACCTTGGTACCGGAGAATCCAGGCAGAACTCGAGAAGGAAAGAACTTAATGACTCATCCAGGATATCCCCCTAAAAAACCAGGACAGGCTAATCATGGACCAAGTTCGACCTCGATGACCGATTGATGGACGACCGCAACCACAGAGGCAGCGCAGGCCGAACTGAAATGATGAAGATACCCGAACCGAAGTAATGAAGGCACCGCGGATGGATACTGCCACGGGCCAGCATAAACATTGCATGTCTTGATAGAGTAAGATATGGCAGATTGGATGGAGCTTGCTTGACAGCAGCAAGGGAACGGCAGCAAATCTCATCCGGTACCTGTACTCCATGCCCAAAGATAAGTACCAGTACTGACTGCTTGGTTCAAGCAGCTTCTTTGATCTCAGACTTAAGAGTTCCAAGAAATCTCCCAAGAAGATCCTTTGGCTCGAAAACACGAAAACCGTCCTTCATTTCATCTTCAGGAAGTATTGCCTCGTTCATAACAACTCTTCGATCCCCTGCGATTCCATTTGCAGGTCCGTGGAGATAACGCTCGTGTTTGCGGATAAGATCGCTCGGCGAGCAGCTTGAAAGCTATAGTTGGTTGGGTAGTTCAGCTACGCTTGTGTTAGTATCAATGGCAAATTTCATTCCGGCACCTGTCCTCCATTTCATTGATAGTAACAATTTCTTTTGCAGGAGCTAATAAACTTTCTCCCTCTTGAGCCACATCATCCTCTTCACATCGTCCTTGGATGATTCCGGCAGGTTGAGGGCACCAGTAATAACCCAATTTTGATGGGATAGCTATTCGACGCCACATAATACCTCAATTCTCCTTCGGTTTTCACACTATATTTTCATTAACAAAAGGTACCAATGAGAGACTACACGTCAGTTACCTGGTATTGAAGATTATAAATTTTGAAATTGATTTGCGGACTATATAGTAAAAAGATTTGCCGGTCGTAAGTTTATGCCAAATGGAAAAAGTTAATGGAAAGTTAGGACGAAGGAAGGAAGTAGTGGAATCACATATCGGGAAAAGGATTCTCCGTTCCGAGACTTGCTTTAGAACACCCTGAGCCCTCAGGATATCTCACGTGACCAGAAAATAGCACTCCACTTCAAGTTCTTTGACCTTTAGGATGCACATCTTTTTTATCCGGAGATGTAATATCTGTGCTCAGCCAGCGGAAGTCTCGGGACCGAACAAAAGGTCTCGCCCGGCGCATCCTCCCCCACAACCCCACGCGTGAAACAAACCCCACACTCAGGCGTCACTTCGTACACCACTCGTGACTCAGGTCCTCGCACATACCCTTCACCCGTGATATCCTCAGTCTCACCTTTGACCACGTCGTACCTGCACCTGACGGGCACAGATCATCAGTTCTGCTCCCGGCCAAGGTTGCATGAAAAGGCGTCTCCGTCTGAGGGTCTCGCAGTATCAGCGAATGCATCAGCTGAACTCGTACTTTCGAAGCCCTACTGTCCGCATCTCATCTCATCCTCAGCTCATCTTCATGTGCCCCTCACCTCCATCTCGAATCAACCCCAAACAATCTCATCATCCGAATCCGACCGAGGGCCGACTCATGAACCCCCAAATTGATTACCCCACTGCGGAGTTACGTTGATGTGAGAAGGAGGTTGCACTGGTCTGAGGATCACATCAGCCCAACAAGGCTATCTCGGCATCGCTTCGCGGCTCTGTCCATGAATGACAATCATTTCAAATCACGGCCAAACGAGACGCACAGATAACTAATCAATCGAAAGGAAATGAGAATAGCAAGTTCCCATTATCCAGGTCATCTTCTCCTCTCACCGCATTCATGCCTACATACGAACGAGGAAAGTAGACTTGTGCAGCAGTTGGGTTAGGATGTACCTTGATACCTTCTTAAAGCGCGTATTCAGGTATCAAAAATAGCCCAAATAGATTAGATGCGATGCGATGCAACAATCCATCCTCTCCGATTCCCTCGACCCCCATACATCCAATTAATATAACTCCTTGCACAAACATCCAAACTCAGGCAGCCAACACAGCACAGCCCTACGCGCATGCCGAATTTGCCCAGAGCCGCTGCACGAGCAATAAACTCTGGAGGCCCAAGGGGCCAAGACCGACAGATTCCAAAATCCTAAACACACCGCCAAAGGGCGTTCAGCCACGCCTCGCGCGCTGTCTCCGGGTGCCTCAGCACACCCAAGTCGCGCCCCCAACACACACCCCTCGCCTCCACCTTTCCAACAATTCCTCCCTCCAAGATCAAACAAACCCTTCAATTCCCGCTGCAAAAGCATCAAAACGATTTCCAGCTCGTCATGCAGAAATCATCAGGAAGGGGGGGTCTGGAATACAGTAATGGGCAATTGCGGAGAAAGGAAGGAAAACATGTTTCATGACGCGATCATGATCTGATTAATTTACAGTACGCTGCTTGCTGCCTCTGGCCCGTGGATCCAGACCGTCGCTTGATGAATAATATAGTAAGGAGCCAGCGCGCATGATTCATCACACATCACACCTAGTTGGATACTGTAATCAGATCAGATCTGGCCTGAGCCTGAGCCCAAAGCCAGCCCTCGCTTCCCCTCCCCTCACACACAGGACACACAGGACACGCAGTGCACACACTTCATCCACGCACCCGGAGCCGGAGTCGGGGTTTCCAGATGCCAGTCAGTAGGCAGGGATCCTCGCGTTCTACTCGGCGGACAGCGAGGCGAGATGGACAGGGGGGTGTTGGGTCTTCGTTTGCGGGTTTCTGGGAAGCGAGGATCCCTGGGACAGGGATGAGAAAGCGGGCCGGCGGTGAGGGATTGGCGGGGGGGGTTTTTTTTTGTGCAAAAAAGAGTGGGGATGCTGAAGGGTCTTCCGGAAGCGGTGATTCATCGATGCGTGCAACGGAAAATTGGAGAAAAGTTAAGTGAGTAGTACCAGTAAGTAAGAATTGGCAGTTTCTTTTTTGTTTGAGTGGAGATTGGTCACATGTGCAAAATGAGGAGGAATTGATGTAATTGTTTTTTGAGATGTTTGTGATTGATGCTACTGTATCTATTATTTTGAGATCGCTCAACCTCGAATCGAGGGAGCATGAAAGACCTTAGGAAATCGCCCTCCCTTCAACTCCTTGCACCTGAGTGGTGTGAACCGATTTCCTCTCATCTCTTTCTTACAATCCTGAGATCCCCACGTGTATGCAAATGAAAAACAAGAAGTGGTATTTTTGTGCTTCTAAACACCGCCCAATGCTTCGCTGAGAAAACGCTCAAATCGCTAATATGCCAATGCCGTGAATGCCAATGTCCGAGAACCGAGGAGTTTAGTAGACGCTGATTGCGGATATTAAACTCTGTTGCGGTCGTTGAGGGAGGTAGAAGCCTTCTTCAAAGAAGGCTTGTTGCTCGGACGGTGGTATTGATTGTTGTTGCTTGGCGTAGAAGGATGTTGTTGCGATTTGCTGTTTCTCGGAAAAGCTGGAGAGGGAGTCTGACGGAGGCGATGGAGGCATTGATTCGTCTTCTGATGAGTCGGAGTCGTGATCTAGCTCAGGAGGGTGGGCGGAGTGTGATGGTGTGAGATGTAATTGAAGCCCCTCGTAGTCCTCCTCGTCATCTTCATATTCCTCCTCATCCACACTCGATACCGACGCGATGATGTTATGTGATTGAACCCGTTGCAATGAGACGACACCAGCTTCCATCTCCATATCGTCATCTGAATCGTATTCGCTTTCTGAGTCTGAAGAGTCGGCGTCCTCTGCTTGCCAGTCCTCTTCGGGATCTTCGACAACGGCGTCAGCCCATTGGATGTGCTTTGGCTCCTCTGTCTTGCTGGCCTTCTTGACGGATTGGTTGAACCAGCTCTCTTGCTCCTGCTCAGCTTCTGCGAGGTCGAGCATCAATGAATCGAGGAGGTTGGCGTGGCCGACGAGCAGGCGGAGGTTGTGATCTGCCTTAGCAGCCTCGTGAGAGAGCTTGCCGCGGGCAGTGTGAGCGAGGTAGTATGTTTGCGTGACCGACATTGCTTTTCGCTTCAATGGCGATGCTGATGAGGAGTGGGAGAGGGGTGATCGAGAAGTGGTCGACATGGCTGCTTTGTATGTGGGTGTTGTTGTTGAGTGACTCAAGGCAGCTATCTTTTTTGGCGAGGCAGGCTCCGGTGAGCGGGCCGAGGGGCTTTGTCAAGGGCGTCCAAGTAATCAAAAATGTTGTTCGGCGTTGTGATGGTAGGCTTTCGGGGACGTGTGGATGAGTGTTGTGAATGTTCTAGATGTTCTTGGGTTGTATTCTTGTAGATGATGAGGATGAGTGGGATTGGGATTCTGGTCAGGAGGATGAGGCGTGTTCTTGTATTCAGTCAGCCAGCTGGTCTCGTACACATGGGTTTCTTAAACCCCGACTGCTCCGCTGCTTAGGTTTAAGGCCGCGAAGCATCCCTGGCGACGACTCATCACGCTTCGCAGTGGTGCTGACCAGGATGTGCGCCTGGCTCGGACGGATATTCCACCACAGCGCGAGCCCACACGGCCACACGACCACACCATCCCGAACAGGGCAATCTCGTCGTCCTGCTCGGGTTTGTGACGGTGTGAAAGTCCGCGGCGTGCTGAGCAAGCTGTGTGGAGTCGCGCTGCTGGCCCAAGGCCCCAAAGACCCTTACCTCCGAAATGCGAGAGATCATGATGACTCCCCACGGCGACTTAATGCCTGCGAGTGCGAGAGTGCGACTGTGCGAGGCGGTCGCCTACTCAGGCAATTCTGTGTTGGTTCCCCCGCCGGTTCGGATTACTCTCCCTCCTTCCCACTCAACGGCTTTTAGGATGACAAACTCCTTGAGTCGAGCCCGTTTGATACGTTCCATCGCACGTGTGACAAAGCAATCGACATGACACCATCCAGATTAACAACACAGACTTTTCTCATTCGTTCGAATGTTCCAATCCGGCCTGCCAAACACCTTTCGCCGTTGAAAGGGGGAATCGTCATTATTCATCTGTGCGGAAAGCGGTTCACGATGATTACAGCACTGAAGCTTAAACGCGTCTGGGACTGCCTCGATGACTGCCTCCATACCCTGCCGGCGTCCTCATGCTCTGCTGCTCCACAGCTCGTCTGATTGATACCTCCGTATAGCATCAAGTTCAATTCGCCATGGCCCTCCGTTCGTTTAGAATACGCTGGCACAGCCTCCACGGCTACGAAACCACGGAAGGCCCGTCGAGCGAAACGCCAGCCTTCCCCAGACTGCGACGCATTTTCGTGGCCTTCCTGTTGACTGTACGGTTGGACCAGTGATATCTCGAGGAATCCGGCAGCCTTGGCTCTCTCTTTGGGGCAGCATTGCGCGAGTTGGCTCGGTCACCACTCGGGTCCGAACTCACCACTCAGGGCACTCACGCGCGGGGCAATTGATGAGCGGCGGAGAGATATGTTGAAGCCAAGCCGTGCCCAGCGGAAAACTGCGCAACGTAAGCACGCCGTAACGTTCTGGTGGTTCACCAGCTTCACTTCACCCAGTGACCCAGATGCTGCCTGGAGACTGAGCCATCGCTTCGTATCAGGCAGCCGAGATGCTGCCAGCGAGCCACGAAGGCTCGAAACAACATATGAATCCCGCCCTTCTGCACCTTTCCACACCTGTGGCAATGTGGTGACTCGAAGATCTCCTGTACGGTGTACTCAATCTGTGTCGTACATCGGCCCTGGTCGCAAGGCGCAAGGGGCGTCGTTGTTGGCCAAGGAACTGGCAACATTGTCCCAATTTGGGCAGTCGAGAATGTCAGCGTCTTGCATCTCCAACGTTCCTGTTGTCGAGCTTGAAACACCTCTTCTCCGCGGACAGCGGGAACATCAGGACACCTTCTCGAAGGACGCGGGTCCACGCGAATCACCCCGCAATCGTTTTCGTGACAGCCCTACCACATGTCCACACTGCACTCAACTCAAACGCCTCGTACGACGGTCAATCAATCCCCATTCTTCATGGAAAATAACGCGAAACCGAAAGTTCCTCATGGGACAGTCACAAGGCGCAATGCCCTCGTCTCATGCGCGGTGCGCGTCCGCCATAACAGGTCTGAATATCATCATCGGGAAGATTCGCATTCACGCGTCTCTCGTAGGTCGTTGTATCACAATCCCGTGGCCTGAGGGAAAGGAATCCAGGAAACAACCAGAATCCGAAATCCGAACTCCCTTGCGGCCCAAATGAGCAGTCGTATCCGTTGTACGTTGTATGGCGGTGCGCTGCACGGCCCAGGAGGGTTCGGTCATCGTACATCAACCTCACGGCCGAGCTCGGAAAACCTTATTTGGCATTTTCGTATCCGCAGGCCAAGGGGATCGATCACGTTAACAGCGAAATCTCTCCCATTCGCCAGACACGCGAGGCCGGCGATAGCTTTTGTCCTCTCGATTCCGCCGATGGATGGACGGAGTTAAATGGAGGGCCCTTGATTGGACATGAGATGCGGTGCTGACTGTGCTCTCGCACCTCTCGCGTCCAGGTTCGGCCGGCTGAATAATTCCCATCCGCTCGCTCTCTGCTGGCCCTCCTCTTTCGGGGCAATAATGGCTCTTGGCTCTTGGCTCTTCGGGATCGGATGTAGGCGTTGCCAGTCCAAAGGAAAGCGGCTTCTTACGTGAGGCTTCATCTCTGAGGTCCTGTGCTGGTTCCGGTCACGGCGCCAAGTCCAGCCGTCCAAATCAACCATCTCCCCTCCTCGCAAAGTAATCTCCCCGCTTGGCAGAGTCAATTGAGCTGACTTCGAATATAGAATGCATAGCCCCGCATTCATACTTTCGGTGCTGAAATGGCCGTATGGGATACCAAGTCCAGTTACGGAGGCTGAGGCTGAGGCGTGGATCTTTGCGTGAGATCTCGAGTGAGAACTATCTATCAGCCTTGTGGGCCCTCGCAGGGGGGGCATCGGCGCCCAGTCACCGCCAGCTCGGAGACGGGCCTTCTCATTAGACGAGATTTCATGTCAGCCAGTCAACTTCTGTTTGAAAATTTCTCTCTGGGCATTTTACGTTTCTGAATTTACTAAACTATCACACGGCCCCGAGTGAGCCGCGTCAAAATTGTTTTAGTTCGAACTTGTACGATATGCTCGTGGATTTTGGAATGGGAAGTGGAATGGAACGTGGTGCGCGGTACGCGGTCCGCGTTCCGCGTTCCCTGGCAGAGCAGAGTCGTGACTCTGCAGCGAGCCAGCGATGCTATCAACAACGGCCAGGCCAAGTCGCCCGTCGGCTAGGAACACGCCGAAGATACTTCAGGAGATATATTCAGCCAGTTCGGCAGAAGCACCAGTTATCTGCACGACGACTTGCGCGGGTAATCAACTGTTGCATGGCAAAGTGACTTTTGGTCACGTGACAGCCATGTTCGGGATATTCGGGACGCTTCACGGGCGATCGGGATGGAATGCAGGAGCACGATGAAGCAGATACGGAGACTGCAGCGGTAGCACGAAACATAGTATGCGTTTTGAAGCTATCTTGCTGGGGCTGCGCTCAAGTGGGAAGCATTTCTGTTGGGAGCAAATGAACATGAAGCCATTCATTCCGATTGAGACCTCAAGCGGGGAGAGATCTCTTCCACGTAACTATCTCCCGCCAGTTCTGGCCAATAAGTTGCCATCCAAGGCTTGCTCTTATCCAGAGTAAATTTCAAACCGTCCGTTGTCAACCAGCATTCCAAACGCCTGGGAAGAACCAATGTTCCCCCCAGCTGCCGACACAGCGAAAATCAACGCCTATGGCCTCCGATACTTCCAAGAGAGGATAGGCTCGTTCCGAAGTGTTACTTACCGTCTCTCCTTCTTGGCTCCGCCGCGCCAAGAAGTGATTCGCGAGATCTTGACGGCTTCTCGGATGTCGTGTCTCAAGGTCAAGGGTCTGGAATATCAGCGAGCGCAGTGACTTCTGCCCCTTTGACTTCCGAGCTCGGGTCAAAGGAGTCTTGTTGCAAGATTTAGAAAGTAAGTATCTTGACCACCTTATCTCGAGTGTGTTCCGCCTGTTCCAGGGCCTCATTGGCTTAGCAGGAGCTTCCAAAGTCTATGTTTTCAGACGCAGACTCTAGGAGCAGGAGGTGATCGTAAGCAGCTATGCGAAATTCGCCCTCCACCTCGCATTTACCCTTTGAATCCATGATTCAATTTTTCCTGGCATTGCTAACAAATGCGACAAAATGCAACGGGGATGATGAGGGGCCCACCACCTCGGTATGTTGGGTTTTGCCCTCCTGGATATGCAACAAAAAGTATTTAAAGACCTGTCCCTCCCTTTCTGAAATCACAACGAAACAGGCCACAGATCCGATGAACCCATGTAGGATAGTCACATCCTGGTTCTTTCCTGGGTGTCTTGTGGGACAATCAAAGAGATACTCCCAAATCTCTTACCTGAGAGCAATCAGAGTTCTTCCTATGGCGTTGACTATTAACTCTTTCTCTATTGCAATTCCAGTCTTTGACAGCAAAGATTCTATGTTACAACCGGACGAGATCGAGTGTTATTCCCCTAGCGGAGATCTAATAACCGCTCATTCACGAGTTCCTTCCACTTAAAGCTCCTCTTCGTGAAAGCAACCCTTATAAATTTTGACACAAAATGATCTCTGTGTCTCAGTGGCACCAACGGGAATACTCGCCTCCTACAATGTTGTGTCAGATCTGGTGTTTTAATGTGGTTGAAACTCAACAAAGAGTCTCCCTCTTCTGAAAGAAAGCAAGCACCGCTAGTCGTTCTCAAATGCCGGTGTTCCTTCCCTCTTTAGCTACCCAACTTTCGCCTTCAAGACATGGTAACTTTCTATCTATTTAATGTGCGAACTTCTTCAACTTTGCAGGTTACTACTCTGGGCTCAACATACTCCTTGGTACAATGGCTCTCGTGACCAGCCTTCATCCCACGTTGCTCAGGATGTGAACTATGACCGTTGGTATAACTGACAGTAATGTTTTCTCCAGTCATTGAAAGCAGATTCTAAAGGTCTCTCAAGGGCTTTTCACACCAGGGTCCCAAATCAAGCAGACGAAATTGTTTATCAATGCTGGTGACGTTGTCAAGGAACTTCGTCCTAGGTCCACTTTTCGGACGATTGTCTGGTATTTTCACGAATATAGAATTGCTATAGGATAAAGCGCTCTTGGATTCTTTGCTTTGGCAATGGTTATACAGTCCTAGATTGTCAACTTGCAAATAGTCAGGACACACAAATGTGAATTCCCAGAATCCTGTCTGAAGGTCTTAAGGCGGAGCTCGGCTTTGTTCTGCAAATCGACAGGAATCCTGTCTCCGTTTTATAGTTAGCGAAGTATTCTTTCACTTGTCTATGTTTGCTAACCTTTGGTATTTACAGACTTTGTCTGAACGGAAATGCTGGATTTGGAGGGCTGACGAGCCAAAGGGTCACGAGACTGCTTTGAGTAGGAAGGAATGTCTTCGTCATTCATGTGTAAAAGAAACCTTAATCATTGAAAGATGAGTGAATTTAGGCTTGAGAAGTCCGCTTATGCTTCGATCACCGGCCGGACATATCCAGAGAGGGGCTACAGGTGTGCTTACTTGGCTTGTGATTAGTCAATGTAAGCCTACCTTCCTCTATCCATTGAAAGCTTTCTCTTCGTAAGAAGGGAAGCTATCATGCCCCGAGCGAATGTGGACCGGACCGTGGTTCATTCAAAGGTCGTCCGAAAACCATCTCAAGGATAGGACGAAGTTGTTTGCTGTCAGGCTGCAAGTAGCTACCGGAATCATGCCAAACATTTGGCTTTGCAAAAGAGGAGTCCATGTGCCAAATGAGTGGAACATTGCAAGTGGCTTGTGCTTCTCTTTTAGGCGTGAATAGGTCGTTTGCTGACCATGCGCTCTTCAAATGAGTTGGTTTCATTATTGCGATATGCCACAGACATCAGAGGCGGAAAGAGGGCGATGCTCATACCAGGTTGCTTCTCCCTTCCACGGTATTGCTGCTTCTTTTAACGTGCGAGCGGCAAATTCTCGGCGTATTCATTCTTCAGTTCAGGGAGGAGTTGAGCTTCTTTTGCACACTTTGGTATCTAATGAGCTATTTGCTTGGCTTTGGTTCGCACGTGACTGAATGAGAGTAGCTGCCTTTGTGGTAGGAATGTGCGGTAATAGATTAGACAATGAGAAGAAGAATTCTCTTGCAATAATATCCATCCATCCTACGATAAATGCATCCGTTGCCCGGTCCTGCTATCTTCGTCCTCTGTGAGAAAGACAGAAGAAACCGCAGGTCTGAAGGGTGACGTGTTACTGGAATCCTGCTTCTCTCGCTCTTGTTTAAAAATGAGAATTTGTAGCCTCTCGTGATCCATCTCAATTGCTCTTCATCTTCCTGAAATCTGGGGGGCGCTCCAGCGAATCCAACTCGATATTGAGACACACTTGACAGCAACATTTCATCGCATGTCTAAGGGACTAAGATCATATTTGTTGTCAATGTTTCGACTTTTGTCAACCGGTTTGTACACTTCAGAAGCGCAAAAAGAACGTTTTGATAGAATTTGTAATACATGAGAGTATAGCGGTATAATCAAAATGATATGAAGGGGTATTAAAACTTTTGCCCAAATGGAGAAAGTGCGCGCATTGGGCTCCACGTCCGCTACGTACCAGCTTCCCAGTGGATGGCTTCTCAGAGGAGGATCTTGGTAGGTGACACATTGAGAGAGAGATATAGTTGAACGAATGCCAAATCTCACGAGTTGTGAAAGGGTTTTGAAGGTGGATGTGAATGATGTCGGGGAGAATGATGAAGTTGGAAATATTAGCATTGTTCTACACGTTGATATACATTGAATGTCTCCTCCATGACCTCTTCCTGAAGTTTCCAACTTCTTTCGAGACTAGTCATGAATGTTATACCCCACATTTATGGCAGGATAGGGGACCTTAGAATCCCATCAGCCCGGCCAACCCAGTCATCTACACGAGCCTCTCTCTTGGATGGCTTCCGCCGACAGCTCAGAATATTTTGTACTCAGGACGTTGTCCTCGACTCCGGAGCCCCTCCGACCTTCTGCTGCACCTTAAATTACACCTCCCGTCTCAAGGAATCGCCTCGTAAATCTTGTCTCCAACCTGCGGTGGTTTCAAGAAATCCTCAGGCACACTATCAGGTAGCTGCCTCACCCTCGCCCACTCCCGAATCGCATCATAGTTTTTGCATTTGTGCTCGGTATTGAAATCCACAAATGCCTTGGGAGCTTCCGGATCCCACCAGACCTGCCCCAGCAATCCAGTATCCGGGGTACACATCAATTGCTGTCTGACGATATCCAGACAATGAGAGACATGATAACGAACGACCGTGCTGTTGTTAATGAAAGCACCTTCGCCTTTGGCGCGGTAGTAGTCGATATTGTAGTACAAGCCTTGCCGGACGAGATTGAGGCAATGAAGATGATGCAGACCTTCCACATTTGCGGGGAAGCCACCACCGTATTTGGGGTTGATTTGCACCTGATCGGGTTTGATTCCGGATTTTGGTGCTTCGTCGAGAGGAACTGCAATACCTCTGTCTGGGAGGCTGTTAAACTTTGTACACATTTGGCGATCTTAGAAAACTTACAGTCAACGCCTAATGCTTCCCATGCTGCATCGACTTCCGGGCTCCCGGGTTGTCGGTAGATATTCTCGTTCAGGAAAGAACCTTTGAATTTCACGGTGTGGTACGAATTATCGACCTCTTTCTGGATCGGAGCTTCGCAAAGTAAGTATCAGGATGTCATTTTGGTTGCATGTCTGAACTCACAGTAGTGCTGAACGTGAGCAAGACAAACGGCATCGATGTTGATTAACCAGCGGCTGCCAATCCAAGCTCCAAGTCCAACCAGACACAATGAGATGAGTGGGATCAGGACAATGGGAATCCAAATTGGGATCTTCCGGCAAGACTTTCTGTAAACTGCTTCCGAGTCACTTCCAAGCAATCTCTCGGAATCTTCTGATGGTTGAGAGCCATTCTCACTCTTGTCTTCAAGAGGACTGTAGATATGAGAATTCATTTTTACGATGAAAATAATGTGTAAGGAGCTCTGGGAGCTGTTTGATGCGGGGTCGAGCTTGAGAATGACTGGAGGGAAGGAGAGAGCACACCACTTTTGAGAGAAGGGCATCTCGGGGTGGCTTTTCTGGCCCGTCAACCAGTCTCGTGTTGGCGGGGTAAGACCATGACTTCAAGGTCCTATCCTGACGCAATGGTACCACACGTGGTGCAGCTGCAGTTGTTTGCTTCTTCGTGTCTGCAGTCCAGACCTCTGGATAGTCCAGAAAACGCTATATGCAGCTGACCGGCAAAGTCCTTTCTTGCAATGCAAGAAAGGAAACCCAGTTTAGGAAAAGCTGGCAAGCGCCACCTCACAGCCCAACCAAGTCCGTGCCTTGGCGGCCTTGGCAGTCTTGGAGGGCCGAATACGTAGTGTAGTACTTGTAAGCAAAGATCACGCGCATGTGTAGCAGTGAGAGTCGATCAGATACTACTGTAACCTCGCGCCTTCGTATTGATTGTGCATTTCGATGCGTGGCTTCGAGGTGTTTGGTTTGCGAGCTACCGGTAGTTTTGACCGCCAGTTCTGGAGAATTGCCTTGGGTTTCTTGGGTTTGATTTTTGAGGGGATTTTGAGTGGATTTCTTTGGTAAGACTTACTTAGTACATGTTGGTTGTCGGACATACAAAAGCCATGGAAAGGCTGAAAGCTGAAGTGGCACGGCAGGAGAGCCACAGATCGGCGGCGCCCATGACCCCGCACTGCCGGAGAGAAATCCCCTGTCACGTCAGTGGCCTGTTTCCCTGCAGAACGCTAACCAGCCGCTAAATAGACGAGCTTCGTGAAGTAACCTTAACTAAGCTTATTTCATGCAAACCCGTATCTAGAAATAGACGAAAAGATCCCCCAGATCTTCTTCCTGTGCGAACACGCTTACACGCTTCTGGGGCCGAGGAGTCGGCCACATGGCCCAATTACGAGGTATTGTCTTAGTAATCGTATGTTGTCCAGATCCTTCTGGTAAGATCTCGCTAGTGCGGAATGTGGAATCGCGGGGTACGGACAGGATGTTCAACGTCACTTCAACCGGGCTCTGTAATGTCCGTGTTTTGGCCTTCCAAAGTTCTGTTAACATGTTCGTATTAAGAATCATGATTTTCCCATTTTGGGAGGGTAGCCCGACTCCGAAGAGCCGAATGGGTTTTTGATCTCCAAGCCACCAATTGCTCGTCTCGCGGCAAGCTGCATTCCGACCTCCAAACAAACAAGTGTTGGCTCTGAATATGCAGGCCCCGCAAGAGAATGCCACACCGATTAGTGTATTTTGCTTCCCGGTGATCAGCTGCAGATTCTTACTCGTTAGAAAAGCTGCGCCAAGACACAGCTGTCAAAGAAGTGTGGCAGGGCTGGCTTTTTGCTTCTTCCATACAAAGTATATCGCGTTGCAGATGCGGTCTTACATGTGGCGGCCAACATCCAGTGATACGGGCCTTTTCGTAAATGGAAACTATAGTACGTACTATCGTGTGATGGTGCTCACCGCAGCGCCAGGCATTCAGAACCAACTGAATCTGGCAAGGCTTTGGATGGTTACTTGCCATTGGAAACAGCTGTTGCTCGTCATAGATGCCCCTCACTCCAAAGCTTGAGCCGTATCGTCCGTATATATTCCGTCAACCCACTCGAGGTCACCCGTTTCCTTCCTCTCAGCTCCCAATCACATCCAATTTCCCCTCTTTCCCATCCCTCATACTTCCTATCCTTTCTCACATCTCTCAATTACTCAGTCAACATGCGTGTCTCACAAGTTGCTCTCCTAGCTGTTGCCTCTGCGGTTTCTGTTTCCGCAATCCCAACGGACTACGGAAAGTATCCCAGTAAGTCTTGTCTTCAACTCAAACAACATCTCTGACAGAGGCATAGACTATGGGACATATGGCAAATATACCGACTATCCTCCACCACCTCCCCCACCCACCTCATACAGTCCGTATGCCTCATACGGCACATACAAGCGTGATGCCGCTCCTGAGCCAATTCCCGAGCCAGAGGCTGCTCCGGTAGACTATGGCAAATATCCGAGTACGTACTTCTCTCCCCTCACCCACAACAGACCTCTAACAAAGTGTAGACTACGGAACCTACGGCAAATACACCAACTACGCTCCCCCTCCCCCACCACCAAAATCATACAGCCCATACGCTACATATGGTACATACAAGCGTGAAGCCGAAGCTGCTCCAGAGCCAGAGCCAGAGCCAGAGGCCGCCCCGGCAGACTATGGCAACTATGGCAAATATCCCAGTATGTGCTTCTCTCCCCTCACCCACAACAGACCTCTAACAAAGTGTAGACTACGGCACTTATGGAAAATACACCAACTATCCACCTCCTCCACCACCCCCAAAGTCGTACAGCCCTTATGCAACCTATGGCACGTACAAGCGTGAGGCTGAGGCAGATCCCGAGCCGGAAGCAGCACCAGCTGACTATGGCAACTATGGCAAATATCCCAGTAAGTGCCCCTCTGTACTTCTTCTTTCAACTTTAATGCAAGGACATCTCTGATTGAGAGTTTCAGACTATGGCACCTACGGAAAGTACACCAACTATCCACCTCCTCCACCACCCCCAAAGTCGTACAGCCCTTATGCTACCTACGGCACCTACAAGCGCGAGCCGGAGGCTGCTCCGGCCCCAGTTCCCGAGCCAGAGGCGGCACCAGAAGCTGCTCCCGAAGCTGCACCGGAAGTTGTCGAGGTTCAAGCATGAACATTTCGGCCGAATGCTGGGTATGGAGAGTTGGAAAAGGGGTTGGAGAGTGTAACGTGGGGCGATTTTGGGATGATGAAGTGAGCATACGAAATGGGCAATGGCAATGTTTACATGAAATGAGATTTGGAATTGAACGAACATAGACAGTCCTTACGATAAAGATAATGTTTTTAAACTAGTTAATGAATTTGGTCGACTGGAATGCTTGCAAAACTCTTTGGACCGAATCGTGCACTTTTTGCACCCAATGTGAGCAGAATACATCGGATGATAGCATTCTTTTCTGGAGAGGCGTGCTTTCTTCCGACTTACACGTTTCTAGACATCCAACAAGTTGTGGTACATTCAAATTGTTCTCCACCCACGTGTCAGGGATCGCGCCTTCAAAACCGCCATCACTGAATCCACCCCAGCCTCTTCCCAAAGAAACTCATCCCCCCAACCGCCGCCGTAATCCCCGTAAAAACAATCAGCTCCCCATACCCACTCCCATAACCAGTCTTCCTTTTCCACGCCTCACCTCTCAACAGCGCCTCACTCAATGGCCCACTGAGCACCGACCCCACGCCCCTCCCTGCACTCGTAACACCGAGCATCATGCCCACATCAGCGCTATAATCGTACCTCTTCACCAACTTGATGATCCCCGCGTTCGTGCTCACAAAGCCGCCTGCAAAGAAGCCATACATGATGCTAAACACCACTAACAACGGTAACGCAGTGGACAACCCCCAGAGGATGAAAACAGAGGCGGTAGCACCGATGGTGGACAACAAGATCACGGTTGTGACATGGAAGCGATCGATCAGCATACCCATGATAATCGTCGCAAACACAGCAGCGCCATTCAGGAGCGCGACGAGCAGGGAGCCGGTGGCAGGAGACAATCCGAGGTGTGCGGCGAAAGTGGGCAGGTAGATGGAAGGGAGGAAGTAGCCTAGGCTCTCAACCACCACTCCTGCCTGCAGGAGCCAGAAGCTGGGAGACTTGAGGAAGCCGAGGCCGTAGCGGGGGGAGTGGGAGATTGCGGAGGTGGGGAGGCGCGGACGCAGGAAGTAGAGGAGGGGCATGGAGAGGATGAGGATTGTTAGGGACCAGATGCGGAGGGTGGTGCGGAAGCCGTAGGTTGAGAGGAGGGTGTTGAGGAAGAAGGGGATTATCAGACCGGCTGCTCCAGTTCCTGCCTTGGAGATGGTTAGAAAGTGCTCACTTGGAAGAAGAGGAGAGGGGGTTTACCCATAATACGCCGAATGCGAGACCTTTGCGTTGAATGAACCATTCATCGACAAAGAGCAGGGCTGGAAAGTAGACGATAGAGCCACCGATGGCATATATGACACCTTGATTGGCGATGAGTTGATTCACGTTGTTCGCGAAAGAGGCGGCAACGAGGCCGGCGGACATGATGGGAATACCGATCCATTTGGAAGTGTTCGCAAGATTTGGCCAGTTCTTATATGCTGGATATAGGAGCAAACCAGCCATATACATAATACCCTGCCAAAATTAGAAAGGACAAAGACAACAAATGGGGTTTGGATATTTCTACAGTAGCAGTCGTTCCTATAATTGCAATTCCCGAAGGCTGACTTGAAAATGGTTCATGTGTAGTATAGTACTCTTGAAAGACACCAAACGAGAATGGGAAGCCTGCAAAGATGTCAGAAAAGCACAGCGAGCTTTACAGTACTTCTGGTGCGGACAGATTATACTGACCCCACACGAGAGCTTCAACCACGAACCCAGCAACTAAGAACAAAATAGCATCTTTCCCTTGATCCGCTGGTGGGAGTGAGAATTCGTGGTGATTTGGCTCATCCTGAGGATGCTCAGTGCCATTATCCTGGACGTTGCTGCCCAAGAAACTGGACAAATCGCCTAATACGATATCATTTTGAACCTCCATCAATTGAATGTGGCACCTGTTTGGGATTTTTTAATATAAGAAAGATTCTTTAACAGAGCAACTGCAAGGGAAACAAGAAAAGAAAAGTGGGGAAAAAGACAACTGCCCCGCCATACCCCACTTCTTGCAAGCTAGCGAGTGAGTCAGTGGGAAATCGTTGTGAGTGGTTGTTTTCGGGGCAATGTCAGCACTTGCAAGGGGGAAAGGGCGCTAAGTCTAAGAGGGGTGAATCCCGACCTGTGGGGTGTGCTCATGGGAAATGATTCTTATTTCCATCCTGAACCTACATACTCCTGAACCTGGCCGAACAATTGGTCTTTGAGAAGCATTGTTATAAGGAGTTTTAAAACTCCTAACTCCGTGGATATGCATTCCAGCCAGATTCAGTGACACTCATGGTGCCTTTTTTTTTTTAAGTCACGTCACCGTTTAATTCGTCTTGAGCTTGATTTGGACATATTGGCCAAATTATAAATAACAAGTGTACACGCCATAATGCTTGTAGTAATCCATCTGAAGGAGGACATCTTTTGGGTGCTTTTGAAGTTGGTTGAGAATTACCCCTATCTCGCCTCGCTTAACTCGTAACAACCGAGCATCAAAAACATCCAAAACACCCCCCCAACATATTTAACACAAGACCCTCTCAAAAAAATTAATCGATCAGAGTGGCAAAACAGTTCGGCACACCGCCTTCTTTTGAAGGTCTTATGTTACGTGTGCTTACATCTGCCCTGGATTTCCAGGTAGAGTTGATATTAACGAGCTGCTCTTAACCGCTCTGACTCGCCAGTCATTCGCTAACGTACTTGGGAAAGTGAGGTACCGTTCAGCCACGAAGCCAGTGAGTATGAATGTAAAACTTCTTATTTGAGTATATACGACTTATATTCAATCTCGGTCGCTAAACGCATAAACGTGATGCCGAGTACTAGCATTCAGCCAACTTCATGCTACCAAAATCAGTTACTGCACCCCTTTTCTGCCTTCGATTTCAAGATATGCCCAACAATGGATCGTCACAACATCTCCATATTGCTGACTCAAAGACGGAATATTGTTTGCAAGAGAATGGCATACATGAATTTGTGTTCTAAGCGCAAGTTGCATCTTTGTGACCAAGGTCTCAGTAAATGGGTGACGGATTTTTAAGAAATGGGGGACGAACGACACCAGGTGAGAAGAGCAATGAGGAATATGCATATAAAGGAGGGTGGTTAGGTACGTCTCTACTACTATGATTTTTACGAAGTTGTTCAATGTGACAATAGCTTGAATCTTCTGGCGATTATGGGGGGTCGCATATCTGTACTTTCGATTTCGTCCCTCTCTTTCTGGTTGTCAAGGACAGCTTTGCTGTCAATACCGTCAACGTGTAACAATTCCTGTGCAAGAATGGGTGATTTCTGTTTAGAGTCTGAAGATAGAGGTGGATGTTGAGAAAGATCCGGAGCAGACAAGAGGTCCAGCAGCCCGCGATTTTATGTAATAAAAGGGTTGGGCTAGAGGTCTCCGAGAGAGAAGAGGACTACACCCTCGTATTTACAAGATTTAACGGCCCATATGATTTAAATTCTTGTTGGTTAAAGATCCAGGCACATCCCGGCTTCTTTGGGGATATGGACGGTGATTAGATTTCGAATCACACGCAACTTGGAACGGACTCTCCTTGCATCTCTCCTCGGTGTCTTCGTTCGCTCAAAATTTGCATCCTTCACGTTTACTGTATGATTTTAGCTGGTTTAACAGACCGTAGTGTGATTTCATCTAGCAGGAGCATTCCTCCCTGCTCGGTTTGTATTTCCCAAAGCCGTGTACCCTTAAAAGATGCCAGCACCCCTCCAAAACGCCATCAAATGCCGCCACGCATGCCATCCCAAAACCAGCTACGTAATTAAACAGCATCCATGTCCTTCAACGCCCCGGCCAGCCGTCTATAATCTCTCAGCAACTCTAGAACCTCGTTGATCTTCAGGTCACCCGGATTTTGCAATTCCATGAACTTCTTGATCGGTGGTGCGATCTTGGGTATTTCTTTGGGTGGTAGGGCTGGTGCTAGTTCGGGGAATGTCTAGAGCTGTCAGCTTGGAGTACTTGTAAGTGCAAGTAGGGGGCTTACCGAAGTCAAGTCAGCGACACCACCATCCGGTATCGGCGGTTTGGGTGTCACTGGTGTAGAAGTAGGCGTGGTACGCCCAAAGCCACGCATCATGCCCATTCCCGCAATCCTATTCATAGGATTGAGAGAGTTTCCAAGATTCCGCATTGACTCCACAATAGCAGGGTTTGCTGAGGGAGCTGCTAGTGGGTGAAGTGGAGAAGGAGACTTCTCTCCTTCTTGAAAGGCAACTTTCTTGTTGCTTCCAGAGCTTCGAATGCTGTCCGAGCTCCTATCTCGAGCCAATCCTCGCCCACTGATCATACTCAGGACATTGTCAACCGGCTTTGCACCCGAGTCGCTGCGATTTCTCACACTTGGCTCGGGGGTGTTGAGAGAGCTGCCACCACTAGCAGATCCATCATCTTCGGGAGGAGGTGTGCTGATTAATTTTCGAGCATCATCGAGGGTTTTGGGGACAATGATCTCGGTCTTTTCCCCCGTAGTCTCATCTTGACGTTGTTGAAGCTTTCCTAGGAGGAACTTGTAACTCTCGCCAAGACTGCTGCCAATGGTCTTGAACCCTTGATCTGCGCCGTTGAGGACCGCATCTCCAGCGGCACCCAGAACGGCTGGTGGTTGGAACATGTCGCTGAGTCGCCGACTGTGGGTTTGAGTCGAAGGGCGAAGGCCAGGGGGCGATGGCTCGGCTTTGGTGAGCGTTGGGCTCGCATTTATGTCGCTAACTTCAAGAGTTGCTGGTCCCGAAGGGGTGAGTGGCAGAACCATTGGATCTGGCTTCTCCAATCTTGGAGTGCTTGGTTTTGGTGGTCCAGATGGCACCTCATCTGCTCGAAGACTTGCAAGGTCAACTGTTTCAAGGAAAGTGATCGCTGCTTCTAGGTTCGTCAAACAGTACGCGGCTTCCCCGTCAATCTTGCTTTCGTTTCGAAATCTCTGGATAAAGTATAAGTTGCTGATCACATCAATCCCTTCCGGCCGAGACGTAATGAGTGTGTAGATCAACATGGGCATGATCTCGTCCGCCGATGAGGATGGGTGGAAGTGGGCCAAGGTATCGACGATACACCTGTGGGCGGCCTTTAGGTGTTGAAGCTTCCCGAGAGGATATTTCTCCTTATTCATGGCGAACAGCTCTTCCCTGGCCCCTTCAAGCCATTGGCGAACCTCCTTTTCCTTATTCTCTACAGCATCTGGGTCTGCACTGGCCTCTTGACCCACATCCACTCCTAAATCTGCCAAACCAATGCCCACCACAGACAAGGCCATTGTCTTCGACCGTAACTTCTCGTCTTGTGCTTCATCCTGTGTGCTCCTATGTCTCCATATGCGTTCGTATATGCGCTCACAAACTCTCCTTTCAACAGCTTCTTCTAAAGCTACCCTCTTGTGCTCAAGAACTTTCCGTGCTCGTTTCCTACCAGCTATTTCTTCAGCGGTCAACATCTGCTGATCAGAATCTCTCCTCTCAGGTGGACCCTTTGGTCGATCCTTGCTACTAATCGAAACCGCCTTTGCCCTTAATTTGCTTGCCGTCGACGAGAGTGATGAAACAGAGGGCGCCGGCGAACTCTCCCGGTGCTGCCGTGAGGATAAGGCAGAGATATGGGTGCTGATATGAGTAGCAGCGATTGCATAAAAGTCCTGGAACAAACCGGACAGCTTGTCGACAGAGGGTGGTGTGGGGTGTACTTTCGCTGACAGGGAGTCTATGAAACTAGAGAAGACTCAGCAACTGTAATTATTCGGTTTCAAAAATATACTGACGTATCACTCAAACTCGCAAGCTCTACTGGTAGCTCATCAAAGTTATCGGGGAGCTTCCCCGACCCCTCTATCGGTGTCCCTGTGTCATCTTCGTCCTCCTCCTCCTCGTGAGTCTGGAATGTATCCGGTTGAGCTCGAGGCTTCGTATTTTCCCTCGAGACATTGGCCATAACTTTCTCCGGTATCACTCCATTCTGTATCGTGCTCGCTCGTGTCAGACGGTCCGGACTTGGTGGTTCGGTTCGGGTGAAGCTCTTGGATAAATGTAATGGACGAGGGCGTTGGCTGTCGGTCTTTCTTGCGTTTGCAGATGCCATGAAATCTGGCAGAGCGCACATTCTGTTATTAGATATTGCCTGCATTGTGGAATGGATATTGAGAGAAGAGTTGAAGGGATGTCTTTACCTTATGAGCTCTTGGCCAAAGATGACGCATGAACTTGTATGTGCCTGAAACTCTCAGAGGATCAAGTCGGGTGGGTAAACGAAGGTGTTGCAAGGAAATGAGATGTGGAGAGGAAGGAAACAACTATTACATCGCCACCAGCCCAGGGGTCATCCACGAGGAGAGCATTGATTCTGTGATATGTTCCGTGGATACCGAAGAGCAGCTGAGTCGAGCTTGAGTCTGGCAGTTGGGATGACGCGGTTCGACAAAGGCTGCGTATATTTAGTCACCGTGTAGATCTGGTCCTCCAGCGATTCGTTAAAAGATCCGCGATCCCTGTGCCTCAAGACATGTGACGCAGCGCCTCTGATGGTGCATGCATGCGGAGTACAATCATTCTCTCCCTCTCCCTCCATTTCTCTTCAACTATTTTCACACTTTGTTTTGAACATGCCGCTGCACCGGAAACCACATCCCGAGTGTACTTCTGCGGGTAGAGTCACTGCTCGACTGCTACTTTCTTTCCTTGCCTTATCAAGTCCGATTGCTGCCTCCACACGTCAACAACAGCCCGACCCCATACTCCCACCACTGCTTCCACAACCCAACGTCCCGACTTCTTCAGGCAAGGAACACTCCTTTGTAAGTTTGAACATATCTGTTTGTAGTTGTGTGCTAACTTTAAGATGCAGACATTACGACATGTTTTCCTCCATGGAGACCTCGACCGCCCCGCTGTCCACAGAAGGCACGACATTTCAAAGGACGAATCACCACTATGGATAGAATCAGATTGGGGGCTTATAGAGGAGGCACCGAAGCCGTTGCTGGCACGAAGCAACCTGATGAAAATACATCGATTAAAGGACCGCCATCCATCAGTCGTCGATCCCCTGGTGGCTGCGGCCCGAGAGTATCCCGGAGTATGGACATCACAACTGGATGCTTGGTCTATGGACGAAGTGGATGGCCCTGATGTATCGCATGTTGAAACAATCTTAACGTTTGCTCAAATGGCAGCAAATGCCTACGTACCGGTTCCGAACGAGGGGGACTGGAAGGATGTCAACGGAGGTTACAACAGAACCGATGACTATGGCTTTGGATGGGATGGTAATGGCCTCCGAGGATACTTATACGCCGACGAGACCAATTCAACCATTGTCATCGGGGTCAAAGGAACGACCCTTGCCATCTGGGATGGAGATGGAACCACCACAAACGACAAAGAGAACGACAACCTGTTCTTCAGCTGCTGCTGTGGTCAACAAGGAAATTACTTATATCGCCAAGTCTGCGATTGTGCCCAAGGCACATATACCTGCAATATAAGTTGTCTGAAGCACAGTCTGAAGAAAGAGGATCGATATTACGCGGCTGCCAGGCATTTATACAACAACGTCACGGCCCTATATCCGCATTCCAATGTATGGATGGCTGGTCATTCTCTTGGAGGTTCCGTCAGCGCTATGATAGGCCTTACTTATGGAGTACCCGCCCTCACGTTTCAGGCAGTCCCCGATGCTCTACCAGCAACCCGACTTGGTCTTCCTGTACCGCCAGGGGTAAATCCGGATAAACCTGCGCAACGAGAATTTACAGGCGCTTATCACTTCGGCCATAACGCAGATCCCATCTATATGGGGACCTGTAATGGAGCTACAGCATCCTGTTCCTATGCTGGCTACGCACTTGAAAGTGCTTGCCACAGCGGAAGAGAATGTGTGTGGGATGTCGTCAATACGAATGGAACAAGGGTCTCAGTCATCACCCACAAGATTATCTACGTTATTGAAAACGTGATCAAGAAATGGGTGCAAGCGCCGGAGTGTAAATTTACACCGGAATGCTATGACTGCCCGCTCTGGAAAGAAGTTACTGGCAACAAGACTCAATCCTCGACCTCAACATCGTCTTCCTCTACGAAGACTAGAACGCGAACGTCGACATGCCAGACTCCTGGATGGTGGGGATGCTTGGACGAGACTACAAAGACGAGTCTTGTCACCTCAACGACCACCACGACCACCACAACTACCACTTCGACTTGCAAGACTCCAGGATGGTTTGGCTGCAACGATGAAACGACGACTACGACCAAGCCTCCTACAAGCACCGGTACTCCAACTTCAACGGAGACTTGCAAGACGCCTGGATGGTTCGGTTGCAATGATCTAGCTTCAACATCGCTAGCCTCAATCCCTTCAAGTACTCCCACTTGCAGTACACCGGGATATATCTGGGGATGCAAAGACACTACTACCACTACGCAATCCCATAGCATAACCTCAGCACCGGCTATGCCAACTTCAACCTCGACACCGAGTCCCCCACCTAGCCACAACTCGCATTGTGTGAGAAGGAGCTGGTTAGGATTCTGCAAAGAATGGTCAACGAATTATGAATGGAGAGAAGAAATCTAGACTGTATTTAGGAAATAGAGGGAGATAACATCCAGTCGTCGGACGGAGCACACAACGGGCGTTTCAGGTCGGGTTTGGAGCCAGGGAGTTTAGCATAAATGCATCTAGCAATTTACAAACAATGATACCGCTTTTACAGCACTTTCCCTACTTGTGGACCCACTCAGCTTTCTTCTTCTCCGCAAAAGCCTTCATCCCAATCTTCTGATCCTCACTGCCAAACAAACTATGGAAAACCCTCCTCTCATACTCCACCCCATCTCTCAATGGCAGATCTTGACTCTTATTCACCACCTCCTTAGCAGCCATAACCGCCACTTTACTATACCCCGCAATCGTTTCCGCCGTCGCCAAACTCCCCTCAATCAACTCCTCCCAAGTAGGGAACGTTCTGGCCGCAACACCCCACTCAAAAGCCTCCTTCCCACTAAAGCTCTTCCCCGTCAAAATCAGCTCCATCGCCCTCGCCTTCCCAATCGCCCTCGTCAGTCTCTGACTTCCTCCCGCACCGGGAATCGTGCCCAACTTAATCTCCGGCTGTCCAAAATTCGCTGTTTCCGTGCAATACAGGACATCACACATAAGTGCTAGTTCGCAGCCTCCGCCGAGTGCGTGGCCTGAGACGGCGGCAATTATGGGTTTTTTGATGGTGGTGGTTAGTTGAGACCAAGATTCTATGAAGGAGGTTGTGTAGGCTTCGGAGAAGGTGAGGGTGCTCATTTCTTTGATGTCTGCACCTGCGGCGAACGCTTTCTGGCTGCCGGTGAGGAGAATTGCAGAGATATCTGGGCTTTGGTCGAAGGCTTGGAGGGCGTGATTAAGTTCGTCGATGAGGGGCGTGGAGATGGCGTTGAGGGCTTTGGGGCGGTTGAGAGTTACTAAGTTATTGTTAGTGCTTGTATTCAAAGGGAGGGAGACGAGAGAAGAGGAATTGGGGAAATGGAGGGCGGTCTACTTTGCCCTACTCCTGGCCGTGGCTCCGTCGTTTGAATGAAGTCGTAGGATTTCACTGACCAGGCAGAGTAAGTACGAGCTATGGCAGGAAGAGCAGAAGTTGAAGCTCTGAATCGAGAGGCAATTGGCCTCATACTCATGAAAATAGCCATCTTTACTCTTTTTAACTGTAAATTTCTGCTCAATTCAGATCCTCACTTGGTGCACTTATTAAAAGAAGGAAGGAAATGTCGAGTCAATGGAAAAACCAGCTCCCAAGTCAGAAACATGCAGAAAGATCAACCCACCATCATCAGTTAACATCCGACTTGCCGACGCAATGCGAACTCGGCAGGTGCTGCCCTTGCCGAACCCCTGCTTTCTATCACGTGGAGATCAGCGCTACGGCAAAAAGAAGGGCCGTCCCTACTTCATTTTCGACAGCCAAATCTGGACGGACCAGCGTGTCGATTCAACCTTAATACGAGGCCCTCCAACCCCTTTGCGCCACCGCCAACAATTCTCGAAATCACCATCTGCGAAGCTTTTGCTCCTTTGCGATACTATTCGAAAGGTATCTTCGTGTTGAGAGAAAGAAGAGTGGGAAAGATGGATTCAATGGAGCCTGAGCAGACCCCTTTTGCGGCTGTGAGCGCGCATACCTCGAGGCTTCAACGAGTAAGTCTTGCTTGATGTTATCGACTCGAGGATTCATAAGAGGTTCAGAGATGAATTTGGACTGACAATGGATGGGAATAGCAATATCAAGCATGGCTGGACAAATCGACTCCATATGTTCCGTACAGATGGATGGGAACCGTTGGGCTCCTCATGATTTTCTTCTTGAGAATATTCGTCGCGCAAGGATGGTACATCGGTACGCTCTCTCTTCTCCCTATTTCTCCAGAAGCAAGAATTGTTAATGTTGGAAATAGTGGCATACTCGCTGGGAATCTACCTCCTGAACCTCTTCCTCGCATTCCTGCAACCCAAATTCGACCCCTCGAACGAAGCCATAGACACCGAGATGGAAGACGGCTCTGCCGGCGGCCTCCCTACGAAACAAGACGAGGAGTTCCGTCCCTTCATCCGCCGCCTCCCAGAGTTCAAGTTCTGGTACTCGGCCACGAGAGCTATTACTATTGGCTTTGTATGCACTTGGTTCTCGATCTTCGATGTCCCAGTTTTCTGGCCGGTTTTGGTAGTTTATTGGTTGATTCTGTTTGCTTTGACAAGTACGTTCCCTGGTCAAGAGTGGAGGTTGAGGGACATGCTAATGCAGAGTAGTGAGGAGACAGATCCAACATATGATCAAGTACCGATACGTCCCATTCTCGATCGGAAAGACAAAGTACAACAAGAATAGCTCTTAGCTGGATGGATTTTTCTTTACTAAAAGAGAGGGAGGGAGGCAGCTTGATGATTTGGTAACGGTATTGATGAGGAATCATCAGTTGTACAAAAATGTCGTATGTTTTCATGTAGAGAGCTGCATGAAGAGAGACTATAGTGCCTTTTTAATAATGCCTTCTCTGTCTCTCTATACTTAGGGTCTGTGGGCATAAAGGTTGGGGTCGGGCTAGACGCTTGACAAAAGATAGAATATGGTACAATCGGAGCTATTTGGCCCCGTCCTCTGGCATCGGTGATATTTTATGATAAACGTTGAATTGAGATGTATTAGTGGCTGCGGCATTTCTTGAGAGGTGTGGGTGAGTTCTTGGTGGTGTGGCTTTGATTGTTGTTGTTCCTGAGAGCACTTCGGAGCTTTTGGAAATATGAGTTTCTCCTTCTTGCCCCAATTCTTGTGGCATGTGTTCAAAGTTTTCAAATGGTTACTGTCTAGTCTCTTTGCTGTAATCAATGAAGGTGCTCATCTCATTCCATCGGTTTATGCTCCAATTTCGCCGCTACCAATAAACAAATGACAAGATCTTAACTTAAGCAGGAGCACACGAAATTCAGCACAAAACTTGAGGAAGAATGAGGAGTTTTGGCGACTCCACTTCAGCCTCGTCAAAACCGCGCTAGCCATTGCTTGAAAACGCAACGACCCAAAATATTGAGCCCAAGTCAACACACACTCCCGAGTCACAATCGCTTTGTCAACGACACCATGGCGTCTTCCTCGTCGCAGCGTATGATCCATCAGGATTATATTGCTAGAATACGATACTCCAATGCCTTACCACCACCGCCCAACCCCCCGAAGCTCCTCGACATCCCCAATACTGGCCTTGCGAGCGGACAATACACAACGCCTGGCTTTGCATCGCGGCTCGCGCGAGATCAGCCACTAAATATTGAAGCTGATGCCGAGCTTGGTATGCCATTAGATTTGGTGGGAATGCCAGGTATCTTCGATGGCGATGAGAGTTGTAAGTGAAGCACATTTCTTACGTCCAGGCGCAAATGCTCAGGTTCAACTTCTAGCTATCCAAGCTCCATTGCATCCTCCGCAACCTCACCCTCATGATCGCGCCCTTCTTCGACCTTTATCAACACTCGGCAAGCCGAAATTCTCGGATTCTGGGGTGTCCTTCCTGCGGCGTACTGAATACATTTCGTCCTATACCTCCAAATCACGCTTCGAATCTACAACATCAAGATCCTTGATCGACAACACCGGGAATCGCGCCAAGAGAGCGCCGGGGAATATTGACAAGGATTCACCAGAATACATCAAAAGCCAAGCAGTGAAGAGCTTCCAAATAGCAGCAAACTACCTCAAGAATCCGAACCAAGTCCGCCATCCAACGAAACGCAATGTCAAGCTCCTCGACGCCAACCCCCTTCTCCCTGATCTCGACTCTTTCCCCGACGCCGGCGGCTACGTAACCATAAAATTCATGACCAACCCCGTCCCACCCAGCACAACTTACGACATCCGCCTGGAAAATAGCTTACTGAAGCCCATGGATGTGACAGAAGAAGAAGAAGCCGCGAAAGCGGCAGCAGCAGAACTCTATAACAAAGACCCGGAACGCTACCCACCACCAGACAACACCATTGAGTACGAATTCTTCATGACCGACACGCAGTCCGAGGCGTTGGCATTCAAACGCAAATTCGACGCCCTGGATCCAGAGAAAGATTCCGAGGAGATATATACGCAGAAGAATGGTGCTGGAGATGGTTGTATCCGCTTCAAGCGGGTACGCGCCTATGAGAGCGCATTCGCTACAGGCTCGGCGGCTGAGAAGTACGAGGAAGTCATCATCGCTGTTCATGATGGCAAGGATGGACTAAGGCAGAAAGGAGCGTACTATTATCCCATTGTGCAAAAGAGCGGTATCCGGCCTCAGAGACAGAAGAATATCGATGCGCGGAGGAGGTTCGCGCAGGAGGAACCGAAGAGACAGACGGATTTCCTGGATATGAGGGTCGACGAACCGTTTGAGGATCTGAAGGGTCAGAGAGATGTGTATCGGACGGAGCCGTTCGGGCACGAGGTGGAGGAGGAGGGGGGAGACGCGGGTCAAGCGGATGGGACGACGGAACAAAGAAATGATGTGGAGAGTCAATGAGGTTTGGGGAAATTAGGGCAATTCGGGAGAAGAAAGGTTTAGGGAGCATAGCAAGGCGTCATCTTCGGAACTGTAGAACAGCGAAAGGCATGGCAAGCAAAATTATTTTTGATACGCATCACTTGCCTCCCACGTTTTCCGTACTAAACGAAAGTGGATCCAATTTGCCAATCTTCCGAGCATTTTTTATATGCCAGATCTTTTGTGGTAGACCTGGCCCCGCCTAATTCTTGACTTGCTTTGGGACATTGACCTTTATTGTTAAAATTATTCGGTAATCCAAATACAAGTTTGGAACGAACCACAGGGTATATTAATCCTACATATCTATCACGAACATAAACCCCGTTTCCCCATATGAACTCCAGGCCCCCCCTTCCCTTATGCCAGTGAAGACCAATGCATCACTCATGTTATACAATACAATCCCTCGTACTAAATACCATCATGCTGAATACCCTATAGACTCCCTGTCATCGTCTACCAACCGGCCATACCTATGATACTCGTTAGTAATGTCGAATTTGAGAAGCTTTTATTCTTCATCAAAGCAGGACTCACTCTAAAAGTAACCTGAAAAACCACACTTCCAAATCCTCATTCCTCAACACTTTGTTCGCCCACTCCCTCCCCTGAAGAGCCAACCGTTCCGCCTCCTTCTTCCCGGTCGACTCTCCCGCAAACCACCTCACAGCTTCCACCCACTCATCACCCCGTAAACTCAACGGGATATAATGTACCCAAGGTCTAATCCACTCCTCATGCCACTCCCTAAAAACCGCCATCTTGTACACCAAACTTCTACTCTTCAAAAACGCATAAAATCTCCCACTGAAGGCATTCCCGTCAATATCAAGTAGGTACTTGTACTTCCACGCATCCTGCTGCTTTGCCGTCTCCTTGATATCGAAGAATTCCTTCTGAGCAGCACAATCGGTCTCATCACACTGCCCAACATGAGAGAAGAAAATATCAAAGATTTCCTTGTAATCGCTCCGTGGAACCTCTTTGACTTGCCAGTCTTCATCCTGGTCTGATTCTCCTCGGTTGATGAGAATCTTGGCTTTTTCGGCTCCGTTGACCTTTTGCACAATCCGCTGGCGGTGTTGACGTCTCCAGCCTCCGTCTCTGCTGAATCCTCCCGTCGTGGAACCCCGCCACCAGATCTTGTCTTCTTTGACCCTCCATTCCATGTCGGCTTCTTCCTCGTAGGGGACTTTGCCGTACCAGTACCAGGGAGAAGGATATAAAATGTCGGAGTACGAGGAAATCTTCGATTGGGAGAAGACAGGGAACAGGTCGTGAACGACATTGAAGGCGTTAGGCCGGTCAAAAAATCCAAATGTCTCGCTGAAGGAAGGAGACTGACAGATGTCAGAGAAAGCCGTTTTGTTGTAAATAAATCCTAATTCGCCCAATGCGTAGCTACCAAAGTTGTCTTCCTTGAGGCCGTCTTCGAGTGACCTGGCAGGACTGTCTGGTGGGCATGACATCTTCGAGTTGGTCCAGGTAGGTTGGTGTGCAAACACATTAAAACGGGTCGTTTTCACGTCTTTGAACCTTTGCCCATCATTGAGATCTTTTGGCCTGTCGGACCACGAATTCCTAGGCTTCACAGCAGCCGCGGCTGCTGGCATAGTAACGTCGTTTGCCTTGGCAACCAGCCTTGATAGATCATCATACGGCATAACTACGCGCGGTTCGTCGTGAATATTGAAGCAGAGGTCCATGTCGGGCAGATATTTCAGGAAATCCTTCATCATGCCCTGTGTAGCTTCCATCTGCCAGTCCCCTCCACCAGCGATCTTCACGATCTCCCTCTTTCTTATCAGGACTCCAATCAGGTTATTCGGGTCAAACCCCAAAGCTTCTTGTGCCCGGCTCCTTATTGTTGACGGCTTCAGCCCCCAGAATGGTCGCAAGGAATGATGTATCGAATCATATTCGTCAATCATCTGAACCTTCTTCGCCTTTGCAAACTCGTACCACTTGTCGAAGTTCGGGGGAGGATGTATGCCGTATCGCCGCCGGTATTCTGCAACTGCCTCTACCAAAGATTTCGACTGACTCTCCAACTTCTTCTCGAAGTCTTGCTCTGCCTCCTTTATAAGCTGCCATACTGGATGCCCGGTCCCGGCCTGCGGTTTGCCTTTTTTCACAGAGTAGGGCGTAGGAGGTTGTGCAACAAGTGTCTCCTTCTTCGGCGGCCGTTGTATCGTCCCGGGAGGTACCCGTTCAATTACAGGAGGTGGTCGCAAGTAGAATACCGTGAACCCAACGAAGGTGAGCAGGCCAATCAGCAGGAGGAATTGTCGAGATCGCATCCTTCTCCTCATTCTCATGAGCAGCGTGGTGATTGAGGATATCTTCGACTTTTCATTATCTCCCATATATGGGCAGCTGTAATCGTACTCGTAGACGCGGCGGTGTTGATATTGCACGCTCGAACTCGAGCGTCGCCTTGCGTGGCCAGACATTTCGACGGGATCGGATCGGATCAATTGGCCCCTGTCAGAAATGATCCTTGTCGGCGGCTTCCGGCATGCCTCCTGAAGATGTCTCGGTTAGGTGCATGCGAGCTGGTTGACAACTTCGAGATGGAAAGGAGGTCTCGAGAAAGCGTTCTGAAGGTCTCCTGGCGAGAGATTTAGCATGGAACGGTGCGTGGCAGTTGGTGCTTGGTAGTACTCGTCAGTGCCTTCTGAAAACGACGGCACCTGTCACGGGCTCTTGGCGTAAACTTTATTTCATCTGATCTTCGGAGGAAATGTTACGTAGTACTTCGTGTTTCAATATCTGGGCCACGTTCGAGAACAAGTTGTTAGGCAAAGGTATCGTTGATTTCTACTTCAAATAAGGGCCACAGCGGCCACAGGTTGTGTCCAGACCCTCACTTACAAATGATAATATTGGTCATTGACTCATTCTGGAAGGTAAGATTGCATCTTAAATCCTTTGAGAAGTCCACACAAGGTTCCCTCTTCCCTTTTCAAGAGCTATCAAAGACTGGCGCCAAATCGTATAGCAAAACAAGATCCCTCCGTTCCAGCTGACAATTCATCCATACCATTTCAGTTTCTCGAATCAACTATTTACCCTGAAACATTTTCATCGCATCATGTTCCTTACCCATTAAATTCCTTCTGTTCTCCTCAATCTCATTAGCCGCCTTGTACGTCGGAATTTCGCAAAGGAAACTGCAGTACTTCCCCCGAAGAAGTTCGTCTTGCTCAAGGAATGGTAGGGACGTATTTCCAAACCAGTAAGAGCTTCCATGTCTTCACATTAAAACATTTCGTCTTGAGTATCTCGAGAGAAAACAAAACAAGTTTGAAGGACTATATCAATCACTTTGGCGAAAGTTTTGGCGAGTTCATGAGATCAATTGACTTTTGATGTAGAGCTATCTATTCCTCTCGCGAAGGAATCTCGAATCATGCACAAAGCAAGAACGAAATTGGGGTATCAACTACCAGATACTTTGGATCTTACTCCAAGTCCAGCTCTAGATAGGTACATGCTCATGGTACTCCATACGCCACCTCCTAACGCAATCTAGTAGAAGAACCCGATGATCTTGCCAGCAACGTGCTTGCGTCTTGCCTCCTCGTGGTCCATGATACCGGCCGAGGTTGTGAGAACCATGTATCCGAATTGACGGGACGGTAGAAGCTTGACAACCCACTTCTCGAGATCGGTGAGGCGGACGTTGTATCGTGGGGAGATGACACCAGTCTTGTTGAGGCTATGGTCGGATCAGTATATATTCCGCACGGGGGAAGCCATCAATTCTTACCGGCCGTTCAGTTGGATGACAATCTTGCCAGATCGGTGGTCATCAACTTCTTCGAATTCACCAATGTATCCTGGAGAGACAATGTCAGTATGTTGCGAAAGATTAAACGTGTAACGTCAGGAGGGAATTCAGAGAACGTGTAAGATCCTCGCAAATGATATATCGGCAACTTAAAGGACTATGGTCGTGTTGAATTGAGACCGTCATCTAGTTATCATGCCGAATGGATATGAATATTAAAGTTGTGAGAAACATACCGTGCTTCTGCATGACGCTGAGAAACTTGACGATGACCTTGGAGGAGGGTCGGATCAGAACCTGTCGCTTTCCAGACTTCTCGGCGTTGTTGATGGCATTGAGCGCATCGTTCTAAATCCAGACCGAGTCAGTATTGCTTTGAAGATGAGATTTTGAAGACAAGATCTTCCAGGAGATAAGGTACTTTCAAGATACATTTCGAGAGCAAACAGCCTGCAAGATATGCGAAAGAGATGAATAAATGGGGAATACTCACGAGAACTGAAGTCTTAACCATGGTTGCGGAGTGAGATTCTCAGTTCGTGAATGGAAAAGAGGTATCTGGAGGAGCTGCGTCAGCCTTCATGGGCTCTGAGCATGGAGAGTGCCCTCATGATTGACAAGAGGGTTCTTCAGCTCGTCGGAAAGAGAGGAGAAGTGTCGGCATCTTTCAATTGCTGTTTTCGCGTTTGTCTGTTGCTGTGATGGCATTGTCTGGAATTTTCTCTACCCTCGCATCGCAGTCGCATATTGAGTAGATGCCGATTTCTCCCTCTGCCTATCATGAAGGTCTCTCGGATTGATCGATCACTCCTTGGGACAATACGTACCTCGAGTTACGCGTTGTTGGTCTTCGTGGGGAAAGTTGTTCGTGGTTGAGAACTTTTGGCGGATTTTCGAGATGAATGTTCTCGCAGTGTGGTACACGTGATCAAAGTCTGTGTCCCGACTCGCTTATTTTTCTACACACACAAATAGCTGCGCATCCAAGGTCTGCCTCCTCCAAATTCATACACCAAAGTTCTTTCGAGGATCTCACGATATCACAACAATCAAGATGGTGAGTTAAGATATCAACCCCCCTTCTTATTACCCAGCTTTTTAGCGGACTTGAGTGTCTCAATTCGCGCCACAAACTTCCACCAAGATTTGCCATCGAATACCTCGAGCTTCACATAACCCCAGCACAACACCTTCTCTGATCAGGCCTTTGGAGATGTCGTGAGCTGACAAATTGTACCACAGTCTGACGGAGAAGAACCAACGTCCCCCGTGGTGGCCGAAGCCGACGAAGTCGAAGTCTCTGGAGATGCCGCATCCAAAGGTGCCACCTGCTGCTACTTGCGATACTCTGTTGTACGGTTCCTGACGATCTTTAGGTCAAATGTCTGTTCTCGATGCATTGCGAGGCGTTCTCAAGCTTGCTTTAATGCATGACGGCCTGGCCAGAGGCTTAAGGAAAGTCGATTGCTTCCAATCCGTCATTTCAATCCACTAACATCCTACTACAGAGAAGCATCCAAAGCACTGGATCGTCGCCAAGCACATGTTTGCATTCTCAACGAAGCATGCGAGGAGGAGGCATACAAGAAGTTGGTTGTTGCGCTGTGCTCCGAGCACAAGATCCCCTTGATCAAGGTTCCGGACGGAAAGCAATTGGGCGAGTGGGCTGGTTTGTGTGTGTTGGACCGCGAGGGAAACGCACGCAAGGTTGTCAACTGCTCTTGCGTTGTCGTCAAGGATTGGGGTGAGGAGTCTCAAGAACGATCCATCCTTCTCAACTACTTCCAGACTGAGCAATAAAGACAAATGGGTTGGTCAAAGGAGTTTGTTTCTGGCGGATAGACATCTGGCCATTGCTGTGGGTTTCCTTCCGATGTACTCTACTTAGGATGCATGATACGGGGGCAATTGAATTAGCATATGGGCATGAATCCAGGGTACTGCATGTGAGAAAGGAGGCATGATATATTTCGACCTTGGTGAGATCCCACACGCCAGGCTCCACAAACTTTTGCCAGCCAGACCCTATTTCCGGCCTTCAACCATTACGATATGATACCCAAATCCAGTCTTGACTTCCACGTATTTCGGGTTTGCCAGAGTGCTGGCCTCAAGGTTGAAAGCCGCCTCCTCGAATGTAGGGTCCAAGTCGCCTCTCGTCTTCCATCCCAATGCGCCACCTGGATTGGAACATTAACACGCAGAATCCAAATCTGCAAGAAAACTTACCAGCTCTGGCTTTGTCCTCGGAAAACTCCTTTGCCACTTCGTCAAACTTTGCCCCGCCCTTTAATTTTTCGAGAGCTTCTTCTTTCTTGGCATGCTTCTCGGTCTGAGAGCTTGTCAGAGTTCCATCATCTCATCCTCATCGAGGTAGTTATACCAAAATGTGTCGAATATTGATCTGCTGTGCGCCCTTGACCTTCCCGCCTTTCTCTTCTTTGTCCTCGGCCTTTCCCTTCCCCTTTCCTTTCGCCGCACCTCCCTTATCTGCCGACTTCCCCTTATCTGCGCCTTTGCCCTTCGGTGGCATTGTATGAAGGTTGTATGCCGAAGATCTGCGAAGAATGTCGTGAATGAGGGGTTGAAATGGAGGGGCAGGAAGCAGCCCCACTAATAAAACGCCGAAGGCGGGACAATCTCCCGAGATTCAACTACAAAGAACAAACCTCGGAGTCACTTTTATTTATATTCTGTAAACAGTTTGTCCAACTTCGCGTGACTGTTGTTGTTTTACATATTATATGATTTTGTACATTCACTTCATATAAAAGCAAGGCTTCTTTCTACTTTCAAACGCCATCTCAATTCATGGTCCTAAAAATTTGAAACAAATTTTTCCTGCCTCCAAAGAACCTTCTTTGTCAAACTTCATACTTCAATCATGGCTCCTTCAATAGCTCAGGATGCCATAGGATCTTGTACAAGAGTGACAGAGCCTCTCGACGCATTCCGCAGACTCGTCTCAGACCTGTCCAGAATCCTCGGACCTTCATCAGGTCTTAATTCCGAAGACGTCGATGTGCAGAAGCTACAAATACTCATGGAAGAATATATCTCAAACGAGAAAGACTGGGCCAAGTACGCTTTCCCTGACTTCAGTCGCGGTTACACGCGGAACTTAGTCGATGAGGGCAATGGGAAGAGTAACCTCGTAAGCCTGGGTCGTTGATTAAATGAACACCAACTAATCATATGAAGTAGCTCGTTCTTGTATGGTCCCCAGGGAAGGGTAGCCCAGTACATGATCATGCTGATGCACACTGCTTAATGAAAGTCCTCAAGGGCACTCTCAAAGAGACCCGATTTGACTTCCCAAGAAACAATGCCACGCCACCTGCAATTATTAAAGAGACAGTTTACCGAGACGGCCAAGTCACCTACATGGCTGATGAACTTGGATTGCACAAGATCTCGAACCCCGATCCTGTGAACGTTGCTGTGAGCTTGCATCGTAAGTGCCTTCTTTTCCTGGCTTAGGACCGAGCTGATGGTGACATCTAGTCTACACGCCACCTAATGCAGCACGATTTGGATGCAACATTTTCAATGAGCAGACTGGAAAGAGGTCGCATATCACGCAAAGCAATTTCTTCTCTATGTTTGGACGGAAGGTAGAATCAGAATCATAGAATTTCGATGATCAGGAAAAACAGCTAGCTCAATTTAACGAATCTTAGGATATCACTACGTTTTAGATTAGATTTGGGCATGCTGAAATCGGCATTACATGGGAAAGGCGTTCGGGATACGATAGAGGCGCGAGCCAATCTTGTTAGACTAGACTTTAGATAACTAAAACAAGTCATGCTCGACCTGTCAAATATGTCACCTGAATAATGTCCTCGAACCCTACACTATACCCTATTCATGCTCGCACACTGAAAGTGTGCCTCCATAAACTCCTGGTTACCAATATGTCACCTGAATAATCGTTCCTTGAGTTCTATACTACGCCACATTCAAGCTCGCTCAGTCGAAGATTTGGATGCAATTCTAGCTTATACCTTCTGACATAGAATCTCAAACTCTCCCTCCTTCCCTCGCTGCGTCTTCAAAAATTTTCCCCGTATATATCCATGTTCCACTCCCTCGACCGCTCTTCTCGTAGGCACCAGCACTCATCCGTCGAAATGGTCGCCTCTACCGTCGTACTCGTCCCCAAAACACCCACCACCAACTCCCAAAACGACCTCAGAAGTGAGAAGCCCGAGGTGATGCACTTTGATCTGGCACCCAGCAAAGGCGAGGCAGGTCCTTCCAACTATGGCCCACCCCCAGACACCAGTCACTTCCTCCCCACCACCGTCGAGAAAATTCTCGCCATGCCGTCTCCCAGTTTTGAAGCTACTCCCGAAGCAACCCTTCCAGACACTCCTGCCGATTCAAGAAAAGGCTCTGAAGGGGAAAGAGAAGGCTACCGCACCCGCCCCCACCACCGATGCTGATGTGAAGAAGCAAGAAGAAAAGAACAAGGAAAAAGAAGAGGCGGAGAAGTGGATTCAAAACTACATGTTGAAGCAGCGTGATGAAAAGCTGCTTAAGACGATTGACCCTGAGTATATCGAGATCATGCGCGTCTTTAGGGAGCAACAGGAGTTCGAAGGTCATGTGAGGAGAAGAGCAGAGGAGGCTGCTGGTGTTACCGCCGAGGGCACAAGGGCAAGTGAACGCTAAAGCGGTTAGCTGTCTAGCGTCAGCGTTCGCAGGCTTAGATGCCTTTCGTACCTCATGTTCTGAAAAGAGAGTTCGCAATGGAGTTTCGGTTAGAAGATATGTCAGGTTTGTATTTATTTACCTTCTTGTTTTGGGGGGTTACCAGGTACACATGTTTGTTGAAAGAGGAGTATTGCGAATACTATATTTCGCTCGCTAGGACCATCTCCTCAAAAGCTTCGAGAGACAAACACGGGCAAACTACTTATCGTGTCCTTATGCATGCATTTCTCATAACTCCATCTGAACGCCACCCAATGCTGTCATAACTCGTCGTTCGTAATCATCTTCATGATATGAACAAGGACTCTATGTAGACCACTTATCTACGACCGCTGAAGTCTGGCTTGTAGGTCTTGACTCCCCCAGCCTTCATCAGCTCACGCAACGCCATAGTCGCGTATTGGCTGGAACCGAGACGGAACTTGACAACGACCGCGAGTCTAGATTCGACGAGATCATGAGGGTCAACTACAAGCTCATCGGTGGAATGGGCTTCTGGAACCGTCTCCATTGTGTTGGACATGTCCTCCGCGGAACGCTTCGGAGCTGGCTTTTGCGGAGATAGCTTGACACCACCATCGGAGTCCGAGAACGTGGTCGAATCGCTGGCGATTTTCTTGTGGCCTGTCTTAACGGAGGTTGACTCAATAATTTTGGCAGGCTCGGTGGAGGCACTCTGTGTGTTATCGACGCCCATGGCAGTTTTGACGATGGCATCCTTCTTGGCTGCGACATCGCCATCGGAATCCTCCTTGTCAGCTGCGCCATCAACTCCTGGAATGATCACAGTTGATCTGAAACCAGTTCGACGACCTTCATTCTCCGCAGAGGTTTGAATCCAGGTATCCTTGATGACAGGTTGCTTGATGGTAGCGGGATCGATGTGCATCTGAGCCTCCCTTTGAACCTCTGCAATGGCCGCCGCGGCTTTATCCTCAGCAGCTAACTTTCCCGGAAGTTTCTGCCAAGCATTGAGCTGAGCTGAGCCGGCATAGATGGCCTTGTTGCGTTCGGCTTCTTGACGCGCACTGCCTCGATACTGAATCTGACTGCCCCAATTACCGCGAGATCCTCCACGGTTGCCGCCTCGCCCGCCGTGATTGTTTTGAGCACCAGTGTTGTGTCCATTTTGATTGCGGTCATTTTGGGTGGGCTTCTGTTGGCTCTTTGGCTTGGACTTATCGAGCTTCTCCAGATCAGTCTCGACAAGCTGCTCGAGCTCCTCCTGATACGACTTCACCTCGAAGCTCAAGTTGTTGACCTTAGCCATCAGCTTTCTGTAGTTGCCGCTGAGGCTGAAATCCTTCTGGCTTCGGCGCATGTCCGCAGGATCGAGCCCGCCACCCTGTTCGCTAGCCATAAATGTCTTGTAGTAATCACCGATGTCGTTAAGAGGATAATCCATGTCGTAACCAGGGGTTGGCAGGACGATGTCGAAGATTGTGTATTTGCCACTCCGGGTCTCCTCTGCAGTCAGGGCTCGAGCGCGCTCGTAGAGGTCATCGTGAGTAACGGCAATATCATCACCAGCCGCATGGATAACAATCTCACCGTTCTCGTCGACCTCATCCTTTAAAGCCTCCTTGACACCTTGGGTATCAACAATGACAAGATCGCCCTCGATAACCTTGCTACCGTAGCGGGTCCAGCGCTCGCTTGCGACATGGTTCCACACCAAAGATTGGTAGGCATGGACGTACATAGTCCTCAAATTCCGGCTGATCGCCATAAGAGCCCCGAGATTGTCGTTAGAAGTTCTTGAGTTGCCCAAGTGTCGAATGATAGCAGATTCAGCGGAGAACTTCCGGGGAAGCTTTTCCAACGCCTGACTCGATTTGCCGGTCGTCTTGAAGAGATGGATCGCATGGGCGCGAGCAACATCATCTCTGCTGCACGGGAACTCCAAGGGATCAAGGAAAGGGTTCAGAGCGCATTCCAACGCCTCCCCGCTGAATGCAAGGATCCCGTCCACTGCGCCTTTGAAGTCTCCTTGGAGGATCTTCTTACCGATGTCGTCAGTGCCAATGCTGTAGGTGCCAAATCGTTGGAGGCCATAATAATTGATGAAGCCATGCTCCTGCAAATGCATGACCGCGAGACCAATAACTCTATTCGCGTACTCAACTCTATCCGAATCAGCCAGGTCAGAATCGTCACCGAAGTGGCAGTCTCGTAAAGTAATGACGAACTCGTTGCCAGCAAGCTCACCAAGCTCCAGCTTATGCTTCTCATGCTTGAAGTTACCGATTCTGGCATTTCGAAGATCACCGTTAAGTCTGGCAAGATTGCTCGCGTTTTGACGGAAGACGCTCACGCGTTGAACTGTCGCAGCTCGTCGATCCTTGGTTCCAGCAAAAGCGAAGTCTTTCGGCTTTACGTGAAGGCGGGTTGAGATGAATGATATAACCTCCATAGTATCCTTATTCTCCTTATAGAGTGAGAAGTGCAGATGCTGGCCACCAAGCTCATCCCAGCCAACCTTGCCTTTTGTTTGACCACTGTAACTCTGATTGCGATGGTTTTGTGGCTGAATTGTGCCATCTTGACGCTTAGCAGCTTTCGGTGCAGCGGTAATCTTGATGGCGCCCTCATTCATCATTTGCGTCTCAAGATGAGAGTCGAAAATGCGGCGGACATCCTGGTGTAATCGACCTCGGACACTCTTGTCAGCGATCGGGTTTGAGAGAAGATGCCCAAAGACTGCCGGCTTAGCGTTAGGCTTCGAGAGGACCTTTCCATGAAATTGGATGATTTCATCCATCAGAGCAGCGCCAAAGTAGCTCGTCAGGATCTCTCGATCCGCGGATGAAACAACAAATGCTTGCTCCGTATCAGCGTTGTTGGTAGTTTCGATGTCTGTGGCTGCCGCTACTGATTTAGCTTCAGCGATGACCTGCCAGGAAATAGCTGCGATGCTCTCTTCTGGCTTAATATTGTTATGTGCCATGGAACCGGAATTGGCCTCAGCCTTTGTTGTGGGTTTCACGTTCTCATCGAGCTTGATGACTGTGGAAGAGGTTGTCTTATTTGAGATCGATGCAGCCTATGAAATGTCAGCGGATGTTTTCATTCCCAAACTTTGCAAAGACTCACGCCAGAGGGAGCATCGATAGTAGCTGATAAGACAGCAACCTTAGCCTCTTGGGCAACGTCCTTAGTTGTATTCTGCTATGACATCAGTTGAGTAGACTTTTGAAGCTGGCGCGCGGGACTGAAATGACAGTAGAGGTAAAGAGCAGACAAGGCTTACCTTTGCCGCAGCCTTGAACGAGAGTGCTTTGTCATTGGTAAGGTGAACCACAGTGCCATCAGGCATGATTTCATTGACCATAAAGTCAGTGTATCTATACTGGCATCAGCAAGAGCATGTTGTAGAGTTATTTGGTGAAAGATTGAAAGAATGATGTCCAATCACGCTATCCCAGGTTGGGAGAGACGAAGGTGATGGCAGCCACCCAAGTGTGAGGAACAACACCCATCCCATCTTGGCTCCCACATTGGAAGAGAGGAGAACCACGTCAAGAAGCAGAGATTGAATGCTGCAAGCTTCCAAGATGACGGGAGAAAGACAGTAGCAGCCAGACACGTACCGTTGCTTCAGAGTTCCAGAGAAACCGGGGTTGGCGTCGTTCACGAAACAAAGGATTCCAACTTCAGATTCACGCTCAGGCTGAAAGCCACTGTCAACGATAGCCAGGTGGGTCTTTCGATCGTCCATTTTGGCGGGTTTGACAGGTTGCGTTGTCGTGATGGTGGAAGGAGTCTCAATTGAGATTTTTAGTCTTTTTGTTGGCGGGCCCGCGACCCCATTGTCAAAATCGGGCTTATCCATTTTGGGTTTAGCTAGTCCAGTCCCACATAGAACTCGCCCCGGTATTCAAAAGTGCGTTGCGTTCATATCAAACGCACCGTTTTCAATTTGGAAGGACACACGATGTTCGATGAGTTAGAAGAAAGACCTCCAGTGTTATAAAAACTCGGCTACAATGATGCGGCCGCTAGTGAAGACTAAAAATCACCGTGCACTCCTTTGCCGAGTCATGTAATGCCACCGACGCCACCCACGCCACGCCACCGTGATAATACATATACCGAGGTTGACCCAGCCCCTGAATTTCAACAACCTCAATCCAGTAAACCACTGCAAAACCAAAGCCATACCTGCCCAATTAGTCTTGGGACATGATCCTCTTCCTTGTGATCAACTTGTACCTTGGAAAGCTGGCTTCGAGAGCCTTCTTTTGTATATATTCCTCCTTGGCCATGCGTTGCGCATCCAGGAACTCTCTCCACTCACTATATGCCACATCCCCCTGACCAGCTCGAATCTGCTCTCCAACAATCCGAATGTATAGGGCCCAATCATCCATTTGCGAAGGCGTCAGAGGCAGAATGATATCGTTGATTGGCTTCTGCCCGGTGGCTCTCTCTAGAACGAGCCTACATTGGTAGATATTGTTATTCTGGTCGACGAGTTTGTGGCCGTATTGTTTGACAACATGCCTTGACCTGGTCAACGCGAGACGTTCTGCGGCTTTTGGGGAAGAAACCTACAATCCGTCGTATCGAACACCGATCTTCGGTGCGAATTTGCTTTTCAGAGCATGCCCTCGCAAAATTCTGATCGGACCCCCACGATTCCCTAATATACTGAAGGGCATCTCTTTACTTGTACCTCTTTTGGTGTATTCATACATGTTCAGCGTTGGGCCTTCGACTTCTTCCCCCGTGAGCAATGGCAGCGCGGTAACATTGTACGGCCCTTTTGTTGCCTTCTCATCCGTTCCTCCAACAATGCCATCACGGAACGCGCAGGCTATATTTAACCACCAGCTAGGTTGATCGGTCAATGTTCTGCCTTTGAGTGGTAGAGTGGATGGTATACCTTCCAACTTCGAAGCCGACGTCACCTTGGTGGTGTGAAACGGGCTCATTGCGTGCAACCAACCAAATCTTGTCATTCTTCCAATCCTCCACGTTCAATGTCACATCGCGGAGCGCTCCTTCTCTTATGTCCTTGATTCGAATGTAATCAATCGAGAAGTACCTGCTTGAAGTTAACATTGGATGTACCCGAACTCGGGGAACAATCAAAACCTACTCTTCCTTGAACCTTTGCTGCCACTTATGTTGGAGAGAAGTTGCGCGTGAGAAGATCTCCTGAATGCTCGCTTCTGAGATTGCTATATTCTTGGTCGTTTGGGACAATATAGCGTCAAGAGTCTTGTCGAAATATGTCATTGCTATCAAATCTAGGCCGACTGCAGTACTCTTGGATTGTTCATCGAATAAGAGCGCTTTGAGTATTTCGGACAGGATTTCTAAAGGTGCGCTGGGAAGAGACCCCAGCTGCAAGGCCTCGCGTACAACATCCGTCAATTCTCTAAGTGTCTCAATATTCCAGTCATCGTCGGTGCTTTGAGTTGATCTGTAGGATTCCACCGAGGCTGCAATAGAAGTAGATCTGGTCATTGAGGTTGGTGAAGTTGTGAAAGGTATCGGAGCTGTTTGGGTCAATGTCCCAGGTCGGCGGGGAAATATCGGAAGTACTTACAAAGTCTCGCCCCATAGCTCTTGGGAAGGTCTGCCCATCCATCAAAGCTTGCATCGTGATCATGATCCCCGATACTGGAACAGGGACGAGGTGTGACATTAGGATCGAAGGAATTTGGTGATTCACAAGAGGAAGGGCTTCCGGGTCGGTCTATGTCCAAGAAGCCCAGCTCTGCAGATGGGAAAAGGAACTCTTCATTGTCCCTTGAATACAAGGGCATTGAAGGAGCAGTACCGCTCTCTTCATCGTTTTTTGCAGGCGAATACTTCGTGGGCGAAACATCCCGAGATATCGAATAGGGGGGAGATGTTGTGGTTATGCAGCTGGCAGCCGTCGAATCATTCTCCCCATCGAAGTTGGTACATTGAACGGAGATAGTAGAAGTGGCAATCGGTGAGACAAGAGTTCTGTTGGCATCTGATTTGATGCTCAAGCTGCCGACACCGCCTTCGATACTGGCGAACGGGTCATGAAAGACCGGTGGTGAAAAGGCTGGGAGGTGCTTCTCATATTTGTCATTCGACCCCATTTCGAGGAACGCTGCAGGTTTCAAGGTGGTTGCGCAAGCGTCCGGCTCCGTGTGGGTAAAATGGAAAGTTGTTGAGTTCCGAAGTTTGGCGCTGAGGGCGGATGTGAGTGACTGAGGGAAGGTGCGGCCCCGATGCAGTAGTTTTACCAATCTCAAGGCAGGTGCAGCTTGATTATTCCAAGAAACTGCGAGCAATCAACTTCTTCAAATTTGCTTTGTTTCCAATTCGAGAAAAACACCCTGAAGAGCGATGGAGTAATTGAGTTGACTGTGTCATTTGTGTTTCTAGTATTCCTGCCAAAGCTTCAGGAACTGGCCGGAATCCGTGAAATGGCTTAGAAAGTCATATAGTGTCAATACAATCTCATTCTGTTCTCTCCGTCAGCCATCAAATTCATAATTCACACAATAATTTTGTGGGATTTCGTTCATGTGAAGCCAGTCATCGGACTCCCGGCCATCAAATGCAACTCACACCTGGGAGAATTGGGGGTTAAGTTTGGATGCCCTCCGCTTTTTGGCACTTTTGGTAAGGCTTATGGCCGTAGATATCCAGTTTGATGTTGGATCGAAGGAATCACGTCTGGTACGTAAATGTATGGAGTGCCGATGAAGATTCAACAAACTCTGCCTTTTTAGACATTTAATTTTCTCAATGGTAATTTTTTAGAACATGATTTGGGATGAATGTGCTTACCATTTCAGGCAATATTTAATCCCTGAGTGACAGAGTAACGGACCTTCATCCTACTCTGAAATAAACTGGTATTCCCTCAAGATCCGAACTTCCGGACATGCCTCGTCCTTTCAAGGGACAATTTTCGGTCAACCAGACGTTTTAAATCGATTCGACTCAAAGAAGACAACTATAGATTTACAAGAAGATATACGATTCTAGGTACAGCAGAGCCCAAATGGGCATCTTGAATACCGACTGAGAAACCACCCTGTTTGCAGCCCCTTCCCACGACTCCTATTAAGAATGCTCATTGGCTGTGTAGCTGCCGAGGTTGAAAGGTCAAGCGAAGTGAGGATTAGTAAAGTAAAACCCCATCTCTCGAACACCATCAAGCTTTTTCCTTCCTTTCTATTTTACAGAACCTGAAAACAGTCATTTTATATCACCATGTCTTCTCAAATCAACCTAATTGCCATTATCAGCCCCAAAGCTGGGAAGGTAGAGAGAGTAGGAACCCCGCTACCCATGACCCTCACTTACTCACATTTTCTTAGGTAGTGGAATTACTCAATGGAGTGTCACAATATGTCCATAAAAATGAGCCTGGGACTACAAGATATCAGATCAACGTAGAGACGAACAAAAAGTCTGGTGTTGAAGAAGTAATCATGTTTGAAAGGTCTAGTCCCCCTCCCATTTGCACATTGACGCATGACTGAAAGCTTCCAGCTACAAGGACAAGGCAGCTCTGGGAACTCATGGATCATCAGATGCATTCAAAGCTTTCCAGAAGATACTCAAAGATGAGGCTTTAATTGGAGCCCCGATGCAGTTAAAGTTCGTGAAAGAGGCTGGGGGTTTTGCTAGGTTGTAAGGAGGGCAATGACCTTGTTAGAACAGAGGGAAGCCTACAATGTAACAGAATGAATGTTCTCTTTCCGCTGATCTTCGATCTTAAATGTGTCTCGCCTGCTCGCTTTTCCTTGTCAATTTTGCTTGCGATTTGCGATTTGCGATGAAAACGCGAAGATACTCCACAATGAGCCGCGCTTGTGCTTTCCTTCACATCTTACAGCTCCTTCCTTCCGAAAGCCTCAACCTCACAATTAGCTTTACGTTGACCTAAAGCGAAGTTGGCATGGCTTTCGTCTTGCCCAGCGTTCCTTCTTTGATGTTGGTCAGTCGACAAAACCTCCTTTGCTGTTATTGCTCTCGTCCTCTTACTACTTGCAAGATGCCCTTGCTTTTCACCACCCCAACTGGGGAAGTCTTCGAGTTGACGTCAGAAGAACTGCCTACGGGTCTCAAGCACACGGTGTTCACCGCGGACGAGAATAACGAAACAACTTCTAGGACATCCGTCACTAAATTAGAACTGTCTCTTCTGCCCGAATAGGCTGGCCCCAGTCCTCTCGACGGCTCCGCAGACGCATCTACTGCACCTCCTGCTCAGACATCCACACCTCGGGGACCACATAGACTATGCTGCAGAAGTGCTTCTCCTCTCATCGAGATCCTCACACCAGACGAACTACTCCGGAAGAACAGTCCCGATTCTCCTCCGACTCCCATAAGTCCTGGTAAACCTGGAAGATGCGACGGAAGCAAACCTCGTTCCTTTGTCAAGGCGGCGATGGCATATGACGAATACGGAGAGCTGGTAGAGGAAAGCAAGCTTCGACACCACCCAACACCGAACGAGTTGAGTGTTACACAGCTGCTCAGGGCCATCAAGAAGAAGTTCCATCACCAGGTAAATACTGGACCTTAGGTCTATGGATACATCCCGGCAGATCCTCACGTAGAGTCTTTTATCTTTGTTATAGATACTAACGAACTTGCGCAGCTGAGAGCGAAGATCACCAAGATTGTTGCTCCGCATGGCGATGGCCAAGGACCCATACTGCTGGTAGATGAACTTCTAACACGTCGACTCACCTGGTGTTTTGATTTCAGGCCCGCTTCTCCAAATGTAGTTGCCGATGGAGCGACGCCCGAGGAGAATGCTCTTGCAATCTCCCGCGGCCCTTCTCGAGTTCTTGAGATCGGCTGCAGTGATGGAACATGGTGCTTTAGCTTCAAAAGGGAGCAACCCACGTGGACTGTTGAGGGTGTGGATGATACCGGTCAGTAAGTGCTCCGTATCCGAGAGACATTCCCAAAACACACTTAGGGTTGGCAATTCCTGGCTCACGCTTCTCTTAGTTGGTCCTGTATTGATAGAGACCTGGTTGTGCGGTACGTTGAATCCAACGATTACCTCGCTCTTTGACTAACCCGCTATTTAGGGACTTTATGGTCCCTGAAAGCTTGGTCAATTCAGGAAGTTACTTTAATCGAATCGACACAACCCAGGAGAACCCAGAGTTTGTAATGCGCAATATCAACTCCCTTCTTGCCCACCTGAAGCCCATGCACCACAGTCTTTATGATTTCATCCGGGCAAGAGAGATATTCGATAGGGTTGAAAGCTACAAGGCTTTTCTTGAGGACATCCGGTTGTAAGCAGGAAAGAATATCCATATAATCTTCCCAAGCTGACCTTTTCATTGGAATTCTCAAGCCTGATGGCATTGTCGAATTCATCGAGATTGATCCAAGGCCTCGCCTCGATCCTGTTGGATACAATCGGGTGGCAGTTGACAAGAGAGCGAAGCGAGAGAGCGGTCCACAAACAGACTGTAGGTGCTGGGTAGAACCTCCTTCCAATGCTTGGGAGTCCCATGGAATTCTCCCGAGACAATGTCCGAGTTTTCCCAGAACACTTTGTATCAGACAATTGCTAACTCCACCACTCGCTAGGGACAGACAACATTCGAGATCGTTTCAAGGATCCTTTTGATGCAGAATTGGCAACCAACGTTCCAGGATGGTCTGGAAGAGTCGAAGAACGCAAGAAAGCAATTCTACGTCCGCTTGATGGTGTTGCTGCGGCGAACTTGAAGTCATGGCTTCAGGGAGCTGGGTAAGTTCCTCTCATATTCTCTGGTAGTCTGACAACGCTGAACAGATACTCGGCAGCTTTACTGAGGTCACAGAAATAGTGATCCGCATTCCGGTGGGGGGTAATACCAGGTCAGGACAACATCTCAAAGTGTTTCTTCTGTACCAGATCAGTCTTGAAAACGAGGTTCCAAAGGTATGCCACCCAGCTATCCCGCTGCATATCCAGAAATTGACGATGGATCAGCTTCTCAAAGAACTCCCCAAAGTTGAGATGGTTGAGCTCGAGTCTGGTTCCTATTACCTGAATCTTCACATCGTGACCGGCCGCAAACCAGCGTACCCACGGCCAGGAGATTTGCTCGGTGACGGCACCCGCCAGGATATGACAGCTTCTAAGTACGATGCTATGGCTCGGAATGATGCTGAATTATCTTGGAAGAGGTACTGCCTCATCACTGACTTGGTGTTCCCCTGGCAGCACGTTTGGTATGCTAACGTTGGTGAAGATTTGATATTGAGGGCAAGTTATCGAGTATGATGAAGAACCTGACGACCCTCCCCGGCGCTCCAGAATCTGGTACTGTCACTCGGGGATCGGTAGATGATGGACTGTTCCCTCTCCTGACTCGCAAATCCGATGTAAGTGAGCTGGAAGGCCTCAATCGACGGGATATTGCTAACAACACTCGCATGCAGAGAGAAAGCCCGTTTAACGCTCCGCCCTTTGTGACATTACAGGAAATGGAAGACCATAAGAAGGACTCTGGAATCAGAGATGGAAAGGAATTCCAACCCTCTCGAACTGGATAAACTATGTTAGATTACACTTCTATTTCTTTTCGAGCTGTCCGTATTGCGGACATAATTTTCTTCAGACCTGGTGAGCGCTGCTGGATGATTGCGTTTCTTTCTCTTTGATACCCTATTCTCCACTCTTTGTACCACTACCTCTTTCCTAGGATAAGTACTGCTCCTCTCTACGAAATAAAATCAAGATTGGCACCTTGCACCCGAATCCTGACATGTTCTTCGATTTTGGTAAATATGGTACAGAGCAGCGGCAGAATCATAAGGTAGTTATCTCGCGTGATGATGGTGCGCTGCTTTGTAGACCAATACCCAACAACACTCATCTTTTTAATCAATAAATCAATCAATCTTACTCCGTCCCCTCCCGTCTGCCAAATCTCTCCCGGAGAGAAAACCATCAGATTCGATCCAATCTAGCCGATCTGACTCCGTCATTCCTTCCAGTCGTCCATGATCCTTCCATCTTAATTCATTGAAACGTCTCATAAGATCAACCACCCATCCATACCCGATCAAATCCAACCCAAGCCAATCCAACGCCGGTCCACGTACGTAGTGGGATGCAATTCAAGTAAGTAACTGACCGAGGAACAATGAGAACAGGTGAGAAGTGGAATTGGTTTATGCGGCTGCGACAGCAGGCTTCCCTTCCCATGCCCAGACCGTGGAGAGGAAGTGCGCCATGTTGACGCGCTTGCTGCGCATCTCGATCATCCAGGGGTGTTCGAGCATGCGCCAGGGGGAGGCGCGGCGGGCAGGCTCTTTTTCGAGACTGTGGTGTATCAGTACATATTCATATAAACAAGAGAGTTTTGGAGGGAACATACCAGCACTCGATAAAGTACTTGAAGTTGTCGCTCCACTTAATACCTGCTTCTGGCTCATCTTTCAGTTTTGGGATTGGTTGTCGGACGATGTAGGTTAAAAGGTCTATTAGACCGGCTCGGGGTTGCATTTCTGTTCCGTCGGCTGGGAAGGGGAAGCGGTGCTGTGCTACTTCTAGGAGCGTAACGCCTGTGGACCACACGTCAGAGGTGATGGTGTAGGATTGTCCGGTAATACGCTCAGGAGCCATGTAGTATGATGTCCCGATGAACGTATTTGCATCTCCCTTGGTTCCGAACTCGCCGCTCACGCCGAAATCACACAGCTTGACTTGCCCATCGCGACAGAGGAGGATGTTGCTGGGTTTGATGTCACGGTGGATGATCTTCTTGCTGTGGAGGTAGGTGAGGCCGTTTAGTACCCCTTCGGCGATCTTTCCTAGCACCTTTTCACCCGTTCGTCCACCGAGCTTCTTCACTTCGCGGTATATGCTGTCGAGGGAACCGCCTTCGCAGAATTCCATAGCAATGGAGATGGTGGCTGTTGCGGGGTCCTCGAAGGCGCCATAGTATCGACAGATATGCTCGCTGGTGCAGTACTTGTTGAACTTGGTTTCTCGGAGAATCTGCTTTTTAATGGCGGGGTCGGGGTTGGTAGTGATTATCTAGAAGGGGTCAGTGATGGGTGGAGTGAAGTGTGGGGGTGATACCTACTTTGAGCGCGAATATCGTCTTCCCCCCTTTCAATATGCACTTTGTTACTGCACCTCCAGCACCCTCTCCTAGGCTGCTTATTTCTTGGATCCGCTTCTCCATACTTGCAATTCCCCATCCGTCGTCATCCAATTCTTCCACATCCAGAGTTCTGCCTCTTTCTAGGGCCAGTTTGTCAAAGCCTTGTTCCAGTCCATTCATGCTACCATCTCGCTCCATTCCCACACCACCTTCACTTCGTTCAGAGTATAATGATCCAACAGCAGAGGACGGGTCTGGGGTTCCTTGTTGTGGTGGCTGCCGTAATCCTTGCTGTTGAGAAGCAAATGATAGTGCCGAGTATTGCGATCCAGCAGATGTAGGTCCACTTGCTCGTCCATCCAAAGGCCCAAAACTTCCCGACCTCGAATGTGCTGCACTGCTCTCACTTCCTCCGCTCGCCGACTGACCCGCCGCAGGTTGTGCACTTGGACGCCCATTTAATAAAGCTTGTGATTGTTGCTCGTACGGGGTCTGACTGCTGCCCATCGGCGTGGCTACTTGCAATCTGGGCAGAGATGGCCTTGATGCCATCGCCCCAGGCATTTGTAGCGTGAGCCCTGCTGGTGTGGGGCCGCCATTGACAGGCTTGGCGCTTGGTGAAGGTGGAATGGCGAGTCCTAATCTGGGTGTTCTGGCACCACCGCTCTGGCGGCTGCCAGGAATCGGAGGGCGTAACAACGGCGCTGGGGAAGACATCGCGGGTTGAGGACTCGGATCTGTGTTGTTCGAAGTCTTCAAGATATCAGCATTCTCCCAACTCCTATTCTGAACGCCACACGGGTAAAATCAGAAATAGACGTGAGATTTTCATACATGTTGAGCCGCAGCGGCAGGGTCTAGACCTGTTGGTAGAGCCCTATTGTCCGCCTCCTGCACACCGTACCCGGTGCTCACTTGCGAGGAGTTCTGATCTTGCATCGGCGCTGCCGTCTACCAGTGCAGCAGACCGTTGGAGGGGGCCTAAACGAGCTCTATGGTGTAGTGGCAAAGACGAGAACTGTCTGTCGACGCCTCCAGGAAAGGGATTTCTTTGCGGACTCGAAAGGCTGTGTTGTGTACGCAGAAGCTCGAAGCCTGTGCCACCGGATTTGCAACGTCGGAGAGGAGTGTTTCAAGCTTTTCGTCATTCGTCCCCAGACCGGCAGTAGAGAAGGGTTGTCGGCGCTTGCTTGGGAGAGCGGACTCCTTATTGGCCCCCAAAGTGTTGGAGAGGAATGACCATGAAGAAGACAGTCAGCTCGCGCGTTGTGAAGGAAGCAAATAATCTTGGTCGTTGGACACTCGGATGAATGATGGCAGCGTTGCAGCACACCAAGCAGGGCTGCTTGCTGCAAGGGAAGAATTTGGGGTCGATGAAGAGCCAGTGAGAGGGGCAATCACTAGCAGTCACCCTGGCGGAAGGCGTCAGAGGTCTGCCGCTTGGGGCCACAAGCTTGCCGACGTTGAATTCGTACAGCTGCGGGCAGCTGAAGCGCGGACCGAATGGACTGTGGACTGGAGGCCCTGAGAGTGGAGGTGGGTGTGTTGGTGTTGGGATCTCCTGGGCAGGAGAACGAACGGTGACAAGTATCGGCTACTATTCGGGGCAGAGCAGGGCGTCGGTCTTGGCTTCAGCCAGAGCGAGAGCGAGGCAAGAAGATGCCGGATCCTGCAGTCATCAGTTGTTAACACTGCAGCCGTGTTCTTTCCGGCCGATCAGGCATGAAACTGCTGTGATCCTCTTCGGACTTGATGAGGGCTGCAGCAAGCTGTGCCTTAAGTATGCTGACGAGGTTAGCTGCATGGTCAGCCTGACTCGAGAGAAGACGAGAGGCTGAAGCGTTGTATTGCACCATGTAAGACTGCAATGCTTGCCCTTTGCATTAGGATGATAACCCTACTACCATTCTTGCATTCGCCTATGACTATTCATCAAGAGCAGTGATACCCGTAATACACTTCGTGCACTAAGAAGTCTCTACTCCAGACGATCGAGATTGCTCCCGTCAGGCCGTGCTCTCTTAGGGGATTCGAGATTGGGCACAAGTCCAGCTACCAATCCTTCTTGTCGCACAGTCAACTCACTGCAATGCAGGGCCAAGGTCACAGAACCAGCGGTCAGATAGGATTAATTTCTTGGAGGCGGAAGAGTGCAGGACACGGCCAGCCACGCTTTGCCATGCAATGCGGAGGGAGCGGCTATTGACAAGGTCCAATCCCCGGCAGTCGCTGGCCCTGCTCGCCTGCAGCAGCAATCACTCACTCACTGCTGTGCCTCTTTCTCCAGATCAGCAGCGCTAACTGGAGGATTTCGAAATGTTTCAGACAGGGTTGACACTGTGTGGTGTCGCGGAAGCCTCCCGTGGGGACAAATTTAAGCGCGCGGGTGTTTATCACAATCGAGGGCCAGAAAAAATGTGAGCAAAAGCCTCTGATTGTACGCACATATAATCATGGCACCACCAAATGCCCATGCAAGATCTGTAACGATCAGACGCATACCTGAGGAAGCGTCTGATTCAGCTCCTCAATCAGATCATGCCTCCGAGTCTGGGTCCTCCCACAACTCTTCCGATTCCGATTCTCTCGATAGCAACGCCTCCCGGAAAAGAAGGAAAACCTCCCCAATTGAAGACAATGCGCCACCAATCCACATAACAACCGCGCCCTCACGAGTAAAGCCGAGGATCCAGAGTGATGTTGTCCATGGAAAGACCAACAATGGCGCAGTGCTTGCTCCTACAGACCCCCACGCTTCTTTCGCATCGTTGGATGTTAAGCCATGGCTCGTACAATCCTTGGATGCTATGGCGATTAAGAGGCCAACTGGAATTCAAAAGGGATGCATACCTGAAATATTGAAGGGGAGAGATTGTATAGGAGGAAGTAGGACAGGTTCGGGAAAGACTGTTGCTTTTGCGGTTCCCATTTTGCAGAAATGGGCTGAAGATCCGTTTGGGATCTTTGCTCTAGTTCTGACCCCTACAAGGTAATCTTGTGGCACTGTGATGAAATACAAATTGTGCTAATATATGTTTTAGAGAACTTGCACTGCAGATATACGAGCAATTCAAGGCTATTTCGTCTCCTCAGCAGCTGAAGGCAGTCCTGATTACTGGAGGATCCGATATGCGTCCACAAGCAACGGCTCTTGCCCAACGACCTCATGTTGTGATTGCGACGCCGGGCCGATTGGCAGATCATATACGCACCTCTGGGGAGGACACGATATGTGCTCTGCGGAGAGTTCGAATGGTGGTCCTTGACGAAGCGGATCGATTGTTAGCAAGTGGAAGTGTTGGAAGCATGCTGCCAGACGTTGAAGAATGTCTATCAGTTCTTCCTCCGCCAGCAAAACGACAAACTCTCCTCTTTACGGCTACCATCACACCCGAAGTACGAGCTTTGAAGGAGATTCCTAGAACACCAGGAAAGCCGCCAGTCTTCATTTGCGAAGTCGATACTCAGGTATTGGCAATTCCAGCTTCTCTCAAGCAGATGCATCTCCAACTTCCAGTCACACATCGAGAACATTACCTCCACATGTTCCTCCTCACCGATGTTAACCTCCCAAAATCTGTCATCATCTTCTGTAACCGCACCGCCACAGCAGACTACCTAACGCATCTCCTCCGTCTTCTTGAACATCGAGTCACAGCATTGCACTCCAAGCTCCCACAACGCCAAAGAATTGATAATCTCGGCCGCTTCCGTGCTTCAGCTGCAAGAATTCTCGTTGCTACGGATGTAGCCGCTCGAGGTCTCGATATTCCTGAAGTTGGACTAGTAGTCAATTACGATATTCCCCGGGATCCAGATGATTACATCCATCGCGTGGGACGAACGGCCAGAGCTGGGAGAAAAGGTAAAGCTGTGACCTTTGTTGGACAAAGAGACGTGCAATTGGTGCAAGCTATCGAGGCCCGAGTGGGTAGACAAATGGAAGAATGGAAAGAAGAAGGTGTGAACTTAACCACGAGGGTTACGAAAGAGGCATTGAAGCTCGTGGGAGAGAAGAAGCGTGAGGCGCTGCTCGAGATAGAAGAGGGTCGAGAAGTCGGAGGCAAGCGAAAAAGGGGCATGCAAAAGCTGCGAGCGAATTAGACACAAACCCTTCAGCATGCAGCAGTTCTGCTCCACCAATCATGTCATGCCCCTCGCCTAATTCTTGTTTGCCCGAGTACACTGTCAGAGACATAGATACCCAATAAATGTTTCAAAATAATACGATTCCTCGCTGCAGATTCCGAGAAAGGATATTGACCCGCGGACCCACGTCCCCAGCTGGGACCGTTGTCCGCGAGGATTGTGGTGCGGGGAAACCCTGCTCTGGTTGCTCTAGTTGCCCAAGTGGGAAACTGATGCAACCGACCACCAACCTCGGTTCACAACATCTATTGAAATGTGAGGACCAGGTATGAAATCGGATGCACTGCGGACCCCCGCAGGATTACGAATGGTGATTCTAGCTTTGGTTGTACATTTAGCCCTTATCATAGCCTGTTTTCTCTTCAAAGTTCCCGATCTTTCCTCTCTGTCATTTTCGCTTTTCCTTCTGTTCTCAAGTACCAAGTCACAATGTCGAGGCTTCCAAATAACCAGTCTTCCTCCTACCGCAAGCAGAAAGCTACTGCCGCAGACCTCTCAGTTCTCGAAAAACTGGACACGATCCCAGCACTCCTCTCGGTTTGTAAGACTCTGTTGTCTCACTCGCAAAAAAATGGACCTAGCTCATCGATTGTGCAGTGGGCAACGCAGCCGTAGCTCTCTTCTCCGGCTTCTACAAATCGAAGGGCAGCATACCGAAGAGCTATTACCGACATGTGTATCTCACGGCAGTTCGAACATTGATGAGGAGGACGAGTGTGCGGCAGCAACAGTATGTCTCCTGGATTTTCAACTCGAAGGGAAGTTGAATTGATGCATGAAATAGTTTCCTACTACCGCCAACAGATGAAGCGTATGCAGCAGCATGCAAAGCTCGAGACGTGAAGCCCCAGAGTGAGATACTCGAAGATGGAACACGGGCACATTGGATCGGGGATCCTAAGGCCGAGAAGCTGGTTATGAATTTCCACGGTACTTTACATACATCACCTCCTCAGAGTAGGCCAGAATATTAACTGCAATGGGAGCCAGGTGGCGGATACTGCGTCCCCTCCTCGCCCGAAATGGTCGAATTCATGTTCCAAGTCGTCGACGTCCTGCAACGAGCCGGCAAAAACGCAGCCTGTCTTTTCCTCTCCTACGGTTTTGCTCCCCCCCCCTCCTTTCTCTCTACCCCTTCAAACTAAACTACCCATCCCAGACCTTGCGCCCGCCGCCCCGTACCCCCGACAGCTCCAACAAGCTGCCATGCTCCTAAACCACGTCCTCAACAACCTCAAAATCTCGCCGAACAATATACTCCTAACAGGTGACTCGGCGGGCGCAAACCTCGCCCTCTCCCTCCTCAGCCACATCTCGCACCCCCACCCCTCAACCACTCTCCCCATCCCACGCATCACCCTCTCTTCCCCCCTCCGCGGCGCCGTCTTAATCTCACCTTGGATCTCGTTTGATCTGAGCGCAGACAGCTTTAAACGAAATGCATGGAAAGATTGCATCACCGTTGAGGCCGGGAAGCAGTGGAGCAGTGCGTTCATGGCGTGCCCATGGCCGCACACAGAGGCGAGCGATTTCTACAACCAGGCGTACACCGCGCCGGATGAATGGTGGAAGGGACTGCAGGTGCAGGAGATGTTGGTTACGGCGGGTGAGGAAGAGGCGCTTGTTGATGGGATTAAAGAATTTGTGGAGAAGTTGAAGACAGGATTTGGCGGAGATAATGTCGAGTTTCTGTGCGTAGAGGGTGAGTATCATGATCAGCCTAGTCTCGATCTGCAGCTTGGGTTTAAGGAGAGGGATGAGGGGTTGCAGGCGAGGGAGATTAAGAGGTGGATTTCGAGTAAGCTTTGAATTGTTGAAATACAAATGCTACTTAGTCTTGGAAACAATACTCTCTCTGACAGGAGAGGGAAGGCTTTCTAGATTGTCTTAGGTCTCGGCAGAAAGTGCAGGCAATCTATAATTGTAATTTGAGCGGGACTACTTGAAATGTTTGTCTTTCGCTTAGGGCATCCAAAATTTCAAATAGGTGCTCTTGAGATAACTACAAGTCTCAAATAAATTTTAGACACCCAACTCAAGCTGTCTTTGAAGTCTCGCCGCTTCCTAAAAGCACCCTTCTTCCCAAATTTCTATCAGATAAAGATTCGACATACAAGCCGTCCTATTGGAATTTGTGTTCGGCCCTTTCTCTGACAAGAGGAGCTCATGTCTATGTAGGGAAACAAAGCAATCTTGACCCTTCTCTCTATCCTTTACCCCAAGCCCTCTCTATTTTATCCATCTAAGAGAAGTAGTCATGTCGACTGCCGACTCACACTCCTCCTACGGATGCCCATCCGAGTCTGCATCTCAAAGCTTTCTCCACGTCTTTCCTTCCCATCCCACCGCCCACTCCTCCCCTCACCTCTCCAGCTCTCCCTCCTCTTCATCCCATCCGAGCCCCCTAAACCTGGCCCCTCCCCCCTTTCCGCCATTCCCTCATCGCTATCCCCTTCCTCGCCACCACGACCAACAAGCATCCCCTCGCTCCCACTACTCTGCACCGCCGTCTCCTCCGCACTCCTTTGTCCTCCCTCAGCCACATCCTCAAGGCTCTCCCCAAAATTCCCACCCACACTAATCATCGTAAACGGACTCGCAGTCGGTGCATCCAACACCCGCAACTCCTCATCACTAAACCATTTCGGCAGCAGAAACGTCCTGACTGGCACCAACAGCAAAATGAAGATCGGAAACCCGACAGCGGCGATGGTCTGCGTGATGGCGAACGTGGCGCCGAAGCCGACGAGTTGGATGGCGACGAAGACCCAGATGGCGAGGCGGCGAGGGATGCGTTTTAGGGGCTCCGAGGCGGGCGTGAGGGATTTGTCTTTGAGGAGGAAGAGGATTTTCAGCGTGATGCCGTTTCCTTCGAGGGCTTGGACGCCCATTACGAAGAAGAGGCCGGCTAGGACGCCTTGAGGGATGAGATGGAGGACGATGAGGAGAGGGCCAGTCATCGTGCCCAGGGTTAAGAGGCCTTGTGCGAGGTTTGAGAATCGCTGTTCAACAACGTGAGAGGTGATGGTTGTAACATGTCCCTTGTTGGCCCCTTCTTCGTTGGGGTCTGCAACGACCTTCGTGACGCAGAGGGAGGCGGTGTGGAATGGTGCTTGCGGGATGAGGCCGTTGGGGGCGGGGATCCCGAGGAGGCCTGCCACGCCCGTCGTGAGGCCAAGGAGGAAGATGTCCCAGTGAAACCCAGCCGGTTTGCGCAGCGGGAATTCGGTGCCTTGGGCAATGAGTGAGGAGACGTTGTGGTCGAAGTAGAAGAGGATGGTGAGGAGGATGGCAAACGGGATGGCGATGAAGACGTCGCCTATGCTGACATCCCAGAAGTGGATGAGCCATCCTCGGTCCGTGGTTGGGAAGAAGGCTTTGCTGGTGGGCAGAGTGTTTAGGGATACTTCACGCATCTTCCCAATGTGCACAAAGCCGGTGAAGAAGATGACTGTGAGAGGGGTGCCGTAGTCTGTGAGGAAGACGCGGATGTAGTGTTGGAATAAGGGGCTTGTGCCAATGAGACCGCAGAGGTAGCCGATGAATAGCACGAGGAGTGCGACTGTGATGGAGAGGTAGAAAGCTTCGTCTGAGCCTTGACGGGTTAGGACCTGGATGCCTTTTTGCAGGTAGATGAAAGCAACGTAGAAGCCGAAGATATCGCAGGAGAAACGGGTTACGTATTTCAAGGCGTTGCAGGCGTTTGTAAAGGCAAGAAACCAGTGCATTACAAGGGACCACCTGAGTTCAGTCAGTTGAGGTTCGGCTTCTTGGAGGATGAGACTTGCAGCCCGATCAAAGCCATGAAAGCAAAATAATTCGTGCCCGTGGGGGCCATGATATCGTAGACCGTACTGTACTATCATTAGCAGCCTCTTGATATAAAAATCTTGAAGACTCACTAGTTGAAAACGGTAATAGGGCCAGTGACACCAACAATAACCAATGGCTGTGCAGCAAAAACTGCAAATACCACCGAACCAAGAACAGAAGCAAGCAGAACTTCATTGACACCGTAACTCATATTTGTCTTCGTGAACCTATCTTGATTAGTCCCTTCTTCTTCCCCTCTTTAGCGAACTTACATGTCCAACGAGAAAGCCAACGCAGGCAGAATACTATTCAAATCAGCATCGTGATCATATTGAAGATCATTTGACTTGGAGAGGGAATGAGATGTGTGATGAACATACTTGGCAAAATACATATAAACCGTAGCAGGCACAACCCGATAATCCCAAGCATCCACCCAATCACTCCAATAAAACGGCAGCCTCCTCCTCACATCATTAATCATGCCTCTAAAAAGTCTGATCTTCCACCATTTCGGCACATGTTTACTCCTTGCACTAGCATTCGTATTCGTCTGTCTCAGCTCATTCTGAGGAGCCTGGTTCTGGGATGGAGTGTGGGAGGGGAGCAAGTTGAGGCGGTGGCGCCATGATTTCCGCGTTCCTGAGGAGTGGGGGTCGCCAGGGGCGTGTTGGAGAGAAGTGGGGAGGGTGTAGGTGTTTGGAGAGGATTGGGAAGCCATGGTGGGGGAGGCGTTGAGGATCAGAGATTCTCGAGATAACCAGGTATCAATTGAGACATCGGGATGTCAAATATGCCACAGAACTACGGACGAAGGGCTTGATGAGAGATTTATGTCGTTGTGAGCTGGGCCAAGAGGCTATCGGAACTCTTAGCTTTTGGTGGGGTAGTACCAAGTGAAAAATGACGTTGGGGCGAGGTTTGAAGTGGGTCTGGGAGAAGTGCCTAATCAACAATGTGTCAAACAATTTAATTAATTATAATTATCGGCCGGTAATCAAATTAAATTAAGTCAGAAACCTAATAATTAAAGTATAATTAATTGTTTAGTCACGTGAGCTTGCAAAAGCAGCAAAGAGTTAGGAGACGGTGTCATAAGGCTTAAGATAATACTTAAATTAAACAGGGTTCTATAACTTTCAGCTTAAGTATATAAGAGAAGAGCTTAAAAAAGTCTTAAAAGAAGAGTGAACCGAGATCGAAGTCTTGTAAGCACGACTTTCAAGTTTGTCAGGCACGTGCTCAATGCTCATGATTCAATTATACGGCAACACTTGTGGGGTATCTATGAAATGGTGCACGCTAAATGCAAATGCTAAGCCACCATCACCGCATCCATCGTTACACTCATTCGGTGCCAAGGATCATTCTTCTTTCAGCGTCCGCTTCAACCCATTTACTGATTCTCTCGCCCACATCGCCAACTAGGCTCTCATACTGTGGACCTGGGAAGAAGAGTCCGCAATGTGCACCGACCTCGTCGACCCCCTCCATATATACTCTGATCCAGCACTTGTCTCTCTTGCCGCCATGTTCGGGTGGAAGCATGCAGAACTTCTTGTCTCTCTTCGGCTTCCCAGATTGTACTGACGATGCAACCGACGCTTGTCGCTCCTTTGGTGGTTCAGGATTGATGGTCGCCTGCCGCTTCTCCTCTTCCTTTTCTTCTTTCAGTCTTTGCTTCTCCTCTGCTTTCAGTTGCTTCTCTCGCCCCTGTTGGGCCTTCCTCTCGCGTTTCTCAATCAACTTCTTGCGGTCTTTGATGGCACTTTCTCGGTCTTTCACTGCTTGTTGGTATGCTCTCATGATACGCTTTTGCTCTTTTTCGGCGATCTTCCGAGAGTCCTTATCAGTGTAGACAGTGAGATCGATTGCCTCGGGCTCGGTTGGAACAGGTGGAATTCGGGGTAAAGCTGGTTCGGAGGGAGTAGACTTGAGTTTATTCATCGGCTCTTCCGACGCTTCGGTGGTACTTGCCATGGTCAAGGATTCCGGTTCATCGTCCTCTTCGATCGGAATCGAGTCAATATGCCTCATTTCAGGCGGTTCCTGAATATCGTTTTGCACACCCGAGTTATCTCCGAGCCCCTGCATTTGTGCTTCAACCGGTGAGGCATTTGGACCATCTTCAAGTGGTTGCGGGGTAATGGCACCATCGCTGTGCTCTTCGACCGAAATCTTCGGTGTAGATGCAGGAGAGCGACTACTTGAACGGGTGGTACTTTGCGGTGTGAGACTCATATCCTGCATCTCCACTTCAATAGGCTTCAGGTCTCCACCTGAATCCATCATCTGACCAGGCGGAACTTTTAGGGGCTTTGGTGGTTTTGGTCTTCCAGTGCTTGCCGTATAGTAGTTGACAAATCGAATTCGTCTAATTGGAGGTTGATAGCCGGGTTGATTTCTCTGGGCGAGATCATTCACATCCTCAAGCCCACGAAGCTTCTCATATCGACTCTTGAGCCCAGGATAGTCTGCTAAGCACCCTCCAAATTCTAAGTGGGACATGAAATATTGCTTTGTTGCAGTGGTAAGTCCATCCGAATGCTTATTGATGAAATGTAGTACGTTAGACCACCCCTTTCGTTCTGCTAACCGCACATCGTTTGGGAAAGGTGGATTAAAATATGGATCATCGGGTGGACTGGCTAAGGGGGATGTAATGCTTTGGATAAGGCTTGGTTGTAATGATACCTCCGAATCTGCTACGGAGGGAGCATAGCTGGGCGAAGAAACCGAGGCCTGGCTGTTCATTGATGGAGTGTTCGTTCCACTAGTTGAGGACTGGCTGGTTTTTCCAGGAGGCTCTGGAGCCGGACGAAAGAGGCTCCCAATACCACTCACCACCACACCTGGATGCATACCCAAGAACGGTGTATCAAAACTGATGGTTCCCAGTATTCGATGACGAAATGGTTTGCCAGTGGCTGGAGTTAGAGGCCTTTGAAGAGCAACTTCCGCTGACAATATTCCTCCCATGCTATGTCCCAGGAGAATAACTTCGGTATAGTGGTTCTCATTTGGTTCGAGCCTAGTAGTCAATAAGCTAGATATGTTCGAAGGACTGAGTAGGGCTTACCATGTGCTAAAATCATCCCTGGCGAAATCGATTGCTTTCCTTGACTTGTATCTTGGGTATATTTTAGTATGGACCACATGAGTGTCTGCGAGGGTGATCGTGAGGAGATTGTGGACGTGTGCTGGGAAGCTCTGGAAGCTGGTTTCATTCCCCAGGAACCCATGGATATAAATCAGCAGCAGAGTTCGCCGGCCATCTCTGCCTGACTCTGATGGTACCAAGGAATGCGTCGAGGAAGATCTTGGATCGTGAGAGCGCCATTGCTCGGATATCAACTGGCTCCTTCTCTGATCGTCTGCGGAGTAGGGCGGGGGAGCAGGCGCGGACGCTGTTCGAGGTGGCAGAGGAGGTGGAGCATTTTGCCGTGACTTCTCCGCAAGTTGAGAAGGAGTGGCGAAGCCTGAGAGGCCTGGCTCGTCTCGTCTTGATTTTTCCGCAAGCTGGGCAGACGTAGCCATTCCTTCCAGTGTGGGAGGAGACGAGACTCCCAAACGGTCCTTGCGAGCCTTCTCGTCTAGTTGCGCTTGAGTTGCCATTGCGTGCTGACTTTATCGATGGAGTTGCTATCGGAGAGGAGTCGGCATGTTTCCTTTTTGCTGCTTTGTTCCGTTCTGTTTCATGGATCTGGTTGAAGTCTTGTTCCATGGCGGGCAGCCCCGCAATCAGTGGCTTCCAGGGTGCCTCTCGCATGGCATCATCCCGCAGATCACGTGGGCGACTCCTGATTTATGCAGAACATTTCATATGTAAACAAATGGATAACAATTTTCCCCTTTGGTTAAACAAAATGTCAGACACCAGATCAACGATACACGCAATTCCCTCCCACCCTTCCAGGCCAACAGCTGCGTTCTCGTGTTGCATCGGGCCTATGGAGGCGTCATGAAATATTGAAAGAGGCCCGATACGATACGGCAGGGTGGCTCCGATGAAGACAAGCTTCGACTGCTTCTGGTCCCTGGACGGTGGGACCGCCTGCCCGAGCCAAACCCAAGCCAAACCTTCTGCGACTGCGAGTACGAGTAGATTATCAGCGCTCTGGCAGTCGAGTGTTGGTCGTCCGGACAGGACAGGACAGGACAGGACCGGACAGGCAGGTCAAGGATGCGCAGGGCGAGGGCAGCTGCCAGCAGGGCTCCAGTTGTTACTCGTTCCTTCCCGTAATGATGCAGGCTCCTCGGCCTCCTTTATCCTCAGCCTATCAGTCGCCGAGCAAGCCGACACTGGGCCTCGTGCACATCTCGTCCGAATCTCGTCCCCTGGCAAAACGGCTGTTATTATTATGGTAATCTGCAAACGTCGGCCATGATAGGCCAATCAGGAAAGTCTCAGGAAAGTCTCCATTTCCCAGCCTCGCTGATTCGCTGGCCCCGCCCCGCCCAGGGCAGGCCCCCCCCTCCTTAGCGAAATTGACTTCGAGCAGCAATCTATCTTTGCTTGCTGGCAGTGACATTATTCCGGAGTCCTCGCGGCTCTTCTCCTCTCGTCGCTCTCCCAACCTCACTCGCCCCCTCCCGAACGACGGCAATGAGTTGACGGAGGAATCTTCAATCGCGTCACGTCGCGCACTCAATCCTGCAACAGCGCGCGCCATGGGCGACACCATCGCTGGGCCATCACTCCTTCTGGCCAAGCAAGACCTCGCTCACCGAGAGCACCCACATCAACACAATCATAATCACAATCGTTTGCACAGAAGAGAGGCGCCGGCAGTGTTTACGGAGGTTGTGGCGACAATCTCGGTGGTACAACAAGTAGATGTGGATATTAATGGAAACACCTATTCGACGGAGACACTTACGACGGTGTCTTCCCCTTCGATAACGAACGAAAATGCAGCAACGACACCAACGGAAAGCCCAGCAGTCGGCACACCGGCGGCAACTGCTGGAGGGGGGTCCGGAGGATCGCACGCATCACAGTCACTACTTTCAGATCAAGGCATAACTTCAACAACGATACCCACGCATTTTCCCACGCTGGTTCTCAGCACTAATTCAACATCTTGTAAGTCAACGTGTCAATCGAGAAACGAGAGGAGACTGACCGAGTCCACAGTAATTTCTTCAACCACTAATAGCTCACGCTTCACCAACTCCACCATCGCCTCGAGGACTTCGCTCACCTGCATAACATCCACCACTTCAACCGATGATTTCTGGGAGAGCTCCACCTCGACCCTCTATGCACCAAGCTATACCGCAAAGAGCTCCGTTACCACTGGGGGAAATGTTGGAGGGACTGGCGTTGCTGGAGGCGGTGTGTCGACAAGCACCCCAGCTTCTGGAAATGGAGCCTCGAATTCTTCTACGGCATCTCCACCGGTCATTGCAGGTGGTGTTGTGGGTAGTGTTGCCGGGGTTGCCATTCTTATTTTTATTATAATGGCCTTCCTCCGGTGGAAGAAGAGGCATCAGTCAATGTTGTTGTTGGGCGATGGGGATGCAGGAACCGCAGCAGAAACGACTCGGGATGGACCATCTTCGCAACCACCAGGCGGAATGATTGAGCGGCGATCATTGGCTCTCGGTGTTCCTGCTGTGCTGGCCAGTATGACTGGCTATAAGAGATCGTCCCAGAAGACGGAGACCGATCGAACAATTTCATCGACGGCGGGGAGTGAACGTGGATTCTACCGTGTGTCTGGGAGAAAGCTACCGTCAGTTCTGCAAAGTGGTGGTGACGGGTATGGAGGCGGAATTGGTACAAATACCTTGAGTGGATCATCTTTCTACCGAGATTCGCAAGGATTCTACGGAGGTGCTGGAAGCCCTACAAGCCCCTCGCACCCCCCTGGTGCTATGTCCTTTACTCGAGATAGCGGCGTACCTGTTATGCGGCCTTCCCCAGCTCGAACGCCAGTGACAGAACAAAGCCCATTCTCAGAATTTCCAGCGCCTCTCGACCCACCGCCACGTCGACCAACTGATGACCTCGGCCGGTCCCATCCCTCACAAGATGGGTCTCAGAGGTCCCGATTCACTGAAGAGGTCTGAAATAAGCCTTTTCGTCTCAAAAAAATGTCTGTGCCTCGGTGCCAGGGATTTCCGTATGGATGACGAAACTCTGAATTCCCTGTAGATATTGTCTTTTGAGCGTCGTGCAGTGGCCATTTGCCTTGGCTCCTTGCCTGGATATCTTTGTGTTTTGCATTTGATTGGCGTTTGTTCGTGAGCTACGAATCTGGTATCGCTCTGCGTGGGAAGATCTGATCTCCTCTGTTACAATGACGATGGAGCCGTCGTTGCGTTACGTGGAAGAGTTGTTCGACGGAGGCTAGGGCCGATAGAATAGCGGTCTGACCTCGCTGTGTCTAGACCTGGTGTCACCTTTTGTATAATGTATTCTGGACTTTAGATCAGATCGATAGGGAGAAAATGAGATCATGAGACGGAGATTTTGACATGACTCTGCTCATTGAGTGACAGTGACAGTGACAGTGACAGTGACCTTGCATTATTGTCTGTATTAAGCTGACGAGTCCCCACCACCCGTCTGAAGTAGAGCATGCGGTGGTCGGTTCGGCCAGACGCAAAACACTCCTCGCGGATACCGACAGTGGGTTGGGTGTAATATGATACAGCAGCTCAAGTTGGGCCAGTGCGGGCGCCTCGGAGCTCGAATGGGGTGTTGAGTACGATCAACGGTCGAGGAGGGCTTGGTTGACGGTTTCATGGGTGTCTGAGATGGGCACAGGCTCTGCCATTGGCAGCGCGCACACAATGGACCACGAACTCTTGCAAGGAGTTATTGGCTCGACCAGCCCTGGAAAGAGGAACAGGTCTGCAGGATCACAGAGAACGAGGCAAGAATTTTCCAGACGGCTTTGGCTTCATTATTTCAGGCACGCCAACGTGGAAGGGGCCTCGTCCCATGAAGTTGTAGATACGTGGGTGTGAAACAGCTGGGTGGGCCGGATCAATTGCGCTCCCAGCTTGCACCATGCCACCAACCTTAATCTGACTTCTGCAGACGCTCCATTGGGAAGACCGCCCTGTCACAGAAGTGCCTCCTTTCGACGCGGGGATTTTCTGCTTCGAACCCTGCAGAGGTCGAGGTTTTGACGATTGAGGCGCAGCACCCTGCACATTTTGAGGGCTCAGGGCTCGAAGTCTCCTCCGTACGAACTTACCAAGCGATGAGAGATTTGCTCGAATTGCGCCCTTGCTCTGTAAGCAGTGTGGATTTTGAGCCCAACCCCGACGCGGATAGCCGATTACGATGTGTTGCACCAAGAACGATCGCCGGCCGTTGTGAAGTGCGAACGTTCGAGACTGCGCAGAGGAAACCACACCAGCACACTTCACTTCTTTTGTCAGGGTCCACGGACACAGTTCATAGTCATCACGCTCGGCACTTCACCAGTTTGGGCTCTTATCTTCACACTTCCACTCCTCCACCACCGATCAACACCAACACTGCAGCGAATCATCCTCCCGCCACATCCAGCAGCCCCCGCGATAAAGGACCCTGCACATCACAACAATTGGCTGCCGAAATTATTCTTGGCGCGACGGCGGAGGTTCAGCTAAACTCCGCAACTGATTCCACGTCAGTACTGGGACAGGCAAAGGCTTACGCGAAAACGAACAGGACAAGTACGTGCGAATAGCACAGCACAACCAGCCCATAGTGCGCAAAGACGGTGCAACTTTCGACCTGCCAGAGTTAGGGCGGACGTCTCGTCCTGAGAATCTCTACGACTCTTTTGCAACTAATGCTGTCCCAGTCGCAACCGCCAATGATGGATCACAACGGCTTCCAGATGCCTCAGATGGCGGCACCGCCGCTGATGAACCCCCCACCGCAGATCTTTGGGGCTTATTCCGCGGATGGACTGCCAAACATGAACATGCAAGACCTATCACAACCACTTTTCGGGGATGGATCTCTGATGGATGAGAGTATCGAGGCCAAGAGGAGGCGGATAGCGAGGGTAGGAAGGATTTGTGCGAGCACAGTGCGAGACATGCTGACGACATTGCAGGCTTGTGATATGTGTAGGAAGAAGAAGATAAAATGCGATGGGAAGATGCCGGCTTGTACCCATTGCATCAATTACAAGACAGAATGCGTTTTCACACAGGTCGAGAAGAAGAGGAATCCACCGAAGGGGTATGCGGGCCCGAATTCCCGTCTTGAAGTCGTCGCTGACATTACACCAGTGCGAAATATATCGAGGGCCTCGAGAATAGACTAGGAAGGATGGAAAGCTTGCTCAGACTTTCTGGTATACATTTCTGTGGTTCCGAGCTCGTAAGGCCGAGGCTAATATCACCCAGGACTGCTGACCGAGGACGATAATGGTCGGACGGATTTGGGGACTTTGGAGAAACGACTTGCAGAGAAGAGAGAGTCGCAGAGACAGTCTGAAGCACCAGGATCACAACCAACCTCGCCCTCGCATAGCACGCCGAATGAAGGAAGCGGTTCCACACCGCGGAGCACTTTGGCATCGCCTGAGCCGAACAGCAAGAATGGAGATAAACGAAAGAGCACTCTTTCAGAAAAGTCGGAAGAAGAGGTCGAGGCCCTTTCAGACATGATGTGTTCTCTGGTCACAAATAATTGTGGTGAAACTCGATATATTGGTGCGGGGTTCTGGCATGAGGTATTTTGAAGGCATTGCTGACATACTTTAGGATCTTCATCCGGATTCTCCATTTTCTCGCCCAAGGGTATCCAATGGGTGAACGAAAAAACTGGCGACTCCTCTTTCCAGGAAATGATCTCGTCGGCTTCGGTGGATGAGAATAAATGGATGTACTGGAAACCAGAGGTGTTCTCTGATCTGTTTCGACGACCAATATTTCAGCAACTTCCCCCAAAGGCGGAGTGCGTGTCCTTGCTCAAGGATTTCTTTGAAAATTTCAACTGCATGTTCCCGCTCTTCCATCAGCCAACATTCATGCATCTGGTCGATCGACAATATTCTCGAGATCCATATGAAGGTTCTGGATGGTGGGCCAGCTTGAATGTCACTCTCGCAATAGCTCACCGACTACGAGTTATGAGTAACCTTGTTCCGAAAGATGAGGATGAAAAGGCATGGGGTTATTTGAAAAACGCGATAGGGGTATTCACCGAGCTCACGTTGCGTAATACCGACCTGTTGAGCGTACAGGCACTCCTTGGGATGGCAATGTTCTTGCAAGGCACTCCGAACCCGCAACCATCTTTCTTCTTAGTTGCGGCAGCTCTTCGATCATCCCACAGCATTGGACTGCACAAGAAAGGTTCCGGCTTTAATCTCAATCCTGTAGAGATAGAACAGCGGAAACGAGTCTTCTGGATTGCTTATATGCTGGACAAGGATATTTGCTTGCGCTCTGGACGACCTCCGGCGCAGGACGACGATGATATGAATGTGGAACTTCCAAGCGCAGACCCGGAGGATAACATCGGCAACATTCCTCTTGCTGATGGAAAAGGAAAGGTCAACTTGTTCCGTCTGATGTGCGAATTTGCAACAATTGAAAGCAAGGTTTACAAGCAGTTGTATTCAACGAAAGCTTCGAAGCAGTCTGATGGAGAGCTTCTCAATACCATCGGAGAGCTTGATCATCTTTTGGAGGAGTGGAAAGACAGCATCCCAGTTGACTTCCGTCCGGAACACGAGATCAAAGCATCACATACGCCGCTTATACTCCATATCGTGGTTCTTCATTTTAGTTACTACAACTGTTTGACAACAATCCACCGAATGTCCGTTCACCACGGTTACTGGACCAGTCGGTTGTCGAATTATGCTATCCAGGGGTTGAATGCCAGACCGCTGAATCCACGCGTCTTCTCGTCAGCAGCCCTCTGCGTGTCAGCTGCACGAGCCTCTATTCATCTGATTAAATATGTACCACAAGGAGATTTCCAATGTGTTTGGTAAGTGGAAATAATATCTTGCAATGCGCTACGACTAACAAGCTTAGGCTCATCCTCTATTTCCCCGTCTCAGCTCTTGTAACATTATTCGGAAATATTCTACAGAACCCTCAGGACCCTAGAGCTAGATCAGATGTCCGCCTGATGAACCTTGTCGTCAGCTTCTTATCAATGCTCGTTACAGAGGAAGAAAATGGAGGCGTGAAGCGAATGCTGGGTGTCTGCTCTGAATTCGAGAGAATCGCCAAGGTTGTCCTCGATAAAGCAGACAAGGACTCGTCGTCAAGACGAAAGCGGAAGAACAACGAAGAGCAGGCAGGAAAAGCAAAGGGTCCTCCCGGTACCTCCGGCCCACCACCGCATACTCCTATGCAGCAGAATGCTCAAACGCCCTCTATGGCCAGCGTCTTTTCGCCGGGTCTGAACAACCCAATGAACCCACAGAGCTCCTACAGCACACCTATGCCGAACGGATCGCCCGGCGCGCAAAACTGGACCACAGATTTCGCCAACGGGAGTGAATACATGACACCCAATAACGGCGGAGGCATGACCCCCTTCGCCGATATCCAAGGCTACACAAATGGCAACGATATCGGCTCGCCCCTCAACATCAACAGCTTCCAACAGCCTTTCGTGCCCCAGGACTTGTGGCAGATGCCGATGACATTAGAATGGGACTGGGCAGACATGACGGGTGGCCAATACCCCTCGTTCGAGAACGGCGTCATGGGCGATCCGACGCTGCAGAATAGCAATAATCAGCATCTGCAGCACCAGCAGCAGATGCGGTAGCGGCTACAATTGAGCTCCTTCGGGGAACGGAACCCGGGCTGTACGCTGAGTGAGCATTGTCGGTGTTCTTGGGCATGTTTGGAGTTCACGATATTTCACGCTATTTATTTATAACAAAATTTTTGCCTTATATTTTGAAATTTTTTTGAAATTTGAGTTTTGAGGTTTCGGGCAGTTGGCGCAAAATCTAAAGTGTGATGTTGGGTTGGGATGGATTTGAAGTGTCATTCGCTCATGAGGTATGAAGTTGATTGGGATGGGATGGGATGGGATGGGATGGGATGGGATGGGATGGGATGGCTTGTATCTCTACTCTGCATGTTTGGGGGAGTTGACTACTTGTAGCGCGCTTGTGCTTGTGCTTGTACTAATTCCTTAATGGCTAGTATGGTCTAATGGAGTTATGATGTGCACTTCCACTGCTATTTGGATATTTCGATGTTTGAATGAATGGCTGAGACCAATAGCTCGATTACCAGAGGCGAATGTGACCTTCAACAAAAGGGGAAATAAATCTGAAGCTGAGAAGACCAAGGTCACGTGTTTATTCCTTGCCTTTGGGGATCGGGGAAGGGAAGGATGGAGTATTCACATTGGAAGAGGCGGGTGTCTTCCCTGCAGACAGAAGGGAAGTCCTAGTGGTTATCTATTGTGCATGATGCCCCCTAGCAAGTCAATTTCGTTGAGCCAGAGAGTGTGTTCTGTGGCATTTGTTTATCAAGAGCTGTGTCACTTCAGCTGGCCATCGTCACTATTCACTGCACCCACTGCAACGAATGTACCTATCTGCGGACTTGATCTTGCAGTCGGTTGCGGTGAATGCTGTCGTCCCCACCTGTCACAACCGAGCAGGGTGCTACTGGTACTTCCGTACAATCGTAGAGGAGGGGTACGCACACGCCGTAGTGGTGGTCTTTATACCAGAAGACGAAAGTCAGTCATGAGATTCCGTTGTCATGACAGGGTACGCGATGTACGGGTACAAAATGGGTAGAATCAAAACAGATGGGTTTCTGGACCAAGAAACCTACCGTAGTCGTCACGGTCTGCTGCTTCTCGATACAGCTGCACAAAGTGCTCACGATGCTGCCTCCTTTCGCAACGAGACTCGACCACGCCACGCCCACCAGCCGCGCAAGCGGAGCTGGAGTTGGTTCCGGTTCAGGAACCTGTCTGAGTCTTCGCGCCGGTGCGGTAAAGGTGGTGGTGACGGTCTTTGTGGGAAGTGGGTAGTGTTCTGAGCGGTAGCTCTCAGCAGGTGGATAGGCCGACAGGAAGAGCAGCTCCTTGTATGGGACGTTGGTGCAAGGTGAGCTGGCTGCAGCAGCGAGCCCTCTGCTCAGGAGTACAAGTATGGTTGAAAGGAGCATTTTTATATCTTGTGGTATCTTGGCTGTTGAGGTGGGAAGAACAGGGTAAATAGCAGGCCAGGAGACTGCACAACAGTGAAAGTACAGCTTAAAGTGGGATAGAGACTCCTGCATAGCTATTTGTAGGAAGGAAGGCTATACTGTGGGCGGTGAGTGCCGGTATGGATCAACTTCGCGCAACAAAAAGTACGGTAAGAGATCTCTCAGAGAGAACTACTCCCGACTGTAAGCAAATTTGGCTATGGATCGACATGAACCAGCAGCAATACAATCCGTGGCGTAGTCTCGAACTTTCAAACCTCGTTGTCGTAGCGAGGGTGCATGATGATCCGCCATTAACATTTCGACACCGTTACTTGGCACTTTGATGGAGGAGTAAGAAAGGTTCCTTGGTCAGGAGTAATACATCGTGCGGAGATCGTCAATGGCTTCCGCAGCGGTGGAGAGCTGAAGCCGGCCTCACCTCCCGCTCTCACCTGTTGCCAGTCCAGATTCTCCCGCAAGGCCCCCCTATGCACAAGCGACAGCTAAATGTGTTTATACGTCCAGTAACCTTTGGATAGCGTTAGAATTTTCCCCTTCTATGTAATTCAGTACACATGCTCTCCACATAACCGCAGAGTATCCAACTAATCACAGCGCTTTGCCTAATACCAGCACCAAACAATTACGATGTACTCTAGCTAAGATCAATCTGAACAAGAACACTCTTCATACGAAACCATCTTCCAGAGACGGTAACAATTTACAGCGTCTTGGTTGAAACGAGCAAGTTAGCCGCCGAGTCAATGAGTGAATATGGATGACTCTTATCTAGAACAGCCAGAAGCAGCAACTAAGTCACTCTCTATCATCCCTCCTGAGCATTTTTCTCAAATCCTTAAATCCCATTGAGCCTCAGTGAAGCTCGAAATCCTCCAATTCCACTTCTCCTCGCTCTAGAGCCTCCAGAGCCTCCCCGAGCATGATGCCGTCAAGATAGACCGAGCGGATGAACTCATAGTGTGTCCCAACTCTGCGTAAAGCAACAGGAACAGGGCAGCCAAGGAGAACGCAGATCAGGTCGCCAGGCTGAAGTCGACGTGAAAAATCTTTGCCGATGAAGTTCCTGCTGGTCAGGAACAATCGCTCACGCCTACCATTTTCGTTGACCACCTCTTGCAAAAGTCGAGGCGTGTGTAAAATAAACTCTTCATCTGATTCTTGTTTGTGAAGACTTTGAGTGTCAGGATTGCTGATCTCGTTGAGTCCAAGGGCGATGAATTCGTCTTCAGAGCACAAATCGACGAGACTTCCCTCGACTGATATAAGGAAAGTCTGCCATAGTCTCTGTAAACAATCTCTCTCCGAGGAAAATGCCGGATTATTGACCAAGGAGTGCCAATTCGTTTGGAAGAAGGAGATAAAGAAGGAGATATCCTCCGTGGTGCCTTTCCCAAATTCTGGGGCAAATGTCTCAACCATATCCCACACCAAGCCTCGAACAGTCATTGTGGAAAGATTAGAAGCAAATGCCACCAGCGCATCTCTCGTTCCCGAGGACTCGTACCACTCGTCGTCGAATAGTGTACAACCGGTCCCACATTCGAAGCTTCCGAACCCTGGAAAGGCGACACCGATACTCCAATCTGGAGTCCAGGACCTTTGCACGTTGTGGCTTCGTTCGCAACATGCGAGGAGTACATCAATACGCTTTGTGCAAATGACGAGTGACTTGACCAAACTCGAATAGATATCCTGAACCGGTTGGGTATAGTCGACTATCATTGCATCGACATCATATACTCTAGGACATTCATTCTGGCCGAAGCTTTCTGTAAGGCCGAGAGCTCCGTAGACTTTGTCGCGAGGATCGGTTGCGTTTGTATCGCGGAGCCCTGAGAGCCAGGATAGGAGACTTATGGGTTCCTCCTTTCCAAGTGCCATAGAAAAGACCTTTCGATTTGCTAGGAGTTTGGTCACACTAACATACCACACAATCCCGCCTGAGGCTCGTTCCTCGAACCTCGGTATGGTGCTGGGATCTCCAGTGGAATTTGTGGCTGGCCAGTTGTAAGCAATCAAGTCAAGCACTACATGCAACTCTTCTTGGGGAAAGTGGAGACCTCCACATTTGAAAACCATGTCATTCGTACATCCAAGGACGTACTCTTGGACTATCCACGTACGGGAGAACCAAGCTCGCGAAAAGAACTTGAAAAGAGGTAGGTGGTAATTTTCCCCAAGTTCAAAGAATCGTGAAGCCAGTGTGTTGCGCCAGGAACAGAGTGCCTCTGGGCCCTCTTTCTTAGCTTTGGCAGTGACTTTTAGCAAGGCGATCGCCGCCTTGCTATTGTCATCACTGACACCGAGCCAAACGATGAGTCTGCTGCACCGGCTGTAGAGCCTGCACATCATGCCAATTTGTTGACGACGTTCGGCAAGATCATCTTGATTAATGCAAATGGCATCGATCCAGAGTATCGAGTTGGTACTCCCAGCTTCATCCTCACGATGCTGACGTAGAAATGCTTCGAGGTTTGGCATTGCCATCAGGCTTTTGCCATCAATGAAGATGGGTAGTCGAGATGTCGAATCGGTGCCCCATGCATACGAAAGGGCATTGTAAACAGGGAGATCATCGATTGGAATATGGTGAAGGTGACATAAAATCTGGTCTGCGAATTCATTGCTGGGAAAGAGTTCGAGAAGTCGGATCTCCCCCTCTTGGAGTCGCAGATACGAGTAAATTTCGGTGCTCGTGCCAAGATGTACGCTTGGGGGTAGTCTGGCAGGATTAAAACCCTCCATGCTAGACGTTTCTCACATGAACAATGTTAGAGCAGACACAGCAGCAAGAACTGCTCTATCGAATTGTTCCCAGCCTCGTCTGACTCGTTAACCAAATCATAGATATTTCTTGTGGATGTTTTAGAGTACTTGATATTAGAGTGCTTCGAGCTGGGAGGCACACGAATTCAAGAATGAAGTTTCTTGAAGATATCACAGAATCAGGCTGATGATTTTTGTGGGGTGAGAGAAGGTTTGTTGATGCTGGCGACTGAAGACGGCGAGGCTCGTGGCCGCAGGACGCTTGCCCAAAAAGAAAGAGAAAGGCCAATATTTCCGTAACCAATCAACGAAACTGTTTCAAGCCAGGGGCGACATCAGAAAATTCAACCAGCTTTCCTCAACGGCACTGACGGAGGAAATAAAGGGGCAAGATTTTCTAACCAATCAACAAAAACAATTTGAATACAAATGAAATATAAGAAAGATGAAGATGACTTCATCAACAGCACCCTAAATGAGGAAATGGAAGAATGTCAGGCCATTTTGATTGGCCGGGTTATTGCGAGATTTAGCACCAGCTTTCAGCTGGGTCTTGTGATCCCTGTCAGGGGAGGCTTCTGGATACTCCTGAATTTCAATTCCCACCTATTTATCGCATCCACCCCGTAACCAAAATCCTTTCCAAAAGCCAATCTCGAAGCTTAATACTTGAACATAAGATTATTCAAGATGACTTTACCCAAAGGCACGATAATCGCCACAGGCGCAGCAAGTGGAATTGGCAGCGGCTGGCTCCTCACACATCTCAAGTCTCCGCAGGCAAAGCTCTACCACACAATCTACATCATCCACCCTTCTGCACCAGGAAATCTGAGAGAGATTCTCCAAAACCACGCTCCTTCAGAACACACGTATGAGATCTTACCTTTAGATCTCTCCAATATGTCGGAAATCCGCCTTGCAGCTACGGATTTTAACCGCCGAGTTGAGAAAGGCGAACTCGGCAAGATCAAGATTTTGTTGTTGATTGCGGGAGCAATGTTCTTGGATCCTAAGACGAAGGATGGAGTGTCTTTTACAGATGAAGGAATCGAATCCCACATGGCTGTTAACTACCTTTCCAACTACCTTCTCATTCTCCTCTTACTCCAAAGCTTGGAGAAGAAAGGGTCCCGGATTATCGCCATGGGAAGCACGAACCACAATCCTGATTTCTTGTCCACTCAGGGCTCGTTTCATAGTAAGGAGTTGAAGATCTTGTTTGGTGACGGAGGGCTGGAGGATTTGATTAAGGCGACGGAGAAGGTGAGGACTGGCGACGCATTTCCGGCGAGCGTGAGGAGGTATGGCCGGAGTAAATGGTGTCTAATCGCCTTTTTGTGAGTATTTGTCTCCTCTTTTAAAATTTGAACCTGAGGGAGATTGAGTGCTGATGAATGGCCAGTTATGAACTTCAGAGAAGGCTAGACACGGACCCAGAGATGCAAAACATCTCCTGTATTCTCGAGGACCCTGGATTGGTCGGGGGAACGACTTTGCTGACGCCCATGCCCTTTTACATCAGATGGATCATCATGTACTTGATGATTCCCATCGGTTTTATCTGCTCGCTGCTGTGGACGAATGGGAGGTTCAGGACTGCGCAAACTGTGGGTAGGGCTTTGGTTTGGTGTTCTTGGGACACGGTGACGCTCGGAGAGAGGCCGAAAGGCTTGTATTTGAATGGGATGGAGATTAGCTCGAGTAGTAGGGAGACGTACGATGAGGTGAAGCAGGAGAAGCTTTGGAGAGAGAGTGCAGAAGTTGTGAGGTTGAAGGAGGGCGAGGTGGCGCTGAAGGGGTGGAAGTAGGGTCTGGGACATAGGACGAGGAGAATGATTTGACGTTCTGAACTCTAAAGCTCAAGGTTTGTGATGTAGATGCAATCTGCGAGGGGATGAAATTGGTGACGAAGTGAAGAGAAGTAGTGCCCGCCAACGGCGTTGCGAGTTTCCCTGAATGCATGTCAACCCCACTTATGGTAAGACTTCTGAAGTGGTAAGAACATCAGAACCATTTCATGTTTGAATAAGAAAAATCAAGGGACCATGGAAGAATACAACTTCCATTCGGAATGCACAAAATACGGCACGTGACGCGGCCGGCCAAATTGAGCTCCGGGAAAAACAGACTAGGGATGTTGTAATCATGACTTCGAATCTTTGCCTCCCAGTTCAATCAACCAACACCTCCACGCATTGCGACCTACTTTCCGATGAGACGTCGATAGGAGTCACTGAAATTACGAGCCAGGGGATTGTCTCCTTTACGAACCCTCACAATTCCCTCAAGCAAGCATGAGCTCGATACTACGGCAAACCAGCAGTCTTGCTAGAATATCAAGGTCCTCCCTTCAATCCGCCGTGCGAACTTCTCTCCGCCCAACGAATCACTCGCCGTTACTCTCTTCGCGGATATCTATTCAGCAAGCGCGGGCATATGCCACCGAACCGAAACAGAACAAGAAGAAAAATGGCGCAACGAAGGATTCTTCGGAGGTAGCGGGGAAGAAAGGCACGGAGCCATCCATAAAGCCAGCCCCGGGGACGGAAAACCTCTATAATGGAGAAAGCTCACTTACGAAAAATGCTGAGGAATCCAGTGGGTCCAGCGAACCTCCTTTGGCTGAGGGCATGACGAAAATGAACCCGGAGGATGAGGAAGCTATTGGAGAGCTTCTGGAGACGTTGAAGAAGGGGTTACCAAAGGGACAAGTGGAGGTTATTGAGAGGGCATTTGAAAGGATCAAACTTGAGGGAGTTCCGATTGAATTGAGGGAGTTCATGGATGAGAATCGGGGAAAGCCACTGACGCTGGCGACTGCTGCCAAATTGACGCGACTGACTTCGCAGATGGCGAGGAAGCAGGCCGAGAGAGATATGGGCTTGGGGTCGAAGAACACAGATTTTCAATCGAGTGATCCCAAAGGAGCATCTGGTGGGGCCGGATCTCCACCTCCAGGAGGGAACAAAAAGAGGAGTGACGGCAACAACCAGAGCAATAAACAGCAACCGTTCAGTATTGGAGACGTCAAGCTGGATATGAGTACGTTCTTGCTATCGGCTTTCGTGTCCTATCTGCTCTACAGAATGGTTATGCCAGGCGAAAGCAGGAGAGACATCACATACCAAGAGTTTCAGAGCACTTTCCTTAGTAAAGGCTTGGTTGAGAAACTGACGGTCACCAACGGTGGCAAAGTCAGAGTCGATTTACATCGCGAAGCCACCCAATCCATGTATCCTGATTCCCCAGCTGTCAACCCGAATTTCCACTACTACTTCTCGATTGGCTCTGTCGAAGCGTTTGAACGACGCTTAGATGAGGCCCAAAACGAGCTCGGAATCCCCACCTCAGAACGGATACCAGTCAACTACGCTACTGAGAATGATGGTTGGGCATTATTGCTCAATTTCGGACCTACTCTACTCTTCGTCGGTGCCATCTTTTACCTCTCGCGACGTGCCACGTCAGGAGGCGGGGGAGCAAACGGAGTTTTTGGCATGGGCAAGAGTCGAGCAAAGCAATTCAACCACGAAACTGATGTCAAGGTAAAGTTTGCAGATGTTGCAGGTATGGACGAAGCAAAGGCCGAGATTATGGAATTCGTTGCTTTCTTGAAGACTCCCGAACAATTTCAACGACTCGGTGCTAAGATCCCTCGAGGCGCAATCCTTTCTGGTCCACCAGGAACTGGTAAAACCCTTTTGGCGAAAGCAACGGCGGGCGAGTCTCAAGTTCCTTTCTTCAGCGTCAGTGGTTCGGAATTCGTGGAGATGTTTGTTGGTGTTGGTGCTTCGAGAGTACGAGATCTTTTCGCCATGGCAAGGAAGAACACACCTTGTATCATTTTCATTGATGAAATTGATGCCATTGGAAAGTCCCGTGGGAAATCCGGTGGTTGGGGTGGTGGAAACGATGAGCGAGAAGCTACTTTAAACCAGATCTTAACAGAGATGGATGGGTTCAATACTACTGAGCAAGTCGTCGTTCTTGCTGGTACCAATAGACCTGATGTTCTTGATAAAGCTCTCATGCGTCCTGGCCGCTTCGATAGGCATATTTCCATCGATCGACCAACTATGGAGGGCCGAAAACAGATCTTCATGGTGCATTTAAAGAAGATTGTTACCAATGAGGATCTTGAGTACCTTACTGGACGACTTTCGGCTCTGACTCCCGGTTTCTCTGGTGCGGACATTGCCAACTGTGTCAACGAAGCTGCTCTAATAGGTATGCACATTTGTCAATTGTCCTACTCTAAAGTTAATCTTCTATAGCTGCTCGAACAAGCGCCAAGTCAGTTGAGATGCTCCATTTCGAACAAGCCATCGAGCGAGTCATTGGTGGTCTCGAGAGGAAGTCCCTGGTTCTCTCACCTGAAGACAAGAAGACTGTTGCATATCACGAAGCCGGCCATGCTATCTGTGGATGGTATTTCAAATACGCCGACCCGCTTCTCAAGGTTTCCATCATTCCCCGTGGCCAAGGAGCGCTTGGATACGCCCAATATCTTCCTGCTGGCGACACCTATCTGATGAACGTGAACCAACTCATGGATCGTATGGCCATGACACTCGGTGGCCGGGTTTCAGAAGAACTGCACTTCGAAACTGTCACCTCGGGTGCTTCTGATGACTTCAACAAGGTCACACGATTGGCAACCGCAATGGTTACCAAATGGGGCATGAGCAAGAAACTCGGCCCTCTGCATTTCCAAGACGACGAGAACAAGCTGCACAAGCCGTTCGCGGAAGCCACTGCACAAACAATCGATTCGGAGGTCAGGAGGATCGTGGATGAAGCTTACACGCAATGCAAAGATCTACTCACAGAAAAGAAGAAGGAAATAGGGATCGTCGCGGAGGAATTGTTGGCAAAGGAAATGCTGGACAGAAATGATATGGTGAGATTACTTGGTCATCGACCCTTTGATGACAACAAGGAATTTACCAAGTACTTTGGTGGAAGCCAAATGAGTGCACCGCCTCCCTTCCCAACGGAGAATACGGATAGCCCTGCCGAACCAGGCCCAGCTGTGTAAAAATTCTCAAACGAAAAGGATAGGAGACTTGTATAGGCATTTTTGGGCGTCAAGTGCATTGGCAGTGTGTTACTATTGCGGCGCATAGAAAGAAATCTCACTTCACTCAACACTTTTCTTTCGTTTGAATTGTGAGGTGGTGTCATGTGTACAGACATGACTTGTAACTTTTAGGTCAGAATACTAAAATGTAAATAAAGTCCGCGTAAGTTCACATGAATATGATACCATTATTATTATGACTTTGACACGGAACCAATATCTCACATCCATCTAATCCTGCAATTTATTCTAACCACCACCTTCAATTCCCAACCTGGAATTTAGCACCGCCCAAGAGCTTGCGTCTGCTCTCAACATCTCGGCTTTGGCTCTTCCCGGCAACTCACACTTTCAAAATTCCATTCACAATCGTACCTGAAAACGAATCAAATATGAAGGCATAAGATGGTGAGATTAAAAAGTTGTTTAACTCCGAATCTCCATATATGAAAGATTGATATTCAATTTATTTACGATCTTTCAAACGTCGTGAGCACTTGCCCCACCAAGATCGCGTCACCCCAGGCGAGACCGTGTCTCGAGTTCCAGAAAAAAAAATCTGCCACACTTCACTTCCTCAATGAAGCCTCAATGGACAGCAATCACCACGAGGCCGCCATGGCAATCGATTGCAAGGCATGCAGTTTGCAAACATGCTAACATCCAGGAGAAAGCTCCTGCTCTCCAACGACGATTCTTCAATGCATCATCAAGCTCAAATCGTGCGAGGGCAGCTCATGCTTTTCCTCGCTATGCCATCCTCTACCGAAGACCCTTCGAGGTGGCCAGACCCTCCGATCGAAGCCCAATTATCTCTCCATATCGTCAATTATCGACTACGAAATACTCTGCCGGCTCCATGAAGCAGCACGAAGCAATCGTCCAATCTATCTCGACCACCGTGCGAGCCTACTACGAAAAGAAAGAGAAGTTCCGCATCTACCACGGCTCAACGAACAGCACGCGCTCTGCACTCAAGAGGAACCTAGTGGATACCAGCAAGCTATGCAACGTCCTGTCCGTCAATACAGAGGAGAAAACATGTCTAGTGGAGCCAAACGTGCCGATGGACCGCTTGGTAGAAGCAACGCTTGCACACGGCCTCGTACCACCAGTTGTAATGGAGTTCCCGGGTATCACGGTGGGAGGGGGGTATTCTGGCACATCAGGGGAAAGCAGCTCGTTCAAACATGGGTTCTTTGATAGGACGATCCTGGCTGTGGAGATGGTGCTTGCGGATGGAGAGGTGGTGATGATTTCTCCTGAAGAGAAGGGGGATCTGTTTCATGGTGCTGCGGGGGCGGTGGGGACATTTGGGGTCACGACTTTGGTTAAGCTGCAGCTGCAGGATGCGAAGAAGTATGTTGAGACGACGTATTATCCTGTGCGGAGTATGGCCGAAGCTGTATCGAAGCTCCAGGAGGCAACTGCGGATACGGAGCTGGATTATGTGGATGGTATTATGTTCTCCAAGAACCAGGGTGCTATTGTGACTGGCCGTCTGACGGACCAGCTTAAAGATGGCATCTCGGTGCAATGCTTCAGTGCAGGCAAAGACCCATGGTTCTACCTCCACGTTCAAGAAGCCATCACCAAAAATCCAGCACCAACAACAGAAGCCATCCCCCTCCCCGAATACCTCTTCCGGTACGACAGAGGTGGCTTCTGGGTTGGAGCCTCCGCCTTCTCCTACTTCAAATTTCCCTTCAACAAACTGACCCGCTGGTGGCTAGACGACTTCCTGCATACACGGATGATGTACACCGCTCTCCACGCCAGCGGAGAGTCCAAAAAGTATGTCGTGCAAGACCTGGCTCTACCCTACTCCACCGCTGAGCAATTTGTCAAGTACACAAACGAGGAATTCGGCATCTATCCGCTGTGGCTGTGCCCTTTGAAACAGAGCCCTTACCCGACTATGCACCCGCATTTCAATGAGCTGGAAGCAGATGGCGAAATTTTGAAGCCGATGTTGAATATTGGACTTTGGGGTTTTGGACCGAAGCACCATGATGAATTTATCAGGAAGAATCGGGATCTGGAACGGAAGTTGAGGGAGCTGGGTGGTATGAAGTGGCTTTACGCTCATACTTATTATGACGAAAACGAGTTCTGGGAGCAGTTTGATCGGGAGTGGTATGATGGGTTGCGAAAAAAGTATGGAGCAGAGTCGTTGCCGACTGTGTATGAGAAAGTCAAGGTTGATGTTGAGAAGGAGAAAGCTCTGGAGGATATATCGATACTGGGGAGGTTAGTGCAGACTTGGCCTTTTGGGGGGTTTTATGGGATTTGGAAGGCGATTCGGAGTCGGAGTTATGTTGAGGCTAGGAGGTCGGTTTGGAAGGAGTATGGGAGGAGGAAGTGAGAGGTAGACTCGCGCTCTGGCTTTGTTGTCGGTGAACTCGTGGCAATTGTTTTGCTGGAGAAGAAAGTCAACTGTATATATATTATAATGGAAATCCAGACGCGAAGTCCTAGAGGAATAGAATAGAATACTCCAGTCACGAAGCAAGTTCTTTCACCCATATAAAGTGACTTCTCAGTTTTATCTAATTACAGGGTTTAGTCATGGTGCTGGGACTGCGAGGAAGACACATTCCAAGAGCAGGTTGATCAGATTGAAATTTAGTTGACGCTATTCCCAAAAAGTAGGCGGAGACGAAACGGATCCCCGAATGATTCCAAGGACTTCACACCTAAATAATAGAATTTGCCATGACCAAATAGAGATATATACAACTAGCCTGCAATTCAAGAGCCGAACCGGTATTCTTTGCTCCTAACTTGATCATTGAACATATGTCTGTGGTATAAGCTGCCACACATGGCTAGCACCCGCCACCAGTGCATGTATCGATCCACTGGCCATTGAACCATACACAATCGCAAGGCTGAGTACCGTCTCCTTGGCGCTCTTTGATGATGCTGTCGGCAGGCATCGCGTTGGGCGCAGCCGCTGGTGATGCCAGAACGGTGGCAGTGAAGACAGAGGCCGCGAGATAGAAGAAGTACGAGAACTGCATTCTGAACTACTTTAGTTAGCAAGCTATGAATAAGATAGGACTCATGACTTGCTAGTTTCTTAGTAGTGTAGTAACCTTGGTGAAAATTTTGCTGTGGTGGTTGCGTTGATCGATTCGTGCCTGTTGTTGGTATACTGACAGTGGAAACAAAGCTTTACTTATACTAGGAAGATGTCCACATTCTTATAATCCAGGCATAGAAATTGGCTAGCCATCTAAGCATGCCAATTTCGAAAATAGCAGTTTGCCTAGTCTGGTATGTACCCACTAGGAATACGTTCCGTCTCGTAGAAGTGTCAGCCGATCTCAGTAAATGTCGTCTTGCAGAACGAGGAACCAAGTTTACTACACGATTTGCTCAGAGATTCTAGCTACAGCCTAATTGCTCTGGATATAAGTAACCTGGTCTTCTCGTCAGCACGTTGACCTGATCGTGGGAATGCTCTCTTCTATGGGAATGTCTCACTTCTTGGCTGTCCCAACGGCGCAGGTTTTCGGGTGTTATGCACAGCTGCCCGTTGGTGGAATATATGAAGTAAAGAGGGGTATTTTCCCGATGATCCCATAATTCTGAACAAGAGAATTTATCTCGCCCACTAGGCAATGTAACCCAGTACCTCTCTTTGTACTGATGAGAGGCACAGCCGGGTAATGGTATACAAGCAAGCGGGGTCACCGAGGCGTAGCAAACAGAAGCCTGAAGTTAAAGAAGCATAGCGTACGCAGGATATAATAGCTTTAGGTCGGATTCGATAGGAATAAGACGAGCTTAACAGGAAGATGGAAGAGCAAGACACAAGGAGCTTGGCTTGAAAACGGGGACTCGGGCCGCGTCGACTCCAACACCTCTTTCTCACCAACCCTCCTCATACGAGAGCTAAAAGCGCCGCTCACGCCGCTCAAGTGCTTGTAAACTGACAATGCATGTGCTTTACCCTGCTCGTCTTTGGCATTGCGGAGGGGACGCTCCCGGTTGACAAAAGAGGAAGAGGCGTCGCCATAGGCTGGCGAACGAGGGGCAGAACCATCCGTAGGGATTTCTTCTTAAGAGCTGCCAAAAAATGATGAAGAAACAAAATGGGTATGTCATTTCCACCGCTAACTAAACCACTATTATAAGGCTGCTTCATCCCCTATTCTCTCCGCACATGCCGCTTAAGTACGAATCCACAAAACATAATTATACAATCATCTCCTGATCTAAAGATGAGACTGAGCAGACCCAGCAGCTTGACTTATCGGTGCAAGAGCCAGCTTCTCCGTCTCTTGCGCAATACGGGCGCCAAGCTCTTTGTCAACCTTGCTAAACATCTCATAAGTCCGCTTGCGAGTATCCTCCTTCGCCGCACACAAATGACCAGCCACATTTCCGACAAAGTTATCCTGTTGACCTTCTTGCTTACCGAGAACGTCCCAGAGACCCTTGGCTTGGACGAAATCTTCACTAGTGACTTCTGACAAGTAGGAGACTGCTGCGCCGGCCCACTTCTCGTGGTCGTTGGTGGGCTTAACGGGTTTGTATGTCATGCCACGGTATGAAGATGGGTAGCCGGGGTTCGCTCCGTAGTTTCCATTCACGGCCATTACACCATCACGCTGATATGGGTTGAATGCTTGGAGAGGAGCGTTGACGGGAATTTGCTGGTAGTTGACACCGAGGCGGTGACGTTGGGTATCGGGGTATGAGAAAAGACGACCTTGGAGGACTGGATCGGCAGATGGCTCAACACCTGGAACCATGTGACTGGGAGAAAATGCGACCTGTTCGATCTCGGCGAAGTAGTTCTCCACGTTCTTGTTGAGTGTCATTTTGCCGAATGGTCGTAATGGGACCTCCTTGTGAGGCCAGACCTTGGTTAAATCGAAGATGTTCCAGCGGAATTTCTCAGCCTGCTCGGGAGAGAGAACTTGTACGTAGCAGGTCCAGCTTGGGAAATCGCCCTTCTGAATGGAGTCGAACAGGTCTTGGGTATTGTGATCTGGGTTTTCTGATGCCATTTTGCCGGCTTCAGCATTGGTGAAGTTCTTGTTGCCCTGGTCGGTCTTCACGTGCACTTGGACGTAATTGAAGGTTCCGTCGGGCTTTGTCCACTTGTGGGTGTGACCAGAATATCCATTCATGTGCCGGTAGGAGAATGGGGTACCACGGTCGCTGAAGAGGGTCATGACTTGGTGAGTAGCCTCCTGGTGTGTGGAGAGATAATCCCAGAACATTGTGGCATCCTTAAGGTTGGTTTGTGGGTTGCGCTTCTGGGTGTGGATGAAGAGAGGGAACTTGGTAGGATCGCGGATGAAGAAGACCGGCGTGTTATTAAAGACCCAGTCCCAGTTGCCCTCCTGAGTGTAATATTTGACAGAGAAACCTCGAGGGTCTCTTGCAGTATCTGGGGAACCCTTTTCGCCACCGACTGTTGAGAAACGAGCGATGCAGGGAGTCTTTTTGCCAACGTCGAGGAGCATGTCAATGGACGTGATATCGCTAATATCGTGCGTAACCTCGAATTCTAAGTATTACCAATTAGCTTAATGCTTGGTTAGAATGAAGTAGTGATCACTTACCTCCGTATGCTCCGGCACCCTTTGCATGGACTACTCGCTCCGGAATGCGCTCACGATCGAAATGGGCGAGCAGATCAATCAAGTGGAAATCCTGAAGCAAGAGAGGGCCATTCTGGCCCACTCGTTGGTACGCCTCCGGACTCTCAACGGGGCAGCCATTGGAAGTGGTGTAGACCGGCTTCTCGTTGTACTTGAAGGTCGATGCGGGCTTATCGTCGGCCACCATGATTGCTATGGATCAACAATTGAAATGGGAAAGCTTGAAAGATATCTAAAGCGGTGAGGGAATTGATTGAGTCGATATTCCGAGCAACAGAAATATGTGGGCGTGAAAAAAAAAGAGCTGATAACAAACAGATGGGATGAGCTTAAGTAGAAGACCCTTATGACATGCCTCGTGGCAAGCTGTTCAACAGCCAACCAGAGCGCTGCGGTTGGCAACTGCAAACTGCAACTAGATTAGTCAATTCGACGGTCTCGACTGCCGAATTGATGGTCTCCAACGATCTGCTTTGGAAGCAGCATCGTTAGTAAGAGGGCCAGATGCAGGAGCCATAGTAATCGCAGGCCGACGCCAGTGTCCCACAGACCTCCCCCTAGAATCTTTCGATGGCCCACTTGAGCAGTCTGAAGGCAACTTGTTCCTTTTACGACTTGTTCATCTGATTTGCTTCTAGAGAAGTATCGTTGTCCTCTTTTCTTGTCTTCCTTGGCGGTTAAAGTTCGATCTCTTCAGCATGGGGAAACGGAGACGTTCAAGACGTCAGGCCCCCACCCTCATGCAGAATGTAACAGGGTATCCTGGTCAATTGTTCCACTTTTCAATCTTTTTCTCCGCAACTAGCCAACGCCACACCCTTTTCGGGATTTGGTGGCTTGACCATGGAAGTTTTACCGTGTTTCTGGAAACAATTTGAAGCTCCTCTTAACCTCTCTTCTTGGCATGGAAAACATGACTGCTACAGTAGTAGGTTTTGGAAGAAGATCATTCCAGGATCTGATTTTCACAATCCAGAGCATCCTTCCCGCCATTCAGAACGACAAATTTCTAGTGCCCGTTTTCCTTCCCGATGTGCTTCAAACCGCGGAGATGCTTACAGTTGCCACTGAACCATGTGGGGCATAAATCCTGTCTCAGTGACATCTGGAGGATTACGTTTTAAGGTGTGAAAACCAGTCAGCGCTCACTTCTGTCAACAAAATGGCCTGACATCCGCAGCTTCTGCTGCTGACAAGTGCCACAATATCATCCTGCTTCTGCTGCTTCGAGTGGCCAATTGGACAAGACCTCCAGAAATCTTCATATCACTTGATATCTGTAAATTTCCTTTTCTAAACGCTCTAGCGCCGGGGAAAGGCTAGAGATATGACATTGGGAAGGCAAGCGCCGGATCTTCACATCTCCACAATGCTCTGCAGCCCGCCAGGGGGCAATTGATGATTGGTCACGTGGACGATCTCGTTTTCCAGTCGCAGGGAAAGATCCCTTTCCTTCTGACTGCGATTTGAATACAGTAGGGTTCGAAATCGGCTTCAGTTCCAACTTTCAATGATTTTATTTTTGACCCACATTTTATGCGGCACTAACCCTCTATGGCTAGCCTGGCCCTCGACCCGCACTCGCTTAATTCTCAGTTCTGCATATTGTACCAATCTCAGAACGGTTTTTCAGCCACACTTTGCCAAATGAGCCAGCTGCACTACGTTAGCAAGCCCCGAATCACGTGTGCTGGCCAGAGAGAAAAGCTTGTTGAATTGTGCCAAACAGCCTGAGGCTGTCTTGCGATTGTTTCAAGCACGTCTCACTTTTAGACCCTGGCCAACTATGGAGTTTCTAGAACTTTCTATCGTCTTCCCCACATAGTCCAGTGCGGCCTGCAAGGGTGAAGTCAAGTCAAGATCCATCTCTATCTACTACTGCCTAGCGCACTCAGCTTACCAGTTGTTCCCCATTCCATCACGATCCGCTGTTGTAAGTTAGAACGGATTGCGCCAGCGAATTTGCTACAGGTCTTCGCCCGTGTGCTTCCACTATGGGTTCCATCCACGATGATATGAATGTCCACAGCTGCGATGATTGCAGACGAGTCAAGTTTCAAATCACCGACCCACCTTCCAATATCCCTTTATCTTTCTCTTATAAAGAAGTCCTCACATATGCTGGGAATGGATGTGGCTTCTTTGCCAGAGCATTGCGCGAGCCGAAATTGTGGGACATGCCCAAGTCTCTTCAGAAAGATGCAGAGCTACACATCTCCTTGACATGGATTGATGACGGACCCAGCTTCCATGATGTATACATTCGGTGGACGCATCCGACAGAATATTTAGAGGATCAGGAATTAGAAGACCTTCATGCCTTCACCGGAAAAGGTAAGCCACCACTCTCATTTATGTACTTTAATCTTACGGAACATCTTCTAGACACCCCGCTTGCTCCGTATATCTCGTCGCGACCCTGTGGACTGTTTGTCTTCCATCAGGAAACCAAAAACAATGTGAAGCGCTGGTTAGACAGGTGTCAAGAAAGCCACAGCTTTTGTAACAATATCACTGAGGCATTACCCTTCACCGAGCGGCCTACGAGACTTGTCGCAATTGGATCGGAGACAATTCATCTAGAGGAAATGAATACCACCAATCCAAAGAATTACGTTGTGCTGAGCTATTGCTGGGGAGATGATTCTAAACGCGAATGGCACACTACCCATCAAAACTCCGAGGACTATCGGAAGCTCATCGAATATGAGACCCTTCCTCAAACCATAAAAGACGCAGTACACATTACCCGGGAGCTCGGGTATGGGTACCTCTGGGTGGATGCTTTATGCATTATTCAGCGTGGAAACGAAAATGACAAAATGATAGAAATGCGAAAAATGGCCAGTATTTATCTCGGAGCTTCAGTGGTACTTTCGGCTGCAAGGGCGCGGGACAGCCGAGAAGGGTTCCTTCAAAATCGGAGACTTGATAAGATATATAACACAGTCTTCGAACTTCACGCGGAAGTCGAGGGCAAGGGCAATGGAATGGATGCCTTTTTCTTGCATGAGTCTACAGAAAATAGCAAAGATGAACCAATCGACGAAAGAGCATGGACTTTGCAAGAACATTGTTTGGCTGTTAGGTTGCTACGGTTCGGTTCCAAACAGACTAGATGGGCGTGTCTGCAAAAGGACCCAAATATTGATGGCGGATGTGATTGTTCCGAATCTACTATTGACCCGATTGCTTTCACGGGCAAGCTTTCTCGGCGACTTCTAAAGGATCATAACGAAATACCCGACGAGTGGAAGTTTGATAATTGGATGCAGGTGGTGGTTCAGGAATATTGCTCCCGTAAACTATCAAACCCTTCGGACAGACTTCCGGCACTTGCAGCTCTTGCACATATGTTTGCCATAGAAAAGCATTCAGCCACCAAAAATTACTATGCAGGACTATGGGAGGAAGACTTGCCTATGCAGCTGCTCTGGCGGCGTGTTGGTCTCGAAGATTGTGGGAAGGCTGAGAGCATAGAGAACTCGAATCCCTCTTGGTCGTGGGCGTCGATAAGAGGAAAGATTCAATACCCTTACCCTCCGTATTCCCGAGAGCGAATCACCTTGAGGTACATCGACTGCCAAATTGTGCTGAAAGATCAAAATGTTCCCTTTGGAGAGCTCCAATCAGCGAAGTTGACTCTTGACGGTAATCTGCGAAAGGCAAACTGGGACGGTCACGTTTTATGTACCCTTCCTTCAGGCGTTGGGCATAATACTCTTCGCCGAGCGCTAACGCCTGTCTTTGATGAACCTGCCAAAAGACTTCCAGGACTCGTCTGGCTTCTACATATCTATTCAAGCCATTTCAGTTGTGGGTATGGTCTCATCTTAGAGAACGATAAGAACGGCTCAGTCTTCAAGCGGATTGGCTACTTTGAGGCAGATCTCCATTCTTTAGGAGCAAATTGGTTACAACTCCATGATCGGCGGAAGATCACTATCATCTGAATAATTAAGAAATTGTCGCGTAAGCCTGACATCAAGTGTATATTCGGCTCAGACAAGGTGCTCAGAGGTGTTCAGAAGCCACCCGCTGAACTAACCATTCCAAAAGCTTGAGGGGTCTTGTCCGCAGGACGAAGTACCGCGATATTCTGGATGTGCTTACTATCACATGGAGCGATATTGAGGCCCCTGATTTATGGTATGGAGCAGCGTACGTATGAGCAGGTTTGAACTGATTGATTGCACTGGTCTCTTCTTTAGTAGAATTGACCATATATATATAAAATCGTAGAGCTAGCATAGTTTACAATTGTTACTCGGAAACCCAGAATCTATCCATTCTACGAGTTGGAAAGACGAAAAGAGCTCGATGGTGGTGCTATCCCTTCGTCCGGTAGAAACTGTCCACGCTAGCAAGGGTGTGTTTTCCCGCACTAAGCAGGGGGGCCCGCACGGCTCCCGTAGCATAATATTTATGTACCTTTGCATACGGGTTTATTTCTCACTTTTGTTGCCTTGTGATGAGACACTGCCAAAATTGGCGAGATCTTACAAGTGCATAAGCTTCGAATGCTCACGTGCTCTGCGGGAGGAGTGCAACTAGAAGTCCTCAGGCCCCAGAGGACCGGCTGGATGTTGCGTTAGGGCTGGCAGAGTTCGTTTGGATGGGTATTGAGTATTTGGGATGCTGTTATTTCAAGTTGGAATCAAGGAAACGGAATTGGTAGACTTCATAGATAAGTCCGAGGATATTTTCGTGATATATTTAGACGCCAAAGTTTATTAATCGTATTCTTGGGGCTGTGACAAGTCCCCTGAGTAACCATGTTGCAATCTTCCAAGTTGAGAAGTCACGGAAGTCATTCTGGCGATCAATACCGATGTGTGTTTGAATTCTGCACCCGTCTCGACGGGTAGCAGGTGATGGCAGTGCCTGTCTCACCAGATCGCTCTGAGTAAACGTCCTGGACTGGGTGGCAATTTCGTTATCTGGGAGAATCGAAAGCTGGTCACTCCACTTTCAGCTTTTGGGTGCCAAACGGCCAGCCATAACAACGTCTTGTCCGAACGGTATCCATGTGACCCCGCTCAACCTCGCCTCGTTCTCATCTTGCACCGATCTTGGCGGAGCCACCACCACACCTCCACTTCCAAGATACGTCGGAGCAATCGTAACGATGACACTCGTGACAAGATGCTGATTCCTAGCTCGTAAAAGGTCGTTGATAACCGTTGCTCCTCCTTCGATCATAACGCTCCGGATTCCGGTGTCCCACATAGCATTCAGGATTTTTTCCCACTCGACACCATTTTCTCTTCTTCCGTATCTCCCGGCCTTAATGATACCTCCACCAAACTCTTTGATCTTCTTGATGCGTTCTTCGTCTCGTTCGGTCTCCTCTTCACAGATAATCCACCAAGGCGCCCTTCCCACCCCAGCCTTCGCAAGTCTAAACATCTTCTCACATTTCTCTTCACTCCAGCTTCTCCCAGGATCCAAAATAAGCGGTCTTGGCTGCTCAGCCAAGCCAACAATATTTTCTCCGTCATAGCTGAAGCTGGTGTTGAGCCTGGGATTGTCTGCATTAGCTGTTCCCGCCCCAATGAGGATGGCATCGTGGTGCGTTCTCAGGAATTGGGTCATGGCCTTGGTCTCGACACCAGAGAGAGTGGTTCGTTGGCCAGGCCGAAGAGAGATTTGGCTGTCGAGGGATTGGGCGTAAGTGAGTGTTACATGAGGGAGAGCTTGGGTTGCGTGTGAGTATCCCGCAATCTCATCTTCTACCTTTCGGGAATTTTGTCTTTCTCGCAAGAACTCGCTCCGCTTGGGAGGAAGGTACGGCGCAAGTCTTTCCACGTCTTCCTTCGAGATTGTATATACCGTCTGTTCTTGAAGTGAGGTATCCTCCTGTGGACGGCAGAACGGCTCAATTGGAGGTTCAGAGTAAAACGAAGCCATTTTTGGAGGCTTTGGTGTCCTCGAACAGGTTGGGTGGAAAGATATGAAGGCTGGTAAAAGTTGGAGGAAGTGATGTCTTTAATTTTAGTGGGGCAGGGCTGGTACAGTCAGCCTTGTGGCGTCGGGATAGAGACCACCGATTCATAAAGACTCGATACACTTTCTTAAGAAAAAAGAAGAGTAATCAAGTTCGTGGCGGCGAACAGAATTTTGTTTTGTATTTAAACAACATACACGGTATCAACTTAAATTAACGTCTTGGACAAATTTTCCCCTAAACCAGCACAATCTGAGCACTATTTCTAGCACACCGCTCGCTAGAGCCCCTGAAGTTACAGCTTGGCCACGGACCTTCACTTTGCACCACGTCTACACCCGCCTAAAACAACAAATTGAAAGCACTGAATAGTACTCATACTCTAGAAATCCGACGTATTTATAGGTCTGATGGATGCTGCCCTATCCCAAATCCATTTTAATGCCCCCCATTGATTCTTCTCCCTGCATGACTCCTATTCCCCATACGGAACTCCTGCAGCCCCAACAGCCTCGCATACCCGGTGGACCCCTTTGTCTCTTTCCCCACGGTTTATAGGACAGCGGGCGTACCAACGATTTAGCACAGAAGAAGGATATGCGGTCACATTGCTTTAGATTCTCCAGTCAAGATTCTTTTCTTCATTCTCTCCTAATCTTCGGTCCGGCCCATGCAGTTTCGGTCACCAAGAGAGTGCCCGAACTCCATCAATGTCTGCGAAAATATCTTCGAGCCAGACACAATGGGTATGGAGAGGGTGAACTCTCTAGCAGACAACATCACCATCTTCTCTGCTTAAGACTGAAAAGCTTTCATACTTCGAACCTTCCTCTGTTACATCTACCTCCTCATCCTGCACTTCATCCTCCCTAGAAAACACTGAGTTCTTCAGTTCCACAATATACTCCACGACCATCCCTACCCTCTCCCCACCCAAAGTAGAATACCGCACTATACCCACGACGAAAGTCAATTACGACTAAGAAACGCTGTACTAACAAAGTGTTTCACAGGTTGCAAGAAGAACAACAGCTCCCAGCGAAAGTCATCGATGTCACACTCTCAACGGACGTTTACACGGACTCAAAGTTGCGGATCTTGGCTACGCAGGTTAATTGTCGACGCTATGCTCTCAACTAGACAACATCAGAAATCTCGCGAATACGATCGTCCAAACTTCGTTTGGTGGAGTATCAGAAGGCTGGCATCTCTCTCTGCCTTACCAACCAACAGTGGCTCCGAATCCTCGCCGATAGCAGGAAATAGGAGGGCGGACTGTACAGCGTCTTGGGACTTGGCGAGAAAGTATTATACCTGGCTGAAAGAAGGCCTCTCAAAATCAAACGGCAAAACACCGATGCCGGTGCAGGATTCCATAGTTATGTCGAGCCTTCAGAAAGAAGAAGAGGTGCTTGAGAAGACGATTCTTCATTCAATTGGCCTCATGACAGAGCGTGCGTATTCACTCTCTAATCTTGGCGTTTTTGATGAAAAAATGGAAATAGGTCAGGAGGGAGGGGAAGGGGCTCAGAGGATTGGGAATTAAGAGTTCTCGGTCGCGGCGACAGGGCCTTGTGTTGGGTATATGTTTTACTTTGCTGTGGTGAGTTTGGAGGGTGGGGAGTGTGTGGTGCATATTACTTGTAATAGAGGATTTTTGGAAGATGGAATTCGAGGTTGCTGAACCGATGGAACAGAGCGTGGGCTTTCTTTTGGAAAACTTCCAGGGGATTGCTACATTCAGCACTTGCTATACCGGTCGAAGAAGGCTGTGGTAATTTATGCAGAGGAGCGTGGTAACAGGTTTCTCAGAAAACCGATGCCATAGACATCCGTCCATTAGAAAATCTAGAATTCATGCCCCGGCTAATGCAGTGTATCGTATCAGTAAAACACATTCCCTCTGCGCCCCTTCTCAACGAGCTATCACCATAAATGCATTAGCAGCCACGATAGCCGCATCCAGAAGAACCATTAATCTTCTACTCGCCGTGTATGTGCTGTACTCCGTCGTATACCAAAATGGCGTCGCAGTGATGATACAAGCTGGCCCTCCCAGCTCTGCTTATGAATCCTGTTGCACCGTTTGCTACATCTCGTCAGCGCATTCCCTTCCTCTATCCGCAACTCAAACTCACCACGAGCCAGTCCATTCCCTCATCAACACCGCTCCCATCCACCGCACTACAAGCAACAATACTCCAATTCCGATCCCTCAGCTCCCCCAGCTTCAACGCCTCACTTATCTCCCCGGCACCCTTCGCTCCCGGTTGGTCCTGCTTATTTGCAAACACAAGCAACGCTGCATCCTTCAGTTCATCCTCGTTCAACATCGCTGCCAGCTCCTCTGACGCTGTGCCCAATCGGTCAATATCCGTGGAGTCGATAACGAAGATCACGGCTGCTGTGTTGGCGTAGTAACATCGCCAGTACGGCCGTATGGATGTTTGTCCGCCGAGATCCTGAACCCGTCAGAGTGGAAGAGCAGGGAGCTGGCAAGCTCGCTTACCCAGACATTAAAATTTAAGTTTTTGTATGTTACGGACTCGACGTTGAAGCCTATTGTGGGTATTGTTGTAACAACTTCCCCAATCTGTTCCCTTTCCATCAGCAGATATTCGCTACGAGTATTGAAAGGATGCAGACCTTCAGTCTGTATAACAGTGTTGTCTTGCCGGCATTATCCTGCAAGGCGAACATGATTAGCAGCAAGCTTTATTGTTGGGGGAAAGGAGATGAAATACCAGTCCTAAAATCAATATCCTGATCTCTTTCTTCGACCATAGCAACCCCGACATCCATGAGACTGTAGCGCCCATCTTGTACTGCTGTCCTTTGCCGCCAAATTATAAATCCACCAGCTTACACCCTCTCCTGAACGTTCCTTTTGACTCTCTCTCCGTTTATCACTTCTTCGCACCGGGGTTTCGTAAATCGTTATTGTCGTCGAGTCAGATAATCGCTTTGGTGTTCTCTCGAGCTCGAAACTTTCAGAAAGCGAAACTCAATACCTTGTACGTGACCGTTTCCAGCCGGCGAACGGAACTTCAAAGCCTCAACGGAGTCGCATCAAGGCTTATCCGTTTTCGGAAGCCGCGGCCGCATTTCCTGGGAAGAGAGAACGGAGGCACGTGAGCTCGCTAAATCCCACAAAGGATTTCAAGGTCGCTGCTGAATTTTGACGACTTCACGAAGAAAAACACTCTCGACACCACGACAATCGTCACGATGCCGGTATGTTCTCCCTGCGATTGAGCCCTGGAGGTTATTTGGATGCGCTGGATTTGACGATGGAGGAACGAATTTGCGGGCGCGTGGATGGAGGGGATGTTGAAGAAGATTTGAAGTCTGGAAGCTGATCACCCTTTCAACAGAGCCACAAGTCCTTCCGCACGAAGCAAAAGCTCGCGAGAGCCCAAAAGCAAAACAGGCCGATTCCTCAATGGATCCGATTGAGAACTGGTAACACGATCAGGTATGCTGCAACCTTCACACTATCCCAAAGTCTCCCCCCTCTCCGGCTTGTAGGGAAAGCGGCGAGCAGTACACTGGGAAGCACATTCTTACAGAAATGAACGATAGATACAACGCAAAGCGAAGACATTGGCGCAAGACCCGTATCGGCATCTGAACAACTCTCCTCCTTCATCCTGTGCGAACCTTCTCCTTCATCATCTCGTCAGCCCCACCTTTTCTCCTCTACGAAACGATACGAACTAGCTAGATGGAAAGTTTGTCGTGATGGATTGATGGATTTAGGGATGAGGTTTGCATTGGAGGGCTGGGTGGTGTGGTGCAGTGCTTGATGTGATGCACTTTTCATGGTTGGGGATGGACGGGCGTACATTTGCTGCGAACTGTGATTTGAGGGTTGCATTCGGTGTAGCACAATGAATCAATGCCTTGATCATGACTTGAGTTTATTTCTCTCTGGCATTGTGCGCTCCTGCCGAGGGGAATTGAAGACTGCCAAAGGACCTACCTCGTACGGTCATGCCACAAGGTACTGCTTGACTCGACGAACAAGACCCTTCCACGGATCTGGACCTCTCTGGACCATAACTGCAACATATAATAATGCAGAAAACAGCATGAAAAATATTCAGGAACTCCCGAACTATGTGCGGCACAGAGCTTCCATATCTCCTCAGATCCAACCCCTCCAAGCCACTCACACCTCGTTTCAGCCATCAACAAAGCACCACCCTCCCTTCCACAACTTCTCTCTCCAGACCTCTGTTTTCTTCTCCACTTCCTGCTCAGTCTATAACCCCGAAAAGCCCAGCGCCGTCAGCGGCCGGAGCCCCCAATCGTCGAACACTCCACAGCGACAATTCAGAAATCGATGTTGCGTATCTTGAAGCAGGTGAGCATTTAAGAGCGCTGTGCTCCTAGGTCTCGAGGTAGTTCAAGCAAGCCAAGGTGATCTAAGTACGACTGCAGCTTGCAAAAGTATTTAAGTATGTTTTTCATTATCATCCCCCAAAAGAAATAAGGAGAAGAAAGGGGAGGAATGCTACATGCAGTGATACTGAGAATAGCTTCAGAATTACCTATCTGGGAAGATTTCGGAATCGGGGATTTCGTCCTTCTGGAATATCTACCTTTTTTTTCGATGCAGGGTGGTCCAGCTTACGAAGGAGGAATGGTGGATTTAAGGATGGTTCCATGCTTAAATAGTAGAGTGAATGGTGAACTTGGTGACATTGGAAATTACTCCGCGATTTCCTGTTAGGGATGGCATCATAATGGGAGGTCGTTGCCCTAAGCCCTAGGATGGAAGACTGCACGATCAAATTTGAAACTACACACTTGAGCTAGAGTGCAGAATATCACAGATCAGAAAACAAACGATAACGAAGTCACAGCACACGAAAGAATTCTCAGAATATCTCGAATTTTTTCCCCCCGTCTATCTACCCTCGAGAAGCCAGAGACGTTCTTCAAAGAACATCCCAAAGCTACCTTCCTGCGTAGAAAACAACCCGACGTGTGATACCGGAACGCCATGCCACATGAGGCCCTTGCAACTGGCAATGCCAGTGCAAGAGGGAAAATAGAAAGGGAAGATCAAACGCTACCCATGCCAGAGTAGAAAGCGCTTCCTGCCGGTAAAAGAGCAGGGCATGTAGCCAAGCCAAGGAGAACACCATGATGTATGCAAGGGTAAGAATTGCCGGCGAGCAAAGAAAGAATCCAGAGGGTGTCTGGATATGATGAAATTCAATGCCCGCGTGTGAATCCCTCCGCGAAATCGTTGAGAAGCTGAGTGCTTAGCGGTCCTCAGCCCACTCGTTCTCACGTCGAATCTGTTCTTCCTCCTCGGGCGTGAAGTCGTTGGTGATGTTAAAGGTCTTACGGATCTCCTCGGGAGATTTGCCCTTGATCATGTTCGCAACGGTCTTGCAACCAACGTCGAGAAGAGGCTTGATATCAAGGTAGTTGGAAGCCTGGACATATTCGTTAGCACATATTTAAGAGTGGATATGTGGTAACTTACGAGGATAATCTCAAAGAGCATCTCCTGATCGACTTGCATGAACTTTTGGTCCCACTCCTCGATATCAGTCGTCTTCTTGCGGGAGTCGGAGTCGTCATCGGCAGCGGCTGGGGGATCGTTCTTGTGATGCTCGCACCACTCAATGACCTTCTTGAGAACCGACTCATTGACCTGGAGGAGGCAAGATATTAGAAATTTTTCATGGCGGGGCAAAGGCGAGATCGGAGTGCTTACATTCGGGATGGGGACGGATTGGGTCATGGCAGCCTCTCCGAGATCCTCCATCATGTTCTTGATAAGCATGGAGCGCTCAGCGACGTTGCGATCTATTGTACAGAGTCAGTCTATGCGATCTTTGCGTGGTGGTGGAGGTTGCCTTACCGACAACGACCTCAGCGCCATCATTGCTGACGAGGGTGATTTTGTTGGATTCGGTAGCCATTGCGGATGACTACTCGGTGTTGAGAATGGATGTAAGGTAGATGAGATGAGGACTGGATGACGTTGTGTTGGGAAGCGGTGGAGTTGGCTCTAAGTGGTTGTCGAAAAGGTTGTATGGAGCAGGAAGTGGTGGAGGTTGGAGCTTGGAGGTCAAAGGTGGTGCCTTTGTACTTGTGGAGTTCAAAAACGGACTGCGGGCAGGCGAGCGCCTGGAGCCTTGCGCTTAATTTAAGCGAGCAGGCGACGAAGGGCATTCCGATACCGTGCGGTCCATTTCAAAATGCTGCGCTGGCCGGGAAATACGACAAGACAAGACATCCAGGCAGCGATTGGTGAATGGCCCGGCGAGTTCTGGCTTGAGCTCTGGCTTTGTGAATCCACCACCACCGAACGCAGCCACTCTTGAGTCATAGGGTGAGAACCCTTTTGCTGCCCTTGCGGCTTGTTGGAAGACAGGGTCTTTGGCGTGTGTGCCTGGTCCCAAAGGTGGATGAACGCGTCTGGCACACGGGAGGCGCGTTTTGGGTGCAAGTCCTCTCGACGCCTCGCCACGAGGGAAAAAGCAACCAAGGCGAAAAGTTCCCGAATACAATGCATATTTAGAGAAATTTCTAACAATTACTGCTGCATTCTGGGAGCATAGCAGGATAGTTGCAGTTAACTGGCCAACGCGCATGCAGCCTTGTCTTATCTCATGTGCGCTCTCAAACCTGCATGTGGACAGGTAGCCTGACGTGCAGCAAGGTGTGCCTATCACGAAACCTAGCCCTGCCTTCTGCATATACAGATCTAAAATACTTGATATTTGCCTTGCACAACTCCTCTTAGAGCAAAGCAATGAGCTGCCCTTAAAATTGGTCATCTTACAACAGTTCTCCATTCTCCTAAATCCGCTCTTGCCGAACCCGATCTGACAGCCGACCCCCTGTCAATGAAAAGAACGCGACATTTGGAGCATCCAAGACACTCTCCCAACCTTTCGGACAGCCCACAGAGCCAGAATCACCAATGATCTCTGTATCTTTCACGTCGCATCTGCGAATACCTTCTTACCGATGTCCCCATTTCGTACAGTAGACAAGCCATAATGTGGAGGCGCGCATACTTGTTTCTGGTTCTTGTCCGTCTTTACTTTGCTCTGTCGCCGAGTTATCTCCACCCGGATGAGAACTTCCAAGGCCCAGAGGTAATAGCAGGTATGTGATTGCGAGAGCTTTGTTTATGGATCTGCTGGATAAAGAAGACCTTCGTCGGTCTTCGTCTGCGGACCTCAAGCTGGTGTCAAGATCGGTCGCATTCCACTACATCGGCTAATATTCTGCCAGGCCAGATCTTCAGCTACCCTGTCCGACTTACTTGGGAATTCACATCCGACAGTCCTGTACGAAGCGTCTTTCCATTATGGCCCGTCTACGGTCTGCCCATGCTTCTCCTTCGATGGTTGTGGATAGGAAATGGGAATGATGGCGAAATACCCCCAATAGCCGTGTTCTGGACCCTCCGAGTTTTGATGTTTGTTTTGAGCTTTGTGCTGGAGGATTGGGCGCTTCACGAGTTGGTTTCGTCACCTAGACATCGTAGGGTTGCTGTTTTGCTGGTTGCTTCATCCTACGTTACTTGGACATACCAGACCCATACTTTTTCGAACTCGATAGAGACCTTGGCTGTGGCTTGGAGTCTGGTCTTGATTGACAGGATTGTAGAGAATAAAGTAGGGAGGCTGCATTGTTATCTTAAGCATCTGCTGACAATTTGCAGCAACGATCTTCTGCCTTTGCTTCAGCTATTCTAGCATTTGTGGTTGTCTTCGGCATATTCAACCGAATTACCTTCCCAGCGTTCTTAATAATTCCTGGACTTCGAATGATACCCCATTTCGTCAAGAAGTAGGAGCTCCTCATGATTTCTGTGACGAAGCTGCTAACAACTTTAGACCTTTTGCTCTTCTAGCTGCGATTCTCTCAGCACTTCTTACGACTTTTATTGCAGTTTATTTAGACACAAAATTCTACACCGATCACTCGGTCACCTGGTCTTATCTCTTCTCCCATCCGACCATCACACCACTCAACAATCTCTCATACAACCTTAATAGCAGCAATCTTGCAACCCATGGCCTTCATCCGTGGTATCAACACACGCTCATCAATCTTCCACAACTTCTTGGCCCAGCAGCCTTCCTACTCTTCCTTCGACCACACCTCTCCCTACGACTTTATTCGGCGATATCCGGTGTATTCGTCCTGTCGATCTTCCAACACCAAGAAGCGCGATTTCTTCTTCCTACGATACCCCTAATTCTCTCTTCAGTTCAACTACCGAAGAATCAAACATATCTTCGAATATGGGCGGGACTTTGGATTCTTTTCAACTTGTTCTTTGGGCTCTTGATGGGCGTATACCACCAAGGAGGCATTGTCCCAACCCAGGTCTTCTTGAGCAAGCAACCAGACGCCACCCATGCAATCTGGTGGAAAACCTACAGTCCGCCAATCTGGCTACTGAACGGCAAGAACGAAGTCCTCCAAACGTACGACATAATGGGCATGAAAGGGCCTTCTATGCTGCGCGAGCTCAGCGCTCTCGCAACATGTCACAACCCTTCTACAAACACAACAGCATACCTGGACGAAAGCGGAGGTACATATCTGATTGCGCCGTTTTCAGCGACGTTTTTGGATCAGTACGTAGCAGCCGAGGAACCACAACTCAGATTTCAAGAAGTGTGGAAGTACAAGCAGCACTTGAATCTGGATGATTTGGATTTCGGCGATGATGGATTTTGGGCTACGATCGAGAGGGTGATTGGCAGGAGAGGATTAATCGCCTGGAGAGTAACGAAGGAGTGTGCGGAAAAATAGAAAATTAAATTTGTTCGCTACTCGCCCCTTTCCCTGCGCCACTTCTCAAATCTGTTGTCCCTGGTTTTTTCGCCATTGATAATTCGGCATGGAGAGAGGCAAGGCAACTTAATTCCAAATATTCGAGCATGCACCCCGGATATTCATTGCCGTTGATGTCTGCGGTTCGTCCCACGACGGCGCGAGTTCCTAGTAGAGCGTGACGTTCCCAACACCTCCCTCCACCAACCCTCCTCTCAAAATTTCACTCCCTCTCTCACTTATCAAGCAAAGTTGCCTATCCATACTTACTCATACTCTTAACACTCCTCTCATCTCATCTCACATTACCAACCCCCAATCTCAATTTCGCCATGTCAACCCAAAAACCAGACATAACCCTGTACTTCCTGCAAGCCTCCCGCTCAACCCGCATCGCCTGGCTCCTTGAGGAACTATCATTTCCCTACGAATCCATATTTTACCCCTGAGAAAACATCAAAGCTCCCTCGGACTTTAAAATTTCAGAGCGGGAATGCTCTTGGGAAAGCACCGTGTCTTAAAGATGGCACGCTTACGATTGGAGAGAGTGGTGCGATTACTGAGTAGGTAGAAACGAGAGGGGAGAGGCGCGATGAAGGTGAGAAAAGGAAAGAGGTTGGTAGACGCAGATATCTAATTGAGAAATACAATAAAGAGCTATGAATGATGGGTGGGCGGCAGGATGAGGGGATGAGGAATAGAATCAGGACTTTCATTCATGCGGCGGAGGCGGCGGTCCTTATTCCCGCGCTGCCTTGTGCGCGGTGGTTTTCTCCTCCTTCTGTCAAAGATTCTGGAGATTTAGAGAAATTGGGAGAGGGTCTTGCGATCAATGTCAGCAAAGACCTCGATTGGTTGGACTCTGAGCTAGAGGGCAAGAAGCTTCATTGCTGAGGAGAGTGTGAGCGTTACGAATAGGATGTGCCTGTTTATTGTGTAGTTTATTTTCTCTAGGGATCTTTGTGCGGGACGCAAGGAAAGGGAATGAGGGAATGTCGAGTGGTGGGTGAGAGATTGTGAAAGCACGGAGAGTTGGAAGAGGGCTGTGAGGAAGACAGGACATGATACGTAATTTCTTCTCCATCATCATACTTTCTGAGGTTGAATGTATTGGATAAGTGTTGTAAGTTGCGGTACAGTAAAAGAGATCTAGAGTTTTGAAGATCCGGAAGGTGGTTCCACAGCTGTTTCCAGCTCCTTCGTCTTCCGCTGGAAATTCTTGACTAGTTGTCTGATAGCCACGTCCAGCATCACGTCTTCGCTTCCACCTGGGATTCTGGCGCCCGGGACTTCGCGGTAGATTCCTATTTCCTATCCTCAGTGACCAAGCAAAAAAAGAGGCAAAAGGGAGGGGGGGCAACATACGCTCAACAACCTCCCCCTGTCCGGACTTCGAATACCCATTCCCACCAAACAGCAATACCGCCGTACTAGCGCAACTCTCAATCACCCTCCCAGCTTGCGCCTTCAACAGTGCCGTCAAGCCTCCAAGTTCCCTATTCGCCTCCTCCTCACTCATCTTCGTCAAACTATACGTAAACTGCTCAATCCAAGCCCAATGGCTCTCCAACTCCGCACCACACTTCGCCAACCGATGCCTCACAACAGCCTGGTCCATCAACGGCTTCCCAAACGCCTCTCTCTTCAAACAATACTCGAACGCTGCACTTATCGCCACGCGAGAAAGACGGTTCACACCGATACTGATGGAGAGTCGCTCGTGGTTGAAGTTCAGCATCACATATTTCATGCCCATGCCCTCCTTCCCTATCAGATTTTCGACCGGAACGAGAACGTCGTCGAGTTCTATGAAGGTCGTTCCTGCGGCTGTTTGGCCCTGTACTTTTATACGCCGCATGTTCACACCTTTTGTGTGTAACAACGGCACAACGAGCATGGAAAGTCCCGCAGGCCCAGGTCCTCCGGTTCGCACAGCCATAGAGGCATAGTCGCTCCATAGACCGTTGGTAATCCATTTCTTGGTTCCGTTTACAATGAAGTGCTTCCCGTCTTTACTTCTCGTGGCTGTCGTCTGGATATTGCCCACATCGCTCCCAGCAGAAGGCTCCGTGATCGCGATGCAGATCCTCTTTTTCCCTGTTAACAAATCTGGCAGAAATCGTTCTTGGAGGGACTTGGAGCCGAATTTCAAAATAGGGGGCACACCGAAGGCCATTCCTGTCGTTATAGCGCCGCCGGGTCCGAGAGAGCCGCTTCGGGCGAGCTCGTCGGCGTAGATTAGGGTGTGGATGGAGTCGAATTCTTCCACTGGGAGGCCGCCTGGTAAAGTACGGATGCCCAGTTTATGGAGCCATTGGACGGGAAGGGGCGAGGACAGGTTGGGGATTAGCATGTTGGCGGCGGCGAATTGGGAGTATAGACTCTCTGGAGAGGATTAGGAGGTAAGTTAAGGGGGGGTGGGGGTTGGGAGAAAGGATACCTGGTACATCTCCTTGCCGCTCCCATTCTCCAGCGTCGGCCATCAGCTCGTCGAACATTGCTCTGCAGGTCTTTTGCCATTTTTTGTGGGAGTCGGTGTAATATGGTGATGGGTGGCCCATCAGCCACTGCAACATATTAGCAACATGTTTCTTCGGGCGGAAGGGAGCTGGGAGCAGGTCTCATGCTCCCAACCAGTAAATGGCGATCTTGGGGTATGGAACAAAGAAATGGGTTGGTTACAGGAGGCTCTGAAAAGGGGATGGGGACTTTCGACATGGTGGTGTTGGTAAGATATTCTTATGGAATTGAGAAAATGATTAATGTGAGATCAATGTGTATAAGGGGGAATATGTCAAGTGGTGCAAAGCCGTTGGGTTCACCTCTTGTTTTGTAGATGAAGGAAAGGGTAGTGGGGTAGCATGCGCCTCCGGTTAGTCGTGGTACACCGAAATCCGGGTCTAAAATCAAACCCCCGATTACTTTCTTTACTCTTCCCCTAATTAAATGTAACAGTGGGCCCTTTTGGCCGGGGTGTTTTGTATGGTAGAACGGTTTTCAGCCCAGGTTTCGGTGTATCACGACTAACCGAAGGCGCGGGGTGAGATGGAAGTCGGACGTCAGCATGTGGAGCCCTGCCAAAATCCCCGCACTTTCAGGGGTCTGCCGGGTAACTCAGCTTTGACCGAGGTATCTTTCTCTCAGCCTTGTGTATGTTTTGGTTTACGAAAGTATGCATTTAAGATGTGAAACTGACTCAGAATATTCGAGTCAGCACTCCGCCACTTTCGCGTCTGCATGTTCTGGACTTTATCTGGACTTCTGGACTCTAGCATACATGCAAACAGAGGCAAGTACCGTTGTCTTTGACTTTACGAAGGCGGGCGGCATTAAAATTCGTCCAATTCGCTAAGCGAGGGCGGGCGCAATATTAATCCTCGCAATACAGAAATTCTCGTAATTCCGCATTATACTTAATTATCGAGAGAATTCTACAAAAATTAGATCTGCTTCTTTTCTATCTCACAAAGCTATTTTAAAGAGTTTTGGACGTTGCGTCGAGATTTGGTGCGATTTTCCAAATGTAGCGATTTTGGTGTTCCTCGCGTTTTAGCAGATGGACGATTTTTAATGCCGCCCGCTTCGTAGAGGGGTTCACCCGACAACCGCCCACGCTAGGAACACCGAAAATTTGGGGTTTTTTAAACCGCTTAGAAAATTCTACAAACTTTCCAGATTATAGAGAATACTCGAGATATCGTGAAGATCATATCCTTTCTTTCAAGTTATGGTGTTGAGGCCTTCAAATTTTGAGTTGAGTAGTTGTGGCGTGATACCTTCTAGAATGTGTTGGGGTTTTTTTTAAGATGTCCTTGGTGGGGCTATGCTATTGGTATCTTGTACCCTTGCTGGCACGCGTTGTCAATGTCCCCCGCCTTCTCTAGAAGTTGAGTTTTGAGGAACGAGCGGGATTTAAAGACCAGAACTTGAATCAAGGATTTTCAATGGCCCTCTACGGGGTGTACTTAGCCAATTCTCTTTGAGTTTGTGCACCTTAAACTCAAGCATCCCCAAACGGCTCATTGATAGCCATCAGACGAAGTACACCGTCCAGGATTGTGGAGTCATCTAAGTGAAAGCGTGTGATAGACTGAGAGAAATCCCTTTCTTCAAAGCTCTTCGCTGCCACTCACCCTCATTCCAGAGGGCTTCAACAATCCTTTTCTTTTCCTTCCCGTTAAACTTCAACACCATCGTTGTGAGGTTGGGTAAAGGGTGTTGTTCATACTCTGATAAGAGTACGTTTAAGAAGTCAAATACTGATGTTCTGCAATCTTCAATATGAAGACATGCCAGGGTCGTAGGCAGACCTGTAAGAGCCGCTTCACATTTTTCCAGAGAGTATCGAAGTCTGGGTATATGTGGCTCTCGTTGAACAGTTGTCCGCCTATCTCTGCCAATTAATGCATAACGATCTACAATCAGTGTCCTATTAGTTGGCTGTCAGCCTAGTGGCCCCCACCCATAGATCGAGTTGCCTGGCAATGATGGGTGGGTTAGAGAACGAGGTGAGAGACTAGTGCTCACCTCAATCTTTCGAAACCCTTCAGTGAGGCAAGTGGATTGTATATGTCAATGATCTCCTCGAGAAATTCGTTTCCTCGTGCTCTTTCAAGCTGGGCCCACTCAAGACAATGTTTGGAATGTTCCAGGCCAGCTATGATTGCAAAAGGGACAAAACCGTGATCATGCACTGTTACGGCTGCCCTATGTTCATATCTGAAGCGTTGCAATGAAACGAAGCGTCCAAGGAACTCCTTTATGGCATCAGCTTCCATGCAGGCGCGGGTGAGAGTCAGATCAACAATAGAGAAGACCTGAAATGTATCCGATTGCCATTGGATGGGTGGAATTCGTTCTCCGTCCACCACTGGGTCCAACCTCCATCCGGGACCCGGACTCTCTTCCACAAGGCCACTGACCGAGAGGCAAGCTACCGACTTCAATTTCAGATATGGTAAGACGAAATCCATTTTTATCAAACTAGCAGGATATTTCATATCATCGAGATGCACACTTCGCAGCTTTGAGAATAAATGAGAGTCGGCAGAGTCCTCCTGTGCTTTGGCTGCTGCTTCAGCGACAAGCTGCACATACGGACGGTATCCTTCGGTTCGCAAAACAAGCCGCTCGACGCGAGTCGATATCAAATTTAAAAAGAACCCAAACACGACTTCATAATTGCACCGAGTCTCGAGAGACACGTACCACTCATCGCATTTCTCTTTGCCGTAGATGTCGTCCAGCAAATAGTTTCGTAATCTTTCATGCTGTTCTTGTGTCATCGAGGGTAATTTGATTTGTTGATTGGTCATTGACAAGCCTGGTTGAGCTGTAGGACTGCTGAAGGACTTGACGTATTCTGCTAGCTCTGGCCGCCGGATGATGGCTTTCATGTAGCCTTCGAGTGCTGAGGGCATCTCTCCACTGAATTCCTCGTACAATATTGGCTCAGCGATATCACGAAGACGCCGGCATACAAGCGCGACGTTTGTGAGCGGCTGCTCGAGATTGTAGAAGATCTTTTGTAGGATTTCTGTTGGGAGGCTGAGCAGAGACATGTTGGCGGATGGGATTCACATGAACGGAGCACACCCGAATGATCAGCTTGTAGGCTCGAAGCTGAAGCAGCGTCCGTAAAAACGATGTTGGAAGCACCGGTCGGAATGAAGGGATCTGTTACCTTGACACGTGCAAAGGCGGGAGGTTAAGCTCTGTGGCAGCCGGTTGGGCATGGTCACATGCCAGCGCAACCTCATGAGTTTGTCGAGTTTTTCTTTTCGTGAATGTCTTGAAATCTTTGGCTTCTCGAAGTTCATTTCCGTCTTAGTTCTTAAGACCTATCTGAGTATTTCAAGTTCCACCCCTCGAGATATCTTCCTCCGCCACTGAACTAAGCGGTTTCGCTTGCTAGTCTGGGTTTGTTGAGTAAACAGATCTTCTTACTCCGCTTTAAGAGCATTCTCTGACATTTATGATCGTTACGTTGAAACTACGACTGCTAGTTCCCAATTTCACTATTCCCCGTGTCCCAGAACAGGTCAGCTTTTATGGTTTCTTCAGCAGAGGGTGGTATCTCGGATAGGTAGAGATAAATCGTTAAGCCCCAACATAATGAAGAATGCTCAATCGTGGAGCCCCTACATCGCAAATTCAGGGTGTTCATCTGGATTGCATCGAAAGTATGGAGCGCTAGATGTTCTAGATTAAGTTTACGCCAAAGCCTTATCCTGCATGTTTGATCCTAGCGACTTTGCCGGCAAAAAACCCTCAATTGCTTGCGAACTATCATGTGGACGAGTGTTGCCCAGTTCGTCAACTTTACCACTTCTTTCAAAAATTTCATTAGTCCACCCAAGATTGAGGATATACTCCACCGATTCTGTGCAAAAAATGCTCCTTCCAAATGCGGTTGGTCTGGTCGAGCGGGGCAAACCTCGCTTAAAAAGGGGAAGGCGCGGGCCGAAGTCAACGTCCATCAACCGCGGCACCTTCCTCCCGTCCAGAAAGCAACACCATATTAGATTTAATTTGAAAGATGGTCTCGGCGCCACCTTTCTCTCCGAATTCTCGATTTGCGACCTGAATTCCAACCTTTCATCAGATCAAACACAAACACTTCAGACGCTTTCGTCAAGTAAGTGTGTTGGCATTTCACCGTTTCAGGAATAGCAGACAAGAACCCAGACGTGCTTCAAATGGATTCCGCACTTCCAGGAGCGCGATATTCTTTGGATGGGAAAGCTGGCCTTAAGCTACTCCAGCAGGTTCTCTTTCCGATGAGCCCTTCTCCGCCAACAGACGTTGTATTCCTCGAACTAGACTTCGAAGGCCAGCATCAGCACATTAAATAGATTGGAGTAGTCACTTTTGACACGAGGAACAATTTTTCGGAAAAGGGACACGCTTTAGCAGTGCGCCAGATCACCACCACGGGATTCATGAAGAACTATAAGTTCCTGTTCACTGATACCACTTATGCACCACCCCGCGAACTCGCTACTTTTCTGCCGGAATATTTTGTATCGACGATTCCGCAGAATGCGTAAGTCTCAATAAATTACGTATACCAGGAAGAGCTTTACTGATGCACCATAGACCTCTCAGACACCCAACTTCCGGAACGTCATTCTCTTTGTACGCTTATTAGGAAGAGTTTGGGGCAACCTCCCTGTTTCCATACTGGAAAAGAATTTGGATCATGCAAAAAGTTTGTCTGGCACAAAAATTAACACTTGTCTACCGCAAGCCGGACTGAGTCCCTCAAGAATGCGAATGGTAGCATTTTGAGGCTACTCCAAGGATGCTGGACCGTGTTTCCAAGGATGGCAAGTTTGATGTTTTCTATATCGGACCTATCGATAATCTCTACATAATCCGGAACAACTCTGCATTTCGCTTGGTAATCCAGAGATCAATCGATTGAGACCTGAGGGTAATTCTAGTGCCCTCTACGACATGATAGAAATTTCCGCGGTTCACATTGTGCGGAGAATAGCGATAAAGCGAATGCAATCCTTGGTCTGGTTGGAACTATTGAGGTCGACTACTCAAAGTCTGTATTCAAGCTTTGCGAGGACGTCATGAAAGCCTTTGTTTAACTGGGTCCAAGCGGTGCAGCCACTGTTCATTTCAGCCAACTTTGCAAAGAGCTCTCTGAGGATCCGCAGACGAGGACTTCTGGGAATATGAGCCTTTTCCAGGTATGGACGTGCACAAATACTACCATGCGACGAAAACATCACGGTCGAAGGATATATTGTGGTTGGGCAACTCACTTGTTTGAATCTTGTGTCGGAATGGGTGGATGACTTATTTCTCTTGACACACTCCTGGTGTAGTCTCCCATACTTACCCCAACTTCGACAATGGGAGACTCCACTGAAAAATCTTGTGAGAGCGGAGCATAAACATTTCGCCACTGATGGAATCTTGTTTTCCAATTCGGAGACTTCTAAGGTATCTCGAAGCACGGTACTATCGCTCATCACACAGGATAGAGAGGTCCCAACTCAGAAATACCAGCATACCCTCGAGCAAGCCGGATGTGATGATGGAGTTGTCGAAGAACACCCTTCTCTCTTTTTATTCTGGGCAACTAAGGTTCAGTGGGGAAGTACTCCGAATGAGCAATGGGACAGAGTAGATCAAGAAGCCGTGCCGTACCTGGAATTGGACCAGCGGGCACGCAAAACTCTGACCTGGTCTGCGGATTCCTGAACAATGACTCTGCGCTCATCACCCGTTCACTTGGGATTCAAGGAGATATCGAAATTGTTGGCCAAGCAAGAGTTGTCTCTCAAGAGCCGTTGCCCACGGACGAACCTGAAAGATACTGGCCGCCTCCAGTTTTAAACACACATGGACCAGCTGTCAGCCACAAGTCGAACATCAGCTTATCACTTGACGTAATTGCGTTGCAAGCTTTGACACGTCCAATGGAGTTTGAAAACCAGAATACCCCCAAACACTTTATGGGAGCGGTCATTGTCTGCAATCTGTACGGGCTTTTCTTGACAGACAGCTGCCTTCGTCAACAAACAAATTTGTGCACTGTTCTTTTTAAAGGCAGGTGCCTAAGTCTCTAACCAAAAAGATAAAATTGATCCCTGCTTCCTGGAAAAACGAGGCTTGTGACGACACTGTTTTTAACTCAACTCTGTAAAAGAGACTTCGGACCCCACTGATATGAAAATGGTTCAATGTCTGCATGTAAGTCCCCAGACTCCACACCAATCTCATCATCTCTACTTGCTCAACCAACACAACCAGAACATCCGCATCCAAATCCCCCCTCAACTTAAAAAGGCTCACACCACCTCCTCATCCGGTACCCTCCACGTATCCGAAATCCAACCAATGACCCACTCCCCCTTCCTCTTTCCCCCACACAATTTCACCAACGAGAAAACATTCGTGCCAACATGACTCAGCACCCCATCCCTCAAAAACTCATACGGCGTCCACACAGCTGCCAAATCACCATCAACCCTCGCCTCGCTCTTCCTCCCCTCAAACCTTTCCCCATCCTCGCCTTCCTCCCATTCCGCCAGGGCGATATTTTCTTCCAAACTCGCAGCACTATCGAATGGAATTCGATTCACGACTTCGGCGAGCGTGAGGGAGAGATGTTGTTTCCCTACTGGTGAGGAGCGTGAGGAGCGGGATGGAGAGGGGCGAATGAGCAAAGCGTGTCCGCCGGAGGGGTGGATACATGCATGCATTTGGGCTGGATTACGGGCTTTGATTCCCGAGAGGAATTTTTTGACTGTGGTAAGAGCGGCGATCTCTTCTTTGTGTGTCGAAGAGGAAGAGGTAGGAGACGACATCTTAGATTATTGAATGAAAGAATTTTGATTTTTTGAATGGGGTGAGGACCCGGGGGGCTGGGAGGGAGATCTGGAGATATAGTAATGGGTAGATGGCGGCGGCCAAGCTGATTGATGGTCCGAATAGGAAAGTGGAGTAGTTAGTAAGCACTTGCGTGGTCGCCGATGGTGGCGAAAACTACACAAGGATGCAATGACAATCCACTAGGATGAGTGATAGAGCTAAACGGCAGGAGGATTTATATGTACGTGAGGTCGAAGCCAGAATTCGCTATGGCCTGATCACCGCAGCGTGAATACACTGAACGGCGTTCACATCCAAAAACTAACTTCTGGTTCTCAATTTCCTGGACCCCTGAAGGAGTTGGAAGCGATGTGAAGCGAATCAAGGCAGAACCCGTTTTTATTCACTCGAGCGGAGATCTCATTGTATAGTGCCAAAGCACGTTGGAACATTGAAGCGGCATGCAACAAAACTCGGCTTCTGGGGTTTACTCTCCACTCCTCAAAAAACCTCAATGCCCCAAGAAACTTTTGGAACATTGTTTCGATATGCTACACAACGGCCCTACCTTCACAAGTCCAAATTCACTCGAGTTCGTGACCTTGGAACTCTCAATGTCCCAGAACCTTTTGAAACATTTGGTGCGATGTGGAACAGAACACCCTTTCCACTATTCGCTATTCACTTTCTTCCTATGTCATCAGATGAAAGGCCACTTCTCGTCTCTGAATATGGACGGAAAAGCTCACGATGCGCAACAAATCCTTCAGGACTGAAATCTACTTGGATCGGGGTGTGAAATTCCCACTTCTTGAGCTCGACCCTTTTAGCAACCTTGCTACGTGTTTGGGACAACGAGCTCACTCCAAAATAAACTTCTATCGTGCTCTGCTCGAAACCAAGTGGGAAAAGAGAATATATACGTTTCAGTGGAAGGAAGCGGCAAGGCTGTTGAGAATTGGAAACTCTCTTAACCCTCGTGGTCTTCCAGAGCTGGTGGAGATCGCACGCAATTGCCCAAAAGAGGACTGGATGTTCAAAGCATTCATTCTTGCTCATCGCTCGTATCTCATATCTCATTTCCGCCACCCTCAACCCCTCCCCCCCACAGAGCAAATCTACTCCCCAGTCATATTAACATGCACAGCCTTAATCTGCGTATACCCCGCGAGCCCCGCCTCCCCAAGTTCCCGCCCAATACCACTCTGCTTCACGCCCCCAAAAGGAATCCTGTAATCCGAATCATTACTCGAATTAATCCACACCATGCCCGCCTCGATCCTCTTCGCCACCCTATGCGCCCTCGTGATATCCTTCGTGAAGACTGCGCTGCCAAGACCGTAGGTAGTATCGTTCGCCATCTCCAGCGCCTCCTCCTCGGTCTTGAAGCTAGCAATCACGACGAACGGACCGAAGACCTCTTCGCGGAAGATCTTCATGCTGGGCTTTACACCCGTGAAGATTGTCGGTGTGATGAAGAAGCCTTTCCCAGAGGGGGAGCCCTTGGTGAACGCCTCGCCGCCAGAGACGAGCGTGGCGCCTTCTTCTTTGCCGGCTTTGACAAAGCCTAGGACGCGCTCGTACTGCGCTTTCGTGACTTGCGGGCCCTGGAAGGTGGTCTCAGCGAAGGGGTCGCCGACGACGGAGAGCTCGGCGACTTGCTTTTTGAAGGCTTCGACGAAGTTGTCGTAGAGTGAGTCTTGGACGAGGATGCGGGAGGTTGCGGTGCAGATTTGGCCTTGGTTGGACATGATGCCTTTGAAATATTAGCAAGTTTAAAAGGTCCTTTTTTTTTAGGTTTAGGAGGGAACATACCGATATGAGACCATTTCACCGCCTGCTCTAAATCCGCATCATCGAAGACTAGTAACGGTGATTTTCCACCTGTCTCCAAGGTGATATTCTTCATTGTACCAGCAGCCATCTTCATAATCTCCTTTCCGGTAGCAGTGCTTCCCGTGAAAGCAATCTTATCGATATTCACATGGGTAGCAATAGCCGCACCCGCTACTCGTCCAACACCATTCAGAATATTGATGACACCAGGCGGGAACCCAGCCTCCTTAATCAGATTCGCTAAGTAGAGAATGCTCAACGGTGTCTGCTCAGCAGCCTTCATCACAATCGTATTCCCGCAAGCCAGTGCAGGTCCCAGTTTCCAAGCCGCCATCGCAAGCGGATAGTTCCACGGAATAATCTGTCCGCAGACACCGACCGGCTCGCGGATCGTGTATGCGAACTTCGCTGGCCCGGTGTCGATGACCTGGCCGTGGATCTTATCCGCATATCCACCATAGTACTTCAGTACGCCAACTACCTCCCCCACATCACCGAGAGAGTCTCCGTATGGTTTGCCGTTGTCCCATGTCTCGATCGTGGCTAGTGTGTCTGCGTGCTTGGCGACGAGGTCAGAGAGGACCATCATCAAGTTGCCGCGATCCGTGGGGGACATGTCGCGCCATGAGGGGTCTTTGAATGCCTTGCGGGCTGCTGCAACGGCGGTGTCGACATCGTCCACGCTAGCGGCGTAGACGGAGGTAATATCGGATTCATCGCTGGGAGAGTGTTAGCAATATTTTGGATGTTGGGGAAATTGGGAGCTTGGTCAGCTTACGTGGGATTGATAGAGGTAATCTTCTTTCCATCGCTGCTCTTCACCCACTCGTTGTTGATGAAGAGGCCGGTTGGCTGGGTGTACTTCCTGCCATTGGGAGCAGTAAGCTCAATGGAAAGATCGGACATCTTTCTCGTAGAGCTGAAGGACCGTGAGAACGATATCTCGAGCTTGATGGCTTTGTTTGTACAGAATGGCCGGAGAGGCGAGGAGATTGATAAGTGAGACAATGAAGATTCACTGAGCTTGTGAAACACAGTCCTGCGGAGATGTGCTGGCAGAGGTAGAAGTTGTTGGTACATCAGAATCAGAAGTAGATGTGAGGTCACGCAGGAGAAGGTTTTATGCCGGCATATCAAAGGTGGGTGCTTGCGGATGGTCGAGAATAGCTTCCCCAGAGGGCAAGGCGCAAGATGACGTTCGAGCTTTGGGCCTATCAGTTTTCGGTGATAGGATAAACTTGCCTATTCGAGACTAGCATGCATTGCCCCGCAAGAGCTCCGCGTCAGAAATGTTGTAGAGCTTCAATATTTCAAATTGCCACGACCATCGGACAGTTCAAAGGCTGTAATATAGAAGATAGCAGGAGAAATATTGTTGAAGACCACTTCTAATGGATACCACGTTGAAGTAGCAGCACTCGGCCCTTGCAATATCGGATGAAAGCTGTTCCATCATCCAAGCTACCCCTCACTGCACGTGATGAAATCAATACAATCAACGCTTCAAGTAATCTTGGCAAAAATACGAGTGTATTGTCTGCGCCTGCAGATGCAGAATGCCTCCCAAACTCCCAAACATAACACTTACACCGTCTTCGTACAGTACAGTCTGATTTTTATATACCCGTCCGTTTCCAATCTTTACAACCCGTTAAATGCTTTCTTCCACTCTTGATCCGATCCGGTCCAGCCCAGTCCAGTTTTTGTCCTCCTCTCCCACCTCAAAAGCACAAATGCCACACCAACCAAGACTCCCGCTGCCGAGCCCCAAGAACACCGTCCCCTCTCCGTGCAGTGCAAAGCATCCCACCACACAAACTCCGTGCTCAAACGCAAGATACAACAACAACAAACGCAACAAAAACAATAAGACATGCTTGAGAAGAAAATAGGTATATCCAGATAACACTAAAATGGTATGCGCCTCCAGGGGTATAAACTCGCTATCCGGGGTCGGGAGAATAATATATGACGTCGGTCGCCCAACAATGCAGCTCTTCTGATGCGCTCGTTCATGAATGACTGGGAAATCGAAATCGAGAAGGAAAAGGTAGAATACACAAAGTAGATACAGCAGGTGATGTCCGCCGAGGGACAGCTGTCGTTGGTCTCGCTCGCTTAGCAAGACTATGTTTGTCGGGATGTCGTCAAAGGTGGTACGAAGATAGGAAAGGCGTCGTGCAAGCGAAATATGATGTACTGTTGATCCATCACAACCCGGTCGCTCCTACTGGGCTATTGGATCATTGTCGTCGTCCGCCCTCCCCAGGCCATCCTCGCTCGAAAGGACCCCGCGAGTAGGGGTCATAGGGCGGTGGAGGCCCTGCCGTCGTCGCAGGGGGAATGCTGGTGCTCGTTGTCAGGGGAGCAGCCGTGTTATCGATCCGCAGGGGGGGAAGACTCGTCGGTCCCTGACCAGGCCCCGGAGGGTACCCAGATGCTTGAACAGGTGGTAACGTCGAGGCTGGGGGTAGTGAGTAAGGCGGTAAGCTGGTGAAGTCGCCCTGAGCGTCTGTCCTTCGCCTTCTTGGTGCCCGTTCGGAAGTGCTCTCAGGGGCTTGAAATCCCATCTGCGAAGGTGGAAGCGGAGGTGGAGGATTTCCCATTTGGGACATCGACCCCTGGAACGACCCAGGCCGCATGCTTTGCGGACTTGGAGGGGCTTGCATGACCAGGTGTCTCATGTCGGGAGTCCTGTAAACCACATCACGAAAACGGTCTCGCTCGGCGCGGTAAAAGTCCCTTTCCTGCTCCACCTCCCTGACCTTTCGCTCCAATTCTCTCGTTTGCTGCTGAAGCTTCTCGATATTACTATTAGCCTCCTTCTCTTTCTCCTTTCGGCGTTGACGAAATCGCGCTGAGGCTCCTGCGTTGCGCGCGCGCTTTTCGTCAGCTAACCGCGATGCTTGGTGCACATCCACAGGTACATGATACGTGCCTACGGGCGTGCTGAAAGTCAGGACATGAACGGGATCTGATGCTGACGCCTGCCTTGAGCTGCCTGCACTGCCCTGGAGACCGCTGCCTTCTGTCTGGGGAGCTGGAGCGCTGTACGGACCTTCAGGTTGTCCCGTCGGCCCTTGAAATTGCATGCCACCTCCTTGCTGCTGCTGCTGCTGCACCATCGAGGTTCCATACGACGAACCCGGATAATAAGATGTGGTGGTTTGCGGCGTTTGTCCACTTTTGTAGAGAAACGAAGCCGGGGATGCCTGGCTTGACGAAGGATTGTGTGATGAGGCTGAGATGGAGGGACTGGTACTTTGCGAGGCTGGTGCTCGTCCAGGAGCCTGCATGGTGCTCCCACTTGCTCGTCGTGGGGCGATGGTTGGAGTTGAGGCTGATTGTGGGAAGCCATACTGCTGCTGCTGCTGCTGCTGAGGTTGCCCTGGAGGAGTGGGCATGGGAGGGACTTCAGATGCTGGGGATGGACCAGGTTCTGCTGTGTAAGGCCGTCCTCTTGATGGTAAGAAAGGGGACCGCTGTGCATCGATCGTCGCGGGGCTCGTACCCCTTCCAGAGCTGAACGTACGAGATGGAGATCTTGCTGTTAAAATTCGGCGATTTCTAGGATATGGCGCACTGTAGGCCTCCGTTGTAGGGGGAGTGCTTGAGGGGGGTTGTTGGCCTGAGAATGGATGTGCTGTCATTCCTACTGGGCTGGCTCTAAACTGGGAAGCTGGTCCAACAACTGGCGACTCGGTAGCAGCTTCACTGAGACGACGACGGCTCGAGTGCCCGCTGGCCTCGGATTCCGCTGGATTCAACATGGAGTGAACGCCTAGATCTCTAGATGGGCCCGATGATCTCCAATCTTCTCCGGATGGCGCAGGTTGGGCAGCACGAGCATGTTGTGGGGACGACTGGAGCTGCTGAGGATATCCCCGACTTTCAGGCTCTTGCTGATGCCTTTCTCCCTGTCGTCCCCCCGGTGGAGGGTCATCTCGAAGCTGCACCGGCGGTAGAGTAATCCTTTGGCCATCGGGAGGCGAGCGAGATGCAGGACGAGACGCAGGAGGCCTCTGCGACATCGAGTCCTGATCCCCTAACCCTGGACGGTCCCGAGGACCGGCACATTGACGTTTCCCACTTACTTCCCAACTCTGTCGATAGCTGTGAAGCTTGAATACAAAGTCAGCGTAACCTTTTTCGAGCACCTCTGGGGCTTTCCCCGGGAATCGTGTTAGTTTTGGCGAAGTCCGTGGACCGTCTGCAAAAGCAACAAATGGTGGGTTCTCGCGCAACGGCCGATTCAAAAGTTCTGGTACAGCCAGAGCGAATGTGGGATTGGGCTTGCCAATAAGGCTTCCCAGCGAGCGGTGAAGGGGCAGCGCTGCACCAGCTTATTGGTATTCTGAGCTAGGTGGCTCACAGTATTTCGTTTTATCGTCCAGAGCGGAGCATTGTTTGTGCGCCGCACCGAGACTTATAAAGTGACTTATTTTCTTGTTCTTGCTGCTGCGCGTGTGTGAATGTTTGGCAGGGGTGGTCGCCGGCGTTGGATGACAATGGAGGAGCCTGCGTCTATCTACACTATCGAAAGACTTCTGAAAGCAGCTGATCACTGTACCACCAGGTCACTGGATGTCAGTTGCTGTGCGTGCGATTGGGAGGACCAGTGGTAGGAGCAGCTCCAGAGAACCTACAGAGAGTGGGGAGCGGTCCAGCTAGACGGACCACTCATGAGCTTCAAGAGCGGTCAAGACTCGCGAGTGGTTGGGGAAAACAAATAGACTGAGGAAGAGTAAGACTCTGCGCGGTCGAATTCTTGTTACAGGCTGGCGAGGGAGCCCGTCACAGGAGATCGTGTCTGTTGGATGGCTGAGGGTTGTTTGTTGCTGATGACGCTTTTAGCTTTCCGCAGAAGCTGCTCACCAGCAGCAGCAGCGCAGCAGCAGCAGCAAGCATTATTCTTTCTGCACGGGAACCCCCAAGCTTTTTGGGTCACCTTTCGATGGGAGCCAGGTCCACGCCATGCCCACAGACGCGCTCACCGTCCCAGCACCAAAGAGATCATACAGTCCAGGGTTGACGAAAAAGGGTGGGTCTCTTGAGAAGAGCGAGCTGGGGTGCGTGGAGGCTGCAGCCGGTGGTTGCAGCAGCCAAGGTACCGGGGCCAGCATGTGCTGCGATAATTCCTGGCATGGGGTCATTGGGGCCATGAGCAATGGCTGGCTGCTAGGCCGAGAGGCTTTGTTCCCACTCCCCAGGGCCCGAGGAACTTTGTGGTGGAGGGGCCGCTTTGGGAGGGGGGGGGGGGGGGGGGGGGGGGGGGGGGGGGGGGGGGGGGGGGGGGGGGGGGGAGAGGAGGAGGAGGAGAGAGGTGGAAGGGGGAAGGGGGCGGTGGTGGAAGAGTGGGCCCAAGGCGGAAGGCGGGAGACCATGCGCACCGGCACCGCGCACCGCTCTCTGCGCAGCGCAGACTCGGACCCTTGTGTATCACGTTATATTATGGGGACCGGGCCCCCGCTGGGGCTGGGTGCTGGAGTGGAACACTGGAAACAGCCTGATGGAACGGCCTGATGGAACGGCCTGCAGCTGGCGGTGACGAGTAAGAAGAATCCCAGGGCAGGGCTGCCTACCCATTGGTGATAATTTGCTGCTTTGGGCCTTTTCACTCTCCTCCTGCTTCCTCCAGGGCCCCAAACTCGCTCCTCACTCGCTCGGCGCAAGCACAACCGTTAGCCAGCACTGCAGCAGGCTCCAGCAGGCCCCAGCCGACCCAGCAGACCCAGCAGCGAAATTGCGCCTCCGCCTGATGACAGCCAGCTGCCCGGCCAGGCCAAGCCAGGTACCGGTGCCGCCTCAATCTCCAGCGCCGTCACAAGTCACTCAGCTCCAGGCCAGGCTGAAGGGAGGAGGGAAGGCCGGAAAGCAGAGGAGCGATCCTCTTGGTGCGAATGGGCATAGCATTGGTGATCGATGTGAAGGAGGCTGGACTGGAGATGAACAGGACTGCGACTTTGGCGTTGCTGGCGCACACCACGAACGCCCTGCAATCAATCACGCACAGCACAGCACAGTACTGGACGGCACCCAGTGCGTCACTGGGGACTAGTCGTTGCTAAATTGGCGGTGCTTCTCCCGCGCTCATCTTGATGCCATGCATGCCCTGCATAGATTACATGCTTGATCTGTCGCTGGCGAGTGTATCGCACTGCAGTAGTATCCGCCGCCTGCAGGAAGAACTGGTTTGTTCGGGACCGTTCCCTTTCCCAACTGGCGAGGGGCCAGGCACTGACTACAAAACGGTCCTGGATCCGCTGCATCAAACTGCAGGTGGGTGTGGAGACCTGCACGAACAGAACAGCTGCAGTTGCCTCGCGTTGAGCTTTGGTAGTGATTCCCAGCCAATGGGCCAGCTCAGCTGGTGCAGGGCGACCATAAGCATGGAGAACTGAGGACGAGGCTTCAAGCGTCTTCTCCACCGCAAGGATCTGGCGAACCATGTTCTCTGCCCAGGCTGTTCTTTTCTTCTGGACGCCTTCCCCGAGAGCTTGCCGGCCGTCGGGCTTTGAGCTGGTCCTGGTGAGCCAGCATGCAAAATGAGGAGAAACACACGCTGCACTGCTGCACTGCTGAGTCCTTTTTCTTGGGCTAGGGCTTCATACGTGTGAAACCGAGACCTCTCAGCAATAATTTCCAGCCCTGCAAGAATTGTTCCCTTGTCAGGATTCGAATAACTGCCACCAGCAGGGTTGTTGGAAATGCTCAGTCCGGAGTCAAGTCAATTTAGCTTGATCCCAGGAGTCCACGAGAACCCAGGTTGCACCCTTGCCGGCTTACCCTTGGGGCAACGCCGTCAAGAAGATGCACAGGAACAACTGCAGCATGATGTCGGAGAGCCCGGCTCACAAATGCCCCAATGCCAACGTTTCGAGGAGGTGCTTTTTAAGTCTAGATACTATACCGTATTTCTTCTTGCACGAAGCAATTCTCGGTTTGCCTAGTACGTCAATTCTCTGGAACGCTCAGCTCCTCCTACCTTTAACTTGATTTGCCCGCAATAGAATACTGTAAAATGATCTTGCATCCATGTCCATATAACTTCGGGTGTGTGTTCGTTCTCGGCTCGACCCACACCGCAACCTTTCCCTTTCATAGTTCATACAGACGCGTAGCGTCCACCCTTCGTTAAGCAGGTCCGTACCGATGAAGCGGCAGCAAGATGAGCTGCAGGAGCGCCTGCTGCACACTGATAAGTCTGACATCCTTGGCAGACCCCGATTGGGATTTCCAGAAGGCCGGAACCCTCGTTCTCAAGTCGTTCAGACAAACCTCCGAGGCCGATTCCCGACATTTCTTCATGGATCTAGATCAATTACGCAAGGAATGCATCGGACGACAACCTTCTTCAAAGCTTCCACCCGTGAATGCCAACTTGGATTTATATTAGAGTAGTCATGCGCAGCACCACCTGCCGCTGAGGATAATGTTTGGGATTTCTTCCGCCAATCCATACTGGACTTCGGTGCATCGCGGCCCAAAGTGCCATCCCCAGGCATCCGTACCTGACGCGAAGATCTTGCTGCATCCAAGTCCAAATGTAGATCTATGGAAAGGGAAAGCGGATCCAGCACTCCCGAAACCTGATTCCTCAACCACCGTGCCTTTTCTGAGTCTTCTCAAGGGTGCTCGGGAAAAGTCTCGAAGCTCACTGTCTAGCTGTAGAATTGGTGACGATCGCGGTGGGGAGAGCTGTCCCTTTATGATGAAACGCTGAAGATGTGATTTGGTGTGATTTGGTGTGATTGAGATGTGACAGACGAAAAGCAGTCTAAATTTGTTCGTGGTCGTTAAGCGTCAAACAAACCAACTGGGCCATGGCCCATGGATCAATTGGCATGGGGAAGAGCCGAGCTTTCGCTTCATGGTCAGGATCACAGGATGCGTTGTGGGAACTGGTGGTAGTCTGGTGGCTGGAGGGTGTCTCAAGTCGGTGATTATGTGTACGCCATTTGTCTCTCAACGTCGAGGGTGATTGGCCTTGATGCTCTCGCGGAGGCCCAGCAAATGGAGTCGCTAACGGCGCATGAGAAGGTCGACTGGGAAGCCGGATCCCTCAACCAGGCAACCTTGTCCTAATTGACATGGCCGGCAAGTGCTCCGGTGTTGTATTACCATCCCCAAAAAGGTCATCTTGACTCGAGCTGCGGCAGGCTGGCAGCACGAGGCTGGCAATTCTCCGAGGAATGAGTGGAGAAGGTGAAGTTGCGAATCCGGCGATCGTTGCAACGCTGGCGGACTGGGGGGAATGGCTTCGAAGAACAAAGAAGCAGCAGCAGCAGCCGGCAGACATGGCTTTGCCTCCGTCCTCGATGTGACGAGAGAAGGAGAAGGCGTTGAGCAGCAGCAGGCGAGGCAAGCTGGAGCTTGCAGGCTAAGCGAAAGACCTGGAAGCGGATGCATGTCTCCTAAACTCAATAAACGACTGATGAGCAGGTACTCCGTGCCCCCATCACCATTCACAGCACCGCTCCCACTACTGCTGCAAAATCAAGCAGCAGCATAGCATGACGCTTGTGCCCCGCGGGCATGCTACTCCTGAGCTGCTGAACTTCCTTTTCTTCATGCCCGCCAAGGTATATATGAGGCTCTTATCCCAGGCTTTCGCGTCCCAGCGCACAATATTCCCCCAGATACAGGCCCGAGGGTCCCGGATGGAACACGAATCGCTCTCGCCAGCTTCAAACCCAGGTCCGGGAGTCCTCGCCAGTCCTCACCAGTCCTGGCCCTGTGATTTGATCATCTCCCTGCGTACGACGTATCCACAACGGTAATCTTCCTGTCTTGCCCGAAATTCGCGTGTCCCGTTCCCCAGTTAGCCTCCCACAGCAACGGTAAAGCGCGCCTAACCAGTGCGGATACCACTGCGCTGGATCACTTCTCCCGAACCCCGTTGAGGTCAGGGCAGGGTATGAGTAGGCTCAGGTCGACCGTTCCGGCGCTGCACACCGACAAGCATGGCGAAACAACCCTGGTTTGCCCAGGAACGGGCGGGATGCTGCCGCGGCGGCCAAGTCAGCGGTCCTTGCTGTGTGTCACGGTGAGATCGAGAAAGGCGAGGTACTGTGCGGAGTATGTTTCTCATCTCCATGCGACACACAACACAAACTTCCTCTTTTCGACCGGTTTGCGACGTCATGCTACAGGTAGGAAACCTGCCTGTGCGAGCATCAATGCGTGGCCACTGGCCACACATTTTCCCAGCCTTATTCTGTGGAACCGCAACTCGAGGCGAAATGCCCGCGCCGTCGTGAGCGAACCACGCCAGCCTGTCGTCCCAGGCAAAAGTGAGGCACCCAAGCCAGAGATGGGATGAGGCTTGCCCAGCGCCTTGCTGATTGGCCCCCGTGTTTCCATGAGCACCGCCGCACCTGTGCGTCCGGTCTTCATGCGGGAGCTGCATGTTTGCTGCATGTTTCTCGCAGTGAATGGCGGTCATGTGCAGGCTCGGTTGGCTCTTGACGGGCTGGATTCGAACTTCGAAGTCTCCAACAGGAAAAGGAGTGCTGCAAACTGCATGTTGAACGTAAACTTCCCGAGCAAGTGCTGACAAGGGGCTCGAGAGCGGACCCTGCGAAAATCCGTTTGAGATGGTCCCAAGTCTCACTGTCCCGCAGCTCCCGCTCCGCCTCGAAAGCCTCACCCCATGAGTTTGGATGTCAAATCATCTGGAGTGCGTTTGTGATCCCTGAATTGGACGACGAGTTTCTGGGCGGAGATCTCTGCCTTGGACTTGCAGCTCTAGCGATAAGCCTCTCTCGCATGCGAGACGAAGAAGCAATTCCTAATTCCTATTACTGCACCACATGATTCATGACACAAAAGTTCGTCCCGAGTGTAACACGACTCCGACAAAACTTCCGAATCCTATTAGGAAACGCAAGGCGACACATGAATTGCTTTTTATAGCATCAAATCCATGCGTCAGGTCTCTCAGCCTCCGCGATTTCGTCATGAAGGACAAGATGATATCAGAAACGTTATGTATCACCAACATGTCAGGCACGAGGTCAGTGCAGATGTAATTGCCGGACAGGGCGTTGAACAACGGTCTGCCGGTTACGAACATCACACGGAGCAGGTAAGCACCCCTGAGTTGTTGGTCCATCGAGGGAGTGACGTTGGTGTGTTGTGATGGCGCTTAGGCAGGTGATGGGTCCTCATGCACGTGCTTTTGACGCAGCTTGACCCTGGTGTGGATAGAGCTTTGGGCACAGGTGCACACACCGCTTCAATCTTCCACGGTGCGCGGGAAAACCTTTGCGGTGAGCATTCTCTCGTTTCTATTCTGCGAACTGGCGGTCAACAAGAGATCCGAATAGACACGCTGGCAATGGCGGAGCACAATGGAGACTATTGATTGTCGGTGAGGGAGATGCAGCAGTCTGCGTTGATAGTGTCGTAGCTGCACAACCTCCGAAGAACAGTCGAAGAGGCGCTCACTAAGACGCCTCAAGTGAGGACTTGGGCTTTAAGGCTGCAGGTGTGCAGCGCTGCAGAAACATCCAAGATGCAAGGAATCCCGGTTCTTTCGCCGAGATGGCGGCTGCATTTCAAAAGCATGACATACGGTCCCTTCTTGCATAGGCCCAACCAAACTTTTCGGTCGGCGAAAACTCTATTTTGCTCGTTCAAAGACCTCGTCGAATTAGGCTCATCACGGAGGCAGTAGTCTAGTGGCCGATGCATCACAACGTGGAGCACGAAAGTCAAATCCAACACGGAAATGATTGCTTCGAACGACCCTCCAAATTACCTCCCACTCGGAGCCCATCGCCATTCGATGCACTTCATTTTCAAGTATGTCTCACGAACTAGGTCTTCGAAGTAGACAAGGTCAAAAGCAATTCCCGAAGTGGACACTGTGATTCAAGACACCAAAAAGGAGCCGCAAGTCCAAAGTAGCATTTCCAGACCCCAAGCCGCAAAGTACCAGGATACCGGAGAAAAGCTAGCAAACGGAACTGTGTTTGACGACTTTCTGGAGTCGAGTTGGCCGCATCACCAGTATTTGGAGAGTGAAGATCGAACGAGCCTCAAGCTGAGCAATAACCAATTACACAGCATGCCACGTTCCGCATGAAGGGAAAGACACCGATAGGGGGAAAGGGCCTTATCTGAGCCACCAGATTGTTGGTTGTAGATCTGATTTTGCCTCATACCGGACCGAGCAAGAGACGCAAAACATCTAGGCAAAAGCGGCCCAAAATATCCGCCACAACATCCAAACAATAAAACCACGAGAACTTTTTGCGACAAGTTCTGCTTATCAGACAGTTGATCCTCCGGGCGAAACCGGCATTGAGGGACGCGGAATTCAGGCCCGTCAACCGCCTAAACAGAAGAGATTCCCAAGCGGAATATATATGCGAGCTTGGCAGCTTGAACTCGTGCCTCACGCCACATTCCGAAAATTTCCACTGACTCATTATACCCGTCTCCCAGCAATTCCCTTTTTCTTGCTTTTTCAAAACTTTCACTCACCGAATTTGAAGCGAAATTCTTCATCGCGCCATCAGGTCCATTGGCGGCTGTCTCGCGGAGCTCCCCTCAAGTCCGCGGCCGCCAAGTGGATGAGATCACCACAAGCCCCCCACTGCGGCCCCGCCCCACCAAGGGATCAACACCACGATGTTTCTGTCGTGGTGGAAATGGTTTCTCTCTTTTTTCTATCCTCAGACCTCGCCTACCATGACCGGAATAAAACAATGGGTTGTCAAAGAGCCATGGCTCGACCTCCATTGCGAGTTAGGCGAAGGGCCGTATTACGAAGTCGCAACAAATACGCTGCGTTTCGTGGACATTAAAAAGAAAGAACTGCATACAATCAATGTTGCCCAAGAACCGATGAGCTTAAAGACGCTGCAGCTGGATATGCCCATTGGAGTCACGGCCAACATCGAGGGCGACAATCCGCAAGAGAAGATCCTGATTGCTGGGAAGAGTGGGATTTACATTTTGGAGCGGAAGACAGGCGAGGTTGAACTATTGAAGAAGTTCTATGATAACGAGGAGAAAGACGAGAGGCTGAGGAGCAACGATGGCGCGGTGGACCCGCAAGGCAGGTTCTGGGTCGGCACTATGAATGACTTCTGGCTTGGAGACGTCTATGCAGAAGGTACGCCATACGCCATCCACCTGTGGATCCCCATGCTCTGTCTTAGGCCCCTAAATTGAAAGTCCCTCTCCCTGTTCCTTTTCCCCCTCTGAGTGGAGAGTCTGATTTGGAATGTCTGCAAAAGCAACAAGCATCAGCAAGTCACATCATATCACGTGATATCAGCTTCCTTTTCATTCCCCACGTCTCATCCTTTGTTCGGGCAACACGCTGAAGAGGCCCAGTGGGGCATAAGCATAGCATAGCGCCAAAGCACCGCACCGTAGATCAGTGTAACACCCCACTAACCCACGCACCCTAGGCTCATTATTCCGCTTCAACTCCGACCTCTCCCGAACAACTCTAAAAACGGACCTCACAATCCCCAACAGTGTCGGCTGGTCCCTCGACCACAAGACCCTCTACTTCGTCCACACAACCGCCAAGCACATCCTCGCCTACACCTACTCGCCCACCACCGGCTCCATCTCTGACGAACGCATCTTTTACCAACACCCTGGTCCTGGCTTCCCCGACGGATTCCGGATCGATAAGGAAGGCTTTATCTGGCAGGCGATTTATGGGGAGGGGAAGGTGTTGAGGATTAGTACGGAAGGGAAGGAGGGGAAGGTTGTTGGGGAGGTGAGCTTCCCAACGAGAAATATCACTTGTCCCGTTTTTGTGGGAACAGAGATTTGGGTTACTACTGCGGCGGAGGAGGATGAGAGGGAGGTTGAGAGTCTGAGGTACGGGGGTGGGATTTTTAAGTGCGATGTTGGTGTTGGAGGGAGGAAAGAGTTTGAGTTTAGACTTGAGAGGGATGTTTAGAGGGGAGGCGATTTTGGGGTGGTGATTTGGTGGGAAAGTTTATAGAGCTTAGAACAGACGGCTAGATTTCTTGGTATAGGAGAAGTGGTTGTCGACATCTTCTGATATACCCGTTCTCACTCCTACTAACTCGATGACCAGGTAAATCAGGCTGGATTCTGCAGGCCCACCCAACCATTGAGCAACAAGCAGGTGCTTGTGCTAGTCCAAAGGGAACTGGATGTATCGCTGGGAAAATTGAGAGTTCTATATGGAGGGCGTTAGATGTTTGCATTGTGGAGGTTAGATGTACTTTTTATTTTTGGCGTACTGGTTAGATCGCAAGAATTGCTGGTTATGAAAATGTCCTCGAGTGATGAATTCCCAGTTGGCGAGTTGGCCAACGTCCCTATGACCTTTGTCAGATTGCTTTGCATCTTTCTTTGTACTTCGGAATGCAATTGCAAAGTCTCCATACGTGTAGGCTATTCTGGAGCAGGCAATAAGAGAGCAGTTAAGAGAGCAGCATCCTTCTTCCCGGCATCCGCTTTTGTTGAATCTCATGAGGGTAGATCTGGAGTACGATAACAAAGCCGGGAGGATTGGCCTGGGGATGAAGGCAAATTTTGTACTTCCCTTCTTCGGGTTGCAATCCGTGATTGACATCTCGATCACTTGGATCCACTGCGACATGGGCTTGGCCTCTACAATTCAAGAGCAGCACGTTTCTATAATTAAGGCCCTGACCATCATCAACAGCCAGATACCAGGCAATTCGATTAACAAAACTCTTCAGTGTCTTAACTCCCTTCGATTCTTCAAATACCAACATTCTTCTTCTGATACAGAATCAATCACCAGATTTATTCCAACTATCATCGTCGATGGTCTGGTCAGATTAAAGTATTGCTTTGGAGAGCTTCATCTCCACACTGGAAGCAACTACTCATACGACATATTCCAGGTGATGAGTATAAACCACCCGAGTCGTTACAAATGCTCGAAAGCCTGAGGGGAGAAGTTTAATCTATTCTTCACTAGACCGAACCCATTGCAGAGCATGCACGTACCACTACTTTCCACGCCTTTCAACTGACTTGCAGAAATCAGTGCCTTGAACGTTGACGCTTTCGTCTTGCTCGGGTGCGAAGACTCGCAGACACCCACAGGCGAAGGAGGATTCCGCGAAGTTGAATATTCTCACGAACGATGTCAGGCTGCCGTCGAAGCGTTACCAGCAGGGTTGGAAGCTCTTCGAGTTAGAAAATATACGATGTCGATCTTCAAATTTCTGGCTGCACCTGTACCAGAAAATGGCGCAAAAACCTTGCCTGAGCTCAGATCAATAAAACAACTCTTTGAAATGTAGGCACAGACTCAGATAGAGTCCATTGTATGGGAGTCATGGCAACAGAGAGCACGGGAGAAGGGCATTGATCTTACACGCCATGAACTCACGTATGGCGACTGAAGATACTTCAAAAGGTAGTTGCGTCCCAAGTTATTGCGGCTACTGGTAGATGATTGTCAGAGACGAGGAAGGGCTGGCACGAGCAGAGATACTTGCATGCATGAGCCTTCGAAATTACAGGCACACGGGCAGTTCGGGGATGAGGCATTATACATGCATGGAGTATTATTCTCGAACCTTGGTACAATATGTTCAGATGTGCCATGTTCGAGCAGGGGGTAGTTGCTCAAAATGTGGAAGTATAATGAACGACGGCAGGAACAACTTCGCTGAGCCCCCCAGTCTTTCCTGACGATGTGCCTGGCCTGCGACGACTCAACACCTCCTCGTGGTGCAGGCTGTCAACCTATGCTCTCTAGAGCATAGGGCCAAGATTAAGTCAAATATCGATACGTTGTGAAAGCGATACTTCATTCGAACGCTCGCACAGCGTCGCACGAAGCGATCTTCCCTTATCGACGATCCTCTACAACAACTCCTCCTTCTCCTCCTCCTCCTCGATACACGACGGCACGACTCGTTCTATATATATTACAGAGGGAAATCGGGGCGGACACCGTGGCTTACTCGACTTGCCTACTCTCTTGAGAAGGTTATACGGTGGAGAAATCCTTTTGCAAAGGCAGGCCTAATAACGCGACATGGCAGATACGAGGGAGAGATCGTGGGAAAGGGATTAGAGGGAGGGGGAGGAGTAGAGGAGACATGGTATTGTGCCTTCGTGTGTCGTCGACGCGCCTGTCTAAGCAGAGATGAGGAGGGTTTGGGACGTGGGTGAGGATGGAGGTTTGGAGGGTCAGGGGGAGGCCACTGTGCCGACGGAATGATGCGGACATGTTTGGAGTTGAGATGAAGTTAGATCTCGTGCAGAGGGGAGATTTATGGTTGTTAAGTAAATATGGGGTATTGGAAAGGGGGGCTTAGCTTGTAAATTTAATTAAGCGAGGTGCTGTGGCCGCAAGGATCCACGCCCCTTTCGCTCGCCAGACATACCTTCCCTGTAAACAGGTTGAAAATATTGTAGTGAATTTAGTGAGTGATAGATTGATGTAAAGTAAAAATGAACATTTGATCGCAGACCTTGAAAACACAAGGCACATCGTCACGTTGATGATGATGATGATGATTATTTGCGTCCAGCGGAAAACAGAAGAAACTAGCTTTCCTATAAACCTCCCATAGGGTATGGGGATGTGCTAAGCTTATAGGATATTTATATACAGAGTCCTGCTTGTAAAAGAAGCCAAAAACCACGAGGGGCAAAAAGACATCCTCTACAAGCAGCCCCCGGTCCCTGATCCCGCGGTGTTTCAGTGCCCCCGTAAACCTTATAGAAAGCTTTTCTAGTATGAGCGAACGTGCCAAAGGCTTGTAACTGTAAACCTCCCACGGCCAGAGTGGCCAGTTAGGGTGGCCACCAGATTTCCTTCAAAGCACCCCAGGAAGCCCAAAGTTCCCTTTAGCTTATCAATGTCACAGGGAACACGACCAAGTTTGAGAATAATCGTCTTTTGAGGCTGGGAGAGGCGCTTTGCAAAAGCATCATGGAACACTGGGACAGGAGAGTGTTGATAGATAGATCAATTGAGACTGGTGTCTGACTTTCGAACCTCTTCTCCACAGTCGAAAGTAAGATATCGGAGTATCTCCATTTACTCTAGCTCGTGGCTTGAACTTTATAGAAGCACAGATGTGATCAACTTCGATGTTTCCCAGGATAGCATAGGGGCAGTTTTTAGGTTTATTTAATGGAGATTCCCCAGGATGGTCCGACACGAGGGGTGACTACCCAACTGAGAACGTCAAGCCATATCCTATTGTTACCTCTCGAATTCCCCAAAGGCTCATCTTCAAATGGCAGTCTTCAATAATATCGATTATAATTTAAGAAGCGTATTGTCATGCCAAGGTAAAGCATTGCGCCCAACAGAAAGTGAAGTTTGAGGAGTTGAAGTGGCATTTGTGCGTGAAAGGAGATGAAAAGAAACAAGTGTATTTCGAATTGTGGTAATGACCCAGGTGTACGATGATACCAGAGGGATGTGGACCCAGTGGAAGATAAACCTTCAAGACCCGGCATATTGCAAGTACGCCGCAACAACCCCACCAGGCGGCCACCCGCCAGGATTATTAAACTCTTTCGGGTTCCCCTGTCCATCCAAAATCATGGTAGTAGCACACCTACTATTGACCCCATACCAGTACAATCCTTTCGGATTACCAGCCACTCTGATCTGGTTCGTGATACAATCACTCCCACACGTTGTTCCAGGGAAGTTATACCTAGTCAACGTCTCCCCATGGAAGAAAGTCCAAAATGCCGCTGAATACAGGAACAAGTTGCTTCCGCCATCAATGGTGGTAGCAAGCCCCATGCGACACTTCTGATCACCGTCTCCACACCACAAGAAATCTGGATCTCCAAAAGACGAAAGGGCAGTCCACGGCGCGGGGGCGTTTTGGAGCGAACCCTCGCCTTGCCAGTATGCCGTCTCTGTTTGCTGCATGCCGGCAAAGACGTTTTGTGCGTTGTAGAAGTTGTAGTTGTAGAGTGTGCAGTGCTCGAATGCGGTGCCTGTCAGCCAGGTACCTTTGGTCGCCTCGATGAGCATTCCTCGACCGACGGCGATGTTCTGGTGGTCGCCGCCTGCCTCCAAAGAATGATCTGCAACCCAACCCCACATGTTCTCTATGTAGGCTCCAGAGGAGGCAGTGAGGTGTGTGAGAGCGAACGCTGCTTTGCAGTCGGATGTATCAGGAGCTCCGCAGACTGTGTTGACTTTCGTGTCGGCAGTCCCACCTACGGTGATGTGTGTATTCCATATTCCAACGTCTCCTGGGAGATTGCCGGCCATATTGACTTGAAGAATCGTTGCTCCTTGAAGAACATCGGCGACAGTAAACCGCATATCTTGGATCTCAGCAACGCCAATCTCGCCGGGCTTGCCGACCATTACAACTGGTGACGGATTAGCATTGTTGTAGAAATTCGCACCTATCCCGGAAATGACGGGCCATGCTTCTCCCACAATTCTTGAGCCGGGAGGGATGTACAAAGTCCCTTTGACGATATATACTCCGTATGGAAAATAAGAGATCTTGCAGTTCGCTGCATTCTGAGCCAGGATCGCGTTCAGGGATGTGGAATCGTCAGTCGAACCGTCTCCTTTGACAGGGTATCCGGAGACAGCCTTCACGTTGACAAATTGATCAGCGGCATATTCTCCATATGTAGGTTGAGTTTTGGTGAAGTATTTTCCTCCATCAAGAAGTAGTCCTGGTCGCGAGGTTGAGGATGTCTTGCCGGTCTGGTAGTTTCCGGGTGCTTCGTTCCCCCAGATCCATGTATCGACCGAACTAGTACTTCCAAGCTTTACGTTCCCGTTCTCGTCAATAGCAATTGGGTTGCTCCCAGAGTGAGATAGGTTCTCGATCACAATTTGGTTGTTGCGATCTCCTGAATCGCGTGAGGAATCGTGGAATTTAAGAACGGGGCCTGAGTTCACGGAGGTAGTGTCGAGGATTACCAGTGAACCGAGTTGGCCGCTGTCACTCGCATCAACCCCCATACCGCAGGTATCGATGTTGGCTCCTTGAATCACTGCTGTGTGACCGCCAGGAAATTTGATCGCTGTAGTACAGAATTTGAAGCTGAGATTCTTCAAATTGACTTGCTGGTTATTGACCCGGACTCCAATCGCGCCGCCCGTAAATGACTAGCTTTGCGTCAATATGTATTCTCAATTTATGCGTAGATCTGACCTACAACATCAGCCACAATTGTTGCTGAACCAGCACTCATGTCGATTCCCACGTGACCTCCAGAAGAATTTGGCATATTGATCTTGATATTTGTGAGATGACAAGCCTGCGAGACTCCCCACCCAAGTGCAGTTACAGATTTATCTTTGTCAATATTCGTGGTATCAAGGATAATGTTCTTCAAGGCGACGAAGAAGTTCGTGGTTGGATCTCCAGCTGCGTTGTCGTATCCATGGATCAATGCATCTCCATTGAAGTTTGACGTAGCTTTGAAAACTGGCGGATCAGTCGGATCTCCAATCAGTATGGTGTTCAAGCGCATGTCCACAGGTTCGGATATTTTGTAGGTCCCTCCTGGAAGGAACACGACGGCTGGTCGAATCGTGACACCATTGCCGTATCTATTCCCGCCTTGGCCGTCGGCGTTCAGCGCATTTTGGAGAGCTGAAGTATCGTCGATGTTGCCGTCCCCTTTGGCGTTATATGGCGCTGATTTCACGTTCCGATACACTGGGTATGTATAGTCATTTCCTAGAAATGGAGCGTAACCTCGCGCACTTCCGGTGTGGTCTTGAGCGTCCAGCCAGTACTGACTGGGTTTGCCGGCAATTGGAGCTGTACAAGTGGCGGTAATTGACTCATGGTCTCCTCCTAGCTCCTTCCTAGACCGAATTGATAAGCTCGCAGAAACTCACTCTCGCCGTTATAGCACTTACTTTGAAGTCTTCCCCAAAATAACTTGATTGGGGCCATTTTGTGCCGACGCTTGGACAACAACAAATGTTAGGCCTGCTACGAGTACAATCGAAATAAATAATTTCATGGCGGTAACTATGTGGCAAGTGGTGATACGGCAAAATAAGTGGCAGAAGGAAACAAAATCAACTGCGGGCCAGAAAACAGAAGAGGTGAAATTTATAACCTGAAGAGAATATTCTACTGTGGTGGGTGACACTTGTTACTTAAGGATATGCATTCGATGACTCGGGCTATTCATCCAAGTTACCTATCAAGTGACAGCAAGAGCGGTCAAGTCAGCAAGAGGCATGTTAGACAAATCAAACTCAGTGGCGCATGCTCAGCTTTCAGCAACCGAGTTGCGCGGTCTGCATTCAATGCTCTAACAACGCAGTAGCAGCGATCACTGGGCACCTACCCCCCGAAGAATGTGGTAGGCTTACTGTATATGCATCAGCATTTGCGAATTCCACCTGAGGCTGAAATATGACTGCATGCATGACGCTGGGAGGATTAGTGAGCATGCGGGTTGGGCAAGGGTTAACGACCAACCCATCACGCATACAGCAAGACCATTTTGCAAAAATGCTCCAAACATTTCTATCGAATGAAGACTAAGCCAGCATTATCGTGAAAGGAAAGACTGCAGATTTTTTAACACAAAAATTATCGCGTCCATCATGATTGAAGCATCCTCGCCTGGGAGGGAGAGACAATTTCCAGCGATATCCAAAATCAAAGCACTCATATTTTAAGAGAAAATCATTCAAACTTCCATGTGGGCGCCATCCAGGCGAGACTTGTGAGGAGCATAGACCTAACAGGTTAGGCGATTAGCAATGTCTGATGCATAGCAATGCGTAGCTCCGCCATCTTCAAGATTTCCTGACTGGGCAATTGCACCAGTATTGTAGATTATGGCCGCTTTGTAGAAAGCGGTACTTTCGCTGGCCTTTGACTGGCTGATGCACTGCGTAAGTCCGTCGCCTGATTTCGTCCCAGCGGGGGCCTTCCCGAACCATTTCCAAAACGACTCAATTCGGGCAAGGATCCAGGACTTTGTGCGTAATGTCGGAGTTGCAAGTAGCTTTGCCATCGTGATCTTGCACTAAGCCAGGATTGCAAACACCTAAATTGGATGTTGGGACTCGAACACAGCCTCCAGAATCATGTATTATTGTAGCAAGTACAAAGCGATGATCAACCTTGGTTTCCTTGGCTTCCTGCTGGATAGAATCATAGATTGTGCCGACCTCTTTCCCGGCACCGTTCGGCATCTTGCGTTGCTGACAGGAGCTGAAAATAGCTTTCTGGTTGTTGTTGAACCTATTTTTGTTAGCAATCGTAGTCAAAGTTGAGGTCTGGGTCTCACATGCGTTCGAACGAAGCCCATTGACTTTTCTTGGGGAAGCTAGAGCCATCTCCCAGATACAAAGTATACGAGTCTTTTCCATTTCCGACTCCGTCTTTGTTGTCGATGGAGATTTCTACGACTTTGGAGTTTGAGACCTGTCTGCCTGTTGCCACTGGGTCGAAGTCGAAGGTAGCATCCAATGGTTGGAAATTCCCGTCCTGGTGGCCGAAGAAGAGCTCATCTTCTCTTTCATTGATGGACACTTGATTGGCCACTCCTTCAAACTCAAAGGAAGTGATTGGGGAGTTGCCCTCGGCGCTGAATCCGAATCTCTCTGGCTGAGCCTTGATGCCACAATATGACAAGGGAAATGCAACAGTGACATAGTCACCTCCGCAAAGACGATCGCATCTAGCTCCTAATTCTTGGTCATCACAACTGGATTTTGTTCAGCGAAGTCGTCATGCACACGTATGGAGACATGCGATAAGCTACAGGCTGCAAGATCGTTGCCACTGAAAGGAAGGCGAGACCGCTCGCTTGAAACGTAGTGTCAATCGGGAGAAAATTAGGTTGAAAGAACTAATTAGGGCTGTGCGAAAATAGTAGAAATAACTGCAAGAGAGAATGAATTGGTTACGGAGGACTTTATATCATCTCCATTTGCGAGAGGTCCCCTCCTCGGTGGTAAGTTAATTCTCAGCAACTGCGCCAGGAAGCTTTGAAACATGCCCTGCACTGCAAGGCACTTGTCATTCTGAGAAAAGTAAACACGACTATGAAGATCATGTTACAATTAGGGAGGGATTGCGCAGCCCCACTCTCAGCAGGCAGACTACCTTCCAGAGTTTCTTGGAGAAGCTTTAGGCAAAACGCTGTAGGAAGTCCAAATTGCCAGCCACAATGGTCATCCAATGGATGAGCGCAAATGCAGCCATTTGGGAGCCGCCCACCAGACACGGCCCAAGTGGTTCTACTCATTTTTGGCGAGCTGAAAGGTCGTTGTCGTGAGCATCCTTTTTGGGGTAGATTGCGAGAAGGGGAGAAGAAGGAGGTTTGTTGGTCAGAGCCAGGTTGGCTTTCGCAGGATGACTTAGCACTGATGCGGCGAGCTGGATTGGTACAAGCTCGCTCGCCTCCTTTTTCAGTCCAAACATCAGTTCCCCTTCCTTCCAAGGTCTGCTTGGGCAACCTTTGCAAACCAAGTTTCAATCAACCTTATGAGGAACCCTCCAGTCTTTCTATCCTTGTTTATGAAGATGTCTCCTCGATCACTCTTGGAAAGCCGCTCAAGATGGTCAGATTAGTGACCTCACTGAGCTGTGACAGCCCCGCCTCTCAACGGCAACAACTGGGGAACGGCAATTGTCTATTCAAAGCTTGCATAGACTCCAGCCCTTCCGAAATCACTTGCTCCAGGATACTACCTCATTGGACATGAATTGATCGCTCAACATCAAGCAAACAACCCACCGAATGTGCGAGGTTGCACATTACGGGCGGTGGAACCGGGGTACCTCCAGCGTATTTCATGATACATATTCCAGGATATGCCCCTGAGAGCGACCCAGGCGTCACGGTGTATTTTCTTGTTGAGCATCGGGTTCCATGCACTTGGCTGACGTTTTGAATTGGATCAATATTAATACGGACAAGGCGGCGACCTACACCTGTCCCGGACCGGTTGTATGGACAGGTTGAACGGAAAAGAAGAAAGATCAGGAGGAGAGAAGGTGAGTGAAATATGAAATATATCTTAATTGAGATCATCAGGAATTTTCCGGGACCCATTTTACGCTTGTATATAGGATCATGAAAGCCTTGTTCTTGTCTTCTACTTTGGACAAGTCCGTGCATGAGATTTTAACCCCTCAATAACGGTAACGCTTTGAGAGAAACTTCATATTTATTTCATTGTTCTATCTACCCAATTAAAATGTACAAGGCTTGGTTATATGGGCGAAATTAATATGCAACCCCACACCACGGCAGATAGATTGAGGCTGAATTGGGAGATGCTGACCACGGAACAGCCATTCCGGGGCATATAAGAAGCTGAACATTTCACAATTGGCTTCGATAAGTGACTCAAAATGTCTCAGTGAGGTGTGGCCCCTTGGCCAACAAGAGGTGTTTCCCCTATCCTACCTGCCACCGCCGAAAAAAAGGGGCAGGGAAATAGGGGTAAAATAGGCGAGGACGAAGCCGAGAATCCGATGAGTAAGCGATTTCAATTGCAACCACAAGATAAACTCCGGAGAAACTCAATACCATCAAACTCTAGTTTAAACAAACTCACAACCATGAGAAAAACAAATGACCTGGTTCAAGGTCCAAGTATCCCTTCATCCGGTAAAACATAGTCCACGATAGCAGGTTGGCTCAGGGCGAAAAGGCGATAGATGACTAATAAGTTTATAAGCAAAGGTACGACTTTCCAGTGTGAGCCAGGCCCCTTGCTAGCGTGGACTATGTCTCACCGGACGAAGGGAAACCAACATCCCCTCAGCCCAGAGGAGGCCTGCCGACTCCTGGCCGTTGGCAATGATCGCCCAACCCGTTATTTTGGGTGTGACGTCGAACACGGCATCTCCACTCTTGGTCATTGGCAGAGCCAAGGTGGGGAGGAACAGTAGGTAAAGCTCTCTCATATATCTTCACTTCTCTTCTCAAGTCCGATACTTTATTGCGTAATGATGGCTGGCCTTGTCAAGAAGATTGAGATCAATTGTGATATGGGGGAGGGATTTGGCAGATGGAAAATGGTTCGTCTTCACCAATTCCCCCATCGATGAGCGGAGGTGTAACAAAAACCCCAGGGACCAGATGAAGAGCTCATAAAATACATCGATGTCGCGAACGTAGCCTGCGGGTTCCATGCCGGAGATCCAACACTCATGCTCAAGACGGTACGAATGGCCAAAGCCCATAATGTGAAAGTGGGAGCACATCCAGGTCTCCAAGACCTTTTCGGATTCGGCCGCCGCCGCATCGAAGTCGACCCCGAAGATATGTACGCGTCGATTTTATACCAGGTGGGGGCATTGAAGGCGTTTTTGGAAGCTGAAGGGGTCCCGTTGAACCACATCAAGCCGCACGGAGAGTTGTTCTTCTATATGCAGCGAGATGCCGTTATTATGGATGCAGTTTTACGCGCAGCTGCTGTTTACAAAGTCCCGGTCTACGCGTGTAAGAACGAGATGCAGAAGGAGATGTGTGCGAAATATGGACTGCCGTTTCAGGAGGAGCTATACGTGGATATCGATTATAATGCACAGGGAGCCTTGGTTCCTGTTGCGAAGAGCAAGAAAGCTACGCCGGAGATTATATATAACAGGGTGTTGGCGTGTGCTTTGAAGGACGAGAGGGATCATAATGAGCAAGGGGTCTTGAAGGTTGGGTTTGAGGGACGGCCGTTCAGTATTTGCATACATTCTGATATGCCTACAGCTTTGGACAATGCAAAAGCGGCAAGGAAGGCTGTGGGTGAGGCCAATGCGAAGCTGTTTTCAAAGTAACATGCGGAGAAGCAAGCTCATATTTAACACCTCACTCCTCGAGGTTTTCATTTCTCGAACATACACTCTCCCGGCCTCATATTTCTGAAATGGCGATGAAATTTTACTGGCGAACATCTCTCGGATTGAATCGGACTGAAAATGACACATCGAGGAGGGCAATTATTGGAAGGCACTGCGGGGAACCCTGAACGTTTCGGGAGAGGAAGTTGGCCGATCTTGAAAAATACTTGGGCGGGTTTTACTTGAGGTCCGGGCGCATTTTTTTTAGCGAGAACCACCAATGCAAATTGTCCCACCCACCATATAATTTACTACTGAATTTGTCCGCCTCGACATTATACACTCTCCAAAATATGTCTAAAACACTTTATTACATATGTACATATTGGAAATATATAAATTTATGGTATTAATAATATATTAGACTCCCCAAACAATTTCCCAGCCAACCAACGCCCTCCTAACCTCAACGATATTATATCCCTCGAACAGAAGCCCGCAGATAATACAGAACAAGATGGGCTAGCAATAATTGCAGAGGATGGAAGGTTTATGGGTTGGATTAATCGTACAGAGATATCTCAAGCTAGAGAGGGTACACGCGGCCGGATTAGCTCTGTGGAGCAGTTCCAATGGGCTTACGGAGGAGGAGCTTGTCGACGTGGTTCAGTAGTCTTTGATTAGCCATGGAAATTATTATCTCCGTCGTTATCGAGTACCTGCTGGGCACGCTTGAGGATCTTCGAAATTCGATAGTTAATTATACGCTGTGGGACCTTCATCTATTCCTCTTCCCAAGCCTTGAACATTTGCTCCTTGTTCTCCGGATAATGCTCCCTTTGACGAATCTGCTGGCGAATATACTTCCAAATCTGCTCGATTGGGTTGAGATCCGGCGATTGGGGTGGCCAGAGGAGTTGTATAATACCGTGTAAGTCGAGGATTGTCTTCGTATAATGTGACTTGTACGGTCCTGCATTATCCATAGCTAGTAATGGAGATCTGCCCTCCTTCTTGAGCTCCTTATACCACGGGAAGACCTTAGGCTCCAGGAAGAACTCGTTCAAACGATACCAATCAATACCATTACCCTTCTCCCGATCACCTCTTGTAAGCCTTCTCTTTTTAAGGAAAACGCCAAGTTGTGGAGCAGGTCCACGCCGCTTCTTCCCCGCCTTCTCTAGCTCCCTCTCCTCTTGTAGTCTCGCTGCCTCAAACGTGAGGGTATTCAACCTATCAAGCGGTTCGTTTCGAAATTGGAGGTCTTGATCTGCCGCGATTACTTCTTCCGGCGTTTCGGGAGGAAAGATATGCCATGGTCCTTGCCTCTTGCCGTAGCAAATGGCCCCAAAAAACTGCCTATCTGCAAACGTCTTTACTGTCTCCGTCCTTACGTCCTTGTATAATTCCTCCCCTTCCTTTTACCAGCATCTGTCTATGCCTTCGTCATGTAATCGAATTGCGGTAGCATCGAGGAAAATAATGTCTGAGAGGTCTAAATCGAGAAGCTTGCGGCAGAGTATCTTGCAAAGATCTTTGTAGAGTCGAGTTAATAAGGGCTTGGAAATTGTCTTCTTTAGGGAGTACCCGCGGCGGTAAAGAGCCTTCTTAATACTATCTTCGCAGAGGTCGATAGAATATTATCGTTTTAGCTCCTTTTTGTACAATTCGATATACTTCCGGCGCTCCTTGCGATTGCGTATAATCTTCTCGACTATCTTCCTCTCAACGGCTGGAGTAAGCTTGATGGGAGGATATCCACGCAGTTAATTGGCCACATTCGTAATATCTACAAGTGGGAAACCTCTTGTATTACCACTTCTAGTCCCTCCGGCACGTTCACGAGCTTTTTGACGTATTCTTCGTACGCTGCGATCATTAATTCCGGGCCATTTCGCTGCCTCCTCCGTAGATGAAGTCAAACCAATAGAATTAACAATTACTTGCCGCACACCGATATCTGACTGTCGACGATTGGTCTTCGTTTGCTTAGGAGCTTGTCCTTTGGTTCTGCAAATCTTTTTGGGCATAATTAATAGTGGTTGGTTGCTCAATTAATTAAGAAGACGCGTGTTTACATGGTTGTTTACATCAAAATTGGTGTTCCTCGCTTACCACACTTCAGCCCGGACCTCAAGTAAAACCCGCCCAAGTACTAACCCCAGATATTCCCGAGCAACGTCACTCTGCTTTCATCCAATCTGACACAACTATTTGTCAATCGCCCCCTTTTGCAGGCGCTATCTCTTATCGCCAAGGCACATGGATGCCGACGTAAGTGGGACTTTCAACCGCGGAAAGCAATTCAAGACACAGCTCTCAAGAATTCTTTCCAACGACTGCCTCACTCTTTAGACAGGAAAAGAAGTAAAGATGGACTACAGGTTCTCACACATAAAGAAGGTGCTCGTTGCCAACCGAGGAGAAATTGCAGTTCGCTGCATCCGAGCTTGTAAGAAAGTCGGAGTCAAAAGCGTTTCAACTTATACTGAATCTGATTCCACCTCATTACACGCTTCACTCGCAGATGAAAACATTCTTCTGCCCGGAGAAAATGCGAATGGTTATTTAGACGCGTGAGTGTCTCCCCAGCTCCCTTCAAGACTTGATCTAATCAGTACCAGAGATGAAATTTTGAAGACTTGCAAACGTCTGAATGTTGATGCAATCATTCCCGGCTACGGTTTCCTCAGCGAAGATGCACCTTTTGCCCAGAAAGTCGTGGATGCGGGTATGGTGTTTGTTGGGCCGAGTCCGGAGTCCATGACAGAGATGGGACAGAAGCATCGTGCGAGAGACCTGGCTGTTGCTGCTGATGTCCCCGTGGTGCCGGGCACTGAGTTACTGGAGTCAGAGACGGCGGCTCTAGAGGCTGCGAAGAAGCTCGGGTTTCCGGTATGTCAAGCTGTTGAACTTGATTACACTCAGCTGACTTGGTAGATCATGCTGAAAGCAACTGGAGGCGGTGGTGGAATGGGGCTACAGGTGTGCCACAATGAGGAAGAAATCTCTGCTGCATTCAAGAAAGTGAAGAGCAGGGGAGAGACCTTGTTCAACAATTCAGGGGTATTCCTCGAGAAGTATTATCCTGAGAGTCGTCATATTGAGGTTCAAATCTTTGGCAATGGCACCGACGTTGTTCATTTCGGCGAACGAGAATGCAGCATTCAAAGACGGCATCAGAAAGTAAGTACTCATTCAGCGGACTTATCCGAAATGCTAAATAGTGCAGGTCATAGAAGAGTGTCCCAGTTCCTTCGTCCAGAGGCGACCATCCATGCGCGAAAAATTGGCCAAATGTGCTACCGCTTATGCTTTGCAACTGAAGTATAAGTCAGCTGGCACGATCGAGTTTCTCGTCGATGACAATACCGGGGATTTCTTCTTCCTGGAGATGAACACTAGGCTCCAAGTCGAGCATGGAATTACTGAGCTTTGTTACGGCATTGATTTGGTAGCGCTCATGCTGCAGCAAGCGGACTGCGAGAAAGGAGGGAGGACGGGTCTTTCATCCGAATACTTGCACTCGCTGCAGAAAGATGGTCCAGACGGAGCAGCAATCGAAGTTCGAGTGCATGCTGAGGTACCTTTCAGAAATTACGCACCGAGCCCTGGACTTTTGCAGTATGTTGAGTGGCCGGCAGGAGATGGGATTCGGGTGGACACATGGGTGAAGACGGGCCAACGGATTGCTCCTTTCTATGGTAAGTTTCTCGAGCCTGGGAGACAACTTATGGAATCTAACTATTACAGACCCCTTAATTGCCAAAGTCATGGTTCGTGCTAGCGATCGCGATGGGGCGAGCAAGAAGATGACTAGAGTCTTGTCTGAAGCCAAACTTCAAGGCCCCCCAACAAATCTCCACTTTCTGCGAGATGTTGTCGCATCAAATTGTAACTTTTTCATTCCCCAAATATAGATCAAAGTCTTTTTGCTAACGGTTAGTGCAGCCTTCCTCGAGGGAGATACGTTGACGAACTTTCTTGAGACAAAATTCAAGTACGAACCTTGTGCGATAGATGTTCTCTCCCCCGGATCATTCACAACCATTCAAGACTTCCCCGCCAGAGCCACGAGCGGCCACGGAATTCCGAAGGGTGGGCCAATGGACAATGTTTCTTCCAGAAGTGAGCTCCCATCTCCCAAAACGTCCGTCGTTAGCTAATGCATCCAGTTGCAAACATCCTGGTGGACAATCACCCAGGCACAGAGACACTTGAAATTACCCTGTCAGGTCCCGAACTTCTCTTCACAGCGCCAGCAGTTTTCTCGGTGACCGGATCGCCAGTTCCAGTGACTGTTGATGGCGAGGCACAGCCAATGTGGTCCAGAGTGATCATCCAAGCTGGACAGAAGCTGAAGGTAGGGAAAGTTGAGAATGGCGGCTGTAGATGCTATCTCGCTGTCAAGGGAGGGTTTCCTGAAATGTAACAGACCTACCTGCCTTAATCTTCGTGTACTGCTGACTCCAGCAGCCCTCCGTACCTTGGATCTAAAGCCGGTACTCCTAGCCTGGCATTTGGAGGAACACAAGTTAGTCTGCTGACATTTTACCATATAGAATATTGATTTAGATAATAGGGACGTCAACTCCAAATGGGCGACTGGATCGAGCTCGACCCCTCGACGAAACAATGGGCTCAAACATCAATGCCATACACCCTTCCCAAATCTTGCGTCCCAAACTACGATATCACAGAAATATACTGCATGCACGGTCCCCACGACTCCGACGACTTCATGACCACCAAAGACCGCCTAATGCTTTACAATACAGCCTGGAAAATCGGCCACAACTCAAACCGCACCGGGATCCGCCTCGTTGGTCCGGTTCCAGAGTGGAGTCGAAAAGATGGCGGAGAAGGAGGCTCGCATCCTTCTAATGTCTTCGATTATGGATATCCGTCGCCGGGAGGGATTAATTGGGGTGGTGACTCAGCTGCGATTTTCTCGATGGATAGCCCTGATCTTGGTGGACTCTTATGCTCGAGCACCATCGTTTCAGCTGATTTGTGGAGATTGGGTCAGGTAAAGCCTGGTGGATATTTGAGATTGAGGCCGACTACTTTTGAGCATGCACGTGAGCTTGCCGGTCGTGTTGAGACATTCATTGAGGGTATTCATGGCCTGGTGGATGGCAAGTCAGAAGCAGTACCTAGCCTGAATCTTGATCTTCCTCCTTCAGGCTTAGAGCACGGGACATCAAATGCGATTATCAAGAGGATTCCTGGGGAAGGCGAACGATTCCAGGTGGTATACAGACAGGTATGTTGCCCTAGACTCCTTTGACTGTTCCCTGCTCACACAATCAGGCTGGCGACTCCTTTTTTCTCGTTGAAATTGGGAAGCAAACTTGTGATGTCAGAGTCACCTCTCGAATACGACTCTTGGTTCAAAAACTGGAAGCCTTGAAGCTGAATTTAGTTATGAATCCAAACATCGGGTGTAAGTAATATTCACAAGTCACTATGGGGCCCACTAATTATCGAGCAGCGGTCATGATCCAATTTGACGCGAACGCTATTTCTCAGAACAAACTCCTCAAAACCGTCATGGATCTGGAAGCCTCTATCGAATACTCAACGGACATAAAAATCCCCTGTCGAGAGATATATCTTCCTGTCGTCTTTGACCATCCAGATATCCGTGCAAGCGAGCAAAGGTACATGGAGACGAATAGACCAACAGCTGCATACCTACCTGACAATGTAGAATATCTCCGAACAAACAATGGATACTCCACTCGCCAGGAGGTTTTCCAGACCCTACTCAAATCCCCGTACCTCATCGTGGCCGTCGGCTTCTTTGTTGGGACCCCAATTCTCTTCCCCTTAGAACCGATGAGCGGTATCGTAGGCCAGAAATACAACCCCACACGAGTCTCAACACCTGGCGGGACAATCGGTATGGGCGGGTCCCTCTTCGCCATCTACCCTCTCGAAGCGCCAGGCGGATATATGCTCGTAACCAACCTATTTCTTTGTTCCATAATCCGAGATCCCTATTTCACTGGTCTTGAGAATGAGATATGCTCTCGGCTCTCTTCCCTCCACAGGAATTTGTTGCTAATTCGTTGCAGTTCGCCCGAACCATGGAGTGCTGGGACACCTTTGGAAATGGCCCTAGCTTCACGCCCACTCGGCCCTGGCTCTTCGAGCCATTCGACATCGTGCATTACCACGAAGTCAGCGTCGCCGAATACGACAAGTTAATGCTTTCTTACAAGCGCGGAGAATACAAGTTCGATATCCGGGAAGGGGTCTTCAGTCTCCATGATGTGTATGAGATTTTTGAGAAATCGAAGACAGACCCCAAAGTTATGGCGTTCAGAGAAGGGCAGAGGCAAGGAGTCGAGCAAAATCTTACCCTAGAGAAGAAGCTATATGGAGAGTGGGTTGCTGAGCAAGAAGCTGAGAAGAAGAGGGATGCGGAGAGGGTGAAGGAGATGATGGAGGCGGAGCCGTCAATTACAATTGACAGCCCAATCGATGCGAATGTGTGGAAGGTGTTGGTTGAGGTGGGTGATGTGTTGAAGGAGGGACAAATAGTGGCAATACTGGAGGCAATGAAGATGGAGATCAATGTTTTGTGTACAGAAGAAGCGGGAGGCACAGTGGTCGAGGCGATTGCGAGTAAACCCGGAACTGTAGTAAGTCCAGGAGCCTGGATTATAGTTGCGAAGATAGATGAGAAGTAGCTGCTTGTGGATTCTTTCCAACGAAGTCTTCCGAGTTCGAACCCCCCACTGCAGCTTCCTTGCTATCTTGTGAGGTCATATCATAGATTGCGGGTAGTGCGTCCGATCAAGGGTTAATATGAACATGCCCATCTTTGTCGAAGGGTTACTTTGCTGAGGCGATTCCTGAGAACAGAAAAGGTATGATTTCAGAAGAAAACTCTTCTGTCATGCCACACAGGTCCATCGTCAGGGCCTCCGTATTGTTGCACACATTGAACCACGGCCTCGTGTTTAGTCTGCCATTGAGGTTCCTCGCACACGGCTGTGAATACCGCTCTCGACTTTTCAAGGATGAAACCGCCCACTGTTCCCTCTTCTTTCACGACGATAGTTGCCAGATCGAAGATTTCTTGGAACTTAGGAGGAAGGCATTGTATGCCACCTCTTCGGTGAAGACAAAGCGCGCGACAACAATTGTGGTTGAGATAACATGCATTTGAAGTAGTATCGCAACGTGGTGGCTCTTGGACCCAATGTTCCCAGATTGTCGGGTAGATTCAAAGAGACACTGGAAAGCTCGTAACCATGGAGAGATATTCTCTGCAAACTCCTTTTGTTTTGCTCGAATGGTGTCAGAGACTCTATATGAGGCTGGCTAAATCTGACAATACAGACGCGGTTGTACAGTACAGTCTGGGCCATTGCGATCATCGCTTCGAAGCTGAAGGGTTTGATCCTAGCTTTCACGAGATCTCTTTCGCCGCGGGTACTTCCGGGAACATCATGTGCCATATGAATTGGATTCTAAAATAGATGCACGCCTTTCCCGAGAGCATCGCTATGAGCATGTTCCTTGAGTTCTCTTCGCTTGCCATCAACATCCGAGTAAGTTGAACTTGAAATTATCCTGAACACGATTCTAGCTAAGCATAAATAGCAACGCCTGAACGAAATTCGTGCAGTTCAAAGGCAATTGGACGCCAAAGACGTCAGTCACGACAAGGAATCCATCTTCCACAGCCTTTTGCAAAGTGATCAGCCCGAAATTGAGAAGACGCCAGAGCGACTGGCTCAAGAATCCGTTCCTCTTGCAGGAGCCGGAACGTATACAGCTGCTTGGGCAATGACTGTTGCCACATTTATCTACTTCCTCAGCCAAACACGTTCAAAAAACTGAAAGACGAGCTAGAAGTAGCACTCCCGAATCCCTTGGCTCATGTAGCACTCGGTGCATTGGAACAGCTTCCATACTTGACTGCTGTCATCAAAGAAGGACTACGTCTCTCACTTGGCCTTTCTAGCAGACTTCCCAGAATCATGGTCGATAAAATCATCAAGTTTCAGAGTTGGGAAATTCCAACGGGAGTTCCAGTGAGTATGACAATCCCCCTCGTACATCTTAATGAAAAGACCTTCCTGACGCCCGCTCCTTCTATCCTGAACGGTGGGTTGGGACAAGTCGGGTCATCATGACAGGTACTTGTGCTCCTTTTCGAAAGGGTCGCGCAATTGTCTCGGGATCAATCTGGCTTGGGCTGAGCTATACATCGGCATCGGTACATTGTTAAGGAGGCTTGGAAAGTTAGAGGTTCGCGGATCCTCGGACCTTGGACGTATGGAGCTATTTGAGACTAATGTGGGCGACGTCGAGGTTGCGGATGGTCTCTTCCCACTTGTAAAGGCTGGGTCGAAAGGAGTGAGAGTGAAGTTATTCAAGTAGAGTGAAGAAGAAGCTCTTGATCATCCCCCCGAGTGGGCGCGCTAGCGGGCGCTAGAAGGGTTCACCACCAACCGCCCAAACCACCTTCCCGCCCAAGCAAAAAATCGATTTTTCTCTCACCGTTTATAATATTAATAATTAACTAAAATCGATAAAAATAGATTTCTGTTACTTGTTAATACTATCTCTCTTAATTATAGGAATTTTCATAAGAGGACTTATTTTAATTATTCTTTTATATTGCTTTAAAATTCTTAAAATATAAATAAAAACTTAGTTTTATAAATAATATTAATAATATTTCTTACTTGAAAAAATAAAATTGTGATTAAAGAGTATATTTGTTAATTAAAACTTAACAAAGTATAAAATTATATTAATAATTGATGAATTAATATTAAAGTTGAATTTTGGCTTGGGCGGTTGGTGGGTGAACCCTTCTAAAATTTAGCGCAAAATCTAACCAAACTTCCAACCGAAATCAAGACCAATTTCCAGGATGTCATCGTGGCCAACAATTCCTATACACAGCGCAAGATGTATCTGGTCTCATTAACATCTCCGCGAACACGAAGTCATTGAAACTATATTCTGAGGTGGAGATGACTGGGGGAGCACAACGACGATACGGCTTAATGAGGCTTCGGTGGAGTCTAGATAGACTGGAGATGCTGCGGCCATCTCTAGTATCGACTATACGACCTTGGAGCACCCCTTCATAGACGAGATATCGGACAACCCTTGATAGCGGCCGTTTTTAACAATGGAACATGCCACTGGGCAGTTGACGAAGCCGACCTGGACCTTGGGGTTGCGTGAGCATTTCGAGACATTTTTTGATTGACTGGAGGCTCTTGCTACAGGGGCAATGCAACACAGTAGAGAAATTGTAGCTTTCTCGGATGGACCTTCTTCGACCATATTCTAACATCGAGCCAGACCGATTTGACAGCGGCAAACACAACAGCCGTCGCTCCGTCATCATAAAATGAGGACAGGTCTGTGGTAGAACACGAGGGTGACGCTGGTTTCTATCCAAGCTACATGAGGCCACGTGCTTGAATCTTTCAAAGGGGACGAACCTGCCATCTTTCAGATGAAAGAAATTCTCTTATGTCTATTATATTTTCCTGGAGGTTTGTGGATATTCTCTACGCCATTGTCCTAGCATACAGAGGATAGCAAACACATCCCGTTGTTCAGGGTGTTTGGGAGTTCTCTGCCCTGGAATGTCCAAGTAGACGTCTCGGGAAACCTGAAATTCACACAGTCCGGCGCTTTGAATCACAGAAGTCAGTCAAGGACGAACGCTCTTTCCCACTAAGGGAAATTTTGGATTGGGCTTTGAGAATTTGCCAGTGTGGCCCAGGGGTTACGTACTGCTAGGCTATAGTGTACCAACCGTATTCGACACGGCCGCGGTGCCAAACCGTGAGATATAAAAAATACCTCTTGTGTATTGGTCAATGATTTGTTGACTCCAGTATGAAAGGAGAGCTCATTACATCTCTTGCCAAGTGACAAGCGGCAGTGCAAACAATTGAGAGCTGCATGATTGCGTATCACTTGAAGTTGGCTTCAAAATTCCACTACGTACAGATTACCCTTTTAGGAACTTTTCGCTTCATGTTCTCGCTGTGGATTGGCCGTAGCAGAGGTCCAGATAGCCTACGCCCGTAACTCCCAATAATTCCCCCGATGTGGCGCAAGCTGCGCCCAGAGTTTCTACCCAAGACCACACCTTTGAATGCTTTATTACAACAATTGATTACGCGGATTTCGGAAGTGTTGCTTTCGCATTCGCTTATTCCTTGGCAAGCCTAGGAGTATTGTTTCGATGACGCCGCACGATATCCTTTATATTTGAGAAATCCCAGAAATCGCTCCCGAGTATTGAACCTTACCCTTCCAAAGTGATATTGTTCTGCCTATCTTCTGCTCTTCATTGCGAAATTTCATCTCAACCCTCGATATGCACCACCACGTTTCTCAAAACTGCACTGAGGTAACCCCGCTCTGCCCGGTCGAGAATACCATCTACGGATATGCCCCAAACCTTGGCTTGAATGCCTTCTTCATCGCTATATTTGCGCTCTGTGCTCTAGCTCAATTCTTCCTGGGGACGAGATATAAAACATATTTCTTTGCTTATGTCGTCACTATGGGCTGCATAGGCGAGGCTACTGGTTACGGAGGGCGTATAATCATGCATTCAAACCCAGTATATATCCCCATTCAACGAATCTCGTTTGGTGGTAGGTACATTGCTGATAGCAAAATAGTATTCATCGCTCGGGTTCAAAATCCAGATCTCCTGCCTCATCTTCGCCCCAGCCTTCATCGCAGCAGGCATCTACCTGACTCTCAAACACATTGTCCTCGCCTTCGGCCAAGATAGAAGCAAGATCCCGGCTCGTTACTATACCTGGATCTTCATTTCCTGCGATTTCATTTCCTTGATGCTCCAGGCCGTAGGAGGTGGCTTCGCCGGTAGTGCCGAGAACGACGTGAAGTTGAGAAATATTGGGACAAACCTGATGATTTCGGGTATCGTGTGGCAGGTAGCGACTCTGATCGCGTTTGCTGGATTGGTCATCGATTACATTATTCGAACACGACGAGCTTGGAATGGTGTAACTCCTGAAGCTAAGAGTCTCCTGAGGCAGAGAAAGTTCCGCGGGTTTCTGGCGGCTGTGGCTATCGCGTTCGTGACGGTCTTTCTGAGATGCGTGTACCGTATTACAGAGATGGTGGGAGGCTGGGCAAATCCGATTATGAGGGATGAGATTGGTTTTGATATCATGGAGGGAATGTATGTCATCCCTTCCCAAATCCAAGGGAACAATTGCTAACAATCGAACTTTAGCATGATCATTATCGCTGTCTTAGCCTTGACATTCTTCCATCCTGGCTTTTGCTTCCCTCAGTTGGCGGGCCAGCAAAGAGCGAAGGCTCCACCTGAACTTGAATCTTTAGATGAAAGCGATGCCGCACTTCGAGAGGAGAAGATCCAAGAACCGAAGCCGGTTCAAATCTCAACAATTAAGGAGTAAAGCAGCATACCGATTACTCTCAAATAGTAGGTGCTAGAATGACAAAGGCGACTTCGAACAATGAGGGACAGCACATTAATGATATACTGTAGAATATAGTGAAGTAGAACTGTTGCGAAATATTTCCCGAGCGAATTTTGCCGAGTCAGCTACGTTCTCGGTCTTATATGGTGGGGGGCTGACATCTCAACCCCTCCTCTCATTCTTTATCGTCAGCTTCTGAACTTCAACGTTGAAATTGAACATATATATAAATGAGTATCGTGGGTGCCATCATAGCATTTTCAACTATATCCTTTCCGGATTTTGTTAGTTTTGAAAAGATTACCTTGAATCTTTCAAAATGCCTACCCAATCATACTTCAACAAATACCCCTCATTTCCCAGCGACGTTACGACTGCTCAACTTCCTCGCCTGTCATTCTCAAAGAATCTGAATTATGAGAAGGCAGAATCTGATGCATTCTTCAAGGTATGCAGGACCATGGCCTTCTTTCTGCTAGATTTTCAAGGGAGCTCTGAAGGAGAGCATTTCTTGAAGAAAGCCGAGGCTATGCTTAATTTAATTAGGAAGTCAACGCTAAGGATGTTGATGAGTTGATGAAATATGCGTATCAGCCGCTTCACTCATTACTTGGGCAAGTGGCTAGTGCTAGTTCCAATGCTCCTCCTTTCCCAATGGGGTCAAAATTCTTGATTGATCCAATCCATATCCTCAATCACTTACTGCATCAGATTCAACCTAATCGGCAACCTCAAAATCGAAGACGGCCGTCCCAACGGCATGCAACTCTACAACATCAGCCAGGACAACATGACCGACACCTCAATCCCCTATCAAATCCACCCTCCATCGAAGCTTACCGGTCTGAAATAAAAGCATACGTGAAGCAAGCATATCCCATCGTCTCTCTCATATGTTCCCATCTCGATAGGCGACTCCATCTCCCTCCAAGCACACTAATCTTGATGTAGCCCACGACCTGCCCTTCAGGAACACATCTCCGCAGGCTGCAGTAGCCTCCTCAACCAATTGGCGATCAACGCACCAGTCTCCTCGGACACATAGACATCGGAACACTAACCATCATCTTCAACGTCACAGGCGGTCTACAATTACTCAATCCAGGCGTAGACTCAAAAGATGAGGGCAGCTGCATGTACATCCATCTTGTCCCAGGTGCACGATCGTCAACCTCGACGAGGCGATGGTAGAGCGGAGCGGTGGGATTCTGCGAAGCAATATGAATTGTGATACTTTTGCGCCGGGGGGACAAGGTAGAGCTGATAGGTGTAGCCTTGCGTATCTGGTGCGGCCGGATAGCGATGTGCTAATGAAGAGGCGGGTGGTGGGGACAGCTTGATTCCGGGATTGGAGGAGAGGGAGGAGGATAATGGTTCTCAGCGAGGGAGTGAGAGGCGCAGAAAGCGGGGGCCCTTGAGTCGGGAAGGGACAATGCGAGGAGTAGAGCTGGAGAGAGAATGTGGTTGGGCAGTAGGAGCAGGAGCCGCTTCGTGGGTCTTGTCAAGTAATGCAACATCGATCAATTGAGGAACGCAGTCTTGTACAGCCTATTTCTCACACAAATCAGCAAGAAGAAAAGACGTAATTATCTTCAATCTCTGGTGCCCTTCCTTAATCGTTGCTACTTCTTAGCCCCTAAGTCGATGGACAGCTCCAGCGACCCCGTTTCCGTACTCGGACCCTCAACTTCTCCTATTTCCCCACTACCTTCGTAAGACTTACCAAAACACCACAATGCTGAACCAAGAAAACTGCTTCTACCACTTTCTCCTCCCAATCAAGTGATAGATTGACAATAGGCTCCTACCCGACTCACCTGACGCAATATTCCGGCTTGCAGAATTCGTTTCAAGCCGGCAGTCTGCCAAACACCTCCACACCATTCTTCCTTCTCCCAAGATATGGGCTAAGCAAGGCACAGCGACAAACAACCCCGCAGCACATGTGGCAAAAGCAAACGCCAAGCCTCGTGCCTTGTTTTCCTTTAACAATTGACACGAGGCAGTATCACGTCAAGCACGAGCCAGCGTGACGGGAGAGGGCAGATCTTCCTCGTGTCTGTTGCTATCCGTTTTCTCCGACAACAGCGACAGTCTCTTTCATTTTAATCTGGATGCTGTGTAATGAGTATGGTGATGATCGAGGTCCAAGGCATCCTCATTGTTCCAGTCATGAGATGCTTGAGTTTGAGTTTGATAACAAGGAGAGAAATACGGAGTTGGAATGTATAAATACCACCTCTCTCGTCTCAAGTATCGGACCGTCATCAGCAGCACAATCTTATCCACTTCAACTTACCCAAGCTAACTTCAAACACCAAAGCACCACCAACCGCCACAATGCGTTTCCCAACCCCCCTCCTCGCACTCCTAACCCTCCTTACCCTTGCCCTCGGCGCTCCATCCTCCCTCAAGCCCCGCGCCACCGACGGTTAGACAATCCAGGACTTCATTCGCGATTGCCGGGACGAGAATATCTGCATCTACGGCTTCACCCTCGATATCTATGGCTTCGCCCAAGAGCATTGCACCATCATTGACGTCGTGGAGCTGGGTCCGGCGACCACGCATTCTTGGTACAATGTCCCTTGCGAAGAGGTACGTCAATCTCCTTCCCTTGGCTTTAGTGCCTCTCCTATCCAGCCACGTCCCATCCCATCCCAGCACCCGAGTCCCATTGTGAGAGAAGCGCTAAAAGCACACAAAGTTCCCAGATTGCCACATCTCTTGGGGATGGAACTACGACGGCGACTTCACGGTCATGACCGTCGTCCACGTGCCGACGCAAGAGGTGGCGTACTTCGGGTATGATCATCCTAATGTTGGACTCCCAGTCGTTCAGTATCCGGATGTGGGGCCGTATGCTGTGGGGTGGACTGGGGCTCCAGCTTGAGTTTCCACTGGGAGACGGAGAGAGCGGAAGGGGAAGGTGGGAGGGGGGAAGAGAGGAAGGGAAGAGAGAGAAGGAAGGAGGAACGAGTGTGGCAGCTTTAATTGTGATTTGATTAGAAAGAAGCTGGTTCGCGAATGGCACTGGCCATTATATTTCCTGCACTTCGTTCAAAAGTGCAATATGAAGTTAAAGGATCAGATCAAAACCCATAATCACAGCTCAGGATAAGATTAAAGCTTCTTTCTCATTCATAACATAACTCGTAATCATCCTAGCCACGGCGCCAGTGAAACTGCACGAACTCCAGACGCAGACTTCCAAGTTCAGATAAACCTTCCCTTATCAGAACTTCCACATGTACAAAACCAGAACAAATAAGTACCTGCCACCCTATGCAACGGCATCTATAATGCAGCGCCGCCCGATTACCAAAACGCCATGGATCCATCCGTCCAACAATCCACAATGGGTATATATGGCTCCAAGCCAAAAGCAGCCTCCTTTCGTGTGCTGGGGCCGGTTTCGACAATGCGTTGTCTCCGTACTCCCCCATGCAAAATTCCAAGTCAGTGGCTCAGGCTCTTTCTTGAGCCAGGGCCGTGCCTTCTACGCCTACTGGCAGTTGCGGCGGCCATTCCTACAAATGCTTGATCGTCGTTCGAGCTCTCTCCGTCGAACTTCTCATGGCCGACTGTGATTATCTTGATGACGTTACCCAATCCCACAGCAATGCTCCTATTGCCTATTTTCTGCAGTGGCCCAAGACTATTGACCAGCAGATTTCCCTTTTCGTTGTACCCACAGAGGGGAGTGACGGCTCTCTCGCCACGAGAAGAGATTGACCAAACTTCCCACGAATCTTCGGCTTCCTGAGCTTGGAGGCGAAGAGATTGAGGGCGGCTCGCGCCTCGACGTCGAAGACCGATGTTCGCAACGGGATGAGAAGAAGCCGCAATGTCCTTTGGCGCCTCAACCTTCCGCACTCCCACCAAGTAGCCAACCTTCAACGCCTCCCATCGACCTGGATTTCCAATCGTGTACCGATGCTCCACTGTTTCGCGCCAGAGACAACAGGTCTTACTTCCCGGAGTGAAGGGATCTCGAAAGCAGATTGTATCGCCCTCACGCTGAGGGAGGTAGCTCTGCATAATGCATTCACCGGTCTCTGCACTCGTATATGCAAGAGCAAGGCTCGCTAGTCCTACTGAGCCACATTGAGGTCTCCTGCGGGTAGAGTGGATACAGCGAAGAGAGTCCTGCTTCATCGGCTTGGTGTGGAAAGTGTGTGTTACCCTGTGCGTCTCAACATCGATGAGCTCTACCGTGTGATCCCTAATGGCGAGAAAAGAGCTCAATGCAGGGAGCGGTAGGATGGAGAGAACTTCTTTGTCGTCTGCCGGATTCGGGACTTCGAGGCCTTCCGAGATCCAACCTGCTTCAACATGCTTGGCTACATGGATGCACCCACGTTTCGATGAGGTGATTATTCGAGCTGGTGGATTTGGCAAAGTAGCATTTGGCTTCTCAAGGTGTTGACGAACACTGACAAGCGGACTGCGGCATATCTGGAGCTCAACGACCTCCCCACTTTCGACGTGAAGCTCAGACATCAATCCGTTCTGCCGGACCACAAATACAGGATCGATAAATTCGGTTGCGTCGTGGCCAAAGAAGAATGCTACTGGAATACGCCCTTTGACGTCGACGTGGATCGAAGGCCCCCATCTTCCTTCCGGGATGTTCCACAGGAATACTCGATTCTGGGAGGACAGCACAGCAAGCCAGTTCGAGTCACTATCGATGGAGATAGCTAACACCGGAAACGGGTTGATGTGTGACTCTGGATCTTGCACAAGATAGGTAACTGTATCTTTGCGAACGTCCCAGATGCGGATCCACCTATCCAAGCCTACTGAAGCAATCACTCCTTCTTTTGAGGCTGCAAGAAGCATGACATCGAGGTTGTGGCCTTTACTCAATGTCTTGATAGATAGTAGGGGGTCATCCTCAGGTCTGGTCTCTTCCTCTCCAGGCGACTCATCCCAAAGGAGATAATTCATCAGAAGCGAGACTGCCGCAACAATTATGACGACGGTGATGAGGAACGTGCCACCTTGATTTCTTACAAAATCGTAAGCGGCGGGGAGGAATCTCCGAACTCCAGCGCTGGTGGGGTTCCGATCGGAGCCGTCCATAACAAATATTAGTGGGTCGTAAACGCGAGCAATGTAGCTGTTAGCATGCGGTTTGATGACTTGAATAACCTCATGTGCAGTCTCGTGGTCCTGCATTCGAAGCCACGCAGAGGGTGTCCTCGCCTGGTTGATGTCGGCCGAAAGTGGAGTTGCGGCACTTTCCTCGAGGGGCTGAGGCTCGGACTTCATCAACCGGAAGAATCTTGATGCCGTTCGGAACAAGCTTTCGTTGTCAAAGAAATGCCATTGTGCAACGAGAACAAATCCTACAAGCACGATTGTACCTGCTATCCGTGTAGAAAAGGGTGCCTCTCCCCTGAGGAGAGCATCTGTCCAGGTTTTCCTTTTTGGAAATTGTGGATTCAAAGTCTGTTCTTTCGGGGTGGATGCACGTTGCAGGGAATCACTCAGCTCTGTCCGCCGTACGTCGATGCTCAACACGGCAGAAAAGAAAGTCAGGAGGTAGAAGAAGTCGAATGACAGGGCGATTGCTGCGAAGGTGCAGAAGCTGACAATTTGCGGAGACACGACCTTCGAAAGCAGCCATAGAATAACCAAATTTTGAGTGACTCCAGCCAGAGCAATATGACCAGTCTGGCCTAATGCTTCGCCCATTCTCGCCGCGGCAGAGTGCTCCGGTGGAGTCATAATAGCAGCGTTGATAAGCCTGAATATATTCTCCATCCCGACTGTGAGAACGACAAGGGGATATGCCTCTCTCGGTATCTTTGATAGGTCGATCTTGAATACAGCGCAAATTGTGAAACTCGACATAATCGATACTGCGATTTGGCTCACGACAGCGAGGATGAGACCCACCCGAGATCGCAAGGCGCGGAGTCTGGACAAGCCATGTGCAAAGTAGATTGCCATCATGGCATATGCAATTCCGAGTAGGAGATTGTCTTGGAAAGAGAGAGGCTGGAAGCGAAACTCGTACAAAGTACTGGCGAATGAGCGACCACTGGGAGGATACAATTGCCATTTTTCGGACCCCTTGAGCCCAAGTGCTTGGGCTTTCCGTTCCCACTGCTTACCTACCGGCGAATCCAGCATATGAACCAAAGTAATGACCAAGGCGTCGGCAGCGACTAATCGGTGATCTTCAAAGCGCTTTCCACTAAAAACGATTGAGTGTCGAAGAGTAACATTGACAAACGTTGCTTGACGGGAACCATGGTTGACCGTGGCTATAATATCTTTATCTCCAGCAATTTTATCTGCTGAACAGGACCAGTATTGTAGAGGAGAATGAAAGAACCAAGAGGAGTTGCTCAATCCGTTGATGGCGTGTAGAGTATCGCGCATGTCCGTAGTCAAGTCCACCGATGAGTTGTCAGGATAGACCGGATTCGATGGTCTTCGGGGGTCGAAATCCATTGTGGGGCCGAGTAATTCATCTTGTATATCTAATGCGTTCAGAAGAACGTTCGGTTCTAATGCTTTCATATAACTCCCTGCAGGGTATTAGCAACGGAAACCACAATATACGAAGGTTCCTCATACCATGGACCCACATTGACCGCATAACCACATCCGGTCGCGTATTGGCAGGGCCTTCAAATGGCTGAGCTGATGTCCAGACATGATGGGGTAAGTTTGACGCGCCATTAGTGAAGTCGTTGGTGTAGAGGAATGGGAAAGGGTAGATTAGGATGACAGCGGTAGCTATTGAGATTAAGAGAGCTATAACGGAGTGGCGCGCTGCATTGTTGCCATAGCGGGTGAAAGCAGATCGCAGGGGATGTTTTTGATCAAGGACTGGTGCTTCCGTTGTTCTGCGGTAGAAATTAGCAGGTTGCTTGGAGACAACAGTGCGATTGGCAACGTACCCACGAAATGGATACAACAAATACCAAATCATCGAGGCTGGATTGTCGGCAGCTTGGCCTGCTAGCAGAAGAGAAGCGGTGCCCAGGGCGGTAGCTTAGACCGGTTAGCGAACGAGCAACACCTGATTGAGAAATATATGCGCCTGCATGAGGTGTGTCCTAGCAATCGAGTTGATGTCTGGTGTTTGGCCGGCCAGGTTCAAGCTGCGCGACGCTTTGCAACCATGATGGGGTGTTGTTGCAAGTATCATCAACAAGCTGACAGTTCTTGATAGCCCAGTCTATCAATTGGGGCATGGCACACAAAGGGCGATGGCTCGTTGATGGAAGTTCCGTCAAGGCAAAGTTGACAGCAGAAAGTTCTGGTTGTCGGGTCCATCAAGATTACGATCGAGACGAGACGAAGCGAGGGCCAAGGTGGTCGAAATGCGGGACAGCTGCGACACCGGCAAATCAGGGACAGAGCCAGAACCAGAACAAACACCACTGGGAAGGCCCCAAGTATTAAACAACGCTCGCAGCGAGAGCGAGCAGTCCTCGAGCAGACCGGCAGCTCGTTTGTATATCAATCGCCTTTCCAATGAGCGAGGCAATCCAATCCAGCATACGAGGCTTTCCTTAAGGCCGGGAACCAGCAGTGCGGGCCTCGGCGGCTGTGGCACGACACACAGACCAGACGAAACAAGGAACGCTTCCCACTCACTGTTTTCTGCTCGAGTGCCCGCCCTCCAACATATCGCAAGTAGTGAAGCCAACAGCGAAGGCAAAATGGTGCCAACCACGCCTTTGAGTCCTCCTGGCATGGAAGCCGAGCCTGCGGTGGAACGAATCATGTTGCGCTGGGGCAAAAGTCCAGACCTCTTCCCCTGTCTCCCTCCTCATGGCGGGCTGTACTTGTATACGCAGCTGTTGATGGCGGTCTAGAACGCACGATGAGGCACTTCGTCGACAGCGGCGAGGGGTATTGGTATCACAGCACAACAGCAGTTCTACGTCGTTCTTCACTTCAACATCGCACGGGATCCAGCCTTCTATATATGTTCTCGAAAGATGTCCTCGAGCCCTTGGGCAAGCCGACTAGCCCAAAATCGTATGCTTTCTACGCTTTCTGACACAATCATCAGGCCACTCTTAGGCTTATCGGCAGCAGGTTTGCCCCTCCTTCCAGCGGCGAGCGAATAGCATCCGGCGATAGCTTTATTACTGCAAAACACCATGCATGGATCAACCACGGGTCAGAACTGCTGAATAAGAATGCAATGCTGAAAGGCCGCAACTTCGCAAGACCATCTTTTGTCGAGGGCCGAGGCTGCCAAGCGGTGTATTTGTGCTTTTTCTGAGCGGGAGTGAGCGTGACGCCAGGGTCGCTGCATTGGGAGAAGTTTCAGGTTTACCTTTCGAGGGGCATCATGCACTCATCTGGAGGCTTTATCCCCCATTTTGGACTCCGGCCCCTAAGGTACAACTCAACTAACTTATCACGTGATACCAGATACTCTTTGAGGAATGATCCAGCAGGGGCGTATCCAAGAGAATTATTATTTATCCACTATCTTCTGTCCGTCGGCTTTCTTCAATCTCTATTCTGCTATGAAGGCTAACACAGCACGTGACATTTTCTGAATCGCCTCGAGTGTGCTAAAATTGCAGTGCTCAAGCTGGAAATAGTAATTATCAACTTGAGATTTATCACCGTAAGCGTGGGATGCCTGAGGCCACCAACTGTACATATTCTATCCGGGCACACCTCAGTAATCCATTTATTATCACCCACCCACGCGCCTCCGCTTAGTCGTGATACACCAAAGTCTGGCCCGAAAATTAACGTTTTCTATAATTACTCCCACAATATTTGCAAATAAATTTTTACAAAATTTCAGAGTATAGCCCTATAGACGATATATCGTTCGATATAAGTTTTAGGGGAAAGCCAAGTGTCTTAGCTGTATAATAAATCAATAAGGGACTTGACTTTCAGGCTCGATTCGCTAACAAATTTGGCGGGTGTGTATGTCACGATAAGGTGATATTGCAGTGGTGGTAAAGAGCTTGAATTGAGCTGAAGGCTGTGCGCCCGGCTAAAAGCACTGGCTACACGCTAAGTCACGTGCAGTGGCACCACGTGACTGGTGCCACGTAACAGTGTATTACGACTAAGCGGAGGCACGTGTGAGCTTATAAAGACTATTCCACGTAGATACAAAGACTGTATTGATGGCTATGGTCAAATGATGGCCTGGTAATTTATTTATATTTTTTTTATTAATTAAATGTGGGGTTATTTGCAAGTGAAGTGTGTTTTTGGTGGTGCGGGCGCAATTTTGTGTGTACCACGACTAAACGGAGGCGCGTGCCACCCAACTGCCCAAACCCCCTTCCCGACCACGCCTACCCCACCAAAATTTTCTCGATTTTCAAAGTCTTTGGAAAATTCTAAAAAACTTTCCAGATTATAGAGAATACTCGAAACATTGCGAATATCGTATTGATTTTTCGAATTTGTGGCATTAAGGTCTCCAAAATCCAAGTTGAGCGGGAAGGGGGTGTGGGCGGTTGGTGGGTGATGCCTTCTATTGGACGAGAGACTCCTATTTTCCGCCATGCCTCTCAAAACTCCTGCCCCACATCTCACAATAGCAATAGCAACCTCCATTGTAAATTTGAGGACATGGCATGACTTTGATGTTCCATTTACTTTGTTCACAATACATGTCACTTCGGTTATTCACTCTGCAAAGTTGTGCATTGTTCATAAGTCAATTTTAGCGTTCCCTTATCCTCGCATTGCCAGTTTTTTAATTCAAGAAATCTTCGACTTCTTGAATTCTGCACCATCTGAATCACCATCTGAATCACCCACTACCCAGCCGACCCTTTTAGCAATGGACAATCTTGATCCATTTTTCTTTGCATCTCGGACTTTTCCGTGCCAAGGCTCCACTCTCCCATTTTGGAGAACAGAGCTTCACGAGCTGGATAGCCATCATTCAACAGAACAGCTTCCCGAGTCATGCGATGTTCTGATCATTGGCGGGAGCCATGCTGGCATTGCTGCCGCATACCATCTTCTCTGTGGAGATGAATCGAGTACAAGTCCAAAGCCTTCAATTGTCCTTGCAGAAGCAAGACAGGCATGCAGTGGAGCCACGGCAAGAAATGGTTTGTCAACCCCAACCTCTCATCATCATTGTAAGAAAACCAATTCTCTTTTGTAAGGTGGCCATCTTCGTCCTTCAGTCTACTCTCGGATTCCCAAGTACACAAAGCAATTCGGACTGGAAGCCGCAGTCGAAGTAGCAGACTTCGAATTCGATCACGTGGCCGCAATTGCTACCCTCGTCGAGAAAGGAAAGATCGACTGTGACTTCACATTAACTCGATCATTCGACGTTTACACCGACAAGGGAGAAGCAGAGACAGCAAAGAGGCATTGTGATGAATTCAAGGAAGCCGGAATAGCCAAAAACACCATGAATGATCTTGTTTGGACCGAAGCCGAGCACGCTGAGGAGGTAAGTGCTTCTCCGAATCAATGTTCTTATGATTGATAAAACATCCAGGTATCAGGCGTCAAAAACTGCATTGGCTGCTTCTCATTCACAGCAGCCCATCTTTGGCCTTACAAACTAATGATGCACCTCCTCGCCAGCGCCGTCTCCAGCGGTCTAAACCTCCAAACCCACACCCTAATCCTCTCCATCTCTCCCTCTACCTCCCTCCCGGGAAAGTGGACAGCAACCACCCCCCGCGGCAGTATCACCGCCTCAAAAGTAATCTTCGCTACAAACGCCTACACAGCCGGTCTCCTCCCCGAATACGCCAGGAAAATCGTGCCCTCAAAAGGAATCTGCTGTCGCATCATCACCCCACCTTCCTCCACCCACCCAGAACTGAAAAACACCTACGGCCTCCGCCTCGGAAACGGAAGCCTAGATTATCTTATCCCTCGCAACGACGGCTCTATAATCCTCGGTGGCGCGAGAAGTGCCTTCTTCTCCGATCATAAAAATTGGTACAATAACATCGACGACTCAACCTTGATCAAGCCTGCCGAGAAGTACTTTGATGATTACATGCAAACCAATTTCCTCGGCTGGGAAGAGAGCGGGGCACGAGTAGATTGTATCTGGACGGGCATCATGGGGTATAATTCCGACACGCTTCCGAGTGTGGGAGAGGTACCCGGTAGGGAGGGGTGTTTCATCGCGGCGGGATTTGAGGGGCATGGGATGCCGGTTATTTGGTTGGTGATGAAGGGGATTGCTGAGATGGTGGGAAGGGGGAAGGCGTTTGAGGAGGTGGGTATTCCGAGGGTATATAGGACGACGAGGGAGAGGTTGGAGAGTGGGGTTGACGTTTTGGGGCCGAAGAAAGGGTAGTTGGGAATGGAGCGGGCATTTTGGGTAAGTGGGTTTGAAGATAGGACAAAGATGGGAGGTGTCGTGAATACACTTATGGTTTGAGGCGAGAAGACAGGCTTAAAAGTGCGATGTTTTGAACTGAATGAAGGATGGGAGTATTCCTTCTTCTCGCTTGATTGGCAGGCGACTTTCTTTGCAATTTTCAACTGCGATTGGTGCCATGTTGCACTGTAATTTTAGCGCAAAGATGGAGGAGGGCTGGGTGCCTATTTCCCCAACGTGATTTCCAGGCTTTTACACTACACCCTCCACATAATTTGCGGTGGCGTAACAGGCCGAGATATGTGAACACTACGAAGGCGAGCGGCATTGAAATTCGTCCAATATCCTAAGCGAGGATGGGCGCAATTTTGACCCTCGCAATACAGAAATTCTCACAATTCCCCCTTATATTTAATTATCGCAAAAAGTTCGCAGAAGTTAGATCTGCTTCTTTTCTATTATGCAATGGACTTTTAAAGAGTTTCGTGCTTTCCGTTGAGATTTGGTATAATTTTCCAAACATAGCTATTTTGGTGTTTCTCGGCTGCTGGCTGCTGGACGGTTTTCAAGGCAGAGCGCCTTCGCACTCTCCCCCCAGGTTTAAAGGTTAACGTGCGGGTCCGAAAGACTTCCTCTGATTTGCTTTCGAGAAGATTCCAGCTCTCTGATTAACTGGATCACCCTTGTTTACCACTGTGGGTCTGCCCTTCAAACCGGGGGAGGGGGGGAAACTACAACGTATCGGGCTATTAATTGTAGCGAGATAGGGGGGTCCAGGGCTAGCACAGACCAGAAAGTCAACAGCACGAGCTTTTCATTGGCCTTCACTCCCTGTCTGTGGCTGGCTCGCTACAGTTAGTTCCCATAAATGCGTTGTACTGTATTGCATTCATTGGTTTGCACTGCAATTTTAGCCTCCGCAACGAGGACCAACACCTCGAGGCTGAAAAAGTGTAAGATTACTTTAAAATAGTACTTGCTGCACTGTAATTTTCGACCACCTGCGAGGACTAAGACCTCGAGCTACATTATTTCGTAAGTACGGAGTCATTGCCTTTGCCCTTCCTTAACACCTATTTTCCCTATATTTAGCTACTTTAATTTGCCTCTTCATGAGGTCGCTGGGGCTTGGGATTGAAATCAGGGCTCGCTTCGTTTTCGTACTCTGCCAAACCCCGCACTGAGTGAAGACGCAACATTAAATGCTTATATAGAAGTGAAAATTGACAAGGAGTGAGACATGCACTCTGCCCATTCGGTGTATTCATAGTGGAATTCCGCGCAAAACTGTGCCTTAACGTGGGGTGAACAATGCTTTGCTTTGGTACCGAATACTAGCGGATTTCATTCGAAACACCTCAAAGGTCCAACCCTTTCGCAAAAGTCAAAATTCCTTTAGATGAAGGTCCTCAAAAATTTAGTACTGCTTACTTCCGTCTATCTTCTTTTTTCAGAATAGTATTCTAGTCGCTGTTAGGTATTGTTAAAAGGCGTTTGGAGTTAATTTCAGAAAATAAGCGAAAGTAGCGGCTCGCTTGGTCTCGCTTCTTCCCCCTAACCTACGCCCCCATCGTGACAGCTCTTACCCCAGATCATCGGGGCCCTACAGCAAGCTAGTCATAGTCACGCCACCATCGACTTATGATTTTGAAGAAAAAACTCGACCAGATTCTTGGTTTATATAAGCATTCCAGCCTGCAGTGCGGACTAACATTGGAACATTGGAAAGGAATCATGGAGTGAAGGGGGGGTGAATAAATCTTCATTAAACATCACTATAAATCTCATCTACTAGATCTTCTAACTGGACGCCGAGTCCCTCCTCGCAAGACTCTTATGCAGGGTATGCTGCTTCATAAAAGCACCACAAATCAAACTCAACACCGCAATGCTAAACCCCGTCAAAAACACCCCTCTCAACGCCAGCGCAAAGCTATCCAACACGCCCTCCCCCCACCCTTCTGGCAGATTTTTCAACTCGTCAAAATTGTCTCTGATCCTCCTGATCTCATCTTCCGCGCCTGGCCAGCCGTCAAATTTCTCGTGTAGGGAGGAGACGAGCAGGTTCTGGTAGACGGCCGAGGCGACCGTGATACCGATTGTGGAGCCAGTGGAGCGGAAGGCGTAGGTCGCAGAAGTGATGACGGCTTGGTGCTCGTGGTCTACTGCACTGATGACGGCCAGCAGGGTGACGGTCAAGGTTCCGCCGTAGCCGCAGCCGATGAGGAAGAGGTAGATGTATTCGGGCCAGTCTGGGCCGTAGATGCTGAGGGTTGGGAGCATGCCAGCGCCGACACAGACGCTGGCTAGAGAGAGTAGGGAGAGCCATTTGTATTTCCCGGTGTGGTTCATGATGAGACCTGCACCGAGAGAGCCGATTGAACTTCCGATGGATTGGGGGATGAGACTCATGCCTGCGGCAGTTGTGGAGTGACCTTTGACTTGGAAGAATATGGGGACGTAGAAAGCGCCCATATAGACTACCATTGTTTGTAGCCAGTTTGTGAGGCATGCTGCTGCCACGGTTCGGTGGAGGAGGAGCCTGACGGGAATCACGGGCTCGGACGCGATGTATAGCTCGACGCAGATGAAGGCACAGAGGGCCACCACGGAGAGCGGTAATGAGACCAAGACAAGGGGATGTGTCCATGGAACAATATTTCCCCCGGAGTTCAGCCCCAAGAGCAACAGCAGAAGTGTAACCACCAATGTAAAAGCTCCAAGAAAGTCCATGCGAGAGAGCTTCGACTTCTCGGACTTCTTAGGCGGCACGTTGACGAACCACCACACTAATATTCCAGACATAACGACGAAAGGAACTTGGGATAAGAACGCAACCCTCCACCCCCAGGTATCGTTCACCCATCCACCAAATATGCCTCCCAGTCCAGCCCCACTTCCGAAGCACACATTCCCAACCCCCTGAATCAAGCCTCTCTTCCTCAGCGGCACCAAGTCACTCCCCACAAATGTAGATATAGCCATCAGTCCTCCACCGCCCACCCCTGCCACCACTCTTCCTGCTATCATGGTCCATTCCGACGTCGCAAGCCCGCACATCAAGTTCCCAGCCGCGAAGAAGATATTCGAGACAACCAGCCCGGTTCTGCGACTGAAAATGTCGGTTAACCGGCCGGAGATCGGCTGGCAGGCGGCATTGGCGATTAGGTATGAGGAGGCTAGCCATGAGAGGAGGGAGAGGGAGTTGAAGGAGGTGGAGATGGGTGCGGAGAGTGTGGCGATGATGGTGCTGTCCAGGGCTCCGAGGAAGACGCCAACGTAGATAGAGGCCAGGGTGATGTATAGACGACTTGCTGAGAGCTCTTCGGGGATGATTGTCTCTTCTGTGGGGGATTCTTCTGTGTCTGCGTCTTCATCCTGAGGCTTGGGTTGATCGTCTCTGAGCAAGGGCGTTTCTTCGTCGGCGGGCTGCGAGGCCGACGCTGCTTGTGAAGTATTGCTGTTGATGGCCATTATGACAATAGATGATTAAAAGGATCCGAATAGAGCAAAGACAACTAAAGAAAGATCCATACTTATACCTGTGCGGAATTGCAGGGTTTGTTGAAGAGTGGGATATCAGCAGAGAAAATGCCGCTCTGGAGGCAGATCGCTAGGCGGATCTCATTCAATGACGTCCCGTGCGGAGCCTGGGCATGGTTCTTGACCCCCAAGTGACAGTCGTGTACGAGGAGTGAACTTAACTTCAATTCGATTAAGAAATAGTGAGGCCATTCAGATGGCTGAAAGAGAAGAAACAATGTAACGGTGAGACGGTGATAAGAAAATAATTGGTGGAACCAAGTTTCAACCTTCCCCCCGGTCTATTTTTATCACTCGCGAAAAGTGGCTCGGCTGAGGCCGAATTGGGAGCGAGCTGAGCTGCAGCCTTTGAGCAACGCGTCGAACTGAGCCTCCCTCCTTGACTCCGTCAGACCACCACGCACTCTCGTTCTTTCTCTGCACAATATTCACTTATTTGCCTCTTAATCGGTATACCGACCCTCCTCCCCTTCCCTCCTCTACAAGCAATCTACAAAATTCGCAGACCTTCCAACGATAAACAACCTCCGCTCGACAACCTCAAAACAAAATTCGAGACAGTGTGACAGGTTTCCACAATGGTCGAATTCGACGTCCACAACATCCAGAAGATAAAGCTGGGTGTGCATATCACTCAAGTGGCCTTCATTGTCGTTTCTTGGGTCATTGAGATTGTTGTTTTCAACAAGGCGTCAAGTATCGATGGCAGACCTGGCTGGTATTTTGGCCTTGTAAGCAGCCCCATATGTCTGCAAAGACACCATCTGCAGGCTACACGAAGCTAATTATTGATTAATACAGTGCTTCTTGACAATCCCGGCCATCATTTATTTGACAATGACTCCTCGCTTTCCTCGCACCCGCAAATTCGGCCCTCCCCTCGCCTTTACAATCGTGGATATCCTGTTTGCATTCCTCTGGATCTCTGCATTTGCCTCGCAAGCAAGCTATAACTCGAGTGGGAAATGCAAAGGTGCGTGCGGTGCTAGCAAAGCTATTGTTGGAATGGGTGTCTTCATCTGGTGCGTAAATTTGCGAACCCCCGATTGATTTTTCCACGGATAGGCGGCATGCGCTAATTATGAAAATAGGTTGTTCTGGTGCTTAACAGCATTGATGTCGGTCTATGGCTACATTTATTTCCGCCGCGAAGGCTATCTCCCAGGAGCCTCGAGAGCGCCCCACAATGCAAACATGATCGATCCGGACAAGGAGGCATTCTCAACGGCTCCTCATGACGACGAGTACGCACCTGTCCACAATGTGGATGAGCATGAACTTCCAGACCACCATGAAGGTAGTGGCTATGGTGCTGGATCTTCATCGGTGGGAGGTGGATATGATGCACCAAGTTATACAAGCGGAGGATATCAACCACCTCAAGTCCATGATGAGCCAACCAGTTATACTGGTTATACTGGCTCAGCACCAGTTAACAGTGGACCTGGAGGACGACTTCAGTTTCCTGATGCGAGATACGACAATGTATGAGTGGCGTTGTAAAAATATGGGCAGGTGGGCATGCATGCACAAAGGCGTTTTGGACATGATTTCGGGTTCGCCGTGTTGATACCAATAGATGTGCAAATAGAAGATTCTTGGTCGGCATCCCTCAGTGCAAGAAACAACGAAGGATTCCAGTGTTGCACGGTAAGTTCTGAGAGGTGGAGGTTCGAGTGCCAGGAGAGTTTGGTGAAGTCACCTCATCATGCTGTCACTGTTTATTGACGAACTCCCGTCCTAAGGGCCCCTCATTTCAACCCCTCCACACCTCCAAATTCCCATCTTTCACAAGCCACTCGGAATCCGCCCCGGATTCGAATTTGTGTAGGTGTATCTTCGAGGCTGACCTCCATTTACCCATTCCCAATCCTCGGGCCGAAGCAAGCTTGATCTGCACTGGGGTGTCTCCTTCCTCGCGGCCCAATCCGCGGATCTCTCTGTCTCACGAATCACTCTGGCCAATTTGCACATGTGTAACTGAAGGAAGGCTTAGCACATGAAATTGCCCGCTGTTGAGAATCAGCACCCTTCTTTCCTTCGCTCAGATGGAGGCAGTGTCGATCCAAACGGGTTTAGGGCTAGGGGTCGTAGCTGCCAAGGACGGCTGCGCCCGGTCTGCTGGACGAATGGAAACCCCAGCCTGTTGCGACTCCACTACTGTACGTTGCATCCGTTCCTAGGGCTGTACCGCGCTAAAAATATGGGAACATTAAAAGGCCATCTCTTCTAGATTATATTAATTTGCTGAAGCTTTATATAAATGCATAAAAACTTTATATACTTGTAATATAAAAGGTGTATTAATAGAGTATAAGAGGATATAGATCTGTTATTATCGTATTAAATTTATAAATGTTTGAAGTCGAGAGAAAAAGTGTAAGCGAGGTAGAAGGATCCACTAGCCAACCGCCCATACCCCCAAGCGCCCACTCCATTTCACCACAACAACGGAGTAAAACCGAAATATTGAGTAGATATTCGTGATCAACGACCTTAGTATACTATAGTGGTTCTTAAAATTTCAAGCACTTTCCCAGTGCTTTAGAAAAATCTCAAAATTTTAGTGTCTTGAGAGGGGTATGAAGTAAATGCCTCTAGTGAGGGGTTTTAATAGCGGGGCAAAAACAATGGAAACACTACCATAGTCGATTCTAGCCGCATTACTAGTTTTAAACAGACGCATAGCTGTTTGGATATTGAAAGACTATAAAGTATCGATATGACACAGGATTTGCAATTATAATAAAGATAATAAAGAATCATACTTTGGGGGTGGGCGGTTAGGGGGTTTGGGCGGTTGGCTAGTGGATCCTTCTACAAACCCTGGCCGCAGCGGAACGCCCCCTCTTCACAAGTCAATGCCACCAAGATCAGCATGAAAGCAAGGTGTTGTGGGGTTGACCCTAGTACGGCCCGAAGTGTGGCCTCTCGGGTTCGTCTCCTCACCGTCAACACTCAACGCTTTGTTCCCAAGAAAGAGTGTAGATTCCGTCAACGCCCGGCGGCTATTTGAAAAGAATTTGGATAGATTCAGCCTCGCGAACTTCGGACAGCTACATAATCACTTTCTCCCCTGCTGGAAGGAAAGCCATCCCACGTCAATTGAGCAACCGGACGACAGCAACACCATCAATTCAAACATCCCATCAAGTTCCACTTCGAAAGACATCAACTGATCCTCAATCAAGTCGTCAAGATGGCTCCTAAGGTCAGTACACCCCTCTCCCACCCTCCACAGAACAGAGCTGACACCCAACAGATCACCACCCTCCTCTTCGACTGCGACAACACCCTCGTCCTCTCCGAATCCCTCGCCTTCGAAGCCTGCGCCGAGCTCGCCAACGAGATCCTCGCATCGCGCGACATCCCCGACCGCTATACCGGTCCGCAACTGCTCTCCGATTTCGTCGGGCAGAACTTCCGCGGCATGATGGTCTCCCTCAAAGCCAAGTACAAATACGAGATGTCGGACGCCGAGCTCGAGACCTACGTGACCCGCGAAGAGGACGCGGTCATCGCAAAGCTGAAGGAGAAGCTCAAGCCATGCGAAGGCGTGGACCACGAGCTGGAGAAGCTGGAGCAGCATGGGAAGTACCACTTAGCTGTTGTGAGCTCCAGTGCGCTTAGGAGAGTCCAGGCGAGCATCGATAAGGTGGGCCAGGATAAGTACTTTGCGGGCGAGCATGTGTTCTCTGCTGCTACTTCCCTGGAGAAACCGACTAGTAAGCCGGATCCCGCAATTTATCTGCATGCGATGAAGGTCCTGGGTAAGACGGCCGAGGAGTGTGTTGCGGTTGAGGATAGCAAGTCCGGTGCGACAGCCGCATTTAGGGCGAATATTAAGACGATTGGGTATACGGGGAGCTATGAGAAAGATGAGGAAGAGAAGATGAGGCAGGTGTTGACCGATGCGGGTTGTGTGGTTGTTATGAAGGATTGGAGTGAGTTTGAGGGATGCTTGGATAAGATTGAGAGTGGAGAGGTTTAGAGGAACTGTTCCTTGAGCTGTCCTTGCGAAGTTGCTGGCAAGCATTGAGCCATAAATACGGGTTACACTCGATAGATAGGCGTCAAGATGGTAGACAGCGTGTTTATTCATTCTCCCGTTTCCTTAGTTTATCTTGATGAGTTGCTTTGATCTCAAAAATACTTATTCTTTAAAATGTTCTCACGCACATAAGCAATAAGTATTGGTGGAAATCGAGTGTACCATTACAACGCGGATCATCTGTCACCGGACCATCCCCGTGCATATTTACATCTCCTCCACAAGCTGGAGGCAAACAAATCTCTCTCTATCTGACCCCATTTACCACCCGGCGCACTTTCTCGTTGATGCACTTGAGTTAAGTCTAGACTCTTGGCCGGAAGAGTTTAGGAAATATGGTGATCGAAGAACAGTGGCTAAATTTCTTCAGTGGGCTGAGTCTGTAAAAGGAGGTAAGACTCTGCTTTATAAGCTCCGAGACATTGACAGCTACTAGAAATTAACATAGTTGGTCTATTCTCGACGGAAATCATACACAGCAAAAGACCTAGCTGCCCACCTTGAACATGCTACGTACTATCAAGACTTTGCAAAAGGTGGCACGAACCCAGGAACTCACTGCTACAGAACAGGGGAGATACGACTTTACACCGAACCTTAACGTCCTTGTAGATGTGGTGCTGACAAACTTTGAGATTGGCTAAGAGCCCATTGGGGGACGCAATAGGCTGCCAACCAGATGAAGCTCCAAGAGGAGACAAAGTAGATTGTCAAGGTCAACTAAACAGGGTTTCAAGTGCATTGAACGCTGTAGGAAAATGCTAGTTTGAAATGTACACTCAATGCTCAAAGATACGCATCCTAATGACGGAATGCTTGAAGATCTCCCTTCCCTCCGACTCCTGAGCCCGCGGTCTTGAAAGAAGATCGCTGCATAGATATAGACATAGTGGCATTTTGGGAGCAGGATTTCAAATGTGAAGTTGATTTCGAGTATGGAGAGAAAAATGGGAAATTGGGTTGATCACGTGAATGTAGCTTATCTTATCGTACCCCGCCTTCGAATAACTTCATCTCCTACATCTCCGCCTCCAGATGCTCCAATTGACCTCAATTCCTAGGTACACATCCTACAACATACCTTACACATCCCCAATACTCCCTTAACCTCCTCACGCCCTCCAAAATGGCGGCAGAAAACTACGAAGCGGCAATATCCCTCATCGACGAAGCACACTCCCAAGACCCAAACATTGCCATCGTCGACGGCAAAGACGTCCCCTACGAGCTGCACTACGCCCAGAAAATGACACACTACCTTTCCCTGCGCTCCCCAGATGCATCACCGATCCTCAAAGTCGCCATACGAGCGCAGCATTTCCGCCGCTGGGAGATCCCTCGCGATTCGTATCCGATGACCAAGGCGGGGTATTTGAACTGGAGGACATTCCTGAAGAAGAGGCAGGCGGATCTAGCGTCCGCCATATGTGTGGGCTGTAATTTTACCGCGGAGGAGGCGGAGAAGGTGGCGAAACTGATAAGGAAAGAGGACTTGAAGAAGAACGAGGAGACGCAGATTCTGGAGGATGTGGCGTGTTTAGTGTTTTTGGATGATCAGTTTGAGGCTTTCGAGAAGGAGCATGACGAGAAAAAGATAATCGATATATTGAGGAAGACGTGGGGAAAGATGAGCGAGAGGGGGCATGAATTGGCGTTGGCGATACCGATGTCAGATACGAGTAAGGAGTTGATTGGGAAGGCTTTGGCGGGGTGATGAATGGATGTTTGGATTGAGGTTTTGGGGGAGATGTGTATTCAAGTATGTATAATTCCGCAATGTCTATTGTATCTGTACTCCAATGCTCGAGAGACTTTGTAACGCTAGCGCGAGTGTTGTCGCGAGACATTCAGAATAACAGCCGCCCTGTTGTTCCGTTCAGTGGTCAAAATTACAAGTGAACGCATTTCTCAATTACATGGGTACCAGCTGTACCTACGAACACAATATGGATCTTGATCGAGAAGAAGTGCAACTTCATTCAGAGCTCCAAGAGACAAGCCTCTTGAAGCTTTCTGTTATTCGCTATTCTCGAGCCCGACCATCTTCAGAGAATTGGTCCACAATCTCCCTGCCTTCTCCTGATCAAAAGCATGCGGGGCGTACCCTGGAATGAACGGCAAGTATTCCCCATCCGTAGGATCAGGATGCAGAGGTGCCCTTTGAAGTTTCTCAAGGTAAAAGCCCCCCTTTCCTTCCCATTCATGCCCAATTGAGGCCCATACAGTCAGTGCTGCACCCTGCTCAATAGACAGCTTGGCCTCCATCAGCACTTCATTCTTTGGCCAGTCAGCTTGGGCTTCCCCAAGGGTGTGCTTCCCTATTCCCGCAAATATGCCGCCTGGAGTCAAGGACCCTCCGTGCAGCCCCCTTGAACCATAGCGCCGTTCAATCTCCTTTGTCATGTAGATGTTCGCCGTCTTGCTCTGGCTATAGGCTCCCCGTGGCGTGTATTCCTTAGGATTGGATTTAAAGTCCTCGTTTCCGAAATTGATGCCCTCGAAACGACGGCCGGTGCTAGAGACGGCGATGACCCGAGAGTGGAAAGACGGCGTTGAGGATGAAAGCATTATTGACTTCAGCAATTCGAAGAGGAGAAAGTGTCCCAGATGGCTGGTGCCAAACTGCAGCTCGAATCCATAAACCGTGGTACCGCAAGATGTGGCCATTATTCCTGCATTGCAGACCAAGACGTTCAGCACGCTGGTGCGGTTCAGAATGTTGGCTGCCGCAGCCCTCACGCTGGCAAGGGAGGCAAGATCCAATTGCACCAGCTCGACACGGCCAGGCTCGAGAATATCTTTGAGCGCTTCCTGGGAAGTTTTCACATTTTGCACGGTCAGGAAGAGAGTGGCTCCCGTTGCGGATAGAGCGCGAGCAGTTTCGATACCAATTCCATTGGAGCAGCTGGTCACGACGAAGACCTTATTAGCGAGCTTGCCGACCAGACCTTCATCTTGGATAATTTGTAATGCCGTACGTCGTTCTTGGCCTTTCGGGTTCGCGAAGAGCGGCGTGTATTTTGCAGAGAGCGATTGCGACACGATTGATTTAGGGTCCAACTTTTGAAGGTCGGGAAAAAGGGCTGATTGGTATTCATGGTTGAACCAAGACATGACGGCAGTTTGAATATTGATTGAGGAATCGATGGATAAAACGAAATCTAGTATTGTAAAGATTTGATGTCAAATATTACTGAGCTGCATCCGAATGCCATTTCCCACCACTTTTGATATTTTATTTATTTATAAAGGGGGTCCTGTGTGGCAACTCTGCAGCAAAATGGTTTTGAATCTACAGACTGCGTATACTATAAGCAGGGCAGTACCTGCATGGACAGTCTCTGGTCTACTGTCGGTCCGACTCAAAAGTAACAAATCGGGTACCCTTTTACGACTACAATAACTTTAATTATAACCTTAATTTCAAGAAGCATCAAAGAGAGTACTTAATCAGTATTATAGTTAATTAACTATTTTAAAATTAATTATATAAGGCACTTATTAATAATTTATACACTTTATAACTCTTATATTATTAAAGATATTAGGTATTTGAGAACATGGAATCAATTAATATAAGTCATAATAATTGTGACGGCGCTGGTTGGGGCCAAAGGGGGGTGGCTGTCACATGACTAGTTTCACCTAGCTAGCCGGCGTTTCAGTAGTTTTAGCTAGTACTTCCCTCCTTTTATCCCCTCCTTCTTCCCTCTCTCTCTCCTTCTTCTCTTTAGCTTAGTATTTTCAATACATGAGATTCTTGGATCTTTGAGCCCTGGCCATTGCCTCGATCCCGCCGTCACAATAATTAGCATTATATAGTAATTTTTATTTATATTTAGGTTTGTTTGAGTCGGGCCGACAATACCCCGCCTCAGCTTATTACGTTAAGCGGGCCGAATCAAAGAACGAGCTTGACTGCTCCTGGGCACTAGTATTTGTTTACTACATAGTATTTCAAAATATCACCGTTTATAGAATACTTATAATGAAAGAAAATCGATAAGATCAGGATTCAACGATTCTTCTTTTCTCTTCTTCAGGTTCTTTTTGAAATTTGTCAAACTTTTGGTTTTGAATTCTTGAAGTGTTTGTAGTCAAAGTTAAGCGAGTACCCCTGAGAGCTTAACAGGATACTTTGCGCTCTGTCATTGGATCTCCTCTTTCCTCTTCACAACTGATTCATCCCAGTTAGATATTGCTTGTAGGCCAGTCCAGATCCGGGCAAGCACACAAGCGGTAGATGAACACCAATAATGCCATTACCTGAGGTTACTGCTGCCCACAGACTGGTAGAGTCTGCTCCAATGTGGTTGGCAAACATGCCACCCCTGGGCGACGGCTTCGGATTTATTCTTCTAGACTACGAAAGCTCCAAAACCCGAGTTCCGTACGCCTTTTACAGCTCCGGCGTGGAAGGAATGCTGCCTTCAAACAGTGGTCCAAGCTTTCGAGCGGTCCTGTGGACAGTTCCGTCCTCCGCATTTATTTTCCTGTCCTCGGAGATTGTGGGTCCGACTCCTTTGGACTCCGGAGGTGCTTCCACCTTGATCAGAGTGAAATTAGTGCTTAAATTTACAAAAGACACTGCTTTTTTATCCTATATCACTCCCAACGTGGCTGTAACGCGCCCAATTGCACCACTTATGGGTTCTCTGCTTCAATGGACTACAAGCCGGGTAGTGGATTGATATTGAATAAAATTTAGGCGCACTTCACAGTCCTTTACAAAATTCTTTTCTAAGCTCTAACATAGAAGATTGGAGTCAAAAAGATGTTCTTGTTATTATAATCATAGAATAGTTGGAACTGAGCAGTCGAGAGTCGCAAGGGACTAAGTACTATATGCCTTTAATAATCCGGGAGAGATTTTGTAGCACAAGAGAGCAGCGAAACAATGTGATTTTTATTATTGTGGGAAGAAATTCTCGTTATTGCCTAACTTGAAACCTAAAAGAGTTAACGTCTCTTTTGGTGTGAGAAGTGAGGCTGTCGGTGGCGGCACAGGTGCGGGGTGAAAGGGAGAGTATCTATTCATGCAAAAGTTCCCATTAGTTATGCCCGATTGGTTTATGTTACAACGATTCAGTGCGTGTATTTAGGCAATTAGGCGGTGACCCGGATATAAACCCTTTTGAATGTGGGCAAACTATTTTCACTTGTGGCTCTTTATTTCGAGTGGCTTGCCATGCCCCATGTATTGATCAGGTGCTGCCAGGGGGTATCCGCATGGATGAGGGGTAATCTCATGCCTAAAATCCTTCCTTGATTTTTGAGAATCTGCACTTTAATATATGTTTTGCTATTCTAAGTTTAACAAGAGTAGTTCTACCCCGAAATTGTTGTCGTAGTCTTTCCCGCGACTTCCGTCTCAGGCCGCAAATGCGAGCAGCTGTCGCTCTTCCTGTACAACACAAGAACCCGACTACAGCCTGAGCGCCTAGATATGCGCCACTACGTGTATAATTTCACAGGGACTAAAACGGCGATACTAGGGTATGGAAATTTGTTATAATTCTGCAGAAATTTTTTGTCTTCTATACGTTTATATATTTATTTACAGCTCGCAATTTCACTCAGCGTTGTATGGGGTTTGGTGGGGTAACTAAGGAAGTGAAGCGAGCCCCTTTTTGAACTTAAGCTAGAGCAACTTTATAAAGTACAGTAAAGATGGATTAGAGTAGCCAGGAATAGAAAAGGATTATAAAGAAAAGCAAAAAAACGATTACTCCAGGTAATTTTCATAAGCTTGTGTTTGATCAGTAGTCTCAGCTGTGGTAAGCTACCTTTTAAGTACACTCTTCATGCAAACCGTCACTCTGGTACATATCTTGAGTTTAATGTAATTCAGCCTTGCATTTGCATGTCAGGAGAAGTCATCTGAATACCAAGCACCAAGCCCAAATGTAAATCCCAATCCCACGTCGAAGTCAATTCTCCACTAGCACCAGCAGAGAAAAGCATCGCCCAAAAGCCGGGAAGAAAATAAAGTCCATGTTCCGCACAACGACGAGACTCCATGCCAACTCCCGACATGCACTTCGTCATATTCGATAAGTTGACGTAGTGTGTATCTACTTCATAGACCAGACACCCATAACGTTCTTCTCGGTGTCGAGGAAATAGGCAACAAAGCCCATGTCACCTGGGATGGCCTTCTTCGGGCTGTATGTTTCATCGAAATCAGCGCTCGTCCACAAAAGTGATGGAACGAAGGTGCGACGTACATGTACAAACTTCCACCAGCCTTCTCAATCTCCTTCAACTTCTCATCCACACTCTCAACGTTGATCGTAACACGTAGTGCAATACGAGCTGCGTCAGGATTCTCGGGGTGGATGCCGGGAGAGAGGAAGTTGTGGGGGGCGAGCTTGATGAAACTGCCGTGGGTAGCGCCTTTGCTGAACATGGAGAAGTCCTCGCTGCCGCCGAGGCTGGGGGTGACGTTCCAGCCGAAGACGGTGGAGTAGAAGGTTTGGATGCGCTCGAGGTCGGTGCAGGGGATTTCGGTCCAGGTGATCATCTGATGAACTGTTAGTTGAGAAAGTGAAGTTAGAGGGGGGAAGGGATACGAACACCAGGTTCCATCTTGTCGGGAGTTTCGGCCATTGCTTGCAATTTGTTTGGGAGTACTTGAGTTGAGTTTGTGGTTTCGTCGTGAGTTCGGAGTATTGGGTTGTGTTGAGTAGGGTAGAAGGAGGATTGGATTTAGGAAAGGAGTTCAGATGTATTCTGTCTTGGGAAGAAAGTGTATGGTGTAAGACGCAGTGAATATGAGATCTGGTTGAAATGTGATATCTGCCTCAATTCGAGGAGAAACCTCAGCCTTATATCCCAATCCTACATATGAATTGAGACAATTTGTTCTCCGATTCATGGTCAAAGCACCAAGCCACATACTTTCATGGAGAAAAGCCAGTGACTCATTTTCCTACGAGTTGAGTGTTCCTGAGACATGTTATCAATCCCGATGTTTCTTTTGCATCTTGGGATCGTCTTCGTGCGGGGTTGAGACATTCAAAATGTAATTGCCCAATGAACGAAAGGGGCCTTCGCTTCACCCACAAGGGTCGCTTTCTTACGGCCGTTGCTGCCTGAAAATATGCAGCCACGTTCGCACAAGAGCACCTGATATCGCGAGCGTGTCGTGTCGCGGGATGAAAGAAGAGGTGAGGGAAACGCGGCGCGCATGCCTTTGCATGATGTCTCATAGTTCCGGTGATCGAAAAAATGTACTGTGATCGAGCTTATTTTGCAAAGAAGAGGCGAAGGGGTTCAGTAATCATTAAAAGCCCCTTTTGACAAATGAGGGGCTGTGTGTAACATAGCCAACTCCGAGAACCTTCACCGCGAATTTCGGAGTTCAAGATGTCCGAACCCTGCTGATGAGAAGGAATGGGAAGCAGAAAAACAGGGAAAAGCAACAGGGAGAGATGATCACTTTTGACAGTTGACCAAGGACATTTGATTGGCCGGTGATTGTGCGCCTCAAGGGACGTCCAAAACGAAAACGAAAACAATTTCATCAAGAACAGGGCTGGGCTGTCAAGAAAACTGCTAACTTCCAGAGGCATTAGCTATTAAACCCCGTCTCTATTTGTCATATTAGTCAAGTGGCTCGTTCGGAGCAAGTGTTCAAGCGTCAACATACCCCACTCGATAGAAGTTACACCATCTCTGTTTGAATGTTAACAAATATTTTCAGTGTATTCTTGGGGTTTCGTTATACCTTGTCATAGGGCCTCGATGAATCACAGAATCTCAGATCTGTTGCCAATCTAATGACCCCTTCTGGGTCATGATTTATTGTTGAAGCGTGGATCTGAAAGAAACTAGTCAGTCCATCTCCATCCAATTTGCGGAATCTGTTCAAGCTCACAGCAAAGGCATCGTGTAGCACAACGTCTCCAGCTTCATAGGAGCTGACTAGCCAACGTCGATTGAACTGTGTGGCAAACGCCGAAGGGCTTTCCGAGAGAAGTCCTGTAGCCATCATGTTGCTGTTGAATGCGTTCTTGGCTTCCTCATCTGTGAAGCCAGCCTTTTCGGCTTTCCGAAAGAACTCAGCTTCGATCTCTTGGCCAATCAGTTTACCTGTTTGTGGCATTAGTGAAGTGGCGGACGGAAGTGTTGATGAACTCACTGTCCTCGAGGTATATCAAGCCGCCACCTGTAAGCTTTATATCTCCCATCGGGCACCACGCTGTGATATTAGAGATGTCCCCGTGTCTCAAAAATATCTGGTCATAATGGACGCCGATGGCATGTGCACCAGGGATATTGTTCCTGAGCAATGACCTTCGGAACATCATGGTGTTATCACCCCATCCGGTGAGCTTTGCGATGAAGCTGCTCAGGGCAGGATGCTTGCAGAAATCTTCTGCATACCAGTCTTCGGTGTGTGCTTGCAAGGCGAGATCAACGAACACAGCTGCTTGGTTGCCCCCAGGTCGTCCATTCTCACCGGTCTCTCCAGCACCTATCCCGGGGAAGCCGGCAATGTCTTTACCCAGGTCGAAAATGCCCTCGACTGGCTCAGTGCCGGGTTTGAGGACACCACTTGGCGACAAGAATTTGAAATACTCCTCTCGGGCTTTCAAAACGTCTTGTTGAGGTAGCAGTCCTTTCAGGAAGAGGTAGTTGTCTTTCTCTAGACGCTCCCGTAGTTCCTCGATAGGTAGGTTCGGGTCTGAAGGTCGAAGTCGACCGACTTGCTCTTGGGGAAGGAGTCCATCGGTGACGAATTGCTTCTCTGTCACTGGTCCTTCTTCTGCAGATGCTCCATTAAATGTGTTAATGTCAGGCATCTTGTGTGTTTTAGAGGTGCGATGTCAAGGGTGCTTGTGTGTGTCGGAACTTGAATAAATCGAAAGTATGAAAGCAAAAATGGAAACGAGTAATTAAATCTGAGAAGGGAGGTGTATTTTGTATACAATGAATTCCAAAAGTGGCGGGTCTCTCCTGAAGAGATAGAAAGAGGATGCGAAGTAGTGCACTGTTGTAATACCTCCTGATAGAAAAGGGAAATAAGCTCCTAACATAATTTCCTTTTTCGGTGAACTCTCCCGAAAGCGGGGTGCGCGGGGAAATTGATCGCCCCTTCCCTCCCCCCAGGACATCGATTTCCCTCAACAACGTTCAGCCATCACGATACCCTCCCCACAACAATGATCATCAAACTTCTCCATGCAGTGCACTTTGGATTTCCCTGACTAAACCGGGAAGGGCAACATTTCGGCGAGCACCATCAGTGTCGTTGCACAGAGGCCTTCGGGATCGCTCAACGTTAACCTTCAAAGCTCTTCACTTTCACTCGCCTTCCAACAGCTACCAGCCCTTCAAGGAGTCTATGAACTTGATGTGTACACTTTACTAAGTCAATCAATGCGCATACGTTGCAGGAGGTGCTTGCTCCATCCATGATCGTCGCCGTAGTATACACCTTCACACAATTTTGGCGGCCACCAGGAGAATGCACAAACTCACTAGAGCTGTGTGAATACCTTTACGCAAGAGCCACGATACCATTTACTCCTCTGTGATATCTGCTCAGCGACAGGGGGCTTATGGAACCCAGCCCTCATGCATATCCTGCTCGTCGCAACATCTCCGTCGAAATGTGTTACAACTACAACCCATCCTCTCTAAAGCCTTCAACACCATTTCGAACCCTTCTCATGCTCTTTGAATACGATCGAAAACAAGTACTTTCATTCTCGAGTTTCATAATAATTTCCAAGGGAGAGAGTACCAATCGAAGGTGGTGAAGGCAAGCGCTTGATCTGACAAAATGCAATCAAGAAGGGCCGATGCAAGTATGAAAACTCTGTTATAATGAGAAATGGCCCGTACGCAAGTGCCGTGGAAAAAAAGCCCGTGTGCTGTCTGCTTGCTATCGTTTCATCTGCTGAGCATTCCAGCATTGCTCGGAGGGCAAAGCTATTCCCTTTTCACTGGAGGGTCCTTACACCGAGGAAAGATGATAGGAAATTGTTATCTGGCGATTGGGTGATTCGAAAACTTTGAATTCTCGATTTGGAACCGCCTTTCCCTCCTCTCTGTGTGGTCGGTCGTGGGCCGTAGGTGACCCTAGACTCCTTATCAGCATCGTACAAGAAGTTCTGATGCCCTCAGAAGTAAAACCCTGAGCGGTAGCTGCCAACAAACGGGTGCGTGTTCGTTTGAGCTCTTTTCCGCGAGAAATACTAGCTTCGCTATACCTGCCATGGTGGGAGTACACTTTGCTCCACTGACATGGACCGAAGCCCTCTAGCTCTTGCACCAAGGCACCATACCCCGCATCTCCAGACCTGGAGAGCTGGGGACTCGGGCGAAACCCGGAGTTCTACTTTGAACCCCTCGAGCTTTCCCTTTTTTTTGTAACATTTCGGCATCGATATGAGCGGAGCTTAACTGTGCATTTCAATCATCCATTAGCCCTCGGCATATACTGTTGATCTGGATGGATCAAGGACAGACGAGGAGAGCTTCACGCCATTCAACAGATTCTCGGAAGAGCCCCGCAGTGGATCAAAGCCCTCCAAATCATCTGATAGAGGGAGGATCTAGCTTGACGAGCCAAGCGGTTTGTTTCATTGTTCCTGTCCTAGTTTATCGAGCATTCACGAGGTTCTTTCGCTGCTGTCGGCGGCAGTTGTTTTCCACAACTTTCTCATGCTGGTCCTAGGCCACCTCCTGACAAGTTTTTGCAAGATATATCACCAACAGGACCCCTTGGCAGCAAATCTGGGATTCTTAAGGGTTTCAATATCGTTCTCGGTTTCTTGACAGCTCGTGGCTTCCTGCTCGGTTATTGGTTTTGTGGTGTATTCAATAAGCGAAATAATACCGCTGTCTTGCATGATCACCCGGACTGCACCGATTCATAAACACTCGATCAAGGCCATCTTCTCCAATCTCCATGCTCCATCAGGGGTCTGGAGCTCTTAGATCAAGCTAGTGTGCTTGTGCCCCGCGTTTACGCGAGTCGTCGATGCGGGGTGATGATTGGACCCTGGCTACTGCACCAGAGGCCCAATTCTATTCCCATTGTTTACCTCTTGCATTCTGTACCTTCTGGAACCTGTCATGCATCGCGTTCTTTGACCTCTTTGGTCTCCATGGCGATGATTGAGAAAACAAAGACGGAGTCACGGAAGCGACGGGGAGGGAAGATTCGTTGCAAAGATTCAAGTTCTCGTTCGTATGGTACATTGAGAACATGGAAAGCATCTACCAGACACCTATTCCGAAAAGTTCCATGCAGAAAATGTCTCGGATTGTTGAACGGAAATAAGCCGCCTACGAGCAGCCGCTTCCATGTTCTCCACGGGATCTAGAGGACAGCCAAGCTCCCAGTTTCCATTGATCCGGAGTCCAGACTGCCTCCAGCCTCCTCTATCATATACAGATAAGTCTCTGGGATTCTGGTCCACTTCCCATCAGTTTTACAGACAATTCGCACCACCAGTCCCACAGACAATTTGCACAATCAGTTCCACAGACAATCTATACACAAAACAAAATCAAACAGAAAACATGGCAGCCACAGCGACCCAGAAACTTCCCGAGGAAGTCATCAAGACCGAACTGTCTCAATACGCTCGCCGAAGAGACACTAAGGGACCATATGCCGACAACCTGTAGGTGTTGGGGGGAGAAACCCTTTCTTATTTGTGACTGTTTCATGAGATTTTCCTAAGTCAATGGTTTACCCCCGAAACATCTCAGTTGAGCAATTGCTGACGCACCCGTCACCTAGGGACCTCGATGTCCTCATCGTTGGGGCTGGGTTCAGTGGAATCTACCTGCTGTACGAGATGCGCAAGCAGGGGTACAAGACAACTCTGTATGATGCTGGTACAGGATTTGGAGGAACTTGGTAAGTACTGCCTTTAATGATGCGAACTGTCACCTGAGTCAAAAGCGTCGCCAAGTCTATTGCGTTCTCAGCACCAATTTTGCATAAACTTTCTGCTGACGAGAACTTGATGCACAGGAGGTGGAACTGCTACCCAGGAGCTCGAGTCGATAGCCCTGTCCCCATCTACCAATTATCCATTCCAGAAGTATACAATACGTGGTCCTTCACAACAAATTATCCAGACTGGCGGGAACTCCAAGCCTACTTTGACTATGTGGATAAAGTCTGCGACTTGAGCAAAGATACTGCGTTTGAAACAGTCGTGACTTCAGCGGAATTTGACGAGCAAGCTGGCAAATGGACTGTCAAGACTGCTGATGGACGCACTGCCAAAACCAGGTTCTTGATCATTGCCGCCGGATTCGCTGCGAAGCTGTACATACCTGACTACAAGGGCATAGACAAGTTCAAGGGAGTCATCCACCACTCCTCTTTCTGGCCTCCTGAGGATGTCGATGTTAAGGGCAAACGTGTAGCTGTTGTCGGTACAGGTAAGTGCACCCCTCGAAGTACAGCTTTCCACCTGGAAGCTATCCCAACTCAAATTCTGCTATTCTCAGACATTCTGACTAAACTTTTGAAACCAGGAGCTTCAGGCGTGCAAATTGCTCAAGAATGGGGACCTCAAGTCGAGCACATGACCGTCTTCATGCGAACCCCCAACCTCGCTCTGCCAATGGGCAAACGACCCATGTCAAAGGAGGAGCAAGACGGACTCAAGCCACTCTACCCTGAGATTCTCGAACTCCGCGAACGCTGCTTTGCAGGGTTCACCTACGAATTTGCTGAGACTGACACTTTCGACCACACGCCAGAAGAGCGTGAAGCATTCTACGAGGCGCTTTGGAAGCGTGGAGGCTTTTCGCTGTGGCTTGGTGGCTACAGGGACTACTTTTTCGACATGAAGGCAAACAGAGAGGCGTACAATTTTTGGGCTAAGAAGCAACGACAGCGGGTCAAGAACCCTGCGAAGCGTGACTTACTCTGTCCTCTTGAGCCCCCTCATGCTTTCGGTATCAGTGAGTCGCCTCTCTGACAACACTTGCTAAACGTTCCATTTCTAACCTTTCGCAGAACGTCCTTGCCTCGAGCAAAACTACTTCGAAGTGCTCGACCAAGACAACGTCGACATTGTCGACATCTCTGAGAAAGGTGGCAACCGGATCGTCGAGTTCACCGAAACGGGCATTAAGACCGCCGACGGCAAGGTCCACGAGGTTGACGTCGTGGCACTCGCCACCGGTTTCGACATCACAACCGGAGGCATGACTAGCATGGGACTGAAGAGCATCAACGGCACCTATCTCAAGGACGAATGGAAGGCATCCGCCAACACATACCTCGGGACCACCATCAGCGGCTACCCCAACATGTTCCACGTCTACGGCCCTCACGGCCCAACTCTCCTTTCCAATGGTCCCACCGCAGCCGAGGTCCAAGGCCGCTGGATCCGCGATGCGATTAATCTGATCAACAAACAGGGACTGAAGAGCATCAATGCCACTCCTGAGGCGACGAAGGCGTGGAAGGACAGAATCAACGAACTGAGTAATAGGACTTTGATGCCTACCGCCCGAAGCACGTATATGGGCGGCAGCTTGCCGGGCAAGGCATTCGAGCAAGTCAATTATGCGGGAGGTGTTGATAAGTACAAAGGGGAGATTCGGGAGGTCCTTAAGGGTTGGAAGGGGTTCAAGACTGTGCCGCTTGCTGCATGAATTTTGTTTTATCTTTAGTAGACGAATCTGAATTTTGAGTTTATGCACCATATTGTCTCTTTGTTGAAGTTGTGACTCACGTGATCTGGCCTGTTCCCCCCTGAATCCTGATCGGAGTGTGAGGATGGTGCCCTTGGGCGGTTCTCCCCTACCCCGCACCTAGATTTCACCAACCCCGCATATCTCAGTGCCACGGTCCCCTCTCGGTCAAGAGGAGTGTTAAACCTTTAGAGGGGTTTCGGTCTCAACATCGTCTGGACCGGCGTGGCGGGGTCAAGAGCCAAGAGCCAAGAGCCCCCCTAAGGTACTTAGTTACGTGAAGGCCAACCTCGGAATCTCAGACAGAAGGTGGAGGTAATTAGCTATCAGGGTGGGCGGGCGACGGGTGACTTTAGAATAGTGTATGATTTCTTGGAGTTCGGGGAAGAGACGGAGAGCTCGGGTTCCACGACTTCGTCGGTTAGGCTTCGGGGCCGGGGGCTGGAACCTTTTGACTTCCAGCTTGCCCCGCTCTTCAAGGAAAAGAATAAATATGTCCCCTCAGCCTCCCCCCTCAGCTTTTACTGCAACTTTGCTATCTTCTCCTGAGCTCGATACTCTCGGATTAAGAGCTGCACGTTGAATTCTACCTCCAAAAAGCCCAGCATGGCAACAATCGACGCAAGCGCCATCAAGGGCCTCAAGGCTGAGATTGACAAAGTCACCAGTAACCCGGATGGAGCAGGTGGCATTGTTTACTGCGCCGTGAACAAGAATGGCGATCTCATCTTTGAGCACGCTTCTGGCAAACTCGGGAAAGGAAGGCCAGAGCCTATGACCAAAGATACCGTTTTCTGGATCGCCTCGTGCACGAAGATGATTGTTGGAATTGCTTGTATGCAGCTTGTTGAGCAGGGACAGTTGGCGCTTGATGATGTGGAGTTGGTGGAGAAGATTGCTCCTGTGAGTGAAAAGCGGAGGCAGCCTGTGGGCTGAGACGCTGATGATCTTGGTAGGAATTGAAAGCCGTACAGGTCCTTGAAGGTGGGAAGTTGGTGCCAAAAAAGAGGGGGATTACTTTGAGAATGTTGCTCTCACATACCGGTTGGTATTCGGATGAGGTGTTAGTGAAGAGAAGGTGGGACTGACATTGTGTAGCTGGTTTCGGGTACTCGTTCTTTAACGAACGCCTCAATGATTTCTACGGCGCTACTGGCCTCGATGAATTTACCGGGAATGGGTTTGACGTCTTTACCCAACCTCTGGTCAACCAACCAGGGTCAAGATGGGAATATGGGATCAACATTGACTGGTAAGACCAGAAAGAAAGCTGACCAAAACTCAATCACTGAATTTCAGATAGGGCCGGAATACTGGTGGAGCGCGTCTCGGGGCTTTCGCTCAATGACTACTTCCAGAAGAATATCTTCAAACCGATGGGACTTCAGGCCATCAACTTCTTCCCGACAGATCACATGAAGCAGAACTTAGCGTATATGCACGCTCGTGCCCCTGATGGAAAACTGTCATTGAGGCTCAATGGCCAATTGCTTCGAAAGCCCCTCACGGCGAAGACCCCAGAGGAAATCAAGGCGACTTTCAACACTGGTGGTGCAGGATGTTTTGCAAAACCTGCAGAATACTGCCAGATCATTGCAACCTTGTTGAATGATGGCGTTCACGCGAAGAGCGGACACCGAATCTTGAGGAAGGAGACCGTGGACCAGATGTTTACCAATCAGGTACGAAGTAAATGTATGGAGCATAGATTACAGCTGACCCGAGACAGATCCCTGACTTCCCTGACTTCGGGCGTCAGGGGATCCATCCGCCAAAGCCAGACTATTCGAACCCTCTTCCGGATTTGTACCCACAAGGCGACTTGCCTCAAGGATGGGGATTGACCTTCTTCTTGGATCAACACCCTGGCGCGACTGGTCGTTCTGGCAGCACCGGGTGGTGGGCTGGCTTGCCAAATTTATTCTGGTGGGCTGATAGAGAGAACGGATTGGGTGGGATGATCGCGTCGCAGGTATGTTGTTGAGAGCATCCGTTTAGTCTGTACTGACAGAAGCCTAGATTCTACCTTTTGGCGATGGACAGGTGATGGGACTGTGGGGAGCTGTTGAAGCTGGCCTCTATCAGGCGTTGAAGAAGTAGGGCATTCGTGCCAGAAATCCTGGTTGCGTGACTTTACTGGTGAGCCTCTTGTACGTTCGTATATTTGGCTTTGTAGTTCAAGAAAGAAGTATCCTCGCATGGGTCCCAAGATTGCGCGAGTCCCATCGTGCCCTTGAATTTCCAGCCGTGAACCATCCAGAACAGGGCTCCCACTCTTCCGCGGGATCTTACTCTAAGTGGGCGGACGGTGGACGGGGAGGGTGACAAAACTGCTAGAAGTATCCACTAGCCAACCGCCCAAACCCCCATCCGCCCACGCCTTAAAAATCGATTTTTAATCACACCTTCATTATAATTACAAATCCTTTGATATATTAACATCCCATAGTATTTTCAATATCCTAATAACTATATATTTAATTTAATCTTGTGGTGCGGCTAGAATCGCCTGTTAATGTCGAATTTTTATTTTTTTGGTATGCGCCCGGCTTACTAAAAATTATTGGGTGCGGCCGCACTTACTAAAAATTATGAGGTGCGGCTGCGTACCAAAAATCGAAAAATTCGACATTAACAGGCGATTCTAGCCGCACCACAAGATTAAATTAAATATATAGTTATTAGGATATTGAAAATACTATGGGATGTTAATATATCAAAGGATTTGTAATTATAATGAAGGTGTGATTAAAAATCGATTTTTTAGGCGTGGGCGGATGGGGGTTTGGGCGGTTGGCTAGTGGATACTTCTAAACGCCAATCAGATTCAAATCTCAGGCTCTGATGAGTGCGGCAGCGCTCGCTCCGCCGAAGTGCTTGGAGCCTTCATTCTAAAGTGGAATGTGCTGAGGCACACATAATTTGGAGATGGAAATTTTCTCTTCAGTAGCGCAAGACACGGAGTCCCCTCAGAAAGCTTGCCGCACCAATCAAAGTGGCCGAATCGGGTAGGCGCGACGCGACCGCGTTTGCTCCTCAACCCTCGGCTGTTCAACACTCCTTCTCCTTCATACTACACTCTCACAACAGCTTGGCTCACCTTCTCACTGCTCTCAACTGCCCACTTTGGAGAAGACTTCAGATGGGCTAGGTACAGTGCTCATTCTTCAGGCTCACTTTGTCAACATCAGGAGTCCCCATCAATCATCGGCCTGAGATCCTCCGAAGCACTGCAGCAAATTGTCATCTCCCTGCAAGTCATTCGGCGGACCTGCGTCATACTGAACAACAAATTTAAATACCCCGCAGGGAAATCTTTCCCCTTCGTTGTCCATTCTTGCTTGAAGTGGGTCTTCCAGTGCTCAGCTCCAACTGGATTAATTGATGGATGATCTCGCCATGAACGATGCCACGGAAAATTAGTCGGCCGTCAGGAAGCCCTGTCATGGTCTGCTGCAGTCCACTTATGAGTAGGTATATTAACGTTTTGTATGCCTGCAAAATTTCCAAGCCGTTGTCTTACCTTTTGCTCGAATTATTCAACCTTGCCGCGATGCAGTTATCCGGCTTCGTTTCGTTACTTCTCGTCTGTGTTGTTGGATTTATCTGTGCTGAACAGCAATGGCCGTTACATAATGATGGAATTAATTCCGTGGTTGAATGGTACGCATTTATTCGTGGTGAACTTTTGCTTCGGGTCTGATGCTCCCAAGGGATCATTACAGTTACATTATCAATGGGCATCGTCTCTATATTTGGTCTGGAGAGGTCAGTTTCTTGATTTTGGGAAGGTGGTTATATTGACGAGTGGGACCAGATGCACTACTGGAGGGCTCCTGTTCCTGAGATGTGGATTGATATACTCCAGAAAATCAAGGCAGCGGGGTACATTGACCCAGACAATTGCGTGATGGTTCGACACTGACAGTTTCAGCTTCAACACTGTTAGCTTTTATGGCAATTGGGGTGAGACGTCCTTCCTTATTTCCAACGAATTTCTTCTCTGAAAGTTACGAGGGTACCACAGCGCGAAAGAGGGGCTTCTGGATTTCGAGTCCGGGGCACATAATTTCACTAAGCTCTTTGATCTTGCAAAACAAGTCGGCTTGTACATTCTATTCCGTCCAGGGCCATACGTGAATGCAGAAGCTACTGCAGGAGGGTTTCCTGGGTGGTTGACAACTGGAGCTTACGGCACTTTGAGGAACAATGACACCCGATACACCGAAGCTTGGACTCCATATTTCACGAAGATGTCCGAAATCGTTGCACAGCATCAGGTCAGCAACGGTGGCAATGTTTTCATCTACCAGATCGAGAACGAGTATGGTGATCAGTGGAAAAACGTGGCGGCAAAGACCCCGAATCCTTCGGCAATCAGTTATATGGAACTGCTGGAGAGTTGTGCAAGGAACGCTGGAATTGATGTTCCCCTGATCCACAATAACCCAAACATGAACACTAAGTCTTGGTCGAAGGATTACGGAGCCGGAGTAGGCGGAGACGTTGATATCTACGGTCTTGATTCTTACCCATCATGCTGGAGTTGCAACCTCTCAGAGTGTACCGGCACGAATGGTGCCTACGTTGACTTTCAAGTCTCCGAATACTATACCAATTTTCTTCAAGTCTCTCCAACACAGCCATCCTTCCTAGCTGAATTCCAAGGTGGTTCGTATAATCCCTGGGGTGGCCCTGAAGGGGGTTGCATTAATGTAGGTAGTGGGAGAGAAATCCTCCCCTATTCTGTAGCCCCTCATAATTTCCTCCAGAGATATCGCCCTGGCTATCTCGAAATACCCTTTATACAATTGCTGACTCCCACGGTTGCCAGACTACTGGTCCTGATTGGGTGAATGTATATTACAGGCACAATGTTGCTCAGAAAGTGACAGCTATGAATATCTATATGCTGTTTGGTGGAACGAGCTGGTCTGTCTCCCTCTTTATGACTATCTATGCGAAATGCTGATATCAATTCTAGGGGTAATGCTATTCCCAATTCATCATCCGATGCTTGTGTATGAATGGGCATTACTGATACGAATTCATGAACAGGCGGACTGCCCATGCCAACGGTTGCCACGAGCTATGACTACAGCGCACCCATCAGTGGGATTTCCTTTCCATCTCGTGGGCTCTGGTACTAATCAGCGTACAGGCGAGAGCAGAGTCATTGGCGATAAATATCAAGAGACCAAGATCTTTGCCCAATTCCTCCGTGTTGCCAGGGATTTAGCTAAGGTTGACTTGATTGGTAATGGCACTCAGTACGCCTCGACACCAGCTATCTATGCTACCGAACTCCGCAACCCGGACACAAATGGAGCATTTTATATCACGATCCACACTTCATCACCATCGACCGACCTCACGCCATTCAAGTTGTACGTCTCAACGTCAGTGGGAAATTTGACCATACCTCAGCGAGCTAGCGATGTCGTTCTCAATGGTCGAGAATCGAAGATTATTGTTACGGATTTCGGTGTTGGGAATAAAACCTTGATCTACTCGACTGCAGAGGTATTCACAGTTTCCACTCAAGACAACCTGCCTCTTGTTTTCCTATGGCTTCCCGCAGGAGAGAGTGGAGAGTTCCTCTTCAGTGGCGTTAGTTCGAGCTCGCTTCTCAAAAGTGCTGGATGCTCCAACGTTCAGTCAACGAAGTCAAACGGAGGTCTTCTTGTCTCATACACACAATTAGTAGGATCTTGTGCCGTCAAGTTCGACAATGGGTATCGGTTTGTTCTCATCGATAGATCAACTGCTTATGCCACCTGGGTGCCATCGACATCGACTGATCCATATACCCCTGAAAATTCAACAGGTAAGTCGATTGAAGCCTGCGATGAGTATCGCTAACAATTGTCAGTTATTGTTCAAGGGCCTTATCTCGTCCGGAGTGCATCTATCGCACACGAGACTGTCGACCTTACGGGCGACTGGTCGAATGCCACCGGACTCGAAATCTTTGCTCCATCCTCAGTTTCTCGTGTTCGATTCAACGGCGAACAGCTTCACATCACTAAGTCGTCTTATGGAAGTCTCGTTGGGAAGTTGGGAGACAGCAGTCATACAATTCCGTCGATCCAAGCTCAACTTCCTCCTCTCAAAAAGTGGAAAGTGAACGATGGCTTGCCGGAGCGAAATCCGACTTATGATGACTCGCGATGGGTTGGTAAGACAATCTTTGTCAACCCCACAAATTATCAAAGCGTTGACAGCCAAAGTCGCCAATCATACCAGTACCCCCAATCCAACGCCTCCAGCCACATACCCAGTTCTTTATGCAGACGAATACGGTGAATCTACCATCTATATATATCCCCAAGCGTGTGTTGGCTAACTTGTAACAGGCTTTCATACAGGGAACCTCCTCTGGCGTGGTCGTTTCTCAGGCACAAAAGCAACCGGCGTCTCCCTCGCAGTAATCGGTGGGACCTCCAGGTATTTATCACTCCCCATCTCCGTTCTCTATCTTCTAAACCTCCCAGCGGCTACTCTGCCTTCCTAAACGGCATCTACATTGGCTCCTTCCTCGGTTCAACCTCCATCACAAACGGGACCCTCACCCTCTCCTTCTCCAACGCCACTCTCTCATATACCAACGTCCTCTTCATAATCCAAGACCATACCGGCCACGACGAAACCAGTGGTGTTAACAACCCCCGCGGTATCTACAATGCGACTCTCCTGGGTCCTATCTCCACTAATTCCTCTCTCTCTTTTGATTCATGGAAACTAGCAGGCACAGCAGGCGGCGAAACAAACATCGATCCTGTTCGTGGGCCGTATAATGAAGGTGGCCTCCACGCTGAGAGGATGGGGTGGCACTTGCCTGGTTTCAATGATCGTGCTTGGTCTTCCTCCGCCCCTGAAGTTGGCCTGAGTGAAGCCGGGGCGAAGTTTTATAGGAGTGTGGTGAAGTTGGATGTGCCAAAGGGGGTAGACGTTAGTTTGGGTTTTGTGTTGGGGAGTAAAGAAGGGAGCAAGGTTAGGGCACAGCTTTATGTTAATGGGTATATGTTTGGGAAGTTTGTGCCGTGGATTGGGAATCAAGTTGTTTTTCCTGGTGAGTCGAACGTTCAAATTGAAGAGGGATGGGGCTGATGGTTAGTAGTGTTTCCAGGAATCTTGGATTATCATGGGGACAACACAATAGGCCTCAGTATCTGGGCTCAAGACGCAGCAGGAGGGAGTGTGAGCATTGACTGGACTGTTCTCGGGGTCGTGAACTCAGCTTTTGACCCCGGATTTGAAGCGAGGGAGTTGAGGCCGGGGTGGAGCGATCGATCTGCTTATTACTGAATACCAGGTCAAGAAAAGGAAAATTCAGACGAAACTCATAGTCAGAGATGTTAGTTTAATCTAGGTAGGGTGAGTGTTGAACGGTGGACAAGATCTAGATCTCAAGAAGAAACACAAAGCCAACTCTCAACCTCCTTATTGAAATCCGTCGGTCCAAACATCGCGTTCGACAGATCACTGTCTCCATCTCGAGCGGTGTAGGAATTACCTGTGCAGTCACTCGTCCTATCTCATGCGTCAGCTTTTCATCCCATCACTCCCCATAAGATACTCCACCTCCAAGCCAAATTTCAAACCAGAATTGAATTGTGAAGGAGGACTCACTTGAACAAATCACACTCAAATGTCCCAGGAATAAAGACATACGTCAGGTTGCTACCCAATGGTCCGTCTTCAGCTGCTGGGAAATCGGCCCAATTATCTATTTATTCCAATTCGTATCAGCTTCTACTTTCGGGGGAGGAGAAATGGGGAGGAGGGAGAGATTTACAGCAAGTCCCGAGCGCGGAGGTTAAGCCCCAGCACCACCCCGTTCCGTATGGCTGGCCATACGGATCTCCATCTGGGTAGGCGGCTTCGGTGCAGAAAAGGGGGGCAACGGATGTGGATTGGCGGGGTGTGAGAGGGGAGGAGAGGGCGGGCAACGCAAGTGCGGCCGCGAGGAGAGCTTTGAGGACGGCCACCTTGAGACAGTTCGAAGAGAGATCGGTGATAGTGATTGAGTGGTAATGTTCCTTTCATCAGGTGGGACAATGATCTCTTAAATAGGATGAAGATGATGGCGACGCCTATTAGTTACAAGAAGTACAACGAGCCTGCGTCTCAGAACAAGTGGACATATACCCGCCGAATACAAGCAATACGAGAGCTGTACAGCTCAAAATATCGTATCTGCAGTCTTCACATAAGTCTACTCAACGATGTAACAGTTTCCTTCGTACTTAATGCAAGATCTCAATACGAAGTCAGATTACAAGGATCGGAAGTTTGTAATCAGAACCGCAGCAGAATCATCTATTTCCAAGTCAGATTAGTAGAAGTCCACTTCTCCAAATATCTCTTTTTCTGGACATTGTGAAGACGAAGCTTGACAGAGTCTACTGAGGCGTGCATGTTCGTGCGGCCGACACTAACTTGAGTTTCCCTAAAGCATAGTTCTCTGCTCAAAGTGACCCTCGTGAAGCAGAAGGGAAAGCAGCTTACGAAGAACTTGATGTACATGGTATACGAGCTTGTACGGACAAGAGTACTCACTCGTCGGCCGTGTGAAGGAGGGGGTATTAGGCAGGTGAAGCAATTAAGGTTAAGAGGTAAGCACGTGACTATGTCACATAATTCTTGACTCAAAGACGCCCTTCGAACTCGGTGAGAATGCGAAGGCCGAAGCGGCCGGGAACTTGCTGCTGAATTACTGAGAGTAAGGTGGTTCTCGCTAGAGCACTGCAATTTTAGAGCAGAACAAGGCCTTGAATTCGTATGCGAGGCTGAAAAGTTCTCAGTGGTTGGAGAACGAGAACCAGTGCCAACAACCGCCACTCAAAAACTTCAACACCGAGTCCGTCTCGCAAGACGTTAGACTTCTAAGTTCTCGTCAAGATATCTTCTCGTGATGGAGAGTAAAATTAAAGGGAGTACAGGCTAGCGTGGAATGAAACCCACACTTGCAGGACTAGGGAATTCACTGCTTATCCACACGAAAGTGCCTAACGGTAGGAATTCAAGCGCTAGTCACGTGGTTATTCTTCCCGATCTGCAAAGTTTGAAGACCTCCGGAGCTCGGTGAGAAATGCAGTGTCGAAAATGGCTAGGGGCCAGCTGGGGAGTTATTGATTGGAACGAGGTGAAGTTGAGGGCTGTCGCTCTGGAGATCTGGTCCAAATTACACGTGACTGATTACGATTTTGGTCATGGCTGTGAAGACAAGCGGTGTAGACGCCGTTGCACTGCAATTTTAGCGTCGATGGAAGCTTTGACGTTCTATGGCGGCTGCATGAACCCTTGGCATTCAGCCTCAGGAAATGTCACAGAGCACTGCAATTTTAGTGTTGAAGGACTTCAAGATGGCTGCATGAACCCTTGGGACTCAGCCTCACAGAGCACTGCAATTTTAGTGTTGAAGGACTTCAAGATGGATGGGCATGAATCCTTGGAACCCAGCCAGACGACAATACCACGTGACTATCGTAGTATTCACCGAGTACGGTAACGCACTGCAATTTTAGCGTACATGAAGGCTTTAAATGCCTCCTACAGCTGGACGGCTCCCATTGGTTGGAGAACCAGACGGTCACACTCGCCTCTCGAACTTCACTACATGCTCTCCTCGAACGAGTTCTCATGCTCAATACAAGTTCACATAAGCATTGAACTCACAAACACAGGGTCATTCGTCTCATCTCACACCACACTCACATCACATCACAACGCATCAACACTCAAGGCACGACAAATCATCCATTTCGTCAATCAAATATATACAATGAAGGTATTCTCCAAGCCCGGTTCCCAATGGGTTTGCCCACCCAAAATGATCCTATTTCCTATCCCTATCCCAATTCGCCAATCAAGCCAAGCGAGTGTGTTTTATTTTGTTTTCCTCCCAAGCCATCCCATCCCAACCTAAGCTTGGATACAGTACTTATACCCCAACCAAAGATTACTACACGCCGCATCGAGCCCCGGATTCAGATTCCTTAGCGTCGCAAAACTAACGCCCGTCTTCTCGGCAACCAGGCTGCAGTAATCGCCCGGCACGATCTCGTAGTAGGAAGTACAAGGTGAGACGGCACCGGGGTAGATCTGTGCTGATGAGGGGGCGGGGGAGGTAGGTGGAGTGGGGCTCGTGGCTGGAGCAGAGGCATATGTTGCTGCTGCTGGAGGCGCGCTCGTTGCGGCTGGAACGGGGACGACGACGACACTGCTTGTGACGGCTGGAGCGGGAGCAGCCTCTGTGGTGGTGTCTGGGCTCTGGGCGAATGTGGCGCCAGTGTTTCCCGAGTTCGAGGAGACGACGGAGCTGGTGAGCGCGGCTACGGCATCGGGTGTGCAGGAACTGGGGCCGGACACCCAGCCTGTAAGTCTGTTTGCGATGTCCGAGGCGTAGCAGTGTGTTGCGACGCCCTGCCCGAGATTCTTGGTTGGCGCGATGGAGCCGGAGTTGTAGATGCGCGCGGCTTTGTAGTACATGGAGACGTCGGTGGCGCCTGTCTCGGCGATACATTGCTTCAGGCCGTCGCCGCTGGATGTCCCAGCTGTACCGTCTTGGATCATCTGCATGACTTGGCTGGCGGGGCAGGGGTTCTGGACGGTGCCGTCGTTGCAGGTTCCGGCGCCATTGTGCGATTGCATGAGTCCTGGGTTGCGGACGCCGTAGTTGGTGGTTGGGGCGCGGACGCAACCGTTGCTTTCTTGCATCATGATGGCGAGGATGAAGCGCGGGTCGATGCCGGTGGATGCGCCGACGGATTGGATGGCGGTGGAGATTTCGTTGATTTCGGCTTTGGAGTTCTCCGCGACGCCGAATTGGGCACAGCCGGTTGACAATACTCCCATGTTGTTGTTGAACCTGGCGATCGAATGTTAGAGAGTATTCAATAGGTCTATCTGGAGTACTTACATGGTGGAAAAGTCAGATACCCAGGAGCTCATGGCAGGCCAGCCATCAGCAATGTTTCCGGTGCCTCCATAAAGAGAGTATTGGAATGCACGGTCTTGCAAAGGAGTGGAAGTTACCCTCGTAACCAGGTTCGAGAGAAAGGACGGAACTGGAGCTCCAGAAATGAGGGTGGGAAAGGCTGAGCCAGCAGCCAAAAGCTACATTCCAGGTCAGTAAGTGTTTTCGAAAGATCGAATACACACGAGTACTTACTAAAGGAATGACGAACATGATGTCGAGAAAAGAGTGTGAAAGTAGGAATCCAGATGTCCTTGGAGGGAAAGAAGTCATGAGGAGGGTTGCCGAAGTCCTTATAACCCCCCTCATTCAAGGGTTAGTTAGCATGAAACTGCGCCTCATTGGATGATGGGTTGCGAGGCCCCCTGGCGTTAATTACGGGCCAAGCTCAACTCGCCTCACCACACCTCACCTTCGCCCCTGACCTAACTTTCGAAGCTCAAGCCTTCCCTTTTCCGGTCCGTCGAAAAAGCTAGGAACGCCCATTTCTGCACACGCCGCTTCGTAGAGTGTGGAGAGGCCGCCTGTGGCATGCATGGATCCAAGGCGAAGAATGCCATTCTCAGCTACGGTTGGCCCGAACCCCTGCAGGGCGGTGAAAGAGTCTCACTGCTGGCGTCTGCATTTGGATCTGGGCCAAACTTATTGATACCTGGAGTCACTGCCAGCCCACATTCCAGATTGGATCAATTCCACGGCTGCGTGGGTTTTTGGGTCAAGTGCTCTCGAAAGTGTTGGGCGTTGCGTGGCCGCTACTTCAGATGATTGCTCGTTGATGGGGTCAGGGGAATCGGACGAGGCAACCACCTGTCTGATTCTGGCATTCAGCCACTATGTGCGGCAATGCATTCCATCGCTCGCATTTCGTCAAAGACGCTTTTTTAATTAAATTTCCTTGGAGCTCTATAGTTTATAAATACCTCGGATTGAAGGTTTAACAAAACCCAATTACTTGTTGGTAAGATCTCGCATGAGACCTGAAAGTATCTCGAGGTGGCGGAGAAGGCGGGCACAGAAACTTTTAGCCGCAGTTTCAGCTCTTGCGCCCTCAACATCGCTGGCCAGTGATGTGACGGACGAGGCCAACGGACGAGCCCGCCATTGGGCAAAAGGAATGGCCGGAGCTGCGCGCCTTCAGCCGCGTTCGTTGGCATGGGCCGAGGTGAACAGGCTGACTGGATCGTGGGGATTATCCGATCCTAGCGCCATTTTCGGTGATCAGACCAGCCAAAATAGGCGCAGTCGAAGGGCCGATCCAGGGAAGAACCACGCGTAAATCCAGAATCTTCGAAATGGAGGTCCTGCCGTACTCAGGAATTCCACTTGTAATTTACGATCTTCGGGGTTGTACGGGGGAACGCATGAGCGTTCTTCTGCCGACAGGCATTCATGGTCTAGTCTGCGTGGCTGAGCGTTGCGCCGAGGTCTGGGACCTACAGATTGGAGGGCGACCAAAGATGTCGCTGCAATCATGTGTCCATCATCGTACCTGAACCAGGCCGTCTTTGGGATGCGGAGAGTCAAAAGTTGTGACAAGTTGGAGAGGGGCAGAGAAGTTTGATTCGCTGCTTGTCCGTTTGCTGCTTGGCCGAGAGAGGTGTAGTCAGGAACTTGCTCGAAACAAACGAATCACCCAGTTGGTGGGAACTTGGTTCAGGGGCTAGGGCCAATCGCGAGTCATTTTTGGGTGGTTGGCGACGAAGACGAAACACCCCTTTTCAAGAACATCGAAATTTTCGGGATAAACCGATCTGCCGAGTCACACACACCTTTCATTCTCTAGTATGCGAGTCTTTCGAGCCTGACTCGCGATGGACCAAAAGAGCTTCACTTGTTTCAATGTTCCTGGCAAATTCGATGTCCGAAGCTGGCACATTGAGATTTCGATCATCTAGTTCTAAGGGAATTGGCCACCTCGATATTGTGTTGCAAATCGAAATTGAAACCTTAGGCTTGAAAGAGGATCTCAATCTCCCATAACCTCCAAAATAGTCGATGAAAGGAGATTTTGAAAATACGAGAATACGAGAGAATATTCAGAGCGGTTCTCATTTGCGTCGATAACCAGTCTCGGCCCTAGCGCATCCATCCAAACATGGAGCCTTCCATTGGATTGGTCGTGGTACTTGTTATGACACCTCAGTGCTTCTCTAATCAACACTTTTGGTGCATAGTGGAAGCGGGGGTTCAGGCTGAGGTCTCCAACGAACAGACTCTAGATCATATCAGCAGTGAGATCTAGATCGAGGCGTTTTCAAGATTATATACCAAGCATGCTCTGGTTCCCATTTCATCCACAGCCTTTATTTTTGACACAAAGCTTGCTATATCTGTTACCATGGGGTCCAGAAAACAAGTTTGTTCCGCTCTTGAGCACCTCGGCCATGGCCAGCGTCACAGTGTCATATACATCATCTCCTTTGTATCTGAACGTCATCGGAATCACCAAATCCATTTCCTGTGAAATTTCTCTCAAGAGAGAATGTTGGACATGTGCATGAGCATTGATCAATCCCGGGATGACGATGTTCTATTCGAGGTCGACCACATGTACTTTCTTCTCCCCAATGTCTGTCACAGACGAGAGTCCAAAAATCTGGGCATTCGCTCCGACCACATGGATTATGTCGTTGATGGCATGAATAACGCCTTCGACGATGAATTTTTGGTCTTTGTTGACGGTGATGATGGTGCCATTAAAATCCACCGTCCAATTACCTGGTGGAGCATGTTCAGCCATGACCTGCTGGGCTATTTAGCAATGTACGAGGACGGGATGGATGGATAGCTCACGGTGTTCGGAAGAATTTGGTACAATGGTATGGAGAAGAGATTGGATGGAAGTTCAGAACCAAGGACGGCGTGGGCACGTTCGTGCATCCCATCTTGGGAAGGCACACGGCATGGTAGCTCCTTTCATCAAATTTCGATCACCACGTTTCTTCGGCAGCAGCAATTAACAGGAAATGGCGTGTACAATGAACCGTTGTTCGATGACTTCATGATACATTCGGATCGTCACCTTCATGGTTTCCCCTGAGCCAACATTTAGGCGAGCAGGGAAAGGGGTTGATCACGTGATCATTTTGAATCCTTTTCTCGTTAGGCGCCAGTTCTTTATTGTACCAATTCTATCCGGTAGCACTTTTGCTTTGGGATAGAATTCAGATCGAGGCCCACCATTGCTGTAAGAGCATACAGCCGCTTAGTGAGGGAGAAGGGGTGATGTGGTGACGGCGGGAGAGGTGCGGGTTAAGGGGTGCGGCGAGGAGTTTGACGGAGAGTGAGGAGGCGATTGTTGACGAGGGATTTGGAAAGGCATGGTGTATTGTTAAGACGACACATTTCATTGTGCGGAAGGACACTGGGTCACGGCCGAGCCGAAAGACCATCCGTGGAGCAATGTATGGGGAGGGATCTGATCTTGGCGGGGTTTTGAGTATCTGGGAGACTCAGCGAGAAATCCATCCTGGACTGGGTTCCCGGGCCTTTGGCCGGTAGGGTAGGGACTCTGATATTAGGCAAGCATACATACGCCTCGGGAAAGAGCAAGATTGAAGATTGGCGTAAGAGTCCATGAGAATAGAAGGATTCTCTTAAAGACCACAAACAGATCAGTCCGACCTCGTCGAATAAAGTGGATGGTCTTCGTTTCAGCATTCAGCTTGAATGCACGTTGAAGATGGCACAGCCGCGACCAACTTCAAATGCGAAAAGCAGTACGAAAAGACGAACCGGGCACTTGTGTGTGGATATGGTGGCAAGAGGACAAGCCGAAACGTCAAGCCAAACTGCGAGCCGAGGATAGAACACGGAGGAGATTATCAAGCGGTCAAGGCATTCGGGGGGATAGGTGGCCTGCTGCAGAGAAGCTGTTGTAATGATAGACAAACGGTTCATCTCTAGAGGATTTGAGAGCATGTAATCATATCCATAGTCACCTGAAATGTCGAATAACGTTTATATTGAAGCCGAGGAAAGGTAAAATTCGTGAACAATTCTGAGTCCAGAAAAGCTGTAGTGACTGAAACCCTTCTTCACGGTCGCCTTTGGTAGGAGAGTCACAAATTCGGACTTCTCTAATCTGACCCTAAAGTTATGTTGCAGTCCGTCGCCGCTTCCTGGTCCTGCGTCCTTTGATGGGCTCAGAGATTAGACTCTTGAAAACATCATCATATTGGCCGGTCAAGTTCTCGCGACCTAATTCATGTTAACGGTGATCTTTGGGACGAATAAATGGCAGGACATACAAAACCGACGAAAAGCGCAACGAAGTTGAGAAAAAAGCGTTTTTAACTCCTCATTTTCACACACGTGTTCATTATTTTCTTCGTCTGTCCATGTCATGGTCAGCGGAGAGTCGTGCTCCCGACAGAGAGTGCCGTATGCAACAGTCAGTCGTCGATACATAAACGCCGACTTTTCGAGCCGGGGCTGATGATCTGATGTAGGTCAGAATATTCCAATATCTAGAAATGGGAGCTGAGACTCACATGGCTTAGTGCCAGGCAGTTCAAGCCTAATTTGATCTCTGATCAGTCGATCACGGTACAGCAATAGCAATCTTAGCAAGCAAACGCCGGCAATAATTCGCGAATGATTGCTCGCGCCGACAATCTTCGGAAGATTATCAAGCTCAGAGAAGACGTGTTTCTCTGCTGGTTCGAGCCCTTCTGCGGCAAGTATTCGGATTTGGTCGTGAACAGTCTCCGAAACAAAATTTCCAGGGTCACTCTCTGCGTGACCAAGACGACCAAGAAGGTCATAGCTCCCATCTTGAAGGTTGAGAAAACCGTACGCAACAAAATTGCTCAAGCTTGCGATTCTTAGGGTGTTCCTCGAAAGATGTCGCTGCTCATGTCAGCCGTACCGTTTGAAGAGCGGTCAAGGAACGTACCAGTCTCGAAGCTCTTTCCCCCTTACAATAGCAGAACAAAAAGTCGTCTAGAAGACGTGTCATCCTTCCTGAGAGGCTGCCAGTTGACATTAGTAAGATGTCTCTTCCGAAAGTGTCAAAGTCGTCAATGTCTGGAAGTGAGCTTGGAATGATAACATAACGCTTTTCATCCATCTTAACGGAGGTTATGTAGATCCCGCGAATTTTCTTAAGGCTCTTCCAACAGCCTTTGGGCGAGACCGTGCATTGCATGACTTGGAGGCGAAGCTCTGCTGTGCTTCGGTCGCTCGTAGCCTCCGAGTTCAGCGAAAGTGTAACAGCTTGGGGATGGCCAACGAGCGACGTCAAAAAGGTTTGCAATCTTTCTTTTTTGGCGTCAAGACTGGGTCCGTGCAATTCTGGAAGAAAATGGTCAACTAATTGTTCGGAAATACCAAGAGATATCGGTGTACCTTTCACGCCTACATAGATATCTTGTATCCTCGTGCGCAAACATATCTGCTTAGCTATAACTGGATCATCAACTGTTCGTCTACATTGGTCGCAAACTTCTGTAGCAGAGCACTAGCAGAAGTTAGAATGTGCTGAGCTAGGGACACCGAGAAAACATCACTCACCGAAACTTTGCGCGATCGACAGAATGTACAAGCACCCCAATCTCTGACGAGCCTCACTTTCTCCTTCCCGGCTCTAGTAAAAGAGCTTCGTTTCCGTTTTGATGGTGACGGTTTTGGGTTGAGATCAAAGTTGACAATGAGATCTTTAAACGTCGGTGTGGGTCGAGAGGAAGGCATATTGAGGTTATCAACGTTGACTTTAGTGAGACGTTCATGTTCCTCATCAGTTGTCTGGCTTTTGGGGTGGTCGGACAGAGACGAAGGAAGTCGATAGGATGAATGAAGAGTCAGGACTTCAGGTGGTACACATAGAGCGGGATCGCCAATATGATCGGAATAATGGCACCCCACCACTGGACTTGCAGGCCCATCAAGCTGTGTATATCCAGAATTTATTTCACCCACATTTGAGCAGGTATAATCGAAGCATCTGGTTAAATTGTACTCGCCAAGTGCGTCCTGAGACATCGAGATAGGTTGCGCATCAGCATAATCCAGAAGTTGGCAGCCCATTCTTGAAGGGCCAAGTAGCCCAAGATGCTCATGGCCACATTCAGGCAGTGTGATATCCGAATACGTACTGTTCTGCGGAAGCAAATAAGCAGCGTCAGGTGATGGGGAGTTTGACCAGTGCCGCAATGAAGCATCCAGGGAGGAGGGAATCAGAACCTCGCTCCAATTGGGGCAAGTACTGGAGTCGGACTTGAAAGGAAGAAGCTCTTGTTCGATCTCTCTCCAAAAACCTTCGGCACCAGCTACCATTAAATTGTCCGTTGAAAGAGCATCACCTTCGAAGAAGCTCGGTAGGAACGTCGAGTTCGAACCGTCCCCAATGAGATGGTTCGGAAGGCTGGCATTTGCGAAAAGTGTATTTGCCATCAGTTCCACGGCAGGCTCCAATAATGTGCTGACTGGAGTGTAGTTCCTGTTTGCTGGGCTGTCGCTTTGCGGCCGTCTGTTGAATTCATTTAGGTTCATGTCGAATGAGAGCCTCAAAAAATTAGGCTCCAGCTCCATAGTCTCATCGATTGTGGAGGCCACATTCGCTGACTGTTGTACGGGGTCGATGCGGAGACTGACGTGATCAAGCAGTGCGGAGGTTAAGGTTGGACAAACAGCAAGTCAAGTCTCGTGCTTGATACACTTATATTACGAGAATCGATGAAATGTCCATGCTGAAGAATGTTCTTGGCTTGAAGCTCAAAATGGACTTCGGTGTCAAGCTCAGACAAGGATGCTGCGCCACCACATTCACATTGGCCAGCCTTTGCTGAAGCAGCCACTTCGTGATTCCTCCCCGAACACGCACAGGTAGGTGCGACGACGAGGAAGACATTACTGTGGGCCCAACTCTGGGCACACAGAGCAGGTGAAGATGAGTGCGAGACAGATGACTTGGGGTGATGAGAAGTTGAAGGAAAGAATCGGGGTTAAGGTTCCCGTTCGGGTCCTGAGAAATGCGCAGGCGCACGGGCCGACGCGTACATCTGATCATAGAGCATCTGTGCATAACTATCCACGCCCATCTTCATACCTGGAATGATACTCCTTCACACCGGGCCAGCTAATAAACAAGCTCAAGCCTCTGATGATTCGACCTTTTCTTCTCAACCTGGCAGAACTTCCTCTCTAGAGCGTCACCTCATTGCTTGTTCTCTTAAGCTCCGAGCACAGGAGGCTTGTTCGCCGGCACAAAGTCGACTTCGATATCTCGGCTGCCTTCAACCGGTTCCCAAAACTTGCGAAGGAGGTTCTCTCTACGTTAGTCGCCGCTAAATCAAAGCTTGCATCACATCAGGGGATGGAAGGGCCAAGTCACTTGAGATGGGTGCTTCGATTGACAGCCCCCAGAGGACGTTTTGAAGGCCGGCAAAAGCAGGACAAGTCTTGCTGACACTCAAATTCTGTGAGTTTCCTTACCTTACATTATTCTCTATCTTGGCCTTAGAGTCCGCGAAATCTTCCCTAGCATGATTTGTCCCCATGGGTTCCATTAGGTGGACGGGTAGGCTCCGCCTTCTAGCGTCTTCTCCACCCTGATCTACAGTAGTCAGGACAAAGGTCCGGAACACGAACACGATTTTCAGGTACACTTGGATTAGATCTGTTGTCATGCAAGATCATGTAGAGGTCTGTGATAATGGAAGAGCATCTTGCTGATTGATATTACAAGATTCTCTGCCGCATGCGTACCTGAACAATGATCGACCTCTTGAAGTTTTCAAGATGTTATTGATTTCCAACTTTAATCTGCGAATCTGTGATAAAACTTACTACTTGCTTTCTCTCCCTCTCCTTCGTCACTCTAGACTCGCTAGTATAGGCAGCAGTTATTATGGTAAAAGGGTGAGATCAGGGCTTTTTGCTGCATCTCGTCGACTAAGGGTCGGAACAAAGTGGTCAAACTGGAAAATTGATCATGCTAGCTCTGCAGTCCCACTCCGTCTGGAATACTTGAAAGTCTTTCGCGTTCAGTAGGAGAATGCAGTTCAACCGAAGCAACCGATCCCCACGGACGATATGCCGAGGGTCCTGTATCTCGACTAGGGGTAGTCTCCAACTCATGTCTTCTCACGTGACCTTCTTCCAGTTCTTTTACACGTTTCCGTAGTTCTTCCATCCCCCCCTCCAAGCTTGAGATTACGAGCGAGTTATCCTCCACTGTTGGCGGAGCCTGTACCAATGGGGTCTCCCCCAACCTCCTCAACAAGGGCCGCCATTTGTAGATCCAGAGAATGAGGGCAAGAATCATAATTATTGCCAGTATGCTGCCTACCACTATCACTCCAATTTCAGTACCTGTCCTAGAAGTACCAGGTGAACATTTGACAGGGCCTGAAGAGTCAATTGGTCTCAAGTCTGAGCTCAAGTCATTCCCCGGGACAACAGGTGCGAGCTGGAACTGCTGTTTGGGATAATCGACCGTTAGGTATAACTGAATATTCTATTAAAAGGGAATTCTTGATTCTTTGGAAATGAGAGACTTTCCTGAGAGAGAAAAACTTTTCCAAGGGTTGCCGTATTTTGTGGAGCCTTCAGGTCGAAGATGTTCACAGTTGTGACGTTGTTGTTTAAAACTCGTTGACCATTTGAGTCAATTCCTCGCAGCGGCCCTGCCATTTCGTAGGCAGGAATCTCAACTTCGAGGCCATCTTGCAGGGTGAAAATCAGAGAGCCATTGAAAGGGTTGTTGTAGTTGAGACCAGGCTCCACGACATATAAGTCGGGTGGGACCATGGTGGTATCGTTGATCCAATTGGTAGCTCTCTGAAATCCTTCCAGTTCATTGGGCGGAAGCCGAAATAGATTATCGTACCTGTGTATGTCAATATTCATTGCAAGATGTTCGCTATGCTGTAGAAGGATGCTCACGGTTCAATACAAGATGGCATAAGTGTTCCATCAGAAAGAAGCTGAACATCAGTAGTGACTCCAGGACGTCGTAGAGTGAGCTGCGTAACAATGACCTCGAGAGAACAGACCCTACTACCAGCAAGCGTAGTATTACTCATTGAGTAATTGTTGAACGGGCCGTTGATGAGAGCAGCATCATAGCCTCCAAACACAATATGTCCATCACGTGGTGTTGAGATGGACTGGCTGCCTGCGAAAAGTCCGAAGCTCAGTGATACTAACTTTCCAGCAAAAACAAGTGAATGCAGCAGAACTGAGTTATTGGCAAGTCCTAGTTGGTTTGCATTGAGATTCTGACCTTGCAACGCTATTGCTATTAGGAAATGTTGAAGCGATGCGGAGGCAAATTGAATAGTTGCGTTTACTGCTCCCCCAAAGGAGGGGTTAAATGAGTCCCACTCAGGGTCGGAAGATAGGGACTGTACAGAAACGTTGCTGTAGGAGGAAGTGGACACGTCAAAATTGAAAGTTCCTCCTCGACGTGAGATGCATTGGGCAAAGTTGCTGGTATGATCTGCGATGCAAATTTCGGTCTCGGTAATGACAGTGTTGTTGACCACCTGCCCAGCGAATAAGCACTGTAATGTCCCAGGAAAATTGAGGGATTTGAGAGCCTCAAAGCGCTCTCTTGCACCCATAACACGGGAACAAAGAGTTTATGATGACTCCTAAACCAGCTCACAGGGTCTCGGGGCTTATTGGAGAGAACCGCAGACTAGTATGAGAACAAGCCTTACTAAAGACGGGACTGCACATAATTGTTGGCTTGCAATGCTGAGTTTGACTCCCCACGACTCGACGCCACTTGGGAAATTTAAACTCGGTGCGATGGTGCAATTAGCAAGAGGGATGCGGAATGGTTTCGGCGAAGTGTCAACGCAGTCTGCAGTCACAAACGTATGATGACTGATAATGAGCCTGAACAACACAAATATAAAGAGCTGCGAGAAACTCATCGTCAATACTTGATGATCGTTAACGAAATGGGTCAGAGCCTTGTCGTTAGAGATCCAAAAATCTGGGGAAGACTTCACTTTTTAGGCTCCTTGCTCTCTGAATCACGGAAGGAGCCTCGTCTGAAAAACGGCCCACAGCCCCGACGCCTGGAAATATTCTATCCACTAATTGAAGAACAGCCTTACATTTTACGAACTGGCTTCCTCCAAAGCATGCAACAGGAGGTCCCGCTTCACGACGACTGGTTGAAAGGTGGCCGGTGATAGCGAAGTCATGTAGTGCAACCAATGTGAGGGGAAGCCTGGGCACCGCGGTGAGTTTGATTCGCCCGAAGGGAGCGGGACATGGGCAAACGTCAAGCCACAAATCCTTCGGCCGGGCACAAATATTGAAGGCTTCATTTCACATCACATCAAGCTTTGGAAGAGTCTGGAACCTTGTCTCTTTCCCAGGTCTCTGCTATGAAGTGTGCGCCACGACGCGAGGCAACATGGCTAGTGTCTTGAGCAGACTACAGTAGAAGGCTTATGATTGACATTAATACCGTGTGTCACGTGCTGCGTACAGGCATATATATAGCTTCTTCACCGCCATTAGGGCACTATCATTCCTTACATATTTACACAAACACACCCACATTCCACTTCCACAGCTTGTCCAGGCCGTGACACCGTGTGACCACTAATCATTGAAAAATCATAAACAGCGATATGCGAAACTGCTTTTCCAGCCCGATTTTTAAGCGAGGAGCACTAAAACGCGGGGGTTTATGTTTCGATTTTTTTTTCGATTTTTTTTTTATGGATATTCACGCAACTGCTATATTACTTTCTAATATTTTACTTTTAGATATGAACTTCTTATGTCGAGAATACGTTAAGTATATTTATATTTAGCTGTGAAATATTTTTATACCTTTCTTAATAAAGGTCTTCTTTTAAATAAAAACATAAAATAATACTTTAGGAATATACTCCTTATAATATGTATTAAATTCCAGGTTGTTCAATCAGGTAATTATAGAGTAATTCGAGGATTAATAAAATTTAAATAACTAGTAATTCTACAAAAACACGTTTTAGTGCTTCGAGCTGAAAAATCAGGCTGGAAAGGAAGTTTCGCATATTGCCATGTTCAATTGAGAGACCCTCGAATTACTTACTCCCAAGCCCAAAATACCATGCTCCCCCAATAGCCATGCTCACAACCCAGAATCAATCTGATCCACAACCTCTTTACCCGTGAAAGTTGCCCAATCTCTGCACGTCTGCGCCATGATGCTTGGGATCTGCAACTTGGCAATATCATCAGGCCTTTCCAACACAGTGACGTATAGACCTCCAGAAACATGCCATGCAATATGGCAATGCAGTGGCCACGCACCAGGATTATCGGCCGTAATCTGTAATACAAGGAAGCCGCCCGCGGGCACGATCTGCACATCTCTGCGCTGAGGATTCGAAGGGTTAACGACCGTGCCATCCCAAGTGCCAGTCCCGACATTCTCAACGAACATGTTGTGGCCGTGCAAATGGATAGGATGTGCGGCAAACCCGGGGTTCGTAATGTGGATCCGGATGCTGGAGTTGGAGCCAAAATTGTAGACGTTCCATTGCGGACTATCGGGGTACGAATTGTTGCCAAGGTTGGAAAGGAGGAGGATTGGCTGGTTGTAGTTTGCTCGGAAAGAGCTCTTGTTCATCGTCCAGAGAAAGTTTCCTGACGCGTTCTGGCCAAATTCGATATCGATGTTCTGGGTTACGGGTGGAGCTGGATCTGGGGTGATGGGGAACCAGGGTACGGTTTCTGTGAGCGGGTCCTGCAAAGCCGTCAGTTAGATTGAGAGGGGGGATGAGATGTGAGGAACTTACGTTTGCACATTGGCCCGTGACTGAAGCCGTCCATGCTGGCCAAGCAGTAGTATTGGGTGTACCTAGTGCTACTGCGGCATGGTTGTAGTAGACAATGGCGACTGCATCTGGCTGGCTGGTGAGTGAACAGCCCCCCCCGGCGATCGATGAACGCATTGCGTATGATCCAGTTGCCCCCGGAATGCCTGTAACCAAGACATCGGTGCGTTGGCCAATTCCCAGTGTGACGACTGAGAATATTCAGAATTGAGATTTAATTGCTTGGGAACAGAGACAAACCTTGAGTAGTATATGGAACTATTGGGACGAAGTCATTGGCAATGACGGTCAGATTGTGACCATCGATACTAAATTTCTGCATTCCCTCTGCACCAGCGTTTATCAAGCGTAAACGATGTACTTTCCCGGGAGTAAACCTGAAGTTGGTGATGCCCGCATTGTTGCTGCACGGCGTTGTATCACCAGCAGCGACATTAGAGCAGTTGAAATTATTTCTTCCCTGGATCAGATTGTTGTCGGATAGAGGAGCCTATAAAATATCAGCTGAATTGCTGCTATCAGGGCCATATGAAATCTGGGTTTAGAAGATGGTCGAGCTGCGTCTATATTCAACGTGCAAAAGGGGAGGAGGTTCGTACGTACAACTTTGGACCCGTCTGTTCCTACGACATCTGCAACAATAGAAAGGTAATCTCGGTGGAAATAATCTGTCAACATGATTGGACCTATATCTGTAGGAACAATCAGCGTTCGACCTACTAGGCTTCGAAAACCATCGACCTACCGATGTCATACGGGACATTCGTTGGGCCGTGGATGATCATTGGGCCGATGAGCCCTCCAGCGTACCTAGGATACATTAGATCTGAAGTTTGGAGCGAGGAAACATTGGAAAATGGAAATAAGATGGCAACCACTTACTGGGCAGAGTAATGGGAATGATACCAACTTGTTCCATATAGGTCGGCGATAAAAGAGTAGGTGAAGCTCCCTCCGGGAGGGATGGGGCACTGCTGAACCCCAGGAACACCATCCATCCATCTGCAAATACAATGAGCACCAATGACTATCTTTCTCTCAGCTGAAACAACTCACTGGGACAGTTTCTGCAGAATGCCATGCCAATGAAGTGCCACGCCCTCGTCGGGTGCGGTGATCTGATTATGAACTGTAACCTGAATGGTGTCTCCCCTGAAATATGTCAATACTCGGCTAAAATCACTAGCAGGAAGCAACTACCAATTTGCCTCGATCAAAGGACCTGGAAATTGTCCATTTATCAGGAGAACGTTTTTGAGATAGCCGTCGGGAGCTTTTCTCTCTCTCTGGATGGTGAAGTCATAGGCTCGAATCACACTGAAAAAAATAGATCAGAAAGGCGCAAACTGGGTTGGAACAGTGCATACCCAGTATTTGGCGGATCTGGAGAAATGTCAGTAAACAATAAGATATCACGTGACTCAAGAGCGAGGACGCTCACCAGCTGCGCTCAAATTAGAAATTGATCTATTGTTAAAACTTTCTGGGTAGTAAGTAACTTACTATATGGGTTTGTATTGCTCGCAGTTTTCGCTCCCCATGGGAAGCCTAGCGGTAGGGGCTGAGATATCATTAGAAACTGCACACTATTTGAAATAGTCGGGGAGATGTGCGAAAACCAGAAATAATGCTCACAGTAATTGGGCTAGTAGTGAGAAGGTAATCCACTGGAAGTTCGGGATAATCCGCTATGAAGAAACTCCTGTTAGTGACAGTAGTTGTGATGACAGAGGCTCCAGGGGTACCAACTTTGTGCATAAACGAATGAGCTAAAGAGCAGCGCAGCAATACCGCTGAACCTCATGTTGAACGCAAGTGTATCGGCCAACGGAGCGAATGTGTATCGAGAGTGTCCCAGATAATTTGGAATCACTTTGGATGAAATGCAAGGTGACAACCCAGCTTTCTTTATATCATCGACCCTGGGACACGAGAACCCTTGGGCTCACTCCTCACTCAGGTCAGCTATGGAATGCTCGGAGATTGGACTCAGAAGAGGCCTTGCGTGGTAGCACATACGGGAAGCGAACTCTATGACATGGTAAGGATAGAAAGCCATAGCCTCACATGTCGTGTTAGTTGAACAGAGGCTGAACCAGGAGAGGACATGGGTATCTTGAAGCAACATAATTAGAGCAAAACCAGACAAATGCGGGCGCATGCGCAGAACCAAACTATTGAATACTATTGTGGAGTGATGGCAAGGCTTGAATGGAAACAAGAGCTGTGTTGCCAGGCACTTTGCATTGAATGACCGAAAAGCTTTAGGTCGGAGGTATTACTAGCTCGTTGACTCGTTAATACGAGCTGCAATCAGCATAAGCATCAACCCCCTGGCTCTTCTTCGGATCTATGTGAAGCCCATGGTCGGAGAAGTTGGAAGTTATGACTGGGTTATGGAACTGCAGAAAGTGTGGGGGTGGCTTGTGAACTAATATATGCAATGCGGTTGCTCCTGGCTCTTGACCAGGCAGATTATGTGATATATGGGATTGTGCAGTGATTAGATTTGGTTATATTTGTCGAAAGAAGTCCGAAAAGGTATGTGCCACACCGCTAGGCTCCTATGAGCATGCTGTGGTCGAGCAGGTCACAGTGCGGCTGCACAGACTTTTCAAACGCCGATTGCTTGCTAAAACCCCCAGTGAGCAGGAGCGGTATGCTACTGATAATCTTCAGCTTGGAAGATAAAAATAACTAGCTTATATGCAACAACTTGGACACGCCAAAGCTTAAACACGAGCCGCATGACACGCCGAAGCTTAAACACGTGCCGCAAGCCCACGCCTCAATGTTTTCGCGTTTCAGCCACTGCTCTGTCACGAGCGAATCCTTTACAGCATCGGCTATACTTTCGTGCTCTTATTGTACCACAGAAAGGATTCAAGAGTTCTATTCGCGATGATTTGCATTGGGTAACTTTATTCGTCCCAAAAAAGGTATCGTTCACACACGACGTTCCGGTTGAATGATGACGACACCAGCTCAACAAGAGACGGGCTGGCCACTCAGCCTTACCTGAAGTCAACGGTTGGGGACTACCCGGAGATAAGGATCTCCTGGATGGCGGTGCATCTGGATCGACCTAGCCACAACAGTAAGCTTTTTCCCACGCCACGGGGCGTTTTATGATTCGGGGACCAGCGCATAGAACACCTCATATTGCCCAGCCATTCGGGGGTTTGAAGAGTCGCTGCAACGTACTCTCCCCCCCCCCCTACAACGTCTCTGCCCGATTAAATGTAGCGAGACCGGGGGCGGGAAAGAGTGTTTAAACCAATTATGGTGATTTTCTGGCCTGTGCCACCCTAGAACCCCCCTGTCTCGCTACGGAGGTACAGCGGGTAAGTAACGAGCCCAGTCTCACTAATCCGTGCGTTCAGGCCATTTTAGTAATATTTCAAAATTTCAAACCTTCAAATTCTTAAGAATTAATTCATGAAATCATACTTTAGTTACTTTACTTTTCAGGCGCCAGACATCAAGTCGTACTTATTTGTTATCGTCTTATAATCATTAAGTGATTTCGTAGACTTTGGTTTTGGCAAGCCTATCCCTTCGTCCGGTGAGACATAGTCCACGCTAGTAAGGGGGCCTGGCTCAGGGCGAAAAGGCGATGGATGACTAATAAGTTTTTAAGCAAAGGTACGACTTTACAGTCTGAGCCAGGCCCCCTTACTAGCGTGGACTATGTCTCACCGGACGAAGGGATAAGCGAATTCGTGATGCCTGAATCTGCCTGAAAAATGCCCTGTACGCACAGACTAGTGAGATTGGGCTCTAAAGTAATAGCGCTAGCAGGGGTCCAAACTTTTCAACCTTGTAACGCAACAACATTAACAGATAAAAATGTAAAAAAATTACACTAATATATTCACCAAATCTTAGGGAGTATTCCAGTATTTTAAAAATGATATTTGGTCAGGTATAGCAAGAGTTGTGTGGTGTTGAAATCGTGTGTTCGCGGCGACCCCCTGTCAAAACATTACTTTACTTGACCGCCGTACCTCTGTACAGTACAGTTAATCGGGCAGAGACGTTGTAATTAAACATAACAGTGGGTCAAAGTGCAGGAGTTTTTTTGTATGGCAACTGGACCGTGCCAGGCTGGTTTTGCGGGGACCCACTATTACACTTATTTAGGGGGGGAGGTAGTGGAGGGAGTCTTCAGACTCCCCTGATCGACAAGGGGAGGTGGTCGGGAGGCCACAGCTGACTGGCGTCGACTTTCGGGTACTTGGGGCTACAACGTAAACTACGTAAGGGAACGCTTCCGAACCCGCCACCTTTACTGGTACTGTACTCGTTACTCTCCCCCCCCCTAAATAAATGTAATAGTGGGTCCCCGCAAAACCAGCCTGGCACGGTCCAGTTGCCATACCAAAAAACCCCTGCACTTGGACCCACTGTTACATTTAATTAGGGGGGGGGGAGAGTACCGAGTTACCGCCCTGCCCCTGCCAGGCGGCTGGAAAAGCGGACCACCTCCAACGCCCAGCACCAATCCCCACAAATACCGAGACAATTATACGAAGTATGGCGCAACAAAACTTCCCTAGGCTACGGCTTACATGACACTAACCAACACAAATCGTTTCCGCGTCGATCATTCGAGTCTCACTTTGCGGAGAAGAAAACTCAGCGGCCTGATCGGTCCCGGCTTGTAAATTTACCCGCTGCTCAGACTTAACACCATCCCAGCGTTGGGTACGGCTTGATCGGAACAAGTTGTAGGACGCGAGACAACAAGGTGGATCCCGAAGAGGCCCAGGCATTCACTTCTTTCCTCAGGGGCCACGCTTTGCGGTACAGTCTCAGCTTACATTTGGGAAGAAACTTCATGTACCTTGGTACTTATTAGTCATTCTTCCCCACGTAGATGTCATGCTCAAGGCTTCAGCCCAACAAGACCAAGAATGCATTCAAGAGGACGGCCATTATTGAGCTGGGGACGACACGAATCCTCCGATATTCAGGGTCATCAAGGTAATCAAAAGTGATTCGTGGCACCAACGGCTTCGACAGCGGAGGCTAGATAAACGCCGCTGCAGATAATATCGATTAGTTATCCCTGCAATATTCAGCGAAACCATGGCAAACTCTCGGAAGCGCCGTGATATTTCAGGCTTATTCTTCAGTATCAGCCTCTACCGAGTGCTTGACCGCAGCATCGCGAGCTTCGGGGAGGTAAACACCGTCAACACTTAACCATGCGGTCCATAAAAATGTGGGAACATAACACGGGAGCCTCGCTATTGGGTCCGGTTCTTCATACGGGTCCCTTTCAGGAAAAGGCACTATTTGAAAACCGCGTCATCTGACAATGCGTCTGGGCGTCAGCCTCTCTGTGTAACACTCTTGGCATATATGTCAGAACGTCCCCTGCGGCGAATGCTTCACCCGGCTTGTCTTACACGATACTGAACTTGGGTCTTTTAGGCGGCAAGGACGCTTCAACAACAATAGCTCTTGATTATTCATCATTCAAACTTAATCACGGTGGACCCCGGAGACGGGGAAGCAGGAAACGATTGAGTTGTGGGAACGGGCTGTAATTAGTTAGCACGGTTTTATCTTTTATTGAATCCAACCCTATGGAGCGGAGCTAGACTTGGACTTCCCGTCTATGGAGTGTCAGTTCTTGTCAGGTTCAAGCGGTGAAGTGATCGCTGCCTTGGGCTGGGATTGAAAGCGCGACATCGTTTCTGTGAGATTACACCGTCCTTAAGATCACAGATGCATGCTGCTGAGTAACCTAAGCAGAAATATTTTCCCTCTCATATCACTCTGTCTCCTAAATTGCAGCATGCAGCAGCATGAAGGCCGGGATGTGTTCTGCAAAAGCCATATTCCCAGACTGCTAGTTGACAACTTGGCAGGGCCAGGGACAGGATAACAAATTTTATTTTAGAGTTTGCTATTGCACTTGGAATTGCAGGAAATAGATCCGTTTCCAGTATTCCTATTGGGCTTTCCTGCATCATATCATACATCAACATCGGTGTGATTCTCCCGACGTTTCTCACTGCTTGAGGGGTCATGGGTCACTCACCGACTGCCTCCTGAAGCAGAGAAGTCCCGTCAGAGAATACCTGGCACTACGGTCTGAGACTTTACGGTTCAGAAAGTGAGGGAGTAGTATTGTTCTGGAGCTGGAAGGCCTGGCTTGTGACTGAGTTTAGTCACGTGATATTTCTCTCTAGAGCATACCTCTATACAGAAGCATTATATTTGCTGTTGGAATGTATTATAAACTTAAGAGCTTGCAGATTATCCTTGTAGGAGGAGGCTCTAGAATCCACAATGTAATTGATTTCAATAATGGCATTTACTTACCCCTTTCAATGAGCGAAATCACGCGACCCGGATGACTTCATGCTTTTTTCTCAGCAACTTTTAAGAAGCGAGGCTTTCTGAGAAAACTTTAATTTGACAATTCCTACTTGCTGTCAGATATGCTCCGTAACAGAGGTCATAAGAGAAAACCGGCGTCACGCGAGCGGAAATCGCGAGTTAACTCAGCACCAGCCCATTCACGTCCCCCGCTCGACACATTTTCCACTCCGCCGGATCTCCATCACGTCCCTCCCCACGGTGACCCTCCCCCTTAAATGAAAGGATTACGGACGCCCCGCGAGACAACCAACCGCAAAGCAACTTCCACGTGTGGATAGACTGATTCATCGTGTTCCTGCATTTGGAAGTAGTAGATCCCCACCGCCTTGACCCCACGAGTCTTTCCTGGTTAGCGGACCAGAAATTGCAGTCCGTTGGAGTGATCCTTCCCGTCGTGGCAGAAACGATAAAGTCCTATTCGAAGATCTGAGGTTGAGCACCAGGTGATCGAGATGTTCGAGCATCGTCGAACTCCCTCACTAGACACTTCACGCCTGGTTTCGTGCTCAGATTTTCGGGCGAACGTCCTTGACTGAACATAAAATGATACCAAGGGTTGAATTTTATTAAGGTATAAGTTTGTCTTCGGTTTGAGATATTCGAAGAGTGGTTACCGTGACAAGCACAATGCACCAGCCCGCAATCTCTGCATGACTGTAATCTTACATTTTGCTTCATCTTGTCACCGAACGAAACTCCAACCAAAATAGGGTTGTTCAAGTCTCGGTGGGAACATTTACCAAAGCTCTCTTCATGGATTGAGTCCGAATTCTTTCTTATGGGTCATCACTTTCACTCCGCATTGCGCGCACTTGCTCGAATGTTTCATCGGAGGTCCTGTCAGCTCGTTCTCTCGTGCTCGCTTTGCGGGGCGTAGGGCTGAGGTGGATCGTCTGGCAGGAGTCCGCAACGTAAAGAAATGCGATCCCCATAACCTTACTCAAACTCCCATCCATCTCCACCATCGGAGCCCGCTGGACCTAGAGGGCGAGTTTTAGACAGGATTCTCTGGGACCTTAGAGTCAAATGCCAGATTTCTCATGCAGTTTGGGGATCCTTGACCAGAGTTTCCATGCTGATATAACGGATCCCACCAGAACTCATACAAGCGCGAAGTAGCGCATACCGTTGGCCCACGAACTTGAGATAAAGGGCGAAAGAAAATTCTTTACATAGCGGCGGCTATCTTGCTTGCCACATACACAACTACAGCATAGAAAACCATCACTGACAATAGTAGTTGGATATTTGAGAGTAAGGCCATTTTTGGACTTTTCGGTCTTAAAGATATTGAAGCAAAGAAAAGTAAAGCAAGAGAAACTGTGTTTTTACGCCAGGTTTCAGGAATAATAATATAAATTTCTTGATGCTGACACCTAGGGACGTGTTCGGGACAGATAGAGGAGGGCGGGGCGACGCATGATCGGAGATCTGATTTATCAGATCCACGTCAGCTTACTGTGTCTTCTTTCAAATGTCCCTCCCCCCCGTAATTCCTTGTAATTGTGGACCCTCTTGAGCAGGGGGTTTTGTATGGTAGAATGTCTGTGCTCTATGGACCGACTGTTACAAGTGATTACCCGTTCGTACCTCCCACCAGTTACCACTGGTGGGAGGGGAGAGTACTTCCTCGAGCTAGATTCTGCACTTCTCGAACCTACTCGTACGCTACTGAGATCAAACGCCAGCCTTTCTGTTTCGAAGAAAGCTTTTCGACATCGTCTTTGGGGTGAAGTTTTCCTCACAGGAAGCTCCGATCCATGACAAACCTTGCGGTCTTCGAAGTCTGCATATTTTAGAAGCATGAAATAAATCTGGGGATAGAAATGGAGGCCCGAAAGGTGCTTCCAAGAATCTCGAATCGCGAATAATTTCGTCACATTTTATTTAAATTTAATGCGATATTTTCAACATCGCAGGTGAAAATATTCTGAACGTTCTTTGGGAGGTGCGGGGTACATTCTTGGTGGGGTAAAGTCTTGGCACTATGGGCCCCTAAAATTTAAGTCTCACTGATCCTAGGACACATGGTTCGTCCTCGACAGTGGAAAAGCGGTATATCGGTCTCAAGGCTCTAACCCTTATGTGAAATGGAAGAAGCAATCGATCACTATTGGGTTGAAGGAATAAAAACTGTTCAGGCCCACCACCTTTCTTAAGTGAGATCGAGTGACAGCCGTCTTTTGAGTCCAAGACAGTCCGAATTCCATAAACTCAGCATCTCGACCTCCTTCCTTGAAGTCTGCTTAAAGCCAATACTTAAACCAAGTGACAGCCTGCTCAAAAGCCCGATCCATTGCAAACTTCACTTCCTTGATCGATAAATCTCCCCTGAGCGCGAAGCCATGTGACACTGCCCCATAAAGATTAATCTGGTACGGGGCCTTGAGATCAGCGAGGATCTTCTCAGACTCGGAACGCTTCTCGGAAGTGAAGATGGTGTCAATTTCTATAGATGTGTAAGTTTTGTTGCCGGCGTGGTTGAGAGATTGAGGGGAGACCTTACCAGCTGCGCCGATGAACAAGGGCTTGCTGAGAGCTGAGAGCTCATCGGAGGTGACGAATGAGGGATGGGCTACGTAGCCAGCATCAAGGCGGTCATTTTTCAAATTGCCGACTACGTGCTACAAGACAGAAGCCAATTTATCAGTCGTCTCTTATACTGGAGAACAGGTCTTTACGATAAAAATTGAAGGTACTAACCTTAGCACCGAAGCAATAACCCAACTTCTTCACCTTCAAAGTGTTTTTCAGATGATTGATAACAACATCAGCAATTGGATCCACGTTTATCGTGTCATGACGGGTAGGCCATTAAGGCAAGTCAACTTTGCCAGTATAAAACGGTTCCGGGCTCAGAGGATCGCCCTTGAAGAGATCGGGAACCACGGTTACGTAACCTTGCGCGGCGAAGTCGTCTGCCATAAGCTGGATGTTTTGGTAGATCGGACCAAAGACATCGCTGAATATGAGGATTGCGTTGCCATTAGGACTAGCGGGATGAGCGAAATATGTTGGTACTAGATAGATGTATGAGTATTTTCCACTAGACAAGAAGAGGGTAATTGGGCGAGGGAACGGGCACTCACCGTTTTCGATATTTTCGATGGTCCCGTTTGGAGTTCCGTCATGCTCAATTCCTGTAGTGCAGCACTCTCTGGGTAGTAGGGAAGCCATTTCGAAGGAGACTGAAGGAAAACATTCGAAGAACTGTTGGTTTAATCGAGTTGAGCTTGAAGGACATATGCTTTGTACATATATACTCTCATTGCATTACTCATCTTCCCTTTGGTTCTACACTTCGTGTTTGGTTTCGGTGAACCTCCGAAAAACGCCTCGGAAAACCCGAGATGCTTGTGAGCCTCTAGAACTCTTAATAAATGCCGACAGATTATTAACTTTTTAAGTCCACACAGCTTACCCCTTCTCTAGAATGCGATGAGAGTCAGACACGGTACAGTTGACGCGACCGATAGGTCGGCTTAACGTACAGTAAATCGCGAGGCGATACAGTCCGCTCTCGGGTGAGCATCTGATTAGAATGAATAAGTAGTAAAAGGCAGCATGTTCACCACATAGCAGCGTTGGCAAACAACAGTGAACAAAAGATGCCTCAGATATCCATATTCCTGTCCAGGGGTGACATGTTTAACAGCCCTGATCCAGGTTCCCCCATTATGTTTTCTAAGCTCAAGAAATTGCCACTAAAGCCTTCTGTCGGCCCAAAGATCCACATATGCTGCCACAACGTCCTTGAAAAATATCTCAGATTTCGCTTTTTGACATCCGTAGCAAGGAGTGGATTGACCAGTATACTTCGAATCTTGTCATAGAGCCGTTGACACACTGCAGACGGATCCGGCATGTCATTTGCATCGGATGTGATTGGGTAATGTCCACTCTCGTCTATGACCTCTCCGGACACTTCGGGGCTATCATTGATATTGTTGGTTCCCATATCCCAGCAATCCAGATCTGATTCAACGACTTTACCGTATGAGTACACGTACAGCTTGTACAACATCTCAAGAGTCTCAACCCAGGCGGTAGCAACTCGCCACTGCGGTTGCCAGGACTTGATGACTTGGCGCAAATTCTCGGCCTTGGCGAGTGCTTCGTGCTTCGGACACGCATCACAGGTTTGTGTATACAGAACCCAAAGTTGGACAGCAGAAGCTGTGAGAATTGCATTTGCTGCAAAAATCGACTGAAGCAGCTCCCGGTCTTTATCCGAACCAGCGTTGAGAGTTAGGGCCATGTCTGTGATGGTGTTGACAGAAAACATGCATGGCTTGATGATCGTATCGTCGCAGTAGTCCAAAGATATGCCCGCGGCATCGTAAGTCGTCGCATAATCCATTTCAGACCCGAGGGAGTATTGCGAATCGAGCTGGGGGAGGTATTCTTGGTGCATCACGCACTTCGAGTGATGCAGCAAAAAGTTCAGGTTAACATAGGCTTGTGCCTGTCCTGTGACTTGATGGAGCTTATAGTTTTGAGCGGACCAGCTCAGGGATGGAGGAAAGCTCGACGAGAAGTCTTCAATCGCTTTCCCATATTGGTAGAACTTGCTTTCTGGGATATGAGGACCATATTTAGAACGTCTTCTTCCTCCCGATACGTGTAATAGGGCGACGTCTCCCCAAAGCTGCACCACTGCAATGAAGAAGGGCATAATCCCAAGTTGGGAAACCTGATTTGCGTGGAGGGGAAGATCTTTAACCAAAGGCCCCGTGTAGACCTCATCAAATGCGAAGACATTCTCAGGACATGGAAGTTGAACTTGAGCTGACTTGGAAGATAACATGAACGGCTTGTTGCATGAATATGAAATCAGTCTGTCCACAACAAAGCAGGCCCAAAATGTTCTTCTTCGGATTTCTTTCTGGCGGGGAGAGTAATGTTGGTGTGCTTCGACATTGAGGTACAATGCCTGAGCCATTCTAAGTGCAGTCCCGGCATACATATAGGCTTTGATATTTGACCATATCATAAGCTCACGTATAGCAAGCATCAAATAGGCTTGGATAGTGTTGACTGAGAGGTGCGTTAGCACAGCAAGATGAACTGTAGAACAAAGCGTCACTTACTCGAGGGCTCATCGAAGAGGTTGTAGGCATAAATCTTAGCGAGACGAGAGTAGTGGTCCGACAATGCACAGGGCGTCTCTAATCCGAAGTCCGCAGCGACTTCGTCGGCTGAAAGGTACAAAGCGCTGAGACTGAGCACAGAAGCAACCAGAAGTGGAGATCGACCACGCAGAGTTGGAATATCCAAGGAAGGCTTGTGGAAAAAGGAACAGAATTCTGCCTCATGGTGTCGAGCAAAGAAAATATCAAACAGACGTTGAAGTTGACGAGGCTCTGGGAGGACAAGAGGAGTCTCGGCTAGAGAATTAGTATCCTGCACTGCTGAATGACTTTGAAATCTTGGCTCCCTCTCACTTCTCTTCGGAGGTTCCTGTGCCTGGAGAGGAGTGAGAGCACTGAAAGTATTCGGTGCAGTGATTTGGGCCCAGTAACAGGTCACGTTGCGTTTCAAGCAACTCCGGCACTGCGGTCGATCACCCGTGCATTTCGTTTTGCTCCGGCGGCTACCAACTATATCAGTAATTGACTTGACACTTCTGGACCCGGACATGCCATCTTTCACACGCCTGTGGAGTCCGAGCTCGCAAGCGTGCTTGTGGTGAACTCATTCTCGCCTCCCCCCTGTGATCCCGGAAGACTGTTTGGCGACCCGAGTAAGGTCGGGTCTGGTCTTCGGATTTTCAGGAAAAGAGGATGGAAGATGCCAGAGGGAGACGGATACACAAGGGAAAGGAATGATGGTATGAGTTCGGGATATCCGAGCGATGACAAGGAGTCGGTCCTTCCTGGTTTTGGGAGAGAATTTGTAATAAAGTTCGGCTTATCCGAGAATTGGGTTCGGGAGCTAACCTCATTGATCCAGGTGTCAGCTTTTCAATGAATCTCTCTCCTAGACCTACCTGCACACCATAGGTTATAAATATGGGTGATAATGTAAAGTCTTGTTATTCCCCTTGAATTCCCCATAAACCCTTGGGAATTCAGAATGTCGACTCATAAAGCCATAGTTACTGTTGCGGTTCGAGCACCACTGGAGATTATTGAAGTCCCCACGGTTCAACCTGTTACCCGCGAGGTCAGAGTCAGAGTGGAATGGACAGCATCAACACCCCTGGATCTGCATCAAAATGACGGTGGCCTCATTGTCAAATACCCACAAATTCTAGGCAGTGGTGTTGCTGGGACAGTGGTAGAAGTTGGTCCAATGGTTCGGAATCTGGCTCTTGGTGATCAAGTAAGCGAGACCCAATCCTGAGAAAGCACCTCAAGGTGCTACCGTAGTACAACACTGATCCCAGAGAAGGTATTTGGTTTCTGCTTTGAGGAAGCGAAGTGTAAGGCCCAGCAGGAGTTTGTGACAGTCTTGGAGACATCTCTTGGCAAGGTAATTCGACACATGTGCGGAGAGGATCTCAGTTGAACTGACATGTGTCCAGCTTCCCTCGGGTTTCAGTCTCCAAGAAGCTGTAACCTTGCCAAACAACGTCGTGACAATTTTCCATGGAATGACGACGGGCTTGTCAATTCCCCTCGCCTGGCCATGCTCCCAGGCGCCACCGCCACCTCATGCCAACATACCCGTTCTTATCTGGGGAGGTACTTCATCTTGTGGACAGTATGAATTGCAGATATTGAGTCACTGGGGGTATAAAAACTTGCTGACAACAGCCTCGCCCGCAAATCATGCCTATCTTCGCTCACTAGGGGCAGCTCATACCTTTGACTATCGCGACCCAGATGTATCAAAGCAGATTATTGAAGCCGCCGAAAAGCAGGTTCCAGCTATACCTTTCGTATTTGATTGCATCGGATCCAAGTCTGGAAGCCTCGCACAAATTGCCAAAATCGCCCAGAAAGGCACAAGAGTCGCAGTACTTTTGCCAGTGGTCTTGAAAGACGCCACGGAAGAGGACGCACCAGAGTATGCAATGGATGTGGAACCGCATGCTCCATGGGCGGAGGGAGTAGATACGAGAGGCGTGAGAACACATTTCTACAAGGAAGTAAGTTGCATGATTTTGGAAGCGGGAGCACCAGGTGACTGACAGCTACTTACTAGAATGAGTTCTTTCGCGAATACCTTCAGCCTACTATCGTACCTACCCTGCTTGCGGACGGTGTAATTAAGCCGAACAAGCAAAAGATTGTCGAAGGAGAAACACTGCTGGAACGGGGACAGAACGCATTGGATATGCTCCGCAGAAAGGAAGTCAGTGCTGAGCGGCTGGTCTGGCGTGTCTCGAGTAATTGATCTGAAGATGTCATGATGGAGGAGAACAATTGTACCTGCGGGACAAGTAGAATGTTGTGTATTGCTTTTGCACCCAGATATCCCAATTTTGACCATCCACTGGAGGAGCCGGAGGACCAACTTCGCAGTTTCTATGCTTAAAATCCTTCTACTTTTCATAGAATCATGCGGTACCGTAGCCGAAGCTACAGTTCAAGGCAGTTGCCAGTACATGAATCGTCCGCAGCATTGGCGTCTTCACGTCATGCGCTCTGGCAATCTTGATTACATTTCCCACAATAGCCTCAACTTCCATGTTTCTCCCGGCAAGGGAATCAGCCATCATGCTGGGTTCCACGCCAGGAAGCTCACGAACGGCAGCCCTTCCGAGTTGATAATCTACCAAGGCAGTATCAATACCGAGGTAGCCACATGCATTTGCGACAGCCGCGATTTCGAGCATTACGTCTCGAACAAAGTCCTTTGCATCAGGTCCCGACTTCAAGACTTGCACATCCCGCGAGCGGGAGAGAGCGCAGATGGGGTTCCAGGAAGCGTTGACCAACAGTTTTGACCAGCGCTCGAATTGGACATCTTCGTGAACTTTCGTTGTTGCACCACCTGCGTTAAGAAGGCTCGCAAATCGCGAAGCAGATTCAGTGTTTGACGATGCAGGGTAAGAGCCCATGTGAAGCAGCTCGACTTCCTTGTGCTGAACAATTCCTGGCCCAATTTGGGTAGCTGGAAGATATACCACAGTGCTCAGCAACGGGTTGTCGGGGAAAAGTTTGGAGTATGGTTCCTCGGTGGCAATTCCATTCTGTATTAGCACAATGGTGGTGTTTGAAGAGACCGCCGGCTTGATCAGATCGGCCGTCGACGGGATCGTTGGCAATGCTTTGGAGCAGACTAAAACGTAGTCGAAGGGAGAGCTAGCATCAAAGGCCACTGCCTCATCTACGGAGCGGATCACAACAGGTCGAACGTTCAGGTTCTCGCCCCATAGAGAGGAATGTATCGTGAAGCCGTCTTTCGAGGTAACCTCGAAATTCGAACGGCAGACTGTGAAGATGTTGGAGGCCGGTACAGCTCTGGAAAGGAGATATGCGTAGACTGTGCCAATAGATCCTGTGCCGAATATCAGGATCCTTGGAGCCATTCTGTGCCACTTCGAACAATGGTGGTCGTTGACCGATCTTCGCTGGGCTGGCACGAAAGTGGGCTGTGCACGTGACCACGCTGTGGGCACTCCCAGTCGCGTCTCTTGCTCAGACGCGTCTACTTCTCCAAATTCATCTCAAACATCTACGACCTTCGGTGAACCCTGATACTTGCCTCTCAAATATTCTTATGGATGAGATCACTGATATATATGCAGAACTCCCTCCAATGGCGCCCCAAAGCCATGACTTCATCTCCAGACTCCATCCGAATGCCAAGCTTCCTTCCATCGCTTTCTTACCTGGAAAGGATGCAGCGAATCTGCGATTCACTCCCCGAACCTGGCGGTACATAGCTGCTGAAGGGCTTTTCAACGTCTTCAAGTCAAGGATGTATGTTGGTAGCCTAGACGGCTTTGTCACACAAGGCAAACTTGCCATACGACCATGGAGAAGTTACCGGAGCATTGCAGATGGACTCATCGAATGGCCCTGGATGACGCGTCACATCCAGGAGATAGAGATATACCTTCCTGATCAAGAGCTTGGTAGTCTGGTAGCCGCTGCGGATATTCATGAGAGCTTGAGAGAAAATCCGGATGCACCCTGGGATTTCCCGAAAGAGAGCTTCCTCGAATTAGGCCGCGAGTTCTCAGACGTGAAGGCCGAAGCCGTCCCGCTCAACGAAATGTTTTCTCGGCTGCCACATGTTGAGTCCTTGAGCATTTTCTCGGAACGATGTTCATTTCCGCAATCTGAAAGCTGCTTGTCAGCTTTTGGGATGAGTATATGTGTAAAAAGGAACCCGCCTTGGAACCCTTTGGGCACAAACCAGCACCTACAATCGCTACTTAGAATATTGCTCTTCGACATGGCCCATCATAATTTACTAATCTAAAACATACCTTGTGCGTCTCCAAGGGTCACACTGGTGTTCGTGCAAAAGATCTTGGCCTGGCCACAATAACAGGAACCGGAAGGCATTCTATTGCATTGTTCTCGAAGTCGATGTTCTTGGTAAGTGGGAAGTTATATTTGTCAGGGGATCGTTCTGAAATTTAGTGAGAAGAATTCAAACTGCCCTTGGGCTTTCGTTCAAAAGGTTCACTTGGTGAAAATTTAATCAAAAGATCTTTTGAAGTTGCGTCGATTTGAAATTGGAATTCTAGATTTAATTTTACACATCAAGAGGTCTCGAGCAATATCGACGTTATTGGAAATCATTTGTTCGGTCCAATAGCCGCTTCTATTTGCTCCTTGTATGCAGATGTTCGGGAGTACCCGCCATAAGCGGCCATTGGTTTTCCGGTCCAACAGCTCTATTTGGAAATTGGTAGCTCGCTAAAACTCGCGACATTGCTGCAATAGGGAAGGCCTTCATGCACCTCTCGACTCGCTGACGTCAGGGTGGGTTTGTCATCAGCCCCTTTCTCAATGTCTCCGGCTGATCTCCGTTTCTTAAGACGATACAGCAAAGCCTTCGGAACTGACATGCTCATACATTTAACCACTGCGATCGCCTTTGAAGCTAGCATCGAGTAACCTTACCGTTTGCAATTTTGGGAAAGTGGTTCAAGACTTGATTTCGCCGTAATTCCGAGTCACCGAACATCGCCAAGATGACGGATTCAAAGCAGAGCGGCTTCGAGTTTGTTATGCAGGATCCAACTGAGCGATTTAGCAACGAGACTCGGACCAAGATCCGAAAACAAGCCATGCGGGGCCGTGTTAGTGCCCCGCGTCACAGGTCAAGTCGCTCCTCGAGCCCGCCCACGAACCAGTCCAAATGTCCCACACGATGCGATTCCGATCTAGGGCATCCTTTGCCCCCAATGCCTCTTTCTGGATTAGAATTGCTGGTCAGAGACCGTGGACTTGATCCAATGGATCTATCTGCATTAGCCTCCATCCACATTGGAACCATGTTAGTTCCGATCCTGGCTTTCCTGATACTATTTGCTTACTATAGGCTCAACAGAGCCGCAATAGTACTTTCATCGGAGCCTAGTCCATTGCCAGGTGTGCTGCTATGTCGCCAAAGATCGTATTTCTCCTATATACCGTCACATTTTGGGCACACTTTAGCCCTCGACGACGCTTTTCGCTGCCTGATCACGAGCGCTCATTCCAAGCTAGTACCATGCCACAGCTCAAGACCGGAGACAATCCTTTCGAATTATTCGAATGCACTACACAGCCTCCAGTCCGCGGTAAAGGATCCCAAAACTCGGTACAGCACCGAAGTTCTATGTGCAACCGCAGTCCTATCAATTTTTGAGGTAAGCATTTCGCCCGAGCCACGTGCTGAACCATCCACTGACTGACTGCAAGCTTCTGAATTCGCCAAATGGAATGCCATGGAGTCAGCATATCGCTGGGGCATCCCGGCTCATCCAACTTCGTGGCCCATCAAGATTCACGTCAGAATTCGATAAAAGCCTTTTCATCTCTCTCTCATACCCCATAGTAAGCATCGCGCTCCCCCTCCTGTATGCCACGGACACTAAATACACCCATAGTGCGCACAATCCCTTCTCAACAACGAATATTGCTTTCTAGACGACCCAGCCTGGCTTGAAGTCATGGCATCCACCCATGTTCCAAGTGAAACCTTCACTGATCGATCCAAGCTAGGCATCGACCTGATGATGTTGAAGCCTCGAGTCTCAGGACTTGCTAAGAGAACTAATCATGCAGTGTTTATGCAGGACATGCTTCAGCTTGAAGACTTTGAAACTATTGCTGCTGACCTTCGTGTCGCCCGCTCCAAAATTGTTACCTGGCGCCGAAAATTTAACACTGCTCTGATACACGCCGAGGAACGCTCTCGAGAAGATCCTCTAGACTTTGGCAAGCGGTACGAGCTACTTGGAGTTTCAATTGTCATACACATCATCCTGAGCCGGCTGTTATGCTCGATTGCTCCGAATGATCGTAGTCTACTTGAGGAGGAAGTCCAAAACCTGGCCCTGGAGCTCAAGACCGTGCAAGGGTCGTTGGCACATAATCGACGAGCAGAATTTTTTTTCGAACAAAAATCAAGGATAGCAGATGCTGCGATTTCTACGCACTCATACTTTGAGGATGTGCTGGACAGCGGGAAGATTGTGGAGATTTGGAGGCTGGAAAAGTTCTTTACAGCTCTGGCGAGGAAGTGCTGTGACGGAGTCGCTTGTTGTGATACGAATACGTGATGATGGATAAATAAAGTTATGAACGTTTCAGTCACCAAAAAGGAATGAAAACTCAAGTAAATATTTCCTCTTTCAATTGCCATTTCCTTTGGAAGGAGTGTGAGATCTTGCAGGATATTAAAACAGGCTGCCGCTTCACTGCTCAAAATTTTGCTCCACCAAGCGAAATTATCGCTTCCCCCCCAATTACTCTTATTCTTTCCTGGCCGGAAAATCTCGTCCTCAATGTGGCGTATTGTCTGAAGCTTGGTTGCCCAAATAGGTAGCTGCCACTAATGTCCGGGTTAGGCAATCGGTCGGGCTGGTCGCAATTAAAATTGGAGGGAACCCGTCAACATTATTTTAACTTCGAGTTTGCTGGGTAGGATTGCAAATCGCTTACCATACCTTTGCATGACGCCACAGTATGCTTAGGATGCACTTTGTTGTTCGAGCAAGAAGCCACTTCGATCGCCGGCCTTGTTGATTGGTGAAAAGGTGCCCGCAACGCTCAATCCGAGATGCCCGTTGTCAGCAGCCTACTCAGTACCGTGACCCTTGCACCTTTATTCCTACTTATTCGAAACAAATCGAGTAGCAATTGTGAGCGAAGTAGAACAGCAAATTCCGATATTGCCGTTCCGGAAAGTTATATAAGAGGCATCCTTCCTCTGCGTTCTTGCAATCCAAGCTCAACAAACCATCAACCTGCAACAATCTTGCTAGACTTTCAACTTCTTCAAACACAGCACTCAACCTACAGAACGTAGTTTACTTACTTCGCCACAATGGCAACCTGGGATGACATACTTGAGCAAAACCGGTACATCACCTTTACTATCATTGAGCTTCAAATGCTAACAAGTCTCTAGAAAATACTCGGAAACTGAACATAAACCTCAGCCGTATCTCTCCGAGCTTACTGGTCCGCTCCCACCGTACATGATATGTATGGGAACCCAAGTCCCAATCTTACCTGGCATTACTGACATGCCGAACAGTTTCTTGCATCGATCCTCGCGTCCCGGTTGAGAAATTCCTTGGCATCCAGACAGCGGGTGAGGATAACCGAGGACTGAATCTTCTTTTACGAATCCTTTCTAACATTGATTGATAGAGGCGATCATCGTTCGGAACGCCGGTGGTCGAATCAAAAATAACATCAATGACCTCGTCTTTTTCGACACATTCAGCCAAGGGCAGACGTTGAAGAATATTATTATCATTCATCACACCGGTATTTAAACAGGACTTCCACTGCGGGCCATGCTAATATTCTCAGACTGCGGCTACACGCACAACAGCGACGAAGCTATCAAGGCAACCTTGAAAGCCTCGAATCCACAGCATGCGCACGATATCGACCGGCTTTATTTTGGAACGTATGGTTCTGGTGACAGGTAAGTTTTCCAGTAAGCTCTTTAGCAGAGGCTGTGGAGAACCTCAACTGTAACACATATCCACTAACTCGTTTGGCTGGTAGGCTTGAGGAAAGTGTCCGCGAGGATCTGAGATTTCTGAGCGCCCAGCCTCTTATTAGGCAAGAGCTCATAGACAACGCGAAGGGTTACATCTATGACATCAAGACGGGCAAGCTGACTCAAATTCCTCTCGAAGGTCGCACTGCATTGTGAAGGGTTATCACGTGACTATAGATGTTTGATTTTTGTCAATATGAGAGGGCTTCCCTTAGATAGTCAACAATAGCTCCATCCCCATTTGTTACTCCTTGCTACTGGTTATTTTTGCTCTCCTCGAGTAAATTCATCTGCTGAAGTGAAGTGAAAAGAAAGATATCACAACTCGCTTAATTCAGGGGCCTTGTGGGGCAGGCACTTCGTGGTAGATCAACCTTTGCCCAGCACTTTCCGTGAAGGAACGGACCTCACATTTATGTTACTTATGAACAGTTCCAATCACAGCCTCTCTATAGAATATCCAACAGAAATATGCTTTATTCGTCAGAGATAAGTCCAGCGTTTTGGTTAATTTCACTCTAAATCTGGGTTTATAGCGGACAGGAAGTGGAGACATAAGGCTGATGCAGCGCAAATCTTCAAGCTCACGTCAGCATTTACGACTTCAATCCCCGAATTTCAAACCAGCCTTTCGATTCCTCACAGAAGAGTCATCTCAATCTACCTCCTCCATGCCTCATGAGTTGCTTTCAACTAAATATGACCAGTGAGCAGCAGGAGTGCCTAACCAGAGCGACGATTCAACCTCCACATCATGTCTGAGAAGGCATCCACTGTCAGAACAATACGCTAACCAGGAACGTCGAACGAGCTTGCCCACAGACGAAGGAGGGCTTCAAACGCGAAAACGCGAACCGGGTGCAACACTTGCAAGCAAGGCCCCCAAAGTCCGTGACTTGGTGAAGGGCCCAAGGATATCAAAAAGTCGCTGTCGATGTGATGAAGAAGGTGGCGGATGTGGAATGCTCGAAACAGATACCCGGTACGGATGGCGAAGTGTCGATTATGAAGAATAGAATAGAATGGGACTAAAGAAAGACTCACGGATTCAAATGAAAGCTACGTTTTATGGGGATAAGAGATCAATGTGCTTGAGATGGCATTACTCATGAGTTAGGCTTCGGACGCCCAAATATTAGCGCTTGGGTCTATCATTTAGCGCGGTTATACTGAAATTCAGCCCCTGGAGCCAAGTGCATGCTAGTGCGGGGGTTATATTCCCATGCCTCTCTCGGCACCCAGAGCAACAGAGCTATGACTTTCATGATAATTATAAAATTTCAAAAAAGCATAGCTCTCATCCCCACTTGCACAAGCCGAATTACATAGCGAGCTGCCTTTTCCGTCAAATATCCTACTTGGGCTGTCCCTTAGTTTCATTCTCCCTCACCTCGACATGCTCCATCTCCTCTTTTTCGAGCTGAAATGGCGTCCTCTCCACCATAACATCAGCTTTCGCCACACCCTGCGCAGCGTAGTCCTCAACACCTGTACAGACATAGCTCTTGAACTTATGCGTCGGCACCTTGTTCTCGAACATCTCGTGCATCTCCTCAAGTGTTCTATCCCTTGTCTCGGGTAGAAAGAAGATGGTAAAGAGGACGAGCAAGCTGTTTGTGCCAAACCAAATGTAGCCGTATTTGGCACTCCAGCCGAGTTTGGCGGGGTTGATAAAATATGGTGCTGTGAACGTTCCAAGCCAGTTGCCGACGAAGTTTAGGGCTGTTGCAATGCCGTAGGTGAAAGGGCGGAGTTGGTTGTTGGGGATTTCGCCTCCTACAAGCCAGGCTGTGGGTGCTGAGGTGTGTCAGTTGAAGATACGCATTTGGCGGGGCGTGGACTTACAGTATGCGACATAGAAGAAGGTAAAGAGGGAGATGAATGCCACCACACATTTCCCAGCTACTTTTGATCCCGGATGTACAGTCCAGACTACTGCCATAAATAACTGACAGAGAGCGCAAGCGCTACAGCCGATTATAATAACAACTCGTCTGTCAACGTAACGTGTGAAGGCTAAGCTGAAGAGGCAGCCAAGGAGACCGATGCAAGTGATCATGACGGACATGGCAAAAGCGTTATCGACTCCTGCAATGGTCAGGAAATAAGTGGTATAGATGTTAACCCAAGAAGATCCTATCATGCCAATCAGCTCACTTCTTCATGCTCAAAGCCAGAGATTCCTTACCATTTGCAGCATGGAAGCAGACAACAGACAGACAAAGAAGTGTTCTTCGGAGGTTGGTCCCACGCCACATCTCGAGAAACAACCATTTCTTATTCTGCTCCAACTGATCTCTCGTAGAACCACGAATCTCATTCAGCTCAGCCTGGAATTCATGTTCGTCAATGTTGTCGTTTCGAAGTCTCCGGAGAGCTTTTTCTGCTTTCTCTTCCTCGCCTTGGACCATGAGCCAACGAGGACTCTCGGGAAAGAAGATGATCATGATTGTTTGAATGGTTGGAGCAACGAAGAATATAGAGAGTGGAATTTGGTACGAGCGTCTGGATAGTATGTTGTGAGTTCCGAAGTCAACGCTGGCGCCGACGATGGATCCAACAGATAGCATGACTTGGTAAAAACCAAAGACGACTCCGCGTAGATGAGCTGGGGCTGCTTCTTGGACGTAGAGCTGGGAGAAGGTAAAGAACCATCCAACAGAGACGCCTAAAATATTTGTCAACGCTGAGTAAGTTGAGCTTGGGCGGATGTGCGTACCAAGGATAAGGCGGGCTACGTAAAGTGCTGCCACGCTGGTAGTACTGAGCATGATAGCTGTTGAGATAGCATTCAACCCTGCTGCAAACCAGAGTCCGTGTCTTCGACCAAATTTGGAGCTGAGCGGCCCAACTAGCAATGAAGACACGAAAGTTCCAATTGTCATCAAGGAAGATATCAATTGTTGAACGGTTGGCTAATAACGCATGTTAATATAGTTCGATCTTGTTTGGCAGGGCACGTACATCAATGTTCCACTTCTTGAGAGTTGGCGAGTAGTAGCCATAGACTTTGAGGAATCCAGGCATGCTTCAAACTTTCAGCTGAGGACTTCAACATGGAAATAGCAATACTGACGAGAGAAATCCTCCGACAAGTGCATAGTCAAGACCTGCAGACTAGTTAATATAAATTGAAAGAAGTCTCATATGATACTCACCATACTGAAAGGTCCCCATCGTGAGAAAGAAGCAAATGATGAGACATTTCCTATGACTTCTAACATCAAGCTGGAGGGGATTAGCTGAAACCGCCGTTCGCATCTTGATAGCTGTTCGTTGTTCTTCTCTTCTCAAAATATCGATGTGCAGTGGAGAATGGATGGAGACACAAGGTTACTTATGGATCGAGGAAGGATACGCTTTACCCCGCATATTGACCCCTGGCTCAGATCCTATTCTTCCTCCCCGGAGGCAACCTCGTCAAGACCCAAAATCGTATTCTTGGCATGTCAGCCTTCAACGAGGTTCAACCAATGTATGAATTGCCGATTGTGGAGCTAAAATAGCTATCAAAGGACTCCGTAGTCTTTGACTTGAGATAAGGAGGAAGTAGAGATCCGCACGGGACGAAATGTCTCAGTTACGGGGTCAGAGCTACCCGAGCTACCCCGACCCCACACATTAAATTACCGCAATTGGGGAAACTCCAGCGCCACTCGGGAAGGCGGCAACGATCAATTAAATTCGAAGCGCTGGCCAAGCCTATCAATTAGGTGCCAAGGGGAAGCTCCTCCAAAGCTCCTTCCTTTTTATCAAAACTTTGGGGAAGGGGGATGGCCGCATGGCACGAGAGTACGTCGGGGAGGAAGAGACAGTTGTCTACGACCATGGATTTCGGCAGATGTCAAATCACACCTGCCGAGAGAGTTCGGTGGAAGTGCCATTCCGTGTGCATATAAACACGCTCCATTGTGACATGCTCAGGTTACTCTTCGTATCCTTCTTCAAGCCACCAGTTGAACACTTGACATCTGAAGTCACCACTTAAAGTACCTTAAACATCACATCTATCAAACCAAAATGATTGCCGCCGACCCTGACGTCTCCAAACTCATTTACGAGCCCATGAAATACTCTGGGTCCCTCGACCACCTCTCATATGTTGAAGTAACACCCATCATCGGCCGTGAGTACACCACCGCGAAAATAAAAGACATCCTACAGGCCAACAATGCCGAACAGCAGCTCCGTGATTTGGCTGTTGTGATTAGTGAAAGAGGCGTCGTATTTTTCAGGAAGGATCAGAGTGAGCTGAGTGTTGATGAGTTGAAGCGGTTTACGGATGAGGTGGGGAGGTTGAGTGGTAGGCCGAAGGAGAATGGGTTGCATGTTCATCCGCTTTATCGTGACCCGGGGAATATCCCGATGGGGAATGGGGAGACGGATGAGAATATGTGAGTACATTGCTTTACAAATATATACCAAATTACTGACCAGGCTTAGTTATGTGATTAATTCGGAAGCTGCTAAAGCTCTGTATAAAACTGTGCCTGGAAGAACGACGAATCAGCCGAAGGATCTTTCGAGAGAATGGCATAGCGACGGTGAGTGTCTTCCGCTTGTCAAATGGGCCACCATCAACTAACTGCAATCAAATCAGCAACCTTTGAAGAATGTCCCTCTGACTTCAGCTGCCTCATGATGCAAGAGACTCCACCTGACGGAGGAGATACACTCTGGTGCTCCGGCTATGAGATGTAAGCCTCCGACACTTCATATGAAAATCGTCAAACTTATCTTACCTTAGTTATGACCGCATCTCACCACCAATGCGAGAATTCCTCGACGGTCTGACAGCAACCTGTGCTCAACCAGTCTTTAAATCCGCCTGCACAGCTGGAAACTACGAAGTGATGTCTCCCCGCGGCTCGCCCCAGAACGTCAGCGACAACTTCGCTCCCTCCCACCCCGTCGTTCGCACGTACGTGCCCAGAAACCCTTTCACCTTCCTCTCGATATCCTCTTAATACGTTATCTCAGTTCTCCGCGATTAACCGGTATGAAGCAACAGCTGACCCCCCCACCTAGAAACCGTCAAACAGGCTGGAAATCCATCTTCGCTGGCGTCGGATTGCACGTCACGCGAATCAATGGTTTGTATGACTACGAAGAGAAGATGATCCGTGATTATATCATGCGTCTAATTACGCATAATCACGATTGTATTGCGAGGATGCATTGGACGACCGGTGCGGCGGCGATTTGGAATAATTCGTGTGTTTGGCATGCTGCCACTGTATGTATTCCATTTTCTGGTTTCAAGGGGAGAAGAGGGATATACTGACTTTGATTGATAGCCCGATACGCATTTGGTGCCTGGTGCGGTGAGGACTGGTATTCGTGCGAGTTCTATTGGGGAGAAACCGTATTTGGATCCGGCTTCTACGTCGAGGAGGGAGGCTTTAGGGATTTCTATTTGAATGAGCTTGATGAATGTCCGTTTTAGTGTTTAGTTATGGGATAAAATCTCAATTTGAGTTGACTTGTTGATTGATGGTTCAGAGTTAACAGCTTACAAACGGTAAAGGGGGGCTCTCTGTGGCAAATGTGGGATGGGAATAAGTAGGCACCTGAAACATCACTTCCAGATTTCTAAGTCCAAGTCAAGCTGCTCAACTTGAGACCATAGAAAACGAAAAGTCTCGCACAAATATGAGGCAACAAACCAAGTGACCTGGTTGTCATGATCGTTGCAATGCTTGACTTACTGAAAACTCTAAATGATCGAGATCATGTGGGCACGATCATCGAGCACTCTTACACCAGTCTGCACTAGCGCAACGCTTCCTTCAATACTGCATGCCACTTCCGTGCTATCATCAAGTGAAAAGATCTCACTCGCTTCGTTTTCGTCCACAGCAGAAAATATGTCCCAATTCGTGTCAAAATGCGGTGGTTGATGGAAGCCCTGATTCTCTGCTTATCGAAGGCTGGGAAGCCCCTTGATAAGTACAAATCCACTAGTCTCCCACTAGGCCCCCAACCCCCTAGCTGCCTTAAGCCCACAAGCTTGGCACCTTTCAACAATTCGGAGCTCATTTCTCCGATGCGGAGGCGAGACTGTCCCCCATTGTAGCCTATTGTAGCGTTCTCGGGTTATTTTCGCGCTCGTGGATGCCGAGCCACTTGAGAATTGGTTCCCACTCCACTCCTGCCGCGCTTCGCGCAGTGCAACGCCGAGCTGATCACCTACAGAAACATTAGATATATAAGGATTGGAGATGGCTATCATCGAGGACATCAATTAAACTTCACAGAAATCTCTCTACAAAGAAGCGACCGGCAACTGAAACATTTATCACATATTTGTTTGCATCTGACGAACGAGTTGAGCCTTTGCAATAATTCGGGAGTTGAAATCATATACGGAAAGAGCAGGATAGCGCGAGAAAAACCATCATGTTTTCGAACAAGAGCGTCGCTTTCTTTGGCGCGACAGGAGGAAGCACAGCACCATGTCTGGCACAATGTCTAAAAGCAGGCTACACATGCACAGCTCGTAAGTCCGCCCCTCCTCCCCGAAAATGCAAATCCCAAGCTAACAACCTAATCAGTCGTCCGGAATGCAGAGAAACTCACTACTCTCCTGGAAACCTCACATTCCGTACCGCATGAACTCATCTCCAAGAGCCTAACGATCGTCGTCGGCAACGTCAAAGATCCCGTTCCAGTAACCCAAACTCTCTTCCCCGCCATCCTCAACCCCTCAGACCCCACCAAAGGAAACAAGTCTGTCGACATTATCGTCTCAGGCATCGGCTGCTATCCTATCATAAAGAAAGGACATTGGTTGCCGGAGCAAGAAGATCCTACCCTGTGCCAAGACGTCATTTCCACAATTCTCAACTCTTTACGCGCACGTCCACCCCTCGTCAAGCCTGGATTGGCAATGCTATCTACCACAGGAATTAGTAAGTTCGGAAGAGATGTACCACTTCTTATGGCGCCTCTCTATGCGTTATTGCATGTACCGCATCTGGATAAAAAGGTCATGGAGGACATGGCGATTGCGGCGGTTAAGGAGGAGCGGGCGCCTATTGGGAGCTACGTTTTGGTGAGGCCAAGTCTTTTGACTAACGGGGAAGCTAAAGGAGTGCACAAAGTGAGGTGGGATGTTGAGAATGGGGGCATTGCCAAGAAGGCTGTAGGGTATACAATTTCGAGGGCGGATGTTGGAGGGTTTGTTTTTGAGAAGGTGGTGGGGCCGTTTGAGAGCGGCAGAGACGAGGGAATGGGGAAGATAATTTTGGTTACCTATTGATCACTGGTTTGCCAGTCCTGTTCAATGTGACTCCTCTTTTGGTTTTCGGTGCAGGGTTGCAAGGAAGGCGGAATATGCATGTCGAAGGCGCATGATAGGGGGTTTGTTTTCACGAGATTTTAAAGCATATGGAAGCGGGAAGGACAAGCAAATGGCGAATATCACTTCGATTACTCATTGAGCGGTTTGGCTGCACCTGCAATAGTGAGGCGTTCATATTATGAGCTTGCCCCATTTCGCTCCAGTGCGAATCGAGCACCGAATCCAATTTCAAACACTCTGTCATATGTTCCAGATCGCTTCTAAAGAAGTTGATAACTCATTCGAGCAATTTATTTGCATTTGCACGCATTAATACAGATTATGATTGATAGTTGTGTCGCACTTGTCAAGTGACGTGGCCGACTTTGGTTTGCCATTTTGCAAAGCCATTGAATTTCCATTTCTATATCTATTCAGACCCTTTTCCCAACAATTAGACAACAAAATAAAGATCTAGACTTCTCAGTTCTGAGCCCCCCCCCCCACAGCCCTTGCAGCAGCTCCTCTAGATTGTCATACACAGCGGAGAATGCTTCCCCAGCCCCAACCCATCATTCCTTCAACTCCTCCACTGCAACCTTCTCCACACCCCTATTCTGCACCCCCTTAACACTCCGCCATTCCATCCCAAACGAGCAGATGAACCCCACAACAGAACCCGCAGCCGTCAAATAAAACGTCTGCGTGATCGCCACATTATACGCCAACAATGGGCCCTGCAAATCTGGACCTGCTTCTACCACCTTCCTCAACCCTTCGGCACCTGCAACTACCACCATTTGAGCATTGACTTGCGGGGCATATATATGCAGATTCTTGACTAGGCTGGACACGAATATATTCTCACCAATGGCAAGGAAGATGGCGCCGCCGAAAAATTGGAAGAAGACGGAGATGGAAGTTGCGGTTGGGAGATCGGATTGGGGAAGGATTGCCATCAAGCCAATCACTGGCTAATAGAAATGGATAGTGTTAGTTTATGTTCATGGGTGTTGAAGAGAAGATGCAGGAACCGACGAACCATCTGGATCACGCATGCAGCTCCCAAGCCCCCAAGGACTTGGATCCCATCAATCATCGAGTATCCCGTGTCGACCTTCCACGTTGAAATTATTCCTCCTGTAATTGCTACGCTTGCTGCACCAAAAAAGAGCCATGGGTTAAAGTGTCCAAACTTCGTAACTGCACCATCACTCAGCACTTCATTCAGTTATCGAGAAAGGGGACGTACCAAGACCACCAAATATAATAGCACCCACAAAATTGCCCAACACCATGGGCAAAAATCGGATCCCGCTTCCCACAGGACTCACCCCCTTAATCACCTGAAACCACATCGGGATATAATACCCAATAATCTGCACACTCCCCAATCCAAAGAACACGATCGCGGCAGCGGAGTACACACTTCTCTGTCCCATAATCCTGCGCGGAATACTAGCTTCGTCTCCTTGATGCCATTCCCAAACCATAAATATACCTATCATGATCACGAAACCGAATATGAGCCCGATGGTCGTCGCTGATTTCCAGGGGTTGCGATTTCCGCCCCACTGTAAGGCGAGGAGAAGCATTACTACTCCTGGTACGAAGAGACCTAGGCCGGGGAGATCGAGGTGCTTAATTTTTTGGATGAGCGGGAGCTTGGTAAGTTTGCGCTCGTTAGGGTGGAAGAAGATGGTTAGGGTGATGGCTGTGACTGCGCCGAGAGGGAGATTGATATAGAAGCCTAAATAGTGTTAGGGAAGAGTAACTAAATTTGATTCCCGAGTCTGCGCTTACACCATCTCCAAGTCAAATGCTGGGTGAAAACACCACCAAGGACTGGTCCAAAGATGTTTGAGATACCGAACATGGACGCAACAAGGCCTGTGTAAACTTTCGAGAAAGTTAGCATTCGAGTCTGGAATTGCTCAGAGAATCCATGACGTACTAGGTCGCTGGCGGAGTGGAATCATATGAGATACAATGACCAGTGCTCCCGAGAAAAGTCCAGCGGCACCCATTCCTGCTACAGCTCGCCCAACGATAAGCATCACTGACGACCTGGCCGTTGCACATATCAAACTCCCCAATTCGAATATACCGAGAAAGACAATGTATGTCCACTTCAGAGAAAAGTACTGGTATACTTTTCCGGATAGTGGTTGGAGGGCACAACTTTAAAATATTGTTAGCATCAACATGTATATAGTCTGGTCCGGGAAACTTACACCGATATCAGGAAAGCAGAGCCATACCACCCCACGTCTGGGAGAGAATTGAAAGCCGTGGTAATTGTTGGTACCGCCTAAGAGTTTAGTATTTGTGCGAATATGAAGTCAATGATTGATTTACCGTAGCAAGAATAGCGTTATCCTAACACAGTCAGTTTATCTCTAAGCCTCCCTGACGGCAGCAACGTACCAATCCAATCAAGAGAACCGCCATACAGAGACCCAGAATGATCAGATACAACCTAATACCAGTGATATATTCCGACTCATCTTCTGCTTCTGCTTGGATTGCTGATGCAGCTTTTTCCTCCACCTCGGGGATGTCGATCTCGGCATCGTGTTGACTATTGTCCAGACTACTATTGCCAGCCTCGGTATCTTTTTCCGCCACAGAAGTCATTATCAAAGCAGTAACAACAAATCGTTGACAGCTCGAAAATAAAGCGAACGGTGAGGCTCTTTAAGCAGGAGGGCCAAAGGTAGATAGATTTAACTCCGATGTCTGGAATTTTGATTTGCCGGATTTTCGGAACCACCTTAAACTCCGGCCCCCTTATCCGAAGGCCCCTGCCATGAGTAGCTGAGTTTGCGCCATATCGGAATCGACGTTGAGCCGCATGCATGAGAAAATTGGCCATTGCTGACATGTTTCATCGTTCATTGTACCTGGGCGGCGTTCTGGTAGTTGCTTGGCTCGACGGTCACACTTCGTCTAGCTTGATTTCGTACAGAACCCTTGCTTATATTGATGAATGCGAGCAAATTAAGAGTCTGGTCAGAATGCTTTGAAATCTCGACAAAACTCACTTCACTCGAGCCAAAAATCTTGGATATTATGAGCTTTGGTTCCAGGCTCGAGTTTATGGGCAAGGGCTCCCCCCTATTGGCTCGCTTATTGAAAAGGGGGCGGGGTCTCGCCCAAGCCAACATTATCGAATAACTTTGAAAGCGGGCAGAGCCCAAAAGGGGCCTTAACTCCTTTGAACACCCCTTTTGAAGAATAGGCCAACCTGTATGAATACTTAGTCTAGGTAATACGAAAGCTCACTCTAATGAAACTTCTGTATTTATTTCCAGTGTTTCATTTGTTCCGCAAGGACCTCACGCTCACATCTATACCCTTCATACCTTAAGAAATAAGCTGAATCTGCACGCATGGAATTTTCATCCAGGAGCTGGGCAAAATAGCAACCGATAACAATGATTGTTCTGGAAGGTTGGTACTCTGGAAGCAGGCTACGGAGCCGGTGCTTGAGTGGACTTCTCGCCCATGCTCGGTTGTGAGAACCATGAACGCGACAATCTTCTCGATGCCGAAGCCGACGTCGGCCTGTAGGGTTGCCAGACGGACCAGTGCAGCTTTAGCTTTGTCAAGGTGATTTTGACGGATGAGCCACCACGGTGATTCAGGGGCTAGGTAGATGCCGATGATCAAGGGGATTGGTCAATACCATTGCAGTGCGAATGGTATTCTATATCCCCAAGGAGCCGGGGCGTTCAACACGCCGCGGAGGACACCTGATGCGGTGATTTGTCCAAAGACCTCTTAAGGGCTATCAGGATTTCGTTCTTTTATGGGAATGGGGAGGCTCTTACCCAGCGTATGTTCACATATGTTGTCACGTGTGCAAGCAAGTGTACAGGCGCCACCTCAACAGCATACACAGTCGTCACACTCTAGAAAATCCCAAGTGGAAACCCTAGGCTCGGTGAGTACAGCCTCCAACAACAGTAGTGTAGACTGCACTAACCCATCAAAACTTGCGCAGCCGACCTTGAACCGCATTCCAAGCTCGTTGCAAAGAACTGCATGATAGACCCCATAATCAACACCAACCTCGCAATAACCGTCTCAAGGAACCAACCCTTTCACTAATAAATCCAGTAGCATACAAGCCAGCCAGGATAGTGTACTACAACGGGCCGCGAATGCAAGAGTTCTTTAATGAGACGAATGACATATTCTCCAAATGCAACCATTTGTAGTGGGGAACTATCCTTCACGCCAAAAGTTGATGATCAATTTGAAATACATCTCAGTAAAGGAAAGACAGCTGAACAAGTTCCTCCACTTCGAGGCTCTGAGTTGTGGGCGGCCAACACTTCATGCACTGTTCAGCGTAGAGCCTTTCACGACAGACGAACTGCAACGGCCACTTTCAAGGTGGCAGAATACTATAGATGGAATAGATGTCTGGACGACCGTACATCTGGAAAATCATAATTCACATACGTCGAGCCCCGATTTAAGTTCATGGATTCAACACTGGCCAAAACCAGCCCGGTCTATCACGCGCTTTGGCGCTGAACCAGCCTAGTACTGGGCATACCCCAGGGAAAATGCTTGCCACAATTCTAGTCACGATTACAGGAACACTATTCCTTAATCAAGAGCAAGATATCGGGATGGGATTGCGGCTCCCGGCACGTGATCATGCGAGGGTACCGATGCAGTGGGGTAGCTCACCGAATGCTGGTTTCTCTACGGCAAGACCGTGGATGAGAGTCGTTGATGGCTATGAGAGCATCAATGCTGCTGATTAGATGGGACGAGATGGCAGTATTTTGGGGTTTTGGATGAAGATGCTGCTGCTGAGGAAGGAACATAAGGACTTGTTTGTTTATGTTCGCTTCGAGCTTGTCTTACAGGGTGACGAGTTGATGATCTTCACGAAAGAGGGACGTGAGCTTGGCGTTTGTGAACCGTACAGACAAGAGGATGAAGTGGATTATGCCGAAGGGGGTGGAAGGTTTGGAAATGAGACTGTGTATTAAGAATGAGGGAGGTTCTGATGAGGAACTAGAGCCAATTGAGGCGAGAGTGTATATTTATGTCTGAAACGACTTATTTCAGAGAGACCGAATAGGCCTTATGGACCCCAAGAAGACGCCTGCCCCAGCTTGAAAACAAGCCTATATTTTACACTATCCCATCCCAGTATCCAACACCATGTTCGACAAATCCTGATTCGCTGCCCAACTAGACAACATCTCACTCCACTGCTCATCACTCCCCACCTCTGAAAGACCCGATCCTCCTCCTTCTCCTGATGACACGTCCGACTTCGCGCTCGCAAAATTGACCGAAAAGTCCACACACCGCACCATAATCGTTGGAATAATTTCCATGAAGGAGAAAGTCGGTTTTCCAGTGATGGAAAGCCCGACGGGTGTTGGGTCTCTGACCATCTGAGAGTACCATATCTTGGATTGCTGGAAGAGGTTGTAGATGTGGCTTACGAAGTTGTTGCTGCCTGGTTCCGAGGCAGCGAGGAGTTGGAGGGCTTGCGCGGAGAGAGCATCGAGGTAGTAATCCAGATTCACGGTGGCCTTCATGTCCGCGCTGTTGAGGATCTGGCTATCGTATGCACCGGTTGAGAAAGCTCCAAGGACTAAAACTGCGTAGACGAGGGAAATATAGTCGGTCAGATTGAGGCTGGCCAGGTCTACTGGAGTTAATAGTAGATAACGATCAATGTATTCTTTGGTGTTCCGTAGGCAACGAATCAGGATTTCGTTCCGGGCTGTGGAGTAATACCACGAGGTAGACAGCGGTTCCAGCTCAGAGGGCTTTACGGCATGGAGACCGATCTCGTTCACATATATGCGAAGATTATAGTACTTCATTGTTAAAGAAGCTATAATGTCGTCAGTTGATGGCATCAAAATCGGACTGGGTTATCTCACGGCTATTCCAAACATGTGCAGGGAAAGTCAATTCGAATTGGTTCAGCTGCTGTTCAAAAGATTTCCGGAGAATCTCAACTCGTATGACGTCTAATTGAGGTAGTTTCAGATTTTGACTGTAGTCGAATGCATGGTCAATCTCCCCAGCAAGTCGTTGCAATCGGATATAATATGGAAGAAGATTGTCAGTCTCGGCAATCGCTGCTCGAGCCAATGACTCGGTACAAGTCTCCATGTACTCGGAATATTCCAGACTGTTAGGCTTCCGCAAGCCTTGACAGATTCTAAGGCAAAATCAGATCGAGATTGAGGAAATGGTCGGTGAACTTACGTGGTCGTCAGGAAATAGACGCCAAGAAAAGTCCTCTGCGCCTCAAGCTCTTCCGGAGACTTTGGTAAGAAGAGTCTGGCTTTGAGGACCTTGACATCTATCGGCTCCCAGTCCTGTGCCGGCTTATTGATACCAAGATCAATGGCCATGGCAACAGCCATTTGCGAAAGTTGATACATTTGTTCCCGGTCAGGTTCAAAGTAGAATTGATACCTGATTTCCTGTCAGCAAAATGGAAAACATCGAGTGACATAATAGACAATAGGTACCAAGCCAAATATAGCAAGACCCCTTGAAGCAGATCCAAACTTTTCTCGCAGTGAACAATAACCTTTTTGCTTAATGATTCTCGTAACTCGAGTTCAAGCCGAAGTTGAAGCTTCTCGTTGTGGTGCGCAGCAAAGGAAAGAATTGAGAGGAGCAAGAAAGGTCGCTCCCGTCGGAGGGAATCCAAAGTCCATTTCGGGGGCACCAAAACGAATGGAAAATGTGAAGCTCTCGACTGGAAATACCGTACGGATTTCTCGGCTTGAGTAATCGAGACCAGTCCCTTAGATATTGCATCGTTGAACTGATCGAAGTTTGGAAATGCAAATACTGGCAGTGATTGCTGTGGTCTAAAGTCCTCGGAACCCGAAAAGGAAACTAGTGAAACGGATGATGAGATTGGATGCGTAAAGGCTTGGAGCCCTGTCTCTGGTGGTGACAACGCTATGGGTGGTTGAGAAGGTGCGGACGACGTTTCTGATGGGGATGCTTGCTCTCCCGCTTGCTTTGAAGTAAGTAAGGCCATCAAACCATCGAGCCTCTCTTCCATCTCAGCAACTCGGCTATTTGACAACTTAGCAATGATTTCTATTGGTTGTCTCAATCAAAGACCCACGTTCTGGAATTCTTCGCCCGTTTGGGACGAGGTTTGGCCTCGAGGAAGGTACATTGCTGCCCCTCCTTGACACACCTGCAACTGGTCAAACCCACCCCTGCTCAGAAAATTCATCCGTAAATACCTCTCGCACCTCCCATTCTGCCCACTTGGAACGCACTTCCCTTTGCTGTTTCGACATGACTCGCAGCTGCGGCGTAGCCTTCGCTTCCCGGAGATAGCTGTGCCAGCCTCATCCGACATGTTGCGAGCGGGGTCGCTCATGAAATCCATGATTGAAGTGAGGAAGACGGAGTTTGATTTTTGAAGGAGGCTGAATTCGACATTTCTTCGGAATTTCAATCAGATTCCGAGTGGAACGGGAGGTGTTATGTAGGAGAAGTGTCTGTGATGACACCGCGGAGTCTGGCGGAGTGATGTTTGGCTCCGAGATTCCGCAAGCGAGTGCGAGAGGGCGGGAAAGTCTCCGAGTGGACCCATGTCCATGTCCAACTCCATAAGCACGCACCGAGGCTGAAATGCTGCGAAGTGCCAGGGACGACCTCATGATTCAAGATCATTTGTGCTTCGATCAACATTAAAAGGACTTCAACGGTAAGGGCATCTTCAAAAATTGTTCAGGGTATCTATATGTCTAACATCAAACTCTTTCCCATCAACGTGACCACAATTCAACGATTTCCAATCATTAACCTCTACTCACGTAATCCCATCATTGCGCGTGTCATTCGCCCTCTCTAGATTCTACAGCTCGCCTGCCAGCATCTTGATCCTCTCTCCACACTCCACCCCCATCACTAGACTCCAGCTTGGCCCGCTCATCAACAGTCAACTCACTCTCCGCCTTCTTAATCTTAACAAACAACACCAAAATCACCAACGCCGCACTCGCACACGCGACCTCAAACCAAAACACCGCATGGTAGCTCCTCCTCATGTCCAAGCTGGCAACCGTATACGTATTCACGACATCCGCGAACCCAAGCATGACCGCGATCCCAAGGTGAAGTAGCAGCATTATCACTGCGCCTGCAAGTCCCTGTTGTTTGCGTGGCAGGGAGGTCGTGATGAAGATGTTGGCTACGGTGAAGGTTATGTCAATTCCGACAGTTGCGCAGATCATGGAAGGGAAGATGTACGCCCAGTATAATGCACTTTGTGGCATGATTGCGAAGAGCAATGGGGCTACGATCCAGGAGATGCCCGAGATGATGATGAGGATTGTTCCTGGTAGTAGATGGAGGACAAAGCCACCGAAGGTAGCAATGATACACCCCCCGAGAGCCATTGGAACATACCAGGCAACGACTTGTAATGGTGAAGCTCCCATGACACTTTCCATATAGAATGTTGCGTAAAGGAGAAAGACACCGAGGGACCCGTAGGTGAAGAATAGCGCGATGACGAGCGCTGGCATACATGGGAGTTTGAAAAGCGATACTGGAAGTAGTGGCTGTTCAGCAACTCCGACTTCGACGTAGGCCGTTGTTAGAAGTAGAATAGACCCGACGATTAAGAGGGTGTAGATGTATGGTGTTTTCCACTGTTGGGGTGCATGAGAAGAATCGATCACAGCGAATGTGAAGAGGACGAGCCCGGAGACACTGAGAACCGCCCCGGGCCAGTCCATCTGGACCTTTGATGTTGCATTGAACTTTTCTTGGATGTCGGATGGAATGGTGAGGTATGCCGTCAATGCTGTGATTCCTGCCAAGATCGATCCGACCCAGAAGTACCAACCCCAAATTGTGTACTCGGCAGTAACTCCAGCGAAGAATATCCCAATGAAGAATCCTAATGGCGCAGATGCCCCATAAATGCTGAAGATAAGATTCTTCCTGGGGCCTGGACGATAGATGCTGCCAAGGATCATCACACTGGATGGGAGAAAGGCAGCTGGACCCAGCCCCTGAAGTGCTCGACAGAAGTTGAGCATGATCTCATTTGTCGAGAATCCAGCGATCAGACTCCAGGCCGTAAGCCATATCATGCCAGCGACGTAGACCGGATATCCTCCGAACATATCGGCTGCTCGACCAAAGATCAAAAGGAAACTCGCCACCGTCAACGAGAAGGCACTCGCAGGCCATGTAGACGACGCAGCGGGGATATCCAAATCCTTGACTAATGTTGGAAGGATGACAGTAAAGCCAGACACGAAATATTCCTGCTGGATGTGAGTGCGGGGTCAATAAAATTGAAAGAAAGAATTACCGAAAGAACCTGGGACATGGAGGTAGAGAAGACGAAGCCTATCTCAGCCCACACGGAGCCAAAGACCTCTGGTCTCTGCCTCCCGAGTTGTTCGAGTCTCACCTTGAGGGATTCCTCAACGGCTGGTGCTCCATCGTGCAGCGAACTTTCTTTTTCCAAGCGTCCAGGCGACGTTGGACTCGCAAACTCATCCTGATATGCTGCGGCAAGAGCGGCATCGTTGACTTGAACCAAGTAGATGCTATCAGTTGAAGAGTTGGAATCATGAGTTGAGAGTTGATTGATGGTCTCGCTGGGAGGGCAATTGGATTGGGCTTGGCTGTGGGGGCGAGCGACTTGACTCTGAGGATTTTCGACAGACATAGTGAGAGTTGGATGTAATAAAAAGATAATTTAGCAAAGTAGTAAAATGGGTGCAAATGTTATTGAATGCAAGGAGTGGCGGATGAGTTGCTCACATATGGAAGAAACAATGAATGAAGAAATAATGCGGAAGAAATGTTCGACCAAAAAGACCCTGCCATAGCGTAGATGCCGTGTTGACATGCGTGGGCAGTGGATTGGTAATGAAGGGCGTATTTGGTCGTCACAGTGCAGGTGAGGGCGTCACAGAACATATAAACTTATATGGGTGAGGAACATCCGAGTCCTGAGCACTTAATGACGACCGCCTAACCCGAAGAAAAGACTAGACCCACCCACTCGATTATCAATAGAAATCATACTCACCGCGGCGGCCAGAGAAAGGGGGAAAGCTAGACAACTGGTCAGACTCGGCAGCTTCAATTCGATATCACGACGACGATAAAGCGCATAAGGGGTTGGCCGATCCAGTGTCGAGGAAAGACTTGTGATGTGGTAAAACGCGAAGAGTGGTTGCGACTGGCTGAACATAACATGGTCCAGGCATTTGTGATGCGGATATTGGGACGAGAGGATGGTTTGTCGGCGCGGCTACCCGCAGTCTGTCAAAGCACATCTCCATTGAACGGCCGTTATCATTCTCGTAATGCAGGAGTGGATATGAAGTTAGGATGGTTGGGGTGTACGGAGGTACCCTGGTTGCTTTTGCCGCTCAAGCCTCCAAACTTCATGGTCAGCGGGCAAGCTCAGCAAACAAAGCAAACACCATGAAAATGCGCCAGCCCCCATTGGAAACTAGCGCCAAAAAATTCTCGGGTACGAAGTACAAAATCTTCAATTCTCTCGAGCTCTTCTTTTCTCCTCATCTATCAGTAGGTAAAGTTAATTCTTTACTATGGAAGCTCCACTTCGGTGGCTTGCTGAGGGTTATTCTTGTCGCAAGACAGAAATGGGTCTTCCTCCGTTCCCGGCTTCCTTGAGAAAAGGTGAACGCTCTTTCCTACCAGCCGACCTCGCCGATGCTCTCGGACGTTGACTGTGGGGTGGTCGCTACATTTGCATCTACTATACATGGGGGCTTTGATGGAATGGCAGTAGGACACGAACGATGTGCAGAATTGAGCCGGTGGGATTGTTGAGGAATATTTATTTGAGTGCTGGTGCACCGCAACTGGAGGCTCATTCTGGCTCTTGCCCTAAGGAAAGCAGTGCGCACTGCTCTCTGCAGCTGTGCGATGCTGCAGATACCGTATTGTGATCTCCATGTGTGTGACCCGCTGCAAAGCCAAGTGAGTCTGTTGTGCTCTCTGATCCTCGGGTGCTGATCCTCCCTCTCCTGCAAAGATCGCGCTGGCCAATAGCTCGAGATCGCTCGCTATCCATGAATTCAATACTCAATTGATCATCCAAACCTCACAGGTGCTACTGAATCATAATTTGCAATAATCTTCTCGCCATTGTATGGTCGGATTACTATCTAGCTACACACAATGCTTCCTGTTGCGAAAACCATGCAAAAAAAAAAAAGTGACGGCTCAATGAAGAGGCGCGAAACCGTATCCAGCATCTTAATGAAGAGACGTGGAACAGTATTCACCATCTAGTACAGGCGCTTGGGAGGAGACATAGAAGCCTTGATAGTCAAGCTGCCCACGTTCTGCCAGCCTTTCTTCAGGAGAGACACCAGGTAGTTGATAGCCAACATGATGTTGGAGATCAGCTGGTCCTCAGTCATGCCAACATTGCCGACAGCGACACCCATGCACAAGACCTTCTTCAACTGGAACTTGATTGTAGACTTGACTTCGTTGATCTTGGCGCTCAAGTCCTCGTTGTGGGAGACCGGGGTGGGGAATTTACCAGCTGCAGCAGATGTTAGCTCATGAAATCTTTCAGAGATCCAGCAGAAAGACATACCCTTGGAGAGACCGGGACCCAAGAGACGAGGAATCTGCTTGATGAGAGTATCGGAAGCGACGAAGGCATCGTACTTGCGAGCAAGTTTCTTGATCAACTTCTTGTTCTTGTTGAGCTTCTTCAAGTCATCGGAAGACATGGCATCAACACCACCGTGCTTGGCACGATCGATATCATGCTGGTCACCGAGAATGCTATCCCATCCAGTTAGTCAGAGCCCTATCCTTCCATGTGTGCTATGTAGACATACCAGATGCTCATACCCGGGCGGGGAACAACGGGCAGACGGACGGTTCCCGAGAAACGCTTGTCACGTTGGGGGTCATAGTTCTTGAGGCCGATTTGGAGTTCGACGGTTTCGAGGAAGTTTCTCTTCTTGGTCTCGAGAGAGTATTCGAGAAGTTGTTGGACGTTGGTACGCACTCCGGCTGTGGCGCAAAAATGTAAGCAAATGCTCTGGGAGAACGCTGGCAGGTGCAGAGATGGCAAACATACCGACTGTGATTTTCGACATGATGGACAGTCTTCCAGTAGAATGGTTTAGATTCTAATGGTGAGGATTTGCGTGGTGTTGTCTTTGACTTTTTTCTCGATGGATTTGTAAAATCGAATGTGGGCGAGAGGCGCGATTTTATGTTTCACCAGGCGAGCCAATGACATCACGTGAAGAGTCATCAGCGAAAGCGTCGAGTGAATCTTCGCCTCCACCTAAACTTCCCGGCCCCAAACTTTCCATTTTCGGAACTCACTTGGTTCAGCCATCAGTATTTCAGCTCGCCACACTTGATGTGTCCTTACCGTGCTGTTTGATTCCATCGCTCAGCACCAAATCGTTCGTTCTAAATGCCATCCGATGGATGGGCCGCTGTCTGGTCAAATGCATCTCGGCCATATTCTCCTCAGTCTCAAGCTTCTTGTTATGCCGAGGCGGCAATTCACAGGATACGGTTACTTGATAGAAAGCAACCCTTGAGCTATTATCATGCTCCTCGGCCATTGCACCACAGCAGAACTCGATTCACATGTCCAGCACTTGGAGACGCAGGAGTCATGGATGGGATCTCAAATGGTTTTGGGAACTTTGAGATTTCACACTTGAATGATTCAATCACATATGGAAAGGGTCAGGCCCTGTTGCCGTCTCTGGGTGTACACTGACAGAAGTCGTTCACACACACCCCGAGCATGTTGTTCCTCGTCTCAAATGGCCGCGGCCTTTAATATTTCGTCCACCAACGAATCATGAATTTAAAGACGCAATGGCAAGTCGAGGAACAAAAGTTTGATTCGTATTTTGGGCTCTCTATCGTGCTTGAAATCCCAAGCCGCTCAAAGCGCTTCTTCCCTCCGAAGGCATCGACATTCGCAAGGTCCAGCCTTCAAGAATCACCACCATCCATCCTGCCTCACAAGACGAGAACTCACTTAATTTGTAATGAATCGGTCATCACTGGAGCCGGAGCGGTCATTCTAGGGCATCTCGCCGTCTTCGTCACCGTCTCGGTTCCACAATCCGACTGACAATGAAAGCATGTCCCCGGCCCAGTCACCGTGACAGTCGGCGTAGTAGGGCATTTTGGATCTTTGCAAGGAATGTCGACCATTTCCGTCACCATTGCCGCTGGACCTGTACAGGTTGAGGTGAGGAATGTTGAGCACACCTTTTCCATTGGGCAGTACACTGATCTTTTGTTACTTCTTGCTAAGTGACACGAGAAGTAGCTCATAACTTACTAGGTCCTGTGTAAGGTATCGTCTCAGTGTAGGTGTAGCATGAGTGATATGAGTTGCGGTGATCTGTGGGGCTCTCCTGTCTGGCAACGTGATGACAACTTGGCTGCTTCTGTCAGGATGAATGTCCTCACAAGGGATGTCTTTTCGAACCTCAGTAAGGCCAGTGCCAAAAGCCCAATTACTCTTCGAGTGATAGCCATATTCAAATCGAGTTGATCTCTCTGTATCCAATTTTGTTTTGGAGCAGCGTGTTTATCAGCGAAACATGGGAACCGACCCCAGCTTTATATCCCTCATAAGTTTTACTCGTAATCTGCCAAACCTGAACCTTGGGTTCATCCGAAGTTACTATTTATGTCTAATTCAAGGTTGTACGACGTTGATCTCTTCCCCTCGAGACCGAAAGAGGGGAAGATAGTCTCCATCCTTGCCTGCCTCAACATTCTGGAAGTCAAGGATGTGGGGTATCGCATGCTGTAAGGGGTCGCCAACCTCCTTTATCTCACTGTTCAGATTTCAATTCGCTGAAATGGCCCCTCGCTCCACAAAACTTTCTCCTCGACTGTGAAATTTCATGTTATTCTTCCGTCGCCTCCGATCCGTACTCCCCATAGGGAAAGGCTTGTAATATGGATGAAACGGATGGTTATTGGCTATATCTTTGTTTCCGGAAATAGTAGCAAAGGTGTTTGTGGTATGGCAGGGCTCGTATTTAGGCGTTGTTTCTGCCGGTTGCCGAAAAGCTTGTGTTCAGGGCTTCAAGGGTACAGAGGGATTCAATCTCGTCACTCCATTCAGTACCAATCCTCGATGAATGGATGTAAAAGTGACCGAGCTGGATGTGCTCGTACGCTTGAAGCTCAGTCTTCCCTTCCCAGATGTTGTAGTTGAGATGCAAGTGCTTTGGAGGGTTGTTGAGTTTGACCCGGTGTCCCTAGAAAATCTGTACCTCAGAGGTTTTCCCTCTCAAAAGTGACGATATACGAATTTGCGTGGTTGAATATCTTGAATTTGTTTTCGCAATGACAGAAAGTGCAAGCGGTTGTTGATCATCTGGAAATCTCAATGTTTACTGCTGTCTTGTGCTATTCCCTGTTCAACCATTGTCCTATCATTGCTACCAAAGGGCGAAAGAGGTGGCTCAGAGATCCTAAAAGCCTCACATTCTTTCCTTTCATTAGTATCTTCAATTCTAAATTGTCTACTCGAAGTCTCGAGGCATAGAGTGATAGAGTGGTAGTCATCCCGGCTTGTCTCTGCTGATATTTGAGCTTTCCTGTACCAGCTTTGAGGATAGCGAAGCCTAGTTGAATTTCGTATATGCGCTTCATCGCGTGAAATGTTTTGAGTGAATTCACTGCCGGCGGGGAAATGCATGTGATAGCTTTGCCCAAAGATCCACTTCAAAGGTGAGCCGTGACTGTATCGACAGCGATACCGATATGCCGTCACTTCTCAGCTGTTCGTGTAAACAACAACTCACCCCCATGGACTGAACAACTAATCTCAATCTCGTTCGCCTTGCTGTAAATTAATTCAATTGCTTCATTCTCTTCGCAATACAATCAGTCTCGTTTCTTTCGATCCGAAGAGCATCGCTTTCGCATCACCGAGCTCAACCAGAGCGTCGACCCCTCTTCACGATAATATCTAGATCCCCTCATTCATCAACACTACTTCCGGCCATGACGAAGATGCCTTCCCCAGCAGCAAACATGTCCTCTGCCCGCAAGAGAGACAAGAAAGTCGAGGTGTCCCTCACCAACTGGTTCCTCGGCGGCTCACTCGTCTCCGGCACCTCGACGACCTCCAGCACCCGCTCACCTGTCAGACGCCTTGCCTCCTTGCAGCCGGTATGCAACCTCCTCACTTTCCCTGGCTAGGTTCTCTTCCCGCTTTTCATTGGGGTCTTGGAAATAGAATGCTAACATGAATGTGGGCGTAGGATAACGATTCGGTCCTAGGCAAGTCCTCTAAAGCCGAAAAGACAGAGGAGAAGTCAAAGGGCGAGAAGAAAGATAAATCCAAAGGTGGATACGAGAAATGCGCTGCGTGTGGCAAGAAGAAAGCTTCCTCCTCAGATTCCAAGGACTCCAACGCAAAGTCTGAAGACAACAAGTCGAAAGATGACGCCAAGTCTGACGCAGGTGAGAATAAGGAGGAAGGAGGCGGTGAGAGCGGAGGAAAGGGATGGACATCAGACCAAGATGAGAAAATCAAGAGCATGAAAGGCGAGAACAGGAGCTGGAAGGACATCGCGCTTGAGGTTGGTGCTAGCAAGAAGGATGTTCAGAATCGGTATAAGGAGCTTATGAAATCCTCTTCCGTGTCTGGAGATGGAGAGAAGAAAGATGAGAATACTAGTAATGCTTGGGAGACAAAAAACGATGGTAACAATAATGGCTGGGAGACCGTGGTCGAGAATACGGATGTGGGAAATGACAATATGCCGGACTTTGGTGCGTTGTTTGAGGATGAGCCCGCCGATCCTGGAGAGAGGAAGGGAAAGGAGAAGAGTGGCTGGGGCAACAACAACAGCAGTGGTGGTAATTGGGGTAATTCTGGAAGCGGAGAGAAGAATGATTGGGGATCCAATAACAACAACGGCAACAATTGGGACAATTCTGGGAGTGGAAGTGGAGATGGTGAGAAGAAGCAAGAGAGCGGTGGTTGGGACACGAAGAGCAACAATCATGGCAACAACAATTGGGACAACTCTGGAAGTGGCGATGGAGGCAAGAAGCAAAAGGGCGGATCCGGAAAGAGCAAGAATAAGGACAAGCAACAGAACTGCGGCAACAATAATGATGGTGGCGGCAATTGGGGCAGCAATGGCGGTAATAATAGCAGTCGTGACGGGGGTGGAGGACACAAGAAGAACCAAGAAAGTGGAGGCAGCGGCCACAGTAACCCATTCGACGATTCCCACGCCATTGGTGAGGAAGAGGAAGCCTCGAAGGGGAAAGGTAGATTGAAGCCAGATGCTGTGTGGACTCAAGATGATTGCGAGGTCCTTGAGTGGTTGGAGAGCAAGTATGAAGAGAATAAGTGGCTGCATATGCAAGCTGGTTTCTATAATTGGACGGGCAGGATGGTGATTGCGGAGTTGATTCAGAAGAAGTTTAGGGATGATGGTGCGGCTTGAGCTGGAGGCTTGGCTTTGGACCTTTCTCAAGGCTCTTTAGATTGGAGATCTCGTCTTGCCGAGTTTCGTGAATTACCTGCTGGGTGGGAGTTTCGACTCGGAAGCTGGTTTCGGGACTCGACTTCTTGCCTTTTCCTTTTCCCTCTTTATTTTCAGCAAGGAAGCACTCGTCGATGAAAAGAGCTCATCGCAGGAGATCAGAATCCTGGTTCATATCGCAATTTTCACCACCTCGAGTTCTCATCGATGAGCAACGCTCATGAGCACAAAAATATAGAATAATTCACAATGGAAGCAGCATTCGACTCTGATACAATTCGCATTTGCATCAACTATTCGCAGCTGACTAGCCTAGCCGTCAATGGCAGCCATGGGTATAAACACCACAGAATGTATGCAAGTCCCTCTCTGTTGTTACAAGTATGTAAGAATATTCAACGCCTCCGAATGCATATGCAGACCCGCATCCCAACCACAGTTACAAAGTATGCATGAAATTTGGTCTCCGACGAGAATCGAAGGAGGCGATAGACAGCCCTTATATCGGGTTGTCCATCCCTGGACTCGGAAGAGCGAACTGCTCTGCGCCTCTTGGTCCTGGTGTTGCTCGATGACCGGAAGATCCAGCGCCAGGTGTGCTGCCCGATCCTCCTGAGCCCAGTCCTCGCTTCATCATCTTCCCAAGTATGCCGACCAATTGTGCCGCGTCATCAAACATCTCGTCGTCCATTCCCTCCGCTGCGTTATACACTTCTGCTATTGTTGCCTTCGCCATCCGCCGTGACTGCTCCCGCTCCTGCAGACAGTCGTATAAGAATGCCGAGAATTCAACTTTAACCGACAGGCGTAGAGGATGGCTGCCCCATAGATGTTTTTCTGCTAGTTTGGTGGCTTCCTGGAAGCAGGTCAGAGCGCTGGGCCGGTAGTCTGCCGCAGGGACAAGGAAATTAGGCGCGAACTCGACAGGTGGTGGTTGGATTCCGGGTTGACCTCCAACGGGACCGCCTTCTAACGGGTGCGTCGGCTGGACCGAACTTGGTCTATAGGTTTCATTTGGTGATCCTCGATCAACGCCTTTGCCCTTGTCGACTTTGCGTGGTGACGTGAGTCCTGGAGGTGTGGATACTTGGGTGCCGGGCTTGAGGCTGACTGGAGGTTGATTGTGGAAGAGAACGTATAGGTGGTAGAAGGAAGCTCGCAATTTGTACGACAAAACCTTCAGCTCTCCGTAATTCGCGACCATCGGTAAGACATACTCCTCCAACAGCTTCAATCCTTCGCGAGCATACCATATAATGCGGCAGTATAGGTCGACAGACTTTGTATCGCGGGTAGTGTCCAGTCGCCGTAATTTCCTCGCGCGGATGACCTTTTCAGACAACATAGTAAGGTTGCCAAATATTTGGAAGAGGCTTTGTGCAAGGAGCGGATGGTCACCCTGGATGTTGGCAGCGAATTGTCCGAGGAACTTCATATCCACCTCTGAAGATGCCATGAGTAGGTAGATCAAGGAAGAGCTGAGCCTTGGAGCGGAGTTTCTAAAAAGCCAGAGCTTGTGATGGAGGCTGTGCTCAATCGATCGAGGCAGGCGACGCTTCTCTGGTACCAGGTTCCCAATGCGAGCCTGAGATTCAGATTCACGGAGCCACTTGATGAATTGGGCGTCTTCCTCGTCGTTCCAGTAGATTGCGTACCGCTTTGCGCGCTCCCAGTCCCCAGCGGCCCGAGGTCTAAATGCTACCTCGATGTCAGCTATTGCCAAGTCAAGGGAGTGTGCTGTGACTGGTGCTTTGTCTGGGTTGAGAGTTTGTCAGGACAAGAACAAAATTACTCACTGAAAGAAAAGTATTAGATTAGCTTTATCTTCTATCTGCCAGAGTTTTGCCTAGCTTCGTTGCTTAGTCGTCGGTGATGTTGCCGCTGAGGGACAGCTTCGAAAGTCGAGTATATAATTTTGTTGATCTTGAAATCCGGAGCAGACCACCCAACCACAACCACACTTCACCGAAATCGATTGAGCGAACTCCAAGCTTTCCAAATTAATTATAGGCGCAAGAAGATGCAAATGCTGAATGGGGAAAGGAGTCGTCAGTCGAACTGGGAATTGAAGACAATCCAGAAAAAAATGCGAGCCACAGGAGGCTGGGCAACGACCCGGCTACCAGCTTCCAGCTTCCAGCTACCAGCTACCAGACAGCCCAATGCCAACGTATACTGCAAACAGTCAGACCAGGTACACTCGGCCACCAATACGGACGCTGGGCAGAGATGAGAGGCCGCCGCCGTCATCCAATTGAGCTTCACTGACCACTATTATTACAGGCGGGACTCGAGACGCGAATGGCAGTGACCGGAGCCAATAGCAGGCAGTTGACGGCCACAGCCACTCGAAGCTCAGCAAGACAGTCGCCGCGAACCCTTTAATCCTTCGACCGATGTACTGGACTGCGCACAAAGCATTTCGACTTGTCCAGCGGGCGCAATTGCACCTGAGACAGGCAGGGCGGTGAAAGGTCGAGGGCCTCGGTTTTGGTCGCGGCCGGTGATGTTGCCAGGGACCTCAGTGCAGCGGGCTGAACCTCAATTGCAATTGCGAGGGTAAACGCGCAGCAAGCGGCGAGCGGACAGCGCGCACGGAATTGGAGTACAGAATTGAGGAGGGTGAGGGCTTGCGATCCCGCAGAAACGAGCGTAGGACGTCGAGTCGACGCGTCTGATCTGGAGATGCAATGGCAAAGCAGGGACGGGGAACAGCAACAACAACTCAGCACGACCGAACGTGAGCTCAAGGACGGACGCAGCAGAAAGTCTATATATCACTGGGAGCGCGACCACTTGATTTTCACCCCCGCGGCGTGCAGCGACCTGATGCAGCTGCTAGATCAAATGCTGCAGCTACTTGGGTCCGTACATATTCTGGCGGTTGGATTGACGTGGCAGCGCAGCTGGACGAGGCGATGGCTTTGGGCCTGCCTGGGTGTGCCAGCGCCTCAAATCAGCAGTCAGGCCCAGTGGGCCGTGGCGTGCCCCGTGTGCTCCACTAATCTCTAGATGGTCCCCGAGCCACGATTCTTTTGCTGCTCGAAACGTGAGCTCACGCCCTCAGATGTCTGCTTCAGTGCAGCTGCGCGTGGCCTCGCTGCCCCGTGCGGATGCTTTTGATACGATGGATATTACTTTGCGATGGCAAAATCGCCGAGCCATGCACTCCCAGCCCGCATGAGCAGCTGCAGTAGGGCTAAAAACCCTCCTCACCACCTCACTGGACAGCCTGCACGCACCAGCCATGTCGCATCGCCGGCCCTCAGAAGGCGGCCACCCAATGGGCTGCTCAATCTCGTCGATTGGAGATGTGGCAGAGCGGCCCTTGAAGGAAAGGGTGAAGTTTATAACGACGTCCGCATCCCTCAGAGGCCCAACCTCCTCCATTTCGACGACCAGCCTGTCGTGCCAGCACATCGATGACCTCAGCTCGATTGCACTTGGCCTTCAAATATGCGGCCACCCCCTCTCATCCGGCTGTCCAATTCCATCAAGGCAAGCGGAAGGACAGCATATCACTTCTCGGCAAACGGCGTCATAGAGTGGCGGTGAGAGATTGGAGCACACGTCCTTCTCGCGACATGTGCAGGGGGGTTGGGAAGTGTGGTGGAAGCTTCACGCGGGACGGCCGCACCAGGACGCTCTCGTGGCAGGTGCTTCCAGAAGGACGTTCGAACATTTAGAAGAGCGTGTCGCCAGGAGGGACCTTGGTATCGATATCCGGACTCAAAAGGGAGCGACTTTTCATCCCAAAGTCCAGGAAACTCGGCGGCGCAAAGGCAATCTCAGGGTGGATGAGGTGAAACATCTTCATCTTACTTTGCCGTTCTTTGTCATCTTCAGATCATCGTCAGAAGAAAACTATAAAGTCCGTTGGGTCCAGGAAAACAACATTGGAAACCTCGAAGAGAGGCTGCTAGGCAAGTTGCCGCGCTTCCAGCGACTCACAATCACCTGTTCCATGCAGCCCTACAGGCTCGGGCAGATCCGAGCTTAGTCTGCGCGAGATCGACAGAGCCGCAGACTGGGATGAGTGATTGCTTGCTTTCTATTTCCATGGCAGTGTCCCCTTCCTTCACTCCCAAGTCCTTCACTGAAACGTGGAACAAACCAATTCCTGCTCTGTTTGTTACACCGAAGCCTTGTTTGGGCCTGATTATTGAAACGACGGCCAGTCGCCTGCAAGCAAACAGGTTGTACAGGTAAGGCACAGAGCAAGTTCGCAGCTGAATGGATTCATTCAGGATCGAGGTGCGTCTATCACATATGACAGCGAGTCTCTTGAAACGTTGACCACGAAGCAGAGATGCCTTTCTACAGGAATGGATGCGGCGGGAGAACGGGAAGCGTCGATCAGAGAGGATGAGGCGAATTGGGGTTTCTTATAAGAATGGGCTTGTTACGCCGACCTAGATCTTATCAACTATCAACAGCCGGCTCAACATCTGTTTCACGAAAATCCAATCTCTACCCCTGCTCCGAGGACACGAACAAAAGAGACAGTACACCGAATACACTTCGAAGTCCTGGGCCAACCAGGTTGAACCGCCACCCGCGAATCGCCAGACACACCCAATACCCCCTCTCCAGTAAAGCTGGCCCGGACACGCTTCACCAATCACAGCAGACACGACATGTGTTACTGGTACAAACACGATTACTCCTGCAAACACGTGACGTACGCACTAGGGCGCTACTGCTCGGCAGCAAACCTCATCCAGACACCCTGCAAGAAGCGGAATATCTGGCAGACGATCAGGATGGGCGAGGAGTGTGAGGAGTGTGCTATGCCTGAAGGTCGGGGGCACGCGGCAGGGTATGATGGCGTGCCGGAGCAGCAGCATAAGGGAGGTGTTAAGGCGAAGAAGGGGAGGAAGAGGTGATCTTGGATTGTAGGGGTGGAAAAAATGAGTTGGAAAGGGTGGCCTGCTAGGTGGCGTTCGAGATGGGAGGAATTGGGTGGTGTGGATGATTGTGCTTCATATGTAGCATATATTTGGGTGCCAAGTCTGGTTTCCCATGTTATTTCAGGTCCTCAATCATCTAACTGAAGCAAAGTTGACGTAGTGAGACAGAGTCCGTTGTTTACTGACCTGCCTCGCTTCTGGCACAAATAAGAGTTTCACCTATGGCGACCAGGATATCACATCCCCAGTACCGTTGAGTATAAAACGATACTACCTCCCGGCTTTGATCTACCTCTCCCGCCCTCTGCTCCCCTTCGTCTTCACCCTCCACCAACTGCAGGGCCAGACACAGTTCACTGTATCTTGCCCAAAATGACCCCACTACTTTCCTTTGCCTTCCTTGTGAATATAGTCGCAGCCCAGGTAGGCTATTTCTGCCTGCGGTCAGATGTTCCTGATTCCCCATGGAGGTGACACTATGTGCGACAGTACCGTTAACGGAGGTGTGAGACTCCACCCCAGCCAACTTCCTTGACTTCATTCTAACAAGACACAAAGGCTTTGCAAGTTTCTATCTCAAACGATTATTTCAATCTCGATCAGTGTGGCCAGCAGATCGCAATCGCCTTCCCAAACAAGACTGATACTATCGGCATTGTTGTTGATAGCTATGATTATCAGGGTCTTAACTGTGGAAATAATATTCGTGAAGGGCGAATCGATATATCTGTTCCTTCGTGCTAAACAATTTATCTAGTTGTAACGCCAGCAGTTATGACGGCTTTGTGGTTTCCTTAAACGGAGGGGAAATTGTTTGTTGGTGAGATAAAATAAACTGAAATCTTGCCGAAAACGGATTTGGTAGCGTTGCCTAACTCATTCCAGGAACACCGATGGCTAGAGGTTGACCATTCCACGCTGGAGAGTACATACCGCTTGCCTAAGTGTTCCTAGGGGAGCCGCTTGTGTTCGTTCCGACAAACGAGCCCTATATGGCCATCGCCACCACACCAACTTAGTTTCTGTCTAAAGCTCTCAATTTTCCTCACTATTTCCACGTTATGTCTAGCTAGTCATTTATTTCTAGTTAGGCTACTATCCACAATAAAATTGGCCTAATTGTCTATTCCCGATTGCTCCCGTTGATTTCTACTGCTTGTGAGAGTGAAACCATCAGCAAAATTGAGGCGGGGAGCTGCAGAACCCGAGCGGCATCTTGGCCTGTGTTATCAACGTTGTTATTTGACAGGGCGACGGCTGTGGTATAATGATGGGGATGGCCAGGCGATTCTCGTGGTTGCGGAACTTGAACTTCAAAGCATGAGAGCGACATCCAATTGCAGAAAGCAAGGCCTGAGACTGAGCAAACCGCAGTGACACTCGAGGAAGCAAGCAGCCATAGCAAAAGTGCTCAGGAAACTGGAAAAGAAAAGCTCCTTCAAAACAAATCCTGATGAGAATGTATTAAATTTCACGTAGACAATGAGTGATCACGGAATACTAGGAACAACCCGAAACTTCCGGGAGTACCCTCCTGGCCGAATCAATATTTCTGAAAGCGAAAAGTGAAAAAATTTGCAGTGACTTCAACTGCTTTGAACTCTTGCTTCCTTCAAATCTCTCAAGGGAACATGATGTCAACGATGAATATGGGGGCCTTTTCCCAGGGCTGCAGGTAAGATCTTACCATCTCCTCTCCACCCTCGCTCAAAGGTGGAAATATAAGAATTTTCTTCTCCCACAAATACAAAATCAGTGGACCTTGTCAGGTTTGTCATTGACTCGGAGAGATCTGGTTAAACCAACCTCCCAAGAATGGTCCACCATCAACCCGACTAGTCGTAAGCAAGAGACTCAAGTAATGCAGCGGAAGTCGGCTCAGTCGGGTCTTAATTTCAACCTTTCCAACAAGGAATGCATGGTCGCCGATCGGGCTTGGCTTCCCCGCACTATTGCCTCAATTCGAATGCTGCATGGAAGGAATGAGGAAGCTTTCCGGCCAAGGTGGCGCCCGCTAGTCAAGCCTTTCCCTTCCGACCCCTGTCAGCACTAAATCTCGCTATGTCGTAAGAAATTGGTCGCACTGACATGCAGCCAGCAAATTTCATTCGTAGAACTCTGCTTCTTTATTATCGATCCCCGTTTCTAGTACATAAAAGGATTAATTGATCTGTGGTGGACCAACAAGGGATTGGGTCAGTTGATAGCGCTAGTGGCCAACTTTGTTGATAATGGAAGGTACGAACGACGCCCGACGATTTAGGTCAGATCTTACTCGATGTCGCGGACCACCCGTTGACAGCTTACCACCATCTTAATGCCCCATTTCCCACGTTCGAAAGTATTAGGTTCTTTTGATATCTGCATTTTCCTCATTATTTGGCGAATTGTTACGACCTTAAGGGGGCCATCACCGCAGTCGGTACGAGCTACAAATATATACTCGAGACGACGAAACCAGAAATACTCCTCAACAACGCCATCGTTATGTCTGCCGCTCCCTCAGACTATGATCCAGAGAAGAACTTGACTCTGCCCTCTTCTGGGGGAGGCAGTACGGATAGAAACGACTTCGCTCCTGGCCATGCAGAGTCCAACGGGAATTGGGGGACTCGGTTCATCGACAGCTTCAAACGGGACCCCAACGCCCATGTCACCAAGCCTGCGCAAGCAACTAATCCAAGAGAATATGATCACGCCGCAGCCGCAGAGAGAACGGCCAACTCCGGTCTTGCTACTAAATTGAAAGGGAGACACTTGCAGATGATTGCAATCGGCGGCTCCATCGGTTCGTCTCAACCCTCACGTAAGATAGGGTTATTAATGAAGGTGCTAACTCCCGGCTTCAGGAACTGGTTTATTTGTGACATCTGGAGCCGCGCTGTCCACGGGTGGCCCCGCTGCCCTTATTATTGCATTTATTATTATTGGGGTCCTCATGTTCTGTACCGTCCAGGCTCTCGGGGAAATGGCAGTCCTTTTCCCCGTTGCTGGATCTTTCTCGGCTTATTCAACTCGATTCCTCGACCCTGCTTGGGGCTTTGCCATGGGATGGAAGTAAGTGACGCAGAAGTGAGGCTTGGTGGAACAAAATCAACGCTAACTTTCTCTGCAGTTATGCCATACAATGGCTCGTTGTACTCCCACTTGAAATCGTTGCGGCCTCCATAACATTATCTTTCTGGCCTGGAGCCAACGATACCAACAAGGCAGCGTGGGTTACCATATTCTTGATAGTCATCGTGGCCATCAATTTCTTCGGTGTTCGGGGTTATGGAGAAGCCGAGTTCGTCTTTGCCATCATCAAAGTTGTTGCTGTGATCGGTTTCATCATTTTGGGTATCATCCTGAATTGTGGAGGTGGTCCAGATGGAGGATATATTGGAGGACGATACTGGAAGAGCAACAACGTTCCCGCAAATTATCCTGGTTACCAAATGGGCCAACCCGCAGGAAGTATTGCGTCAGGGGCATTCAACTCTGGATTCAAGGGACTCTGCAGTGTCTTTGTCACAGCTGCTTTCTCGTTTGCTGGAACCGAATTGGTTGGCCTTGCCGCTGCCGAATCCGAAAATCCTCGAAGAAGTCTCCCAACAGCTATCAAGCAGGTTTTCTGGCGGATCTGTTTGTTCTATATTGTCTCCTTGACAATAGTCAGTCTTCTGGTGCCATATGGAGACGCGAGACTACTCGGAGACAGTAGCGAAGATGCCAAGGCCTCACCTTTCGTAATCGCCATTAACAATGCCGGTATTGAGGTGCTCCCTTCAGTGATGAACGTCGTCATTCTCATCGCTGTCTTGTCCGTCGGCAACTCCTCAATCTATGGCTCTTCTCGAACTCTTGCAGCATTAGCAGAGCAGAATCAAGCTCCTAGAATTCTCGCATATATTGATCGCGCGGGACGTCCTTTGGTCTCTATCATCGTGGCATCAGCGCTCGGCCTTCTCTGCTATGTCGTGGCCGGTGGTCAAGAAGACGCCAAAACCGCTTTGAACTGGCTCTACTCTCTCTCCGGTCTCTCCTCGATTTTCACCTGGGGATCCATCTGCCTCGCTCACATCCGCTTTCGATCAGCATGGAAGAAGCAAGGTCACTCACTAGACGAGCTCGCATTCCGTTCCCAGGTTGGCGTGATCGGTTCGTGGGTCGGCTTCATTCTGAACTGCCTCGTGCTCGTAGCACAATTCTGGACCGCCGCTTGGCCCATTGGGTATGGAACATACACTGCTACTGGGATAGCTCAGAATTTCTTCTTGGCGTACCTAGCTGCACCCGTTGTCATCCTGTTCTATATTCCGTACAAAATCTATTACAGAACGCCGTTTATGAGAACGATGAACATGGATCTGCAAAGTGGACGGAAGGAGTGGGACACACCTACTTTGCTGGAGGCTGAACGCGTGGAGAGGGCACAGTTGCCGCGATGGAAGCGCATCTACAAGATCTTCTGCTAGAGATAGACTGGAAAGAAGAGGGGTACATAGAAAGATGGAAACTTGCTGAAGAACCGCGGCAGAATTTATCGTGTGGGGTTGTCCTTCAGAGATCAGCACGAGAGAGAGAGAGAGCAGCAGTTGCGCGTACAAGGATTTTATATAGGAATCAACAAAGAACTCGAAACCCACACCACCGATGCAATGTCAAACTCGTCACAGGCTAACTGAACATTGATGGTTATCACGTGACACATAAGCTACATACCCGAGGCTAGTTTCGTCCAACTAAGAGGCACAAGTTGCACTTACTCCTGAGGAGATGTAAACGCCGTCCTTGTTGAGACAATCAGCAGATATAATGCAGCAAAGATCTCGGAATGTCAACGTAGTCTCTGCAATATGAAACTGGGTTTGAAAGGTTTGAGAGACCGAGCCGCTCAAGTACCCCGTGACTATGTCTTAGGTCCTGCGTGTTTTCACGTTATCACCTCTATACTCGTAGTCATACGAAGCGCTGGTTTGGACCATCCCACTCCAGTATTACGGCTCGCTTGTATGCTACATCCTTTTACTGTTGGTAGCCCGAGTGGTAGCCAAGTATTTAAGAATGGGATTCGTTGCTACATTTTCACTCATTTGTATGGTTCCCGGGAGCTGGCACTTCTTTTGCTTCACTGGAGGTATGTTGCTGGTAGACTGCAACCCACACCAAGAGTTCCCAACACCCAACCGACAAGACACAGTATCCTCTGGGCACTTCTGTTCGGGGTTGCATTCTACACTGCAGGCCTTCCAACATTCTTCCTCAGTGACGCCCACCTCAGGCCAATGCCAGGATTCGAGACAATCCGCTGGCTGACACGATCGTCGCTACACATGGGCAACCAAGCACGCTTCATGTAGTCACTATCCAGAGCCTCTCTTTTGCTCTCAATCTCCCAGCTCCCATGCCTGAAAGGGATATCCGAGACGGACTTCTGTCAATACCTCGGCAAAATCTCCTTTTGCCTCTACTTAATAGAACTGTTCTGCACCGCTCTTTTTGGACTAAGAATGCAGAAATTCCCGATCTATCTCGTTTGGTGTTCAGGAAAGCGCGAAGACGTTTCCCTATTGGTTGGTCTGTGTCGTCTGGTATGTCCAGTTCACGACGTTGGTGTTTGCGTTGGAGGCGCTGGTCGAGAGGTGGGTTGATAGGCTTAGTCTTAGGTTTGCTAGGTGGCTGGAAGAAAAGGTGCTTGAGGTGTTATCTCTAACGAAGGAATAGAAAGTTATTTGTGGGAGTGGAGCTAATTATAATGAGAGCCGTATGTTGTCACGAGCCGTCTCAAAGATTATCATGAGTGGGAACTCGATATAAGCAAGGTAAAGATAATATGTCTAAAAAATCGCAAACTGTGTTTTGAAGAGGATAGGTCTATCCAAAATCTATTCATGATGCATTATTCAAAAAGAAATTGTCCTACTAGTGCCGGCAGTGGAAGCCCATTCATCAGCTCATACCCACCCGCACTACCGCTTCGACACTCGCCATCAACACCTGCTGTATTCTCACCAGCAACCTCATCTCCAACAATGCCATATACATCAAGAATCTAAGTGAGAATCCCCGATGAATTTGAATATTGTGATCTAGTTCCATGGCATCTGGGCCGAACCTCAGTTCACACTTTGCGCCACACCAGACAAATGCCAACCTCCAGTCGTCAGTGACGGCAGCCAAGAACAGCACAAACCATTGTTGATAGATAAAAGCCTCTTTAGCGGTCAACGAATCGTTATCTAGTCTCAGAATCGTTGACCTATCAAGGATTCGTGAGCGGAGGTGCCTTGCTGCGAAGTATATGCTTTTCAGGAGTTTTTTCAGATGCTGTATCCCTTGGATCCAGTCGATACAGCGGAATGTAATTTGCGACAGGCGGTAGGCTAAGGAAGCCATACTGAGAAAGTGGTAAATCATGGCAGTGGTGGATTGTGTGAAAGTCGGCCAAGTCTTTCCTTCTACTCAAGGCGAGACTGAACTAGCTAATTTATGTGGTGGAAGCTCTCTTGTTTTCTTTCAGGTTGTCAGAAATGTAATCTTGTCAATAATCTAGAGAATGGTTTAGTTTATTTCAAGTCATGGTGAGGACAGTACATTGATTTGGAACAATCTTATTGTTTCCCTGGTTTCTGTCCGATGGATAGACATAGGTTAAACAATCAAAGCATGGTCTTGTTCTTGAAGCCACTCTTCCAGACAAAGAAAATGATTGAAGTAATCTGCTAGAATCCAAAGAGCTACCTGTAGGGAGCATTTAAAAATTCCGGCAAGTTTTCCACCCTCCATCAAGTGGCTATGATCAAATTGGCACCAGCTCACTGAATCAGCGCCCCTCCATCAGAGCTCACAACAATCCCAGTAGCATTTGAGTCCCTCATCAAATAAACATACGCCTCTCCCACCTCCTCAGCAGTCCCCACCTTCCCCAACAACATCCTGCTCTTCATCATCTCTCTCCTCTGGGCGCGCTGCTGCTCATCCCCCCACATCTCCGTCTCCGTCGCCCCAGGACTCACAATATTAACCCTAATCGGCGCAAGATCAAGGGCCAGAGCACGAGTGAGACCATACAAACCGGCAGCGCGATACGCGCCCATGGTATAGCCTTTGACGGGCTTCTCTGCAATTCGACCACTTGTGAGGATTATTGAGGATTTGGGGCTCGGGTTGAGGAACCGTGGCCCAAGTTTGCCGAGAAGCATTGGGACTATCAGGCTGAATTGGCTGCTGTCGCGGAGGTAGTCAGCGGTGGCTTCGGCGAGGGGTTTCATGTTGACTCTGTTTGCTGTGTAGATGATGTGGTCGAGTTGAGTCCCGTTGGCAGTCGTCACATCGGTGAACAGTTTCTCGAGCAGAGCCTCGACATCGTTGCTCGTGAGATCGATTGTGTAGCCTTTGACCTTAGCATTTGCGACAGAGGTTTCGATCGTCTTGACGGCGGTGGCTACTCGAGTTGGGTTGGACGAGGCTATTGAGACGGTAACGCCTTCTGCTGCTGCGAGTTTTGCAACCCCCTCACCAATTCCTGACGAGCCTCCGATGATTAGTATCGACTGACCGCTGATAGGAGGCATGCTTGTTGAAGCTTGGAATCTGGATTTGACAAGGTGTCGATGGAAGAGGAGGAAGTGCAAAAGGTTGGAGCATCCGCTCGGTGCTTTGTACAGTATTTGATGGTAATTTATAGGTAGGAAAGGCCCCAAATACAAGGCCCTGTAGATTGACAGAGCTAAATCCGTTTATCTCCATTTCTACTAAAGGTACGACGTAGAGTATGGTGGATTTGCATTTTGGTGCAGCTCGCTCGAAGATGGACTTTCTTTCACGCCGATAATTACGACGCGAGGTTAGACCAAACAAGGGTGTTCACCTCTTGATTCTGTCAGGGAGGTTCAAGAAAGATCTGTTGAAAGACTGCTAGCAGACATTTCCAAAGTATTTGAGCCATGGACTATACTTTTCAAATAAACAGCAATTGATCTTCTTCGTTGCACAGAATTCAGGGGCAGAAGTTTGCCGGTCCCGAGCGCTGGCTCCTGACCCTGCACTGAGTCCCTAAAGGTCATCACAGTGTCCGACGTCTCTAGGAAGTCCTAGGCACTTCGTATTTTCCCGGCAAGGCTGGCATCGAACACATATGAGATTCGAGAGCCCCTCTTGACATTTGAGGTCGTGGTATGTCTCCACGTCCTGAGTCCGGACACGGCTTGGCTCCAGGGTAGGATTGAGGAGGTTTTCGTCACTACCGACCTCTGAAACATACGTAGCCAGCGGCGAACCATTCGGAGGTGTCGTCCGAGGCGGGGAACGACATAGCCGTGACGAGGGCAAATGAGTACAGCCCCCGAACTGGGAGTTCCAATGCCCCGGGATTAAGCCTCTTGCTGACAATAGAAAATGCGGTAATCGGAAAAGGAGGAGCAATGAGAGCGGTGTGTCTCCTTGCACCATTGAAGCTATCGCAAGCTCAAAGTGGTTCGATTTTCCAGAGAGCAGGTTTTCCGCCTTCTTGCCACTCGATGTTCCAAACTGAACAATTGTCAACTGAATTGAGAGGGGTCTGTCCAAAGTCGCATGTTTCGAGGTTACACACTTTTGCTGGCCGTCCCGGCATCCTCGGCCTGCGGCAGGGCTGAAAGCCCGATGGGCGTGGAGATACGGTCCTGTTTTGTGATCTCTCCCTGATTTCAGCCCGTCGGGCCCCATTGGGAGTGCTGAATAATTTTGAGCAAACTTGTCAGCAAGGGAGGCACCCGATGTGACTGGCTGAAATTGAGGCGTGACTCGTTCCACATGGTTCTGTCGAATGAGAATACGAGCTGCATATCTGACACCGCCACGTTTTGACCGACAACCTTATCGTGGCTGGTCTTGTTCAATGGATTTGTTGTTCGGGATAATGGACTGGCCGGAGTTGTGGCCGTGGTGCTCAAGTGCTTGCCGATGTGAGTTTCGCCTCCATTTAAGGGTCAACAACAAAGCTCGAACCGTTTGTTGCAAAGTATTGAACTCACAATGCCGCCGAAGGGAGTGCGACGACGTCGCGAGCATCAGAGAAGTCGGAATGGGTGTGTCTCTTGCAAACTTCGTAAGTTTGGGAATTCCTCTATGCGTGTCCGCTGCCATTGAAACCTTACCGATGATATTCTTAGGCCATATTCGTTGTGACGAAGGGAAACCGTTCTGGTAAGGGAAATTATTCGTGCTGTCACTTCCGGTCCTCATATCTAACAGTCCTTAGTCGCAACTGTCTGAAAAACGGGGCCTCTTGTGGATATCCTGCTCCAGCTTCAGACAATTTAGACCCTTCAGCGAATGTGACTGTCGAGCCAGGGTCGCTACTTCCATCAATAACTCCCTCATATACCTCCACAACCCCTACTCTCAACCTCCCTCGGTCTCAGGGAACTCTGGAATCTACCTCAGCTCCGAAACACCACAGAACGGAGGTGATTTCCTGGTATTCAAATATGGCGCAGCCCTCCTTCAGCACAATGCTCCCAGCCGCAAGGACAGATCCATTCCATACCCTTCCTCTTGAGCTTTCTCGTGAATCGAAGATGTTGTTGGATCATTGTAAGTCGAGTTTTGACAATCCCTTCGCCTCTGGTTGCAACCTCAGTCTCGCACTTCTCGCCAACAGCGCTTCCGATAATTTAGTTACAAACAACCGAATTCTGCTTCAAAAGACTGTGCAATCGAGACGAGAATACGAATTGTTTCGATTTGCAACCTCAGATGCCGCTTTGCTGCACGGCGCACTTGTCCTAGCTGCCAGCAATTGGATGAAATTGTGTGGTGGCCAGAGAGCTTTTATTGAACCAACATTTTATCAACACAAAACAGAAGCAATTCGAATCATTAACGAGAGAATGGGAGACAGCAGTGTCGCTACTAGCGATGCTACCGTGGGAGCTATTGCGTGTCTCGTGATCTTGGAGGTTGGCGTCCACAGGTGTGCCCCTAAGACTCAAGAGATGATCAGTAACCGCTCACCAGGCGCTCAATGGAGCTGCTCACATTGCTAAAGTCCATCTGAACGGTCTGAAGCACTTGATTGACTTGCGTGGAGACCTCCATTCCCGCACGATGAACAATTATCTGCAACGGATAGTCATGATGTAAGTACCTACCCCAGATTCGTCCGAGTCCCGCTTAGGTTGGAAGTTGTAGCGCGGACTTACTGACTTCGTCTGCGACGCAAACCAAACCAATCTTCCAAGAAAGTCCTCCGCCACTGGCAAAGGAGACGAAGGTCCCCGCCTCGACTTTGGCTGGTGCTGGTGGGAATTTGAATTACATCGAACAAGAACGCGGTCTTGATCCCGAAGCAGCGAGCATGTTCGTGGAGCTGCACCGTGTTTCGTACCTGATGGAACAAAGCGACAACGGAACATTTACATTGGAGAAAGACGATCTTTATCGCTCGATATTTGAAGCTGAGAAATCCGTCGATACGCTGCTGCGTGGGGGGTCGTGCACTGCTCGGACCGTCAATAGCGTGCTGTCGAACAGTGGTTGCTGTGTCATTGCTGCTAACATCTATGTCTATCGTTCTCTGCGCAGGATCCCGTTGACGAGTACGCTCTACGACTATATGGTGCGGTTGTTGAAGCAGGATATTGAGAATGTCGCGGACACCGTTCGGCAAGTTTTCCCAAGGGAGGTGTTGTTCTGGGTATTCTTTGTTGGCGGGTCAGCGGCGAAGGGACGACGCGAGGAGTCGTATTTCAAGCAGCAGCTGGCGGTGAGCCGGCAAGATTTGCTGATCGCTACTTGGGAAGTCGCAAAGTTTGTACTGAAGAAATTTGCCTGGGTTGAGGGCTGGAATGAGGAAGTTGACGCGGAGCTTTTCAATGGCCTGATTCAGGTCGAATAAATGTCGGTATCGGAGTCTTGGCTTCCTTTCTGGTACCACCAAAGCAAAGCTGAGTGGAGTTTGAAGTTATTAAACATATATTTGATAACGAGGAAAGATGAAACGACTTCAAAAAGCTCGAAGGTAGCTTCTATCAGTTTTTAGAATATGCGAGCGAATCTCAGAGTGGCGAAGGGCGGTTCATTCGGCTGCTGCCATTTTTCAATTCTCTTCTGAAGCCCGGCTTATCAACATTGATTCTGTGGCTGCCATACGACAGAAAGGTGATGAAAATGAATCCAAGTGAGCTATACGGTCCTCACAGCTGTCATCTCGCAACAATGGGTCGATAAATGTTACTGGGGCAAGACTGAATAGCCAACGGCCACTCCGGAGAGCCCACTTGGAGAAATCCTGGTGTTTGACTGTCTGCTGCGGTGGGTCCAAAGACTGACTTCGAGTTTGAGCCCCTACCTTGAACTTCTTTCTTGATTACTTCGCCACGCGAACGGAATTTATACGGGCCATGCAGGATGTTGCCACTGGAAGTTGCACAAGGATGAGTGGGATGTGGCTTGTTGAAGCAAGCTGAGGTCGGCTTGATACGGAGGGGGCATAACTACAGACCGTCGCTCGGACTTTCCGCCTCTCGGATGTCTCTCGAGATCCAAATTACATTTCTAGGCAGTCTCGGACATAATCAAAAAGTGGCCAATGTCCGGGAGCACGTGACAGCCGGCTTTAAATCCCGGTGGCTGCATCCTCGGTCGCAACTTTCCTTGGGGAGCAACTTCCCTAACCTCAAAGAAAACTCCTCACTGCCACTTCAATTCTTCCAAATATGTGTGGTTCGGAATAGGGGCTAGAACGGCAAGGAGACTGCATCTTTCAATCTCTCCACTACTCATGAGACGCGCCCTGAAGCCCGTCGCGTCAGTGTCATCGTCAGAGGAACGTCCACTGCAAGCTGGCAGCAAGTGCTTCCACTCACTCTCCACAACCCTGAACGATCCTATTCTGAGCATTTCATTTCCAACTTTCCAGAACTCGGGGAGGAGATCTCGTATGGCGCTTGAATAATTCAGGACTATCGTTCTACCGTCGTTAAGGACGAAATGTTTCTTCTCCGTTCCAGATCTTCTTCATTGTGCCAACTTATTATCTGCTCCGGACTCCGACGAGATCAGACGACCATCTGTAGTTCAGGCACTGCGATCGAGGTGGTCCAGGTTCCGGGATTTCCTAATAAGTGCTTTGAAATTATTGCTACTCTCTTATTGGCGAATTGAGATTCAGAGATGGAGGAAGTTCATGTGGATAAACATCCATGCGATGACGGGGATTGGACCTGATTAAGGTTCAGCATGACCGGCCATAGCAATTGCGAATGTCTTCATATTAGACACGACAGAAATAGTCCCGTGCCAGCCAATTGACAAGGATTCAGTCAGGATGATAAATGTGGGGGCTGCGTCGGTTGGTATTTTTGTTCTGGAGGCCCGCCGAAACCTACGCCTTGTACTCCCAACGTTCCAATCCTCCTCCTGCGCAACCCTGGACGTTCCAAAGGCCTGGGTTCGCGATGATGCTGCGCTTCATATTTTGGGCCTTCCTATCGTCAGCCTCACTACCTTTTTCCTCACAATCGCCTTTGCAAGGACAGGAAGGGCCTCAACGAGCTGCACAAATCGAAAGGCGGCAATGGACCTCCATCAGGGTCCCCATCCTCGCCATGACTTCTGTAGCATCTCCATATCCATGGAACCAAATAAGGCAGAAGGAACAGAAGACCAGCTACCAACCGTTGGTGCCCATCGCCATGACTTCTATCATAGCTTACTCGGGGGATCCATACCAGAAAAAGGCACAGCCGCAGAAGACTAGCCACTTACCGCCGGTGCCTGTTATCGCCATGACTTCTGTCGTGACTTATCCTTGGCATGAACGAGAGGGGGAACAGAAACTTGGCTACCAACCAATCTTAGCCATGAAATAAGTCTTGACCTGACGAGACAACGGTCCATACGGATCGCCCTCTGAGCCCACCTCGCTCTACAGCTTTTACACGCATGCGCAGAACGTGCGCCGACGCGAAACCGATGATCTCCCCAGCATGGCAACAACTCTATTTACTGCAACGAGAGCGCCAGCGAAAGCTTCTTCAAATCCTACCTCCGACCCGAATCCTTCTCTATCAACCACCAGCGCTGCACCTGTTGCAACAAAGACTGGACTGGCGAATTGCGACGTCCAGGGCACACCAAGTCCCGCCCTCACCTCGAATATCTTAGACCGGGCATACGCAGCGGGCCCCATCTCCTGCCAACTTCTCGGTATGTACCGATCAAGATGCAAATCATACTCGTTCCAGGAATCTACATCAGCAAGTGCGAAGAACTGTGTGTTCTACTCTACCTACATCAATGGGTCAAAGTGTCGTCGTGCAGCAGCGAGATATACTTCTCGGACAAGTATCCAGACGATGGGAGCAACTTCTGTTTTGGAAGTGCTGAGCTGTAAACCTGTCCTGTATTGATGCATTCGAGCTCGGTTGGCCTATGTGTTCCGTGTCATGTATCATGTAATATGTACCTTGGTGCTGGGAGTTGTGGTGCAAGCGATTGTTGCTGTCATGTTGATACCAGAAGTCCTGATTGTCTTCAGAACGAAAGAAATTAATCAAAAAGATTAAACACTTAGAAACACCTCCTTCGAGAATGCACCAGTGGTGTCAAGTTTCGAACTCAGTCTTATCAAACCTTTGTCTGTCATGGCGAAACGCTGTAGCATTGCGGAGCAGTGTTGGGTCATCAGCATTTAGACAGAAAACTGGAAAAGTAACAGATGACAATCGAAGCATATCGAGATGAAACATCTGAGAGAGCAGCTGGATAGTATTGCTATTTGGCATCATATTCTCGGCCCTCCTAGCACCAGCCCATCCATGAAAGGCGGAAAATCATCGCTTTATGTGTTGTCCACCATTAATTCTCAGCAGCCATGCCTTCAAATGAAATTTCTGCCCCCATAATATTCCTGTCCCCAAAGATATGCAATCTGGCTCGAAGCAGTTCGAAGTCCAGCTAAGCTGAGCCTCATTTGCACAGCTATTCCCAAGGAAGCAGAGTCAGCATACTTCTTCCAGTATTTTCGGGAGTAGAATGTCCCACCAGCTGTCGGACGTTCGGAGTAGTTTGGACGTACCTTAAGCCTCATAACGCACGTCTCCATAATCCTCGCCATCATCTCCATCATCTCCATAATCAACATATCCATTGCCCTGCTGCTCATCTCCATACTCCTCCTTCGCCTCAAACTGTTGATCCTCGCCATATTGCACCTCCCCACCATATCCCTCCTCAACGTACTCCTGCGCATCACCATAGATCTCCTCCTGCTCTCCCTCTCCCAAAACATTCTCCTGTACACCATTGGCCTCAAGGTCCGCACCACCATATCCCTCGTCACCACCGTAAGCCTCATCGCTCTCGCTCCCGCTCTTCTTGCCCTTCTTCTTTGCACCGCCCTTGCCTGCACCACCTGCCTTCTTTCCACTGTTCGCTCCACCCTTGGCTCCACTTCCACCCTTGGACTTCGTGACCTTGGTCGAAGCTCGAGCGCCACTGCTACCAGGAAGGCTGAGACCAGTAGATTGCTTGAAGCGGGTCCAGCGCAAGGAGGCGGCAGTGGCGCGCTCGAGGCCGAGGTCGTTTGCGACGAGGGCCCAGTCGATGCCTCGGAGCTGGCCGTTGGTGCTCATTTGGCTGATGATGGAGAAGAGGAGCTTGTAGTTGTTCTCTTCGCGAGACATTTTGGCGGTTGGTGATGGGTTGGTTGCTTGTTTGGTAATGGAGAGGGGTGGTGGATGGGTTTGGTGTTGTGGTAGGAGGGAGAAGTGGTTGTTTTGAGGGGTTGTAAGGAGGTGGGATGGTGTGTTGGGTTGAAATAGGAAAGACGAGGAGTTTTGTAGGCAGAGTTCAGAGGTGAGCTGTTTGAATTTGGTGAATTATCGAGGAGGTGAGTCAGTTTCAAGTCGAAAGTGAGTGTTTTCTGTCCTTTTCTCTCGATCTGAAGTCAGATTAGACCCGGAGGCAAATATCGAAGTCGTTCTTGTCCATTAAAATCACGAGAGAAGCAGAGGAGAGGACACATTTGTTTTTCAGTTTTTCATTGATGCTTCACATCTACCCATATTGGTAGTTGGAAGCTCAAGATACCCAGGAGTACCATCCCATATGCATTGATGAGCCTCAAGAAGACCCAAATCAAACCTCCCCCAAACAACCGCCATGAAAGCTTGATTTTTGTCCTCCCAATTCACATCCAGATCCAGATCTGCCACCAAATACCCTCCGAAAGCAGATCAAATATGTGCCCGGTGTCAAATGCTCACCAAAGAGAGAAGGCCAGAACATAAAATGCCCAAATTCCTCCCAAAGGCAGACCAGTGAAGCACCTTAAGTCTCATCTCCGTCAGCAAGCTTTTGGTTGACAGCGTCCTCGTCATTGTCAATGCGACCATCGTCGGCCTCATCGTGGACAACTTCCCCGGATTGAGTAGCCACCTTCTTGCCGCGGGCCTTGGCCTTCTTGACGCTAGTCTAGAACCCCAGCGAGTCAGCACTTCCGAATTTTAAATGGGTTGTGTAAGAAATCGAGCCAAGAGGGGCTTTAGATCAAGAAATGAATTTGTACTCACCGGCTTCTTGGTAGGAGTTCCTTCAGCTTCATCATCGTCGGCGTCGGAGCGACCACGCTTGCCAGAGCCTAAATCTCAGATTTTCAGATTAGCAATGCGTTGAAAGATGTGATTGAAAGGTTGCCTTGAAGTAAATTGAAATTACGGCTTACCACCAGACTTCTTGCCACCCTTGGGTGTCTTCGGGGTCGCGCTCATGCCCGCATCGCCCTCGGCATTACCTTCGCCTTCATTGCCGTCAGCATCGTCGCCATTTTTCTCGTCACCAAAAGTGCGTTGCTTGAAGCGCTTCCAGCGCTTGTAAGCAGCGGTGGAGGTACAACCAAGCTTCTCGCCGAGCTTCTTGGTGTCAACTTCACCAAACTGCTCGCAGACTGCGATGAGCAGCTCGAGATCGGCTGGCTTGAGTGCAGGGGAAGGGGACGCCATTGTAGTGTTGGAATGACTGTGGAAAGAGATGGTAGTGCAATTGGATGTTGTTGTGAGGAAGTGGAAGTGGGAAGACGGGTGAGTTTTTAAGGTAGATCGAGCAGAGCCTCGCTTGAGGGGAATTTAGGACGTACCAGCTTCAGCTTCAGCACTGAAAGCCTTATCCTTGAATCGCTTCCAGCGCATTCCAGCAGCAGAAACGTTGACACCAAGGTCTTCAGCCAGCTGCTTGGTATCGACCTTGCCAAGTTGCTTGCAGATCGCAACGAGTAGGTCGATATCAGCTTGCTTGAGCGTGAGGGCCGCTGGAGAAGCGGGAGAAGCCATTGTAGTGTTTGAGATAGATGAAGTGTTGTGCAAGTCGATGTTGTTGGGAAGGAGTGTAAGGTAGGAAAGGGAGGACGGGAGAGTTTGTTATGTAGATCGGGGGAGCCTCGCTTGAGGTGAATTTCAAAGTCCCACATGACTCCAGAAGAGCTAGAGACTTACCAGAATCAGCTTCGGACTTCTTCTGGCCAAAGGCTTTCTGCTTCAAGCGAGACCAACGCTTCTCGGCAGCCTTCTTGTTGGAGCCCAGGTCCCCTCCAAGCTTCTCGTAGTCGAGTCTGCTGATCTGCTTCGCAGCCGCAACGAGAGTGTTGATCTCGTTCTCGTTGAGGCCCGAGGTGCCTTCCTTCTTCGTCATTTTGTAAGTCAAGTAGGCACGGTAACGGAGTTGAGGTGAAAGATTTTGATGTGTAGGAGGGAAGGTGGGAAGGAGGGAAGGAATGAAGAGGGCATATTTATGCCCTCGAGGGAAGGCCTCGCTTATTTTTGATGTCATGTGCCAGCCTTGCGCTGCAGAGCAAGGCAAAGTAGAGAATGAAACCGAGCTAGTTCGCGAGCAGGCCCCGCAGATGGTCGAGGTGAATTTCTCGAAGAGCGAGCGCACCACGGCTCGTCGCTGCTTGTCGAAGGAACCATGCAGCGAAGCTGTGAATCGCCTCACGATTCGGCTAATTTCAAATACACTTCGCACCCCCTAAGCATCCATACTACAGTTTCAACGTTCTGAAAGGAGCACAAGCTATCAGAATTGGTGCCGTTGATAACTAAAAGTCCAATGTCCCCAAAGAGAGAAGATCAATGAGAATCGAAGCTATTATCAATGCCTAAAATTCCAATATCCGACTTGTCTTGTGTACAATAACTAGGTGGATTTCCTGAAACAGTGTGTAGCACCAAGCGGACCGCAATTACCAAGTACACCCAGTTATCTTATTTGCACCCCATGGACCCAGAGCTCCTAGTATATCCAGCTCAACTCCGAGTCGCATTGATTGCACACTGTCAGGCTATTCAGGAATCCCTTTGTTCCAATGTGCTCATTCTATAGGTACAACATGCCGTAAACGGTCTGGTTCTAAATGTTAAGGGATTGTCGACCTGATGTGATAGGTATTAGTTGTCTTTGCTCTTTACAAGTCGCTTTGTTTTGGACATACTGTGCCCCTTTTTTATTCGCTTCGCGGCGAAACCTCGGCGCTCACCGCCTGTGGCAGCAATCATCCCATGGACCAGACTGGAACGGTCTGAGTCTCGTTATCATGACATGTTCGACTGCATGCGACTAGCTCTTCGTTTATTTGCTCCTGCTGATTTCACCTTATTAGTTAATACACTTCGCAGCCCTAAAGGCAGCAATAGAAACCAGGACGTAAACGGGTTGATTTGTGCTGAACGACATCATCCGCTTCCAAAATGACATCATCTGCTTCCGAAACGACATCATTTTCTTCCAAAACGATACCATCTGCTCCGAGTGCATAGTATTTGTAGATGCGCAGAAAATTCAGTTCGAGGGGCTACTGGAAGATCACAGCTTTGGCGAAGAAGTGAGACAACTTCAACAAAGAGGTTACAGGAAACGCCAAAAATGAAGGGAGAATGCATTGTGTGAGATCAGTATTCAATTACTATCTCCATTCTCCATATGAGAAGCTGTGATGCCCAATCTGGCTTCCAGGTCAAATGCCTTAATGTCTTCATCCCCAAATATGTATCCTGGCAAGCCAATATCCCCAAGTGCCTGAAACAAAAGAAAATGCGGTCCTCCAACGGTAAAACATCCCCGCAGACCACTTAAGAAGACTCGTCTTCCATAGGATCCTCGCTGTTAGCATCCTGAGTCTCTTCTTCGCCTTCTCCACCGCTATCTTGAGCCTCCTCCTTGGCTGCAGCCTCAGCAGCCTCAGCAGCCTCCTTGGCTTTCTTTCCACGGGGCTTCTTGACGCCAGATTCCTTCTTGGGAGCCTTCGGCTTGGTAACCTTGGCCTTGGCCTCGCCGGGAGCACGAGAAGCCGGGAGCTCAGAGCCACGAGTCTGCATCTTCTTCTTGAGAACATCCCAGCGTTGGCTGTATCAATTATCAGCATGGCTTCAACATTCACTTTGTTGTGCAAAAGTGATAGAAAGTGGAAAAGTGAAAGGAAAGAAATCGAAGACTTACCGAGCAGCATGGCCGGTTGTTGCCTCGATCGGACCCTTCACCTCCTCCCAGTTGATGCCGGCGATCTTGCCTTCCTTGGACAGCTCGCAGAGAACAGCCCACATCAGCTTTGATTCGGGGTTGAGAGCCTCTTCAGCCTTGGGGGCAGCGGACTTCTCTGCCTTTTCGGCTTTGGCGACCTTGGGAGGCATCTTGGAGTTGGTGCGGATGTTGTTGGATGCAGATTGGTTGATGGCTGTGAATTGGTTTGTGGGTATGTGTTGATGTAGGGATGTCATGAAGAGGCAAGTTTGCTGCAAAATGGTTGCGGTTGCCGACGAAGATAGATCGACGAAGGTTGTGTTTGTGGAAGAATAAGTTTGTCGAGGGAGGAGGAAGGAGGGGTATTTATCTGCGAGAGAACCGGCGAGGCTGGGCTGCTGAGAATCCGTCACTTTCTCTCAAATTTAATTTTGCGATTTTTTCGTGTTCGCCTTTGCGGGCTTTCTCTGCGCTTTGTGGCAGTCGAAGCGGGAGCAAAGCTGAGTTGGCTTTGACTAGAAAGTCAATCGAGGAGCGCGATATGACAAATAATGGATCATGTGGCTCCATTTTAGCATGAATTTAGAGATATCGCAAGCTTAATTCTATGTTTTTCAGAAAAAGGAAAAAAACCGAATGAATTCAGCTTCGATTTCATGCTCTACTTCCAAACCTTTACCAAAGGCAACGAAAGCTGAATCTCCTCAAAGCTCATGAAGGCTGCTGTAGCTATTCAAACCAGAAAAGCTTGAAGACCCTAAAAGCTCCAAATTCCAAGTCTTTTTGACTAAAGCCAAAATAATTCCGCTGGCTTCCTTGCTCCGTGATCCAACACAAATCAATCCTCATCATCCAAAAACTCATCCTCGCCCATATTCCCCTCTGCTCTCCCATATTCACGTCCTTTCCATCCTCTATGACAAAAGAACCCTCCTTCTTGCCTGGATTCTCATTTCCACTCTCGTCAGAATCCTGATGCTGTGAAGTCACCTCGATTCTCCTTCCCACGTTGGCAGTTCTCAGATTCTTCGTCACCCTCATCTCTCCTCCTTTAACCTCCTCACTATCAGCAACCTCCAGCTTCTCCGTAGTGTTTGGCTTCTCCTTCTCCTTCGAATATTGCCGCATCGCAGACACCACCCGAGCACCGTACGCACACTTCGTCACCACCCTGGGTCTGCTCTCCTTCCTGCCCCCGTCCTTTCTCGCCACTCTCCCCATCGCAGTCTCCACCGCCACCAACATCCCCACCGCTCCTCTTCTCTTACAGCCTTGGTTTGTGGGAGGGAAGGTTGGAGGATAACATCTTGCTGCAATACTTCTGACGAAGCCGAGGAGGTTCAAAGGAGGCAGGGACGAGGAGATTTAGGAAGGTTCTTTGTTCGGGCTCGTTGTTCTGCTGCTAGGAATGAAAGATGGATGCGGAACCTTTATGAAGAAAAAGGTCGAGTCGAGTCGAGTCTTCATCATCCCACCAGAAAGTGCAAGAAAGAAAGATTAATTAGATAATACATTTTTGCAGCCTAGTTCAAGCCCTAAGAATATCGCAGAACGTTCAAGGAGGATCGAAAACTTTGTAGCCGGAATATCTTCATTATCATCGTAGTCATCGTCGTTCTCCTCCGGGGTTGAAGGTCGGTCCTCCGTTACCGCGTCGTGCCGCTCCACCGAAACCACATCGTTCTGCTCGAGTCCTGGCTTATACAGAGCCCAATCACGAACCTCATCTGCAGTCTTCTTATCGATGGCGAGCTGAACGAGTAAGGGCTCACGTAGAGCAGGGAGTTCCTCCATCTTCGTGCAAAGTGGTGTAATGTTATTGATGACGGTGTCATAACGAGTCTTCTGGACCTTGCGAATGATATTCTTTACGTTATCGCCGTGTTCCTCCTTCTCCACCGCGCCAATGAGGTCGTCCGTGTTATCATCTAACATATTGTAGATAGCCAGCACGTTCCGACCGACTCGGAACGCCTCTTCCGCGTAACTAGAAAGCTGCGTATTGGCGTCAAGAATTTGCTGGGCGGTACGCTTTGTTTTCTGAAGCAACTCGTTATTGACACCCTTTGATACGTCCTCTTTGCTCTCAGCCTTGGTACGGGGTCGGTCAGGGCCGCGCTTCCTCGGGATCGGTTCTTCGCTGTCGACGTGACCACTCTCCTTACGCTTGTTTGATCTCGTCGCAGGGGCGTCATACGTAGGTGCCGGCGCTGGGTCCATTGTAGTTGAAGTTCCAAGGTTCGTGGAATTGGGGGGTTCAGGACTGATATTAAATGAATTTTAACATAGGAACTCGTACCCCCTCCTCCACCAAGGCCACTCTGCCCTCTCGACCCTATCCAGCTCCTTTAAAACAGTAACCTCATCCGCATCCTCCCTCCTCCCAGTCACAAGATCGATCTCAGCCATTCTAACCCACCTAGTCTTAAACCACAATTTATACACCACCCCGGAGACAACAATAATCGGCGCCGCCAAATAAACCTCGAAGAAATTCTGCACCAGGTCTTTGGCAGTAATGTCCGCGTACCCCTGGGGGCTGAACCCGATCCAGAACTGCGCAACGAAGACAAGGCAGTTGAGGAGGATGGAGATGAGGGAGCGGCCTTTGCGGTCGATGCTAAAGCGATTCTCTTGTCAAGTTTGCTTTTTTTGTTGTTTTGGGTGGGAATGGAGAAGAGAGGTGAAATACCTACTAGGCGAGGATTCTAGGCGCTTGATGCTGCTCGGCGAGTGCAGCGAGTGTTCGGGAGGAGCCGTAAATGGACGAGTTACCGACTGAGAGAACGGCAATCATGATTATGGCGTTGAAGAGAGAGGGGAGACCTCTGATTCCTGCATTCGTCATTGCGAGGACGAAGGGGGAGGCTTTTGCGTCCTCTGATGTAGCACCGTTAAGGAGTCTGGGGTCCGTGTAAGGGACTAGAAGACCGACGAGAAGGAGCGAGGTGAGACAGAATTGGGTTGGAGTTAGTAAATGATAGATAGGTTTAGAGGGTAGGATAGTGTACGTACGGCGGTTACCCTCCAAAAGGTTTGCTTGATTGCTTTAGGGAGACTTTTTCTTGGATCTGCTGTCTCGGCTGCTCCGAGTCCGACCATTTCTGTTCCGCTGAAGGCAAAAGCTGCGGTCACGAAGACGGAGCATAGACCTTTGAACCCATCGTAGAAGGCACCGGGATCGCGGAAATATTTGCCACCGATGTAGGTACCGTTAGGACCTCCACCGCAGTCGAGAGTGATGCCAAGAATACTGTGCTTCTGTTAGACTTCAGGTCAGGGGAGGGGGCTGGAAGACATACATGAACCCGATGATTGCAATGACTTTGACCAAAGCCAACCAGAATTCAGATTCACCATAACCTTTCACACCAAAGATATTAAGTGCAATAATCACGATGAGGAAAATAGTGGCCCAAAGGGCTGGTGATATTGGCGAGTTCCAATACTGGATAGTTATGGCGGCAGCTACAATTTCAAGCGGGAGTGTGACCATCCATTGAAGAGCATACTGTGGACTTGTTAGTCAAGTCTCATTTCGCAGTCAGGATATGGACTTACATTCCAACCCATAGCGAAACCCCAAGCCGGATCAAGGAATCTTGCAGCAAACGCAGAGAAGCTTCCCGCGATTGGAAACACGCAACTCATCTCCCCCAACGAATAAACAGTACAATAAAGCATCAAAGCAATAATACTAAAAGCAACAAGAAGTGACCCGGGTCCTCCACTCGCAAGAGCTTTTCCAGATCCCACAAAGAGGCCAGTGCCTATGTTAAGTTAGACCTTCCCGATTGAGTGTGACACGTGATCATTTCCAAGCAGACAAGACATACCAATAGCTCCTCCAATAGCAATCATCTGCAAATGCCTCGCCTCAAGCTTCCTCGAAAGCGGCGATTTCGCAATATTAGTGATTGCGCTCTCGATGTCGTAGCTGTCTTCATGTCCATGTTGCAGCTTGAGATCAATGATCTCAGCCGTCTCGGTGACTTGCTGGTTTGGATCACGACGGAAACTGTCGAACATTCGAACGGGGATGGAACGTTTGCCAAGTGGTGAGGTATCGGCTTTCTCTGGGGTGTGAGGGGATGGAGGCGGAGAGGGGCTGTGGTCGGGTGGGAGCGAGGTGTCTGGGTTTGGGTGTGGTGAGGACATGTTGATCAATTAATTAAGTTTAGGAAATTGAGTTTTGATATGGTAATGTACAGGTCGATTTGGTATAAGTTGATTTGGTTATGAAAAGACTGGATGGCGAGACGCAGGGGATTGAAATATTTATATATAGGGAAGAATTAGATGCGAGACATTATCAGACCCTCGAATTATTTCTTTGTGGGAGCAAAACTTTTCCAAATGTCTGATGGGAGGGGCAACAGCCCACTCTGAGGATTTAAGGATGCTATCCTTCTGATTCTCAGTGCATTTTGCGGAGGGGAATTGAGGTCTGCCCATAAGGTGGTGAGCTTTGCTTCCAGGGAGGCGTCTGGATGCTGAGAGGGCTGAAAGATGACGGAACCAACTGATTGGGAGATAGGAACTTCCAATTGGAAAGCGGTAGCAAAATGCTGCTGCGACGTCGTTATGCATGCTGTTGGATTCGGAGCATGGCGTCCGGCGAGATGTGCATCCCGTTCAAAAACTCGCCAGACATCGTATGACCTCTCCAATGCGTGATCTTTTCGTTGAGCTCCGAACATTCGAAATGCAAAAAAGGGGGGAGGGGATGGAATTGCAGTCGGGATAGAGTTGTTCCGTAGGGTTTATCTGATAACAGTTCTTGTCATAGCTTTGACAAGAGAAGAAGGAGGTTGGGTCCGTGAAACGATGTGAGGTTCGATTAAAAAGTGGCGCACGGGAAAGGTGTTCGAGCTGTCACATGATGATGAGACTTCACCTCGGACATGGCTGGGGCAGTGGGGATTGTCCGGGAATTGAAATCCAAGCATGCTTCTAGAAGGTTTTGGCGAACATGGGACAGTCCTTGTAACGTGGATGCCCTTGATACTTCAGCGCCGAAGCCACGGAAAGAATGCTTGCATTGCTGCCGTCCTCCAACAGGACAGGAACTGATATCGCCCGAAAACGCCTTACACCAGCCATATGCCTTTTGTCTAAGCCCCAAAATGTCTTGCTTCATCCCTCAAGGCTCACAGAGCCCCCTGCTGCCTGCCATTTGCCGACTCGTTTCCTGATGTCTGCGGCAGTTTGCTGCATCGGATTCAACCGCATATCCCGTGCCATTCTCTCATAATCGTCTCCGTGTTTTGCAACCAGTCTCTCAATCCATTCCCTTTCCCGCTCGCTCTGCTTCCTCGGTATCTTCTCTGCTCCCATCAATGCCTGCTCCTCCAACTGTCTTACAATCTCATTCTTCTCCTTCGGCTCACCCTCCCCTTCAAACCCCTCGAACTCCTCTCCATCATCTGCCATCTCGTCATCTTCAGAATCGGAGTTCAGAGGGTCGTTTAGCGGGTTGGGTTTCTTGTAGGCGTGAATGACTCGCAGGATCTTTCCTGTCTCAGGATCTCGCTGAACTCTTGCTTCCGTGGGCGCGATTGTCTTTGGGATTGCGTTCGTAATCGCCAGTCTGCTTGTAGTAGAACTCTTGGATTCGTTGCCAGCGCGTAGCTTTTCTATACCGCCTGCTGCGGAGTTGAGACGAGAGGTAAGACCCAGTCGGCGGTAGTTTTGAGTAAGGGTTTCGTTCTGATTCCTGGAAGTCATACGGTCAGTACATTACATTAAGCAAGTAATAGAAGCAGACATGGTAGAAGAATGGAGAGATAAGCAGTGCTCGACGGGGTGGGGTGTAAGATTACCAGTTCGCTGCGATGATAGGATTGCCCAATGGGTTGACCTTCTTCGACTTCGGCTTCATCCTGACCTTCGGGATCGAAGATCTCTTCTTCTTTTTCTGTAGTTCGCGGCCCATGATTGCTGTCTCTGAGTGTGCTGAACTGTCGCTGTACGAGACAACGAAAAATTTGAGTTTCTGATTAGATCACGTGCTTTGCTTACCGTTCCATACCATCACGTGATTGACTAACCAAAATCATCGAAATGGAGTTCCCCTCTTTCTCGCCTAAAAATAACTCAAGAAATAGTTCTAGTCATTCACCTCTTCCCCGACCTGGAATGGCGACCCCCACGCATGCAATCGATCAAGATACGGCATTCTTCGATATCGCCATTGTGGACAACACCACCTGCATCTTGCTCGCATCGCATGCTCGTCATCGTCCGTGGCCTCACCTCTGACCTCGACGAGGGCTTCAGGGAATTATATTAACTACAGCAACAGGTGCCGGAAGAGGTCCTACCACCTGCGTTCATGTCCCTGTTTGGCATCATGTGTGCACACCGCCCCCGTCTCCTGTAAACAGTAGAGAACCCGTTCTGTACCGGATTTCGACAATAATGAGGCAAAGCAAGAGCAGATGGCATCAATTCGAGATCGGACGAGGCAGAGGCCGTGCGCCAAAGGTACATGTAACGTTGCAGCTTCCTGATCCAGATTCGCGCCATCTTGATCGCGCTTCTCGATCGCGGAAAGGCCCCGCTTCTTCTGTTTGGAGACTTCACAGCGTCGAATCAGCGGTGAAGAGTGAAGCGGTGCGGGTATCTGTTGTTGCGGAGACGAGAATTCGCCTCGATGGGCGAGTCTGGAGTTGGTGATCCTTTCATCAACGTTCGCCAGCAAGTCGGAAGCTCGGGGCCCTCAGCATACCCACCCGTAACGTTCGCACGTTCGCACGTTCGCACCGTTGCAACTCGCACAGCGTGGAGTGGACTCTTGTGCTACCGCAAGGCGCCGGGGTGTCTGCTGGCTGCTGGCTGCTACTGTAGCTGCTGTCCAGTGTCCAGCCTCGCTGCCTCGGCCGATGCCAGAAGAGACCACGGGCAGGATGAGCGCATTCATTCGCTTTGTCAGTTTGCACGAAGCCGGACGGACCGTACTACAGCGCGAGGCTGCAAGGCCAGGGCCACTAGCCGTCTGCGAGACAACACACTGGACCCGAGACGTATTCGGAGCAATGCCCTAAGACAGAGAAGAGCGCCGTTCCAAGTCGCACCGTCGCACGACGAGAAGAGGGGAGACGGGACAGCAGCTCTCGACATTTTTGCACCTCGAAATGGCTTCCCCGCAGCCCTTCGACGCTCGGCCGCCCTCAGGATCAAGGAATGGCCGACTGCCAATCTTTCATGAAACTCCTTGAAACTGATCGCGAAAGTTGAGCCTGGTGAGGACTCAGGAGGTTCTGTGCAGGCGGAGGAGCTGACTGCGGGCTCACTGCGAGCTGAGACAGACCGAAGCTGTGCGTTGTGCGCTGTGCGCTGCAAATAGGGAGCGAGAGCCTGGCGAGGCTCAGGAGAGATACGAAGCAGTGGACGCGTTTACGTGATGAATAGGGGGGGCGTTGGGCAGGAGCAGGCAGGATTGCTCGACGAGTCGACGGAAGGTCTGGCGTGGCGCACTGGCTGATACTATGGCGGGCAGATCTCAGCAGCCAGGATTACCACATCGCCCTTGTCAGAGCATTCAGGGGTGCTGCGAGGTCTGGCCGTCCATTGGCCAGCTGCACGAAATTGAGTGTGATGGCGAAAAAAAGCGTCCCGGAAACAGGTCCCCGACACCTCTGACGGTCGTGGGGCGCGCTTCGTACTTCGGCGGCTTCCATGGTGGCTTCAAAACCTTCGAAACCTTCGAAACCTTCGATGCGTCTTCGAAAATCCTTCTAGCGCGGACATGGGGGGCGGCAACGGTGAGATCGCGAGAAAGGGGGCGTTTCTCCGATCCGGTGGCTGGCAGTGGCAGAATGTCTCACGGTCTAACCACGCACACAATGCTCGCCGCGTCGATGCGCCCGCCGTGCAGCAGTCGAAGGGGGCGATGAGATGATGCCCGCCAGGGTCCTCTCCAGGCGGACGGGAAAGGCAGCGTTCTCGAAGGAAAGAATACGCCTGTGAAGCGCAAATAGGCGCAGCGAACCGGGGTCGAGCTTGGTTGTGGTCGTGGTTTGTGCCCTGCCCTGGCCAACTCTTATCTCTCTTTGCCTTTTGGCTGCGCCGTCGAGCAACGTCGCGCGCGAAGATCCGTGGACCGTGAGGGGCGCGCAGCGCTAGCTCAGGAGCTGCGACTGTAGCTGCGTAGCAGGCGAGCAGCACGACGTGATTATTGCTCTCCTGAGGCCGCTAGCCTTTCCCAATCCCAATGTCCCCGCCGCCATCACGTCCGTCCACCGCGCTTCTGCGCCGTTTCTTGGTCCTTATCAATCATGTCATTTATACTGCACTGGAGCAAAAGTCATCGTCCAGATTGCTGTGTTCCTATTCGTGCGCACGCCCATCGTTGCGCGCATTTGTATTGCTTTGGTTGGTGATACGGTCACGGTCAGGTGAGGAGGGAAACGAGGCATCGCGCGAGTGCGCCGTGGCTGCCATTGGCTGCCCACGACGTCTCCCTTCGACGGTGTCAGGGGTACTGCTCCATGTTGCCAGTCCACGAGGTTGTAGGTGTCCTCACGGCAGCACCTCCGTAGCCTGCCAGCAACCGCAAGTCACGTCTGTAGGCTGGGCCGCTGGCTGTACTTGCTGTACAGAGTACTCCGTACTTCCTGTGCAGAGTCCCCGTCCTAGGTAGGCACAGCAGATCCATGATCCCAGGCGCTCAATGCCGGGAGCCATGTCCCTCCCACGCCTCCTCCACTCAGCATGCCCTGACGTACGGAGCACAGGCGGGCCTGCCCTATCTCTACGCGCTCCTTATCGTACGGTTAAACGGTTTGCACGCACAGCAGAGAGCTCAGAGCTAGGGGTGAGTTGTGAGCTTGTGCCTTACGGGTAAATTTACATCGCCCAGCACCCCACCAGCATGGCGCTCAGGTGCATTCCCGACCAGGGTCTTCCAAATCCCAGAAGTACTCCGTAGTGAACCCTGTTGATCCTGTTCTGATTCTCTGAACCGTTCTGATCACTCGCCGCCCTCCTCCCTGCCGCGCGATTGGTTGGTGGGAGCCACAGGGCGGGGGGCGCGCTCTCGTAGATTTCGGCGAACGCCAAAAACAAAAACGGCTGGCGAATTCAAGCATTGCACGGCATTGCCGCGGGAGCCACCATCTGCATCTCCGTTGCCACCCCACCCGCCCCTCCCTCCACCCCCCTGCTGTCAATGGCTGCTTGACGACTGTGGCTTCCAGATTCCCGTCGACGCCCACAACACGCTGCTCCCCCTATCATCTCCGTGTCTACAGCGAGCTAATCGGCGCTACAGCTCGCGAATATCGTGATCTTCTCATCTCCCGTGCGTGTTTGAAGCGGTTGTCCTTTTTGTACGTACTCGTGTTTAGTTGGAGGGGGAATAATTGCTCCCAACTGAGCTGTTACTCGCGTCCGGATCACGGAAAGCCAGCTCCAAGGATGTGTCCAAAGATAGGTGCAGATAGATGAAGTTCCCAACTGCTGGAGTGCTCAGGCATTCCCCGGGGCGGGAGCAATCACAAGGAAATAGATTAAAACCTTGAGGACGGGTTCGGCGATTTCGAAGCAGGAGAAGGAGAGGAAGAAGAAACGGTTATGTATATTAACTGATGAGACAAATGAGGCAGCCAGAACGCCTCACGCTGCCGGAACTTCCTCCTTGAGACGGCGCAAGGCTTGTGACCAAGATCGAGCGTGCTTGCGATTCCCTCGCAGCAAGACGCAAGACAGAGGGTTCGGGGCAACATCATCTCGAAACCCACACTTCAGGAGGGGTGGTGACGGGCGCGGCGACCTGGCAGAGAAGCAGTGGAGCTGGCCATGGAAGGCTGCAGTGTGCTTCCTCCGCAGCTTCGATTCGTTCCATGCGGCAAAAGGGGGCTCTGAATGGGGGCTGATTGGCTGTTCAAGTGCTCGCCCCCCCTGCTCCTCCGATGTGGCACTGGCTGGCAGTCGAGGAGGAGGAATTACGGATATCATTCCTGAGGTCCTCGGTTCACATAGCTGGCTGGCGCAGGCTTGCCCCTCGCCCCTGCAAAGCCGCCGTGCTGATCTCCATGTTGAGGGCAGCAAAGGAACGCACCGAAAGGCACCTTGTCCTCGCACCTGGCAAATGCACCTTGCACCTTGCACCAGGTAGGTGCAAGTGTGAGCAGCCCGGCCCCATCCCTAGCTCGAGCTCCCATGGCCGCCGCGCTCCTCTTATTGATTTGACTGCCCGCACTTGCTGCTGCGTTCGAACCCCCCATCCAGACATTGCCCCTTCGACCTCACTTCACTTCACTTCCCCTTTCTTCAACCTTTACACCTAGTTGCCTCAATGGTCTCTATAACATTACGCTGCTAAAACTCACCTACCTCACTCTCGTCACTCGCCTCCCTTCACGATGACCCTCCCGCTCGCCTGCCCGCCGTCCTCCTGTGGCTCGTCGGACCCACCGACGGTGCTCCAGCGGAAGCGGCGGCGAAGAGCGCCTGCTAGTGGTGCCTCGGACGACTGCTTCGCTTGCACCAAGAGGAACACCAAATGCGACCGCCGACGACCCTACTGTTCACAATGTCTCGAGGTTGGCAAAGAATGCTCAGGATACAAGACCCAATTGACCTGGGGCGTGGGCGTGGCCAGTCGAGGCAAGCTGCGAGGCCTGTCTCTACCCGTTGCGAAATCTGCGCCAGTTCCCAGGAGCCCACCAGCAAGCCGGCCACGAGCATCCTCGTCGATGTCGGGATCTCTTGAGCCCACCGAAGAGGATGTCAAAATCAAGCTGGAATCGATGCGGCCCATGCCTTCAACCCCATTCATGACCTACGACTTTGTCAATATGGCCCCCCACGGCGGTGCGCCCCAAATCCAGATGCCAGAATGGAACTTGGCTGTATCACAGGACTACTCGTTGCACGACTATCATCAGGATCCGATGAACCATCAAAGACAACTTCCGCAATTGCACCGCCTGCACACGCTCAGCCTTGGCCGTAGCGATGGCCTGGGCATCTCCAGCAGCATCGACTCCCTCAGTGCCTACGCTGAGAGCGATTATGCATCTCCTATCAGCCAGTCCTTCCCAGACAACGACATCCCCTTCATGCACAGCCCCGTGCCAATATACAACAGTTACTCCTCGCGTAATTCTGTCACCGACAGCCCCGTACCAGGCATGATGCAAGATGCTTCACGTGGACCAACATCCTGCCCTGAACAATTCTACGCTCAATCTGAGATGAGTTCGAGCATTAGTTCTCACCAAAACATGTACGATATTGCAGAAGGCCGTCAGCATGACTCATCCCCAGTTCCCCAGGATAATTTCTACGATGACGAGATGATTGGTAAGTTAACTTCAGCCGATATCACGGGCATAATCTAATAATACTCAGGCAACCACCAACAAAATTCCAATGGCTTAGACATCTATGCCACCAGTGCTCGGTCAAGTCACTTTGGTTGGACTTCGATCAATGACGATGATGCTGCATCGCAAGCGGCTTCAGAGCCTGACCTCTACCACATGCATAGCCATGACCCAATGGTACCCTCCCTCGCTGAAATGTCACCCCGAATTTCATTCTTTCTTGATTACTACGAGAAAATTATCTGTCCATCAGTAGTTGTGATTGACAGTCCCAGCAATCCTTATCGGGAGCACATCCTCAGTCTTGCTTCCTCTAGCAGGAGTTTACAGCATGCAATCTGCGCCCTCGCCGCGTGCAACCTTCGGATGAAACGAAAGCAGTCGCTCGGACAAGACCATTGGCGCCAACAGCCTCTCGAACTGGAACTGCAAGACCGAATCAATGGCGGCGTTCCCTCTCGGCCCAGGCATATTCGGTCGACCTCTACCCATACTGCGGCGTCACCTGACACTCAACCACAAGACTCCTCCCTCCAAGAAGAATACCAGCATCGAACACTCGCCGTGTCTCTCCTTAACCAACAACTCAGCGACCCCTCCAAGGCTCGTCATGACTGCGTGCTTGCAACCCTATTTATCCTCTGCCACTACCGAATGTGCGAATCCGGCATTGCGCAATTCCGGACTCAATTCGCTGGCGTCAAGAAGATTCTTGGCATGAGAGAATCCGGTATGGAGAATGGCAACTGGGGCTGGATGGAGACTCTCTTCACCTACTTCGATGGCATCGCTGCCAGCATCAACGACCGAGAAGCACAACTCCGTGGTGGCTACTTGGAAATGATCGCAAGCCCCTGCAATCCCAACCATGCTCTCGAGAACATGGCTGGTTGCGATTCTGTTCTGTTCAAGACAATCGGAAAGCTTGGGCGCTTGAACATGCTTAGTCAACATCGATCTGTCATGGATGAGGGCTCACCCATCACCAGCGTACGTCGACAACCACCACCTCGACCTCGGCCTGGACTTGCCGGTCAAGCATTAGTAGACTTTTACAACCTTCACGCACACAACTTCGATGGAAACGGATTTGCTTCGACCCTCGATGACGACGCATCATTCCCCCTCCTCACGTCCGCCGCATCACATGATGATCTTCGCTCAAATTTCTGGACGGAATGGAAAGCTGCACGCGTCGCATTACAAGAATGGGAATTCGATCCTACCAGACTCGTTGCCACACTTCCTGTCACCCCCTCGCCTACTCAACTTCGAGACTTTGGCTACATCTCGGAAGCTTTCCGATATGCTGCGCTCCTCTATACCGAGCGCCTTGCCTGCCCTACCCTATCCTCCTCTCACCTCAACTTCCAGAACTTGGTCTCACAAGTTCTCTTCTACGTCACAAGCCTCGAGCAGGCCTCTGGTGCAGAGAAGTTCCTCCTCTGGCCACTTTTTATCTCAGGGAGCGAATGTGTAAATGAACTACAACAAAGCATTGTGCGCACGAAGTGCAGGGAGATAATGGGCAAGAGCGGATATCTTAATAACCTCGCTGGACTCGAGGTCCTGGAGAAGCTGTGGCTAGAGAAAGAGGAGAACGGGATGGAGAACCGCGATGCATTTGGTGGTCCCTTCCGATGGACCCGCTTTATGGAAGGCTCCGAGGGAGAGTGGATTATGGTTTAAGATTCAACACTTATTCTTCCCTTTGTCAGAGGCGTTACGGGAGATGAACGACGATATCCATGACCGTTTGATAGAGCGCTGGAACGTGTGATGACGGTTGCATTTCGGACGGATACACGGCGGAAATGGGACGGAAGGAAAGTTTCTCCGGATTGGGGTCTATCGGCGTTTGGTACGGTTTTGGGTACGGCACGGGCTGCTCTCTTCCCTTTGTGTGCTGGGGATGCGATAATGCATAATGTTAGATGATGCATTGGCGTTTGGCCTTGAGATGATATATATGTAGGGACGATATACTTCTGTCATGAATATACCCACGACTTGGCTCTCCCACTCAACTTGATCTCCTGCTTCCAATATCACATGAACAGTGAGTGGCCAGCCTCCTTGACTCGAGTTCGGCGTCTAAGTATTTATTCAGGAACTAAAGTCTCATATGCGACCCACCCAATCATCATCAATCAACAATCTCGAATCGTGAACTCTAACTGACTCGCACGAACTCTCTCTCGCGCCAAGTGGGGTCCTTTTACACTTCCTACGCACATAAGCCACGTATTCCTCCGGGTCGCTGCCCCTCAACTCGGCAGTCGCGAAAAATTTAGCCCCTGTAGGATTTAACTTTTTTCTTCTTTTCGAGGGGTTGGTCAAAGTTTTGGGCAATTTTGAGTTTCCGCGCGCCGCTGACGTGCGCGTGTGGAGGAGGTAGTGGGGGTGTGCCGAGTGCGGGACGGAGGGGCGCCACAGGTGGCGAAAGTGGATTCGGGAGAGTGAGGCTTCGCTTGGACTTTCCTGGAATGGAAGATGGTGTTGTTTAGGGATGGGAGAACGTCAAGTGAGGTAAGCCTAGTGAGGGCTAGCACTAAGAGGTAAGGTACAGTAAGGTAATGACGGGTAAGGGCATGAATAATTCACGCTTCTGAATGTTCGTTCTGCTGAGTTTTCACCTCCTCGACTTCGCTGACTTTCACTTCTGCTACGTCTTGCTCCTCGATGGTTTCCACTTCGGTCTTTCCTTCTGCTTTGGTTTCCTCCACTTTCGTTTCCTCAGCTTTCACCTCTTCCTTAATCTCCAACTTCACCTCCAGATGCTCCGTCTCCTGCTGTTGCGCATCCCCCTTTCCCTCCACTAGCTTCTCAACCCCGTCCCTGACTGCCTCCCATGCCACTCTCAGGTCCCCAAAATGCGGATCCTCCATCTCCTTGTGCTCATGCCTCTGATGATGATGATGATGTCTATTTCCATTTCCATGCCCTCCACTTCCACTTCCACCTCCGTTATGAGAGTGTTTCTTAGGATGCGCGATATTTTCTAACCGCGCGTTGATTTCGCCCATCTGAGACACATAGCCTTCAAGCTCTGAGTGGGCGGAGGAAGGGATGTTGAGGGAGGGGAGAGAGGGTGCTGACGCGAGAGATGCCTCGAGCAGGTCAAGCTGTGTATGGGAATGCCCTACGTGCCGCGTCTTCTTGATTTCAGCACAGAGGTTACCGGTTATGATGATGGCGTCTGAAAGCCGAGTTATGAGGTCCGACATCTCTTATCTTCTTCCCGTTGTCAGAGAGAATCCTTCTCTCTGAGATCCGACAGAGATTCAGTTGAAGCTTCTTTCTGAGATCACGTGTCGCTTCAGGGAATCGATCGCAAATGAGGGTATGGGTGATGCGATGAGGAATTGTTTGAGATAGTTTGGAACGAAGATGAGATCTGAGATTGATGCGAAGTGTGCATCGCCAAAATTGCAAAGAAATGGGTTCTTTTCTTATCAGCCCACAAAGATGGCGCTTTCTCTGGCGCAAAAAGCAAAACATGAGTTGATCATGAAAGCCAAACCCATCCGTCCAATTACCATTCCCCGCTAAAGCACGACAGAGAAACAACACCTTGGTTTGCCGTTAAACCAAATACACTTTCTTTCTTTCTTTCTTCCAACTTCATGCCTCATCAACACTCAAACCAAGCAGTAACTGCAAGCACCACCCCTACAAAATGCCCCGCCATCGTCAGCATCCTCACCCAATCCGACAAAACCAACCTCCTAACCGCCCCCCGCCCCCCGCATCCCCCATCTTCCTAATCTTCTGCTGCAGCGGAATCTGCACAAAAACACTCCTCCCCCAGCTCACACCCAACATCAAAAACTCCACCGATTCGTTCGAGGATTCGGTGAGTGGAGGGGTTGGGCCGTGATGACCCAGGTCAGAACCAGCTTAGGGAGCGCGTGGATGTAGGCCAGGCCTGGGGATTGGGCGCTGTGGGTTGCAATACGGGTACGGGTTTAGGGATCTAGGGCGTGGAGGAAGGGTGTGTGAAAGAGGGCGAGGAAGTCGGGGAAGATTGCGAAGTGTTGCATGAGGCTGCTGTAGAGGAAGTAGGGGGTGAGTATTGCGTAGGGGATGGGGTAGAGGAGCTTGGACGTCTGGATCAGAGGATATTTGAAGGTTGAGGGATTGTGGGTAAGCGTTGGTGATGTCTTGGATCTGTGGAGGTACAATCTGATTTAAAAATCAGGCCCTCGACGAGTACTGCTGAGGACTCGCAGTGCTTGAAGCCGATATTTTCAAGGAGAATGAAGGTGGTATTATTCTCAATGTTTTATGTCTTCTGTCGGCATCTTGAATGCTGACCCCGTCCTCCATGAAAGTCTCCGAGGCTGCTTCCCCATGCGAGGTAAGAGCGGCCGGCTGGCAGGGTAAAGGCGTTGCCTGGTCAACGATCGCTTTCGTTCCTTTTTCGATGAAGCATCACCTTTCGACATGAAGGCAGCTGCTACTTTCGAATCTGCTTCGGTGAGCTGGACCAAAGAATCAAAACAGTTGTACCCGTAGCTGTTCGAACAATCATAACCCGAGCGTCAATTCCAGGTCACATGATTTTAGCGAGCCCCTGAGCTTCGTGGGACCGATTCGTCAAAAGACGATGGCCCTAAAGTTTCCAGCTCCATGGATTGAGATATCCTGAGCCGCCTCCGGTACAATCGGAATATCAGTTCATAAAAATTAGCACCCAGATAAAAAGTTTCTTTTCCTCTCACTCCATTGTAACTTCTAGATCAACAACATTCAGATTCAATTTTGGGGCGAGACGAAGTCAATATCAAGACACCTGAGATAAAACTTCAAAATGGAGAATGCGGGTTTCCAATCCATCCCCACAAAGCTGATTTTAGCTGATTTTTAATCCAGAACGAAACCAACCCTCCACCTCCTCTGGTGCGCGAGCGAGCGACGTCGAGAAATCCTCTACTATGTTGCATTCGATATCCCAAGACCATCCTTCGCTTTCAACTTCGATCTTAAACCCTACCTCGCCTTCTTCACAAGCCCTACCACAGGAACAGAAAGTATTGCGCTCGCGGTCTTCACGGGTGTAGTGACTGGTCTGGTTACGAGTCTCGTGACTGCGTGCATAGCCGTGGAGATTATCAAGTTGAACGACAGGGCGATTCTTGGTCTGTCAGGTTCGTGGACTAGGAAATTTGTTTTAGGTTACTAAGGAGATGAAGCTGTTTTGGGCAAAGCTGGCATTTTGGAGGGGGGATTTTGTGTGTCACGTTTCACGGATAAATCTCAACTCTATAGTTCAACGTTGTACAAATCGGTCGTGTAGATTAGAAATTTAAAAGCTTGCCATCTGGCGTATTCTCCAGATAGTAATCTCCAATACGCAGTATGTGCTTGGAGAAAAGGACGTCTGGCGTGGTGGAATCTGTGTCTTTCCGTATTCGACTACGTTGGACTGGAGTCGTCCGATACCGAGACCGTTCTTCTATGCAGATCGATTAATGATTATCTCCAAGTTTAATCTCTCGGATTGAAGAAGAAACAGAATCCAGTCTGAATTCCGCGATGTTCCTAGAATGGATGCAAGAGTTAAGCCTTTTGGTGGGTTTGACAGTCGTCGAGCTGGTTTCACGAGCAAGGTTTAAGTAAATGTCTGAAGTTCTGACGAAAATTGCGATGGGATAACTTGGAAGCCCTGTTGCGAATCTGAGCCTTGGTTACTGGTTCTTTCTATCTCAATATGACTCAGTCTTCTGATATAAACTTGGCCGTGGTGGCATGGCTTCATGTATTTCAATTGTTACAAACTCAGTTCATTCAATTCAAATATTAATAAAGCACACTCACTCAACGTTACTCACAACCTCGCAACAATAAACTTCTACTTTTGATGACAGCCACCCTTCTCACCCCAGTTCTAGCAGCAAATATTACCGCAGCAGTTAGCACAAACTGCAACATCGTGGCCAACCGCACCGTGATCGCCGGGGACATTCTCGTCAACATTGCCGTATCGAGCAACTCCAATTTATCAATCCACAAATCACCAAGCCGCGGCTTATAAATGTGGGTGACACGACCAATATTGCAAACTCAAAATGTGTCGCACCAGCAGCACCCCCCCTCCCAGAACCAACCGCAAGGTGCTCGAACGGGAATGTGACTGGGACCTCGTCTTCAAAGGCTTCAAAGGCTACTAAGGCGAGAGCATTGCGAGGTTTCGAGTGCAGAAATGTTGGCAAATGAACAATTTAGTAACCCCAGAAATTCAAATTCAAATATCTTGGCCCTAGCAAAATTCGTGGCACATCTGAGAGTCAGGCAAGATCATGGTCCTTCTTCCTTTGAGACATTTCTGAAATGGCCGTGCTGTTCAAGCATCGAGAGCTGAGGAGATTTAAATAATTTCAAGAGGGACGTGATTATACAGGAGTATATATTACCCACAAGCTGATTCTAGAATCGAAGTTTCTAAATTCACCGCATCGTTCTTAATCAATGGTAAACATAAGTATTCGCCCGACTTCGTGCCACAATCTCCCACGAAGACTAGAAGAGATTTGCAACTGCCCCTGTCCCCTCTCTAACCCAGCGTATTGCGCTGAGAAAATTGTATAGCAAGCCACCTTCCGGACCGTACAACTTGAGGTTGTTCTCCTCGATGGCAACAACGCCCGAAGTATCTGAGGATCGATTGTTGTCCACCTGAATTTCGAGACATTCTTATTGAAATTGTCTGTTGCGGAAGAATCAATTTCAATTTTGACATGCTCACGTGATCTCTGAGACAGCCCCTTTAAAAATTCGGTTAAGGGTCCGAATGCTTTAGGATCCATATTCATGAAGATGTAGTTAATATCGAGGCCATTCTGTATCAGAAGCGCACCTGGTAAGATTGTAGTCTGAAGGACAAGTCTCGAAATCGCTCATTGTATAATTAACCCGGGTCATTTCGTTGATGAGTCCAGATTTCCTTTGCAGCTGTGAAGAGGCTTCACATCACCATAACATAAAAACAGAAGAACATCAGGATAGATACAAGCCTTTCAATAACTAACCAAATCTTTCCATCATAATGGATACAAATGACCAAACCAAAAGTTTAAGCGGTTCCTTTCCCGTCGCGATAAGGCAGGCAAGCAAAACTGGCCAGTGACTGCCTCAGAATGGCTCTACTTCGGAGGGCAAAGGGGAATGGGTGTTAACCTGTAATCATGAATATCAAGGAGATCCTTGACAGGTCTTTACCATTTGGAGATGTGTTTTTAAGGATAGCTTTTGGGGGCTCAGTTTTGGGATAGTATGCCGGCCATTGACATTAATTAATCTCATGACAGCCATTATTGGAGAGCATGAGAGACAGAAGCGATTGTAAAACAAATTTATCAAATAGTTAGGGATCTTTTCCGCCTTACGGAAGCTTTCGGCAAGCTTGCCAAAGAAGGCGTTGCTTTTGAGGGGTTGGACGGAAGTAAAGTGCGTAATCGACTTGCCGGCGAGGGAGCTTTGGATATTGGAGGAGTATATTGTCTACCTACCACCCTGCGGTACAATAGGGGGCCAGGATTTTAAGACGGCTATCTCTACTCGTTGGGCTATTATCGCAGAGAGTAAGGAACAGTGGTTTGCATAAATGGTTGTCTGATTAAAAGAAGCTCTGAGGGAGCCTCTGGATCTAAGAAAAGGAGAGCTGACTAATTAGTGCTACGCTCGGGCCTATATTACAACAGCTATTGTTTGGTGTCTTTGGTATAAGTACAAAAATCGTTGATTCCATTGAGAGAGAAAGAGAGAGGACGAGAGAGAGGCTAGCCTTATAGCGGCGTGAGAAGACAAGAGACTCACCGTAATTAGCTGACCATACGATTTATCACGCTGTAAACAGCTAATCTAATTGGCAGGAGAACCCTGTAATTCTAGCTGGTTCGCCGAGCGAAGGCCTGTAATCAGGTACTAATTGAGGTAATCAGGTGCCAATTAACGTTTAAAAAGCCATGTAGGTAGTAGTAAGTACTCAAGGAGGGGAATAGTAAGAGAGGGGCCAATTTTATGCTTTTTGTCGTATGATAATAAGGGATTCCTTATCATACGTCCATTTCTCCTCTTTTCGCGTCGCCAGCTGAAAAGTATATCCTCACTTTACACCTGTGCGCTTTGCACTCATTGGTCTTACACTCACCAACGATTGCTTAGCTAGAGTGCGAAACTCCCAGAACAACGCGTAATAAACGATGTGCGATTGAATTGCGATTGTTGAAGCTATAGACTGCAGTATTCCCAGTTTAACTGCGCACGCTTGTTGCAAAATTCCACTGAATATGCATGACAACACTGATGAGCCGGAATAGGAGGGATTGCAAATCGTACGATAGACCAACGCGATTGGTCCAATGCCTCTTGTCGTCGAGTCATGGGATCATGGTTTTTGCATTCGCAGTGAGCCTGCGCACGAGGCAGATCCTTTCGCGCCTGCAAGTCCAGCAGCACCAGAGAAGCTCATGGGCAAAGCTGGGCGAGCATGAGCAATCGGCGTTCTGTGTGTCTTCCGATTGGATCGTTAAGCTCACTTTGGATCCTTGAAATGCCCCAACTCGAATTTTGCTCCCCGGCTCATGAGGTCTCCCATTCGGCGCTTGCCGGGAGACCTCACACACCACAGCTCTCGAAGACATGATGGGAGACCTCACCTCTTTCGCCACTGTATTAATCGACGCCCTTGTGTCTTTGAGTCGAAATTTGAACTTATTCTCTAGAGATCTTTCGCTTGCGACGAACACAAAACTATTCCTAGCCTATCACTCGGGGCTTGATTTACATCCCCGTCCAGCCTCGCGGAGTGCGCAGAGCTCCAGCAGTACACGAATATATTTTCCTCCATTTCCCTCGGAGGAGGACCTCTTACCTCTGTTTTCGATTGGACCTGGCAGTACCGACTCTTCCTTCAACGTCCTCCTTCTCCCAAAGCGAAATGGTTTAGGCGCACAACGAGAAGGTTCTCTTTCCGGTCTGGTCCTGCCGCTGATAGCCCGCGCGAGGCTCGCAGAAACTACCAACAGAGACATATCCTAGGTTCACCCTCTTTCAACATCTTTTCAGCAAGAACGACAAGCACGAACTAAAGAGCTGTCGCCCTCTTTCGGCGGCTATTGCAGTAACTTTCTGCACACGGTGATGAGCGTGACTCTCATTAAAGTTACCATTTCTGGCCTCTGAGCAGCGTAGTGAACTGCCCAAGGATTCTACAGATTTGGGCTTTCTCTGGTATTGACTAAACGGCCGGTGTATTGCTCGCAGATCCGTAACTTCACTCAATAACAGAACGTTGCCAAATACAAATCTCACCAGGCGCGTTCGTGAGTGAATCTTGTTCGGAGCAGCGACACCGAGATTCGACGGTTCAAACGATTGAACCACCACGGCTTTGTAGACGACTGTTGTCGCTACTTACATATCATACAGCCCCGTTCCACGGACTACCTCACGATAACCATGGCGGAGCCAGATGAAGATGTAGTTGCTGGTCTCGATGTACAGGATACTATCTTCTCACTATCTTCAACACCAAGCCTTTCTCCATCAGCCCAGACAGACCTAATGATCTATCCTGACTTCAAAGTCAGTCCTCTCAATGAACCAGTCTTTGGTGTCAGAGGCAACGAATTACCACCTGACATCGACGACTTCCAATTCCTCCCTCTTTATCCCGACCCTTGGCATGGACTTGGATTAGCAGATATCGACTTCACGCTAGATTTCGACCTTGAGTCCCATGAGAGACTCTGGGAAAAGGTGATGGCGCCAGTAGAAGATTCTCCAGGCTGCCAAAAAACTTATTCTCTTTTTGACTACGGATCGCCTTCGCCTCTTTCTGTGACACACCGTTTGCCTATCGAGGCCGCTGTGGCAGAGAACTTGAATTCAACTACTGATCTAAATTTTGTTGCACCTCTCCCGTTGCTAGATGTTGGCATACGCGAGCCTGCAACTCCATGGGGTAGCTTCTGGCCTCAAGGATCTCCATCAGCCTCCTCTACATTTCTAACGCAGCCCTCTCCAAAATCTCGAATCAACTCCGTCTCTACCACTCCCTGTTCTCCTTCCATGTCCCCAATCCTCTGTTCTTGGGAGGAGTGCGACAAGACTTTCTTCACCAACGCCGCTTTCAAGTAAGTGGTCTAACCTCTTCCACCCCATCCGCTCTCACTCCAAATCTAACTCCCACCTCAACTCCTCGCCTCTCTCAGCCTAACTTTCAACCCAGCCATCACCTCAAATACCATACCAAGCCCTTCCACTGTCCGCATTGCCCGCTCCAGCAAGCTACCAAACGGCTTCTGCATCGCCACATCAACGAGCGCCACTTCAATACTGAGAAGTATTACTGCACTGTTGATCGCTGTAATCGGAGCATGGGTGGCGTTCTTGGAAATGGAGGTCAGCATTTCACTCGTGAGGATAATTGTAGGAGGCACTTGAGGAAGATGCACGGGATATCTGGGATGGGAGAGGAGCCGGGCGTGGAGATGGACAGGCAAGCGAAGGAGGGAGGAGAAAGCGAAGTGGTTGATATGGATGAGTTGACTAGACGGATCAGGAGGGAGAGGAAATTTGGGAGGAGGAAAACTGGATAGAGATGCAACGCACCGAACGTGATATACAGGAAACTAAGATTACGGCTTAACGACGATCCAACCGCAGAATACGGCTCCTGAAAACTCAATCTAGAGTTGCAGGTGCCAGTAGGATTGTTGGGTGGGGCCGAGTCGTACAATTCCCTGAACTTATCAAGGTCGAATCCCGCCATTGCCGTAACTGCCATTTTCCCCTCTTTCTTCATTTCCTTTCGACAGGGTAAGCAAGCCTGACCCATGCCTGAGCTCCGCCTGAAAAAGCGGTACTGGTCATGTGAGTATAAGCGTCGACATTCCCGTGGTATATTACAGGAACATTGACAAAAAATACTCCTGAAATCACGGGGACTATTGAGAGAACCGTGGCACTTCCGGCCTTTCAAACTCAATTCTGGAAAATCAGGTCTATCTTCTAATTCTTCTAAGTCTCTAGCGAGGACAAGGTGACCAATTGGGAATCAAGTGGCGGCGCAGATATTTCGTTTAACACGATTGAACCGCTTTTTAACTTCCAACCCGACGAGGGAGTCCCAGGGCTATAGAAATGAATACAATATCGATGTTGACGGCTTCCTAAAGGTTTGAGTTGCATATCATAGAAGCAATATTAGAAGAAAAGAAAGAATTAGAAGAAAAGGGAACCTGAGAAGAATTCAGACTGGAGAGTGATACAACTTTTTGGGTGGTTCTTGCCATCCTGCAGTATTATGAGTGGGAGAATCAAAAACAAGTCACGCCACGCGGTTGCTTAAGTCAAGACAGCTACTAAGCCACAATCCCGTGATTCACGCAATGCTGACAAGTTTCAAGATCATCATGTCTTTATATTCCTCTGTTTCTATCTGCAGTCGATTTAGAAACCGCAACTGTCTGGTGTCGTCAACTCCTGAAGCTCCTAGGCTCACTAATCCTGGATCTGGCACTCAATACTCTCAGCCATGCCAAAGAAACCAGGTATTCCAAGCGCCTTAGGCAGTTCTATGGCTCTCCGTTGGCGGCCTCTAATCGATCCCTCACATTACAGTTAATTAACTTTAAATATAATAATGAGTTATAATTAAAGTAATTAGAAATAAGCAAATAGCATAGACTTGTAGCTACTTACTATCTCATACTTATTGGCTTATACTATAGTAAGACATATCTGGCAATGCCCTCAAACGGAAAGATGCTTCCGGGGCGTGTATTATTTGAAAATGAAAATAGCTCAAATATTTAAATCAAACTTGAAATACCGCAAAGATATTATATGTTGCATGGCAACTGCAGGCTGGCCATGTGACTTGACCTCACGTGACCACCCTCAGTGTATTTAAGCTCTGGCCCTCCGCGCCACACCTCTCTTCCTTCCATATCTTATATTATATTACATACACCCGCATTTTACTGCAACATTATATCTAGATATAGTGTGCATGCAATTTTCAGCATCTGGTACAGACATGGCTCGAACCCGTGCTAATAAACGCAGAAGCAGCTCCGTCTTCCTGATTCAACTCATTCCATCTACAGGTTTGACGACCTTGTGGTGTTGCGAGGGCACTATCATGATCGATTTGTGATGTTTGCAAGTTGAGGCTGAGGGTGCTTGGAAAAAAGAGTGTGCCACCAAAAGTCGGCCATACAAAGTCGGCCTACCAAAAGTCGGCCACCAAAAATCGGCCACCAAAAATCGGCCTACCAAAAGTCGGCCACCAAAAGTCGGCCACCAAAAGTCGGCCACCAAAAATCGGCCTACCAAAAGTCGTCCACCAAAATCTCTGCGACTACCAAATAGATTAAAATGTATATGCGATCTAATACCGCGGTTCTGCCAAACTACGATTCACAGGATCAAGGTTCCGCTGCCTATCCAATTTACCCAGCCCCAAATATCACAGTCCCAGGCTCCAGCCCATCCAGTCCGACTCACCTCTGACTCACCCTCCGCCTAAAGTATAAATACCTCCCTTCCCCCCTCCAAAACTCCCTTTCTCTTCTCCCCATCTAAGTGCAAGGGTTGTACGCAGAGCCGTGAAGAGATACTCTGAGCTTGCGTTTTTGCTAGTTGAAAACTACCAACGACCATCTCCCATCGTGCACTTGTGCGGTGGGGAATTTTTGTCTCATAGCTTCCTCGAAAGAGAATTCTCTCTTTTCATTGCGCGCTGTTCGTAGAAGCGGTCGTGAAGAAGAGAGTGAAGGGTCGCGACGAAGGGTGGAAGAGATGGGGAGTGGAAATATGATAATGTTCCAAATCTTGTAGGTAAATTGAGATCAAATAGAGAACCTTTGATGGTCTATATCTTGGCTTTCGGTCGCCACTTGGCGTATGGATGCTCATCCCAACCAGGGATCAAATGATCTACAGCGCCTGTGTTCAGCATGCCCGGATGCACTTGACTTAAATCTGTGACGCCCATCATGCGCATCGTCGTCTCTAACTCGTCTTTGAGGACTGATCTGTAGTCAGCATGCGCTTCCACCATGAATTTCTCGTGGCCACTCCATAATAAAGATTACACTTACTGTCCACAAACTTCGCCACCCCTTCTTGCCCGTAATTCAGGGCAAATAAGAAGCCCCTCCCGATCCCAACGCTCTTTGCACCAAGACATAGCGCCTTGAAGATATCCGTCCCTCGCATGACGCCACCATCAACATAGACCTCCATCTTCTCAAAGATTTCAGGGCAATTCTTCTGCAGCTCCAGAAGTAAAAGTATCGGTGGTGGAGCAGTGTCAAGACTTCTGCCACCATGATTGCTCAGCACAATACCCTCGATTCCATGCTCTGCTGCCTTCTTAGCATCCATCGTGGTCTGGACCCCTTTGAGAACAATAGGTAAGGATGTACATTTTCTCAGCCAAGGAATGTCAGCCCAGGAAAGGGAAGCGTCGATATATAAACCCATAATTCGGCCCAGAGCACCTCCTTTGGCATCGTTCTTGGCCTTTGCACCACTCATCGGCGTGCTGAGACTCTCGTCGGCCTTGACTCGCTCATCAGCTTCCCGTTTCCCGGGCACCGGCGCATCGACGGTGACGAATATGGCTTTGACTCCCAGGGCTTCCACATCCCTCAACAGCTTCGCGCTCTTCTCACGCTGCTTGTCGACATACAGCTGGAAGAAAAAAGGCATTTTCCCATCACCATCAAAGGTCCCATACGTCCCTGGCTCGCCCACAGCCTCGAATATTTCGGCGATTGGGAAAGAGGCATTCGTTGATACGCATTGCGGGATTCCTAGCTTCCTGCACCCTCGAGCAATACCCTTCTCACCGTCCGGGTGTACCATCTTTGCCATTGCAGCTGGAGCGCAGAAGATGGGCACACTCATTTTCTGCCCCAGCATGGCCGTGCTTGTGTCCACATCCTTCACATCAACGAGTATCCGGGGCCTCAACCCAATATCCGCATATGCCGAATTATTTCGTGCTTTCGTGTTGAGGTCCGTCGCAGCACTCGAGTAAAAGGCCCATGTCTTGGGTGTGATGGTCTGCCGTGCGGCCGATACAAAGTCATGTGTATTGATTAAAGTATCGAGAGGTGGTTTGGAGTCTGGAGAGAAGGATGTTGAGACTGTAGGTGGGGGTTTTGCCCATTCTTCTGTTATGGAGGAGGGATCGAGGGTGCCGATGATCTTGGAGGAGTGGAGAGAGTTCTTTATGAGAGAGGGGGCGTGAATTTCGTTGTATGCGGTAGAGGCATCGCGGCCAGCGTAGCGGATGATTACTGGCAGAGGTTAGAAATGGCAAAGATGGGGTGGAGGGAGGGGGTTCTTGAGATTCGAGGGGAGGAGGCTCACTACCAGCTCCGCCGGGATGCTCTGGGGCAAACTCGGTCAAGTCGTAAACAGTTCCATCCACCACAGTCCATAGGTCTTCGGGAATATTGTGCTTGGAAATCTCCTGAACGGAGACAACGCGGGCCATGATGAGCAGTCCTATATCAGTCTCTTGGGGTCAATTGGAACCAAAGTGTCAGTATGAATCAGAACAGCTGCAAGAAAAGAGAGACGAGGCAAAGAGAGAAGGAAACGGAATCTATATTGAGTTATGTACATGGAGATGCGGAGAGATTCCGGTAGCGATGGTTGAGTTCGAGATCGTCTCTGGTGGTTCGCGTTATCTCACAGCGAGCTTTCTCAGCTTGGATTCTCGCTGACAAATTTGGTCAGCGTTGAATATACTTCCCTCTAATTCGTCAACGACAACAACAGGACCTCTGCCCCTTGGAGAAACACATCAGAATGCAGATATGTTCTCTCGAAGGCAGTGGGATGCAGCGCCTAAATTTGCTTGGATGGCTCTCAAATCTCGCCGTCTTACCCCGCATGATGTTGAGATCCGAGGTTACAAACCTTGCCGTGTCCTGACAGGCATTAAAAGCAACTTCAGATGAAAATCTAGGAGATATATTTCCCCTCCTTTTGGTCTTGTCAAAACAATCATCTCATGGAGGCTGACTGATCCTCAGAACCTCCCCACTTCGGCTGTCCACCGCTTTTAGTGTTACTGCATTACGTTCCAAGCTCTTATTGAAAAATAGCAATCATGGTCAACCTCGTATCAAGAGTCGCCATTGTTGGAGCCGTTTTCATTGCAGTCGCCTACCAATTCATTTTCAAATCCATCATCTTCCATACCCTGGGCTATGGTCGGAAAGTCTCGTCGATCAAAGACTTTCCAGACGTACGATGTGAGAAGATCACAGAGTTAGACCTTGAGGGCTGCGAAGATATGTGGTTGCATGAGCCGACGGGGGCCCTATACATAGCCTGTTCGGACTCCCGAAGCAGGACACAATGGCTTCCCGCGTTCGCAAATTCCCCTTTTGAAGGGGTCCGGCGACTAACAATTGCAGAGTCGGCTTCCTCAATGCCACCGGACGCGGCCTGACCGACAGAATTGCCGTTCTGGATACACGAGGTCCGGGACGGCTTGCCACCCGCATTAAGTGGCTGTCAGTGGAGAACTTCTCCGGTATCAAGGGGGATGGGACGATGAATCTGCATGGCTTGGATATCAGACATGATAAGAATACTGACGTCCTTCATATTCTGCTAATCAATCATCGCCCACCCATCGACCCCGAGCATGGCGAACCACTCGATGCCACAAGCATCGGAGCAAACTCAACGATCGAGCACTTTCGGACGGAAGTAGACAGTGACAGTATGCGCCATGTGAGAACCTACGCAAACGCTCTCATCCAAACACCGAATCGAGTCGCCTGGGCCACCGATGACTCGTTTGTCTTTACAAACGACCACAGCGTCAAAGTTGGATTCGTGAGTTCTCTGTTCTAAGATTCCGAATGTTGACTAACACTCTCAGCGCCGAGAGCTTGATCCTTTCATCGGTGGAGGCTCCGTCGGTTACTGCAATCAAAGTACTTGCAACATTGGGTACAGTGGGCTCAAGATGCCCAATGGTCTCGTTCGTGGCCGAGACGGCCTTATTTACGTGCCTAGCACTCTCGATGGAACGATCAGAGTTTTTAATTTGAGTGAAAACCACCACCTTCTCAAAGTCAACGAGATCAAAGTTCCATTGCCGGTTGACAACTTGTCTGTAGACAAAAAAGGCGATATCTATGCGGCCGCCTTCCCCAAGGTCTACATGTGGGGCGAGAGTTCAAAAGACCCATTCAATGTCACCCCACCCACTGCGGTATTCCGGATCCGGAAGTCTGTCCAAGAGAATGAAAGTGAGAGAAAGTCCCACTTGGAGATGAATGCAGAATATATCGTTGAGAAGGTGGTTGAGGATGATGGAAGTGTCTTGCCAGGTTCAACTGCCGTTGTACACGATGCTGAGACGGGGAGAATCTTTCTTTCGGGAATCATGTCTCCTTATATAGCGATTTGCGAGCCCACAGCTTAACTCTCGATTGTGGGGTATACTTGGGATGTAAAAGTCCATTTGTACTCTCCCTCGCCAATGTTCAGCGGGAACATGGTACAATCGCCGGTCTTTGCAACGGGCCGAAGAGAGTCATGGTTTTATTTCCCTCCTGTAATTGTGTTTGTGGCGGTCGAGGAAATGGTTCCCTTAAGAAACGGATGATCTTCGATGAGGCTAATGATCCAGCCGCAGGGCCGCAAGCCACATCAATATCTTTCAGGGTTCATCCAGACTTCGAGCCTCTCGTACTAAGGACCAATTAGACTCATCAGACCCCTGAAACGTGCATGCTTGGGTCGATCGCGCCCCTCAAGCCACCGCGCTGGGGCCACAACCGACGCCATTCGCCCTCTGCGCCGCAGCCAGGCTTCTCGTTTTGACATAAAATAAGCAGCCCATACCGAAAGACGAAACGCTCTCTTTCATCGCTTTCGCATTGATATACACCGCAGCTCAGGATGACCCAGTCAGACCACAGACCTCGTTCCATAATCCGGGTTAACAACTGAGCATGTCGGCGCAGCCTCAACGGCGTAGCCTGTCGCTAATCGCTAACCGCACAGGAGTCTCACACTGGGCCCGCTGTAAGACTTGGATGCAGGAGGATGGGGATCAAGCTAGCCCTACAGCTGCGAAGTTAATTTAAGATGAGGCACAGCAAGCCCTAGTTTAAAGTATATATCCGGAGTGGCACCGGAAAGTTTATTTGATTCTCGTCAACTTTTGCGTTGCGAGTTGAGAATCCAACATGGCAGTCCCAACTGTAGCGAGCTCCAAGAGCAGGCATCCAGCCAGCATAACTAGAGATCCCGCCAGCATAACGATTCCAGGGAGCACGGTAATTACTCTTGCAAGTACGACAATAACTATTGTCAGCTCCTCAATTTCTCTCACTCCAGCACAAAGTTCACAGGCAGCCCAGCTGTCAGGAGGAGAAAATCTAACGGATTATCTTGGAAGCGTGGGGTCATGTCTGATGCCAGGGGCAATGCCAATTGTGATTCAGAATAATACTACGTGGGCGGAGAAAGGTTGCCTGCCGGGGTTCTATTGTAAGTTTTTATTTTCGAGTTAAAAGTGAACAATACTGATTGTTACTCCCTTCTTATAGGCGCCAACAACACAGCCAATTCTCTGCCGCAGTATTGCCCCCCCTCTCCCTCTTTGTGAGGTGGCCAGACTCTCTGGAGGGAACTGTCCACCGCAAGGTTGGTACGAGCCCGTCCTATGTGATGCGGGATACTATTGTCCACTTGGAGGGAAGGAAAAAATTGAATGTACGTTAATTCTCGAGCCTGCATTTCAGCATTGAATGCCCCAGTAGCTTTGCAGATTTAGTTTCCGCATCGGAATGGTCTTGCCAGTTCTCGATCTTCTTACCCCCAGGCCTCGGGAGCTGAAGCATATTTCACTGAATGTTGCTGATTCGAGATCGTCCAGGTCCTCCCGGTTCCTTCTGCACCCATGGCTCGACTCACCCGACAAAGTGTAGTCTAGGCTCGTGGTGTCCAGCCAAAGCAGTGAGAGACACAAACTTCCTACCTGTCGCATTCCTCATCCTTCTCGATATTCTCCTGGTTGCAACGACTATATGGCATAAGATGCGAGCGCGATACAACAAGAAGGGCCAACAGGGAAATAAGAAAGGTGAGAAAATGCTAGGGGCAAAATCTGCAAGCCGAAAGTATGTTCGAGAGCCAGGTTATCGGCAACTCGATGACGAGCAGTATGCTGGATTCACAGATAACGATATTCCTATGGAACCGACTATTAGGGCGTTCAATAGAAGACCTACTGGGTTCGAACATCTCGGGGCTTTAGAGGCGGAGTTTATTGAGGACCTTCATAACGGTGATGCTGAGACCAAGACGGATTTGCATTTATTCGTACAATCTTTGTCAAAGTGCCTCGGTGCTACGAAATTTGGATTGAGTTTCGAGTTTCAAGATTTGGGCTTCAAGCCACCGAAGTCGGCTAAGCCAATTCTTTCGGATGTGTCTGGAGCAATCAATGCTGGCTCCCTTTGGGGTGTGATGGGTGCTTCTGGTGCTGGAAAATGTAGGATTCGAAAGATTCTCATTACATTGTGCACAGCTAACGATTATAGCCACCTTTGTTAATGTGCTCATGGGTAAAACCGCTCACACTGGGGGCATTACTAAGGTCAATGGCGTTGCTGGCAAGATCTCAAAGCATGGAGATTCCTTGGTACAATTTTTAGATATTTGCTAATTTGACTACAGATACAAGAAGATCATTGGCTGCGTTCCCCAGGATGATATCGTTCTGCCAGAATTAACTGTTCGCGAGAACATCCTTCACTCAGCTCGAATCAGACTGCCTTCAAACTGGACTGATTCCGAAATCCAGAACCATGTCGACATCCTCATCAGCTGTCTCAAGCTGGCTCACGTGCAAGACTCGTTAGTTGGAAGTACTGGGGCACCCGTGATTTCTGGTGGACAGAGAAAGAGAGTCAGTATTGGCATGGAATTAGCTGCTGCACCCATGGCCTTATTCCTCGACGAGCCAACGTCTGGATTGGACGCAACAGCTGCTGCTTCAATCATGGCAACACTGAAAGCGCTCTCTCGCCTGGGCATGACAATCGTAACAATCATCCACCAACCTCGCCAAGAAATTTTCGAATCACTCGACAGTCTTGTTCTTCTTGGTGCTGGTCGCATGATCTATTGTGCACCGCAAGCTGACATGCAGCCCCATTTCGAATCTCTAGGCTTCCAATTTCCAGACCACACCAATCCCGCGGATGTAATGGGCGACATTATCGCAGGTGAAGGTCGGCATTACAAGGCTAATGGAGACGCCACCGTCCAAGGACTCATCGATCACTGGGCAACCCGTCAGAAGGATCCCGGAAGTCTTAACAAACACGCCTCCACCATCTCGGTGGCCGGGATGAAGTCACTCTCCACCACAGTAAGACAGCGAGGCGCACCCTGGTACAAGCAAATATGGTTCTGCTACCAACGCTCCCTCCTCCAACAATACCGCATGAAATCCTCATTTTTCTTCGAGCTCGGCGTTGGAGCACTGGCAGGCTTTCTCATTGGCCTGGCGGAACTGAACGCAAAGGGCCAGAACTTCCGCGGGATCTTCAACGACCCATACGAGATGCTCTCTTCTTCGATCGACTACGCCTCAGTCCCGCAAATGTCCCTCCTCGTCGGTCTCTCCATCGGCCTCACGGCCTCCGCGCCGGGAGTGAAGATCTTCGGCGAAGAGAAACTGGTGTACTGGCGCGAAGCCGCCGCTGGCCACAACCGATTCGCGTATTACATGGGCAAAGTCTTGTCCACAATCCCGAGAATGGTGTTGGCGAATTTCCACTTCACGACCATGTTCATCCTGCTAGCTACCCCGGTGATTGGATGGTTTCCAGCGTTCGCTGCGAATTTGCTGTACTTTTACTGTATCTACGGCCTCGCATCTTGTATTTCCATGATCACGCGAAGGGAAGACGGACCGTTGCTGGCTGTTATGATGTCACTGATTGTTGGGGTGCTGAACGGGATGTCTCCTACTTTGAAGAAAGTCCGCAGTTGGCATATTGTTTGGATTTGGAGAGCGAGTCCCGGCACCTGGTTGGCAGAAGCGTATTTCACAGAGAATATTGCGCCGTTGGCCAGTATATATCGGATTGAGTTTGCGAGGGATGCGTTGGGGTACTTGTTGAACAAATTCTCACACGATTTGCTGATGTTATTAGTGATTGGGACGGCTCTGAGGATATTTGCGTTTCTTGGGTTGAGGTTTATGTGGAGGGCTAAGCAGAGGTAGTGCTGCTAAGGGGTATACACTCATAGATTTCTATAGACGAAGGTAAACCTGTCGATGACAAGAACGACTTCTGAAAGATGAAAAGTGACTGGGACATTTAGAAATTGAAACCAGAGTTCTTGTCATAACCTTGAAGTCTTGTCAGAGATAGTTACATAATCCCGAAAAGCCTGCTTCGATACCTCTTGGACATCATTTTCTCCCATCAGTGCAAAAACCTCGTGGAGGCTAGAGAAGAAATCCCGACCAAACACCCATCATGCCTCATTGAGTCGACCTTCCACACCTCTCGAAATCGGGCTGTTTCACGTGACTTGTCAGCACAACGGACCTCAGCTCTTGAAAACAGCGACCATCCAACGAGCCCGCAATGAGGTGTATTCGAACGGCTGGAAATTCAAGAAATACGTCGAGTCTTATCCAGTTGGTAGAAAACGGACCCCAGTGCCTCAATCATAACGAGGCTAGGGTACGAACTCGAAGTTACAATGTCTTCAAACGATAGCGTTTTGACGAGTTCCGAGGACGGCAGGAAGGCTCTCCATGCATGTTCTACATGCCGAAAACAAAAGAAAGGGTGTGACAAAGTGCTCCCGAGTTGTTCGGTATGCCGCAGACTGCAGCGGCCTTGCGTGTACGACCCTATCCCTTCGGCATCCGGATCAGACAGCCTGGAATCGCTGGCACGGCGAGTCTCGGAACTGGAAAATGAGTTGAGGGATCACCGAGACATGTGTGAAGGGAGAGTTGAATCAAATTCGTCGTCCCGTGTCCCCGGCCATACGAATGAAGCACCATTCCCTGCGTCGACTGCCTTTCCTCCGGTCTTCTTCCTCGATGTCAATGTTTTCAAACGCCGCAGATTGAAAGCTCCCATGCCCCAAATGGCCATCCAAGACAACATCTTCAAAGAGATAGGAAACGACCTGGACATTCGGGCTACTGTTGGGGCTTATTTCTTCTCTACGGCTACCTGGATGTCGATCGTCTCCAAGAAGCAACTCCATCAAGAGATATCTGCTTTTCCGATTGAGATGGCACCAGATGTTGTGCTTTTGATTCTGTGTATGAAACTGGTCAATGGTAGACCGACCGCCGGGGTGCACGATCATCGGACGAGACTTTATGCTGTTGCAAAGAACTTCTTTCTTGCTGTTGAGTCGAGTGGATTCGCTTCCATCAGGTTGTTGCAAGCTGGGATCTTACTTTGTATTTACGAGACGGGTCATGCGATCTACCCACAAGCCTATATATCAATAGGCCACATTGGCAGATTGGGCCAGGCAATTGGATTGCACGACACTGATGGCGTGCCTCAATTGGCACTTGAACCAGGCAGCTGGGATGAGATGGAAGAACGGAGACGAGTTTGGTGGGCTGTTTACGTCCTGGATCGGTAAGCTCCCTTTGTGTGTGTGAAAATGTTGCTTATTCTTAATAGACACATGAACATTGGGAATCCTTCTCGGTCATTAGCTTTAGCTGAGACGGGGCGAAAGGAGTATCTTCCAGTTGAAGACAAGGCGTGGGAGCTAGGAGTGAGTTTGCAAAGTAGCGAATTTGCTCCGCAACTAATTTTTACGCAGGAGGTAATTGTTAGTGAGCCCCTCTTGGTATCATCATCAACGAACATCACTCTATACCACCATTCTTCGAGCACGGGCCAGAGCGAATACTCCCAGAATCCAGACCACGATTTATGCCAATTTGGGTCCGCCGGGCTACACTCCCTCGTTTCAGAACTTGACGCATACGCTCGCCATATCCAATCCATTTTACCGTACAATATCGATCAAGCATCACCGCTAATTGTTAATTGTCTCTATCGAATGGCTGTATGGCTTTCCGACCTGTCGGTGGACATAACAAAACCAGACTATTCAGCAACTTTGAATCTCATGAAAGCAACTCTGTCGAAGCTTGCGTTACGGTGGAGAGTCGCTAGTAAGTAGGAATCAGCAGTAGAGAGAGAGAGAGAGAGAGTACTAACTGAATGGCACAGGGGAGTATTTACAAATACTTGAGGACTTCGAATCAGCTTCTCCCGTTGATGGAGCGATGATTTTGGATCCTCATCCTATGTCAGAGTATCCACAGCCACCAAATAGTTGATATCACGACTTCTCTCTTGATGTTTCTCGCTTTGCATATTATAAGGCTGTCAAGCAGGACACTCTTTATTTCTCTCGGTTCTCTATATACAGCGCATGGCGCTTCTGTCAATGAACCCGTGATGTCTGAATCGCAGGAGCCGCTTCGAATAGTGGAGAAATGTTCCCCGCTTGGAGTTCTTTCGATACTTGCGCCGAGACTTCTTGCCATCGCTGCAGAGTATCCGCTTCAGCATCAAACGGATACAACCATCTGTTCTATCATTCACAAATGCGTTAGCCGAAGGGATCAGTCCTAAATTTGGGACACTCACTCTCATTTTGACAGTCTCGGGATCAATTTCGACGTTGTCATCCAGATTCTTGAGGGCATTATGCCACCTGTCACGTATATCCTCTCCGTTCAATTGAGATTTCCGGACTCGCTCAAACCGAAGCTTTTCATACACTCGGGTCTGCAAAGCTGTTAGAATCGCCTAGAATCTTGTGAACTTCGCTTACAGCTAGCGGGACGTTGCCTTTCCCAGCAAGCTTCAAGCACAATGCCAACACAGCAGCGCTCTCAGTCGCCTGCGACGCTCCTTGGGCGCTAGTCGGAAGATGCGCATGGCATGAGTCTCCGAGCAACGCAATCTTATGGCTCTTGCTAACCCAACTCGGAATTGGATCCCTATAACAAATCTTCCAATCCAAGCACTCTTTCGTCTTCCTCACCGCCGCTCCAATCCTGGGATCCACATCACTTACCAGTTTCCTTACCTCATTCATGTCTCCTGGTTGAAACCACGATTCCTTGATATCTTCAGTATCTTTATGCGTTATGATCCAGTTGAATTCGTCACCATCTCGAAGAGTGTTCTGGACAAGATGAACGTCGTTTCCGATCCAAATGTTGACGCACTCTTTCTCAACAAATTCCCGACAGAGGGGATCTTCTTTAAGATAAGCGCCCTTGAAGTAAGCTCGGAAGCAGGCATAACCTGAGGACTTTGGTTTGTCTTCAAAACCTAGGACGAGTTCTCTTGCGACGGACTTGATGCCTATCATGCTTGTCAGAAGTTTGAGACATTCAACCCTCAATACACCACTCACCATCCGCTGCAACGATCACATCGGCCTTGTGGACCTCTCCATTGCTCAGCGTTAAACTCGGCTCATCCTCGTCATAAGCAACCACCTGCATTTCATCAGCGCTTATATCACAAATCTTGGTCTGTCTCACTCACATTGCAACCCATATTAATCGGAATTCCCAATTCTCTCACTCGCCCCAAAAACTCCTCATGATAATCGCCTCTATGCCCAATATAACCCGCCATATCCATCAACGGCTGTTGGGCCAATATCTTCCCATCATGCCACCTTCGAATCTGCATCATCTCACTCTTGTTCCCGATCTCTATCAACTTATCGTGCAGTCCCCACCTCTCCAATAGTCGGAGAGCATTTTCACCTAGGCCTAAGGAGTCTCCAAGACGTAGGAACTTGTGTACTTTCTCATAGATGGAGACTTCGAAGCCTTGGTAGTGCATTGCCATTGCTGCTGCGCAACCACCGAGGCCGGCGCCCACTATGATCACTGGGGTGTGTCAGTGAAAGAACATCATGGGTGAGTGAGCAAAAGACCTTTCAGTGGTTGAGCCATGTTGAGAATTTCAATTTCTCACACAAGTACGATGAAGCCGTAAAATATAGAACAGAAAGCAAAGATTCAGCAAAAGAGTACTCGGTACGTTGGACCCGATGCAAACGATCAGGTCTTGTAAGTCGGCAGGATGCAGGCTGCTCGAGTTGGGAAAATTGCCTCCTTGAGAACTCATTCTCAAGCTAGGAATTCCTCCACAATCGGTTGACGCATCCAAGAACGCCATACATGGTGAGTAAATATACAGCCTACTGTTCTTCTCGGGTTCGGCTACCCCGCGACCTCCCCACAGAGAGGCCCCACGACGAACCCCCTAAGTTCCACCCCACTCGAGCCGGGAAACCCCCAAGCAAATTTGTGCTCTGGACCTTAGAGCCCATCGAATGGCACAAATTGCCGAAAAGCAGTGGAATTATTCCGAACTTCTGCTGAGAGCATTCCCTTGAAAAGGAGCATAAACTTCAGAGTTCTATGCTCGGTATCAGTTCTGACAACCCACGAGGAGCAACATGTCTGAATCAATACCAAAGCTCACTACAATCCATAGCGGGGTCCCAGCCCGTCTCTCAAATGAAGCTCTGGCTGCAAAAGAGAGAACATATTCTCTGCGAACCTTACCAACTAGTGTGCCGCGCCAAAGCGAATTGAGACTTCCACCCGATGTGACGAGAGATGTTTTTGATAAAGCCATTGATGAATTGAGGAAAGTGCTAGGTAAAGCCGGTGTTGAATTGAACGACAAACCACTGGTTGATGGGTGGTACATGGAACATCCGTTCGTCTCCCTTCCAAGCCAAAATGATATCGAAGCGCTTGCTTAACAACTTGCAGAAACACCCATGATGCATACCACATCGTCGACCAAGAGGAAATGGTCTGCAGCGCCATCGTCTACCCATCCTCTACGACCGAAGTTCAATCCATAGTGCGATGGGCCAATGAATTCAAGATACCCATCTACCCCGTCTCCATGGGTCGCAATCTAGGCTACGGAGGTGCCTCTCCTCGAGTCCCAGGATCGGTTGTAATTGATTTGGGAAGAAAAATGAATCAAGTGCTGAAGATCGATGGAGAGAATGCGAGTTGCATGGTTGAACCTGGTGTTAGCTATTTTAAGCTTTATGACGAGATTCAGAAGGCGGGATTCAAGCTTTGGATTGATACGCCTGATTTGGGGGGTGGAAGTGTGCTAGGAAATGCAATTGACCGAGGGGTCGGGTATGTTCTCTCCTATCTTCAAATAAACTCCAAGAGTAACTGAAGGTAGTTACACTCCATACGGCGACCACTTTGCCAACCACTGTGGCATGGAAATAGTTCTCCCAGATGGCAGCCTCCTCAGGACTGGAATGGGCGCTCTGCCCGGAAAAGATGGCACAGATAATCCCACGTGGGAGTCGTTCCAACATGCATACGGTCCCGTAATCGACGGCATCTTCAGCCAAAGCAACTTCGGAATCGTAACCAAGATGGGGTTCTGGCTGATGCCCGAAACAGGTCATCAATCCTACATGATCACTTTCCCACGCGAAGATGATTTCGAGCAAATCGTCGAGATCATCAGACCCCTCGCCCAGAAACGGATACTGGGAAACATTCCCCAACTCCGGCATGCCATCCAGGAACTCGCAGTAACGGGAAAGCCCAGAACAACCTGGTACAACGGCCCTGGCCACTTCCCTCGCGACGTAATCCGCGAAGGAGTAAAGCAACTCCCGGTCGGTGACATATCCTGGGTCTTCTACGGCACCCAATACGGCGACACCGCATCCATCTCCTCCCAACTCGCCCTCATAAAGTCCGCCTTCGCCGCAATCCGAGGGAGCAAGTTCTTGCTCCCTTCCGACCTGCCACCGGACCATTACATCCACTCCCGCGTGCAAGTCTGCTCTGGCGTCCCAGTGCTTCGAGAGCTCGACTGGCTGAACTGGAAACCCAACGCCGCACACCTATTCTTCAGCCCCATTGTGCCCACGCGCGGCTCCTCGGCGCGAGTCATCCACGATATCATCACACGTCTACATGCCAAGTACGACTTCGACGTCTTCCCCACACTTTGCGTCGCTGGGCGAGAAATGCATTATATTGCCAATATTGTGTACGATCGCTCCTCTGAAGACGAGAAAAGGAGAGCGAGAGAGCTGATGAGAGAATTGATTGACGAGGCAGCGAAAGAGGGGTTCGGGGAGTATCGAACGCATTTGCTGTTTGCCGACCAGGTGGCTGGGACGTATAATTGGGGAGATGGGGCGCTTAGAAGGTTTAATGAGGCGATCAAGGATGCGCTAGATCCGAATGGGATTCTTGCGCCTGGTCGGAATGGGATTTGGCCGAAAGGGTATAGAGGGAAGGGGTGGGAATTGGTTGGTGAGAAGGCAAAGGGATGTGCGAAGGCTAGAATGTGATGATAGTGGATGGACTGCTTCTCTCTGCCATGCAGTTGTCACAATAAATCGCGCTGGCGATCATATGTCCTTGTTTGGTGCTGTACAATCGGAGATGAAACATGAGAACACAAGAAACGTGTATTGCAATTATGTACTCACAATCAGATCCGCTTCCTGAATGAACATGCCTGGAGGCAGAAGGTATCATCCCTTTTAACATCCTTTTACCTCATCTATGCCGTCTCATCCAAATCACAAAACATAGCCTCCACCGCCGACGACAGCCCAATCTCTGACTCCTCTCCCTTCTTCGAGCTCCACGCACCACCAAAGCACTTCCCTGGCTTTATCAGGCTGGCCACTTTCCTCATAAGCTCGAGCGAGAGCAAACCACGCTTCGCTATAGTTCCATCCTGTGCCTAATTTCGTGAGGGCGGTTAGAAGACCATAAGCACGGTCTCGGGCTGCCAATCTGTCCAAGAGCGAGGTCGAAGAGCCTTTGTAGTTGGGCTCGAGACCGGATGACTGAGACTCTGGAGTAGAAGCAGGCTCTTGAGGGGTCTGGCTTACTCCATTTACCCTGGGCTTTGTCGAAGCCAGCCCAATTGGGCCGCGAGGAATAATAGGGAGGGATGAAGATGGTTTGATTGGAGGTGGCTGTGTGGTGAGCGGGGTTGTTGCTACTGGGGTGTTGACTGTTGAGGATGACCGAGTTGCAAGAGAGCTTGGTAAGACGAGGCTCGGGATCGAAGGCGGCGGGAGAAGTTCTTCGGTGTAAATGTCTAGCAAGATGTTTGAGAGGCCCACAATTGCGGAGGAATGGTTAGCAAAATGCGAGAGGGCGGATTCGAAATGCCCGAGAGCAGTGTATGGAGCCGTTTCAGCGACTGCCAGATATCCGCGCTTCCAGAGATTTTAGCACAACACCATAGGCATTACATTCGAATTACTAACCTCGGAATACACATCACCCCATAGCTCCGCAACACTTTTGCCGCCTCCCCATCCTGGATGGTCTATTGAAACATGCCCAGTGGTATCTCTTGAGATATCTTCCTCTAACTTCTTAACCAATTTATATGCTTCTTCAATACCACCCTTCGCATCCTCGTAAAGAGATGCTCGGCGATAGAAACCACTTACAAGTAGCCACACCTTTACAAGGATAGCACTGCGTCGCCGCCGCTGTTGGTCTTTGGGGAAGCGAGTTGATGGATTTGTTGACGAAGAATACGGAGAGACATGGGGCAATCGGGTGTCTTGTGCTAGGGTGGCATTCTGATGAGCTGGCTTTAACGAAGGCTCCTTCTGAGCCATGTGTTGCGACTTAGGTGGTAGGGGTTTCGATCCAGGACGCGAGTTAGGTGAAGAATTTGTGATGGTTGGGTTTTTGGCAGAGTTAACGCCATCGTTCACCCACTGACCTCGGTTCGGGCTATCAGATGGCGGAGTAAAGAATTTCTCGCCATCTACTGTCGTGGGATTGTGACTCTCATGGCTCTTTGCTCCACTGCCACTACGCCTCCGACCTGTGCTAGTGCTTCTTTCCCGGTTACTCCCAGAGCCTTTCTTTTTGGTTACACTGTCACTGCGCTTCTGCAACTTCTCGTGACGTTGCTGTTTCGCTGCTGTGCCATTTTCACTTGTTACTTGAATCGTGGGAGCCCGCGTACTGGTAATCGTTTGGGTAGTCTTGGGTCGGTCAACAAGCGTCCTTTCACTAGTAATCGAACTCGATACCATCGGCTTTCGAATCGATCGACCCGATCTTCCAAATATACTCCCTGTTATGCTCTTGATCGTGCCTGCCGAGCTCTTCGGCGGCACTGCTGAAGCTTTGTTTGCCGTAGAAGGAGTAGAATCTGTCTTGGGATCGACGAACAATCTTGTGTAGAGACTCAGGAGCTCATCACTTGCATTGACTGCAACCTCTGGCCCTTCCAGTACCTCGATAAGGGCTAGTTGCGTCATCTTCACTTCAAGGACGCTCTCTCTTTCGAAATCATCCATATCGTCAACCACTCCTCCCTGGCTTCTCCCAATCGATTTCTCGTTCAAATGATCGCTTCGATATACGCCATTGAGATCCGCTTCCCCAAATAAGTTTTTGGGGTCTTGGAATTGCTCAAACGCGCCTTCGCAAGATCTTGCGGCTGTCAAAAAGTCTTGCCGTGCGCTGAGCAGGAGCGCCATGAGATGCCACAATGGTATCAGCGATCGTTCTCTGGAGAAGCGTCCAGCGTGTGGGCCCAACCCGGGTGCGATATTAGAGCGAGGAAGCAACCCAGATTTAACAACCTCGATTGCAGCAGCTAACTCTCTACGCTCAGCAAGAACTGTCCCCAGTGCAAACAAAGTCTCGACATCATTTGTGCTTTCGTACTGGGGCATCAGTGCTTTACGAAAGCACTTGATGGCTCGTAGTTGTATATCTGATCTTGATGGAGCATCATATGTCAAACGCGCCCATTGGGCATGAGCAATACCGATGCAGCGCCAGGCCAGAGCGAAAACTCTCGGTGGGATTGTTGTTTCCGCCTCTCTTGAGCTACCGTTCTCGAGAAGCCGGCCGTTTGCATTTCCATGGGCACTTGGATGATGCTTATTCAACCAATCTTCAAAAAACTGACCGAGGTCTTTCGCCTTCGCGGCCCCTTGTCGAGATCCATATCGACACAAAGCTTTGATGCATTCAGATGCCGTTCTCAGGACAGTCTCGTCATCATCAAGACCATGTTCCTCTTCACCAGTTTTTTCGAATCGCGCCTTGCCTTTTCCGACGATTTCCATATACGTATCGAATGCTTTGAACGATAAATCAAACTCGGCCACAGTTAAATGGACTGTGAAGAGATGACGCAGTATTCTCGTGGAATGGAACGTCTTGGTCGCTGCTCGATAGAGAATGTCCAAAACTCCCCTGCCAACTGCCTCAGCTCCCCCTTCTCCCAGATCTTGCTCGCTCCAGTTACTGCCACAGAGGATCCGCCAATTTTGTATCACAAGATCCGCGAAAGCTTCGACCTCGTCACCTGCTTCATCGGCCTTTGGAAATTGCACCTCGGCCAACAAGAGAGTCTCATATCGACCTTCGACTCTTTTCAATTCAGCTCGTTGCTGGAGCCGGGTTGAAGTCTCAGCATACGCAGTCGCGAGGGATGTTGTGGGAAATGGCAAGTCTTGCTGTAATAGGTCCGAAAGTGTAATGTAGTATTCCTTCCATACTTGTCTTCGAGATACTTCAGCTTGAGGAGCACGGCCGCCACTGGGAGTCGACCCTTGAACCTCCCAGAACTTAGCCCAAGCACGGAACGCAGAAAGCGTTTCGGTCTCCAGGATGGATGAAATTTTTGACTTAATCGCACGGCTAGAGAGCATGCAGAACCCTGTCAAGTAAAGTTCTGTCCATGATCGAAGCGCCTTGGGCTGCCTTTCAGTCGCCGACACGCTCGATAGTATTGGCAATGCAGACTCGTAGCTTTCCAAGGCTTCGGCGACTGCTCCTGTTCGACCTTGAGCGCTTCCCTTGATATATGAGGCCTTCAACGCACACACTTTAGTCCATTCTGCAGACTCCTTGTTCGTGCCATCCAGTTGTGCAAAGTCTTGCTCTACGCTCCTAGGGAGCCTCGACGCAGCTAACGATGGCTCACCCAGTTGCCAATGAATCCAGCCCAGACATACTTGCGCCTGAAATTCGTCCTCGACATATGTCTTCTCCTTCTCTATGGCTTCTAACAACAAGGGGATATAACGAGAAATGCTCGGATATTGCGAATAGGAAGCAGTAGCAGTCATCTCAGTGTGTGCGGTTTGGCTGGCACCAGCAGTTGCAGGGCGAGCTGTGCTCGGTCTGGTGTGTCCAACTTGGACGACGGTGAACTCGGATTCCGCCGTCAATGTGAGGCCTGTACCATGCCATCAGTCACTACCGCTACACCCTTGAATAAAGCAAGCTCTATTCCACAGGTGATTGTAGACGTACATGTTCGATGGGGTGCATGCTTCTTGATCTTCCTGACCAGCTCCGGCACTGCATCCCAATTCCCTTCGCAGCGTGCCTCGTCCAACTGCTGGATGTATAGGGCTGCCTTCGATTGTTCCCGCTACAGCATGCAGTGTCAGTAGGCATTCCCCAGAGACACCAAAGTCGAGATAGGGCTTCACCCACGCTCATGGTTGGGACGTTGGGGACCCCAAATGATTTCGGAATCGCGCAAATCGGAGGGCATCATAGGTTAGCAGGCACACAGCTTCATGATGATAGAGGATCGAGGGGAATTGCTTCAGGTCGTGAAAAATAACGTGTGTTAAAGATTACCGCTTCCGCGCAATATCAAAGCCAGATGGATCTCCATCGTCACTGTTCCCTGCTGGACATAATCCTTGGCGCGGCCTCAATCCAATGTGGGGCCGGTGCCGCGTGGGCCAATCATGTCCCTCAATGCACTACGCGAAGTTTTCCACGCCTTTATTTCCAACTTTTTCACGAGCCATCTCGACGGCAGCACGAATACGAGTCACGAGTTCATATCCCAATCCTCATGGTTGCGATACAGCCTGGGAGTTGCCCAGTTCAGAATCCTCACCAGATAAAGACCGTATCCAAACCCGCATTGCCAGTTTAAAACCTGTAGACTGAGAACGAGTGCTGAATTCCAATGTCTCTTCCACCAGACCTCAGGGTTCTCTGCTTCCAGCTCTCTTCGACTCCAGCAACTGATCTCCCTCGACTTACCCCAATCTTGTTACGCCATGTCTTGCGGTGCCAAATTCCGCTCTCGAGTCCTGCTGGAAACGTTGCTAAGGCCGATGCATCTGCTTCATCCGTGCTTATCCACAAGCTAAAAACTCAACTGTCGACGTTACTCAATGGCAAGAGCCCCGAGGGAAGGTTCACAGCTGTGGTCCTAATCAAAGCCGTTGTCGAAGTTGGAGGCTGGGAGATTTTGCAGGGTGCAGAATCATGGGTTCGAGGGCTGCTGTCCTTATTTGGGGTGAGTACATGTCAACCCGCTTCCTCTGAACGTCAGATTAACAGCAAAATAGAAACCGGATTCTCCTGCGGCAAAGGAGTTGTGTATCATGGCACTTACCAAGATCTATTGCATGACCCAGCCATATCAGACTCTGGTGAGAGAGATGACCACTCCGACCCTGCCGGCGTTCATCACCTCTTGTCTGAACTTAATTTCGCCGAAGTCATCAAGTAAGGCAGTAGACGTACCCTCGTCGCTGCGAGAAACCATCTTCAGATCTTTCTCCATGCTACTCCCTCGTCACACTACCATTTATCGTCCATTTATTTCCCAGATACGTCTGGCCATTCGCCCGTTTCTCGCCCCAACTTCGTCCGACGACCTATTCGTGTCGCAGCTGCTCAAAGAGAGCGCGCAGCATCTCGCCGTTCTTCTTCACCAGACTGCACCTAAAAACGCTGGCGGAGAAGAATGGGGCAAGGCAGTTCGTGACCTCGTCCAGACTGTGCACGAGACTGCCGATCACGTTTTTCGAGCCGTGATCGAGGATTGGGAGTCTACTGCTTCTTACAGCGGCAGAACTGTAGACGTTAATCAACCTTTGCATGGAGGCGGGAACGCTGCTGAAGACTTGTTGCCGTGGACGGGAATTAATTCAGGTGTCGAACGTATTACTGGCTTGCTTGAACTATTAGCAGAGTACTTCAAGAGTGAAACATCTACACCTGTTACTATTCCTCTGGGGTCTGTTTTCGATATGGTCACCAGAATGCTCTCCATTGCTGTTCCCCCATTGTCTGCGGAATCTTCCAATGGTCATGGCGCTGCACGGCTACATCCTGCTATCGATCGTGACGAGAGAGATGGTTTATGGAGCGGCATGCCTCAAATATACGTCGCTGCTCTCCAGGTTATCAACACAATTGCTGAGAGAATAGAAGACGCTTTTTTGTCGATCTCACAAGGCAGTCTCGACCAGCTGGCTTGGGTATTCCCCTTTGGCAAGCACAGTCCAGATTTTCGCTTAAATGCCTACAAGCTTACTGCCAAAACCTTATTCTACATCGGCCAAAGCTTCGACAGGGCTCAGGTTGGAAGACTATCTGGAATTATTCGGTCATGCTGCAGGGATCTTCAAATTGTTGATCCAGTCCTCAGCAGTCTCGGGGCCGTTGAGGACTCGGGAAGGAAAGCAAAGGGTCAGCTAGAAGGTTCGAATCGCAATGCCGATACTTTCCTTCGGACTACGATAGCGGTGCCGTTGAAGGAAACGGTGAAGCCTCCGGTTGCTACAGAAGCGGGCGAGCTCCTGCCACTGCTTTTATCGCACATACCGCAGCAATGTCTTGACCAATCTCTACGTTCTCTAGTCGAGCGAACGGCTATCCTGACTCACAACAAAGGTGCAATGCTAGCAAGCATCTTGAATCCTTTTGTTGGAAAGAACGGGAAGGCGATGACGAGCATCCTGCCTCACTTGACCCGGGCGTTTGGTGATGACGATACGGTAGAGATTTTGCTTCGGCCACGCCTGCCGCTCCTTCCCTCCACGAGTACGCGATCGTTCAACGAGGAAAGAGCGAAGGAAGACTCTGAAGATGAAGATATGGATATTCATCCGGAACCTGGATCAACAGAAGAAAACATGCCTCTTGCTACCCCTTTTCTTCAAGATGCCGCCGCTGCGCGTCCAGGATTTGGTCCTCCTGCAGACACGCCTGATACCAAACACTCTCTTCCAAACTTTGCTGGCTTTGGATCTCATGAAGGGTCCTTGCCTATGCCCTTATCGATGCCAACTCCAGCTCCAATGCCGAAGGGGAACTCTGCACCAGATTATTTGGCTCCTAAGAATGATCACGCGGACATCGATATGGACCAAGATGAGGAGTCTTCTGGGAACGAAAGTGTGCATCTCACGATGCAATTGGATACCGATTCCGACAGCGACGAATAGAAATCTAGAGCGCTCTCCCCCGCATTCTGAGAACTCGGCCTTGTAAGAAGTCTGGTCTACTTCCCCCGTAGCTTCAAGCCTAGAAAGTTCTTCACCTGTAGCTCCCGCACAAGAGTTAAAAATAGCAATCATGAAGTCTGGTAAGCCATCGTGAGGCTCTTTCTTAGCTCTCTTCTCAAGTATATAATAATGTCCGCCCCACTTTTCTTTTCTTCCTCTTCCTGCCTTCATACCTACATCAAACTTTCAGACACACCAGAGCTTTTATCTCCACCAAAACCGATCAAGTTTTCCCGGAGAATCCATTCTCCACATCCTATTTCTTCATTTCGTCTCCACGTCGACGGAAAATAAGCTTTGCACTTCAACAGACCAGGTTCTTCAATTACCCAAACAGTAAGTAACCACCCTCCCCGGTGCTCTTTCCTCGTGCGCATTGCTTGCATTGTAAGTCGTCATAAGACATCACCATGCTCCAGTGGAGCCAAGTGACTTCGAGCGTTCATCGCACTGTACCTATCTCGCTCAACAACATTCTGCAATGCAGAACAGCTGCTCTTAAGTGATGAATGCAAGTTGTTTCCGCACTTGAGCACCTATTCAGTGTAATGGTTATTTGGGCTGTGCAGCAAAATGCGTTTGCAGGGTATTCGAGCACTGTTTGCGACCATATTTCAATGCAATTTTTCGAATTCAAACGTGGTTGCGAAGCGTGCCCGGTCTCCTCGTGCTTTCACCAGCAAAAACAGTCTGCGTGCGGCTTGAACCTGGTGAGAGCACGTGCTATGGCGCACACTCAGAATTTCGGAAATTTTGCTCTGACTTCATTGATGCCTTCCCCGGATCCGTAGTCGAAACCCTATTTTCACGTGATACTGGAAAAGGGGCGTCACGTGAACATCAAGTAAATTTTGTCACGTGCATTTAGACCTGGACTGGCACTTCCAAGTCGGGCTAGCTTAGTCGGGCTAGCTTATCCGTGGAGATGATCGGAGTACCGCAGGGCTTCGTTGGGAATAGCTTCAGCTGTCTTTGTCCTCGGCGTCGGTGACCTTGTTGTCGTCGACCTCGCTGTTATTGACCTCGCTGTCGCTCTCATCGCTTCGCCTCATGATCTCTAGTCGCCGCTCCTCGCCATCCCAATCTATTCTAGTCTCCCTGCAGTCGATATCAAAATCCGATATGCAACAGACGTCTTTGAATTCAAATTGCCCAATCAAAGGCTGTAGTTGTCAGCCGGGCGATACCCACTGCCCACGCGCCTCGTTTTCCCCCTCTCCACCGCCCCCGAAGCCGTTGGCAGTTCACATTGAAATGCGATGTGCAACAAAAGGTTTTTGAATTGCTTTAGCCAATAGGAGTCGCAATTTTCCCAGGACCCTTGCTTTTCTTGTCTCGGTGCCAGGACTTTTGTTCGCCTTCAATCATGATCTTCGGCCTTAGCTTGGATCCTCACTTTCCTCGGGACATGAAGTTCCAGAGCAACGATGTTTCAGAAGTCCTGGCATTATGGGAAGGCAGTTCTGTACCAAAATTACCTTGTTGCTAAACTTCTGAACTGGATGTTTTGAAGCGAAATGGAGAATGGAGAATTATATGATTTCCGAGGTTATTGCGGCATGGTGATAAACCATTGTCGAGCTGGCTCGTGGTTGTCAAACACTTTCTAATTCAATACAAAGTTACCTCGTCTTCTTGTTATTGTAGTCTTCTCAACTTATATTCCTTTCTTTGAAGATCCAACTCTGAGTTCTGATCGATCAATGATAAATTTTATCGTAAACGTTGCGAATTTACGAACTCTCATCGTCGTCACTGTGGTTCAAACTTAAGGAGTTTAGCCGATTTCTTCTTCCTTCCGTCTTTTTTCTGATTTTGGGGTGTGAAGTCAATTTTTCAATGAACATTTGCTAACATGCTTGATGTAGATAATCTTTCACGATGCAACGAGCTGCTGCGCCCAAGGCCGCTGGGCAGGGCCGTCGGCCTCCCATGGCCAATGAAATGATGAAGCAAGAGACCAATCAAACTTTCCATCAGTGGGCCAACATCTCCCCTGCAACAACAATTGAAGTCCTCCAACCGATCACCGAAGGACCAGAAAAGGGAACCAACGCCGTCACCAACGCACTTACACTTCAAGAGTTCGAGGGCTTGCTCTCCCAGTACTTCGGCAAGCAACACAAAATCAAAGATGCCGACAAGATCTTCCCAAGGCAATCTCGAATTGACCACATCATAGCTGAAAAACAAAACGAGGGCACGACCAACAAACCAGCAAGCTATGACAACAGCCCGACCAACGCCGGGTGGAAATTTTACGTCAAGAAACACTTCCAATGCCCAAACCAAAACCTTCGAATGGATAGCGGACTCATTCAAATAGCGAATCATCTCTATACACCGATGCCGGACCCGGAGCAGAGATTCGTGGAGGACATGTGGAATCAATACACCCCTTCCGCGGAGCATCGACAAGCACCCATTACTTCAGTGGAGAAATCATATATCCACTACATTCAGGCACACATCCATATCTCAACGGACAAAAACGGGAACGATATCTACAGCCACCGTGGACGAGACGAGACCTTCGATTTCCTGAAATTCGGCATCTCATCCAGTTTCCCCAAGGCTCTCATCTCCGAGCTCAACGCGAACTGCCCTGCCTGCAAAAAGAAATTCAGTAACCATCGCAAAGTTGGCTTAAAGCGAGAAAGAGAGCGAAATTCCCATGTAATTAGACGAGTAGCCAGAAAACAACGATTTGAGAAGTTCAGGGGAGGACAACAAACTCAACCAGGCGTTAAGATCGACGAGAACAACACTCCTCCGCAACAAGCTCCAGCACCAGCCAGCATTCCAGCTCCCTTCCCACCGCAAAACATGGACTTTTGGCTGAACGACGTCGACCAACTACCAAATAATGCTATTTTCGATCCCAACCTACAGATGAACGCTCCGGTTGTCGACTACCATCAAATCGATGATCCATTCAACGACAACAACTGGCAAATGGACGACCCTTTCTTAAGCGGCACCTACGTACCAAATGAATACGATGAGGCGTTTGCCCCTCAGCAGAACAACTTCCAAGCCGGCCAGGAGGACGTCGACTATCTTGAGATTAATGCATCTGGACCGCTGCTAGATCAACAACCGTACGGCAGCGTTATGGACGGCGGGGCGCTTCAGGGACAGGGCTTCAACCCACAACAAAATAACGACGGGGATGTCATGAACGCCCTGGTCAGCAACAACCAACAACACGACTTCCCGGTTGGCTACCACCCACAACAAAACAATGTCCAGGGTGTCAACGACCAACAAAATAACAACTTTTTGGATAACTCCATGAACATGCAGCCCAACTCTCAACCCCACCTCGGTGCCAGGTGGGCATGGATTGGTATTCCCGGCTTCGAATGGATCTTATTGTTCCCCTTAGAATGTGTGTACTTTGCAACCATGTGGGACGAGCCCATTTGCAAGGACCTCTCGAGCAAAATCACGTTCGGTATTGAGGAGGAACGGATACCCGCGGAAGTACGCAACATTGTTACTGAACCTGGAATTCCTCATGTCGGAGGCCCCGATGAAGCCAATGCATATCCGGGACTCAACCCCTTTGAAGAACAACTCCCTGAACAATCGATCCCCATTGACCCGCAACTCTCAGAACCACCGGAGCAGGACGACCCACTCGGACAAGGATCTTTCAACATTGACGACCTCTTCGATGAACCAGACAAGGAGCCAATACCGGGCCCCTGGGCGTGGAACGGCGGACATAAGCCACAAGGCGCCGGATTTGGAGTCTTGACCTTGCCTACCAACCCTCAAGGTGCCAATTCCGGATAGGAAGGAGGGAAATCGGTGGGGCGGGTGGGAGAAGATGACGAGATGAGTACCAATCACCTACTAATAGGTTATGAGCCTCCACGGGTTACGATCACGATCTCTATAGCGACGAGAAGAGAATGCCGCCTCAACACTTCCATCACGATTTCGACTCTGTCAAGAAGATAATGCCGATTCAAGACTTTCACCACGATCACCAACCAGAAATCCAAGGAACGACCTTCCGATCGACGACCTGCCATCAGGACGAGAACGTATATACGAAGTCGAACAAAACCAGTACGGGACACAAAAACAATTCTCCTGTCTTCCGCCAGGAGGTATGTTGGTCTTATTGACCAAGAGGTAACCTGACCCCAAGAGGAATCACTCACTCTGTAGTTGAAGCCATTCGCACCAACACCGGCTCGGACAGATGGTCATCCTCAAAACCTCAACCACAAGCACCATCCGATAATCTCCTTACCAACAAACCCAAGCACGGACGACAACTCAACTTCCTCCAACACACCTCGACATCATCAGTACCCGTGCGCCTTATCCATCAGAATCAACGAACCAGAGACAACAGGATCAAACAACATCCACACCTCCTTGCTATACCATACCAAAACAAATTATTGACATAAGTTATGAGCCAAACCCCAACCCCCCCTCAAAAAAAAAAAACTTGAAAACTAAAAAACAAAAAAAATTGAAAATTCCCCTCTTTAAAAAAACCCCCCAAAAATATGGTGTACAGCGGAGGATTTCAAAGAGCTGGAGAGCTGATACTCGTATTTTGCTTTGTCGTTATTGCATTGTGCTTTTGGGATTTGGGACTTGGGATTTGGAATTTGGAATTTGGGATGGGATGGACGCTGGGAAGATCCACACATGGGACGTTGTACTTGTTTTGCAGAAAATGCGCCGCCTGGAAGATGGGATGCTTGTAAGATTGCAAGATTGGAATATTGGAGGAAAGTCGAGTATTGGGCTATTATTGGGAATTGTTTTGGGAGGATTTGAGTGTTGGGGAACATTAGAAAATAGAATGGGGGTTCATTTCATGTACTTGTAATGTGAAAAACTCGATGTCAATGCCAACCCTTGTCGTCACGCCAAGACCAAGACCTCACCACGATGTTCTGCTGAATCCAGCAGGTCGGGTATTGAGCTTCTTTTCTTCCTTGAACACTCCCCTTCGGCTAGAGGCGATGGTATTTTTGAGTCCGAGAATAGCTCGTCGCCAACAGAGGCAGCGCCCCTTTTCAACGCCACAGTTTCATCTCGTGTTCACCAGAAGCGTAAAAGCCTCAAACCCAGCCAGGAACGGACCTCGATTGAGCTCCCTTACCCCCGAGCCACCAGCGATCACCTTCTCCACCTCGCCCATCTCCACGAATCACTCAGCGCGAAAAATTTCCGCCTCGTGCATACCTTTAGCCACGCGGTTCCTCTGCAGCACCAGCACGAGGTCTAAGTTGATATGGCGCGTGTCTGGGCGGAGAGCTTTGAGGATGGCCTCAAAGTGAGGTCTCTGCGCCATGACAGCGAGTGCTGTCTAACATACGATGGCTTCTGCTGGCTTGCTTCCGCTGGCTTGCTTCCGCTTTGATTATTTAGAGCTCGGCGAAATGTCAGTCGGGGCCAACGCGCGATACTTCATCCCATAAGTATTGGGCATGGAGAACCCCCTGCTTGACGATTTATTTTTATTTTGTAGAAGCTCTACATTCGTTACTTTGATCAACATCAAGGACCTTTGCTGCTCTCTTGAGACCGCTCTTTTTCATCTTCGATCATTCCAGTCACTCTTTATTGTCTTGACATTTATTTTATTTCAGCATCACCATGCGTACCAATTTTGTTATGCTGGGCTTTGCCCTTGCTGCCATGAGCTCAGCCCTCCCTACTGAAGATGCTGGACTGTATGATTTTCTCTCGAAACGCGATGTCAGTCCTGACAATACCTGCGGAAATGTCTACGCTGGCGCCAACAAAAGCTATTCTTGCGATGCTACTCTTAACAGTGGAGGATGTTGTTCACAATATGGTACGTGTGCGTCCCTAGGAACAAATTTACTGTTTTCATTGTCTCGATATGCCTTCGTAATCAATAAACGGTGCTTTATCTCCAGAATTCCTCCATTCTTGGATAATGCTGACTCGGGGATAAAGGATACTGTGGAAATACAACAGGCTATTGCGGTGCAAATTGTCAACCTGCATTTGGGACTTGCAGCCCAAATACTGCTCCCGGTGGAACTTGCGGTCCGAGCAATGGAGGGGCGATGTGCTCAGACAATCAATGCTGCAGTAGTAGGTGTATTCCTCTGTGCACACTATTTCTGGTGCCAATCTTCTCGTTCCGAGGTAATGCTAATTCTTAGTATCAGTGTCTGGTTTTTGCGGAACCACTCAAGATTATTGTGCAGACCCTGGGAGTTGCATGCTAGGATACGGTCGTTGCGACTCTGATGTCACTCCAGCTGGACCTTCAACCCAAAATGTGCCTCGTCCATTGAAGGGTCCAATCACCTATACCGACGATATTTATAATTGTGTTGAGAACAACGTCGTTGCATTATCATATGATGATGGGCCATACAACTACACAGCACAACTCCTCGACTTGCTCAGGAGATATAATTTCCACGCGACTTTCTTCATCACTGGCAACAACAACGGCAAAGGAGGAATCGACCTCACTGCACCGTATCCTAACTTGATCAAGCGTATGATTGCCGAGGGCCACCAAGTTGCCTCTCACACCTGGTCCCATTATTCCCTCTCAAACATCACTCACGATCTCCGAATTTCACAGATGGTCAAGAACGAAATGGCATTTAATAACATTATCGGGATGTGGCCCACCTACATGCGACCTCCATACTCCGACTGCACGGAAGCATCCGGCTGCTGGGCCGACATGCAATCCCTTGGCTACCACAGAGTATACTTTGACCTCGATACGCAGGACTATCTCAACCCTTCTCCAAATCAAATACAAAACTCAAAGAACATCGTCCAGGAAGCATTAGCAGCTCAAAACGTGGTAGATTATCTCTCCATCCAACACGATATTGTCCAACAATCAGTGGCCAACCTTTCTACTTATTACTTTGATCTTATTCAACAGAAGGGATGGAAAGGGGTCACAGTCGGCGAATGTCTCGGTGACAATGACCGCTCCAACTGGTACCGCAGCTTCAACGAATCGACTTTTACCACCTCTTCACTCCTTCCATCCTCAACCCGCGCATCCTCCTCGACATCCATCTCGGGTTCTATTGCGACGTCCACTCACACCACATCCAACATTCCTGTCTCTACCTCCAAAATTCCCACCACAACTTACAAGTCCTCAACTCCAACCCCGGCGCCAACACCCACCTGCGAGGCTTCCAACGGCAACTGGTGCGGAAAAGTCGGCACTTTCACCAGCAAGCTCGGCTGTCTGAAGGCACAGAGCGACTGTCTTGCAGGAACCATGAAGTGTGTGGCAGCGAGATGGTCGAATTTGAGTGGGTGTACGAAGTGGAATGGGATTTGTTTGAAGTTAGTGGGGTATTGCGCGAAGTGCGGCTTTGGGGAGTGTGATAATAAGACGTTTGGTTATTAATGAAGGGTTTTGAGAGAAGGATATTGTATATTATCAATACAGTGGCATATAGTATAATTTCTAGATGACTACTAGTTATAAATAGCGCTTATCTGCAGTCAAACCTAGAAGGGGGTAGGAAACAGACTTTGGAGTTGGAAGTGAGGAGTATCATGAGCATCATTTCATCTCATATCGTTGACTGGAATCCATTTCTCAGCACGAACAAACCAGCTTTCCTAGCTCGCAAGGGTGAGATCTTCTTAGGGACAAACCGAGCAGATATCGGTGAAGCGTGACCACGTGACCACACCGAGTACAATTCGGAACTTTTGAGTTCAACCTTTCCTTTCCTTCTCACCATCAATGGACCACATTTGCCCACCCACAGACGTCCCTTGGAAGTCTTTCCATTGAGCCGCACTGTCACTGGCATTTCACCGGCTTATGGATAGGTCCATGTCTTGTTAAACCGGCTGGATTCCTCCTAGCCCAGTGAGGCTCCTTCCCTGGCGCTCCAGACCGGCACCGCCCCGTTGGCCCATCCACTGGAAGCCCAAGGTCGTCGTGCCTCCGAGATCATTCCATTCAAGATTCTGGGGCTGTGAACATCCCGCTACTGCAGTCAGGTCTCTGAACGAGCGCAAAGTTTCGCCCAACTCCGCAAGGCTGAGATGCCCTGCATTGCTCTCAAGCTACGCTCGAAACGATACCCCGCAGAACCCGACATTTGGATGCACCACAAATGAGGACTCGGCCACGTCAGAGTACATGGGCAATTTCGAGGCCGCCTAGTGGGACGCGCTTGATGTTGTGACTGTTCCCGAGCCGTTGAGAGGTTGAGCCTCTCTCGCTGCTCAATGGGTGTTCGTGGCCACCAGCAGGCAGCCAATACGGTCCGTACTCCAGGCTATGTCAAACCTCACAGGTTAATTCGCCCTGGTATGCACCGCCTCTGCTGCAAGTAGTCACTTGCTAAACTCCGTGCATATCCAGTCATTGTGGTTTCCTCTCCCACAGTGAGTAATCCAATGTGCTCCCCATGTTGCCCAATGTTGCACCAGATGCAAGACTAGCGCTCCTCCACCTCCGCAGCTCAGATTTTTTTTGCTGGAGCCTCATATGATTTCTTTCATTCTATCCGTGGCTCTACACACCTCAATGTTTCATCGATGGATGTCACCGAGTCACAATTAACCATTGCGCTCCACGAAGCATTCCAGTGCTATCTAGCCTTCCTATCCCATAGCCAAAAGCTTCAGGAGTCGAAACTACCCCGCCAAGGCAAGGGTGTTGAGACCACAGCAGACCTCTCTACTCAGCAGTACTACCAATCTCGAATAGCTGGAATTGAAGCTTGTCTACCTTACACAGGGAAGCTTGCGAGGAGAGTGGAGAGATGGGCCAACGACCCACCGGAGGAAGACTGCGATGAAGGTTTCGCTGTTGAGCCGGAGGTGGAGACCTTTGGTGCCTTACCAGATGGACACGACACTACGCCTTACTTGGACTTCTTTACTGGGTCCTGGGTTCATCCTATTACACTTTTCTCTCCTGGTCCCTCGAACAGTAGCGACGAGGCTAGCGCCAAGAAAATCCATTGCCAGCCTCCTGGTCAGGTAATTTATAATATATTCCCGTTTTAGAGAACATTTCACTGACTTATTCTTGACGGTAGCCGGAAAAGCGTCCCAAGACAAGTGTCAGCGAGGCAGACGAGAACGAGGATGATGAACCAGATATTAGAGGTGGAGGGCTGGATGCCAATGCAGCGTCACGAAGCAGCCTCGGCATGCACCCGAATGCACCGGTATTAGTGAAGAGCAAGTCTCCCGAGCAGTCCTACTCCATGCCGTCTAGTATAGCCCCTAGCATCAGTCAGAAGACACCAACCTCATCGAACTCTGCAAACGAAGTCGACAACGAAAGCTCCGATGAAGAATCAGACGAGGAGGATGAAAGTTCTGAAGAATCTGACGATGAGGAAGAGGACTCAGAATCAGATGAGAGTCGAGACGAATCTGACGAAAGTGAAGGGGAAGATGACAAAGTTAGCGTCAACTCCGAAATAGCTAGAGCCTTCTACCTCCAAAAAACGCGAGACGTTCATGAATCCGAATACGCAAAACGAATCCACACAACGGAGGCGAAACAAGAAGAAGTGGATCGGGAAGTAGCTCAAGCAAGAAAGCTGGCAGAACAATGGGCACGCGAAGACGAGGCTCGTCTCATAATGCAGAAGAAATACGCAGAGAGACTAGAGCGGGAGGAGAGGGAGAGACAGGAACGAATCAAGAGGGACAGAGAGGCTGCACTGAGAGCTCAGAAGGTACAAGAGGAGTGGGAGCTTGCCGCCATTGCGAGAGAGACTGCAGCTATGAGAGCTGAGGAGCGCAAGCGAAGAGAAGAGGCCGAGGCTAAGCGAGCTGCGGAGGAGAGGAAGCGAAGAGAAGACGCTGAAGCCAAGCGAATAGCAGAGGAGGAAAGGAAGTCGAGGATCGAGAGAGAGAAACGTTGGGCGGAGGAGATAAAACAGCGGAGCGCGGAAGAAAGGAGACAGAGAGAAGCAGAGCATGCTCAAAGACGCGAGAGGGATGCAGCGGAGGCCCAGAGGCGGCAAAGAGAGCGGGAGAGATTTGAGAGGATGGTTAGGGTAGATTGTCTGGCTTGTATGGAGCCGGGGGTGAGAAATGATATGGCCGTCCTACCTTGTCGACACATCTATTGCAGGGAGTGTATAAAAGGTTCGTCACCTGACCCCAACATCCCTTCTCCATCACAACTAAAGCTAATCTCACGAATAGGAGCCTTCAAGGCAGCCTACAAATCCCGCACCTCCTTCAGATGCTGCGGCATCCCCGTCTCTACCAAACTCGCCCCGATCCCCCAAATGCTCTCCTCATCATTCACTAATAAATACAACTCCCTCCTCCTCGAGCTCTCCACCCCGCACCCAAAATACTGCTCTTTACCCACCTGCTCGCGCTTCCTCCCACCCAACCTCTATCATACCCCCTCAATAACGTGCCCGAAATGCAGAACTCGAACCTGCACCCTCTGCACCAAAGCCGAACACCCAGGAGTGTGCAAGCAAGACAGAGACGGGATAAAGGTCGAGAAGCTCGCGAAAAGGAAGGGATGGAAGAAATGTCCGGGGTGTAGTCAGGTGGTGGAGAGGACGGAGGGGTGTCTGCACATCACGTGTCGGTGTGGGAGTGAGTGGTGCTATAACTGTTTGAGGGATTGGACTGAGTGTGGGAGTTCGTGTGGTAGAGGGTGAGCGATCCTTGCTTGGCATTCCTCCGGGGGAAAGCGTTAACGAACGTCCTTGCAGTGGCGAGATGGGACAAGGTGTTGATAGAGGCGAGGGAGGCGCCAATGGTGGGGCGGCAAGGGTGATCCCACTGGTTGCTACGGCGGTGTTGATGGCTATGTTTCGTGAGCGTTAGGATACTGGCAATGGTCTCTTTCCTGTTCGGGTATTTTATTTTAGCGATGGCGCTGTTGGATTTCGGTCGTGAGTGTTTTTAGCCTGGTGTTTGGGTCTTATCATTTTGCATGAGAGCATGAGGTAAAGATGGCAGTGCAAACTATATCACATGATACACGACGAGAATGAGAAACGAATAACGATTGAATGGCACTTGGGTTGAATCATATGCATTGAATTCAGTGCGCCGCAGAGCGCAGTCCTATCTACCACCAAGTCCTCGTTCCAACGTTCAAATCAAGTTCGCGCACAGTACAGACCATCCTTTCGTTTGCCATCCCCAGTGCTGCTCCAAAAATCGCTTCCCTTCGAATCAAAACAAACCAAAGCCGGAAAAAACGTATGCGTGAATGCCGGGTGTATTCCCATCTAGTTGCTTTGCAACTCGAGATACCCATATAACAAACCACCTTTCTTATGCACCCGCCAGAAATGCTTCAGCTCAATGATAACCATTCATCTTCACATCTGCTGTCGCTCCCCTCTGCGGACTCCTTCCGTCCGGCAGATCCGCCAACGCAGCCGGTTCTTCTGCCTCGTTTGGATCGCTGATGAGTCCATCCATAAAACTGATATAGTCGTATTGCGGCATGCCTCTATCCCCTTGCAGATCCGGCCCTTTGTGGAGCGGCACCACTTTGATAAGCTTGTCGATAACTTCGTCAGGCACAAGAGAATGTCGAAGGTCCATTTCGGTGACATATGGTTTGCCATCTGCTACTTCACGGAAACTTTGAAAGACTTGCTCAGCTGTGTTCTGGTCCTCGGTAACATCCACCATGAAGCGGATGAATTGTTCAAAGGTAACATAATCTTTGCCGTTTGAGGTGTCGAGGAAGTATTCATGCATTTCGTCTTCACTAAATACGAGGCCGAGTGATGCGAGCGCGGCACTAAACTCGAGTTCTTGCAGACTGTTTGTTACGTCTCGATCGAAGTGTCGGAAAACGCTTTCGAATTCTTCGAGTTGGATTGGTGTAAGGTTTGTCATGTTACGGGCTACAACTTGGTTGTCGAGGAAGGCAAGCTTTTTGGAGACGGAGTTCTTGACAAGACCAAGCTCGTAGGATAATTCGTCATATGTATAGGTTGTGAAGTCATTCTCTTCGATGTTGGCTTCCTCGCACTTCCGGTCGATATCTGCGATCTTCTCCAGATATTGGTTCATAGGCGCTAAGCTTTCGTTCAAACGTCGGACGTGTGTCAACTGATCCTCGACATCGCCTTCCAACCCAGAAATAGCCAACTGCATGGTATTGAGAGCGAGTGCAAAATCGTTGGCTTTATCGGCAAAGGATCTTCGCAGTGCATTTTTGATGCTAGAAAAGTTAGTAAACAGGATTGTGGTAGCAAATATTGGAACTTACTCTCTAATTGTTTCATTGATAAGTTGACCTCTTGCAATCTCCGCTTTTACCAATTTCGCCCATTCCTCGTCAAGAACGCTCAGTCTCAATTCTGGCGGAGGTTCGTAGGCCCGCAGCCGGTATGTGCTCAGCTTCGTCTTGATGTTGCCCAGTAGCGCTGCAAGGTCGCTCTTCTCTGCAACCCATTCTCTCTTCTTGCCTCTCTTGTAGGCACTGAACTCTGTGGCTTGCTTCTTGGCATCCACGTACGAGCCTTCGAATTTCGATTCCTGCCACCTCACACCTTGTTCCTTGATATTCTTCAACAGCTCCCTCATTCTCCTCTCATACGCACTCTCCATCTCCCAAGCACCTTGCATATTGTTGACGAACTTCTCCACCCGTCGTCCAGCATTCTCAACTTTCTCCATCTGCGAGAAGGCGTGGAACCAGTAAGCAATATATGTCATCAAACTTCTCTCATCAGGCTTCGCGACATCACACACATCCTCCACATCGAGCAGAGCCGGGATTCCTATTTCCTTAGTCGCAATGTCAAAAGCCAATTGCATGTTCCCTCGGTGGTCGCCCTTGTCCAGTGCATCGTAGTCAATCAAGTCCGGTCGATGGATATCCAATAAAGCACAGAAAGCAAGCCCGTCGTTCCAGCTGTCCGTGAAATTTCTTACATCAACCTCATCATAGCAAGCTGTCTTCCTCTGACACCAGAGGAGCAGGCCCTCCTTAGCAGTCATGCCCTCTTCATTAATATCCGAGATCGTGAATCGTAGAATCAGTGTCCAGATGAGACCAAGAATGATCTTTCGATTGCCGTCGACAACATCTTCGGCACCAATGTTGGTCATCTGTATGCCTCTTGACTTAATAAAGTCCAAGGATAGATTTGCATTCTCGAATCGCTGTACTCGTAATTTTGGTTTCGCCGCGTACCGTCCAAGGGATTCGTTCGACAGGCATTCGAGTAGATGGATGAGGACGATCTGTGACGGGAGACGTTAGTATGTGATCTGCGATTGATTCCCTTGTATACTTACTCCATCACTAAGGTCCTTCACCAGGTCTACAACGACCAATTCCCTTGGTTCGATTTTCGTGTTCAACCTGTTTACAAAGTCAGCGCTGTCCCTAATTACCACCTCTGCAAACCGTACCATTTTGTGAAGGTCTTCTGCTGGACCGTGATCCACTTCTGCTGCTCCGCAAACGCCATCTTCGCCAAGGCTTGCTCATGCGGCGGTTCAATGGCCTTCAATCCGTGATCTGCTGGTAGACTGTGTGTCTTCGTCCGGAAACCCCTTGGCCGCTTCCTCCCAAGTGGATCGTCTGTGGGGTTCGAGTCGCTGCGTTGCACACGGTTTGTGAATTGCTTCGATCGAATTGCTTCTCTCTGTAAGGATGAGCGATCGCGACGCACTCTGATGCTATTTGCAGGGGATGGCGGTAGGGTTAAGGAGGCGGATATCGAGTCGAGGTTGTTTACTTCTGCGTCACTGCCGGCACTTCCCTCGCTGGGGCAACCGCTCATTAGCGGCGAGCGGGGTGGGGTGTGCGGTTGGTAAGCGAGGAGGGCCGGGGCAGCAGCAGCCCCTGAAAAAATCTCGGCCATGTTCCTTTCGCAGCTTGCAACTTCAAGAAATCCAATATCTTCTCTCAGCCGTCGTTCTTCTCGAATGCTTTTAATGGGATGGCTCGAGGGCTATTTAAGAGGCAGATCCCCCATCCGCAGCGGAAGGATAAAGTTTGTAGGCTATGCATTTGCATAATTCTAAGCTCTGAAACTCCGTCTCCACAGCCTCCCTCCCTCCAGTCAGCGTTGCGAACAGCTCTGTACTCCTATTCGGAGTCGTCGCCAGTGTATCACAACATCCATGTTCATAACGAATCGCCTCTTATGCGTATCACCATCCTCAATTCACGTTGATCTTTCTGGGGCCGAAAGGGAGGTTTCTCTAGCTGGTGAAATTGCCGGGTTCGCAGCATAGTATTCCATCACCTAGTGCTTGTGTGTACATGATAAATTACAAGTGGTGTATTCATTCTCCAGATTTTTGTACGATCAATCTCCTGTTGCTGCTGTTGCTGCAAATTCCCAAGATCACTGTGTTTGAAGTCAGACGAGGCCTTAAACTGGTCGAGAGGGATTTTGCATGAATCTCGAGCGTTTTGAAACATTCATTCACTGTCATCCCAACAATACCTTACGTGGAGCACAGCTTCCGACGACTCGCGCTGCCCCAAACTTCTCCCAAGCGGTGTAATCGTTCCGAGTGGCTGTCCTTCGAGGGCCCCTGCCTGTCCGATGTCTGCGTTACAGTTAAAGTTCCAGAAGCTCCTCGAAACTCAATTGTTTCTGACTACAAAGTGGAAGTCCCAAGACTCATCATCGTGTGAGGTTATTGTAAAGACGTTTCTTTCGTTGTAAGATGCTTCTAGTGGGAGTTATCATTGTGCTGAATGTCCCAAGTCAATCATAGGGATTCTAGAATACTTGCCTGACAAGACTTCCCATCCGAGACAAATATGCTTTCTTTCCAAGATCCCAACAGACCCTCCAATCGTTCCTTCTTCTCTCGTCCACAGGGTCGAAGCAGATCCACGATACACGCTCCTTCCATCGAAAAGTTCCCAGATCGCACTTTCTTTATGCATGTCACGCGATCGGGCCAGCTTTTCAGTAGGCAAGAGCCTCGCGTCAATCTTCTACTATGAACACCAATTCTGGAGGATACCGATTCCAGACTATCGTCATGGACTCTCGACATACTCCTCACCCATCTAAAGACGCAATCGGACAGCAGCATACCAGCGTCCCAAGGACTGGCTATGACATTTCCTCGCCAAATCCGAGGCGTTGGTGTCTCTGGACAAGTACCTCATACGGAAACAAGAACGGCATCCGACGCACACAAGATCCAAAGCGAAAGCTCCGAGGAGAACAACAAGGCCTTCACAACACTGGCCACAAGATACAGTGCTAGTCATTTGCGCTCAAAGATGAGGTGCAATATTTGCGGAGGAAAGGCCACAGATATGATCCACATCACTTCAACACCACGCCCAGTCCTCGGTGTCTTTGAATCCGCGGTAACTGACACGTTAATACCAGTCTGCGAAGTGGGGCTCTGTGACACTCGGGGCAACGCGATTGTACATCGCTTTTGCAAGTATGGCTTACCAAAATTGGAAACAACGACCTATGAAACTTGTGGTGGCAAATCGAAGATGAAGCTGTATGCTGGCTGTCGATTTACACATAAGTAGGTCAGCCGAGAAGTAGACAACAATATAAGGTTGATGACAGGGATGGAAAATCGTGATCAGGAACTCAAATCCGAGGACCCAGGAAGAGTCCAGATCACCCCCACGGCGGTGTACTGAATCTTCATCAGAAGCTCCTGAAACACATTGTGGCCGTCAAGCTGGATCTCGGGGGTAACTTTCAGAAGAATGCAGATAACATGAACAAAACGTTGTGCAAAACTTCAAGTGTCCAAAAAATCTACAGCCTAGAACCCGAATTCTCCGCTACTTCCCAGAACATTCTACTTCAAGCCTGTTCTTCCTGTACTCAGTCAACCCAACTTGGATCAGTAACGATGTCCTCCAACCCCACTGACTCCTTCCCACTTCTCTTCAACTCTTCCTCAAGTAACTTCATAACTTTAGCCCAATACTTCTCCTCGCCTTCGACATCGCAGCCCATCTCTCTCCCACAACTAATCATGACATTAAAACCAAGTTTTGCCCCTTTTGCAAGTGCCTCATCCTCGTTTCTGCTTAGGTCCTGGAATGTCTGCCTCCAGGAGAGCCATCTGGCTATACTGAGCTCTCTGGCTGGCACTTGGTCAGAATCCGAAAATTTCAAGTTCCCCTGACCCAGTGTTTGGCTGTCAAAGCATAGGGTAAGGATCTTATGACCACAATTTTCGAAAATTGCAGCACAAGCAGACAACAACTCCACAAAGGGCACACCACCATCCCTCTTAGGCGCATCAAGCTCTCCACCACCCTCAAGTGCCTCCCGCAAAAGCCAAAGAGCAGACAACAAAGAATTAGCACCATCAACCCCAAACGCCACGCACTTCCCGATAAACACCGCAAGGTTGATCCGCTGCTTAGCAGTCAATCCCTCCTCATTCCTCCACTCCGCCAGCAAATCCTCCGCAAAATAAGGCAAATCAGTCCACACCCTCTCCCCACCCACCTTCTCCTCCTCCTCCACGCCCTCAATCCTCCTCCTCAGCGTCCCTAACTCCCTAAAATACAAAAGCAAGAGCACAAGACTATCATGCGTGGTATCTTCTGGGCTGCTGATTTTCGCGACGGAGATGACCATGTACCAGATATGATGGAGATCCGCTTCGATGAAGGCAATTGGGTCGTGATATTGGGAGAAGCTGCCGTTGAGGGCGATCATGAAGCTTTTAATCGTGATGAGGAAGGAGTTTGTGCTTTCATCTGAAGGGTGCGAGGCGATTTCGGTAGCGAAGTCAGCAGTGCATTGGCGGAGGAAGGAGGCGTGGTGGTGGATCTGTTCAGAGGTTCGTTCGGTCATTGTTTGTTGTGCGAGGATGGTGGGTTTCGATTGTGGATAGGGGTTGTGGTACTTGGGTGTGGAGGCTTTTTGATGACAGAGAGAGGCTGACTTCGGCTTTCAGGCTTCACTTGGTTGCCTGGAAATTGACAGGGATTTTGATTGGTGAGGATTGATAGAAGAAGTAGGTTTCAAATGATAAAGAATTAGAATTTGGTCTTTCCAAAATGTGCCTTCAGTGTTCGATGGAGACATCCTCTCGCTCGCTTAGCGAGTTGCTCGAAAAATGTCAACAAACCTATGAGAGTCCTACCAAAAAAAAACTGTCCAAGCACTGGCAATCCGAAACAAAACCTCAAGGACCCCGCGGGATCCCTTAGAAAACCCGGCGAATGGCTTTTTGAAGTCGCTCCACTCTGAGAGCCGTGTACCCAGGTGGGTTGTCGCTGTATAATATTTCGAGGGACGTTTTAAAAGCAGGCCTTGATGAATGTACAGTACTGTACTAGAACCTCTTCTACGTTGATACAATCTGGAACTGCGCTGTACACAAAGTAATTACGGCAGCTCTTATATCGAAAATATCCATCAAACATTATAATTTCCCTGCCCAAGCGCCACAGGAATACAAATCGCTCTGCCCTGTCCGCAAAGAAATTCCGGCAGACTCGTCGTCCTCCCATTGCCTTTAACCCTCGTCTCCAAAGCTGCAACAACCACACACACGAACCCAACAACCATAAAAACTCCCGTAAAGATCTTGTACCAAGTGGCATGTACACACGGAATAATCGTTGAGGTCGCCTTGCCGGTAACCACGTAAAAAGTATGAATGCCGATCGCCGCAATCGTGAGAACCAGGTACATGGAGTCGAATATCAACGTAGACGTTGGCAAGTAAGGAAGAGAGGGAGGGTAGTTCCACCATATATGTGTACAATCTGTTGCTGAAATGCCGAGAATGCCCCAGACGGTGACAAGCCAGAAAACGCGATAGACAATTCCTTTCCAGCAGTGAGGAGAAAGTAGGCGATCTTGGACTGTCATGTCGATTTGGCTCACGCTGAGTTGAGCGATGTTGTTGCTCACCGCTTTCTCCAAACCGGTTCCAACGAGCAACGGCTTGCCTTGACGAGTATCGTAGTTCATGAACCCATAATCACTAGTAAGCCAGAAAGCGGCTGGTAATCTCATGAGGCCCAGGCATCCCAAGGGTGTGAAAACCCCTTGTAGGCTGGCGGTGATTCTATATGCAGAGCCGGGAATCAAACTGCCGATGATCATGAATGTAGCACCAATGCCCTGGGCCGTGAGAATGAGAGATGAGGCACTCGAAGCCGACAACGGGGTAACATGAGCCGTGTCCGGTACTTTCGTCATCCAGGCCCTGCTCTTAACCATGATCTCCTCGGAGCCATCCCATCGCCCACGCTCTCCGTCCCAGAAAACGGCATTCGAGGCTGCCATGTCAGCTCGATCCCAGCTTCTCGCGCGTAGCCGTCGGTCGCCGATGATGTAGTAGCGCCAGATGATGGAGATGGGATTGAAGTGCGGGAGGCGAGCGCTCCAGCTCGGTGGTGGTGTGGAGTTTGGGATGAGAGTGGGAGACACTACTCCTCCTGCGACGTGAGCAGCGAGAGGGGCGAGACAGAGCGTGAATTGCTCGAACCATGTTGGGAAGGTGACCCCTTGAGATTGAAGAGTAAATAGGATTTTGGGAGTGGTAGCTTCACATTGCACTACAAAGAACAAAAAAAGGACGATAAGTATATCAAGCATGGTAACGTTTGCGTGGTGAGACTCAATGTTCTAGAGCAGACCAGTACAAACACAGCTGAGCGATCTGAGGCGACAAAGTTCGGTGTGAACAGAGTCAAACACAACAAAGGCGGAAGCAAGGAGGCTATTTGAACAAACGATGAAGACGAAGCGTGAGCGAGTACCACGGGTGAAAAAACGGCTCCATAACTTTAAGGTCACAAATCGAGCAAAGAACGGGATTTATTGGTAGTCACGGACAGGTCAGGTCTCCTCTGAGCAAGAAAGCCTCCTCCGACACTCTGCTCAAAGACCAGTGAGCGGGGTAATGGAGAGGCGAAACTGGAGCAGTGTGTGGCATTGCATATATGTGGTGAGTTTCATTGGAGAAATAGCAGCGGCAGCAGATGTACTGCTCCATATCTTCGTTGAGTGACTCTCTGATTGAAGATAATTCGCTGTGGATTAATATTGGTGGCGAGCTGAAATGCAGTAGATACAGAAAGCGATAAGGATCAAGTGATCAAGCGATTTTCGAAGCCGGTTTTCGACTTTTGATGTCCGACTTGGCACGGGCCACCCCACCAAAAATCGCAAACACCCACATACCACCCCACATACTATATCCTCTCCCTGTGCCTCTATGTTGCATGGCAACTGGGTGCTAGTGGTCACGTGTAGGCTCACGTGACTACATTCCTGTATTTAAGCTTTGGCCACTCGTGCCACACCTCTCTTTCCTCCAGATCTATCTATATATTATTATTACAATACAACAACAACGTTTTATTGTAACACTCTATTACTACTTCAAATATTTACTCTCTTTAATTTCTCTCTCTCTCTCTCTCTATCTCTATATATATATTGTGACGGCTGGCGTAAGGGCATGATCTGCCAAGGACAGGATATCGGAAACAGGCACAAAACGAAGCTAAGCCAGGATTGCTTGGACGGAACAATACTAAAGGTCGAGGCATCCTCCCTACTTTGTTCCATAGCTTAGTATTTTCCAATACATGAGATTCTTTGAACTTTGAGCCTTCGACCATTGCATTGATCCCGCCGTCACATATATATGGGTAAGAGAGGGGGCTTATGGGAGGAAATGGGGGGGGAGGGGGGTTAGGGCAAAGTGAGAGGACTTAACTAAAAATTTATATTACTAAATTTTTAGTACCTATAGCCTATAATTTAGCGATAAGTAGCCTATAATTATAGGGCCTCCTTTTTCTAGCAAGTCGTATCCCTCGAAGCTCGCTTTTCGCTTTTCGCTTTCTACTTTTCACTTTTCACTTTTCATCTACTCACTCGCCCTCTACCCCCCCCCTTCCCCTCACCTCTCACCCCTCTCTTATATATATATAAATAAGAATTAAAGAGAGAGTAATATTTTAAGTAGTAATAATAGGTAGAGGTACAGGGAGAGGGGGCGTAGTAGATGGGCGATTTTTGGTGGGGTGAGCACAGGCCAAGTTGGACATCAAAAGTCGAAAACCGGATTCGAAAATCGCTTGATCACTTGATCCTTATCGCTTTCCGTACTTATGGCTTTCCGTAAGTAGAGCAGCGTGAGATAGGTGCATTTCCGCCACGAGACAGTTGCCCCACCCCTGCACCACGCCAGCTTCAATACTTCAGAAAGCTCCAAAAATTTAATGCAAAGAGCCGTGATTGAGCAGACTGGCTGATTAGACTTGTTCTGAGTAAAATGTCATCGTCGAGTTGAGTGATAAAAACGGCTTTGTGAACAGAGCAAAGAAGCGTTAGCCTTCTTCATTCACCGTGCTGGTGATGTTGAGATTGTATGGAAGACTTACGAGATGCGAGTTGAAGGTATTCATTAATCATTAACCTACGTCTTACACCATTTGAGTCGCGAGTAATGCAACAAGGAAAACAAGCATTTTGCTGCTACAGTAGGAAATCAAGCTCCCCGGCCTTACCTGGGTGGCCTCACAACTGCCTCCTCGCATTCTCACCTAGAAGAGCTCTCCAGATCTCCTGCTTCCTCTTCACCCTTTCCTCTGTCCACGACCTTTTAAACCAAGGCCGCCATCCGTTTGCGCCCTCTTTCTGAGCCCTCTCACCTGAATAGAACATTTCTTCGGGAGTGGCTTCGTAATTATTCAAGCACTCCCTCCAAATTTTGTTGATATTTGGCTTCTCTAACCACCAAGTCAGCAGTTCTTGATTAACTGACCTACACCCTACCAGATAATGCAGAGGCGTGTTCCCGTGCACATCTCTTTGCTCTACCCCAGTGATCCCATTGTCCCAGAGGAACTTGACAACAGCAGTCTGCTGCTCAAACTGCAATCCAAATACAGGATCGCAGCTTCTGTCAGGGGCACAATGGGCATAGGGGTCATTTCTTGCATGGAGATCTCGAGTTTCATGAATACTCTTATAGATGACCTCTGAGTGGCGTTGCACCTCAAGTGCATCGGAAGGCATACACGCAATGTGTAATAACGTATGACCAAGCGCCGTAGTTCCCGCATTTCTCAGCGGGACCTTCGACGAAACGTGTTTGAGGATGTCTAAATTCAACGCCGCAACGGCGAAGTGAAGGAGATGCACCCCATAAATTGGAGTTCGTACCTCGGCATTAGTTTCTGGATAACTGCAAAGGAGATCAAAAGCATATTTGTTGAAATTTTCGCTGTAAATGACTGTGGCCATGAGAGGCGTGAAGCATCGAGTTGGATTCGCAAGAGGCATGACGTTGGGATCGAGATCGATATCGAGGAGATGTCTGAGCATGTCATTGTCTCTGTTTTGAATTGCAGCATGCAATGGACTTGATACGCTGAGGCTGCTCTCGGATGGCGGGTCTGGGACGTAGAATTGGGGCGACATCCAGAAGCTTGCATCTGCACCCGCTTCTAAAAGCATGTCGAACATGTCGATTGAGCCATATCTTGCAGCTTCAACAAGAGAAGGCATCGACTCCCCATGGTGATAGAATGCTGTTGGAGTAAATGCTTCCTCGCAAAAAAACGGTTGAGTACCTTCGTAGAGCCGATCCTCAACTTCCTCCAAAGTGATGCTTGAGATTTGGGGGAGATCCATGCACTTGAGCAGTTCCTCCCTACTCGCCACATCTCCTTCTTCATCTGTAAATGCTGGAATCATTGGTCTGAATCGCAGGAAGAACGCCGCATAGTCTTCCATCACCTGCAATGGGACCCCATTCGGATTCGCTCCAGCCTCCAACAGCGTCGACATGTTCTCGTGTAGCCCCTCACGAATGGTTTCCATGAGAGGGGTTGTGATCCCAACCTTACTGCCACAGAGAACCCGAATGCTGTTTGGCCCAAATTCAGATGACATGTCTGAGACTGGAAAGTCGGGCATAGGAGCGTGGGGGAGCATGGAGAGCGCAGTCTCTCTCCGATTTGCGACCGCTTTATTGATTCGCTCGTTGTAGATGTTGTTGCCATCTGAGAGTACAGCTTTCAGGATACCTGGATCAGGGTCCAAGGCTGCTCTCATAGACGGCGAAAGAGTGTATTGACTGTGCACGCAGTGAGGGTTGGTGTAATGATCAGGGAGGATGACAGTGTTGGTATGTGGGCCATCGGAAAGCACACTTTTGAGAAGACATGGATCGAGCTCTGTTTCGACGTTCAGGGACGGTTTCGTCAATGACGGAGGACTTGGGTCTCTTTGCTCATTGTTATTCTCGTCGAGAAGAACGAAGCTGACGGGGGAATGCGGATCATCGATGTCGAATGATTCCAACGACAATGTTGCCGAGGAAGCGCTGGGAGACGCCATTCGTGACCTACCTGGCTTACCTCCTCGATGAGGACCACAGGTTTTATACATGAGGTTGTACGTGAAAGCTGAGAGTGAGTGAAGGAGAGTGAGGCTGCGGCTGCGGTTGCCTTGAGTCACCGGCCGGAGTGACATGCAATCTTGCAAGGCGTGGGCAGGGATGTCTCTTCCACCACCCCGGGCAACAAACTGTCCTCCTCCATCTCTTCACCTCCCTCGTTCTCTCAATCAAGCATCACTGACTGATGACACACCGGGTCGCTTCTTCTTGACCCAATATTGGACAGCGGTTATTCTCTGTGGGCCATGCGGTTCTTAAGCCTCAGTGGCCAATGAAGACATTCATGCGTCAGCCTCATTCCTCAATTGCGGTGTGTAGGGGGCGAGACAGAGGAAATAGATACCATTTGTCAGTTCAAATGTCCAACATGTTTTCCGCGCTTTATTGATACGACCTCACGGCCTCCAATAGTTTTTGGCAGGGCCAAGCTTCACTCTTTGGGGTTCGTGAATTCCCACCTCGGCGAAGGATTTCTCGCCCTTCTTCACGGTATCAAACCGATGAAAGTCCTGGAAATGCCTCGAAATCCAAAGATGTGAACCAGTCCATGCTGTCGGGCGCAGAAGTGCAGCTGCAGCTCGTGAATGACTCTTGCTCTGAACTCATCCTCGATGGTATCGAGGAGTTACAAAGTGCTCACGGAGATGTCAAAGAACGAATTGGACGCTGGGATTCGTGAAGGTCGTCTCATTTCATTATCATTATTGCCCAGTTCTAGAATACAATGAAACCCCAGAACACCAATTACCTTGCTTCTCCTTTTCGCCGAACACCATCTTAATTCATCATCACACTCTCCTGTCTTCCTCAGGCTCTAGTCACCCCCTCTCAAGCCGCATGTTTCTCAGCCCTGCCACTTGAATCTGCTCTCACGAAACATGCTCACCATCCCAGTTGGCAACAGTCCCTTCTCGACAACATTCAGCCCACCAAATCGAGACATCATGTCTGGTGCATAGAGCTGAATGATCCAGCGGTTGTAGGAGTTCATGCGGCCCCGGGTATTCTCCTGCACTCCTCTCGGCATTCCACCTCTGCCCCGACCACGACCTCGTCCACGACCAGCAAAGCCAGGCGGAAAGCCAGGCGGGCCACCAAGAACATTTGCAACATCAGTCGTGACAGTCACCTCGTCTTCAACTGGCTCTTCAATCAACTTGCTGTACGCCGTATACAGATGCTTGGATGTTTGCTCGCGATAGCGAGTGAACTCCTCGAAAGTCATGAAAGACTCACTGTCGAGGAAGCTCTTCAAGCTGAATGTAGTGGGACGGCCTGGAACGTTACCTCTCTCAAAATTCGCCTTGGCAACTCGATATTCCTTTTCCTCATCTAGGAAAAACTGGTCCAAAGCTGCGTCCGGCTTCTTCATGATAGTATCACGGATCAAGTAGAGATTGACGAAGGGGCTTTTCAAGTCCAAGCCGCCCATGGACATTGGGAAATAGAGGTAACCCTCGGGAATGTCGTCAACCTCGAAGCGCTCACTAATCATGTTCTTCAGGGTAGATGTTACACTACCACCAGTAGAAGCGAAGAGCTTGGACTGAATGCGCGAGAAGGTTTCAAGCATCATGTCGACATGAGAAAGGCCGAAGCAATTGGCTGGCTTTCCGAAATTGTTTGTGAAGAATCTGGCTCCATAGACATTCCAGGCTTGGATCCAATCGAAAACCGACTTACAAGCTTCCAGTTGACGTCGAAGTTCTTCGATATGCGTGTCGACATTTTCTTGGTCAATGAGGAATCTGCCAATCGCACCGTCGAGCTTAAGGAAGCCCCAGCGTACATCGCCCTTCGGAAGAGAAGAAGGAGTGTTGGAGGTTATCCCAGGCCGTCGAGTAACTTTCACGCTGCCAGTCTTCGACTGATTGAAGTTGAGACCCGTCAACTGGGAAAACTCGGTCATGACCTTCCAGCCTTTGACACAAGTCTTCTCAGGACCCCAGAACAAATGTCATTATGGAGTCGATACATACGAGCACCATCTGTCAACTGATTGAATGCAAAATCCAAGCAAAACAGAACGGTTTCACCCAACATATCACTCATGGGACCGCTGATAGGAGTGCCTCTCTTCCGAATCATGACAGGAGCTTCATTCCCATCGGCGATAAACTTCATGGGTGCTTCGAGAACGCGGTGGAAGAAGTTGAGCCAGCGATCGCAAACTCGAAAGTACTTCAAGACGGAGAACATTGTAGAGTGAGGAAGTGACGGACCGAACCATTCAAAATCAGTTCGGACAACTGTCATCTCTTCTCCAAGGCGGGTTTTCATGATGATCTCGGAGGCGAGCGTGTGTAGCAGTGTCTGGGTGATTTGTTGGCTTGACTTCCGAGTGTCTCTCTCATCAACACTATCATCACCATAGCCTCCGCGCCTCTCGTCGATCTCCTCCGCAAGCTGCTCCAGAAAGATCTCACCCTCGAAATGACGACGGCGGATCCCCTCAACGCCTTCAGCCGAAGCACTATACATGCCCTTGGGTCCAAGGAAATAGTCCCGACGCTTCTGATCCGCCGAGGGCACCGACCGCGAAGAGGATTTCCAAACTCCCTCACTGGACTGGAACGCGGTCAAAACAGACTTGAAGTGAACCGACCATTTGACTCCAATGTAGCGCAAGAGGATGGCCTGAAGCAGGTCTTCGTCGTGGTAGAATCGATATCTCCCGTTCAACTGTCTGCGAATTTCGACTTGAGAGCCCGCCGGGTCCCAGTGCCACTTGTCGAGTGATGACATTCTCATGTTGAGCACATCGGCAACCTCACCGAGCACGACCTTGTTGTTCAAGAAGTCCTTGAGCACTTTGCGCTTCTCATCGGTCACAAGATCGCTCCGCAGAAGACCTTCAATGACCCACTTCAGGGAAGTGTCATCAAAATGAACTGCTGAAGCCATCTCCTTCTCAAAGTGAACAGTCGAAACCCACAGAGTGTCGAAGGCGAATCGTACAGCTTTGTTGGTCTTGAATAGCTTGTCGAGGTAGAGATGGATTGCAGTTTCATCAGTCTCACAGGTCTTGAAAACATACTCCTCCCACTTGGCACGCTGTTCATGCATCTCCTTTCGCCCCACAGGCTCGAAATCAGATCCTCCATCCGACGCGTCATTGTCCTCGGAGACCGAGAGCCATTCGTTGACAAGCCTGCCGTACAACGACGCATACTCGAACTTCAGAGACTGGATGTCCAACGCCTTCCCCAGCTGAGCCTGCCAGTCTTTCTGAAGCTTTGTGGAAACCGAAGGATCGCTATGAGCTTGTTCAATGAATTGCTTGATATTCTTGAGACAGAAGATCGGACTGTCCTTGACGTTGCTCATGGAGTCGAGGTGTTCGATGCCTTCGAGGAGCTGTTGTACCTTCTTGCGTGGGTCAACCTCATGGTTGACGACGGTCAGCAAGTCAGACTTGGCGGCTTCGAAGGTGGCTCGCTGGCTGCTTATCTCATCTAATTTAATAGATGTGATAGAAGAGAAGGTCTGGGAGAGAATGTCGGAAGAAGCCATGATGCAGAAAGAGGCTGTGTGGGGGGGACCAACAGATGTGAGGACGAATGAGCAGAGGTTGTTCGGAACAAGTGAAGGTGTGCGCCAGTTACCAACAGAACTGAGAAAGAATGTGAAGGAGTTGGTGTCCGTGTTGATATTGGTTGGGATTGTTGGTGGGAGGAAGTTGTTGAGTGGGATGAGTTAGAAATCTAGGTTGAAAATGAAAGGGAACTGCTCCTACTTATAGTAAATCTGGGAACTGCTAAATTTATATTGTACCATAGTTCCCTAGTACATTTCATTTGGATGATATCAACATGACAGGGGTCGGCGAACCGAATTCGGCACAGCCGGCCTGAGTCACAGAGGGCAACAACTTCAATCCAAGGCGCCTTGTCTCCCCGCTCAAGAAGTTTCGGAAAGAACAAAACTCGTAGAGCTGAAACCAATTCCGTCAATATAGTCGAGTTCTGAGCTGGAAACGGAAACCACCAGCCTGATCACGTCTCCAATTCTTAAGCGAGCCTCTCCCCTTTTTCAAGCGAACAATCGTTGTGAAGGCCACCGTACATTCCAAAAGTGTAATTGTACAATCTTCGATACGGAAAGACTTGATGAGGAAGGCTAATCTTCATTCCATCAATGACTCAATTATCTTGTCATAGACCTACTTTTCGACCGGCGCAAGGCAGCCAGTCAGAACTGAGCAAACACCTCAAACTCTCAAGCATGCCGAGCAAACATCTCAAACACCCTCTCTCTCAGCCTCGTTCTCGACCTCACCCACCACCATCCACGGTCTCCGGCATCACAGCTCTCCTCCAATGACCCTCCCCACCGCATCTGAACTCATCTTCTCCGAGCAGGCCAATCACAACTTCTCCAAAACTCTTGGGGAGCTCAAACGCTCCACTCTCTCCATCCAAAACCGGCTCCAATCGATCCAACACGATGCAGCCTTTGCACAGCTGGTGGCGGATGCCTACTGCAGACCGCTGATCGCGAACGAACGATGTGGAAGCTGGTACATTGCTCCCGAGAACAAGGGAGGGAGTGCATATTTCAAAAGTACGGACGGGCACACGGGCGTCTGGAAGTTCAGTTCGAGGAGGCTAAACCTACATCTGCTGGAAATCATTGGGAAGCATGATGGGTTCGTTGTACCGTCTGGGAGACGAGAAGCTAGCTGAAACGGTACTCACAGGTGCATCATTGTTGATTCTACAAGGCGTGGAAAGCGTGCGTTCTTATGTTCCTGGGCCGTTGAATGGTGCTAACTGGCAGTAGGAATGCCTGATGCTCTGAGTAAGACGATCCCAATCTGGTGTAGCGTCCTCAATTATTTCTTCTTTCCCCAAGAACCCCAATTCCACGAATTGTATACGCCTCCACAAGTTGTCTCTCAATCCGAACACGCGCAAATTGCCGCTCTCCTCCCCTCATTCCTGGTTGCGCTGGAAGCACTCAGCATCCCGGTTGCCGAATTCAGATACCACGTCACGAAACCTCTCCGTCCAATCTGGGTCACGCCAGACTCAAACGTCACACCGACTTCTAGCATTTTCGAAGACTTCCACCCGGTGATTTGCTGTACTGTCTCGCGGAGAGTGGCAGGCGGGGAGCTCACTGGGGGAGGATACATACAAGGCGCAGGAGATGATACGGAGAACTGGGCTCATAGGCTCTCGCCGCCTATTTTCTGGACAAACAAAGAACTCTTGCTCTCTACACCAGAGCCTGAGTTGCCTGATCTCATTGAGACATTGGTGACCCGAGCAGCTGCCGTGGGAACTGCGGGAGGGCATATGAGATGTTTGAAGCCGACTTCATGTCTGTTCATATTCACAATCGTAGATCTCCTGAAGAACAACATGGCTCCAGCTGCGTTAACGGTCCTCTTGCTCCCGAAAATTACGAACGAAGATACGTGGCATACATCTTCCACCCGGTTGGATGTTGGCCTCGGTCCCCACAAGCTAGGTAGCCGGAATCTCCGCACAGCATTGCCTTTAATCATTGATTTCTTTCGAAGATCTCTGACTCCTCAAAAGACCGCGGCGGGCCAGGAAGATCAAGCAAAGATGAAAATCTTCATTGCTTGTGAAACCGGGATGGACCTGTCCATCGGCGTTGCTCTTGCGATTTTGTGCCTTTTCTTTGATGACCAGGGCAATCTGTTGCGAGAGCCAAGTCAAGGGACCAATATTGATAAGAACTTTATCAGGAGTCGTTTTGGCTGGATCTCGACCTCGATGCCAGATGTAAACCCTAGTCGGGCAACTCTGCAAAGCGTCAATAGCTTTTTAATGGAAAGGCCTAAATAAATTTGGTTCATCCCTCGTTGTGGCATGCGTATATTATTATGGTGCAACTCGACTTAAAAGCATTACCGATTGTGACTCTTCAACATGCTTTGGTTATACAATGAATTCAAAATTTGAAGTACATTGAAATCAACTAACCCCCATCCCCCCTTTGACTTAGTGAATCTCATGTCGCATCTTTGAATTTATGCCAATTTCAATCTCGCCGAGATACGGTGAATCAGCCTGATGGAGTACATTTCTTATGGATGTTTACTTCTTTGACCCAGGCTTTTAGGGATATTCAGGTAGATGCCAACGCTCTTTCTGGGTCCTTGCTACAAACCGCCAGCAGCAATGATCGATACCCGATACCAGACCGACACACTCTGCCACGAGCGATGACTTCAGTGCAGCTTTCCAGCGCAACCCGAAGGCGTCGCGCAGGATAAGCATCTGCCCTTCCTCGAGAACAGCCAGGCTGGACCCATGTCCGCACTTGGCAATCCTATAGTTGATATGGAAGTTGCCGAGCCCCAAAACAACATCTCCCGAGCCTCAGTAGCCGCTGATGGCGGTGCTTCGATTAGTACTGAAGCTGTGGTCCTCCACAAGAGCATCCAATCCTCTCTAGCAGCTCTGCATGGCACAGTAAGCATCACCCTCCCCTGCTCCCTCACAGCATTCGGAAAATCTCTCAATAAGAACTTGTCCCCAGAAATTCACCTCCTTATCTTTGATTACATCGACAGTCCAGTGGCATCAGCATGTCTCGGGCTCACCTGTAAGGCCTTCTATAAGATCCACCGAGCGAGACGTGGAAGAGTTTCCCTCAGAGATTATATTATCTACGGGCCACCCGAGAAGGATTGTCTCACAAACCTCGGACTGCTTCTCAAGAACTGTATTCCCTCCCATCTCGCGTTCGACTACAAGGACGGAAAGTTTGTCACTAGTACCACCCTTGCTAAGCACTTTATTGCCCGGGAGGATCACGAGCTTAGACTTACTGGGCTGCTCCGTTATGCAGACAATAAGATCTCTGAGGGTGAGGCTCGCGAGGAGGAGTTTAAATCAATTCTCAAGGAAAAGGACCGGGATGTGTTTGTATGTTTGGACCATATGGAGACATGTGAAGAAATGCACAAAGCTCACGAGGCAGAGTCGGCGGTGCGTATTGAGCGGCTTGAGGGATAACTTAAGATGCTCATGGAAGGCTCGGGATACAGGGAGCGAGAATTGGAGCGCGAACAGGACGAGGCATTCTCGGGAAGGTGGGGATGAATTGGAGGTGAATTAGGTGCGTGATGGAGGGGAACGGCGATAGGGGTCATCAATCCCTTTGTATAGGCATAACGCACATTGGTACGGAACGTGACTTTATGACTTTAGAGATAATAGATCAGAACAATGGATGTTGACTTTTGCATAATAATACTTGTCCCCTTTCGACGCTTTTCGAGTAAGTTGGCCTTTTGAAAAGCCCATGAGAGATTGTTGGCCAGCTCCCGGGCATAATGTGCGACTCATTCAGCGAGACAAGGAGAACCATTTGCTAAGATATGCTTTTAATTCAGCTCTGGGCACCTGTCAGAGTGTCTTTAGAATGGGGAATACCACCATTGCTTTGGTCATCTCAACCGACACTTGACTCCCCTAAAGCCTGCAAGTTTGCACAAAGATATCCTTTTGAGTGAATGACAAACTATACTAAGAATTTAGGATATAATACGGAGCTGCTTACACAGCGAATTGAAGAACTTCAGTCTATATTTATAAGATGAGAGTGTCTTGTAGCTACATTTAGAGGAGAAATTTACAATAGCTAGCAGAAGGGACAATCTCCAATGTCCCAAGTCAAAGTATCCCAAGTCAAAGCCGAACAATGTCCTGGACATGATTTCAAGGAGAGTACATCAATATCCCAGAACTTCTGGGGCAGTGGAACGAGGGTGATTCTTGATAGTACCGAAATGTGTGTGAAGGGCTTTTGAAAACAAAGTGGTTGAGTCTAGTTTCGGCTAAGGACGTAGAAAGGGAGTGCCGCTTTTCCTGTCAAATGCGATAATAGTGTTATAAATATGAATTTAGAGATAACATTGATGTATGAGCCGGTGCCGCCGCCCATTTTGTTTACACATAGATCGGCTACGTCTTTTTCACCGACGATCGGCCTCTCCCTTTCTATTCAAAACCACGACGGGTCCAATACAACCCAAAACCACAACAAGAGTCACAAAAAATCAAACATGCCAGCCTCAAAGTACGGCGGCAGTCGCTTGTCCAGTCTCGAGCAGGAAGAATGTCCCCCAGGCTTCTGGAGAAATTTCATGAAGGCCTTTCACGAGGCAAACTCCTGCAAACTCCAAGCAGTAAAAGATAATCAACTAAAGGGTCTAATGGCTTTGTCCTCTGGCAAAAAGTCGATTTCAGTTATTGTTGCTGCTACAAACGGGCTTGTCCTCGACAACATTGAGCAGTTGACCAAAGCTGCAAGAAAGAGAGGTATGGCTCCCATCTCGGTGTTTGAGATGTCTTTGATGATTAGTGCTAAGCCCTGACCTAGAATTCGAAGCACGCGCATATCTGACCAGATGCCCACCAGAGGTCCACTTGCTCATCTTCGAAAACCTCGATGCCGAATCCTCAACGTGCCTCGGTCTATCCTGCAAGAAGTTCTACGAAACCCACCGCTCTATCCACGGCACGGTTCCACTTTGGACGGGATGTTGCTTGGCCCCCTATTACATGACCCCACCCGTCTCAGGGCTTTGGCACACGCTGAGGAATTGGTTCCCCGCCCATCTTCACTACAACTGGGAGACGGGAAAGTACGTGACGGAGAAGAAGTTCAAGAAGATGAAGAAGGAACGGAGGGAGCATAGGGAATGGAGACAGGCGCGCAGGACCAGGGCCAAATACCATGGAAGGTATCGAAGGTGACTTGCGAGACGAGGCGAACTCACCATGGAGGGACGGTGAAGAGGGAGAAGGATACGAGATCACGTGGGGTTTCCAAAAATAGGTCACGAGCAGAATGGATCCTGATTTGGTCGCGAGGCAAAGCCATGCGAGCAGCTCTTCTCAGATCAGTCTCCTTCGAGGTTTAGTCTGGTCATTCGCGACCTCCTTTCCGTGACTGGTTGCTGAAGGAACTCAGGGGGGTAGAGTCTGAGCGCTGAGCGCTGACGTGAGTGGTCACACCTGTTGCAGTGAGGGCGGTCTTCGGCGTGCGACTGGCCAGCATCGAGTTGGTGTGCCCACCAGCCTGTACGAAATCAACGAATTGACGTGTTTCTCTACCAAATCAGTCTTCAATATGTGACTAGGTTGCAGAAAGTGACCTGACCAAAATGAAACATGCCTTGATTTTCAGATCCTCTACGCACTGGAGTGTGCACGTGAGACTTTGGCTGAGTGACCCAAAAGTCCCTAGGATGCATTTCAACGAAAAACAAAATATGTAGGATAGCCTTGGGTTCTGACAACCTCTGAAGAAGCATCTCATCCATCCGCATGAAGATTGTGAAATAGACCGACCTGTACCTCTCTCCCCATCCACATCGCGAGAACGACTGAGCTGTCGCGAACGTAAAATCAATATGCCGTGGTTGTTCGGAAGCAGCAAAAAACATAAATCCAAACCTAAGCGCTCGTCGCGAAGGAGCGCTAGACCAGTCGAATATGAGAACGAGCCGACATACTCATCCTATCCCCCTCAGTACTCGACTGGGTATCATTCGTCGTATCAATATGAACCAGGTTTGCGCTTTCTCGCTCCAGAATCATCGCCGGCACTGATCGTTCCAGCTCCTTCTAGCAGGCCGTATCTCACTTCCTTGCCACCGGAGCTCAAATACAACATCATGGAGAACCTTGATCCAGTATCGTCAGCTTGCCTTGGCCTGAGTAGCAAGACTTTGTATCCGTACCATCGCAAATCTCACAGGAAAGTCGGTTTATTCGAATCCAGTCGTGAACATCCATTGCCACTCTGCTTTTCAATGAGAGTCCCATCGCACCTGGTGCTCGACTGGGAGTCGGAGAAGTTTGTGACGAGAGAGAGACTCGCTGAGCTTGAATCGAAGCGGAGAAAAGAGTCTCGAGATTATTGGGATGCGAAGAAGAGGACCTATGAGGACTATGAGGGAAGGCGAGGCCATGATCGAGGGCATGGACGCCATGAGCGCGGCCATGAGCGCCATCATGAGCGCCATCATGAGCGAGCGTATGATCGCGATTATGACAGCAGATCCTATTCTAGGAGACGATAGAGCACTTGCATAGGGAGGGAGCATTGACATTGCGACGGAGTACGAGAAGGGGGTTCGATATAGAAAGGGAATCAGGGATTGTGCATTGGGTTTTCATTGGGCATTGATTGCCGAGCTTTCTTTCTGTATACTTCATAACTTTCCTCTCCACTGTTCAATACTGTCGCACTTGGTTCTGGAAATCAAATTGCAGCAAGGGCGGCTTCTTCTTGTAATGACCTTGCTCAAGGGAGTCAGTTTTCTTTTCATGGGCGTTCAGACAAACGATTGAGAGTGATATGAAATAATTCATTAGTGAGGTTCGACCGACAGTTGGCAAAACGGGAGCTTTACACACTGCAAAATGTCCGAGTCAAGAGGAATAACATCGGTTCTTACATGCGCCGCACATGATGGTGATGGTTTTCATGGAATCTGAATCGGAAAGAGGGAAAAGGGATGCAAAAATCGAGGGCAGCTATCAAAAATACAGCAATTTCTCGAAACGCTTCGACGAGGTCCACAAAACATTGGGGATGCAGACCAGAATCAATATATAGCAACTTAGGGAGACCAACAAATCCCGAAAAGGATGATAAGATGACATAAATACGCTATAAACCCTTTCACTTCCCTATGATGAGGGTTGGTCAAAACGAGGGGCTCGAAATTTGGATGTCACTTGACGATTTCGCACATTCCGTTTCGATATTCCCCGGAAATGCTAGAGCCGGACTGTGTGTAGAAAGCTTCTTTCTTTGGAATTGAAACTGGCGTATAGAGATCCAAAAACTTCTATGTTATGATAACGTTAGATTCCCTGCCTAATGGTGATGAGGACAGTACAAACTGTTGTTTACTTTGAGATTTTCTTTTCCGTATCGAAAACGCGTGTGAGCAGAGCTGCCTGAAACGCAGAGAGAATTGCATAATTTGAAAGGTTTCTCGCAACGAGATGAAGCATATTAAGTTCATGCTCATGATTGGGAAGAAGGTTTGAATTCTAGTGAAGTGGACGTTGAATTAAAGAGGTGAAGCATGTATGCGTTGTCAATTTTGATAGCCCTGTCCCGCACAGACCACCAGTTGATTCAAAGCCTAGGACCTCAGCCTTGTGAAGGGAATGTGAACTGCATCCAAAACCCAAAGTCAAGGGGAACATCTATCCGCAAAGTCTAGACTCTCACCTCCTTCGCACGCTTTCATTACAAACGAAGCTCTCACCTGCATTACACCCACATCGAACCATCTCCTACGATCTTGCCATGACGGAAAACTTCGTCCCCCCAGCCCAGCAGCGCAACCTCCGCGCCTGCATGGTCTGCTCCATCGTCATGACACAGAACGTTCGTCTCCATTTACTCCCTTCGACCCTTCACCTTTTGCATTGCTGACTACTCCAGCGATTCGTCAAAGAAGGCTGCCCTAACTGCGAAGAATTCCTGCATCTTGAAGGCAGCATGGACGCCATCATCGACTGCACATCCCAAGTCTTCGAAGGGCTGATCGCTCTGGCAGATCCGAGTAAGAGCTGGGTAGCAAAATGGCAGCGGTTAGATGGATATGTGAAGGGTGTGTATGCGACGAAGGTCAGTGGGCAGCTGCCGGATGAAGTTGTGGCGGTTATGGAGGATGAGGCGAGGATTAAGTATATTCCGTAAGTGTGGACGCTCTATGAAGAGGGAAGTAAGTGCTGATGGTTATGCAGACGTGACGGAAGTGCTACGGAAGCGGATTGAGAGGTTTACGGGGTCATAATGGGAGCCGACTCGACTGGGTATTGGAGGGAACGATGAATGGTGGGGTTCTGATGTATTAGATTTGGGAAGCATCACACGGAAAAGCGGATTTGGAGTTTATGGAGTAATGAATCGAAGTTTGAGATCTATCCTCTACAAGAAAATGCAAATGGTATCAACGTGACGCCAGAAACCCCGTTGCGCCTGCATGATGCTTCTTTTCCGCCGACGGTCTAGAATCTGGGCTTCTTTTGTGGAGGTCCTCCAAGACCTGATAGGCCTCTTTTGCTCTTCTGCTCCATTTCTTCCCTCATGATGCGTTCTGTTTCACTCATCTTTTTGGGCTGTTCGAGAGCAACGGCTTTCTTTCCCCCTAGGGCATTTTTCTTTGCCGCGGAAAAGACGTTCTTCGGCTTAGCTGAGAATCCCATCTTCAAGGAGACCTTTCCAGCGGCTGGTGTGGTCTCAGTCGCTAGGGCATCTACTGGCTCTGCTTGGGGGTTCTCGACGGTTTTGTTCTCCCGGGTGGCGTCATCCTTCGACGAGCCAGCAGAAGCTGTGGCTGCTAGAGGAGGCGACACACTCTCGATGCTCTTTGCATCTGCGGAAGAAGGCTCCCCCTTTGAGTTCGCAGGCTTTGCGCCAAAGCTCAGCTTTATCTTCTGGCCCTCTGCACGCTTCAACTCCCTCTTGGGCTCATCCAGCTCTGTCTCCCCACGTTCTTCAGCATCTTTCTGGGCTCGCATGACTTGCTCCTTGATCAGTGCCTGCTCCCTCTCCTCATCTCCCCTATCCTGCCTTTCCTTCTTCCGGACCGCGTCCTGCCGCCGTAGAGCCTCTGGACTATTATCAATCCACGCAACATGAATACCCTTATCATCCTCCTCCACCCTACAGATCCCCTCCCTTCCCAAGAACTTCGCAAACTCTGTCAACGAAGGCCACTTTGTAGCGTTCATATGCACATGCTCCTTATTCGAGATGTATTCTTGGTAGAAGTGATTGAGCTGGACCTTCTTCTCACCGTGAGACGTTCGCAGAAGCTGGAGGAAATCTCGTTGAAACTGGCCGCTGTAGTCGCTGATAAACTTCTTGGCGTTCTCACCCACGACGAGCATCTGTCGGACATGCGACTCGGACTGTGTATGCATCTTGAAGCCATTTTCATCACGCATTTGGCGCTCGCACACCTGGCAGTACCATCGTAACCGCTGAAGTCCCTTGGACTTGAGCTTGTTGTTGAGATACTTCGTAGATCCTACTTCAGCTTTCGGCATCTTGACTGTTGTGGAGGTCTCAAGGTTGGAGGACAATGATGTTAGCTTATGAAGACGAGGCAAGGCTGGTGGCGTTCGGTTCAGCCGACGCTAGGCCGCTGATGGACACCCGTAGTTACGACTCACACTTCCGGCATTACTGACACTCTTTCCTTAACTTTTGACATCCATCCAAATATATCTCCAATGTATTGCATCTGCCTTTATTTACTTCTGGCTGCTTTATAAAGTCCTGTTAATGCTGGAAACGCTACAAACAAAGCTCTTCGATTAGCAACCATTTACATTGTCCCTCCTATTTTTGGATTAGTCGGGCAAAACCTCAAATTGGACGCTGCCATCTTCTGCCCATATTCTTGTGAAGTTTGTTTTTGCATGATTCCTTGATTCAGACTTCAGATCAAGAAGTCAGTGGTGTCACCTGCTATTTGATATTGGTATTCTGCTACATGGTACTTGTCAGGTCTCGGATGTCTAACTCGATATTTATCTCCATCGAAAAATACGCTAGAACATATCTCATATCTTAATTCTCATTGCTTGCCATCTACATGTAATTTAGGGCATATCAAAGACCGCTTTCTGCTGCAGAGTTCATAAGAGAGGACTTTAGAGTCCCTTTATACTATTTATTCTACATGTACTGCCCTCGCCGAACAAAAAAGCGGAGCATTTGCAGAAGCGGCTTGTTTTCATGCTCCAAAAGCTGGCTATTTTCTGAGCTTGCCAAGGACGTTTTTTTTTGTCAGAAGCAAAGAAAGAAATCACCCCAGTCTATTGCAAGATGTGGACTGCAGTTCGGTGGCGTTGACTCTAGCTTTCCCTGTCTGTTATGCTATAAATGCTAATACAACATGTGTCAACTTATCTCTATATAGCCTACAGGACGCTCTACACAGGGAGAAGACTAAGTGCAACCTTTAGTTTGGTAGTTCCGGCTTACTTCTTTTGAGAAACCAAGTCAATGGGTTTTGGCATCTCGGATATTAGAAACGAGTTAGGCGCTGCAAATTAACATTGTTTGTTGCTCTCTCCCTGTTTAGACCATGTAACTAGAGTGAAGCAAATAAAGCCGTGAAAAACTCTCCAGTTGCAACTGTGAACGGGGACAAGTGAACAGATTCATTGCTCGAAGGTGTGTGAAACAATCAGGGAGACGGCATTTGAGTGCTCGATGGCTTTTGAGAGCATTGAAAGGCTTTAGCACTTCTCATTTAGACATGGTGTCTCAATGTTCGACAAGGAACAGCTTCAAAGAGGCAAGTTCGAACGGTAAGCAAGGACTGAGGCAAGTCACTAGCAGTAACAGAAGAGAGAGCAGTCAGGGTTTGACATCAAAAGAATCAATTGATCAGCTTCTCCACGCCGTGCTAAGCTCAGACCCCCATAAGCCGCGCCCGAAAACCCTAAACAATAATCCAGAACCAAGCGCAGAAATAATGAGAAAAGCAGGCAGTATGTACCCCAAAAAAGCTATCAAAGACATCGTTATCAGACGATTGTGTAGTAGCCTTGTGGCGTTTCCGCCTCTATCCCAATTCCAATCCCATTCGTCAGCCAAGTGGACCTAGTGCGCCCTTTCCCAATTCATAACTCGTGATATTCATCATCCAATTTGCCTCTTCTCGCTCGCTGCCTGTACTTCTTACGCAAGGAAATTCGTAACCCGTGCACAGCATCTAACCATTATCCCCTAAGTCCTCTCTTCCACTGACTTCAAAACCGCGACGTGAGGCTTCGCCCGAACGGCGGTCTCGAACTGCCTGTCTTTGGTGTGCTCCTCGTGCTTTGAGCTCCGTTTCCTCCAGTGGCTCCAGAACCGATCTTCTGAAATCCTTGCATGATGTCCCATCCGGAGGAATCACCAATGTCGTCTGTTAAAAATTCTGCTCCGTAGAAAGCATCCTCCTGCGGTAGGTCGAAGGCAGCAAGACTGAAGGTAGGACTTGCGATCTGGATCTTGGTGGGAGAATCGATGCCTAAGAAACCGCCTGGAGAATCCAGTAATCCGAGTCCTTTCAAAGGGGAATTGAACGCCGAATTGCTCAAGTTGGTACTTGGTGTGAACTTCAGTAGTGGGGTCGAGGTGACATTCTTGTTGAAGTTTGTGTTGGAAATGTCGGCAAGGATGTTTGCTGATCGAGAACGGTCAAGACGCGGCCTCTTGGCGGACTTCTTCTCGGGGGATCCATTGCCTGGAACAGAAAGGAAACCTGCGTCGTTGAAGATATCGAAGTCGGTATTGAAGTCGTGGAACATGTAGCTGGCGTCATCGAGGTTGAAGGCTGGGCTGAAGGGGATGCTGCCCTCATCTAGGCACGTCACATCTCGCAGAGGCGAGCCGACCATTTCTCGTACTTTGTCCCGGTGTAAACGCAAGTTGGTATTAGGCGAGACGGATGGTGGCGGGCGAGTAGGAGGCTTTAGCTTTATGGCAGGAGTGAAGGGTGGAAGCATCTGGGAGTTTTCATTCTTGTTGCCCCGACTAATACGTAATGGTGACGATGAAGGAGGAATGAAAGAAGAACGAGGGGCCTTGGTGGGACTGTCGTACGAAGATCCACGCAGACGTGCAATCTCTTCCTCAGCCCGGCCACGCTTGATTCTGGGTCGATCAGCTTCCGATGTAAGAAGTCGATGAGGTCGAATAGCCGATGAATCCAAGGAAGAAATGTAACCACTGTCATCCATAGAGGCAAACTTTCGCTTGTGTGATCTACTTCTTGAAGATGAGGGGAAGCGTGGGACAGGGGGAGGAGTATTCTGCCGTCGGGGTATGTAGCGAGGAATAGGGGGCGACGAATTCATCATAGCAGTTGGTGGTGACGACTGGATGAGGGGCGAAGAAGGTGCCAGTACTGTTGGTGCCTCCTCGTCTGGATCCGGTTCATTGATAATATCTGAGGCTGGAATGGTGGCATCGGAAGACAGTTCTGCGATAGAAGGTAATTGGGGCTTTGGCAAGCTGTATGTCTGTTGCGGCGGGGGGAGAGGAAGCTCCTGAGCTGGAGGTGGTGCCGGCACCAAAGGCTTGAACTGGGGTGGCTCCTGGCTTATTGGTGCAAGATTCGTTGAAAGCATGGGAACGTTCTCGTTCGGGCCAGTCGTGGGCTTTCGTACCGTCTTATCCTTGATGAATTGATGCTCCATTCCTGGTTGGATAGCCCAATAGTTTCCCTTCCCTGGGTCATCCTTTGGTCTCTCTTGCTTGATGAAAGCCTTGTTGAGACTGAGATTATGACGAATACTATTTTGCCATCCTGCGTCTGACGCACTGTAGAACTTGTATGTATCTGAGATCCATTTGTAGATTTGGGCCAGCGTCAGTCGTCGAGTTGGTGCTCTCAATATCGACATACCAATCAGTTGCGCGTAGCTATGAGGCGGCTTGGTTCCATCGTCATGTAGCGGTGGAAATGATTCGGGTGGTGGGACTTCTTCACGATTCTGTACTTGGTCTCCTTCTTGCCCATCCTCAATCTTGGGTCTCTTAAAAGGTCTAGACTCGTTGATGGGCGCAGCTTCCATCAATCGCTTCGCAGGGGGCTTCTGTGGGTATAAACCTTCGAGAGAAAAATTCGCTCGAGAGAGTCCGTCGTTGTATGGTGCAATCGGTGTCTGATTATAATATGATTGAGAATAGTTCTCCTTATCGTTTGCACTGCTAGTGAAGGTTGTGAATAAGGCCTTCTGCGGCTTGAACTTTGACATCGAGGGTTGCTTCTTTTCCATCGAATCTGTATTATAGGATGGTCCTCCAGGTGGTGGCATCGGTATCATGTTCAGCTTGGTGTTAAAAGGTGCTCTCAGAGGCGAGCTAGACGATTGCTGTGATGACTTCGATGGTGATTGCTTGCTGGTTCCTGCCTGCGGTGGGTTGAAAACGATATTCCTCCTCGACGTAGCATTTTTTATTGGTCGAAGCGGTGATGATTTCATGGGATTCGAGTTCTGTGTCGATGGCATCGGTGCATGATCGAAAGATGTAACTGGATCTTGGTAAATCTGCAGCGGCTGCTGCGAATAACGCGTCGACGACATCGTGGTAGTCGACGACGCGGCTGAGTCGGGTGAAGTGTCGATAACCACAGGAGGTCTACGCGTGGCCTGATGAGGTCGAGTAGAGATGTTGAGCACGAGACTGAAGCATCTGGTATTAGCGTTATGAAATATTTCAATCCTGCAAAAGGCCTTCGATGGAGATCGTGAAGGATGCGTACTGTACTGAAGTGGGTGCTGCTGCCGCTGGCTGGGATGGTCGTTCGGATTGTGGAGCGAGATTACGGTGGATTCCGCGTCCAAGAGAGGAGGACGCAAGGGACAATGGCGTCAGGCCTCGACTTCTTAAAGTGATGCCGAACAAAGGACTGGTTATCGAGATGGCAGGGAGAGCTGAGGTCGAATTCGTAGTTGAATATTCTGAGGGGAGAGGCAAAGGGCTGAAAGCTAAACGGGCGAGGTGGAGGTGGAGGGGGAAGCGGAAGCGGCAGTCAGAAGCAGGCAAGACGATGCTCAGATGCCTTGAGCCAGTGCGGTCGTAGTGCAGAAGCTGATACAGCGGGGAAAGGATAAGTGCAAACTAATCGAGATGGCGGATGGGCAAACAAGCAAGGAAGCTCAGGACTTGGTCTCGTTTGCTGCACCCAACGGCGTCAGATATCCACCCAGTCGTGCCTTCTTGCAGTTCTTGGACCTCCCAATCGACCAGATGCCGGATCTACCAGCATGTATCAAGTAGAAGAGCGCCGAGCTGTCCGACCAATCCGTCCCACGGAGACAAGCAGTGGCTGCTGGTAAAGAGCTGGCAAAACAGGCAGTTTCCGGACGTTTGGGAAAGTTCGGGGGGAACTCTTGCTTGTATGCAGAGCCTGAGATATCTGACGCTCAGCCCTCACGCCCGAGCAGCGGCCTGCACCGAGAATACGAAGCGCTGCCGCAATGATTGGATGGGTGAGGTCGTGGAAGTGGGAGCGGGAGTGGTCAAAACTGGGCTGGGCGCTAAGAAAAGCCAGTGACGCGTCGCGTTGAGTCGCGTCTTTCTGTTGTTTACCGATACTTGTCCAATCAGAGTAAAAGTTCAAGGTCGGGACCACTATTCATGGACTTGGCTTCAGAGCCTTTGAACTCTGAAATCCAGCATGTTCCTTCCGCGTTGCAGAAGTAGAACAACGCCATCTAAACCGTCAACAGTTTCCATCAACGCCCTCCCAAAGCGGATTCGACCACAAAACTTCCTCCAACTTTTGATTTAATGAATTTATGCAAAAGGGAAATGCCCAGGGTTCCCCTTCCTTGTGCTCAAACCCTGATAACGCAAAATTACATTTTGTACAGCGCATCGTGATTCATGACTAATTCATCCGGCAATTAAGAGCGAGAAACATGGCCTGTCCCTTGCTGCTCTTCTTGGAGCTCGTGCGAGGATCCTGGTTTAGCTTTGGCCTTTCGGAGTTTAAAGTCCCATGACGACGGTGATGGAGCTCGGTCTCGCCGGTGGAGGCGGTGGAAGTGTCTAGCCAAGAGCTGAGTTGTGGATCAGGACTGGGATGAGGATGTTGAGCCTCTTCCACGTGATATCAAACTGCCCTTCACATATCAGAGACACTTCGCCGACATTAACAATCTTCTATGAAACCCTTCTTGGGGGCTTTTCAAATCGATAGTATGTAACCTACTCTATACAGGGCACTTAAGTACGAGTCCATCTCCGATCCATCTCCAACCTTTGAAACTTTGAAAAGTCCAGCCTCCATATTTACCCCTGGAGAGAACCTCACCCCCGACTATAAATCAAAACGCCCGCTGTGCCCTTTGCGCCACCCAATGCATCATAATCCATTTCATTCACGCCGTAAAACCAAAAGTCATCCCAACTAAGCTCAGCCCATCATCATACCCAGTACCGCTGAGATCAAAAGCAACACCAAGGATGGTTCTATCCTGCCACCGGCAGCACGGTGGTACACCACCCCTGGCCAGTTGCAGGTCATATTTGTAAATCTCCCGTTCACATCCGCCATCCCCATCGGCCTAACTCCATAACTCACATTGAACCCAATAACGCCTGGCTGAGGACAACCGAATTGCATGCTTGCAGGACAGCTTTGCACCAGGTTGTAGCACAGATCCTCGCAAGGAAGAACCTCTTTGTAAGGACCCGGAATAATAGTCTGGTCTATGGCAGGATTACGGGACCCGTTCAAGGCTTTGGATAGGTTTGCTTCCGCCCGGTCGGCCGCATCCAGGAATGTCCCGTCGGGGAACGGTTGGCCCATGGCTCGAGCCTGAAGCCACGGCTCAGGGGAGCTAAAGTCGGTGCAGCGCGGGATCATCACAGCGCAGACCCAGTCCTTGTATGCATTTGCGCAATCATCACAAGTTCTTGCGAGCGAGTACTGAGCGGAGGATGTGGTATTGCAAGGGGTCTGTGCCAAGACCTTCTGAAAAAAGGTATAGTATTGAGAGGTAGCGTTATCGTAGAAAGCTGCTAACGTGGCCGTATCGTTGAACACTCCTGGGTTTGTTGGGACAGAATATGCTACCTGGTCGCAAAAGGAAAGGCCAGTAATTACAGCGCAATTTTCGCCTAAGGAGGTCAGCTAGACTTCGTGAAAATAGGAGGCCACGTACTTGACAAAGTTGTAAAGTTGGTCATTCTGAAAACTTGGCCGCCTGCTCCTACAGCACTGTTTCCCGAGGCTATCGTCCCATTCATTGCCAAAGCTATATTATACGTCTTTCCTGGACCTAGTCCAGTCAAGTAGAATTGCTGTTTGGGGAGACTTCCAGTTCCAATATCGGTCATTTTTGTTGCTATTTCACTGGAAATTTGTCCTGGCCGAGAAGCAGATATCTGAGCTTTCGTCTCCAACCCACAGTATGAGTTTTGGAGGCCCAGTATCGAATTGTCGCTTGCATCGCTTGCAAAAACGGTAAAAGGTCCTGGTGTCATATCCATCCACGCCTCAGCAAGGGTAGAGTTCGATGAATCAGGTATTAACGGATCGGTGTAGAGGAGAGCCGAATTGCTATCACTGCTCACGAGGAACAGATTTGGATCAGAGCTATTCCAGAAAAAATGGTACGGCTGGTCAATTGAAGCGGCAATCTGGGCATTCCATACACCTGTGTATGTCGTATTGACGTTCTCTCCATAGACTCCGATGTAAACATTGCCAGTGGCGTTGAATGCATAGAGTGCGTAGCCGTCATCCAGCTTCATCTCGACCTGTGGATCCTTCCCCGGTCCTGGAGTTATGTTATCTTGTGACTGCGACACGTATAATTGAAGTTGTGGAGGGGGGTCCGTTGTCGTATTCGATGTCGGTTGCTTGCACGCAGTCACAGTAATGTATAACAGCCGTTGGTTGCCAGAATTTGATTGTCGAGACCTAAGTTTCAGTTCTTCCTCGTCTTCGTTGTCATGTGCGCTTTCGGTTTCATCCACACTTCTCTTGACCTTTCCATTGAGAATTATCGGAGAGGGCAATCCAGAGTTTATCGGGGATAGCGATCCCCATAATGAGGCATTGGAAAACATGTACGACATCAATTGTCCCTGTGGAATATTCGTCTCTTGCATGCCATTGTTCGTCAAAGTGATCGGCTCAGTCGTTGCTCTCCCAATAATCCCTCTATCGACTCCAGCAAATTGCGCCTCGTATGTTGGTTCGCTCAACTCCAACTCTTCATAATCGGGGTCCAGGAAAGGCCTCCTCAATAATCGCTCATGGTTGTGGTCTTCTGGTCGTATTGAATCAACATCTGCTGCGTACGCAAAGTGAGGTGACATGAATGCGAAGTAAATGAGCACCAGCATGACTGATGCTATAAGAGATGCTGCAAGCCGCGATTGAAGCGGACTGAGTTTTGGGAGGGGCATTGCGCTCGTGAGAGCCTCTGGCGCATTGGAATTTCAGGTCGTTCTTGAAGCGCATGAGCCTCGCAGAAGCTCAGTCATTAACGTGGTATAGATATGAGTTGCATGGTGTTTCTTGGGTGTTTGTCGATTCGTTGGAGATCTTGCTTACTTGAGATGTCGTCGGTGTTGTCCTGCGTTTTGAATCTCGAACTCCCGATCAGCACAGCCACAGGAAAGCCCCCACTAGCGCCAACACCAATCAAGCTTCACTGTGAAGCTTGAGAAAGCACGTGGACTGGGCTTCATTTTTGTATTTTGGAAAAGAGCTCGGGCGATTTAATTCTTTTCTTGGCTTCCTGAAAAGTTCCATGGTGTTTTCGGATTTCAAAGTACAGTAGCAAACGCCGAAAGCTCCGCAGGCATGGAGAACCCTGCTTCTCGTTATCTGTCCACATTCAACACCAATACCTCCAACACATGGTCAAATGATCGATTGATAGGCTTCATATACACGAATCTATAAGAGTTCCCCAGAGGAACGCTTCTCGGCCCTAGGAGATTCGTTCCAAAAGCCATGATTCCATTATTTCCATCGGAAGCCGCAACACCGCCCCAAATAGCCCCACCCATTTCCCAAAACTGAGACACGTCGCCCAGTTCCCCTCCCCCTCCCCCACCCCTCCCATACATAACCTGCCACCCCTTGACATTCATTATAGAGACCCCGTATGTGCATAATTTCGGTCAAAATATGCTTGCTTGACTATCATATGGAGAATTCGGATCGCGTAGTCGCTTACAAGGTCTTGTCGGAAGAGGCGGAGTCGACCTTGGAGCGAAGGTTTGCAGCTGTCGAACCGGGTCCAGAGAAGTAGCGGGCAAACACTGGCTGGATGAATGAGCGGAAGATGATTTGGGCACCGCTATGAATATTGTTAGCAACGCAATGGCAGAGACGAGAGCAGAGGGCGCACCCAGTAATTGGGAGCGCGAGCCAGAGGACGAAAATGAACTTGAACGTGTAGTAGAAGGGGAACCAGTATACGGCGCTGATAGCACTCTCAAAGACGGTCAAGAACGCATAGACCACCCAATACTGCAGAAAACGTTAGCCGCAGTTTGTTGCGAATGGAACAGAGAGCTATACTGTGAGCCATTGAGTATCATCGGCCTTGCTCACGCTGAACAGAGCCTCGAGAGAGTAATACCCGGGAATCACGAACCCGGCGAAGTTCACGAGCAGTTGGCCGCCGCTGGGACACGTCAGCAATTGCTCAGTAAAGATTCCTTCGGGAGGACTCACATGTTGAAGAAGATGAAGAAGAAATAGCACGACACCAACCCAAGGACAGCATAGGACTTTGGGATAGAGGTCTGTTTCTCTAGGTTGTTCAAGACAGGATACTTAGAGAGCTGCGGGGTATTGACATTAGCAAATGGTCACGCCGCTTCCCTCGAGCAGGTAGAGGCCCGCGTTACGCCAAAACATCTTTGAGATCGTGCGCTCACCTCCTTATCAAGGTTGGCAATATGCCCTTGGGCTTTGTCCTGGAAGGAAGACATGGCGATGAAAAAACGTGTAGTCGGTGGAAAGTTGAAATCGGGCGAAAGCGTTAGCTTTTGAAGGTGTTCAAATTGTTTGTGTGTGAATCAGGAGCAGTGGTGATTGTGCGATGCGATGGGGAAAGGATGACGTTGCGGAGGATGAGGTGCTGGACTCATTAGCGGGTTTCATTTTAGTTGATCGACCAAGCCACGACAAGCACTTCTCGATGGAGTCACATGCAATACGCAAACGGCCCCTTGCAACTCTCCTGCGACAGCTTGAACCATGGGAATTAAGAACAAGGATCGAAATTCCATACGAAGTGAAGAATATTGAATTTATTTAGAAATTTCTGTGCTCTGTTCCCTTCACAACCTGAATTCTTACTTCCACCACAACAAAATGACGACTGCTTATTTAGTCTGCTTCGGTCCAGCCACTTCAGCACGGAGCTCATGAAATTGGTCTGGGCATTGTACGTCATCCCAAATCATTGAACCACTGGCTTGCCAAAGGATAATACTTCACACTTTAGATGAAGAAATATCCTGGAAGTACTGGAAGGCCGCACCAGGGGTTGCTCACGAGTCTCTATTATGATAGGGACGTCACATATCAAAACATTGCCATTGTTCCCGGAGCTGCCGTGAAGGACAAGACCAAGTTTTGAACTGGGAACGACCGAAATCTTTGCCCTCGGAACTTGTAGGAATAAAACTAGCTATTGACTCGCTATTGATGTAATTATGATCCAAAATCTCCAGTTGTAGCCTCACTACATGATTTCGAAGTTGAGTGGGCGTGTGAAGAAGAATGCCCCTAGTCCAAATGCGTGCGTCTAAGCGAATGGGGCGGCCTGAGCGCATGCGCATGGGGTTCATCGTCCCTTCAACAACAGAATGGTAAACAACAGAGAGCCGACAACTTCAACAACCCAACGCCAACTCGACGGCACCGACGATTGACTCCTGTCCGAGTCCCTGTTTGGATACTGAGAGGCATAATCACTCCTTTGACGCGATTATATCCCCCAGGAACCACAGCCCCAGCGAAAGCCCATGTTACCACCGGTCGCAACATAAACAACAGTTCCTCAGCCACTTGGAAAACCGGCCCACCCGCGCACAACTCAAAATTATTCCTATTTTCCATGGATATCATGGGTGAGCTTGCATTACCCAATCCTCTGCCAATGCGCGGTTGATTACGCCTCTAGATCCATTGAAAGCGCATGCTAATTGCACCAAACAATAGCAGATCAACCATCGATGGACATCAAACCTCCAAACCCGCGGTCTCGCTCCAACACTGCTGTATCGAGTAAGAGCAGAAAGCGCCCTCTATCTCGGGCCTCTACGACCAGCGTACATAGCGGGGCTACTCAACCTCTTCTTGAACAACAACTTGTGGACACAGCCGCCGAGTTCCAGAAACAATGGTATGATGCAAATACACAGGCACAACAGCGATACGAGACCTTGAATCAACAGATGTCTCCCGAAGATATGGTGATTCATTCGGCTGCCCAACTCCAGAACCCTCGCGAATATGAAATAGACCCAGCACTTGGTGACGCCCCGCACAATCCGATGACATATCCACAGGATGGTTCCTACAGGTCTGATATAGGACGTCAATCTATTCCCGGGGAAGGATATGGTGCAAACTATGGAGAGGGAGACAGCCAAATGATGGAAGGCCGCAGCGACGAGCAAGATGAAGTGGACTCGTTGGCAGGAACAAGTGGTCCTGCAAAGAAAGCTTCGAAATCAAGCGCAGCAAATGAACTGGAGATGAGACAACTCTTCCACGCAAACAAACATCGGTCTTTACCAGAAGTGGCAACTGAACTTCATGGTAATGAGCGAGGACCACAATCCGAACGACAACGTCAAGTGTTTGCCATGCTTTGGTACGTTCTGCCATCCTCTCCACATATCAAACACTCATGACTAATCAAGCATCGTAGGATTAATCAAGTTTGTGATAAAGGAAAGGGTTCTGTACCAAGAGGCCGAGTATATGCGAACTACGTATCCAGATGCGCGACGGAGCGAGTCACTGTACTGAATCCTGCCTCGTTCGGTAAACTCGTCCGAGTTCTATTTCCTGGCCTGAAGACCAGAAGACTGGGGGTACGTGGTGAATCCAAGTACCACTACGTTAACTTCAGTTTGAAAGACGATCAACCAGAATTGACGGAAGCTCAAAAACATCAAGCAATCCCCTCTTTTGTGGAAGCACCGAGTTTCGCGACCAGCTTCAGGTACGTTTCCTCTGAGTATCACGGCATTAACTCTCCGCTCACTTCTATAGTCAAAGTATGGCATCTCAAGTACAATATCCGATGGATAGAGCAGCATTCCCGTCGCCTGATATTCCTCAAATCCCCGAGCCGCCCAAAATTCAACGCAACGAAGGGTATATCAGACCTCATAGTCTTTACCATCAGCCAGAGATCCTTGGCATTCCACAGCTTGAAGCCAGCACCAGCAAGATGTCTCAACAGCTTCACTTTTCACCTCCGAGTGAGCCAATGGCCCAGGAATATGAGCCCATCTCTCTTCCCAAGATTGAACCTCACGTTCCTGCAGGCACAGATCCTGATTCTGCGACTGCTCTGACGGCACTTTATCGCTCCCACTGCACCTCGCTGGTTGATGCCCTCCGCTTCTGCAAGGAAAAGACATTCTTCCACTTGTTCACTTCATTCCATGGTACCCTCACAATGCCAGTTCAGAAGCTCTTCGCAAATCCTGCCATTGCCCCGTGGATTGAAGAGTGCGATTTCGTCATGTATCAGAAGATGATGCGCGTAGTAGCACCATTAACCCTCCAGGTCGCTCCTAAACCCGTCCTGGACACCTTGCGCAATATCTCAGAGCGATTAGTTCCACACATCCGAACCTCATTTCAAGGCCACCCCAGTCATGTTGTTGACGCGAAAGTCGCTCCGGCAACACTCTTTGCCGGACTACTAGATCGTGAATTAAGGGTCAACTTGACCGCTCATGCAGCAGCCAACATGCTTTCAAATCCAGCCAACCGGGACCAAATGTATGAAGATTGGATCACAATGGTCCGCACGCGAAAAGTAGCCGAGTGTGTTCCAACGAGAGGAATGGACGATGTTGTGAATCTTCTCCTGACCGAGCTCCGCGACCTCCTCGATCCAGTCGCTGTTCCATGGGAGGTAGAAGGTATGACTCCCTATGGCGAGATGGCTCTGCGCACTGGCCGTCAGCAGCAGGCAAGCATTCACGCCGATCAATCTACAGAAAATGTCTTGGATCGCTGGGTCAACTTTCTCGTATCCCTACCCGGCAAGTTCCCTTACGCAACTCATGCGGAAATTGTATGGTGTGTCCAGCGAGTTGGCACCGCCGTCATGAGGGATCTGACGATAGCACAAGGCAAAAGTTTCGGTGCGTGGTGGGTGACCAAGTGCTGGATCGACGAGATGATTTCCTTCATGGCCGAGCAAGGTGGCTTTATGGAGTATAAGACTGCCCAAGCAAATCGAAATGAGGGAGCCAATCGAAGTATCGTCAACCGAGCTGCCAGCCAGCACGAGAGCAGATACAGCAGCGGAAGCGATGACTTTCTAAGAGACAGTGGGAACGCGGAAGGAAGCGTCTCAGCCCCTCGCCCAATGGATGTTACCAGTCAAGCAGCTATGAATGCTGCCGCCGGCCATGATGATAGCGGCATTGGAATCCGAACTCCCGATGAAGACTTTACGATGGGAAAGTATGAATTTAGTCGAGGCGACTCTCAGCCGCATCTTGGGAATGACCTTACGCTCTCGATGCCGCAAGCTTCGGTGGTGTAGGGTTCGCTCGCTCATGGGAGGCTATCATTCCAGCATCAAAAATGATTATATGGCGCAGCATTGTTCTTTATCACTCTAGGGACGGCGGATTGAAGGAGAAACAAAGGAAATCTTTACGACTCGGACGACGAAATGACTTGGCTGTAGATTGGATGGAACGGGTGTACAATTGGGTTGGACTACTTGCTTTTGTATGACGAGAACTAGTTATACGCTTTGGTTGCGTTGCTGTTCTTCTTCGAGGCCTATCTTTGGGTTCTTTTTTTTTGGAGCGTTGGTTATCATGGGACGCAAAGAATATCCTCGAACACTTGAGGTGTTTTTATTATATTGGAAGCTTTTGTATTTATGCTTAGCAAGAAGAAGCCTCTAAGAAGCCAGTACAAGAATAATCATTGTTTACTATAAATTGCACTTTTCACGTGCGTCGCTGCGCGACAGAAATGAGGTCGCTTATGTTCGTGGCTCCGGGCAACAGTCTTCCAACTCGTCGACTTACAACTACAGTCTCAGGTTCACACCACTCACTCACTAGTGGAAACATCAGCCGCCACCCTCACAACATTTTCTCACGATATCTCTCGCCATCTCCGGCTGAGTGGCTGAGTGGCTGACAGCACTTTGTCTAACCTCACAATGGCAACAAACCCTTCCGATGGCTTGCTGGCCTTGAATGCGGACGCAAATGCGACTAACATTCAATTCCAAATTGCTTACTTCTATAAAGCGTTGACTGCGCACCTTGGCACCTAACAGCGAGTACTGCTTCTGCATGCCTATTCAGCGGACGGGTGAAGTTTATGTCAGGCACTGTTCTGCTCTTCCATGCCTCTGGCCACCTGGCGATCGAGGAATTGATAGGCTTATCTTAGCGTCAGATAGAGTCACCCATCCGATTTCGCTTGCAGAAAATAAAAGCGGGACAGCCATTTTCAGGAACCGCAAATCTTATGACTCGTCCTCTTTCCTTTCCTTCTGTACATAACACTCTCACTCGCTCTTTGACTGGCATTGGATTCATTGAATTGGATACCGGCCGTGCCTGCAGAAAGGGCACCCACTGGACAATGAGTAAGGAAGCGGCACTGCCCAGTGGGACTGGAATAGTGGGGGAGGCGACGGTGGAGGGGAAGAGGGAGGGGTCGCAGTCGAGGTGGAGGAATGATTCTGAGGCGGGGTGGGTGGTGCAGAAGTTTGGGGGCACCAGCGTGGGGAAGTTTGCGGTCAATATTGCGGAGGATATTGTGAGGTAAGTTTCGTGCATGGGTTCTCTGCCAATTGGGCTCGAAAAGGAAGTCTGAGGCAGGCTAACGGAGGGAATTTTGCAGGGCGGGCTTGAAGGAGCATAGGATCGCGGTGGTTTGCTCGGCGAGGAGTACGGGGAAGAAGGTCGAGGGGACTACGAGTCGGTGAGTTCTGGATTGGGTGTGGAAAAGTCATCTTGTTTTCATTCGGCTCGCAGCCTATGTTCGTGAAAGCTGACGGTTTCCCCGCAGGTTATTAGAGATCTACGGCGTCCTGCAAGAAGTCAATTCTGTCAAAGACACCGAGTCAGTACACTACGAAAGCCTTGTCAACGAGTACGAAAGATTGGTCGGTGTCATCTGCGCAGACCATGTCAATGCAGCGAAAACAGATATTCGAGATGAAAATATACGGGCCGAGCTCATAAAAGAGACGGAAGGTGAATGCAGAGAGATTATAGACTATAGAATTGCCGCTGAAAGGTGGCATTTGGAGATCGACGGCAGGAGTAAGGATCGAATCGTTAGCTTTGGGGAGAAACTGAGCAGTCGTTTCGTCACCGCGCTGTTGCAGGATAGAGGAGTCGAGGCCGAATACGTCGATCTTTCCGATGTTGTACATTTCAAGACCTCGAAAGGGCTGGACTTGGCATTTTATATGGAGATGGCCGCTGCTCTCCGAGAAAAGGTCAAGGCTTGCGAGGAAAGGGTACCCGTTATCACAGGTTACTTTGGCACTGTGCCTGGCGGATTGATGGATGGTGAAATTGGGAGAGGATACACAGATCTCTGCGCGTCTCTGGTCGCAGTTGGGATCAAAGCAGATGAGCTACAAGTTTGGAAAGAAGTGGATGGTATCTTCACCGCCGATCCAACGAAAGTTCCCACCGCACGACTCCTTCCAACAATCACTCCTTCAGAAGCAGCCGAGTTGACATTCTACGGCTCCGAAGTCATCCACCACCTCACTATGGACCAAGTCATCCGTGCCACACCGCCCATCCAGATCAGAATCAAGAACGTCAAGAATTCTCGTGGAAACGGTACAATCGTACTCCCAGACGCAAAGCTCACCTCGACACAGCTATCCCATAACAGAAGCTTTAGTGCCTTATCACTATCAGCTAGGAAAACACCAAAGAGACCGACAGCCGTCACCATCAAGGATAAAATCTCTGTCATCAACGTCCATTCCAATAAACGCTCCATCTCTCACGGTTTCTTCGCAAAAGTATTCTCCATCCTAAACAAGCGGCAGTTATCAGTGGATCTGATCTCGACCTCCGAAGTCCACGTATCTATGGCCATCCACTCAGCAAACATCTCAGACGAAGATCTACAAAAGACAAAAGAGCAACTAGAAGAGTGTGGCGAGGTCAGTATACTGAATCAGATGGCCATCTTAAGTTTGGTCGGCGCGGATATGAAGAACATGATTGGCATTGCGGGTCGCATGTTCAGTACATTAGGGGAAAATAATGTCAATATTGAGATGATATCACAAGGCAAGCCCCCCTCCTTCCCTCTTCGCCTCCTTTGATCACATGCAGCTAACTGGATAATAGGAGCGAGTGAAATCAATATATCCTGCGTTATAGATGCATATGAGGCCACGAGGGCCATGAATATATTGCATACAAATCTTTTCACATTCCTCGAATAGAAGAAGCCAGTCAGAACAGGAAAGAGTGCTTCTTTTGCATATGGAGGAAGTTTGGGTCATCATGAAAATAAAGGAAGGCGTCTGATGTTTGATGCATCTTTGGGATCGGAGCATATTCGTCACTATTGTGACCAAAAACCGAAGGTGTTTATAGGTGGATGAAGAGAGATTGAGCTATTTTCCTTGGAAAATTAAGAAGTGTCGCTCTGTTTGTTGCATATGAGTCTACCCACGATCAAGCTGGCGGTGACTTGAAGTTTGATGGCCATGGCTCCAAAGAGCATTTTCATGTATCCGCAGATGATGTCTCTTTTCGAAAGAGGGGGAGTTTGCGTCGAGTAAGCGGGCAAAGGGGTTCGAATCTCGTTCAATTTTCACATTATCCCCTTCTCCATGAAAAGCCCTCGCAGGCACACTGATTTTGAGGGGAAAGCTTGTCTAAGCTCGCCAACTCGAAGGCCCTTAAGACACCAAGTTACTAAGCGCTAAAAAGCAAGCTAAGACAAAAATGACGAGCTTGACGGGGTCGTGAGATAGAAGGATCTTTATTATGAAAGACTCTCAGAACACATCTACGAAGATTAACTACAGAAAAACTTTTGCTTTGGTCAACAGCTCAACATCGTGTCGGATTTTTCTTCGCGCTTCAATCTATTCTTAGTTTGAATTATGCCAACGAGATATCAAACTTGTTTTTCTTAATGGAGTCAATGATGAGGGTGTCTACCAAATCGAGAAGTCATGGCCTCGATGCCTGCTCGTTCTCAAATCACGATCGAGACGTTCCTTCCTCCCAAACATCACCGCCTTCCAAGCCGAGGACGCTCCGTCCTTATGCCCGCGCAACACTAGATCAAAGCCAATCTCCCACATTTCTGTCTCTGCGTCCCCTCCTCTTTATCTTCGTCCCCTTTTCCTCAATACCCTTCTTCTTCGACCACTCATCGGAGGCATCACCTCTCCACTTCTAGGCACCACCGGTTCGCATAGTCTCGAGCTCAAGACCTCCACCTTCACACGGCTATATCCATTGGCAACTCCAATTGCAGTCGAAGGCGTGGACTGGATTGAATCCTCGCCACTCCGAAATACTGATACAAGGTCGGCAGGGCGTGACGTGCGAATTTTGACTGCAACGGCTCTGAGTGTCTTTGGCATTTCCGAGACTTTTACCCTACTCTTTTCAGGGATTTTTTCTCTCTCTTTGCTCACGATCAGCGTTCAATTTCATGTATGGAAGATAATTTCTCTAGCATCCTCCTCCCGGCAAAAGTCCAAGAACGAAGCGAGCATCTTCTCCTTCGGAATCGTCAATCCTCTCATACGAACCTTCAGGCGACGCCACCTGATTCATTCCGGCCTCCCGGCGACATGCTCCCTTAGCTCAATTGAAACGTACTGGACATCCCGAACATTCGCCGGCAGCTCTCACAACACCATGCTCTCATGGGTCGAAAGAACATTCTTGTACCACGGAACCTACGCCTGAAGTTACTGCCATCACATCTCAACTACCTCTTTTCTGACGATTCCCTCACATTCAACGCTCTCACGTGTGAGATTCACGACGTCTATGAAATCTTCCGACGACTCTTCCTCGGCGATAAGGATTCGGGTTGCAATACCAAGTCTATGGTGTTACTTGGTCACTCAAAGAATTACCCTTTCCAGTCGGAGCCTATAGATGCCGAAAAGAAAGAAGCCTCGCCCTGGTTCTGAATCAGGTATACAAGCCCAAATGTAGGTAGTGCTGTATAGCATTGACACACGGCAGCTATACCGCTGCGTTCGTACCACCAGTGCACAACAAACCTCTTCACGGAGAGTTTCCCTGGTGGAATCTTCCCTTCACACCAGAAACCACCAATCCACTATTGTCTTCCGTCTTTTTGGAACTTTTTCAGTCCTCCTCTATCCCTTCTGGCTACAAAATATGCCATCAGAGAGCAGCGAGCCGTCCGTCAGAACATGCAACTCCTATGCGATCCTGCCGCACAACCTCGCAAAAGTAAGAGCAACACAATGCATGCAAGATCCCATGCCGCCGACCGAGGTGGCAATGCCATCGTCAGTCCTTGCTTGGCGGCTCGTGTACCACAACACATGCAGAGCTGCTATTCGGAAGTGCATGCCCGCTTCCGGTGTCAATGTCACATCCGGCCACTGCGAAATGCTGTGGTACGATCATGCAGTACATTTAAGGGGCTCAGAAAACTTTGAGACAAATCTTGAGGAAACGGCAAGGCCATTCTTGAAAGCATAGACTAGAAAACGTGGTGGCTGGTTGGCAGTTTATATAGGTCTAACGAAGCGGCTTGGTATTCAAGCCATCAAAGACAATGTGGAGCTGGCATAGTGTCTCGAGCACACTTGCCCACCAGAAAATTAAGGAGATATTGAGCAATGCGCGATCAATGATGCTGTGTTGCGATACACAACTCCTGTTCTGGCTCTGCATGCCGCTCCACCAAATGCTGTGTGCGGAGCCGGCCGAGATAGCACGACTCCAACACCGTATCGGTCCGTTCACTTGAGAATGACAATAGAGATGCTACAAATATTTGGAAGCATCCCTGGATATCTATCAACTGACTCTATGGAAAGAAGGCGGGAGAGACGTCGGAGCGGATGGCCAACGGCCGGGAGAAAGTGACCTGCCACAGCGTATTTCCCGTGAGAGCGATGTTTACCTTGACGGGCCGGCTTGTAGACACTGGGCTGAGAAGAGGACACCGAATGGCTTCGTTGCGTGGCGGCATCGTACAGGAGAGTTGTTTGATACGCCTCCGCATGTATATGCTGTGAAGGCAGCACTCGGAACGTCCAGTGTCGTGCAACAAGAAGCCTACCCCTTTCTCCCAAATCCCCCATCTTCCAGGCCAGTTCGGATGCGATAGCTTCATATCATCTAGTGTAATCGAAGAGCTCGTGCACTCCGTGGGGGTGGGGAATCTCAGCAGTGCCGGGCCAGCTCAGATTGGGAGCCTTAGAAGCCTTGGAAGGCGAATGGAGTCAATGGGAGCAAAAGTCGACGATGGTCGTTATCTCGATCCTTGAGCGCCTCCCGGCCTTTAAGATCCTTACAGTACAACTGCCTGTTTGAGACCCCTGAAGCGGAGCTCGGGGGCAAATAGCGCCTGGAGATGATGCAAATCGCTGCCGAGGGGGCTCAGGCGAGGAAAATTCAACCTCATCCCGCCTCTTCATCTCGGGGTCACCTTCTACAACGGCGAGACTCGGACTATTGGCAAAGCGGTCGAGTAGCACTGTGAGCTATTGAAGAGATCAAGAGCCCAAGGTAATCCACTGCGAGCAACTGCTGTGGAGGGCGGCCCTTTATGCAGTTGTATGTTGTGAGAGCTCAGAGCGTGTGTGACAGCTCCACGCTAGGTTGGGCGGCAGTCGTCGGAAGTGGCCGCCTCAAGCTCGAGGCGGCACTTGCTCCACCCTCGCGTGTGATCCTACGAGGCGTTCACTACTGTATCGACCAAGGCGTGAAAAACATTCTGATTCGGTGCTGGGATTCCGATAGGGCGTTGGTGAGGAAATATTCTCCAGCCCGAGCCCCGTCCACGACAAGTGAAAGTGGTTGGTAGGTAGGACGGGAGGACAGGGTCCAGAAACTCTGCAAAATCCGTAGATCTGCTCGGGCAAGGTCTCATGCCCGTACGCAGTCGAGTCATTCGGAAGGCTTTCTTTGCAGCTTTTCGTGGAGCTTTGGCGGTGCAAAAGATAGGAGGGACTGGATGGATAAGCATCCATGTGGGATATCAGCAGCTTCTCTCTCTTGGCTTGCCTGGACCCCGCAGGAGTCGAGTGCAGTGGCTTGACAGGCACATGCCATCCATATGTTGTACTGCCTGCCTCGCCATGCGTCTCTCCCGTCTCCCCTCCATGTCAATTTAACTTTTCGTCCATCCCACCAAATCAGTCCGGCCCACCTTTCTAGAGACTACATCCCATCCCTCTTCCAGATCTACCCATCTTCTGTCCCAAATCTCTGTTGCCTGCCGATGTTTTGTTTTGTTCATCCCCTGTTGGATTGAGCCTGGCTATCAACGGGGGCAAACATCGCTTCGATCCCGTTTCACGCCGAGCTCAGGCGCGGCCCGGAAGGACGCGCCCATTTCCGTAGATCGCATTTGATGGGGAGGCGTGGAGAGGCTCAGCATCGTTAATACACTTATGAAACTTTGATCAAAGCTTCCTCAGACTATATGAGGTTATGGATTTGCTGGCTGCGAGAGACGACGCGCACATATAACGACTTGAGACGTTTGCTTCGAGAGAGCAGGAGCACAGTACATTGTTTTCATAAATAATTTCTGAAGTATATAATAGGACACCATGGGTTGGGTATGTGTCTCTAGGAGTTCCTTCTCTCTATCAGAGCTGATGTTGGCTGCAGGTTGAGAAAACCAACACGGCTGTAGCCAAAAGCGTTGTTGGACGGCATTTCAGACTGGAGTTCTCGGGAGACAGACGGGAGAGGAAAGGCTCGAGATTTTTGACGGAGGTCAGAGCTGGATTAGCTACCTTCTTTGCCATGGCATACATCGTCTCAGTCAATGCTTCGATAGTTGCAAGTAAGCTATCCTATCCAGAATCTTTTCAAGTACTTACTTCAGTTCAGATACTGGAGGCACTTGTATATGTGAAACCCCTCCAGATTTCTTCCCCAAAGATCCTTATTGCACGAATGAAAACAATCCAGCATATGCGCCGTACATAATGTGCACCCAACAAATCAACAGAGACCTGGTCACAGGAACGGCAGCCATCTCAGCTTTGACGAGTTTCTGCATGGGACTTTTTGCAAATATGCCAATAGCATTGGCACCTGGAATGGGATTGAACGCATATTTCACATACCAAGTCGTTGGATTCCACGGCCAGGGGCTTGTGCCCTACCGTCTTGCACTTACAGCAGTGTTTGTCGAGGGCTTGATCTTCGTGGCGCTGTCCATCCTTGGTCTCAGACAATGGCTTGCACGTGCCATACCATCAAGTCTGAAGATCGCCAGTGGAGCAGGAATAGGACTATACCTCGCTCTCATCGGGCTTACGTATAACGCGGGTATCGGTGCTATCACGGGCAGTACCGACGACCCCTTGGAACTGGCTGGATGCATCCCCGCACATAGGGACGTGAATGGCATTTGTACCTCTGGCAAGATGCGGAATCCTACAATGTGGCTCGGCATCTTCGGCGGGGGAATCTTCACGGCATTCTTAATGATGTACCGCATCAAGGGCGCCATCATCGCCGGGATCCTCCTTGTTTCTATCATCTCTTGGCCACGAGATTCGTCTGTGACAGCCTTCCCACACACTCCACTGGGCGACTCCTCCTTCGACTTCTTCAAGAAAGTGGTTACCTTCCACCCCATCGAACATGTCCTCGGGGCACAGGACTGGAACATTACCGGCTCGAACGGAGGGCAGTTTGCCGTGGCGCTCATCACATTCTTATACGTCGACATCCTCGACTGCACCGGGACTCTCTACTCCATGGCTCGCTTCTGCGGCGCCATTGACGAAGACACGGGGGATTTCGAAGGCAGCGCAGTGGCATACCTGATCGACGCCATGGGAATTACGATCGGCTCCCTCTTCGGCTGCCCTCCCGTGACAGCATTCATCGAATCCGGAGCCGGCATCTCGGAAGGCGGGGCCACAGGAATCACTGCATGTGTGACCGGCCTCTGCTTCTTTATATCAATATTCTTCGCTCCCATCTTCGCGAGTATACCGAGTTGGGCGACGGGATGTACGCTCATTCTCGTGGGCGCTATGATGGCGAGAGCTTGTACGGATATCAACTGGCGGTACATCGGGGACTCGATCCCTGCGTTCTTGACACTGGCTGTCATGCCGTTCACATATTCGATTGCCTATGGTCTCATCACCGGCATCGTCACCTACATCATCCTCAACGTCGGCGCGTGGCTCATTGCCAAAGCATCAGGCGGCCGCATCATGCCTCACGACTACGAGCACAAAGACTACTGGACGTACAAAGTCCGCGGTGGCTTGCTACCCGGCTGGGTGAAGCGCTTGTTCCAGGGGAAGCGAGATTTCTGGCGCGAATGGGACTTTGATGCCGAGGAGCTGACGAGTAGAGATTCGTATGCTATGGCGAAGAAGAATGGGGATGGGGATCGCGCGAGTGGGATTAGTATTTCTGCTGGTGGGGTCGGCGCGATGCCGATGTTGGATACGGTGATTACGGGGGACCGGAATTGGGAGCCGGGGCATCCGCAGTATGGGGTGGATTTGAGTCATGAGAATATGGTAGGGGAGGCGGGCTTTAGGAGTTCGTCAAGGAGGTGACGGTTGCTTTAACGGGATGGAGTTGATTGTTGCAGCATTTGAAGAAATCTTGTGATAGATGATGGTGGAGTGAGTAGATAGGAGGATCATGTATCGCATTTATAACGAGAACGCGAAGACTTGCAATGTGTGCAACGCCATTGGGGTTTCGCTCCGAAATTTCTCGCTTTCCCAGCCTTAAGTGCTTTCAAAGCGTTGCCAAAAAAAAGGGGGTTGTTCACCCCTGGCCTCCTGCCTCATCCGCAATTTAAGCGAACCGAGAGTGCAGGCAGCTCAAATAACAAAATAAGCATTTTTGATATCAGAGATTTCCAGTCGTAAACTTACGCCAGCAAGTTTCTGGACATACACTTGAGTCAAAGTTGTATGTGCCCGGCCCTAACCACTACTGAGGTAGTAACCAGGGTAACGGCTTAGAAGAGATATGCTCTGCCACAGATAACTGAGCGAAAGCCAAGTTTCTAGATCCGTCTAGGATTTCTTTTGCTGTTTTGTTCCGCTGCTGAGGGGAAATTTTTTTTAAAGGGGTGTTTTGCCCTTTTTTTTTTTTTGGATTGAGGATTGAGGATTGCTAAGCGAGGGGGTGCAAAGGAAGTTCACCTTTGACCGATCTCAGCGCCCTTTTGCGCACGGTAATTTGAAACCTTGCATCAATTGTAAGATAAGCCTTGAACTTGAACGGCTCATATGGTATGAGAGCACATGTTGAGAATTGAGAATGCGAGTTGACTTCTCGGTAGCGCCAAAGTAAACACCCCTTATCTTGACGAAGGAATTGCTCAACTAGACATCACTTCGCAGATCTAAAGAAGTGCTAGGCACTGTTTCTCCACCAACTCCAAGACCAAGAAGATCTGCCTAATTCAATGGAATTTCCTGCAGTGAGAGAGCAGCAGATCTCTTGGTCAGCGATTTCAGAGGCAGCTGATAGATGTGGGTCGCAAACCCAGCAGCAGCGCTTTTGGGAATCCTGCAGCCTAGCTGAGGACGAAAGCAATATGGATGCTCGAGAAGGGCATCTTGTCATTTTGAGAACTGCAAAAAGGCTTAACTCTATTCATGCCTCCGTGGGGCAAAAATACTAGAGGAGCGAATTCGATCAAAAAGGGTTGGAGTAGTGCTCAAATATACGCCAGCGCACATGTCAGCACAGCCAAGCAGTACTTTCCAAGAAATGAGTCCCGAGATTACGTCTGCCCTGTGGCGAGTGCCGCGTTGGCGAATTGCTTAATTCAAGCCACTGGAAGGAAAATCTTGCAAGTCGCAAACTCTGATTTGGTGGCAGAGAAATCCAAGACGTTGAGTCTCTGATGATCAGGAGATGGGGCAAAACAAGCTTTTCACCTTGAGCCGTGGCTTTCCACGGATAGACGCCAACGCCGACTCCGAAGACTGACTTCTCTCAGCATCATCATCATCATGACTTGTGTTTTGTCAGCATGGAGGTTGGCCGATCTAGAAAATCCCTCCCCGGAGCGGTTCCTCGGCGGAGGGAGTTATTCTCGGCGGCACGCCCGTAAGATGTCGCGAGACGAAGCAAGCCACAACCAAGTGGGAAGCTGGTCGATGGTGCCACTTCTGCGTTACAGCGTTGCATGCAGACAATGTGAGACCCGTTCGCATGTACCGCCGTCCACGATACTGTACAGTACAGTAGATTCGGGCCTCGGGCCTCCCCGGGTGTGTGGTAACGAAGACCTACCCCTCCTTTACCGGCTTGATTTCTGCTCCAGGGCCGTCTTTTCCCCAGACGTGGTGTTCTTCCAGCCAATGATAGCAACATTTTTCCAGCCTTCAACGTACGATCGGCCGGACCCTGGTGAGAAGGGCTGCAAGTGCTGGGTTCGCGTCGTGTGCTGGCCACCCTATCGTGAGAGGTACAAGTACGGCTTCTGAAAAAACGATCTAGATTGGCCGAGCTGAAAGGTGGTCCCGGAGGGAGAGATCTGGCGCGGAGAGGAGCAGAGAGGAGCACCAAGGCACGACTCCGTGGTGCAGTTTGATCTTGGTCGACCAAGCGGTTGCAGTAGAGAGTGAGAATTGGTATTGAGGTTGGAGGCTGTGCTGGAGGAGGAAAATAAAGATGCTGACGGAGCCAGACAGCGGTGATCTTCGGAATTGCGAGCATGGATAGCGACAAGAATGACGTAGGAGCAGTCCCGGCTTGATAGGGCAAGGCCAGGGCTCGGCGGGACGCGAGAGAGACATGCCTGTAGAGTGTGAGTTTGCTGAGGAGGCATTTGATACGGCATTGAGGAATACTGTATGACAGTTCGCAGCGGAAGCAAGATTGTGCAGTTCAAGGACAATTTGCCTCACTCGGCACCAAATCAGGATGGGGAATGGGAGCAGGTTTATCAACATTGGCATCTCAGTGGTGGGCGGCGAACGATATCATATTTTCCCTTCTGCTCATTGATATCAAAAGGCTGTAGTCCGCATTGCAGTGCATTACGCACGACGGTAGCACTGCAGCTAGCCACCTTGCTGCAGTCAACGGCCCCTGAAATAGATCATCAATTGTTGCGCAGCCGACTGTGAGCTCTAAGACACAAGACACGCACTCCCAACAGGCAGCTGGAATGAGCTGGAATGCAATCCGATGATTGTTAGTCACGAGCAAACTTCCAGAGGGCCTCTCCGCGGCCCAGAAATTTTCACGATCATGATGTGGCCTGAAATTTTCTGTGCGTGTGGTCCCTTCTGGCATCGCAACACCCAGCAGGGGAGGATATAGAACATGACACCAACCGGACGGATATTATCATTTATCATACTGCATGAGATCCGAACCCGGCTTCACTCTTGCAAGCTCCCAGGTCCTGCCCGGATCCATAACGCTGACAGATTCACGTGCATTTGTTCGATTTGTACTTGGGCCCTCCTCCGCACCAACCATTGCTGTCCCATTCTCCTCTGGCCTGCTGGAGAGACAGTAAATAAATCCCTCACCAAAGTGCCTTACGCCTGAAGAGAGCCACCACCGCACCGGCAGCGCCATCATCGACCCGCCAGGCCAGGGCCACCAGGGCCACCAGGGCTTTATTTCTCGCCTCGGGCTCCAGCAGCAGCAGCAAGAGCACGAGCACGAGCACGAGCAGCGGAAATCACATAAGCTCATCAGTGCGCCTGCCCTCACCTCCACCTCAAATTTGCCCACCACGGCAAACCTCGCGTACTCTCCTCAAACCTCCCAAGAACACCCTCCCTCCACGGCTAGACCGTTGCGCCAGCACCAGCAATTTTGTGCTCAGAAAAGTCGACAAGAACACGGGCATTGCCCGCACCGCTTGGGCGGCCTCTGCGCGTTCCATCCCTTCCTTCACTACCGAGCGCAACAGCACCCGCCCCTCGCCTTCCCTTCGCTTCCCACCACCATCATGGCGACAGTCAGCGCGCCCAGAGACTCCCTGATGGCCGAAAAGCCTCAACCATCGCCGGCAACATCGCAGCCGCCCTCTGCTGCCGGGTCCCCAAACTCCCTCCCAGTCAAACAGAACGGCATGGCAGTCTCCAGCTCCGAAAGCCTTGCGAGTAATGGCCATGCTGCGCCACCGACCGAGCCACAGAAGGCGACCCTTGCAGTCGCTGCGGAAAAACCATCGATGACAAAGCGCATCACTCGAATGTTCTCTACGAAAGATGCTATGAGATCGGACAGCAGTATAAATTCACAGCCTGCGACGTCCGGTCAGGTTACTCCCAAGCAAGAAACTGCACCTGCTGCTGTTACTGCACGAAGACCTAGTCCTCCCGCACACAAGCCTTCCTCAACCGACAAAGCTGTCAAGGGAAGCGAAAAACCCAGCACGGCGCCCTCAAAAGACAAGAAAGCTGGGGGGACCGCCTCTTCCCAGCGGTTTGCAGTGAATGCGGATGTGCCAGGCGGCCATGAACACCACCTTAAGAGCACCAAGAGGCAGGAGAAGCTGTCGGACATGCTGAGGAATGTCATCAGCGGGAAATCAAAGAACGACCACCATGAAGGGGAACAGCAACTGTCGCTGATGTCCAATTGGGTTGATCAGCTGAAGAGCGAACGGGACAGCTTGGCTTCAACTGCGGAGAAGAAAGGCGGACCCAATTCTACAGCCTCGTTGGTTGAGAAGTACGGCAAATGTCACGAGATTGTTGGTCGTGGTGCATTTGGCATTGTCAGGATATCGCATAAGAGGACAGAAAATGGATCTGGCGAACAGCTTTATGCGGTAAAGGAGTTCCGGCGACGACCAGAGGAGAACGAGAAGAAATACAGCAAGCGACTCACCTCCGAGTTCTGCATATCCTCCTCATTGCGGCATCCAAACGTTATCCATACACTCGACCTCCTCCAAGATTCGAAGGGCGATTACTGCGAAGTCATGGAATTCTGCGCCGGAGGTGATCTTTATACCCTCGTCCTTGCAGCTGGCAAACTCGAAGTTGCCGAGGCGGATTGTTTCTTCAAGCAGATGATGCGTGGTGTGGAATACATGCACGAAATGGGTGTTGCCCACCGAGATCTGAAACCTGAGAATCTGCTCCTTACCACCCACGGTTCAATCAAGATCACCGATTTTGGGAATGGAGAGTGTTTCCGGATGGCTTGGGAGTCAGACGCTCACATGGTTACCGGCCTCTGCGGTTCTGCTCCGTATATTGCCCCAGAAGAGTACATCGATAAGGAATTCGATGCCCGAGCTGTCGATGTTTGGGCTACAGGCGTGATCTATATGGCTATGAGGACTGGCCGACATCTCTGGCGTGTTGCCAAGAAGGACGAGGACGAGTTCTATGAGCGATATCTGGAAGGGCGCCGAGATGAGGAAGGGTACGCCCCTATTGAATCTTTGCATCGGGTATGTTTCTCCCCTTCAATTTAAACAAACCATATGTTAACATTTTACCAGGCACGCTGCCGTAACGTGATCTACTCAATCCTTGACCCCAATCCTACCCGCCGAATCACAGCTTCCCAAGTCCTCAAGTCCGAATGGGGCCGCGAGATAAGACTGTGCAAGGCAGGCGAAGAGGGTCTTTGACAATTCGCGATTGAGCGCGGCATGAAGGACACGAAGGCAGTTTTCGCTCGTCTTAATAAGGAAGCCAATTTCGTCATGGACCTCCCTCCTTGCTCCGCGGGGGTCCATCAGTTCAGCGCTCACCAGGGGTTCCATTGTGCTAGTTGTGGATTCGAATATCATTACGACGACGGGGTCAACGGCACTCCGGTCTAATGGAAAATTGCATTGAGCGGACATGAAATGCAAGCAACGGTGCTATAGGCGTTCTACCTGATTTTGGTCTGGGTTTGGCAAGGCGCAAATGGATGGGATAACGAAGAAAGGGGAAGTCAATCTCAGTACCCTTCTGGAACGGTCGCTTTGGTTCATCACACGATTGCGATGACATTTGCATTTACGATTGCGTTGCGTTGCGTTGCTCTTCTGGCAGCGGGCTCTACGGCGGCTTGCTATTGATTTGAGAGACAATAGATTGGCGGGAGGCTTTATTTGCGGGGTGTAGGGAGGTGTAAAAGGGGTTTTGTAGATAGTGGGAAAAACCTGGGGAATCAGCTAGGATAGCGTTTGAAGAATAGAGACTCGAGGGGAAGAGACTCTTGAACGAAACACACACCGTCGCCATGTTATCTCGTGACGATTCGAATAGACAACGCCAGCTCTCATACACGACCATGTGACTTCGTCTTGTTTACATCCTCAATGCTTGGTAAGCCGTCACCGGGTCTGCACCATACCTCGGCGAGCCCGTTGCATCGGCCCTTTTCCAAGCATCCTTTTCCCCTCCGCCCCTTTAACCGGGAAGGAAGCCTTTGTTTGCCCTGGGGAATCCAGGCCCGATAAAATGCGGGAGGCTGCTAGCACCGGGATCAAAAGTTTTTCCGCACGTGGTGACCCTTTGCCTGTGTCTCTCTTTCGAGGTACTTCGGGAACAGGTTTTGATTGAATTTTATATTGCGAGGGTGGGGGTTGGAGGTATCCACCTCCTTCACCTTGTTTTTGAATGCCTGGGGGTGGGTTGGGGGGATGAAAGATTAGGTATGGAGGGCTAGGGTGGGATGGAGGTGTCGGGTTGGTAGGTAGGGTGGGATTTAGAATGTTTGGATGGTGATGAGGTGTTTTGTTTGAGAGGGAGGGAGGCTTTGGGGGTTGTTTTGATGGAGAACGGGGGTGAGGGGTAAGGGGTAAGGGTGATGAATGTGATCGGTAGCATGGACCCAATGTAGAATGGCAATACAAGGGGTTTTTTGATATGGAGGTCATTATAGCTATAGCTATATGCTTTGGTGAGGTCAATAAGTACAGTGAATGGTGAAGGAGGTATCTCGTTTAGGTGATCTTGGCCTTCAAACAAGCCCCTGAAGGGTAAGCGAAGCGAATACCACCCGAGATCCACAACTTGTATAGACCCTGCAACTAAACTTCACGTTTCTGCATAGAGTACTTGATAACATTTGACGACGTGAAATTCAGGTAAAAGAATTGTCCACCTGATCTATGAAAACCTGTGTCAGGAGGGTCCACAATCTTCGTCTCGCACAAACAGGAATCTGAGTATCTGACATCAACATACATATCACCAATTTCCCACTAAGAGATAGAGTCCTTCTCAAGACTGTTCACACTTCTTGATCATTGTGACTCTAGGTATTCCGTATGGGAGACACGGCCTTGCCCACGGACTGGCCGCTGGAAAAGTGAGAAGAGAGTTGGAGACACAGCAGCGTTAATGCCCTCGCATATTGATTGACCTCCGAGCCGAGCAGAACTCAGAAGGTAATGGGCTGTGTAACTAAGAAGGTTGGCAAGGACTAGCATGGTGCTGATAAGACGAAGTGGCTTGAGGGAAGATGTGACCGGTCCCCATTTTTGAACGTATAAATGCACGTGCAGCAATCATGCTTCGCCCAAAACGTTATTGGCTCGCACGTACGAGCTTATGTTTAGCATGAAGGATAGGGCTGGAGGTTGAAAAGGGGCTGTGGGGGCTGAGCAACCTAATACCCCCGGGATGCTCGTCAATGCATCTCCCATTTGCGAGTGTGGGTTAGAAGTTTGCACAGGCGAGATATCAAAGTAACGGTTATAAAAATGAACAATTCAAGAGATTCATGCCCAGATATCCGGATAGATAGGTTACATTGAACACCGATACTCCGTCCGGCGCCATTACACCTCCACAGGCACAGAGTACACCAAAACTCTGCTCTCCCAAATTATGCATGGGCTTGCCTCCATACCTAGAGATGAGACGACAAGCCCAAGACAAAGAATTAGAACCCCTGATTCCCCTCATGCTACTCACAGCCGCTTCATTTCTCTCGTTCTTTCTTCCATCTCTCATCTCGTCATCTGCCTATCATTTCCATTCCCAATCCAATGTACGAAAGCCCCGTTCCATCTTCTTCCAAGTCTCGCCCCTAAAACCCCTAAGGTCCGTCCTCCCAGCCCCGACTTTATTAACGCCAGTCCGTAATAACCGGAAAAAGAACACGTGTGGTTTGCTTTGTGATGTAATGACTGAGAGAACATAACATATAAACATATGTAAAAGGCCTCGCCACCATGAAATGTGGAAATGGTCGATTCGAGTCCCAATTGTTACCATGCTCGAAGAGAATACTCACTTCGTCTCCGTCCTGCTCCTTCACAGCACACATCTAAGAGTGGAACAAATCCCAAGCTCGGTCGCACAAACGCATGAATTCCTCTTTCTTTCTCTGGGTGCTCATGGGGCTGTCACGCCCTTCGCCGAATGGCCCCCTTCTCGATGTTGACGGTCCATTTCCGAGTGGCGGGCTCCCGCCTTCCTCGTATTCTGCTCGTGCTCTCCTTCTGCCTCCACCGCTGCGGCTCGTCTCTCCGTGCCTCATAGTGTTTCCGGTAAGTGGCGAGGGAGGCGTGGGGGGTTGATGCCCGCCATAATGCACCAACTTTGGCAGAAGCTCGGGTCGTCCACCGGCCAATTCTACTTGTGCATCTTCGGCTGAGCGGTACTCGCGGGGTCGCGCTGATTGCGGCGCATTATTGTTGTGTCCTGGGGAGGGGAAAGTCGGTCTTGAGTTCGAATGCGAGGAATTAGAGGCGGAGCCGGAATTATTGTTTGTGGGGAAGAATGCAGAGCGGCTGCCGTTGCTTTCGCGGTGTGCACCGAGACCTTCACTTGCAAATACGTCGGTGATGGGAGGAAGACGGTTGCTCGTTTGAGTTGCTGGAACATGGTGGATGTGCGAAGTGCTTGCGAGGTTTGACGGTTGGTTCGCAATGTGTCTCGTAAGTGGGTGTGGTTGATGTCGTCCCGTGAAAGATTGATGGAGGGGCGCGGATTGAATTACTCTCTCGTTGGCAAATTGCTCGTGGGGCGGTGCTACGATGCTCAGTCCTGGAGGCGCCTTCCTTTTCGATGTACCGGGAGTCTTGGCGGGGAATCCTCCCAGTTCTCGTTCCTTCGCACTCTCCATTGGTGCATCGCCCGGCTTCGCTGTTTGCTGTAACCGCGACTCAATGATATGCCTCTGTTGTTCTCGAACCGATATACTCCGCTGCAACTGTTCCCTCATGGTAGGATCCTGGGTGACAAATCCCGGCGACAGACACGCCAATCCAACGTCTTGAATGCCAAGTCCACCACTGTCACCTCTCGACGTCAATTGACCGGCGGATGGTCTTGCTGTGCTTGGGTTGTTTGTCGACGTGTTCTTGGACAGGTCAAGCTTTCGAGGTCTGTGTCGAGAGGTTGGTAAGTCTGGCGAGGAAGGTTCCTTTTTCACGATTATTTTTGGCGGGACACCGTTTCGAGACCTGCAGAAATTGCGATGTTAGTCTCTAATCTATCGAGTGCATAGTGAGATGTGCAGATTTGAACGTACAAGTTTGGAGAACCCTTTGAAGCCGATGCAGACTTCGGACTTCCACTCCCTGTCCGTGGAGCAGACAGATTCGGAGTCGCCGAAGCAGACGCGCGCTGCGCAGGAGGGGACGTTGAAGATGCTGAGGGTGCGATGTCGACATACGACGGTCTGTCGTGGGGTGCCGGCGACGGTGCCATTGCGATGGCCGTACTCATGATGTTGGAGGGCGGGCGGGAGTGAGTGGTGTTCAAACTGGCTCGCCTCGGATATACCTTTGCGACTTGGCGACTTCCTGCCTCTGCACCAAATTCTTGTGCTCTGCGTACTTCTTCGATATATCGGATTCGTGCGTCTTGTGTATTCCCTCTTCCTGCTTCCTGCTTAACGAGAGACCTTGTGCCACCAAATCAGAGTGAACTGTTGCTGGCTGCCAACTATTGTTGCTTTTCGTGGACGCGAAAGGTGAAGTGGAGGCCGCAAGAAGATGGGCCGGACAGCAAATCTCAGGCGAGCAGCGGAGCGACGTTGAGGTGAAGAGACGAGGACGAGGTCGAGGGGAGACGGTCGTAATAGAGTCACAACAGGTTTTGGACTGGTGGCGGTGAGGTTTTATGAATCGAGGCCTCGACTGTTTAGGTGTTTCAGAGATCGATATTTAATCCCAAAGGGCGAGGAGGGGAGGTTTGTGCACAAGGCCCCCGTCCGCTGTTCATGCGCTGCCCGGCTTGGATCAACCGTTTAGCGCGACACTGGGGGTTTGGGAGGGGGAAGACAACGTCCGCACGCCAGTCAGGATGCTGCTGCCCTGTGGCCAATCACTCGACAGATGGCCAGTCTTTGTAACAGTGAGCAGCTGCGTGGTCGACGACCCAAAGTATATGTGCGCTGGTACGGGCAATAATGTAGTATGCTCTACGCTGCTGTGTGTTGTGCTGGAGCTGCACGCTGCGGTGGCCGGCGCGGACGTAGAATCAGAACCAGTCAGGACCGTATTGATGATGTGCATGTGCATCGGATGTCTTTCAGCTCAGAGGGCTAATGTTTCCTGCGGATATTAATAAGAGCAGGTCCATCTATACAAGACGGGGCCGGCTCCCTCAGGCTCTAATTCTTCAGGGCTATGAGAGGGGCGAAAGGGGCCCGCTTCTGACGAGCAACCGTTGAAACGATATCAATCATCAGGATCTGGTGTAACGAGCACCAAAACCGTCTTCAGGATGGCCCGATATGAGTCTGTCTACCTGGAGGAGATGATTGGGAGATGTTGCAGGTTTTGGCTTTCAATGGTCTGGAGAAATAGAGTTGCAATGCTTTCTAGCCTCTGGAGTGGTGGTGCTCTGCCTCCCCTCCTGCTCCGCAGCTGTCAAAAGCTGACCTCTCGAGCAGCCACAGACAGGGCTGGGCATCTGAAAAGGGCGATTCCATGCTACCGGGTTTCGAATTGTGGTAAGCTTCAGAGGGCAAGTCGATCTCCGAATCAATATTTCTCCATCCATGCAGCGTACGTCCGAAATGCCTCTTTTGAGGTTTTGATATTAACCGTCATATTACCTTGCCGGTGGTGGCCGTTTCAATGCCGCACCCACGGACTTTCGAATTTAATCTATATCATACCCAAGTACATAATCAGAATGCGAGTTGCTTCAAATCTATTCGTGGGCATAGTTGTTTTGTTTCTGCCCCAAAGAAAGCGTTGTTTGGATTGCCATGATACACGTCCAGGCTTGAAGGGCGCGACCTCGAGCCCCATTGGGGGGGGGAGAGGTGGCAAAAAGAGCTCTCTTGAAGCGGAAAATAAAGGAGAAGTCGCAAGCCCTCGGAACATTCCTCCTGAAAAGCCTTGCAGGAAGGACGTCGACAAGTTGCCGGTGGCAGTTGCCAGACCTCACTCACGCGTCTGACACGGCGAGCCTTCAAAAATCACTCTGGAGCGTTTCTGACCACTTGTCCAGCAACTTAGCAAGCCCCTCCAGCACGGGCTTGGCGGCCAATCCCTGACCGGACGGGATTCACGCACGCCATGCGACAGGGTCGCGTTTAGAAAAGGCACCCCCATCCACACCCACTTGCAGGTCTGACCTACCAGCTGCTACAGAACTCGCCCTTCATGAAACGCGGCTGAGCCTCTGTCTCCAATCAAAGCCTCCTCCGCCGTCAAACGCGTGAGAAAAGCCCCGAGCAAAGAGTCACGTTGCCACCAGCAAAAGTTTCGCCCTGATCGTCAGGAGTGGACCACTTGTCTCACCTCAACCTTCAGGACCGCCGCGTGAGATTATTCTTGAATCAAAAATACATGAGGCACGATGAATCACCTGCGCCACCATCCTTTGTGTCCTTGATATCAAACATCCAGGCCGATATGCCTCTTTTTTCAGACGAAAGACGAGATTGGCTTCAATAATATCGAAACAAGGATCGCAAGCGATGCAACAACCTTCCTCGTACCGAGGGCCTCCGCAGCCGTTTTCATGTGCGTAACCGCGCGGTAGAAATATTGAAAAAATCTGTTGGATTTCCCCTTTGGGAACTCGAAGCACCAGTCAAATCTCGCTTTATGACGTCCACTATTACCCCCCTAATCGATAAGTGTTCCCCTCACTCGGGTCAGCCGTTGCGGGCACCCAGCGAATCAGTGCTGCGACTTGTGAAGCTGATGTTGGAACATCGATCAAATCTGAAAAACGCCAGCCCTTCGACCTGACCAATAGGCGGGCAGCCCAACATTCTAGATTATTTGCTTCTGAATGTGGAGAACGGCACTTGCCTGATGACAGTTGTGAGTGTTTGGCCGACACCTTTTTTCTTTTTGAAGTTCTTCAGGACTTTAAGGGTTTGGGGGGTACAAAAGTTGTAGCCTTATGAGGCATCAATATAAATTGCCTATCGAACTTTTCCCAGGTCAATCAGTGCTCGATGCGCCAAATGTGAACCCGCAACCAGCAATCACAAAATGCCTCCAAAGAAGAAAGCAGCCGCTACTACGGCTGCTCCTGAAGAGGATGTATCAATGGCAGATGCATCCCCCGCTCCTGCAGATGTACCTGAGCCCGAGTACGACATAGAGATTGATGAGCAGCGCATTCGAATTGTGAGCTCTAATCCTTCCAGATATTCTGAAATCTATACTAATTCTATGTTCCAGCTTCCAGGAGCCTCTGACACTGCAGCATCATTTGAATTCAAGAAGGAAGATCATACATTGGGGAATGCTTTGCGATATATCATCATGAAGAAGTGAGCCTACCCCACTCCCTAGGACTCTCTACAAAGCCCATTTGCTCCAGATCTCTTTGTTTTGCAATCCCATTGCTAATATAGATTCACTACAAGTCCTGACGTCGAATTCTGTGGTTATTCGATCCCCCATCCCTCTGAAGAGCTCATGAACATTCGAATCCAGACATACGGTCAGTGATAGCTCGGCGAGATATGAAATTGGCAAGGCTGATAATCCAGTAGAAGGGACAACTGCAGTTGAAGCATTAGAGAAGGGCTTCAACGACCTGATGGATCTATGTGACGTAGTTTCCGAAAAGTTCCAGGAAGAAAGACTCAATTTCATCGACCAAATGAAAGCATGACTGTCTAGCCAGAGACGGATACCCGGGAAGGAAATGAAAAGTACTGCATTGCATGGAGTAGAATGGAGAACCAGGAGTCTGTTTGTGGTTTATTGGGATATGTACAAAGCTATGAAAAGACGATGAACCTTCAGTTCCTGCCCTGGGCTTGGTGTCAGCTCAACAATAGACATGGGGCAACTTCAGCAAAGCTTTACCTCTAAGAACCCACTCATGAAATTCTGTGGACGTCTAGCATTCGGATCCTCTTCTGCTCGGAAGTACTTCAGGATATGGGGCAGCTGCTTCCAGTAGTTCAACGTTTCCTGAAGCCGTAGGTCAGCATGAAAATGAATCCAGAAGCCAGAAATCAAGTCCAAATCCAAGCCCCAGCCCATCCTTCTTCAATTCTTGCAAGGGCATCTGTGATTTTATATCCAGGTCCACATCCAAGGCCTAGCCTTGCTCCTTGAATTCTTGCAAGAACCCCAAGCTCTTGGTCCCCATTCACATATCTCTTGAAGTCTTTTCCAATATGAGAGTCCAACGCACCTGGTATTCCGCATGGCTTTGGAACAATAGCATATCCACTACTCCAATCTGATTCACATATCGATGCCGCTCAAACTCCTGCCTCATCTTCGTCCTCAGTCGTGCCACGGGAATATTCAGCGAGTACATGGTCTGGATTTCTGGAGCCTATGATGTTTAAGTCCTAATTAGCTCGTGATATGTCTGTTGTGGTGACGAGAACGTACGGAGCGAAGCCATTCCCTGTAGCTGTGCAAGACCCTCTTCTGGGCATCCGCCCAATTGATCGCTGCAACACCTCATTAGCTTCCTCGCCCTGGCTCAATTGGAAGAGGAGAACATACATTGCCGCGTCCGCTGCGCGAGGTAAGTTGGGTTGATTACCATTGTGCTGGTATCCGTTCCGGAGAGCTTGCGTTCACTGTCGCCGTTCTCCAGCTCGGCTGAGGTATGAAAAGACTCGTCACGTGCAAGCCTCATTCCAACCTAACCACCAGAACCTCGAGGCTGAGAAATTTCAATACCCCGCCACCAAACGGAGCTCTTGCCAACACAACAACAACACAGCGCCAAGAACACTTTCTGGTTCTACGATCCATTTCGGGAAACCGAAGACGAGATATCACAGAGATAGGGAAGGAAGACGCAAAAATGCCCGCCATCCGCCACGCCTCCAAGCGCAAAGCTCCCCCAGCCGGATTCACAGACATCGAAGACGACCTGCTCATCTTCTCCAACAAGATGAAAGACGCAGAGAACGAGCCGACCATCAACGTCCCCCGGCACCAAGCACACTGGAAGATCTTCCAAATCAGCCATCAGAGGAGTCGATACGTATATGGGCTGTATTATGAGAAGGAGGCGATCAGCAAGCAGTTGTACGAATGGTTGCTGAAGAATGGCTATGCGGATGCGATGTTGATTGCGAAGTGGAAGAAGACGGGGTATGAGAAGGTATGTTAAGTCCACTTTTCGTACTTGGAGATTATGGTTCTCGAAGATTTGTTCAGTTTGTATTGCATGTGCTAATGCTGGGTTTACAGTTATGCTGCCTCCGATGCGTGCAAACGAAGGAAACAAACTTCAACTCTACATGTATATGTCGGGTTCCTAAAGCACAAATGAAGGAAGATCAGGCGATTGAATGTGTGAGCTGTGGATGCAGAGGTTGCGCCTCGAGCGACTGAACCTTGTGGCTCGAAGAGCAAGCGGAGACGTTCAGCGATTATTACTGGATCTGGCTGGATGCACCATTTCGAATTTGAGGATACCGACAATGGCGTTTATGGAGTCGAGAGATCTGGGCTAGATTCGGCAGGCAGCACTTCATGGTATGGCGTTTTTGGCGTCGAGGGAAAATTCCACATCCTGGAGGATACTGCACCCAGATAAGCACCTGTAGTAGTGCTTTACTGTTGGATTATATATCTACCTCGTTACGAAAGGTGTAAACTACACAAATCAGAGAGACATATTGGAAGTGTCTAAAAATTATTCCTCCGTATTCCCAAATGCAGGCATAAAAATAATACGAAAGGATCTTCAATTCCAAGGTTCCATTTTTCGCCCCTAATTCCCAAACGCCATCTTTGTTACCTAGAGAGGTAACTTTTCTATCCCTTCTTGCTATGAAATCCAGTTCCCTAAGATACTATAGACCGGGATGCAGACAGAAACTTCACAACGCTACATTAACGGGTGCTCTCGTTATTTCATCAAGTTACGTTCTGCTCACTCTTTCTCCCCCTCTGTCGCCTTCTGCCACATGCTACCCAGAACGTCGCCACTCCTATCGCTGACTTCTTTTCCCAGCGCTCTCGTGTTCTCCATGGCTTTTGCAGCAATGGCTGAAAAGCTGTTAGATGTCGTGTCCAACCTCTCCCTTGCAATTACCTCAGGCTCTGCACCTTTCTCCCTCGCTTTATCGAGAAGCCCCTTGAAGCCCTGGTGGGGTAGGCTTTGCTTCACCTCGGCTGCATTGGGTGCATCAACCATGTTCTCATCCTCTCTGTACTCCTTCTTCGAGTCTACTCTCCGGGTCAAGTATACCGTTGCAGTCTTTCCTTGAGCAGCACGGATGCGATCTACCTCCTGCTGGTACGCTGTGTCGTAGATGCTGAACTCGGCTGCAGTTGGAGACTCGGCAACCACTTCTTCTGGCGGTGTGTCAAGAGCGCCCCTGCCTCCTGTCCCGATGCCGAGGAAGAGCGGTTCTTCATCCAAAGGATCGTGAGCATGGCCTTTCTCACCAGACTCTTGTCGATGGACTTCTGGGTGGTCCGGAACCTCCTCGGAACTGATTTCGTATCCCTGATGGTGCTCTTCAGAGTCTGTAGGGGCATTGATCATGGTAACAGATGAGTCCATTCTAGTTCCCATTCCTCTGTGTAGATTAACATCTGGAGGTTGAAGGTCGTGGTGTACCCCTTCAGCGGCGAGTGCTGTTTCAACAGTTCTCCGATCGTCGATATCTACACTTCTTGACTTGTGTAGTGTAGGACTTGAATGACAACCAGCATTTTCAGGAGGGTAAAGAGCCCTAACCCCTCTACCCAAGGCGGTTGATAGAGCGCCGGGTCTTTTCTGGTCTACTAGGGCTCTAAATTTCTGCACGGCTTTCATCTGATACGAGTCAGCATCTAACTGTTCATTTAAGAAAGCGATTAAAGGAGGCTTACCACAGCAAGTAGATGCCTCATCTTCGCTGTAATAGCATGGTTGACTTCGAGTTCACTTGGTGGCTCTACTAAGTCTGCGGTATTCTCCTGTGCAGATAATAGAGGATCCGTCCCGTTTTTGGTAACCCATGGATGTTCCTACAAGTTTAATTAGCATCCTTGCCCTTAGTATCTACAAAGTGATAACGCATACTCTCAACTCGGCCATCTTGATTCTTTTTTTTGGATCCTTATCTAATATCCTCTTCATCAAGTCAGCGAATTTGGGGTCGTGGTCGGGGTCAATAAACGGTTTATCGTTTCGAATGGCTTCATATAATTCCAGTACTCCGGATCGTTCAAATGGTATGCAGCCAAATCTAAGGCAGTAAAGTGACACTCCCATAGACCAGATATCGGCGGCTTTGCCAGAAATATCTCCATGTTTGGTGATACATAACTCCGGTGGCAAGAAGGCAGGCGATCCAGCCGACTTGGCCGTCAACATCTCTGACTGCTTTTCGAACATCTCAGACACGCCAAAGTCCACAATCTTGAGGACATCGTCCTCTGTGAGGAGAAGATTATCTGGCTTGATATCTCTGTGAACCACGCCTTGTGCATGTACTGTAATATTTTAGCACTGCCTCCGTTAAGGAGGGAACAAACTTACAGTACTCAATTCCCAGAATGAGATCTCTGAGCCAATGCCTGCATCTCTCTTCATCGTACGGATCTGCTTTATCGTTCAATCCAACCTTCATTACCACGCCCTTCTTACACATTTCCAGTACCATGTACAGCGAATCCTCTTCAGGGTCATCCAATACCTCAATGAGTGATACCAGATTTGGATGATTGAGCTTCTTCATGATTGCAATCTCCTCTTTGATCAGATAAAGTGGGTTCCCTTGCTCTTCGCCATCATGAATATCTGAAGCTGAGTGACGATGCAAAGGAGAATTCAGTCCGCTTCCCGCAGCCAAGTGTCCGGCCCGTTTCACGGCATGTGGTCTCCTAAGGATATTCGACTGAGCCCGCTTTCGTAATCTCGATTTCGAGAACTCTTTGACAGCCTAGGACTGAAATCAGCCAGAACATCTTGTAGTTTTGGACCACAATAAATGCTCACGTATTCCGTTCCATATTGATCCACAGCCAGGTGAACAGCACCAAAGGAACCCCGTCCTATTTCATCTTTGATTATGTACTGATTGATATGGTGTTCCGCCTTGCCATCTTCTTCACTATTCGTATATTCGGACCGCGCATTCAACGTCTCTTTAATCGTGCGATGTTGTGAGGGCGTGCGACGGTGATGTCTGAGAGGACTTTGGTAGGCGGGGGTGGAGCTTTAGATATCAGCATCCCCACATCAGAAGCTATGTACAAGCATATAACATACACATGCTGGATGATAGGAGGTCTTCCTTGTTCTGTCAAACCGGGTACATCCAGGGAAATGCCTGTTAACCCGTTATCAAGTAGAACAAGCAATGAGTGGAGGTCAATATCATACCATGGGATGGTAGAATCCCAATTTCAGCTTCTCTCTTGGTAATATCACCTGCATGGCCTGGCTGCTCGCACTCGCTCTCAAAGGAATTCATGCTTTGATCCATAATACAATTCGATGCATCTTCCTCGATGCGTGATTCGTGATATCGCTCTCGAGACGCCAGAATCAGGAGCGCTTGGAAATCGGGTTGGTACTGGGGGAGGCTGTCAGTCTTGGTCCCCATTCGTCGACGCCGAATACACCCCTGCCAAAGCTTGTTTCCGTCACTAGCCTTGTCACTCTCTCTGCCTCCATCTGAGCCTCGTTTGCGGCTCTCCTTGAACCGAGCCTTCTTCAGACATTGATGATGGTGGTCTACAGCTTCTACATCTTCGACCGGCATAGTAAGTCTTATTGAGTAACCTTCTGCTGAGACCTCAATGCTGACCCTCAACAGCGGAATGCATCTACTCTCGCCTCTGGGCCCGACAAGACCGCCCCATCTCAGGATCTGGGGCCTCCAATCGCCCCATCTCTACCTCGAGTACAGCATCTGGAGGCAACACACTTGTTCCTGACCTCGGACCAGCACGAGCCCGTCCTGCCCGCCTCAGCGCGCAAGACGATGCGAAGCTCATCTTCGGGACAATCTTCTCTTTGAGGAATATGGTGCGGAAACTGGGAGGCCCTGATGATAGCTTTATATCGTTCAGGACGGGACAGTATAAGTTGCATTACTATGAGACGCCGACGAGTATTAAGTTTGTGATGTTGACGGACACGCAAACGTTGAACATGAGGAATGTTCTGCACCAGATTTATGTCAATCTGTATGTGGAGTTTGGTGAGTTGAAGAAGAGGCATTGATAGAGAGCTAAACGCTGATTCAATGGGTAGTGGTCAAGAATCCACTGTCACCCGTTGAACATCCAGGAGGAGAGGGTGTTGCAAACGAGTTGTTCGAGCTGGCTTTGGATCAATTTGTGAAGGGTGTCCTTTGAGGTAAGAGATCTCGTGGCTCAGGAGAGCTCTGGCATATCTGGCGTTCACAGGGAAGCATGGCAGGCGTTTGGAGAAATGGAATCTCAGACTACCATCAATGGTGCATTAAGGGTATTATTTGGTATATTACATTCCCCATTCCGTCGTCTTTTTACATAAAGGTCCGCTATGCCCACCACCGCATCAAAAGCTCCACATCCAATCTATCCAATCTATCCTCTCAAACCGGAGCATCTTTTTGAACAGCCTTGCCCCATGCACTCTCAAATGCACTGGCACTGGCACTTCCAATATCTACAATGCTCTCTTGTCCTGTATGACCTTCTGCCGGATCGATAGGACCATCCTTCAAGGTGATACCAGACTCGTCGTTCACAGGGCGAATCTCATTTTCCCAGTTAGAGGAATAAACTACTGCTGCAAATGCCTCCAAGTCTCGGACCTGCTCCATTGATTGAAGATACTCGTTTGGTACTCCATTCCCAATCGAGTAAGCCTGCCTCGTCAGTATCGCAAGAACGATTGGCAGCTTGACAGGCTTAACATCGACAACTTCCGTGACACGTGGAGCATTCAGATCCGGAACGTCGGACGTCGGTGGCACTCTGTAAGCTTGCCGTGCAATCTCTTGATCGACTAGGGTCGAGTACCCAGCATCCAGGAGCAGCGTCAGGACATGTGAAAAGGGGGGCGAGTCGATGAGATCCGAGGTCTCGTCTAGGAGGCGTCGAAGTGGTGTAGCATCTGATGATGATATCGAAACTGATCCTGACGGAGACGACTCCTTGGTCATTCCAGATTCCCTGAGGACAAATTCCTCCTCTTCTTTCGGCGGAAGCAAATATTGCAACCACGTGCTCGCTTGTCTCTCCGCTTCTGTGGCCCCTTCGACTTTCTTCCGGACCTCAAGAGTCAGCTCTGAGAACTTTTGCATACTGATATCATCCCTAGGACTTAAACCCCCAAAGACCTCTTTTACAGCAGCTTCAACCTTAAGCATGACCTCCCTCCAACCCCTGTGCAGCAGCCACCAACTGAAGGTCAGGTATTTTCTGTTGGTCTCAAAATCGTTCCCGTAAGCTTGATCCGGGTTATCGTCATCGTGGTTTTCCAGGCTGATCGTTGATTGTTCCATTCCACCCGTTGCAAGAGATACCACGCTGGACAGATAACTCCTCCGGCCCAGTAAATTCAGCTGTATCCGAGTGAGGAGAGTGAGAAGAGCTAGTGTATATATCAATGTGAAGGCCCGAGTGATTGCTATGCTAATGTTAGTTGAGCTTCAGAACTTCTTCTACGTGACTTACAGCTAATCTTGAGATCGTTCCAAAGCTGCAGCTTAGTTTTCCTAGCCTTCTGAGCCTGTTGCCCACCATCCTGTCGCCCCTCGCCAACTACCGATGCAGATGGAATACCCATCTGGCTTGCATGCACACCACTCTCACTCTGGAGACTCGCCATACTCCTCCCATCATCATCCGTCACACTGGGAGGTCCAGAGTCCAACTCTGATGGATTTATCTCGCCATTACGTGCCAACTTTGCCGCCTTCTGCTGCTGGAGTTCATGAGTTATCCTCTCGGTTTCCAATTCATGCATTATATTATCTGTAGCTGTTGGGAGCAAGGCTAGGACAGTGAAGGTGCAATCTTCTTGGTTTTGCTCGAATCTCCTGCGCAGGCTGTGGGATATGGATAAGCTAGTATTCTACAACCTAGATAGAGATCAAACTTACTTCTCTCGGGCTATGCGGTCACTGCTCATGCGCTCACGCGCATCTGAGATCTTTCCCAACACATATTGAGTTGCAACATAGCCAGCCCCAATAAGGCCAAATCCAATAGCAAGTGGAGTTCTATTCCGCTTTAACCATCTTCTGGAGGCGGAAATCATGACTCAAGTTGAGTAGATTGGCAGTAGTAACATGCCGGTTGGGAAAGTGCGAGCTGTGATTGTGTAGAGCGAAAAGTGATGGGGAAAATGGGAAAGCCCTCTCTCATGCCCGTACCCCTTGTGATGAATGTTCCCGCGGCCGAGGTTCCCAAGTGGCTGGGGAAATTCCCGCTTGGTCCGCAGGTGGGTCCCAGATAACACATTTACATAGCTATCCTTAAACCCACTCATATGCAATGTACCCCTCCATACCGCACATTCAACACCTCACGATACCGTTGTTCAAATTGTAAGCAAATGATCGAAAATAACCTAGCCATGGAACAACGCCGTCCGCCCGAGTATATTATTGAAGTCTTCGCGGATCCCTCGTCGGTGAAGGATGTTGTCAGAGGTATTCATTCCGCTTCGTCCAGGAGACATGAGCGCCAGCTGATCGTAACGCTTAGGAATTTTACATACGATCTTTTTTCACAGATTCTTTCCTTCTATTCGGCCAAAGTCGAGAGATATCCTGGATTTAACGCTACCATTTGTGGATGATGTTGAGCTAGAGACCTTGATTGATCAAAGGACAGCAACGCTTGTAAGACAACTAGACACGAGCTCTGATCAAGGTGCAAGAAATACTGGCGTGAGAGGCTTGATGGCAGTTCAGTTTTTCGAAAAGAAGCGGCGGAAGGCTTGGGGGTTTATGAAGGGCGAGGAGGAAGTATGTTGGGAGCAATGGACGCTGGACGTGACGCTCGCAACTCCGAGGACGGAGAGCGGTATGTGTCCACGCTGTGTGGAGAGATGTGATGCTGATGCCATGTCACAGAGAGAGCTAAGGTTCGAAAAGCTATGGAGGCGATGTTGCTGAAAGCTGCTATGAAGATCGTTACGACGGTAAACAGGGAGAAGGATCACATTCCCCCAATAACGACCAGCGAAGCAAACCCGTTTCCCTACCAGATTGTGATTAACCCCAAAGACAATAGTTGGGGGGCACGGATGGGAATATTTTGAAATGTTAAAAAAACCATGCCCGATTGTACATACGGGAATGGGGTTATAGGAGTCTGGGAGTTTGACATAGATGGATTTGGACACAGATACCCGAATAAAATGGCACAATGAGGCCTTATTTGATTAAAAGGCTACCACCACTTTCTTAGGTGAGTCGTTCTCATAATTCATATCTCGTAACTCAGAAATTTCTCAGCTTCTGCTGAACCCTCTTGCACGACCACCGCCTCGACCAAACCTCACGCTGGGAGGAACAAAGTTTAATGCAGACATAGCTCCAGATAGCACATCCATATCTACATCCTCTGGCCCCTCTGGAAGCGTTTCTGGGTTTTCTTCTTTCATTGCCTCTGTCTCACCGCTGCCATTTTGCTTCTCAGATGGAACTGTTTCCAGGATTGAATTGCGTCGTCTTCTCTCCTCAATCTCCGTCATATGCTGGGCTGCTGAACTCCTCCTTCGGTGCTTTCCTGATCTTAGCATAGAGCTTCGACGATCGATGCCATCGTTCACAATGTAAAAATCGTAGTCCTTGGGAAACATGTGCTTGTCGATTAAATGCATCCGTCGCTTCTGCGGAGTTGAGCACTTTCGATCACAATCTTCCACGAAGCAAGAGTACTGCGAGTTATTAGTTAGCAAATCTTCACTGAAAATGAGACATAACTCACGGTCTTCTCTCCCCTCTCCCTCTTCACACTAACTAAAGCATCATGGTTTTCTTCGATATGTAGGTTCAAGAAATGCTCCGTGGGGAAATTTTTTCTGCACTCGACACAACGGTTGACGTGTGTCTTCGCATAGTGTACATCATACTCTTCGAACGAGGTAAACGAAAGGGTCTGGCGATGGCCTGGGAGAGAACATCGCATCTCAATGACAGCAGGAGCCTCACCGCTTTCTCGGTCGAGGTGAACAATTTTAGGTGTATTCGAGGTCGCTGGTATCGTGGGTGGGTAGACAACTAATCCAGCAGAGGGCGTAGATTCTCTAGTGCTCTCGGACTCTGGGGAAGAAGGCTCGAAGTCTTCTCGTGAGCGCTTTGCCATCTTTAAGGGCTGAACAGCGGGGTAAATACTTTGGAAGGACTTCTCTCTTGTTTGGTTTGCTATTTTGCGATCAGTCTTGAGATCCTGAATCTGCCTTATTAAAGGGACCAATGAAACGCGATGGTGGGCGTATCTTTTCCCCTGAAAATCCTTGCAGGTTGTGGTTGTGGTTGTGGGACGATGGGGGGAAAGTCCACGAGGAAGCCTTGCGCGCAAGCCACCCACGTTCAGCCTCGTTGAAAGCGCGATGCCAAGCCCTGCAAGGCAGGGGGCCAGTGACGGCTCGCTTTCGACGATCTCTCGCTAGTTGACTCCTCCTCCTGCTCACCACTTTCTGCCACACGGTGACATCGTGAAGCCTTCAATCAAACCTTGTGCATTTACTCATGAGTCGATGCTCCCTCTTAGCAGTTCATGTCCATTTTTATTCACCTTCACCCTTTGGCGGAATCATTGCCCTTAGCGCGCTTTTGTTTCCGCGGACGGCCAGCCCATTTCGAAAGGCAGTGGTGAATCGAACCAAACCTCCATATGGATTGCATCTACCACCCTCGATTTGCGGAGCTCCTCCCTACGCAAATCTAGCAGAGATCAGCGGTGGAGCGTAACACCTCTGCAACCATAGCACAACGAAAGCAATGGCCGCGCCGGTCATACAACAATGGGAGTAAGTACCCTAATCACACTCTCACTGTGCGCCAGGCTGACAGCATGTCTAGGTATGCGCAGCAGGTTGAGGGCGGCCTGATCCCGCTCTTGTCGAAATGGGGAAGAGAGGGACCGACGTTCGAGCAGATCGATGACCTGATAAATGAGTGAGTAAATGTCGGAGCTGTTCCATCTTGTTGCTAATGTGTTCAGGTATCGCAAGGCCTCCGAGAATACTGTCTTCCTCGATTTCGAATATGCTGCCAGCCAAGGAGTTGGAAAACGTCTGTGGGACGCCCATACCAAGATCAACAACAGATATAAGAAGCTCTTGGTTGAATATCGCAAGGGAGACCAGAAGAAGATGGTCGTCGAGAAGCGCAAGTTCGAGAAACGATACGCCGACTTCATCAAGACCAGCCAGTTCTTCTACAAGGGTTACATCCAACGTCTTGCATCTCACTTTGCCGGCATGAAGGGACTGCACCGGATTGCCAACCGACTTTCGCTCAGCACACTCTCTGTGGACGAGCGTATTCAACCCACCCCGCATGTCGAGCACCTTATCGAGATGTCTTGCCATGCCACTCTCCTACGCCTAGGTGATCTCTCTCGCTATCGCAACAATATGAGAACCAAGGATCGTAGCTGGGATCCTGCAATGGCATACTATAGCTTGGCTAATGATCTCTACCCGGATTCTGGTGCCGCTCATAATCAAATGGCCGTCATTGCTACGACCGATGGTAATCATTTGGATGCTGTCTATCACTTTTATAGAGCCATTGCCACAAAGGAGCCCCACCCCCTTGCCCAAGGAAACCTTGAATTGGAGTTCAAAAAGATCATTACGTCCTGGCAGAAGAAGCGTCCAAATCCAAAGACTGGCAGTCTCCCGACCCTCATCTGGTGGTTCGTTCTTCTTCATGCAAAGTTCTACGAAGGGGCTGATTTTTCGACCCACGAAGAGCTTGAGAACGAAGTTCTGTCCCGACTGGCTTTGCTTCTCAAAGAACAGTCCTTCGGTGAAACTTTGGAGAAATTTGTCCTTATCAATCTCGCTGCAGAGTCTCTTGCTGGTGACAGATTCAGAAGTAGGTTTGTCTTCACTATCTATTAAACTTTTGCTGACAAAGCTACAGAACAAGGTGACGAAGCCAGGCCTGAGATCATCAAGTCATACCTCTTCTGCCTTGGGCTTAACGTTCGGATGATGTTCGTGCTCCTTCAGGTTCTGTTGCCAGAGCTTGAAGGTCCAGCCAGCGGCGAGGAACTTCCGAGTGGTGCAGGAGGTTCACGATCTGATAGACCGAATGAGAAGATCACCGCTATTGCAGCTAGAGTCTTTCCAGCCCTACGCCAATATAGTGTCTGGCTTGCTTCTGGTGCTGGACTTATCCTTACCTCTACCGGTACCGCCGCCATTCAAGTCCATACAAAGGAAATGTGGAAGATGTATGCCGATGTCCTTACCAGGCTCACAAATTTCTTCCCTGTTGAAGAATTGGGTTCGGTCAGTTACCTTTTGGAGGAGGATGAATCGACTGTTGGCTTCCAACCATTGCGAAATCCCTCACTGGGTGCTGAGTGTAACCTTTATGTTGACGACAAGGGAGAGTTGAAACCTCGCATTACCGACCTTGGTGTCAAGAGAGATCTTCCCCATGTTGAGATGCAAGCGCGAGTCTTAAATATTCTCCTTTGCGGTCTCAGCTTACAGCTCAAGGAAGAGATTCCCCTCTCCCTGAGCAGAGATACAGGCTCCCCGGCTTTTACTTTTGTTGAGGAGGGCCTGTCACTGGCCAGTCCAGTCCAGGTTCAAGCTTCAGCGTCGACCTACACGAGCCCGATCCGAACCAACGGTGACTACAGCATGCACGAACCGGCAGATGGGACCGCCGAAGTCCGTGATGGAAGTGTTGCAGCCTCCGACTCTCATCAAAGCATGGACACCGATATGCATCGCATGGTTGAGAGTCTCCTCGAGCCGCCGTCTAGTAGAAATACTACCAGCAACGAGACATCCTACGGCATGCATAGCGCTACTGCAAACGAGGTCTTCGCGCCCATGAGATCTAACGGCTTTGAGCCTCGTTTTCAGAGCACTCCCAAGATGCTGCCGAGCCTGCCCGGTTTCTACAACTCAGCCTTCACACCGCAGCCCAATGAACTTCAGCCTCTTAGCCCCAATCGGCCGATGACTGCACGCCAACTCTCACCTCTTCCTCTTGCTACGCCTGAGCAGCGTCTTCAGGCAGCAATGGCTCTTGATGAGGTCACTGGCTACGGCCCGACAAAGAACGGTTCATTGGGAAGAAAAGCTTCGAGACCTCTGTCCAATCCAATTTCTCAGCCCGTCAGCCAAATCCTGCAGGAATCGCTTGCACAGCAGTTCATGCCAATACCGTCTTCTACTTTCTCGGATTCGAGCAGCATCTATGTCAACAACACCCCGCAGCTCCAAAATCGTGCTGTTGGTGGACCATTGCGTGGCGGGCTTCCTCCTATCAATGGGAACAACTCTACGGTCTATCCAGGTGCTAGTGATTTCGACAAGACCACCATGCTGCAAAGCTCTATCTATGATGGCAGCCAGCCTGCCTGGGGCGGTTATGCCCAGACACCTCCTGGCGGACAAGGCGGCTGAGGCATTTCACGTCGCCTCTTGTACTGAGTAAACATTTCGGCATGAGATATACTTATCATCGAAAGCGCCATATTGTGTCCGACTCCAATCTCGACCATCCATATCCGATTCGGATATTGTTGGCAGGATTTCACCCATCATCTTCACCAGCACTGCACTTCGGCGATCACAGCATGAATATGCATGGAGATTGAAGGACTTTTTGGGGTCTCTAATGCTAAATTCTATGCATGATCGTGGAGGATCATAATCGGCCATCTTCTTCATAAGCAGCAGCCAAATCGTCTGATTTCAGACGCTTCCCGTTGTTGAAACCTTTTTCCCATCTGAACGCCGTCTAAAATCTCGATGGTACAATCAAATCAGATATTACTTGCCCTGTGGCTTGTAGGTCTGTTTGGGGAATGGGAATCTACAAAATGAGCGTTGTCAGTTAGTCTATCTCTAGGGTAAGGGGACCCGGAAAGTTGAGTTGTTCTTTCGTGGAAAGGGGACGGCGGTGTACATATTCGAATGCAAAATCCGTGAAAATCATCGGCATCTCTGAAGTGCTTGTGATTTTAATGAAAAGAGATGACTTACGAAGGGCCCAACTCCTGAATACTCAGCTTTGCCAACCACTGTCCTTGATCAACGCACTGAACGAGACTCTCACCAGCAACCAGTCCAGCAGTGAAACCAGCAGCAAAAGCATCTCCAGCTCCAGTAGTATCATTGATCAGCTTCGTGTCGATAGCGTGAACCTCATATTCTACAACCTCCTTCCCAGCTTCAGCAACAATCGTAGGATCGGTTCCTTGGGTAATGATCGCCACTCTAGGTCTCTTCTCGTTCGTCTTGGGTAGTCCGGCCAAATGCTTCGCAATCTCCTTGATATCCTTACTCTCAAGTCCATGGCTCTCAGCATAGCTAAGTGCCTCAGTCTCATTTCCGATAACATAGTCCCAGTAAGGAGAAGTAGCATCAAGATGGTCCTTGAAGAATTGAGGGATAAATGGTGCAGAGAGGGAGAAGACGAAGGCCTTGTTGTTCTTTGCTGCTTCCTCGGCAAGGGCCATGATAGCAGGCGGGCAGACGGTCAAATGGTAGCCACCAACGAAGTAAAATGAGGCGTTCTCAACCAGCTTCCAGACCTCAGGCGATTTTAAGTGGTCGAGGTCATAATGATTTGCCGCGCCGAGATCAGTGCACATGGATCTGTTGTGGTCGGTGATGACGACCCCGCAGCGACCTGTCGGTTGCTTGGGGTCAACGCGGTACTCAACTCGAAGGCCAGCTGTCTTGACTGCATCGTGGAGGATGGCTGCGTATTTGTCGTCGCCGACGCCGCCGAGATACACGACGCTGTTTGGGGGCAAGAGGTATTGGGCGCCTCGAGCAGTGTTTTGCGCTCCGCCTCCAGCGATGAGCTTTGCAGAATAGTTGTTTAGAAGGTCTTCGTAGAGTCCGAGGTGCTTTTCTTCTGCGAGGATGGCATCGTTGGGCTTGAGACCGTACTTCTCAAGGAGGGCAGTGTCGCCTTGGGCTTGGATATCTGAGAAATGAGTTGTTAGAATCAATTGCAATGAAACCAAAATCGAAGAAGATTAAGATCCTGATGCTTGCTTGTCATTGCACAGGAAAAACCTGGTTTAATTGGTTCGAAGACTTACCAAGTAAAGGGTTCTCCAGGCAGAGAAGGGCGTATTCTTTTGTGGGCGCCATTTTGGTTGTCTTTGGCGTTGAGGAGGAGTGGTAGAAGAGAGTATGTTTTCTGATGGTGGGGTCGGTGAGAGGACGAAGGCTTCTTGGTGGGGTGCACCAGCTCCAACGCGGGGACAAAGAGTGCCGAGAAACGCCTCTGAACCACATTGCCTAAGTCGATTGTTGGTGGATGTGCTTCAGATTTCGATTCTGACCGCAATTCATGCACTTAATAAGTTTGTCATTATTTTCGCTGGTGCCGAAATGTCCAATACATGAGCAGTCACGTCACTTTGCACCCCAGGGTGTCTGATCCCTGGCCACATTAACGGCAAGTACTTGTGTCATGTTTTGTATTCGTTCTCGCAATGCTCCAGTCCATCCGAAAGGCACATGAATGCGTAGCCAGCAAGTCCAATACAATGAGAAACCCCCAATATCAAGCCGTCTAATCCTTGACCTTTTGAGTACCACGCAGCAAACCAGTTCTCCGAGCGGCAATGAGACCAGCCTTTTGACCTTGTGCAGCGTATCTCGAGATGGTAGAGGCCTTACCAATATGTTGGTGGTTACCACCCTATATTTTATTAGTATCTTGTGATCCAGAGTAGCACTAGCATTACATACTCCGTGAGGATGGTCGACGGGGTTCATAGCAACACCACGGGTCTTTGGCCAGGAGTTGCGCTTGACAGCGAACTTATGCTTAGCACGGGATGCCTCTGTAAAATCCAATCAGCCAATGCCCAGTTTATGGCCCTAATACCCAGGGCTCAAACGTACTCAACAACGGCTTGTCAGTTCGTCCACCTCCAGCAACAATGCCAATCATTCCACGCGCACTGCTCTTGATGACCTTCTTGGCGCCGGATGGAAGCTTGACACGGGTCTTTCCCTCATCTGGGTTATGGCCAATGACCGTAACATAGTTGCCGGATGTGCGTCCGAGAGCACCACGGTCTCCAGGCTTCTCCTCAACGTTCGAGACGACAGTTCCTTCGGGGACAGATCCAAGAGGCAAGACATTGCCGACCGTCAGGGCAGCGTTCTTTCCTGCATAGATGAATTGACCGGTGTACATGCCCTCATTCGCAATGAACGTCTCCAATCTGAGCTTGAATCGGTAGGGATCGCGGAATTGAACCTTTGCAAGAGGAGCTCCTCGGCCGGGGTCTGTACGTGGTCAGCCTCCAACAATAATGCATAGAAGGGTGACTCATTGCTCACCATGGATAATCTCCTTAATCACTCCGCGGATGTATCCTGAACAAAATTATCAGACTTGTCTTCATTCGCAGTGTAGAGTTCGGATTCATCTACCGTGAGCTTCAGCATAATCCAGGTTCCTGAACGCCGCGGGAGCCTTGTTCAGGCGAGTATTTGCGGTAAAGATCGAACCTCGACCTTTCCTGGTTGATTAAAGCTCGTTAGCTATGAATGGGAGAAGAGAATGGAGGGTGGAGCGTGATTCTGGAGAAAGGCGGTGCTATGAGAGGGCAGTGGAACATCCGCCAGGAATAGAACAGGGAACACATACCGCTGATTGCGAATAACGCGACCCATTTTTGCTTGCTCTTGACGTCGTCGTCGCCGGTTGTCAAGAGTTGGCGTGTTATGTTGAAGTTCAAAATTCGTTTTCGACTCCCATATTTCTTGTGTGCGCGTAAGAGGCAGGCGGTAAGCGAGCCAATCATATGATTTTAACAGTAGCGTATATTTCAACTCACGTCGGCTCAACTCCAACACCTCCAAGGTCTTTTTCTTTGCAGTCTCTTGCCACAAAACTCCTCACCCCGTGTCGTACATGGTCTTGTAGTCTCTTTCTGTTTGATTCCATGTTCAATACTCAAGTTCGCGTTGTAATCATCTGATATGATGGGGTAAATTGGTCTCCAAGTGACTGGCCATCCTCTTCCTGGTGCTTTTGCCTCATGTCCTCTTCGCACGACATAGAGGGAATTTCTCGAACATATCAATATATAGCAAGCTCCTATCATAGTCTAAGTATGCGTGAGATTCTGCAAACATTTTCCTGTCCCCTTTCAACGACTGGAACATCCGTATGTGGCTATTCCATTTCTCTGAGCAGCGCATCATTGAGCATCAGATGCATCCAATCGTGGCGGTGATTAAGTGTCCCGTCATGATATGCGACACGATAGCGTTGAGTGGTCGGGGGATGTTGATCTCAGAGCCTCGAGCTTTTTCGGGGATTGACACAGCAGCTATTTCTGTCCCCACCCAAATTCTCGACCGTGCATTTCCAGTAATGTCTACCTTGCGATATCGTATCTCATTTGCATCAATTCCCCTCCTTGTTGTTCAAGTATTTGATATCAATCACAAGTATCGTCCTTAGGAGAAGCTGGCCGATATGCTCTACGGTGAAGCTCGTGCCGAAAGCGGAGATCACATTTTGACACCATCAAAAGAGTCAAGAGCTCGGCTGATGAAGGGTGCGACGGGATGCATGCCAAGCGAGTCTGGTTATGTTGGCAATCAAAGTTCTTTTTGGCCGGCAATTGTGAGTTCCCCCATCATTCTCATATCAGACATCTCCGACATCGAGAACATTCTAAATCATTCAGCAATACTTAATTCAACAAAATCGAAGGGAAAGAGTGAGCAGTAGTTGTTTGTGCATCTTCCATTGCAGCTCGATAGAGCAGGGCGAACGCGGAACAGGTGATGGCGTGGGACCTCGCTAAGAGTGGACTTATATCATGTGGTGGAATGTGGCCGATATGAGGATTAGGAAATGCTTGAGACGGAATGTTCAAGGTTAGAAATCCCTTGAATATTGTAGATCAATCGAGATGGCTCTGGGGGCGATGGACAATAGGAATTTTTGTTTGTACAATAGGACAATAGAGAACTTTTCAGTATTCACCTGGTTCATTGTGCGTGGTGAATACCGCGTCAGCCTAGACCAATAAAGTTCCATCGTTCCTGTTGCTTTCATTTATCGCCAAAGCTTCCAAGCTCCCTCCGACATCATCTTCCAAAACCAATACAGCGCCCGCACCTTCAACCAACACCAACGTCAAGATGAGCTCTGACGAGTCTTCCGAGCTGTCTTCCGTCCCGTCGGAGGACGATACTAATCTTCAATTAACTAAAAAGGATGGCATATTGAAGTTCTTTTCCAAAGCTCCCCCTTCCGCCGCATCGAAGGCCAAAGAGGCTTCGCCGCCTCGCCCTAAGCGCGAGCCTTCCCCTCCTCATGAATACGTCCTGGCAGATAATCCTGATATTGCTGTAAGTATATGATCCTATCGTCGCGTTCTCGATGGCTTTACACGTACAAAACGCGTGGTTTGGTGGTGCAATAGTACTAACTGTCTTTTGCGTAGTTCATCGTCATGTTCCGCTCAAGATTCACGGAAGCCTTCCCAAAGTCCCTTTACAATTTCGGTCCTCAGGAACTCGAACGAGATATCGTAGACACCGTCCCTGGAGAGGGCGCGGAGCATTTGCTGTGCGCATTGCTTGGATTGCTCCTCAACAGAAAGCAGGATGTAAAGTGAGTTCGCTTTTGCGGCCGGAAATTCTTCCAGTGTCTTCAGGACCAAGTTGCTGACCGGTCATCCAACTAGGGCAGGACATTACAATCGAGCGCTGGAGGAAGCAGTTCAGACTCACAAGTCGCAATGGGCGAAGGATTGGGAGAGCAAGAATCCGCTGTCTGGGGGTGCGACCTTCACCACAATGATGCCTACTCAACGAGTGAGAAAGCCCTCTTCTCCTTCTGGCGCCGGCGATTATGTGCTCGTCCTCAGCTGTACTAACTTTGTGATAGCTTACTCTCCTACGAACCCTGATTCTATGGTCCCTCTCCTCCTCCGAGACCGTGAAGGGTATAATTCAAGCCTCCTACAAGCAAAGCCGTCACGACGATGATCTCAACCAACCGCTTTCGGTCCAACCATGGGGTTCAGATGGCGATAAGCGTCGATACTATCTTATTGAAGGTCTGGATGATACACACTTCAGGATATACCGCGAGAGCAACCACACTGCTATAAAGCGAACCTGGTGGAGCGTCGCAAGTGATATCGACGAATTAAAGGCTCTTGCCGACAAGCTCTCTCATGAGGGTGGTCAGAAAGCCCGCCTTCTCAGTCAAAGGATTCGAGCTGCTATCCCTCGCTTTGAGTCGACAGAGGAGGTATGCTTGGTGTCCATCCACAAGTTTTGAAGCGAAGCTAACTATTTCTCAGAAGCGGAAGCGACGTGAATATCGACAAGGACGTAAGAATCAATTCAAGCGTCCAGAGCCCAATTACTCCATGTATGAAGGCCGTACCCGAGGCAAGCGTATGAAGTACACGTATTCGGACGAGGAGGATGACATATATTCCGATTCTACAACTACTCGACGGTCAACACGCAATACCGGAACACACACTCCTGCGGAACAAAGCGGTCCTACCATCACTCAAAGTGGTCGTCAGGTTAAGTCTCGTCACGGAGGTACCTATGGTGAAAGCATTCTGAGCGAAACTCATGCGCCGACTATCTCTGCTGGAGGATTTGATGGAACAAGCGAAGAGCCTGAAGGTGATGGATCCGGCAGACCAAGACGGGCAGCAGCTACTGCTGCTACCAACGGATGGACCGCGAAGGGAGGTCGTCATATCGAAGGTTACAACAATGTCGATGAGATGACAAGCGAGGATGAGGGGGATGCGAGTGAGCAAGATTACGGCGATGATGAAGAAGAGGATGATCATATCTCACTTGGAACAGACGTTGATGACCCCGATGACTTGACCGATGAGGATGAGGACCTGGATGAGGCCGACGAGAAGAAAAAGTTGATCGTCAAGCTACCAGTCAAGACGCCCACCCCGGAGAAGATCACAACTACCAAGCTTCCACTGACTCCAGAGAAAGAATTTGCTAAATCAGCTGGTTTGTTCTCATCCACTGCAAGCAACGAGAATGCATCCACCAGTACTTCGAATGCTGTAAGCGGTGCAAACCCGACTGACGTCGATACGAAGGAGAACACCCATCCATCATCGAACTCGGGAATGACAAACACAACAACAAAGCCGATTAATGTTCCGCCTAAGTCTCCTCACCAACCTCAAATAGCTCCGTTGTCTCCTCTCGCTTTCCGTGGCAGTCCGGAAAAGCTACCTGCCTTCCCTCCCTCCGTTGATGTTAGATTTGGGGGAACTTAAAAGCAGATCATGAATGGTTTTCTTTACATCGAATGAGGGTATCTAAAACAGGTGGGCGGCACTATTGTAAAAGGGGATGTTTTAGAACGGCGTACCAGGTGTTCATTTGGGCGGTATGTTGGCACACACGTACTTTAGACACCATGCAGTCGAAAGCTACAGTATTAAGTCTCTGAATGGAGAGATGGCTTCACGAACGAAAAAACATTTCCCAATGCATGTGACTGTAAAGTAACCGATCATCAAATTGACCAAGTTTGACGGCCTGAATTGTCAACCGCAAGAATATGTGCAGTCAGTTCTGTTCATACACTTTTACATGCCTCTCCTGGCTAACCTTCCTACCTGTTCATGAGCAATCGTAACCATCCCATCTAAGATTCCAAACGCCTTCAGCCATCTCACAAGCATCAACATCCTCTAATTACTAGTAGAACTAGAGTTCTGATTTTGATAGTGCTAATACCAGATAATCAGCAAAAGCTCCAAGGTTCCACACTCCCCAACCTCCACCTAAGGCTCAAGAACCAAAGTCTACTTACATCTCCCACATCTGCCGCAAGCTTCTTATCACCTATATTCTTCAAGTCCTTAGGCAACTTCCAATTGTTGGTCTTATACCACCATCTTCTGATCTTCGCTCCGACAGAGGTACCGCTCAATTGTGCTGATCGATTCCAATATCGCCATCCGTGAAGAGCCAGACTCCATACCATGCCTTGGACTAATGGTAACAGTACCTTAACAGGTCAGCATCTATCACTCCAGATTCCAATTCGAGAGAATATCAAGGCGTACCTGATCCCGCGCCGTAATATAAAGCACTTTCCATCTGCTATCCGCCCCCGCAATGCTTGCTAAATAGCTCTGCTCAAACCTCAAATCTGGCAGCGGACCAAAGCTTGAGCGCCGGGGCGTTGGCTTTAGCACGGAGTATGGAATGTCTTCTTCGTCGTCCTCATCGATTGCATCATCTTCATCGTAGGCATATTTCTCGACGGAGGAATCTGATACCGGCGGTCGACGGGAGTATTGGACAGGCTCCTTTTGTGAGGCGGTGGTTGAGGGATTGAGATCGTGAGCTGGTGATGGATTGCGTTTTATGGAGGCTGTCTGGATTGTTTCCGCGATCTGGAGGGGGAGGGAGGACGACATGTTGAGGTATTTATTGCTGGGTTTAGAATTGTGGTCGTTCGAAGGTTGAGGATGGAGCTGTCTGTCGCTTGCTTTCTGGAGTGGCCGAGGTTCCGCCTCGACCTTCATCTCATTTCTTAAAAATATCCTCTTCAAAACCGGTATATTTGCGATCATTCTTTCCTTTCACATCCTAAATTAGGAGAAGATGTCACTCAAGTCCATTTTCTTCCCCACCTTCTAGAGAATCCTCTTTCAAGCATGGTCTTTCAATTCAAATCAACCAAGAGGCAGCTTGTCAAGTTGTCGTCTTGCTTTGGGTGAACCCATTCATGTCTCGGTGAGGTTGAATATTCTCGTTCCAAGTTGTTTGGGATTTTTTGACCATTAATGGGTTCTACTCTTTAACAGGATCATCGATAGCTCTTGAATACGATTCTAGTTTGTTTCAAAAATGACTCCCAAATAAGTGATTAAGCAAACCAACCGACTTCGTTGTCAACCCATTTCGCATCAGTTATATCCTTCAATTTCCTCGCATTTCTTTCCTTTTCTAACACTCCCTTCCCTCGAAATCCCCCCATTTACCCTTCAATTTTATGCACCAACTTCTTTCCACACAAGTTCTATTCTTCCAACTCTTCCAAATTCAACCTCAAGACTACAAAGTCAATATATGTGCAAATTCCAATGTCCTCTTTACCGTTGCGGGCACTTTGGACGCAAACTTATGGATCGATGTCCCACCAACAAAACTCTCGAAATCGGTCTCTGTCCGTTGTGGAAAGGGCAGAATGATGTAGAACGACCGGGTGGCTGTCCGAGATGTAGGAGGGGACCAAGGAAACAGAGCAATAAGAAAAGCCCGGGATGTGGATCCCAGGTCGTGTAAATCAGTTCTACACCGGAAGGTGTGGGCTCTTGGACGGTAAGCTTTTACGACTGGAGAGTCTGGCGATACTTTCAAACATCATGCAACAAGAATAGATCTTAATAGCCTCGCTTCAGCCAAAATAAAAATCTTGGATCTCAAGCATCGGTTTGCAAGGTACTTTCGTGAACTGTAACACGTGCTTTCCTGTCCTGTTCAAAACATGACAGGGAAGAGGGAGATCTAAAAGTCCTCCTCAACCTCCTAAACGTGAATTTAAAGACCTTGCCCGTTGTGGATTCGACTGCGTGTATGATTCATAGCATCACAACATTCCCATGCAATACAATGTATCTCCCACGTGCTCGATTTGCGATTTATGCCATTGTATGCTCCAAAAAGAAAGGGAGCTTAGACTAGACATTTTCACCACCATTCACGGATGGGATCCCAATTCAGTGACATAAGTACGCCCTTACTGCTCCACATCTACAACTAATCCTAGTTTCACCAACACCGAACTCGACAAGCACTTTGACCAAGACACAAGCAATATCAACTTCAAACACAACGGAGCTTCCCAGCTCAGGAAAAGAAAAGGTCACTCAACCGTTCGCAATGTGCCATAAATCGCTTCTTCGATATAGCTATACTTATCATCCTAAAAAAAAGTTCAAGTCATTTGCAAATTGTACAACAAAGCTTAGGAGACCACTTGCACAAATTCCCGATGGGAAGGGGAAATTCCGCAGTATCAAAAAGAGATTTGTCCAAGCTGCCAGGCGGGATTATCCCTGGCTATATCATTGAGAGTTTGAAGGGGTGGGGCTACCGGGGATATACACCGCTGCTTTGTTCGAGGACAGTGACGAGAAACAGACTTGGGATAATGAGTGTACTCGGATCGGGAAAGAGGCATTAGAGGAACAGTTCGGCTTGAGAGGTGCCCTGTAACCACGGTCAGCAACCAGGTCCTTGAGTTTGACGTAGTACGAGTAGAGAAGCCGTAGAAATGTGTTTCTTGGGTTCATGGGACTTTGTTACAAACCTGGAGATATTTCGTGCTTGGTGTTACTGAACAAAAGGTTTTCTAACTTCTCCAATGCTTCTCTCTACCTGCGTGGCGAGCCACTCTCGTAACGATAAACCTAGTATGGAAGTATGAAAAATAAAGCAATTTCTGAATAATCCCCGCTTCGAACATTAATCATCCAAAATAATCACTTGCACTCGCAACGTGCACTATTAATGGTCTCTTCTTTCTGACAGATAAGGGAATGAAGTGCGATTGCCTCCTCAAGTCATAAAGCTATCAAATAATTAGAACAAGACCAAACCTGCCGTGAGGTCTGTTTTAAAAAATGGAGGGAGGACGAGGGGGGTGTATGAAGAATGTGATATTATGCTCTTGTAATTATCGGCAATACCTCTGGTGCCTTCCGAGATTGGGATTATTGTGAAAGAACAGTTTTTTGTGGCAGGATGGAAATGATTTGGGAGATGAGGGCCAAGGAAATTATCTGTATCCGGAGTCCCACGGTGGCTAAAAGTCCAATCATGCTTTAGCTCCTCCATAGCAGATACCGCTGACCGCTCTGTTCTCTTGATCTGACTATCCCGCTCGTCCACTTGCTACAAAGAGTTGAAGCATCTGGGCCGAGTCTGCTGAGGAATGGGGCACTGGGGCTGAGCAACTTGGCGGGTGTCAGTGATGACTCTGCATGACTCCCGGGGGATCCTATGCCCGCACTGTATTGGTAGAGCAATGTTTTTGTGAGTGATTTGACATCACTTCTTACCACAAAGTAGTCAAAGTATTCGATTGGTGGTGAGTATTTTCACATAGATGTTTTATAAAATCTCCTTTCCACCACGTCGAATGTCCTTTACCCCTTCGGTACAAGAACGCTCGGACCAACAAACCTACCCACCCAGGCATTTCTACCCTAAAAGATCGGCTCGCCCACGTCACTCACAAACTCACCTCAGAGAAAAGATCGATCTTGACACTGGGCCCTGCAGCGTCAAGCATCTGTCGTGAAGACCATCTCAAGGACCGAGATCTTGAAGCGTCATCAACCGCAAAAATGAGTGACGCCCAAGCAAACGAGGCCGAGAAGAACATCGAGATCTGGAAGGTGAAAAAGCTCATCAAGCGCTTGGAGGCTGCTCGAGGAAATGGAACCTCCATGATCTCCCTCATCATTCGTGGGTACTTGAATATGCCTGCATGAACATGTGCTAACATAGAGTCTGTAGCGCCAAAGGATCAGGTGTCCCGGGCTGCGAAGATGTTAGCAGAAGAATATGTATGCTCTGCTCACTCTTGCCTTGTGACACGTTGCTGATATCTTCACAGGGTACTGCATCGAACATCAAGTCCCGTGTCAATCGACAATCTGTCCTGTCTGCTATTACATCTACCCAGCAGCGGTTGAAGCTTTACAACAAGGTTCCCCCGAATGGCTTGGTCGTTTATTGTGGTGAAATCTTGACTTCCGAAGGCAAGGAGAGAAAGGTCAATATCGATTTCGAACCCTTCAAGCCTATCAATACCTCCCTATACCTTTGCGACAACAAGTTCCATACCGAGGCTCTTGCCGAACTCTTGGAATCTGACCAGAAGTTTGGCTTTATTATCATGGATGGTAATGGAGCGCTTTTCGGAACTTTGAGTGGCAACACACGAGATGTGGTTCACAAATTTTCTGTTGATCTTCCCAAGAAGCATGGTCGTGGTGGACAATCTGCCCTTCGTTTTGCCCGTCTTCGTGAGGAGAAGCGGCACAACTATGTCCGCAAGGTTGCCGAATTGGCCGTCCAAAACTTTATCACTGCCGACAAAGTCAACGTCGCTGGCATTATCTTGGCTGGCTCCGCAGATTTCAAGAACGATTTGAACCAGTCAGATCTTTTTGACAACCGCCTGCAAACCAAAGTCATCAAGGTCGTTGATGTTTCATATGGTGGCGAGAACGGTTTCAATCAAGCTATTGAGCTTTCTGCCGAAACCCTCAGCAATGTCAAGTTCATTCAAGAGAAGAAATTGATTGGAAAGTACTTTGAGGAGATCAGTCAAGACTCTGGACGTGTTTGCTATGGTGTTGAGGATACGTTGAAAGCACTGGAGCTCGGTGCTGTTGAGACTTTGATTGTCTTTGAGAACCTGGAAATTAATCGATGGGTGCTCAAGGATGTCAATGGGGTCCAGATCGTTTTGCACACCACCAAGCAATCGGAGGCCGCCAACCGTGAGCAATTTATGGATAAGGAAACCGGCCAGGAGATGGAAGTTGTCCAACAGGAGTCTTTCTTGGAATGGATTGCTGAGAAATACAAGGACTTTGGTGCTACTTTGGAGTTCGTCTCTGATCGTTCCTCGGAGGGCAACCAGTTCGTTAAAGGCTTTGGTGGTATTGGTGGACTTCTCCGCTATAAGGTCAACTTTGAGCAATTAGCTGAAGTTGATGACGATGATGACTACTATGACGGTATGTACCTTCACCTTATTTCTGTTGTACGGCTCTGGAGACTGACTCTGTTGCAGATTGACAGTTTGATGACCTCGCATTGAGCGAGGAACCAACTCCAGTTGTACCATCAAGTCAGAATCTGTCACCCCGCCCTCGTGCCGTGCAGCAGATCAGACAGCCTGCAATCTATGGCTCCCGCCGGAGTGCTGTGGCCCGTCCAAGCCCTCTCCGGTCCGTCACGATGGCTTCTTGAGTTGAACACTCACATGTCAGAGGTATGTGATCCTGCATTCCCTGATGTGTTCCCCTGCTGACTGACCTTTCAGAATAGAAGAACTCAAAATCCGTTGGGTGCACTTTATATCCGCTGATGGAACAGATGTGGAGGATGTGCGCCCTGGCGAAACTGCTTATTATAAAAGTCGACTGCTTTGAGGATAGCTAGATAAACATCTCAGATTCGGGGTACTCCAGACGGATCAGTTCTAGTAGGCAAATTCAAAGTCTTGTTGACCCAACTAAGCCCCAGCGCCCATCTGCAAGAGAGTAAAACGGTTCAGTAATTTGAGTTGGATTTAGACTCCTCACATGGAGCTGAACCGGTTGACCGATGAGCCTTCATTATATAGGCGTTGCACTGGTGCTTTCCAGCCGATCCCTAAGCCGTGATGAAATGGAATGGTGAAGCCGTCAATACAAGCCCTCAAGCATTTTATATTTTCATCTGTGTTTTCAAGGGCCAGGTACCTTTACCAGGAAGCAGCTTTCTCGTTCTCTGGCCTTCGTAATGTGTATTTGACTTCTCTCATTTGGATTGGGACCCAATACGGAGGAGAACCCGTGCCCAAGTGCTAGCGAGATTCCGCAGTGTGGGGTGGTGGGGTATAATTTTTATCGTTAGAACTTGTTCGAGAGATACGACTCGCACACCCGGTAATGTCCACCACGGCAAGGTGGTGCGGGTTCGGGCATTCACAATATTTCTTTGATATGGCATAGATTTGTGCTTCACATTTCTTACAAATACACCCCACAACCACCCCCTCTGTTGCTGAGCATCAACCATGGATCCCCACAACAAGCCCAGTAACAGCGACGACACCCGTGCCCCAATTGTCTCATTTCTGGGCCCTGTTTCTTCATATACTCATCAGGTACTTACTCTTGCACATCTTGATCGCCCAGCATGGTCCATTGGACTGACAGATTTCGACCTTGCCCAGGCGGCCCTCGGATGCTTCGAAGCAGATCGCTATGACTACAAAGCAGAGATTACTATCCCAGGTACCACCTAAAGGATTTGACTCAGTTCAGCCTTCTAACCATACTTCCTCTTAGATGTCTTCGAAGCCGTCCAGTCCGGGGGATCAGAATTTGGCGTTGTTCCATTCGAGAATTCAACTAATGGAGCTGTGGTCTTCACACTAGAACTCTTTGCAGATCGCCATCATCGGTACCCAGATATCACTGTCTGCGGCGAAGCTTACCTCGATGTCAGTCACTGCCTTCTTGGCAAGAAGGGTGTAAAGTCTAGTACCGACTCTCCTGCCCTGTCCGGCGCTTGCACTCCGACAATGTCGAGTCCAGACCCTCTGAAGCCTAGGACAAGTCCTCTATACAGCCTCAATCACATCAAGCGAATCCTCAGCCATCCGCAGGCATTTGGGCAATGCGAAACCTTCCTCGGCGCATACTTGAAGGGAGTTGAGCGGATCGACGTCAGTTCAACGAGCAGAGCTGCAGAGATGGCGAAGGAAGACACGACTGGCACAAGCGCGGCAATCGCAAGCAAGCTCGCAGCAAATATCCACGACCTTGATACTCTTGCGCAGGATATCGAAGACCGGGAGGATAATACGACGAGATTCTTCATTCTTAGAAAGAGGACTGACGGTGCTGCCTGCAAAACCTCCAAAACCAAGACTCTCATCACGTTCACTATTGATCATCGAACCCCAGGCGCTCTTGCATCTGTGCTTCAGTGCTTTCAAGCTAACTGCCTCAATCTGACAAGCATAAACAGCAGGCCGACCAGGGTTGTACCCTTCCAGTACATTTTCTTTGTGGAGTTCGAGGGCAGCAAGCTGAACGATCAGTCGGGCAGGGTAAACAAGGCATTGAGCGCTTTGGGTGAATATGTACAGAATTGGAGGTGGCTTGGAAGCTGGGATGATAGATTGGGAGGATAGAATATCGAGGATGTGAGAAAGGAGACAAGCGCTAGGTGGTTGTATATTTGAAGGAGTGAGGCGTGGCTAAATATTTGGAAGGCCCCAGAAAGTTGATGGCGAACTTATCGATAAGAGACCCCTGTCGGGAATTTCCCAGCCTTGCCAAGAGAACAGGCCGCTGTTGATGCTTGGAACATCGACTGCAGAGTTCGTAACCACGAATCAATGACATGAGGTCAACCACGCTCTTTAATAATTCAAGAATATGCCTTTGTGCAGGTCGACCGATTTGTGGCCCACGCCATCTGGTCCGCCGTTTTTCAACAGAGCCCTTTCCGCTCGCAAATCTCGAAGCATCTCTTCGTGAGGAGCTCACCTCCCGCCCAGCAAACCAAATTCTCGAATACCTAACCAATACCAACTCACATCTCCTCAATATAACCCTCGCCGACTTCCTTCCTCCATCATGTTACCCTGCCGAATTCTCCAAATCGGATCTGCAAACCCCAAGAAACAAATATAAACCGGGCGCTATTGTCCACCAAGCAGGATCTTTACCTCTTGGCCACCATTTGGTTCACTTCCCACCACAAGTCCTGAATTCTGATATCCTTCCAGATGGCACAGATAATCTACATTGGCCGGGCCCCCCCTTCACCCGGCGTTTATGGACAGGAGGATCTCTATCTTTCAATCGGAACATCATGTTCGGACTTCATACCAACAACATGTCTGCAATGTGCAAAGAGGAAATCACTAATGTTTGGACAAAGGGGAAGGAGGGTGATGAGAAGGTCTTCGTGGCCATCCGACGTCGAATTGGTGGTCTTGGGAAAATCTACGAGCCCCCTCAATGGAGCGGGAGAGCAAAGCTTGAATGGGGCACTCTTGATGGCAACTCAGATCAATGGGGAAAGAGGTCGAAGATGGGGAAGTTGGCTTTGGTCGAGACGAGGAATCTGGTTTTTATGAGGAAGAAGCCTAAGAGTCATGCTCGGCGAGACTCACAGCTAGTTCCGTCTGCGATGAAGCGTCTCATGCGTAAGGGGAATGTATTCTTCCTCAGTCTAACACATCACTGACTTTAGTAGCCGCACATACACCTGACTTCAGCGTATCTCTCCGACCAACACAAGATTTGCTTTTCCGGTTCTCAGCATTGACATTCAACGCTCACCGTATCCATCTTGAGAAAGAGTATTGCACCAAGGTCGAGGGGCATCGAAACCTACTAGTGCATGGGCCCTTGAGTTTAGTTTTGATGCTCTCAGTGCTAAGATCACAATTGAAGGAAGGCGAGATGCTGGTAGAGTTTGAGTATAGGAATTTGATTCCTCTCTATGCGGAAGAACAGATGAAAATCTGTGTCCGAAGAGATTCTGAGAAAGATGATAGACTTGATGTTTGGATCGAAGAGCCGGGAGGAGGATACGCTGTCAAGGGGACTGCCCTGGTTGACAAAGACTACGTGCTCGAGACCAAAAGTCTAAAGGACACGCCTGGCGGTGGGTGGTTGGAGAATAGCGTAAAGGATGGACTAGATTCTGAGGGAGGAGAGAGTGCCGAAGGGGAATCTCCTTTCAAGGTACGAAGAAAATTCTCGAGCTGAGGCACCACAGGATGTTGAGAGCAATAAATCTGAGAAGTGGGACAAGACAAAGCTCAGACAGACCATAGAGGCACAACATCTCGACAAACAAGAACTTTATTGGCACCTTTTGGCAAGGTAGCACTCCCCTACAAACTGGTGAAACAATTGACCCAATAGAACGGAGCTTTCCCCGGGTGTTCCTGTCACACATCCTTAGCTGCATGTACTCCTAAACTCTGAAGATAGAGTTCACTGATGCACCAGGACTCGATAAGCCAGAAGAGACCGGAATCGTGCCCCCCGCCTTCCAGATGGTTTTGAAGTTTTTTGTAAGATTACCTTCGTATTGGAGAACGTGCACGTGAACCACAAGCAGATAAACAGACTTTACCTCAGACCACTACGAGAGAGCACCGCTGGGTGGCACCTTGATGGGGATTTATGGCAGGGGTTCTCTTATTTATAGGTACTGCACATCACCAATCAACTGTGCTGCTCCGCTGAGCTCAGCCGTGGTGTGCCGTGTCCCGCACATGATTTTCCCATACGAGGCCAACCAGTAACCCTGAAGACAATCGCTCTATTTGATGCCGCCTCAGATGATGATCTGAATCCGTTCGTTGCCACAACTCTTGCTGGTGCTTAATTCCTCGATCTACTTCTAGAGACAAAAGATTGAGGTGCCAGGTTGACCCATCACTGCCAGCCAATTGTTCCTGCATTAGAGAGCACTCGCTAGCAGCTGGTCAATTAGCTCTACTCGACGACATCATAACTTTCGAGCCCGGCCAATTATGCGGCAGCTTTGCTGAGCCGCCTTCTTTTCTTCACTTCTGGTGTCGTTCCGACTTTCTGGTCCACCGGCTTTGCTTTTCTTTGTTCCTGAAATACGGTCCTAGTCCTTCAATTGGCGCTGCGCCGCGCGATATCCGATGCAGCACATCGACGGATGCTATTGACTTTGCAGGCCCTCTTAATAACGCGTCTAGCCTCACTTCACTTCTATCTGCTCTATTGCCTTTGAAGACCTTATCTCCAGCACTTGCAAAGCTTCTATCGGTCCCGAGAGCATCCGCAGATCTGTTCACCGAATGTATTTCCCAGGAGCCTGAGAACCTGGCTTTGTCTTGGAGACCTGACCTGCAGACATAAACAGGGCCTCGAGAAACCCAATGGCGCCTCTTACAAAGGGAACCCCGCAACAGTCTCGGCGCAAGAGCTTGAACCTATTCTCGAGGAGCTCCCTTTCGAGCCTTCCACATATCAATACAAACGTCTCCAATGAGGGAGATGAGGATGGGGAGAAGAAAGAGAAGAAAAAGCTGGGGAAAAGGAGCTCGATCTTTGGATTGGGTTCTGCTGTGAGCTTGGACGGCCATCAGGATGGAGCAATGAGCCCAATAAAGAGCGGGGAGAGATCGGATTCCCCAAAGCTCCGCCCTCGAACCCTTCAGAAGGGACGCCCTGCCTCTCTCTTTGGGTCTCTGGGCAGAAAATCACTTGGTCAGATGGACGAAGGAGAATCAGAGAATCTGCACACCGGTACACCTGAGTCTCCCTTGGAAGACGGACAGCTGCTGCAGCCCGGTACCTCGGGAAATGGCGGTATATTGTACCATGGCGAGATCCAGACTATGAGTGGCATGTTCAGGAAGAAGAAGGAATATTTGGTGTTGACGGAAACCCATTTGATCCGGTTTAAAAGCCAATCTCGAGCATCTGAGACATTTTCCTCCATTCCACCCTCATACGGCCGATCGACGTCCACACGTCACCCTTCAACCACCTCGATAGGATCTTTGCAAGAAATTCAGTCATCAACGTCCCACACTTCGACGGATGGTGAAAATAAGATTCCATTGGGCCAAATCGTGACCGTATATAAAGTGGAGGATGGGCGTCCTTTCTTTACAACAGAGGTGGTATACTTGGATGAGGATTATCATGGGGCAGGTTCAATCCAGCTCATGCTCCATGACCCAAAAGAAGCCGATCTCTGGCACACTTCGATACGAGGAGCCGCTCAAAAGGCGAGATTGCTTATGGAGGAACCATATCCCAGCAGGGTCATAAGATACCTCGTTTCTGCGGTAGAGGCAGTGGAAGACTATGATGCCGAACATTTTCAAATTTTCCGAGTCGTTCGAAGAACCACTGCTCTTAAGAATGGACGGTCATCTTCAGATGATCTGCAGAAACTTGGAACGTCGTTGTCCTACTTGGTTGTTGGTATTAATCGTGTACATCTGATACCTCTACCTGATTTCACGGATGGGGCAGGACGCCTGCTCCAGCCAAAGACGAGTCGCAGCACTTACGGGATCGTTTCAATCGTCGACATGAGAGTCTCGTACGATGATGACAGATTCGAATTGGCATTTAGAAACCCGTGTCAAGCAATGAACATCCTCGAACTGGCAACCTCTGCACCTACTGACATTGCGGTTGCTCTCATTAGAGCTTGGCAATATCTAAAGCCTCGATGGGAAGATTACAACTTCAACTTTGCTGGTCCAAGACGATTGCTTCAGAGTCTCGACGACAAGCTATCTTCCCCTTCTAAGGAAGAAGACTTGGGATGTTTTGACCGCACACTTGTTGCATATTGCATGGCTTACAACTGCAATGCTGCCAATATACAATACTCAATCGATTGGGAAGCTGAAGATGCTCCTGAATTTGGCCTGTGGCCTCCGCTTTATTCCAATAAGTATACGTTCCTTGAATTACTAGCCATCATGAGAGCTTTACGCTATAACGAGATATTTGGCTCCATCTCATTCAAGGATATTGATCTCCACAGTTTGCATGGCGTTCTGGACTCCAATGGATCCGAGCATGTGGCAAATGCAACTCGTTCTGGGATATCAATTCAGAAGTATTTCAACCTAAAGCCACAGGAAAAGACTTTGCTACACCAAGAAGTCCAGGCCATTGCTCTGAAGTCAAGGAAGTTGCGGAAATTGGATTTCACCAACACACTACCTCGAAGACGGCCAAAGGACAACTTCGACTTTGAGGGTGGGGAAGTCGACAAGGACCCAGGATCTGAGATTGTGGCTGCCATCTTCCCATTATGTCAAGTACAGGCTACGAGCGTGGATAGGATCGTTCTGAGTGGGATTGAGCTGGGAGAAACTGACCTTGATGATCTCATTCCAACTTTTGCCAAGGCAGCCTCAGCGATTAGAGGAATTGATTTTTCTCGATGTGGTTTGAACGACAGAGGTATCATGCAGATGATAACCCATTTGGAGCGGCAAAATGCGACCCTAGAATTTCTTAACATCTCCGGGAACCCGGGCCGAATTCACCTTGAGCAATTTCAAGCATCCATGAGCCGCTTTACTAACCTCAAGAGGCTGGACCTATCCAGGACAACATGGACGCCGAGCTCCCAGCCACTTGTTCTCCCCGAGGTGATGTTGACATGGCACCTGGAGGAGCTGATCTTGAACGGTATTCCCGTAGGTACAGCATCTTACTTCTTTGCACACCTCACTTACAGAAAGACCAGATCAACGAAAGGACCCTTGAGTTAATAGCACATTATGTGGCATGTGATAATTCTATGGGCCTTCGAACCCTGCAAATGGATCAGTGTGGTCTGAATGGCGAACATGTGGCTCTGCTCATGTATGCCATGACGAAGACTCCTGGCGAAGCTCGAAACTTAGAGTTCCATGTAAGCTCGAACAGGCTTGAAAAGGGGATCGGGGAGATTGTCAAAGCGATCGAGACCAACCACGCTCCGTCTCATTTGTTCTTGCGAATGATTGAGTTCAACAAGGAGGAGCATTTTAGAAGACTATTACAGGCTCTTCGGACCAATACCACGATCCACAGTCTGGACATTTCGAAAGCTTCCTTGCCATACGACGCTGAACCGGACACTTGCGAAGCAATGCGTCAGGTTTTCGCTGAGAACACGACTTTGAAAGAACTCGACATTTCAGGAGAGCAAGCCCATCTTGAAGTAACCCGGTTTGGGATTGGTCTGAATCACGCTTTGACCGGGCTCAAAGGCAACACCACCCTCAAAATTCTTCGAATTGAATACCAGAACCTGGGCTTGGAAGGTGCAAACACACTGTCCACGGTCCTTGAAGAAAACAAAGGTCTCACTCACATTTTCTGTGAGCACAACGATATCAACCTTCAGGGCTTCACCATCCTAGTTAATGCTCTTGCGAAAAATTACTCCCTGCTGGTGTTGCCGTTCATGCAAGATGACCAAAATCTCTCAATGAAGCGGATGAATATCAGCATGAGGGATTCTCGCCAGGTTGCCAATGCTGCGAGACATGAGAATCTGGTGAAAGGATCTGTTCGACGACGATTGACTACACTAGGTGTTACGAAGCCGGCAAAGCAAGAGCTGACTCCTCAGGATGTGGACGATGTGGTGCGGGTGTTAAATGATCGCTGGGAACATGAGATGAACCGCCTGACAGCATTCCTTCAACGAAACAATGACATCGCAGCAGGTATCTGTGGCCCCGATGGCGAGGGTGTATTGAGCGAGGAAACAATGCGGCCTACGACAGCCTTGAGTGACAAGGGTCTTCTTGAGCAGGTTTTGAGCAACACAACACCGAGAGTAGAACTGGGAAATCCTGTTGATGGCCACATTGACAGGATAGCGGAGCTAGACTTGAGTCCTACAAAGGAATTCGGGGCTAAGCAAGAGAATCCCAAATTGCCGGAGGGTAAAGCAGAGTTGGATGGTGGAATATTGCCAGTGATACCCGGGAGTGGAAAGGAGAAGGCATTTGAGTTGGGGGAGAGCGACAGTGGGATGTTCGAGATGGATTCTTGAGTCAAGCAGTTCCTAAGTACGAACATTTCAGAGAGGTCTCTACTCTGAAATCTTGGCTGAAAAGTTCTGCATTTGGAAGGAGTTTGGGGGCTATGCATGGATTGGATGGAGTTGGATGAGAATTGTCTGGAGTTGATTTGCGTTGAGCATATGGGAGATCAAGTGCGCTTTAGCACTGGGAACCGTTTGGAGTACTACATAGGATGGAGTATGGGAGATGGATTACGACGTGAACAAGAGGATATTGAAGGCATGGATGGGATTGCCTGGGCGAAAGAGAATTGATACTTTGATGAGATACCCGCCTCGGATTTACATGTAGAGGTTGGTATAAATAATACGATCTTCAACAGAATCACGCCTTCCCATGTGGTCTCCTCTCCAATGGAGTAAGATATGATTGATTCCCTTATACTGATGTCATGGACAACTCTTAATATAAAGACTACAGCTCACTCGCTCTTTTCCACAGCAAAACACAAGAACTGGTAGCTTTATCTCCTCATTGCTTGGCAACCACCCAGAAGAACCCAACAAAGTTCCCTTGGACAGGTGCACATTAGTTGAATCACTCGCCATCAGTACCTCCTCATAAACCCAGCTCCATACCCCTCACCCAAACTCAACGCCCACATCTCCCACCCCATCCTGGCCCAATTCCTCCCTTCTCATGCCACCACATGACACTACTCCGGAATCACCTCCTGCCCGGGATGAAATGGATCCCCCACCTCCTCTCCATCACTGACCTCCACATCCCTAACCCACTTCCTCAACACCCCCTCCACATAACTCCCCGGCATGCCTTTCTCTACCGCGTCCCTTATCCCCCTATTCATCCTCCCCACGTACTCTTCTTTACAAACACCCGTCGCCGTCCTCACTTCATCCACGTACACCAACGCCTTCACTCTCTCCTTCCCTTCTTTCCCAGGAACGACGAGTTCGACGTCAAGTACATGCTTGGTGTAAGATCGGGGCACGCCTTCTGCACGGTCTAGGAGCGCTTCATCTGAGGGCTGGAGGGTGTAGAGGAGGCCATATACGAGGTCTTCTTGTTGGGAGTGGGAGTGGGGAGGGGAAGAGACCACATTTGCGTAGCCTCGTAGGCCGATAATCCATTTGTAGTTGTGGAGGATGCCGAGGGCGTGGTAGGTTGAGGTGGGGCAGCGGGAGGCCATTTGGGAGAGGGAGAGGTTGGAACCGTAGGCGAAGTAGAGGCGTGGTGGTTGTTGGGGGGTGGCCATTGTGAGGTGTGTGAAGTGAGGGAGTGAAGGGGAGGTAGAGGTGAAGTTGTGAAGAGAGGAAGCTGACGGGTTTTATAAGATGTGGTTTTGGGAGAACTTCACGTGAGGTACTGGCGTGTCGGAGACACAAGGACAAGAGAAAGATCCCTGCATAGCGTTGAAGAAACAATACCACGGCTTGAAACTTCTGCTTTGCTCCATCATAAACCTACAATGTGTCGGCAAGGAAACCCGAACAGTCACGTGAATATACAGGACTTCATCTCGAGAAGGGAAGGAGGTACTAAGCTCATGTTCTCATTCGCTCTATTTCTACAATTGGAAACCCGTCCATAGACATGCCAAGATGATCCATTAAGGTATCGATCTGTCCACCATATCTCGGCACATTTACCAACCAGTTGATGAACACCATATCCATGCATCTATAGAAGCCAGCTCCATCTCCTTCATTCCTCCAATATCAAGTGTATGGGAATCGTGTTTCATAACAACGTCGTAAAAGAAGAATTTGTACAAGAAAAGCCGCCGTTTGTAATGAAATCCCACTCCGTGCTATGCAATCCCAGCGCTTGCAATGCAATTTGAATGTAAAAGTTTTTGTAATCTGCCACCCACTTCAACAAGGGGTATGATATGTTCAGCAGCCCAAGACATTTGCTCATGTCATGGGGTTCAAGAAAGGACTGAAGAGTAACTCTTCAGCACTTGGTCGTTTGGTGTGCTCAACTTCAAAGGCTTGATTTAGGAAAGTCTGGGCTTCCGCGCTGGCATGGGGCGGAATCGTCGGGCTGATCTTTGCACCACCGATCTTGAAGATGGCCTGCAGCTGAGAGCAATCCGGGAACGGATGTGTGCCTGTCATCATCTCAACGACAAGGCATCCGAGAGACCAAATGTCTGCTTTGCGGGTGTATGAAGTCTGCTTCACAACCTCAGGCGCCATCCAGAAGACAGAGCCTTGCAAAGAAGGCCGATTTTTGTTGTTGCCAGCCCCATTTAGGATGTTGGAAGCCTCAATCTTCTTTGAGATTCCGAAGTCGGAAATCTTGATGCCACCCTTGTTGTCGACGAGAATGTTGGCACCCTTAATATCTCGGTGGATGATTTCTCTGCCGTGAAGGTATGCAAGGCCGGTAACAATCTGGCGGACGAAATTGCGAATGAGCGGTTCTCGAAGAGCTCCATAGGAGTTCAACATTGTCTGAACCGAACCACCAGGAACATATTCGAGGAAGATGTTGAGATGCTCAGCTGATGAACTTGCTCCGAGGTATTGAACAATGTTTGGGTGTTGGAGATCTCTCAATAGACTGATCTCACGCTTCAAGGCATCGATCATACTCTTCTTTCGGGTATCATTCGGGCTATTCGCTCCAGGCGAGGGAGTCTCGACTTGCTTCACTGCCAACAATTCTCCAGTGACAGCGTGCAGAGCGAGGTAGACGCTGCCGAACGAACCCTGGCCAATAAGAGCACCCTTCATCCACTTGCTATCATCCCAAGAATCGCCAGCCAAGAAGCTCTGCAACTCTTCGTCGTCATCTTCTCCGTCTTCGTTGAGTGCTTGACTGATTTCTCGCAGCGAACCACCATTCTCCGTGCTACCGTCTTCGAAATAGCTTTGCTGAATGACATTGCCGTCAGGATCAGTGACGTTGACATTGGTTGTGTCCGAACCGCTATCGAAAGAGACGTATGACTTCCTGTTAGGCTCGATCGGAGATTCTTCTTGGACTCGCTCAAGCATAGACGACGCCACGGAATCTCTATAACGGCTGCTGTTGCCTCTAGACAGATCCAAAGGTCTAGTAACCTTGGCAAGTTGGCTGTTTCCGCTCAGCCATGTGTCTGCAATAGTTGGCATAGGTGGTGCATTTTCAACGCTCGATGCAAAGCTCAGATTGCTGGCGACACTCAGGCGGCTGTTGACCTTACTGAGACGGGTCGATCTTCTCAATGACAGTCGGGCGGTACGATCAATCTCCTCACGAGGATGATCAGGGAAATAAGTCGTCAAGTCCGAAGTGATCAACTCGCTGGGAGGTCGTTGGCCGAAAAATTGGCGGAGTACCCCCTTCTTTGCTGGCCTTTGTCTTGCGGTATCTCTGCTATGTTCCGAAGGTGGACGTTCCAGATCCTTTGCTGCATTGTAGACATTGCGCTCACGCTCTCCTGCTGAAACAGTTGATCCGGCTGACTGGAATGACGCCGGAGAAAGTGGGTGTTGCAGACCCTCATTCCAGCTTTCCCCAAGTACCTTCTGGACCTTGAGTTGACTTCGTTTGTCCACACTCTCTATGACTCTAATGTGATTCGTGGTGGCTTCTTCCATGGCGATGCTGGCTGCCCGTTGGAGCTCTGCCTCACCTGGTTCGCCCTGATGAATCTTCCTCAAGATCAATCTGTTTCGCTCAGGTCGCTTCTGATCTTTGATCACTCGCCACAATTCGTTCTCGGGTAGACGTCGACATTGGCTCGGATCCGCTTCCAGGCCGCTCAACACCCAAAAGCAGTAATTCCGGTCATGGTCTTCACGGTAACCAAACTTTCGTAACGTCAACCGCATAACATCATCACAAGAGGTACAATCTGCTATCCTGACAACCTTTGTCAAGCCTCCCGACGAGATGACCCTGATGATGTCTTGGTTGGTTGGTAGTTGAGCCATCAATGACCCATCGATGCTTCCATTTCCACGAGTGTGGTGGTTGATCAAGCGAGCAGTTTGGGGTTGCCCATCTCCTGGAGTGCCAGGTCTCCGGGCACTTATTGTTGTCCCACTCGACTGGTTGTTTGAATTAAAGTATCCCTGTGCATTCTCTCGTCTTGCCATTTCGGCTGGGCTCATCACTCCATATCTTTGTTGTCTGACAGCTCGGACTTCGGATCCTGCGAGGGGTGAGTTCGGTCTCGACGGGGGCTTGCTGACGTTCTCTGGAATGGAGGTAGCAGGGTTGAAACCATCAAACTGCCTTGAGTATCTCTTATTGGAAGCAGGGGTTGGCATGGCCCGGCTGCCGGAATTAGGCGGTCGTGGTGAGCCAGAAGACGATGGAGTATACGCGTCCAGACCAGCAAAAGAATCCTAGTGGGAGACAAGTCAGTATTGTGCCTGCCAGACAATTCATTCACTCTTCACTCACCCTGTTCCGCTTCTTCTGGTTGGCGTAGGCCTTTGTCCTCAGTTTCTTGATCCCAAGAAATAGCCGCACACGGTCACCGATTTTGTCTATCCCCATCTCTTGGAGGACCGCCTTGTCCATCTCCAGCAGGTTCTCTCCATTAATGTTGTTCTTCCTAAATAGCTTCTCGTACTCTCCGCAACTTATACTCCTTAGCCAATCACACACCCTTTCCTCATCCCAGTTCTTCGCAGACTCGGGACCTTCGGCATCGGAGAACTCGGACTCTGTCGGACTGGCAAAGGATTGATTCGAGGTCATGATTGCTGCTGCCCTTCGACTCGACTGGATGGTGGCAGTTTGGGCGGACGATGAGGAGAGGTTCGAAGAGGCCGAGACCAGCGGCGCCGGGAAGGGCGTTTTCGAAGCTAACATGGCCATCGCGAGGAATGTTAGTTATGCATGGAGATGCAAGTCGGGGCGGACGGTCAAATCAATGCAGATCGTGTTGAGAAGAAAGTCCAAGCTGGAGAATCAATTAGGAGGAGGAAAGGCTCATATCAAGTAGCAGGCTCCCAACCAGACCGATCGGCTGAGGTTGGAGAGCTCCCAGGATTGTCGATGGCAGAGGTGTTTCTCTCAGATTGGTGTGGAGTGCTGTCTTGGGGTTGCGTAGGTTGTTGAGTGATGAATGAGTGAGTCTTGGAGAGCGACGCTCGCGTTTCGAAGGTCAGTCCAGCGGAGTGGAGCTGGATCAGCGCAGATTTTAGGGCGACTGCTGCCGAGCATGAAATTATGAATCAGCCCGAGAGATCCCAGTCGCAGAAGAGCAGAATCAGATCAACAGGACAGGAGGCCGTGATAATATGGGATGCGCGTTGGGGGGGTGTGCTGGCAGCAGGCTCTTGACTCTCGCGGTCTTTACGGTCTTTGCCTCCTCTGCTCTGCTGAGATCCCCGTCCTTGGGGTAGCGATTGGAGACCTTGTGCTGGTTAAAGATAATCGCGCTGCTGCTCTGAAACGTGAGAGGATGCCCGAGCGCCCCTCGCAGCACCAGGGGGGGCTTGACGGGGTACGTCGTGAGGGGCCTGGGGGGCTCTCAGGAAGCGAACGGCGTGCATGAGCGAGTGCGAGTGCAGGTCCCCTCCCCTATCAACGCAACAGCCGCATGAGAAGAAGGAATTCGCATGTTTGAGGGCGCGTCACAAGGAAGAGCGTTCGTTCATCTTGCCTGTGAGACCTGTGTGTCAAAGAGAGCCGTACGTCCAACAGCTGCCAGCCAAGCCGGCCTGCACGGGCTGGCGTGAAGTGTGGCGGGCACTCGTAAGTCAGTTTCTGAGTAAATTGTAATTATAATTATCATTATTGTCATTATTGTCATTATTGTCATTATTAGCCTTATTGTCATCTCGAGAGCCGAGATCCGCTCTCTCGGCGGCTTTGCTGCTGTTTCGTTCTGGTGGTTGCGGGCCGTCGGGCTGATAGAGAACCAGCACCAGCACCAGCACCAGCACTTCTCAACTCACAAGCGACCATACACGGATACTGTACAGTAGTACAGAAGCTAGCTCAAGCCTCAGGAAAATTGTTTTGCTCTCGGCGGCCAATGGCAGCCGCCCTTCCGAGAGCGGGCGAGTGGACAGCCTATCAACTCGAAACATCCTGCCAAGCGTTGCAAGCCAATAAAGGTGGCCTGCGCGGATGGTGATACATTCGGGGTTTGGAGACGCGATCAGTTGCTCGAAAAGGAAACATCCTCAGATCCTCGAACGGCTATGCTGTTTGATCGGACGTGCTCGTCATCCACTCTCCACGATCTTCCGATATTTGGCCTTCGAGGGCGATCAAAATTTGGGCATTCAACCTGCAACATGATCTGCTCTTTATGTGAGATCACCACAGCCATTCTCTGGTCTGTTTTCGTCTGAAGTCGTCCCCTGCGATTGGAGGCAGTGTGGATCTTTCATTTCTTCTGTTCCCTTGTAAAACTGTCAGACAGCCTACCAGACCTGTCATCACGTCAACAGAGTTTCTCAATCCGATCTCAAGGACCCGATGCCGCTGGATGAACCGCCGTGGCCCCGCTGCTTACAGATTCAGGGGCAACCTGGAGGGGGCCTACCACCCCATCTCTACGTGGTAAATTTACAATAAAGATATCCCACTTCTAGAATCAAGAACGAGAACTTCATTCAAGAAATTCGTCGGACATCTTCGTACACTTGGGTCCCGTACCAAGAGAAGCCACGCATTCCGACCACATGTTCGAGATGTACAGCAGGGACAGAGATATGGGAGCGGTCAACTGGTGAAACGAAACACGGGCAACTCAATTCCGCCTCAATGATGTAATCTACCCTGCATCCCGGCATATCTCCCGTGGGCAACAAACTTTATCTGGGACATTCCCAGAGCTGCTCAGACATTGCTGACCCCCTCCCGCGGAGAGACTTTCTTGGCTGGACGCAGGAACCTGAGGAACTCGTGGAGGCAAACTCTGTTCAAAGGCCTGTGAGCGTGGAATCATGTTGATTCAAGTAGATCAGTTCATCATAAACATGGCATTGATTCGTATTGAAACAATTTCGTGCGTGGCTGCAAAGCCAAGGATCTTTTGTTCATGCTGTTTGGGTCATCTGCCACAGTCGAATGCCGCTCAATATGCATGAAATATGACTCCCTTCCCGATATTACATACGAATGCGAGCGAGTTGATGTGGATTGTCGCGTTTCACAAGATTTCGGAAACCAAAAATAGAGTTCGTCAAAGTCTCATGAGCTGAAGAGTTGAGGTTAAATCCGAAATCTGACATCGAGTTCAGTATCCTCACGTGATACCAGAGCATGTGACTGTGCAGTCAGCCGTATTTTATACGTCCAGCCTCTAGTCTACTTCCATTGAATCTTCGGATTATCCATGCACCAAAACTTCTCAGGAGATGTAGAGGTTTTTGGCGAAGTATCTACTGTTGGGGAAGGGCTTGTCGACAAGGAAGGAGGAAAGTTGGTGTTGGATTAGTTGGAGATATGGAAGCTGTAGTCGATGAATCCGCTACTAGGAGACGACTTGTCGACAACGAAAGAGGAGAGTCAGTCGTGGGCTAAGTCAGACTGTCAGGGGATATCGAACTTGTAGATGAGACCAAAATATCAATGTCGGGGGATATATCACGGCAGATAGTACCCCGGCGATTCCCGCAATCAGCGTCGTGTACTTCAAGATATTTTATCATTCCTAGCGTTGTAGGTAGGTTGATACAACCCCATGAGCATTTCCACGGGACCTACAACTTGGTGCACAATGAGACACTCCTTCCAAGGGATGCTATACTCGTTCCAAGGGATGCTGTGAGTCTCGGGTGTCTCGGGTCGAGTTCGTTGAGGTTGGAAGTGGCTTCTGCTTGTGACGTGTTTGTCGTTGGGCTGATTCTCTCTCAACAACGAGCTCTTGAAGTTGTACCCAGATTCCATCTCTAACTATACCCTGAGGCATCATTGTATGTTTTGGAGGTGTGTCCAGGGAACCGAACAAGGCACTTGTTTATTACGCTTGGCTGCGCCAATGACCTCTCGAATCGAAGACGAAAAGACAAAACTTTGCAGGTTGTTAGTTGAGACTTTCAGGACTTACTCTTCGTTAGAGCAAGGAATCAATCTCCAGTCCGCGAGTTGCCTTCTAATATCATCTCTTGCCATACTTGATATTTTAGCTCCAGAATCTCCGAGATCGAGCTCCATAGTACTGCTACTATCACCAACGTTTCCGCTAGAAGCAAGATGCGCAAAAGGACGTGGCATCGTACGTGTCCAGAAGTTGTTGACCGTGTTCGGAAGAGCCAACTTGGACTCGAATGTCTACCCCTTCTATGAAGTAAAACATTACTTGAAAGAGCTGCAATTGAGGAGACTCCATAAGTCCTGGGATTTCAGAGGTGAGACCATCGACTCCACTAATGACGAGGCCTTGTCGAGGAGAGGTGAAAATTCTTCCGAACTTCAGCTTCTCAGAATCCGCTACAAAGGGATTATCGATCGGGAACATATTAGAGGGTCCGTAGACTTTGAAATCTGATGTGTGATCAGTATGGCGAGGATCAACAGGGAGACTCTGCATCTGCCAAATAACCTTACGCTTTAGTCTCGCAAGAGCTCCGTCCAGTCACTCCGTTCCTAACTTTGACCTCTAATCTAATAACCTAACCGAAATGTAATGAGATCGAATTAGGTTATATCGATTTACGGTATGTTATCAGTATTTAAGAAGAAGTCTGTCTCGAGGGCTGCGTCTGCCAGACACTGCGGTGCGATTTTGGACTTCATCAATAATTGAAGGCGTATTTATCACAGCTTCCAGGCTGTCTCGCGTCCGTTGTATACCCAAGCCGGTTTCTCCTTTCCCCTTATCCCCTCCCGCAAATCCTCTCCTTCCCACGCCGTCGTGGATTTGCGGTGTTGTGTTAATCGTGTTCAGCCGAGGTGTGTTGTGTGGGGAGAAGGTTACCGTGCCGAATCTCTGGCAAAACGTCAATTTAGCGCCGCTCACAGGCTCTAACCTTATGGGCCGCCGTAGAGGAAGCCCGGCTTCCAGCCTCGCTTCAAGGTCAACATCATCGCAGCCTCGAGCCCAACTGACCATGAGGTCCTCATAGCTTCACTCGTCTTGGCGGATGGCTCTCGACCCATCCAACGGCTATGTAGCCGCTCGGGGGCTTCAGGATCTCGATGAGAATGCACTTCCCATCTTCAATGTGGAGAAAGTCAGTCTCCAGTTCGCTATTGCGTCCGACTTTGTCGCAGCGCAAGTCGCAAATAACGTCTTGGTCTTAGCCCTTTCCAATGGGCGGATTCTCCGAATAGATCTGGATAATCCTGCGGACATTGATGGTACGTGAGCTACTCTGGAATGCTTGCAATACTGACTCTTGTTTAGATATTGACCTACCTAAGAAGACTTCTGAAGTTGGTGTCATACGGCGCATGTTCCTCGATCCTACCGCCTCACATCTCATTATATGTACGGCTCTGGGAGAGAATTACTATCTCCACACACAATCGCGACAACCCAGACCTCTGTCTCGACTTCGCGGAGTTTCAATAGAGGCAATAGCATGGAATCCCGCCTTACCAACCACATCGACAAGAGAAATACTCATTGGGGCATCTGATGGTAATATCTACGAGGCATACATCGAAACAGCTACAGAGTTCTACAGGAAGGAAGACAAGTATCTGAAGTCTTTACAGAAAATTCCAGATGGGCCAATCACTGGCCTATGGGTTGACGCTGTTTCTGATGTGCGAAAGCCGGATGTTCGAAGGGTAATGATCGCTTCACAGAACAGGCTTTTACACTTAGTTGGCAAGATAGGTCGATCAGGGCATGACGGTGGAGCCTCAATCTTCACGAAGCTCTTCGAGACTGAGCAGCCAACAGTTCATGAGATATCTCGGATCTCCGCAACGGCAACCTCGTCATTAGTCGTCTCGCCGGATGCTCCAGACTCCACTTCTTTGGAGAGTCTGACTCCAGACCGCATATTCGCATGGCTCTCATCACAGGGCGTCTTCTATGGCCGGTTGGTTACCACGCCAGCAACACCTGATTTAGGCAACAAAGTCTTCGACGAAGCAAAATTACTTCCTAGATCTCAACTTCCAGCTTCCGAGTCTTCCACAGGCCGCAAGAAACCCGTTCAAGACTCAGTCGACTCGATTGTTCTTACTCAATGGCACATTGTCCATCTGGTAGGACGACGTGTCATTGCTATAAATCGACTAGATGATCGGGTAGTGTACGACCAAGTCGTATTAGATCCGGGCCAAGAAGCTCTTGGGCTTTACGCAGATCAGCAAAAGAATACCTTTTGGCTGTTTACAACCCAAGAAATCTTCGAGATCGTTGTCACAGACGAGGACAGAGATGTGTGGAAAGTGATGCTTAAAACAGAGCACTTCGATGCGGCTCTGAGGTATGCCCGTGGTCCTGCCCAGAAGGACGCTGTTGCAACAGCTTCTGGGGATTACCTAGTCAGCAAAGGCTCGTTCATTGAAGCGGCCGGTGTTTATGGGAAGAGCAGCAAGCCTTTTGAACAAGTTGCTTTGATCTTCGTTGATAATGACCAGCAAGATGCTTTGCGAAAGTATTTGCTCACGAAAATTGGAACGTACAAGAAATCCTCTATCATGCAGCGGATCATGATTGCAAGTTGGCTGATAGAGATTTTCATGTCTAAACTCAACTCTCTCGATGATACCATTATCACTAAAGCTGAGTTGTCGGAGACATTGAATCCAGAACAGACCAAAAATCAATTGGAGACAATCCGTACGGAATTTCAAGAATTTGTGAAGAAATTCAAGTCAGATCTGGACCGAAGAACGACATACGATATCATCAGCAGTCATGGGCGGGAAGAGGAGCTGCTTTTCTTCGCCAGTGCTGTCAATGACTACAATTATGTTCTTGGTTACTGGATGCAACGGGAGCGTTGGAAGGACGTCTTGGATGTTCTCAAGAAGCAGACAGAGCCGGAGATGTTCTACCGGTACAGCAGTGGACTCATTACTCATGTTGCAACAGATCTCGTCGAAATTCTCATGAGACATGACGACCTGAAACCTCGAAATTTGATTCCAGCGTTGCTCAACTACGATCGAAATTTCCAGGGACCACTATCACAAAATCAAGCAGTCCGCTACCTTCTTCACGTCATCAATCAGCTGGACTCAACAGATGCTGCTGTCCATAATACACTCATCTCAATCTACGCATCTCACCCCTCAAAGGACGAATCGGCTCTTCTCTCATATCTGGAAGCTCAAGGTGACGAGCCCAGCTTCGACTCTGACTTTGCTCTTCGCCTCTGTATCCAGCACTCTCGCGTTCAGTCATGCGTCCACATTTACAGTACCATGGGCCAATATCTCCAAGCCGTCGAACTCGCCCTGGAGCATTCTGAAATCGACCTGGCATCCCTGGTCGCCGACCGACCACTCTCTAATCCTGCCTTGAGGAAGAAGCTCTGGCTGGCCGTAGCCAAGAAGGTCATCTCCCAATCCAACGGCATCAAAACCGCCATCGAATTCCTAAAACGGTGCGACCTGCTCAAGATCGAGGACTTGATTCCTTTCTTCCCTGACTTTGTGGTCATTGATGATTTCAAAGAGGAGATTTGTGCGGCGCTCGAGGATTATAGTCGGAACATTGATGCGCTTAAGAAAGAAATGGACGAATCTGCACAGACGGCTACGAATATCAAGATTGATATTGCGGCACTTGACCACCGGTACGCTATCGTCGAGCCTGGAGAGAAGTGCTATATTTGCGGATTGCCGTTGCTGAGTCGGCAATTCTTCGTATTTCCCTGCCAGCATGCATTTCACAGTGATTGCTTGGGGCGGAAGGTCATGGAGCAGGTTGGCCTGGGGAAGGGAAAGAGGATCAGGGAGTTGCAGGGACAGATCAGTAAGGGGTTATTAGCCGGGGCGAAGAGAGAAAGGGCTATTGCGGAGCTGGATGGATTGGTGGCTAGTGCTTGGTAAGTCCCCTGTGATGATCGGCTATACGTTGAGCTAACATTGGGCGGTAGCATATTGTGCAGCGATTTTGCTATCAAGAGTATAGATGAGCCTTTCGTCCTCCCGACCGATGATAGGAACGAGTGGGCTTTATAAAATAAATCGGTCATGTAACATACCCTTCATTTAGCATTTAGCGGCCGGGCAATAAATTATGGTTTCTTTGCTCTTTCCATGTCTACATGGCTGGAAATAGATTCCACAGTCGGTGCTTCCAGGTAATTTCGTTCGATCACAATGCTGGATGTCTGCTTCTTTTGAGGTCCAGCGATCCACTCTCTCTGTGTTCACAGAGTCTCGTCTCTCAAACCCCTGAATCAAGTGGTTCATGTCAATACTTCGAAATCCAAATCAAGCGAAAATTCCTCGCTCTGCGTTGGCGTTTTGCCTCCTTGCATCTTTTCACCGCGTCAAAGCTCTCAATCGGATCCTCAGGGCAGGTCTTGTTGTCATAGAGTTACTCGTCTCTTGGGAAGCCTGAGTTCTTCCACGAGTGGGTTGGCAGAGACGTGTGACACGCCCAGCTAGGTGTTTGCGGCCGGTTCGTAGTTGAAGCCACCCAGCCACGGGTTCCATCAGATGATCTAGATGAGGAAAGATCCCTGCCCGTCCTTGTCCACGGAGACTTCCACGCGGTCATGATCTTGTGTTGCAAGCTTGGGAGACTTAACCGCTTCCCCGAATTCGAGCTTTTTCCCGGTAAAGAATAAGACGCGTGCAATCCTCTTATATTGTCCTCTGTTGCCGTGGCCCGTGGGCTCAAGGACAAGGCCTCTACCCATAACTTCTGGTGCGTGATTGGCGCTAGGAGAATATTAATCTCTGATTCTTCATAGAGTTTATCTAGTCTGGTACTGACATCCTGGTAAACTCTGGGTTCGTCTCCCAGTCCACAGACCTCAGACTTGAGAATGGTTAGGGAAGTTATCTGGGTAGCAAGGACACAGGGAATAAATACTCGCATCTGAGGAGGCTCCCAGCAGAGACCTCTCCAAACGGGTCTTGAGAAGTTTGTATGCTCACGGTCTCCACCTTAGCAAACAAAGTGTCGTCGGAATCAGGAGGGGAAGCGGGAAGTATGGCCCGACTAGTCGAGGCCCATGACCACTAGTAGTATATTGTTCCAAAATACACTCAGCTCATCGACCTGGAATAGAAACGTCTCTGAACGGGCAGCCGATTCGAAAGATCTGAATTGTACTTACAGAAGGCGCAGTATAGGTACCCTCGGGAGTCTTAGCCTGCCCAAAAGGCTCCGAACATAATTGCGATTCTAAATTCTCTCTCCACATGCCAGCAAGGTATTCGTCGCCAGTCTCAGCTGCCACAAGTCTAGCGAGACCCGAAATTGCTACCAGCTTGTCGCGAGATATAGTTAATTTGCATTTAGAATATTCCTGGACGATCCTTTCTCAAGTCTCGGTGCTCGTTGGGCGCTTAGACAAAGCGAGATCAAACTCCATGTGGTCGGGGATCTTGGTCGGGAAGGTTTCACTAACGACCATTTCGTCACATTCCCGGAAGACTTCCTGTCTTGTAAAGATTAAAGTTCGACGTGGCAAAAATGATTCCTGCATAGCTCATCCTCGAGATGCTAAAGGGGCAGTTGCCAAAGAGTTACCGTAATGGCACTGAACAGCGTCGTAAGTCTCGCCAGATTCCCCGACCTCACTTAATCCGACATCTCCAATCGGTACTTAGATTGAAAAAGCAGCCTGCACGCCCATAAATGGCCCCGGATGTCGCAAGATTGATGAAAGAGCCGACATACACACTGGTCATTAAGGATGACTCCCTCTTCCAATCATCAGGATCTGCTCTTCCCAAGGTCAAAAATTTGTGTGAACCCCAACAATGACTTAAAGTTGCGTATCGAACCCGGACTCCAAATCCCCGGAGAGGCATAGTTTGGCTTCGCCTTTTTTCAGGAAAAGAAGTCGAGTGGGGGTTGCGGGATGTTGCGCGGAGCAGCAGTCTTCGTGGTTCGCCAGCATTGATCCAACCAAGCTTTACACAATGGCAAGGCGTTTCTGGTACTTCCTGGAGCACTTGTATATTGTGGAGATTGCAGTGCTATGACCAGGTAAGCTATGGAAGCTACACTCAGACGAAGACAGTAGGAAGGTATTCATACGTCGAGTTGAGGCAGGAACCATCATAATGCAGCAAATTTCCCTGTCAACGGAGATTCTGATATTCCAATATTTCTGAGTTCCGCTTGGATTCCAGGGTCCATTCCAAACTGATACCTCCTGGTTCTTACTGTTGAGCCGATCCACTTAATCTTGTTCCATGGGCCGATCAAGCTCGGGCAGAATTTCTTTGAGAAACTGAGCACAGAGCCACAGCCATTATTATTTGAGCTTCTGAGGGCAGAAATTGATCCATGATGGCGCAAGTCTATATGCTCCTGCCAGCGTCATGCACCTCATGACCAATATGGCCAATAATGCTCTGACAGAATCCACATAAGCCGGGAAAAGGAGAAACAGTGGCGTAATATCCATCTTTTGTGACTGGAGACTCTCTTTCAGCTGTGTTCGCAGTCGGGTACCGAGCCAGCTCTGCGGCTACGGTGCTCTCGGTTGGTGTGCTGGATGACATGTTTTACTCGCACCGAGCGCAAGCCTTGAATCCTTGGTCCTGTCGTTAGGTCACAGAGTTGAGCAGTTAAGAAGATTATATCAGATGGTGTGGTCATTTCAAAGCAAAGGTTCCGCGAGGCAAGAGCCTCGAAGCTGAGATGGATTTGAACGCCACAGCTCGATTTTCGGAGCAGCGAGAACCCCAACATGGAAAGAACGACCTTGAAAGGCTCTCCATTAATAGACCAATAGTCAAAATCCACATGGCGTATCTATATATGGAGGCGAGAGCTAATACTCTGTTATTATAGCCACCTGCTACTCATTTCGCCCTGTGATGTAGATTTTCAAGCACAGTGGCCCCAAAGCATGACTTCCCACCTGAGTCCATGTGTAAAACGTCAGTGGCAGACTATAGGGTTGATTTATTGCACATTCAAAGAATTTGAAAGAGATCTCTCAAGCTTTGTTTCACCTGCTTGAAGTATAGGGGCCGAAAATTTATGTTTCGTTCGGAGCTCTGCAAACATCCATAAACACACAAGGATAGACCACATAGAAAGCAAAATAGTAAACGGGAAGGACAAGAAATAAATCAGCGCTTGGGTGAAAACTGCCGAATAATGTTTTTGCATGTACTTGGGACCTGTTACTCCTTTAGGTTTCAGCACATGGCTTTTCTCATTTTCGGCAAAAGGTGAGGATATATCCAGAACCTTACTCTTACATTCGCACATCCTCGGTCTATAACTTCCCGAAGAACTACGACCAGTCAACCCGCCTGAAGTTGTATATACCCAAGAACGGCTCCGACGACTCTTCAAATCAAAGATGAACCTTCCTCTCCAAGCTCTCCTGAGCTCGTCAACTTTTTGGAAGTGGCTAGACTACTAGTACGCGCACACGGTAATCTCTCCTGACTTCGCCGACCCAGTCAAGAGCAACAGCGACACAATCAATCCATAGATCCCCAGAACTTCAGCAAAGATAAGCATCATCATCATGCTCACAAACGCTCTAGGCTGCTGTCCCGCAGCCCTTACCCCAGCATCCCCTATAATCCCGATAGTGAACCCAGCACTCAAACAACTCAGCCCCACTGTCAACCCAGCACCTAGCTGCATGAAGTTTGTATGTAACGCAGACTTCTCTTTAAGCGTCGAAGAGATGATCACAGCCACCACGAGGCCGTATATGGAGAGGATACCGGAGAGAATTGGTGGCATCAGATCTGATTTGAGATGTGGTTAAAAGATGGCCTGGGGGTCTTGAGAATGGAAGTTCCTTACTCCTGACCATCATGTCTGGTCTCATTACAGAGACTGCGGAAATTCCAATCCCTGACTTTGCGATGCCGTATGCTGCTCCTAGGCTGGAGAGGACCATCGCCATACTACACCCCATTGCTCCAAAAAAAGACTGTTTGGTTTGTCAGGGGTTGTGGGTTTGATTTTTAGAGTAGGAAGGGGTCCGAACCGCGTATACGGGACTACCAACAATAACAGAAATTAGTCCGAGGAGAAAGAGAGTGGTTGGGAGAGGATATACCATCTTCCTTGATAAATATAATCCATCCCGGAAGTTTCGGTGAGCTTTCGGCCCGGGGTTGATTATTTGATTATTTCGATGAATGAAAGAAACACAGCGATGGAAAGTTTCAATGGCAAAAACAAGATTATGGTATGAGAGTGTTCAAGATGGAGTTGAAAGGAAGGAAGATTCAGGTCAAGGTTGAAGTCAGAAAGGTACCAAAAATCGGTGCCTTGGTAGCGGGCCACTTGTTCTCGCTCTTCACTGTCATTCGACCGTCTTACTACCTTTGGGAGAGTCAGGCACTTTCAGCGAGGTGCATCGCTCATGCTCACAGCAACGTGACACTTCTACATTTGTGGCTTTAGGCACCCGTTTTCCGAGAGTGATGATTGGGCGTAGACTTGAAAGTGCCTAGATCCTACCAGAACCTTGATCAAAAGAAGGATGAATGTCTCAGCCTTTCGCTCAGCCTTTTTATGGGAGAACCAGCTTCTACATCCGTAACAGATTCGAGGAGTTGAAGATGGATGTGTGATCACGTGAAACACATCACGTGATGCTGATGCTTGTTCCAACTTGATCCCCGTACTTAATGGCTTTAAGTCACTAAATCTTATGCCTATAAGATATAAATTCACAGCTAATTAATGCTCTTAATGCGTCCTGCCTCTGTATCAATCATTATGATCCCACCCGTGTTGCTAGAAAAACGAGATCTTGCTAAACTGCGCTGATAGGTAGAATAACTATGAAAGATAAGTGTTTGGAAAAGACACCCAACAAAATTCTCAGAGAGTACCTGGAATACGTGCGGCTGTACTGACCATGCCTCCAAAGTAAGAATGGCCAACCGTGTTACTGAGAGACAGAAAGGGTTGCAAGATATACACAACTTCATCTAATAAGATGCTAAGAGCTTTGGGAAGTGCAACCTAAACTCAACTCTTACGAAGTCTTCTGAAATCGAAAGAGGCCATTCAGTAATGGAGGGCTTTGTGTAACCACACGCCATTGCACTTTGGAAAGCACAGGATGGGAAAGCTCCAGTTTCTTGGAAATGCACATCATATTTCAAGGGTTCCAACGGCAAGGAACATTGGAATTCTCCGCTGGAGGGCTGGAGTCTGGAGACGAACTCTCGTTCCAGCATCTCAGGGCTGAAGTCCAGCCATGCTGAAAACTCGACATCAGACGAATCCCCTAGTCAAAGAGCCTTCTCCTTCATTCATCCGCACTGCGCTGCTCTGGCTACTTTACACCCAGCTTCCAAGCCACCACGAATTAGAATTCAAAGCAGATATAAAGCAGCACCGAGTGGTGATTTGTTCGCGATATCGGACTGCACCGAAAGGCTTCTAGGATTGTGAGGAAATGCTCAAGGACTACTTGGGCCGCTACCGGGTGCAAATAATCTAAATCATCTATTTTAGCAGGACTTGGGAGCAAGGCCCTTCAAGAAATACTGCCATGTTTGATCACTCGCATCTTTCTGCGAAGTTGCATAGGCCGGCCGACACAAAGCTCTGACACAGTTCGAACGTCGAGGGGAGGTTGAATAGGCAAGGTTTCCGGAACGGGCTAGCCGCATAGGCACGTAAAGATCTAACCTCGCTCACTTGGCTGGCCAGAAGGCATCATGCTTCGTCTTCAACCTCACACCGCCGTCCGTCCACTGCTGCGCCGAGGTCGACGGCCTCATCGCTTTCCGGCGCTCGCAGCTTCGCGAGGGAATGTCATTCAAAAAGGAACTGCAGCTGACGCACTCTTACAGCAAGGTCAGATTTGGCCTCCGCCAGGGCTTACGTGTGTGAGAGTTTATTTCTGGGCTCGTCGCCGTCCGTGCCCCCACCAAGTCCGAGCCAAATCCTGGGCGTCAATCCGCGTTGTGAAACTTCACGCTGTCCAATGGCGAGTGTCTTGGAGGAGCTTCGCGGGAGAAAGACCGTTTCACCCTCGCAGTGGACGTTGTCGTCCTGTATCAGAGACTCAGGCGGGGATGGACTGGATCCGCGTTTCGAAAGCTCGCCTCAGCCTGTTAGCACAGGCCGTGACCTCATGCTCCAACGTTTCTCAGGTCTGATCACCACCAACGGGTGCTGGCTTCAAAGATTCCAATGCTCTGGAAATAGCACCGCCCCAAGCTCCTGGAACAAAGCGCACACCAGAATGGCATGCGTAACACAGCCCACCGCTGTTGAGGCGCACGCCTTCGCCAGTGCAAGCGCGAGCGGTGGTGGGTGGGCGGCGGGGCAGCGACTACCGGTGATTTGTCGAGGCCGCGTCACTTTGCGGACCCAGTGCCCATTTCGAGCCAAGACATACAAATGCCTTTCTCCCGCGTAGCATGTACCACATCTAGTACATCTCGAAAGCTTGGGCTTCAGTCACTTTGTTCCATTTCATCTCCAAGATCTTAGATCTTCTTGACATCTGCAATTAGTTTCCTTTTCGTTGTTCTTCAACACCCTGCCCCGCCTCGAACCTCCGTCCTTCCTCATCAACCTTCTCGTTTCCATCCCTCACTCCCCACCAACGCCACTTCCATATTGCGTCTGCAGCCTTACGAGGTCGATATTAATTGGTGTCAACGCAATCCGATTTGGCTATTTCCTCTCGAACTAATCCGGAACTGGTGCACTATTCGTTGACACATCTACTCACTCCGTCCCTTCCGGTCTTTGATCAACCTGCGTCATTCATTGCGTCTTGAAAGACGTGTGCCACGGAGTCCTCTTTCGCATTGTATTTTGGCGGCTTTCTAGTCGCCGGCTTGTCAGGACGATCAGCTACTAGAACCCGAGCTAGATCCCTCTAGCTGACTGCTGTCCGCGTCATCTGGGTCCTTAACTGGAAATAAAATCAAGGGCCTCCTGTTAACGAAAGGGATTGCAGTTACACTTGAAGGGTTGCTTTGGAGGATACTCATATTATCATGAAAGGTTCATCAACGTTTGCCCTTGCGGCCAGTCTATTATCAACACTCTCAGACGCTCTCTACTTACAAAGAAGAACGGATGCGGCACCAAGGGTAGTAGGATTTCCTGTTGAAAGAAAGTTTGTTCCAAATCCAATATTGAGAGATCGGTTACGGAGGAGAGCCAGTACAACAGTTCAAGCATCGTTACAGAATGAGGTATGTGCCGAAGGTCAGACTGACAGTTGAGTGCTGATAACTGGCAGGAAACATTATATTTTGCCAATGGCACATTAGGGACTCCGGCGCAAAGTTTACGGTTACATCTGGACACTGGGAGTAGTGATCTTTGGGTGAACACACCAACCTCGGCGTTATGTAAATCAAAAGGCAGCCCTTGTGCATCGGCGGGCACGTACACAGCCAACTCATCCTCGACATACTCATACATCGCCAGCGACTTCAACATTTCCTATGTGGATGGATCAGGAGCGTCTGGAGACTATGTCTCGGACACATTTACTATTGGGGGAACGAAGTTGGATAAGTTGCAGTTTGGGATTGGGTATACGAGTTCCTCAAGTGACGGGATTTTGGGAATCGGATATCAAATCAACGAGGTTCAAGTTGGGAGAGCGGGGAAGGCAGCGTACAACAATCTCCCAGCTCAATTGGTTGCCGACGGGGTCATCCAGTCGAACGCCTTCAGTTTGTGGCTCAACGATCTCGATGCGAGCATCGGCAGCATTCTGTTTGGTGGAGTTGATACTGAGAAGTACACGGGCACGCTGACAACGCTTCCCATCCAGAAAGAGTCGGGCTTCTTTGCGGAGTTTTTGATCACTCTTACCGAGGTCACCCTGGGCAGCACGGTCATCGCAAAGAATCAAGCACAAGCTGTTCTCCTAGACTCGGGCAGCTCCCTCACCTACCTCCCAGACGCAATGACAGAAGCAATCTACGAGCAAGTCTCCGCACAATATTCCGCGCAAGATGGTGCAGCTTTCGTGCCATGCTCCCTGGCCTCGAACACCACTACCCTTGACTTCACATTCTCGTCTCCTACCATTTCTATCCCCATGAACGAGCTCGTTATTCCAGCAACCACAGCCAATGGCAGACCACTCGTCGAGGCCGACGGCACCAAGGTCTGTCTCTTCGGTATTGCACCAGCAGGCTCAAGTACCGCAGTGTTGGGAGACACCTTCATCCGAAGTGCGTACCTTGTCTACGATCTTGCCAACAACGAGATCTCCATTGCACAAACCAAGTTCAACGCCACAGCAACAAACGTCGTGGAGATCACCACCGGCTCATCAGCCGTGCCTGATGCAACCGCCGTCGCAAATCCCGTAGCTGCATCAGCAGGTACAGGATCAAACAATGTTGCTAGTGGGTTGGGAACTTCGACCTCGAAAGCAGCAGCACAAAGAACGGCCGCACCAGTCCACTTCGGCGCCTTCGCTGCTGTCGGCGCTGGAATGTTTTACGCAGCCATGTAAATATCGGGAAAGGTTTAATGATATATTTATTCTGTTGTTTAGAGCGGCATGTTATACAAGCATATTTCTGGGTCCGGAGCGTTGCATATGCATGGCGTTTTGGGAAGAGGAAAGGAGGGTATCGGGGACCTTGATACAGATCGATCTGGGAAGCAGAGCGCAACAATTGCATGGCGTTTTACCAATATCTATAGATATATATATACATCTCGTACATATCAAAACATGCAATGAAGGAAGAATCAAGAACCGAATCAGTCATGCTAAGAGGCTTTCGTGGGAAGTAGACCTTGAAAGCAAAATTTTGCAGACCAAGTGGAGTGTGGCAAGTCTGAGAAGAGAGATGAGTCAAGCGAGGCGAGAAAATTTGATGTCCTCCCCCCCCCCAAGTTTAGTACCGTTATATAACAAAATAAGAGTTTTCTATCCATGACAGCCTGGCTAGCTCAATCGGTAGAGCGTGAGACTCTTATATATTCATTCTAATTATTAGAACTATCTCAAGGCTGCGGGTTCGACCCCCGCGCCGGGCTCAATTCCCCACGACTCACTCATAATATTTTTTTTTGGCAATTCTTCTCAAAAGTTGGGATCTAGTTCAAAAGTTGGAAAGCTTGAGCTATTGAATTAATTTTGGCATATGGTCCACAGTTTCGTAAAAGCGTTTCTTTGTCCAAGCCCCTCTTTCAATTATTTTCAGCCATTTTTTTTGGGGGGTTCCATCCCCTCCTCGAGCTCGCGTGCTAATTCGGTAAAAATAAGCGAGGCAGCATTTTGGTGTTGGGCTTGCTGTGGGCGATGAAGTAGTACTCATCTTTATTGCCCTTAATAAAGTTGGACATAGTAATGAGACGATTTAAATCAACCAGAACTAGATAGACACTCGAAGGAAAAAGACTTTGGGGTATACCATGAATCGAGGAGACATTCGTAGTTGGAATATCTGAAACGATTCAACTTGACTTGGTTGAGAATTCAATGAAGCCGTTTTTGTTCACTGCGAGATTGGGGGAAAGACTCGAATGGCAGAGTCTTTCACCTGAGGTGTGTTGCTACTGTAATCTACAAACGGAAAAGATCTAAAGTCACAAAGCTTCTCAGCCTCATGACTGTGAATCAACTCACTCTGCTAAGTTTTTAAGTCCAATCTTGATGCTGAGTTTCAAACTCTCAGAGAAGCCCCTTCCAGACTGATGATATATCTCCTCTAATGAAAATATGACCCTTTTTAATGCAACCAGCCACCATAAAGTCCCAAGCCATCCAGGCTGATGACCTATCTCCCCCAATAATACCTACCTCTTCTCAGTGCAATCAACCACCATAAAGCCCCAAAAGCCATCCCACCCAGATGATCTGCGTGACCAAAAGTTGGCAGCCAGTGCCCTTGTAGACCACCAACACTGAGCCCAACCATCAAAGCAGCCCCCAGCCACATTGGCATTGGTATAAACAAGAAACCCATTTGACCCCGAGGCACAACACACGCGGTAGCAGCGAATACGCCCAACACTCCCCCGGACGCCCCCAAACCCCCCGCATTCCATTCACCTCTCTTCTCCCACACATAGTTCTGGGTCAAGCCTCCAGCAATCACCGACCCAAAGTATAGCACCAAGAACGCTGGAGCACCGAAACTCGAGACAATTAATCGTCCAAACCCCCAAAGCCCGATCATGTTCATTGCAAGGTGCATAACACTTTGGTGCATGAACGCCGATGTGACAAGCGTGTAGTATCGGCCCTCCTTCATATTCTTCAACGAGTGGACGAAATGGTCATGCAACCACTGCATTTTTGCTGTTGCTTCGGACGAAGCTTGAGTTCTAACGGCACTGCTGACCAGTGCGGCATATCCGTACAAGCCTATACATGCTCCCACCAGGCCTCCAACGATGATATTAGGTGTGTTGAAGAATTGTTTAGATTTTGAAGGAGGTTCAGGGTTCCAATCGCCCTCTTCATCGTGCTCTTGGCGGGTTTGCCGGTCCTTTCTCCGTGGGACTTCTCGATCACCTGGTTGGAAGTAACGATGCCGGGGAATGCTCGTGTTGAAGGGTCTTCGTAAGTGTTGGAGTGCGGGACTCTTGACGAGTGGGTTGAGCTGTTTAGTGTCAGTTCAATGTTGCTCTGCTTTTGGGGCAATTCTTACGCGATATCGGGCGATTGGCGGCGGATGAGATGCTCGTAGACAATTTAACCTGGAGGTCTGCCGCAAGAAGCTCATCTTGTTATAGATTGTTAATTGTACATGGAGCTCCACGTCGAGGAGGGAGGTAGCTTCTCCTTTGTGTAATCTGATAGATCACCGCGAAACGAGCTTACCGGCCGCCAGAGTCAAGGTGAGCCATGGAGGTCCTTAAGAACCGATGGCTGCAAACACCAAATATGTTATGTTCAGACTCAATTGCTTATTGCCAAGCAAGAAAGACGTCGAGCTTTTGATTCATGGACGTTGTTGTTGTGGCGAGCACGGACCTCTCCACTGTCATTTGTCCGTTTGAACGAAGCTCTTCGGACAATCTTCCAGACAACTTTCAGAGGAAGCTTTTGTCGTTGAGGATCTAGCCTTGTCTTTGCCTTATGAGACACGAATCGAGAGAATAACTGATTCTTGTCATGATTATAGTCATCGACACTCTCAAAGATGTTGACTCGATTGAATACAAGAGAACGTCCAGCGCTCCTCCTCCAATGAGTGTTGGTTTCTTTGGTCGTTTTCAGTTGAACAGAAAAGAGCAAAAGAAATGCGATCACAAACTTCCTGGCAAGAGGGGGCGGGCTTATTGTCGAAGCTAGTCTCGATTTAGTTGACTTCGCTCCTCACTTCCTCCCTTTTTGGTATGAATTCAAGTGATGCAACTCATAATCCATGATCCACACTCAAATCAGTTGCACTTGCCTTGCCTACAGTACGTCTCCTGACTTGAGTTCGCTTGGCTTCGATGGCTCACTATGTGTCTTGTCAATTCTTCGTCCACACTCATTGAAGCCGACACAACTTTCCCATTCCTTTTCTGATTATTGAACTTCCCCTTTAGCAAGAAAATTATAAGCTCAACAATTGGCAGGGCCACATCTTAGTTCGCTCCCATATCCTTTTCCTCCAAGGCGGAACTTGATTACTTAAGTAAAGGCAGAATACTTCTAACAGGGCAGCGGAGCACTTCACCAAGCTTGGGCGGTCCAACAGCAAAGGTTGATATGGGTGTAGATATACCTCGCCTTCACCGAAAAACAACGAACTGCGACAAGGAATCCTGACTGTTGGTTCCCCTCTTGATTCTTCACCCTCACTCAGCAATTCCGTCTAGCATGAGCCGTCTAGAAGTTGTCTAACCGAAGCCAAATGTGGGATCTGGAAAGGGGATCGGGAGCACGCTTCCACCGATCTGGTCTCTGCCGCGGATTCCAGAGACCTTATATGTGGTCAAGCTTCAGCAGCTTCTTTCTTCAGCTTTGCCATGTGGCTTGATTGTGCCTTTGACGAGGTAACAATCTCAGCTATAACTTGGATTATCCTATACCAAGAGAATACCTTGAGGCATACTAAAGCCTATTGTCCCAATGACTTTGACAACATTCTCCAACTTCCAATTCTCTCCCACCCTAGCTAAAACAAGTGACTTTCTCCATGCAAGCCAATTACAACAGCTCGAAAATGCAGCCGTCGGGATTAAGATATCTCAAGAGGAATAGTCAAACACCATGAATGGGATATCCCGAAATACCAGAGAACGAGTAAAGCATCTGGCATGAAAGCCAAACAGTTTTGTCTCAGCAGCCCCTCAAAGATATTCTTGCTCCCATCCAAGATTCAGAAACTCTTTTGTGTTGCTCCGAACCTTCAAAACGGCCGTCGTCTTGCCTTTTAGCCTACCTTCACCGGCATTTTCGCTGTTGCAAAGTCGGTTTTTCGCCAAGAGGTAGGACTCGCGTCTCCCTGGACTTGAAATGAGATTTGGAGGTTGGTAAGCAAATAACCCCCCGTAGATGCTTGTTCTACAGATCTCTGCTCTGACCTCGTGGCTCTATTGATTGTTAGATTCAAAAGGTGATTGCTCAAGGCAGAGTGCGGAGAATATCCACCCCATACGCACACTTTCAGAGTCACATCGTATCCAAGGCACAGTGTATTTTTAGAATGTGTTTGTACTACTGAAGCTGGCTGGCTTGCTTGACGAATTAGAATATTTGTACAATGTTTTCTCCCCTCCCCCTTTGGATCCTCTCCGACACACATCCGCTGTTGGCGACCAGCTTCAGTATGAAAAGTCAGACCCCAGCATCCCCAGGCCTGGAATCCCCACCCAGCCACCCGTCGGTCTCAATATTACAAAACTTGCCAGCCAGCATCAGAGAAAAGTATCGTAGGTACCAATCCCAGACTCTTCACCCATAAGAGGGGACGAGTCCAGCATCGTAGACAAATGCACAACGCAAATGCAACGCATATTCATGCACCTCCTCGCATGCAAGCAAGCAGATCAGGCAACGACCCAAAGAAAAGAAAAAGATTATTGACACAAAAGCTTTTAGTCCTTGGCCTGCGCCGGGCTCGATGCCGAAAGCGTAGGTCAAATCCCACCAGCCAAAGGAAATTTCGCAGAAAAAGCAACCTGTCTCCCGCACACCATCCGAAATATGCGCAGGAAAAAAATAAAGGAAATCTGGCTGCCGAATGTAGTCTATGGTCGAAGCTCGAGGTATCATTGTAAACGAAGAAGAAACTTTTAAGACACGTTTTAGAAAAGGCCCCGCCGCAAATGCAAGATTAGCCCGCCGGTCTATGCACAGAGATTAGGATGCTTCTGAAAACACTTTTGTGTATGTGATCGGATGCTCATGGCTCGTTCTCTTTCTTGTCTTCTGGCTTCTCTGCGGGAGTTGCCTTCGACAGTGCGGGAGAAACTGATGTTGATGGTGGAGAGGCTGGGTGCTCTGAGTCACCGGATCCTAATCCTGCAAGAAGGCTGTGAAGAGTTAGATTGCTATTACCGAAGTGAAGGACTCTTGGAGAACGTACCTAAATGCATTTGCGGAAGTGGCTGATTCCTTTTCCTTTTGTTGCGGGGGGGTGCCTGTTCTTGATGACGCTCCAGAATCTTCGCCGGTCCTGCTCAATGAACCACCGGGGCCCATCTTGCGGCCGCTGTTACTTCGAGACGAAAACATCGACGTGGGACCGAACGACATTTGTTGACTTGCCGCCCTGGTTGCACCCTTGTTGGTAAGACGACGGAGATCATCCATACCAACAGTGTTCTTTTGGTAGTCGGGAGGGGGCTGGTTGTTGCCGTATTGGTTTGAATAATTTCTTGAATCACCACGGCCCATTGGCATTCGTCCGCTACCACCACCGCCGCGTGGGCCACGAGCGTTCTCAGCAGCCTTCTGAACAGCAGCTGCCTCAGCCTAAGAACATATTAGCATTAATCACCCTAAATCTTTCTTTCATCCGAAGGATACATACCTCAGCTCGGACCTCTTCCAAGGTCTTAGGACCCTTGTTGTCCTCCTTCGATTGCCATCGCTTCTTCCTCAGATCAACGATATCCATAAGCATGAATCTCAAACGGCTTGGAAGTTCTGGAGTATCGATCATAGACTGGATGCGAGTGAAGTAGACATCCATCATGGGTTTGCCCTTCTCGGTGCTGTCTAAGTTTCCACCGATCGTCTTGAGAAGCTTCGTCAATGATTCGATTTCAGCTTCATCAGGAATGCCAGTGTAATCCACAAGTTTCTTCACGCACTCGTGCATGATACGTTCCGTGAGCATGCTGAGCTTGTAAAGTTCACCGATGAATTGGACAAGACCAAGACCACGTCGCTTAGCAGCTGCAGCAATATAGTACTCATCGGAGAGCATGACAGCCTCTGGAGTCTTGTCATCACCAGGTTCACCTTCTGGCTTATCGGGCAAGTCCATCTTCCAACCGCGCTCGAACTCTTCTTGACATCGGTTCAGAAGGTACTTTCGGAAGAGGTTACCACCTGAAACGATGTTGCCATTCTTGTCAAGAATGCTTTCGTCCTTAATTTCAGGACTCATGGTCTCCAGCATGCGCTTGCAGAATCTGGCATACATCGAAGCCCAGTGAGCCTCATCAGTAGCCTTCTCAAAGGTGAGTTGGATGACTTGTCGAAGCGTACGCCCATCCGCTTCATCCTTGGATTGGGCCGCGATGGCGAGGATCTGATCGGCGATCTTGTCGAACTTCTCGGGCGTCATCTTGTTCAGAGCTGCCTTCACCTTTCGTTGAACTAAGTCGGGATCCATGTGTCCAGGAGCACCAGACGCACCAGGAGTGGGACCAGCTGCACCAGTAGCTGATTGAGACTGGCCAATGCTGCGTGGCTTCCATCCAGTAGCAGAGACTTGAATAGGTTTGAGTTCCATACCAGCGGTGAGAGGCATCGTCTTTGCGGCTTGAGCTTCGGCCTTGGGATTTGACTGGAAATTGTCTCGTTTGCTTCCAGAGCGTTGCGACCTGCTTTGTTGGCGGGGAGAAGGCATACTGCTCATGTTCGAATTTGATGAAGATCGCGCCATTGTGCTGCCACCGGGGAAGCCTGCACCACCTGGACGATTGAAAGAACCTAGTTGAGCCATTGGAGGCCTTGGCACGGCACCCATTGACATCGCATATCGTTGATCAGATGTTGTTCCAGCAGGAAGGGTCTTTCCCAGACTAACAAAAGCACCCATGGCAGAGGCTCCGATCGGTCTGGCAGAATTCGATCTGGATGATCCAGGGCCCATTCCTCCAGGTGTTCGTGACGATCCGGAACGTGCTGAACCACCGTCACCGTCACCAATGAGAGCTTTGATCTGAGACGCAAATTCCATAGATGGCTTCTCGGTGAAGACCTTCTGGAATTGGAGTAAGAACTCCTTGTCATATTTGAAGCTCTTGCCTTTTGTCATGACTGCAGAGTTCAGTGCCGGGTTAGGAGAACTGATGTGGGTTGGGTAAATCGCGGGGTTGAGCACTGTCAGGAAGCGGGCAGACTTGAGTGACTGAAGAGCCGCACTGGGCTGCGGAGGCTCGACAGGCTTGGTGTTGAGTGGCGCAAGGTTGAGTGCAGCAGGCTTGCCACGCTTTTCGGTTTGATTGACCTTTGACGGAGGGGGGCCCATAGAATCATCAGAAGCGGGAGTTGAAGCTCCACTGTCGGTACCCAAAGTGAGATTCGACAGCTTCGACGCCAAAGTGCTTGGTGTGTTTGGCGCATTCTTCTCTTCGTCCTTGTTCTCTGGCTTGTCCTTCTTGACTTCAGTAGGCTCCTCGCTCTTACCAGCAGCCTTCGCCTCGGCCTCGGCCCGCTTCTTCTCGCGCTCATCTTCCAGGCGTTCCATCTCTCGCTCGGCCTCCCGAAGTGTACGGTCATTTTCGGCAGCATCAGCTTTCTCCTTTTCAGCCTTGGCCTTGTCGGCTGCAGCTTTCTCGACAGCACGCTTTGCAAGAAGCTCGGCCTCTTTCTTCTCGCGCTCGGCCTCGGCCTCCTCCATTTCACGGATTTGACGCTCCAACTCTTCTTCTTCTTCCTGTTTAGCCTTCGCGGCGGCAGCCTTGGCATCTGCTTCCTCCTTTGCTTTTGCCTCCTCTGCTAATCTGGCCTCTTCCTTTGCCTTCTGCTCTTCCTTCAACTTGGCCTCAGCGGCTTTTGCATCTTCTTCGGCCTTAGCTTGGTCCGCTACTGCTTTGTCGGCCTCCGCAGCTTTCTTAACCTTCTCCAGGATCTCGAGGCGAATCTGCTCTTGGGTCTTGCCGCCAATAGCAGCACTATCGGTTCGAGCATGTTGGGGAGTCGCAGGTTTTGGTGGAGGAGTAGGAGTGGATGCAATGACAGGTGGCGTACGAGCTCGCGCACTCGGTGCGGGAGAGGCAGGTGCCTTGAAGCTTTCTACATCAATTGCTTCGCCATCTGGCCTCTTGATGACAATTGCGGCGCTCTTGCGAGTTGTTCTGGTGAAGACAGGGGATGGTGTTGGATTAGCCTTTGGCTGAGGAGTGTGAGGATGGGAGACGGAAGCGGTCATAGATGGAGTTTGAGGTTGTCCCATGCTTGAAGCCGGTCTCTGTTCTGACATCTGAGACGAGTTTCGTGACATCGGTTGTCCTTGTGGAGCATACTGTCCGGGGATGTAGTTTGGCTGTTGGTAGTTCGGTTGAGGGGATGCGGGAGGACCGCTCATGTACCCCATCCCTTGCATTTGAGGGAATATGTACGGTGCGTTCTGCATGGACATTCGGGGGTCATATTGTTGTGGGGGGTAACCGTAGCTTGCCTGTTTAGATGTTAGAAATCGGTTGAAGTCACCGCTGCATGGCGAAAGATCCATTTGAGAAACTTCTTGCGCAGTAATGATGGAAGGGGGTGGGGGAAGAGGGGGTAAGGCAGCTTGATCAACAAAAGAGATCCGATGTTCCAGAGTAGCTTCTAGTGGTGGCAGATAGTGCTGGGGTGGCATGAAATGACCATTCACTGAGCGCTCCGCTGGCACCGAGTTGTTTCTCTTCTCATTCTGATCGTAACTTTCGCGCTCTGAGTGCATTTGCTCATTCGACGCGTAGCTGTGACCAAAGAGTTCCCTTGAATGCTCTCTTGATCGATTGCGATTTGAGGACTGCTCATTGTTTCTCGACCACTGGTTCTTCTTGCCCTTGCCTCTGTTGCCGGACTTTGAAGAAATATCTGAAGGATTGTTGGAGAAAGAGGAGTGATGTACTTGAGGAGGTTGCATGTGCTGCTGAGGGAAGAAGGGTGTAAATGGCTGGTTCTGCATCGGCATGGCTGGGTTCATGTTCGGCGTGCCTGGCATCGAGGGTGTCAGAGCGGGACTGCGCGCAACTTGATGGGGCGAGTTTGGGAATTGAGGTCGACCTTGGGCTGGGAAGGGAGGTGCCATACCACCGCCACGGCCTTGGTTCTGAGAACCCCTAAACTGTTGTGAGTTCTGGGGAGGGTAACCCGTCTGTGGCTGATACTGAGGTTGGAAGCCCCCACGGCCTCGCCCGCCTTGAGGAGGGAATCCACCACGCCCTTGACCTGCGCCTGACTGATTGTTCAAATCATTTTGTGCAGATTGTGAGGATTCCCGACGGTTGTGACCACCGGCTTGCTGATTGCCAGGAGCAAGAGGACCTTGTGTGCCAGAGGCTTGTCGCATGTGACGCTTTAAAACGGAAAATATTAGTTGACGGTCTTGGCAAAAATAAGGATTGATATGTCAAACTTACATCGCCATCGCCACCGAAACTGCCAAATGCAACATTTCCACTTTGTCCACCAAGTACAGAAGGAGGTATCGCACCGCCACTTTCAGATGCTTTAGGGATGGGGACCGGTGAGTGTGGCGGATCAGTGGTCCTCGGATTAGGGATTGGAATTGGGGCTGAAGTCGCGGACTGAGCCGGTTGAGGTGTGCTATGAGACGCAGCTGGCGAGTCTGTGATAGAACCGAACTGGATGTTCCCCTTTGATCCGCCAACGGGGCCACCGTTCATGCTGCTCGGGCCATTCGCGCTTATCGTGACCGAGCTCTTCCGGCCGTGCTCATTACCATTAATTGCAGAACTGCTATGCGCGATTGCAGGAGCAGAAACTGCCGGTACAGCTGGAGAAATCGAGGGCTTGCCGTTCACCGGCGAGATCGAGCTTGATTTTCCATGTTGCTGCTGTACCGGCGCAGCGCCGCCAACAGCCACGGCGGGAGAGGGGGTCGAGGAGCCCGTCGCGATGGGTGGCGACGAGACTGCCTTCTTAGCGGTAGAGGCGTAAGAGGGAGTCGACTGGGACGCGCTGGTGGTGTTTGAGGCCTGGCTTGGGATTTGAGGTTGCTGGGAGACTGAAGTCATAGGGTGAGCTTTTCGAAGATGACCTCGTGGTGATGGAAGGAGATTTGTATGACGTATCGCGACGAGCAGTACCGGGCGTGAATCCTTCGCAGAAGAACAATTCGATATCAAATCGGATCTGTTCTATGGAGAAGACGACAAGACTGGGGGCGCAGAGTGGAGTGGGTGGGAGTAGTCGAAATTAATCGCTTCCTCGTGGGAAAGGACTACCTTTGCAGGCACCCTTTTTACTTCTGGATGAATGAAAGTGTGTCGCAGCGATCGCCGAAGCTGTACGTGCGGATGTTAGATCGAATACGCGGAGTATCGAAGGACTATTCCAGGCGCGATCGGTCTCCTACAGAATAGAAGAGGTCGCCGGAGTAGTAGGAGGTGTTGTTGTTGGTTTGGTTTGTGAGGAAAAGATTTTGTAGGGGGAAGGCATGTTGCACGTCTGGGTATGAAAAAATTCGGGGACAGGAAGCGAGCGGGCCTGGATGGGACTAGCGCGCGGCTTTGCCCTTCCTCCCCAAAGCAAAGTTGGGTATTTTGGAGTCACGCTCAGGCCATATTCCACTCGACTGTCCTCTCAGCCATGTCCAGTGCTGTGCTGTGCAGTCCAGTCCTCAACGGCTGCTTGGGGGCCAGCAGCCCTGGGCCAGAGCAGGCGTGGCCCTTCACACACGTACAGCATGCGCAGCCCCAGCTCTGGGCTGCCAATTTGAGGTCACCAAGTCCCACGATCACAAGCTAGGCGGCCGGCCAAAAGACTCGCACCGATCTGCCTGAGCAGGAGCAGACGGCGCCCTGTGTCCAGCCCAACCGCCTCCTTTGTTGCAATCCCAGAGAGCGACGTGCGCCGCGACAGTGCTCTTGCGGCCCGAAAAATCTGCAGTCAATCTGAAAAAGTAAATTCGTACTTTGCGCGAGGACGATCAGATACGGCTTCTGCGCTCCGGCTCTGTTGCTGGCCGTCAAACACGCTAGGACTGGGATTGACCCCTTGTCTGTTTCCCAGATTCTCTTCATCCGACCTGCATGCTTGACCACCACCTCCAAGTTCGAGAAACATTTCTTCCAGAAGCAAACAAAATCCAGGGCCTTCTCCAACAGCACGAGGGGGCGCAGACTCGCTGCCCTACAGTGCAGAACACCGGAGTGACAATGGCAATGACGATGACACCCACTTGGTACTCGGATTTGAGGTGAGTCAAGCTGCTGGATGGCGTGAATCCAGCCCTCTCCAGCTTTGATCTTTTCTCCAACTTGATCTTGCTTGCCTGTGACACCTCCGTTCCCTCGATACGTGCGCGGACTCACAGCCGCGGCGGTTCAGATTGGACACGGCCCGAGATGGCTGTAGATTCCAGCGGGCACCGAATCACCACAGAATCAGGTAATATCGCATTCGAAGCTTTCCCCAGGAGTCGCCGTGTGCCAGTAAATCCACCAGCAGCCGCTGCACTAGGGCTAGGCAGACCCCAAATCTTACGAATAAGACTCGCCGCTGGAGGCGACCATCAAGTGTCCAATACAACCATACCTTCAACTTCCATCCCTCGATCAGAGAATTCTCCAGCATTCCACGTCCAAGTTCGAAGCCAACAAGCAAACGTATTTAGATCTGAGTCATTCCAAATTTGCATGCTGACCTGCATGATATCTGCAAATAACACCAAGGCTCACTGCCTCGTCAGATCAAATGCCGCAGCAGAACAGAAAAAAGTCCGCTTGCGGCGCAACCGTGCCGAACCCAAATCCGGGCTACAGTACCCAACTGCATGGAAGGCTGCAGTGTGACGCCAGTGAACTCCGGCCCAGTAAGCCTTCTCACCAGTTTCCTCCCAAACTCCAAAACTCAGCACACAAATCCAGCCTGTATCAAACCTCGTTCCTGCAACCTCCCGCACGATCTCTAACCGCGAATGCAATCTTGCATGGCTCTCGCAATTTCCAGTATCCTGGAGTGTACTGACACAGATATCATATCGAACATCAGCCCATCTTTCCAGTAAATAATTCTCCCATTGCTTGTTGGAAATTGGCCCCTAGAAGCAGCAGGGAGCGCATCCCTTTCCTTGTAAGCCAAGACAATGACTTGCATGTGATCGCCAACCTGCATTTTACGCTCAACATATCTGCAGTTCGAGAGCCGCCAGCAACCTAACTGCTTATCGTTGAACTGAACCTCCGTGAAACTGATTCTCTCGACTTTTGACTTTTCCAGCAGCGACTTGAAACTTCGGAGGGAAGGCGTTGGCAAGGGGGCCAATCGCAGTCGAGGCCTCTAAACCCCTTTCTTGATTCGCCACCTCGTTACCCCCTTTTCCAGCTCTCGTCAAGGGTCACAATTGCCACAAGACCATGGCCTCTCAAATCCCACTTACATTGACGAAACCCCCTTCCGGATTTCCAGTATCCGCTTTTGCTAGTGGCTATATCACGGAATGGAGCCTCCCACAGCCTTTCTTAATATTGGGTGCGTTGCGTAATATCCCTTATGTAAAGTGTCTAGGATCTAAGTTGGTTTTATCCTTTTGCAAAGAATAACTCAGTTGAAAGCAGCAGCTTGAGAATATCCTAATGGGAGTGGGAAGAAATATATGATGAAAATGTAGAGGGTGAGGACCGACCCGACATTTTCGTCACTACCCGTATATTACTCATTCCATTTTATCAAGCCTTCAACTTGTTTCTTATGGTAGAAGATCTCAACACTGCGTTTGACGATGATTTCAAATACAGTCCTACGTGACTGATGGTATTCTTCTCCACATTCTTTGGGCTAGGCCGTACGCCTCGCGTCTCGAAAACGTCTGCTTCCTGGGATGATCTTCAAATAGACAAAATAGCCGGAGCACTACACGCCAAGGAATGAGATCTCTCTTCCGTCTGCATGTTGTTTAGCACAGAATTCTACCGCTTGGTCTATTTGGCAAAGTCATGGCTGCACAGGTATATGGCACCTCTCGTAGCGTCAACTCTTTGCGACAAATTCTTCTTCCCATCACTCCCTAGAAGTGATTCAGGCTAGCTCCTTCGGTCCGGCTTCAGCTCTCGTGCTCTGTGGATAAGACGCCCTCACTGCTAATATTGCTGATCTCTCCGAGCTTTTCAAAACCTACAACAAAGATTGCGTTGTGGTCTTCAGGACCAGAGGAGTTCTCCCTGCCATCGTGAAAAAGTCGGCATGTTACTCGAGAAGCTGCAAAGTTATTTGCGTGATAGTGCAGAAAGAATCGGCAATATCTGTAAGTTTCTTACACCAAAGCAAGATACTGCTGGCCGCCTGTTCAGGTAGGGTCTTTAGCAATGTGTCCTAGCTGATGTTCACTGTTTATCACCGTCACCGCGTGGAAGATCAGAGATCTTCTCGAATACAAGTAGATGAAGTCACAAGTCACATCACTCCAAAGATTTCCCAGTGCCATCATGACGCGGAAAGAACTGAAATGCTCAACATATCAAGACCCCTAGATCACCCATTTACAGGCCCGGTAGCCATTCCTCTCCTAAATACTTCCTGAACGCCGATGGCTCTCAGCCGATTTCACCAAATGCAGCAGCAACAAAATTGGGGTCTCCACGCTATGCAGCCATAAAATCATAGATGCTTCTTCGATCCAAAAGGCATATCACAACACAGGGTCTAGACTTCGTCCCCTATATGCAAATGGTTTATATAATGCATCATACACAAACACCATACTTCCCAGCAACACCAACAGACTAAGACCGGCTAGTCAGACGACCGTACAGGAAGAGCCTTGATATCTGACCCAGTCAGCAGTGCACTGGAGGAAATGCTTGAAGGTGAGCTTACTCTCTCTGTGCCTCGATCTTTGCAATCCATTCCGCGCACATCTTTAGCCGTTCCCGGACGTTGCTCGTGGAGAGCAACTTATACTTCTCTGCATCGGCGGTGGGAAGGACGCTCGCGAACCACCAAGGGAAGAGTGCAGGGTCGTTCGGACACTGGCCGTACACCTGAAATACACGAGTGTGGAGCCAGGGTGCAGATTGTTCCCGCATCCTCGTCACGAAGTCGACTCCTATTTCGAACAGCTCTTGGGTCGACATGGTGTTGAATTCATATAGCTGGATAGGCTGTTTAAGATCTCGAGCTTGAGTGTGGTGCGGCGGAGCCCCAAAGTCGTCTTGGGCCGAGAAGTTGCGCGCAATGGACGGAGTCAATGTTTCTCGAGCCTCCAGTTCTTCCTCGGCAGCAATACTGATGTCGTCTATTCTTTCTACTTTACCAATTGTGTAGTCATCTTTGGTCCCGTGCTTGACGACCCGGAATCTTGATACACCAACCGTCTCGATGAGGCTCCGGCCGTCGGGCGTGAGGTGCATATTTACTATATGCAGCAATGTTCCGTATTCGTAGAAGTGCACCCGTCCTAAATTACCTTGAGGTTCCCGTGAAGGGTTGTGTAGCAGCATCCCAAATTTCCGGTCTCCGCTCTCCAAGGTACGTCTGATCATAAGACGATATCTCGGTTCGAAAATGTGGAGGAAGGTTGGTACCGTTGGAAAAGACAGTGTACACACGAAGAGAGACAAATCCAGATCCGCTTTTGAACTCTTTTCCAATGTCGCTGCTTCCATTCGCAGATTTAATGCATCAGGACAGAGACCAGCCAGGAGATTGGTAAGGACGACATTTGATGGAGAACTTCTCGCGTTGACCCCTGGAGGAATTGCGTAAACTCGCCGACATACCGGGCAGAGATTCGAATGGTTGAGAACTTCCTGAAGACAATTTCGACAGAACGTATGGCCACATGTCGTAGTATATGGATCCAGAAATAAACTGTAACAGACCTGACAGTCCAGCTCCGACCTTGTGGCTTCCTTGAGTTGCTGAAGCACCACCGTATTCAAAATATCAGACTGATCTGCCATAGGTGACGCAGAGGTATAGATGACCTCCGAATCATGGGCCAATTCGCCCATTTCCGCCATCGCGTATGTTGAGACTAGCCGTCCACCTGGTAGCACTCGGTCCCGTTTTGCTTCGTCCCGCAGAGAAGGCATACCCGCTATTGACCATTTATCTCTCTCTTCAAGTCTTAACAAAACTTCAGACGCATCTGCGCTGTTTCTGTATACTTCCACCTCCCTCCTGACCACATCCATAATCTTATTCAGTACCACATCCACACTGCAATCCCCTATCGCATGGTCCGCACCACATGTTGTAAATGGACATGTAAACCCTTGTAATCGATTGGGCGTGCCTGGATAAGAAATATTCCGCCGTGGATGTAGCTCTGGGATGCATTTCTTGCAAAGGGAATTCCCACAAGGTAGGGTGACTGGATCTCGGAACGGATAAGAGCATTGGGGGCATTGCGCCAGTCTTACGATCCCCCGCGCGTCGTCAGAGGCATCGAGTGGAACATCCGCCTCGGTGATACTAAGTGTCGAGCTTGAGGTCTTGGAGAGGGGTGATCGGAGCACGAGGGGGGTATTGCTGAAGGACATCAATGGCGCTTCGACCAGCGCAGTGCCGTCGGACTGTCCCTGATCTAGTTCTGGTTGTAAAAGAGAGTCGGCCCAAAGCCGTGAGGTATTCGGAGAGGACGCAACTGTCCTTGTAAAATGGCCCGGAGTTTGACAGTTCAATGCGATCTCAGGGAGCGGACAGGAGGTGTTTGATGTCGGAGAGTATCAATGAGCCCAGGGTTCGTAACTCCTCGCATTTGTCGTTATCGTAAAGACAGAGGTCGTGTGCGCAAGGAAATGGGGTATATGGAAGAGAAGTAGACAATTACAAAGAAGTAAAATAATTGAAGGGCATAGAATCGAAGTCGAGGTTCATGAATTAGTTTTCGGAAGAGATAAATGCCGTCATGCGAGAGGGCCTGCTTGGATTCGCTCAAACCCTTGTCCGGCCAGTGAAGTCTGTCTACGAATCATTGAAACATCAAGCAGTAACCACTCTTCTAGTCTTATATGGAAAGCACACTGCATACCATAAACCGGGTTTACATTTTACGCTGGAGCTACTTTAAACATTCAGTCTGCCCAAGTTGTAGCACAAGACATCCCATCTCCCACCTGAACGCGGCAGCCGACTTCGAAATCGCAACGCCCCCAGCACAATCCGTGAGCGAGTCTGAAAAGTCATGCAGGGTTCTGTGAGCACTCGATTTCGTAATCAAGCCCCCTCTCATAAAATGCCTCCTTGCGACTCGTGCATTCATTCCGTGAGACGTGAGACCTCACGCCCAACCCGTCTTTGAACAAAATCAGCAGCGGAGAGCTCGGGCGATTCAATGGTCTTGTTCACGATCTCAAGCCGATCGACGACCTGCCCCTCATCGACGCCTTCCCTCTTTCGGCCAGTATATGCTACGCTTCCCACCACAGGCTCCTTAGTACCAGTTCCGGGCCGTTGAAGAGAAGATCTGGAGAAGTCCAGTCACAGATTGGTATTCCGCTGGGGTGTGAGGCTTGCCTCTTCCTATTTTCTTCTCCTTTCTTTGAAAGGAAAGGACTCTAGTTCCTTTCACTTGGCCAGGTGCACTACCGGTATACTCAAACAACAAAATCTATCTCCTAACATCTCACAGCTTCATTCAATCTACATTATACAGCCACCCGCACATAATCGGCCTTTGATGCCTGCTCTCGTATATCTCGGGCTCGCTTCAAAAAATGAAAGCGTCATGATACTTGGCCCCTCCGAAAATATCCGATCCCATTGTTAAAATTGATCTCCTTGGCAGTCTGAATGTGCCTCCTTGATATTTGGAAGGATTATGAATCGATATTTTGACACCGGATGATCCGACGACCGTCAAGTCCACCTCTTGATCCTGCTAGTTTAACAGGCAGGGAAAATGCCAGACTCAGGCTGTAACGGTATAAGCAGGTCTCTAATCTCCAAACGCGAGGTTCACTTGAGCCTTCCATATCAGATCGGTGATATGACTACTGGGCAGAAGGTTCACTACGGTGAATGAATTTGCCACCTGAAGTTCGGTACCGGAATCATGTCACACAAGACTGGATAGATTGAACACGGAAAGTGTAGGACGGAATAAGCTGAAGAATATATCGGTTGTTCGAGAGCTACGATTTTGAAGTATTCAAGAGTCACACCATCAAATATTCATTTCATAAATTTTATTCGTCTGTCTGTGCTGCCTACACTGATTTTGTTGGCACTCTCGATATTCCATGCAATATGATGCAATGTGAATGAACTATGACTGCCGGCTCAGTGATGCGTGTAAAGCCACGCAGTGTGAAAGAGTATCACTGCCTCTCAGTGATATGAGTAAAGTGAACGGAAAGGAAATATGCTAATGTCCCCAGCGCCCAAACAAGGAGAGAGATATGAACTCTCCCAAGAAAAGTGTGCTGACGGCGCCGCCAGAGCAGATGCTAGGAACGCCAGGGATCCCCCCCCCCCCGCACCCTCCAAAAATTCCCCGAAGAGAGAACTGCCAAGCTCAAGGTACACGCAATCTCAACGATGACCTTTACTCGGCTTGGGCTTCTTAACCTTCAATGCCTGCTTGTCTGCCTTCTCGGCCTTGGCGGCTTCACGGGCCACTCGAGCAGCCTCTTCAGCTTCCTTCTTCTCAGCAACAGCCAGAGCTTTAATCGTCGCCTCGAGGCGCTTCTCGGTCTGTACCTTGGTCTTCCCCTCTGAGCCAGGTTCAAATTCGCGCAGTCTCCACACGTCAAGAACAACTAAACACCAGAATCTCGCGTTAGTAGCTTGGAAAGCATGATGTAGGGTTGGAACATTGTGTCTTTGAAGTAGGTTGCTCTCAGGATAGATCTAGGGAGTAGTCGCCTCACAACACAAGCAGGAGGTGATCTGAGAATATGGGAACTTACGTTGTGCTCCGTACGCCTTGAGGTTCTTCTCGTAGAAGTCATTGATACGATGGCGGCAATTGGGTGAGTTTAGGACGGTGACATCTTCCCAGAACTTCTCTCCTTTGCCTTCTTGGACACAGAATCTCTCCCAAGTATTTCCACTGTACGAAGGACCACCCTTGACGAGGAACTCGACACTTTGGATGCCCTCTAAAACAGCTTCTCTTGACTGTTCTATAGCGGTGATGACCCAGGCCAGATCACCATTGAGATCATATTTGGGAGAATCTCTGGGTGGGATCGTCCCGTCAGCAGTCATGTTGTCAACATTGCGAACTTGCTGTCGAGTACGACTGGAAACTTGTCCGGGCTTTTTATCCTTGCTCAATCTTCCTTCTCCATGAACATCAAGCTTGGCCACGAGCTGCGCCTGCCTGAACTTGGTGAGATTGTACGTCTTAGACCGGCTCATTGCCATGCGCTCTTTGAGGAGAGGCTCGAGTTGCTTGCACAACCTCTCCGTTTGCTCCTTTTCACGTTCCCAGCCAGCCCCAGACAAGTGATCCTCAAGACTCACAGTGAGTTTCTTCAGGCCCTGCACGGCAACGAGACACTCTTTGAAACCTGGTAATCCAGGGCCACCAGAAAGCGGAACACCCCAGATACGGTTCAATTTTAGGTCCAGCGACTGCAGGCCCAGACATGCGGTAATCAAGGTAAAATACTGGGCGCCAGCGACTTTGGACGAGTACACCCATGGAACCTTGATGTTTCGGATGGCATTACGACGTGGCTCAGTGATTGCGACCAGGTAGGTTAACGCTGCTGGTTGGTTTCGATAGCCAGAGTATCCGAAATGGAATTCATTGACCGTGTAGAAGAGCTTATGTTCGTTAGCTATCTCAAGAATATAGAAGTAAAGCGGGAAAGATACGAACATGGGTGGTCGCAACGTCATCATAGATAGAACGGCAGACTTTTGCGAGTTGAACAGCCGTCAACTGGGGAACGGCGCCGACTTCAATGGCGTGAGTCTTCTTGTTAATCTGATCCTCGGACCAGATGAATTTGTTCGAATGCTCACGGATCTGCTGTGGTTCAATGGGCGCCTCGACGGTGACAGCAAGGCTCCAGATACGTTGCTTGACCTCGTTCGGGAGCTTCAACAGTCCGCTCTCGCTGTTGTCCTGGTTGGGTTCAGTACAGGGTACTCAGCCATACACAATGATGCCAGTACGGTTTGGCTGAGGATATATAAGCGGGTCACTTACATGGACAATGAAGATGCTTGCTTGGGCAGGTTTATCTATGTTGGTAACGCTCGCAACGGTGTTTGTAGTAGGGGGAGGAAAGCTCTCGATGGCAGCGGCAGCGGCAGCTGAAGTTGAGCTGACGACGGAACCCATGGCCTTATGATGAACAACGTCAGCTTTCGATCTCTGTTGCAAAGGAGAGGAGGTGCTTACCGAAAAGTCAGATGAGGTCGTCGTTGCCTTGCTGGCACGGGATCGCTTTGCCTTCTTGTTCGTCATCGTGACTGCCAGAACGGAAGGCCTTGTATCAGCGTCAATTGCAACGTAACTCAACAGCCGGGAAGCCTCTGGATATTCGAGGATTCGAGGGACATCCATAAAGGGAAGATTACTTGCTTACCTTCGTTGTGGTCTTGGAAGGTGAAGGGGTCGTTGAGGTTATTGTAGGAAAGATCGAAAGCCAGGCTGAGCGGTTTATCAATAGGCGATGGAGGAAGGCGCGAGGGAACCAAGTATAAAGCAGCAATAAAATTTAAAGATGCGATCTGCTTCGCCTTTACAAACTAAGTTTATGGAACAATGATTTTGTTCTTCTTCTGCAGCTTCTAGCCTTGCCTCCGCCAGGAGTGAACAACAGAATAATTGAGGGTAGGCGACTCGCTGACTTTGCATTTCCTCTGAACCTCTATTAATATTACCGTGAGACTTGGAAGACAAAAGACTTAAGCTTGTTCAATGGTTTTGATGCGACCCCAACCCGGTTCAAACTGGAGTAAGAGATTGAACCGTTGAGGGTGGCTTCTGCCCATAAGCCAAGACTCCAGATCCGACTCGAAAGCTCAAGATGTAGGTTCGTAATCGAGATAGTCAGGTCTAGAAGTCTCAAGAAGTGGTCAGGCAAAGAATAACCATTTCTTGAGGCTCCATCACTTCATCCTTATTCGGAGAGCGCATAAAGTGAGGTTCGACGATAGAAAACTGTAAAAGACGCGATAGAATTGACCGGGACAATTGACATTAAATTGTCAAAGCCGACCTACCTTCTGCTCCTCAGCAGCTTCTTATATCCCTTTTCTATGACTTGTCCGTCCCCTCCACCGGGTCCATTCGGCTTGGCCTTCATTTCATCCATCCGATCATATGCCATTTCTTCCAGAGTGTGGCCTTTTCATCTTATTCCATGGCTATACTTAGGTAGCTCCTGCAGTTTCTCTCCGTATTGCAGCTCCTCCGAGAAGCTGGCACAGCGTTCTGTGCTGGTGAGGGGCCTTTGTTTTCTGATGATAGTGTTTGTTGCAGACTGAGGCCACTGCGAAGCTTTCCCCATCAGCAGGCTGAGAGTCGCAAATTCCATGCTCGGAAACGCATCCCAACAGTTGAGAAGTATGTCTTCGGTCAAGAAGTTTGTTTGACGGGGATCTGTTCTCATAAAGGAGGGTTGGGGTCCGCTACGGAGCACGACAGCGGCCAATGGCGTCCTGGTTCTTGCCAAACTTTGAATCCCGAGAATCCTCCTCACCTGAGCAATCTTCCTGGGGATCACATCACAGTATCCCAGCGGTCTGCTTGATTATCACAATTGAAAACTCTTCTTCAGACAGAGTACAAGCAGCGAAGTCTGTCATCGCCATGTGTCATGCCTAGACCTTCTCCGCGAATAGCAAAACTACCTGAATCTTCACCTCGCCATTCCCGGGCGAGGATCGGATCTCAGCGCGGCGCAAATATGTGGCATTTTCGGAGCAACGAAGTTCGAAAAGCTTATCAGCACAAGATAGAGAGCTTCTCCTCATCTCCTGCCCCTCTATTGGCAGCAATTTCCCCGCCGGCCGCTTATCAGCTCTGCGCGCATTCCCATCCCATTGCCACGGCCCACGACGCTGGCAAAGAGCTCCGGTGGAGTAGTTGACACACCTTGATAGCACAGCATATCGGAGATCTCAAAAAACATGCCGATTATTTGTTCAAGTGAACGCGTATTTATACTTCGCGTCATGCCTCTCTTATTCTTCCCTGTTCGACATATCATTACTTTCCGTAGAACCGTACCCATTCACAATGTCTACACCTTACGAACTTCCGTCAGATACCTCCAACATCAAGCCCTTCGAGTGGGATGACAAGTATGACTTCCCTCGAGACCTTGTTGGCTATGGAGAGAACTCATTCAATCCTCAGTGGCCTGGAGGAGCAAAGATTGCAGTCTCTTTTGTCATTAACTACGAAGAAGTATGTGCAATCCTCGAGAGCCCCGAACGTATTTTGACAACGGTTTAGGGCGCTGAACACACAGTCTTGAATGGTGACTTGCACTCAGAGACTCATCTCTGGGAAGCTCCTGGCGGGACCCCAAAGATCCAAGAGCGAGCTGTCAACATCGAATCCGAGTATGATTATGGATCCAGGTCTGGCGTCTGGCGCTTATTTCGTCTCTTCAATAAGCATAACTTCAAATACACTCTCTACGCTGTTGGAAAAGCCATTGAGGACAACCCTGCTGTTGGGATTTCTTCGGTGAAAAATGGCCATGACGTTGCCTCTCATGCCTACCGATGGATCGACTATGCGGACATGTCCCCCGAGAAAGAGAAGGCGTACATCAAGAAAGAAATCGAGACAATTGCCAAGATATGTGGTTCGCCTCCAAAGGGCTGGTACTACGGACGGTTATCGAGCAGGTCTCAAGCTCTGGTTTGGGAAGTTTACAAAGAGATGGGCGTACCTCTTCTTTGGGACTCGGACTCATACGCGGATGATCTTCCGTACTGGGTAGATGTGCCAGCGGAGAAGGACGAGAAGAAACCAATGGGGATGCTTATGATTCCTTATTCATACGGTATGTCGAGTTGTTCATAGGACATTATTTCCAGAACTAACAAATTGCAGATTGTAATGACTACAAATTCAACGTCCCCACCGGATTCGGGTCTCCAACACACTTCTACGACCATGTCAAAGGCGCTTTTGACACTCTCTACGAAGAAGGCGAGGAAGGATCCCCAAAGATGATGACCATCGCTCTTCACTGCCGGTGCATTGGCAAGCCGGGACGGTTCCAAGCTCTAAAGAAGATTGTCGATTACATCGCAAGCAAGGAGGGGGTTTGGGTAGCTACGAGAACGCAGATTGCTGAACATTTCAGAGAGAAATTCCCGTATGAGAAGGGATACCTTGCACCAGGCGTCAAGAGGGCGCAGGCGCCTAACACTCTTAATGCTTGGCCGGCACACCAAGATGTACCGGTTTGAGTTTGTTTCTGTATCTTAATTGTCGGTCTAAAAGAATTTGTCCAATGATTAATTTTCATGACCCCTTTCATAGTTCTCGTTCACAATTCCCAACCAACAGCTTCCTCGACCTCCGTACAGCTTTTCCCATCTCCAGTCCGAGTACAGCCTTCAGGGCAAGAAGATTGAGGGTTAAATTGCCACGAGAAAAACGGATCTGTCTCATTTGCCAGCACATTTCTTATCAGCCTCGTTATGCTCGGCAACTTTGTCGATTCTTCAAACACTTCATCTGAATATATGGAGATCTGACCCCACCCCTTTTCTACCAATGTCTCAATACTCGTGCCAAATATGCATTCTGCGAAACCGGACCATCGAATTGCCGACGCACACTGGGCAAATGATCAGCCGAAGCAGAGGGAGAAACAGAATGAGGAAGTAAGGCTACCATAGGGCACGGTTCGGCATTAGTATAAAGACTCAACTTCGAGAACGCTTTCAATGATTCCGAAGTCGACAATCTATAGTCACCATCTGGGTCCGTAAGAATTTCCGAACAATTGTTTATTGCAGAAATCTCTCCTGCAATTTCCCACCTTCATCAGTGACCTGCGCACTACTACTTCTGTTGGATTGTAGGAATTACCATGTAGAGTTGGATTTCCCTTCTGCATATTCTGGTTGACACTCATGCACACAAGTTTCCCCCTCGGATCAGAACTTGTATCAGTATGGTTCACCACTACGCTTCCGAAAGCGCCAAATGGACACGGTGATGCCAGCTCTGCCAAAGCTGTGTTTGCTCTCCGCATCCAGTACACTCGAATATCGTACGGGATTGTATCAGGTGCAAGTGATTGCTGAGAGGATTGCACCCGGTGGCTGTGTCTCTGGTTATGGCCATCGGTGAGGTGTATCAGTGCTAGGAGGAGAAGGCTGACAATTGAGAGTGGGTAGAGCATCTTTGAAGATTTCCAGTCTTAACGATCTAGCAAGAAAGGAAATTGCATACACAGGTGAAAATGTTTCTCAAAGGATAGTAAAATCTTCACTTAACCCCTCACAATCCCTCACCGTCATAAGTTGGCGGGGTGTGAAACTCTATGTCATCCTTATCGCAGATATTTGATAAGAAATTCTCAGCCTCGCTGTCAGCCTTGCTGGCTTCACCTCCCAATGACATCAAGCTCTGACCGCCTCTCGATGCCGGGTACCCTTGCCCAAATTTCTCGGGAATTATCAGCAAAATGACACGAGATCTTCTGTGTTACATCTTAGCTCGTACGTCCCCGCCAAATGCCTTTCGGACGAGCGACAACCTCTCGGAGCAGAGCCGGAAAATCTCGATGATAAGAAGAGCTTATCGGTTTTGACAGACAGTGAGGCTTTTGCGAGGGGAGCAACGTCCAACAGGCCCTCCTCAAGAACTTGTCATATGCTTTGTGAGACTGGCGTTGAAAATGGCCCCAGTAATCGGGAATTGGGCCGATAAGAATAAAAATGGGGGTGACACGACCTCGAAAGTGGCACTTGCCGATGTAGATTTCCCTTGGTCAATCTTTTCTTCTTCTTTCTGTCCTCTGCTCTTTCCATCTCTTTGAATTGAAGGTCTCTGCAATCCCTGCCCTGCCTCATTCTGCTTCTCCAAGATGGGTTCAATAACCCGAGTTCTTCCCCCTATCTCCACCGACGAGGTAGCTCTTCCCGGCAATGGCATGCAAGCCAAAGAAGACGCACCTCGAGGCCTCTCCTCCGCCATCTTCACCCCTCTAAAGATCGGGAACGGCAAAATCACTCTCTCCCACCGCATTGTCCTTGCTCCCCTAACTCGAAATCGTGGAGTTCCTCTGAAGATCAACGCTACTCCCGAAGATCCAAACAGAATTTGGTACCCAGGCGACCTGATAAAAGAATATTACATCCAGCGTACCACTCCAGGGGGGCTTCTGATCACTGAGGGTCTTCCTCCAAATCTAGAAGGCAATGGGATGCCCGGCGTGCCAGGGCTATTCTGCGAAGAGCAAAAGAAGGGCTGGAAATCAGTGGTCGATGCCGTACACGAGAAAGGAGGGTACATCTACGCACAACTCTGGAACGCAGGCCGAGCGTCAATACCGCAGCACACTGGGATGCCCACAATCAGCGCGAGCGCAACCCCGTATGAAGGCGATGAACTTTACTCGTATCCACCACCAGGATCTAGTAAACAAGTTATGTATCGAGACTTCCCTCCAATGGAGCTGAGCCATGAGGGTATCAAGAAGCAGATCGCAGACTATGTTGCAGCAGCAAAGGCGGCAGTTGAGGAGTGTAGGTTCGACGGCGTGGAGGTCCATGGCGGGAATGGCTACCTGCCAGAGCAATTTCTTAGTAGCAATATCAATAAACGAAACGATGAGTACGGCGGTAGCCCTGAGAAACGATGCAAATTTGTTCTAGATTTGATGGACGCACTAGCCGGGGCAGTTGGAGAAGACAGGTTGGCTATCAGATTGACTCCTTTCGGGCTCTTCAACCAAACAAGAGGCATGCAACGGATGGAGACATGGGGACATCTGTGCAAGGAGCTCAAGAAAAAGCATAACTTGAGCTATGTGCATTTCCTTGAGCCACGATACGAGCAAGTTCACAGCTTGGAAGAGAAAAAGAAATGTAAGTTTCCATGCCTGACTTGAGACGTCGAGACTGATGTGCTGCAAGACTTGGAATCCTGGGGCTTCAAGGACGTCGATCTGAAAGTTTTCCGAGACATTTTCGGAGACACCCCTTTCTTTTCTGCTGGGGGATGGAATGACAAGAATACCTGGGGCGTCCTGGAAGAGAAGACTTATGATGCTTTTGCAATCGGACGACTCTTTCTTTCAACCCCCGATTTAGTTAACAGGTGACACTTGCCTCGCCGAAACAAGTTCCTTCGCTGACAACGAGTAGATTCAAAAAGGGTCAGCGATTGAACGCGTATGATAGATCACGATTCTATGGTCCATTCCCAGATCCCGAGGTTGGCTACACAGACTATCCACTTTTTGAGGATGTTGAGAAGTCGGGAAAACCGCTCGTAACTTGAGCAGATGTGTGTATTTTATGCCGCCGATGTAATTCTATCCACGCTATGCAGAGATCACCGATATCCCGGAAAAGAACCAATATTTGTTGTACAGTGTTCCATCTGCCATACGGCCAATCATGACGTCTCTCCTCCAGCCGTAACAGCCTCCTCAGCTGTCTTTAGTTCGCTGGCCGCTGCTTTCGCATTGTCTGTGCCAGAAATGCTAGCCTTAGAGGAATCTTCCGGTGCAGGAGCTCCAGTATCCACCATCTCTACCTCTACGTTTGTAGGCTCCGCAGATCTTGCTTTCTCACCACTCAACACCAACTGTGACGGTCCCTCAACGCTCTCTTCAAGGCCGAAGATGTAGCTCTCCAGCTGTTTGAAGGTTGTTTCGAGGTCATCATTGATAAAAACCTTGTCGTGGAATCCCTCAGATTTCGCCTGCTCGAGCTCCTGCTGCGCGATTTCAAGTCTTTTCTGAATAGTTTCTTCATCATCGGATCCTCTTCGTTGGAGACGGCGCTGAAGTTCTTCCATCTCAGGTGGGGCCAAGAAAATAAAGCGGGCAGCATATCCATTGTCCTTGAGTTGTTGGATACCCTAGCGAAAATGATTAAGAATTTCTGCGCCACGGAGTGCATGCAGTGGAGACTCAACTTACATGCATGTCCATCTCCATCACTGGAATCTTGCCCGAAGCAATGATACCATCGACCACATTTTTACTAGTTCCGTAGTCATTGCCATTGAAGTTGTTGTACTCGATGAATTGATCACCATCACGCATGACATTGTACTCATCCTTGGTGATGAAGAAATAGTGTTGGCCATGCACTTCGCCCTCTCGAGGCTGCCGGGTCGTATGAGATGCCTTCTTTCCTAGTATTTTTTGATGCCTTTCCATCAATAGCGTGACGAGTGTTCCCTTGCCAACACCGCTGGGTCCTGAAATAACTATAGGACGGCGATCTTTGGGAGTCGTGGTTTCTTCACCTGCGACTGCTTCTTCATCACCATTCGTCGCTGGCTCTTCAGATTTGGCGTCGTCGCGGAATATGTCATCGATTTTGTCGGAACGTTCAATCTTGTCAAAGGCGCAGAGCTTGGTTCCACTGGCGATACGTAGCGCTCTCCAACTCTTGCTGGCTTTGGCTTCGACGGCCGCGTTCTTCGTCTCGTCATCTCTGGCCATGTCAATATCCATATCGTCCAGCTCGATCTTGCTTTGATAGGTCTTGTACGAAGGCAGCTGATATCTCGACGGATCTTTCAATCTTTCTAAGCCGTTCCGAGTCTCACCTTGGGAAAGGAAGTTCAAGTCCAGGACTGCCCAATTGTTCATGCGAACTCGCTTTCTGGTGGTTGCTTGGCGAGCGGACGTCTTGGCTTGAAGGTACTCTTGGGAAGTGACCGAATCTCGGGCAAACGAAGGGCAATTCTCGATCTTCCAACGAGCCCAGTTCTTGTCGCGTGAAATCACACTTTCTACCATACGTAGAAAAAACGCGCCCTCGAAGTCTTTCTTTATGTAGTCGGCAAGGAATTTCTTCATGTCAAGGGCCCATTTCGCCTACAATTGTTAGCGAAAATTTGCAAAGTGAATTGGAGAATTTGAGGTGAATTTAAATCAAGACGGGGCAAATGGAGAATAGACTCACGTCCTCTTCGCTCAATGTTTGATCTGCATACATTACTGACTTATTGGCGTTCTGGGGGAGTGATGCTTTGGCAAGCTTCTCCTTCGCCTTGGCGCTTAAAGAGAGCAAGAAATCCATAATGATCAGAGCTTGAACCAGGGTATGCCGACGAAATGAAAGGTCACTGATCTAAGTTAATTGTTAGCTGAGAGACATGTTAACGGAAGAAGAAAGACAAGATACCTCTAGCTCAAATAGATCTCTACTTGTAAGGTACTTCGGATTGAAAGCGTTCGCGAGATCGTCGTCCCCTTGGCCACGCTTCCGCTTGGTGCCTTTTTTACTGTCTTCCACGGTCTTGGTCGGACGTCCCATGGTTTCTGCTTGCACCTTTACAAACATAGCCATTGTAGCCTCGAGCCCAGCCTTAAATTCAGCAAAATTGGCCTGGTCGAAAAGTCTTTTCGGTTGGCTAAAGCTTTGTTGCAAGGCCCAGAAGATAGGATACAGCTCATCCGGACTCAACGCCTTCTCGGCTATTGAGAAGGTAACGCCCTTTGGAACATTGCTAGCATCTTCTGCGGCTTTTTTTGAAGTGCCGTTTACCGCCTTGGATTTGTCTTTGGGTTCGGGATCCACCTCCATCTTCTCTGGGTCGACGTCCTTCGCAGGGGGAGCGTCAAACGAAGTCACATTCTCGACATGGTACTCGCCTCGTAGATTTACAGAGCTCTTGTCTCCTAGGGGGAAGCTCTGGAACAAAAATATAAAAACACGTCCACAAAATGCAGTATCCTCAGCTCGAGATAATCTTCGGAGAAGCTCATTGCAGCTTCGCAGGATTACCAGGTTTTTCTGTGAGAAGTGTTTGGCTGTAATTCGTTCACGCCGTGATTCCAGGTAGTCGAAAATTTTGCGGCAGCCAGCAATAGTCTGACTATCTAGCAGCTCCTCCACAAGCCAGAACAGAAGTCCTGGTTCGGTCCATTCGTCGTCGGAGAGGATGGATATGATATCTAGCAGGTCCCATAACTTAACAAATTCTGGAGCATCGATTGCCGTGGTGGCCTATGGAACGTCAGATGTGTGTCCCTATGCTCGTACTGATGTGCGGCTCACCAGTAGATTGTTGAATGCGTCTCGAGCAGCTGTTTCGATGATATGCTTCCTCGACTCTGGCGAACTCGCTGGGAGGACCGAGGGAACTCTCTCAAATAGCTCGGCAAGGTCTGACTTATTCAATGGCGGCTCTATCGTACTCGTTCTCTTGATGGCCGACGCAGCCCCTAGCATTTCCTCGAGAAGCCGTCCAAAGTCCTCCACTGGTTGTACCCCATGGCCGGCCATCTTGGCGCCGATTCACGAAGGTCGAATATTCCACTGGCATTCATGGACAAACGCCTGCGCAAATATCGGCGACGGTAGGCTTCTGAAGGAGTTTCGTGGAGCGAAATTTGTCCTGCGCAAGGTCGTGTGAATGTTGTTAAGTCGTTCTATGGGCTCGCGCAAGGCTGTCAGGCACGCGAAGAAAACCCCCGCGCACGGACCTCAAGGCGCGTTCAAGATTCTGAAATTTGGTAATGCGGAGCGCAAGTGACTGCCATAAACACAACAACAACGATGGCGCCCAGAACGAGAAATAAGGAGGAGTCTCGACGGGAGGTGATTGATGAGAGACCAACAGTTGCTGACTTGGAGGGTGAAAGCTCGTTTGCAACCTTAGCCCGGAAGCTGTGGCTGAACAAAAAGACTGCGAAGGTCAAGGTCAGGCACGACATGTTGAAGACTGAAATATGGGATGTGCTAGAGAAGGAGGACTTTCCGTTCAGGTCGCTCTTGGTTCTAGAGAATTTGCAGATCCTCGAGAGGTGCGGTTGCCATTTGGTCCCTTTTGACTCCGCTAACATGGTAAACAGCTACCTTTGGCCAGGATATTCCGAAGACTCGTCCAACTTTCAAGTCTTGCTCATTGTCTTAATTTTGAATGTCAAGACTCGTGAACATCTGTTGACATGGGGTAAGCAGTTAATGACTTCCCGGAAGAGAATTTTATTAACTTGTAAAAGACATCTTCACAGACAACCCGGCCGAATTCTCCACCTTATTTCGAAGAATACTTTCCATGACTTTAGACACCTCTCTGAGTGCGACTATCCGAACCCACTTGCTTTCTTTTATAATTAGCGCCTTCCAGTCTCTCGACAGTGGGATTGTCCGCAAAGAATGTGCTCCATTGGTATCGATTTCAATATGGCACAATATCTCCAGCGAAAAGAAGAGGGAGCGCAAGCTCGACCAGAGTGTTCAATTGAGGAAGGCTTGGAGAGCAGCAGCGAAACGTTATGATGCGGCTGACGAGCCTACGAAGCCCCGGCTCCGGTTTGAACGCTCGTGGCTCTTTACCCTACTCCTCGACTTCTTCAACCAACTGTATAACGAGAAGAGCAAAGCAGGTCCGTTTAGTCTACCCTATGTATGGTCCATCACTTTTGCTAACTCCACGACAGAAAATATTAGGTATTGTGAGCGCTTCATTGAGTTTTTATCAGATCTCCAGAGCCAGTTGCCAACAAGGAGATATGTCAACACACTTCTCCAGGACTTGAACACTCTTCCTGCAATCCGAATGTCGCCCACCTTTAATGATGAGGACAATGGGCTTTTGCGGGACTTGTATACCTTGCTCAAGCATTATACATACTTTTCCATCGATGATCATACTGGCATCCAGCACAGTCGCACTGAGGCTTACGAAAAACATTGCGCCATTCTTGCCTCGTTGCAACGGACAGCCTTGAAGCATTTCAAAGACAAGTTAACCATTTTGGCATTATCGAATTACGGATCAATTGACAAGCGGGCTGAGCTTGAAGGACATCTCGAGTCTCTAACATCTGACGAGGTTACCCAGCTTTGTGACCTTCTCGAATTCCGTACCTCTTATCCTGCTTCCACCCAAGTGGTAACAGATCGAAAATTTCTCACCGAGGTTTTATTGTCAGAGCATGAGAAGCGCAAGACTTTTCAAGAGACAGCGCGTAATCTCAGCGTCTTACCAACAGAACTCACCCTCTTCGAGCCGACATTGTTGAGGAACGACAACTACAACGGATCACAGCCTCTCGCCATTCCCAAGTTAAATCTGCAATACCTCACAGTTGGAGATTTTCTGTGGAGGTCTTTCATCCTCCATCGCTGCGAATCGTTTTACGAGATCAGAAAGCACATTGAAGATGTCATAAAACGTATGCAGCCAGCTACGAGCCCTACTGGCCAGACGTCCTTTAGGGGGTTCTCTAGGATGGCGCTTCCCATCCCAAAGCCTGCGTAAGTACTTCAAGATTCCCCAAATTTCTCTGCTGACCAGTCCTAGAATTTTAGAAGTAGTTCCACCCTCAGTCGGCGACGAGAAACCGTCCGCTGTCCGAGCTGAGATAACTTTGGATGTCAGTCGCCTTGCGGACAATATACTCCGAGAATGGGAATCACTTCGACCTGATGATGTAGTTTTCTTATTGGCAGTCCAAGGTCCCGACGATTTAAGGATGATCACGAATGGTCGTTCTTCACCATCTGACGCGCAAAAGCTGGGCCTGAAATATGTTCGAGCGGCCGAGATTACCCAAGTGCTGGACGATAAAGGACGCTCACTTCGGGACCAAGGTGGGCAGAATAGCCATAGTCGCCCACGGGTTCGCAGACTACAGGTGAAGCTTGATGCACTTGCATACAAAGCAGATATGGACAGGGTAGCGAGCGGCAAACTTGACATCTATGAGAGTATGAATGTGGTCGTACGCAGAAGAGGAAGGGAGAACAACTTCAAGCCAATTCTGGAATCGATCCGAAGTTTGACATTGTCAGACGTGCCTTTGGCATCTTGGTTGCATGAGGTATTCCTTGGATATGGAGACCCGGCGGGAGCAACATACACCCATCTAGTCAACCAAATCAAGAAGGTTGATTTTCGAGACACATTTCTCGACTGGCAACATCTAATCGAAAGCTTGCCAGGAAAAATTGTAGAGCCAAGCGACGATATGGATGGTAGTTTCGGTCCTCCGTATGTCCTTGAGGCTGCACCGAAAGTGGCCGAAACTGTGTCAGCGAAACCATCGAAGAAGAGACGCCGGGATGCCGAGCCAGTTCCGCAGGTTCAACCGGAAGCCATTCGAGTTTCTACATACAAACCTGGGAGTACTGGGCCTTATCCTATGGATGCTCCAAAGCTAAACCAGGTACGGTTCACACCTGCTCAGGTTGATGCGATTGTGTCTGGTACACAACCAGGACTCACGGTCATTGTGGGACCTCCTGGAACAGGAAAAACGGACGTGGCAACCCAAATCATCAACAACATATATCACAACTACCCAGATCAACGGACACTTCTAATCGCTCACAGCAACCAAGCCCTCAATCAACTGTTTCAAAAGATCGTTGCATTAGACATTGATGAACGACATCTACTGCGACTTGGGCACGGCGAAGAAGAGCTGGATACGGAAGCCAACTTTAGCAAGCATGGAAGAGTCGAATCTTTTCTCGAAAACCGTGATGGATACCTCCGTGAAGTTGACCGTCTCGCCGCAAACTTTGGTGCTCCTGGTGCTCATGGCAGCTCTGCCGAGACTGCGGGTTACTTCAACTTAGTCTACGTTGAGCCTGCCTGGACGAGATTCCGAGAACTTTCCTCGTCGGCACAAGCTACAGCGGAAACTATTGTAGAAGCTTTCCCATTCCATCACTACTTCTCCGATGCACCGCAACCACTCTTTCCAACCGGTGCTGACAAGGATATTGTTTTAGACATTGCGAAAGGATGCTACCACCACGTCTCTAAGATCTTCACCGAGCTTGCAGATGTCCGACCATTTGAGATTCTGAGGAGGGATCGAGACAAGGCCAATTACCTCCTTACCAACGAAGCTCGCATCATTGCCATGACATCGACGCATGCAGCGATGAGGAGACGGGAGATTTCATCTCTCGGTTTCCAATACGACAATGTGATCATGGAAGAAGCAGCTCAAATTACGGAGATTGAAAATTTCATCCCATTAGCGCTGCAGAATCCAAAGCATGGACAGATGCCCTTGCAGCGTGTGGTCCTTTGCGGAGATCACTTCCAGAATTCGCCCGTCATCCAAAACCTCGCCTTCCGTCAATATGCGAATTTAGAACAATCTCTCTTCTCCCGGCTGGTGCGACTCGGTGTACCAACTATCAGTTTAGACCAGCAAGGTCGGGCTCGCCCTTCGATAGCATCATTATATTCATGGCGCTACAAGAACCTGGGAAATCTACCACTGGTCTCGACATCTCCAGAGTTCCAAACAGCTAATGCTGGTTTCAAGTATGACTATCAGTTTATCGAAGTGCCAGACTACAAGGGCCGTGGAGAGTCGGAACCAACACCACATTTCATACAAAATCTTGGGGAGGCCGAGTATGCTGTTGCCATCTATCAGTATATGCGCCTCCTCGGATATCCCGCATCAAGTATCAGCATTCTTGCGACATACGCGGGTCAACGCGCTCTTATCAAAGATGTTCTATCACATAGATGCGCTAAGAACCCGCTTTTTGGTCTGCCAAAAATTGTCACAACCGTCGACAAGTATCAGGGAGAGCAAAATGACTGTATGTATTCATATCCTTCGCCCATGAGATGATTTTGCTAATATGCTCTAGACGTCATTCTATCACTCACTCGAACTTCTCGAGTCGGCTACCTACGCGATATTCGACGTCTCACAGTTGCTCTCTCCCGAGCGCGGCTGGGATTGTACGTTCTTGGGCGACGAGAGGTCTTTGAGCCATGCTTAGAGCTGCAGCAAGCTTTTGATATCTTGTTGAGGAGACCGGATAAATTGATGCTTGTGACGGGGGAGTTATGGCCGAGTCAAAGAGTGCTCAAGGAAGAGGAAGGCAAGGGTGTTCCAGGTGAGAGCCAGATGGAGAACTTGGAACATCTAGGACAGTATGTGTATGAAATGACGAATGCGAAGGTACAGCAGCTCAGAGCAGAGAGAGGATTGCCTGAGACCGACTTGGTGGCACCACCTGTGGGAGAGGATGAAGACGGATTGGGCATCATCGAGGAAGATTACGAGGGGATTGAGGGGGAGATATGAGGGCTTTGAAGCTGATGAGGAGACCTAAAAGTTTAGGATGCACGGCCTCCATAGCATTGGCGTATGTAGGATAATGTTCATGGCTGCAAAAATGAAAGATACCCAACTATATCCGCAGAAACAATTGTTGGGAGCTGGAGAATCACTTGTCAAAATATTGAAATCCCAAATCCGATCAGACAATTCTGTGCCTGCAATATGACAACCAGTGAAGTGACGTGTGCTTTCTCGCGCGTTGGCTCTCTACCAACTCGAGTTCAGGTCTTGGCAGGTCGACAGCCGAGAATTTCCCCTTTTCGGCACCTCGCTTAATTCCCACCACTAACAAAAATCACAACACTCACACTTCACTTCACTTCACTTCAACCAAGTAAATTCCATAAAAGCATGTCGTCGTAGATTTCAAAAGCAAGAAGGGGAGCGGGCCGGCAGGTTCTTACCAAGAAGGAAGAATCTGCTGCCCGCTCGATGAAGTCCAGATGGATTTGAACCATCATTACTACTGACTTCCTTTGAATCAGATTCTCGGGAAAGCAAGACTGTGTCGCCCATTACACTACAGAGTCTGTGATTCGTGATTTGAATCAGCTTATTTTAGCCCGTAAGGGTGGGGCTAAAATGAATTTGGTAGGAGCGGGAATTTGTGGGGAAAGGAGTTTGGTGGAAAGGGCAGGCGCGGGGAAGGCAAACGGGCTTCGTCGTTGCGACCCTTTACAGAATATGAAGCTTGCGGTCAATAAAAAAACGTCGGGTATTTTGTGCTTCATGCGAGCATAATGTGAAGTTGATGTGTTAGTGATGGGAGACAAGTGGGACTCGGTGGAGATTTCAATCGGCCTGACACGAGTCGGTTGATACGGCTCAGCCCTGATTTGCACTCCAGCCCCATTTTCACTTCAGCTATATTTGCACCTAATACATTCTTTATATGTATCGTTGACTGTATATAACAAGGTGACACGAGGGGATTAACCTACCGACTAATTCAGAAACATGGATACATGGAGACTCCGAACGGAGCTCGAAGCTCAAGGCTTCGAACACGTCAAGAAAATGGGAATCATTTTACGAAACCTGATTCCCTCCACCAACATCCTGCAGGCTCGAGAATCACGCAAAGATGGAAATATCAGAAGAGGATAACGGCTCATGGGGGAAGCAAAAGCAGATGTCCTCCTCGTAACCAGGGCATGGAAGCAGCAAATACCAATTTACTCCACCTTTGGCAGAAATTTATTAATTCGGCATGACTGGTATTACTTCGGGCGCTGGGGTCTTATCCAAATAGAACTTTTTGTTGATCTGAGTTCCGTATTTGAACTGAGGGTGGGTTATTCCATCAGCATCATCGAATTCCATGGGAGTTCTATGCAAGTATCCACAGAAAATGCGAGATTCAAGCCTTCTACCGAGGGGTTAAGAAAGTAAACAGTAGTTTCACTAAAATATTCTCATACTTGAATTTTCGGTGCATTAGGGGTTCACTAGGTAAGCGAGCCTCCGCCCCGCGAGAAATAGGAGAAAGGAGAAAGTTTGAGACAACCAATAGGACATTTCTATTGCTTCCAAAAGCCACCCAAAAAGAAGCGAGCAATATCATAAAGCCTTCGCCAAATTTGCCGCAGTTCGCTTCGCAGGCGATGCTCAGCGATCTCGCCATCCCCTTACTCAGGGGAGCTTCAATCTTCTCATGACTCAAAAGCTCGGCGAACCCCTATCCGAGAACGGCGAAATGCAATCCAGAGGGGCAACAAAGCATGACCGCCAAGCCTGCCAGCACATCTCTGCGGAGCAGTCCTAAGAATCACACGGCCATTCCAGGCTAATGCCGTTCTCTCACTCACGAGTTGGCCATGCCGCAGGGTCAGTGAAACGCGGGCTCCCTGCGCTTCCTCTCCTCAAGAGAGAGGTAAATACCAAGGGAAAACTAGTTCCATTACCAGCTCCGGTTCTGATAATTGCTGGTATTGCTGGATGCTCGGATTGGGGAGGCGGTACCGAGTTCCGAAGAGAGTTAATTGAAGTGTATGGATGTTCCTGTGAGAGAGAGATTTCCATGTCAGGCACCGTTCCGCAGGGGAGATAGCACGATATACAAGGTACAGTACAGGTGATGTTGTTCCTGGGGGAGCTGGAGCTGTGGAGCTTCTCCCCACTTCGCGGCATCATGTGGCTATAGGACATGCGGGCTCGATTATAAGCCGCGCCGCAACCTGGGTGCGGAAAGCGTACGAGTGTGGATGCCGTGTAGAATAGATGGGCAGGGAAAGGCTCCCGCGTCACACCGCCGCAGTGATTGTTTTAAGGTTGATGGCACCGGTACGAATAAGAACAGATGGAGATAAACACGGAGCAGCGCTTACGCGGAACTCCCAAAACCTTGCGAGAATCGAACTAAAACATTTCTCTGACACATGAGAGACTCCGCGGAACCCTTGCCTGCTCGTCAGGGAAGCTTATTGATTTATGAGAGATGTGACAAGGCTATTATCAATACAACCAGAAGAAGCGCGACGAGACTGACAAATAAGGAAGATATGGCCCAATGAGACGGGTTTAAAATAGTTGCGGCCGGCCTCCGGGTCCCCACACTTAATAGGACGTGAGAGGTGGTGTACCGTTTGACCTTTATTGTAGACGACAGCAGCATCTGAGCGCAGTACCTCTTGGTACAGCGGCTGAATGGTCGCTTAAACTTTATATCTGGCTAGGGAGTGAATGACTGACGAGAGTCTTGTAGCTGGGGAGTAGGAGCTTCGAACGAGCCGTGCCATGAACATAGGCGAGGTCATTCTTGTTGGGTATTGCTGACGCTGGGCGAGATTCCCGAAGTAGATCTTCCTCGTTAAAATTAGAGAGGACCTGTGGCTGCCTGACGAGTTTGATATTGATGAAGCCGCCTGGAATAGAATTTATTGATCGAGTTGCTGCAACCGCGTTTCTTTCATCTATTATATGAACAAAAACGTATGAACTTAGAAACCGTGATAGATTGTTCATGTATTCAGGTACAAAAGGAGGGTCGAGATGCGAGACCATCGAAATGTTCGGATCTCGCCCGTACGTGACAAGAAGCACGACTACTCTCGAGAAAATCCAGGTGAGAATGCACTCAAGAAAACACCCTGAGTGGAAGTGGCGCTGGCCGGGAACAGGACGGCTCCATTGCGCGACCTTCTCAAAATATTAGTCCATCGAGCACCCGTGGACCTTTATAGCATCTCCGTCAGGTGTTGCAGAAAGTTCCTCAACAGGCGCTTACCAAGAGGCGATACGGGCTCCTCTAGATGGATGGAAGTAATTGAAGTTCTTTCACGGTCTAGACGCCTCAGGTGAGCGTCTATCAATGCTTGGCGGGGATGCTAGATAAAAACAGAACATTTGATGACATTGAGAAGAACCAGATGGACCGGGAAAATCAATGCTCGCCGTTGATAACATCCAGGGACCGAAGAAGGGAATACTATAATATGAAGGAGGCTGGGAGGAAGGTGTGGCAATCTCAAAAGCTGTTCGATTTTCCGGTACTGGAACCCTCAATCACCATGATTTCTCGCAGGCAATGTTTATATCCGGAAAAGTCTTGGTCCTATTGGCTTTTCAAAATAAACTTCAACATATCAACTCGAGAGTAGGGACACTCACTGCCTGCCATCACACCGGCTGTTAAGATCTAGGATGACGGCTCACCCAGGGACCTCCAAGACTTCTTCGAACCACATGGGATGTTTCTAGGTACTTCGCCCACTTTTCAACCACTGGTTCCCAACGCAACCCTCTCGATCCAGGCTTTGCTGATCGATTAGGGTCTTGCAATAACCTTCTCCCCAGAACTTAGGGTAAGGGCGCATTCAGACCAAAAGCGGATAACGTGGATATTTTCGACATTATTACGTTGATTGCAAGTTTCACGAAATATAAACAGCAGACAGTTATTGGTCATGTAGAATTTGAAAGGACATACTCAGGGATAAACTGCAAGTAAAATAGGTCTTGACTGCCTGGAAGGAGCAGGAAGCGAGGAAGCGTTGCCGTACCTTAGCCTTCTCAGGCCACGAGCAATCTATTTTATATTAAAGCCACCAAGTGCCGGCTGGCGAGAGATGTCATCGCCCACGCAGAGTCCGTCGGGACGCTGGCGGATTACCAGATTCCGCATGGCGTCACTTCGTCATTCCGGTGCACATGACAAAACAATCCTTCTCGATCGCTGACGGGGGGGGGGGGGGGGGGGGGGGGGGGGGGGGGGGGGGGGTGTCCGCGCGCATGATCAAAGGTGTGCCAGCTCTGGGGAAGACATCTTATCTCGTGGATGCGGAGCTATTGTTGATGCAGCAGCGGACATGGCAATTAATATTCTGCGAGTCAGCACGCTGGGCCTCTGGGGGTGGCTTGGACACTCAAGTCATCCCACAATGACGGCATTGAATGGCTGAACGTCAGATCAAACGGTTGCAGGGCTCTGGGTCAATGCAACGCTGTGGCTTGCTGTGGCGGCAGGTGGTGATCGACGTTGGCGGAAGGCCAGGGGAAGCAAACAGGGGCAGCGATATCTCTACCATTCATAAGACGCACCACAGGCAGGGGACGACAGGCACTGGCCCAGCCACCCCTCATTCTGGTCGGGTAATGTGGTCCGTCAAGCCAAATATGTGCTGCTTCCACTGGCCCGCTGTACGTACAATAATTGTGTCAGCATGGGGATCACCCATCTGGTATTTCCGCATAACTCTGCTCACAATGTGGCTCTTATTGCTGGGCACTGTTTGACGATCGACGGAACTCCACATGTGCTTGCGAAATTGTTCTCGGCGTGCATCAGTGAAAACGGGAACACGCTGCCAGGGTGAGACGAGCAGCAGCAGGCAGAAGCGCAATCCTTCTAGAAATCTTGGACGCCCTACCCGCGCCTCTGTGCCGGTTCCGAATCAGGGAGGGGGCGGCACTCACATATGAATATGTCTACAGTACAGTAATCACAGACAGGGAGGCGAACGTGTGTCCACAACCCCGCCGTAGCTGGGCATGCGGGAAAGGACGACGAGCGTCGTGTGTGGGGAAAATGCAAGCAGAAAGGCAAGCAGGAGGTCGTCCATCGTGCGGCTGCTCTTCGATTTCGAATTCTCGCACCACTGCTTGGGTCCGATGTGCCGCGAAATTGCCGCGAAATTGCCGCGAAAAGGGGGAGTCGAGAACGAGTGCGAGTGCGAGTCCCGGCCTCAGGATTCAGGCGAACTCCTCGCTCCTCGCCTCGCTCCTCGCTCCTCGCCTGTGTCCACGGACAGTTGGTAACCTTACGGAGCACTACCCATCTTTGCTTTTTGCCGGAAAAACCTGGTTCCACTTGACCCGGCACGGCAGAACTGTTCATGCCCGCCAGTTTCACGTTTGTCCGTACCTGTGTTCCTGCATTTCCACCTCTCCTCGAGGCACCCTCTGCTCGTAACTGAACGTATAGCTGCAGGAGCTTCCAGCCTCCCGGCCTCCCGGCCTCCCGACCTCCCAGGCTGCTCCCAATTCAAAAGATTATCATGGCTTGTTACTTCCTCGCCCGTCTCCAACATTACCAAGTGACGCTCCCGCACGCCGCCGTTCGGGAACGCAGCGATTGCCTTTGTATTAACCTCTCCTCCAAATGCAGTGCTTACCTGCAGTGGCACTGGATAGACCCTCTATCTTCATTTGGGGCAGTGCTACAGAAGCTGTCTCCAATTTGTCTCAGCCCTACGAATAGTGGCAAACAATATACGAGCGTTCGCGAGATGTTCGCCAAGATTCGAGGAGAGGGGGGCCCACTGCTGACCCATTTTTGCAAACTCTGCGACGTCGAGGATGAGATGAGCTCCAAACCTTATTCTCATTTTCAAGGCCGATCTGAGGGGATCCGCTTGTCCTTGCCCTTCGGCTAGATCCATGTCTCAGATCGCCTGGGAGGCGCATGTCTCGGGCGGCGTGTGGCCTGCAAATCCCATCGAACAGGCCTGGCACTCGAATCACGGCGTGTGCAAGAAGTGGGGTCGACCAGCCAGTGGACGGAGGGACATCAGTTTTTTGGACGTGATCTTGGAAATCCGCGAGACTCGTTGCAGGAAGCTGCGCAACTGTTTCCCGGCTATTCGAGCATCGCTCATCAAAGTTCTCCTCTCCACCTTCACTTCCCAGCTGAGCGTCGACCGTTGTACGTACGAGCACGCAGCCGCATGTATAGGGTCCCGGGCAGCCGGACCGCTCCTGGTCAGAGCAGAGGAACCGGAGGTAGGTGACTCAAAGGGCACTACTGCGAAGCATTGCATACTAGCTGCGGGAGAAGCGCAATGGAGGTGGAGATTTGGACGACGTCCGGACGCCGGAGGTGTAAAGATTTTAGGTCGTCGCAGAGAATGGTGGAACGACATGCCGAGGCCAGATGACGGGGCGGGAGGTGCACAGACGCCCGCAGACAAACGCTGTATCCTGGTGGTTTGAACTCACAAGCCAGATGGAGATCTAATCGGATGCCTTACCTTGCCATGTGTCGTTGGCGCGGTTAACTCGATCCTTTGGGAACCCTTTCGTCTCGTTTTGGGCCGGCTGTAGAGTGGACCTTCCTCGAAGCAGTACGGGCGAGCTGTTTCGGCCCAGGTCCCAAACAAGGCTAGAAGGTAGAGAGGGATAAATGGCCGAAGGTGCCGCAAACAGCAGCGATGTTGAACGTTGCAGAGTGCAGAGTGCAGAGTGCAGAGTGCAGAGTGCAGAGTGCAGAGTGCAGAGTGCAGAGTGCAGAGTGCAGAGTGCAGACGGCGGTGTCTGTTCGAACCTCGAGGGCAGCACCTGGTGACCTGGGCAATGCGAGGCGAGGACAGGAATGCCCCGGCTGTTCTGAAACGGCGCAGCCGCAGCCTCAGCATCTCGCGGGCGGGCCTCGAGGGTACCGCAGCGAGGTCCTGGAGCGAGGTACGGATTGCAGCGAGGGAGGCCGTGAGGGAGCATGTGCCAGACTGCCAGACAGCGGGACTGCCAATAGCCAGACTGCCAACAGCCAGACTGCCAGACTCAGACAGCCACACCAAGCTGATGGTCGGGTTCTCTCCCCACCTTCCGTGACCTTCCTTGCCTTGCCTGGCCTGACCCTACCGTCCCCTCCCCTCCCCTACCGCCGCCCCACTGCAACAGAAGGGGACCGGCGCCTTCTAGTCCTTCCGCGACCGTTGTTGCAACTTGCGAGCCTTCCCTTAGCGTGCCCGTCCGACCTCCACTTGATCCGACCCCCACAATGGCGCGCCATCGCCAAGAAGGGACGTCAAGAGATGCGATGTGCGAGGACCTCATTCCACTGCCATTATCACTGCCATTCCCATTGCCATTACCACTGCCGCTGCCACTGCCAGCGAGTTTGGCTGCACTGCACTGCGCCACCGAATTTCACCCAGGCCTCCCTCCTGGGCCTCCTCCTCCCCCTCCTCTCATTCCTCCCATTCCTCCCATTCCTCCCCGCCCCTCCTCCTCCCCCTCCTCCTCCTCCTCCCTCTCACGGGCAGAAAAGCTCGCAGCCGAGCTGCCTTGGACCGACCGAGTCTCTGCATCTGCATCCGCATCCCACGCTGGCCGTTTCCTGCGTTCTCTGCAGGAACCGTTCGCACCCTCGTCTTCACCCACTCCGTCGCCTGCCGCGGCGCCATTGGCGGCGAGAGGGATCGCCCACGAGGACATGATATGAGCAGGGTCGTCACGTTGTGAAGTCTTCACTTCAATACCCGCAATCCTATCTACCCATGCTGAATCTGACGCCCCTTGCTGGCTTCCCTCCGCCTGAGCAGTCAGTCCCATGGGCCTACAGGGGCGCCCTGTGTAGTCGTGACAACGGCGATGCGTTGACCCGCATAAAACTGGCTGCCCAGGCACTGGAGCCCAATGATTTGCGCGAGGGCGTCCCAGCCTCGATCTCTCCGCTCGTCCCCTGCCACTTCTCTGCGGACGACAGACGCTGCCCCCCTCCGGCTCCCTCTTTTCCCTCCTTCTGAGTCTCGGAGTCCTGGTCCCTCCATCTGGCTTAGTTGAAGATCGATGCACCTCGCGAACTACCCAGGCAAGTCCCAGTTGGCCCGTTTATTACTGCTTCGTCTGTATCGGATGTATGCACAGGTCCCTCACCTGGTTGCACACTCATCTTAACCACCGTCCTGCACCGTCCTTGATAGAGTGCGACCTGGCAGCCTTCTCGAGCTGCAATGTCATTCGCTACTGCCCCCAAGGAATTTCCCCATGACACTAGTCATTAAGCCGGAGTTCTCGTTCCGTGCTGCTATCATTCTCGACCTGTGGCTAAGCATCGAGAACTCTCTCATGTGTGGAACCCGTGCTGCCTGTCTTTCTTTCCTGTCTTCCTCATTAAATCTTCTTCGGCCTCCCTGGACGTGCTCTCGTCTGAAGTCTCACCAGCCCACCCCAGGCACATCCGTGCAGCCCCTGTCCCCATCTTAGTTCACCATCGATAATTCTCCGCGTGTGGAACGCCTGAGTTTGGTACGGTAGTAATCTGCCTCCGCGGTACTGTACGGCATGGGAAGGGCCTGGCAGGAAGTTGCGGACAACGAGGCGCTTCTCGGGTCTATTGCCCTTGTCGAGGAGATCATAGCCCAAGCATCATATGAAATCCCTTCAATCTTGCAATATATCACCCGTCGTCCGTCGATCGAACGTCCAGGTGGGCAAGCAGGATAACGGAGCCCTTCAACTTCAGGAAATTCTCTCACTTCCCAAACCGGACGCCCCACGTCATAAAACCAGCAGCAATTTACCCTTTATTTGCACGAAGCAGAACACTCCCCGTAACATTTTAAGACCGTCGCGATCCTGGGCCAGCATCGCTTCGTCTATATTTTGCAACCGCGTGGTCTGTGAACTCTCCGAATATATCGACTATTTTAAGCGCAACCACGCGTCCTGAAGCACGCCCAGAGCCGGACGGCCTGCTTGTCTGATCCACCACCGAGATTGCGGGAGGATCTGGCAGCCTTATCTAGTTGAGGATCAGGCTTGAGTTGCTCATTTTGGACGACCTTTAACGCCTCCAGACGCTCCCGGAAAGAGCTCTGCACCGCCTCCGAGATACAGACACCGACACATCAGCGAGTCAATCTGACCCCCAACGAAACCCGCCTTGGATAGGCCTTCTGTTCTATTCTTGTCAGTGATCAGCTATTGGGCTTTTAGTGGCCCTCACTTTCGTTCATTTCACAGCTTCCTACCGCAACTGCTTCGCCACCTCCCCCACCATCAACATCTCGATCCTCGACAAAGAAGCAACACCAGAATCCCAGTGACGGACCAACTTCCAGTCTTTCTTGCATCAGAAGCAGATCTACCTCTCAATGCTTGTCACGCGCGCTTGTGATCCCGGACGGAACACTTGGTCTTCTAGCAAGCTTGAGGCCATCTATCAAAACGCCGCGTCTCCACGCATGTCGAACTTTGAGCCATTGCCCGCGCAGCCAGACTGGCGAGAACAGTACTCAGGGTTCTCGCTTCCGGGTGACAATGAGTTGCTTCAACCACCATTCGAGCGGGCTACAAGCTCGAGTATAGCGGACAATGCCCGGAACCAACACCAAAGCGGTTCAAGGCCACAGTTGGAGCACCGACACAGCCTGGGTCCGCTGAGCCAGGAGAGTCAGCCTGCTGCGATCATAGAAAGACCTGACTCTGCCCCTGGGGATTTTAGCCATCAAGTGAACGACGCAACTCGCGACGACTCTCTCGTTTCAACAGAATCGACATCAATATCACTTGGATCACTTGGGTCGAACCCACTGAGCTCGGCATCAAGTGCGCCAGCACAACAAGGAACACTTGCGAACAATGAGGGAGGAGGTAGTGAAGGGGAAGTGAAGGATGAGGAGGATGAGCTTGACGACGATGATGAAATGCTGGACGCAGAACCAGAAGAAGGCGCGACCCCACAGACAGCCGCTGAGCGTCGAGCAGAGCGCAGAAAAATGAAACGTTTCCGGTGAGAAAGCCCACTCGTCTTACTTTGTAACCAGCTAATTTCCGTTAGCTTAACTCACCAACAAACCCGTTTCCTGATGAGTGAGTTCGCGAAGCAAGCTCATCCAGATGCAGCCCACCGAGAACGACTTTCTCGAGAAATCCCAGGTTTGAGCCCTCGACAAGTGCAAGTATGGTTTCAAAATCGGTAAGAAATGGCGCCTAAAGGTTTTCATATCCGAATACTGACAGATTGTAGCCGAGCGAAGATAAAGCGATTGACAGCCGATGATCGAGAGCGTATGATGAAGATGAGGGCAGTACCCGATGATTTCGACAATGTGCAAGCTTTGCATTCTCCTTACGGAGCTGTGCATGGCATTGGGACGCCGATGCAATCACCAGCCGATTTTGGCTCGAACTTCACAGACCATATAATGCGGCCCTTGATGGTAGACACGATGAGGCGCAATGACAACGACGACCACATGTCACCCACGGGGCTTAGCCCAGCCTTTGGCCATGTGGGATTCGCTCAAGGAGGTTCCATGGGAACACCTGATGCACTGTCTCCATCGTCATTGAACTCGGCGGACCGGTACTATCCAAGTCACCTCGCGAGCCCGTTGAGTGCGGGTCCTCGGAGCTCCAACCCCTTCGATCGCCAGAATAGCTACCAAACAGTGTCCCAGTCGAGACAGCATGTCAGGCCTTTGCAGCCACTGCAGCTTCGAGATACTTTGTCGAGGTCAAGATCAGACTCGATTCAGTCTCCATTAAGGTCGAGCATGTCCTGGAAAGGAGAAACATTGGATTATGGAAACTACCAAACAGGGCAGCCGAGCCCACAATTGACCGGTCGACAGCAATCCGTGTATCAGCCGGACCAAATGAGTACTAGCAACGTTAATGCGCATCAATATGATGCCAATGCGTATTCAAGTTCGTCCCAAGTTTCTCAAATTTTTTCACAACCCTTGCGAAGATCACCCGTGCTAACTCTTCTCGTCCCAGATGCGAATATGCAAAACTCACCAACTCACATGACGTACTCTCCGTCGCATGGCCCTGGTGCGTCTGCGTCGACTCTTCAACAGCAGTCGCCGTCCGCGATGTCTCGACTTCGAGCCACGTCTGGAACTTTCCCAGCAGGATTAGATCTTCGGACTCAGTACCGACCAATGCCCTCGCAGGGCAATTCTCCCCGTGGGCTGCCAGCGACACCGAGAAGCAGCTCATTTGCAAATGCTTTCACCGGTGGCTACGCGAGCGCGCCTCTCACGGCACCAGTGGACTTTCAACTCCCGCGGACGCCAATCGATGCTAGCAACCGGGATTTCAACATACCACAATTGAGCGCGCCAATGGCGCCACCACAAGATTTTTCTAACGCTTATAATTCGAATCTCAGTCCAGTTAGGGGACAGCAAGGTGATAGAGACTTCGGTAATCAGGGACAGAATAATGAGGATCCTGGAGGCCAGGGCCCGGGTCAGGTTGGGGATCAACAGCAAACTAGAAATAATGAGGAGTCTTACCTAAGACCGGGTCAGTACGAGACGGACCAAAAGCGGAGGAGTAGTTTCACCATGCCGGGTGCATTTGAAAGCCCATGACTGTCTGGCGGGCGGGGAGGTGGACATGTTTCCAACGACGAATACGATTTTGCTTCTTTCGCAGCCATCCCTTTCGGGCAATACCTACCTTCTTTCCAACGAACGACCAGCGCAATACCTATACCACCAAAACATCACCTCACCCTCTGGCGTCAATCGCTCCTCGGGATTTCCTTTCTCAACTTTCATCTCTTCGCCGCTATCGGAGCGTCGTCATTCATCAGATACCAGTTTTTTTTTTGTAATGGAGGCTGGGCTGGCTACAGCATAAGGGCCATGAACAAGGAAGGCATGAATGAAATGCCAATATCATCAGAATCAATATGAATATGGGAGGCCTTACGCTTCTTACTTCTCTACTGGAGCTTTTATGTTAACCCCGCGCCTTGACGCGCAACAGGTTGTTTATGTACGAATGAGGGAGAGCCAGAAGAGCATCTCCGATACTCTTTTTTGTGTATATTCTGTTCCGCTTGGACCAGCAACGAAAAGCAGCTAGGCCTGTAGATAGTTGAAAATATTGAATTGATGTCCTTAGAACATATATGTTTGAGTTACAGATGTCTCTATGAATACGCATAGGTCCTATGGGACTGTGGTGTTGTATCACAACATCAGACTACAACACATTGTTCCAGAAGTTTTGGGACATTGAGGGCGATGTGCAACAAACCTGACCTGTAGGATTCACACTCAGAACTTTTAAAGCACAACCTCAATGGACAAGGCTTCCGGATCATTGAAGGGTCATGCAACAAACTCTTCCAATACCCTCAAACTAGTCTACCAGGCAGGATTGGAAGATGACAAACGAAGAACTGGATATTCTTGCATTCGTCGGATATCTAATAGAATGCTTTTCTAATAGTCATAGAATCTGGTTATGAATTTAGCAATCTGATGTTGTCAACGAAAGAACAATACTCACCCTTTTCCACTTTTCTTTCCTAGCCAGCCAGCATCAACCATCTTCCGCAATAAGACACTTGGCCGGTACTTAGAATCGCCTGTCTCTTCATATAATACCTTCATAATCGCTAGGCAGGTATCGATGCCAATGAAATCTGCCAGCTGCAAAGGACCCATTGGTACATTCGTGCCATTCTTCATGATCGCATCGATGTCATCTCTGCTTCCAACGCCCGTCTCTAAACAGATAATTGCTTCATTGATATAAGGCATCAGGATTCGATTTGCGAGAAAGCCAGGGGAGTCGGCTGACTGCGATGGGATCTTGCCCATTGCCTTGCAGAAAGCGATGGCCGTATCCACCGTTTCTTGGCTCGTTTGCAACCCAGTGATGATCTCGACGCCTTTCTGGATAGGAACTGGGTTCATGAAATGTGTTGAAATGACCCGCGAGGATGTTGAGGTATCCGTCGGGTCCTTTGTTGTGGTGGCTGCAATACGTGTTATGGAGATTGAGGATGTGTTTGTTGCGAGGATGGCGTGGGGAGGACATATCTGGGCGAGCGACTCGAAGATGGAGAATTTTAGGGAGGGGATCTCGGGGACCGCTTCGATTACGAAGTCTACATCTGCGAGGGAATCCATCGATGTCGTTGGGGCGAGGAGGGATCGTATCTTGTCCGATTGCTCTTGTGTTATTCGCTCTTTTGAGACATCCTTTGCGAGGAGTTTGTCTGAATAGTGACCTGTTAGAGGTGATTGAAGGGAGACAGAGGGGAAGACCAGCTCACCTGCAAATTTGAGCCCCTTGTTAATTGAGGCCTGGTTTGTGTCTACCAGGGTCACAGGCACTCCTACCTTCTGCGCAGCCACCAGGGCTATTCCCAAGCCCTGTTATCGGATTAGAAAGTGGGTTTTAGAGCGAAGACGAATGTTTCTGAAAATACCATTTGTCCCGCGCCAATGACGCCGAGGCGTTTGATTTCTTGTGCCGCAGCAATTGGGGCTGAGCTGAAGCATCTCGTCTGCCTGGCAGACCGCAGCAGCTGCCGTCGGAGTATAGGAGTGATCATATTTGAAGTCGGCGGTCGAGAATTGTGGAAAATCGAAAATACATTTCCAGAACGAGGTTGGTTCCCCAGATTTAAGCTCACCTCGGCTCGGCTTAAGGATCGGGCGCCATCGGGAGCGCTAAACTTACAGGGATGCGCGTCCGTCAACCAAGACGCGTTAAGTACTTAATACCAGGAATGAAATATCTACAACCTCGGGATATTTTCAACAACACAACGCATCATGGAATTGGCAGATGGTAAGAGAGATGTAGTAGACCCGGAGGTTCGGGCTTATGTGTCGAGTCTTGTCACGGCGGTAAGTACCATTGATTGCTCTTTACTGGAGTTTTCTTGACGCGTCCTAGCTTGGAGGAAGTGGTGCCGACGAAGATGGTCGATATGTCCTTGGAGATGATGCTTTGGCATGTCTTCGGGATCTAAAGAAATGGCTTAAGCTTTACGACGAAAAGGCGAATCGACTGGATGTAGCACGATGTCTGGCCGAGTCGAATCTGGTGGGAGGAGACTTGTTACAGATTCTTGCAGCTTGGCCAGAGAATGCTACCGAAGACAGGTTAAAGTCAAAGATTGCCTTAGCTTGCTTGGAGCTTCTGGTACCCCTGACTTGGCCTCTCGAAAAGAACGCAGAACAAATGACAGTCAACCATCATCGACATATTCCTTACCTACAAATCGCCCAGCTCGGGTACAAACGATCAATCATCAACTATGATGGAGCCCGAATTCTACATACAGTAGTCAGATGTGCGTTGCCATCAATGGCCGAGGCAATGGGAGATAGGAGTACGAGAGATGAGGGGATTATCAAGCTTCTCCTCTATTTCCTGAGAAACATAGCTATGATTGCACCTCCCCCGAACGTGCAATACGAGGGAGACGAATCAGAAATCTCGAGATCTGCAACTATCGACGCCTTCGACTACCAAGATATCTTTCATCTTCTCCTGACCGTCTCATCCACCATGGGCGAGGATTTCAACACCCAAGATGTGGTGGTATTAGATATCCTCTTCTACCTGATCAAAGGAATTGATGTGGATAAACTCTTCGTGGACGAAGCAACGGCCGACAACAGCAAGATGGACGAGTTAGTGAGGTTGCGGAAGAAGGAGGCCGCAATATTGAGGAGTTCTCAAGTTAATGCACCCACTCGTCACAACAGATTTGGAACCATGGTGTGGCTCCAAAGAGAGGACGCGAAAATGACAACCATCTCTGGACAGGCTGCTTTAACAGACAGTACCAGAAGTCTTGCCAAAATGGACAGCACCAAGAAATTCAAACCGCCTCGGAGAGCCTTGAAAGGAGAGCACGGGCCAATGGATTTCGACACTCCCGTAATGCTCAACGTGCAGGCAAACAAGCATCTTCGAAGATTTGTGGAAGAGTTCCTAGATTCAGGCTTCAACCCACTGTTTAACCACCTACGCAAAGCTATCGATCGGGAAGCGGAGCGAATACTTGAATACCACCCGAGACAGTTCTTCTACTTGGTTTCCTGGTTTCTCGATGCGGAACGAGCAAGAAGAAAGTGCAAAAGGCCTTCAAAGAGCCAGAAAGATGCCGCCCCTGAGGATCTGGACAGCTTCTCTCTTGTTGCAAGCGTGCTGAACCAAGAGATGTTCGTCACTTTAAACAGATCAATGGATACAAGCTTCGAGAACAAGTCATGGCAGGATCTGAGTGCTGCTATGAAATGTTTCACCCAGATCCTTCTCACAGTTCAAGAGATGTCCGAATCACCGCTCGAGGAGGACCAAGAAATTGCTGAGAACATTCTCAACCGAATCTTTTACGAGGAGACCACTCATGACAGAGTAGCAAACATAACTCGAACTTACAAAGACCAAGGTTTCGGGTATCTGGATTCCTGCACAGAGCTAGCCCATAATTATCTTCGAATTCTGGAGCAATATTCCAAGCAGAACGTTGATCTTCAAGTAAGGTCTCGGAGGCGAGTGCGCCGGAAGAAGAAGGCTGCAAGGGCTGAAGGCCAAGATGAACCTGACGATGATATCGTCGATGAGTCAGATGGAGAAGACGAGGCCAGAGCGGAACGAACTTCTCACGAACGAAAATTTGATTTCAAGCGCTTTGCCGCCAGATTCCTAACACAAGGCTGTATCGATACTTTCGTCACATTCACCGCTTACTACAACGATCTCAAACCAGTACAACTGAAACGAGCACATCGTTACTTCTACCGTGTTGCATTCAAACAAGATATGAGTGTAATGCTCTTCCGAGTCGATATTATTGCGCTGCTGTACAAGATGGTGAAGGGGCCAGAAGGTTTGGATCCCCAATCAGGCACGCACAAGGAGTGGGACGAGCTCGTGAAGCAGATCCTCAAGAAATGTACAAGGAAGATCCAGGAGCGTCCTGAGCTGGTTGTTGAGATGCTTTTCTCGAAGATTAACAGCACTGCACATTATCTGGAGTATGGATATGAAAAACAGACGGTGACATCGAAGCCGCGAGCCGCGGCCGAGCTCGAGGTCAAACCAGGGAGAGAGTGGGAGGACCAAATAGGTGTCGTCGTAGGTGCCATGTTAGACAGGAACGAAGGAGAACATCTTCAATGGGTCAAATCGCAACTCTTCTCCGCCGAGAGCGAACGTAGGAGTTGGGAAGGGGCAAATGCGGCCTTGCCATCTGTGGAGAAAGACCCCTTTGCAGAAACCGACGAGACTCCAGCCGTCGAAGTTGAACAACCCAAGCCTCCCTCAATTTGTAGGTACCTGTGACAGATATTCTGCCCAACCTGAGCTGACTCTTTGCAGTAGTCAAGGCTGATAACAGCGCCCGGAAGATCGCCATGTTCAAGAACGGTCATCTCCGTCTTCTCATGACACTCATTGGCTTCCAACAGATCAGTGAAGAAGACGACCCCGAGGGCTCTTGGATCATTCCGTCATCTTTATCCGCTGACCAGCTGAAGCAATCTCTTGACTTGGTGAAGAAATTTGAGTTCAGTCCCCCGGTTTTCGATGATGGGCAAGAAGCAGGAGACTGCATCAGGAGAAAATCTGCCGGATCAACCTCGAGACGAAAAGCTGTATTCGACGATGAAGATGATGGAATTGACAACGACACTGAGGAGGAGCTCTTGTTTGAACCTGGTGGTCCTACTGCCATGAAGAAATCGGATGCTTTAGAAGCGCTTAAAAAGAACCGCAGGCGAAGGAGGAAAGAAGGGTCTGAGGACCCCGAAGCTAATCGCCTGACAGACGAACAGCTGAAGGCTCGGGCAGAGGCACGAAGACAAAAGGAACTCGAGAAGAACAGGAAAATCAAAAGTGAGCTGTATGTCCATGATAGTGATGAGGAGGAGGATGAAGAGCGAGACAGGCTCTTTTTCGAGCAGGAGGAAAAGCTTCGCGAGAAATCGAAAATTGCTATCATGAAGGAGCTTCTTGGGGTGGGTAAGGATAAAGCGAGTGGTCCTGTTGCTCGGAGCCGGAGCAAGAAGAGGCAATCGAGCGCTATTTCAATTGATAGTGATGAAGAGGCAGGTGGAAGTTCGTCAACAGCGAGAGACAACGTGCTAGAAGAGTCTGACGAGGGCGAGAGTGCCATAGATACGCCAATGTCGAGCCCCCACAACCGATCTTCTCAGACGAAAAGACGTAAGGTCTCGAGCGAAGAACCTGAGTCTGCTGGTCACTCCGAAGCCGACGAGCCTGTGAAGGATGGGCCGACAATGGCAGCTGAAGATAGTGATGATGAGGATTTCGCTGTCGTTAGACCGGCTCGTCAAAGGGTCAAGGCAGGGTTTATTGTTGATAGCAGTGATGAGGAATAATGAGGTTGTGGTGTCTTGCGTACTATTAAGCTGGGAATGGTGTCGGTAGGATAGCGACGAAACTTTTTCAGGACAAGCACCAGGTTCCATGACAAATATTCTTCTTCTGCAATCACATTTACTCAGTGTCTGGTGACTTGGTTTGGAAGGATGGGATTTCCACTTCTACTTCCTCAATAGGGGGTCAGAAAGCCACAGCCTCGTCTTTTCAGCCTTGCGCGACAGTAAAGGTTACGCCAAGCGAACCACCTCACCTGAAGTTTGAGATTCATTCACCATCCCCCAACAACAACATTCCAACTCAGCGGAACAATCTAGATTGGCGCCAAAATGGACAACTCCTAGCAGATTTGATAAACCTCTCTTCTCAGTGCAATGGCGGACGCTCAGATCAATCACCAAGATGCCTTGGATTACTGGCAAGCCATTGATGCCGATGTCAATGGAATGTTGGGGGGATTTCCCTACATCTCTAAAGTTGATCTTCAAGGATCGAAGAACTTTCTTGCCAAGCTGGGTATTGGAGGCAAGACCGAGAAGAAGGTGGAGAGAGCGGTGGATTGTGGCGCTGGGTGAGTGAGGTCCTTCCTTGCAGTTTTAATGTGAAATGATGTCCCTTCTCTCAAAGCGATGCGAGTTTGCGAACATGCCTGAGAAGGAGTTCGAAATAGCTCGTGTCTCATGGCTGTGTTTTGTTGATTAATCCTCAGGGCTAATTAATTTAACAGGATTGGAAGAATTACTGAAGGACTTCTGCTTGGTCTTGCTGAGAAAGTTGACATCGTCGAGCCAATTGCCAAATTTTCTGATAATCTAAAGGGAAAGTATGGGATTGGCGAGATCTTCAACGTTGGGCTGGAGGACTGGTCGCCTCAAGAGTCTGAAGAATCGAAGTATGACTTGATATGGAATCAGTGGTGTTTAGGTCACCTGACGGATGCCCAACTCACCACATATTTGGAGAAATGTCAGAAAGTCTTGAAGACCGGTGGCCTCATCATCGTGAAGGAGAATATGAGCACGAGCGGGGAAGATGTGTTTGACGAGCTTGACAGCAGTGTTACACGGTATGTTCTCTCCCGGTGTGACGGGTTGAAGGGCCGAATGCTCATCGGTTTAGGTGCGACCAGAAGCTCCGAGATATGTTTGAGAAATCTGGATTGAGGATCAAGAAGACCGAGATTCAGAAGGGACTACCAAAAGAGTTGTATCCGGTCAGAATTTATGCCCTCGTGCCCGAGAATTAAGCATGCTCGCATGGCTGGATATGTCAAGAGTTCACGTGGCACGATGTAGGCATCCGGCTGCAAGCTTAGGGAAATACCCTGGGAAAATGAAGTCTTGAGAGAGATAGCAAACATTGTGTCTTCCCGCCTGGCATGAAAGTATGTGAACCATGAGCGGAGCGGTGCAAGGACCATGTGAAGGGAGATAGGATGCAAGGTTGGTCTTGTTGTCTTGCAGCACTCTGACTAACATCTGCCAAAGCTAAAAGTGCTGCTTGCGATGCTGCTGCTGTATGTTGCTCTGTAACTCCCTTAATCTATGGGCCATTTCAGCTAACATTGTTGCTCTAGGCGTTGGCACTGCTTTGATAACAGAACCGGCCACAGAGGATGTAAAAAAACACCCAAGACGCAAGACATGGTACGGAGTCTCTCCTCAGTGACAGCGAGAAAGCAAGCAAAACTATTTAAGTCTTCGGAGGAACGAAGAAATGTCTATAACAATTGTGGTCTATCTCGTCGACGCCCAACGGAAGGAATGAAGGAAATCTTAGAGCGCATCATACAGCCCGTCAAAACTTGTCACTGTCTATCCAAATGTAATTGCTCTCCCAGCCCACGCTTCCTCCAACCGACTTCATTACACCTTTGCTCTCTCTATTCCCGACCTTCACATCTGAATGTGTCCATCCACTGTTCCCATCAAACCCCAAATCTTGAAATTCCCCTCTTTCCAAACGACTTAGAAGTTCCACAGCAACAAACGAGGCCAGCCCTTTCCCTCGATGATCAGGTAACACATACAGAGTTGCAAAGCTTCCATCAATTCCAATATATCCCCATGCCACCAACCTCCCCTCCTCATTTAACAACCCAACACTCGGAAGGAGCAGCAGTGTAGATGCTTGGCGCGGGATTGTGGAGGTGGCTATTACAATCTCCAGATGGTCTTCTGGAACTCTAGCGACGGTATACCCTCCCGGAAGCGCTCTTCTTTCGCTGGAGCTTGAGGAGACATTAGATGTGGATACGATCCATGAGTTCCACCTCGTAATTCGAGGCACGGCGTCTTTGGCCGAGCCGATGTTGAGGAGTGCGGATCCGATATGTTCATGGAGAGACCCATATTTGAGTATCGGAGAGAAAGGCCAACCAGGGGCTTGAGGTATTGGAGTGTTCTTGAAGAAGTAGATGGAGGCTTCCTGTTGAATTGGTACTAGCTTACTAGTCCTTCCAGTACCAGGTTCAACTACTAATATTAGCTTCGCCACTCTCATTTATAATGGTTTACTATGGAAGCCTATGGAATAGCTCACTATGGAAGCTCAGGGAACGCTCACTAATATATATGAGTCATCTGATTTATAATATACTAGAGGAAATCGCCACCCACTAGTGGGTATATAAGAACTGTACTTTAGATTCCTCCTCTCCTTTTTTACTCTTCACTCTCCTGTATCTAGTCATTTTACAGATTGTCAACCTCCAATATATCGATTTTCCATCAATAAATCGATCACTTTCCAATACTTCCAAGTGGGCACTAAGTGTCTCCTTCTGAGCCTTGGAGAGGGAAGGGGTGGTGATTAGAGGATTGAAGATCCAAATCTGGGATTCCCAGTGACGAGAGCGATCACCAAAGAGAATAGTATAAGTTTCCGAAGGGTTGGTTGAAGGTGGAAAGGTTGCGGCGAAAATGCAATGCCTGGAAGGAAGATTTTGCGGGCATCGAATCCGATTATAGAGAGGATTGCTGTGAGGTAGATGAGAGAAGAGCAAAGGAAGGAAGGTTGAATTGGCAGTCTCTTACGAATGCAAGAAGAATTAGACTCGGTTTTGAATCATGTTTTCGTCTTGTGCGCTGCTCTCTGAGCCTTTGAGGAAGCGAGGTTTTATCCTTTGGATAAATTTGTGTGGGCCCTTGATTGCTCTTGTGCATGTGGTAGGATAAAGTCTTAAGAATAACGTCCATCCCTGCGTGCCGGAAAAATTGATAGGTACTTTGACTTCAAGCATCTTGAAATCTGTTCACACCGTAGTATCTCCCATAATTTTTTACAATTTATATTACATGGCCACTCCTGGTTACCCTAAATGCCTACGGCTACAAAATCATGTTGGCATCGTCACCTTCAGGCCTGATTTACAAAGGGTGTCCTTTGGTAGTATAATAGATCCCCCCTACTATAGTCCTATCACCAGACTTCTGTTACCCCTAATACCTATAAAGGGGTTCATCCGAGCTCTTGAGCCCTTTATTGATATGTGGGAGATCGTTATCAGCCCTGTGGCTGCTGTGGCGTGCAGATTTATGCAAGATCGTCAGGCGGGGTCGGTACCTCGGCAGAGCGGGTGACGATTTTGGTTAGTGCAAGGTAATCCCGCACCTACTACAATACGAGAGTGCCAGCCTACAATTCGCTCGCAGCCGGTCTAGGGCTGACAATGCTTCTTGATGATTCTAGAATCAAGTAGTAATTATACTCTACTATATATTTACACGTTCCCTTAGAACCCTCTGTAAAAAAGAAAGAAAAACATAAAAGAAGCATTACATACAGGAGACAATTCTTCGCATTTTTTAAAGCTAAACGAATTTAGACCCTTTTTCAATGTATAGAAATGAAATTCTTCCCGACGCATGTCCTAAGATAACTGCCCTACCCCACTCCGCTTCACAAGTAGGTCGATAATCAATAGGTAGCCAGAGGAGATTAGTATTGCCTTCTGCTAGCCAATGATTATTTACGTGTAAATGTGGTAACAGCTTACCGTCGGGAGAAAAGGCCACGGAAGTGACATGTGACGAGTGGCCCTCGAGCGTCTGCTGCAGGGCGCCAGTAGCCGCGTCCCAGAGCCGCACTATCTCATTATAAGATCTGGACACAATCTGCTTACCGCTAGGAGAGAAGGCTACTAAACGGACCGTGCCCGAGTGGCCCTTAAGTGTCTGTAGCAAGGCTCCTGTAGTAGTGTCCCAGAGCCGCACTGTCTCGTCATCAGATCCAGACACAACCTGCTTGCCATTGGGAGAGAAGGCTACTGAACGGACGACCCAGCCCAAATGGCCCTCGAGTGTCTGCAGCGGGGCTTTTATAGCAGCGTCCCAGAGGCGCACTGTCCTGTCATAAGATCCAGACACGACCTGCTTGCCGTCGGGAGAGAAGGCTACTGAAGTGGGCAAGCTCGAGTGGCCCTCGAGTATCTGCAGCGGGGCTCCTGTAGCAGCGTCCCAGAGCCGTACGGTCCTGTCACCAGATCCAGACACGATCTGCTTACCGTTAGGAGAGAAGGCTACTGAAGGGACCGAGTAAGAGTGGCCCTCGAACGTTAGCAGCGGGGCTCCTGTAGCAGCGTCCCAGAGCCGTATAGTCTTATCATCGGATCCAGATATGACCTGCTTGCCATCAGGAGAGAAGGCTACTGAACGGACCGAGTCCGAATGGCCCTCGAGCGTTTGTAGCAAGGCTCCTGTAGCAGCGTCCCAGAGCCGTACTATCTTATTATCAGATCCAGACACGACCTGCTTGCCATCGGGGGAAAAGGCTACTGTATAAACGGCCCAGTCTAGGTAGCCCCCAAACGTCTGTAGCATAGCTCCTGTAGCAGCGTCCCAGAGCCGTATGGTCTTATCATCAGATCCAGACACGATCTGCTTACTATCAAGAGAGAAGGCTACTGAATGGACCGAGTCTGAGTGGCCCTCGAACGTTAGCAGCGGGTCTCCTGTAGCAGCGTCCCAGAGCCGCATAGTCTTATCATTGGATCCAGATATGACCTGCTTGCCATTAGGAGAGAAGGCTACTGAAGTAATCGAGTAAGAGTGGCCCTCGAGTATTTGTAGCGGGGCTCCTGTAGCAGCGTCCCAGAGCCGCACTATCTTATCATGAGATCCAGATACGACCTGCTTGCCGTCGGGGGAAAAGGCTACTGAACAGACCCAGCTCGAGTGTCCCTCGAGCGTCTGTAAAGCAGCACTCCAATCCGCTTGTACTTTTGGTTTTCTCTGAATCCAAGTCGGGATAGACCCTTCAAATTGTCTCCGAACAATACTCCTCTCTGGGGCGAAGATAAGGGCTGAACAGTATAATTGAAGGGGCGCCTGTTCAATAATTGATCGGTTATATAGAGCAAATCGCCTTGTATCATGGATAAATGCGTGAAAATCGGGGGTTTTAATAGCCTAAGGACAAGTTAGATTCTAATAAATAATAGATAGACAGCTTACCTGAACGTGAGCCTCTAATATCAAGATTGCTTGAATCCCTTCTGACGTCTTACCCATCCACCCTAGCGCCTCAAGCCAGTGTAGTAGATGAGCTTGCAGAAACCGGTGGGCTATTTCGCCATTATGAGCCTGAGAACCACTCCTTTGCAGATGTTGAACCCAGTAGAGGCATGCGTATTGAATTTCGGGAGGAAGGCATTTCTTAATCCAATCGCTCTCAACTTGGCTAGTTTGACTACTAGGAATATGCATTTCGCAAATGTCCTTCTTCAGTGTCTGGGACATTAACTGTATACAGTCAGTTGCTAATAACTGGTGTGCCTCCTTCTCTTCTATCCAGAAATCCCCACATCGATCTTTGTTGAGGAGGAAGTCGCGAAATGAAGGGTGGTGTAGGCGGAGCTGGTGAGTCGGGTCCTCTGGAACATCAAGGATCGCATGGAGATCCTCAAATGTCTGGTCGACCTCTTCCTTTGGAAGGCGCGATAGCCTGCTTAGCGAAGAGGCAGAAAGAGGCGAGAGCAATACTACTACACTTCCAAGCGTAGACTTTAATATATCGCGTGCCTCTTCTTTCTCTTCATCCGAATAGTCCGAGGAGATCGAGTTCTTGAGGACAGCGAGGTAGATCTCGTCGAGGTGCTTCTCTGGTGCGGTAATAGCGCTACTGCTACTGCCCGTGAGGATTTTATCTAGTCTTTTGCGTGCGAATCGCCTCCCCTCACGAATGAAGCGACAAGCTGTTGCAGCCCAAATAAAGAGACCACAAGCGTGCAGAACTAGCTGTCTCAAAATTACTTCGCCTGGCCAGTCTGCTTCAAAAGTCCACTCTTGTCTGATTTCCCCCAGATTATGTTCCAGGAATAGCGAGATATCATGGTTAATGATCCTTGGCTGTATACTGTGGAGTACGAAGTCCTGGTGTTCAGCTTGCGGGATAGCGCCCATGCGATGTCGAATTAGAATTTCAGGTCTACTAGTCAAAAAGATTCGAAGTCGTACTCTCGTCAATGACCGAGCTTCAGCTAGGAGCTTCAGAATAGTCTGAACATCTCTATCATCCTCACACTCATCAAGTGCGTCAACGACAATAATGTAACAATGACATGGTTCACTCTGCAGTTTCGATAGTGGACTTAGAACAAGCTGACGCCACTGCTCCGAGAGGGAGAGGCTTGCAATATCACTCCGTTTTTTAGTAGCCTTATGGATGTATTATCGAAGGGATGGCACATTACAAGCGAGCTGCACCGCTAGACTTGTGAAGAATTTGTCGGCATGGCCCGCATCTCCGCCGCCCTTTGAGAAGAAGAAGCTGGCTCCAAGACGCTTCTGCTCGTCGTATCTGTGCGCGACGGTGCGGGAGATTGTTGACTTTCCCGTCCCAGCTAGACCGTTCAACCAAAAGATGCATCGCTCATATTGTCCATCTGCTGCATCAGCCCAGTTATATATCCCTTGTAGGAGGTCGACGCGTGTGTCAGGGAGGCAGCCAGGTTCGTATTGGCGGTTATATGAGTTGAAGGGCGCCTCATAAGCATATGGTAGGTGATGAAGTAGGTCTTTCTCAGGGCCTGAACTGCTAGTTAGCGCTAGTTTTAACAGTGCGTTAAGTATTAATCATAGGGATAGGACTTACTCTTGGAAGGTTTATCGATTGCCTCTCGGAGCCGCTGAAACGCCTTGGCCTCTCCTTCGCCATAAAGAAGGGGCATTTGGACATCGAAAATGCCAAATAGCGAGTATGCCTTGTCTTCTCCGCGTGTGGTCTGTCGACTTTTTGCCCATAAGAATCGTTCATCAATGCCGAATTGGGAGAGGGGGTTTTCTCGAAGTGCCGTGGCAGGGATTCCCGTAATCTCGTAGATTTGTTGCTCTAGAGTTCTCTTATTTCCTATTCGGTTACCTTCCCGGGAAAAGAATTCAACTGATCTTGGAGCAAGGAGTTCCTGTAAGGTCCAGCCTCGGGTAAACCATTTGCTTACTCGGAAAGCAGATTCCCAAGTATACTCGGCAGACGTATCGCTTGCTTTCCGCTTTAGTGTCGAAACATCCGATAAATAGACGTAGCATCTAACCGCTTTCTGGTACCAGCGAAACATCGAGTTGATAGCCTCTGCGAGCTCGTTACTGCTCGATTTATCGATGCAACATGTGTCCACCCAAAAGTATTGCAGCTTGTCGCGCCTGGCTTGTTCTCCACAGAGCTGTATCTTATCGTAGCCAGTCTTGTCTTTACTTGTACCGTCTGTCAGATCCTTGAACGTGACCTCCTCCGCTCCCCATCTGTGTGAAAGTATAGCATACTCGGGTATGTCGTCTTCAAAGAACTCGGTCAGGCTGGGGTTGCCTTTGCCATCTAGCTGTAGCAGACGCATTATTCCACTAAATTCGAGGATCGCAGGCGGAAGGGTTCTCGGTAGCCGATGAGCCGTCGAAATAGCATAGATGCGGAGTGATGTTGGAGAAGACGTCGTGTTGAGGCTGGCGGACTCAGCCTCGCGGCAGCCTCGCGGCAATGACATCGTCCATCATCACTGGAAGCGCAAGACCAGCCAGTCGCTCAGATTGGAATTCTAGAAGCCATCGGAATAGGATACTCGAAGCCACTTTCGATTGAGCATGATTTGTTCTTGTCGCTAAAAAGGAGCCGATGGAATTAGAGAGTGGACAATATAAACAGAAACCTAGGATATTGAATTTACCTTTCGATCTTTGGAGTTCGATCATCTAGCCTTGAATCTTAGGCAGAAGTTTGTTTTTCAATTGTGTCCGTTATGAAAGCGCGGGGTCGTCGCCCTAACCAAATATCGTTAGTTACTTCGATTCGAGGTACTGTCCCGTGTAGCAGCCATGTTTAAATATACGATCTATAGCAGCCACAAAGATGATGACGGCTACCCAGATGGTAATAAGGGTTTTAAGATCAGATAAGACTATTTTATAAGTATTAGAAGTGATAAAAGTTTGATAGCGAGGCTATAGTTAGAAAAGTATCTTGCGTCATAAAAAGGGGCTGCCCGCAGATCAGGCCCTCGGGCGGCGAAACCAACGTAATTCTGTGATAGGAGGGCTTCGAGAGCTTCAATAGTAGCTACTAAATAATACTTGCATAATTTTCTGAGTTTTATCGATGTGTGCACAGAGTTCAAGTTGCTCAAAGTCAAAGTACCTATCATTTTTTCCGGCACGTAGGGTTTTCCGGCACGCAGGGATGGACGTTAGGGACCATGAGTCACTCGAAGAGCGATCACCGAACGAAGACTGCCACACGTGACCTAACCCCCTATTCATCATCACGTGCATGTGGCGGCAACCTCAAAATTGGCGTCTGCCTTCTTTCCTCCAACGTGCTTGCACACAATCACCACAGACTCGAATTCCAATGTCCATTCCACAATGGGCAGCATGGCATCGGCAGGCAAGTGACACAGCAGGTCGGTCGATTGAGCAGGGGCACACCCGTACACCTGCCTTTTCCCGTGTGCTCGAGTGGGCAAACATTCGCTCCTACCCTGCATGGCAACTGAGATATCGGGGATCTCACATGATTTCCAGAAGGCTGCAGAACAAGGGACATGGTTCAATAGCGCGTTGTCTGCAAGACTCTTCCGAGAATTCTAAGATATTATTGTCGAACAATTACAAGTGTCCATCACTTTCTTCTGTACTTTCAGGACTCACTTGACTCCTTGATTATCACTTTTCCATCGACGATGCGTTCCATTTTCCTTGAATTCCTTCTTGCCTTTGTCGCAACAGCTCAAAGTGCAGCTGTCCCTTCTTCTCATGTGCTTCACGAAAAGAGGGACCCAGCCTCTTCAAAGCAATGGGTCAGACGCGAAAAGCTTGCATCAACTGAAATCCTCCCCATGAGAATTGGGCTGAAGCAGAGGAATCTTCACCGAGGTCATGACTTCCTCATGGATAAGTACGTTTCGCTTCATGACTTCCAAAGTACAGGGATTCTGTAGCTAACTGCAGTGCAGCTCCCATCCAGATTCTGCAAACTACGGGAAACATTGGACTTCTAGTCAAATCATTGACATGTTTGCTCCCGAGCAAAAGAGCGTTGATGCCGTTCAAGAATGGCTGGATGGCTTTGGAATCGGACCCAGACGAGTGTCCCGATCACAAAACAAAGGTTGGCTCGCATTTGATGCGACAACGGAAGCAGAAGAGAGCCTTCTCCACACAGAATATCACCACTACGAGCACAGGTCTTTGGGCCATACGACTCTGGCGTGCGAAAGGTAAGCAGAACCTGTCCAACAACGCACATTATATGCTGACTATCCGTTAGCTACCATCTTCCCAAACACATCCAAGAACATGTAGACTATATTACGCCGGGTATCAAACTCTTTGCATCAACCAAAAACCGCCGCAACCTCAAGCGTGGATTTGGTGAAGGAGGGTTCCCGTTGGTAGCCACTCCAGAGGGCTTCCCTGGCACAGCTGTCACGGCCTGGACAAGCTGTGGAAGTGGAAAGTGGTGTGTTTTGGTATAAATATGTATGAATGATGGTGCCCTAAGGGCGGTGAAGAAGCTATATATACGCCTGTACGCAGCACGTGACAACAGCTGCGGGAGAGCTTTCGACCTGCGACGAATTCATAACTCCTGCATGTATTAGGTCTCTTTACAATGTTCCAGAAATCCCTGAGTACGCCAAAACTGGGCCACGTGTTGACAATTCGATGGGAGTATTTGAAGAAGGCGACTTTTACTCTCCGAAAGATCTCGGTCGGTCTTACCTCAGTCCCAGATTGATATACTCTCAGATCACTGCTGATCCCAGAGAAAGATCTCTTTTTCGCTAACTTCACTCCCCGAATTCCTCGAGGGACGCGGCCTATCCCAGCCCTAATCGATGGCTCTGATTTACACACAGATGTTTTGTGGGCAGGAGGAGAGTCTAATCTTGATTTTCAACTTGCTTACCCACTCATCTTTCCACAAAATATCACATTGTTTCAGACAGATGACCGCTACTATGCGGCGACTGCTGGACCTAGGAGTGGTTTCTTTAACACATTTCTAGACGGTATAGACGAGTCCTACTGCAAATACTCAGCTTTCGGTGAAACTGGAGATGACTGTTCGTTTCCCTTCTTCCTCGTTTCATGAATCTCAGAAAGGACTGACTATTCAAGCGAAACTTGACCCAAAATATCCAGATCCGATGGTCTGGGGTTTTCAGGGCAAGACTATGTGTGGGGTATTCAAGGTAAATGGACATCTGGAAGGCTTCACTGTTGGCAATTGGACTAAACATAGATGCTAGCCAACAAAGGTGATCTCTATTTCGTATGGAGGACAAGAATCAGACTTGCCGGCATACTATCAGCAACGGCAATGCAACGAGTAAGACAATCTCACTTGATTAGAAGATGATGCTACTAATAAGAACTTTCAGATTCATGAAACTTGGACTTCAAGGCCACTCCGTCTTCTTTGCCTCGGGAGATACGGGTGTTGCTGGGGCTCCTCGGCCTTTATTGGGCAAGGACAGATGTCTCGGTCCAAATAGTACCATTTTCAGCCCTGCTTGGCCAAATACATGTCCATATGTCACAAACGTTGGCGCTACAAAGGTTTTCCCCAACCGTTCAGTCAGGGACCCCGAAAGCGCGGTTGTTGACCCTCCTGGGCATCCTTGGCGGGTGGCATACTCTTCAGGGGGAGGCTTCAGCAATATTTATGCTCGACCTGACTACCAGAAGCACGCTGTAACCAACCTTTTTCCTTGTCCTATATCCCGAGCTCCTTATCTCACTAGTCGGCAGGATGTTTCATACTCGGCTCTCTCCCGGCTCCATTCTCCCCGAAGAGACGTGTTGCTAATATATTGTTGTAGGTCAGCAAGTACTTGAGAGATCATAAGCCTCCGTATCCGTGTTACGAGTCTATTAGCAACTCAAGCTTTGACAAGCACGGCGGCCTCTTCAATCGGCTGGGGCGAGCGTAGGGAACCCCAATTCAATAGCCTGGAATATTTGCTAATTTTGACAGGTACCCCGATGTAGCTGCTAATGGCGACAACATCGTAGTCTATATAAATGGAGAGTTCCAAATCTCTGGAGGGACCAGTGCCAGCACCCCGATCTTCGCCTTCCTGATCAACAGGATCAATGAGCTTCATCTGAACGCTGGGAAGAGTACCGTTGGCTTCATCAATCCTGCCTTATATTCTCATCCCGAGATGCTAAATGACATAACGAATGGGACGAATCCCGGTTGTGGGACTGCTGGCTTCTCTGCTGCTCCGGGTTGGGATCCAGTGACAGGCTTGGGTAAGTCTGCATATCGAGTTGGGAGGAAGAAAAGGTATACTGACTCCGTCAGGAACTCCGAATTTCCCAAAGATGGTGAAGTTATTCATGAACTTGCCGTAGATGGCCAGAATGATCTTGAGGAATATGGGATGCTTGTGTGGTGTGGCATCGACTTCTTGGAGATCTACGAAGTAATGATAATGCCTTTTTAAAATCACGGCTAGTATGGGTGCAGCCATGGCCTCGAAATGTGTGTCCTCAAGTTGAAATGAATACAAGAAAAGCTGGCTGTGGCCGGGTCTGTCTGTCTCCGTATCTTCTAGCTTAGGCAAGAATCACAATTACGCTTACTCACGCAAGTAACTTCGTATCGAAGTGCACAGAGGTAACGGTGCCAAAGAGTCTAGACTCAAGAAATCTTTCTAGTTCATTGGCCCTGATAATCCGTTTTCGCCGCGTCATGATTTCATGCGACATGATCTTGACATTACTGGCAAGATCGAAGCCGCTCGTCTACAAGTTGCTAATTTTGTTCTCCACAAATCTCACCCCCTTATACCTTGAGGTCTTTCAACTTCTCCTCTGCCTCTTTAGGCGAAGTTCCGGCAGTTACGACCTTCGGCTTCGGTGCCTTGTCAACCTTGCCCTTTGCCTTCTGGGAGGTGGTGTCTTTAGGGAGGTCTTTGGTGAATGGGATGAATTCAGGGGCGCCGGGAAGGTACTTTCGGAGTGGCTCTGGTACAGTGAAGCCCTATTCGTGCGTTAGTCATTGAGTGACCCACCTAAGTAGATCAGATCAGGTCTCACCTCTTCAGTCTGAAAGTTCTCCAACAAACAGCAAAGTGCTCTCTCGGTGGCACATAGTGTTGAGTTCAGTGCATGAACATACTTCTTCCGAATCTCAGTCTGCAGTTTCGCACCGTAACGGATCTCAAGTGCTCTGGACTGGTAATCCGTGCAATTTGAGCAAGAGACAAGTTCCTTGTACTCGCCCTGGAAGGGGAACCAAGCCTCGAGGTCATATTTCTTTGCAGCAGCGTTGTTTAGTGCTCCAGAGACGATAGCGACGACACGATATGGTACTCCAAGAGACTGGTAGAATTCTTCCGAGACGGCGATCATTTCGTTAAACATCTCCCATGACTTTTCTGGGTCAGTAAGGACGAATTGTTCTACCTGTTCGAGATTGTCAGCCTTGGCACCAATATCAAAATGTTTGACTTATGCTTGCTTTCTCGAACTGATGAACTCGGAAAATTCCCCATGCATCTCTGCCATGCGAGCCAGCTTCTCTTCGGTAGCATGAGCTGAATCCAGCATATCTTTCGGTACAGGTTAGCAATTATGATGAGTAAGTGGTGCTGGATACCTACCGGATCGGCAAATCCTTGGCTACAAGCCACTCATCCGCATGGAAAGCAGAGATTGGTTGTTCTGAAGTGGCAATGAGGTACTTGTCATTCTGAGCCTCACCATCAATGACTTTATAGAGCTCCTCGTCGAACTGTTCCAATTGAGCAGTCTTCGCCATGTAGTCCTTCAGCATGAATTGAGGTGTCTGCAGCGGCGTGTATCCCTTCGCATCAAGGAACTCCAGGCCGTAATTGATCAAGGCCTGATTCAAGAAGACCCCCCATTTCCGCAAGAAATATCCTCGGTGTCCAACAACCTTTACTCCTCGCTCCGGGTCGTAGCCATCCAGTCTTGTCAACACCTCGTGATGTGAGAGTACGTCGCGCTTCTCCACCTTGACACCTTCGGGCGCCCATTTTCGCTGCTCAGCGTTGAAGTCCTAGAGTCCATTAGACCTGTCTACCTCCCGTCGCGTGTCTGAAATACCTCGTCGTTGTTTACGGGCACAGAGTCATGGACAATGTTGCCAATCGTGCCAATCTTCTTCTTTAATATGACTTCTTTCTCAGCGGCGGATTCGATCAAGCTCTTCTTTTCTTTCTCAAGCACCACTTTCTGCTTCATCAAGTCGTCCGCATCTTCCTTCGCCTTTCTCTTGACACCAATTTGTTTTTGGATCTCATTGATTTTTGTGTTGATTTGTGTTGCTGAGTATTGAGCTGCACACTGAATCAGCGCAAAATTCCTGTGGGACAATCGTAGGACTTGACTCACTCTTTCGGTGATCTTCGTAGAGGGCAATGACTTCGTCCACCGCTTCTTCAGGCGCATAACGACGTCTCTGGGACTCCTTGATCTTCTTAGGGTCTCCGCCCTTCTCGACGATGAAGTCGAAGACGTCAAGCATGTTGGAAATTGGTGTACTCTTTCAAAGAGTGGTGGTGTGGGCGGTTGGGTTGGGTGGTTACGAGCCGCGGATTTATTGAATCAGGAATATTTCACAGCCTCCTCGCTGGTGGTGGGGTTGGCGAGGGGTTGGCGCGCTAAAATATCCCCTGCAGGCTTCATTCAGGCTGCATCACGTGCCATGTCAGATTCAGCTTGCCACGGCTTGTACATTGACAATTCAAATACAAGAGACTCGGTTCCTGTATCCCAATCGCTCTTGTAAATTCAAAACGGATGCCCTAACGCCGAAAGTCTGCAAAGTGACCCTCTCCGAACACCTTACAGAAAGCAGCTGCCCACCTGAAAACACAAAATCAAGTCTTGCCATCTTCGACTCTCCACTCTACATGATTTGGCACTTGTTCCCACCAGCTGGCTCATTTGGGTTCTGCTGCTTCTCGATTTGTCCAACCATAAGCTCAAAAGCTTTGGTGACATTCTCATTGTACCGTGCACTTGCTTCGGTGTAGGCACAGTTGAACTTCTCAGCCAAAGCTTTGCCATCCTCAACAGTGACTTGACGTTGATCTGGACGCAAGTCACTCTTGTTCCCCACGATGACAATAGGAACCCATTCCGAGCCCTAAGTAAGTCAGTACTCAGAGGTAGGAATAGGGTGCATGTGATGATTAGGTTAGACTTACCAAGTGATTCAGAATTTTGTCTCTGATAACGTGGACCATCTCAAAGGACTGTGTCGAAGCAACCGAGTACACGAGCATGTAGCCATGGATCCCAATGAAATGTTTCGAGTTCAGGATGGAGTATTCATCCTACCCCACGCTTCTGTCAGCCTCCGTTATATCGAGACAGCAATAGCCGGCTCAGGTGATCTGATCGGTCACCAGGGAAAATTTCAACTCACCTGCCCGGCAGTGTCGATGATCTCAGTGGCGTACTCTTGCCCCTTGTACTTGATGACCTTGCTAAAGGTGTTCTCGATGGTGGGGTAGTAGCTTTCCACGAAATGGCCGTCCACGAACTGCACAGTGAGCGAGGATTTCCCTTGTCCAACATCAGTAAAAGCGAACGTGAACGTGATCTAGCGATGAGGGAAGAGAGAGCCACTCACCAACCGACCTGCTGCCGACAATCGCAATTTTGCGCTGCTTAGATGGTGCAGGCATGGCTCTCACTTGTCGCTCGTCTCTTGGTTATTAAAGGAGAGACTTGCGGGTGCAGTTGCATGAGGTTCGTCGGGTTGAAATCCCTTCTTCGGGTGACAAGGCTGTGAACTTGGTTAACTTTAGCGCGTAAGTGGCGGCGGCCTTTAGCCTAAGGAAAGCTGGACTTGCTAAGGGGTTTTTTGGTTGAGAATATTTGAAGAAAGAGTCCAGTTCTCTCTCTTTTATTTTTATCTTGTCTTTTTCTCGGGCTTGGGATTTCTCCGTTCTTGAAGTTCATTTTTGGGGTTAGGTAGCAATGTCAAAAGCGCTGCCTGGCCACCTCCCTTGAAAACCCGCGATTTCTTTTCAGCGCAGTGAACGTGTGGCTTGAAGTGAAAGAAAATATCAAAATATCCATCATTTTAGTGATATTCCTCTCTGACTCCATGCTTCTCTTCCTTTTTCTGTCTCGCGAAACACAATATTGGGAATTGATGTCTCACAGCATCCTCCTCTATTTTTAAGCGGTGGCATTCTCGGCCTCTGACGGCTAAACAAAAAATTAGCTTTAGCCTGTCCAACACAACATACTTGATTCCCCAAGAACATTTTGAACAGTTTTTCTTTAATCTACACGTCTCCTGGTATTCTTCTCTCGTGAGAGTTTGGTCAACCCCAAAGACCATATGGGGTTGATACAAAATTACCTTGGTCAAATCATACCTTAACAGATTTCAACCCAAGTACTGCACTGTATTCATCAGGAAGGGCAGGAGCAATGAACAGAAGTGGTCAGCTTTTCTTGTGTTTGTTTTGATATCTCTTTGATTCCTTAGTTGTCTCTGCTTCTTCCTGTTTGTTTTCCTTAAGTTCCAAAAGAGGCACAATCCCCAGTTCCCCAAAACGCCAGCTATGGGGTGTCATGTTTCCCATCTCATCTTCATTCATACAAATCTAAAGGTCGCTTAAAACTCGCAAACTATTGCAAATATCATCTAGATGCTTGCCTCGCGGCAGTGGCAGCTTTGTCTTTGGCTGCCAGCCGCTGGGCAGCCTCGTCCAGAATCTCGCCCATTTTATTATCACCTTCGCAACGCTCTTGCTCAAGTTTCATGTCCATAACCATTGAAAGCTCAGGGCAGTAGTCGAAGTTGCTCTTCCTCCGAACTGGGTCCCTCCAAACATCATCCGCGAGGTTATCTGCTCGGACGTGGTATCCCATAGGCTTCGCATGCCATATGTCTTCGACAGCGAAATGATCCTCTTGGACTCCACTGGCAACCTTGGCACCGGGAAGGAGAGTGATCCTCTTGCCGAACCACTCGTCTTCCGGTTCTGTGTCGTTGTATCTGGATTGGAAATTCAAGATTTTCTTTACCGCAGACACTCTTCGAAGTGAAAGGCCTCCATTGCCAGCAAATCTATCGTCAGCAGTCCTAGGAGCCATTAGCAGCTCCTTATAGCACATGCAAAGCATCTTGGCTTACCTTGGAGCTCCAGCCCAGTCATAGTCCAACCAGTCGTTGAGACTGTCATCGGATCGAGCACACAGAATGGCATCAGCCTCAAACTTCAAGAGCCACTCCACATTTGGCAAGAACTCATCGTAAAAGCGAACGTCGGTGAGTAACCTGTAAACAAGTTCTTTGCTCTCGATCGACCATGGTTTGGGAAGTACCACTAAATCCAGCTTCCCGTTCGCCTCCTGAAATTGCGTCGCAAAACTTCGAGAGACGCTGATCACACTCTTATTCGAACCTATGAAAACGAATCTCCAGTCGTGTGGCACCACCGATATCATATGTAGGAGTTGTGGGACGAGATGGGGAATCGGGCGGGCCTCGATCAGGAGAGCGACCTTCGTGGCATTGAATTGAGCCTTGGGGTCGTATTTGGGGTGCCAGTCGACTTTGACGGCTGGCAAATGCTGGATGGCATCGTTATATGTATCTTTCGCAACCTCTCGGATGGATTGTTTGTATGAAGGGAGGAGGTATGCGATTGTCCATCTTCGGGCGTTGACACGGTCAGTTTCCAGACTTCAGCTGAAGGCGAGACCACTCACGTTACTAGAAGAGATGCGACTAGCAGTATTCTTGTCCTTGTAATGGCAAAAATTCCGCTGCCCAACGGGCTGGGCGTACTATGTAAGGTTGACATTGTGCCCAAGGCCGCAGACCCGGCGTGCTCGAAGTCCTGAGGGTCAAAGTAGGGATGTTTTCGGATTCTTGACAGGAGGCGTTGACCCGAACCTAAGGCATTCCTGAGAAATGTTTTCTGGGTATATTCATACTGTATTGTTCTTCATATTTGGCAGACTAATCTTCTGCTCCGGCGGTAAGTTTGTTATCATTGAGGAAGACTTCGAAACGTCGAAAAACGGTAGTGATCTTGCGCGACTCGCTGCCGGGTACGAGCCAGGCGTTGGCAGGGTCAAGGTTTCCTAGTTGCTCCGCGAGCGTGGGCGGATATTGCGCCCCCCTGTCCGCGCTGATCCAAGCGTCGTCGCGGCATGGGGCTGAGCTTTTTAGCCTGGTTAGATTACAGTAAACATTGTTGTAAATTTAGTTGATCCGATCGGATGGGACGCTATATTTTTCGTCCCATAACAGCGCTCTAGATCCCCTGAGCGGGAACGCCGTCATATCCCAGATCATTGGAAAAAGGGGGTTCTTGCTATCGGATCTTCCCCCAGAGCATTTTCAACGCTGTGTGAAATCTTCTGCAAGGTGCTGCACCGAGACAATGTCTCTCCCTTTCAATTGCGAATCTATCAATGTTTGCACATCACTTCCTACCCCCTTGCTATTCAACATCCCTTACAACCAGATATCAAAAATGCAAACTGTATAGGGATGTTTTCATTCAATTTTGCAAGTTGACGCAGGAAACTCCATCCAAATTCCAAATTCCAAACTCCAAACTCCAATACCATGCAATAACCCCGCTGAATGCTTTCCAAAATAATCCTTCCTTCATGAAGAGGTATCTTCAATTTACCCCTCTGAACAAAGCTTGTACTCTGGGCACCATTCATCCAAACTTAGCATTTGCTCCTTTAGCCACATGTGAACTTGATGTACACCAAGAGGGTGCGGGTAGTCGATCGTCTCCACACTAAATGTCCTGGCGACTTCTATAGTTGGCAGATTGATAGCTCCTTCCTCCTCCGGCTGGATGCCTTCTTTCTGTTCCTCTTTTTGTATTTCTGTCATCCTGTCACACGCAAAGTCAGATCAGGATTATGAAACTCTCCACAACCCTCTGAAGAAACATACCTGTTGAAATACCACTGATCCTCAAACCGATCGCCCTCCTTTTTCGTCTTCTGCCAATCCCATTTCTCTAGTATATTGAGAGTTGTACTCCTCTTCCTCAAACTCAAGCCCCCATTATATCCCTTTCCCAAATTCTTCGCAACTGGCGCCCCGACAAAGTCATAAGCAAAATAGTCGTCCACGCTTCGGGCTGCGTTCGCGCACAGCATGCTGTCGCTCTGGAAGATCAAGATATGTTTCGCTGGTGCTAAATCCTCCCAGAGCCACTTCGTCGTCATAAACTCGTTCACAGAGTCCGAGTTGGTGAAGAGCACTGTCTGAGGCAGCATACGAATCTGAACCGTGCCGGACTTCAAGTATCTATTCAATGCAGCAGATGCCGAGAATTGGCCTACCGATTCCATAGATGTGTATATGAGGATGGGCCAAGAGGGCCCAAGAACGCCGCTGAAGTGTAGGACAAGAGGAATGAGGTTGGTGCGGAATTGTGTCTCGACAATGACTGCCGCTTTGGTAGCAAGTGTGCCATTGAAGCTACCGCTTTCCAGACTGATTTTGTTCCCGGTCTGCGATGCCGATTGCCCTTTATTAGTGGTCGATTGTTGTGGTGGGGGTGCGCTCGTTGAAATGGATTCAGTATGCTGGGAGTACACGTTGAGAATTGTACTTTGGGGGAAGCACAGCTTAACGGTCCAGAGGAAGAGGAGAATGAGGAAAGCGGAGAGAAGGATATTTCGTGATTTGCGGCGGCGTTCTTCAATGGTGTTGATTAAGGCCATGGTCAGTGGCCCTCCAACTCACGTCGTTGTGCTCTGCGTGGTAATATATGAAATACCAATAGTCCTTGGGGAATTATTGCCCCATCATCCAACCCGAATCTTTCCCGCGTGAGAGGTAGCCTTTGATATCGGCGCCGTTCGTACAGTGAGTGTGTTGTAAAGAAGAACGAATCGAAGACTGAAAATGGAATTATGATTTTCATCGACCTGTGTAAAGCAACAGAAGGGATGAATTCCAGATCGACAGCGAGTCCGAAAAGGGAAGCCTGGGATTGAGAGCCACTATCACTAGCTTGTCAAGAGCAGTTAAGTTGGTCTCAGATTTGAAGATACGGAATTATCCAAACGCGTGGAAACAGACAACTAGAGCCACATGGCCCACACCTTCGGGGAACCCTTTGTCCCATCCTTCTCACTTGAGATCTGAGCAAAAGGTCACCAAGGTATCCACACCGCGTTTGCGCAAAGAGAGTTAGAAAAATGGATCCGTGAAGCTTGACTCCTCTAACACCTTCCGATGTCTCAGCTCTGGAGAATTGATAGGCTTGGCTGAAGCACGTTTGAACCTTGATCTGAGATCACACATTCCAGATTCTAGACACATCGCTCGACGCGTCAGGACCTCCATCAGAAAAGCCCCAGCTGGGCTCTTCCCTAGGAACGCCATCACCACGCTTTTTCGGATCAGCAGAACCGCTGCTGAATGATGTGACTCTAATCGTTAGGCTGAGATGGAAGCAGCACTGTTCAAAACTGGTTCTTGCGAAGACTGGAACGTGGTAGTTCAGGCTATGTGCCCAAGAAAAGAAGAGGAAAAGACTGGCTGATGTCGAAGGAGATTTAAGCTTTTGATATATTGACCCCCTTATACGCAGCGTAAATCGTGCGGAGCATGGGGCTGGAGTTCGGAAGCGAAAGGCAGGCAGCCCAACTGGCCTGTTGCAGGGCTTAGGAAGGTTATTTTCTTAGCGTAGCTGGCCTGGCCTTTCATGCCCGAAAATCACTTGTTTCTAAGAACTGGCTAGTGTACCAGGGCCGTAGGAGCCCCCGCATTGGGAACACCTTGGAAACGTTTCAGTAACGATATAGAAATGTATTTCTAGGTTCTGTGTATTATATATCATTGATATAGACGGGAAAGCATAACGAAAGTGAAAGAATATTTGATGCCTTAGAAGTTGTAACTGGCCGTGGCCTGTTTTCTACCCCTGTAACAGGCCAGGTGGAGACGCCAAGCAGGCCAGCTCAACTACAGTACTTCGTACTTCGTACATACTCGGATGCGAACAACCTGAATCTTGAATCTCGAATTACTGAATGGAACTGAAGATATGGAGTTGAGCCAGCACGACGGTTTCGTTCTCTCTCTCTCTCTCTCTTGGCACCTTATGCAGACGATCCGGACTCCGAGTAGCTTGCCGAATTGTTATGCCGAAACGACGCTTCAAGTTCATGGATTATCCAGTAGCCCCACGAAGGTAACAGTCTCCGGTCGAGTTGTGGGCATCGAGCACACAAATTCTCCCCACCCCTCGTACAAGCTGATACAGCAGGCAATGACGAATGATGACATTTCGGTGTTACAGATATTAGACGAATATGATTTGCTCGTTTCAAGCCAGCCCCCAAGCCAGGGAGGGAGTGTTTCCGCCGGCCCTCGAGATGTTAGCGCTGCAATCCTGCTGCAACCCTTCGGTGTTCATTTGGGGAGTTCTGCAAATGTCACTGGAAAAGCCGCGTACTCGCTACCGATACGTCTGTTCATTCGACAACATTTGGAAGTCCTTTGAACGGGCAACAGCTCATGCCATTCGTTGATGGATCGAACACAGCCCTCTCCTGACTTCTTCACAGCGACGCTGAGCCTCAAGTTCGCCGTGACTCGGGCCGTGAGAAGAGAAGGAAAGGGCGGTAAACCAGTACGTAGTCATTCGCTCTCTCGAGGTCTGGCCACGGCAATGATTTGCAAATTACCGTTTGGAGGTGGAAATTTAAATAGTTCGCGGACTCGATAGCGGTAAAAAGGGGCTACCCTGCATGCCCCTGTTTTCAGCGAGCCACTTCCCCCGCCAAGCGGGCCCCACCATCACAACCTTAGGCCGCAGCGGTGACCTCTCAGGCCATCAACTTATCAGCTCGCAGTCGTTCATCTGCCATTCCGAATGCTTCTCCAACCTCCACTTCAAGTGGCGCCACTCTCCTTCTGCCGGCATTGACTTGTCTGCTTCCGCCAATCCATCTACTCTCAGAGCTGAAGAGCCATAATATTCGTAATCATGGTATCTTCAGCGTCCGAGATGACGATTGAGGATGCCTGGGAATACATCAAATCCGCGGCCTTGACCGGCTGGTCAAGGACAACGCGACGAATGCGCGCTGCGGGCGCTGTATTGATATTTTTGTATGCTCTCCCTCTTCTTTAGACCTCGATGTCCCCCATCAACTGCCGTTCGAAGCTTGTTGTGTTCCTCTTTCTTGCTCATTGTCGCACATTCAAGAATTTAACAAGGGAACGCAGTATTTTATGCTCCATCCTCCTCCGCCCTTCAATGCCGAGTCCATCACTCCCCCGAGTCCCTTCTATAAGCCTCGAGTATGGCTCGCCCGACATTTCACCCTACAACGCCTCCAAAGTAGCCCTCCTCATTGAGAACCGCGTGAACCCGATCCTCGCACCCCTAATGATACACTTCATGTCCGTCGTGCCCCCGGACTGGCGCTTCCGCTTCATGGGCTCTCTGGAGTCTGTCGAGTTCCTGAACACCAGCCGAGCGATTCGGAACCACGTTGCGAGCGGGAAGCTCGATTTAACATATATCCCCGCGAATATGACGACAGGGAGCCAGGAGGAGATCTCGAAGTTCCTGACGACATTATGGCTTTATGAGACGGTGCTGCAGCCTGCGGAGTGGCTGCTGGTGTTCCAGACTGATAGCATGCTCTGTGCGAATAGCAGGCAGAGCTTGAATAACTGGCTGGAGTACGATTGGGTTGGAGCACCGTGGAATCCGAGTGGAAGGTTCGGAGGCAATGGAGGACTAAGTTTACGGAGAGTGAGCAGGATTATTGAAGTTCTGAGATATCAGACGAGGCTTCCAAATTCCGAGCCAGAGGATGTTTGGCTTACGGATCGGTTGGGCCACCGACCGGGAGCGAAGCTTGCGAACGGGACGGCCAGTCTGACATTCAGTGGGGAGATGTTTGGCGGCGAGGGGGAGAAGGTTGGAGGCAAATGGAAGGGCAAGATCAAAGATCCTACGAAGGCTGGGGACTTGATCAAGGGGATTGATGACTGGCGAGATGGATTCTATGAGCCCATGGGTTACCACACCGGCGGCAGTGGAGACACGCTACACAACGGCATCTGGGGAACCCCAGCGATGAGAAAGCACATTTGGGGCTATTGCCCTGAGGTCAAAATGATGCTCAAAATGGATGCTGCAAAGTACGTTCCAGGCGACTGTCACAGCAACTGGAAGAGGTCAGAGCAAGGTTGGGATGGGATGTATCCTGATCTCGGCGAAACGGAAATCATCGACGGAGAGGAATACCCCATACTTCCTGCAGGCTTAATGCCTTGGTAGAAGCCCGCGTTCACACAAAATCACATATCTGGACAGCAAGAGCAGCAAAAATCTTGCACACGCGGTCCATCACACTATGTACTATCATCTGAAGGATGTCCGACTTCCTCATAGTATCAGGAGCCTGGCATTTGGGTTCCTACTTTCTTCCTGGGAAATTTATGGGAGCTGGGAGTTCAGGAAATTTGAGAAGAGAAGAGGGGCGGATACCCCTTGTGTCTTGATAGAATGGGGGGCGTTGGATCTGGGGTAACTAAATGCGTACATAAAATAGATGAGATCTGAATGAAATACCGCTTTTGCGCGTTGATTATTGCAAGACACTTTTGTGTTGTAAGACATGATATCAGGAATCCATTCCCGCATTGACACCAAGAATGCCCTTTCCGGTCCAGTCAAGGCCGTAATGTTCAATGTTTCAGACCCATCGAAAAGCAATTCAAGACAATCCAAGGAGTTCTCCCGTTGCAGAAAAGGCTTGATTCTCAAGCAAAAGCAATTCTATTCTAAAAATCCACGTATGGGACGTGTGTCATTCCTGTCTATCTTCACGCTGCTATCTCCTTAGAAAGCCAAGATTCTTAATTCGCCATTTCCTGGAAATAAGTTGAGCGCCAGTGCAGATCCCCTGTAAATTTATACAAGTAATATTTTGGGATGCTAGCTTGTAGCACATTCGTCTTGAGATGTTTATGGATGAATGATATGCCCAGGGACGCGTGGTAAGCGCGCACGTGCGATGATTCTGAAACGAAACGAGGCCAGCTTGAGGGCGCGGCCACGGTCGAAGATATTTTTGTGGGACCTGGTTTACGACTTCGATTGCTGGGCTTTGTGCTTAAGCATCACAATTGAGTACCTATCTTGGTATTAGTGAAGGCCTAGTGGAATGGTGGTGATAACTGTGCAGGAAGTGTCGACAAATCTGCCCAGAATAATAGATGTTCGAATGATTTGAAGAAAGAAGGAAATATGACAAGAAGTCCCGAGTGACCCCATTGGGGCGTAAACTCACAAAATGATGCCTCCAACGGCAACGAAAACCCCGATCACGGATTTATCTCCAACGGCACGACCTGATGTGAGCCAACCTAAAGCCACAATGGAACAGGTCTTCACATGACCAACAACAGTGCTGGACACAGGACCTGTTTGTGCGATAATGAAGAACTGGGACATATTGATTATGCAGGCGAACATGCCAGACTAGGTGTAGAATCAATATCAGCCGAGCTCTGCATACACGAAATCGCAAGTTTTGGTAACCAGCGAGCGGTTGGAGAGAAAGGAATACGAACCATCATAATCATGACCCATCTGTTTATGGGAACTTCGGTCCATACTGGGAAAGTGTCCACAAACGGAATCACATAGAGCAGCATGAAAGATGCAAGCGGCGCCTGGTTGAAGAGTAATTGCATGCTGTTCATCTGAAGCTTCTTGTGATAGCTGGAAATCCAGACTGTGTAAAGAGAGCTTGCAAAAATCCCCGAGAATGCAAAGATGACGCCCAAGCTGCTGGTAGTCTTTACACTTGCATCCGCGCTGGGTAGCGAATCGTAATAAGAGACCATGGCAACACCGATACAAGCCGGGATTAAAGCGTATATGGCATTTCGAGGGAGCGTCGATTTGTATAGCACATAATTCATGAGGGCTACCATTGGTGTAAGTAGAATTCGTGCGACTTGGTAGAATGTGACGGTCGAGAAGGCGAGAGACAGATTCGGAAGGATGACGTTCAAGGACATCGCAACTGCCAGAGGGATGATTTCCTTAATTGCAGCCCGTCTTGGTGTAAACATCGCAAATCGAGGACGAGATAGAGTAAATAGTGTGAGCCATGTTATGAAGAAATGGAAGGCCGCGAAGGTCAGTTGGGCGAGTTTTAGGGTAGGGTCCGAAAAGATTGCTTTGTTCGTGAAGACCTGGAGCATCCATAGGTTAGCGGCCTTTCCGATGCCTTCCGAGAGGCTCTTGGGACTGTAGAACTCACGATGCCGATCGTTGCCAATGTGTTGACTACCATCCATATGAAAGATGATCTGACTGAAGCCTCGGATGTAGGTTGGGCTGGCTTCTCGTGCTCTGCAGGCAGCATTTCCGCCCTTTCATCATCATTATCTCCATCTCCAAACTCTAAGTCTTCCGGAGACTTCAGCTTGACAAAGCCCCCTTCTGTTTCGCTTAGCGTGCCATGCTTCTCGTTCTCATCATATGCTTCTGCCTCGGTGACGGAAGAGCTGGTGGAGGGCGCGCGGTCAATTGATCGTTCGGCCATTGTTGCTGAAGGGACAGGACGTGATTGAGAACACGAAAGAAAGGAGGGTGGGGGGGGATGCGAATAAGTTTAGAATAGTGGAGGCTTACGACATCCCAAGTTGTGAAGTTGTGAACGAACGAACAAAGGAGAGAGGTGTGCGTGGTCATAACGGGAGGCGTGGCGCTAGCCTGGGCCATCATTACATTGCGTACTCGTACATTTTTAGGAAACGCGCCGCAGCTGAGAACTTGCAGGGGGGAGGTGAGGGAGGAGGGAAGGGGGCCACCGCCTGGAGAGAATTTACGAGGTTACGAGTTAAGTACGCGGATTTACGCCCCAGATCATATTTTCTGTCCTCCCTGCTTCTGTCTGCAGAGGCTAGCGCTCCGTCTCGAATTACCTCCGTAGGCCTCTGGAGCTCTGAATCTGAAGTGCTGAGGGCTCGTCCGAATCCGAGTCTTGCCATGGTGGTACGATCTATGATTTCCAACTTCCTGTCCACATCCCCACACCCCTCGTGCGTAATAATGAAGAGGCTCCCACTCCCAGCCTCCAAGCTCAAACACGGTCAAGAAAGGGGTCCCGTCTCGGCTGATCAGCGACAGCGTTGGCGTCACTTCTCGACGACACCAGTGGATCACCGTGGGGCGTTCCCTGTTCCAACTCCCGAGCTGTTGTCGAGACTTCCCAGTCATTCATTCTGTTCACTACAAGTAACTTCATTTCAATCCCATCTCACCAGAATCACTGTGGCTTTGTGCTTTTTCGTGTCCCTTCAAACTTGAAAGGGGCCATCGTGAGAAATGCAAACCAAATCCTGACCCTGGCAACGGCAACGGCCCCACCCTGCTTCACAAGTAAGGCTGCCAGGCAATAATCAGCACCTTTCCTCCCTTGCGCAGATGTCACCGCGACCCAGCTTTTGAATCGTGAGGTCTCATTCCAGCAAGGGTAGGTGCACAGCCTCGGCAGGTCCAAATCGACAGGCCAGAAGCCGCAAAAAAGGAATAAGTGATTTTGACAATCCAAGTGATTATCAACCATCGTGATCCCCGTATGCGATGCACACCCGTCGAGTCAAGGGATAGAAAAGGCTTGGAAGAGAAATACGAAGTTCATGTGCGACTGGGGCTCACGAGGGGCAGCCTCGTTAGGTCCCTTACCTACACGCACCAGCAGGAAACACTGGGATGAGAGTGAAGTCCGTAGCCATTGAACTTGAAATGCGAATGGACGACCGACTCCCGATTTAAGATTACAAGTAGATAGCATTCTCGTAAATTCAGAAACGCATGTGATGTCTTGACTAGTTTACGCAATTGACATGCTCCACCTACCTGCGAAGGCATGCATTTTTTAAGCGACAGCTGGATTAAATAGGTTCCACAGACCGCCCCCTTGCGACTGGCCGTAGGTTTCCCTGCACTCTGCACAACTTCACCAATCTTTTTACGGCGCTGTCCAACTGACGACACCGAGAAGGCGTTTATCCACTCATTCAAATAGCCATTTACGAGATCAATTGACCACTATGCCAGCAACGAACGGCACGAGTGGAGCAACTGGTACGTCCTAGGTTCTGCCGTCCTGCAGATGCAGCCGCTGACTCAAGTATTGCAACAGCTGCCTCGTCACGGCCAAATCGGTTTTTTGAAGATTTCGGCGTTTGGAAGGATGCGCCAGTGCTGATTGGGACCACAAAGTACGAGCCGTTGCCAGATGTAAAGAATATTATGATCACAGGTGGTGCTGGCTTCATGTAAGTAAAATACGCCGAAGTCACAAGAATAGATTCTAACAACCATAGCGCTTGCTGGCTTGTACGACATTTGACACTGACATACCCTAACGCATACAATATCGTATCCTTCGACAAACTCGACTACTGCTCCTCTCTGAATAACACTCGGGTCCTGAACGATAAACGAAACTTTTCATTCTACCATGGCGACATCACGAACCCGTCAGAAGTTATGGATTGTCTAGAACGACACAAGATTGATACAATTTTCCACTTCGCCGCGCAGTCTCACGTCGACCTGAGCTTCGGAAACTCGTATGCTTTCACACACACAAACGTATATGGCACACATGTTCTGCTGGAGAGTGCCAAGAAGGTTGGCATCAAAAAGTTCATCCATATTTCAACAGATGAGGTTTACGGAGAAGTTCGAGACGATGCGGATGACTTGCTGGAGACCAGCATTCTAGCACCCACGAATCCCTACGCAGCAAGCAAGGCGGCAGCTGAGATGCTCGTCCATTCCTACCAGAAGAGTTTCAAACTTCCTGTGATCATTGTACGCAGCAACAATGTCTACGGCCCGCACCAGTATCCCGAGAGTGAGACTAGCAACCCCTTACTTGAGTTTGAATTACTAATCTCTTGTCAGAAATTATTCCCAAATTTAGCTTGCTTCTCCATCGGCGACAGCCAGTTGTCCTGCACGGTGATGGAACTCCCACGAGGAGATACCTCTTTGCTGGTGACGCAGCCGATGCGTTCGACACAATTCTACACAAGGGCACAATGGATCAAATTTACAATGTTGGATCCTACGACGAGATTTCCAACTTGACATTGTGCTCGAAGCTTCTAACATACTTGAATATCCCGCATGATACCCAAGAACAACTTCATAAATGGGTGAAGCACACAATTGACCGACCGTTCAACGACCATCGATACGCCGTTGACGGAACGAAGTTGCGACAGCTGGGCTGGGAGCAGAAGACTAGTTTCTCGGAAGGAATGGCCATCACAGTTGATTGGTATAAGAGATTCGGCGAGTCATGGTGGGGCGATATCACCAAGGTTTTGACGCCATTCCCTACTGTAGCTGGAACGGATGTGATTGCTAGCGAGGAGCCGATTGAGGATATCCACGAAAGCATGCTTATCGACAGTGATGATCAGATGACATTAGCCAAGAAGAGAAAGATTGACGAGACCAGTTCAGGACCACAAGCAGTGAAGGCATAGGGGTTTGAAATAGACGGCTACACGTGACGGAGTATGCAGTCATGCAATACGTCGCTGCGAGCAGAGACGGAACGAAACATTGTTATTGCATCTCCTTTTCATGTACTCATAAAATTTCCCTTTTGGATGGCGTTGGATAGTAACGAGTCCTGGCTTGGCTAGGCCCGGGATTGAAGTGAGTTATGGTAGCATCTAGAGAATGTGAAAAGCTGCAGCCGCACACGAGTGACAGGGGCAATACAAAGGGAAACCCAAGACCTTCTGCAGCCACTTTCCGAGAGATCACAAACTGGAAAGCGTTGTTATCATGTGAAAAGAAGCGGGAAAGCGAAGCTACCACCACGTTTACATGCAGGAAAGCAAAGCAGGTGCAGGCTATTATTGTCCACCAGCGCATGCACGAAGCTTCCCAGCAAATAGGGAGGCGGGGAAATAACACCGAGCAGCCTTTTCCTCATGCAGAAACCGCAAGAGGAAGCATGGGGGCGCGCTGCAGTATTCTCATCATTGCAGACAGCCAAACCAGCTGTCAGTCATGAGTGGGCCCTCGACAGCCGTGGGAAACTCGCTCGTTGGATGTTAATTCCAGTACACTGACAACTCACCGTCTCCAGAGTGGGGGTAAAGTCCAGGACCCAAGAACCACCATCGCCAATCTCCGGGAATGGCAAGGTTTCACTGCTTTGCCCAGCCTCCGGGTTGAGACGGGAAATGCATATCATTTGGTAGCTTGGGAACAGATGCTGGGCCCGCTAGGCTCTGCTGTGCGCTCATTCGAACAAAGTTTCTTCCATGAACCGATGTGCTGGTTTGTGGAGGGGCGCGGGATCCTTCCCCCCAGGCGAACCAGCCATTGGGAACAATCCGGGCGTCTGGACCTGAATTTAGCCTGTCAAAGCCTGTTCATTGCAACCTGGATGGGCCAATGCAACGCCCTGCAGCCCGCGATGCCCTTCTTTTCTTCTGCCGTGGCCTTTCGTCTCCTTCCTCGTCCGGGTCACCGCTCCTCACAATATTCAATTCAAAGCTCTCCCCCTCCTTCTGGCGTCGCGGACCAGTGCCATCCCTGTTAATCAAGAGCAACGATACGGCTCACAATGGTCCTCGATGTCCCCTCCTCGTCTGGAACTTAGCTGGTTGTGGTCATGATACCCTCCCACTCTACTTCCAAATCAGAGTGCCTTTTAGGAGCAAAATTCTGGCCACACATCCTTGCATTGGTTGTGTCTAAACTTGGCAAGCACATATACACCTCAAACAACTTGGGATGGAGGGGGAGGGAGAGACAGTCAATGCTTTGGAGGGCTTACTGCCAAACAATCTGGCAGCTGTACCTCTTGTGCCCGACGACGATCCAATGGGTGAGAATGAAGCTCTCTACAATTTCGAGGAGGATGTCGAAAGGATGCGGAACCGAGCTCCTGCTCGAACTCTTTTCCACCAGCCGCACAGCGACAATGATACAGTGTGGGTATTGATGGCTGGCTTCGGACAAAATTGCTAACGTCTTTTCAGAAATTCAACTCGAACACTTTGTGATTCGGATATAGAGTATCTCACAATCTACGGAAGGCGATACTGTGGGGAATACTACAAGCCAAATGACGAAGAAGAGCAAGACCGAGAAGGAATGCTTCATGAGATCTTCAAGAAGATCTTCGACAACCGCCTTACCTCAGTCCCTCTCCATAACCCGACAAAGATCCTAGACATTGGAACGGGCACAGGAGAATGGGCAATGGACATGGGGGATGAATTTCCAAATGCGGAGGTAATTGGTACAGATATCGCGAAAATTCAGCCAGACGCGGCTCCCTCGAACGTCTTTTTCCAAATTGACGATGCCGAAGACGAAGAATGGACCTGGGAAGACGATTTCGATCTTGTGCATCTACGCAGTATGCAGGGGGCTTTCATGGATTGGCAACGCATATACAAAGAGGCATTCAAGGTTCTGAAAAAAGGGGGCTGGATCGAAATTCTCGACTTCGACAACCATACTAGGCTAATGAGTTATCTTAGTGACGGCCCTGATGCAGCGGCGTGGCTGGCTGCACTCAACGAGGCATCCAGGCGATCTGGCAGGCCAAGAGGTGACGCTCATCTCAATCCGGAAGTTCTCAGAAAAATTGGATTTGTGGATGTGAGTGTTTCGGAAAGGACCATACCGACGGGAGCCTGGCCTGAAAGCCCAGAAGACCAAAACACTGGGAAATGGTTCTTGGTCACAATGTTGAATGGCATAGAGGCGACTTCGCTTCGCCCTCTCACAGAACATATGGGTTGGGAAATAGAAGATGTTAGAAAAATCGTTAGATTTGTTGAGACCCGAATGAAGGCTATAGCCATGGATAAACATAAGTCCAAAGGGATGGGCTTTGTAATCAAGACACTGGTGGGAATGAAACCGAGCGACGAGGGTATCCCTGAAGTTGATGTGCCTGACGAGGAGAGCATAAGAACCATGAAAAAGTTCAATGGGGATATCTCCTCCGGCAAGTAATGAGGGGACTGTTGTTTTAAAGGCACCAAGAATTGGAAGTGGCGTTTGGAAATGGGCATGGAAGTATTTTGAGACAACCTTTGCTGTTGTTACGATCAGATTTATGACATATTCAAGGATACCCAACTCTTTTGAGATTAATTCGAGAAAGTTGATTACGAATTGGAGAAGAACTGAGAAGTGTCTGATTTGCTTGTGCAATAGCTGTCTATTTTGCTCTTTATAGTCCTTATCTATCCTTTTCTGTATTCCTACAAGCGAAGTTTCGATTCGCTTGCAATGAACGGGGACGTAGGACATGTGGTGGCGGGCGTGGATCTGTGGGAGATAGGAAGTCCACTTCCATTGACTATTCTATGGAAGTAACCACAGTTGAAGATACAGATGTTAACTCCATGAATCACATCAAGAACGGTCCCTTCGAATCTGTCTGCAATCCATAGCCCGAGCCCCATCTCCAACCCGTCCCCTTTTGCTCCCACGAAAGTTCAACGCGCAAATCTCTTTTTGGCTTTTGAGAATTCACGAGTACATACTTCGCCACCCTCCACCTTCACATCCGTCCTCCGTCCTCCGTCAAAATCTCTCATACTAGACTGCTTCACAACTCGAAGAACAACATTCGCAGCATCCTTCTCTGATGACCTTCTTGCCGTGCTTGCGCCCGCACTTGAAGTAGTACTCCTCCTTACATTGCCTGAACTGCTTCACCGGAGCCTTCTGGAGGTCGTCGTTGCAGAGAGTGATTTTCTCGTGGCGGCAAGGACAGGTTTTGTAGGTTGCGACGATATCGCGACACATGGTTGTTCTGGGGTGGAAGTGTAGCTGCCCTGTGGGCGCTTACTTGTGTTTTGTCAGTGCTTGATTTAGTATTGCGTAAATGTGGCTTCGATGTAGTGGTACTGTGTTTCCCTATGAGGTTGGATGCTTGAGTGTCTGGGTGGAGGCGAGATATTTGCTAGTAAAGTTATGGGAGAAAGGGGCGAGTGGAGGGACGTGGCCGACAATATAAGCCCCTGTAAGAGTTGTGAATCATAGGTAGTCACAAGTAATTGTTGCAGTATTTACTGAAGGTTAGGCAGCTATGTTATTGTTCACTGCGGACTATGGGGATGTTTTTTCATTCGTTGATAACGATCACGAGAGTCATAAAAGAAGCGTTGCAACATCAATCGAACAAACAGAACCTATATGTCATTAATAAAACCAAATTTGAGCCTTCTAACATTGCAACCAAGGCTTGGGGAGGATCAGCTTTGGGAGTGCCAGCTCATGGAAAGTCTTCCAGTTTCGGTGAAAGTCCATAACATAACGGAATTGTCGGACTAAATCGTGCAATGAACTGCTTTCCTACAAAGCAATTGCCAGACGTTACCAAGAGGTAATAGTTGGATTCACTGCCCCATATTATTCTCTGAAGGATGTCCCAGTGGTGGCTTCCCGATTAAATCAAATTTAAGCGAAGATGTGGCATGGCACGCCACGCCGACAACAGAGAAGGCACCAGTCATCAACCTCAAGGACGAACAGGAGTGTTTTATCGAAAAAAACAGATAAAACAAAGGACTCTGCGACCCTCGGTAATCTGGCCGCAGTTGCGCTGCCTCCCTTGAATGACGCGAACGCCTCTCGAAGGCGCGACCAGCTCTGGGCGAAGCTGAGGACCCACAGCAGCGTAACAGTAGCCATGGAGGAGGAAGGGCCAATGTCCTGCCCATTCTGTGGCATAAAAGCAGATGGCGATTATCAGATCATGGTGATATCCCGTCTCATATTTTAATACGGATGTGACATCCCTTGCTAAAGGCTCTCGCAGCTGCACTTGGAAACAGTGCATCCGGAAGATGGAGAGTCTCCATTCGTTGTCAAAGACGATGCCAGCATTGCAGCACTGATGTCACTCGATGGTGAACAGGATGACCGTTACGCCAACTGCACAGTTGAGGGTTGTGGTGAGACCCTGCTCTTGACAGAGCTTGAGAGTCACGTCGAGATGCACGAGGTGGAGCAAGACTCTGGGGATGATCAGTCAAGTCGTTCATCGAAGAGACTTAAGCTCGAGCCTCAAATCGGAGCAGCTTTCGATACCAAACTTTCCCATGCCCTCCGGAATCTGGAAGACGTCAATGAACGGCCAGAATCTGAGAGTCCCTCCTCCGATCGACAGGCCGTCGCGAAAGCTACTTGGAAAAGCCTTCTGAAGATGCCAGACTCCTCGTCAAAGACAGCCGCGCCATCGTCCTCGAAGAGTAATCGGCGACGGTTAGGGGCGAGTCTCTCTCAATTGATACTTTGTAGTTCCTCGTCACGTGAAGCTAATGCTTTGGTAGAAATCTGAACTTGGTCCTCATGCACATGAGAAGCAGATGCCATCGTGGCTGGTCAAGCTACTTCAAGAACAGGACGGTGCGTATAAGTCTGGAGCAAGGCTTGACAACCATGGCAACATGAGGAAGGCCAGATGGCGCCACAACATGGCACCTGGTATCATTCCAGTCCTGGAGCGGCTTCTTGACCAAGACGTGTATGTGGAATTTGCATATTTGTGCGACCCAGCAGTCAGGCATGTGTCGAAATTAAAGCGAGAGGGTAAGGGTCAATGAATCAGCCTACTTCTCGATATTTCCATTGACAGAAATAGGTGGTTTTTGTGGTTACCGAAACATCCAGATGATATGTTCCTACATCATTGGGGCTGAATCTCAAGGCTATGAGCACTTCAAAGGGAAGATTCCAAGCATTTTTGATATTCAAGAAAACATCGAGCAGGCGTGGGATCTTGGCATCAACGCTCAAGGTCGTATCGAAACCGGTGGAATCCGCGGGACAAGAAAGTATATTGGAACTCCAGATGTAAGTTGAAAAGCCATAGTTCCAGTTCCTGTTTAATTCTCAAACAATACCTTCTAGTCCTGACTCTTCAAATTAGGCACAAGCAATGTTTTGTTGTTTAGGCATAGCGTGAGTACAGTTTCTCCCAGAACAACATTTCCTATGCTCAACGAACTTAGATGCGATGCGCAAGGTCTCAAGCCCAAGGGAAACTCCAGACCAGCATATGACCTTCTTTTCAACGCGGTTGAACAATACTTCGTCAACGGCTGCGCTGATTACAACCCCAAAGTCCGCTGTACATCCTTACCTCCCATCTACTTTCAACATCCAGGTATGTTTCCATCACATCCTCAAATGCCATTTTCTCAATTTGTTCTAGGCCATTCTATGACTATCGTCGGCTTTGAACGAAAAGCAGATGGCTCCAAGAACATCCTCGTCTTCGACCCCATGTTCCACGACTCCTCCCATGTCACCCAACTCATCGACCTGAGGAACTTCATCCTCAAGCAACCAGAAGATGTCCTACGAGCCTACCGGCGCGGTGCGAAGTATTTGAGGAAGTATAGCGAGTTCGAGTTACTAAAGTGAGTCTTCGTATGCAGTCTGATCGTACCCATAGCTGATGATTTGAAGATTAACACCGCCACCGAAACCCAAACCTGAAGAAGATGCACAGGATAGTGTAGCGTGATGCTTAGCATAGATCGGAGTTTGGAGCAAGGGATAAAGCATTGCAGAGCGGGTCCTTGTCTTCTTATTGCATCGACACAGCGTAGAGCGTAAAGTTATTGCAGTCAATGGATTACCGCATGAGCATGAATAATCGTGGATTCGAGTGATGCAGCAGAAGTGACTCCATGATTCTCCAAGCATGACACGGGTGGCACGATAACTGACGGAATTCCTTGAATCTAGAATTTAAGCAAACGTGATCCTAATTACATGTCTTTTCAATTTCCCCTCAACTGTATGCGCCTGCATGAACTCCAATCCAGGATCATACCATGCCATCTTTATCTTCAGTGCCCTGAACCTTAACGCCTTGCAAATAAAAGACAACTCCAGCCCAATCCAGAGCCTACCATGCCATTACAATCAAATGCCAACCGCAAGTCTCTCTCACGCCTCCCTAGGCTCCCACCAAAACACGGAGAACATCCCCAAATCATCTGACCATATTCATCTACGATACATGTCTCGATCCCGATCATGAGTTCTCTCCAAAGGTTCTCTCTCCCTGACTCTGTCTCGCTCGCGATCACGAACTGGGCTGCGACTGCGACTTCGGGTTCGTCCGCTTCTACTGCGCTCATCGTAATCGAGCCTGTCCCGGTCCCGCTCTCTATCTCTGTTCTCGTGACGACGCTCATCTCGGTCATCGCGTCTTCGAGGGCGGTCATCTCTTTCTCTTGAAAGTCGATCATCTCTTGAAGGTCGATCGTCTCGCGGAAGGCGGTCATCTCGTTCTCTCGAAGATCGATCGTTCCTTGGAGGGCGATCGTCTCGTCTTCCGCTGTCTGGCCCGTAGCTTGGGATATACGTGTCGATAGATGGTGCGCCAGTTCTGTTTCTTGGAGGAGCCCGATCACGGTCGAGATCACGAGACCGGGATCTATAGCCATCTGGACGCTCCCTCGCTCCATCATAGGCTGAATAATCTGCTGGCGGAGGTCTAGGTGGCAATCTTGTATCTGGTCTGTCGTCGCGGTGTCGTTCCCATGCTCGTCTACGCTCCTCTTGCGGTGGTGGTGGAGGGATCCCGTTGCGATGACCGCCGTGAGGTGGGTAGCGACCGCCATTTTGTTGACGATATCCGTAGTTGTCTCCATTTCCAAATCCCCCATGGCCATTTGTTGTCGGTTCACCTCCCCAATTGCCAGCGCCCATCCCCACAGTTCCCCCTTTCGGAGCTGGTGGAGGAGCGGCCTTCTGGCCTCTGAACTTTCTGCGATCCAACTCGTGAGAGTCTTCCATGACCGGGAGATCTCCAGCCTTTGCGGGTAGTGGAGCATTGCGGAAGTATGGATGCTTCAATGCATCAATCGCATTGACTCGCTTTCTCCAGTCCAGTTTGAGCAACTCGTTCAGAAGCGAAATGGCGCCAGAGCCAGCCTCTCGAAAACGTTGTGCAACAGTAGGCAGATGCGGTAGAAACTTCAAGCCATCGGCGCCTGGCAAAGACTTCCATCCTGGCATATTCTCGTCCGTAGGGGTACCAACTAATTCGAAAATTATCTTGAGCTGGTTCGCATCACTGTCTCCCGCGAGAATTGGTTTTCCAGTTAACATCTCTCCAAACACACATCTATTGAAACGTCAGTGGCTGAACTAGAAGGACGTCTGAGAATACCGACCCAACCCCCCACATATCTATAGCAGTCGTATATTTTCTCAAATGCAAGAGAAGCTCGGGAGGTCGGTACCAACGAGTAACTACAAGAGATGTGTAGTCACGACGGGCTTCTCCGCCTCCGCGCCCAGCGACCGGGACAGGTTCATCGTAATGACGAGCCAAGCCAAAATCTGCAATCTGTAGAATGCCTTTGTTGTTGATCAAGAGATTTGCAGCCTTCATGTCTCGATGCAGGATGTGATTGTCGTGAAGATACCGCAAGCCTTCCAACAGTTGCAACATATAACACTTGATTTGGGCCTCTGTGAGTGTGATGCCGGGGTTCTCGAGAAGGCCAGAGAGATCGTGGTCCATGTACGGTGTGACCATATACATAATCGCTCGTTTTTTTTTATCGGCGGGTTTCGAGTGGTGTTCAACTGCCATCTCTTCCAGCTTGAGAATGTTCGGGTGTGACAAGAGCTTGAGAAGCTTGATCTCTCGAAGAGCTGTGATAGGGAATCCATCTTTCTCGTTGTGCATCAAGATCTTCTTCAACGCAACCACTGCCCCTGTCTTCTTCGATTTTGCGCGATGAACCTCTCCGAATGTCCCTTCTCCCAACTTGCCTAGTACTTCGTAGTCAGTAATCCTCGAGCAGCCCAAGAAGCGGGTTTGAGGTCGAGCGTGTTCTCTGGCGAAAGCAACAAAGTCGCCGGGCGGACTTGGCTGATGAGCAGGAGTCTCCATCTTTCAGTTGAGCTGAGAGTGTGTAAGTTGGTGGAGTGACTGAAGTGAGGTGCGCAAGCTGCGAGTTGGTTGTCCCAGTCTCAGTTCGTCCTTTGAAGGTTCCAGTGTTGAGAAGGAGGGAGAAGGATCGAAGGAGACAACATCAGAGGGGGGTTAAAACGGCTCAAGACAAAAGTCTTGCGCATCGTATTATAGTTCGAACAATAGTACCATACGTACTTGGACAATAGCAAGATGCGACTGCCGTTCATTCACCAAACACTGCTCACAATAGTTGCAAGGCAATCCCCCGAGTGAGCTTCTTAGCGCCGGAGCGGACTTACAATTATCCTGATCTCGCTGTCGCTCGACCTCGAACTCTGGACCATCCTAATCGAACCTAACCCGACGCCAACAGAGGACAGCACACTCAGGGACTCAAGTCAGGACTATTTCTTTAAGTCCGCCATCGTGAGTACATGGAGAACCCACTATTTGCGCGTGGCTGACAGAATTGACAGAGCAATGGCAGGCAAACCAATGGCGGGCAAACATCCAATTCACATCCATCCAGCTCCTTTGTTCTACCGTGTAGCAGCGACGGGCATTTCAGCGAGCATGTGGTTCTTCGTGAGTCTTTTTGAAAACCTTATTCAACCAATTGCTGACAGTCCTCGCAGTTGATGTATAGAGCGAAAAAAGACGGTACCTTTCCAAGCGACCCTCCACATCGAGCATCTCTAACAAGCAGCAGGTCCTGCGTTATTAGGTTGGAAGCATCCTTGGGACCATTGACAAGACCCTGTTTCAGATCTGGGGAATGTTTACTGGAGGTTGAATTTGGCTGATCAGGCAAGGGAAAGCGATCCGATGTCCCATATACGGCGGCAATGAAGCGTGGTAGAGGGGCAGCTTGTGACTGAATCATTGTACATATGTCCCAGCAAGCATTCAGATTTTTATACTACTTGATTCCAACCATCCATTCTTTGTGTCTATCTATACTTCACTACGAGGACCGAGGCTTTTCGAACAAGTAATGGCTCACGCCCCATGTGTCTCCACCCTCGTACGCAAACAATTCTGCACACGCCATGTAGAAGATTTGCCATCTATGATACCACATGGCGGTATCTTTCTCGCCATAGGTTTCTGTAAGATGTGGCCAAATTTCCTTCTTGCTTGCTGTCATCTTCGACAACCAATCCTGCATCGATCAGCGAGCTGAATTATAAAAGCATTTGTCCACTTGCCTCGCAAGTCTTGGCGTAGTGCTTTCCGTTGACCCACCATTGGGTTTCCAGTTTCAGATCCCGCTGAAAGTAAAGAAGCAAATCTGCAGATGGCATGGTTCCTCCCGAGAAAAAGTGAGTGCTCATCCAACCCTCTTCAAAGTCATACGGGGTCGTATTATGACTGAAGATATGAACGAAGAGCTTTCCTGATGGCTTCAAAGTTCTTGAAATCTTAGCCATGAGAAGCTCATAATTCTTCATATGTTCAAACAGCTGGAGATTTCGTAAGCTGTGTTTACGAACTGGACCCTGTAACAAACCTCGATCGAGACAACACGATCAAAAGCCTCATTCTCGAACTCATAGTCTACTACATTGCCTGTGACGACAGTCAAGTTTTTGAGACCCTTCTCTTTAGCCTTTTGGTCAATGTAGATCTTCTGCGTTCTCGAGTTCGAGAAGGCTGTGACCCTGGAATTAGGAAGCACCTCGGCGAAATACAGAGCTCCAGAACCCCAACCGCATCTAATCCTCTGTCAGTGACTGATCAGCAGGAAAACTCAATCTCAAAACTCACCCAAGATCCAAAATACTCATACCATCTTTCAACTGAGCCTTCTCCACATACGTCTCCAGCATTGCAATCTCTGCTTGGGCCAACGTCTCTCCACCCTTTGGATACAAACAAGAGGAGTACTTCATTCTAGGCCCCAAACAAGCAGTCAGAACCCCGGTGCCGACCTCATAATGCTGCTCATTTGCGGTTGCAGTCTCAATGGCAATGGGTCTGCTGCGAAGGAGTTCCACGTAGCTCATCTTACTTTTGTAAGCTTCTTCCAGAGATGTGCTCTTTATGAGCTCAATACGGTCGCGCAGCTGGCGCCGGATTCCTATACGGATGACAGCGTGTGGGAGGTAGCCTCCATCGAGGATCCAATCTGTAAGAAGTCAGTAATTGAACTGGGTGTGATTCGGGTACGGCTGGAATACCGTAATTCATCTTCACGTCAACAATGTTTCTGCCCAGTCGAAATACTAAGGAGAAGAAAGTATAGTTGTCCTTGAAAGTTGTTGAGTGTCGATTTGCAAACTGTTTGAGAATTCGAGACCAAAGCGCATCCAAGTGTCATCTCTTGCAGCAAATTTGGGTTGCCGTAGAAATTGTGTTAACAACCTCAACATTTTTTGGCTGGAACCATACGTCATTGGCAGCTCGAATATTACACAGACTCTAATTCTTTCATTGTACATTAGAATTATATATACAAGAGTCTATTGTAACGTGCGCATCTCTTCCAGCACAATTTTATATGCCTTGCGCCGTTTTGGTTTTCTGGTAACAGCAGTCTTCAACTTGCCCAAGTACTTCGCCAGTCTCGGCAAAACGTAATTCTCTGATGACCAAGCCAAGACGATATATCCTATCCCTAAAGTTAGGACAAATGATCTAAAATCCCAGCTCATCTTCGTTAATTGCATGAATTTCGCCACCGACTCAGACGGGTCGAATAGCATATAGGAGCAGAATAGGAGTGCTACCACAATTGTCACCACGAATGGTACTACGTAAGAATGAGCCATGGTTATTTCGTAGAATAATATCAGAAGGCTTACAGTTATGGGCCATTGATTGACGGAATGGTGGCCCTACACTCAAGACGATCCCGGACAGGATGTACTCATAGCAAGAGACCAAGAACAGTGTGGTATTCTCTGAGTTTTCGACGTTTGATTTCTCCCTATCCAAGTGGGGAGGTATGAACCTGAAATATGGTTAGCATTGGAAGTAGCAATTTCCGGATTTGAACACGCACCAAGGCTGTCTCCGAACCATCCGAAAGCCGACGGCTTGTATCAAGATGCAAATGGCGATTTGACCCAGTAGTGGCGTCAAGACTTTTCGAGAGACAAGGTTTGCTGTTGGTCGTTTCATACAAAGTACTGGGAAAGGACCAGTCCAACCCACTAAACAAAGTAAGTATGGGCTCGGCTGAGATACAGTCTCACCTACTGAAGATGGCAATGGGGAGAATCAAGACCAGATCAATGAATAAAAACTGTAGTGAATGTCAGTGGACAAAGTAATGTCACAGAACAAGCTTCACTGACCTGAAAGTCTCCCAGATTTGACGCAGAAGCATAGAGGAAGCTGACAGAGGTAAATTGTATGGCAGAATAAAGACTCATGTATTTGAAACAGCTGAAACTTGTTACCAAAGCAGCACGTCCCTCACTACAATAGATAATTAGTCAATGATCATAAGGGATGTGCAACAGCCATACCGAATGACTTCAGGAACGCATGTGATGTCAAAGACACGACTTGTAAAGGGCGCAGCAACAGATGCCTCAGCCTCAGAGAGCGAAATGCCTACATCGGCAGCTTTCAAAGCCCCACAGTCATTGGCACCATCACCACAGAAGCCACAACAATAGTCTATGCTTTGTAGCTTTTCGACAAGTTCATGTTTCTCGTCAGGTGACATGCGAGCAAAAACCTGACCACAAACAAGCATCTTCACTGCGTTAGTACCATAATCAAGAACATGCGGACTTGGACTTACCCTTTGTAGGACTACTGGCTGCGCAAAATCAATAATCCATCGGAAGACATCTCCGCTAACTGCAAGAGAGTAGTTACGCAGGTTAGAAATATCGTAAGGGAGTGAGGCATCTCCCTCTGCTGGCGGTGGTAAAGGCTGGTTATCTTAGCAGTAGCACAATAAAAGGTAGCATCTACAAACCGTAAGAGTATGCTCATCAAGAGTGAAAATATTATTGTCAATGCTTTCCCAAGATAGCCGGGCTTTGGGGTCCTGAAAATCTCCTATGATCTTGTTAGCATTGTTAAAGGTCTGGGATTTGAAAACTACCTTCACCAAAGTGAGGGACAAAACAGTGAGCAGTCTTGTCAATGAGATTGCACTCTCGGGCTACACTAATAGCAGTCAAAATATTATCTCCGGTGCACATGACCTTTCGGATTCCTGCTTTGGAGAGCTCGTCCAGTACCCCTGCTGTACTGGGTTTCAATTTATTTTCAAAGATGATAAATCCGATAAAGTCCAGTCCAGATTCGGCTTCTGCGCGCTTCATCTTTTGAACCTTGACCCAGTTCAGTTTGGCAATATGTTTTGTTGCACATGCAATGACCCGAAAGCCACGATGAGTATAATAAGCAAGCAACTCTTCATAATCGCTGGGAACTGTACCTTGGTAAGTAAACGAGCGCAATTCTATGTAGGAAAGGATGGATTCTTACAGCTTTCAGCTCTACATACATCCTTCATACACTCGGGTGCGCCTTTGACGTAGACATCACAGCCTGGAGACCCAAAGTTTCGAACGATGACGCTTGCCCTTCGAAGTTGATACACGAACTCGAACGACTTCAAGACACCGAGTTCAATCGGTGATCGCTGTGAGTAATGTTAGAAGGCGTTCGTAGGGGTTTTGAGGCTATACGATCCAGACTTACGCTGGTGCTTTGTGGGTTGTCATTATCATCGATGTCGTATTCCATCCCAGCAGGCGGTCTGGCAATTGAAGGCGACAACCCACCTTGCTCTTCATCCTCAGTATCGCCGCCTCGTTGCTGGCCTTCCTCGAAAGACCAGCCAGTAAATTCGAACATTTTCACATCGAGGGGATCGCCGACTAGTTCCCCTTCGACCACCCTCAGGGAATGGCATGTAGCCATAGTGTGGAGCACAGCTTTGTGGAGATCATATTCAACAGTGGGATCACGCTCATAAGCCGCAACAGGAAGTAAGGATAGGGCATCGGCAAGTATATCGCTGAACCGATTTAGAGGTTTCTGTGCGACGCGAATGCCGAGGACATCCAGACCATCCTCGGTAAGTGTGCCTGTTTTATCAAAACATACAATGTCGAGCTTTCCCCCAACGTTAACTCTTTGAGGACTAATACAGAAGATCTGCTTCTTCCTCAGACGGGAAAGTGCAAAATTCGTTCCGATCGACAGAGTTGCTGGAAGGGCTGGTGGGACAACAATGGTGATCAAGTCCAGGGCTCTGACAATGATCAAGTGCCAAGCCAACTTCAGGCGAACAAAATTGATGAAGGATGCAATGAACCCCAGCAGTGCAATTCCACCCATGACAGAGATGTATCTGAAAGAATCTCGGTAAAACTTAAATCCAGAGGGCTTGGGAAAGAGCATCGATCGAACAAGAGCGCCTTTCGTAGTATTGAAGCCCGTTCTCACGGCCATGGCAAGTGCAACAGCCTCATCATCTTTGTCGTCCTGTGGGCGCCTGGCTCGGATTATCTTGGTTCCGCAGAATAAGAAGTGTCTCGCAAGATCAGCAGCAATGGATGAAGCTGTTAGGTTGAGAAGCCGCAGTGATTGATCTGTTGCCGGGACTTTCGATACAGGTACAGATTCGCCTGCAAATTAGAGCTTATATGAAATGATTGGATCAGGCCATACCTGTTAGCATGCTTTCATTGACGATGCAGTCGCCAGTGAGGAGAATGCTATCACATGGAAATTGTGTCAAGGCAGGGTCTGTTACTTCGTACACATCTCCTGGAACCAGTTCGCTTGATGGCACGTAGCGCCCTATAAATGCATTAAATCACAAAACAACAGGATGATTGAGAATTCTTACAGAAAGAGTTGCGTAATACTCGAACGTCACATTCAAACCTGGAGATTTCCCGAAGCCTTCTCATGGTCTGAAAAATATATCAGTGGGTGATATGGACACACGACATAGTACTCACCGAGCGAGTTTCCAGAAGAGTTGTAGTAATGCTCACTGCAGAGATGAGGAAGATACAGGCGGCGTAGTAGTAGTATTCATCAAAGGACCAGAGAATAAGACTGGCAATTTGAAATACATAGAAAGGGTGAAACGCCTGTTGCAAGTAAGCACGATTCTACGAAGTCACTGAGAGTACAAACCTCATCTATCAGCAGTTGCGGGATAGTCTTTTGCTTTATATCGATAAGATTCTTTCCGAATACAAGTTCTCGGATTTCTTTCTCATCTCCATCGATCCCAGCTCGGATAGACTTAACATCGGTCCAAGCTGGATCCTTCCAACTGTTGCTAAGAACAAACCTGTCCTTCACTGGGTGGAAGGAGAATCGCATATATCGATAGTCAAGTATACGAAGGTCCTCGAGAACAGGGTCATCATCCTCTTCGTCTAACACCGCATAACGCTTCTCTGATGCCCCAAAAACAGTTGACATTGAACGGCCATACTCTTTGGAGTCAATGCCTTGAACCACCATTTCTCCCCATTGATTCTACTGAGATTAGCAAGGGGTCATGAATATGTATTGACATCATGAAAATGTCATCGTTCGGACAATGATTGAGACTGACCTCTATAACAACCCAACTGCAGCTTCGCATCGGGCATGGCGTACCGACTATACGTACTTGCCATCGTGGCAGCCAACGGAAGAGAAGATATCCAAGACCAAATGTAAGAACACAAATGGTTGTGTATAAGGCAAGGCCTGATGTGGAAGTCGTAAACCCAGCCACCACAATAGTAAGATCCTCCGTGACTATGTATATCTTCTGGCTGGTCCGATGCCCCCGACCAAAATTGCTCCCATTGCTATCACTTCGGAGCAAGCGATCATGGACCGAGGCTCTCGAGTGTCCAGAAGACGTCCTTCTCATTGTAGATAGCTCGCCAGCTTCCAGATCAGCCTCCTCTTCCTCCTCTTCAAAATTGAGCTCGGATTCATCGTCTAGGATTGCACTGTCGTCTGAAGGCTGTAAAGGCTCCTCGTCGTAAAATGTGAAGCTTGTTGTCGAGTCGGCTCGCTCCCGACGGTGGAGAAAAGATGAATTGGAGGTAGGTACACTCTCGCCCATGGGACCAGAAAAAACTTCGTCCTGGGCCATTTCAACATCGTCAAGAAAGCTTGAAACCGACGCGTTTGTCAAATTGGAGTCTCTTCGGTATACTGGGCCATACTGGCCGTTCGAGGAGCCATTTCTTCGAGAGCTGCTCCTCAGGCCCCGATGAATGGGCATGCCATTGGATTCGTCCATCTTAAAAGTAACAATAACACGCCGTGCGCGTGTCCGGCATTTAGAGATAGGTTACCATGGTGGTTGAATGATTGGAGGTGAAGACGTCGAGAAATTCACCTTCATTGACATTCAGCATTACAGGAGACTGGCTTGGCGTACTTTTATCTTATCGGGCGTCGGCACCCGGAGCGACTGGGGGGCAAAGCGGGACCATTAGCGAGCACCTGTTGGGGCTCCCAGCAAAGTCTCAATCTTTTTCACCTCCACAACTGCAAAATATTGACACTGTCAACCTCGACACGTCAAATCACCGATCTTTCATTCTACCAACCTGTTCCAGGTCTCTCACGATTTGATCGCTATCCGGCAAGATGTCTGACATACCCAAAAAGCAGAACACTACGGGTGCGCCGTGCGTAATACCAGACAAACCAACAGTAGTACATCAACCTGATTGTTTTCTCTAGAACCCCTCAGAATACTCCCGCGAGCCAGGCGCCCATCAGTTCTCACGCGCAACAGCCAGGAGTTAGTACAATCAAAGAAGGTGTGTTGACCGCGTTTGCTCACCGTGTTTTTCCTGCTCACCTTTGCCTCTCACCGATTGTTTTTGTCCAGCACTAACGTTCTTCACAGAGGAGTTTGACCGCGCTGCAGCAGCCTCTATCTTCGCCCAAAATCCCAAATTGGTCTCCTTGATTCAAGGTAAACTTGGTTCTCTCGTTGGCCGATCATCTGGATACGTTGAGAGTCTCCCTACGAATGTTCGTCGTCGAGTTGCAGGCCTGAAAGGTGTCCAAAAGGAGCATTCAAAGTTGGAGGCCGAGTTTCAAGAAGAGGTTTTAGAGCTGGAAAAGAAATACTTCGCCAAGTTTACTCCTCTTTATCAAAAGCGAGCTACCATCGTCAATGGCCTCGCCGAGCCCACCGCCGAGGAAATCAAGACCGGTGAGGAAGATGAAGAGGAGCAGGGCGAGGCAGATACTGCTGAGAAGTCAGAGGAGGTATCTGATGTCAAGGGTATTCCGGAATTCTGGCTCTCTGCCATGAAGAACCATGTCTCGTTGGCAGAGATGATTACCGACAGAGATGAGGCCGCTCTTAAGGACCTGACCGACGTCCGAATGGAGTATCTTGACAAGCCTGGATTCCGCTTGATCTTCGAGTTCGCCGAGAACGACTTCTTCAACAACAAGACAATCACAAAGACCTACTTCTACCAGAATGAGAGCGGGTACGGTGGTGACTTTATTTACGATCACGCTGAGGGAGACAAGATCGATTGGAAGACTGGCAAGGATTTGACGGTACGGATTGAGAGCAAGAAGCAACGTAACAAGAGTAAGTATTAAGCTCCTGCTTTTATTAAACTTGGCTAATTTACATTTCCAGACACAAAGCAAACCCGTGTTGTCAAGAAGACCGTCCCAACCGAGTCATTCTTCAACTTCTTCTCTCCGCCAAAGGCACCAACAGACGAAGATGACGATGATGCTGCTTCGGATATTGAGGTACGTCTGGAACTCGACTATCAGTTGGGAGAGGACATCAAGGAGAAGCTCATCCCACGTGCGATTGATTGGTTCACTGGAGAGGCCCTTCAATTCGAGGAGGTGGACGATGAGATGGAGGAGGGTGACTTCGAGGACGAGGTAAGCATTCCGTCAATTTCCGCAATCACAAAAAAGGGATAACTGACAAATGTCACTACAGGATGATGAAGAAGATGATCTTTCTGAGAACGACGACGAGGAAGAATCAGATGATGATGTATATGTCCCCATCCATATTTGTGAACATGTTGTGCTAACTGGTGTAGGATGACGCGGCCAAACCCAAGCAAGAGGCTGCCGAGTGCAAGCAAAGCTAAATGGTCATCGGTTTTGGCTTCTCATACAAATATCCAGGCTGTCATACAGTTGACTTGTTACACACCACCTCCACATCCGCCTCCACATCATGCCTCGACTTGTTAGGGAAGAAATTTGCACGGCATAGGAGTCTTCACATGCATTGTGTCTTTCCCAGTCCTTTAGACTAGCTAATCAGCCATTCAAGGCCTTTACTTCTCCATTTGTCGTTTTATCGGATCAGTTCATTTGTGTAAATGTCGCAGAGGCGTTCGTAGATGACGAATCAGAAAAGTTCACTGAAGTTTGATCGTGCCCTTAGGTTTGTACATGAGGCGTGTGTTGACAGACGGGGTCTTTCTTGTTGGCACCGTCCACCATCCCCATCCCAACGGCCCGGAAATGTTGATTACTTGACAAGGCTGAAGTGGAGTGGCTAAGAGACCCCTGCATAAAAATCTCTTCTATCAGCCTTGTGCTTGTAGATGACGCGAGACCGCCGCCCCAAATAAATCCAAGAACCTGACTCACCTACCTTACATTCCTTTCCTTCCATCAAGCACCTTCCTTCAATCAAACACAAAATCATGGCTACTCAAGCACAAGATATAGTCGGGTCTCCCAATCGACTTGCTAGAGTCGTTTCGCACAGCCTCAGCATCTCTCCCACTGCAACGTTCCATTCCCCGCCCTCCAGCTTTGGAGGGGCACAACTTACTCGGACCATAACGGCACCAAAGCAGTTGAAGCCCTTTGACACGCAAGACATCAAGATTCTGCTCTTGGAAAATGTCAATCAGAGTGGCCGTGATATCTTGGCCGCGCAGGGCTATCAAGTTGAGGCCTTGAAAACCTCGCTGCCGGAGGATCAATTAATTGAGAAGATTCGGTGGGGCAATCCGTCTTGAAAGTATTGCAAGCGTAACTAATTGCGGCACAACAGCCAAGTCCACGTTATCGGAATCAGATCAAAAACAAAGCTCAGCGAGAAAGTGCTCCGTGAAGCAAAGAATTTAATTGTTGTTGGCTGCTTCTGCATTGGCACGAACCAGGTTGATCTTGACTATGCTGCTAGGCATGGTATTGCAGTCTTCAACTCTCCGTTTGCGAATTCCAGGAGTGTAGCAGAGTTGGTGATTGCTGAGATCATTACTCTTGCCCGACAACTTGGAGATCGTTCAAATGAGCTCCACAGGGGAACATGGAACAAAGTTAGTAGCAAATGTTGGGAAATTCGAGGGAAGACTCTTGGTTAGTTACCCCGGTTTAAATCGATGCAAATCGACGGAGACTAACAAAACTTGAAAGGTATAATTGGATACGGCCACATTGGCTCCCAGTTATCAGTCCTCGCAGAGGCAATGGGTATGTCGGTAATTTACTACGATATCCTGAATCTGATGGCCTTGGGAACTGCAAAGCAAATGCCAACACTCTCGGCCCTCCTCAACGACGCCGATTTCGTTACCTGCCACGTTCCCGAACTTCCTGAAACGAAGAATATGATTGGAGCAGATCAATTTGAACAGATGAAGCAGGGAAGTTATCTGATCAATGCCTCTCGTGGTACGGTGGTCGACATTCCAGCTCTGATCAACGCTTCACGTAACGGCAAGATTGCAGGGTCTGCTCTGGATGTGTATCCAAGTGAACCTGGTGGAAATGGTGATTACTTCACGAATGACTTGAATCCCTGGGCAGAGGATCTTCGAAGCCTGAAGAATATCATTCTCACGCCTCACATTGGAGGTAGTACGGAGGAGGCCCAGCGTGCGATTGGAGTTGAGGGTAGGTCAGACTTCTGCATAGGTGAATTCGGCGTGCTAATAGCGGTCTAGTTGGCGAGGCATTGGTTAGATATGTTAATTCTGGAGTCACTCTCGGTTCTGTCAATCTTCCAGAGGTCAACCTTCGTTCTCTCACCATGGATGAGCCCAACCACGCCAGGGTAAGTCTTCTTCAACCTGGCCATCGGAATAGAGCTCACTGTTTCAGGTCATCTATGTTCATCACAATGTACCGGGTGTGCTGAGAAAAGGTAATCCACTCCTTCCCTCGCTGCTCGTTACCATACTAACTGCAATAGTCAATGAAATTCTCGGAGACCATAACGTTGACAAGCAGATCACTGATAACAAGGGAGATGTAAGAGAGTTCACTCATGCCTCCAGATATGCTTGCTAATAAAACACAGGTCGCCTACTTAATGGCTGACATCAGCGACGTCCGCCCCGGACAGATTAAGGAGATCTCTGATAGCTTGGAAGCTTTGAGCTGTAAGTTTGGTGCCCCGTTCGGAGTATTCAAGATCCTAACATAACCAAGCCCGCATCATGACACGTATTTTGTACTGATTTGAGGGGGTTCTTTCCTTCCATAAAATAAGAACGGAGGGTTGCATTCAACTGGAGTGGGAGGCGTCTTGGGATTGGACTGATCCCTTCAACACAAACGAGTCATTTATAAATGATAGTCCAAAAAAGCATGAGCAAACATCGTGTATAGAAGGATAGAAATGAAATGTTGACCGAAATTGCATGATGAAATCTTCTTGTTATCGGGCCGGTCCCAACAAGGAAGTGGATGAATGTGAATATGGATAACACGACGGTCTGACAACTGCTCCCCCCGGGGACGATTGAGATTCAAACAATGCACGCTCAATTTTCCGTGATGGTTTACCCAGCCATTCGGATGGAGTGTAACTCGTAAAGACTGAATGCGGGCTGATGCTTGGGCCTCTTCAAGCCACGAAGCATATGTTTCAAAAAAAAATTGGGCGGTGTGGTGGTGATCTGGAAGACAAGGGCAATCAAGCAAATAAAAAGGGTGTATACGCGTGGATAGATGATGGGAAAGCGAGTTGTGCCATCTGGGAGATTCCAATTGCGCGGATTCAATTTCGTGACACGAAAATCAACCAAGCCAAAGTCTTCCATGTGAAATACCGCAAGACCCTTTATTGGACATTCAGCACAGGCTACGGGGTACGGGCACTAGAAAAATAGGGGCTGGCACGGCTGGGAGTCCTCGCTAACCATACAGTAGCCGCTCATTTTGCTGGGATCCTTGCACGTCGCGACAACTCTCACGTACCTCTCCTGTTTTAACAGATGAATTTTATCTTCAAGAACCACCAGCGACCGCGAGCCTCCCGCAGCGGCCAGTTTTCACCTCAATAATCGCTCATTTCCTGCTTCATTCCCTTCGTCGCCTTTTGTTCATGCAGGCTGATCCTGCAGCTCTCGCTCCCGAATTATTCTGTCAGTTGAAGGACGTTGGGACCAGGGCTAGCTTCAGCCATCAAGACCGCCTAGATGGCGCACAGTTATGATGTTGGCACAAAAGCATGGCAGCCAGATGCCACCGAGGGCTGGGTGGCCTCTGAGGTCACCTCGAAGAAGGTTGATGGGGACAAAGTCTTCCTGGTCTTTGAGCTCGCAAACGGCGAGGTCCGTCCATCCCCAGAAGCCCCCAGGACCTTGGTCCTGTTCGAATTCGAGATTCTTGATTGCTAACATACATTCCCATGACAGACCAAGAACGTTGAGACAAATGCAGGAGCTCTTGCAGAGGCCAATAACCCGCAACTGCCTCCCCTGATGAACCCGACCATGCTCGAAGCCAGCGACGACTTGACCAATCTATCACATCTTAATGAACCTGCGGGTATGTTCAATTGGGAGCCTTATTTTCGCTAATACTGATGACTCTGCGTAGTCCTTCAAGCAATTCGATTACGCTACTCGCAAAAAGAAATATACACATACAGCGGAATCGTCCTGATCGCCACGAACCCCTTCGCGCGGGTAGACTCTCTATATGTGCCGGGAATGGTGCAAGTATACGCAGGAAAACAAAGAGCAACGCAGGCACCCCATCTATTTGCTATTGCTGAGGAAGCTTTTGCGTAAGTACCACGCATAATCTTGAGGGTGCTTCACTAATCCTTGGTAGCGACATGCTGCGGAGTGGGAAGAACCAAACAATTGTGGTATCCGGAGAATCTGGAGCTGGAAAGACGGTCAGCGCCAAGTATATAATGCGATATTTTGCTACAAGGGAATCGCCGGACCAACCTGGGACGCGGAAGCGTGGAGTGGAGGCAATGAGCGAGACTGAAGAACAGATTCTCGCTACGAATCCCATCATGGAAGCTTTTGGTAATGCAAAGACCACGCGAAACGACAATTCCTCTCGATTTGGAAAGTACATCGAAATCATGTTTGATGACAAAACAAACATCATCGGGGCCAAGATACGGACTTACTTGCTAGAACGCTCGAGGCTAGTCTTTCAACCTCTGAAGGAACGGAATTACCACATTTTCTACCAATTGGTAGCAGGAGCAAGTGAAAGTGAACGCCAAGAGCTGGGATTGCTGCCAGTGGACGACTTCAACTACCTCAACCAGGGGAGCTCTCCTACGATCGATGGGGTTGACGACAAGGCGGAATTCGAGGCTTTGAAGAAATCGTTGACGACCATTGGGGTAACCAGCAGTCAACAGTCCGAGATTTTTAAGTTACTTGCCGCACTGCTTCACCTGGGTAATATCAACATCACGGCTTCACGGACCGATTCTGTTTTGGCGTCGACGGAGCCCTCCCTAGTGAAAGCCACCGCAATTCTTGGGGTTGATCCAGTTGAATTTGCAAAGTGGACCGTGAAGAAACAGCTGATTACCAGAGGGGAGAAGATCACCTCGAACTTGACACAACAACAAGCAACCGTTGTCCGAGACTCTGTTGCAAAATTTGTCTACTCGAGTCTTTTCGACTGGCTGGTGGAGAATATTAACCATGCTCTTGCTACGGACGAGGTCATCAGTCGAGTCAAGTGTTTCATTGGCGTTCTCGATATTTACGGATTCGAACATTTTGCCAAGAACTCGTTCGAACAATTTTGCATCAACTATGCAAACGAGAAACTCCAACAAGAGTTTAATGCCCACGTCTTCAAATTAGAGCAAGAGGAGTATCTGAAAGAACAAATCGACTGGACCTTTATCGACTTCTCAGACAATCAACCCTGCATAGATCTGATTGAGGGAAAGCTGGGTATATTGTCATTGTTAGACGAGGAATCAAGACTTCCCATGGGATCCGACGAGCAGTTCGTTACCAAGCTGCATCACAACTATGCAGCGGACAAGAATAAGTTCTACAAAAAGCCCCGCTTTGGGAAATCAGCCTTTACTGTTTGTCACTACGCTATCGATGTCACTTACGAGTCGGATGGTTTCATTGACAAGAACCGGGATACGGTTCCTGATGAGCATATGGCTGTGTTGAGAGCCTCTTCTAACAAATTTTTGGGTCAGGTATTGGACGCTGCGTCTGCTGTTCGGGAGAAAGATACTGCCTCCGCTGCATCGGCGGCAGTAAAGCCTGTTCCCGGCCGAAGGATAGGGGTTGCGGTCAACAGGAAACCCACATTGGGTGGTATCTTCAAATCGTCGTTGATCGAACTCATGCACACGATCAACAATACAGATGTTCACTATATTCGATGTATCAAACCCAACGAAAGCAAGGAGTCATGGGTTTTCGAGGGACCCATGGTATTGAGCCAGTTGCGAGCTTGTGGTGTGCTTGAGACTGTCAGAATTTCTTGCGCTGGATATCCAACGAGATGGACATACGAGGAATTTGCGCTGAGGTATTACATGCTTGTGCCTTCATCAGCATGGACGTCGGAGATTCGAGCAATGGCAAATAAAATACTTACAAAGGCGCTTGGAACCAGCAGCGGCGGAGGCCTCGACAAGTATCAGCTTGGTCTGACGAAGATCTTCTTCCGCGCGGGCATGTTGGCTTTTCTTGAGAACCTCCGAACAAATCGCCTGAACGATTGTGCGATTATGATACAGAAGAATTTGAAGGCAAAATACTGCCGACGCAAGTACCTCGAGGCAAGAAATGCGATTCTGTTCTTTCAGTCAGCTACAAGAGCTCATCTTGCTCGGAAACATGCACAAGAAACTCGCAAGATCAAAGCCGCTACAACGATACAGAGGGTGTGGCGTGGCCAGAAAGAACGCAAAAAGTTCAATGCTATTCGAAACAATGTTATCCTCGCACAAGCTGCTGCGAAAGGTTTTTTGCGCAGAAGGGAGATTATGGAGACGCGTGTTGGCAACGCTGCTGTTCTGATCCAGAGAGTGTGGCGGTCAAGGCAGCAAAAGAAGAGCTGGAGACAATACCGACGCAAAGTCGTTATTATCCAGAGCTTGTGGAGGGGTAAGCAAGCTCGCCGTGGCTATAAGAAGGTCCGCGAAGAAGCACGCGATCTCAAACAAATCTCCTATAAGCTGGAGAACAAGGTGGTGGAGCTTACGCAATCTCTTGGCTCTATGAAGAGAGAGAACAAGACCCTCCTCAGCCAAGTCGAGAACTACCAGAACCAGATCAAATCGTGGCAGACAAGGCACAACGCCCTCGAAACACGCTCGAAGGAATTGCAAGGCGAAGCGAACCAGGCCGGCATCACTGCGGCTCGTCTTTCGGCCATGGAAGAAGACATGAAGAAGCTCCAGCAAAATTTCGACGAGTCAGTTGCCAATATTAAACGCCTCCAGGATGAGGAGAAGGAATTGAGGGAATCTCTGAGAGTGTCTAAACTTGACGCTGAAGAGACCAAGAGAGCCAGCCAGGTTCACGAGACAGAAAAAGTGACTCTTCGCCAACAACTTGCAGAGCTGCAAGATCAACTCGAGCTTGCCAAGCGAGCTGTTCCGATCATGCCGACCAATGGTGAACTCACAAATGGAGCCGCGGTTCAGCAACCATCCAACGGGTTCATCAACTTGGTATCGTCAAAGAAGCCAAAGAGACGCAGCGCTGGTGCCGAAACGCGCGATATCGACCGCTTCAGTGGTGCATACAACCCTCGCCCGGTATCAATGGCTGTTACCGGCAGCAATCTCCATCGCCAAGGCCTTCCTGGGTCTACCTTCCTTCCAGGTGTTGACAACGTGGAATTCGAGCTTGAGAATCTTCTTGCAGACGAAGATGGCCTTAATGACGAGGTAACCATGGGGTTGATCCGCAACCTCAAGATACCCGTTCCATCCACGGCACCATCACCAACAGACAAGGAGGTCCTCTTCCCCTCATACTTGATCAACCTTGTCACCTCTGAGATGTGGAATAATGGATTCGTGAAGGAGTCAGAGAGGTTCCTCGCGAATGTTATGCAGTCGATCCAACAGGAAGTCATGCAGCATGATGGAGAAGAAGCAATCAATCCTGGTGCATTCTGGTTATCAAACGTCCACGAAATGCTCTCCTTTGTGTTCCTTGCTGAAGATTGGTACGAAGCTCAAAAGACGGACAACTACGAATATGATCGTCTTCTTGAGATTGTCAAGCACGATCTTGAGAGCTTGGAGTTCAACATCTACCATACTTGGATGAAAGTTCTCAAGAAGAAGTTGCAAAAGATGATCATCCCCGCGATCATCGAGTCCCAGTCACTTCCCGGCTTTGTCACCAACGAGAGCAACCGATTCCTGGGTAAACTTCTCCAAACCAACTCGACGCCAGCATTTAGCATGGATAACTTGTTGAGTTTGCTCAACAACGTCTTCAAGGCGATGAAGGCATACTATCTTGAGGATTCCATCATCACTCAGACAATCACGGAGCTACTTAGACTGGTTGGAGTTACTGCGTTCAATGATCTTCTCATGCGAAGGAACTTCCTTTCCTGGAAGCGAGGTCTGCAGATCAACTACAACATAACGCGAATTGAAGAGTGGTGCAAGAGTCATGATATGCCTGAAGGAACGCTGCAGCTTGAACATCTCATGGTAAGAAAATCTCTGAACGTCCACTGACAATTTTATACTGACAATTTCACAGCAAGCAACCAAGCTCTTGCAACTCAAGAAAGCGACCTTGAATGATATCGAGATCATTCAAGATATCTGTTGGATGTAAGCAACTGCGCATTCACATTGGACTCAACAAATACTGACTTGTGTACAGGCTGTCGCCAAACCAGATTCAGAAGTTGCTGAACCAATACCTCGTGGCTGACTACGAACAGCCCATCAATGGCGAGATCATGAAAGCTGTTGCCTCTCGAGTCACAGAGAAGAGTGATGTTCTCCTTCTTACCGCCGTGGATATGGATGATAGTGGACCCTATGAGATCGCTGAGCCTCGTGTCATCACAGCTTTGGAAACATATACTCCATCTTGTATGAAATCCCTCCATGATCCCTTCCATTCCCGCGACTAATCGCTTTACAGGGCTTCAAACTCCGCGCCTGAAGCGTCTTGCAGAAATTGTTTCTGCCCAAGCCATAGCTCAACAAGAGAAGCTTGAATACCCGCAAGACGATATCAATGATCTCTCTGACAGCGACCCAAATGGCGCTTGATCGAAACCCGACCTCGCCATAAAACCCTTTCTCACATCCACTTCACTTCTCGTGTACCATTTTCTCTCCAAACGTCTTAGATGATCTTCTACCATTGGCTTCACGGGCCTTTTGTATATGGAACGTTCTTCCCTGTTAGCGTAAATCTGATGTCTTATGTAGAACCTGGTACTTGTTGAATGATTGCACATGGGACATCTAGTGCATTGTAGAAATCATTTGATTCTTGGCGTTGAACTTTTAAGGATAGGGGCTCGTGGAAGGGAGCGACGATCGTCCTTCACTCGATCCTGAGGCGAAGGTTAGGGATATACATGGTAGAGGAATTAATACTCAAATGTGACTATGAATCATAAACTTCATTGGACAGTCCGATTTGCACTTACCTCCGTACACTATGTGAGATTTGCATATCAATTCGTTAAGAGGGGTGAACCTGAACTGGAGGCTCATCACGTGAAACTTGGCTTTCTTATCGATAACGAGACTCGCAGAGAAAAAAATTCCCGGACGACAGTGAACCACGGAGAGAGCACACGATGAGGACTCAACCAAATATCATTGTGACTGGCACGCCAGGAGTTGGCAAGACGACTCACTGCGAGACTCTCGCCCAAAACACAGGCCTGAGACACCTTTCCATCAACGATATTGTCAAGGAGCGCGGCTGTCACGATGGCTACGATGAGGATTTCAAGAGCTGGATCGTGGACGAAGACAAGGTCAGCACATTCCTTTTCCTTGAATGCGAAGCTAACGGGCTAGTAGCTACTTGATTCAATAGAGGATGAGGTGAAGCAAGGGGGTTATATCATCGATTGGCACGCGTGCGACTTGTTCCCGAGAAGCTGGATTGATCTCGTTGTAGTCCTGCGGGTGGACTCGACGCTTTTGTATGATCGGTTGAAGGCAAGGTACATTTGCCTGACAGGAACCGTCACAAAGTATATGGACTGATGGATGTGCAGAGACTACCCGGAAGCAAAGCTGCAAGAGAATCTTGACTCGGAGATCATGGAGGTTCTTCTACAAGAGGCGAGGGATTCTTACGATGAGGAGATTATCGTCGAACTTACGAGCAATACCTCGGATGAGATGGAGAGCAATATTGAGAGGATTGAGATGTGGATTGGCCAGTGGAAGAAGAACAACGTTGAGGGTGCTCAATAAGTTGTTTACGGACTATTCATTGTCTATGGAATCTCAAGGCTCTTGCAGCCAGGTCTTGAGTTTCTCTAAGGCCAGGAAGCGATGGGAGATCTTGTTCTTCTCTACTTTGTCCATCTCGGCATACCTAGAGTGGTCAGTAAACGGGCGCGGGGGAGGTTTCCGAAACTCACGTCTTGCCCTCATACTCGAATATCGGATCCCATCCTGGGGAAAATCAGCAAGTGGAAAGCACTACAAGCTTTGGGGCCCTACCAAAATTTGCTGGGCCTCTTGCTGGTACAATCTGGCCCTTGGATATGTCAGATGAGCAGGCCAAAAACGGTTCAGAAAACTCACGTCTGTTCTGCCTTGGAAGATGATTGGCTCGTGACCAGGGCCTTCACAGTATGCAAATGTGCAGATGGCTTGGGCAGACTTGTCTGGAAATCCGGCAAGGAGATCGTTGAGGCCCTTAAGGCCAAGTGCTTCTAAAAACCATTTGCTATAAGAAGTCAATTCAAGCCATGCCCTTAGTCATGAAGAATTGTACTAACATGTACGGGCCAGGAAGCTCTTTTAGTGCATTGAAGCAGAGACATGTATCCTCAACAATTACAGGACCATTGACCTAAGAAGAGTAAATTATGTGAAAAACAATGTGTCTAGGAATGCCCACTGCTTCTGCAGCTCTCCGACATTTGTCTGCTGAGATCTCTTCGATTGTGCCTTGAATCTCGACCAGATCTAATGACTGACTTTGCAAATCAACAACGTTACCTAGAATAGCTTTGACTTCGGTAAGCTTGTTCTTGTTCCCGGTAATGAAGTTGAGCTGCTTAGGTGCCATGGCGGCTGTGTTAACCTGGTTGTGTTCTCGAAGAGGTGGACGAGAATAGAGGCTCGAGGATAGTTTGCAAAATGAACTTGCCCAGACAGCTTGCGGTAAACGAGGGGATGATATTGCACGGCTGAATGAATCGAGAGAACTCTCGGGCGCACTTCTAGGTCACTGGTCACTGTGGGCAGTGTGGGGTTGCTTTTCGTTTCCATCAACCAATGAAATTGCTTGAGGCTTACTGCGAGAAATGTTTCAGCGGTGTACAACGTTACCGTAACACGGTTTGCATGTATCGAAGGCGCCTTTTCTCCTTCGCACTTTCCTCACAAAAGGCGGCAGGGTCACGATGGATGACTTCTATGAATCGGCATCCAGCTCCGATGGCCCACAGCTCTCTAGCATTTATCGCCTCTCCCCTTCTTTCAGCGCCGTCCTTACTCTGCTTCTCGCCCCATTTGCTATTGCCATTGCCACTCGACTCTTGAGTGGCCGACCGTCCGAGAAAGTTTCTGGCAGGAATGAAAGAACTGTCTTCCTTTTGCCCTATTCTATTCCTGTTATTGGTCACGCATTTTCATTGTATGAGCTTTCTGCTTTTTGATTCAACAGCTAACGATGGCCAGTCTCTACGATCCAATCAACTTGATGATTCAAGCAAGGCAAAGTTGGCATCTCCACATAAGAAGCCAGAAGCTAATGCGCATTTCAGAAACAAAACTCCTCATGGGATCTTCGCTTTATACCTTGGCTCAACAACACACAATGTGATTTCTGATCCTGCCTTGGTTACCTCGTAAGGAGTATCTTACCACGGGGATGTTTTCCGTTAGTTAATTATTGCAGTGTAATGGCTCAACGGGAATCGGTGGTTGAATTTGCACCTATTGCTTGGAATATCGTGCAGAAAGTGAGAGAAGACTCTGTCCCTGATGCGTCCCTGAGAAATTCTACTGATTCATCAAGTGGTTTGGGTTCCCGAAGAGTAGCAAGACAAAATATGAAGCCTGTTGGAGGGTATTCAGTCCTCCAAGTCTCGTAACATTCTTGCTAAGCAACTTTAGGAGTTCAATATGACTTTCAACCACCTGATGAAAGAGCCGTACCTAAGCCAGCTGCTCAAACCAACCATCCGCAACCTGGAGGAGAACATTCCTCAAATGATTTCATTTACTGATTCAGAAATCGATCAACAACCTTGGGAACGATGGGCCAAGACATCGTTTGTCTCCGATTCTGAATCCGAGCTCAACTTAATGTCACTTACGCGGGATATGATGGGTCACGCTTCCGTGCCAGCCATTTTTGGGCGCGCCCTGATGGAGAAGTATCCTAATATTTTGCACGATGTTTACGACCTGGATAGTGGGTTTTATTTCTTCTTGATGGGTCTACCAGCGTGGACTCCCTGGCCTGGTGTGATGACGGCACATGTGGGACGTCACCAAACTGGGGAAGCTCTGGGTGATCTGCAACGAGCCCTAGACGCGCTCGTTGATGGAAAACCGATTGATCCGTCGTGGGGAGAACTAGATGATGTGAGCGGTTTCATAATGGAAAGGCACGCTATATTCAAAAGTGAGTCTTGCAACCTGCTGAAATTACCCTACTCACCCAGGTTTTTGGCAGACAATGGTTTCGAAATCAACGAGAGAGGCGACATCTCGGTAGGCTCTTTCTCACTTCAATATCTTCACTACATTGGCTTAGTTTTGATAGATCCTGTGGGCTTCTGTTGCTAACGCAAATATCTTCGTCTACTGGCATCTTCTGTTCATTCTTTCCACACCTGGACTGGTAGACCGCATCCGCGAAGAAGTCGCCGGTGCCAAGGATGAGCACGAAGCAGGTCGTGGGGCCGGCCCTTTCGTAACTGTCACCAAACCTCTTTCAATCGGCAGTATTTCTGAATCCCCGAAACTGGAGATCTCACACGAGGGGCTCTTGAAGAAATGTCCGCTGCTAAAGTCGACTTATCTCGAGTCCTTGCGAATGACCGACCAGCCTTGGTCTGTACGAAAAGTTGCCCAAGATGTTGTCATCAAGGGCGACAAGAAAGATCTCTCTTCGCCTTCGTTTCTTATTCACAAAGGCGAATACATAACCATTCCCCACGATCTTCATATGCGAGACCCGAAGTATTTCAAAGATCCCGAAAAATTCGATCCTGAGCGGTTCTTGGTGCAGAACGGAGATGGCACACTCTCAGCAAATGCGAAGACAATCAGGCCATTTGGCGGAGGGCCATCAATGTGTCAGGGACGAGCTTTAGCGGAAGCAGAATGCTTAGCTCTCGTTGCTGGTGTGCTAGTGTTTTGGGACATCGAACCAGCAGATAAGAATGCTGGGTGGGTCATTCCGAAGCAGGTGAAGACGACTGCAATATCAAAGCCGGCGCATGATACCAGGGTCAGGATTAAAAGGAGACGGTTTGACTGGGGGGCATAGATATTCTATCTTTACTGAAGATTGCACCAACCTTAGCATGAAGCCATTGAAAAGTGATCAGAAAAACTTGGCGAAATTATGTCGTGGAATCTTGCATCCAAACGCCTTAAGAGTGAGTATTCGGTCGTTCTCGTGAGATTTTGGATTGAAATCAAACGTACTCTGAGCGTAAACGTCGGACTAAAAGAGAACTAGTCTGGATTCAAGGGAGATTTTTGGCGTTGTTTTCACCGGACTTCGATTTCTTTTCCGATCGTATACTGCAGGAAAGAATCTGCATCGAACATTTTACTAATAGAGTTAAGATGGGCCAAGCTTCGTCAAAGGTTTCGATCAGATTTTGTGTCAAATTTTCGTTGGCATTCTTAAAGTCAATACTGCAAAGCTCTGTGGCCCGTTAGAATTTAGCGACACACTCACATATAAAAAACCACGGATCAAGGCGCCTCAAAATGACCTCAAATACAACCACACCAAAAACCGGTAATGCGACAGCCATCCGCCCATCACATCACTTTCTCCGCACCTCCACACAAAAATGGCCTCAGACCCAGAAGATCAGCCCAGCACGAAGCGGAAACACCAAAAGCACCTCAAAGGTCACGAGATGATCACCAAGACGATCAAAACACCGCCCTTCAGCTACGTTCACCTCCAACTAATTTCGGATGCAGACAGCGTCAAAGATCTCGATTCACTTACGGTTCGGTCTCACATCACGGCTGCTCTGACGCAATTCCTCGGTGTCACTGGAGCGGCCATCTCGATTGATATCTTGAAGGTGGAGGGCACGGAGTGCTGGATTAGGGTTCCGAGGGAGGATCTGAGTCCGGTTGTAGCAGCGGTTGGGGGATGGGTTGGAGGCCCCGGGTACGGTACCGCGGGGAAAGTTGGTTGGAAGGTCAAGGGGAGTGGGAACTGGCTGAGTGTTCTGGTTGGGGGGAGAAGCAAAGCGGGTATCTGGAACGAGTGAACATCACGATGGTCTTGCGAACGAAGAAGCTGAAGAGTTGATTCAGAGCCTCCATTTATGGGTGTTTTAGGCGCCGGGCTATGCTGTGTATCTACTTTTACAAGTGGTTACCTGTCTTACTACCCAAATTGGACCCAATGATGTTTCCAGCCGCTCTACATATTCACAAACCTTATTCTCCAGCGGCGAATGTGTCGGATTCGCCCAAGAGCATCATATCATCTCATAGACAGCCTTTCTAGACGAATGGAGACTTTAAGTCATTGACATTAAGCTGCTTTGGGCGTAGGCCTATGAGAAGTTAGCATAAGCTCATGGACAATGGAAAGCTGAAGAGAAGCGAACCATCGGCTTGATATTCGGGTGCGGGACAGCATCAAATTTGTGGAACTTGAGCTTGTAATCAGGGCCGATGTTAATATAGGCGCCCTTGTTTTCGGTACTGTCGCAGTACTTGGGAGCAGAGAAGACTATAAAATTATTAGTTGGGTTCACGGTATTTGCTGCAGCTGGAGCATACCTGTAATGCATTTCCCTTCATGTTCCTCCTCGTAACCTTCCATCCTCACTTCATGACTTCTGATGATGGCGTCTAAACCGTTGTTCTCACAAAATCTTTTTGTGACGTCGGGACCAAATTGCATTCCTACACCTCTCTTGCTTGGTCCTCGACCCGGTTCAGTTTGTGGATCGGTCCACAACATCTCCATCATCAATCCTGCCTGGCCTGGTTGGCGTTGATTGTGTCTATTGAGCTTCCGAATATCATCTAATGTGATCTTGTCATCGGAGAATAGGCCACCATGAAGTACCAGATATTTCTTGCCTATTAGGGTGGCAAGTGGGAGTGCAGAAAAGCTCTCAGAGAACAGCCTAAAAGTACGTTCTGTGTAGTTGCCAGTTAATGTTTGATTTGCGTTCGATGGCAAAGAAACAGTTAAGAACTCGGAGAGCGAACATACCATTGTACTTTGCCTTGCATTCGCCTTCGAATCCATACACCCGATTCATGTCGTCCGTTTCATGGTTGCCTCTGTTGATGAAGAAGGAACCCGGTCTCAGCCATTTGTAGGCATATAACAGAAGAGCAATTTCAGTCGACCAAGACCCTCGATCCACGAAGTCTCCATTGAAGAGGTAATAGTGCTTCTCGGTAGGGAAACCGTTTAGTCTAAAGAGTTCCATCAAGTCGAAGAACTGGCCTATCTCTCTTATTAGTACTTCTAAACCATTATTCCCAGAAGACAACCGACCATGTGTATCTCCACAAACCGTAAGCTGGGCATCATCTGGTATCTCCATCTCCACCATCGTGGCCTCATCGTAGACAATCTTTTGAACTGCCAGAACGATTTGGTAGACGTATTTCTTATGCAGCTTTTTCCCGTTCTTGAATCGTTCCAACATATCCGTTATGAATTCGGTAGTCATCTCTTTCTCCAATCGAGCTCCATCATAGTCGGCATCTACCACCATTGAATCCAAGTCCAGGCCCTCCGCTGCCGAAGGTTCATCTCCAACTTCTATAGCTCGGAAGAATTCGACCCTCTTAACAATTTTCTCGCATTCGGCCAGCTTGAGTTTTGCATCTTTGTCGTTCGGAGCTTTCCTAACAACAGTCTTGAAGTCCCTGAGTGCATCTCGCGATTTCAGAATGGCCGTATAGGCTACGGCTCTGCGGTAGTAGGCCTTTGAAAGTCAGCGGAAACAAACCAAAACCCGCAGGACGTGCCATCTGCAGAAACAGCATACCTTCACGAAATTTGGATCGAGTTCAATCGCCTTTGTCGCGTCGGCGATAGCATACCCGTAAGCTTCGGATTTGATATTTGCCTTTTCAGAATTAGTCACGCGAGCAAGCAAAGTTTACCGACGCAAGGGCATACCTGTGCTCGGTTTGAATAATAAGTGGGTTCCTTGTCATTCAACTTGATTGCTTTTGTATAACAATCAATAGCTGCAACCCAGTCATGGGCAGCAAAAGCCTTGTTGCCGTCGTTCTTGAAGGCCTGGGCCTGTTCTTCAGCGGAAGCCATTGTGGCAGTGCCTAGGAGCCTTTCACAAAATTTCACGCCGGAACTCGGCAGACGCAACGTGATAACCGTGGTCGAGAAGTGCCAAAGAGGCGGAAGTCACAGAGAAAGTGAAGGCGATGTAAAATAGGGAAAATGCTATGGACGTCAATAGAAGCGAGGCTCGCAGACCCCTGCTCAATTAAAGTTTGTGGCGAATCGCTGTTAAATTAGCTGGGAGGCAAGGCTCGGAGCCTCAACCGGTGCCTGTAATCAGATCTAACCCACATCTCCATCGAGTCAACCTCCCATTGTCCCAAGTTCCCTACACCTCACCGCAGCCATCTTCGCCCAACCGACAGCTGCCCAATACAGCGCAGCCGCTAGGTGTATCCCGGAACCGCTGCGCTTTCGACGTGATGGAGTCTTCCAACTCTTCCGCTCTTGTTCGGCGCTCGATCGATACCGAACTGATGCCACCCCCGCCCCCACCGAAACGAATCAAGCGCCCCAAGAATGTTATTGACGAGGAGACATATACGGAAGCAATATCGGAGATTATTGCTCGCGACTTCTTCCCAGGCCTGCTCGAGACAGAGACACAGCAGGAATATTTGGACGCCCTAGATTCGAATGATGGCGCCTGGATTAATAGTGCGGGCCGTCGGCTGCAGCAGGTCATGACCCCTGGGAGACGGAAAGGAAGGCGCGGAACCTCGATTCAGACTCCATTGCGAGCTATGGAGACCCCGCGAAGCTTTGCTGGGGACACGCCAATGTCCGATGCGTCTGACATGACAACATCAACTCAGGCAGCAGCACCAGAAGTCGATACGAATATGAGTCTGGATAAATTCCAATCATTGTACACAAGCGAGGACAACGAAAGTTTCTACAAGCTGCTGGATAAGCAGAACCAAAAGCGTGCCGAGAAGTATGCCTGGATGTGGTCCGCCAACAACAAGCTCCCGTCGAAGATGATGTTGAAGCAAAAGGAAATCGAAACAAAGCTGTTACAGTCACGGGAGTCTTTATTGGATGATGGTGGAGAAAGGAATCGACTTGCCATCCGTGACATATCGGAGAAACCTGCGAGGCCGGACTCTTGGAAGTCAAAACCGAACAACGGAGTTATGTTCCAACCAGAAAGTGTGGAAGATTCGATTGAAACAGTAGCCCAGAAAACACAGAACGAGTCGCGAGCAGCTCCGAAAGTGGTCGCATATGCGAACACGAGAATGCCAGTTCCAGTGGTCAAGAGCCAAGAGTCTGCGGTACCTCCATCTCCATCATTGTCAGCTGTTAGAGATGCAATTACTGGGCGGCGGCGTGCTGTGGATTTGGAGTCCGGCTTTGACGGGAGCGAAACGCCCCGAGTTAATGGATATGCTTTCGTTGACGATGAGCCGGAAGAGGTACCTGTCACCGCGCCTCCAATTATTGATCTAGGAAAGGGAGAACCGGTCAAGAACCCCTTTGTGATCAAGGAGCAAAGCAAGAGAGAGGACTTGCATCACCGAATGGTTGATAAAAACGCAAAAACGAAGCGTGCTTCAACGAAGTATGGACTGACTGGCAGGGTTGACATGACGCCCGTACCCAAGTTTCCCAGCAGCCCTAGGGTTGACTCAGGCCAGTTAACACCAGCTGGACAGCGTTTATGGAGCAAAGTTGGAGGGACAAGCATAGGAAGGGGAACATCCGCTTTTGAATCCAGAACAGAGACACCTCGTGGAAAGGCTCGATCAGGCTTGAGAATTGCGTCGACACCTGGCAAATAACGGTGATGGAGAGCCATAATAGAATTAGACGAGTCATGGGCATGGAATCGGCGTTGGTAATACCCTCTTTAAAGCAGGTCGTTGTAGCTAGTAGTTGCGGATACAATGAAGTCTGGCAATGAGCAATAATTGGACACACGTGAAACATCCAACGGAACAGCTGAGAGAAGTGATTCGAGAACAACTGCTAGTTGGCAGCTTTTCATCCCGTTAAAAGTCTTCTCCCTCTGATCCAATTTTTTTTACGCTTCGCGAGGCTATTCGGACGAGGCTGGCATTTGTGTCATGGATGTGTGTACAGGGATGTCGTTAAATTTAAGCTTGGCCCGCCAGCCGCTTGGTACATAGGAAAAAGTCACTCCTCTTTCATGCTCCTTCGAGGCTTCGACCCATTGTCAATCACAAGATGAATTAGTGATCCACCCCTGCTTCCAGAGAGATCGCCATGGCTGGAAAGCGGCTATTGGATGTGGCTGCTCTCTTCAAGGCGTCCCGTGGGGTTGCACAGAAGCATGTTGCGCTCCGAGCCAGGCAGGCCGACATTTACAACCGGACTTCGACCTTAGCAAAAGCGGTGAAGAATCAAACAGACCGAGTCACGGAAACCGCCAAAGCGGCTTCATTTCTTGTGTCGCGATTGAACGAGAGCGGGCCGGCATGGACCTCGGAGGCGGCAGGTGCTCCAGCTGGAAGCCGAACGAGCCCTGATGGCCCCATTTCAAGCAGAGAGTCGACTGAGGGGGGTCAAGTCCCCAAGCCGAAGAATGGTATTGAGCAAGATCATTTCTATGAGAGATCCATGGCAAATTCGACAACAGATCCCATCCCTGAGGACGACTTAGAGATCCAGCAGGAAAAGGCTGCTTCTTATCCCCTTTCTGATGGCACCATTCCTCCAGTAAAGTCTGGCCTGAATACTAGGCCTGATGATGACGATATTCTCTCAACCAGACCGCAGAATGAAGTTGTCAAGAGGCTTTTGGAGACTGAGGGCCTCAAGCCAGCGTCGTCCAGCGAATCTACAATTCCCTCGCCGCCTCGAAAGCGTTTGTCTGCTGAATCAGCAAGGAAGCTTCAACGGCAATCTGAGCTTCAGATCCCTTCTATAACCGCAGATGCTTTAGATGGCACTGCCCCAGACCCCTTAGGAAAGGGCCATGACGAAGACAGTTTTTATAGGAAATCAACACATACTTCACCTGTTTTTTCCTCTTTACCAAGAATAAAAATGCCAAAGCATACCTCAAATGCCCAAGGAGTGGATTCATATTTACCGGAGGGGCAATTAAACTCAGATTCATTTTACACCTCGGGACCTTGTGGGCCTATTCCAGCTGTAGAAGCTATTCCAGCGCAGGATGAAGTCCCCGAAGGAGTTGATACTGCTTTATTTTACAGCCCACGAGTCGCCAGGCTTCTGGGTGGTAAAACTCAAGGTTCCAAACGGGGTGGTTTAGAGCCTAAGGGCGCGAAGGATACGCCTGTAGATCACACAGACCTTGCAGCAAAGAAGTACCAAGACATTTTCAATGTCCGTTCCTCCCAAGAAGAACGTCCGACTGCACCTGAAGACGGGGATTTACGTGAGCCGACGACCTTTTCGGGAGGGGAAGTGAAAGATCTCGCTCAAGATATTTCGAAGGATATGGATGTTTCACAGGTCCAGGTGAGGACTGTAGCACGTGGAAGCAAACTGTCACTGATCACTGACAGTGATTCAGGTCGACAATACCTCTCCGCCATTCACTCATGTATATGAACTACGAGAGTCTAAAGTTCCCTCTTCACGACTTGGCAGACTTTGGAACTATTCTGGATTGGCTGCAGGTCTAGTCGGGGGTGCAGTCAGTGAAAGTTTTCGACGGTTTGGCGGAAGTGGAGGAGAGGGATCTTATCTGTTGAGTGCTGGAAATATGGACCGACTGGTCACTAAACTCTCAAGAATGAGGGGCGCGGCTCTTAAGCTTGGCCAAATGATCAGTTTTCAAGACTCCAAGATGCTTCCTGGCCCTATCCAAGAGGTTCTCCAGAGAGTACAGGATCGCGCAGACTATATGCCGCCGTCTCAGCGTAACAAAGTATTGACTTCAAACCTTGGCCCTGAATGGCGGGAGTTGTTCTCCTACTTCGAAGAGAAGCCCCTGGCTGCCGCATCGATAGGTCAGGTCCACAGTGCCGTATTGAAGTCCAATGGCACCAAGGTTGCGGTTAAAGTTCAGTATCCGGGGGTTGCGGACTCGATTGACTCAGATTTGAACAATTTGGCAATCCTTCTCACAGCATCACGTCTTTTGCCAAAGGGTTTATTTCTGAACAAGACTATTGAGAATGCCCGGACCGAATTGGCATGGGAATGCGACTACATTCGGGAAGCTGAATGTGGACGTCGATTTGAAGGACTCCTGGCTGATGAAACTGATGTCTTCCTTGTACCGAAAGTCTACCCGGAAGCATCAGGAAAACAGGTTTTGACTATGAAGTTTATGGATGGAGTTGGGGTGACAAGAGTCAAGAGCTTCTCCCAGGAGCAAAGCGATTGGATTGGTACCCAAATTCTTCGACTTTGCCTCCGTGAGATTACGGAATTCAAGTTCATGCAGACAGACCCCAACTGGACGAACTTCTTATATAATGCCGAAACGAACAAACTGGAGCTCCTTGATTTTGGAGCATCTAGAGAATACCCGGAAGAATTCATTACGAAATATACACAACTACTTGCAGCAGCCTCCAGATCTGACAGGGAGACTGTACGGAAGTTGTCCATTGATCTTGGCTACTTGACAGGTCATGAGTCGAAAATAATGCTCGATGCACATATTGTCTCTGTGCTCACACTCGCTGAGCCGTTCCTGGAGTCCTCGCCAGAACTTTACGATTTCAGAGATCAAACTATTACCGATAGAGTCAAAGAGCTGATACCTGTCATGATCCGAGAGAGGCTAGCTCCCCCTCCAGAGGAAACGTATAGCTTGCATCGAAAGCTCAGTGGAGCCTTCCTCCTCTGTGCGAGGCTCGGAAGCCGTGTACGCTGTCGAGAGTTGTTCGAGAATAGCATGAAGAAAGCTGGGCTTCTGTGACCTTTTGGCGTGAGAAGTGTACATCAATTGTATAATCTAGACAGTGGGTGGCATAGAGGCGTCGAACGCAAGCATTGTAGGACCAAGCTTTCATGTAGTGCAGTGTTGCAAATACTTACAAAGCCTAATCTAAATACTCGGCTCAATTATTCAACAGTTCTTCTCTTGAAAGGCATCTTCTTCTTCTCTCTTCCTTCCTGCTTCTTTCTCCTCCTTTCAATAACATGATCGAGCTTCTTCCCCTTTAGTTCGCCAAATTGGTCCAACAATACGCGCTTCTTCTGCTCCGCCTTCTTGAGATAGAAAGGCTGCTTCCCTTGCTTCACGAGTTCCTTCTCCTCCTTCCTATGCTTATCAAGAATCTCTTGCTCCTTCTGTTTCCGCATCTGCGCCTTCTTCTTCGACTCCATCGACATCAACGCTTTCTTCAACTTCTCTTTTGCATCCTCATCCTTCGTGGTCTTGATGGCAGACTTAAGCTCCTTCATCTCGTCCTCCCGATAATCATCAAGAAATGAATACGCTGCCCTGACCTTCGTCTCATCTACATAGCCGCTTAAAGGTTCGAATCGAGGATCTCTGAACTCTCGTTTTGCGACTGGAACAACCTCCCGCCTTCTCGAGATGGCTTTCTTGCTGGATAATTCGGTAGGAGCGTGCTTGCTACGTCGAGTGAAATCCCGGTGATCTTTTCTCCCAGCTTTTCGTTCTTGTGCTTCGTTGTCCTCCCATGTATCTCCATCCTGCGTGCTTTTGGGCCGTTTTGTAGTTCCTCCAGGCCTGGTCATGGAAGCTTGTGCTTTTGCCAAGGCACCGAATGATATCGAAGCGGCTTCTTCTGGGGCTTCTCCTTCAGACTGGAAACATTGTTAGTAAGGGCTCGAACGGGAGACGGATTGTACAAACCTCTTCTGCAAACTCTCCAGAATCTGAATTAAGTTCGTCGTCGCTGGCGGGGTTGTCCCCATTGTCCGAAGGTGAGTCTGAAGATTCGACCTCCTCAATAGCCTCACGTCGAGCTCTTACACGTCTTTGAAGACCTGCGTCCAGAGCTTTCCGTTTTATCAACGACATTTTTGGAAAGGTTGTGATGCGTTCCTTTATTGTTGGTCCAAGAGAAGAAAAAGATGTCGATAAGATAGGGCCAAGGTATATATACTAGTCCGAATACAGAAGGCGGTGTAGACGCTTTCCTGAGAGGCTGATTGCTCAGTGCAGATGCCAAAATGCAGCCTCGAAGAGAAATTCAACAAGTGAATGTACATATGAATATCTCACGCATTATCTCCACACGAGGGGCACACAACCTTCACAGAACTCTACGGTCTCGACACCGCATTGCAAGACCAATGGATCCGGGATCTCATGCACCCTTTGACCCCTTTGCCTCGTACTTTCGAGGACAAGGGCAGTCAAATGCATTCAGCACAGTGTCAGCGGGGCTGAACACATCTGTTTCGCCGATCTGCTCACCTAATCGTATTGCCCACACTGAAGAGATCCAGATTACGTCCAATACTCCTGACGTCCAAGTCGCTGCCAATGCTCTTCAAACAGTGTCGATAGTCAACTCATCGGGACGTCCTCGACATCCTCACGAACGCCCCGAAGAGGCGGTGCCAAAACCACAGCCAGACTCTCCCGGTATGGGTTCGCCATCAGCTCGTGAGAAGAGGGATGAAAAGGTCTACCCTTCAATGGCGTCGGGAGGGATACCAGATCCAACAAACGACTATCTTACAGCAAGCAATATTGTCTCCCAGTCTCTACAACAACCGCAAAATCTCCTCGTTGTCATAGACCTGAACGGCACTCTCTTGTTTCGACCCTCGAGGAGGCAACCGGCGAAGTTCATTGCACGCCCAAACACGTACCCGTTCTTAAAATACTGCATAAACACATTTACAGTTGTTATCTGGTCATCTGCCAAGCCGGAGAACGTTAAGAATATGTGCGATGCAATCTTGACGCCAGATCTGAAGAAACAAGTTGTGGCTATTTGGGGACGCGATAAATTTGGTCTTTCTAAGGCAGATTACGTGACGAGGGTTCAATGTTACAAGCGGCTCACAAAGCTATGGTCGGACAACAAGGTTGCAAAATCTCATCCTCAATGGGCTGAAGGTGGTCGATGGGACCAGACCAATACCGTCCTGATCGACGACTCGCTGGAAAAGGGTAGGAGTGAGCCATTCAACCTGGTTGAAGTTCCCGAGTTCTTTGGTGACGAAAAGGAGGTTGGAGAGTTTCTACCACAAGTTCATGACTTCTTGAATCATCTCAGCATGCATTCAAATGTCAGTGCTTGTATGCGAGCTCGGCCATTCAATGCCTTGCTTGCTCCGCCCTAGGGCACATGGCGATTTTTGATCCGCATGGTATTGTGAGTCTCCGTGCAGCTTATAAGTTTTCGTCCTTCTCCACTAACTCTTTCACTTGCCACAGAATCAATAGTGGTTGAAAGATCTGGCACATATTCAATTCACAAATTTCATAATTTGATACCCAAATATTTAGATGTGGTTAGAAGAAGAAGCATATCAAGGCATGGCACAGGAGCTTTAGATGGGAGCGTTGGTCTTCATAATTTCTGCATTGTGGTCTGGATAAAGAGAGCAATGCTTGCCAGCAGCCATCAACCGCATTCGTTCCACAAGTCTCATCATGTTCATTACAATTCGTTTCACCCATCGCTGAATTCGTGCAAAGAGAGAATAGCCATAGCCTACTTGAATACTTTGCCATCGGCCCATGGGTATTCCTTGCCATCAACAACGACTGGCTTCTCCCAGGTCCATTGCTCGTTGACAAACTCCTTGTCCTCGGCCTTCGTGGGGTCCAACTTAGTGAATTCGTAGCTCTCATAGTCGGGGGCGACATCGAAAGCTGGCAGGGCCTCCTGTCCACGGACAACGAAAGCTCCCTTGATGACGGAATCATCCTTGACACCATAGACGGAAGCACAGCCGAAGATGTACTTGCGAGATGCCTCGAGACGAGCGAAGAAACCACCAATCAAGTTGGAAGTCATGAAGATCTGGGTGAGCTCGTCATTGTACTTGTAGTCAACCTTCCACAAGGAGTACTCATCAGCCTTGAAGTTCTCCCAAAACCACTTGAGAGCATCAGGAGTGTCGTTGTTGGAGTATTGACGCTTCCACTCATCAAGGACAAGAGTTGGCTTTGGCAAGGCTTCGAGGGGGTGCTTTGGCTTTGGTGCTGCGGGGGCTTCCTCCTCGTCATCCTCTTCAACTTCCTTAGCCTTGGGCTTTGGGGCTTCCTTCTTAGGTGCGGCTTCCTTCTTCGGCTGCTCTGGCTTCTTGGGGGGAGTGTTCTTGATCGCCTCGTCGATGAGAGAAAGCTTGGGGACAACGGCGGAGTAGATTGGTTGATTGTAGACAGTCTCATACCACCGAGTCACGTTGGGGTTCTCAGAACGCCACCGCTTGTCGAAGAAGTACTGGAAGCCACGCGAGATGATACCAGCAGCAAACAAATCAGCCAGAGTGATACGCTCGCCGGCAAGATAAGTGTTGTTAAGAAGGTGCTCCTCGACAACGGAGACAGCCTTGAGGGCCGCCTTGGACGAATCCTCGACGCTCTTCTTGTTGTATGGGTCGCGGCCAACGAGAGGACGGAACCAACCACCAAGAGTAGGAAGGACCTCGTGGTTGAAGAAGGACATCCATTTCAGGATGGTCGCGTAGCTAACATGCTCGTCAGCGTCGGCGATCAGGAAAAAAAACGGTCTGGTACTTACTCCTGCTTGGTCTTGCCAAGGAGAGTTGTCTTCTCATTCTGGGAGGTGACTATGACAATATCAGTAGCTGTTTCAAAAAGGCGATGTGAACAATGCGAGACAGAGTTAGGAGATGCTCAGAGTCTAATTAATATAATCAACACGGATGATTAAGACAGGGATAACTGAATGACTTTTTTTCATCATAGCATAGGGTCAAATCTTGGCTGTGATGACAGCATGTTTGAGACTTCCACGTACTGTAAATGGCAATGGCAATAGCCTCGTGGAGGGTGTAACCATCGGCGCCGACGAATGTTGGAACCTTTCCAAGCTTGTTGAGCTTGAGGTACTCTGCAGAGAGTCCCTTCTGTGGCTCTGTCTCGACAACCTCCAGTTCGACGTTGTTGGCCTTGGCCACCGCAAGAATGGCAGATGAGCGGGGGTTGCCCTGGAGAACACAACAAATGTCAGCTTCGAGAAGCAAATTTTGAAGGGGTGACTTGATGAGAGCTGGAGCAATTGACTTACCGTGTAGGTGTAGAGCTTTCCGAAAGGCGCCATGATTCTGGTTCTCGTGGTGGTTTGGATGTTTTGGTAAAGAAGTTGTGACTCCGAGCTTTCGAAATTTTATTTTGCTGGCCCCTGGCCGTGGGTCGGTTTTAGGTGGGGCGCTCGGGCCTCTTAGTCACGTGTGGAGCCTGAAATTCTTACCTCGCGGCAAATTGATTTGTACATCGATTTGGAGAGCTTGCCAGTGAACCCACCTCTGAGCCAGCCACCTCTAAATATGAAGGTAGCTTGGCTCCCTACCGCCCTCCGCGAAGGCCTTCGATGCCAATTCTTTGCTCGGCAGACTATATTAAATCCCCGCCTAAGGCGGCGTGGCCTCAATGCTTCAGCAAAGCAGTTCAGCACCTCGATCAGGTTACGAGCGGGGATCGCAGCCCCTGAGATAAAATTCAAGAACCAAGGCAAGGGAGAGGGTGAAGAGGAGAAGATATTTTTTGCTCGACTCATTCCCGAATCACCATCATACTTCACCGCACAGCCAGCGTTCACCGATGACCTCCTTGCCCTGCAAGACCTCGTTAGAAAATACTCGACTCTCCCGGTCGTGAAGCCAGGCGAGGCGCCTCGAGTGGCATGGCGATCACTGGTTGAGTACAGGAATATGGTCGGTGAATCAGTCAAGGCATCGAAATACCACAAGATCGTTGAAGTCCTCCGCCGGCTCAACCAGATACAGCCATCTCTTATGCCCTCTGATGTGGCGGCTGCTCTGAACGAGTACAAACGAGACATCAGTCCATTTCAAAACGTATCGAAGATAGCCCCGCTTGATGAGTTTGGAAGAGCTGCAGGTCATGGAAGGAGGAAAACTTCGTCGGCAACAGCTTGGGTTGTGGAAGGCACTGGGGAGGTATTGGTCAACGGAAAGACGCTTGCAGAAGCATTTGGTAGGATACATGACAGAGAAAGTGCTATTTGGGCCCTGAAAGCTACGGACAGAATCGACAAGTACAATGTATGGGCTAGGGTTGGAGGTGGAGGAACAACAGGTCAGGCTGAAGCTATGACTTTGGCTGTTGGAAAGGCGTTACTGTCACATGAGCCTGCGCTGAAGCCTGCATTACGAAGAGGTACGTGTTTTTACATCACATGCCCAATCATGCAAACTGAATTTCTTGCTCACGGAATGTATAGCCGGGTGTATGACGCGCGATCCCAGGAGGGTAGAGAGGAAAAAGCCCGGACACCGCAAGGCAAGAAAGATGCCCGCATGGGTGAAGCGATAGATGATGTTGTATTATATTGTATCTCACGAAACACAATGTCCATGGGACACCAGAAAATACGAAAAACATCGAAACCGGTGACCAAAAACCTTGAAAGATCCAGTTACATATACTGCTATTAGGACCAGTGTCCGGACTCTTTGAGTCTCCGGAGTTCTCCTTTACTCCACACTTATCGGATCCCAATCGGGACGGCTCAAATCAAGCGATGTGGAAATGCATCAGCGATAGTGCTTGGCTCCACCTAGTAACGCCCTCCGATCCCACCTTCGAGTTCTCTGTGCCCGAAGTGTCTCTGACATCCGAGTGGATGTGGAGGTGAGGTTATATTAAGGTATTTGCTGTATTTGAACAAGGCTATAGAGTGAGCATTTGCCCAAAAATACCATTTGTGCCAAATGGGCTTGCTTCAATGGACCAAAATATTCTAGGACATTGAGAGTGGGAGCTTTCCTGAGTATGGTAGTGAATCTTTGAAAGCGATTTTGTTGCACTTCGCTTCAACGTGCCAAGGGTTTGTTGGTACAATGGGAATGTTCGTAGTCGGAAACTCGAGTGCATCTTGCACTTGATAGACTCGTTTGTTGCATGTTGCATCGAGTCCCCAACGTTTCCTAGGATATTGTGATCATCATCAATGTAGAATTTTCGTCCCATGTCAAGACGGCCGTATCAGCTCCCCTCAAGTAGAAACCATTCCTCGGCGCTTTTATTGAACAGTTGGGAATGTTCCAAACTTTGAGAACCAACTCAATGTACCAATACTTTTGGAGCTTTGAAGCGCTTCAATAGGCTAGGGTTTCTGGTACAATGAGGCACCATTCGTCAAAGCCAGAATGAACATCACCCCTAAGCCTATGCCATTTTATTGCAAACCGCATCAATGCCCCCCAAGTTCTTGGAATATTGGAAACGGATAGCTCATTACATTCGAGTGAATTTTGACGTGACTGAACTCCTTTTCTTGCAATGTCCCGGAATCCCGGAAAAGGATTGAGATTGGTTTCACCTCATTCCCAATTTGTTGCAAATGTTATGCTCCAGATAAGACTTCAGTTTTGTGTTCATTATCTCCCTAATGAAAACTTTAGGCTCCCACCCGAGGCGCGATACCTCGTACTCTTCTTGTCACTTTTATTGTCCTCTGCGCTTGCAAAGAGCTCAAACTCATGCTCACGATGTAACCTCGATTCTCACGCCAAGAAAGGCAATCCGCGCAGAAGGGTAATAGTTCCCTTCCTAGCCTAGCCATCAATTACCCAATTTACCATTCCTCTCTGTAAATGCATGTCGTTCTCCCTGCCAATATATTTGCTTTTTCATTATCCCAGCTAGACAGAGAAGGTGGGCCGGACTCTTCAGCCCCATGTCGATCGTTGACCCACCCACCCACACCCAATAATTGCCACATACACTATTCATGCAAGCCTAAGCCCCCAAATCTTCCGGCCGAAAATAAGATGTTACCCACGCCCATGGAATCAGGATTTCTAGCGCATGCATGCTGACGCCTCACACTTTCTGTGGAGTCGAGTCTCCTGACGTGTGACAAATCTTGAACAAGCGGCACGGTTCCCTTCCCAGCCCCAGCAGGTCTGTGCGTGGAATTAATAAGCGCAAGGTTGTGGACCAGTGTTGCGCTTCTTGTACAAGGCGGGGTTGCATTACTTCGGGCACAAGTCGAGAAACTTTGATAACAAAGGCTTTCATGTCGATCTCTCCGCCTTGCATGTCGATCTTCTATATCACGGTCAAATCCGCTGCTTCTTTTGGAACTGTCTTTCAGCCTCACTTCGTGTACGACTTGGCTTTCCTTTTGTCCATTGAATAATGCCGAGACAGCTTCTCGGGAACAGCCTTTCTCACCCAGAGCCTCGGGCCTAGGCATCCAAGACAATATATTTCTTTTCACTGACGCTGAGACAAAAGCAACGATGATCGAGTGGGATCGCCGGGAATTTGACAGAATCTGAACAACCATGTCTGTCATCTGACAAATCTTGGCCATCAAACAGCTAATCCCGATCCCAGCTGTCAGCGGGTCTAGTATTGTTTTCTTTTGTATGTGCAAAGTCTAGAGTTATGTACTCCTACATGAAATGGCTGCCAGGATTTGGTTTTAGCCTCGAAGTGCTTGTGAAAGCCCGCCGTGTATCTCGTGCCCCGTGTCGTCATCAAAATCGTCTTTACGCAGGACGAAGGTCACGCTTTTTATGCCCGTAAATGCCAAGATGCAATCCGGCCAACACCTGACAGAACCCCCAAGCGCAGAGCTATGTTCTAACAGTGAGAGGGAGAAGATGGGACGCTAAACGAGGACAAGGTGTAATTTTACAAAGAGCGCGGAATAAATTTATAAAGTTGAATTGGCCGATTCAAGGCGGTGCCCGGCCCATGCCAGCGTGGACAGGCCCGCCGCCCTCTATAGACTCTTGAAGATCGAGGCATTCGGTAAGAACTAAGAGACCAAATCAGTCAAAATTGACATATGCAATATCCTTGAGAGGAGACTTACTCATTATTATTTGTTCCTCCGCGACCCCGTACTGATAATCGACAAGACCGTGCTTCTCCACCGCATCACACATCCTAATCAGGTCTTTTGCCATTTTGCTAATGAAATCCTGGCTCATGAGGGTTTGAGGTGGTTGTATTCGCTGACCAGATTCCAACATATCTTTTTGTTTTTGGAAAATGCTGAGCCATGCCGTGTTGAACTCTCCCCAGAGGCGAATTCGATCGGCGTGAAGCGTAACTTCGTCTACAGTAAGGCCTTGATCAGAAACCATTAGTGGGAGGTCAAACAGAAGAAATGCAATCTTACCCAAATCTCCAACATGCCCTAATAGCCATTCCGAGACCTCGAGCAAGGATGAACTGGCATCCGTAAGGCGCCCATTTATAATATTTTGAAAAATTTCCTTCAGGGCTGTCTGATATGCAGTATATGCAGCCTCCATCCCCGGGCCTTGGGCCTGATATTCCTCTTCTTCCATAATTTCTGGAGCAGGTTGAGGCATTCCACCAAGTCCCATAGCGCCAGCATAACCTTGTTGCAGAAGGGGCGTGCGGTCTGCGGGACTTGGTTGGTGTTGTTGGTAAGAAGATCCCGAAGATGCATGGTGTTGTAGACCAGGAGGGCCAGGTGCGCTTGTAGGTTCGTTGGGGAAGTAGGGAGCTGCAACGTCTGACAGCATCTGCATGGTTGCAGGCTGCCGTGCCTGAAATTGCGGAGTGGAATCGTAAACGGTATTTTGCGGACCTTGTTGTGCAACATTGTACATGAGGTCTGGATTGTAACTCGAAAAACCTTGCTGTTGTCTCTGGTCTTGCGCATAGCCGGGTTGGTACTGCATAGGATTCGAAGGTAGTGGTGCAGGAAATGAAGAAGATTGTTCTTGGTAGTACCCAGGATATGCTGTTGCACCTCCCGCCCCTCGAGCTGCAGATGGTGAAGTAGCTAAAGGTGCCGGGCGATACCTCTCCGATGAGGAAGTGGAGAACCCGCGCCCTTGACTCTCTGCATTGAATCTTGGATCTGATCCTGAATACGGCGGTTCATTCTGCCTCCTTCGGCGGCTGTTGTCGTCCATGCCCCGCTCGAAGGCTGCAAGTGAGCCTATCAACAACGGATCAAGTCGATGCGCCGCCTGCGGCAAAGGGACTGGTGTTGAATGAAGGAGTGCCAGCTTGCTGAGTTTCTGTTCCCGGGTAATCAGATACTTCAGATTCCTGCAAACGAATGCTGTCAACGAATGTGGCGTTCTCGAGGAGGAGTACTCTCGGCACAGGTCGAGGAAATCAGCTATATCCTTGTCAGTGGTCTTGAAAACCGAGCGAGAGAGGCGCGATGTAGGCGTACCTGAGATGCCGTGTGGTGGAAAATGGGGAAAGGGGACAGGCTTTTTTGGTCTGCACTGTGCGGATTGGCCTCCTTAAAGTGTTCGAGGCTGACGTTGTAGGCACAGGTCAAGATAGGTACACCAGGTCGTCGACACTAATGGATAAAGAAAGCCCAAATATAATTAGGTGAATATGACTCGGCCGTTGAATGGCCAGTGGGAGCAGTTTCGCAGAATGTAAAGAATCTCACACGTCTGGCGGTTATTGGCTCACTGCGTTGTTTAACAACTCTCCATCCACTCCTGGGTAAATCCTTGGTGTTATGACAGGCAAGGTCCTTGCGGAGGATCTGCTTTGTAGGGCAAACGGCACCAAGGTAACAGAAAGCGATGCCAGGCTTCAACAACGCTGTTCCGTTGGGGCCAGCTCCAGCGCTCGAGGGGGGAGGGGCGCCTTTATTCTGACGTCCTAGTGAATCAAGGTCCCAAGTTCTCGCACGCCAAAGCCAACTCTTCCAGAAGCCCTAGACAGCGTTTGGGACTAGCTGGCCACGAGAGATTGTTGTTTCAATTTGCCGAACCTGGGAGAAGCAGCCAGACACAGAGAGCACTGGGCGGCTTGTTCTCTCAGATATAAAGATGGTGCTCTGAACGGCTCAGTCTCTTCGGCAAAGGGCCCGAATAATGGGCACCTTGGCGCCACGACCAAATCGCATGAGTTGGAACGCTTGAAATTCGAGGGTCGCCTGACCACAGACTCGGAGGAAACGGAATGAAGTTGGGTTAGAGTTGGAGATGTACAGAGACCCTCGTCTGGCAGACTTCAAGAGTGCCTACTAAACTTCAAGCGCGGCCAGGTCTCTTGAACGTTCTCGGAGGCCGTACGGTGTCGACTCGATGGCTGCAGCAAGCACGAAGCACGTACAGGAATGGAGGGAGCAGTTAGTGAGAAACTGCTGCAGATCTGGCCGCGCCCAGGGCCGGAGACTTTAATAAGAGGGCACGAGGGCTGGAGAGGAGCGAGAGGCGAGTCGACCTTACTGCTGTGGCTGTTTTGGCGTGGATGAGGAGGGAGCCAGAGCTAGCTAGTTCTTTCGGCTCTCGTCTGAGCGGGGTGTTTCGAGCAATTATTCAACACCAGCGTGTGCACCGCGATCTGTCTCCTCGACCTGGCTCTCACTCTCGCCCTGTGCCCACTGCCCACTGCCCACTGCCCACGAACAAGCGTTGGAGTGGTCGGTCCAATTGCCCAATCGCCGCGTGTGGAATGCTCCGAGATGTCGCCTTGGTTTCCGCGCTACTGCCAGGCACAGTGTGGAAATCTTGCTTCTACTTGAGGACGCACGTTTCTGTCCCTTTTTGCATCCGCCTCATTTCAGTCACAGGAGCAGAGGCAGAGATAGGCGGATCAGGTGGGCCGATCGAAATGAGGAGCTTTCTGCTCACAACCTAGTCCTAGCCAGCACGCGGATTTAGAGTTGGTCAAGTGGCAGGGTGTGCTGCGGGTTGGGCTGCTACGCAACGATGACTGCCGCGCGTGAGTCGTGGGTTGTTGGCGAACAACAGCGGGCACAGCTTCCGTGACTCGGAAAAAAGGCCGGTGGAGAGATTGGTTTATGTGCACTGAAGAAACTTCGAGACCGAAGGTTGAGACAGCGTGGAAATAAAACAGAAAGTCCTCGGGACTTGCTTGGACCCTGCCAGGATAATCAGCCCCGGTGGATCGACAGAGCGGCGTCTGTGCCAGGATCTAGTGATCGCCAGATAGGGCGATTCTGGAATATGATATCTGAGATAGGAAACCAGAGACGCCAGTCTCTGTCCAACCGCGAGTGAAGAAGAAGGCTTTCAGAGGCAGAAAAAGCATCCAAAAGGGCCGTGGGGAATATTAGCCGGGGTAGGCAATTATTGAGCCTTGGTTTGGGGTCGTGCGGGTGAGGCTTCAGAAACGGAAAGGCAAGTCAACATGTGGGCTGTGGGTTGGCTACCTATTTTGGTCTTGGCCAAAGAATACAAAAAGGAAGGTGTCCAGGCAAGAAGAGAAGGGGGGAGTTGGAAGAAAGGAAGGGGAGGGAAGGGAAAGGACCAGCCGAAGAAGCAAAGACTTGGCTCGGACCAGAGGGACATAGGAGCAAGCAGCAGAGCGAAAGCAAGGAAGGCAGAATAATCCGCTGGACCTCGACCAACATCAACGAACCCGTATCGGATGCCGGGCCCCCTGTGGTTAGCATGCGGATAGGAGTCCCAAAGAGGCCGAGGAAAGACGGTGTTGTGGGGGAGCCGAGAGCGCAACGAGGAATGCGTACAATCCTAAGGGGGAGCCTCGTCAAGGCGGTGCCGTGATTGGCGTGGCTGTGGGGTGCGCCACTGTCCTTGTTCGCTGTCTCTCATGGTATTGATATCGCCGCCGTCGTGGCCCTCAGGACTGAGACGGCCACAATAAGATGCGCAAGTCGGTCGCAGTACGGAGTACTGTCTGTATTTTCGGGAGCAGCCTCCTCGGTTTGCTGGCCAGCGCCAGCGCCAGCGCCAGCTCCCGCAGCCCGCACAGAATGCCTTTCCTCCTCAGCGGAGGAGTTCAACCATTGCTGAGAGCATATCTGTCGATGCAGGGCTTTGCAGCCTTGGGCCAGGAGCCCGTCAGGCAGGCTGCAGAAGTTCAGGTACCAGCACGCTTGTCCACGCTTGCACACGCTTGCCCTGGGGGGCGGGATACTCCCTGAAACAGCGCGCATGGATATGGACAGAGAGGGACAGGGAGCTGGGAGCTGTGAGCTGAGCCCGACAGCCCAGCACAGGGGCAGGTGGGCGTGGTGGGCGGCGGTGGGCGCGGTGGAGATCTGGACGAAGTGGGCGTGGTCGCCGGTGGGTGACTCTGCTACGTCTGCGGAGAAATGTCGAGGCCTGTTCCTTGTGTTTACGACGTGAGGTGAGGTCCTGGTGGTCGTCAAATTAGACCCCTGAATCCCTGCCACATTATTTGCTGCATAACACCTTCGTACCCCTGGCCAAGATCTACGTAGCCCGCTGCAGCAGGCCGGCCCATCATTGCTGGGAACGACAGATGCGGAGCAGCCGGACGGCACTTGGCCTCGTATCCAGACGCCCCCTTCTACGTGCAGCGCTTTGCTGGATCAATAGCTGCACTTTTCGCCTCTTGGTCTCGTCTTCACTGACGTGCTTCAGCTTGAGAGGACTCACTTTCAGCTCCTGCTGTCGTCTTGTTGCCACATTTATAGCCGTCCCGCTCCCACTCCCCTCTCACTTCAACACCCCGCCACCCCGCCACCCACGCATCACTCAATAGCGGCTCGAGCACCCAGATTCTTGGGAAAGCTCCCTTCGAGTCAGGGCAGACTTGTCTGAGAGACACGCAATTGGTCAATCCCAATCTCAACACGGCACGCTCCAATAGCGAGCGGCCGTCCGGTTCAAGCTTCGATAGAGTGCCGGTCCAGATTCCAAAAGAGTGTGCAGCACTGCAGTCTGCAGCCCCCTCGGTCAGTGGGCGAGTAAGTGGGCGAGTGGGCGGACGGGAGCATCAGCCAATCGGCAGTCTTCCAATTTCGGTCCCACGCCTGTTCTTCCACTTTGTTTCGACTGCAAGTGCGGTTTTACTGCCGTTCCAAGCGGCCTTCGGTGCCCTGGCAGACTGGCACTTACGTTGTAAGGTTACGGACTACGGAGTACAGTAAGTACTTGCAGAAGCCATGCCTTCTTTTGCCGCTTTGCCAGAAGCAGCCCCGTGTTCAGGCGCATGAGCCCGTGCTAGCTCCTTTTTACAATTATGCGGACAAAAGATTCGCAGAAATGCGCCCAGAAAATACCGAGTGTAACACCCCGTCAAGGCCCCAAAGGCCCCCCCCCCCCAAGGGCGCGCGCGGAGTCAGGGGTTCGCAATTTCATCCCGAATGGAGTTGTTCCGGATCGCCAGTCGAAACTCGCATCAAGCCGCCCCGACGAGGCTGCAGATTCAGTACAGAACGGAAGATCTTGAACGTTTTCCATTTCGTCATTTCACGCACGGCACATCACAACCTGCAGGGAAATTCCTTTCCCACTGGAGCCTTGTCCTAGGAAGTCCCTTGAATCCACCACGTGCCATAGAGAAATAGGTCGATGCCACGGACGATTATTCAGCAGCCATCATGTTGGGCCGTTGAAACGTGCATACAGATATCAACACCAAAGGGGAGCTTGACGCCCGAAGACGTGGAAGCCCGACAATCCCCAAGCTTCCGAGCTTTCTTTCCATTCCAGGTCCACCTCAGCAGTCCTCGCGTCCTCGCAAGGATTCCCAAAAGCGATGATGACAATGTTCTTCCGTCTTTTCAAAACCAACAGCTAAAACGAATGCAGCCTTACAGTCTCACCATGTTCACCCCTGACGCGTGCCTTGCCCACCCCCCCATTCACCCACAACTCATCTCGGATTCTCGGCTAGAAGTCTCATCTCATGTCAAGTTTCTCAATTCTGTGGGAAGCCGCACAGACCAGCCCCACTCAGCTCGTTCAAGCGACTTTCTAGAAGACGCTTAGAACAACCGTGCCAACCCTCACCCAAGCATTCCATCCCAGGCCCGAGTTGAAAGTGGCTGGATTCCATGGTGAAACCTTTATCTCCGTTCATTGTGTTCCTTCTAGAAGGTTTCGCCTTTCCAAACCCCCAGCCCCCGCCTAATCGGGGCTGGGCGGAAATCCTTTGCATAATTGCGCGTTCATCTGAGTAGGCCATGGATCCGCCTCATGAGTGATCACCAACATCCTCGTTCGGCTCCATGCACCAGTTTTGGGGGTTGTAGATTTGTGATCTACGGAAAGAGGAAGACGGCAAGGGCTAGTGGTGTTTTGCATTGCTGATAACCATGGTTGTGGTGCATGAATTATGCACAAACCTGAAAAGCGAGGCGGGTTTGTTCTGCTTGACTTTGTTGACCTCCATAAGCTAGATTTTACAAGACGAGCCTTGGGCGCCAATTTGTCATCGGCTGACGTGGAAAGGGGACGCAAACATGGAGGAGACCATACCATTCTTGTGCGGAAGTTACCCGTCCGTACCTCCCCCATACCATAGAGGGTTCGTGAAAGCAATCCGGTCTCGAAAGCAATCTGGCCAGGTATTTTACATGGTAAATTTGTATGGGAGGTACTTCTAGTTAATTGGGTCCGTGCCATGGAGTTTGGCAAGAGCACCAGTTTGGCGGGTGGCCAGATTGCTTTCGTGGCCAGATTGCTTTCGTGGCCAGATTGCTTTCGTGGCCAGATTGCCTTCACGAACACCCGTTGTAAGAAGTGGAAGGTACGAACGGGTAGGGATCCCCTCTCGAAGGCCTTGTCAGGAGTTGAATGCTGCGCATGAGGAACGGTTTATACCTTAATCAGGGAACTGGGCACGTGCAGAAATCGCTGAAAAACTGCCAATAGCATATGGGAACGGCCATACTTCGGATACAGACCAAGCTCGAGTACGAGCAAGGAACACGGGCAAAAAGAGCCAGGAAATGTGCAACACTATTGCATTTCTTCTCATGGGGTAGCCTCTGAGACCAGAGACCGTCCAAACAGTCATCTCAACTCAACCCTTGAGGCTTTTGAAGGACATCCGAGTAATCTAGTCCCCCAACCTTAACAAAACGACGGCCGTTATATCGTGATTTTTGGGATTCTCTCGTGGGGCGATATTAGAATTCTGCATATCGTCAGCACCAAACTATTCCAAAACCCTCTGCGCGAGAAAACGACTCACCTAAAGTCATGCTCATGCTAACATCCGTATTCTCCACCATCTTTGTGAACTCCTCGAAGCTAATCTTCCCATCGCGATCCAGATCTGCCTCCATGATTGTCTTGTCCACAATCTGCTGCAACTGCTGATCCTTCAGGTTGCTGCCGACCATCATCTTCAGCACGATGAAGAGCTCCCCGTTGCTGATATACCCATCGCGATCGATATCGTAGACCTTGAATGCGAATCGTAGCTTCTGCTCCTTGTTGCCCTTGCTCGAGAATGCACTTAACCCCGAGACGAACTCTTGGAAATCGACATCGCCGCCCCCGTCTTCGTCGAATATTGCTATCATTCGTGTTGCGAGGGGGTTCGAAGCTATCTGGGGAAGACTGAGGAACTCCTCGCGCTCGATGGTGCCGGAGTTGTCCTATAACTCCATCGTTAACCGCTGACACCAGAATATTGGATGGTCTGAGGTATTCGCGCACCTTGTCCAGCTTCATGAACCGCTTGCGGATTCTCTCCACCTCATCTCGATCGACTGTCATGGTGGTTAGCAACTCATGCTCACGAATGGGGCTCAGAAGTGTTCCATACAGTTGGACCCTTGCACAATGTTATCCAACACCGCGCTGCTGGCGTTGCCCATCTTGAATCGTGTATGAGGTCGGAGGGGTTGGATTTGGATGTGGGGTTGTCCAACTTGTCCTGTGTGAACATTCCGTATGCGGATTAATGGCCAGCCGCGCGCTAACTGCTTTAGGCGAGAATAGGGGTATTCTTCATTTTTGAAAGAACTTCTTCATTTATCAAGTGCGATTATGGAGTAATATAAAGCGACCTCGCTCCTAGGTAGCTCTCGTATAGTTCGTAGAAAAAACACCCATTTGGTTTATATGTTCAAACTGCAATTTTGGCCCATTCCACCAGGCTCCTTCGGACGTTCTCGCAGCCTTGCCTATTTCAAGATTTTTCAGAAGGAGTGAGTGGAAGTACTCTAATGAATAATTTCTGGACTGTAAAGCATTTTGAAAATGGTTATATGATGCGCTCTCAGGCCTGGTGGGGAAAAAAAGGGGGCAAACTCATGTGAGACTGAGGGAAGTCGTAGTGATGGAACACAGAAGCGTTTTCGAGACACAAGGCAAAGTTCTGGGCAATAGATAAAATAAACAACGGGATTTGGTGGGGGGTGTTGATAAGGGACACCTGCTCATGACCTCAGTACAGAGGAACAAAGGAACCCAGTGATGAGATGGACGTTCCGACTACGGTTGGTGGCGTGGCCCTCTGTTGTGGCAATTGGCAAATCCACAGAACATTGGGGGGCGAGGGTAAATTACTTTTCCAAGAAACCTATCCTTGCACTTCTCTGGAATCAATCATCTGCAATCGAGACTTTCAATGTTCGACCGGCGCTGTGGACATTCTGCAAACTGAGTTTTATATGTCAGCCTGGGGACCCTCTTTGGCGCTAACTCTATTGGTGTGGGTTCGGCTCAGGCTGCGCCCCGTGCGCCCCGTAACCAGGTATCAACACCCGCTGAGAGTGCGTGAAAATTTGAATCGCGAGACGACATACGAAGAGGCGGCGATTTTTATTCATCAACAGATCGCATTCACCTTGACGAAATGTTTTAATTTTTCGGCTTTCATCATCAAACACCTTCCTTCATGCCTCCTCCAATTTTCAGGGTGAACAGATCGCGATCTCGCCCACAACCTTCATCCCTCCGCGGTCGCACGGTGGCGACCAACTCTCGATCTCACCATGAGTCGACAGGTTCGTGTTCGGAAGCTAAACAAATCTACATCGCAGCAAGTCTTTCAAGAAAATGAGATCGACTCTGCAGAATACAAAGTGCTCCTGAATCAGCTTTCAGTGAGCATCGAATCTGGCGTGGAAAAATCCGAAGAAAAGGTATTAACTCCGAGCTATCTCCGTGCGATGATTTAATTTTCGGTCACATGATCACCCAAGTTGATGATCCGACTGTGCCTGGCCTGCACTGCACCAACTAACACTCACTAGGAATACCATCTCCAGGCAGCATTAAAAGCAAGCTCAGCAGCGGATAAGGATGCCCCAAAGGAAATCCCCGCGCCGCCAGCAGAACTGTCAAAAGACATTGATTATGATGCCCTGTACTCATTAATATTTGACAAACCTGCTACCTACATCCGCTTCTCCCAAACCGTCGAGGAGACCAGGGGTTGTCAATATGATATGACCACCGAAGATGATGTCTTCCTCAAAGCATACAACCAAAAGAGGCCAGCTGGCTCTAAGTGCTCCGAAGATGATTTCGAAAAGATCATGGAAATCTACGAAGAGACCGCGGATGTCCAAGCCCCATTCGCATCAGTAGATGGCACCGTGATACCCTACGATATCATGAGATCTGCTTTGAAACAACAAGTTGACGAGAAGATCCAAGAGTTCGCAAGAGACATCTATGACCACTGGAGAGCAAGTAGGCAAAAGTCGGGCAACCATCCGCTCCAACCAACTCTCAAATTTGAGAAAAATCAAGAAAAGGATGATGGAGACCCATATGTCTGCTTCCGACGCCGAGATATTCGGCAGACTCGGAAGACAAGACAGCGGGACATGCAGAGTACAGACAAACTCAAGCGACTGAGGAAGGAACTGGAAGATGGAAGACTCCTCATAGCCATGGCACTGCAAAGAGAATTGACTAAACGGGAACTTCTGAAAGTGGACCGAAACATCTTCGAGCAACGTGCGAAGGTTAAGGAAGCCAAAGTCCGTCTCGGAATCAAGACCGACGATGAGGACTTGATCAACCAGAGGGTAAGTGAAGTCCCCAATAATCAGCTGACCGAAGCTGACCTCCAGGAACAACCACAGAAGAGGAAGATGCCAGATTCTGTTATGCTTCAGCGTCCTCCTGGAACTCAGCTGCGCATACCTGGCCGGTCTGATGGCCGTCCACTCGATGCCGATCTCATCTTATTGGAGGACCTGCTTGCTCAGAAGGAGAACATGCTCCAGAATGAAATTGAAGAAAAAGCTGCTCAGCATCGAAAATGGAACCAAGGCCATGTCGACTTGACTCGAGAACCTCTCTCACCGGTCAACGGTCAAGGGGTAGAGACGGGCTTCCGTCCTGCAACTGCCCAATATCAGTACCTGATGACACCACCTTCTTCTGTGACATCGGAATCCTTTGACCAGCCCTCTCCCATCCAGGAGAAGCCTGAACCCTTCACCTTCAGGTACAGTTCCCCTCCTGAAGAAGATCTGCCCCAGGGACAACCAGCGTATCGTCGGAGAATCGGTCGTAATGGCCGCCTCTGGATCGACCGCAGAGGGATGTCATCCGCAGCAGCGAAGGGTGTTGACGAGAGCGGGTCCGATCGTTGGAAGTACGACCAAGACGACGACGATGAGCAAGCCGTCTACGAACTGGACCCATACGACACCAAAGCATTGCGGTTCCGAGCAACCATCCCCTTTCCCAACCACCTCTACCCCCAACGAACTCGACAGGAGGCTGCACAAGTAGCCAGACCTCCTGGCGTCAGTCCGGCAAATAGCCGCGCCATCGCTACCACCCAGCAGCCAAGAGCACCCACTTGAGTTTTTCAACCATCTCCTCTCACAACATCCCGGAACACGAAATCGCGCCCTTATGGCGCTCCTGTACATCACACCTTTCCCGGAGCATCATTTGAAGATGCGTGTTTGACTTGGAGGCGTTATCCACGGATCCGGGTGAACAAAGCTTTGTTGGTATTAGACGTTGTGTCACCACAGGCCTAGAAGATAAAGGCAGATACAGGTCGTCTGTTGTATTTTAGTTAGCGCTCAAGAGAGCAAGCAAGAAAAACAAATAAAGCCATTTTGCCGGGGGTTAAACACTCTCAGACAGAATAGAACCTATCATGGAAAACGTGCCTTTCGTAGTTCATCTGAACCGACCCTTTTTCTTTGGACCTGTTGGTTCCTCGATGGATCTCTTCCCCTTCCCCTCACCGACCAAATTGTTCTTTCCTCCCAATCTCATTCGTTTGTTGCTTCCAGTAAAGGTTGTTGCTTCTTTGATCGCTGCTCTCAAGACGGCTTTCTCGCCAAGTCGCACTTGTACAGCCATGGCAATTCGATGAGGAAGATTTCCTGTTGAGAGCAAGGTTTCATCTTCTTCAAGGCTTGTTGCATATTCCTTTTCCCTGAGTTGAATAACAGTCACGAGGACCTGACCAACGACTTCCGTGGCAAGTTTTGATCGACTCGGAAGGCCGTCGGAGTCGTAAAGGGCCTTCAAACTCTGGTCGTCGAGGAGAACTAAGTAGAGTAGAGCAAGAAGTTCATCTGGAATGCTGGGTCTTTCGGGTCCTGGATGAGAGAGATCATAGGAGTCATCAAAGATGCCTTCTCGTTCTGCCAGTTCAACCTGAACGGAGTCAGTTCTGAACGTAGTAAAGTAAACAGGTCTTGACATAGCAATGCCATGGCAAAGGATATCCACTTACCCTGCTATCGAGCTGTCCTTGGCTGAGTGGACTCAGATTTAAGCCTTGAAACGCTTCTTTGGACATGAAGAGGGAAAGCATTTCCTGTGTTATTATCTCTGCCACGTCGTATAGTGCGTAAGTCTCACTAACATACCCATACCGTCGCAGGAGGTCGGAACGGGGTAGCTGGCCATAGTCGTTGAATATCTCCTCGCCCGCAGCAATATTCTTGATGCTTCTCATCTCAAAATCTTTATTACCGCAGCATAGTCGAGCATTGTTCCTGTCTGCATCTGCGTTTCTGCCAGTAAGAGTCAACCAAAAGTTCCAAGGACGAATGATATGTACAAAAAGACAAATCGTCCGGTCCTAGAACGGTCCTGAACTGTTCCAAGACCAAAAACATTGCTTGGGTATACTCACAACATGTCAGCAAGAGGTATCATTGACAACAATATCTTTTCGTCCTCCTCATCATCAGACACCAATTCTTCTCCTTCGTCTCCCGATTTCTCATCTACTGTTGTATTCTCTTCCGGAATGTCGAATGCATAGGACATTATGATCGACGCGACTTTGTGGCACTCTTCGATATTGTAGTCTGTTAATCCAAGTGGGGCAAGGGACCTGGAGAAGAACTCTTCTGCGCCAGACTTTCCAATCTTGCTGACAACTTTACTGGCTTGTAGTTCCGAAAGTTCCGCATCCGACCAGAAAGTAAGATTGTGCAGCTGTCGAGGTAATATCGCGAGGTAGGGAGCCCATTTTGAATCCTGTCGACGACTTTCATCGAGTATGATGGCGGTGAGAGCCTGTGCGAGATCAGTGAGTGATCGAAATTATGACAAATATCTAATAACATACCAGCCAACTTGCCAAATTCCGGATCTTGAATTCTAGGTCGGATACACTACTCGAGCCAAAGAAAACCGTATTTAAGTTCAACACTGCGGAACGCGGGACACTGAATATCAGTTCGTCCGACTCGAAATCTCCGGTTGCCACTGTATGAAATGAGTAAAGGTCTTGTTACAGTGCGCACAAGGCAAAGGTATGTGATTCTAGGAACATAGATGGACAATCGACTTGAAAAGTCCAACTAGTCTCCTATGGATGATTTGTGGGATCAGAAACACTCACCGACTCCTCTTCCTCGACCTGAGCTCCTCAAATCCACGAGTGCCATTTTCGGGCTCAAGACAACTCCCTGAAAGGCAAGCCAAGAGAGGAAGTGATTCGTCTTCGCCTCGAAATCGTCGACTTCCATGATCTCGGCTGGTGTAGATAAAGTAATTGGGAGTTTCGTGGAAAGTGGAGGTTGACAAATTGAACGTTACCCGGTGCTTTAGATTTATTTTCGCTAGCATCTGTTTTAGCGAGGTAGCACCACTCCACTCCACCCCTGGACTTCATAATGTCAAAAGGAAGTGTTCAAATGTTTTCAGTGCTTCTTCAGCGGAAGGAGTACTGTTTGAAAATCTCTAGATCAGACTGAGTTTTTTTTTAAAAAATCCCAAATCACAGTGTGCGGAGCTAAGTGGGTGGGCAGTCTCAGCCTTCCCACTGGCTTATCGATTAGCAGCAGCCCTGTAAGGAAATCAAGCGGGGTTTTACTTTTACTTCTTCGTGCAACACAAAACAACATCACATTTCGAGTCTCAGAAAACGCAACCATGATCGCCATAGGGCTAGAGGGAAGTGCCAATAAGCTCGGCGTGGGTGTCATCTCACATCCTGCTCCCGGCAAACCAGCACAAGTACTGTCCAACATTCGGCATACTTTCGTGACACCCCCCGGAGAGGGGTTCTTACCCAAAGACACTGCAAAACACCATCGAACATGGGTAGTCAGACTCGTAAAGGAAGCCATGACAGAAGCCGGAGTATCTATTAACGACATCGACTGTATATGCTATACAAAGGGGCCGGGAATGGGTGCTCCATTGCAAAGTGTAGCTGTGGCGGCCAGAATGCTCTCACTCCTGTGGCAGAAGGAACTTGTTGGGGTCAATCACTGCGTGGGACATATAGAGATGGGACGGGAAATTACAGGCGCTGATAATCCCGTGGTGTTATACGTCAGTGGAGGAAATACACAAGTCATCGCATACGCCGAGCAAAGATATCGAATATTTGGAGAAGCTCTCGATATTGCAGTAGGGAACTGTCTCGATAGATTTGCACGAACACTGGAGATCAGCAACGACCCCGCTCCCGGATACAATATTGAGCAGCTGGCAAAAAAAGGAAGGGCGTTGTTGGATCTGCCGTATGCGGTTAAGGGAATGGACTGTTCATTTTCCGGAATCCTGGCCAGCATCGACATCTTGGCTGCAGAACTCAAGGCTAATCCAGAACAACGGGATTCTATTACTGGAGAAGTCATTACTCCAGCAGATCTGTGTTTCAGCTTGCAAGAGACTGTATTTGCTATGTTAGTGGAGATTACAGAGCGAGCAATGGCTCATGTTGGAAGCAATCAAGTGTTGATCGTTGGAGGTGTGGGTTGCAATGAAAGGCTTCAAGATATGATGGGCATCATGGCAAGGGACCGAGGTGGAAGTGTGTTCGGTATGGATGAGCGGTTTGCCATCGACAATGGCATTATGATTGCCCATGCGGGCTTGGAGGCCTACAAGACAGGCTTCACAACACCTCTTGAAGAGAGTACTTGTACTCAGCGGTTCAGGACTGATGAGGTGTTTGTCAGATGGAGAGACTGAAGAGTCGATTAAGACATTCATTCAATTCAACATACGAGATAGTCAAGACCAGCGATACCTGGATCTTCTGAGGGGCTGCGAATTCGGTCTGCTGGCGGCCATCGATCAGAACCCCTCCTCCGAATCATCGTCCTCCTCTAGAATGGTCTGTCTCAACAAGTCCCGGTCTATCTCCAGCCATTCAGAATACTTCTTATCTGTAGAAGGCTCACCCTTCCATTTCCCTGATTCGACTTTAGTCGTTGAGCTTTGCCACGCCTGCTCAAGCTTCTTCTTCTCCCGGGCAGCTCTCACGGAGGCAGCCGATCGGCCTATCTCTTCGGGCGTTGGAGTCAAATTGAAGATGGACACCAGGATTGACGAGGACATGTGAAGTATGGAGCCAGTGAGAAGTCCTATCACGGCGGCTACTCCCAAATAGATATAGAGAGTCTCGTAGATGGTCAGCAAGGTGCAATGGAAACAATGTTTTTACCAACCTCAAATTTTGCAAGTAATCTGAGTGGCAAGAGCATTCCCGAAAACAAATAATGTCCCAGATGTAGAGCAGGGGCAAGAGCTATGAGTACCCAATTGTAGACGGTTGTGAAAACGGTAGTGAATGGCAACGAAAGATAGTAGAGCACACTCCCCAAAACCGAGAGCCAGGTCATGTTCGCGAGCACGGTGTGACCAGAGTGAAATGCGATGGCCGATCTACAGAAGGAAGACCCGATCAGAACATTCGTTGTCGAAGAGTGTCTCGGACATTGGGAATTGATTGTTATGTCCGCACATAGAAGAGGACAATGTTTGGCAGTCGAAGAGCAAGATGAATTTAAGCTTCGAGAGTGCCAGAACGAACAAGGCTGCGCACAGACCCCAAACAAACAGCCTAGCCTGCCCTGCTGTGGGGTTGAGCTGGACCTCGACCGAAGGGCTGGGGTGGGAGATCGAGCTTCCATCAAGACCGCTGCCAGCATCCTCGTCCACATCGTCCACAAGTCCTGAAGCTTCGCCACAGTGTGAAATCTTCCTCTATCCTCGACCAACGTCTCTCCAAGTGACCTCTCTCGCCCCTTGCGCCGTTGCACGCCACGCCACGCCTCGCCTCGCCCTCGCTCTCTGCCATCGCTCCTGCCACAATGCACAACTGCCAACTGTGAATAAAAACACGACCACACCGTTGTTCGAAAATGGGTCAGGACAATTCGAAAAACCCGAGGCACCCCAACTCCTCTTCATCTTCTCCTGCCCCTGATTCCGCGAAACACAAAAGAGACCCAAGAAACCTTATTCAAGCTTCACGAGCGCCAGCAGAGCCATCGTTGGCCCAGGCTCGTGGAACGAGCACCACTACACATCGGACACACACACGCAATTCCCAATCAAATGCCGCTGCCCAACTAAATCATCCGTCCCCAAGCCAAAGCATCAACAGCAGTGATTCGCAGATGGGCACAAAACAATCGAAATCAGAGCCGAAGGAGGTACAGAGAGATCAGCCAAGCAAGCCCGTCGATGTTCCTACACCAGCTGCCAACACCGACTCTGGTTCCTTAAGATCGTTCTCCAACTCAATCGAACCATCCGGCCCCCCTGCTACACAAGACATGTCCTACCATCTTACTCGGCCTCCCAGGCTACCGCTTCCCATTGAGGAAGAGGTGCACACACCTGGCTCGCCCATCATTGCCCCGGCCGATCTTGACGCTCCAGTATTAGATGTCGAGGCACTCGATAATGACCCTCTTCCTCGCCGCACATCCGCACTTAGCAATACCACAATCGACGAGGAAGATGCAGAGGAGCTCCGTGTCGATAAGACCAAGGCCACTGTACCAACCACCTTTGAATGGCGGTATGGAGGGGACAAAGTCTATGTGACAGGCACAATATTCCAGTGGAACAAGAAGCACAGATTACACCCAGTGTATGTTGATACCAGATTATCTCGGGTGGCAGCCGCCTCACTTTTCATATCCCCATCAAATTTGTTACTAATATATTCAAAGTGAGGGCAAACCTGGTGTCCTGCAGGCTATCATCCATGTTCGACCGGGAACGCACCACGTCAGGTTCATTATTGATGGAGTAATGCAATGCTCCCAAGACCTTCCAACCACCGTGGACTTTGGCAACAACCTGGTCAACTACATCGAGGTCAGCGCTGACGATATTCCTCGTGATACTCCTGCATCGACGGAAGCTACCGGAACCCCTGTTGCAGAAGCCCAACCACAGGTTCCTTCAACGCAAGCTGAGATCAAGGCTGCCGTAGAGGAGAAGGAAAAGAAAGTAAAACCACCTCCAAAGAAGAAGCAAGTCTTGCCACCTGGACGGTATTCTTCGCAAATTCCTCAGTACCTTCTTGATCTAGACAAGGCGGAAGACTCTTCTGCCTATCAATACGCAGCAGCTGCGATTGAGAAGCTCCCAACGCCCCCGAGTCTTCCGGGATTCTTAGGAAAGCCAATCCTAAATGCAGCTACACCGATGAAAGATGACAACAGTGTGTTGATTATGCCAAATCACACCGTGCTCAATCATCTCGCTACGTCCAGTATCAAGAACAACGTTTTAGCTGTTTCCGCCACGACTCGATACAAGCGGAAGTATGTCACTACTATCATGTATAAGCCCACGAGTGATGAATAGAGCGATGAATGAGAGGTGCAATCATGGAAATGCTAAGAGTTACTATGTGGCTATGTGGTCGCCATCCCAGCACTTGCGCACCATTCCTCATCCAATTTGTTGCAGACATGTGTTGATTTACAGATCTGACCTTGAAAGCCCTATTTTCCAATTTGGGGGAATCCGATAGCTGGTCTGTAATTAGGTGTCACCGTCAGAGAGAAGCCCTGCTCGAGATTAAAAGATCCCAATAGGATGAAATTGGCCTTCTCATCTCTCCACAGTTCCGTCATCAGTCCTTCCATACGCCCATGTGTCTCTAAATCTGAAAATTTACGCTTTGAGTCTTTGCTTGAACGACGGGTATTCCATGTTTGAGTCCAGGAAAATGGACTTTTAGTCAACCGACTTACTTCTTCATTGTACAGTGCTTGATACGAACAATCAGCAATTACTAGATATTACCTGATACAAATAACCAGGCATCATTGTTCCAAGGCTTGCTGGCCCATTCAACACTAACTTGAATGATAGTATAGCGCTAGATAAGAACAATTAGCCCTCATTGTTCCAAGGCTTGCGGGTTGATCACATGGCACATTTACCTCGAATCACAGTAATTAAAGAGTATCTTGAATCAGGATGATTCCCACTCCTACGTCTGTTGATGTTTCGGGAAAGAATATGACTAGTGATGTTGTTGGCATCAGTCAGGGTTATGGCGTTTCGAATATGCAAATTCACAAGTACAAGTCCCACACTTCATTTCTTCTGACCTGGGTTAAAGACCCCAGAAATCCTCTGAACATTATGCTACCGAGCGCCTTCCCACAGGATGATGCCTCCCGAAAATCCAAAACTCTAGTATACCATACCGCTGCTTAATACTTTTCCCGAAATCCCACAGCTTTCTCCCCGTCACTCATGCTGCTCTTGAGAGACACCGATCCCAAAGAGCTTGAGTCTCCTCCCAGACTCTCTTCCCCACATCATCAAGCCTGTATCCAGGCAACACATCTCCATCAGGTGCACTGTCATCAAGTGGCCCCAACCGATAGACACCATTACCCACACCATCCTTAACAACGGAAGCACTAGCCACCTCAACCCCTTGCGGCAGCTCCACGCCAACAAAGTCCGTCTTTGGGTTCGATGGTGGAAATCTAGCACTCGTTCCAAGGAACAGCCCCCTCTCCCCAGCTTCGTCAATGGTCGTAGAGAACCAATTCACAATGGGCAAGACTGCCCACTTTGCAATCGTAGCGGGTATCGCCATCGGGCCTGTGACTGTACTCAGGAATCGGCCGATTACGCCGGTGTCGACGAAGCCTGGGTATCTGATCTTCGAGTTAGCATGGCCTTATCAGTGAGAGAACTGAGAGCCTGAACAATGTTTTACTTCCTCTGGAGGAAGCTCTCGATTTGCAGTAGATCTGAGAGTACAACTTCTTTGCAAGATCCTTTCGAAGAAACTGTGAGAGAATGGAAATAGCTCGAATGATACTTGGAGATAAAACCTACTTATGGATGAAGGTAATCGAGGGGTACGATTTTGCCAGTTCCTCAAATGCGAGTGTCGTTTGAGTGGTGCCATTCGCAGCCGCTTTTGCAAATGTGAAATCATTATGGACTTCAAGATCATTGATGTCGATCGCCGACTCTTTTCCTCCAGCTAGGATGGAGATGACCCTTGGCGAGGGGCTTTCAGTGAGCAGGGGAAGTAAATTATAGACGAATCGCAATCTCGAGTAATAGCGAAGAGCATGTGGAACATCGATTCCTTCAGCGGATTCTAGGTGATTATTAGTATTGTAAGTGTAGGAAAGGTCTCAGAACAAACCAATTCTGCCTCCCCATGCGAGAAAACCAGGTGACATGAACAAAATATCGACCTTCTTCTCTTTCGTTTTGATCTGATCACAGGCCAGATCGACATTCTTGATGAGGGAGATTTCCGTTTCTATGAACTCAAAGGTTCCCGTTGGGTTTGACTCCTTGAGTTCGTCCAGAAGTGGTTGCGCGGCGCTCTTTGATCGACCAATGATATATGCTTTTCCTCCTTGGGCGTACTTCGCGTATTGCTTCAAGGTACCTAGGCCTATGCCAGAAGTGGCCCCGACGAATACAGCTACCAGACTCGATACATGGCCTGAGAGTTTGAAAGCCAAGTTGGACTTGCGGATAAGGTTTATGTTGACCATTTTGTCTGCGTGTTGAAAGCAGGAAATGTATTGCGTAATTGAGAAGGAGATAAATGTTACGAAAGGATGATCAACAGAAATCAGGAAATTCACTTATCTTATATACCCGTTGCCAAAGTTTAGAGGCAGCAAGAAGTGTTGCGTGATGTGGAGAGATGCCCCGCTCGGGCCTCTTCTCGCATTCGACCTGGCAAAACCGCGAAATGCGAGAGAGCAGCCAACGATTTGTCAGTCTTGTGCCAAACTTCTGTGATTGGCTGAAAAACTTTGTTGATTGATCAGCCTTTTCTGTCGGGATCGGCTTCTCAAAGCCCGTCGTCCATCGGGACAGTAATTTATGCATTTTTACGAATGTTCACCGCTGAGCACTAGGGCAAAATATGCTGAATCATCCTCAATTTTGATGTCCATTTCAACCAACGCCTGTTCAAGCTCTTCGGCATTCACATCTCCCCGCTGTCGACCCACCATGGCAACTCGATGTATCACCAGAAGCTGCTCACAGCTGAGTGCTTCGACCTCTTCGTCCGCTGCCCGAGCATTTCTCCAGCTCACTCCCCTAAGATACATACATAGCACCCCGCTTCCAGTCCTCGATTTCCTCGTACCCAGTATTCCCTCGTCTATTATACACAATGCCTGGGTTGCCAGACCTAGGTCTCGAACTATCCAAGCGGGAAAAAGGACCTTCATATCCTCTTCGAGACGTCAACAAATATCTGCCATCTTCAACCCCCGCCAGGATGAAGATGGCAATGACATGAGTGTTGAAATTACACCTCGAGCTTCGAACGTACGTCTCAGTTTTCAAATATGTCTGTATTCCGGTGGCTAACATGATGATATCAGCGTCTTAAAGAAATCATGTCTCAAGATTCGAACCCCAACCTCGCCCTTCGAATCCAGGTCGAAAGTGGTGGCTGCCATGGCTTCCAATACTTAATGTCACTCACAACCCTCCCGCCCGTAGAATCATTCTTCTCGAGCTCGACTCAAGAAGTGTCATCACCAGCATTCGACACATCGTCCGGTGACCCAAATGATACGCCATCAACATCAGAGGATGGAACGAAGCCAGCCGATGCGAAAGTTGGAAAGTTGGATGAGGATGATACAGTATTTGCAGCCGATGATGGATCGGGGGCTAAGGTTGTGATGGATGGGCCCAGTCTAGAGCTTTTGAAGGGAAGCAAGATTGATTTTACGATGGAGCTGATTGGGAGCCAGTTCAAGATTGTGGATAATCCGCTAGCAACGAGTAGCTGTGGGTGTGGGACGAGCTTTGATATCAAAGCTTGAGAGCCGCCGTCTCAAAACAGTTCCCAGCCATATGTGGACCGCCAGCTTGAGTGTGAGAAGTGTAATGGCCAGGGAATAGAATGTATTGAGCAACAGTATGCCGGCTGTTCGGCGACAAAATCGCATATGATTACGGAATGGTGGAATGAAGGTGCTCGAACACTTTTGACATTCATAAGCTAATGATCACTGCATTAGATCCATCTAATGTACGTGCTTAACTGGAACAAGGAAAAGATAATCGTAGAATGTGTGTACGTCTAATGTCACATAGATGCATGATCGATCAGTGGAATTCAAACTTTGCTTTGTAATGTCATTCATTCTTTTGATGTTTACGCCAATGCAAGCCCTAGCTAAAGCAAGTCAACAAGCCCAGGAGAATCATCCACAACATGTCTAGTTCATCTGTTGAAAAAAAGTCAGCACTGGCGAAATGAAAATCCTTGACAGAACACAAACCTGGCGGACTAAAGAATTGATCTTATCTTCGCGGTTGCCCAAGTCACCACCTGAAAGTTTCATAGTTAGCAACGTTTAAAAGGGGGGAAGGGAGAAAGAACCTTCGACGAAATGACGGAACTTTCTGGCGCGGAAACCTCCCGTTGGGTTAGAAAGCTTGAATGGCCACAAGAAGTTGGCAGTTTGCTTGAAGTTGGGTCCGACAGTGAAGATCTCGTGGATCAAGTCCTCCATGCAGACAATGCCGTACTTTCCTAAGTTGGCTTCGATGATCGAGTTATCGGTGAGAGCAATGCGTTGCTTGTCGACCTTTCCGTATCCACGCTTGTAGATGAGTTCACGAACAGTCTTCAGATTAGGGTATCCATAGGCAATCCATGGCTCGACAACCTTGAGCATCTCGAGAGTGGCCTTTGTCATGCGGACAAAGACACCATTGTTGATTTGAAGGAGACGGAGGAGTTGGAGGATCTTTCGGGGCTTTGGTGCGATCTTGTTGATACTGGATTCTTGTGAGTGCCTGATCGAGACAGCAGTCAAATGTTCACCTACCCCTTGATACGGATAACGAAGACCAACTTCTCCTCAGCAGGAATGTGGAAAGCACCATCTTGCTTAGCCAAACGGGCAAGGCGGATCTTCTCGCGCTCTTGATCACGGTACTCCTTAACGTACTTCTCGGCACGCTTGAAGATGACACCGCGCTTCTCCTTTTGGGCCTGTGAAGACGAATCAGTCATGAAGATTTAATGAAATCAAAGATACACAGGGGGCATCTTCATTGACAATTCAGACCCGAAAGATGGTTAATTTAGCGACAGCATCGACAGTGTCTAGCCGCAAAAGTGGTGTTATGCATCATAAAAGTCCTTCCATGCCAGCCTGTGTATTTATGAAATATCGACGAACCTTCTTCTTCTTCTCAAGTTCAGCAGAGCGCTCCTCTCTCGCCTTCTCCTGGCTCTTGCGCTTCTTCAAGAGAGTCTCCGGAACGAGGATTTGGTCGGCAGTCGGGACGCTCCTATTTCGGATTAGTCTATTGTCCCGCATACAAATGTATGGAGAAGAGCGCCGAATGGGAATTGCAGCTAAAGCGCGGCATTCTCGCAGTGGCTAACTCGAAGGTATGATTTTAATCAGTGAGAAAATCAAGGATCGATCCGCTCTTTGCTCCCGAGAGGGAGCAAGATGGTTCTTCCAACTGACATCCATTCTCAGCAGACAAGACCTCGGACAAAGTCCAAGAAAGATGCGAAGCACATTGGCCAATACTTTCGTACCTCCGCAAAACGTATTGGTACTACTTGATTGTGCGCTGCAATGACTTTAAAGGAGAAGACCAGAGTCTTCAACCTCAAGACCCCATACTACCACTCTCGTGATGCAAGTTGGTGAGACCTAGATCGGCGAGGGCGTAGCTCAGGAAGAATCGAGCTGGCAGCCAGGTATCGGTCACTCTGGAGCTGACTTTCGACAACCATGGTGCTCCAGCGAGAGGACAACGACTAAAACTGAATCCAACGCATTTCGATCAGCTCTTCGAGGGAATTGGGGGGCCGTACGTCTTTGCGACCTGCTCCTTGGAGGCAGTACCGGTTTGTTTCTTGGCAGGCATCGTGGCGGTTGTCGATGGTTGTCGTTGAAGAATGAAATTCGCAAGTGGAAATTCTCGAATCTTTCGTGGGTGCTCGCTTAGAAAATTGCCTGTGCCCGTGCTGAAAATGGTCTAGGGCGAAATATGCATGAATCCCAGATCACGTGCCTTCAAACCAAAATCTCATCGATGAACATCAAGTGAGCCGAAAACCATGGCCACCGTCTATGCCATAGGATCTAACGGCTCCGGCCAGCTAGGAATCGGCCACAAAGAAGACGTGTCTGTCCCAAAACAAGTACTATTTGATGACGAAAACATTGGACCCATCTCTGAAGTCAAAGCTGGAGGCAACCACACTCTACTGCTATCTTCTGGAAGCCTTTATTGTTCTGGGGACTCCTCGAGTGGAGCTTGCGGCCTCATATCTGAATTAGAGCGTTCTGATTCCCAGTTTTACAGAGCCCGGTTGAGTACGGAAGATTTTAAATCAAGCTCACCCGTCATCTTCTGTGCTGCTTCTTGGGAGGCTTCTATAATCGTCCAAAAAGACGAGGATGGACTTGCAACCAAGGTCTCTAGTTTTGGTATTGGAAACAAAGGGGAACTTGGTCAAGGAGAGCTCTTATTTCGATCTTCTAAGGCTCAGATAATCAAAGATTTTCCTCCGAAAAATCTTGAGATCGTCGATTTAGCGGCTTCCGTCAGCCATGTTGTCGCAGTTCTGAGTAATGGAGACGTCTATGGATGGGGAAGTGGGCGGAAAGGACAGTTGGGCCAGCCGGAGGGAATCATTTACGTTCCTCGTAAAATTACCGGTCTTGGTTTCAAAGCCCTCCGAGCTGTCTGTGGACGCGAATTCACATACATCCTCGGCGAGACTGAGAGTGGAAAACATGCAGTTCTGGGCTCCGACAAATGGAGTGTGAGATCGGCGGCACCAGCTGCAGTACATGGTTGGAAGGATGTAGGCGCCAGCTGGGGTAGCATCTTCGTCCTGAACAAAGATGGGAAGTTAATTTCATGGGGAAGAGATGATCACGGACAACTGAGTCCTCTTGGACCACCAACTCTCTCACAAATTGCTATTGGAAGTGAGCACGCTCTGGGACTCACCATGAACGGAAATGTGTTGGCTTGGGGTTGGGGAGAGCATGGAAATTGCGGACCAGGTACAACAAATGGAGATGTGAAAGGGAAATGGAATGTGATTGCATCATCTCAATATCTACCACCAGGGAGCAAGATCTCGAATATTGGAGCTGGATGTGCTACAAGTTGGGTGTGCATCACTCCCTGAAATGCCTCATCCAGAACAGTTAGTTCACTCAGCTATTTACCCGAGGCCTAATTTCGGTTCCCAGGCCCTCAGGGGGCTTTGGCGAATGACCACACGGTCTTCGGCTTTGTGTTAAATGCTAGATTGCAACACACTATTTGGTAGTTTGATCTGAATATTCGGGCTTCTTGGCCTCAATCAAACACACCTCGGACCTACCCGATATTAGTATGATATCAGCCACAAACAAAGGACTTGAACGTACCTCTGAAACGTTCTGAGTTGGTGCCAGGCGCTGGGTTGGGATTGTGTATGACTGCTCGCCATCCTCCGCCGACAATCCAGGATGACCGTTGGTGCTTCGATTCTGGTTCTCAGATGTTTGGAGATGTCCCGAATTCATCGTCACAGTTTCCTGGATTTCAATTAGCATCAGCCCCGTGTAACGAACGACCTGCTGTCCTCACTTTATCTCCAGGTGTATCCCAAAGTAGCATCTCGTCTTCCTCCTCATCAAAATTTGTCGGATCCCATCTTCGATCTTCAGCCTCAGTTACAAAGAGGGCCTCGGACTGAAGACTAGGTTGTGGGGGTGGTGGAGAAGGTCTGGAGACTCTCGCTCTCGTTGGCTCACGACCCAGATTCGGAGCGGCAGTGGTTGGTGGAGGTGGCATTGAGGTGGCAGCCCTCTTAGGGCTCGATATCGCTTCCAAAGGTTGTCTTGATGCAGGTCTCTTCGAGTTTGCTCTTGATGCGTTCGGTGCTGGTGTGGCTGAAGCACCACGAGACTCTCCAATAGTCATGAGAATGAACTCGCTCAGAATACCATCTTCGCTGTATGTCAATTGCATTGGGCTTGTTGGACGTGAGTATAAAGCTTTAACCATTGTGTTGGTAATGCCAGCATGTGCGATGATAGATTTGAAATCCTTGACACTGATGACAATATGAAGTTTCTCCTCAACAGCGAACTCGCCGAACTCAAGTGTATCCACGGCGATTGTAGTATGGAGTGGTTGCTTCAATATTTCTAAGTTTAATCAGCATGCAAGGGATTTCTGGAACATTGCAACAAACCGTTTCCAGACATGATCTTCTCCGTGTAGCTGGTGAAGCTAACGCGGCCATCTTCAGAGTAGATATCAAGCTGCTCCGTGCCTGGGCCGAAGTGCTCGACAAATTCTCGAAGAGTTTTGGACGATATCGACCAACTGTTGTTTGCACTCTCCTTGACAAACAAGGCATGCATAGGTGCAACGGACTCGAATGTCAGACGGTAGGTCTTGAGAACGCCTGGACACGTCAATTGCTTGAAATTGGTAGTTGACGCAGAGACATACCATGTCTGCAGACTATCTTGATAACGAATCGGCTCTTCGTTTTACCTTCACCATCCTCAACTGATACATCGCATCTTTCAACTGCAGTGTCCTTCTCCCTGCTCGGGTCAGCAACTCGACCTTTGAAGACAGACAAGAGTGCCTATAGCCAAAGTCAATGCTGAAAACGAAGAGAATAGCCAACAAAGGTGCTGACCTTGTTATAAATTTTGCATGTGAACTTCTCCTTTGCCTGATTGCTGGATCTCAAGGGTCTATAATGATACTTGGAGAAGAACCTGTTTCCCAGCAGTGTGAAAGAGGCGTATGCTGATTTTGAAGAATTGAGTGCAGTCAAGACTAGCTAGGAATACTCAGCAACGAAAACTATTAAAAGCAGTCACGGCCCTACTGACCCTGTCTGAGGAAGCTTCCAAGCAAACGGCCTCGCTGAACTTTCCCAGGCAAACAAGAGCATCGTGCAGCTTACCCAGGGCATCAGGATTGATGGTGAACGTCAATACCGCCATGGCTGGTAAACTGAGAATGTGAACATTAGATCACGACACATTCGAATCGTCCAGGTTCCTACTTGGGCACACAGCATGCCCGGAAAAATCCCCTTGACGTTGCACGGCACTCGTGAGTTCGTGGCGGAACAATTGTTGCCTCGAAAAAGTCGCGCACAAGGGGCATGACGACGCGACTGGCTTTTGCTGCCCCGCGTTCTCCACAAATACACAATCGCCAATCCCACCAACATCAACACCAGGATTCAACATACAATAGTACTACTACTACTACTAGGCGTTCCCACGAACGATATTTGGCCTTCGGTATTACTTTGCATTATACTTTACAGCCTACGAAGCTTCCAGAAATTCCGCTTTCCACTATGCAGGACCTGCCGGCGGATTGTCTCTACTTGATCTGCGAGGAGCTTGCAGCCAAACGAGACTTCAGTACGCTCTTTGCATGTGCCGTGTCAAGCAAGTCTCTTGTTAAGCCTGCGCTGCTGCGGATGTACCGGTAGGATATCCTTTCATTCTGTTGAAAGAACGCGATCTAACAAGCTCTAGGGTCCACGATGAAAGCCCCATCAGAAGTAGTGGCGAAGGCAACGAAACCGACTTCGAAAAAAATAGCACATCCAACGACCAAACGTTCGAAGAAAAATTAGCTGCTGTCAAGAAGATAACCTCTAAATGGGCTCTACAATGGAAGTCAATCATACGATCCAGCATGGGACATACTCTATATCCGTATTGCCTTTACATTCGTTCCCTCGATCTTCGAAACCTTGCAGAGCTCCTTGAGTCCCTTGACGACCCTTTGTTCCGAGAACTCTCGCAAATATTCTTTGCCGACGACATGGCCCAGTTCCTGAGGACTCTAGATACGCCGATGAAGCAAAAGATTCGAAGTGCAAAGGCATCATACGAGAAGCTGGATGTCCCTGTTATTCTGGACCTTGTTGGAGAGTCAATTACCAGTTTTGTCAGCACAGCAGCCACCCAGAACAAGGCCACGGTTGCTCTTGAGGACATCTCAGGCGATATTAGTGGTTTGGCTTTGCCCCGGTGGGTTGGTCGTATCTCCAGGCTCAAAGGAATGACTTTGTGGGATGGAGCAGCCCTCAGTGAGGGCGTGGCTACTTCGATTGCCAACAACTGCCCCAAATTTGACGACCTTACTTTCTACGGCAGCCTCAAGCCAGACATAGACCAAGACTTGGCCTCTTTCTTTAGTGGACTGAAGAAAGATAGTCTGCGATCGTTTACCGCTTTGAGCGCAGGCGCCGTTGGTCGCGAAACACTTCTTTCACTGAACCATCACAAGTCCTCGTTGAAGAGGTTGGAACTGGACGGCCTGAGATCGAAGGCGATTGAGAAGCTGTTTTTGCTTCAAGAATGCGTTGCCCTTGAAACTCTCGAAATACATTCCGATAGTTCAGTCAACCTCGAGGCAACAGAAAACGATATCTTCCCAGAGATCATCGCGTGGTTAGGCCGTTGTGAAAGACTCCGGGATCTTCTCTTAAGAAACTTGGCAAGTGGTCCAGCAATTCTCACGCAAGTATGCTTGCGGAACAACATCCGCCTTCAAACACTGCAGGTGGTTGGGTACTCTGTTGTCGGAAATCAAGACTTTCACAGGGCATTGTCCCACCAGACGAGTCTTGAGTCACTCTCTCTTGAAGCAGACCCAGAAGGTGCCTTCCGAGACGATATCGACGTGTTGATATCTTCCATCTCCCAATTGACCAAATTGCGAGATCTCAACCTATTCTCCACTTCCGATTACTTCCGGACATCCGAGATTCTGAATCTCTCTTCCGTTCTGACAAACCTGGAGGATCTGTCATTTGGAGGCTACGATGTTACGGATAACCTCTGGCGTGGAATGTCAAATCTTCATCAGCTCCGCAAGCTCGACATATCAGCCATGACCTCGTTCTCATTCGATGGGATTTTGGATTACATTTCAACTCTGAAGGACTCCAATCGCGGTCTGACATTGTCAGTTATGAACCAGAAAGCTGAGAACCCGCTTAGTGACCGCGAGGAATCTGACATCAAGCAGAGAATTAGGGATAAGGTGGATGGCAAGTTTGACTTTATGTTGTTCAGAGAGGCAGATTCCGAATCTGAATCGTTCTCGGACTGATTGTTGGAGAGGAAGCTTGTTTGTGGATAATTGTAATGGTTCATGTTAAATAGATTGGGAAACTTGCACCGCATGGATGAATGAACTCCCTTAAACTGGGGTAATTAATTTGTCAAGTACCGTTGGGTGATAGATGTCGGGAGTAGGCACCGCCCTTCTATGAATAATAATATAGCTTCACGACGGACTCTTATCACGGCAAGTAGGGAATGAACCCTACCCTCTGGCGTGTTTGTAAACAGCTTCTTGGCCATGCTTCTCGACCGTTAATGGGCCATGGCACAATTCAAAGGATGTTAATTACGCTCATTATCAGAAATATATGAAGCGAAAACGACTTGGGCTGTATATATCAACATATGGATTTGTCTGCCCACAACAACCCGAGCCCGGTACGCGGTGGCAGGTGAGCTTAACCCAAGACCAATATTTAGATATAACACCTTACAGCGACAATACTAACTATATAATAGAGCGCCCGGGCTCCGTAACGAGGAGACATGATGCCCGTTGCAAATATACCCATATAGAAAGGACGGCTTTAAACAACATCGAGTTGTTGGACCATATGCAGTGTAGGATACCTATAATGGGGGTTTTCGTAGCAAGACACCTCCATATGGCCCGGTTCGATTGACCCAACAATTGAATGAGCTTATCTTGCGAGCCTTTGCTATTTTGGCTCCTGGTTTCGGTATCATCTTGAAAAAAAATCTTCTCCCCGTGGCTAGAGTGCTGACTTGAGATGCGGGCCCTCAGCCAGCACAAAAATATTTTACAAGAAATGAAGCTAACTTCCAAACTAACATAGAAGAGTGTTACGAGGATTATAGCAAAGCCTACGTTTGCACAATTTCTAAGGTTCTTGAGGATATTATCATGGCATGTAGTACATAGATCGACTGCACTGCTCGCTCCACGACGCACTAACCTTACAAGGAAGGCGGCAACGACATGAGAGAGAAAGGCAAGCAAAAAGGAGCCTTTACGTTTTCTCAGATTTTCCTTAAAAGTTTTGTCCGGGACTTACAAGTCCTTCTTTCCTCGACCAATCCTGGGCAACAACCCTAGCAACGAATTGCTCAATATGTCTCGAAACCAACAAGGGGACTTCGACCGGCAGCATATGTCCAGACTCTTCAATCACCACCATCCTAGCGTCCTGAATCTTCTCCAACACTTCTTTTCTGACTCTTTCGACAGGTTCGACGATATCTTTCCTTCCAGCAATCACCAAAACCGGAACATTGATCCTGTTCGCCTCCTCAACAATGTCCTCTCTCATGGCATACTCAGGCCAAGCCGCCTTGGCAAACTCATTCCCCTTCAGCATGTCTTCTGCCAACGCTGAAATTGTCACGTCAGAAAGCTTTGAAGCTGAGAGGACGTTCCTCGCGACGAACTCAGCCGACGCGGCGCTCGAGTAAGCTGTCAATTGCTGCTCTTTCATGTCCGAGGGAAGCTCAAATGGTATTGGAGGCGCGGGAGCGATCAGCACGATACCTTTGAGTCCTTTCACGAGATTCCTGCCTGATATGAGCTGAGCAACCTTGCCTCCCATAGAATGCCCCACGAGAATGAAGTCCTGGACATCCATGCCAGGAAGAAGAGTCTCGATATCGCTGGCGAGCTGGTGGATGGAGTAAGATCCAGGTACATTGGGCCCAGTAGATGAGCCCCAGCCTCGGAAGTCGACAGCTATGCAGTGAAAGTGTGGCGAGAGGTGTGAGATGGTGGCTGAATAGGTGCGAGATGAACCACCCCAGAAGTGGAGGAATATGAGCGTCGGTTTGAGAGGATCAGGAGTTCCAGAGGAGACAACATGGAGGCTTGTGGTAGAGTCCACTTGATGGGTACTAGAATGTTGCATATTGAAGGGTGTGGTGTTTCAATGAAAGCAGAGAGGCTGAAGGAGGAAACTGTACGGTGTACTGCAGTAAGATTACGTTTGCTGAACAGAGAGAACTGGCATCCACTTGGAGACACATATATAAAACGAAATGTGATCCCGGTTCCTGCCATCACTAATCCCATCCAAGAAGAAATCGGATTTGGCACCTTCTCGGAGTCTACCAGAGTCCTCCGTTGACACGCCCGCTCTTCCTACATCCGGAAACCCGAATTATTTCCAAAATGCCAGCTTACTAGGCTTCTCATATAGGCTACAAAGCTCCATACAACAAATGAAAGCTTGCGATATGGTGCCGAGACCAAACTGTCAGCTTGACCGGAGATCTTCCGATGTTGCTGTGATGTTACGTTTGACTGGTGGTTGAGATTAAAAAACTCAGGCAAGTGGCGGACCCCTGTCTCATCACGTGTCTGGCATCATGATCTTTCTGAGCTTCGCAAGAAAAAACATCAATCTCTCTCGACAACCAAAACAGCTCCGCAACAACCACACCTTGAGTCCCCGGTAAAGACAATCGCACAATCATGGACTCACCAAGCTCCGCCCTTGAGCAAAATATCGACCTCTCAAAGCTTTCAGAAAAGGACAAGCAAGAACTTCAGCAATTTATAGTCAACGAGAGCCAGAAAGCCAGGATACAACAGTGTTAGTTCTTTCCCCGAGCTCTTTCAAAATCCCTCAATGTTTCCTTCGACTGCTCCTACAAGTTCCAGATTGCTCTCCTTTTGGGCAATTGTGGCAGCCTGCAAAAACATGGAAAACTAATGTTCGTTCTACTTAGCTGTCCACTCCCTCACGGATATCTGCTGGAAGAAATGTGTGACGGGTACAATTCGGGGCGGGAAGCTAGACAAGAATGAGGAGACTTGCGCGCAGAATTGCGTGGATCGATTCTTGGATGCAAATATGACGGTTATTAAACATCTCGACAATATGAGGAATCAGTCATGAGGGGAGTTGGACGGACAGCTATCTCGTTTATGATCCTAGGCACCATCGGGCTATGAATAGAAGGATAACAGTGTGTACGAGTAGAGGTTTTGTATGATTAAGGGCGATTGAGAAGAGACTTCGCTCTTACAGCTGGCATGAAATGAGACACGGGGTTCAGTCTTCAATGAAAGAAATCACAAAATGCGCTCACGAAGGAGCTTGAAATTGGGGTCTGAAAGCACTTTGTGCACACTGAATTGGTATGTATCTCATTTACGCCTTGTGAATGCAAGTGACAACCGCTAGATTCGTAGCCACGAATCGTGCTGGTAAATCCATAACCATTTCTCAATCCCCAGTTCTCATCACTCCGCCTCAAGCGCATGTGCAAACATTTAGACAATGGCGAGCTTCGTCGCAGCAATATCGAGAGCATCAACGTCGGCGGTCAGGCGAGCAAAGGCCTTCTTTGATCCATCAGGTCTAAGGACATTACATTAGTACAATAACATTTAATTCCGGACTGGATTTTACATACCGGACAAGGGTGTTGATCTTGACAGTATCGATATCATAGAGCTTCTTCAATGCTTCCTTGATTTGTCTTTTATTTGCCTTGATATCGACGATGAAAACTAGGGTGTTATTCTCCTCAATCTTCTTCATGGCGCTCTCAGTGTTGAGAGGGTGGATGATGACCTTGTGCTCATCGAGGCGAGGTTGATGAGGAACGGACTTTCTTGGGTATTTGGGCGAACGGGAGAGTTGGAGGGTCTTGGGTCGGTGGAAAGTTGTCGAAAGACGGACCTTGCGGACTTTGTGAGAGTGAGACTGGTCGTTTGTTAGCAAGGAGAGATGAGGCGCTGGGGAGATTGAGAACGTACTCCCTTCAAGGCAGACTTCGCAGCAGCATTGGCTTGCTTGTTGCCTTTGCCCTTGGTGGCAGTACCTGTAGTCACTTACGCATCAGCAATCGCTCTTGAAGAACTCGCAATATCTGCTACTGCTGGTGCGCATTCCCCTTCATCGTTGCCGTATCGTGAGAGATCTCGATTTGAGATGCCCAAAAAGTTCGATTATGATTGCAGGGTTGCAGAACCGCGCAACAATAATGTAGAGAATTTCAATGGGTCAGAAAGGAAACTGTACATTTCTTGGTATCCTTGGGAGGCATGGCGAAGTATTTGTCGTCGTGGTGTTGGCGCTGGGAAAATAAATCGATGTGGGAAATTCAAAAGTTGTGCGATTTGTGTGCAGATTTAGGCGGTCAGAGCGCTCTACACGTGACAAGCCTTGAACTTGCCTCCCGTGAGCACCTCAATTTTCCTCGTCAACCAAACACCCAGCAGGTTTTCGGTTCTACAATATGGTCAACAAGAAGAAGCATACCAAACTGAAGTCCCTGTCTCAAGGTCGACCTCCTACCGTCAAGCCTGCCAGGTCAATCTCCAGCAAGGCAACCAGAAATGTCATCCGAACTTACCACACGCTTGACAAAGAGAGAGCAAAAGCCCTGGCAGCCGGAGACGATGCAAAAGCCGTGGCGCTAGCAAAACAAATGGAATTGCAAGGTGGAATCGAGAGTTATCAACGTGCAAGCCTCATCGGCCAGACCAATGAAAGAGGAGGCGACAGTTCAAAAGTACTCATGGAATGGCTGGAGCCAATTGTTCCGGCGTTGAAACAACTATCCACTGAAGGGAAGTCACTTCGGATGCTAGAGGTTGGAGCTCTGAGTGTTGCCAATGCTTGTTCCAAAAGCCGTCTATTTGACATGGCGAGAATCGATTTGAACAGCCAGGCCGAAGGCATCACTCAGCAGGATTTCATGGAACGTCCTCTCCCTCATGATGAGCGGGAGAAATTCGACATCATCAGTCTTTCCCTGGTTCTGAACTACGTTCCTGACCCTGCTGGGCGAGGACAGATGCTGCTACGGACTCTCGAATTTCTCACGGCACGCCAGTATCCTGGACAGCTTGGTGACCTTTTACCAAGCTTGTTTCTGGTCCTCCCTGCACCTTGTGTGACGAACTCAAGATACTTGGATGAAGACAGACTGGAGGCTATTTTGAAGGGCCTGGGGTTTGTCAACTCCAGGAAAAAGCTTTCGAACAAGCTGGTATATTACATGTGGCAGTTGCAACGTCCGACGGCAAAGAGGACATTGGCTTTCAAGAAGGAGGAGATCAGGTCCGGGAAATCGAGAAACAACTTTGCGATAGTTCTGAGATGATGTGTTGCAGCTAGGCGTCAAGGGATGGAAATTTTCTGTCTAGGGACTTGCTGAAAGTCATCGGTGTTCAGGAGTATGGTGAGTTTTATGATACCCGATCAAGTGCTGAGAGGGCTTCAGGTGGCATATTGAAGACAGGTGCATAGTGCAAGGGATTTCAAAATGCGAGATTTATCAAACCGCCTGGAAACTTGCAACATTCAAAAACGGGAAGTTGAATGTTCCGGTCATTCACACGGTTTTCTCTTTCTCTACAGAAACTTTCAAAGCCCAATTCGAACCGAGTATGGTGACGAAGCGAAGGGCTCGGCTGACATCGGTGTTTCTCCAACCCCCTGCCACGGCAAGGACTTGATGAAAAGTTCCTTATGACGAGGCGCTTTGACTTGAATCTTATCGATGCCCCACCATGCCATTTATGTTTATGGCTTGCACATGGGAGCTCCAGCTCTGCACCTTTGAGCTCGCACAGCACTCAATTGAAACAGCTTCCGAAACCCAGGACGGAAGAAAAATCCTTCGCTACACGCTTCAACTTTTTGCAGCCCTCATCTCCGTCCGCAGACCGCCCCGCACCACGCTGCACGTTCATCGGCTGATGTTCTTCGAGATCTCCACCCCGGATCATTGAGAAGCCGCTTGTCGAATGGCGAGATAAGGAAACCTCATAGCCCCAAAACCTCCTCTTGTTCTCAATTCCTTCAACTTCTCTTCTCGAAGATTTCTCCTCGCTGGACCACAGGGCTCCAGTTTCTTCTCTCAGTGCATCTCTGTACTCTTGGAGAAAGGTGCAATTTTGTTACCAATCTCCACAAGCATTACATCATGCCGCGGAATCCTACAAATTGGGACGAGTACCAGTTTGGTCCCCAAGGTCCCCAGGGGTCTCACAGGAATTCTGTCAGCTCTGCTGGTGGCCGTAGTATTCGTTTCGATGAACAAGTCGTTGGATCCCCATCTGCCAATTCCAATTTACTGGGAAGATCCGAAGGCGATCAACATGGAGGCGACCTGCGAAGGCGGAGGTAATTGTCTGAAACATCCCCGTGTAATTTTAAACTGATTTGGTTTCTAGGTCTTCAATTGCCTTGCGTCTTAATGCTCTCGCCCACGTTGGAGGTGTAAATAGTATCGAAAATTTTGCGAAGTCATGGCAAAGGGCAGCTACTTTTATCGAAGCTACGCCCCATCGCCTTTCTTTTATACTATCTGCGGACCAGGAGAGAGATGAGGAAGAAACGTTCGAATATGGCAGAACCAGTACCGAGTATGGGCGTGGAGCACGAACCTCACTCCTCCGGGCACATCTGGAGGCTTCTGGTAGTTCGGAAAATGCTATTGAGGACGAATCTGAGGCTCCCGACATGGACTCTTCTGCCTCTCAACCTGCGCATCACAAGGAGTCAGAAAGCAGCCATCGAGTCAGCGATTTGCCAGGTGGAAATGTGAGAGGAAGCCATTCGATATTTGCCATTGCACCGCATTTAGCTACACCGTTGGCTGGAAGCTACGGGACATCTTATGGAACCTTGCAATCCGCATTGAGAGAATCCTCTATGATCCATGCTGGCAACTTGTGGAGACAGCAACAAGCTGATGCAGCTCACATTATAGAAGGGGAACGTGAGCCTTTATTCGTCAAAGAAGTTGAGCAAGATGGGAAGGTTATTTTGGTGGTGGATGGCCAATCCACGCTTCCCCAAACCATCTTCAATTCCACTAATGTTCTCATCGGAGTTGGGCTTCTTAGTCTCCCATTGGGTATCAAGTACGCAGGTTGGATTTGTGGAATGATTTTTCTGCTACTTTCAGCCGTGGTTACGGCCTACACTGCACGACTTCTAGCCAAGTGCATGGATGTAGACGCCAGTCTGATCACCTTTGCAGATCTTGCTTTCATATCGTTTGGACAAAAAGCACGAATAGTTACCAGCATCCTTTTTACGTTGGAGTTATTAGCTGCGTGCGTGGCGTTGGTTGTTCTTTTCGCGGATACCCTTGATCTTTTGATTCCAGGTGTAGGTGTGGTCGAGTGGAAGATTGTGTGTGGTCTTTTAATGATACCCCTGAATTTTGCTCCACTACGACTGCTGAGTTTCAGCAGTGTGGTTGGGATCTTTTCATGTTTCTGCAGTGAGTATTTCTCCTTTGTTGTTTCCTTCTGGTAGCAGAGATCCCCCCGACATCCATGGCAACGCCAAAATCTCGAGAACCTCTTGGACGTTGGGGAAGTCTCTTTCTTGCTTGGTCGTGTCTTGGCCATCTATATTGGCTACCTTCGAAATAATACATGGTTTTGTCTATCCACTGACTGATCTTTTTCCAGTCGTTTCAATAGTCTTCATTGACGGCTTCATTAAGCCTCATACGCCTGGTTCTCTCCGCGAACCGGCCGTAACCTACCTCTTTCCCGCGAATTGGTTGACCTTACCGCTCTCTTTCGGCCTCTTGATGTCGCCTTGGGGCGGTCACTCCGTCTTCCCAAATATCTATCGAGATATGCGACATCCCTACAAATTCAAGCGGGCCGTAAAAGTTACATTTACGTTTACTGTAAGTCTTCTTCCACACTTTCGCTTGAACGTCTATCTAATGACTATTTATAGTACTTGCTCGACTGCGCTACAGCCGTAGCAGGCATCCTCATGTTCGGGGACGGCGTCATGACCGAGCTGACAGCCAACATCATCGATACTTCCGGCTACCCTCGCGTCCTCTCTATAATCCTCAGCATCTTCATCGCCATCATCCCTCTCACCAAGGTTCCCCTCAACGCCCGCCCCATCGTCTCCACCCTCGAAGTCATCTGCGGCCTCGACGCTTACTCCCTCGCCGACTCCGAACCTCTCACAGGCCTCTCCAGCTACACTCGAGGAATCCTAAAAGTCGCCATCCGTGTCTTCGTCATTGTAGTATTTGTCACAATAGCGATTGTGTTCCCAGCATTTGATAGCATCATGGCGTTTATGGGGAGCACCCTTTGCTTCACGATTTGTGTTATTTTGCCTCTGATGTTCTATCTGAAAATCTTCGGGAAGGAGGTCGGTTGGAAAGAGAGGCTACTGGATTACTTTTTGATCGTGGTGTGTTCTACACTTGCGACCGTGGGAACCGTATGGGCATTCCTGCCAAAGAGCATGATTGGCGCTGAGTGATGAGAAGGAGATGTGGCTGCTTGGCTGGAAGGAGAGGAGACTGGTGTGGGAAGATATTGTGGGGTGGCGTATCGTGCTCTGCATTTTTAGCACTTCTGCATTTGCATCTGCATTGTCTGTAATATCTGCATAGCGTCATTTGGGTAATGGGCCAAACTCTTTGTTGCATCTCATGTGGACATTTTACGAAGTTATGCCTCGTCCATATCCGTTCTGTGCACTCTGTGGACCTCTTTGAATTTGTCATTCAATGGTGATAGCTTGCTCTTCCCTGATCGTGAGACCTATATCTTCTCTCCATCGCAGGTCTTCAAATCTTGATTTACTTCAAGCCCGCATAACCTCGAGGGGCTTCGTTCAACCATTAGCCCCTGATCCACCCCGAAGGGCGGAGAGGATTGGGAATCTTGCGCTGTATGAGTTGCCAAACACAGTTTGGGTCTTATTGAAAGCAAAAGTTCATTGTTTTGATATGAGAGGTGAATCGCCTCGAGGTACAAAAAAGGAGCCGGAAGGGGAAGCGCTGAAAGAGGATTCATACTGTATCTGGGACAATCGTCAATACATTAAGATGTCTACTTTCATGATCGTTATGTCTGACTTCAAGACCTCTATTGGAGAATCAGGGTAGCTCTGCCTTGCTCATGAAGCATTCTCCTCACGGACTACCTAACAATCTTGATCTCATCAAAACTGGCAATGAGCTCATGCTTCTTATTCTCTTCCTCGGTCAATGGCGCATTCCCATTCCTGACCACAACGAGTGACTGCATTCCGGCTTCCTTCGCTGCTTCAACTTCCTCAACTCTATCGCTCAGAAACAACCACTTGCGAATATCCTCTTTCCTGCTTGCAGCTATCTTTCGATAACTGCTCGCATCCTTCTTCATGCCGGCGTTAACAGTGTCGAAGTACCCACTGATCAATGGCCTGAGATCCGCGTCCGGCTTCGAGTTGGTGTACTGGAAAAGGAGTTTCTGTGCTGCCACGGAACCCGATGAGTAGATGACGATCGAGGCACCTGCCTTCTGCCACTTCAAGAATGAAGGGTGGACATCAGGGAAGAGCGGACATCGTATTTCGCCAGACTCGTAGCCTTTGATCCAGAGGTAGCCTTGGAGATCCTTCAGGTAGGATATTTTCACGTCACGGGAGATCAGGTCGTTGAAATGGGCGGAGAGGCCTTCTCGAGAGGTGCAATATTCTTCCGGGAATCTGTTCCGGTAGGTGGCGAAGGAGGGAGAATCCCATTGCGTGGCAAGGACGTTGGGCAAGGCCTGGACGGAGTACGGATACTGACAGAGGGGTTAGTGGTTGGGTCAAGTGAGCGAAAGAAATGGGTTGCTTTGCGGGGTAAAAGATGGCGTATGCAGGGTCTTGGGGTATGGAGAGACATGACTTGTGAGAATCACTCGATAAGAGAATAAACGGTGGAGATTGCCTTCGTCCTGTAGTGAGACAAGAAGTTGGATAGAGTGGCTGGCTTTCCAGCGGCTCATTCGTCCCTCATGTCTCGTGGAGGGATGCGTATCTGCATTGACCATACAGAGGGGGCGCGGAGAATTTCTCTTTTTTCAACATGCAGGATGCAACCAACCGCAGTTTTGGGTGGCGGGAAACTACCCTCTCGTGCCCTCTCGTGCCCTCTCGTGCCCTCGTATCGGGACAATACATGCAGAAGAGGGACAGCAGCCACTGCGGTGGCGAATCAAAAAAAGCTTCTTCTAGATCGCAACACTTGTGCAGCTCCAGGTGACCCATCATAGACCAGAGACTTCTCGTGCGTGATGATCGGTTGCAACTGCGTTGCCGTACCCAACGGCATTTGCAAATAATGCATTGAACTGTCTTTGGCATTTGATCTGGATCACGGTGATCCGAGTCTGGCAGGACGGTTGCGCAAGGGAAGGACATATCCCACGGAGTGCAATTCCCGACTCCGAAGCAGCAGGTAGAGGGTGAAGAAAGATTGCTCACAAGAACATCTTTGACAAAGCTTATAGGGCATACTGTCCCCTCTACATCGCAGTATCAGCTCTGTTGTGATACTCGTGACCCGAGCTGGGAAATTGGCCCCTTTACCACTACCTTCATCTAGAAGGAAAGAGGCCAAAGTACAACGGCGGGACGAACCTACCAATGTCCAGGAGGACGACTTCAACCTCGAGTGAGACTGCCATTCTTCTCGGAACAGTTTTGCCTGCTTCGTCGATCAAATATAGGTTCCTCGGACCAAGATGGCGGTGAGCAGCAGAAAATTTTCCCAAGTAGCTGTCGAATGGCAAAGTCAGAATCGGGAATGGTCGGATCTAAACCAGTGATGATCTTGGTTTTGCTATGCAGCAACATGCAGCAGCGCGCATGAGGGCGTCGCCTTTAAAATGAGTGGTGGGTTGGTTGAAGTTGTTTCCTGCATGTTTCTCGACGCCGCCTTGCGGGGCGAGGTCCGCGCCAGTGAACTGCACTCGTCCATGACAAAACGGTTCCGGAAAGGTTATCCGAATTCCCTCCACGTCCAGCTCTCTGGCCTACCTCTCTCATATTTTCTTAAGATTGTGATGGCGGTGAGGGAAGCATTTCGACAGCGGATTTGCCAACCTCCCCTCGTGGTCCACTGATACGTGCTTGCTCTGCACCTGCATAAAGAGCCAACGAATGGCGGCCCCACTACGGGAGAGGTTGGAAAGTACAACAAGACTTTGAGTCTTGCGCACTACTGTATTGGCACGATACAGGGACATCTTCTCAGCTTCTGCAGCAAAAAAATACCTTCGGCTGGTGCGGTAAGCCCAGCAGAAGCAAATCTAGCTTCAGGAACTGCAGTTGTGGAGAACGGGAACGTCCTGTGGTTCCGCTCTTGCCCGTAGATTAGCTGCAGCGTGGCAGATTGGGCGTGATCTGGAGCATGCATTTCCCGTTTTGGAAGTCGAGTGACTTTGGGACTTTGATTCGAGGAAGACCTTTCTTTCTCAATCCAAAGCTGCGTATGTATTGCAGTAGTTTCAGCGAAAGAGTTTCTCTCTCATCGCTGCACGTTTGGCGAGTACTCGTAAGAGTCTTGTTCACGTTTTCTTGAAACTGTCACTGGGGGAAACATCTTACGATCTGGTATCAGATACAACTCAATTGTGGGGTTGTGTTGATGCGGGAAGGCTGTGCGCAAGATTTCCGTTGGATGGAGCGCCGACAACGATGCACCTTGAAGGAGATCTGCTGTTCAACAAGTGTTGACAAGGTTTACTGGGGAATCGAAGCCCTTGTTCGGCTTTTCAAATTCGTTTCGGAAGACGCACGATGTGTACCCTGCCTGACTGGACGAGGAGTGGATGAGTGATGCTGCTCCCTGGAGGCGCCACATCCTCACGGTTCACCTTCGGGAGCTCGCCTACGGAGTACCGTTGTAAGGTTTGGACAGAGTGGCGTCCGTCAATCTGGACGATAGTGCAATGGCGGATGCGGAGACGATTCGGCTGGGTTTTGGCTGGGGACTGGTCCGGGGGGAGGGGGGAGGACTGGCGGTGGGACCGCATGGCTGCGAACCTGAGAAGTTTCAGGGTCTCTGGGGCAAGTCAAGATCTGGTGGGATGACATCTTGCTGTATCGAATATCCTGCAGCATACGCCTGACAAAAGCCAAATTGAGTGATCAACGTTCCACGAGTTGAAAGCCCCGAGCATATTAGGGAAGAAAGGCAGTTCGACGCGTGCAGACGCGAATGATTGTCCAACTATCGTCTAGGACGAAGTTGAGCACACGCGCACACGCATGAGCGTTGCTGAAGGCGTCGAATCTACGAAGTAAATTGGATGATGGAATGATAGGCGAGTCAGACGTTTCAATTTTCGATCCAGCCATTCAGATCTTCAGATCCAGCCAGTACTTGTGTAGATCTACTATCCCCCCCCTAAACACTTATAGTGGGTCCGGTATTCGCCACACTCTCACGCTTCACTCACGCCACGCCTCACCCCATTTTTAGCCAATCAGAGCACGTAGAAGCTTCTAGCTTACAGTACAACTTGCACTATAAGAGCGGCAGAAAGCCCAGTGAGTACTGGCTCACTCGAAGTAGAAAGCGGTAAAGACTCATTGCGTGCCTTTAGTGGTGTGAATCGTGGCATGAGAGTGAGGCGAATGTTGGACCCACTATAAGTGTTTAGGGGGGGGGATAGTAGGCCAGCGGAGGTGTAGGGCGTCTACTCCTGATAGGTTTCCGCTAGCGTTTGCATTCAGGCATTTTTAGATGTTTCTCGATACAGTACAGCCACTACGCGATCCGAAGCAGGCAAGGTCTTGGCTGGAGGACGCCGACAAACCTTGCCATCTCACATCGAAGATGCAGCAGAGTCGGACCAGAGCATGGAGCAACAAGGTATACTACCAGTCTTGATGGGCGCCGAGTGCTGTGGTTGATCCTCTCACTGCGGACGGGGTTTCATCACGGCAAATGCAATGGACGGTCTTTGGGGAACTCGGGGACCGCAATTGAACTCTGAACTCTAAACTCTGAACTCGAACTCACCCCTTTCCCCTCGTACGGAGTAGGTTCGTAACTCGTAACGCGGGGTCCTCGGAAACCGCCGATGACATCAATGAGGACGTGCTCAAACTCATGGTTTGTGCGGAAATGAAGGCTGTGAGCTGATTGATGACGATATCTTGGGTGAGCTTGTGCTCCTTGTGCTCCTTGTGCCTCTGGAACATCTACAGTAGAGCTTCGAGGAATGATCGTTGGGCAGGGAGTCCGGCAACTCCCTGCGTTGCGTGACAGATGATCACCGTGATTTGATCACCCGGTATCAAAGAACTTCGACGGATTTCCATTGAAAGATTCATTTAGGAGCCCGTTTGGGTCATTTCACGCTCGCGGGTCTGGCGAGGTCGGGTCACACGACCCCGCGCAGTCTCAGTTTGGAGATCAAAGAAGCAGACCCGTTCGTAGCCCTTTCTAAGCAAGATTGCGATATGTCATTGGGGGGGCGGCAAGGCGTCGTGGAAGGATTCCGTTGGATGTTTCCAGCGGATTCTGCGGGACCAGGAGAGCACCGGAAAGGCTGGATGGACTCTGGACTCTGGAGAGCTGACGTTTTGGAAACGCCTTTGACGGGGCCTTACGGGGGGCCCTCCTCTGGAGTCTGGCCTCGTGGCCAAACCCAAAATTGCACATTGCCAAATTGAGTTTGATTGGGTCACGGGGAGGACTGAGGACTCGCGGTTATCGGAGCATGAGAAGGGCGAGAGAGCAAGCATTGAAGCGGGCGCGTTGTGGCCGACGCCAAGTCGAGCTCGGTGGAGTCGAGCCTTGGAGTTGAGCTCGGCAAGTTTGGTGTTCCAGAACCTGGCCGGCAGCTGTTGGCAGGCTTGCAGGCTGGCAGGCTGGCAGGCTGGCAGGCTGGGAGCGAATGCTCCAGCAGGCTGCAGCCCATCAGCGAACGACCGACCGTCCTGGACAGCGTGAGCGTGGCAGCCAAACCTGCTGGAACATTCGCTGCCAACCGCTGGCCGGCCAGGTTTGGCTCCGACGCCAAGGCCGGCGAGAGTCGCGCGACCAAACAAGACGACGTGCCCGCTGGAATAGGTAAAGCGCATGATGCACCGCCAATGCAGGCCCCAGGAGAACCACAGGGCTCCGCGCATGCCGGCGGGCACTGCAGGCAGGCAGGCAGGCAGGCTGGCTGGCAGGCGTGCACAGCCAAGCTGGCTGCTGGCCAATGGCCGCGCGCGGTGTATCGAGATGGAAGGACGTGGAATGCCCTGAAAGCGGCGGTTGGCAGACCTGCGCGTTTCACATCGCGGGCCTCCTACTGGCTGCTCACCCCCCACTGCCAGCGGCGCTTGCCTTTATCCGGCATTGGGACAGCACGCTGCTTTCAACGCGCGCCGGGGTCCTTGGGCATCGACTGATCCAGGCTGAGTGCTCGGTGCTGCGAGTGCAAGCGGTCAAGCATTGGAGGTGTGGGTGGGGCCCGGTGGCGTTGTGCCACTGTGGAGTGATGAGAGCGAGAGAGAGAAGAGCTGTGTTGTTGTGCTGGTGCTAGTGCCGGTGCTGGTGCTTGTGCTTGTGTCTATGCCTGAGGCCACAATACTCCCGTCCTTGTTCCGTCCACCGACCCACGCTAATCTCTCGCTCCTGTTGATGCTCTCCTTGTTGCTCCATCGTCTCGTATCGTTCCCCATCCCCATCCTCCCCTCCCACCTCTCCAAGCTGCCCACGATAATCCAAAGACTGGCCACATCCCATCGTCGTCCGCAGTCTACCCTCCTCCTCCTCCTCCTCCTCCTCCTCTTCCGCCCTCCTCTCCTCTTCTCTTCTCTTCCGCCTTCCTCCTAATTACCTTCGCCTCTGTCATTCACCGCATTCTCTCGAGTCGACGTCCTCGCCGCCTTCTGCGTCACCCGGCTACAATCACATTCCACGCCGAAACCATCAAAACTACCCCGGCCGCAGAAAGATCATCATCATCATTCACCTCGCGTCGATTATCTCCCACTAGCTTGACCTCCTTCACCTTCTCTCCTCCACCTCGCCCAACCTCAACCTCACGACACCACCACCACAACGCCATTCTCAGGAACGGATAAGGCAGACGAGGAGCAAGCTCTTCGACTACCTTTTTCCATCTATCAATCAATCACAGCACATGATTTCCAGGCAAGAGACAGAGATTGTCTTACGATAGACTACCTCGACAATCTCAACAGCCTCGCCAAGCAGCTCGGAGTCATCAATCCCCCCCGCCGAGCTCATTGATCATCTTCTGAACGACTTTCCACCTTCCACCCTCATCGAATCCGAACCCGACTGAGATCCAATACAACCAGCGTTCTGTTGGGTTGTTCCTGCGTCGATCTACCTTCTTCCGCTACACACCTCTCCACACCAACGAGCAGCACTTTTTAACCACCGCTCCCTCAAGCCACATTCAACCCCCAGACACTCGTTCGTCACCACACCTCTGGCTCTCATGTCAACATAACGATTTCACACCTTTCCTTACCGGACGTTTCGTCCATTGTTCCTGTTTTACGACCAACCACTCAGTTCCTTTTGTTAGCGATTCGAATACCCATCAATGAGCCTCTGACCCCTACTACGATACAACCGGAGTTTTCACCATCGTCATTTTACCCGCAATTGAATTACATTTATATAGCGTTGCTAGTCTGTTTCCTCGCCAAAGTCCTCCTGATTCTCAGCTCGCCTCGACATCCTTTCCGAACCGCCACCATCCTCGAACCTCAACCCTCTTCGAGCATAGCTCCTTGTGCCACCAACTTTGTTCAGAGAAGACAAAAGCATTTCCCGACTGTATTGCTTGAACTCAAGCCTTCAGGGTCCAAAAATATCGCGGTTGTACAACAATTAGTCGCATTTTTCCGTTCTGCTCCTTTTTTAATATTTACGTTTTGCATTCAGCCTTCACCTTTCACAACGAGATCGCCATCCATCACTCACATTCGCCATGGAATGCTTAAGGGAAAAGTTCTACGATAGAGTTGTGCTCGATGGACGTTTTGAGACAGTTGCTCCCCTCAATCATGGATCGTTTGGTATGGTCTTTATGGCCAAGGACCTGACAACAAATGAATTTGTTGCTATCAAGTGCTTGACAAAGAAGTCCGCAACCACGGACTCAGACTGCTCCTTTGCTGTTGATGAGCGTTCTGAAGAACTCGCCTGCCATGCCCGCCTCGGTTCGCACGCCAACATAGTCAATCTGATTCACTCCTTCGAGACAGATGCACACATCTACATCGTCCTCGAGTTTTGCTCGCGGGGGGACTTGTATGAAGCCATTCGAACTGGAACTGGACCGTTGGAGACCGAACATGTCCGCCAATTTATGCTCCAGCTTGTTGATGCTGTTGCGTACATCCACGCCAAGGGCATGTACCACAGAGATATCAAACCTGAGAACATCTTCCTGACTCAATCGGGAGAGATGAAGCTAGGTGATTTCGGTCTTGCTACCACGGAGACTTGGACCTACGAGACTACTGTTGGTAGTGACCGTTACATGTCTCCGGAACAATACGACTCTGCAGGTGCCGGCTATGCACCCGAAAAGGCCGATATCTGGGCCATTGGTATCTGCTTGCTCAACATTCTCTTCTCTCGAAACCCGTTCACAACTCCCACCGAGTCGGATCCCTTGTTCTTGGATTTCTCTCGAGACAAGCAATCACTCTTCGATGTCTTCCCGACAATGTCCCAAGACACGTATGAAGTTATTGCCCAATGCATGAGTTTGGATCCACGCAAACGATCCCTCCAAGCTGCTCGTGAGGCCCTCGAGCGTGTTGTCAGTTTCACCACATTCGACGAGTCGTTGGACGATTTCTGCTCTGCCGAGAGACGAGGCATCGCCAGTGCCAACCGGGAGCCACTCCGAACACCCTCGATTCAGAGCCCGCAAATGGACACTGGCTCTTTCCCATGGGCCAAGGCCTTACATGCTAGCCCACCTCAACAGTTCCGACAACTTTCTGCCATCCTCGACGACGAGAGCTACGAGTCTGAAGATCTCTTCCCCAGCTCGGAAGAAAGCAACAAGGACTGGTTCTCAGTGGGTCAACAAACTCCCTCTATGGCATCGATCCTGGACTCTTCTCTCGCTTCCATGCGATCCCTTGCCATCCGACGACCATTCAAGACCAGTCCGCCCAAGGCAAGCCTCACTCCCATCTCCGGCTCGTTGCCAATCAATATGTCGAAGCCAAAGCCGCTACCATCAATGGCATCAATTTTCGGCAAGAAGACCGAGGTCGTCTCGAAGAGTTGGAGTGATCTGTGGGATGAGGACATTGAAGAGGAGGAGGAGGAGGCCGAGAAACAGCTTAAAGCACGACAGATGCAAAACGCGAGGACCTGGAGTCATGAGAGCAAGAATGAAGATGATACGATCCGTCAAGGAGGACCTTTGGAGCCCAAGAGCTCATCACTTGTAAATATTGCGAAGTTGGATCCGGAGGCTGGCCGACCTACAGCCAACGACATTGATAGCGACCTTATTGCTGATGGCTTCTTTTTCCACGATGCCCCGAAAGAGACCATTGTCCGCGAGTCCCCTCCACGCTACTCACCACCACCGAAGCGGACCACTTTCGACAAGTGGTCGGCGCTTGGAGAACGCCGGCGGGCTTACACTGGAACATCGGAGTCGGAGAAATCACCAGAATTGCGCAAGGCACGTCGCAGCGTTGGATTAGGCTTCACTGGGTTTGGAGCCGGAGTTTGGGATAATAAGGCGAATACTGTTATTAAGGATACGACTAAAGATAAGGGCAGGGCATGCCCTTGGGCTCGAGATCGAGTCCGGGATCACCATGGCAAGGAGAAGCGCCATTTGGACCATGGCGATTTAGAGTGGGTTGGAGGTTGGGAACACCTTCACTTGTAGTTTGGCTTTTGTCTCAGGCCTTCTTTCACTCGGTATGGGCATCGACGTGGCTTGTCAGAATATACAAACAACGGGCACGGTCTACGATGGTATATCGAGAGGAGAGGATGAGATTTTCGCTATGACTCGCTTTTCTGTGTATTAGAATATCTTCGGACTTTGAGAATACCAGTCAATTACCCACTCTACCACATTGTACCACTTTGTCTGTGATGATTGTCCTTCTCAATCAAATTGATCAATCTCGACTCGGCTGACAAGCGTCAGCCGAAGTGAACGTCGGCAGGCACGCCTAAACAAGCACGTGCCTCGAAAGCGGGGTAATATCCTGCACGGCGTTCATGAAGTAAAGTGAGGTCAAACTTAAGCAGCCACTGGCGTCTAGGAACGTTTCACGATCCCGCGAATACACTTGCGGCCGCCTTCTTGCTAGACCTTGACAGCAGGACGAGGATGAAGTCCAACGTCAGCCATGCGGGGTTCGGCGCTAGGACGACGGCTACGGAGGCTGGGCGGGCATTTGCAGAGGAGATTAGGGGGAAGGTTAGTGAGTGGATATATTTTCGCTTTGTGTACCGTCTGGGTTGTTTGGGGGTGAATTTGTTCTTCTTGATTGGAGAGTTGCGGGGTTGAGTGATCTCTTCCTTCGAGTAGCAACGCTGCCCATTGACACATGTGAATGATCCTTCCCCCTCAAATCCACATGGAAATCACATTTCATGTTGGCTTTCCCTCATGAGCTCCTGTAGTTCTGGCTCGGGAGATGATGGGGGAGCTGTGCGCCCCCCCTTGTGTCCTTCTCACATGTCACAAACTCTCCTTGTATGCTGATTCTCAACTCCGTAGTCCTGATCACAGGCGTATCACCAAAGAGCATCGGCGAAGGACTCGCCCTCGCCCTTGCAGCGCACTCCCCTAGCCTACTAATTCTCGCTTCCCGCACACTCTCCAAGATTCACGCCGTGGCGGCTGGCATACACACCTCAAACCCACATGTGAATGTCCAAGAAGTCGTCGTTGATCTCTCGAGCTTGAAGTCCGTTCGGGAAGCTGCGGAGCGCTGTAAGAAGATCTTAGAGAGAGAGGGTAGGGGTATTGATGTTCTGTTTAATAATGCGGGGATCAATACTAGTGAGCGACGTCTGACGGAGGAGGGGGTGGAGACGCAGTTTGCTACTAATCATCTGGGTCCTTTCCTACTGACTGCTCTCTTGCTTCCTTTTATGAAGACGGGGAACAGAGGGGCGAGGGTTGTCAATACCTCCAGTGAGGCTCACCGGATTAGTCCGGTGCGGTTTTCTGATGTAGGTAGTTTCCCATTCCAAACGAAGCAAACTCTGACTGCCCCCGTTCCCCAGATCAATCAAACCCCTGGAGCCAAAGTGGAGTTTGACGATCAGCCGAGAAGGGGCATGCCGGCAGGCACATTAAGGGGCGATGGAAGATACGAGCCGAGTGTCGCATATGGGCAGAGCAAGACTGCGAATGTGCTTTTTGCTGTTGGGTTGAATACGAGAGGGGTGAAGAGCTTCGCTGTCATGCCAGGGAGTACGTATTAAAGAGGCAATAGGGTTTGTTTTGCAAGGTACTGATTATTCGATTGTTAGCTATCGCGACTGACTTGGCTCGTGAGATGGACGAGGAGGCCGTCAAGAATCTCACTCAGGGGGACTTCGATTGGAAGTCAATCGATGAGGGGGCGGCCACTTTAGTTGTTTCTGGGTTCGACCCCAGGTTAAGTGGTGAGTTACTGTTCTCTTCTCAATCTTGAAAAAATTCGCACTGTTATCTTGGGATCAAAAAGCTAATGGGCATTTGTTGATACAGATGAGGCAGGAGTGTACTTAGATGATTGTCAGATGAGAAGACCTTCGAAGTGGGCGTCTGATATTGACAAGGCTGAGAGACTTTGGGCTTTGAGCGAGGAATTGGTAGGAGAGAAGTTTACCAAGGGGAAAGCTAGCCGTTTGTAAATTGGATTCAGGTATAGAGCAGTCAAGAGATGACCTCAACAGCTCTAGAGGCGACATCTGGCAGAGCTACAGGAAAGAGGAACTTCAATATTGAGAGTGTGTGCTAGATGTGGAGGAAGCGAGAAATGCTTAGAGAGTGACTTCGGTTAAGAGTTTCCTCATTCACCGCACATATCAAGGAGTGAAGATACTTGAATAGAGACTGCTGTTGCAGACTCTTGTGCGGTTCATCTCATTTACCAAATGTAGTAGTAGTGACTCGGTCATGTCTCCCTACCTATGACTGTAACGAGCAAGCACATCCGTGCAGTCTCCCCACATTTAATCGAGAAACTAAAAGCAAAGCAATGAGCTACCCAGGGCCTTGATCTCCCTGATTTGGAGTTACCGAACGGCCACTTCACCGAGGGCAACTGAAACAGCTTCTCAGGCCACGAAGGCGTGCTCTATGCACCTGAACCAAAATGTTCTGCCAAGAGGGAATTATCTCCAAGATGTAAAACACCATCGTTAGATCACTCTTGACTACAGCATCTAGCTTTGCGTTAAAAGGGGAGGCAGGAAATGTTTCTTAGGATGAGTGACAACCGAAGTCTATGCAAGAATTTTCCCCATCTACACCCGAGGGAGTGCTCAAAGTCGCAACAGTAAGCTCTCGAAAGTATGAAATTGATGAAAACGCCTTATAATAGACAAGAAGTTGAGGGAGGGGGCCTGTGTTGGCTCAGTGATAGCACTTTGAAGTATCATCTGAGCGGACGGTATTTTCTTTGTATTATTTCGCAGACCAAGAAGCAATAAGAGATTGCCGATTCAGGAAAGAGAAAATTCAACACTCTCGGCAAAGGGGTACAGTGCACTGGTTCATGTGGAGTTGTATGCATGGGGCGTCGTAAATACGGCAACCTCGTCCACGCCTCACCTCGGTGTGGCGGCTGGACTTGACAACAGTATGCCGAGCTGCTTCGACGCAAGAACTCTTTGAGCCTCAGTTAGGCATTCCCGTTTAGACAGGTACTAAGTGAGCAAGAGCTCTCTTCTCGATAATATCTCTTCTCCTCTCTCGATCATTTTCAGTGGGAACTTTCTCGCTGGGATGGCACAACTCAAGCTTGTTATTTAAGAAGGGCCTTCTCTTCAACGAGCCAAAAGCCTCGAAGTATATGACCCAGGATGAAGATGAGAGTGAAGGGGGGCGGCTGAACGTGGGACGGACATCGCCTCCTTTTCTCGCCTCCGCGCCACTGTCCTCCTCACGAGACGATTGCCGCCACCGCCAACTTCGAATTTGCAACTTCCACCTTCCCTGGGGTTTTGTTTTGGGGGCAGCGAGCACGTCGCAAGTCTCCAATTCCACTACTCTAAGGTCGTCCCCTGTGCGGCCCACCATGACCATGGTGATGGAAATTTCACACACGGCACACTTCAGCGCTGCCAGCAACTCCAACAGCGCCCTGTAAAATGGCACCCCGCCATTGCCTTCGACAGCTTCAGACACATCAAGGGTATGGTGGCGATCCTCAGCTAATTTGACGAGGGTGGCGCTCTCGCTTGCCTTCCCATGTGCTGCTTGCTTGCATTGGCAACCTCGGTCTCCACCCAACTCCATTTCTCTCGTTTTACCTTTCCCGTGCCTGGCGCTTGACTATCCACACACAACCCGGCGCCGAGGGGAATTGTTTCCTTTCACTCTCACACGTGTGAAGCCCCAAGAATTGCACCAATTATGGCTACGATTGATGGTCCCTGTTCAGGGCAAGTGTCGGAGCCTCTATATGCGTTGACTGTATCTACCCAGTGAGAGTAGTCGAATAGCTCTTAGAGATGGCTTCGGAGACGCTTCAGAAGATGGTAAGCCTCTCCGTCTGATCGCCTTGCCTACCCGGCCCAGGGGGTTTTGCGGGTCCTGATGAGTTCTCAAGGAGATCACATATCTTTGACCCCTCTCGAGACGGTTCGTCCTTCCTAGGGGGTTTTTCGATCCTTCGGCTCCGCACTGTCCCAAAGTCTACAGTAACCTATGTATTGTGTTTATAAGTTCTGAACGTTCTGGATTTTCTCTCTCTGGTATCCGGTCATGTCTACCGAGGACAGAGGTCCCCAAGTTGCGGGAGTCGCTATCCTATTCTTGTGTTTGTCATGGATCTTCGTTGGCTTGCGATGCTATGTCAGGGGACACATGATAAAAAACTTTGGAACAGATGATTGGCTTGCTATTGCATCTCTTGTGAGCTGTCTTTTAGATCCATTCTCGTGCTGTTCCGTGCTAACGATGAACTCGTAGGTTTTATTTACATTGTACTGTACCTTTGTTCTCAAAGGCGTCGAATACGGGTAATTACGGTCTCCCCAACGTGCAGCGTTCTAACTGCTCCAAAGATTGCAGTCATCACGAATAAGGCATTACTGACTTAGGTATTGCAGGACTGGGCAGCATCTTGCCAACCTTCCAGAGCAGAACATCCCCATTGCCTTGAAGGTGAGTTCATCCCACCACCAGCGAACCAATTGCTGAGAATACCAGTGGTGGTGGTGTTGCGAGTTGGCCTATATCTCCTCGACTACCGTTTTGAAAGTTAGCATAGCAATATTCCTGTCACGAATCAGTGTGAAGAGAAGCCAGATAGTTACTATATGGATCGTCATCGGAGTGGTCACAGTTTTTTCTATATTTTACTTCTTTCTCATTATCTTCCAGTGTTCACCAGTCACATACTTCTGGACACAGTATTTGGGTGTCGTGGGCAAATGCGTCCCTGCTAAAGTCATAACCAACTCAACGTATGCTCACTCAGCCATTTCCGCCTGGGCAGACTGGACACTGGGTATTCTTCCCATCTTCCTCGTCTGGGATCTTGCTATGAACCCTCGAACCAAAATTTCTGTGGCGTTAATTCTCGCACTCGGTGCAATGTAAGCACACCTCACTTCAAACATTACTCTGCTGGTACTAACGCTCCGCAGAGGCTCTACTGCGACGATTGTACGGATACCATATATCAAACAGCTAGCCCAAAACGACTTTCTCTATTCAACTACGGATGTTGCCATTTGGAGCACAGTCGAACCTGGGATTGGCATTACAGCGGCAGCACTGGCGACTCTTCGACCCTTGTTCCGCACCTTCCTCTCCCGTTCCAAGCTCTTCGGTTCATCAACTCGAAGCCCGAGTGAGAGCAATGCTTGGTCATCCTCGAAAATGGCCAACCGAGGTGGATATATTCGCAGTGGGGGTGTGCAGATTGGCACGGAGCTAGGCTTGAGGACTGATCTAGCAAAAGGAGGCGGTGTCACCACTACTATCAAGAGCACGAACAATGCCGATTATGACGAGAATGGCCAATCGAAGAAGCTGAAGAGGAGTGGAAGCGGTCAAGCTTTGAGGTGGGACGAAAGTGAGAGGGATCTGAAAGATGATAGCAGTGAGGAGTTCTTGCCGGTTCAGGGACCCAATGTCGATTGGAGAGGTGTGAAGAAGACTACCGAGGTCTCCACGACTCGAGAAGTGAAGCCTGGGGAGGCTGGGAGGCTGGGCAACGTGTGCGATTAAAATGCAGTTTGTTATCATTGTCCAAATTCTCAATACTCCCGGGAAGGTCAAACCTCACTACGAGGGGGTGTTCACAAGAGCTCAGGAGCCATCTGCATGCCAGAGCGCCAGCCCCATCTCCGTCTGGAGTCGAGGTATTGCCGACTTACCAATGATTTCTAAACCCAAAATTTGCCACTTAATTTCATTCAAAGGACTTAATAAGGATGCGGAAGATTACTTCGTAAGTAATATGCTGCGAGTAAATGGCAATTATATACAATACATCTCCCCAATCCCATTCGTCTATTTTGCTTCTATCCTTGTGTCATGCGTGAGAAGGTGAGAGTGATTTTCCAGCACCGGACTCTTTTTTCAAGAGTCGTTCAACCCACTTGTCCAAATTTATCTAAAAACATGCGTTTTGCCATAGAGTCTGTTCCTGAGAATTGGAGATGCGCAATTGGTAATTTTTGCAACGGCTGCTTCATCTCGAAGTGCAGCTGAGAAATACGGTAAAAGAGGATGCGTGCTCGTTCGTATGTTTGACAAAGTTTTCCCAGACCCAGAAATTCGACTGGCTCTCTGCCAGAACAATACATAACATGTGGCTAGCACCAAGGAAGGTGGCTGACGAGAAAAGGGCTTAGAAACTGCGCCACATGTTTCGCGTCTCCATGATTGGTGCGGGTTATTTCAGAAAAGGCAAGCCGGAATAGCCGGACCTGCTCTCTCACTTGACCCCACTCATGGGAGAATTTGGGCATGCAGTTCACTGCATCAAGCACCTGCACATCGTAGACGTGGCAGTGAGGGGTCCGAGAAACAACAGCGGACGGTTGACCTATTAGCCAACCTACTGCTCCGTGGCTTTCTCTGATACAATTGGGTTCGGGTAACTGTTGTTGGTTGACCTAGAGCAGAGCCTTAGATTGGTGCGTTTCGATGAACTGTTGAGTGAGGCGCGAAGGATCAGTAGAGCACGGATGATGCAGTATCGCAGTGCTTAGATCGATATTGGAAATGTCTCTGGAGAAAGCAATAAGATCGCCGACTTGCTTCCGATATGTAAATGTTCTAGATTTAGATATCTGGGCATCGATATTCATATGTCTTTCCAGACGTCCCTGTATTGGGCCCATTCTCGAAAGCCTGAAGCATCAGCTCGAAACGTTACATGACTTGAAACCGGAGGCTCACCGAGTTGCATGAAGAGGTCTGAATCATTGGCCACTCCGTCCAAGAACATTTTTGTCATGCCTTGACTCTGCAGGTTCTCGACGGATGCGTCAAGTAAGCCAAAAATAACTGAATCATGGGTAGGTGCTGATTGCATGTCAGTATTGATGCAAGGTCTTAATTAGCAACGATGGGCATGAAATTGGGGACGAGACTCGTGCTTCTCTATCATAATGCAAGACTCATGTCAGACATGATGGCTAAGATACGCTTTTGCGTTCCGGGAAAACAAGACTCCTGGCCTTAGGAGATAAACAGAAGCATCACCAGTTGATAGTGATATTGGAAGAAATAGAGGCACTTACAAGGGATACATATGCAAGTGACACCTCCGATATCATTTCCGATTCGGCCCGCCCACGGCAGATTCGATGCGATCTGACTTCCACAGGATGGCGTATAAGTGAGAGCAATGGCAACCACATTATTATTCTCGATCCCCAATACCACATCCTTGACGTTTGGGCCATTCATGAGTGATAAATACTGGTCATACCAGCCCATCTTTGCTTGTCTTGCAGATGTCCTTTCCACAATCTCTAGGACACTTACCATGTCTTCCTGCGTACACAGCCTAAAGCTTACGGTTTTCTGTCTTGGATGTTCCTCTGAATGTCGCCAATCCGCGAAGTCCAGTATCATGTCACGGACTATTTGTCCCTGACCAGGGACATTTGGTTTATCCATTTGCCAACCCCTGCGTCGAAACCATTCCTCGTTCAAGTGCATCTCGGATGGGGGCCCATAAAAAATTCGAGGGAACGTACTCCCTAGCTGTAAACGCATTACACCTCGTGTCCGTTTAAGCTGACTAATGGCATGGTTGTGAAGACTCAACCCGATTCCCTGCTGCCGGCTCGAGGATCGGACGAGAAGAGCTGCCAGCGAAGCAATCAGGTTTTCCCCTTCCTTATCGACGTACGAGAGGTATGTGGCACAAAACCCAAGTATCTCTCCGTGTCTTGGCTCCCTTACCACGTAGTGCTTAGCATAGCCTGGACGACGAAGAAGCGAGGCCAATGTGCCTTGGTCGGTAGTAAAGCGACTGCTAATGCATTCATTCCAGAGACTCACCACACTGGCCATGTCTCTCACCTCATTCCACTGCTCTACTGCCCATAGTCTAGGTTGCTGTTGGGCTTCGTTCGTCGGTTCTGGCGCTCTGCCGCCAAGGGGTTGAGATCCTTCTCCGAATATCAAGGCTGCAGTGGCTTCCAAGGCTGAGGGCGAGTAATCTATGGTTTGAATGACAGTGGGGAAGAGAAGGGCTTGTGAGATGTCCGTGGGTTTGCAGCAGACCACGATGATACATGGCTTGTTGTCGCTCACCGCAAAGGTCACCTCGGCGAACTCTTGCTGAAGCTGTTGACTGGGATCAGGGGCAAAGCAGAGTATGATAACATGTCCTCGCTTTATAAATCCGAGGTGAGTCGATGTAATGCCGTTTCTGGCCGGTTAATTAAGTACTGATAGTACGGGAGATTGGGACACCTCACACCTTTGAGTATAGGGGATTTGGCGAACCCTTGAATGCCTCTTGGCTAAAGATCGCCCAAGGGGCTCAAAGGGATCGCTGGTGTCTGTTGGGATTTGGCTGATAGGGATAACGACTGGCGTTAAAAGAATGATAACGTCCGTCTCTCGTAAACTTCTAACCGCTGAGAGCCAATTCGGTGCGTCCCGGAGCAACTCAGCAGGGACAACCTCTGTGGGCCGTGATGGTACATCTGAGTCGATGTCCCTAGTACGGCGTAAGACAACGCAATTCAAGCTAAACAGGTGAAAAGTCCCTCCTACATTTCGTCGTCATCATCTTCCGCGATAGATGTCGACCCGCGAGCGCGAGACGACATTGGATATTGATAAATGTGCTTTTGGCGTGACGTAATCGTCCGATTCCAAAATATGAGACCTCGCGTCAGGTAGTATCTAGACGGGAAATCCAGGTGTACAGTAGTCTGCTCCCCGAAAGCATGGTCTCGGCCGTCTGTTGTAGCACAAGGTTAGAGGAAGAATGGGAACCCAATTGAGGTGGCTGGTCTGGGTGAAAGATCTGTTGAAAGGCAAGGGTGTCATACCGAAGGCAAGGAGATCTGTTTGCAATGTTGGAGAGCCTTGGTAAGCGAATTCCTGCGGTGCCGTATGGAATTCAGGATGGAATCCAGCTCAAGAGGCCCAAATGGCGCTTCCCGCTTCGTTGTATACGCAGTTGTTCGTGAGGAGACCCAGGAGAGATGGACAGCTGCAGCCAGGAGGGAAGCTGTTTTGAATAATGACGTCGAGCAGGCGGCGAACGTAGGGACCCCTACTAACAAGAGCCCGCAGTCCGCGGCATCCTGAAGAGGACGAAGAAGGAGAAGAAGAAGAAGGTCGATTGAAGAGCAAAAGATCTAGAGCGTCGCGGGGCCAGTTAGGGCTTTGTGTAACTGACTGCTGCCCATGTAACGCCCACTTTTATTTTTATGTGCTCTGCGGGCCAAGCAAGGGGTCGGTGGCTACCCTGGGAGGTTTTTGAGAGGCCCAGGGCTGCGAGCCCACCAATGCGGACCACTAACCCAACCAAGCGCGATGGGTTGAAGAGCCACAGCGACGGCGCGGGACTGCCTTTTGCGAAGAAAGGACTTGCGAAAGCCTCCCAAGGCGGTCACCGCGGCTCCAGAAAGGGCCAGCTCCAGTGATGCCACGGCCGTGCCCGCGATCCAAAGTGCTCTGGCTGTTGGCTCTTGGCTGTTTGTTTGGGGAAAGGCGGACACCAGGCGCAAAGATTGCGCTGGAGAGGTACTTCCTGGTGAGTGACTTGCAAGCGTCAATCAAGCGCCCCGCAATCCCAGCTGACTGCTGGGGCTGGACTAACCGCAGGCTCCCTCCCCTCTGAGTCCTGGTAATAGCCGGGCAGAGAGCGGGTGGAAGCACGAAGTAGGGAAGCCGGGGATGGTGTGCTTTTGATGTTCTAGATTCAGAGCAGAAACGGTTCAGATCGAGTGCGCCTGCAAGTACTGCCGTGTGAACAAAACGAGGTGAACATACGGTACGTAGTACACATGCAATACACCCAGGAGAGGCACAAGCAAGTGGATCCGCCCTCCAGCACCGCCATCTCACACCGATTCTAGCATCCCCGTGTTACACAGCAACGGGGTTGGCCATCGGCCACTGCAAAGCGTCTCGACGCTCGCACAGCGACACCACCTAGAGGCTGTCTTTCCTTCCAGGCGCGTCCATCCGTCCACCCTCCGCTTGCGTTGCACGGCTGCATTAAATTGAGGAGATCGGCAATCGCGAGGCGGCGCAAAGGCGATCCTGATCCTGATCCTGATCCTGGCCACAACGGGGCAAGTCTTTCGTTGAACTTGAGCCACCATCCTTCCACCCTGGTCTCGCGGAGCCAGAACTGACCAGATGGAAATGAATGGCAGCAGCCACTGGGAGGGCCTCGTCTGTCCAAAGTCGTACCACTTTGGCCAACGAAGAGGCGCATTTGGAGTGCATAGCGTGCTAGCTTCGAGAAGGGGGGGGAGCCAACGGAGCGGGAGTCCGGCAGACCATTGGACCATGGGCTGGGTGAGTGGGAATGTCTGAGATATGGATCGATCGCCGGGTTCTGCTGCACTGGACCAGTACTGGTGGAGTGGCCAGTTGGGTGCGATGGTATGGTGGTGGCATTGTGTCGATGTCGATAGCGGGGAGGGGGGGGGAAGATGGAATTCTACTGCAGCATCTGGAAAGGGGAGTCGTTCGAAGCGAAGCGAGGCTTCGACCCCTGCACTGCTGAACAATGAACATCGGTTGGGGTCGAAGGTTACACGAGCTACCCTGTCGAGGCCATTCTTGCCTCAGACGCCGACTACAAACGCGAACACACACACACACACGCCCACACCTCCTCATTAACATCCTTGGGTGCTGCTTCAGCAACGGGGAATTCGCCGCCGGACCTGACCGGCCCTGACAATGGCAATGCCATCAGAACGCGACGACGGCCTCGCCGCCCTGCTTGCTGACCTGGAGTATGGTGAGCGCTTGAAGCGCGTCAGGACGCGCGCGTATTTGAACGTGGAGTAACTAACATCCAACAGCCGCAAAGACACCCGCCAAGCTGCGCGTCTCGAAGATCTCGCATCTCGTAGACAAGGTTGGCCATAAAGCCTACGAGGAGGGCTTGACAAACGCGTCGCTGAGTAGGCTTGTCGACATCGTCACGCTGCCCAACGAGCTCGACCAAGCCAGCCTCGGAGGCCTGGTTCGGAACCTGTATCCTGCCAGCAAAGTTCCTGATGCCATCGTGATCAAGATTGCTGGTGGCCTGGGCCATGGGCGATCTAAGCCATCATACTCTGTTCAAGGTGCATTGTTGAAATGGCTGGTGATGGTGTACGACGTCCTTGAAAACAAGAGAATATTGTCACAACTCTACAGCATTCTCTTCAATCACCTCGACACAGTTGCGATTAGGTGTGCACTCCTGTGAACGTCCTGAAGAGCAACCTGTTAATCTCATAATTTACAGATCACAGCTGTGTCACGTGCTGTCTCTTGTTACTAGAAGAAAGCATGTACGGCCTTTCCGGATCCAGATGCTGATGGAGCTAACCCGTCAAGCTGGGAACGAACCTCCCCTTGTTGGACTCATGAGAGTATACAAGGACTTCTTCCCAGATATTATTGTTGGCGATGTGACTTCAGGAAGAGCTTCAGTGTTTACGGTAGGCTCTTCCGTGATGTTAACGTGATTGATCGCTGATAAACTCTAGCATCCGGATCCGGAGTGGAGACAAAGGCTTGGAGAAATCCAGGAGTACCATTTTCAAAAGACACAAGATCGTCTACCGCCTGAGAAACGAACTTTCAGCGTCACTCGAAAGGGGGTCGATGGTTCCAAGAGAAAGTATTCGCCAATCATCCCAGAGGTCCACACCTCACGCGCCCTGGAGGTCAGACCCGATCCAACCTGTTATTTTTCTGCTCTAGCTGACAACTTAGTCGTCAATAACACTAGAAGAGATCGAGGATGTACATGAATTCGTTCGAAAACTGGAGAAAATTGAACTACCCAATCAGCTGGTTGCAGTCATCAATGACCCACTTCTCCAAAAATTCCTTCTGTTGATGTCCTCTGATACCAACTCAAAGCGCATAGATAGCTGGCTGCTTGCGTTCTTTGAAGATCAGTTGGAAGATTCAACTTCTTCTGATAGTGAGATTTTTGAAATGCTCGAAGCAGTACTGGGATATACGCGGTACAATAAGGTATTGAGCTCTAAACACGTCGAGGAATGTTACTGAAAGACCTTAGACATTGCCATCCGCATGCCTGACGTATCTCAAATCTATGATCCATTCCTGGAATGGTGTGAAGGATCGAGACGTTGTCCTCGACCTTCTTACTTACACCCCTCTAGGCTCATTTGAAGGTGTGTGCGTCTTGAACTCCATCGCAGGACAATCTGACTAATGCCCAGGCCTTCATTCCTCCATCTTTCAACCTCTTGAGGAGGCTGTCCTAGATGACGGCAGCACTGAGTCCAAAGTCGCGCTCCTCGAGTTTTACAGGAATTTGCTCGATCAATGGACGGTCACTCTTCTGTCACAGCATCAGCCATCAAGCGATGCATCATCTGCAGTTACATCTTTGATAACTCACGCCAACAGCCTGGCACTCACCATGGTCCAAACGTGCCTGAATGTCAACACCCTCTCCAAAATCTTAGCATTCTACGAAGCCAACGCTTCTCTCATCTCTCTACCGTCGCTAAGATCAACAATCCGAGTCACTATTCCGCCCACCGAATTGATCTACACGCTTCAATTCACGGACTCTCTCAGCACCATCAGCAGGCTCTGTGCCATCCTCGCGCTCTACAAGCGGGCCTTTGAGATTGCCATGTCCCCCAAACCAATTGAATCCTTGGCATTGAACCAGCAATCATACTCAAAAGAATACGTCAACCATTTCAATGGCTTTCTCATGGATGTTTGCAACTGTCTTTGGAGATCCCGTGCCTTCAACAGCTCGGACCCAAACGCCCTCGCTTGTTTGATGGCCCCAGCTGTCACCCAGATCTTGAGCAAGTATGTTGCGAGTATCGACACATCGATGTCCCTGGCGACGCTGTTTAGCTTTTCCTTCTCGCCTGTTTTCTGCCTTCTAGCCATTTCCTACGTGAGAGAGCTTGAGGATAGGGCTGAAGATGAGATTGATCTTCGCCATCCTGGACCTCCCACTTCTAAGTCGTTGCTGCAGCTTGAGAAAGATGGTGGCTTGAGGTTGCCGTGGCCGGATTACAAGCTTGGCGTGTTGCATTACATGGAAAATAAAGGGGTTAAGGGAGTTGGGGAACTAATGTACAATACCATGAAGCATTTGATGACCGCGAGGGAGAACAAGGCATAGATTTGAACGAGGCGTTCTGGTAGGAGGTGACGTCTATCTTATGAGACATGGAACATGAGCGAGGAGTGAGATACCCCATACTTCTCGAAACAAAGACTCTTGATACCCAATTCGCATTAGTGATTAGGGGAATTTCGTAGTTTTCCCATGCTGTGACATCTATCACACCCATCCCGACCGACGCCCTAGACTCCAAATGCACCTGTGCTCTCGCAATTAAGTGTAATGACTCTGTCTTCTATTCGTACAGGCACCGCTTTCGTCGTCTCTGACGGTCGTTCGGTCCAAATCCTGGTTTATAACTCCTTCGCTGCATCCACAATCGTCGATCCAGCAGCATTATTCATAACAGTCTCCTTAACTTTTTCAACCAACACTGTATGCGTAGCACTCTCCACAATAGAATGAATCGCGGCTTTTGCACTCTCGTCCCCGTTGTAGTAGAACCAAGCCCGGTTGGTGAGGAAGGCGATGTGCTGTGGGAGGTAGAGTGTCATGGCGATTACGATCATACTGAAGAAGAGGAAGAGGAAGGAGTCTAATGATAAAGTCCGTCAGCAATGTTCATTCTCAATTGTGGATTGCCCTTGCAGTGATCGCACGCAATCAGGGGGGCCAGGGGGGCGGAAACCGGAAGACGGCGGAAAGGGGAGGAATTTCTTACTGAAGATGAACTTCTCGGTGGGCGTTAACATGTACAGCGAGAATGTGACCTGCAATCGTCAGGCATCAAAGTGGAAGCTGGCAAAGGGACCAACCTCATATTGGTACCTCTTCCGCTGCAGCCAGCGAAACGTCGAGGCGAACATAGTCATTGCACACCAAGCCGATACTTAGGACTGTGAAAGCGCCAAGAGGCCGATTCAGCTCGATGGATGCAAGCCTCGGAGCGTCAAGCGTGGTTGGAAGGAGGGACAATGAGTTTGAGGCACCGCACGATGAGGTTGTCGGCAGGAGGTCAGGTCAGGTCAGCGTCAGGTCAGGGCAGGAACAAAGATCGGATGGAAATAAAATTTGTGGGGCAAGAACTGCGCCACCGTGACTTCAACTCGCTCGGCAAGATTTTTTTGGCTCGAACCCTTCCGTGAGGCACTTTCCATCAGCAACAAGATGTACGATGATACGCCGCCTTTTCTCCATTGTTGAAGGAAGAGTGGTTGTCGAACATGCCGTGAAAGGTTCAATAGCTCGGCGTGGCATTGCAGCCTCGGCCGCAGCATGCGCAAGGAAAATGCCCGATCGACCGCCGCTCGTCCATGAGGATCAATTTACGGAGTCATTCTTGAAGGGCAGTGGACCTGGAGGCCAGAAGATTGTATGTAAAGATCAATTGGACCCGGAGCCAGAGGAGAAGTCTGAATTTAAAGCCTCGGCTAACAACAAGTTGCAGAACAAAACATCTTCTGCTGTGCAATTGAGGCATATACCCACTGGCCTTGTCTTGAAAGTGCAAGCTACACGCTCTCGAACACAGAACAGAAAGATTGCCAGGCAGATGCTTGCGGAGAGGGTTGAGGAAATCGAAAAGGGGAAAGAGTCTCGAGTTGCAGTTGTTAAGGAGGTTAAGCGGAAGCGGAAGTCGAGTGCTGTAAAGAAGAGTAAAAGAAAGTATCGGGCTCTTGAAGAGGCGAAGAAAGCTTCGGAGGATGGCAATGGCGGAGATAGCGGAAAACAATCATGATGGAGGAGTGGTTCAATTGCACTTTAGGTCAAATAACTTCTCCCTATGATTTGGCCTGGAGTGTACACTTCAGCTGATTGCAGAGAGGTCTCGTGATAAATCTCTTGGTTGACCCAGTTCTATCAATGTTGTGAGTGGAAAGCGGTTGAATCGTGAGATGTTTGTACTGCAATATGCACGATAAAGAAGCCAATATCAGGATTTTCTAATAGACTCTACTTCTATGTGTCTACCTGCAAACATTTCAATTTGAGAGTCGATGGTACACAGATTTCCACCAGCAAACCAATGCAAAGACAATGCTAGCAAGGAAAGCAGGCACGAAAGAAATACCCAAGCTTCTGTCCTCGGTTCAAATGAAACCATCCCTTACTTCGAGCAGATTGTGAGCTGTGCATTAGATGAATCTGAGCCTCCGAGCAACAACCAGGGAGATTATGACAAAAAGGATCAAAATACCAAGAATTCCAAAGAAAGGAGCCAAGCTATTAACTTCTCTCCAAGGTACCATGACGTTCATCCCAAACATACCGCACACCAAATTCAGTGGAACGAGGATTGAAGCGAGCAGAGTGATCTTGCTGAGGACTTTGTTTGCTTGGTTTCCCTGCGTGATGTTATCGATTGAGAGTTGAGCCAGGTAGTTACTGTGAGATCGGGAAAGCATTTTCTCAAAGTGGGCCAAACTTGTCATCATCGTGACGACATGGTCCTGGATGTCGCCGAGGTAGAGGCCAATATCCATCCGAGGAGTAACTTTGTAGTTTGCGTTGCAGCGTTTAGTGAAGCCCCGGAGAACGTCTGCTTTGCCGCCCAGAAGTTTCATTAGACCCATTACGTTCTTCCGGACCATGCCAATTCTGCGTAGAAAGCTATGCATGTCATCATTGCGGGCAATGAAGACTTCATCCTCAATAACGTCGGTTTCCTTCTCAATGTTTGTGATGATAGGTGCAAAGCAATCAACAATATCATCACTAAGATTTGATTAGTAGGTAATTTATTAAATTTGCTCGTAGACTTACATTAGGGCATAACAGATCCAATCAGAGCTCAGGGCCACATAATCCTTCAGCATAGTGATTCTCTTCCGGACGTGAGCTGCATGGGGGTTGGGGGAAAAGCTGAAGCTCAAGGTCCCCTCGCGAAAAACGACGACATAGATGTTGAAAGGTTCGTATTCTTGCCCATCATCGATTTCCTGGACATGGAAGGATCTGAAGCAAGCAAAATAGTAGGACGGGAAGAGTTCAATCTTCTCTCGTGCTTCTTGAGTTCCAATGTCCTCAATCGTGAGAGGATGAACTCCGAAGGCTTTGCAGATGGCACGGATCTCCTCGTCAGTTGGATTGTTTATGTTCAGCCACCAAACTCCATCCATTTCCTCGCCTTGTGGAAGCGTAAACAGACTGCGGACATCTTCTCCTGGAAGAACCAGGTCGCCAAACTCTGCTGCATGAATCGTAGACTCTTCTGAGGAAGAAAAGAACTCAAATCGATTGTCAACGCGCTGGGGTTCACCCACAAATTCATCCAGACTGTCATTCTCATGGACTTTCTCATTGGTTTCGAGAGAGGTGCCCGAGGGGATTTCAACAACATCACCTCCCGCCGTAAACGTTGCTTGCCCTCCATTATACCCCTGTGTTCGGAGATCGTGGAACACTCGAGCTTGGGGCTGACCCTTTGGTGGAGTCTTGTCACGGCTCTCCTCATCAGCAATAAAATCTTCGAGAACCTCAAAGTCGATCTGCAAGGTGTCCTTGTTTCCTTGATTATGCAATGGAAAGCAAACATCTTCTTCGGCAGTTTTGCATGATCCAGCAAAGCTCTTTGCATCGTTCTCGTTGGTGTAACGCCTGCTTCGGAGGCTTCGTTTACTGCGACGACTAGCCCCTGAGATAGTTCGGTGAAGGTCGTAATCCTCGTGTCTTCTAATTTCGGCAAAGGCCTTTACAGAGTTGGGATCGGATGTTGAAAGTTGTCTTTCCCGCCGGCGAGCATCAGCAAATGCTTTCACGGAATTCGGAGGAGAAGTCGATCGGGGGTCAAGAGTCGTAACTGTTCCCCGTCGGCTCCTATCAGGTGCAACTCGACCAGGACGAGGAGACACTCCACCGGGTTCATCATCCATAACAGCTTCCTCGAAATCTCGAGCGACGGTAGGCATTAGCCCCTGGTTAACGAGAGCGAGGTCAGGGCTCAGATTCCGTCCGGCATTAACGCTCTGCATGGTCTCAACGGTGCCTCGCCGAGAGCGTGCTCTTTGCACTGAGGAAGATTGATGTCTATGGTCATCCAGCTCTGGAACAGGCGTGCTGTAGCCAGTGTTGAGAGAGGCATCTTCGTGGTCAGACATGGCTTCAGTGGCTAATCCTCTTTCTATGAAGTGTGTTATAGCTGCCCGATTATCAGCTTCGATGTGCCAGCCAAGCCAATGCGGGATACGCACTTTTCAATATTGTTCAAAATCGCCTTCGATTCTAAGGTGGGTCGCAACGAGCGCCCACCGCGTGTTGGCGTCAATTTGATTGATGTTTTTGCACAGGTTTCCCCTGTACAGCTCTTCCAATTGAGAAGCTGACCCCGTCCAGCTAATCCCCAATAATTGCTTCTTTGAGTGTGTGATATGTGTATTCGCGGTTAACGTAGGGCCAGTTATGGAGGCTTCTTGTCACCTCCGCCGTGAGCCCAAGTCCTTGGGCCGAGGAGCGGACGGATAAAGGAAAACGGTTCAAGTTCGAGTCCCGCCAACTTGCTGGTTATAGATTGAGAGGCCGCCAAGGCGATCAAGTCGAGCAACGGTCAAGTGTGTTTGGAAGATCGTGAAGGTGAATAACCAACGACAGGGTAAGCATGCGCGACAACAAGTGCTGATGGTGGTGCACTGTGGGGTTGTAGAGCTGCAAATTTGCGTATTGGGGTACTCGAGCCGTGTTCTGACGCTGTTGAGAGGGCAGGTCAACCGAGGATCTGGAGGCGAAAACAGGAATTGGGAATTGAAGGGACCAGTGCTTAGGACGGCGGTACTGCAGAGCGGCGCGATGTCGAACGTTGTTGTGGCCGTCGAAGTAGAGTTCGTCGAGCGTGAAGAGCATATGACAATTGGGGAAGAGGGGAGAGGGCTCCCAAGACGAAAATTTCCAAGTGGGCCGGCTAGCCAGGCCAGGGCTCTGTGGCAAATCCCAGCCAATCCCGTGAATAATCAATCGAGCGATGAATCAGACGCATCGAGCTAGGTTTACAATGCAGTACTAAGCGGGCCAGCTAAAGGAAGGATATTTTGCATGCAGCAAAAGATTATGCACAGTAAACAGGAGCAATGAAGATTGCAGAGGGAGGGAGCTCTCCTTATCTATCGACTCGGCACGGTCTCCAGGTGTTGATTTCATCCACTCATGCCTTGCCTTGCGTGCCTTTCTCTGCCCCTCCTTTGACATGCGGAAAATGCCTCATGGCTTGCAGCCCAATGCCAATCAATCCCGTGGTCGGACAGGGATGAAGCAACCCCATGTCTACGAAGTTTTCAGCCTCGTCACGTGATGAGACCATTTGAAGACCCCGTCCACCAGCCAAGTGACGAGGTGTCCAGACCAGCCAGCGCTCATTCCATTTCCCTTCACTTCCATCCCCCCTCACGCAACAACCATGGCCGATCAACTATTGGACCAGGTGCGCGAGCTTGCTGAGGGCCAAATTGTATGTGCAAATCCGCCAATTCGAAAAAAATCGGCTCTGGTACTGACTGCAGACAGGACTTTGAGGGTCAGAAGCTAGCTGAATTGCTGGCAACAGCTGTGCTTGCAACTGTTGGGGTGAAGAGCCACCTGCTACATTGCCTTTCTCACTAAACTAACGCAAACCCAGGCTATCTCATTCATCGTCGGCTTCTTCCTCCAAGACATCAAACTTTCACTCTACATTGGACTCGGGGGAACTGCTTTTAGCTTGCTCCTCATCGTGCCCCCATGGCCCTTCTTCAACCGACATCCCGTCAAGTGGCTACCTTTAGCAGGGACTGAAACAAAGTCGCAAGGCATCTTGGTGGATGGAAAAGTTGTTGGGTGAAGGAAGGAACACATGAATAAACATTGGCGTTAGAGCTGGGCCGGGAATACCAAAAAGTGTATGCAATGGACGCTGGTATCTTCATTCCCCAGATAGCTGGATGGACTGCGTTATAAGGATCTATCCCCTGTGAACGCTGTCACTAAGATGATTCCTCCATGCGCCACTGTACACCAAAGCCACCGCGCAAATGTAATCTTTGGCTTGTGCCCCAAGTTCTGTTCGTGATTCTTCCCTGATATCGTATCACATCACAATCTTTTCCCCATGAAACTTCGGCTTGTAAAGGACTTAACGGCCGTACTTCTGGAACTCCCAATCTCTGTTGTCGAGGGGGCAAACTTGGCGAGTCTTCAGCCATCGGGAGATACAATGGAAATGGAAGGCGTGCTAGCAACTCATAGTCAGTCGTTACTCATGGAAGCACGGAAGAGTCTCTTACGTTGCAAATCCCCCATGCAACAGTGCACTCCTCGCTGGTGGCGGAAGCTTGATTTGCCTGACATTCGATGCCTTCCTGTGGTTAGTAGATCAAGCTCTCGGGTTGGAGTTGGGGATGAATTACACAGGTCCATAATGTGGTTTCTGCAGATCGCACAGTTGTCGACGACGATGTCCCAAGCCCATAGAGCGACCGCGTTCCACTATCGAGCAGTTAGCATATCTGCAGCCCCTTGCACGGAGAAGGCGTCGAGCTGCTCTCACCTTCTTCACCTCAAAGCGCTTCTTGCCGTCTGTTCCGCTCTCAGAACCTCCGGCTTTAGCCTTGCCAACTGCCTTCTTTGCAGGGGCTGGGATATCGGTCATAACGACGTCGGCCATGTTCAGATCGCAGAGGGAAGCAGAGAAAGGCGAGGAGGTGGTCGATGGAGGGGTAGTTGAAAGGCTGCAGTTGCGTCTTTGCTCTTTGCTGCTTAGATTTGAGACTTGAAAGGAAGTCTTTGCTTACAGCAAATGTTGACAATGGGAAGTTCTCGGTTTCCGGAAGAAAGATGCAGCAGAGTAGGTGTCGTCTTTGCTGTAAATACCTTGAGCTTGAGGTGAATTCAAATGTGGAGGCAACAAGGAACTTCTACGGCGGCCGGTTCCAGCGAAGTTGCGTCTGTTCACGACGCCTCGCCGCCTTCTGGTACATTCATATCACATTCACCCCACCTCTTCCCACTCGACGCCGAACAATGATTGGAATTACCGCAACTACCGATTCCATACAAACAAACAACAGAGAATCCACATACTGCTACACATCACAAACTCCCTCGACGGACCGGCCACCGCCTGCTGGCCATCACTTACCATCCAGCCACCTCCTGCGAAACATCGCGCCTTGTCCATCGCTGCAGTGATCTGCCTTTTGCTTTGCCCATTCACGTTCTACACTGCTTCTACGACTGCATATTTATAAGCCAAAGAAGCCATGTCTACCGAAACTCCTTCACGGGGACACCGACACAGTCGAAGTGCTGCCATGCCACTTGCGTCTGCCTCGTCACAGAACCCTCAGAACCCACATCATCTCAACCAGCAAGCACACATGCGAAACTCTCAACCCGAAACGAAAACAAATCAACCAGCATCGGCTTCACAATCTACGACACCTCCTCGAACCCCTCGCAGAGGCAACCAACCTACTTCTCAAAGCGCCAACACGAACGGCCCCGACAGCGGGTCAAAACAGAAGTCTAGGAACAAAAACCGGCCCAAGAACGTGAATACATCTCCTGCTATGATGCGGAACGGCCGCAATACCCCGCCTTTGACGGGCGCTCAATCGGCGGGTATCCCCTCCTCCGCGAAGCCCATCAACACACCCTCAGCCACAGCTTATGCAGGCCCTACTTTTCATGCGTCACCAGCTCCGTCTGCTCTTCCGATACCGAGTTTTTACTCCAAATCAGTTCCAGATTCTCCCGGGGTCAAGGGGCTCAAATCTGCAAAGGAACCGCAGTTGAAGAAGGAAACACCTTCGTCCAACAACCTGTTCACTCCTCCGCCTCCAAATAATCTATTTCAAAGGGAAGAATCTCCACTGGACCTTTTCTTCAGGGCGGACAGGGAAGAAAAAGCTAGAGCACGAAGTGCAAGTTCCACTCAAACTGCTGTAGCCCCAACTGGACCATTCCAGCCCCCCATGGAATCGCCTCGAAGCAGCCAGACCCCGCCAGCCCCCCCCACGCACAGCCGTCCACGTCCGGGACATGCTAGTAAGATGTCTGCAAACGGAATGTTTGCTATGGAATTGGATGGGGAGCCCGATGCGGGAACACCATACGGGCCGGCTTTTTCCACGCCGTATGCTGAAAGAATCCATGCCGCACGTGCTTCCAGCCAGCCCGCACAGTCCATCGAGCGGCCATTCCGTGATTCACAGCAACCTTTGGACAACTCAGAAGCTCTCAAAGCCTACCTTTTCTCAGGTCATCCACTCCCCTCTTCTGATGAGACGAAGTCGAATGGAGCTACGCCTCCCCCCGCGGAAATCTCTCCTTCGTCGCGTGCACATCAACACACTCCGACTCATGCCAGTGGACTGCGAAGCGCTGGCCTACCAGCCCGGCCGTACTATAACAGTCATTCGCAAGAGAGCTTGAGTCAAGCTCCAAGGCTGCCTAGTCGATCTTCCGGCCTCCGCCAAGAGGTGACACCAACGAAAACTCCCACGAGAACGCCGGAGCGTAGCGGCCCTTATTTCCAATCGCCACCATTGTTTCCCAATACCGCAACACCTGCGGCTAACAACTTCGTCGACACAATGGCACCTCATGCACCATCACCAGGTCCAATCTCAACAACTGGCCTGTCATCTGAAAGCAAGACCGCTGATCTTCGGGGAATGGAGGACAGTCTTCGCAGGATACTAAAGTTGGATTCAGCACAGAGTTCTGGGGTCGTTGGTGGAAGCTTACCTGCGGCATCATCATCGGTTCCAAATTACGTTGGCGGCAGGCCTCCTCCTATGAATGGTATGCATAATGGAGTTATGGGATCTTGATACAGGCTTGGAATAACGTCACGGTTGATGAGAAGACGTCGGCGTTTTGGTCCTTAGTCCCTGGGTTAATGTGACGACTTTCGATATCACCACGGGGCTTGGGAAGCTTGGGAGTTCCTCAAGCGTTCGTGAGACCTACCACTCACTTCTATTCATTATTTTCTGGGTAGCTGTATGTATGGCTTCCGGACTGGCTCTCATTTGTCCTGTCTCCGACAACCACTGCACATTCTGCAAATACTTTCATTTGTCTATTGGGGGGAGGCTGCACGAGCCATGTGGTGGATGGTCTGCCCCGAAGATATTGATGGGGCGACCTCGTTGTGCTATGATGATGTAAACATGGCCCATTGCACAGTAATGAGTTGGGGTCCATTAGCCATCAAATTGGCCGAGCGAAGTGATTACTACATCATAATTCACGCGTAAACAAGACCTTACCCCCGTGAATACCTCGATTTGGACATATTTTATTTTGCCCTCAACATAAAATTGTCATTTGTAGATCCTGGAGTATCCCAAGATGTTCAAGCTCTTGACCCCTATTTTGATTCAGAAGTTCGCTTACATTCGCTTACGCCCCTTTTTAAATCCTCACCAAGCGGCCGCTTTAGCCGCCTGGCTGGAAAACTTTAAGTTCTCGATCCCCTGCCAGCTCTCTGAATCTGAATAAAGATAGCAACACCAAACTCCATCCACATCACGATGCCAACATGACCCGAATATTTGTCCCGTGGCGGCCTGTACTACGACCTCGTACCAGTCGCCTTCAATACGTCCATCGTCAGCGAAGACTTTTGGCTGATGTAGCCCAAGACACCAAGCAAGTCTGTGTGCGAACATTCCCAAAGCCCTTCTAACTCTCTACACTAGACCTTACGATGTTATTGTAATAGGGGGAGGTCACGCTGGAGCAGAAGCCTGTGCTGGAGCTGCGCGATCCGGCGCCAGGACTGCGCTTATCACGCCGAAGCTCGACAACATTGGCGTGTGTTCTTGTAATCCTAGTTTTGGGGGTATCGGGAAGGGAACAATGTTAAGAGAAATTGACGCGCTGGATGGCGTAGCTGGTCGAATAATAGATAAAGCAGGAGTGCAATTCAAAGTCTTGAATCGCAAGAAGGGTCCTGCCGTCTGGGTACTCAATTCTAAAGCTATTCTCATCAGATTAAAGCTAACCTGATTGTAGGGCCCTCGCGCACAAATTGATCGAGAACTCTACAAGAAACATATGAGGGAAGAATTGACATCCTATCCAAATTTATCGATTGTACCGGGAAGCGTGGCAGACATCATCGTTTCCCGTGATGATAGCCAAACCCAAGGTGGAAGAATCTCGGGGGTACGACTGGAATCCGGTGAGGTTATACCGACCAACCAAGTAGTTATCACCACTGGCACCTTTCTTGGTGGTGAAATACACATTGGTCTCGAGTGCACACCCGCTGGACGTATGGGCGAAGCGGCAACTTTTGGCTTAAGCAAATCTTTGAAGGATGCAGGCTTCAAGCTTGGCAGACTGAAAACTGGAACACCTCCTCGTCTGGCCAAAAACACCATCGACTTCAGTATCCTGGAAGAACAGCCGGGTGATGATCCACCCACGCCATTCAGTTTCCTCAACGACTCAGTCTCGGTTCAAGAGCAACTGCTTTGCCATGCTACCTATACTAATCAAGCTACACACGATGTCGTCAGGGCTAATCTCGACAAGTCCATACATATCCGAGAAACAGTCAAAGGCCCAAGATATTGTCCGTCCCTCGAGTCAAAAATTATTCGGTTCTCTGACAAGGAGAAGCATATCATTTGGTTGGAGCCGGAAGGATTCGAGAGTGACGTAATTTATCCAAATGGAATTTCCATGACTATCCCCGCCGAAGCTCAGGAGCAACTTTTGAAGACCATCAAAGGTTTGCAAAACGTCACAATGTTACAGCCAGGATATGGTGTGGAATACGACTACGTCGATCCAAGAAGCCTAAAGGCAACCTTGGAGACGAAAGCTATCCGTGGTTTATATTTGGCGGGACAGATCAATGGAACTACTGGTTACGAGGAAGCAGCTGCACAGGGAATCGTCGCTGGAATTAATGCTGGTTTGATGTCGCTCTCCAAACCTCAAATGGTGCTTTCCCGGAGCGACGGATACATTGGGATTATGATCGATGATCTCATCACCAAAGGGGTCTCGGAGCCTTATCGAATGTTCACATCACGAAGTGAATACCGGATGAGCGCCAGAGCAGATAACGCAGATTTACGACTCACAGCAAAGGGCCGAGAGGTAGGAGTTGTAGGGGATGAGAGGTGGTCAAGCTTTTCTGATGAAGTGGCTCAGATTGAAGATCTCAAATCAGCCTTGATGTCCAAAACGGCGAGTGCACCGGTGTGGATAAGAGACGGCTTCAAGGTTGGGAACGATTCCACCAGAAGGAGTGCATTTGACATCCTTCGTCTAACAGGTGTCACCGTCAGCGACATGGCAGCTTTGGTTCCGGACATCATGACCTTTTCGGCGCACATTCAAAATAGAGTCTCAATCGAGGCAGTGTACGCCCCATATGTGGAACAACAGACTGCGGCAATGAAGGTGTTCCAAAAGGATGAGAATCTGAAGTTGCCACTGGATTTAGATTATGATCAGATTCATGGACTGAGTATGCATGAGAAATCACTGCTTCAAACTACGAGACCTGAGTCTGTGGGTCAGGCGCGACGAATCGAAGGTCTCACGCCATCCGGAATTCTGAGACTTCTGGCATTTGTCAAAAATAGGCATCGCGATCTCGCCAAAGCAACAATTTTTGAGCAGGTAGCTGCCCGTAAGAAGAAGTATATGGTCAAATGATTAAGATCGGGCGACCGTGGAGATATGAAACCCGATCACTTCCTCAAAGAGGTCGCCCTCTGGGAGTGAAGCCATTAAGCCCGATTTTGCTTGGCCAATAGTCACCAAAATGCCATTTATATGGAGTCTAGAACTAGATGGAACAGGGATTTGGGTAATTTTACCCCAGATGAATGCTATCCCAGTCTAGGTATGGAGAAGGTCGGCAAGGTATAATCTGGATTTTCGGTATAAGAAACCTTGAACGGATGAACCCGCTACGCGGTATTCTGAGTTGGGATGGGTTGAAACAGCCATGTGTACTGTCGTCAAAAGAATGTCTGGATGAGTTCACATATGACCGGCTTGGTCGGAAGACTGTACAAAAATGTAATAACACGCACCGTGTAGGGTAACATTTGTCAGGGGATTTTCAGGGGATTTGCACCCTCTCGCTCTAGAATACTCCGGAAAGATTTCGGATCTCTAGTTCTCCAAAGCCAATTGTTTATACTCGTAACTGCCACATGATAGCAAGTCTTCGAGCTCTCGAGACATTGGGGGCAGATATTGATAAGTGCTGTTGCCATGTGTACATTTCCACAGCCCCATAACGATGGATGAATATGGTAACACAAAACAATCAACCTCCCTGTTATCACCGCGCCGAGTATTTTCAAGGAAAGCAAAGCAATACCACTTTCCCAATTGCTTGTCGATTAAGAGTGCAGCAATAAATACCTCGAATGGTTCGAAATAAGATCCGATTATCTTAATTTGTATTTTACAGGTAGGTCAAATACATGCGTTATTCCCCGTCTTCGGGTCTCTTGTCCTTCTTTTCGGCTTCGTTACTGAGTATTTTAACAGCGTCCTTCGTGTATATGTAACTCGCCCCACTCCAGATAGTTGTTGTAGCCACCAGATAGCTTACGAGCTGTCAGCGGTCTTGTCTCCAGAAAAGGGATTCAGGAATACACACTGCATGGCTTTCATTGCTGTGCTGACATCAACGGTCAACAACGGCATGGCCGTTGTGGCTCCAATCAAGGCCAGTTGCAAAGCGGTGTTATATTTGCTTATCGTGGTGGGATGCACTTCAGCCGAGGGAAGTGAAAAGTCCCAGTATCTAGAAAATGTCTTGGGAGGAGGCAGTGATATCCATCGATAATAAATTGCTGCGATGCCCAGTCCAACATCACGACCAAGAATGATTCCTGCCAGCCAGACTATAACAAGAGGTCAGAAAGTCAACCCCCAACGAGTACGGACGGACAACTGGACCTGGGAGAGCTCCTTTGATGGCCAGACAGACAGTCAATATAGTCATGAGCGTTTTGTCGGCCATGGGGTCAATGATTGTGCCGACCACAGTCTGAAGGTTCCATCGCCTGGCGATGTAGCCGTCCACGAGATCCGTGATGCCTGCATAGGCAAATAAGCCAACAGCCCAGGCGTGGTAGTCGTGAAGCACCAGGTAGCCTATGACCGGGGCTGCGATGAGGCGAGAAAAGGTGAGAATGTTCGGAACCGTATAGATGTTCTCATGTGGGGTGAGCTGAGTAAGGACCTCGAGGAGAGGTTTCCTGGGCTCAGGAGGTTCTGCTCTAAGAGGAATGGAAGCTTCAGTATAGCTCACGTGACTTTTCCTTGACCCTTAATCTGAATCGAGTCATCCGGGATGGAACGACAGAACTAGCCGCACTCACTTGTAACAGAAAAAACTCTGTTGCGTACCTTTGTTTCTCTGCCGGCTCCTTAGATGTCGAATAAAGGACTCCCTTGCCGACTATGAACCTTGCCCGACGTTTTCTGATATGCACATCAGACTTTGTTCCGGACACCTTGGTAATGAGCATACATACATGACTAGAGGCCGACCCAGACCTCTCGTCGCGGACGAAGTCCACAGGGCAGAGTTTCCTAGACATTGCGAGCTCCAGGATGATGCTCTGAAGAGCATGAAGGTCGAGTCAGGGGTGGGGCGCCAACTCGGTCTGGGGACCGCTGCCATCCATTGAGCGCAAGGCTGTCGTCTCAGCAGACGAAACATGGTCATCGCATCTTGTGGGAGCGAGGAGGAGAGATAGGATGCCAGGGTGGGCGTCAAGTAAGGTCGAGTGAATTGAGTTGGGTCAGGTTGGGTTGGTTTTGGCGGTTGTAAGGGGCGAGGTGGCACAGAAGGAGTGACGCAGCAGCAAGGATGAAGCGTACTCGCTTCTCTTCTCCTTTTTCGCTTGCAGCTCTCCTCTTTTCTCTTCCATGACAGGGGTTCTTAATTTGCCGCGCGGCTGCGGCTGCGGCTGTGGCTGCGCTTGTCTGACCTCTCCCCTTTTCTTTACCGAATGATTTTTTACTAATTTACCAAGACTCCCAACTTCCTCCCGCTCCCGTCTCCCGCCTCCCGCCTCGCCCATTCTTGCCCCGTAGCTAGCCAATACCAAACTATTGCGCTCGGGACGAACACGTCCTCGGAGTCGCTGCTTTCGGGCCAGTTTCCCAATGCAGGACAGCTCAGATCTCTGAGCCGCGGGCGCAATTGAGTTTCGGCGTGCCTTTCGGGCCGCGAAGCTAATCTGGAAAGGTTGAAGTCTGTCGCCCGCCCTGTCCGCTTTGACTTCCATGGCCACGAGATCAACGGCGGCGTGACGAGATCAGAGCTTAAGTTTAAATCAATGTCTGGTGATCCCATTCGCACCGCCTTCTCAACAAGAAGGAATGGATGGATCAACTGTATGTGTGTTCTTGCACGGTAATCGAGGAGCGCAACCTGGCTATGGTCATTCACTGTCTTTGGGAATTTCGGTGTTTCAACGCAATAATAGGCTGGGCCCAATTCGATGCCCAATCTATATCGAGTGCTTCTCCAGCTTAGAACTTGCCAGATCAGTTGTTCTGTATGTACATGCAGATGTCGAGCTGTGCGCGAAATTGATAGTCTTGATCTAATTGCCTATATCGTCTGTCGGCTCTGTTCAATCACAACAAAACGCTTCCGATGCTGTTTTGATATCCGCGCTTCCGTTATCATCCCATCTTACCAATACAATATTGAATAAATACAAGAATAACGCTTAACGAATTTGTACAGAAACATTTCGCAACCGCGTGCAAACCAAAATAATGAGCCCCCCGTGCTGCTTGTGCGTCAAACGAGGGTATGTCACTCCGTGTGAAATCCCATCCGCCCCACTTTCGACGCCTATATACGCCAGAAAAGAATTCGTAAAGGTCTAATGCTGACCGAGACCGTAAAATCGACATATTCATAAAGAAATTCGTAATCCCATTGCTTTTTACTGTTCGTCATCACCAGACATCTTGAATCGGGCTATGAGGTGCCCGTGCTAGCCCATTGTTGTTGAGAGGCCATATAGTGACCGTGGCCGGCGCTTGCGTTTCCAATTGGCCACATGTTTTCTTTGATATTTGAGCTGTACGGGGCAGAGTATGATGGAACAGAAGCTCTGTCATATGTGGGTTGATGGGTGGGGGTCGGCAATGACCTGTGATGCGTGTAGTTGTGGGAACTGTTGCCAGTATCCCTGAGACCACCATAGAAGCCTTGTGATGAATAACCCGAGTCATTGGTGAGCTTGGAATCCGAAGATGATGAAGAAACTCCCGAGATACCAGAGTCCATTGAACCGGCTTGCTCGGAGCTCGAAGGGCGGCGAGCAAAATTTGTCGTGACCGAAGGCATCTGCGAACGGGCAGTATCAGAACCGACCCCAATGATAGAGTTGTACCGCTGTTGCCTGTAGCCGCCAAGATCATAACTTTCCGTCTTGGGCGCTGAATATATGCCGGGAGATTGAGCGAACTGTCCACCGTAAGGAGCGGTCGCAGGGCCTTGGCCAAGGCTATCATATGGCGTGGAGTGCGTGCTGATGGCATAATTGCTAAATATGCTAGAACCAGAACCATATCCGATGGGTGGTGTTGGTAAAGACATTGGCCGATGAGCGATTGTTTGGTTGGTCATCTCATAGCCATTGCGGCCGTACGGAAATGACGTATAGACTGACCGGTCATCGATCCGATCCATCGAGTCCACCTCGTCAATGGGCGTGCGAAAATTCTGCTTGGTGATGAGATCGGCACGTGGAGTTACATGCTGAAATCTTGGGTCTTTCGACGGCGTGGTGAACTTGTTGTTCATGACATCGGCCACGGTGTAATATGAGACCAAGTGATGTGAAACACCCCCGACTGTAACGCTCACAGTCTTCTTAACAAGGCCTTCTTCTTTGAAGCCGTAGGAATCGACGAGAGATCCGATCAGCGATCGTTCTGTTTCCTTGCTAAGAGAACTTGAGGTTGGTGCATCGAAGCTCGAAGCGGCGGCTGAGGCAGTGCTATATCCTCCGCTCATTGAGTTATTCGAACTTCCAAATGGCTCCTGTTTTCCAATTCCTGGAGACCGTTTGCTGCGTTTCATGGCTCTCTTCTTCTCTCCTGGGGGAAAAGGACGTTCCAGTTCGCGGTATACAAGGAAGTTGCCCAGTATTCGACTCGGACTCCATGGCACGCCGTCTGTCCACCGCTTTATGCCAGAAGAATGTTCCTCATAGATGAAGACATTCCCGCTCTTGATCAGGCTCACTCTTTCACGGTCGTGGGGACGCCTAGCGACGTGATTGAGGGCGCCACTCAAACAAGCTTCGAAGAGAAGTAGAGCGTCCTGCGTAGAGGCGATGTGCCCGTAGAACGTCGGAGAAAGTGGCGATGCAGATGCCATGCTGAAGTTGGTATACTTGTGTTGTATGGTAGAAGTGAAGTTTGTGAGGCTATCATCAGGCGAGGTCGGCGGAGATCCCTGAAATGGAAAGGCGATGCTACAGTTGAGTGTGATGGGACACTGGGAGCAAGGTCATCAAAAAAACCTTCAGTTGGCAAGATTGTGGGAGGGCACAAGATGGAAAATAAGTTTGGATCGAGCTGCGAGCTTCGTGGTTGGAGAAGCTGGGGGGGTGTTCTGGCGGCTGTGGATCTGCCTTATGTCGCGCGATGTCGCTGGCGGGATTACAACAGAGACCGAGAAAGAAGGGAAGGGCCGAAGGTTGTTTCGACCGTGCAGATGGAGAGAGGAGCATATGTAGAACGGTAGTTCGAAGCAATGCGGAAGGGAGTAGGTCAGAGTTCCGGAGGGAGCAAGGGTACCGATGTGAGCGCTCCTTCCCTTTGTACTGCCGAGACAACCTTTGCAGGATTGGATGCGTTCAAGTTGAGCCTTATGAGGAACAGGAATCTTGGGGTAAAAGCCCAAGTCTAGCACTTTGCTTGGATTGGGCGGTGTGGGAGTATCTCTGCTCCGCTCGTAACCCCGTGTTGTTGACGCGGGACCTGCTTCGTAAAAAGATGACCACCAGGGGAATCGAGCTCGGCAAGGGAAGCACAACAGAAGGGATATGGAAGGCGGCGACACGGAGGCCGTTTTTGGACCTTGCCAGCGTTAATTTTGACCGAGAACTTCTGGTGTTATATGATGTGGTAGGTGCTGGATGAGGCAGGCCTGTGGGGAGGCCAGGCTAGGCTTTCAAGTGGATGAGAGACGACGATGAGGAGGGATAGCCAGGGCCTGCGACTACTGCTGGCTAGAGCCTGCAGTAGGCCCATAGTTCTCTGAGGGGTCAGGGATCACCTCCAGCCCATGCAAGCACGGAAGGGTGGCGCACAGAGGAATGGAAAGGTCCTCGCTACGGTAGCTAGGTAGGGTTTGGAGGGGAGAAAGAGCGTAGAGCGCGGAGCATCTGTGGATGGAACATTGGAGACCGACAAGGAGCATGCTTTGGGGTGAGGGGAGGGCGAGGGCGAGAGACAAAGAACCCGCTTCAGGGCGAGGGAGACGGGGAAGGGAGGCGGCGGAGAGCTCAGATTAGCGCAGTATCCTGACTTGGCACGTCTTGAGTTGCGGTGCAGGTTTGTAGACTTCCTTCCAGCAATGCACCTGTCCATTGACCAACGGCCCAGACTCGATGCGTGTCTGGCTGCTGGGTGACGATTGCCGATCCGCTGCGCATATCAGATTCAACCGCAGGATGGTGATAAGGCTCAGCTTGGCTGCGGCTGGGGAAGGCAAAGACAAAGATGTCATTCCCGCTGCTCCTCACCAGTGAGGTGGGTGAGGTGGGGTGGGATGCATTAAGAAGGCAAAATCTCCGAGACCTAGGAGGGAGACTGTACAGCACTCTGCTGGCACGGCTGGAAGAAGAGTCGATGCTGTACGGTACAGTATTGTAGCTCTCTTAGGCTCTCCGTCGAGAGCAGCTAGCCGTGGCACGGCAGCACAGAACAGCTGGGGTCCGCTGTGCTGACTGGCGGCCTCTAGTTGTTGTTCTACATAGTGCTCCGCAGCACAGCGAGACGATGGTGGTGTTCATGGTGTGCGGAGGCCGTTGTGAGAATTAATGAATACCGAACATGGCCACGCCAATGCCGCTGCCGCTGCCACGCCAGTGCCATGCTCTCTCGACCAAGACTGACGAGCAAGCCGTGTTCCGTCTCGCCCATGGCCCTGCTCCAGAACTACGTACTCCGTGCTCCGTAGGTGGGTGGAAGCCGGACAGGACCCGACCCCATGATGGCGGCCATGATGGCGGCCCATGATGGAGCCAATGAGGAGTGCCGCAGACCAAAGAAATGCCCAGTCAAATCTGTCTTCCCTGAATCCATAAACACACTCCATGATTTCCATCGGTGCTTTGACGGTGAGTCGGGATTAGGGGGGGGGGACCCCAGTGAGTCGCGAGATGGCGGAGCAGCGCAACGTGGGTGCTGTGTGGCCGGCTTGCAGCTGTGTTAGTTGCGGGCGCTGGCGTACCGTATTGTCAATCTGGATATCTCCGCGAAACTGAGGTCGGTCGGGAGAACAAGGGAGCTTAAGGAACCATGCCCCTGACGACGCCGAGAAGATGGGTTGAGCCCGTGATGCGAATGCAGGCAGGGATCAGGGCACAGCATGGAAAAACCAGGTGTGGAGCGCGGACGCGCAAAGGTAGCCCGGCGCCCGCAGGAGAAGTCGGAGAGACTATGAGACTGCGAGACTGTGAGCGACGCGAGCCCAAGCAGCAGAGCAGCCGAGCAGATGCGAATCCGAACGAGAACGAGAACGCTCTCCCCCTTCTTATCATTTACAGTACAGTAACCTCCGTATGCCTCGTCTGCAACGTGCCAACGTTCGCGTCACGTTTGGGCTGCAGCACAAATTACCAGTCACAAGTTCACAAGTTCTCCCCTACCACCCCCCCCCCCCCCCCCCCCCCCCCCCCCCCCCCCCCCCCCCCCCCCCCCTCCCCAAAAAAACATCTCGACATATTTACTGGATCGGGGCTGACCAGACCTCGCAACTGAATGCTGTACAGTACACTGGACCGCGGGCTCTACTTTTGACCGTGCTTTGCGAATAGGGGTGCCTCTGGGCCGCAGCCGTTACGAGGTTAGGGATTGCAAAGGAGCGCTACAATCCTTCTCGGGGCTTTATAAGAGGGAGCTGCAATGACCCAGGGCGGGACGCAATCCCGCCATGGTAGTGAGGGCCTCTGCTCTGTATCTCCCATTATTGCCATTTTGTACTGTAGGACTACTGGCTGTGCAATGTTTACCAGGGGGATTCAAAGCGTATCCCATTTACCCAGCAAGCCAAGTACTTTCCAACGCCGCCGAGGACGGACTCCTTGATGATCTTAGCCATTCTGCTGTTTTGGGTGCCGCGGGCAGACAAAACAGCAGGTTACAGTCAGGAATCGTGATCGTGGGTCCTTCGCCAAAGATGTGGACAGTTACAAATGAAAGCAAAACCATCGAACTGGGAATTTCTCGCCATTATCGAGCTGTACCTTGCGGTCATGAATCCATGTCTCTCGTTCCCCGCACTCTTCCTCCACGAGCCAACAGCACTGCACTTTCGATGAGCTGTCGTTCATTTAATCTCTTTGACTTTTACACTCCATCGAAAACTGTGATCGAAGCATGGCTGGCAGCCGAAGGGAAAGGGCTATTGGACTCTGACACAATTTCACCTGGCGACGCAAAACTTTGAGTGCTGCCTCTGCCGGCATTTCTTGCCAAAGAAGCTCTCGGCGTGGGCTAAAATTGAGCCTCCCCCACCAGTTCTCTTACTAAAGCACCATTGTTCCTCCGCTCCTGGCTCCTGGCTCCTGGCTTTGCTAAACTACTCGCTGTTGTCTTCTGCTTCAGTGAACTTCGAGCTCAGGAGGACAGTGTGGAGCTATGATCTCTGTCCAGAAAGGGAGGTTACGTTTCTTTTCGCTGCGCCGCGCGAGAGGAGAAGGAGTCTGATTTCGTGCACGACGAGTCGATTCCATGGGGAAAGATAGGGCCAAGAGTATGGAGCCGGCGTGTCTGTTGCTGTTCTTTCGAGCTTCTGGAGAACGCCCACCATTCGCCCTTTTGCTCCTCTTCCATGCTTGAGGGGCGAACTTAGCGCTGATTCATCACTCGATGAGTGGATCTTTGGGAGGTTCCAAGCGATATCTGCGCGACATTAATTCAATCCTCCTAGCTTTCATCTTCTTCGCGTAACCGTTACATCTTGCCACGGTAAATCCTGAGATCTTCGGGCCGCATACGCACAAACGCTGCTCAGACATATGTATCTAGACAATGTCCCGAAAGGGGCTTTCCGCAGCTCCGCAAGCGCTCCCAGGACAACACGCCTCGAACAATACGGAGTAGGCAACCCGGTCGCAAGATCATCATCATCATCATCATCCGCTTGCACCCTAGGCTGGGGCTCGAGCCTTGCAAGGTAGATTTACTTCAGGGGTGATCGATTGCAACGGCGGGACTATTCTCCAGCCTGCAAACGTCGGAATCCGGCAGATGTGTCAATGGTGGTTCTCCCGGGTCTAAGGAGACCGGGGTGCATCCATGATCTTCAGGGTTCCAACTTGCATCCTGTAGGTAACAGGGATCTGCTTTGGGGCAGATCGTGAGGAGACTCAAGATCCCACATAGAAGTACGGAGTACAGTAACGGTGGGCGCTTTGGGGCTGGCCGGGCTGCAGGGCGCCATGGTCGGGAGCGATGCCAAGGAGGGCTCAGGCAGGCAGGCAGGCAGGCTAGAGGCCACGAGGAAATAGGCTGTCGCAGTGTCGAAGATTCCGAGCATGAGATGTGCTGCAATGCGATCCGTCGTGCGTGGCCCGTACAGTACCTGTGTGAAGGGGCCAAGGGGTGCCAAGGGGGGGGGGGGGGGGGGCAATGCGATCCGTCGTGCGTGGCCCGTACAGTACCTGTGTGGTCTCGGAAGGGCAGCGGGGCAAGAACGCAGAAACTCTCGGTGTCGAGGACTCGAAGCGTTCAAGGGGCGCGGTGTCGTCTGTCTTGGTGGGAATTCTCCGACTCGTCAACGCGTGTGTAGTGTGGGGCTCTTCGCCTCGCCTACGATGGTTGGACGATGACGCTCGGGTGGCGTCAAAGAATGCGAGCTGCAGCGCTGGACCCCGGCCTGCCTGCCGCCCTGCCTGCCGCCCTGCCTGCCGACTTGCCTGCCGACTTGCCTGCCGGCCACCTGTTCTGCCCCTGGCCCCTGGCCCTGGCCCTGCTTCCCACTCCCCTGAATCCTGCCTGCCTGCCAGCCTGCCTGCGTCTAATCCTAGATCCACCAACCAAGTATCGAACATTCCGAGCTCGAATCTGCAATCTCCAAACAGCTCGCGACAGCCCTCCCTCAGTGCAGTACGGAGTACGCCCGACCTTGAGCGTATCCGGCAAGGCCTGGGCCAAGGGGCCACCAACGAAGTGCACGAGCAAGGTAGTTCAGTACGTAGTGTCAAGATGCCTTTCTCGCGTCATGGTACTGTACTACTCTCCCCCCCTCCCCCACCCCAAATAAAACGTAGCGTGACAAGGCTGGCACGGCCGTTCTGACGTCTGCCATACCCCGGCCGCGCTACGTTTTATTTGGAATTTTGGGGGGGGGGGGGGCAGTAAGTCCAGTACATTGACCTCTCAATGCCTCACGCCGCAAGGCTTTGGAGGGCAGGGTCTAGAAGGCAAGATCTGCGGGACGGTACGAGGCCTCGGATTCGGGACCACTATTCCGAGTTCTTGCCCTCTTGGAAGTTCCTGTACCTTAAGGCCCCAATCAGCACCCCGTGCCCGTCAGCATTCAAATCAGTAGAGAGAAGATTGTGGCGGATCACTGACGATCGTGAAGACGAGCGTTTCAACCCGAATTCTCAATAATGCTTCAACAGAACAACTGGCGGCGACAAAGGCTGAAAGTTCATGCTCAAAACGTAACTTTTCACGGGAACCTAGCCGACTCCGGGATGCTCAGTTCAGCTCGGTGCAATGGCAGCAGCTACTTCTACTGTTGCTTTTCCGCAATACTGACTGGTCCCAAGATTCGTAGAGCGGCACATTTCTTCGAGCATCGACCGTTCCCTTTCCTCTCGAGCCCTGCACATAAGTCCCTTTCTATGATGATGTGGCTGTTTCCCCAGACATTCGCCCTGCAGCCGGGTGCCCGCGACGCGCCGTCGAAATCCTTGGATGTGCATGTGCCACAGTTGCGAGATCCTCCAATGTACAGAACAGTGTGGTTATGGTAGCAAAGAACACTTCAAAGCTTCCCCACACATGTCCCTAACGTCAGCGATGTCGGGGATCAGGTCCTATCCTCTTTCAAATCCCCGACAAGGGCAAATTTTTAATCAGTAGGATATGCCCAACTTCACCACTAGATGGCCGAGTACCTGACCTTGTCCTTTCGGCTCATTTGAATATTTCGCTTTGCAACATCAACCATGTTCATAGAAGGAGGAGTCCAATGAAAGTGAAAGTGAGAGTGTGTACTTGTTAGTTCCCAGGGCCCTGCCAGCTTGGCCTTCGGCCCGGTCAACCTCTTTCAACGATTCATCGACACACTCACAAGTCGGAAGCTGCCTAGTGCCCCTTTACCATTGCACACTGGATATATCTACGCATGAACTTGCCTCCACATCTGCGAGACTGCGATCCACTGTTTGATGAACGCCTCAGTCCTCCAGCCTCCGCCTTTGCCCTTGAGTCGTGGTCAAAGGAGAAAACAACTTGATTTTGGGGCTGGACTCCATGAGATACAGTCTTCCGTGTCGATTTTACCCCTTCTGGGCTATCACTGTTCTCTTCCTCCGTTCTCTCGGGATGTTAGAGCACCCATGGGCTCAATTTCCTTGTTGTTCGCTGTAAAACCATGGTCTCCGGCCTTGATATTCTTCTCCCGGTATAACCATGGGCACTGGTATATATCCGTCGAAGACAGACATATCAAATCCATCTGCGACTCCGGCTCCAGCACCTGTCGAGGTTTCTGCGGGGAGCGCAGATGATGGTACCGGAATAACAACACCACACTCCCAATTTCTAATGTTGATCTTGGCTTTTTTGGTTGTGTTGTCTTTCACTAAACGACCCCTGGAAGCACTCAACATCAATTAGGTTTCTAAGCATTCACACGTCTCTCCCCCTTGAGTGGCAGCCTTGGCGAAGACGGTGCGAGGGGCCTGGCAACCTTCAATTGAGCCACTGGCATTTGAGTGTTGAATGGCTCGGCCGTCAAGTTTAACACCCGAATGGCGAGTGGGGCGGAAAGAGCAGCGCAAGTCTCGAAAGATATAAAGTCGACAGGCCAAGGGCAGAAAGTGGCATGTGCTCTGTTGCAACAATCGCTTTCAAGGGGGAGACATAATCAGGATATTGGATCGACGTACCAAGCGCTTTCAGATAAATTGTGACTTCCCACATACGCCCAAGCCACGTGGCCACGTAAATTCGCTCTCTCTGACCTTACAAATATCATCTTGCTGTGCATCAGCAAGCCCTTTCGGTGGCTTTTGCAGTCCCGCATGAGAGCTCGCGGAAAAGTGCTGGAATTCCAATATTTCGGTTGAAAGCAAATGGTTCCAGCGCCCTGGCACCTCATCAGCTTAGCCTGGCTTGAACTTGGGAGCCCCTTCCGAAGAGTCACTTACATCAACGCCACCCTTGCTCATTTGCACTGTCTCGCGCAAGGGGAAGTAGATTCGGCAACGGCTTCTCACCCCATCCGCAACTCTAAGCTCCACTTCAGAATCCAACCCCTTCTTCTTTGGGGGTTTATGGGTGCGCCATTCATATTCAGTTAAGCCGTCGTCACCTCCATCTCCACATCAGCTTGTAGACCGACTTGGTGGGAACACTCCATTTTCTGGACTTGTGACAATGCAGATATCGACGTGGTTTACCCAGACACGTAGCATCCCAGGAAAAGGTTCAGAAGGGAACAGAAATTGGAAATACCTTGCGCTGCTAAGTACATGGACTTCAGGAAATTTTCGTTAAGATGGCCAATGGATGCAGCCTAAGCTCCACATCAGTACGGGATCTCCCTCGCGGGTCGAGTTTCATACCAGAAAGTCAATATTGAGTTCATCTTCGGTATTCAAGCCGAGGTCTCGAACCGCTTTGCCAAGGCCACAAAGCCCTGTTGTTGACATCTGCATGCCAATATGGTGCGATCCTCCACTTTCAGCAAGTCAGGGTGGTATTCGGCATCCAGAGATGTATGCCTGGGTCTTACATGGAATGGACAAAGGCCAGGTGGGCTGTTCGAGAGAAATCAAACCTCCTCATGCTCTCGATTTGAGGTTTGTCAAGGCCCATTGCGCGTAAGAAGTGAAGCAGCTCCTCCCCAAATGGCGTGAGTTTCTTGAGGTCCGTCTCCTGCCCATCTGGGAGCCGCGGAAGGTCAATCAGAAAACAGATCTAGTAGTACTTTTAGCTATATATAAAGACGCTAGAATTGGTAGGATTACGCACATTTTCCAGACAACCCGTTTCGCCCCAGTCGTAAGGTGTCAGATTTGCTGATGGAATTACGACTCGGAGGTGGGTTTTATGAGCCAATAGCATTAGCTTGGAGTGCATACAATTTACATTGCCATCCATAGCCGGAAAGCAGAAGCGGAAGTGTTTGGGGGCTCCGGAAGCCCAATTCTGTTTCTACTCTGAGTAAGCAAAGGCACAGTGCTATCGTATAACCAAGCTAAAGAGGCACGAGCTCTCGCTTGAGAAATGTACGGAGGCAGAAAGCAATATTCACTTACTTGAGCTTCATCCTTTGCTTGTAGAACCCAAACGACCTTTGTCTTAACATCAAGCTTGCTAATGACCCCTACTCGGATGCATGGATTAGCATTGCCTACACGGAACGAATGTCTTTTAAGGTCGAGACAAGGTTTGTTTTGTTTTGTTTTGTTTTGTTTTGTTTTGTTTTGTTTTGGGGGTGATCGTCAAGACATGTGTGAAGAAGTGACCAAGTCGTAAATTCTCCAAAGTGATGAACGGGGGCTCGACGTTTGAGGACCTACAATCTGCATCTATCTGGAAAGAGCTAAGGACGGCAAGCTCAAGATCACTGCTCTGCAACACCTCTTCGATTTTGATATCATCCCCCTTTCGGTCGTATCCAAAAACCCAAGTTTTCTTGGCTGTGCCGTCAGGATACTGAATGCCAGATAAGTTGAGAGCCTCTGCCTGGGCCTTACTGGAAAGGTGTTGTCGTGGTTTAGTAACGTATGGAATTTCGGGGCTAGTATCCGCTGGTGAGGTCGAGGGCTCCTGTAATGAAGTTTGTCGGATCCCAAATGTCTTTTTGCCATGCTGTGGATGATTTGGCATTCCATCCTCAATGAATGCAGAGTTGGGATCAAGTGGCCTACTCAGCACAGTCTTCGCGTTTCTTCTGAGTAATGGCTTGGGAACATTCGCAAGCCCGTCCTTTACTTGTCGCGTGCAATCTTGAGATGGGACTGGGGATTTCGATGCCTTTCGTTTCTGGGTAGGACCAGCGCTCGTGGAAGCATCTTCGTCTCCTTTTCTTCGTAAAGCAGCCCTTGCCAAGCGCTCAGCTTCCATTTCCTTCCGGTTAAGCCCGAGCAGCCCTGCAGCGACGGGGGTGGCCTCCCTCTGGGTTCCAGACAAGAGCTGCACGGGTGTGGGCAAGTCTATAGTAGTCTTGTGGGTCTCTTCTGGGAGTGGCTGTGGTGTCTGGTTGGCATTGGGTCTCGTAGACCTGGGCTTATCGAGATCGTCATCGTCCTGTTCATCGCTATCGTCGATGAGAATAACATCATTTTGTGGCTCTGGTGACATCAAGGACAGGGCAATCGCCTTTCGGAGATCTTCGTCGCTCTCGGCGTCTGACATTGTTGGGCCGACGTTCGAGGTAAAAAGTTCTGCAAAACCGACGTGAAGCCGAGGAACTGGGTGCCGAGAACCCACAGTCCTTCTAGCAAAAGCCGTGAGCGACAGAGCAGAGAAGGAGCTTTGCTGTTCTGTTTGCCCCTCATACGGGAGTTAGGTTGTGCTGTCGTCTCATACACGTGACAGCGCGCGGTGTCGTTCTGACACGAGGGAAAACACGGGCGTGTCGACTTACTGCGTAGACGTCAGGCCGGCTGGCTTGTTTGGTAACGCCAGATGATGGAATAGAATGGAAGCGTGGCGGGGATCTGAATCCGTGGCGTCTAGTGAGGGTTTGTTTCAAGACGCGACGAGCAGCGTTCGGGAGGTTGCATCCAGTCGGTCGTGGCTTGTAAGTTGAAGTCAAAAGAAAATACTCTCGGCCGCGCTTGCACGGAAATGCTGCGGGCTAAGGCTTGGGCAAGCGTCATGTCGGCTTTCAGCGCAGCACCCGATCATTGAAGTCATGACGTGCATGAAGGGATCAAATCAAAATACCACATTCATACTAATATTAACACTAATATCTGCGCATACTATATATGAAGCCGGGGAAATTCATCACCTTTCTTCCCTTCGGTTCTTCCCAACCTGCCTAATCTATCCTGGCCAACCCACTCATTCGATCCTGCGACAACCCAACTACTGGCCAGCATGAAGCGGAAGGAAATCGTGATTATTGGTGGAGGCGCGGCTGGCATGGTAATCATCCTCCACCAGGACCAATTTTCAGGCAATGTTAACCAGGATATTGTTACTCATTAGTCTTGTGCGTCTACCTTGGCAGACCACCCAGAGCAGTTCAAAATCACTATCATCGAGCGAATGCCGGTCACGGGGGGTCAAGCAACGTCTATCTCATTAGATAAAGCGAAATACGGAGCAGGCTGGATGAATGATGGTGTGCAAGGGGGGTCTCCGGTGGGGTTCTCAGAGCTCCTTAGATAACTGGCAACTAACCAAAATCTCAGATATTCAAACACACTTTCAATTTCTTCAAAAAGTATGGCCACCAGCCCCAGGAAGTCAAACTACAGGTTGCCTTCGGCAAGGGACCCGACGGATTTTGGACCAACTGCTTTCCAAGCAAGTTGATAGAGCAATTTTCAGGTGACAAAAAATAAAATAAATCAGTGAGGAATAGAAAACTAATCAGTTTCGAGAAGTTGATATAAAAAGGTTTGGCAAGGTCTTGAAAATCATCAAGTGGACAATGCCCATATTGGGCATTGTTCCAATCCGCGTCATGCTCCGGATGTTCTTATTCAGCAAGGACTTCGGTAACAAGATGGTGTATCCCTTAATTGCACTCTTCTTGGGGACGGGAAATCAGACGGCAAATGTTTCGTGTGTCATCCTTGAACGACTATTCGACGATCCAAATATGAAACTATGGGACTTCGATTCTGAGACTCTTCTCCCAAATTTGCCGAAAATGGTAACCTTTCCAAATCTACATGATTTTTATGAGGATTGGAGGAAGGACCTGGAGGACAAAGGAGTTGATATTAGACTGAACACAGACGTAACAGGAGTTCTTCAGCGAGGTGATAAAGGGGTTATCATCCAGACACGACCGTTTGATGCACTCGCAAATGGGAGAAGGGGAGAGCATGTTGGGCCACAATCAAACCCCGAGAGATTTGACGAGCTTGTTTTATGTGTATTGGCAGATGACTCTCTCAAAATCCTGGGGAAAACAGCCACCTTGAAAGAGCGATTTGTGCTCGGTGGAGCCAAGTTTTTTGACGATGTAACAATTACACATTCCGATTGCGATTATTTTCAAAAACACTACGAAACGGCCTTCGATCCCGAACTCTGCGCAGAGCCACATTCCAAGACACAGGAAGGCCAGATAGCATTTGCAAAAGGTCAGCAACGAGGTCCAAGCGACGAACCGGGTGGATTTAGACCGATGTATTTCACAAAGTCATATGCCGAGGACCCGAAGAAGATCGAGATGTCCTTTGATTGCTCGAACTACCAGCATCAATTCCGCACGGATCATGATGCGGAAACAACCCCTGTTCCATTCCAAAATCACGTCTTCCAGAGCATCTTCCTGGACAAAGAGAACAAACAGCTCTGGACAATTGACGAAATCGATGAGAGCAAGATAATAGGGAAAAAATGGTGGCACCAGGTAAGACATGAACGAGATTTTAGGAGCACATTTTCTCTGTTTTGACTTTCTGGGGGCTTAAGTCCACTCGACGAAAATGTTGATAAAATCGCCATCTCCACCCACCCACTTAGGCAATACTAACTCCAATATTTAAAAAGCTCGGGCACCGCTGGCAACACTACCTTCGTGTTGTACCTGGTAACTTACTCCCACTCTCTTGCACTTTGAAGGATAACTAAATTCCGCTGATATGTCTAAGGCATGATGTTCATCAACGGGAGAAACCATACACTCTTCGCCGGATCATGGACATTGGTGGTAGGATGACCAAGCGTGCTCTTCTTGAATTGATCTGACGTATCTTAGAACATGCATGAATTGGCCTGCGTTAGTGGTATCACCGCTGCTTTTCGTCTTGGTGCCGAATACATGAAGTTCGATGATTTTGCTGAAGACTTCTTCAGTAAATACTTGCTTCTTTCACACGGAGTAAGGTACGAGGCAGAGAAAAGGAAAAGGGAGCAGAAGGGCAGCTAGGAACTTAGTCGAGAAACGCAGTGGAGTATGGAACCCTTGTATTAGCCTAAAATTCCATCACCGCTAGGTAGCTGAATCCCATCGAAATACATACTGATGGCGAAACGCTGGGCACGGTATTCCAAATGCATTGCTCACCGGGAACTGCTGCCAACGACCAGGCCACATGCAAATTTTCCTTCATGTTGCCTAATTGAGAACTCGGCCTGAGTTGCTTTGTCGCCACGACAAATCCGAATATCGCTGAAAATATCTGCGGACTGGCTGGTCTGGTCCGGGCGTAATTTCCTCCGCGGTCCTCCTGTCTTCTAACACTATTCCCCGCGGGTTTCGATCACTGTCGACCTGTCTCCATTCTTAACCTGCCTGATGCTGTGGATGGTGGGGGCTCTGGCCAAGTTGATACCGCGTCTTCCATTTCTTCCAGGAATGTTGTGCTGTTATGGACCGTTGTCCCTCCGAGAACAATTCGAATGCCTGGAGACGAGGCATTAATCTGAGAGACAGTTTTCGCTTCTTCAAAGGTGACGCCACCCACAATAAAGAGTATAGTATCTTGTGGCTTATCTCGAGTGGATCCACCGCCTTCCACAAACGGATACTGCTGTTCTCGCAGGCGCCCTTTAATGAGATTTTGTAACGTTAGTTCTAATCGGGGCGAATGTTGCGTGTAAACGTTCTCCACCCCTTTCAGACCCTTAAAGCGATCACGAGCCCCGGAGAAAATCCCCGCCGATTCAAACATGTCGGAAATGCCACCAGCGACCTGAGTTTGTTGCAAGGAAGAGTGGTAGGTGAGAAGCTTTGCAATAAGGTCGATGCGTCTTTGCGGAACATTCCCAGCCGCGCTCAGTAAGTCGACAAGTAACGGTAAAGCATTGGATGGGTGCTTGCCATATCGTAATGAATAGAGGGCAACGAGACGGAGCTTCGAGTCTGGTGTTACTGCTGGCGATTGAATGAGCCGCTGAACATTCTATATCTGGTCAGTCTCTCTCGGAATTATTCATGTATATTCTTACTTTGAGATCATTGGTGTGATTATCATTACATGCTAAACACTGCTCTACCTCACTGACCTCGAGCAGGTTTTCTGCGCCGACCTTCCGACTTAATTCTCCAACCAAGGTAACGTGCTTGCTCACGTTGCCGGAAAGCTTTCTAAATTCCGGGTACTCTTCAATAAAGCGTTTCATGTCGGCTATCGACTCGATATTGGAGCTGTTCTTCGTCTTTGACTGGTATTGCTCAACATAATCTTTAATGTTTCCTCCAAGATCTCCGAAGTTGAGGTACATGTTCTTTTTGAAGAAAGGGTCTTGATCTTGGGACAGGACCACTTCTTTCAACTCTGGCCGCACGTCTGGAACGTCGCTCAAGTCCACACGACCATTCTGAATACCCAAAAGTTCATGGACCATTGCCTGGTATGTCCACTGTGTTAAGAGGGGTGTTATGGGATCATCTCTTCGATCCAGTATTAGGAGTATCGGAGGAGTATCGACCTTTCTGAAATCGAAGAGTTGGTCTTCCTGCGTAAGCTGGTAACGCACTTCGGTCGCCAATTTCTTGGCCAATAAACTGTTCTTCTCATATCTGATCAGAGGCTTCTTCTTCAACGAGAGTAGCACTCCAATGATACCCTCAGTTGTTCGTTGCAAGGCATCGGGGTTCCACATGTCCGGGTTCGAACTCCATATCCGCTGCCTCGGAAATCCCAAATCAAGGGTAAAGAGATCCGGATTGACGACAATGTAGTCCGCAAAGTGCTCCTGCACCGCCCTGACTACTTCATGATCATCTGCCTCGGCCAGCCGCTCCAGGGAAGACTTCTTCACAACATTGCTGAAATATATGTTGTATTCCCCATACTTGGGTTCTCGGAATTCATCAATGAGAAACTGGATGGAATCCGCTGAAGGCCGCACAAAACAGAGGCACCGGAGGTGCCGCATCTTCTCCCTGTTCTGATTGTCCAATCTATCGATCAGGTAAACCTCATGATTCAGCAAAGCCGACTGTGTGATGGCCGTAGAAACGATCGAGACGGTATCGCGATCCAGCAACAAGATCTTCATCTTTGCCGACGGAGTTCCCGATGCGCTGTCTCCAGCAGAGACCATCTTGGAGATGTACCCAGACACGGCCTGTACGACATCCATGGCGATGGTGGTGGGAGGCTCCCAGAGTGCAGGTTCTCAAGGTCTTCGTGTGGGCATTTCCTCGGAGGATTTCACGGTATCGGGGAAATCGACAGAGCTGGACAGGCAAGGAGGGTGCACTGAAGGCCTCGATAGGCGGACGAAGGGTGGTCGGGCTAGCAGATATGAAATGCGATGCGCTGCTCGGCTCTGGTGATCTGATGATGCCAGCGGGTTGAAAGCAGAAGCAGACACGGAGGAACCGAGAAACGAGGCTGAAGACCAGGTCCTTAGCTGGTGGCGCCCTAGCGCCCACTGTCATTTGATCCTTGACAACATGGGCTTGCCGAAACCTTAAATCATGTGCTGGCTCCCAGCCCCAGCTGCTCTGCTCTGCCCAGAAGACCAACGGACCAAGTTCTTTCTACCTTACCCCATCGTACATTCAAATGGCTGACGCCGCACATCGATAACACCATGCTGCACATCAACACACGCTAGCATAACGAACACACCACCGCAAAACTGGCACCATGTTGCCATACATGAATCTGCGTAAGATCCAAAGGAAGACGTTTTTTTGAATGGCCGCGTCTGACGTCAATAGCTTTTCAATATGTTTCTGGTCTCCTGGGCGCCTCGTCCGATGAACGTATGAACCCACTCCTCTAGATCTGTTTCCTGTGCAATAACATCTGTCTCTACTAACACTGCCGCCATAGTCAAGCTCATAACCTCCTTTCTCCTCTCCTACCCCCTGGCTGGCCTTCTAAAGCGAGTGCCAGACGAGCGGCCCGCCTTGAAGAATCTCTTCATCATAGTGTAAGCTTCGGTCCACCCGCACTGATAATAGTCTCTAAAATTTTGCAGAGTCTCCTCGTTTTACTTGGTTGGCCTGTTCGACTTATGGATTGGTGCCAGGACGCTCGCGTTGAGCTCCGTTGGAGCCTACTGCATTGCACAACACATACAAGGGCCGTTTATGCCATGGATTGGTTTTGTTTTTCTCATGGGCCACCTGTCGATAAACCAGCTTGCACGACAATTTCGTAACGACCCTGCGGTAATTGATATAACGGGTGCTCAGATGGTCCTCGTCATGAAGCTTACGGCGTTTTGTTGGAATGTTGCCGATGGACGACTGCCGGAGAAGAATCTTTCTGATTTTCAGAAAGAGAGGGCTATCAAGCAGCTACCAGGCCCACTTGACTTCGCTGGATATGTCATGTTCTTCCCGTCTCTTTTTGCTGGTCCAGCATTCGATTACGTCGATTACAGACGATGGATAGAGACCACCATGTTCGAAGTGCCGGCTGGAGTTGACCCGTCGAAGAAACCTCCTACACGAAAGAAGAGAAAAATTCCTCGCAGTGGAACCCCGGCAGCGTGGAAAGCAGCTGCTGGAATGGTCTGGATCCTCTTGTTTCTCAAGCTGTCCGGGTGGTATTACCCCGATCTACTTACTGGGAACAAGTATATGTCTTATGGCTTTCACCACCGGGTCTGGATATTACATATGCTTGGGTTCACTACTCGCCTTAAGTACTATGGCGTTTGGTCCTTGACCGAAGGCGCATGTATTCTCTCCGGTTTAGGGTACAAGGGGGTGGATCCGGTCACTGGAAAGGTATCATGGGATCGACTCCGCAACGTGAGCCCTTGGGGTGTCGAGAGTGCTCAAAATACTCGAGCCTACTTGGGAAACTGGAACATCAACACGAATACTTGGCTTCGAAATTACATATATCTGCGCGTCACACCCCGCGGCAAGAAGCCCGGCTTCCGCGCTAGTATGGCGACTTTTGTTACGAGTGCGTTTTGGCACGGCTTCTACCCTGGCTATTATTTGACGTTCGTCCTCGCGAGCTTCGTCCAGACTGTTGCTAAGAGTATGTGTGGTCTTTTTGCTGTGTTGACCCAACTGACTGTCAACTAGATTTTCGACGTTATTTCCGTCCCTTCTTCCTCGACCCCAAAACTTCGCAGCCTACTTCAACAAAGATCTATTATGATATCTTCTCCTATCTTGTCACCCAGCTGGCGTTCTCCTTCACTACCGCGCCGTTTGTTCTACTAACCCTCCCCGCATCATTTCTCGTTTGGGCAAGGGTCTACTTCTATGCCGTGATCGGCACTGCTCTTTCCACTGCATTCTTTGCATCACCTGCCAAAGCCTTCTTGATCAAGAAGTTAAATGAGCGAGCGGGCACAAGCGGTCCCCTAAAGCGCACAAACAGCCAGGAGTCTTTGGCCAGCAAAGAACCCGTGTTGGGGCTACCGGCCGAGCCGCAAAAGGATTTGGAGGAGATTGTTTCTGAAGTTAGGGCAGAGATGGAGGCCCGTCAGCGCAAAGGTATCACGAGGACAGAGACAGCGCCGATTCCCGCAAACAAAGGGATATAGAAACCAAGGCAATATCGTGACTTGTAGGTCCGGTGGACATTGGATTGATGTACATAGTAGCCTGGCAAGGAACGATTTTGTGTGCTCCTTCTTTCATTCTACTCTTTTGAGCTCCTTTCTCCAGTCAACTCGCCTCGGCTTGCCCGAAAACCATAAGCTTTTATTCAGGCACCGAATTTGTCAAAATGACTGTGCGAATTAGCAGTATCAACCAGTATATTAAGCCATGAAGCTCATCCCAAGCCAGTTCAGAATTTCGTTAATGTTGACTCACTCTCGGTCAGTGGCCACAAAAGTTTCCGCCAAGCCACGGCGCCAACAATGAGAAGCACATAATAAACAATCGTCCATATAACACCCAATCTTCCATCATTGGACGAGGTGGGATTGTCATTCTCATCTCGCTTCCCCTCACTAACGTCTGTTTCTATCACAGTGTGCACAGAAGTGACCCTTCCCCAAAATCTTGGGAATCCCATCCAGTTACAGAATGCATGTACCAAGATCACGCTCAACAAGCTCCCGGATCGTAGATAGATGAAGGTGGCATACCCCCCGAACAAAGTTGTGTAGGTGAATTGTAAGAGCGAACGCAGTAAGGCGCTAATGACTGGTGTATGTGGATGGGAGATTCGGAATTCGTAGAAGTGGTGCACATGGGCGAGCCCAAATATAATGGGCGTTAAGAATATGATGGTAGTGTTGGAGGTTTGGGATAAAAGCAGAAGCGGGACGGACGCAGAGCGGAAAAGAACTTCTTCTGTTACTGGGCCCTGTAATAAAGCATTAGAAAATCCGCTATTGCCCGCGAGGTGAACATACTGCAACCAAATTGCGCCACCCTATCCAACTACTAATTGAAGCGCTGAATCCACGCAATCGTATCCAGTCTCGCCATCGTCCCTCTCCGACGCCTGCTTCAAAGAGTGGTCCAAGAAACAGGATAGCAGTCAATCCTAGATTTCTAGATGCCTCGGTCACACCAACGGGGAAGTAGCCCATGAGATGTAGAGACTTCAGAGGACTTCCACTACCCACCGATGACAACAAGACAAAAGTTCCCAAGGAACAGGCAATGCATGACGATGTCACTAATCGAATGCGGCCGCGAATGACTGAGGGGGCGTCTCGCGAAAGTTGCGGGGAAGGCCGAGTAGTTGAAGAGACGTAGAAGGGGAACACGTAGATGAGAGCGTATGCGATCTCCAGGATATCAGCGCAAGCACTACGACCCAGCCATTGCACGTACCAGAAGAAGCACAGCCGCAGAAGTGCTGATGATGGGCGCTTCTGGCTCTACGCCAATGTAGTACGCTTTGAGCCGCGAATATATTGTAGGAGCCATGACTGACTGAGCTGCGTAGTTGCAGAAGAATCAATGCAGTCAGTCGGCTTGACTAGATGAAGCGAGAAACAGGAAGCAAACAGGGAGAGGAGGGGGGGGGGAGGGCGTTGACGAAGGTGGAGGTAGGTAGAATCAGGTCAGAACGTGATCCCCTTCATGCCCAACATTTCGTGGAGAAAGTTATGTTGCTGAAGGATGTGAAGAACAGTAGAAAGGTAAACCTTGCAGTATTTCGGCAAGTGCAGCTCCAGTACGTATCCGTGCTCGGAAGCCGGAAGTTGACTTCTGGCACCAGAGCATTTTTGGTCAGCCTCGTTGTACTGAAGTACGGAACGGGGCATACCGGACCACAGTCAACAAAGTCGGCAGATCAGCCACCAGGATTCGGGCCCCTTTTCAAGCCCGTTCTGTTCCTGTTCCTCCCCCCTTTCCTGTCTCCAACTGGGAGCAATGCTATCTGACGCGTCCGATTGGATCTTCCCTTCCCCTCGCTTCCCGAAAAGGGTGCGGGCGAGACTATTCTGGGAAGCTCTTGAGAGCACAGCCTGCGAACTAATCAACTAGACATTGGCCAGCGATTCCAGCGTGGAGCCACCGCTCTCTCATTCGCGCGTCGCGATGCCCTTGAAATTAACGCGAAAGTCGCGAAAATTCGCGTCTCCGGGCTCGACCAAAAGGCGGAAATTGACCCATCCCATCTGCGTAGCAGCAGCAGCAGCAGCAGCAGCTCGAGCAGAGCAAATCTTGGATGCAAATGCAATGCAGACGCGGGGGACCCTGGCGTCCACCGCCATTGACATTGAAAAGGACGACCGGGGCTTGGACAGTCCCAGCGGAGCTCTGCCAGCTGCTAAGAGAGGGGCATTGCCAATCGTGGCCAATACCTACTCTCTCGCAAGGTATGAGTTAGGCGCAGAAAGGAGCTACTTGACAGCTTTAATAACATAGCAAAGGGAGTGAGTGCTCCACCAATGTTCAAACAGCCTCCCACTCTCCCCTCCTCCCACTCTCCCATCCCTCCCCCTCCTCCTCCTCCTCCTCCTCCTCCCCCCCCTCACGCTCGGGATCACGAGAGCTTGGCAGCCCAGCTAACCTCTCCACTCCCTGTCCTCTCTGCAGGCCGCCAGACTCGTCTCCCACCAGCAGACGCCGTCGCTGAAACGGATCCTCTGTTCGCGCCACGTCCGTACAATGAAAATTCCATGGCGAGGCTCACCGCTCCCGTTCTGGCGTGATCCCCCTGTCTCACAACTCGACCTGCCCGTTACCGTCGAATCAAAGCCGCATGAAACTACGTCTCCTTCTGGCACCCTATTGATCCAAGAGCCTGGAAGACGCCCCTGAGAGCCGCAGCCAGCGACAGCCAGCAACAGCTGGGGGACCGCCGGACGACTACGACAAACTTACACTGCTTCCACAATATCTCCCTTCTCTTTTCTCTCTTCGTCATCGCTCATTCAGTCACTCATTTAGTCATTCGTTTGGCCCACGCTCATTTTTGCTCATTATTTGTTTCCTGCGCCGACCTCCGCTTTCACGACCCCTTTACGGCCCCTTCACGACCCTTCACGACCCTTCACGACCTTCCCACCAGCCTGCATTGCCTTATTCAAATCACAGCGCGACACAGATCCATACCGTCCGCCGTTCGCATCTATAACGCTGGCAACCCGCCTCCAGGAAGCATCAGCGAGAATATAAGTTGCGCCTATTGTCCCTCGTCACAATCGGTCCTAGAACTTTGCCAATGCCTTCGCTATGATCACTGGATAGCGCCTGCGCATGGATGAGATGCTCGAAGCATGTCGGAATCACCTCCCCGACAACCTTTGCACGAAAGGACAGAATCACACAGCAATACTCTTGCTGCCATCCACCAGATCCGTTTGGTAGAAAGTACCCCGCCGCGATTGTTGGGTCAGCGAGACGAGATTTATTTGCGGACGCCGCTACCAACTCACCCAAGTCATTTTCTTCTCGGCCCCGGAAAAGGCAAGGGGCCTGCATTGTTAGACGAGTTTCAACCTACCAAACCATCGCCCGGTTCTTCGACGACACATACAAGGCCTCAGCCTGCCCAAAATGTCAACTCTGCAACAGGATCCCCAAGCTCGAGGCCCCGGCCCCTGCCCCTGCCCAAAAAGCGCTTGCACATCCACGAAGATAGCAAAACCTTCTCCCTCCTCGCGGAAGATGGTTCGAGCTCGCCGATCCTGCGACAAGGCACGACTGCATCGTCTGATTCGCTCCACTTTGACGCACACAATGCGAAGGGGCGATCCAATTCCATAGGTTCATGCGTACCAGACGCTGCATCCTCAGCCGTGCCTGGGACTCCGGCTTCTAAAAGTAAGCAACCAATATCTGCCGATCCTATAAGCAGCTCCCCTTGGAACTACAAGCTCGTCGGCGGTCTTCGCAAAGTTCCCAAAACTCCAGATCTAAAGCAAAAGGCTGCCGCAACATCTGAGAGCCCGCTCCCACCGTTACCCGAAATATCGGACGGACCACCACCAGCTGTGTCGAACGATCTCTCCACGAAACCCTCTTTTCGGTCCACAGAAACTGCCACGACCACTTCTGAAAACACAAACTACAAAGTCTATCGTGGCACGTCTCCCTCACCATCTGAAGTTGCATTCGTTCCCCCATCTTCCAGTGATTCGAACTATCAACTTCTTGGGGATCCGTCTCCCGCATCGTCGGTTATTTTCAGACCTCAAACGTCCACATCCGAAAACGAGAATTACGAGTTGCATGGGGATTCTTCACCGTCAACGTCACTTGCAAATCTTGCCCAGACCCATTCGAAATACTCCCAAGAATCGTTGGTTGTTCCTCCGCTAAATCCGCGTACTCGAAGATCCAACGAGAATTTTGGGTATTACAAGTCTAGGTCGAGAGAGTCCCTGCGCACAGGTTCTCTAACATCCATTTCGACGGTTCTTAGCCAACAAGAGGCATCCCAGGCTATCGCTGGCAGCGGGTCCCTGATACAATTACCCATCCTCAAGCATAAACCAAAGGATTTGAGTTCATGGGCAGAATCGTCGAAAGCTCACCCACCGCGGTCACACATGAACGAGCACCCGCACCAATGGAGCTCACAGCTGTCAACTGTGCTCTCGGAGTCCGATGGAGGAACAGATCGAGGTTCTCGATCATGGTCAGACGATCTTGGGCGGAGGAGCAGCGGCTTTCCAAGCACTCCCAGCCGTCACAGTCGTCAGGTGTTGAGCATCAGCTCGTCGCTAGCACAGGAGGAAGCCGCTTCGAGGTCGAGAAGCGACTCGGTCGAACCACCGGCCGCGGCTTTCACGCGGCACGGACAACGGCATCTCAGCAGCTCCTCGATCCGCGTAGTAGGCGACCAAGATGAATATGGAGATGGGATCACGGATATGCAGGACCTACGCTTGAGACCTTCGAGAACTCGGCTTTCGAGTTTCTTCAGTGTCACATCCTCCGATAATGGGCGCACGAATACTATGCGTTCAACCACGAGTTCGCGTGCGAACAGCTTGCTTGCTAGCTCCATTCCTGCCTGGGCACGTCTATATTATGGCAGTGGTGAAAGACGTTACCTTGGAGCTCCTGGTAGTTCCACGGAAGGCAGCGTGAGCCGCAGTAGCTCTTTCCGCAGTGGATCGCCTAATACAGACCATTTTCCTTTGAGTATATATAGCCCGAGGCGGCGGCCTAGAGAAATCAATCCGCATGCAGCTGGCCCCTCTGCGCGGGGTTCTTTAGAAATTACCCCGGCTCCTCAACTTGGTAGTGATGGACGTTTGATCAATGACCCATACCCTCGACATTTTCGAACGTGGAGCATGTCTAGCATTTGGTCCCCTCATTTACGACTCGATAGACGAGCGACACGCCGAAGTGTTTGGGAGCCTCCTTCCGTGAACTGGTCCACAGAAGGTGGCCTTTTCGGCCGACGAAATGTACAGATAGTAATGTTTATTGCGGGTTTCATTTTTCCTTTCGGTAAGACCGTTGTTCTCGGATCAGCCTTTTGGTTCTGGTGTGCTAACCTGAATAGCGTGGATGGTTGCTGCACTCTTGCCCCTGCCTTCGAATCTTATGCTCAGCATGCATGAGCGGGACCTTAGTACCAGCAACCTCGATGGCTCTAACGATCATTCAAGTGACTATGTTCGTCAATTTGGGCCAATGGACGAGGCGAGATATGAGAGCGCCAAATGGTGGCGAAGGTTGAACCGGTGGATGTCTTTGGTGGGATTCTTGATAATTGCGGCAGTGGTTTGTCATTCTTGCATTCTCATGGAACGAAAACTAACTTGATATAGGTTATCCTTGTTGTAGTTGGCATTCGGCAGGGCTGGAAGTAAGTTACCGCTTACGCCAAACAGCCAATCTGTTTCCACCTCCCCAAACTATCGCCCGCTATCATTTACCTTCCATTCCTTTTCGAGCATTTTGGAGCAGCCGGCTATTGGGCCACGGCCTTAGATTTTGTCCATATGTAACAGTATATTAGACGCCTCACGATTACAAGAAGGATTTTGGGTAGTTGGCAGCATTATACCCTTTCACTGATATTGATTATATTTTTGCATAGATGAGCAGTTGGTTGGAGCGTAACTCGATAGAATTTAATACTTTAATCTAGATCTATCCGTCCCGATACAGCGAGGTCGCCTTTCAATTATGGTTTTCGTAAGAATCGAGTAGTAGGAATTCGGGCTTGGTGAGTCGCTTAATAACTTAGCAATATAACTGTTATGGCGCTGCCTATTACGTGACCCTTTATTTACTAAAGTTTCTTCAAAGCTTTCTAAATTTACTAGCACCTGATGCCTCAGGCCGCTATATATTATTTAAGAGAGCTGTGACGGCGGGATCAATGCAATGGTCGAAGGCTCAAAGTTCAAAGAATCTCATGTATTGGAAAATACTAAGCTATGGAACAAAGTAGGGAGGATGCCTCGACATTTAGTATTGTTCCGTCCAAGCAATTCTGGCTTAGCTTCGTTTTGTGCCTGTTTCCGATATCCTGTCCTTGGCAGATCATGCCCTTACGCCAGCCGTCACAAGAGCTTCCTTCCTCTTTTCTTTTCTTTTCCTTTCTTTCTTAGCTTAGATTTTGATTAATACAAGTTTTTTTTTCTTCTAATTTCTTAATTTCTAATTTCTTAATTTCTAATTTCTTAATTTCTAATTTCTTAATTTCTAATTTCTTAATTTCTAATTTTCTTAATTTCTAAATTTTCTTAATTTCTAATTTCTTATAATATTTCTAATTTCTTAATATTTTCTAATTTCTTAATTTCTAATTTCTTAATTTCTAATTTCTTAATTTCTAATTTCTTAATTTCTAATTTCTTAATTTCTAATTTCTTAATTTCTAATTTCTTAATTTATTAAATATTAAATCAATCCTCTTGGGACTCACCTCTATATTCTTCTGACAATGGAGAATGTGACAGGAAAGAAAGCAATGGAGCCACCAAAGTATCGAGTCGATGGCTTCACGACCAGCTCCGAAGGCGAAACCAGCGAGTCCGTCCTCCTTGACGTGCGCCTACATGCTAAACGCCTGCACATTCATATTTCACCGTCCAACTTTCGCAACTCCCCTTCTACAGTCAAGGAGTTCTACCAGTACTTTCAAGTAGCCCTCACGGGACTGGACGCCATAGATAATGATCTTATTCACGACTTCTTCGACTGGGCTGTTCGTCCTTTCTTGTCAGTATTCCAAAATCAGGCACCGGGACCCCGAGACATTAGCAAAGGAACAGTAACGCTTCAAGATCTCTTATACGCCGAGTTGTACGACTGCGAACTTGGCGCTATCGATGGCAAATATGGTCGCAGGACAAATTGAGCGGCGGGAGATCGAGAAAGCCTTACTCCGTCTGATATTATTGATGACCTCGTCCAGGTGACAGGTAAATTTCAGTCGGTAAATGCGTCCCATGTATCTGGAACAGGCGGTTGAGGAGCCCGACATTCAACCAAATCAGGTCCGCGTGGAGGTGGATGACCAAATATTCTTCTTCAAGTCTACAGAGCACATAGGCTACGAGCGCGCGTTAAAAGAAGCCAGGAAATTCCTCACGAGAGCTCACCTTGAGGAAGCTCTCCGTACCTCTCGACTTTATGGTATCGTCCAGGATGGGAATAATGCGCTCATTGGACTATTGTTCCATTAGGGAGGTTTTGCAACCCTGAATCCCACTTTTGGATAAGACGTACGCTAGCCCTAATAGAGATAAATCCTGAATCTTAGTAAACCACCTTAAATCGAGGTTTTGCAGCTCTAATAATTAAGTCATACTAAGCCCCCTATTTAGCTTAATATTAGTAAAATTAGGTGAGTCTAGTAATAGGGCGGGAAAACGCGTTCTGATTTTTAGTTCTAGTATCTGTCACGGGTACGGCATTCAGGGCTTGGAAAGCAAGGTAGAAGGTCCCTTACGAAGACGATTCAAAGCTAAGGAAGGGAAAACTAGAATACAGGAGGCTGCGAGGGAGTATATGCACCCCACAGTGCGCTACTTCCCTAGCGAGGCGGCCGCGTTACGTATGCCTAGGAGGCATCTGGCATCTGGCGAGGCATCTCAGATGCCGGATATCTGGAAATTATAATATTACCCCCCCTTCGTAATAAGCTCGTCCCCGAGCTTCGTAAAAGCCATTAATCTATCTAATTTCGTACTATGCTTCTTCCCAAAGTAAAACTAGTATCTCGGATATAGATATTATATATAAAAGGCCGGTGCCTTTATTATATAACCTAGAAGAATTTATTATTATTTCCGTATAATTCTAGACAAGTATTATTTTTTATATAGTCTAGCTAGTATTATAGGTTTTATAGAGGTTCTAGTATATTAATATTATTATTATAGAAACTCTATAAAACTAGAGGGCTATTACTTAGTACTAAAGCTAGATACTATACTAGATCTTTATCCTAATTAACCTATTAAATTCTATATTTTAGTCTATTTCTTACTAGCTTAACTATAATAACTCGTTTAATACTATATTCTTATTTACTATTTTCTAGTATTAATAGAAGTAGTTCCGGGTTTATTTAATCTAGTAAAGAATTCTAGGGATCTTTTTATAGCTTCTTTATATAGAAAACTAAGTATATCTTTATAGTTCCGGTAACTTTAGAAGAAACAAATAGCTATATTATTTTAGAATCTTAAATAGATCCTTTATTTAGTTCCCTAGCTTCTGGCTTAAATAATTAGATTTCTAGTATTTTATAATAACCTATATTTTATTCCTAACTTTGAAATTAATTAAATAATAGTACTTATTAGCTTATATTATATATTATTCCTATACTTATTTTATATAGCCTTAGGCAAGTTACTATAATTCATATAATTAATTTACTAATACTTTAGCTTTATTTTTATTTAATTTATTTTTAGGTAAATTAGCTTTAATAAGAAAGTTCTAGTCTAGAGAAATATAAGGCTTATAGCCCTTTTTAGTTATAAATAGGAACTAGCTAATAGTTTTATATTAAAGAAAGACTTATTAATAATTAATTATAATAACCTATTTATTCTAATTATTTTAATAATAATTAATATATAAATATAATTTCTAATTAAAGTACTAATTAATAATTTCCGTTTATTTATTTATTTAGGAATAATTAGCTATAAAGAGCTTAAGCTTTATACTAATTCTTATATAGAATTCGCTTTAAAAATTAGATATAAATTAGAGTTCCTAATCTAATATAATTATTTCTAAAATCTTTATTTAGTATACTATATAAAATAAAAATAGAAGTATTAGTTACTTGGCTATAATTATATCTCATACTAAAATTATAATTAGATATTTAGATAAATAATTTATAAATATAGTAACTATATTATAGCCTAATTTACTTTCTAGATAGCTCTTAAAATTTATAATAATATATTACTAAAAGTAATTAGGAACTAGAAAGAAATAAAATAAACTAGGCTTCTTACTTCTAAATATATATAATCTCTTATAAATATAGTAATTACTATAGTATTAATTAATATTCTTATTTATAAATAGCTAGTAATATTACTTCTTTAATAACTAATAAAGCTTTATATATCTAGGATATCTAAAAAGAAATTTATTATATACTTTATAAATTAGGATAGTTTATAAAAGTAGTTCGGGAATTATTTTATTCTTTATAATATAAAGTCTTTTATAATATAAAAGAAGGCCGTCTTATAATATCCAGATATTACTTTTGGTCTAGGCTATTATATATAGCTTTTCTAGATCCAGTAATATATAATTATCCTATAAAATCTTATTTATAAGTTATAAACTATTATACTTGGCAGAAGCTTCTAATAGTACTTTTATAAAAACTACTATAATAGAGTTTACTAATAAAGCTTCTAAGAAAATATCTTTTTCTAAAAGAATTATATTTCTAATAAAAGTATTCTTTTTCGGAAAGTCTTTAGTATATATTTGGTTTTTAGGGCCGAATTCCGAATTAAGTAAGCCGATTTTATAAAATATTATTATAAGCTATAAGTTATAAATAATTTCTAGATTAATTTTATTTTTAGAAAAAAGCATTTGAGTTTATAGCTTTTTCTTAATCTGGCTCTAAATATTTATTTTATCTTATTTTTATAATAAAGTATTTACTTACTTATTTAATTTTCTAAAATAATAGTAAAATAAGAGTTTAGCCTATTTAGCTTATTAAGAAAAGAGCTTTTTAGTAATTATAAAGTACTCTAAAATATAATAATTAGAATAAACCTTAAAAAGAATATCCTAAAGGCCTTCTAGTTTAGCTCTTTATTTCTCTAGTACTTGTATTATAATAAGTATTTCCTTATTATATATATTATAATTAAGCTTTATTAGAAATATAGTTTTAGAAAAATAAGCTATAGGATATTAAAGGCCTATTTATAGGTCTTATTAAAAGAATAGGCTAGTAACTACTTCTTTAGATATATTTATTTCTATTATTATAAGTAAATCTAGATTATAATATTATAAAATTAGAATAGAAATTATAGCTTTCTTTAGGTAAATAAAAGCCTTTTAATATTACTTAAATTATTTAAAGAAAATTCCCTTTTTTATAAATAAAATAAGAAGTCTAATAATTTGTTTATACTTTTTAATAAAGTATTTATAAAAGTTATAGAAGCTAAGGAAGAACTATATATCCTTAATTATCTTTAGAAATTACTAGTTATATATTATTTTAACTTTATTAGAATTTACTTTAATACTAGATATAGAAATAATAAAGCTCAAGTATTTTATATATATAATTTTAAATTCCGACTTCTTAATATTTATTTAAAGGCTAGTAAGATATAAGTAATCTAGTACTTTTTATTTATATTATTTATATTTTACTAGGTTCTCTAAATAAATAAGAATATTATTAAAATATATTATATAAAAGTTATCTAAATATTTAAAGAATATATTATTTATATAATATTAATATATAGCCAGGCTATTTATAAGGCTTTCCTAAAGAATATTATATTTATATACTTTATAGTAAATACGGAATATTATTAGCTTCTAAGAGTTCGGGTTTATAATTATATAATAAAAAGCTTAGTAAATATCTAATTTAGTATAGATTTTAGCTTTAGATAATTAACTTAAAGTCTTATTAATAAATAGAAAGAAATATTAATTCTTTTAAGTAATATTATTTAAATAGCAGAAATTAATATAGAAATATAAATCTTTATTTATTTTCTTTATAAAAAGAACTAGTAAAGTAAAAGAAGCCTAACTAGTTTTAATAAAGCCCTTAGCTAGATTATTTTCTAAGAAATACTTGATTTCTAGAAGCTTTTAAATAGATTATTACTAGAGGAATTAATATCTAATATTTTTAGTTTCCTTTAGGCCTTTAATCTAAATCTTATAATTATATAATCTATAGAAAAAAAAAGTATTAGATTTCTTTTTAGAGAAAATAGAAATATATTTCTTAAATTCCGGAAGTAATATTTTCTATAGTTACTAAAGCTCTATTTCTCCCGGTTATTAATTCTTTAGACCAGGGATAGCTTCTTTTTTCCGAGCTTTAAGCTCTTTATTAATCTTATAAATAAAGATTTAATTAATAATATTATCTTTTCTCTTAGCTATATAATTAAATACTATAAAAATAAGAATAACTAGATTTAATATTTGCTTTTTATTAAGGACCTCTTCCTGTTTCTTTAGCTTTTATTTGGATATTATATCTTAATTAGGCTATAGAAGCTTTTTTTTTATAGTTTTATATAATTCTCTCTAATTAGTTTAAAAAAAGAAAAATTACTTTAGAATAAAAGATTTCTAGAAATAACTTATAATAAAATCTTATTAATTAGTATTTTTTTAATATTTCTTATTAGATTACTTCTCTAGCTATTACTATAAAATACTAATAATATAATTGAATTATATAGATTTAGGCTTATTTTTTGGCTATATAAACCTATATCTTTTATAATTAACTAAAATATTAATATATACTATCTATTTTTTATTAAAAATAATATTATAATTTCTAAAGTTTAGAATAATTATAAATATATTAATACTTTATTTATTAATTAGAAATAAAATTTCTATATATTTCTTAATAAACTTAGCTAGTTTTCTATTAAAACTATATATAATATAAGATAAAAAAAGAGATTATAATTCTATTTCTAAGAATTACTTTATAAGCTAAATAAGCTTTATATTAATAAAAGTATAACTATTAGTTTTAGTATTAATAAAAGAAAAAAACTTAATTCCTAATTTATATATACTAATAATATAGGATATTATAAAAGTATTTCCTCTTATTAGATAAGTTAAGTTAATTTCTACTAAATTCATATTATAAGTCCCTAAAATAAAAACTTTCTTTAAAAATACTTGTTTCCCGGTTTTATACTAGAATTAGAATTCGAATTCTCTAAATACTTTATTAGAATAATATATTCTAGTAAAATAAGAACTAAGCCCGGCTTAATTCTAGAAAAAGCTATCTTGGTTTTCTTATTATATAGAACTAGATAATATCTAATATAATAGCTAAACTTGTTATAATTAAAGTATTTA